TGTATCCCTAGGTAATCACCCAACTATTTCATAACTGATCCTACTTTTTTCATAACCTTTTTTTTTCTTTCAAAATATAGGATCATCTCATACATACACCCAACCCCGACCATCAAAACTATCATCTTCAATTTTTCCTACATTTTCCTACGATTTTCTCCATTTTTTTGACCTAATCAATTCCAGATCTCCTAAATATATTGATGATATACTTACTTTTTTTCCTTATCTTCTATTTCCCAAAATAATTCTCATTACATTCAAACTTTCATCACCATATTATCACACAAACCACCGCAATTCTCCGCCAACTGACCTCTCTGATTTTCAATATAGATACCCTAATCAATCATCCTATCCTCATAATATATCAAATCACCTCCACTTTCTCTTCACTCATCTTTTATTTTTTAATTACCACACAAATCATCCAGCTCAGGCCCCGCTCAGCCCGCTGCTCTGGTACATTTCCACCACGGAACGGGTCCCACACCCCCGCTTTTCCCATTTTCAATATCCAAGATATCTCAAATATAAAGACATTAAAAAAATACTATTTTTCTCTACTCCACATTCCACTTCTCAGATCCCAAATATCCCCACTTTAAGTGCCCATAATCGCCATTGCGCTCTCGCTGCTAGCCCATTGCGCTCTCGCTGCACTCTCGCTGCACTCTGCTAACAACCATTTTTTCGCCTCATACAAACCCGCTGCGCTCTCGCTGCAAAAATGTATGCGATTGCGCTCTGGCTGCCTTTATCTAGCTATATGTATCTCACCCTCGTTAGCTCTCAAATGATTTCTGCTGAAGATGTAGAGAATTCCGCTGATTGTGGAACGGGGTCCCAAACCCCCTGCATATTTCCGCGGATTATGCCAAAACATTATGGCTGATTGTGCAACGCACATTTCAAGCGCCAATATCTCTACCACATTATATTATCTTTCAGATAAAATTATATATTTTTGCTCAGCATCCTCTCCAGATTTCAACAGCATTATTACTAGCCATTTCCACCGAGTATTCATCATTTAAAAATTCCGGCTGATTGTGCTGCAATGTATGGCATTCCGGCGGATTGCGCGACTGTATCCCTAGGTAATGATCTCAATTATTTCATCTAAAATCTTACTTTTTCTCTCTCTCTTTTTTTTTCATTAATATCTACACATCTATTTCTCATACTTACAATAATCCCGATCTTCTTCAAAAATTACTTACCTAATTTCTTCGCCACATTTTTATTTCCCTCTCCTACTTAACAATCATATCTATATCAAAATTTCCCAAATATTTGATAAACAATCTTTTTTTTCCTCTCTCACTTTTTTTTTCAAAAATACCTCACCCTTAAATTCTCACTCATACTCACATATGACCTTCGAACATCACCTCATTTTCCCACCATATTTTCATTTCCATCTCCTACTTAACAATCATATCTATATTAAAATTTCCCAAATATTTCATAAACAATCTTTCTTTTTCTCTCTCACTTTTTTTTTCAAAAATACCTCACCCTTAAATTCACACACATACATGACCCCCGACCATCACCAAAATTCATCTAACCTGATTTCCCTTACACATTTTTATTTTAATCACCTATTTTATGATTATAATCATACTAAAATCTCTCAAATATTCCATCAACAATCCTCCTTTTTTTTTCAATAACTTTTTCTCAAAAATATCTAGACCTCTATTTCTTACCTACATTCATCCCCACTCCCATCAAAAATCATCATCATCCTCATTTCTCTCCCACATTTTCTCCTCAATCCAACATTTTACATCTCAATCTATATTAAAATCAATCAATCATCTCATAAACAATCTTACTTTTTCTATTGAATAAAAAATACTCTCAAAATATCATCCCCATAATCTCCTTCTCTACTACACATATCCCATCAAAATTCCATATTATCTTCATTTTTCTATCACATTCTACTTTCCATCTGATATTTTAGAATCAAATCTATAATAAAATCTCTCAAATATTTCATAACTGATCTTACTTTTTTCATAAATCTTTTTTTTTCTAAATTACATAGACATTCACCTCCCATCTCTCAACCATACACCCATACAAGATCCCCGACCTTCACCAAAACTTTACCATCCCTATTTTTCCACCACATTTTATTCTCAATCCTAACTATTATCATCAAACCTATATTAAAATCACCCAACTATTTCATAACTGATCCTACTTTTTTCATAACCTTTTTTTTTCTTTCAAAATATAGGATCATCTCATACATACACCCAACCCCGACCATCAAAACTATCATCTTCAATTTTTCCTACATTTTCCTACGATTTTCTCCATTTTTTTGACCTAATCAATTCCAGATCTCCTAAATATATTGATGATATACTTACTTTTTTTCCTTATCTTCTATTTCCCAAAATAATTCTCATTACATTCAAACTTTCATCACCATATTATCACACAAACCACCGCAATTCTCCGCCAACTGACCGCTCTGATTTTCAATATAAATACCCTGATCAATCATCCTATCCTCATAATATATCAAATCACCTCCACTTTCTCTTCACTCATCTTTTATTTTTTAATTACCACACAAATCATCCTGCTCTGGTACATTTCCACCACGGAACGGGTCCTGCACCCCTGCTTTTCCCATTTTCAATATCCAAGATATCCCAAATATAAATACTTAACAAAAATAGATTATATTTTTCTAACACGCCTTCAAAATTTATAGTTTTATATGATTTTAAATTGATTTTTCTTTTAATTAAATTACTACATTCATGAGCTTTTACAATCACATCTCCATACTCTATATTATAATTTTCAAATGACAATCCCACTTTTTTCATTGGGACCTCTTAATCATGCTAAATTTCTCCTGATTTCCCAATAGGGTCCCAAACCCCCTGCGAATTTCTCCGAACTGTGCCAATCAATTTCTCCTGTTGGTGCAACGCAAATTTCAAACGCCAATATCTCTACCACATTATATTATCTTTCAGATAAAATTATATATTTTTGCTCAAAATCCTCTCCAGATTTCAACAGCATCATTACTAGCCATGTCCACTAAATATTCATCATTTAAAAATGTCTCCTGGTTGTGCTGCAATGTATTGCATTTCTCCAGATTGCGCGTCTGTATCCCTAGGTAATACATACACCCAACCCCGACCATCAAAACTATCATCTTCAATTTTTCCTACATTTTCCTACGATTTTCTCCATTTTTTTGACCTAATCAATTCCAAATCTCCTAATTATATTGATGATATACTTACTTTTTTTCCTTATCTTCTCTTTCCCAAAATAATTCTCATTACATTCAAACTTTCATCACCATATTATCACACAAACCACCGCAATTCTCCGCCAACTTACCGCTCTGATTTTCAATATAAATACCCTAATCAATCATCATATCCTCATAATATATCAAATCACCTCCACTTTCTCTTCACTCATCTTTTATTTTTTAATTACCACACAAATCATCCAGCTCAGGCCCCGCTCAGCCCGCTGCTCTGGTACATTTCCACCACGGAGCGGGTCCCGCACCCCTGCTTTTCCCATTTTCAATATCCAAGATATCCCAAATATAAATACTTAAAAAAAATACTATTTTTCTCTACTCCACATTCCACTTCTCAGATCCCAAATATCCCCACTTAAAGTGCCCATAATCGCCATTGCGCTCTCGCTGCTAGCCCATTGCGCTCTCGCTGCACTCTGCTAACAACCATTTTTTCGCCCCATACAAACCCGCTGCGCTCTCGCTGCAAAAATGTATGCGATTGCGCTCTGGCTGCCTTTATCTAGCTATATGTTCCAATTTCTTTTCCATGTGTAAGCAGTTTGCAAAGGTATATCTTCTAATTTTGCAGCCTTGTAAGCTAATACACCTTCTTCCATGACCAATTGCCAAAATCTTTGTTTGACAGCTTGATTATAATACCGGTACGAACCTCTATATCTTCGATCTTTCATTTCTGTTTCCATCTCAGCATCTTCTTCTTCGAAAATAGGATCAATTTTCATAATACCTGGTTTTTCAAAATGCTTATAGTCACTGTAACTAAAGCAAGCTTCAACTGGTGCTATTTCAGACTCTAAAGTCATTTCACTTGGTTCAGTATAGAATCTATTACCTAGGCCATCAACATACCCATCAGTTAGTGTCTTGGCTTTCAAGTCCATACTTAGTTTTGGCAGTAAAAGCTTATGCTTTTTTTTTTGTATGTAATCTAGTGATCATATAGAGCCCTAATTAAGCAATAAAAGTGGGAATTGCTCACTTTATATGGAGAACAGCTTACCATACACTCGTTCCCTTTTTTTGAAAACCGTAATTACGTGCTACTATTAATAGTATTATAGATATCAGGCTTTGTAGAAAGTAGCACAGAATTATGGAAAAAATGAGTATAATTTGATTAAACTGAGTAGCTTAGAGGCTTATAGAGCCAGTCACTTAAAAAAAGAAAGGAATTAATATGAATTTTATATACTGTTGGTATGAATAATTGAAGTGCAATAGTATGAACTATTTTTCTTAGATGGTCTGAATAAATCCCACTGCGGTGGTACGAAAAATACCGGAAGTCGGTATGAATTATTTTTTGCCACTGGTATGAACATTTCCGGTGGTTGGTACGAATAAAAAATGAAAACACTGTATGGTGGATCCAGTGAACGCACAACGCTCCAGCAGGTAGTAACGATACAGCAAGACGTCATTTACGTCATACTTCAGGGTCACCATGGAATGGCAGTACAAGGAAAATTTTGCTTATCTCATATGAATCCATAAAAAAAATCTTATACAGTAAGCACATAATTTCAAAAAGCAATCGTTGTTTAAACAAACAAAAAAAAAAAAGAAAAAACATTCCGATTACTAGTACTATTTTCCTGAAACTGGTTTTTTGAAACTTTTTTATCGTGAAAATTAAGGTCCAATTCCATTTCTATTCACACCAATAACGGCGCTGATGGTCGTTCTTGCCCATGTTACCAAAAAAACAGAAATTTACGAAAATGAACCTTATCGCTTGAATGTTGAGCAATGTGCTGAAATATGCCTAACTGACGTAGTTAATGGGTTGCAAGATTCGCAAATTGCCGGCTTAACCCACAAGTATGGCCTCAACAACTTGGGCGATGACCACACCATCTCTTATTTGCGAATTCTCGCTCATCAAGTGTTCAACGCCATGGTTCTTGTATTGATAATCTCTATGGTTATTGCATTTTGCATTAGAGATTGGATTTCTGCAGGCGTTATCGGCTTTGTGGTCTTTGTCAATGTGTTTGTAGGCTTTATTCAAGAAATCAAAGCAGAAAAGACCATGGGCTCGTTGCGGTCCCTAAGCTCTCCTTCGGCTACTGTTGTTAGGAGTGGGAAAACCAGCACTATCAACGCGGAAGAATTAGTTCCTGGTGATATTGTCAAAATTAGTGTTGGTGATACCATTCCTGCAGATTTGCGTTTAATACAAGGTGTAAACATTGAAACCGACGAGGCCTTATTGACAGGTGAATCTTTGCCAGTCGCTAAAAATCCTGAGAAAACTTATACGAATCAAGAACCTATTCCCGTTGGTGACCGATTGAATATTGCCTATTCCTCCTCAGTTGTCACCAAAGGCCGTGCCACTGGTATTGTGGTGGCTACAGGATTGCACCAAGAAATTGGGAAAATTGCTGATTCTTTGAAATCTTCTGATGAAGCCATTATTGTTAAACCGTCCCCTGAAATCTCTACTATCAAGGCAGTTGCTAAAACTTCTTTGAATATTATTCAAAACGTTCTAGGAACCAATGTTGGTACCCCATTGCAACGGAAATTGTCTTGGATGGCAATCCTTCTTTTTTTTGTCGCAGTTATTTTCGCAATTGTGGTTATGGCCTCCCATAAGATGGATGTTAATAGGAGTGTCGCTATTTATGCCATTTGTGTTGCCTTATCAATGATCCCATCATCCCTTGTTGTTGTTTTGACCATCACTATGGCTGTTGGTGCTGATGTTATGGTTAGCAAAAATGTTATTGTTAGGAAGCTAGACTCTCTTGAAGCTCTAGGAGGAATTGATGATATTTGCTCGGATAAAACTGGAACATTGACCTTAGGAAAAATGATTGTGAAAAAAGTTTGGGTTTCTACAGTGGGAACATATATGGTGGATGATTGTAATGAAGTGTACGACCCAACAGCTGGCAAAGTGGTGTTCTATCCTGCCTCTCCAAAACTGATTGATGAATTGGAACATAGACCAAAGTTCACTAACGAAGTTCAATATCCTGAAATTTTTAAAAAATGGATAACTGTGGCGACTTTGGCAAACGTGGCATCGGTTCATAATAATGACGGAAAATGGGGAGCTCAAGGTGACGCCACTGAAATTGCGATTTGTGTTTTTACCAAGAGATTAGGCTATGATAGGACTGAATTTATTGAGTCACAAAAGTTGAAACATTTACATGAATTTCCTTTTGACTCATCCATTAAGAGAATGTCTTCAGTTTATGTTTCTGAGAAGAAAACAAAAGTTTATAGTAAAGGTGCAGTGGAGCGGATTCTTGAGAGATGTGAATCTTGGTATGGCCCTGGCTCCAATAAAGAAGAGCTTATTCCTTTGACTGCTAATGATAAATCATTTATTGAAGAAAATATGAACAGTCTTTCAAAAGAAGGTCTTAGAGTTTTGGCATTTGCCGAACGTATAATTGATGCGTCAGAATATCTCGAAGATCGTGACTCCGTTGAGTCGGGTCTTACCTTTCTTGGATTGGTCGGCATATATGATCCACCTCGCCCTGAGACTAAGGAATCTGTCCGTCTTTGTCATAATGCCGGGATCAATGTCCATATGTTGACAGGTGACATGTTAGGTACTGCCAGAGCCATTGCCAAAGAAGTAGGAATCCTTCCTTCAAACCTTTCTCATTATTCTCAAGAGGTGAATGATAGCATGTGTATGACAGCTACCCAATTTGATAAGCTATCAGACAAAGAAATTGATATGTTGCCAGTGTTACCTCTTGTGATTGCCAGGTGTGCGCCTCAAACCAAAGTTCGGATGATTGAAGCATTACATCGTCGTGGAAAATTTTGTGCAATGACTGGTGATGGAGTGAATGACTCTCCATCTCTTAAAAAAGCTGATGTTGGGATTGCTATGGGTCTTAATGGCTCGGACGTAGCTAAAGATGCTGCTGATCTTGTGTTGACAGATGATAACTTTGCTTCAATCTTGCACGCTATCGAAGAAGGTCGTCGTATGTCGAGTAATATTCAAAAGTTTGTGTTACAATTGCTTGCTGAAAACGTGGCACAGGCGTTATACTTGCTTGTGGGATTAGCTTTTATTGATAGTGATGGGTACTCAGTGTTCCCGTTATCACCGGTTGAAGTGCTCTGGATTATTGTTGTGACTTCATGTTTTCCGGCAATGGGCTTAGGGCAAGAACAAGCGAGCGATGATATTCTTGACTTGCCACCAAACAAAACAATCTTTAGCAAAGAGTTGGTACTTGATATGTTTGTTTATGGTGCATGGATGGCCCTTTGTTGTATTGTCATTTTTGTTAGCGTGGTATATGGTTTGGGAGATGGGAATTTGGGGGAATCTTGTAATACAAGCAGTGTGGGATGTAACTTGGTATTCCGAGGCCGTTCCGCCGCATTTTCTGGATTTACTTGGTGTGCCTTATTATTAGCATGGGAATGTGTTCATGTAAGGTATTCGTTTTTCAATATGCGGCCCGAATCAAAAACCCAGTGGTATGTTTCTTTAGCCAGAGATCTCTGGGAAAATCAATTTTTGTTATGGTCAATAGTTCTTGCCAGTGTGTCGGTGTTTCCGGTAATCTATATACCTGTTATCAACAACAAAGTGTTTTTGCATGGTTCAATTGGACGTGAATGGGGGATTGCTATTGCATTCACAGTTCTATTCCTCATTGGTTGTGAGGGATGGAAATGGGCAAAGAGAGTTTACTTTAGAAGAAAAAATCCAAAATTTTGTGACGATAATGAAAGTAAGGATCCTTTTGTCGAGTTTTACAGTGATGGTAAGTCTGCTAATATCTATTGAATCTGTAACAAAGGTCATACTAAAGGTATCATTATACTATTGATGAACTTCTAGGATGCATCAGTTCACTAATAATCCTTCGTAGAACATTCTAGCATTCCAAAGATTTCCCTTTTGAGTTCTTTAACATGCAAGAGGATATTCTATTACTTTCTATTGTCTTTCATTGTTTCTATTATCTTCTATTGTCTTCTATTACCTTTTAGAAATATCCAATAGTTCTATTGGATAATTCTAATGGAGGATCGAAGTACTTGAATAGAGCGATCTTTCTCGCTTGTTCATTTTATTATTCTTATTTTAGAAGACCCGCTTAGACATTTACACCCTACACCAATAAGGTGATATTCGTCGGTGCCACGAAAAGGCATCGTTACCTTAAAAGGCACAAGGGAAGAAGCCGGCTATATCCGCAGGATACTGGTGGCTTCCGTAGAAGTATATAAAGAGGACTCTGGTCCACTATAAGTGAGTAGAATAGTATAAATAAAAAGCATTCATTCTTAGTACCAGACTCACTAGTAGCCATTGCAATTTATACTTACTTTAACATTCATTTTATTTCATTCGACATAATCACTAGTAGACCAAATTATAATTCCAGCGTCTCAATTCTTTGATTGACATGAGATCAAACTTATATCACAAAATACCTACTATTCAAATTTTGAGCCTTTTTGCAATACAATGTGAAATTCATGTCTATTAACAAATAAGAAAATTTAATAAATAACTATATAACCAACACCCTAGTAAACATGTAACTGATATTTTACCGCGGTCCATCTAGAAGCAAGCCAAAAAACAACACCAGTAAAACCTAAAGCGGAATTAAAAATTATGAAGTTATTGTAGTTCCGGACCGTCGGATTCATTCCAATAAATAAGCCAGAAATTGGGATACCTATCAAGTCCCCTAACGCAACCACAAAGTAGCATGTGGAATATCTTTTGCCAAATTCCTCAACTTTACTAATTTGGCTGATACACAATGGGGTCAAACTCAATACACCAGCTGAAGAAATACCAAAAACCACAGAATAGACGTACAAGCCGCTAGTTAAATGACCGAATGGCAACCAAATAATTAGACAGAAAACAGAAGAGAAAAGAGTCATAATGGTCATGATGTTAAATTTACCAACTTTATTAGATAGATAGCCAGCGAGTGCTCTTGCAATTATTCCAGTAGCATTCATAACAGTGATGAGCAAGTACGAAGTATTCTCGGAATTGCCCATAAATATAGCATAAGAGCTATAATAGGTAGTGGAAATCACAAGGAATACTTCAGAAAAAGTGACACCAAGAACGCAAAAGAGGAATCTTTTATCCCTAAAGGCGTGAACGTCTAGAGTTGTTTTCAAGAACAATATAATTCTTTCGAATACTTTTTTATTATTAGCTGATATTTTTTTTGGAGGAAATCTTGGAGTAATAAAGACTAATGCACCGATGTCCAAAAATAGAAGAAGGAAGGCAAATATTCTCATCGCCCAAGTAAAACCTAAATTAGAGTATAACTTTCTCAACATGATTGGGAAAATGACCCCGCCAAAGGAGCCACCAACAGTGGCTATACCCATTGCAATACCTCTTCGCTTATAGAAATAGTGCCCAATCACCCCAATTAGACTGGAAATTTGAACTGCACTCCCTAAACCAGCTAAGACTCCAAAGGCAAGAATAAATTGATAAATTTCGGAACAGTTACCTGTCATAAAAACACCGACAAATGAAAGAACTCCCCCAATAGATATTGGAATTCTTGGACCATTGCGGTCAAAAAAATCTCCAGTCAAAATACCACACAACAAAGTGATACATAAATATATAGAGAAAATCCATCCAATAGTAGATGCTGATGAATGATTTAATTGGTTTCGAGCGATATATGCTTCTATAGCAGAAATACTGTTGATACAACCGAAACAGTTTACCAAACCAAGAAATGAACCAACAACCGTGCTCCAGGCTTTTACCCCACCATCTGGAAAGTCTATTTCCACATAAGAAATTTGAGAGGTTGATCCAATTTCAATTTCGTTTTGGTTTATTCGATTGGAATCTTTGACTGGTGTCTGCTGCCTTGTTTTTTCAGTTTTGATGCTGGAATCTCTGCTGGAAACATTCAACCCTGAATTGTTTGAAGGTTGGGCATGATCTGAATTAAATTTCTCTTGTTTATGAGCCCCAAATTTTCTATAGATATATGAGATGATAGCAATTGGCATCTTTAAAAATCTGCCAAACAAGAAACCATAACATAATCAAAAAAAAAAAAAAAAAATCAAACGTCAACTGTTTATTTATCATAGATAGCGAAAGTACGCTAAAAGTACACTAGTGTAAAGGATACTAAACATGTTATCGCGTGTCGCGCATATATTAGCGATTTCAATAGCAAAATTCCTCTACCTAATGGAACTTTCTTTACCCTGGGTTGATGCTGTTTATCACTAGCACAATAAAATATTGTATTGAAATAAAAACTATTCACTAGTTATCTGGATAAAACCCTTTTAGTGTCATTTTGTTTAAAAGTACGCCAATTCTAGTAAGTGTTGATGTACTTTTTTTTAGTGTACTTCAGAAGTACGTAGTAGTTTGGATGATACAGTGTTTTCATTTTTTATTCGTACCAACCACCGGAAATGTTCATACCAGTGGCAAAAAATAATTCATACCGACCCCCGGTATTTTTCGTACCACCGCAGCGGGATTTATTCAGACCATCTAAGAAAAATAGTTCATACTATTGCACTTCAATTATTCATACCAACAGAATATAAAATTCATACCAACAGAATATAAAATTCATACCAACAGAATACAAAATTTATACTAAATGCATAAAATTCTTATGTTTTCATTAATATTTTATCTTTGATATTATTAAACATGTTATAGGGGACCCGCAAACCCAATAAAGCCCCTTTGCAATACTCATTTACCATTTCAAAGGCTCATAACCAAATTTTGGAGTGGTTTCGTCCTTCCTTAAAATTTTAAATTTTCATCAATTTGTTTTTGAGCTTTGTTGTGTCTTTATGTAATTTTTTTTATAGTTTTTACTTTTTTTTTTTTTGGTTTGTTTTCTGTATTTTGTTTTCTAATTTTTTTTCTTCATCTTCAATATTTGTTTTCAAAAGAGCTGCTGTTGTAAACAGAGATCAATATGTCTAGAAGCATGTCTGCAGAATCCCTTGTAACTATCAAGGGAAATATTTTCTGTGGCTTCTTTCACCCTTGGAGTTAATTGCTCCTTCTTGCTCAAGTTTGATCTTTTGACTTTACTCTTACATACTGACCAGAATTCTTCTATAGCATTCAACCCTGGAGAATAAGGAGGTAAAAACACAAGTTCCAAGCCACTCAGTGCCACTAGTAACTGAAGATCACGTCGTTTATGAATGGCAGCATTATCAAGGATCAAATATTTCATACCTTTGAGCTCCTCGTTATTTTCTATTTGCTGGATCACTGACTTTACAAAACTGTAGAAGTGATTAGCTGTAGTACCTTTACTCACTTTGTCAATGGTCGTTTCTGAATCAAGTTTTCTCTTCTTATTGGATGTAGCCACTGGAGTTCTGACCTTTAATTCAATACAACCTTTGACAGAAATTGCCCCAATGAACGAAATATTAAGCCCTCTGGTTACGGGAACAGTAAGAACTGCTTTTTCACCTACAGCAGACCATCCATACTCACGCCGCATACTGATATTGAAACCTGCTTCGTCGATGAAAATACAGTTTTGACTAAAGTCGAGCTTGTCTTTATACTTCTCTGCCCACTCGAGTCTCTGTTTCTTCAATTCCTCCAGACTTCTTCTCAAAGCCCATTTAGAAATACGTTTGAGACTTAGCTTACAGACCTTGGTTACAAAGTTATAGATTGTTGTAGCCTTGGCTCTTACATTGGTGAAGGCTTTCTTGAGTCTCTCCAACATAAAATCGAGAGTCACTGTAGCATCTTCCTTTATCAATTTTTGAAGGAATTCCTTATGCTCACCAGTAAGAAGGGGCTTACGACCTCTTTTCTTTGTTGGCTCCGAGATACCATTTAATTCATTAACAAGTATTTTGTTCCAATTTCTTTTCCATGTGTAAGCAGTTTGCAAAGGTATATCTTCTAATTTTGCAGCCTTGTAAGCTGACACGCCTTCTTCCATGACCAATTGCCAAAATCTTTGTTTGACAGCTTGATTATAATACCGGTACGAACCTCTATATCTTCGTTCTTTCATTTCAATTTCCATCTCGGCATCTTCTTCTTCTTCGAAAATAGGATCAATTTCCATGATATCCATGATACCTGGTTTTTCAAAATGCTTATAGTCACTGTAACTAAAGCAAGCTTCAACTGGTGCTATTTCAGACTCTAAAGTCATTTCACTGGGTTCAGCATAGAATCTATTACCTAGGCCATCAACATACCCATCAGTTAGTAGCTTGGCTTTCAAGTCCATACTTAGTTTTGATGGTAAAATCTTATGCTTTTTTTGTAAGTAATCTGGTGATCATATAAAGACCGAATTGAATGTCAAAAGTGGGAATTCATCATCTTAAATGGAGAACAGCTCCTACCATACATTCGTTCCCATTTCTTGAAAACCGTAATCACGTGATATTATTGATATAATTATAGATATCCGGTTTCAAAGAAAGTAGCACAGAATTATGGAAAAAATGAGTATAATTTGATTAAACTGAGTAGCTTAGAGGCTTATAGAGCCAGTCACATAAAAAAAAGAAAGGAATTAATATGAATTTTATATACTGTTGGTATGAATAATTAAAGTGCAATAGTATGAACTATTTTTCTTAGATGGTCTGAATAAATCCCGCTGCGGTGGTACGAAAAATACCGGGGGTCGGTATGAATTATTTTTTGCCACTGGTATGAACATTTCCGGTGGTTGGTACGAATAAAAAATGAAAACACTGTATATGATTATTATAAAAAAAAAAAAAAAAAAACTAAATAAGATCACGCCTCTGGCGCATCACCTTGCATAACATTGAACAATCCGCTCCCTCAATTTTCAAGATAAGAATAATTAAATCATATTACAAAAATAACATTTTTATTTCTCTAATTTTTAAAACCCTTCTCAGCTCTCAGTTTTTCCTGGAAAAAAGCCCCCGAAATCACGAATTTACAACCCTAGAGACGGACGTCTTTCTCGTTACGCAGGTTGATAACATAAGACAGTTAACCTTTTTTTTTTACCATTGATTCAACTTTGAAGTCTCTGAAAGCCGACAGGAATGATTATTATAAATACAGTGGCTAATTCTTATCATAATCCACCAGAGAGTGGAATATATAAGTATATATGACATATATATTATATGTATATTATCGGGGGAAATAATGTTATTGTCGACTTCGCGCGATTATGGCTTGTAGTAGGGTAAGATCTATCCGGTCGGTGGTAGCGGCGGATAGAGTCTAAGGATATCGGATTTAAGATAATTCTGGATTAATACAAACAATAACTTAATAAAGTTAACAACGTAGTAAAATATAATAATTGAATAATGTTCTCTCTCTGAAAATAGTAGAGAGATAATGATAGTAGAATAAGTAAAATAAACAGAAAGTACGAAAAGTATGGGTTAGGAGTAATGGTGTTATGGCTATTATCACTCTAGGGTGTTGTTAGCAAAAAGTGTACAAGTACGACTAGTACAACAATCTGTGGTCACATGTGCATGTAAAAATTAGACTGTAAAATCGGGGAGATGAAAAGTGGTAATTAAATTCCTACATTAATGTAATAAAATACAGTGATCCAACCCTTTCTTACCGCACGTCCCTGGCTTAAATCGTTCAAAGTCATTGTTCAAAGCCATTATGTCACAAAAAACTGCCCTTATCACCGGTGCTGGTGGCGGCATTGGAGCGGCCCTTTCTAAGATTTACGCCAAAAACGGTTATAAAGTGTTTGCCGTCGATATCAAGTTTCCTGATGAAGTGAAAGCAGACTTCAAAGAACAAGAAATCTCGATCTTCCACACCGATGTCACCAAGTCTGCAGAAATCAAAGATCTTAAGACCAAGCTTGTTGAGGAATTCGGATTGACGAAGTTGGACGTACTCTATAATAATGCTGGTGTTATTTCTGCATTGCCTGCTACCGACTTCGGTGATTCTGTTTTGGATTACATTAACGGGGTCAACTTCGTCGCTCCAATTAAAATGGTTAGAGAATTCTCCAGGTTTGTTGTGAAGGCTAAGGGTACTATTGTTTTTACCACCTCGGTCACCGGCTGGATCCCTCTTACTTACAACTCTGTGTACGCCGCCACCAAGGCTGGTCTTGACCAATACGCTCGTACTCTTAACAGTGAATTGAAACCTTTGGGGGTCAAGGTCATCAGTATGGTAACTGGGGCTGTCGATACTGGAATTGGAAAACGTTCCGAGTTGCCAGAGGACAGTATTTTTAATACACCAGAAACCCTTGAAAATATTGAGTTCGAGAGAAGTTTGCTCAAGTTCGAGAAAGGAATGGACCCTACAATATACGCCGAAAGAGCCTATATTCAACTTGACCGTGCTACCCTCAACACATTTAGGCTCTTTGAAGGGAAGAGAGCTGGATTATACTATTTCATGTTCAAATGGTTGCCAGTTCAGCTAATGAACCAGTTCATGCGTGACAGATACAAGAACACCGGAATTTACCCTTCGATTTTAAAGAAATTGGAGGCTGAATCCGCTAAATAAGGCATTTCATCCATATCATTCGATGCTATTTTCTGCGGTATATTTTCTAATAGCAAGCTAAGTGTTATCTCTTGATATTTCCATCTATTGCATTTGGCCTCATGTTTAATTCAAATATGGCTCTCAATGTGGAAACAGCCGCATATTTGAAAACCAGTTCCATCCTCAATGAAGAACTCAAAATGAAAAATTTTCAACTTTATGTCCATTAACCTATGGTAGTGAAAAAAGAAAGAAAACAATAAATGAAAAAAAAATAAAAAATGCTGCCCTATTATTAAAATCTTGATCAAAGAAATCGAAAACTGCCAAAAAAATAAAAATAATAGCTAAGCGTGATTGTAAATTTGATCTATTAATATTTCCTTCAGCCTCTTCTTGTGTCATCCATTCATTCTTATCATTGATTTTACTATACAATCACCTGAATCCAGATAATGCAATATAGTGCGAAAATAAAATAAAATAAAATAAACAATTAAGTATATTATGGTGAAAACGGTGATAATTTGTATTGTATGACATTAACACTAATCTAAACCTCATTCAATATAAAAATGATCTACTTCATTCACACTCCTTAAATGCATTCATGGATACATTCCAATTCAATAAAAAATAGAACTTCACTATTTTCATAAAAATATATACTCAACGTCATCTTCACGCGTTTTAATGGACTGAGAGTTCCTAATATTCTTCTTGGATGCTCTTTTTTTTTTTTTTTTTTTTCCATCCCTAATTTTCTCTTTTTAATTCACTTATAATGTACTAACTATCTGCATCTTACGTTTCATGAGAAGGCAAACTTGCCCAAAGTTTAGCAGATAAAAAGCCAGGGGGGGTCAGGTTAATCTATTAAAACTACTTATCTTTCCCTTTTAAAACTCTAAAAAATGTCTACTTTACTTTACAATTCGTCGTTTACTCGGGATAGTTCATTATTTGCATTTTTAAACTCACAATCACTCAAAAATAAAACTTCCAACTTTTTTTTTTACATAGTCAAATATCAGAACTCAACCTTTTGTGCTTTGTATCTTTTATAGTATCTTGAAAACTACATATTATAAACCTGTATTTCTGTTATTATCTTCTTTTCTTATTCAATTCATATTAATTGCATCACAACCTATTGTCTTAGCAATACATCTACTGGCTAACGTCTGTTTGAAGTGCCAATTGCACGCGGAACAAAAAGATAGACCCAGAAAAAAAAATGTCATTACCTTCAAGTGTCTTTAAATGAACAGGCCGTGAAACTTCAAAATATAAACTATTCCAGAGTATCCTTCATTGAATAAACAAGAGATACAAAATCTAACCACTAAAATTTTTACCGGATATTTCTAGATGCTCACGATTCAGATTGCACAATAAGCCATTGAAAGTCGCATACTTCCAAGCACAAAAAGGTTGGATCAAATAGGTCAAATGAAGCTATTCTAGAAAGGTAAAGGAATAAAAGAAATAATAAAAGGAACTTATATAGGTGACAGCGAAGGTTATGCATTTAGACCTAATCACCGGAGCCATTAATCAGGAAGTCCGGAGTGGCTATCCGGTGGGGACGGAAGGAAGGGTCTTTTAATTTAGAGTTCACGTCTGACACGTTGCCACCGCAATGGTATATGCGACACCACCTATTCATTCATCCATCAATGATTTGTCGACGTATCTTTAATGAATAGGTTAGAGACCACGTGCCTACTATCTAAGCCAAAGATATTGATCTTGCTAAAATCCACCTCAAGATTCACTAACAAGTAATAATATTATTGACTCCAGAGATTAGTTTCATATTGTTATTACAATAGCCATTGCTTTTTTTTATTACTATTATTTTTGTAAAATACATAATTTCTATATAGAATTAGCTGAATATAATATAATGCGGATTGTTTATTTTTTTTTGCTAACCGGTGTCATAAATATCTCAGCATTGTGTCTTTAGCTACTTTGTTAAATTTTTGAGACTGAAAAATCATGGAAAAATTGATTAAGCAGCTTGTTGTGGCAACTTTTCTTTCCGGTCATAACCATCTAATTCAGCTGGAGTTTCGTCGAAATCTTTGAAAATATTACTGTCACCAATATAACAAAAGTAAATGGCGTAAACCATCCCACCAAACAAGATCAAAAACCATAAAAGAAAGCAGATCAACCCCTTACTGGCGACATCACTATCAGAGAGACGAGGGTTTCTTTTGGCAGCGTAGACAACAGAGAAGAATGGGAGAACTAGACAACCAAGAGGGACAAGAATGTGGGCAAGAATGGAGGTTTTGGCCATTTTTAAGATTGATATGGGAGAAATGAGTGATTTGGAGTGAATAAGAAGGACGTGTGACTAGTAGTGGGAGTACCAGCTATTTATACCAACAGGGAAAACCATGGCAAAACTTTTCGCTGGGTCGTGTTGTGGATTGGGCCATTTTCGTGGATGAGAAAGTTTACCCGGGCTTAGAATTACTTTCTCCTCCCCTTTGGTATCAATTGGTACATTGTTGTTAACAACAAATAAGTTGACGCTTTTGTTTATGTGAGATTTCACTTCTAGCTTCTTTGATGAGAAAGAGTGTAGATCCTGGTTGACAGTTTATTGATAATCGCCCAACTTTGTGTGTGCTGTGTTAGATGTAGGAAAATGAAGTCAGGCATTTTGTGTGTGTGTGTGTGTGTGTCAAAGTGTTAGCAGCTATATTAATACATGCGTATGATATTTTCGAGACTTTGAGAAGCTAAGGAATATTCAATTATTGTGGACTGTAGAACTAATAGATTCATTGAAAGCATATTCCAAGAAAAGTTAAAAATTAAGGAGAAATATAGGACTACCCCAGGCCAACATTATGCTATTGTAGATACACACTCTTTGAGAACACTTCACGGTGTCCTTCTGATAGTGATTCCCTGGGAGCACAGATAGATAAAAGGAAGCAAGCTACTTGATCTGCTCGAACGTCTTATTATTGTTTTTTACTGAGAAATCACCACGCCAAAAGCTGAATCGGTGACACATGCAGTGAAAAGAAGAGAAAAGGTAACAAAAGAAAAAAAAACAACAAAAAAAAAAAAATCTTTTTTTAGAATGCCATCAGATCCGTGAAAGGTGAGTGGGTCCCCCCCGCCCAAAAAAAAAATAAAAAACAAAAAAAAAACAAAAACAATATACATTATATCATTTTATAGTTTAGTAAGGGGTTCCTGAAAACTACAAAGACGTCTGATATTTTCACACCTATTATTGATACAAACGGCAATCATGCATCTCTCCACATTCTGCTCTCTTTTTGCTGTCGCTGGTAACTTAGCGCTTGCCATCCCTGAACGTGAAAGATCCTTGTTGGACCTGGTCAGCTCTGTTGAGTTGCACAAGAGAGACGACAGAAACGGATACTTGTCTCTGTGGTTGCAGTCAAAGGCCTCACAATACAACCAGGTCAGTTACGTTGAGCAAGAAGCGTCTCAAGTATTGGCTTATGATTTGACGAATGGAAATGGCAATGATTATACTGCTAACCAAATCTACTATCTGGTTTATCTTTCATGCTTGGGAGAGAATTCCATCGCCATTACTGCTACTGGCTCAAACTTGATTTCATTGCAAGAACTGGTTTATTTTAAATGTACTAACTCGGCTCAAGCACTTGCATGGGATTACTACACCAAAAATAATGACAGTTCAAGCTACACTGATAGTTACACAGAAGATGTAATGACATCCACAAAGAATGAATCAAACAACGCAATTACTTCAGCGTATAGTAGTAGTTCTAGTACAAATGCTAGCTCTACTTTTGATTATACACATAGCTATACCAGCCATGATTCCACCCTTACTACAATGAGTGTTTCCTCAGGGGCTTCTTCTGATACTTTAACTTTTTCTTCAGAATTCGAATCTTTATCATCATCATCATCCTCCTCTTCATCATCATCCTCCTCCTCCTCTTCATCATCCTCCTCCTCCTCTTCATCATCATCCTCTTCATCTACTTCATCCTCCGCTTCATCTACTTCATCCTCCTCCTCTTCATCCTCCTCATCATCTTCGCTGCCTAGTTCAGACGGTGTTGCTATTCTTGCTATTCCAGCTGGATTTGCTTTAATTGGCGGGATGCTTGCTATAATCTAGTTACAGTACAGTTAGAATCATTCTAGATCTGGAACAACAACTTTAGCTCATGCCAATGTGGATGTCACTTTTAACTATTGCTTGATTGACTACGGTTCCCAAAGTCTATCTCCTTTCATTTTTCTTATATAATCATCTCCAGTGTTTTTTCTTGCAATAGAGATGAATTTTTCTTTCTAAATTTAAACTTATTAGCAATAGCTCTTTTTTCTTTCTGTAATAGATGACTATTTTTCAGCCTGGAATTAGATCAAAGTATATATATTACGAGCTCCACACCAGCACTACATGGAACCTATCCTATAATGACAAATAATACTTGTGGTTGGGATGTACTGGCTATGCCAGAACTATCCGGTTGCTCAACACCATTAGATTCTGAACAGGAAGGATTAGATGATGAGGTATCCATTGCAAATTTGGTTAATAGTTCGGTCGGCCAATTGGTTTATTTATCAGTTAATCTGCTTCTTATAAAAGAGTTTTAGACTTAGATCGAGTTAAGCTCGTTCCAGCAATAAAGTTATTATTTCATGACATATAAGAGCCCTTTTGCACATGATATCCCTATACACTGTCAGTGGTGTGTAGCCACTTATCAGGGTTCATAGCATTGTTGAAAACTAAGCACGTGTGTTATTATTCAATAAAACATATTTTGTTATGTTGGAATCCAGACGCTTCTACGCACAGCAAAAGTTTAAAATAAACGAGAAAATGAGTTGATCGAGAAATCAATGATGATGATGAGACTAAATAAAGATAAAAGATAAAGCTAAAAATAAAAATAAGGTGTGTATGTATATAGTATTGACCGGTATTCAGGAGTCCAGCTATCTGACCCGGCTGTCCGGTGGAACTAGTGGTGTGGCCAGGTTCTAACAAAGTATGATCCTAGTCTAAAGAGAACCACCATCGTGTAGACCCTAAAAATACTCACCAAGTACAATAGAAATATCCAGGATCCCCTTTCTCAATTTTTCCAAACAATACCATAACCCCACTTTCTCCTTTGATTAATGTGTTTCCCAAATAGAAAATGTATTCGTCATGTCCGTAGTTAAGTTTGACTATTTGTTTTCAATTGTCCCAACTAACACTTTGATTAATTTTTTTTTTTGATTCTTTGACTGGCATTCCAATATGGAAACATTCAACAGTATCAATGTAAACTAGAGCCTCTTGGCTTCCATTTCTTTAACGGTAGATTAAAACACAAGGCCGATGTTTAATTCCTTAGTCTCGTAATAATATAAGTCACATTCAATGATTTAAGTATGAATGTAGTTCAGCACAAACCAAACCGATAAGGAAGAAATCCATCTTTGTTTGAATTCTCATGATAGTGAAAACTGAGAGAGATGCACACACCCAATATTCAATCGAAACCAATATATTACATGACATGAAATATCAGATACAGGTGTTATAATAGCTCCACTCTTTGAAAACAAAATAGAAAAACGTTCAGCATCTACTTTTTCAGCAGACTTGAATACTGTGTCTCCAAAACTATCTGAGTTAGGTCGATTCCACTGTTCAGGTCTGTACAGTTGAGCGGACCCATATGTTACTATTTATTTTCTCCTATACATTAGAACTCTTGAAGAGCTGTCGAAGCAAAACCTAAGGATGAGGTAATATTTTCGCCTTTGATGCTGTTGAAATTCCATATACAGAAGATTTGAAAAACAACAACTGGATTTTCCCCGGAATTGAGCGAATACGCTGTGTGAGACCACTAGGGTTTCTAAGGGTTGAGCAAATATAAGGTAGCCGTGGCAAAAAAAAAAAAACAAAAAAAAAAAGAAGAAGAATAAGAAGAAGTTTTCACTGTTATTCCTCTTCTTCTTCATCTTCCATGTTGCACACCTTCCATGGCTATTGTGCTTTCTCCAAGGGTATGTATCAAAAATTAATTTGATAACGTTTTTGATTAGTAACCACGCGTTTATCGGGAAAAACCGCATCAAGGGGCAGTGCGGGGGGACCCTCCGGATTTAACCCCAAGTGACTTGCGGGAACCACTTCTCCATTAGGAAGGCAAGCCCTCACACAACGCAAATATCGGGGATGCTCTCGCTCGATAAACTCCGACCGCTATTCCCGTAGAACACACACACACCCTTCGTAAACAGCCCTATTCTCCACTAATTTCAACCAACTGGATACCATAAACGTCATAAGAATATGGCTTATTAGAAAGACATTCTTGTGACCCAAAATAACCACCCCGGTTATTGCTAATCCGTGAAGTAGACTCCTCCGAATGCAAGATACCTCACAGGGAGTTAACGCTCGTATTTCCTTTTTTACTTGTTTGTCATTGCACAAATTTTTCTTTTTTTTTTTTTCAAACACACGCATATATATAGTGCGCGCTGTTCCCCTGTACGAACTCAACCGTCGTATTGGAAGAAAAATAAAAAGAATTTTAAATAAACAAATAATAATAAAACTTTTCCATCAGAAGTTTCAGAATTATCAGCCCAATGAGTTCTGAGATTTATGACTCCATCAACAAAACCTCGTCTACTTCTAGTGATGCCGCTAGTAGCAACGACGGTTCAGAAAATGATGTTGCAAATTACCAAGGGTTCGACAAGAAGGTTGCAGAAGAAATTAAAGACTTAGCCAGAACATTATCAAGAAGTTCGAATTTGACCAGGCAAAATTCCCACACCTCATTTACTTCAGTGTTGAACTCTCCACCTGTTATTCCTTTTGCAGAAGATGATTTAGACCCTCGATTAGATCCAAATTCCGATGAATTCGATTCCAAGCGTTGGGTTGTGAATATGGAAAAGTTGATGAACTCTGACACAGATTTTTACAAACCATCGTCTTTGGGTGTCGCGTTCAAAAACCTTAGGGCTACCGGTACCGCTGTTGATGCCGATTATCAATCTGATTTCGCCAACTTCATTCCAAAGTTTACCAAGTTGGGGTTAGATAAGTTTATTTTGAGAAGAAAAGCTCCAACATTCGACATTTTGAAACCAATGGATGGTCTTTTGAAACCAGGTCAGTTGTGTGTTGTTTTGGGTAAACCAGGTGCTGGTTGCACAACTTTTTTGAAATCTATTGCAACTCAAACCTACGGGTTCAAAATTTCTGACACCACCGAAATTATGTATGACGGTATTTCTGCCCAAGAAATCCATAAGCATTACAGAGGTGATGTTGTTTACTGTGCCGAAACTGAAAACCATTTCCCAAATTTACTGGTTGGTGATACTTTGAAATTCGCTGCGCTAATGAGAACCCCTCAAAACAGACCTGAAGGTATTACTAGAGACGAGTATGCTCAACATATGACTGACGTTTTTATGGCCACTTACGGTTTGAGCCACACTAAAAACACCAGAGTGGGTAATGATTTCATCCGTGGTGTTTCTGGTGGTGAAAGAAAAAGAGTTTCTATTTGCGAAGTTGCTTTATCTGGTGCCAAGGTCCAATGTTGGGATAATTCTACCAGAGGTTTAGATTCTGCCACCGCGTTGGAGTTTGTCAAGGCATTGAAAACTGCTGCTGTCGTACAAAATAGAACTCCGATGGTCGCTATCTATCAATGTTCTCAAGCTGCTTATGATATTTTTGATACTGTTCAATTATTGTACGAAGGTTATCAAATCTACTTTGGTGATGCCAAAAAAGCAAAGGAATATTTCCTTGCTATGGGTTACGAATGTCCTCCAAGACAGACCACTGCAGACTTTTTGACCTCTGTTACTTCTCCATCAGAACGTATTGTGAGAAAAGGCATGGAAGGCACTGTGCCAAACACTCCAAAAGAGATGTATGACTATTGGATGAGCTCTCCTGAATACACACAATTGTTGAAAGAAATTGATGACTACAAGAACCTAATCCAAGATGGTCAGAAAGCAAATGCCTTTAAGGAGTCTCACAACGCACGTCAATCGAAAAGAGCCAGACCTTCTTCCCCTTACACACTCTCATATCCTCAACAAATCAAATACATCATGGATAGAAACTGGCTCAGAACCAAGGGTGATCCTTCCATTACTATATTCACTATCTTTGCTCAATCCATTATGGCATTGATTATCTCTTCAGTTTTTTATAATCTTAGGTCTGACACTAACAGTTTCTACTTAAGAACCGCATCCCTTTTCTTTGCTGTTTTGTTCAATGCGTTTGGGTCTCTTCTTGAAATTTTCTCTTTGTTCGAAGCTCGTCCAATTATTGAAAAGCACAAAACTTATGGTCTTTACCATCCTTCTGCTGATGCTTTGGCGTCCATTATAACAGAATTACCTACAAAAATTTTCATTTCTTTGGCGTTCAACTTGGTGTTTTACTTTATGGTTAATCTTAGACGTACTCCAGGCCATTTCTTCTTTTATTTGCTTGTGAATTTCACTGCTAGTTTATCCATGTCTCATATTTTCAGAACAGTGGGTTCTGCTTCCAGTTCTTTGTCTGCCTCCATGACTCCTGCTTCTATTCTTTTGTTGGTTTTCATTATTTACACCGGTTTTGTCATCCCTGTCCCTGATTTGCTTGGTTGGTCTAGATGGATCCATTATCTTAACCCAATTCAATATGCATTCGAGGCCTTGGTTGCTAATGAATTCCATGACAGAGATTTTGACTGTGCTCAATATGTTCCATCAGGAAATGGGTACCCAAAATCCGGGGAAAATGTGATCTGTACTCCTGTTTCCTCCAAACCTGGTCAAACTTTCGTTAACGGTGATGCTTACATCAACTCATTATTCCACTATTTCTGGGCTCATAGATGGAGAAATTGGGGTATCGTGGTGGGTTTCGCCGTGTTTTTCCTTGGTGTTTACCTCCTCTTATGTGAATACAGTAGAGCCTCTATGCAAAAGGGGGAAATCTTGCTTTTTCAAAAGAAATCTTTGAAGAAATCAAAGACCCAAAAGATTAAAGATGACATTGAAGCTGGCCCAATTGAGAAAATTAGAATTGAAGATGAAGCTGCTGAGAAAGTATCGTCATCTGACTCCTCTTCTAAAAAATCTCACAAAAATGTTTTCCATTGGAAGGACTTGACTTACCAAGTGAAAATCAAATCAGAAGATCGTGTTATTTTGGATCATGTTGCTGGCTTTGTTAAACCAGGTACTGTCACTGCTTTGATGGGTGCTTCTGGTGCTGGTAAAACTACTTTGTTGAATGCTTTATCTGATCGTTTGACAAGCGGTGTTATTACAGAGGGAAAGAGAATGGTTAATGGACGCCAATTGGATAAGTCTTTTCAAAGATCCATTGGTTATGTTCAACAGCAAGATTTGCACTTGGAAGTTTCCACCGTCCGTGAAGCGTTGCTTTTTTCTGCCGAATTGCGTCAACCAGCTAGTGTTCCAAAAGAAGAGAAGGTTGCTTATGTCGAAGAGGTGATTGATTTACTTGAAATGAGACCTTATGCTGGAGCTGTCGTTGGTGTTGCTGGTGAAGGCTTGAATGTTGAACAAAGAAAGAGATTGACTATTGGTGTTGAATTGGCAGCCAAACCTGAATTACTTGTTTTTCTTGATGAGCCAACCTCTGGTCTTGATTCCCAAACCGCTTGGTCTATTTGTCAGTTGATTAGAAAGTTAGCCAACCATGGGCATGCTATTTTGTGTACTATCCATCAACCTTCAGCCATTTTGATGCAAGAATTTGATAGATTATTGTTTTTGCAAAGAGGCGGTAGAACTGTTTATTTCGGTGAATTAGGTGAAGGTTGTCATACTATGATTGACTACTTTGAGAAATATGGTGCTTCAAAATGTCCTCCAGATGCCAATCCTGCTGAATGGATGCTTGAAGTTATTGGTGCTGCTCCTGGATCCCACGCCAACCAAGATTATCACGATGTTTGGAAAAACTCTAGTGAATTCAAGGACCTTCATATCGAATTAGATAACATGGAAGCTGAATTATCTCAATTGCCAGTTGACGAGGACCCTGAAAAGTACAAGAACTATGCTGCAAGTCTCTGGAAGCAATATTTGTTAGTTACTGAGAGAGTCTTCCAACAGACATGGAGAACTCCTAGTTATATTTATTCCAAGTTGTTGATGACTGTGGCTTCTTCTTTGTTCAACGGTTTCACTTTCTTCATGGCCAAGAAATCTTTGCAAGGATTGCAATCGCAAATGTTTGCCATTTTCATGTTCATTACTGTGTTTAATTGTTTGGTTCAACAGTACTTGCCAAATTTTGTTGCTCAACGTGATTTGTACGAAGCTAGAGAAAGACCATCAAAAACCTTTTCTTGGGTTGCTTTCATTTCTGCCCAAATCACCTCAGAAATCCCATGGCAAATTTTCGCTGGTACCTTGGCTTTCTTCTGTTGGTACTATCCAGTTGGTTTACAACATAATGCTGCATTTGCTGGTGATCTCCATGGCCGTAGTGTGATGATGTGGGTTGTTGTTGTTCTCTTCTATGTTTATACTTCTACCATTGCTCAATTGGTCATCTCATTCAATGAGCTTGCTGCGAACGCTGCCAACCTTGCCTCGATGTTGTTCACAATGTGTTTGATTTTCTGTGGGGTTATGTCTCCTCCAAACGTTATGCCAGGATTCTGGATTTTCATGTACAGATGTAACCCAATGACCTATGTTATAGATGCGATGTTGTCACTTGCTATTGCTGACAATGAAGTGACGTGTGCTGCCAATGAGTATTTGAATTTCCCACCTCCTGAAGGAATGTCATGCTACCAATACATGGAACCATACATTCAAAGCTCTGGTGGCTATTTGATGTCTTCGACCATGAATTCTACTACTGATTGCTCTTTTTGTACTGTTTCGAAAACCAACACTTATCTTTCTCAATTACAAATTGATCCAAGTAAAACTGGACGCAATGTTGGTATTTTCTCTGCGTTTATCTTTATTAACATGATTGGTACAGTGTTTTTCTATTGGTTGTCTAGGGTTCCAAAGGGCTCTGGAAAAAGATCATCTTAAAATAATCTCCATCTGGGTTAGCTTTTCTTTCTTTCTTTGCTTTTCTTTTTCTTACAGATTTTTTCTGTGTGATAGTTTTAATTTATGGATTATTCCATAGTTTGTCCTTGTATTTCTTTTTTTGATTTTGCCTTTCTTGATTTTGTCTTTCTAAATTTTTCTCATCTTAACATACAAATATATTTAATATTATTTATTCATATCTGAAGTGTAGGCAATGCAAATTGATTTTTAATTATTAATTGAAGGCTGGTTGTGATTATGGCTATTATCACCTGCTAGGCTTACAAATTTTCAATTATTTCAATTGACTTTCAGGTTTCACACTGGTTAGCCGAACCTACACGCTTGGAATTACTATAGAATAAATCTTAAATTATTAATGGTCTTCTTCAGAAATTAAATAAAAAAGAAACCTTTAGAACTGTTAATATTAAAATACATTCAAGTTTGTAAAAGGAACATACAAAATAAACTTGATCAACAATTGCAAACAATAGTTATTCTGATCGGAAAAACATTAAAAAAGAAAAAGAAAACCTACACATTAATGGCCATTATATTATTAATACTCAAAATTAATATCAAATTGTGATTATATGAATAAAGAAAAAATAAATAATAATCTGTTATCACCATCCAAAATTCCTAATCATTGCCACTTTTTCGGAAACTATTATCCAGCCACCAGTTTTCATTTTGTGCTCCTACTCCCAATCGGGGGTTCCCACAAGGGTTTAGCAAGTCATCATTTTGGCCCAAAGTGAAACCACCAATTTTGTTAGTCAGCTCAACATTCTCTTGAAGTACATGCTGTATTTCAAGGTTGGCTCCCGCAGAAGGCCGAGATCCCAGTATTGTTGGGGTAACTGGCTTTTCTGTATTGAGATTTTGATCAAAGTTATTAATGGTTTGTGTAAAATAATTTTCAGGCTCATCTGAACTGAGCATGAATTGGAAGGGTTGGGGCTTTCCATCGTAATTATCGCCTTCATAACTCTTTGAGCTGGTGATTCTTGATAATTCATTGTACAAGTCATTGACATCGTTATCTGAAACCAATTCATTGTAACCTGGGTTCAAAGGATCTATGGCAAAGTCCATTGCTGGGGCGGCAGATAGTAGGTCTTGATTGCTAATACTATTGTTACTGAGAACCTTTGTTAGGCCCAAACCATGATCATGACGATCATAAACCAGTCCATAGTCGTTATTTGGGTTGGAAAGATTCGAGAGTACACGCTCTAAGTTTGCATCATCCATTGTAGTTGGGTCGTTTAATAGCTGGACAAGATCATCTTCTCTAGAATTGATACGCAAATTTGGAATGAGATTTTGATGGAAATCATTATCTTCGGCAGAGGGGCTAGCCAAGTCTTCGACGGAATGTGAAGCAGATTGAGGCCTACTTAAAGACTTGTTCACTTCTTCCAAAATTGCCCGGTTATCCATTAAATCGTGATCATCGATTCCTAGCCATTGTCCTTGATTAGGAGGACCAACCACTATATTGGGCAACGATGGGTTATTGGCAGCGATATTCAAATTTTGACCGGATAAAGAGAAGCTGGGGTTCATCGCATAATCAGTCATTGGTTGCACAACTTTAGCATCAACGTTTTGGTCGAAGAAAGGATTGGTAAAATCATTTAATTCTTCTAAAAACCCATTGAAGGATTGATCTTTCAATTTCACATTCTCGGGAACGTCATCTTCCTCTCCATGATAGGAAGAAATAGAAGGGGAGCGTTGTCGTTTTGGTGATGCCGGATAGTTGCTGTCTGATAAATAGGCTTGTTGTAACTTATCATAATTTAGTAGATCTCTATCATCATCATTTAGAGAGATCGACACTCTTTTTCTAGAGCGATCGTCTAGAGGCCTTTCATGATGTTTTAGCTCGACCCCCGACGAGGGGACTGGAGACGGCGATCGGGAATTAACACTGACGTTTGAGTTATTTCGTGATCTTCTTACCGAAATGTTGCTTGGCAAGTCGGTAAGCAAATTATTGGATTTACTGAGTTGATTATTATTGATTTCAAGAATGTTTGACACAACTGCTTCCCTTTTAGCCACAATTTCCTTTGAATAAAACACCCTGGAGCTATAGCATGTAAAAACATCAGAGATCAAATGGGTGATTGGTTTGACGTACAATAGTTTCTGAGGAGGAACAAACCCATTGAATTCATATAAGGAGAACCTTAACCTGTAATCACCTTTTACCATGATGCTTAGGTTGCTGAAATTGAACAACAAGTACTTTTGGTTGTTGAATTTGACGAAATCCCCGGAAACGTTGGTAGTGCCAACTAGAAGACCAGGGTCTTTGACAGGTGATCCTTTGACATCAAGAAGTTCTGCTTTCAAAAAGAAGTTGGCCAACGAGTGTACTGTGATGTCTGTATGTGATACTAAGTCAATTACCTGTAGCTGAAGCACAGGGGACGGAATAACAGGTCTTTTTTCTTTACCAGAAGTTCGTACCAAGCAAGGTTGGGTAACTATTTGTAAATTGTAATCTACCCTGTGCAGAAAGACATTACCGTTGAATGGGGAGTATTTGTTGTTGACCATAGATTGTGTGAATATTTATTGTTCTTCCCCCCTTCTTTAACCAAGATAAAAAAAAAAGGGCAACTTTTGCTTGGATTCTTGGTATTTTTAAGGTTGTTTGACCGATGATGTGAGTATATTGATACAGGCCCTCCACCCCTTTATTGAGAAGAAGAAGAAAAAAAAAAAAAACATCCGGCCGAGGGCTGCGGAGGCGTGACTGTGCCTTCTAGGAGTCCCCGGTACCACACGTGACAAAGGTTATGAGTAGTGATGGGCAGGGTGACAGTCTTTCACCGCCGTCATCCTCCAACCACTTGGACCGGGGGATGTGAAGGACAGGAGTTATGATGACGGTTGGCAACACTCGGGATGCAACACAGTTTTGTAGGCTTACCAATAGTGAGACAAATAGATAACAGTTTGATTAGCGAGGGCTGTTGCTTTTTTCCTTTTCTTTTTTTTTTTTTTTTTTTTCGACGCGGCACCCATCGGACTTCTACTTTGGGAAAGTGCAAAAGAAAGCTTTGCACCCAACGTCACTTTTTTTTTTTTTTTTTTTTTTAACATGTTAACATGTCTGCCTGTCTATTGTTGTTTACTATTCTTTTATGAGGCATCATAACATATGCATGAAGAGGCACGTCTTTGAATCACCAGAGGGGTGGTAAGAGAAGGAAAAAGAAATAAAGCAAAGCATCCCGTAGAAAACGATATTAGAGGACCCCCCCCTCAGATCACTCATTTCGATGAAACAGGATCTCCGTCGGCCAGCAGCTAACATGTCCCCCACAGGCTTTTAGTGGCCTTTAGGGTGCATAGTACATGCAAACAATTATAACTTATAGATAAGAGACCCTGTTGAACATGAAAAGACCTTCAAAGATTGTTGAAAAAAAAATTCAGTAAGCACTTCCCAATACCAGGCTTAGCTACTGTAAATAAGGAGTTTGGCTTTTTTAAATATACAAGTCTATATAACCTAGCATATCAAAAATTGCCGGGGAAAAAAATTGAATGATGTGCTTCCTAGACAAAACAATTAATCAAGCATATCATTTAGCGGACTTGTACTTATCTTTCACACTTTTCTTTTTGTATTTTGATAAAAATCCTTCAGTCGGTCTTTAGTGCACATCATAAATGGATGGTTATACACATCACTGATAAGTGATATTTTATAATGGATAAGGGGTGAACCTTGGACTACATTTCATCAGAGATGGCACAAATATCCTGTATTTCAATACCCACACAGATCTTCCAGTTGCTGTGAACACCATTCAAGGATTCAGTTGTGCGCGGTTGGTATAAATAGAACAACTGGTCAATCTTTACTACAATAAACAACATATCATATCAACCCTTGATCGCCAGAGCTAAGGACAGCCATGCCATCGGCAAAACAGTAGCATCTAGAGTATAACTGACCTCATTCATATACATATCTCCATTTACCACAACTAATAGCATGTTTTTTTTCCTCTTCCTTCAGTATATTCCCAAAGTATAATCCACGGTCACTTCCAAAATACAAAAAAAAGAGTTTTCTTTTTTTCAGTTTTCCATCGGAAACAAAAACTCTAATTAGCGACTTGCTGCACGGCTAAAAAAAAAAAAAAAAAAAAACTTTGCAGTGGTTGATAAGATGTGCTTAGGGAAACAAGAAATTTATTGTATTAATACAATGAAAAATCCATAAGTGGTCTTTTTTTATTTTCTTCATTCTTTTTTTTTCTGTCTTCAAAAACTTTTGGAATTTGAAGCCCACCAACCATGGCAACAGAAAAGAAATCCGGAGATATTGAATCTCAAATTGTCGACATTGACACCTACCAAGCCAAGGACAATATTGCATCTAACGAAAATGCTGGTTGGTACTCCAAATATATGAAGTATCTCTCTCACGTCGAAACCAGAGGTATAGAAAGAGTCCCAGAAGATGAAAGAACTGATACTAGTTGGTTATCGCCTTTCACCATTTTCTTTGCCCCAAATATGTCGATCGCCGCAATTTCTACCGGTGCTTTGGGAACCGCAGGTTTGGGTCTCGATTTCTGGACTTGTTTGATTTGTATCGTTGTCTTTTCTATTATTGGTGCTTTGCCAGTCGGTTTATATGCTGTGTTTGGCACTAGATTTGGGATCAGACAACAAATCTTGTCTCGTTTCTTAGTTGGTAACTATGCTGCAAGAATTTTTGCTTTGCTCAATGTCATTAGTTGTATCGGTTGGAATGCCATCAACACAATTGCCGCTGTCGAAATGTTTGTTTCTGTTGGTCCTTTACCTCCAGCTGTTGGTTGTGTGATTATTATTATTTGTACTTTGGTCATGGCGTTCTTTGGTTACAAGATCATTCATATTTATGAACGTTACTCTTCTATCCCAAACGTCATTATCTGTTTCATCATCATTGCTCGTTTGAAGATTGAAGGCGACTTCACTCCAGGTAAGATGTCATGGGAAACCAATAAAGCTGGTAATATTTTTACTTTCATCTCTATAGTCTTTGGTTTTGTGGCCGGATGGACTCCTAGTGCTGCCGACTATACCGTGTACGCCCCTGCAAACTCCTCCCCTGCAAGAGTTTTCTGGTCTATGGTTGCCGGCCTTACTTTGCCATCCCTTTTCACTTTGATTTTAGGAGCTGCCATGGGGGCTACATGTTTCACCAACCCTCTGTTGGCTTCAGCATACACAGACAATGGTATCGGTGGTTTGACTAACGGAATCTTGGTCACCAACTCTCTTGGAAGATTCGGGGATTTCTGTTGTGTTATCCTCGGTCTTTCAACTATTGCCAACAACTTGCCAGGTTCTTACTCTTTGTCTTTATCTATGCAAGCCATTTGGTCACAATTTGCCAGGGTTCCTAGAATTGTTTGGTGTGTTGTCGGTAATCTCGTGTCATTAGCTATTTCCATCCCAGCTTATTACGATTTTGGTGAAGCTTTATCAAACTTTTTATCGATTATTGGGTACAATGTGTCCATTTACTTGGGTATTTCACTTTGTGAGCATTTACTTGTTAGAAAGAATAAATTTTCCAACTACGACTTGACCTTTGATGAAGTGAAACACAACTTCGTTGACATTCCTATTGGTTATGCTGGTTTTATCACTATGTTGATCGGTTGGTTCTTTGCCGTCGTTGGTATGGATCAAACCTGGTTTTCTGGGTTAGCTGCTAGACACATTAAAGGTGGTTCCGGTGATATTGGTTGGGAACTTTGTATCGCTTCTACTTTCATTGTTTATGCTGCTTTGAGACCTTTGGAATTGAAGTATATTGAAAAGAAATGGTAAACCCATTTTGGTCCGCTATAACTCTTGCAAAATAATCTGCATTCCAATTTTTTTTTTTTTTTTCATCTTCTTCTTATCTTAATTTCGTTTTTCTAATAATACTTTGACTTCATGTACTTAATATGTGCCTTTAACTTTCAATCTGTACATTTTATTATGGTCCTCTATACCAATTATAACTTGTTGTAGTTGGTTGGTGTTTACTTCTTGATTCTTAGTCTGGACTGCTTTTGGGTTTTACTTATTTGGGTGCATTTTGTGGGTTATGTATATTTTTTTCTCTTTATTCGTAAATATTCCACTTGCACAATAGGATATGATAATTCATATTTTGTTTTTGTTTCAACCCTGTCATTTATCGCAGAATAACTAATTGCAGGTATTTCAATAATTATACAATGAATCTCCATACATGGACTGTAAGATCATAAATCCACATAATCCAATAAATACAGAACCATATATCCTTATCTTACCTCATTTCTTACCCTTGCAATATTGGGCTCGCACTAAAAAAAAAAAAAAACCATTTTGGACACCGATGCAATATCAAAAAAAAAAAAAAAAAAAAAAGGAATCCGGATTCTCAGAGACCCTTAATTTATATTGGGATAAATCAAAAATTAATAGCAAAATAAATTATCTGAAGATATAATGAGCGATGCTCGGTATTTCTCAAAATGCAAGGCAAATATTATAAAAAAAGAGCTCACAATCCATCAGGACAACTCCAAAAAATCGCTTAAGGTCCAGAAAGAATGTATGAAGCTTATCATCGCCAACATCACTATGGGCAACAACGAAATGATGATCTTGCAACCATACGTTATCAATTTAATGTCTCTGGATGATATAGAAATTAAGAAAATGTGTTGCCATTTCATTTCCTCCTATTATTACTATTGTCCAGAAAAATATTACGAATCCAAACTGATTTTCCAAACAGACCTCCGGCATAATTCCTCGGTGGTCAGGGCGTTGATGATCAAGACAATAGCATACATACCTTTCCAGAAGTTCCAAGAAGAAGTGACTATCCCTTTCCTTAAACGACTTCTTAGAGATCCCGATAGCTACGTGCGGAGGGCAACTTGCTTGGCCATAGGGAAAGCATATGAGCTTAACCCATCACTTGTGGAATCAAGTGGGTTGATTGAAAAATTGAACAACTTATTATCAGACCCCAGCGCTGCGGTGATCTCATCAACCCTAGCTATGCTCGATTATATAGTAGATACCACCGCGGCGATGAAGCTACTTATTGATGAATCCAATGTCACGAATTTGTTGAGAATTCTCCCCCATTCGAACGAATTTTATCAAGCTTATATCTTGAACTCGTTGACTTCCTATATTCCAAAGACAAGCCAGGAATCTCTTGATTTGATTCAGAAAGTTCTCCCTTACCTACAGCACGGTAATACCTCGGTGGTCATGAACACTCTAAAGTTGATTATCTACTTGGCCAATTACGTTAAAGGCCCACAAGATTTACTTCCCTCATTATCCAAGCGTATTGGAAATTCTTTGACCTCGTTACTCTCCAAATCTGACGAAATCCGGTTCCTAGTACTACGAAATGTTATTTTACTATTGCTTGCCACCCCTCACTTGTTGAAGCTTGATGTCACCATGTTTTTCTGTCAATATAATGATCCGCCGTATATAAATGATACAAAATTGGAGATCATTTACTTACTCGCCAACCAAAGTAACTTTTCAATAGTCCTTCAAGAGTTGAAACGGTGTGCTCAGGATTCAGACTCGTTGATGGCCAAGAAATCTATCAGAGCCATTGGGAATTTATCTGTCAAATTGGAATCTGCGGTAGAACCTGCAACTGAGATATTGATGGGTTTATGTAAAGGCGGAATCCCAGCAATCGTTCAAGAAATCGTGGGAGTGATGAAAAATATCTACAGAAAGTATTCTGCCATGGCTACCGCGGAACATATGCAAGTCTTTGTCGACAATATGGATGCTATCGAGGAATTGGACTCAAAATCTTCGTTTCTTTGGCTAGTGGGAAATTATTCCTCGCTATTTGCTGACCCATTAGATATTCTCAAGGACTTCACTTTTAAATTCCAAGATGAGCCATTAGAGGTACAACTTACCTTGTTAACCTCGGTGGTGAAATATTATCTTAAACATCCAAGTAGTGGAGAAGAAATATTATTAAAACTATTAAATCTCATAACTGAAAAAATACCCGATCCTGATTTGCGAGAAAGAGCTTACTTTTATTGGAAATTATTATCGTCAAAATCTACTTTTTCTCAAGCAGCCGACGAAATCATTTTAGCAGAATCACCGCCGATTGATGCTGATCATGATAAGCTTGACCCTGAATTGCTTGAAGAATTAGAATTAGCAATTGGCTCATTGGCTTCGGTTTATTTGAAACCTATTAAACTGGTATTTCGTCTTGCGAACCCTAGAAAGCTCCCTCAATCGCCGGCGTTGCAACGTGAATACAATAACTTGAATTCGGATTCGAAGGCGAGCACCGATTCAAGCTCTCCTAAGATTCTTAGAATCAACATTAAGTCGAATGTTGGGATCATCAAATCACCCAAGCCAAACAATTACTGTGATGACTCGGTAAATACTGGGATCAACGAACTATTGTATTCGGGAGACAAAAATGAATCAGCAGAAGTTGACTATAACCAAACTGCAGTTTTCCAAAGGCAGTCATTCCTTAAATCTCCGAAAAACTCAAATAGAAATTCAGTTCTTATGAGTCCTAATAGAAGCTCAATGATTTTTGGCAGTTCAGCCTCTGGTAACACCACTGGGGAAAGTTTTCCTGATTATGATGCCAATAATATGCCGCCTGGAGGGGATAATCAATCGCTGAGCCATAAATTTGGACAGATGTTGAAGAAAAAGGTTAGAAACTCGATTTTGGTATCACCAAGAGTTGTAAATCGTAATTTTACCGCTTAGAAATATCAGGTACCATGTATTATTCGATGATGCCGTACCCAACTTTGATTTGAAAAATGTTGCCTAAAACTAGACCTTTTTCTTGTCATGTGGTAGTTCAAAAATCGAACCCTTTGTAAATTATTATGGAGACTACACAGAAATTATAGCTGGGGATAGTAACACTTTTTTTTTGAACATGCATTGCTGACCACACTTTTTCTTTCAGGTCACAAATAAATGGTCACAAATAATCAGCCATAACTTAAAATTAATCTATAAATTAATAAAAAAATATCTACTAGTATTATTTGAGGCTTTGGGTAATGTAAGGTAGAAACCCCATGAAAGTGAACAGGATAACTATTGAGCTAAATCAAAGGTTTCAAATAGCTATGAGTGATACTACTTTTGTTTGTGCGTATGTGAAGGATAAGTATTCATAATTCTAAACCTTTCTAAGAACAATAAAAATAAGGAAATTTCTGCCATAAATAATAATTACAAAAAAGCACCCGAGAAAAATAGAAAAAAGAGAAAATAAAGATAAAAAAATATAGATAGAAATATTAGATAGATAAAACTCACCAAATGAGTAAGCAAAATATAGAAAACTGGACCTCAGAGACAATTAACACAAGAAAAACAAACGATCAGGAAAATTAATAAAAATACGAAAAAAAAAACAAAAAAACATAAACAATCTGAAAGGCTAAATAAACAATGTTCTCTAAGTGATATAAAAGAAATGCTTCTGTTGGAAATCAGTTATATCCAAGATTTGGTCCTGTTCAAGCCCTTCAACATGAACTATTTCTTTTTCATTTGTCTCTTCGGCTTCAGCTGTCAAAACAGCCTTCTTCTTCTTGTTCATCCAAGCAGTGACAATCCAATATACAAGAGCCAAAAACATACAAATACAATAACCTGACAACATGGCCGCGAAAACTTTCTTCGAGCTGGTGGTGTCAATTTGAGAACCAGTAATCGCGCCTGCAGCATAACCTAAATAGTTGAACCCGTAAGTGACAGCCTTCTTAGTATTACCAGCAGTATTGGCTTGAACAAGTGAAGTCATGACGACGTATGAAGCAAAATAGAAGTACATAAAATATAAGCCAACCAACTGAGCAGCAGTGTTAGAGTGAGGCGAGCAGTAACAAACGATCCCACCAATAATTGGAACTATCAAAGAGAGCATTGCAGATGCCGAACGACGATTAGTCCACCGAGCCCCCAACCAAGTGAAGAAAACCGTGGCAATGGTGGCAATGACCCCGGTGGGAATACCCATTAGTGAAGATTTCACTGAGGAGAAGCCCAAGTTTTTGATAATGATGGAAGAATACGTTGAAAGGGCCCCATTTGGCAAGTTAATGCCTAAGTTAAACATCATAACAATGTATGTTCTTGGATCCATAAAAGCTTCGGCAACTTGGTCCCATTTCCAAGTGTTGCTGGCAACACCGGTGGAGTTTGATGCCACCCTTCTAACCATAAACACTTTTTCTCTAGTGGTTAAAAACTTGGCATTTATTGGCGAGTCTGGTAAGAAGAAAATCATAGCACAAGACCACACAAACGAAATACTACCCACTAGCAAATAAATGTACTTCCATGTAGGAATTGCGTTGCCGAAAACTGATGCCAAAGACGACAACCCACCATTGATCACCGACGACATGAATGCAAATACCAAGGCGGTTCTGTGGGGAGATTCTTTCTTCAAATAGAAAACAGAGATGATTAAACTACACAGAGGAACAATCAGACACTCGACAAAACCCATAAGGAATCTCAAGGCTGCCAAACCCGCAAAGTTATGGCAGGCACATTGTAACAACGTGAAGCACGACCATAAAGCGGAAGCACAGGCAATCACCCTTCCTGGCCGGTACTTTTGCACCAAGTACGACATTGGCCACATGCCAACCAACGAGCCAAAGAAGAGAATCGAGCTGGTCCAGGCATACTGATGGGAAGTGAGATGGTTGCTCTGCTTAATCCCAAAGATTGCTGCGGTACCAAGGGAAACTTTGTCAACCTATTATTTAGTTAGTTGAGAATTTCCGAAAAAAAAGATCAGCAGAAAAGCGGAACTTACCGCGCCCATGGTCGCAGTCCAGAAAAGACACGGAAGCAAGATGAAATCGGTCTTCTTGACGGCCCATCGTTCTTCGGCCTCCGTCAATGGTTGGTATTTGCCCTCATTTTCGAGCAAGAATGCCACAGCATCGTCAACCTTCGATATGTTGGCCACCTGCTTCTGCTCGTCTTCTGGTGACACGGAGTATGTTTGAATTTCCAAATTTTCTTTGGAGGGTGGGGACAGCATGATAAATACCGGTGATTAAAATTTGCATAATTCTCTGGATTGTACGTTCACAACAGAAGTACGGGGGATGACATGGTATTTATGTAAGAGTCCCTGATAGATAAGTGGCCAAAGTATGGTAGAGATAACCAACTGTTGACGTGGTTGGCCTTATCGTGACAGAAGGTTGTTCCATTGTATCTGCGTGAAGATCTGCGGTGGTGGTATCTTTTCCCGATTACTCACTACGACATAGATAGATAGCGGCTTGCTGTCGGGAAATTATCCCCAACATGGGGGGTGTATTTATCATTTCGAAAAAGTTTACCCGAGTTCGATATCTCGAGGAGGATTATTATTCATTTAGTAATTTGGAGTTACGAATCACGATTTGTTATACCTTGGTAAATATATATATATTAAAATGCTTTATATATCATGTGGGCCAGTTGATTGAGCCAGTGAGTGTGCATATACGTCACAATTTGTTCACCTTACCATTTGTCCATTCTGTAATATCTTTAAGATCTTTAACCACATTAGTTCCTCCATATCTCCCTTGGGTAGCACGAACATCTCGCGGAACTGCCGACTCGGGTCTCCAACGCCATGCCTCTCTTTTTTCACTTGATAAAGCTTGTGATCCTTCCAATACAATAGTGGAGATATATTCGCCAGAGATTGGCATGTATTTAAACCCTTTTCCAGAGTCCCCAGTTCCTAAAATCAAATTTTTGTAGGCTGGATGCTCACCAAATAAGAAATGACGATCCGAAGTGTCGGTGCACCAACAGATCTTGGCCCGCACGAAATTTCTGTTGGCCAATTGTGGGAAGACTTGATTCAAGAAACTTCTCATTTGAAGTTCAGCTTCCTTTGGGATCATGTCTTTGTAAACTGGCACTGAAATAGCTCCTTCAGAATGTTTCACGTCCTCAACCATGTTGATGTAACCGGGAAATTCGTTGCAGAACTTCAATTCATTATTTTGATCTGGCTCAAAGAAAAAACCTTCGGATATATTTAATACCACGGGAGAGTTATTAAGTACCCTGGACTCTTCATCTGTGAGTTTTATGTGACCAACTGTCCAGCATTTGGCAACTAATTGGCCTTTGAAATCCAAAATCCTGATAGAATTAGCTCCAGCACAAAGAACTACTTTATCTGCATAAATTGATTTGCCAGAGAAGGTTCTTACCCCAACACAAGTTCCAGTATCATCCATTAGCAACTCCTCGACTGAATCCATGATGATTTTCGCTCCAAGTTTCACACATTCGGCACCAACAAGCCGCAATGCTAACGCAGCAAAGGCCCATCCACAACGATGTTTCTGATGGTATCCTTTCCAATTTTGAAACCTTTGGGCATTCGGCTCCTTTTCCACGCGAATCAAGTGTCCGAAATCTTCTGGAGAATTCAAATCAGTGATTTCTTCGCCTGACTTCTTCAATATTTCTTTACGACGTTGTATTTCGGCAACAGCATCTTTGCTTGTGGCCCCATAGATGATCCCGGTTTCATGAAACGCCGGTTTATATAGAGGGTCCGTGGTCCATTTTTCAAAAGACTCAGTAGCTAGCTCAGAATAGAACTTGTCCTCCACAGTAGTCTGGATTATTTTGTTAACATCATTTCCAGCACTAAGAGGCGAAGGAACAGGATAGGGATCGAGAATCGTGACATTCCTGTGACCTTTTCTAAGTAATTCCACACCCGTTGAAAGACCAAAAGTACCGGCACCCACTATCAATACATGCTGCTCCGAGGAAAGCATATTGACTGTAGTAATTTTAATATTGTATGATTTCCTTTCTTTCAATGAAGTAAACTTGCCTCCTCCCAAAACATTCGCCAGTGTTGTATCGTTAGCATGAAATGAAGATCGATGGTGACTTCTCTGAGTTCGCCATTCCTCGCAATTCTTTCCCCGTTAAGTCCCTTATCGGAACAAAAAAAAAACCCCCAAAAAAAGAAATATTCTTATCGTCTGTAATTGTCCACCGAGAAAAAAAAAAAGAAAATATAAACTATTGAAATTTCCCCAGATTTTCTTAGGAAGGTCGTTTCAACCGTCATTATTGATAATGGGGAAGATCAAGGCGTATGTTCCTCGGAGTCGCACTGGGTGCCTTACCTGCAAAAAGAGAAGGGTGAAATGTGATGGTATGTTGTTGTCAATTTTTTGTTGCATTTGATGTACCCAGTTACTAATAAACACAGAAACTCATCCGAAATGTCTAAAATGCTCAAAACTAAAATTGCCCTGCCTGTACCAAAGGATTTTATTCTGGGAGGATGAAGCCCATGCCAGAGGGGTGACGTTTGGCAGATCGGCCTCAGCACGACGTCAAAGACAACAAAAGAGTACTCTGGCTTTGGGATCTTTCCAAGTACTGAAAGAGGAGGTAAAAATCATAGATAGAATCTCGACCAAAAGATCCCATTATATCTTCATCAATACCACCTATAAAGATTTCAATAAACAGCACACAATTTCTAAGGCCTCCAAACCAAGCACCGTCTCGGGGAATTGTGGAAGCAGTTGTCCAAATATTTGGAATTCAGATGAAATTGATCAATTCAACCTTAACAACATCTCTAATGATGATATTTTTCTACAGACACTTGCCCCTCAGGAACCACTGATTTCAGTTTCTCCATTAAGCCCCCTAAACGATTTCCCATTGGACAATCCAATGACAACTCTTGAACGACAGTTGCTCAATTACTTCATTGAATCCATTTGCCCATATTGTGTCTGTTATCCGAAATCATCCCTCAAGTTTTCAAATGTCTTTTCGACAGAATCAAATCCATACCTTAATTTAGTCGCACCACTTGCCTTCAAATCTCCTTTGGTCTTAAAAGTCATCACTGCCGCCTCGGCAAAACAATTGGTGCTTCTTGGTCAAACTTCCTATAATAAAATCGCAAAGAAATATAGCTATGAGGTATTAGTGGATTTGCCAAACATCATCAAAGAGAGACAGAAAATGAGTGCGAAAAACTGGGATGATATTCTCACCACGGTGATAATGCTATGCTTCATTGAAATCTCCGTTAACTGTAATAGCTCTTGGCTAGTTCATTTGAATGGTGCCAAACAGTTTCTCAAAGAATCATGTATCAGAAACAATGTTACTCCTATTGGGAAGTTTTTCATCCGGTATTTCATTTCTCATGAAGTAATGGGAGAAACGGCTTGGGTTGATGATAATCTACAAAAATTAAGGCCTATCAGTGATGATCCATATATAGAGACTCTTAAGCAGGATATGGATAACAATATTGACTTGGTTTTGGGTGCTTCGCCGTATCTCATTGCACTCATTCATAAAACTTCGGAACTTGGCAAATGTTTTGAACATTTGGAACATGAATCACGAAGAAACCGCTTGGAATTTGAACGAGAAATCTTGAGTCAGGCAGATAAATTGGAAAATGAATTAATTCATTTGCGTCAAGATCTACCTTCAATGGCAGAGTATTGCGACCCAGATGCTGGGAAACATATTCAAACAATTGCAGAAATCAAACGGCTCGCGGCTTTGATATACTTGTTTGCCAGAATCCACCTTGAATACAATTATTATCATGGGAAAAACCAGCTTACAGATATGAAACTTTCTCTTTGCCAGAATTATGCCGATAAAATAATTTCACTCCATAAGACTTTACCAGAAACGTATGTCAGTCTATTGTGGCCTATCTTTATTTTGGGGATCGCCAGAGTAACAGAAAGCAACCGCTGGTGGGTATTGCAAACCTTGACGGAGATGGAAGGGCACCGTGGATTGAAAAGTGTTAAGAATGCCAAAGAAATCATCATCAGTGTGTGGAAAGAAATTGATTTGGAAGAATGCCCAATAAGGTGGAAAGGAATGATTAGGGGTAAAGCCAATACCATTAGCTTGGCTTAGTTTATGTTTCCTAGAGAGATCTTTTATTTATTTTTGATTATTTACTTGGAGCAATTTTTCGTTCCATTTTTACGATAATATGCTATTGTTTTCTTACATTTTTATGATAATACGACACAATGATTTTTCTTTTTTTCATTATGGGTTGATTGACCTATTATATTCAAGGGTATGATCCCTTGGCCATCATGTAGCAAACTATTAAAGAAAAGTTGGGATCTTATTCCATGCCCAAGGATCGTTGAACCTGAGACCAATATCAATTTTACTAATATCTTCAAAGTCATTTTTGGTGAGATCGAAGTCATTGACATTCAAATTTTCTAGGAGTCTTTGTTTTTTATTACTTTTTGGAATGACGCAAATACCTCTTTGGGTAATCCACCTTAACAACACTTTGGCTGGGGCAACCTGGTGATTTTTGGCGATTCTCAAAATTGTGGGATGTTTGAATAAAGTGCCAACGGACTTCGCTTTCGGATGTTCTAATTCCAAAAATGATTCCCCTCCGAAACTGGAGTAAGAAGTTATGGCAATATCCACACGTTTGAGATACTCAATAAGACGAGGTTGCTGCAAATAGCAATGATGTTCAATCTGGACAACTTGAGGTTTGATCAGGCAACCTCGTAATAAATCCTCAATCAAAGCACCACTGAAATTGGAGACCCCGATGGATTTAACAACTCCTCTATCCACAAGTTTTTCAAAGGCAGACCAAGTGACGTGGATTGGCACATTCTCAAATATAAACTCATCCTCACCAGCCCCACAGTAGAATGTGGGAGGATACTTTTCCTCAAAAGGTACAAATCTTTGAGCAATTGGGAAATGAATGTAGAATAAATCGATGTAATCCAATTGAAGATCTTGAAGCACCTTGGCGATGGCTTTCTCGACGTTTTTCGGGGAATGATAATTATTCCAAAGTTTGGAAACGATAAACAATGCCTCACGCTTCACCAAACCATCTTTAAGGGCTCTGTTAATTCCTTGCCCCACTTCTTTTTCATTTCCATAATCCATAGCACCATCAAACAATCGATAGCCCACTTTGATGGCCTCGTAGATCTGGTCAGCACAAATGGATTTGTCAATTTTCCAACATCCCAAGCCAATTTGGGGCATCTGGTAGCCATTATTCAAAGTTACGGTGGTCATAATTCCAAGATCTTCCGTTGAAAATATTAATGAAACTAATTACAAAAAAAAAAACTCTCGAAAAAGAGTTGAAATTACCCATTAAATCAAAGTAATGAAATTGTTGTAATCGTCGCTCGCCCCTATCTGGCATAGTCGTGCATTGCAATGCATTATGTATTTTTTCTGGGGTGTCTCGTCTTCAACAGCATTCTTTGTGCCAAAAAGATTTCCAACATTTGGTTTCTTCTAGCTCGTCTCTACCTTCACCATGATTACTATGTCTGCAGTGCCGCGATCCATATATTAGAAGTCCCCTATCCAAAAAAAAAGTAGGATTCCTGAGATGCCAGGGTATATCATTTTCCCTTTTATTATCAACAGTTATTATGACCGTTCCTCAAAAAATTACGATTGCTATTGATCGTGGCGGAACCTTCAGCGATGTGGCGTATAGTGTCGGTGACAAGGAAGAAGTCTTCAAATTACTTTCGGTTGATCCCTTGAACTACAAAGATGCCAACATCGAAGGGATTCGCCGAGTTCTTGAGAAAGTTCATGGGGTCAAGATCCCACGAGATACTCCCCTCGATACCTCATCCATATCGTGTATTAGACTTGGAACCACGGTTGCTACAAACGCTTTGCTTGAAAGAAAAGGTGCCCCATGTGCCTTGATAACCACCAAGGGCTTCAAAGATCTTTTGCATATTGGTGATCAATCTAGACCCGAGTTGTTTGCTTTAAATATTGTCAAACCCGGGGTGCTCTTCCAAGAAGTGGTGGAAGTTGATGAAAGAGTCACCATGCCAGCATTCCTCGCTGACCCTACTGGTTATGATGCTCAAGACCTAGTAGATGGCGATAGATACGTATATGGGGAAACTAAAGAAGTATTTGAAATTTTACAACCACTTGACACCGTTCAGCTTGAAAAAGATTTGATCAAGTTAAAAGACAAGAATATTGACTCGTTAGCTATTGTGTTTATCCATGGTTTTAATTTCCAAAGACATGAAAAACAAGCTGGGGAAATTGCTAAAAAACTTGGGTTCAAGAATATTTCGTTGTCCCATGAAGTCTTACCAGTGTTGAAGGCAGTTACCCGTGGACAATCCACGGTAGTTGACGCTTACCTCACTCCGATTTTGAGAGAATATGTTGACAATTTCCTCAGTGGTCTTGCACCTGATTTTGAAAAACATACAAGAATCGAATTCATGCAGTCCGATGGAGGTCTTTGTTCGTGGAGGAAGTTCACTGGGTTGAAATCACTTTTATCCGGTCCTGCTGGTGGGGTTGTTGGCGAAGCTTTAACTTGTTATGATGATAAGGTGAAAATTCCAATAATTGGCTGTGATGTTGGTGGTACCTCTCTGGATTGTCTGAGATTTGCTGGAGAATACGAATTTAGTTTTGAATCCATCACCGCTGGTATCAAAATTGCTGCACCACAACTTGATATCAATACGGTTGCTGCCGGGGGTGGATCAATCTTGAGCTACCAAAATGGAGTTTTCAAAGTTGGGCCTGAATCAGCAGGTGCTCATCCTGGTCCAGCATGTTATCGTAAAGGTGGACCGTTAACTGTTACTGATGCAAATGTGTTTGTTGGCCGGATTTTACCGGAATATTTCCCAAAGATTTTTGGACCAACAGAGGACCAACCTTTAGATTACGGTATCACAAAAGAGAAATTCGAAGCTTTGGCAAGGATAATCAATCTAGACACCCCTGATCACCCAAAAACTGCTGAAGAAATTGCTCTTGGGTTTTTGACGGTTGCTAATTATCAAATGGCAAGACCAATACGTGATTTGACTGAATCAAAAGGTCACGATGTCCGCAAGCATGCTTTAGCAGCCTTTGGTGGTGCTGGTGGTCAACTTGCCACTTCTATTGCCAAAATTTTGAAAATTAAAAAAGTCATTATTCATCGCTACTCTTCTATTTTATCATCTTACGGAATTTCTGTCGCCGATTTGGTGGATGAACAACAAGAACCGGTATCATTGGTTTATTCTCTAAAAAGTCGTGATACTCTATTGGAGGAATGTCAACGGTTGATTAAAAAATCACAGAAAAATTTGCTTGATCAGGGAGCCAAGCAAGAAACTCTTAAACTGTTGGTGTATTTTAATATGGGCTATAAAGGTTCAGATACCAGGATTATGATTTCTAAACCTGAAGATCTAGATTTCCTTGGAGTTTTTTATGGGGCCCATGAACGTGAATTTGCTTTTAATGATGATCAAAAGGACGTACTTGTGACAGACATTCGTGTACGTACCATTGGTAATGCTTCTGAAGCAGTTCGTCCAACTTCTCCATATGAAGCGTACGAAGCCTGCACAAAAAATATCATTGATCCTTCTATTTCTGACAAGAGAGTTCCAGTATACTTTGATCAAGGATATCTCGAAACTGCTGTTTTTTTCCTCAAAAAATTGCCGGTTGGTTCAATAGTGAAGGGTCCAGCGATTATATTAGATGATACCCAAACTTTAGTGATCACTCCGGACTCTCTGGCCACAGTTTTGCCAAGCCATGTATTTATTGATGTTGAAGTTGAGGCCAAAAGCTCTGTTAGTGTGAATTATGTGGATCCGGTTCAACTATCAATTTTCGCTAATCGTTTCATGTCGATTGCTGATGATATGTCCAGAACCTTGCAAAAAATTTCAGTTTCTGCCAATATTAAGGAAAGAATGGATTATTCTTGCGCTTTATTTGACAATAAAGGGAACCTATGTGCTAATGCACCAAACGTACCTGGTATGTTTTTTTATTAACTTATTCATGCAATTTTTTTTTTTTTTTTGAATTACGTTACTAACGAAATTTTCATAGTTCATTTGGGTTCTATGTCGGCCGCTATCAAATATCAATTAGATCTTTGGGGTGAAAATTTGAAAGAAGGGGATATCTTGTGTACTAATTCTCCATCGGTTGGTGGTACCCATTTACCAGACATCACTATTGTTTCCCCAGTTTTTCACCAAGGGAAAATACAATTTGTGGTTGCAGCTAGAGCCCATCATTCTGAAATTGGTGGTTCTGCTCCAGGATCTTCTTCCTCTTATGCGAGGGAGATCTTTGAAGAAGGAGTGAATATTGAAAGTTGGAAAGTTGTCGATAATGGCAAATTTGATTATGAAGGGTTACATAACCATTTTGTCGAAATTCCAAAAACTCACGGTGTGAGTGGCACTCGAAATATCGAGGACAATATTTCTGATTTGAAAGCACAAATCGCCTCCAATCAAAGAGGTATCAACTTATTAAAAGAGCTATTTGCAGAATATGGCAGTGATACCGTGTTGTTTTATATGCGAAATGTTAAACGAACTGCAGAGTTAGCTGTCAGAGATTTCCTTAAACAGTATTCTGCCGACAATATCCATCGCTTGCCTCTATGTGCCGAGGATTTCATGGATGATGGTACCAAAGTCCAAGTGAAGATCGATATTTCTCAAGATGATGGTTCAGCAGTTATCGATTTCACTGGTACTTCTCCTGAATCCTATAGCAACTTGAATGCACCACGTTCCATCACTTACTCTGCCGTAATATATGTGCTTAGATGCCTTGTGGACATGGATATCCCATTGAATCAAGGATGTTTGGACCCCGTTGATATCATTATCCCCGAAAACAGTTTGATTAACCCTTCAGCTTACGCCGCAGTGTGTGCTGGTAACGGTATGACGTCACAAAGAATCACTGATTGTTTATTCAAGGCGTTTGGAATTACTTCGGCCACTGGGGGATGTATGAATGGGTTGAATTTCGGTACCGGTGGCGAGAACGCAAAGGGAGAAATGGTCAAAGGGTTTGGGTATACCGAAACCATTGGCCAAGGGAATTGCGCCGGGATCATTGAGAAAGATGGCGAACGTTATGGGTTCGATGGGTTCTCTGGTACTCAAACTAATATGACCAACACCAAGATCACCGATCCGGAAGTATTGGAATTACGGTACCCGTGTTTATTACTCCAGTATTGTATCAGAACTGATAGTGGCGGTAAGGGTAAATTTAACGGCGGTAATGGCTTAATCAGAGAAGTCCAGTTCAATAGTCCTGTACACTTGTCACTTGTTACTCAGAGACGAGTTTTCTCACCATGGGGCGTGCATGGTGGTGAGGAAGGTAAAAAAGGTGAGAATTTCTTGGGGAGAAATAGAGGAAACGGCAAAATCCAGTGGATTCAATTACCGTCATTAGCAGAGATCGAGATGAGAACCGGCGATATTTTGAAAGTTGCCACTCCTGGTGGCGGTGGGTTTGGTAAGGTCACCGATACTGATGAATTCTGGAGGTTGACTAAACCAAGCCAGCGACAACTGTTCGTCCCCATCTCATCTGGTACATTGGGTAATTTGCAAGATGCTGCTAATGCTTCCCAATGAATCTGTTCTCCTTTTTTTTTTTTTTTCCCAAGCAATTTTTTTGATATTATAAGCCTTCTCTCTATAAAACATTCTATTTTGTAAAGCTATAATTTGATTCAAGACAACCTACACACCTTCATCAACATTAAAAGAATTATTGTTATTTCATATATTTAACTTCTCAGGTTATTACAAAATAATCACCAAAAAGAATAAAAAAATATTAAATTATTAGTAGGAGAATAAATTTTAAATAAAAATTAGGCTATTTTCAATCCCACGACAAAAAGCCACAAAAAAAAAAGGAATTATAAACATAGAAAACCAAAATAATAAGTTCATAGTCAGCCCAGCATATCCAATCTAGACGGAATTTAGAGGACCAACAAGAAGGAATAACTATATAGTTAGTTAATCCCAGAGAAAATAGAAAACAGAAAATAGAAGAAGAAAATAAGCAAAGAAGAAGCAAAATGGTAAAAACACTATCACCAATTACTTTTCTTGTGGTATCCATTTATGTTAATTATTAGCTTTTTTTTTTTGTTGTTGTTATTGATTTTCAACAGTTCGTGAAAAACCTCCCTAGTCTAGTGAAAGCTTAAAAAAACAAAGGAATTTTTCTCTTGCAATTGGAAAGTGGAAGTACAATGAACTTGAGTCATTTATAATACACACACGCGCCCTTGAAACACTGCAACCTCTTCAAACTTGAGAGACACTTGGAAGACCGCCTTTTGTGGAACCTCTTCCGGTAACCCCGAAGCCAAAGGCACCGCCGTTAACAAGAGTAAAAGTAGACATCACCAAGTTGACAAGGAAAATGAAGAAACTGAAATACAAAAAGGCAACTGAGGCTTGGGACTTTCTACATCTATCTTCGGACCCTTCAATAATGGCATTGCTGTTCAAGTAAGATTGGTTGGTACATGAATGACATCTGATACCAACAGCCAAAGCAGTGGCGGCAGAAAAAGTGAAGACAAAGTTCAAAAAGTCAGCAATAAACAACAAGATTGGCCAGGCAAACACCGAAACAAAGGCGGCAAGCACTGCATAAAACGAGGAGAACACAATACCAAAGACTGAAGCGAAAAGCGCCATGTTGACTCTGGCGTGGGAGCTTTGTTGACCTTCAATCAAAGACCCGGTCAACCCAAGGACAATTATAAGGAAGGCGGTATTGAACCCTCTAAGGATGATGTCTGCAATTGGTAAAGCCATTTTGTGTGCAGAGTAGTGAATAAGAAATTTTGGAAGATGGTAACAGTTATAAGTAAATTAACAAAATTGACAAAAGAAAGCTTTAATTAATCAATTATTTATTTTGGCAGAAATCCCAGTCACTTTATAATCGTAGCAACACTTGCTGAGATGATGGAAAAAAAAAAAAAAAAATGAAAAGCAAACAAACAAAAAACAAACATTGATTGAGCAACCCCATCCGTATTCGGCAATTGCGGGAGGGTGACAGTATTAACTCCGAGGATTCCGGCACGTGCAAAAACCTTATTTTTGGCAGCGGTGACTAAGCTGTGAGGTAATAACTTCCCACGGAATTGGGCCACGCGAGTTGCTGTCCTGCACTGTGCAGCCCCAGTGGTGTGACGGGTACAACCTCTGTACAAAAACAGAAAATAACTAAAAAGGACATCATTTGGTAAATAATAACAATATTCATATATTTAGAGGAATGAAGGAAAAAAAAAGAAAGAAATAACAATCATAAAACAGAAGTAGTAGAAATATATTACAATCTACCTTGACGCTTCAATCTCATTCTTTCAGCATAAGTAAGAGGTTTATCGGTAGCAGGCTCTTCTGGTTTAGGAGAACTGCTGGCACTACCACTAAAGGATCTGGCACCACCAGCTGAGCCACTTCTGGATTCTGGTCTGAAAGAACCACCACTGGCACTTCTGTTGACCCTGTATTTTTCCCCAGAGCTGAAAGATTTGTTCTTTTCAGCAAGCATTTTTTCAATTTCCGCTTCACGGTCACGTTGTTTAGCCAACAAGTCAGCATCCTTTTGTCTTTGTGCGGCCATTTCACTCTTGAGTTTTTCTGCGGCTTCCAACTTCTTCTTTTCCTCTTGCTCTAGCTTAGCTTGGATCTTAGCATCTTCTTCAGCCTTGCGTTGTCTTTCGGCTTCTTCGGCGCGTTCTCTAATCATTTGCTGCAATTTAGCTTCCTTCAATTGTTGAATTCTTTCTTGCTTTTCCTTTTCCAACTTAGCAGATGCTTCAGCCTTCAACTTCTTAATTTGTTCGGCGTGAGTAGCATCGATCTTGTTTCTGTAAGATTCATAAGATGGAACAATTCTCTTCAATCTATCACGTAACTTGATTGATTCTTCGTGTTCCTTGTTGGCCTTTTCAATCAATCTGGCCTTCATCTTACCAAATTCTTCAAGATCCTTCTCCTTTTGAACCTTACGATCTTCTTCCAAAAATTTCAATTCGTACTTTCTCAAAGCTCTTTCCAAGTGATCATTACGCTTGAACAACGCCTTGAGACGTTCTTGAGTGTCCCTTTGATCCTCAGTCAATTTCTCGATTTGCAATTTCTTCAAGTCATCAATTTCCATGTTCTTCAATTCCGTCATGTCAATGTCAAGAATACCTGCCTTGTTGATTTCTTCAGCCACCTTGATCTTTTCCTTCATTCTAATTTCTTCTCTTTCCTTAGCTTGGTCTTCTTCCAATCTTCTTTGAGCTTCTTGTTCTTGTCTTTCTTTTTCGGCCTTCTTTTCATTGGCAATCTTTTCTTCTCTCAACTTCTTGGCTTCTTCTGCTCTCTTGGCTTCTTCTGCTGCTTCTTCAGCCTTTCTCTTTTCCAATAATTCTCTTCTCTTTTCCATTTCTTCTATTTCTTTAGCAATTTCCTTATTAGCGGTTTCAATAGCCTTAGATCTTTGGGCTTCTTGTTTTTCAATCAATGAACTATCAGTGTTGTACAATGATCTCAACAAAGTGTTAGACAATTGGGACAATTGCTGCTTGATAGAATCATTACCGCTGGTGAATGGGTTATTGTTGAAATAAATGATATTGGCATCATGATCAATGCTAAAGTTACCAATTAATTGGTTCTTGCCACAAGTGATCAAAAGATTTTCCACAGCAACGCTGGAAAGTGCGAATTTGGTGTCTTTGAAAGTGGCCAACTCGATCAAGTAATCGTATTTGATGTTGCTGTAACTTTTGGAAACTTGTTTGAAAATCTTAACCAAGATAGTGTTCAACAAGTCATTAAAGAAAACTTTGAATCTGCCGGTTTCGTAGATACGGGACAAGATTGGCACCAATTCTGATTGGATGAACAATGGGTTAAAGTCATCATTTTCCAAGTAGTTGAAAACCGATTTCAAATCATCATCGACAAACTTCATGAAGTTAGGGTTGTTGATGGCACTAATCATAGAGTTTCTGGTTGGAGGTTTGGCCAAGTTCAAAAGACTGGACAATCTGTTGAATTTGTTCTTTTCTTCATCGTTGTTTTCATTGTAACCTTCACTGAAAGATTCAGAGATGGATAAAGTAGACAAAACAATAATCGAAGCGTAATTTTTCAAGTTTTCCAAAGTGGCATTTTGAGATTGAGAATACAAGTTGAAGAATTTCAACCAAGCAACAGATCTGTACAAAGTATTGACAGAAACATTGAAAATTTTGGCCAAGTTTTCATAGTAGTTCAACATCATGCTTGGCTTGGCTTGTCTCTTGGACAATACCAACAAAGTGTGGATATCTTCGACAATCTTGAAACTTTCTTGGTACAATTCCAACTGCACGGCGATGTTCAATCCGTTGAAACGCAATTGCAAGAATCTTTCCAAAGTGGCAGGGTTGTTCAAGTCAATTTGGTTCAAAGCATTGATGGAGTTGTGACTTTGGTTGTTGGCGTAGAAATTAATGGATTGCAAATGAATTCTGATCAATTCACTAAACTTCTTGAATTCAAGCTTTCTTTGGAAGCTTTCACAAAACTTGAAACTGTGGTTAACAATGGTACAGTAAATGACTTCCAATTGCTTGATGTTTCTGATGATGTCCAAAGAAGACTTGTAGACGTCGTACATAAATTTCAAATAAGGAGTCAATAATTCTCTGTCAGATCTGTCGTTGTGGTTATCGTCGGAAACGATGGATAACAACAAAGCTTCAGGGGATTTGTCATCTTCATCATCCAAGTTACCAATAGTTTCTTCAGATTTGGCATCGGCAGCCTTAGCCTTAGCTTTTTCTAAGCTCGCTTCCGCCAATTGTACATATCTCTTGACCACTGATCCAACGGTTTCCAACCCATTGGTGATGGTTTGGGCATTTTTCTTGTAACTGAACAACCCTTCTTTGGCAAGCTTTGAATCTTTCTTGACCACACATAATTGAACAAACAATAAACCAATAGATTCGGCAGCAGGAGCAGACACGTACTTGAATTTTCTAGAACTGATAAATTCTTTCAAGATATCCAAGGCTTCATCACTGTTGTTGATCTTCACCAAGTGCTCACAAGTCTTGATAATGTTTTCAGGCCTAATGGCCGGTGGAGGAGCCATATTTTTAATTGATGATAATGATAACTGACACCTTAGTAGAGATCATCATCAAACGTGCTGAAAGAATTTTCTGATTGATGAAAATTTTTTAGAGGTGCAAGGAAGAAAAAAAAGAATGGGGTTACCCGACTGAAAAGCGGTGATAGTGACAGTGAAGATTTATGAAGGGGGATAGTGTTGCCCATATTGTTGATGAGAGATTAAGTAAATGAGACTTTTATTATTATCAGTTGGTGCTAAATATTCTATTAATGATACAATAGTAATAATACTGTTCTACTTTGCAGAGATATCGTCATTATACTTATGCCCACGTGATCAGCGATCACTAATCATCACCAAAATTTTCTCCTTCAATTTGATTGAAAGATTGAACGTTATTGAACCATTGACCACTACCCACGTATTTATTTCCCCGATGTTGAGCCTTTAGGATATATTTATATATAAGCACAAATACAAATGCCACCATTCGCCAACAACAACCCATTTCACACAAGTGACCACAACACTGCGCTACTATTCAACGATATTCCCTTTTCCTTCTCTTTCTTCAATCATGTTCCCAACCCAACCACCATCGTCAATCCAGACGTTAAATTAATGGCCAAGGCATTATTGAAAAAAGACACTAAAACCAAATTGAAATCATTGAATGGCCTATTAAATTATTTTGATCAAACAACCCAAGACTTTGATTATTCATTTCTCGCATTTTTCATTCAAGAATATCCAAAATTAGTGATCAATAATGATAAATTCATCAGGCTGACGGCACATAGATTACCAGCTGTATTATTACAAAGTTATGGTAAAAAAATCGCGGTTTATTTGAAGAGTCTTGTCCCAATTTGGTTAGTGGGTCTATATGACCTGGATAAAGTGGTGGCATCAGAAACCATTAAGTCGATGCAGGCATGCTTCAAGAATGATCAATCAAAAATTGAGTCATTATACACCCTTTTCCAAAAAGAAATATTACAAGTGATTGAAGAATTCATCACCTGTGAAAATATCGACACTTTGGTGGATAAGAATACTGTACCCCAAGACGAGGCTTCAATGATGTTCACACGAGCTTTAACTAGCTATGTATCATTATTAAACCATATAATCGCTAACGATATAGTTCAAGAGAAAAATATCGAATTGGTAAAAGAAATTTTATCAAATAATGGTAAACTTTGGAGTCACCTTTCGTCTCACCCTGACGATTATACCTACGTTTCATTAAAAAAAGCCCTACTTACTTTACTCAACACCTGCTTCATGTCATCAAACGAAAACTACAAGTTGAGCAACTCTACGATTTTCAAGCAAATTTTCAAACTCATGAAGGCCATTCCTAGTTATAAGAGTTTTTATGCTTCTATGATGGATTTGATCATTGTGACATTAATCAACTTGGACTTATCATCTCTCAAAGCTGATAATTTGGCAAAGTTTAAGAAGGCGTTTTCCAAATTTTTATCAATAGGGTCATTCAATAATAATGAATTTTTCAGCTATTTAGATATACTATATGGAAAGTTGTCAAAGTCGATCCTTGATTGCAGTTCAATTGATGATTTCAGTAATTTCATGATTATTCCATTTAGCACCCTCCGTCTCAACAATCCTTCATCTACAATCAAGTTCTTCAAATTTTTCAACACTAATTGCAGCAAATTTTATGAAAACCTTCCAGAGAAATCCCGTTTTGTTGATTTATTGCAATCGCAAATCGCCCGCACCAATATTAATGAAAACTATTCCTTTATTATGAACAAACTATCTCAATCAGATTTAGACTCAATTTTAACATATCTCAATGATCAAGTCGCAGAGGATAATTTGGCAAATTATACTAAGCTCTTACGGAAACTCGAAAACCAGAAATCTGCATATTCATATTACTGCAAATTTTTCAGTAGCTTATTGAAAAATGACTCTCTTCTCAAAGGTTTTAACGATCTTTCGTTTGAAGGAGTTAAAGGTGCTCATGGTGGACCAGAAAACCAGCGAATGATATTAGAATTGTTTTTAACAATAATCAAAAATAATGACTATGACTATGATGTCAATAAGTTGGCAATTATAAACTTTTTGAGCTCAAATATTTCTCCATATTTGAAAAATAACCATTTCAAACTAATCACCAAGATTTTGGTGGTAGTGGACAAGAATTTTAAATCAAGCGCTCTTTCCAGTATTCCTGAATTCGAGTTTTCGAAAAATATTTCTAATAGACTTGACGATCTTGTTAAATGGGTGAGTGGCAAGATTGATGATAGTGAATTAAGGGCACAATTTTTAACTTTCTTGGACAATTTTGCAAACTCCAGTCAAATCACTTCTGAACCTTTAAACTCTTATATTACAAATAATTTGGTTTTGGTCACCCATAGTATGAAATCAAAGTACAGTACTATTTTACGAATTGTGTTTAAATATTGCAAAACTGAGACGTGGGCGATTCTTTATCTTGCAGTATTAGCTGACTTGAAGCAAGAGAATTTGTTGAGTTTCTGGAAACAATTTTCCGCTACAAAGAATTTTGAGCAAGATATGATTGATTTCGATAATCACTTTGGCAAGCTAGGTGAGGAAAAAGGATTTTTTGGGATCTTTTGGGAAATCTTGGATACTTCAGACTCAGCTGTTGACAAAAAACCGATCGAAAATATTTTGAACAAAGTGGAAAATATCATTGAACAAAATGAACAATTGCATCAGTTATACTTTAACACATTGATCAATTATTTATCATTGAGCAAAGGTGCAAAAATTATCACCTATTTCTTGACAAGATTTTCTACCTCTGCTGAAAGTTTAGGAAAGTCTATTATTCCATCAACTGGAGATTTTCTTCATCAGTATGTGAAATTTTTCGACGCCAATCACGCATTATGCTTGGCACTCAATGAAAACTGTTTGAACAATTATCTTTATACTGCTATTGACAAATTTCCATCAAGATTGAATGAATCAAAATTCCAATTTCAAAATATTGACCAGGTGATCATTTATGGGAATTTCATCTTGAGTTTGGTTACCAAATCAGAAAATCAGCTTGGTTTGAATGTCTCAGAATATGACAGTTTGTTGATCAATCTTGGATCATTATCGTTGTTCACTGCCGACTACAAACTTTTCAATACTTCAAACAATATCTTGGATAACTTGGAAGGCCTCAGATCAATTGAAAATATGGATAATGTCCTAATAGAATTTAGGGAAAGTGCTATCTCTGAAATATTGAACAGATTTTGCAAGTATGAACCTTTCTCAGTGAGAAGTCTCATTGATTCTAATGATTGCAACCCAATTAGGAAAATCCTTGATTTCAATATCAATTCTGGAAATGAGTTTGTTAAATTTTACTCAGCCAAAGTTTATGAAGATTTGGCAATGAAATGTGTTTCCAAGTTGAATGTTGAAGAAAATATTTTCCCGCTGATTCAAAGTAATTACATCAAACCCAAGAAAGTTTTGCACCTTTTCAGCTTGATGCCTATTTTTACCTCAGTCTTAACCAAAAAGAATTTTGAATTTTTCACAAAAACCTTATTATCAGAACTTTTGGGATATAGGTCAATCACCGGCTCGTCGTTATCGATAATTTTGACGCATTTGATCACTTTGAATAATTTACTCATAGCTCAGGAAGAAGTAACTTTACCAAAGATCCAGTTGAACATGTTGATAAGAAATTTTCAAAGTTGGTTGGGCTCCGATATCAGTTATGATGTGGAATTTATTCCCGTACGTGTACAATTGGTAAATTTCTTCAAAGTCTATTTATCGAAAAATCCCAGATTCAATGAATCAGTGGAATTTGTTATTACTGACTTGTTCATTGAATCCTTGAATATCGTTTCCAGTTCATCGATAGAGTCTTTAGAGGAATTTGATGGTGAAACTAGTGAGGCAAGCTTGGACATTTGTTTAAATATTAATCTTAACTACAGCTTATTGAAATTTTTCAATGTTTTGAAAGATTTCTTTAATGTTGAGGAAAATAGTCACTTGGTGGAAGAATATTGGTCAAAGGATACTAGAACGGAAATCAATGATGAATTTAATAGAATTTTGTCATCTTTTTTCAAAAACCAGTATATTAGACAATTTAATTTGAATCAAGGTACTCTTTTAATCGTTGGATCTTACAAAAAACATTATTCCAATGGTAATTTGGATTTCACAGAGTTCAAAAGTTCCCTCGATGATTTGGTATCCAGTTTTGTGCGTGACCAATCGGGTAATAATCTTGTGTTATTGGGAATGAGAAAATTGATGTTTTGGTTAATGGCTAAAGTCATTGGGCTTTGTCAAAAAGATTTTATTTTGGAGTTTGCATTAAACTATAAATCTATGGTGAGTGATAGTGCCTCGATTGAAAATAATGATAAAATCTTCAAAATCCCTGAACAATTGATCAACTCAATTGAAAACGCTCCTAGAGACTTTATTGAGTTTGAATCTCTTGGAAAGACATACAGTTATTTGTGGAGTTGGTTGGAAATTCTCAATATGTTTTATCCTAATATTCCTGGTTTTTTGCAAAGTATTTATTTGAACCAATTACCAGAAAACTCTATCAATGAGTTGCTCGGATTCATCTTCAATCAAATCGATCTCTTTAATGACCAACTTATAGATATGAAGAAGTCTAAGTCTCTCGGCTTTGATTCCAAAAACTATGACATCTTTAATGTTGGTGGCAATGATGATTTGGAAGATGTGAAAATTTTGCTAATTCATTTATATTATATGATACTTTCTAAATTTCGTTTCATTTCTCAAAATTGGTTCATGGGTATTAGAAATAAACAGTTCAAGAGCACTTTGGAAGCCTTCACTACACGTTACATTTCCCCATCGATAATTGCTCTTGCCTTGGATAATATTAAAGAACTTCTTGAATCTGATAGCCATGATGATAATGCTGAAGATGACGAGGATCATCATATCGTGAAATTCAACAAATCCAACAATGAAATCAAATCGCAATATTTCATCGATGACCAATCGACAGAATTATCAGTGAAATTACCGAAATCTTTCCCACTTAGTAATATTATCATGGAAGCGCCGATCCGACTCGGGGTCAAGGAAAATGTCTGGCAGTCATGGATTTTGGCATGTCAGAGCTTGGTGAATAACGGCAAATTCAAAACCTCCTCAACTTCGAACCAAGAAAACGTCTGTAACTTAGTCATTGAGGCAGTGCATTTGTTCGATAAGAATATCAAATTGCATTTCAAAGGGTTTGAAGAATGTGCTATTTGTTATGCCATTTTACATGCCCAAGATAAATCATTACCAGCAAAGAATTGTCAAACTTGTCATAAACAGTTCCACGTTGGGTGTTTGTTGAAGTGGTTCAAGAGCTCAGGGAATAACACTTGTCCACTTTGTAGGCAAGAATTCAATTTCAGAGTTGGAGTATAATATATACATTGTTGCTGATTGTCAATGGTATATTCGTGTTATTTTTTACATATACTGTACATTATTAATAAAAAGTTCTGTTTTGTCTTTTTTTTTTATTTTTAATCTGTAAAAATTTATAAATAGTTTGTGCCTTGAAGAAATTTTCTCTTTCTCTGGTTCTCTTCAGGCACATTCGTGCCAATAAACGTCACTGTGTCTCGCAAGAAGTATATAAGAACTTAATGAGATATACTAAAGATAAAATTAACAGGTAAATTTAAGTAAGCATTAGAATATATATGATACACATCATCCTTATTATTCAATTACCGCCTCTACGAACACCACTGACGATATCATCGACGCGCAATAACAAACAGGCACTTTCAATAGCAGTCTTAATGCTCTGTTGCTTGATAACTTCCGGCTCCCAGATTCCGTATTCTTTCATATCTACTACTTTACCGGTCTCCCCATCGATACCAAAAGTATAGGCCCCAGTGGCGTGCTTAGCTCTCAACTGTGAAACCACTCTGATTGGGTTACCCCCAGCATTTTGGATCAAAGTTCTGGCAATCACTTCCATGGCATCGGCCACCGCCTTATATGGCAACTGGGTGATTCCTTCAATGTACTTAGCTTTTTCTGAAAGTTTGACGGCGACTGCCATTTCGGTGGCACCACCCCCTGGAGAAAGTGATGGCTCGAATAACACGTTTCTGGTGACGGCCATGGCATCCTGTAAATTACGTTCAATTTCATTGAGGACATCCTTAGATGGACCACGCAATAACACAGTACATGCTTGAGGGTCCTTGCACTTCACCAAGCAGGAGAAATATTCATCGCCAATCAATTCAACTTTGAAAAGTCCACATCTGGTACCAATGTCGGATTCCCTAAGGTCTTCAACCCTGTTGACAATAGTGGCCCCGGTGGCCCTGGCAATACGGTTGTTATCGGATTTCTTCACTCTTCTAAGCGCAGTGACCCCACCTTTCAAGAGATAATGCTGGGCCAAATCAGAAACCCCTTTTTCGGTAATCACTAAATCTGGCTTCAATTCCAAGATCTGGTCACAGATCAATTTCACTTGTTCTTCTTCAATTTGTAAGATCTTGTTCCAATCATCTTCGTTGGTGATTTCAATATCAGTCTGTGATTCCCCCTTTTTGTACTCGAGTGGACAATCCAACAACATGACTCTAGGGTTTTCAATGTGACGTCTCATTTTAGGGTGGGTAATGTCTTTATTCAAGATCACCCCATCAAGAACTTCACAATCTTCTACTTCGCCACCAGGGATTTTTTCCACTCTGACGTATCTCTTGATGTCGATTTCCTTGTGATCGTCCTCGTTCACCAGAACGGTTTTGACAGCCTTCAAGGCCAATTGACACATTTTATCACTCCACTTGGCAATGTATTTGGTACCGATAGAGGCACTGATCAACTTGATCATAGCGCTTTCATTATCAATGTCAATTGGTTTGGAAATCTCATGGATTGTATCCAATGCGTCGCTAAGAGCCTGCTTCAAAGCTTGGATGATAATCACTGGATGTATATTTTTCTTCTCAATATATTGGAATGTCTGGGCCAAAATCTCTCCGGCCAAAATAATCACCGAGGTGGTACCATCACCAACTTCTTCATCTTGGGTTCTGGAAAGCTCAATCATCGATTTTGCAGCAGGATGTGACACGTCGATTTCTCTAAGAATGGCATGTCCATCATTGGTAAGGACAATCCCACCCATAGGATCCAAAAGCATTTTAAGCATTGCTTTTGGACCAAGACAAGTTCTGATGATATCGGCCACCGCCTTTGCCGCGGTGATATTCGAGACCTGGGCTTCGCGGCCGGTCTTACGTTCCGTAGAAGTGTTCATAAATACCACAGGGGCCTGCATGGTATCGTATTGAAATTGGTATGTGATTGATCAGGTTCAGTGGCACATTCGCATCAACAAAGATTCTCTAAAGTGGGTGATTTTTCACTGACTGTGGGATATTTTTTTTTCCTCTTTATTTCTGTGCGGTGTGTGGGTGTCTGTGAGATAAGCGCACTACACATGAGAGGGCTATATGCGATTATTTGAGGAAATCATTGAGAAGGAGAATACCACTCAACAATATATTAATTAGTAGTACTCTATTTTAATAGAACTCATAGAAAAATGTAAGAGAGAACAGAACACTCATTCAAGATGTGACGAGATCTCTTTAAAATCACACGATGCGCCTTCAAAACAATTACTTAAAAGAGGGGAACTCTAAAATTATGATCGCATATACATCGTTTCTACAGATTCTCAAAGTGTTGTCACATCACCAAATCTTTTTCGTTGCTCCATTTCATGCGTTTATGCTACCTCTTTAGCAAGGACGGGTATATATCCTCAAAAAGACTTCACATTTTGAGGAGATGTCAAGGGGGCTAATGATACTAAATAATCCTAAATAAATGATGCGTTTTACAATTACCAAAAAGAAAAATTTGGCTAGAGATATATGGAGAAGAAAGGAGTGATGTGTACCCGGTGTTCCTTTTAATACGATAAAGCTTCATTATAAAACAATCCTTGGTCATTGTGAATATTAGACAACATGATTACACTTCTGTTGTATTGATTGGTTTGCTTCCTTTCGGAATTATTTTTATCTCTTCAATAAATAGAGATTTGATTTTGTACGCTTACCTGTGGAATTGTGGGCTGTGAAATGGATTGCTGGTATGAAACACAAAATTCCCCGCTTTAGCTCTTAGTTAAAGCATAAGTCTTGTAAATGGTATCATCAAACTTGGTGCCGGGTGTTGCTCCCATGAGGGGGAAGACTACAACACAATACAGCATCATTATTTGCTACTACCAACAAACGGAAATATATAAGTAAAAGCAAATAAGTCATAGAGATCAAAAACTCAAACCGAGCCTTGGTCTTTGATATATGTCCAGTTTCAGACCTTGTATTTTTTTTAGTACAAAAGTTGTAATGACACAATATAATTATTCTTCAAAGAAAAACATGTCAGAGTTCGTTTCTTTTTTGAATAAATTATTATTTTACAATAAATAATGAATCCTTGAATGAAATATAACAGTGGAATAACACTTTCTAAACTGAAAAAAACTTTCAAGAAAGTTTGGATGAGCTGGCCCTATGAACAATCCCCTGATATAACCAAAGATGATGTCGAAGAGGGTTGTGATATTCAATTTGATTTTTATTTGGATAATGTATAAATAAGCAAAAGACTAAAATATTAGGTAATGAATGAACGATGCAGAGGTATTCAAGATAAGTTGGCTCATAATTAGCTGCTAACATCATATATCGCTATAATTGTAGCATAGGTCATACTTAAGGTATCATTACGCTATTATTAATACACTTCTAGTATGCACTAGTTCACTAATAATCCTTCGTAGAACACTCTAGCCCTCCGAAGAATTCCCTTTTAGGCTCTTGAATATGCCAGGATATTCTATTACTTTCTATTACTTTCTATTACTTTCTATTACTTTCTATTACTTTCTATTACTTTCTATTACTTTCTATTACTTTCTATTACTTTCTATTACTTTCTATTACTTTCTATTACTTTCTATTACTTTCTATTACTTTCTATTATCTTTTAGAACTATCCAATAGTTCTAACAGAAGATCGAACTATATAAATAGAGCGATATTTCTCGGTTTTCCATTTTATTATTCTTATTTTAGAGGATAAGCTTGAGTATTTACATATTATTTATACTTTCTTTAACAATTCATTTCATTTCATTCGATACAACCATTAGTAGATCGAATTATAATATAGGACTCTCAATCCGTCGATTAACATGAGTCCAAGCTTATATTACAATTATGTATCCTGTTGGTAAAATTCCATGATATAAATACTTTCTTCTATCAAAGAGATATTTGGTTTATTGTAGAGAAAAAAAATGACTTTGCCTCAAATTAGTACAACTATAAATTTTAGATTTGGATGTTTAGTATGACTAGTGAAAAAAAAAAAAAATATTATTCAGACGGCAAAGCATACTGAAATCCTTTTTTTTTTCTTTTTTGAAAATTTTGCTGAAGTTCGTTGTATTCAAGTTATAGTTCCAATATGATTTGCCAATTCGAAATTCATATTTTCAGTGAGTCCTTTACAACATATCTTTTTGGGCTCGTTTTGTATCCTCTGGGCAATTTTTGTCATTTATCTTTACTAAATATTCACATATAATTCCAAAAACTACCGATGACTTTCTAACTAAACTTCATTGAGCCATATTCCAAAATCACTATCTGGAATAAGTATACCAAGCTGTACGTATACGAACGAGTCAAGACACAGGGGGGCTCAGCCCACCAGAGATAGAGGTTATATATGAACAAAAGATATCTCTATGTGGTAACAGATATTTCAGACATCAAATAAATTCATGTTTCACGAACTACATTGGCTAAAACTTGGTTTCATATACAGTAGTATAGTTGAATTGAAAACAATTCAAAATAATATCCATTGAGTGATTATTGTAAACTAACAAGCTTGCTAACCAGTAGTTCAATATTTTTCCCCGTTTGCAACATTACACTAAACCATAGATAGACATTCCTAGCGTTTCTTGATGTTAGTTTAATTAGTAATCATAACAGCTCAGGAATGGCAACTCAGGGATATCAATGAAAGTTCCTTAGTCACTTGAAACTAAATTGGTTCCGTTATATCGGTATAGCTTCACTCGCATGAGATTGAAGTAGTGTTTTTTTTTCTCATGTAAATATACTTTCTTGAAAAATCAAGCAAAAAATTCTTTCGAAATGGTATCCATTTATATAATAAAATTAAACATAATTCACCTATAAAAACAAACAAACAAATAAATCAATAAATAGTCCCCAAATGAATGAATAGAAAAGGTCGTAGAAACTGAAGAAAAAAACAAAACAAAAAGACGATACAAGATACATAAACTTGAAAAAAAAACTAACAAGTAATAAATAATTCTCCACACAGCCTTCACCAATAGTGGAACTGAGGCAAACAAAATCAGTATCTATCAAAGAGACTGCAAATGCCTGTAGTCACATCACTAATCACTAGTAATTCCCATATATATCTTGCTTATATAGTCGTGCCAGAGGACGCTATTCTCATCGAATTTGAATACCAACCCTTGATGTTCTGGCAAAGAACTACCCCCTATGCTACTGTAGGCGCACCAAAAATAGCCCCAGCACATATCACTTGGAAGCCAACCCTTGGAAGGCTCACCGAGTTCATTGTGAATTTCTGGCGCGGCAGGAGGAATGATGGCATCAGTGATCTTCAATGTCCCTTGGTAGAACTTCTGCACCTCTTCTTTAGTTTGGAACCCATTCTTCTCTCGTTGAGATTCGAAATCACGCTCATAAGCATCGGTACGTTTACAAGTGGTGACCCCGGAATTGATCCATACAAGAGAATCATCATCGCTGGAAATATGCCCCGGGTGGGTGGCACACAACTCTTTTGCCTTAAGATCTTTACGATTCTCAGCCTTCGTGAGTGGTCCAACAGCAGCCACATGGTATTTATTGAATTCGTAGTTTTCATTGCCAGCAATGCTTTGGGAGAGCCAAAAGAGTTCCTTGTCACCCCACACTCGTTCCATTACTGGTTTCCAGAAACTTAATTGAACAGAGATTGGAATACCAGCCCAATACTCTAATCTGTTAATAGCCACCACTCCTGATTCCATATAATGCTTGTAACGACTTCCCATGTATCGGTTTTTCAAAGTTTTGTCAGTGGAAGCATTGATGCCAAACATCCAATTTTCGAGTTCAGTTGGCAACATTGCTTTGAAAAAATCAACATCGGTTTCAGAAATTTCTTCATCATGACTCCGGTCCTTATAAAACAAGGAATGTGAGCTAACGTACTGAGAAGTCTCAAAGAAATAACTTGGGTTGACATAAGGAACAATATCAGAGTCGACAAGAAGCATCTCCTCAAATGAATTGAAAATATACGCCAAGAGCTTGTTGGTGTAAGAGGAAAAGTATTCTTTATAATCGTCAGCAATACATCTATCAACGTTAACAAACCAAAGATCTTGTTTTGGGAAATTCTTACTAAATCGAAAATTATCGTGGTTATTTCTAGCCAATGATTCCAACTTGGAGTAATCTGCAGTTGGATATTCAATTGAGTTTTCCCTAGCCACTTTGACAAGCTCAAGCTGATTAGCTGGAGATAAATCACCCTTGTGAACAATTTGAATTGGCATCGTGTTTCCCACAGCTCTTAAAGCTCTGATGAGGGCAAAAGTATCGTCAAAGAATTTATCAGCACTGGACATTACAATACCCCGACCACTAAATCCTGAGCGTAAATGATTGAAAAACGATTCATTGTACCCCACATCGATATTAGAAGATAACTTCAACTTGTTGTCAAACATTGACTCATCTAAATTGTTCATGGTTCCTTGATGATTGCTTTCCATGGTGGTTGGAGGTCCTAAAGTCTGTTCCCCAGTCCAGTGCACAAAGATCGGCAATTTTCTAGATATCCAGCCGTACATTTTCGTTTCAATATTGCGATAATTGCGATTTTCTATACCATTAGCATTGTCATCCAAGAATGCTTGATAACTGGAAGAATTGTCATCGTTACCAAAACATGCTTGATACACTGCTAAACGGTGAATTTCATTGATCATGGTATACTGGGTCGTTGAGCCCTTTTCCAATTCCGCATAATATTTCAATTCAAGGTGATTTTCATCTGATTCAGTCGTCCACAGCTCTGGTGTTTCAGAATCGTGTCCATTTTCATGCTCGAATTTGTCACGACGAGTAGCTTCTAACTTCCGAAGTTGGGACTCAATCCAACGGTCTTTACTTTCAAATAACTCTTTATTGAAATTCTCCATCCACTCATTACCGATTTTCCAATCGGAGTCTTCTTCATAAAGCTGCTCAAAATATAAGTTGCACTTGTCTTTTAATGGACGACTTATCACTGATGAGCCATGGGCATCAACCATGGACGCAAGGTTCTTATGGTTGAGCTTGTCAAATATGGCAACATTTTTCTCCGGCAGTTCAGATATATCATCGTCATAAGTGGCGTTGGAATCGTGGTGGGGCTCCTCAGAGGACACCTTTAAATAATCATTAGTGAGAGTCCGAAGACGTTGCGAATACGATGAGCTGTAACTAGTATATATGAGTTGAATAGCGAGGAGCAAGACGATAACTAGTAGTGGAAAGGACCGCCTTAGAAAGAATCGCAGTACTGAGGCCATGTTAATATATAGTTTTTTGAAGTTTTGGTGAGCCAGAGCTTTGATGATTTGATGCTGTTAACAACACAGAGGGAGGCTTTTGCATACAGTGTTTTCATTTTTTATTCGTACCACCCACCGGAAATGTTCATACCAGTGGCAAAAAATAATTCATACCGACCCCCGGTATTTTTCGTACCACCGCAGCGGGATTTATTCAGACCATCTAAGAAAAATAGTTCATACTATTGCACTTCAATTATTCATACCAACAGAATACAAAATTCATACTAAATGCATAAAATTCTTATGCTTTCATTAATATTTTATCTTTGATATTATTAAACATGTTATAGGGGACCCGCAAACCCAATAAAGCCCCTTTGCAATACTCATTTACCATTTCAAAGGCTCATAACCAAATTTTGGAGTGGTTTCGTCCTTCCTTAAAATTTTAAATTTTCATCAATTTGTTTTTGAGCTTTGTTGTGTCTTTATGTAATTTTTTTTATAGTTTTTACTTTTTTTTTTTTGGTTTGTTTTCTGTATTTTGTTTTCTAATTTTTTTTCTTCATCTTCGGTATTTGTTTTCAAAAGAGCTGCTGTTGTAAACAGAGATCAATATGTCTAGAAGCATGTCTGCAGAATCCCTTGTAACTATCAAGGGAAATATTTTCTGTGGCTTCTTTCACCCTTGGAGTTAATTGCTCCTTCTTGCTCAAGTTTGATCTTTTGACTTTACTCTTACATACTGACCAGAATTCTTCTATAGCATTCAACCCTGGAGAATAAGGAGGTAAAAACACAAGTTCCAAGCCACTCAGTGCCACTAGTAACTGAAGATCACGTCGTTTATGAATGGCAGCATTATCAAGGATCAAATATTTCATACCTTTGAGCTCCTCGTTATTTTCTATTTGCTGGATCACTGACTTTACAAAACTGTAGAAGTGATTAGCTGTAGTACCTTTACTCACTTTGTCAATGGTCGTTTCTGAATCAAGTTTTCTCTTCTTATTGGATGTAGCCACCGGAGTTCTGACCTTTAATTCAATACAACCTTTGACAGAAATTGCCCCAATGAACGAAATATTAAGCCCTCTGGTTACGGGAACAGTAAGAACTGCTTTTTCACCCACAGCAGACCATCCATACTCACGCCGCATACTGATATTGAAACCTGCTTCGTCGATGAAAATACAGTTTTGACTAAAGTCGAGCTTGTCTTTATACTTCTCTGCCCACTCGAGTCTCTGTTTCTTCAATTCCTCCAGACTTCTTCTCAAAGCCCATTTAGAAATACGTTTGAGACTTAGCTTACAGACCTTGGTTACAAAGTTATAGATTGTTGTAGCCTTGGCTCTTACATTGGTGAAGGCTTTCTTGAGTCTCTCCAACATAAAATCGAGAGTCACTGTAGCATCCTCCTTTATCAATTTTTGAAGGAATTCTTTATGTTCATCAGTGAGAAGGGGTTTACGACCTCTTTTCTTTATTGGCTTCGAGATACCATTTAATTCATTCACAAGTATTTTGTTCCACTTTCTTTTCCATGTGTAAGCAGTTTGCAAAGGTATATCTTCTAATTTTGCAGCCTTGTAAGCTGATACACCTTCTTCCATGACCAAGTGCCAAAATCTTTGTTTGACAGCTTGATTATAATACCGGTACGAACCTCTATATCTTCGTTCTTTCATTTCTGTTTCCATCTTAGCATCTTCTTCTTCTTCGAAAATAGGATCAATTTCCATAATACCAGGTTTTTCAAAATGCTTATAGTCACTGTAACTAAAGCAAGCTTCAACTGGTGCTATTTCAGACTCTAAAGTCATTTCACTGGGTTCAGCATAGAATCTATTACCTAGGCCATCAACATACCCATCAGTTAGTAGCTTGGCTTTCAAGTCCATACTTAGTTTTGATGGTAAAATCTTATGCTTTTTTTTGTAAGTAATCTGGTGATCACATAAAGACCGAATTGAATGTCAAAAGTGGGAATTCATCATCTTAAATGGAGAACAGCTCCTACCATACATTCGTTCCCATTTCTTGAAAACCGTAATCACGTGCTACTATTAATATTATTATAGATATCCGGTTTTATAGAAAGTAGCACAGAATTATGGAAAAAATGAGTATAATTTGATTAAACTGAGTAGCTTAGAGGCTTATAGAGCCAGTCACTTAAAAAAAGAAAGGAATTAATATGAATTTTATATACTGTTGGTATGAATAATTGAAGTGCAATAGTATGAACTATTTTTCTTAGATGGTCTGAATAAATCCCGCTGCGGTGGTACGAAAAATACCGGGGGTCGGTATGAATTATTTTTTGCCACTGGTATGAACATTTCCGGTGGGTGGTACGAATAAAAAATGAAAACACTGTATATATATGATCAGGGATGTATGGGTGTACCGAAGTTTAAGTTTCAAGTTTTTTTTTTTTTTTTTATAAAAAGATTGGGGGTCACCCTACACAATGCGCGATGACGGCAGAGATTATGCACAGTACGACCATGACAATTCTCAAAATGTATAAGAATGTATAATCTTTGGAGCAAATAATCAGGATATCAGATGGATGTTGTTTTTTCTTGCTTTTTCCCCGTTTTTTTTTTTTTACTTTAGTGGGGATTTATGGTTCCAGCACCATGCCAGTATATCACCTTCATTTTGAACCTCAGCGGATATTAATCTGTAAAATACAGTGATCCTGACACGTTTTGGAAGAACAACATCAATTTTGGATGGGTGGGTTATTGCACTGGGAAGTGCGTACAGATGTTATATACACTGTTTCTTTGAAAAAATTGTATGAATGTACAAATTCCTGAAAATTCTCGGATTTTCTATACATGTTTCACACCCCATTTTATGTTGCTACTTATTTACAGTTTACCAGTACCAATTGCTATCAAAATTATGTAGGTTAATGTATAGAATGTAGCTACCAACTATTTCAAAGTGCTTCGTGTTGGCTTTCTCGAATAATTAAAATAGAATGCATTATGCCCATTACAATTGTATTGAAAGCAGCAGGTTAGACATACAGAAGATGGAAACAACGATAAATCTCATTTATTTTAATCATTCATTTTAATGCTGAAGTGGCAAAATGTTCTCGTCAAATAGATAAACATATATATCCTCAAAATCATGAGCGTTCACCAAGAGACAAGCCCTTTGCTAAACGGTTTTCAGCCAAAGCAGCAATGATGGCAGCACCAGCACCACTACCATCTTCAGCAGCAACAATCTTAATTGGATGTTTGTCGGCTGGCAAATTCCAGTCAAATATGTCGTTCAAGGCATTGGCAGCTCTTTCCTTGAAGTTTGGATACTTGTTGTACACTGAACCGTCGGCAGCAGCGTGACATTCGGTCAAACCTCTCTTTTTGGCCAAAGCAGCGATACCACAAACAGAAAGTCTGGAAGATCTTTCCCCGACAAATTCCGCCAATTTTCTAATCAAGTGTCTTTCTGGCTTGGTGGTCTTAATTCCGAGCAAGGTTTGGATCAATTCGTTGGTGTCACTAAGATTTTCAAATGGATCTTCTTCAATCTTGGCTGGGAAGGAAGTGTCCAAAATGTAGGCTTCATTCAACTTGCTGATATCTTGGTTCTTGAAGATGAAGCCATCGGCATACAAATCTAGCAAAACCAATCTCATCACTTCACCCAAGTAGTAACCACTAATCATTTTTTCAAAAGCTTGTTGGCCAGGTCTTGGACTTTCTTCATCAATGATAACATCGTACTTGGTACGAGGCAAGACCTTGTGTTCATTGTCAAAGGCCCCATATTCACAATTGATGGCCATCAAACCTTCGAGATCGACATCATCGCACAACTTGCCTTCCAACTTTGGAATTCTGTTGACTTTTTCAAAGTAAGCACCGTTACAACCAGTCCCGAAAATCAAACCCATTTGAGTTTCAGGATCAGTGTAAGCCGAGGCCACCAAAGTACCAGTAGTGTCGTTGATCAAAGCAGTGACTTCGATTGGCAAATCGTATTTGTCTAAAGCCTTTTGCAACATTGGGACAACATCGTGGCCTTCGACACCCTTGATGTCGTAACCCTTAGTCCAACGTTGCAAGACACCGTGGTTCAAAGCAGTTTGAGTAGCAGGATAAGAGAAAGTGAACCCAAGTGGCAATTTATGGACAGATCCTTCAGGAAACTCTTCGTGAAGGAAGTCTCTAAGGGAAACTGCGATGAAATCCCACAAGTTTTCACTCTCGGTGGTACGAATATCCTTTGGCAAAGCAAACTTCGATTGGATGGTGTCAAAAGTTCTGTCACCCCCAAGCTTGATCAAACAAACTCTGAGGTTGGTTCCACCCAAATCAATGGCCAAATAGTCACCCTTTTCCTTACCGGTTGGGTACTCAAACACCCACCCTGGAATCATTGGAATGTTACCTCCAGCTTTAGAGAGACCCTTTTCAAGCTCGCTAACAAAGTGAGTGGTGATGGACTTAAGTTTTTCAGGAGTCACCCAAAAGAGGGTATGAAGTTGATCGACCTTCTCCTTCAAGGATTCAGGAACATCGATTAAAGAGCCCTATAAAAATGTTAGTCAAAAAAAAGATACTTGATTTGCTCAGTTTTTTCCATTCTTTTCCAATTTTTTTTTTTATTTTAGCATTTCATACTTTTCTAGTAGGTGGTTTTTTTGGGCCGAGGTGAACCATTTTTTTGGTGTTTGTTTGTGTTGAATTAGTATCTGATAATGTTGAACTAAACGATCAAAATCTGGAGAAATTGAAAATCTGGTGATAGCGCACAAAAACTCCACGGAGAAACTATTTGTATGTCGATGAGAGGGGCGGGAAAAATTTGGGGTTGACCGGGTGACGTTGCATTGGGGGATGTCACCTTTTTCCGATGCATCATGTGATGGTCGCCGTCTCTGGGGGAAAAATCCGGGGGTGGGGTGATATTTTCCCAAACAGGAAGCAGGGTGCAGAACCCACCCACCCTGCATTATCACATGACCCCGGGTATAACCTTGAATATCGATAGCTGGTACTGGCGTGTGTATCCTTTGGTGTTGTGTTGCGACACAATATCGGCCAATAACCCTGATAATCTATCTATCTATCTATCTATCTATCTATCTATCTATCTATCTATCTATCTACCTATCTTTCTTTATTCAAGACCCAGCTTTCACGGACAATGTTAGCCGATTGCAAAATCTCTCCTGATGCTGCCTCAAATGGCTCTTGGATGTCTTACATCCCCAGGGGTCCTCCAAGTCAACAAAAAGCTTTCCATAATATCAGAATGGATACCATAAGCCGAATATTATTACCATAAGATTATTATACCCATCAATAAGGTGGGTTGTTATTACAAAATGTACAGATTGTCTACAATAGCAAATCAATCAACCAACTGTGGCAGTGATCATCGTGATGAAATACACAACACCAAACATAATCAATCCCCAGAGCCAAGTGGCTATTGACGAAAGTCCTGTAGCCCATCGGGTGATGATGAGCATAATCCACGCAACAAGGATCCCCAAAGATTCCGAGGCTTGCCTGACAGTCCCAATAACCGATAATTCCAATACCGCAAACAAGATCCACGCAAATATTTTGAACACTCCCTTAAAACTAAAATTCCGTATGTTCCACCAAAGGATTTTGACTATCACAAATAACATCCCAAGGAGAAAATAACGGTATAATGCAAACGACAAGATTTGGACCAGTGGCATGTTGGTAACATTATAGACTTTTTGAGCAGCCACCATCGACTGATAGTCCGGAATGATTTTATTATCAAGCAATTGACCAAACGTCGCAGCACATTGCGTATAAAATTCTTCCTCTTTTTCAATGTCGTTGGATATCCCTGAAAAAATATCTTGAGTTAGCCCTAAAAAGTTTTCAAATAAAGGGTGGGATTCCCGAATTGATTCCTTGAATAAAGCAGAAGAAGCCATCATTGTCGTTACCCATTGAAGAAAATGAACCGTCAATTGTTTATTCGCGTTACAATCAATCTCAGGAGATTGCAAGCCAATGGAAATCGAATCAATTTGTTGCAAAATATTGCAATCGCTCAAGAAGTAATCAATGACCGCCTCAACAGGGTGGTTTCCATTCCTTGGGATCATCACAAGATTATTAAGGATCAGAATTACGCTCTTAGATACTAAAAGATCCTCATTCACCAGAAAATTCAATAAAATCTTTTTGACCAACCCTGATTCGATAATTTTACCATGTAATTCATAGTCACTGGTAAGACAACAAAGCAAGCTCAATGCCGAGGCTCGAAAATCTCCATAATTTTTCGGATTTCCCTCATCCTGGATAATGATTGGGGTGACTACTGCTTCAACGATATCGGTTTCTAACATCACCTTTAACAACTGCCGGTTTCTAGGAATTTGTGCTGCGAGAGCTACCAAACACTTGTATGCCTTCCTCCTAATTATGTCATCCTTATCCTCTGTAGATTGGCACATTGAATATAAGTTGCATAGCAAATCTCGATGCCCAAGAGCATATCCTGCTGCTGTTGAAAGTGATAAATGGTGGATTAGAACACTGAGAGACAAATCAACAAGCTCTGGCAGATCCCTGCTCAATAAATCCACAAGGTGGTCATATAGTTCAGGGTTGAAATCCAATGTGGTAACCATGTTAAACGACAGGTAAAGATCAGCCAACAATTGGTAAGCATCATTATCACAATGCGATGGCAAAAGTTTCAAGAGAACTTTCTTGTCAGATAAATATCTACCAATAGTATCCATCGCGTCGTTATTTGTAGTTTCATAATATGTGTTGTACATCTCAATAATCGACCGAAACATTGCCACTCCCACGCTCAAGTTCCTGATCTCTTCTTTAGTCATTTGTTTATTTGGGATTGCCTGCAACCTTTCCGTAAACTTATAAATGAATGCTATTGCCACAGAATCATAACATCCTTCCACCAAAAGCCGCTCATTTTTCACAGCTCCTTCGGCAATCATTGATGAGAACGTCCTGATGAATACCGGAAGCTGGTACTTGATATTTGCCTTTCTGAACAATCTTATCGCCCCTTCCAAATAACCAACAGTGGATTTAAACACCTCCAGCGAGATCTGATCTTTTTGCAGCCACTGACTTTTCATCAACATCAACAAACTAGCAACATAGCCCCTAATGGCCATAGGATCCGCTTGGATACTCTCAGAAAAATCATCTTCAGCATCAACTACTTGCACAATCTTATCAACGATCTCATAGAATTCTTTGGAGTCAAAATTAATGGTGAAGACCACATTGCTGGCTCCCATGATAAGATACCCGGCATCTTGTAGCTTGAGATCTGGGGTTTGTAAAAGAAGATTCTGGCATCGGCAACGAAAATTTTCAAGCTCCGATGATTCTAGAGCATTAATGTTATGAATAACTGCAAGATAGACCACAAGATTGGCTGCTCGACTCTTCACCTTTATCAGCCTTGAATCATCGTACACCAAGTCTAAGCATCGTTGCAAGACATCAGTTCCATGTTCCAAGTGTGATTTGACTTCTTGCACTTTTAAATCAAAGAAAAGCGTGAAGTATTTGAAAACAGCCACCAAAATATCCTCCTCATCAGTCAGGATTAATAGTTGATTGACAGAATCCATGATCTTGAGACATTGTGTTAAATATATTGTTTGATGACTTGTCATCGCTTGAAAAATCATACCACAGCACTGCAACGAAAATTCCAATTGTCGGACTTCCTCACTCAGGTACTTTGATTGCTTCTGGATTCTCGGGAGTATATACTCTATGAATATTGGCGATTTCTCCACGATTTCTAATCTTTTTGTTGGAGACCGTGGAAAGAGACCAATCACTCTTCTTTTCACTTCATTGAGTACCCATTCATCAGTCGCCACTTCACAAAATCTCCAAACCTGTTCAAAAAATTTCCAGTCCTCTAAAATCTTAAGTTTTTGATCATCTTGAGTTTCGATTTCCTCGGTGACTCTCTCAATAAGCCTGCAAAGGTCTTTGATTTCCCTACATTCTTGTGGATTCGTAGAAGTTAGATATGACAAGTAACTAACCACACATTTTAGGATATCGCAGTCAAATATAACATCTATTGCAAACTTTGGTGATTCGTATATTAGGTCAATTAATGATTCAACAACCAAACAAAATACGGAATTGTCAATATCTTGATTCTCAAATGGAGTTTTGAAGTTTTGTTTCGCACATAGAGGCTGCAATTTCTTGAAATCTTCTAGCAATCTATTGAAATCTTCTAGCAATCTATTGAAATCTTCTAGCAATCTATTGTTTCTATCTATCATAGTCAAGGAATTCCCAAAGAAGTAATGCAATATATTGAAATGGATGGTTGAAAAAAAAAAAATTCCCTTGACAACCTAGAGGCATTAAATTATTTTATGACCCATCGATTTGATACACTGAAGCTTACCCGGATAAAACTTTTAAGCCAACTCTTTATGCTGTTTTCAGCTCTTCTTTATCAATAATCGAAGTAGTTATTTTTGTCTCATTATAGATTGATTTTGCGTTTAACAATACAAGGATATAGTACAATAAATAAAAAGTTCAATAAAATTTAACAAAAAATGGATGAGAAATGAACAGAAAATGAATAAAAATGATGAGACATAAACAAAATGAACAAAAAATGGCTGAAAAATAAACCAAAACGACAAAAAAAAAAGCAATATTCTAATGGTAATATATTATAATTCTCACAAAACACAAGTTGAGAACCGAAAAGCATAATCTGAGAAGTTTTCACCATTGGGTTTCATAGAGTTGTAGCAAATCTTCCCAATCTTGAGTTTTTCTTCTATTCCAGTAACTCTTTTCTCCTGTCACAAAATTCCAATTCAATAGGATATCATCATCATTGGAATCAGTTATATCTTTAGCGAAAAACTTTGGAACATGTTTTTCTCCACTAGTTTCCATCTCTTTACGACGTTCTCTTTGTTGTTGTTCGAGCTCAACCTTGAGAGTTTCGGCGGTATCAACATCGCTATTTTCATATTTTTGAAGATCTGGTCTAAGACGTGAATCAGTTGGTGGCAATTTCTTCTCCTCAAGAACCGTGATTTCATTAAGTTGGGCCGCAAAGTTCGTGAACCCCCATTTCTTCTGAGAGTTAGGAAGTAGTGGACTGGCTGCCCAGATTTCCGTTTCATTATCGGCTTCTCCTGCTTTCTTTTTACTATTGATCGATGCAAAAGGTGCCAAGAAGAGCTTCTCTTTCCAACTACCCTTGATGATCACATTTCGTAACTTGTCATTAGCATCATAGGCTTTGATCGTCACTTCTTCCGATCTTCCAGTGAACATTCCGCCAGGCTTGAATTCTACCACTGATTTCTCACCAGTAGAGCAGTTGATGGTAATACTATCCACCGGTTCAATATATTTTTCTCCGGCAATCAAGTTCCTCAATAAAGTGGTTGGTTGGTTCCATTCGTATACCTCCCCAGATGCTTTAAATGTCAATTTGAATGACCCTTTATTGATGAGTTCAAGAGACTTTCCCCAGAACTTATTAACTGGCATAATAGTGCTGCTAATTTCCCAATTGGCATTATCAATATGGAGACAGAAAATCGGTGGCTTATGGCAAACTTTTTCAAGAATAAGACGATAGTTTAAATCATCACGAACAAGTTCATAAGTTTCCCCTAATAACGGCATGAACGGTTTTCGAATATTACGTTCCTTAGATCTAAATGATGACAAATAACTGATGGCAAAGGCTGAAATATGTAAGATTTTCTCGCCTTCAGCCATATCGTACTCCACAACTTTGTCAATAAGATGAGTATACTCGAAAATTTCTGCGAATTTTTGAAGAATCGTCAAAGGTTCATTTGCCGTAACTGGCATAGCAATTGAAGACATATCTTTTCCAACATTCTTTTTGAAAAATTGAAGCAACGATGGTGGAGTACAGCTACTATCTTCAATAGTCTTCCGTCTTGGAACCGGTGGCTCAGTTTGAAGGATGTCCAATGGATATAAATCATCGTTAGCCTCATTCTTTTTACGTTGGATTGTAGTGGTAATAGTTGCGGCATCAGTTTCATCAATGGAGAGTTGTTCGGCATTGATCTTGGCAGAGACTCTTTTTTGGTTAATCAATTCACCAATAACGTTGTCACGATACTTTTGAGAGTTACTCATTCTAATAGCAGCACCATCGTCCTCTTTTGCATCATCAAAATCATCATCAGTACCTTCAATAAGAATAACCCCATCGTTTGATTCAATTGATTCGATATAATCGTGAGCGTCAAAGAAATTCTCTGATAGAATCAGTTCATCAATTGATCCTAATGAACTTCTTTTGTTTAGCTTTTTTTCAGCTATAGGTTCCTCGGAAAGCTTTACTGTTTCAAGGATACGTGTTAACAAATCACTCATTTCTGAGAGCTTGACACAAAGATCTTTTGTATTCTTGAGAGAGCTCTGTAATTTTTTAGCAGCCACAGGTTCAGAGACCAGTTCGTTAATTGACAGGTTAGATCTATTGATGGCGCTGGATAAAGAGTGAGAAAGATTCCCATTATTCACTGAAGGTCTTCTAAAAAAAGATTTGCTTTCTTTTGAGTCAGTCGAGTTGAACGACGAACTAGAATTCTTATGATGCAATTGGCCTAAAGATGTCGGTTGGGAATAACTTGATATTTTAGGTGACGCATTTCCATTCATGGACTGCATATTTTCGTTGAGATCACCGAGAATAATTGAGGCAGATTTCTTGGTTATTTGCAATTTATCTCGCAACTCTGTCAAATTGCCAATCAATGTATTTTCATTATTAATAATAGCCTTTGGAGCCTCGTCACTAGCATTATTATTATAGTTAGCTCGCAATCTGATGATATCCAAGGAACTAACCCATATTTCCCAATCGACTTCATTCAAAGCTTTCAAATGCCAAATTTCTAAACCAGAATCAATAGTGATCTCTTTATTCTTTCGATTAGCGGTGATTTCCACTAGTTTGATATGCATCGAGCCACGTGTGGCAGAAGATTGATCATTCATTCTGTATTCAAGCACTCCTTGTTTGAAGTTCAAAGAAAAGAATCTTTTAGAGTACGATCTGGAATTCTTCTTTCTTTTTCTTTTAAGCAAATTGCCCTCAATATACTGTCCATTTTTAGATGTAAGAACAGTGTTTTTCAATAGATTGATGTTAAAAGGCTCTAGAGTACTACTGTTATTAATGTTTGAGGCCTCGTTCTTGTTTTTGTTAGATTTACTTGTCCTTACCGAAGTGGTAGAGTTGGATCTGCGTCTGTGCAGTAATGAGGAATGGCTCGACTTTTTGCGAAACTTGGAAGCACCATGAGGTGGCTCAAAATTCAAGTCCATCAGACTTCCATTGGTTGCCTTGAAGCTGGGTATCGTAGGAGAAGTGGCGGCATTACTAGAATTCTGCAAATCTTGTAACTGTTTAAGAATCTGGAAATCTTCATTGTCGTTTCCGGTACTTTGATCATTCAACAAATTGGATAAGGTGTACACCGAAGCGGATCTATCTCTATTGCCTGAGCCACTCATAAAACGAGGTTTCACAGCCTCAGGGTTATTAACATTAGAAGATGGTCTTCTTGACAAGGGTTGAGATGATTGACTTAAAGAACGTGGAGCAGGGGCAGAGAAACTATGATTTGATTCTTCAATTATTGGGCTAGCGCAGACAGCCGGAATGCTCAATACAGAGTTCGATTCTGAAACCAACTCTTGAATCATTGGCTCAATAAATTGAGCAAAAAGCACTTTCTTGCTGACACTTTTGGAAAACGTGTTATCAAACACAAATGCATACACACCACCATCGCCATCTTTAACGACAAACTCGTTCTGGTGTAATTCATTAGCACTCAACTTTCCCATGTCTTGCAACAATTGTAAATTGGAGTTGGAAAGCTTTTCCTCGAGTGGGATCTTCTTTTTCTTCTCATCATGAGTGCCTGCACTAAAAGACCCTATCTTGCGATAGATGCTGAATAAAATTGATTTCTTCAATGGTTTAACTTGCCACTTCACCACTGATGAATCCGGAACATTGATCCATTTCACCAAGAAGTCCTTGGAGTGAACTTCAAAGCTTTCCATCATACTTTATTCTTTGCTACCCCGATCAAAGTGCCGAAACGTGGTGCGGTCCAAAAGAATGTACAATTTTCAATATCTGCGACGAAAAATACAACAAGACAATTCCAAGGGTGAATTGCAAAAAAGGAAAAGTAATGTGAAACAGCCAGCAATAAGAAGGAAGGTGAAAAAAACAAGAAAACCAAATTGAACAAGGATATGAATTCACAGGCAGCTGGCACTGGCGGAGGTTATTTTTCTTATAATGTATATCTCAGTAGAATGATGCTTTGTGCAAGCTGTTAAATAAAAAACTGGGAGAAAAAATATCATCACGTTCATATTCACGTGGGAGACACTTCACTGTCTCACCAAGGGCGTGGGCACCCCCAATATATACGGTAACGTGGGACACCCCTTTTAGCTGCCGTCATACACAAACACAACGATCATTGGTTAATTTACTGGAGAAAATACAGTGTATCTACACTACGAGCTGCTACTTGCCAAATTCATGGCAGTAAAATTGATATGTTGGAGGTTGATTAAAAGTACCGAAATAAACACTAACAATCAGTTCATCGATGTGGAGAAATCCGTCTATATCCCAATTTTGTAGTGATCCTAATGAAAGGACCACAAAAAGTTTCTCTGAAAACCATCTTTCAACTGTGCTTCCGCTATCCATTCAGATAGGTTCCACACAGGGTGACAGAGAAGGCAAAAATTGGTTGGATTATTTAGAAAGAAGAAAAGAGAAATTATCTGAAAAAAAATTTTCCACAATTTTTTCTTATAGTGCATTATCTGATGTTCGGGTGAGCAGATCGGTGTTTGGATGTATTTAATTTCATGTACCAATCACATGGGTGTTTAGAATGACAACATAGAAAAGCACTTCTCACTAAAATTAGCATTTCACCAGCAATACCCACTCCTTTACCTGGGTAGGCAATGCAGGCTTTAGAAAAGAATATCTCTGAAACCTTAGATTTCATCAAGAAGAAGAATTATACTGAAGCGATCCACAGATTAACATCAATTATCAATGCCCTCAATCAGTGCCTGGATTCTGAAGTTATTGAAGCACGCGTCGCGCAAGGCTTGACAGAAACTCCCAGTTATGGTTCTTTATTCCATCCCAAGTTGGTATCGTTACACGATTATCGTCATAGATGTTATCTCAAAAACCAACAAGCTTCCAAGGCGTATGAGGATGCCAAGGTAATGATCAGATTACAGCCTTTTGGGGTCAAGGGTTATCTCAGATGCGGAGCCATTCTAGAACTGAAGAAGCATTATCAAAAGGCATATCAAATATATTCCAAAGGCATCAAAACTATATATGAAGCACAAGAAACCCAAAATATCAATATCTCTGAGAATCTAATGGCCCAAATAATGAATCAAAAAATGATGATTGAAAAGAAATTGAAACTTATGGAGAAAAATGATCCATTGCGAATAAGCACTGACAAAAAAAGAAAGAACAATGACTCTAATGAAATAAACCCCAAGATCAAACAACAACAAACTATCGGATTTAAACCTAAACACCCCATTATCTGTGATCTTGTATCATCATCGACAAAAAATAAAGGGCTGTCCACCGACCCAATATCACATCTTCCAATAGAATTAATTATTTTGATTTTTCGAAATCTTCCTACTGCAGAAATTATCAATTGCTATCTCTTGGTTTCGAAACTATGGAAAAGAACTTTGTCTTCAATCTCTGACTTTTACCAAATATTCAAGTTTACTCGTACTCTAATTCCCAGAGATTTTACCTGCTTCATGTCGTTTCTTAAACGTTCAAAAAGGCTGTGCTATATGAAAAGAATTCAAGAACTACAGATATTCAAAATTATGAGTGCCAACGAAAGCTACGTGATACGAAAGATTCTTGCCAATGGATTTGATCTTATAATTCGCTCCCTTCACCTAAACATATTGGAACTTGATTTGTATCAATTTATGGAAATACTAGGCAATCACAAGTCAAAGACTACCCAGTTAATAAGCGATCTCAAACTTACAATCTCAACAACACCATACTATGAGGAAAGTATTTTGAAAACATTACCCCAGCTACGAAGCTTGCAATTTATGATGATAAATGGTCATAACAATGCTTCAGATAACTCTATCGAGTTGAAGAAATTTTATCAACAACCAGTATCAGAATTTTACAATCAGACACAGGAAATATGCTTTTATCCAAAACTTAAAACTTTACATTTGATCAGTAATCCACATCAATCATATCCAAGATTCAAGATTCCAATGGATAATTTTTTCAAGCTTAATAAGGCTGCCAACTTGGAGAACCTCATGGTGGTGGGGCTTGAATTCAAAAATATCATCAAACAAGCGGAAAAACTAAGATCTGATGAAACTATTATGATGAGAAGAAGAATAATTGAGTCTAGAGATGAAGATCCAAATATTGATACTTTGATTCCCCATTCCTGTGTCTTTCGTGGCCTTTTCCAGTTTCCAAAATTAAAATATTTGTTTTTGGAAGGGAACAAACACTTGAATTTTAACCATTTCTTGCTTCATAGGAATGTTGTTAGTAACCTCACTTCTAATAGTTTGGAGACTCTTGTTTTTAGAGAAGAACCAATTGAAAGAGCACCATTCTCACTAGTGACCCCAGAAATGCTATCGTATCATGATTTTTCGAAAGTGAAAGAATTGGATCTTTATACCAACAAATTTGATTTCCACCAATTGATGAAGATTCTTGTACCAATGGGTACTAACTTGGTGAAGCTAAATATTGGAAATGCAAAGCATCTTCGGTTCCCCAATAATGCAGTGCAAGTTCATCGGGAGTCTGAGTCTCCTAATTTTTTCAATTTTGATGACTTCTTGAGAACTGTGCCTAATATCCAGGAACTTTATTTAAATGACTGTGCCACAATCAATGATTTCAGTTTGAAGTCACTAAGACAAGCTATTTTTAAAGCTATTGGTGAGGATTTGACGGTTTGGCAGGACTTGAAAATTCTTGATTTGAGTTTTACTCACTTAACCGGACTTGGGCTTGTGGATTTTTTCGGTTACAAATTTAAGGAAAAGCATGCAGCTAGCACATCCTCTATCACTAGTAAGGTTCAACGTCGCTCAAAAAATTATGTTGCACAACCATCTGAACGCCAACCGACTTCCGCGGCTGATGATAATCTGTTGCCATTCACGTTGCTAAAGTTGTCTATCAATGGCATTGAAGGCATTAGTGGTGTTACGATTTCCTCTTTAGTAAAGAACGGGTTTGTTGGGACAATCGATTACGACGAGATGATGGATAAGTGGCGAAAGTTTGGAAAAAACTCGTTCCTTATTGGATAGCTTAGTATTCTTTTCATTTAACTATAATATATTTCATCTGATACAAATGTTCAAGAAATAATACAGAAAATACACGGGAAATTTGATTAAGAATGTAGTTTGCCTAATTTATTAGAGTAGCTTACTCTTTCAAAAACGAAGAGAGTGAGCTTTTCCTTTGATTGCAGAATTTTACTGAAGATAACAGATATATAACAGAATTAATTAAGGATTGGAAGCTTGGAAAACAATAGGTTAAGAAATGCCGAAGAAGTCAAGGAAATGGTAGGCTGGAGTAAGCAAGCATAGGATAGAAAAGAAAAGAAATATAGAAGGAATTTGCAGGGTAAGATTGAAAGAAATTAGTGATTTGTGAATGCTACTACGAGTATCAGGAAACTGATATTATTTCGCAAGGCATCTATAAATGATTACAGCTATAAACAATATCGCGTATATTGTTTATTAAATAGCATTCAGAAAGAGTAAAAACAAGAAAGAACAATATATATTTCTAATATATCTGACTAGAATAAGAACAAAGAACCCCATAAATTCAGTATAAATTCAGTTTAAATTCAGTATGATTTATAATCAATATTCTTCCCAGAAACCTTCAGGTAACCATTTAGAAGTAGCAACTCTAGCAGGGCCACCATTCCTACTTGCATATTCTGTCAAAGCTTCCATATCTTCCTTTGGCAAATCTATAGTCTTCAAATTACTAACAATTCTGGCTTCTTTCACCGATTTTGGCAAAACCACGATACCTCTAGATACAATCCAACTAAAAATGACATTGGCAGCGGGGATATCATTCTTTTTTGCAATTTCACTGATGAACTCGTTCTTTAAAACTGGTGTGTTTTGGGATCCTAATGGTGAATAAGCTTCAAGAATAACCCCATACTTGTTAGCCACTTCCAATAGTTCAATTTCAGGTAACAATGGATGCAATTGCACTTGATTACAGGCTGGGATTAATTTGCCCTTAGAGCAAAGAGCTTCCAATCTACCAGCAGTAAAATTGGACACACCAACCGCTTTCGTCAAACCAGATTCCGGTAATTTCGACATAAGTTCCCAAGTTTTGAAGAAATCCCAATCTTTACGGAAATATTCCGCTCTATTCGGATCATCTAAAGGTGGCTGCCAAATCAAGTTGCCATTAGCATCCTCTCTCTTATGTATTGGAATTGGCCAATGCATCAAGTATAAATCAATGTAGTCAAGCCCCAATCTTTCAATAGATCCTTCAAGAGCAGGCAAAGGATCAGTTTGGTCAAAACACCACAACTTGGTGGTGACGAACAATTCCTCTCTTTTTACAAGTCCAGAGTTAATGGCTTCCTTGATCCCCTCGCCAATTTGCTTTTCATTGCGGTAGATGTAAGCAGTGTCAATATGGCGATAGCCTGCCTTGATGGCAGCAACCACAGCACCCTTGGCTTCTTTTTCATCAGTTGAGTTCCAGGTGCCTAAGCCAACGGCAGGGATGGTGGCCCCGGTGTTTAGTTTAAAAGTTGTGGTACAGTTCTTGAGGAGAGCCATTATTGGGAGCTGCCCGAATATGTTGTTAGAAATAGCGAGAAAGCCGCCAAAATCTCCCCCTAATGGGACTTTATCTATCAGGATTTAATTTAGGTGGTAAGCTTTCGGACCGGAACGGGACCCGGCACGGAATTTAACAAACGCCTACGTTTTAGCCTATACATATATACATATGAGAAAACAAATAGTCTACAATAGTTCCCCTTAAAAAACTCTCTGACTTTGACTTTCGGCCCCCAGCTCATTAGAAATACTGGTATTATATAATTTCTCACAAAATCTCCTCACTTGCACAATAGTAATGCAATGACAGGGAAAATATAGCCAGTATGCTTACAATGTGGCTCTTGTAATGGTTTAGTTGGGTAACATAGTAGTTAAAGTATATTAAAGAAGAATAAAAACTAAAAGGAATAGATGAAGTAAGCTTTTTATAGGTGAGAAAAGAAAGTAAGACTTACCTAAAAGGGAACTCAAAGGGAAATAAAAAGGTAGTCGGAGATAAGGAGGTTGTCGGAGATAAGGAAAGGAGTTAAATAAAGAAGAGAGAAGAAAAGATAAGAACAATAAAAAGAAAGAAAGAGAAAGAAAAGTAAGAAAGTGTCTAGATCATTACAGCTCTTGATAAAAACAGTAATTCTATTCAGTAGTGATTATACAAAATTATATGGTACAATCACTCTTTCCATTTTCCGAATTTGTTGTAATCTTCGTAAACAGTCTTGAAATAACTTCTGCCACTGACATCCAAATTGGCGTTCACAAAACTTAACTCACTAGCGGAAATGGTATCAAGGATCAAGAAGATCCCTTGGTTAACCACAAGGTCTCTAACTTGATTGCTAAAACCTAAAGACAAAGAGTACTTGACAAACTGCAATATCATGTTGGCCAAATGAGGTCTCATATCCTTCTTGATCAAGTTAACATTAGAAGTGAGCAATTCCTTATTACTGGAACTATTATTGTTACTACCACCACCACGAGTTATACTCTTGGCTGCTTGATCATTTGGCTGCACTAAATTACCCAAAGCACGACTGTACAAATGGGCACATTCAATCTTGTCCTGTAAACTACCACCCATTGAATCTTTCGCAAGGTAACCAAGGAGAGAATTATATATCGACACGATGATATGGTATCTCCCACGAAGTCTGAAACGGTATAACAAAAGAATTCTCCCCAAAATTTTTGTTATCTTCTGATAAACCAATACGCTGGAACTCTGTAACATCATTTGAATGATCTTGAATAAGATTGTAAGGGAGAGCTCAAATGAGTATTGAGAGAGCAAGAAGTTCGCATCACCCATAGAATAATTCATGATGATGGCCATAGAAGAAAGGATGTTCTCATCAAATTTGCAAGAATTATCAAGCATTTCCATGAATGAAGTTAAAGTGTCAGAGAGTAATTTTGTTTTATCCAATTTATCAAATTCACTAGACCGGGATTTCAATGACTTAAGGAAAATAGCTAATAATCCCATAATTGCAACTTTATTATTATTGGTGTTATTCAATAGTTGTAGGGCGTAGGTATATAGCATCACAAAATCTACTTCTTCAATGTCATTCAAGACTTTAAGAACACTTAGTGATGCAACGTCGTCATTTAAATCACCTAATATCTTACCAGCATCAGCATCTCCATCATCAATATTGTCTTGAGATATAATCAAGTATAAATTAATGTAGTATGCCACAAACTTGAAATCCATAGCTTTGGAAACTTTTGGAAGAATTGAAAATAATCCGGTTTTTAATTTTTGTAGATTATAGTCCTTCAAAATTGATAGATCAATATTACTAATTGACAAAGCTGTATCGTTCGGCACTTCCAAATTAAATAATCCTCTGCATACAACTTCTAAAATCTCGGAATCAACAATTGTACCCTTCTTGACGGACTTTTTGCTGGATGCCTTTTTTGTTGAGTTTTCGGATTTCCAGGATAACGAACATTCTTTCAAATAACCAATGCAAAATAACACATATTCCTGTTGCAAGGCTTTAAATTTCTCTTCAAAAGAATAATAGTTTGTGATATCATTCAAAATAACATTTTGCACAAATACCCATTTACCAGCCTCAGTTGATTTCAAACATTTGTCCGTCCATGAAACCAAGGAATTCAAATAGATGACTGACGCAGTATCATTATACTGTTTAAGATGATTTTCTACCACATGCTTCACGATTTCAGCATTCGCAACTTCAGAGCCAGATGCAAATAATTTTTCTAAAAATTTGACATCAGTTTCAATCTTCGATCTGTGCGTTGGAGAGCTGAGGAGATGACAAATTGCCAACTTTCCAGCATTGGTAGTATCAAAATCAAGCGAGTCTTCAAAAATGAGATTCAGTAGGATGTCAAGCAAATCAACTTTTTCTATTCTGTTATAGCACTCTATCGGAATTCTTTGAATTGCCTTGAGAAGATTTTGATTTAATACCGATTTGGCCTTCAGAATCCTGGTACTTATTGATTTGATTAATCCGTGGTTAACGGATGGAACTTCAAACAATAATTGATTGTCTAAGACATTCCAAAAGGAAATTTCATCTTCAATGTATTTCTCAATGAAAATATCTACAAGCTTTTCGATAGCTTCTTGATTTTCTACTAATGCCAAGACATTGAAAAATCTTTGGAAAATTATCAAGATAATTTCGGTCTTATCATTCTTTTTAGCGTCCTTTATAATTTTTTCAATTACCTCAGACAAGTTGAATTTTCCAACTGCAACCAGATTTGGAAAACATTCAATGTATCTTAACGCCACCATGACAGAGCTGACATTTTTCACTTTTAAAGCTTTGTTGATAAATTTTGGCTCCAAATCTTGACTCAAGTTTTCGAGTTCATCTCCACTAAAAATTGTTAATAATTGAAAAACAACTTTATAATACCATTCACTGTTGCTTAGAAATTTGAACGATGATACTAATTCTTTCAAGAAACCCAAGAGGATCGCATTATGGTTTTGATTATTAATGAATTTTTCGTAAGCTGGGCCAGATAAGTATCGCAATAATATCCACAATAACACAAAATACGAGTCTCTGGAATAATCACTGGTACTCTTGTTAATAGCTGCCTCAAAAGTGGAATGAAGCACCTTATCGAGTTGGGTTAAAGACAAGATTCTTACTCTGGAAAATAGTTGACCCTGGAAAAGCTTAAAATCCCCCATTTGAAACTTGCAAACCACAGCCATTTTGCGAAATAATTCGAGCATTTGAATAAATGAATAAGAATTGCTAGTGTAAAACTTGAACCACGGAAGGAATATAGATGATTCAAGTAATTGTGAACCCTGGAAATGAAGAATAATAACAAGCGTGCCATATTTTTCGATGCAATCCTTCAAAGACATAGCGTAATCTGTTTCCATAACCATCAACTTGGAGAGTAATTGAAAATTAACAGTTTTCAATTTTTTTCTATCTATCGAGTCAACAATCGCTGATAAACCTTCATCAGTTTTTTCAGAAATCACCAGGAAATCTACCTTTTCCAATTCTAAGACTTTGCCAATCTCTGCCTTATATAAAGATTCCAAAAATTCGGAGTTCAAACTCACAGATTTGGTTTTTGGTGTTTCCAAAATATTGATTTCCACGAGTTGATGAATTGACACCGCCAATTTATCATTAGAGATAATAGTATTAATGATCTTGCCATTTGTATCGCTAACAATAGCAGTATTAACAGAAAAATTATGATAAATAAGAGCTTCCGTTAAATTTCTGAGAAGCAAAGTATAAATGGTTTTGATGTTTTCATCAGAATAGAGTTTCTCGATGAATAAATTGAAATGATTAACAAGGGTGGAAAGCTGGAATTGATCCATATTTGTGATTTCAAATGAAATGGAATTTTCCCAGAACATGTTTATTAAACGAGTCACGAAATCTGAAAGTTCTGAGTTTGCTACCAAAGAAGCAAGATTATTTAGAAGATCATTGGCAATGTAGTGTTCCACGAGAAACTGGGAGTTATCTTTATAAAACTTGACAAATTCCTTAATTGGGTGGCTCTTCACAGATAGGACATTTCTATCAGCAAATTTCACATTGACAGATCCATTATTTACTAAATAATTAAACAAATTCTCAAATATTTTGAATTGTGGATACGGTATTGGTGATATTTGACTTATGAACTTGTTGAATCCTCTCAAATACATTCCGAGAACATTGTTAGTTTTCGAAGTCACCAAATAATTTTTTTGTAGTAATAAATCAATAAACTCCAAGAAAGAGGTAGTGACACGAGATTCAGCACAGCCCATACAAAGATCTAGAAGTTCCAAGTATTTGATAGACTTGAGAGATTGAATCACTTCAAATGAGCAGTCTTGAGAACTTCGGTCAAGAATTGTACTCAAAACTTCCCAAGTCTGCCACTCTTTATAGAAGGAGACTTGCTTCTTTCTGTTTGCTTTAGTCAGTATCAGATTTGTATCATTATTGAGCTTTTGTTCTAACAATTGACTAATAAACAATTCTTTCTTTGGTAAGACACAATGATCATCTTTGAGAAGGATCTTAATGAGTTCGAATATTTTTTCCAAATCCGATGATGTCCGAAGAAACTTCGTAATAGACTGTGTTGATTGTAAATCGGGAAGTGAAGACATTCTTATTTATTATTCAGATCGAGGGTGATATCGATGCCTTTTCATTAATTAGCGATGTCAGAAAGATTAAAAAAAGAACTAAAAAAAATTTCAGGGAAAAAAAAAAAGTTTATACGCACTACGATGACTTGTTAAGTGATCCAATTGTAATATATATATCACGTGATATATCATGTGATAAATTGTTCCTAGAGGGCTCTTTGGGTGGGAGTACTCTGAAGGTTTTTTTTTGCCACCACTTTTCACAACCAAGCCGCCACTTACTCATTTTCTTCTTCCTTCAGCAACGAATACTAGAATTAGAAAGATTATAATTGCAAATAAGATCTTCCCTATTTTCTGACTAATTTTATTTTCGATTGATCTTTTTTATTCTTTTTTTCTCTTTCTTGGTGTTTGAATTCTCGTGGTTATTGAGACTGCTTATTTGCTTTTTGTTATCAGAATCAATATTTAAATTATTATGGCTAAAGACGAAGAAAAGCCTTTGCTCGATGCCTCTGGCGCTGAACCAAAGGGAGATGATTCTACCGCTACCGCCATTCTTCGTCGCAAGAAGAAGGAAAATCAATTGATTGTCGATGATGCTGTTAACGATGATAACTCTGTTATTACCATTTCTTCCAACACTATGGAAAGATTGAACTTGTTCCGTGGTGATACCGTCCTTGTAAAGGGTAAAAAGAGAAAAGATACTGTTCTTATTGTTTTGTCTGATGACGACATGGAAGATGGTGTGGCTCGTGTTAACCGTGTTGTCAGAAATAACTTGAGAATCAGATTGGGGGACATTGTTTCAGTATTGCCATGTCCTGATATCAAGTATGCCACTAGAATTTCGGTATTGCCAATTGCTGACACCGTCGAAGGGTTAACTGGCTCTTTATTTGATGTCTTTTTGAAACCATATTTCGTGGAAGCTTATAGACCAGTCCGTAAAAATGATCATTTTATTGTTCGCGGTTCTATGCGTCAAGTGGAATTCAAAGTGGTGGAAGTCGAACCAAGTGACTATGCCATCGTTGCGCAAGATACAATCATTCACTGTGAAGGTGAACCAATCAACCGTGAAGATGAGGAAAATAATATCAGCGAGGTTGGTTACGATGATATTGGTGGTTGTAGAAAACAAATGGCCCAAATTAGAGAATTGGTTGAATTGCCATTGAGACACCCTCAACTATTTAAGGCCATCGGTATTAAACCACCAAAGGGTATCCTTATGTATGGTCCTCCAGGTACCGGTAAAACCTTGATGGCCCGTGCAGTCGCCAACGAAACTGGTGCATTTTTCTTTTTGATTAACGGTCCAGAAATCATGTCTAAAATGGCTGGTGAATCAGAATCTAATCTTAGAAGTGCGTTCGAAGAAGCGGAAAAGAATGCTCCATCTATTATCTTTATTGATGAAATTGATTCCATTGCTCCAAAGAGAGACAAGACCAATGGTGAAGTTGAGCGCCGTGTAGTTTCCCAATTGTTGACTTTGATGGACGGTATGAAGGCCAGATCAAATATTGTTGTCATTGCTGCCACTAATAGACCAAATTCCATCGACCCAGCTCTTAGAAGATTCGGTAGATTTGATAGAGAAGTTGATATTGGTATTCCTGATGCTACTGGCCGTTTGGAAGTTTTGAGAATTCACACCAAGAACATGAAATTGGCTGATGATGTCGATTTGGAAACCATTGCTGCTGAAACCCATGGTTACGTTGGTGCTGATATCGCCTCTTTGTGTTCTGAGGCCGCCATGCAACAAATCAGAGAAAAGATGGATCTTATTGACTTGGATGAAGAAACTATTGATGCCGAAGTTTTGGATTCTTTGGGTGTTACCATGGACAACTTTAGATTTGCTCTTGGTAACTCTAACCCATCTGCCTTGAGAGAAACCGTCGTTGAATCTGTTAATGTTACTTGGGATGACATTGGTGGTTTGGATAAGATTAAAGAAGAATTGAAGGAAACTGTCGAATATCCTGTGTTGCACCCAGATCAATATACCAAGTTTGGTCTTTCGCCATCCAAGGGGGTTCTTTTCTTCGGGCCTCCAGGTACTGGTAAGACCTTGTTGGCTAAGGCGGTTGCCACCGAAGTGTCTGCTAACTTCATTTCCGTTAAAGGTCCAGAGTTGTTATCCATGTGGTTTGGTGAATCTGAATCTAACATTAGAGATATTTTTGACAAGGCTCGTGCTGCTGCACCAACTGTGGTGTTTTTGGATGAGTTGGACTCCATTGCTAAGGCTCGTGGTGGTTCGGTTGGTGATGCTGGTGGTGCCACCGATCGTGTTGTCAATCAATTATTAACAGAAATGGATGGTATGAATGCCAAAAAGAATGTTTTTGTCATTGGGGCCACCAACAGACCAGATCAAATTGACCCAGCTTTGTTGCGTCCAGGTAGATTGGATCAATTGATTTATGTGCCATTGCCAGACGAACAAGCCAGATTATCGATTTTGAAAGCCCAATTGCGTAATACTCCTTTGGAACCAGGCTTGAAATTGGAAAAGATTGCCAAGATCACCCATGGCTTCTCTGGTGCTGATTTGAGTTATATTGTTCAAAGATCTGCGAAATTTGCCATTAAGGATTCGATTGAAGCCAACATTGAACGTTCCAAGGCCAAGGCCAAGGCTGAGGCAGAAGCTGAAGATGATGTGAAGATGGAAGGTGCTGCCACTGAAGAAGAAGAAGAAGAAGATCCAGTTCCATACATTACACATGCCCATTTCGAAGAAGCTATGAAGACTGCGAAGAGATCTGTTAGTGACGCTGAATTGAGACGTTATGAAGCTTATGCTCAACAATTGCAAGCTAGTAGAGGTCAATTCAGCAACTTTAGTATGGATGAAGGACAGGCTCTTGGAGCATCTGGTGCTGCAACAGGGTCTGCTAGTGGTGCTGCTGCTCATGCTGCTGCTGAGGAAGATGACGATGATCTTTATAGTTGAGTTTTCTGTGTGTTAACTTTATTATTTCATGACCTCTCTTAATTTTGACCTAATTTCATTTCATCTTGTTGGTGGTGTGTTTCGATCTTTTGTATCTGGATATATTTCTGATTTTTTTTTGTCATATTCAACTTTTTTTTATATATATTATGAAATGGCCTTCTAATTTGCGAGAAAATAGAAAAAAAAAAGGAATTTTTTGTAATCTTTATAAGCTAATGAACTTATTAAGGTATTAAAGCGTCAACTAAGCGAATTTTCTGAAACGCTATATTTGACAATAACTCTATTTCAATGACTAGAAGTCATTCTCCAATTGATAGCACTTTAAATAATAGTTCATTAATATCGCTGATTCATCCTACAACATATTTTCAAATATCTCTTTTCATTAAAGATTCTTTGTTTACTACATCTATTACAAACCACTCTTTTCTTATTAGTAATATGTAATCAGTCCTGAATATATTCATTTGTAGTAATTTTCATGTTATTTAATCAAAGTACAAATAAATCATATGCCACCAAAAACAGGCAATTCTTCCAAAAAAAAATAACAAAAATAAAAAATAATAAGTGACCTTTGGATTTTCCATGAGAAACATAATGATTAACAATATTTAATTTTTCGGTTTATTTTTTTTTTTTTTTCAAATTGCTGCTTATGAATTTAGTTTTCGTTAAGTTGAAGAATGGAAGTTGGTTGGTTTTGTTGTTATGTTTTCTTTTTTGCTGGTCATATAGTTTAGTGGTGACCACCGGCAGCGTGGTGGAAGTAGTATTCCAAAGAGTAACCACCAATCAAGATGGTCAAGGCCAAGTGGAAGATTGGCTTACCACTGGCGTTGTCACCGTCAAAATACTTAGCTCTGTAACGGCCAATGACACCACGAGGTTGAATTTCAGCAGCCTTACCTTGTGGAAGAGCCTTGTAGAAAGCAACGACGTTGTTCATACGCTTGGCGTTTGGGTTGGCGCCCAAGTTCTAAAAAGGAATTGTTAGTGAGTTGTTGGAGAGTTAGAAAGCATAGCGATTCAAGTTTATATTGGACAGGAGAAGAAAATGACTTGAACTTCGGACATTACTGATTCTATTGCACCAGTTTGGAATTCATTTGATTTTTGATACGATAGTATTTTTGCAGTTCATAAGCCAGCTCAGCATGTTTTCATCTCATTATAGATCATCAAATATAAATCTTGGATGGAAAATGGTTCAATTTCAACCCGAGAAGTACGTGATTTCCAATCATTTTTAAAAAAAAAAAAAAAAGTATACCAAATATTACTATTCGCTTCTATTTTTAATTCCAAGAAGTTTTCCAAATATTCCAGATCCCAAATCATTATATCTATGGATTAAAACAAGATTCTTTTAAAATTACAATCGACACCCCAGCCGATACTTTTTCATTCCATTTCCCTCCCAAATTGCACCCATTATTTAACATACCTTAACTGAGGCGATCTTTGGTGGGATCAAAGTGGACAATTGACGTCTAGCAACAAAAGACATGGCTGATTAATGATATATGGTGCTATTATTCGCTATACAAGTAGCTATTAACACCAGAAGAAAAAAATACCCAGTCGAGTTGCCAGTTTTTTTTTTCTTGCACTGAGATTTTCGGCCAATCAGGACGCTACCAATGTGTCACGTGTTATATATTAGTTTTGATGTTGCGGATAGTAATTTTTGTGTGTTTTTGTGAAAAGCTATCCCGTGGCGGTGGAGGGGGGAACTGGATTGCACCACCGTGGTATTGCGATACTTTGGTCTTGATAATTTTACTCAACCACTTCTTCGATAATGAATTTGCCTTATATAATTTCTTGTCTTTTCGCCTTTATGATATTAAACATGTTCCATTTTCGCGTATTTTTGGCGGGCTACTTTTTGTGTATTGACGGCAATATTTTCTAACAAAATGGTTTTGTGCAATTAGAGTGACTTTGGTTATAATTAGATAAGATTATTTATAATAATAATAAAATAGGCTTGCTGACAATTGAAGAAACAACAACCACTACAATTTTTTAGCGTACAGTGTCCACATTTTGGCGCTGCAGCGGTGCAAAATAGGGGCAAGGTGGCGCACCACTAAATTTGTCATTGGAATGGGTTAACGTGAGCTTACTGTAGTCGCAGTTGGGGGCTGCATGTCAACTTTGGAGAGATCTCGGTCGGCTAATATCCTTCTGATCCTTCGCTCGATCCCTCCGTTGAAGCCTATTTTGTTAGGGATTCTATCACTATGTACTCTAAACTGGCACGGCAACGCCACGTGAATCCATTGCCGTATCGGAGTTCCGGACCTCCTATCCGGTAAGACCATCATGACGCCGCCTAGCGTACTGCCTAAGTTTTGACAAAATTCGTATACTCGATTGCACTACAGCCTTTCAGAAGGCGAAAAAGAAACTTTTAGAAAACTTCCTACAAACAGAGTTCAAAATATAAGGTTTATTGTTAACCGTTTGGATTTATCCAGAGATTAATAATATTATCATCAACCTTCGTGTCTTACACATACAGTACATATTCAAACAACAGACAGTAATAAACTCTTAGTTATAACCCATCAACATGATTCCTATCTTCTTTCTCGCTCGGCGGTATATCCATTTCGTATAATATTGCCAGAGTAAATGTGATATTCTATACGATATCGCACAAATCTTTTCTCCGTTTGGAAGGATGATAAACGAGGATTCCTGTCTTATAACCAATTGTCTGTATACATCAAGCATCATCCCCCACAAAAGCAATACTTTTAGAAAAAATTCTCAATTTTCAACTATACAAATATGGATGTCGGGTGTTACTCCTATTCCGGATGTCAGCATGAGCGTATATATTTATCCCGTTATAAACATAGAGACAAATAACTTAGTCGAGAGTGCAGCCACCACCCTGATTTTTAGAACTAGCCTGACCGATGGTGTTAATTGCAATAACTCTAATATCACCATTGAATCAAGTATTGAATTGGCTGGTAGTGTTACTCTTAGTGTCTCTATTTACCCAAGCATTGAGCTGTTTATAATGTTATTTCCACTACGGATGTTTCCAACAGATTAACTGATGACGTGAAAGCCAATCCCACCTTGTGATCAAGTACCAAGCTGTTTGGTAGCAGTGTTTCTGGTATTAAAACCGACCCAATTGAGTTTAACGATAGTGTCATCGCTACTGTTGATTCTACTCTGAGCTTAACCATTGGTGTTGCCTCTTATACGTCTACTTTAAGTTTGAGCTCATTTGCCAATTCCAGTATCAACAACACATAGAATCCAGTTAAGTATCATTATTGGCTTAAGTATCAACTCAAACTCTGCAGTCACAGTTTCCTATGATTCTCTTTAGCATGCCAGTAATAAATCTTCATTTGGAACCCAATTTTCTACTAGTGTCAGCTTGTGGACTCTAATTTAACGGTTTCTGTTTCTATTACTTCAAGTACTGAATTATATGCTTCTAACATTGCAAACAATCCAGCCTCTGGAATTGGCACTCCGGCTCCTTTTATGGTCGCTTCAAGTTCTTCTTCTTCAATTGTTGCTAATACTTCTTTTGCAAAATCTATTAGAGGCACCGAATCTGGTTATGTATTGGACGCCCCAGATATTTCTTCCTTTTCTTATTTATCTGCCACTTCTTCTGCGCAAACTACTGTCCTTGATTTTCCTTCTTCAGAAAGGGATCCTTCCTTTCCATTCAATTCTACCGCTCTATCTAAAAATGCCAGCGATCTTTATTCTAGTACACCTTCTATCAATGTTAGTGGCAGTGTGACTGTTTCTTGAAATTCTGAAATTTTTGCCGAAGCAAATTCAAGTCTCCTTTTTGCAACCATCTCAAACGGAAGTTTACGTTTACACTGCAATATCGACTGGATCTTCTATTGTCTCTTCGACCTTCCAAGATTCCTCTACTAATGGTAGTTCCAACATTGTCCAAGCTTCAGTACCAAAAAGAAAATACCAGCAGATATCTGCTGGTATTTTCGGGACTAATGCAGCAGGGCCTGCATTTAGTAGTCCCCAACTTCAAGCGAATGGATCTTCCAGAAATCAGTACAAAATTTCTGTCTTCCTCATTGCAGCTCTCTCAATATTGTTTTTTTTTTTTGTGATCATTTTTTCTCTTATTGGTCTCGGAATATTTAATTACTTTGTTTTTTCATCTGTTCTCTCTGCTATTGCTACATTTTTTGTTTTTTTCCGTTTTATTTTTTGTAATAATTATTAGGGATGTTGCAGACCCGACAATTTTATTTAGGCAAACTTTTTTATGCACGTGCGAGAGGCGTGACTAAAATAGTTGGGAGTAAAATAAAATCGTCTGTCGATTGATGAAGAATTTTAAAAATTACGTAATTTGCGCTCGTAACCCAAAAAAGATAACCCTCCCTGTAGTGCAATTAGTATTTATTACGCGTCAAAAAAAAAAAAAAACAATTTTAACATGAATTTTTTGTGTAAACACATCCAGAGATACGTTAACTTTTCAAGTAACTACCAGCGCTATGGACGACTTTTCTGGTCTCGATGACATCCAGAGAAGATGCAAATTGGCCAAAAAAACAAATGCAATAGTTGAAAAGGTCAAATTTTTTTCAAACGCGGCGTATTTCCTTCTGTTGTATCACGATTTTGAGGTTGCCCGCGAGGCCCAAAGACGCGAAGAAGAAATTATAAATGAAGCAGAAGTCGAAGCAGATGAATGTTATGAGCTGGATACCCAGTACCCTGATTGCTACTACAGGGCATCTTTCACTTTTAATCTTGAGGCTCTTAAACCATCAAGGATTTGGGAAGAATTTCGCTTTACAAGGAAACAGATCTATCATTTATCAGAACTTCTTGGGTTGAATGATCCAGACATCACAGGAGAGTTTGAATTCAGGCGCCCTCCTTTAGAATGCTTTTGTATGCTTCTTGGAAGGCTAGCAGTTCCCAGAAGACTTATAGATATGACAGAGATTTTTGCGGAAGATAAGACTGTAATGTCTCGGTGTGTATTAGAGTGTGCAAGATTTATTTACCGTAGATTCAGATACCTCTTGTCAATTGGAGATTATGAAATCCCAGCAAAAAGATTAAATATACTACAGGAGCTAGGATGCAAGGACCAAGACTATTATGACAATCTCCTGTTCTTTCTTGACGGGACAGTGATACAAGTTAATAAGCCAGTCCATGGTGGAGATGTATTGTATAATGGTCATAAACATTTTCATGCTTTGAAGTACCAAGTGCTTCTTGGTACCGATGATATTGTTTATTCCTTGGAAGGCCCTGCCGTTGGGCCTGCTCATGATAGTAGGCACACTATAGGGGTCCATTTGGAAGAACGAATCATAGAAGCTGCACCAGGATGTTGTGTTTATGGAGACGAAGCTTACAAGGGTACCGATGTCATGAGGAAACCCTTTAACAAATTACAACTACATAGAGTTCCAAAAACACATCCCCATTTAAGTCCTGAAGAATGTGAGAAACTAATAGAAGATTTAAAGTTACATAATGTGACCATGGCGAAGGCTCGTGTTAGAATTGAAAATCATTTCGCAAAGATCAACCAACAATTCAACCTTTTCAAATTGACTAACAAGAATCGTCTTGGACTGACACCTGTTGGTATACTATACTTCTGTGCAGTGTTTTTAACTAATATCAGAACTATATTACGCAGAAGAGATCTATCAGTGAGACAATATCTTTCTTGGAGGAGAGTTGGTAATGATATTGCTGCAGATAACAGTTCACTTGATGAAGAAAATAGTGAAGAGGAGGATGATTTGGAATGGTTGTGACTGATTCATTACATACAATTTTATAAAAAGATGCATTTAGCATTATACAGATCACGAATTTTCCAAATTGTTTGCCATTAATGTAGCTATCAAATCAATTTTTCTTTTCATATCGTCAAGGTCGTTCATTTTCTCCTTGAATTCTTGAGTATTCTCTTCAATTTTTGCGAGTCTTTTTTCAGTTCCTCCCAAAGCAACGGTAAGAATCCCCACCTTTCTAGATAATTCTTCAACGGAAACCATTTCCCTATGATTTTGAATTTGTTCCGCAGAATTCTGAATGAAGTTGTTGAGGTTTCTCAAGACAGAAGTAGCTTGAGACTCGAAAGGATCTGCAGCTGTTTCGGTCGCCCGTGGCAGAAAACCAGGGGAGCTCAATCGTGAAAAACGAGTCGAAAAGGATCCTGAGGAAGATCTTGAGGAGCGATTTCTGTAAGGAGTTGTACGAGATTGTGCTGTGCTAGATTCTGTTGTGCCAGATTGTGCTGTGCTAGATTGTGCTGTGCTAGATTGTGCTGGTGTTCCTTCAGTATTATTTTGTCCTCGTCTTCGTCTCGGCCCTCTTTGCAGCGCTAGCCTTTCTTCAATGTACCGCATTTGGTCATGCGGCACTGGAGCTCTTCTTTTTCTAGCTCTATTATCCTCTGCTCTCTGTTCAAGATGAGCATCGACTACCGCTTGGGAATCCTTTTCTTTGTCAACAATAGATTTGTATAAATCGAATAACTCTGGGAAAACAGTCCCAGAACTCAAACCAGTTTCTGTTCTGTCCGAACGTAAAAGCGGCGCAAAGTTATCAACCAATTTCTGCCACCGACTCTTCAAAGAAGTGACTTGTTTGTACTTTTTGAGTTGCTTTTATTCCAAGTAGCTAAGGCAGCCGTCCATGTGTTTAAATGATGGTGGACACCCTCCTTCAAAAGGAAAGGAGAGCAACAGTACATGATATCTAATAACAACAAGGTACTCTCATAGTCGTTGCTTACGACAGCTTGCCTTGGAACATTCCTTACTGTTCCTGGAAACACATCGATATCAACTGTATCTGTCACAATTTTTGGGTCAGGAGGTGCTTCACTGTCTGAAGAAACAGGAGAGTCATGATCAGCATCATCTTCGACATCCTCTTCGACATCATCTCTGGCATCATCAACTGGTGTAGACATTTTAATTTAAGGATTATAAAGCAGTGTTTTATTGATGTGGTGATACATAGATCGCGAAAACAATTTTCTATTTTTTTACTAGACGCGTTCGTCGCATTTTAGGGGTACCCTGAAGCGTTATAAATTGTTAATTATATATTAAATGATAAAACTTGGAGAAATGGTGGGTAGAACAAACCGAAACAAAAGTGGTGTGGATATCATAGATACCATAGAGAAGCCGCTCACTTGAAAATAGAAATTTCTTTTTTTCTTCTCTTTGATTCCCAATAAATCGATTAAATAGCCGCATTCGTTACGAGACGGATACGATTTCTATAATAATCGGCAGTTTGTGCGGTAGTGGCGCACAGAAGTATGAAAATAAGGTTTCGTTCCCGATATTTCTCACTTCATGAATTGCGCAAGTGATGCATGCACAGAAAAAGTAATTGCATAAGAAAAAAAAAGAAACTTTATGCAGATTTAACACAACTTGTCTATCACTTTTTTCTCGGATGGATGCAACTTTTTTCTATTTTATGTAACTGATATGAGAGATTTCTTCAAATTTGAGCGTAAAAAAAAAAAAAAAAAAAAAGAAAAAGAAACAGTATCTCCTTTCAGCAAAAAGGAAGACCTTCCCAGTTTCATCATCCCAGCACTTATCATATTTCACTAGCTAATGGCGCAGTGTAATTAGATATGCTATTATACGAAAAGATATAACATATTTACTATCTAGCTAACCACTATTCTAAAAAATGGTTTCCATGTAGCAAAAGCTTTTATTTGGCTTCAATAATGTTTTTACGAGTGAGTATTATATTTATCACAAACGTTTTCTTATTTTAGTGGGGTGCGGATATAAGGAGTGTAAATTGATGTATGTTGCTGTATTGCAATGCACACACAGAGAGCCGTGAACTTGAAAAAAAAAATTCTTCTGTTGACTTTATTACCTTCTTCTGCCCCACCATAGAAAGCGCCACGGAAAGGATGCTTACCCCTCTTTCTTTCCTTTGACAATTCGAGGTTTAAGGTTCTCGCCAAAATCATCTCTTTTATTATTAAAATATTAATATACGCAGAAAGCTAACTTATGTACTTACTCATTTGAACTTCAAGGAAGCATTAAAGGGGAAATAAAAGAAAAGAAAAGAAAAAGAAACTAGAAATAACGGCCAACAAATTGTTTACAGAAACCAAAAAAATTTTGCCCTGCCAACTCTAAGATGCGATCTAAAGTTATCGCTCGCTTCAGTCGCTGCAATGCACGCGCAAAACAAACTTCTGAAAAATAAACGACAACATGTCTGCCCCGCGACACAGCACCAATGCCTGGGAAACTTTTCCGCATCTCAGCTTCAAAAAATTTTATATAAAGATCAAATTACCTTCTCAACTATTAGAAAAAAATAATATTCTTCTATGAACTACTCTATCTAAACCCAATGAAGTTCAATAATTCAGGATTTATTTTCACAGTCGCTGCAGTTGCAGTTTTTACTGAAGCTGCTGCAGTCACCATGACCCCTTCATCCAAACCTTGCACCTCGGAAACCAATTTAGTTTCCATGTACGGTACCTGTGGTGGTATCAACTACAGCGGTCCTACACAGTGTGTTGCTAGTGCTACTTGTCAATCACAGAACCCTTACTACTATCAATGTGTTTCTGCTACTGGTGGTGCTTCATCTTCCAGCACATCCTGCACCACTTCTGCTACTCCTGCTACCCCAACCACTACTTCCGCTTCAGCTTCCACTTCAATCATCTCCACTGCTACAAATAGTAAGACCGGTTCTGCCGCAACTGGCTTAGTTTCCATGTACGGTACCTGTGGTGGTATCAAGTACAGCGGTCCTACACAGTGTGTTGCCAGTGCTACTTGTCAATCACAGAACCCTTACTACTATCAATGTGTTTCTGCTACTGGTGGTGCTTCATCTTCCAGCACATCCTGCACCACTTCTGCTACTCTTGCTACCCCAACCACTACTTCCACTTCAATCATCTCCACTGCTACAAATAGTAAGACCGGTTCTGCCGCAACTGGCTTAGTTTCCATGTACGGTACCTGTGGTGGTATCAACTACAGCGGTCCTACACAGTGTGTTGCCAGTGCTACTTGTCAATCACAGAACCCTTACTACTATCAATGTGTTTCTGCTACTGGTGGTGCTTCATCTTCCAGCACATCCTGCACCACTTCTGCTACTCTTGCTACCCCAACCACTACTTCCACTTCAATCATCTCCACTGCTACAAATAGTAAGACCGGTTCTGCCGCAACTGGCTTAGTTTCCATGTACGGTACCTGTGGTGGTATCAAGTACAGCGGTCCTACACAGTGTGTTGCCAGTGCTACTTGTCAATCACAGAACCCTTACTACTATCAATGTGTTTCTGCTACTGGTGGTGCTTCATCTTCCAGCACATCCTGCACCACTTCTGCTACTCTTGCTACCCCAACCACCACCTCATCCCCAGTTTCATCTTCCAGCACGTCTTTTACCACTTCTGCTATCACTGGTGTTCAAAACACTACTTCCGCTTCAGCGCAAACTTCAATCATCTCCACTGCTACAAATAGTAAAACCGGTTCTGCCACAACTGGCTTAGTTTCCATGTACGGTACCTGTGGTGGTATCAACTACAGCGGTCCTACACAGTGTGTTGCCAGTGCTACTTGTCAATCACAGAACCCTTACTACTATCAATGTGTTTCTGCTACTGGTGGTGCTTCATCTTCCAGCACATCCTGCACCACTTCTGCTACTCTTGCTACCCCAACCACTACTTCCACTTCAATCATCTCCACTGCTACAAATAGTAAGACCGGTTCTGCCGCAACTGGCTTAGTTTCCATGTACGGTACCTGTGGTGGTATCAACTACAGCGGTCCTACACAGTGTGTTGCCAGTGCTACTTGTCAATCACAGAACCCTTACTACTATCAATGTGTTTCTGCTACTGGTGGTGCTTCATCTTCCAGCACATCCTGCACCACTTCTGCTACTCTTGCTACCCCAACCACTACTTCCACTTCAATCATCTCCACTGCTACAAATAGTAAGACCGGTTCTGCCGCAACTGGCTTAGTTTCCATGTACGGTACCTGTGGTGGTATCAACTACAGCGGTCCTACACAGTGTGTTGCCAGTGCTACTTGTCAATCACAGAACCCTTACTACTATCAATGTGTTTCTGCTACTGGTGGTGCTTCATCTTCCAGCACATCCAGCTCCACTTCTGCTACTCTTGCTACCCCAACCACCACCTCATCCCCAGTTTCATCTTCCAGCACGTCTTTTACCACTTCTGCTATCACTGGTGTTCAAAACACTACTTCCGCTTCAGCGCAAACTTCAATCATCTCCACTGCTACAAATAGTAAAACCGGTTCTGCCACAACTGGCTTAGTTTCCATGTACGGTACCTGTGGTGGTATCAACTACAGCGGTCCTACACAGTGTGTTGCCAGTGCTACTTGTCAATCACAGAACCCTTACTACTATCAATGTGTTTCTGCTACTGGTGGTGCTTCATCTTCCAGCACATCCAGCTCCACTTCTGCTACTCTTGCTACCCCAACCACCACCTCATCCCCAGTTTCATCTTCCAGCACGTCTTTTACCACTTCTGCTATCACTGGTGTTCAAAACACTACTTCCGCTTCAGCACCAACTTCAATCACCTCTGGTGCCACTGCAAGTTCATCTTCCAGTACTCCTTCTATTACTCCTGAAACTTCTGGTTCAAACTCCAGCCAATCCATCAATGCCTCGAGTTCTGGTTCCGTTATTAGTGCTTTGAGCGCTACTTCTAGCATTGGCTCTGCCTTGGAAACTTCTTCTACTTTCGTTTCGGAGATCTCTTATAATGCTAGTTCTGAAACCATCTCTGTATCTTCCTCTGGCTCTAAATCTGTTTCTTCCACTGGTATTGTTTCTAGCTCTGGAACTGTCTCTGCTACTGCTCCTGGAACCGGTTCTACCTTAGTTTCGAGAACCAACTCTGTTTCTAGTTCTGAAACTACTTCTGTTGCCTCAATAGTCACCTCCATCTTGGTTCCTGAAATCGACACAACTGTTGTGTACACAATCACCTCCTGCGGTACCAAAACTTGCTACCCAGTTGTTAGCAGCTCTATTCAGAAGAGCACTGCTTCCTACACCACTCACTCACCATCGGCTCTATTGGCCAGTTCTACTGTTGGATCTGAGCAGTTGAGCTCTGCTTCTGCTTCTACCGCTCTATCAGGTACTACCCTGGTCTCTGCAACCGAAAATGTTTCTTCTTCTTCTTCTTCTTCTTCTTCTTCTTCTTCTTCTTCTTCTTCTTCTTCTTCTTCTTCTTCTTCTTCTTCTTCTTCTTCTTCTTCTTCTTCTTCTGCTGCTGCTGCTGCTACTACTACGTCTGTATATTCAGAGAAATCTGCAGCGTACTCTACCGGTGCATCAATTAGTGGCACTCCATCATCATACAAAGAAACTTACCACACTATAACCAATACAATTATGACCACCTTAATTAGCGCCATGCCATCTACTTCATCCATAACCTATCCAACACATGCTATTAATTCAGGCGATAGTGGAAGCTCGTCAGCTTTGCGTCAAAACTCATCGACTGACTCACCAACATCTGCTGCTTCATATGGTGCTGCTACAACCTCAGCAACTGTTCAAGCTCAAGAGGGTGGAGCTTCTAGAGCCTCCACAAATATTCCGGGTATTTTTGGGTTGATTTTTATATTGTTATTCCTTTTCTAAGTATCATACCCCTTGCATTTATGGAATCTTAATTTTTTTTCTTCCTCCTTTTCTTTTACTTTTTTACACTCGGTGAGGTTATTGGATAAATTTTAGCTAATTTTTTTTTCTTTTTGATTTTATGTTTTTTGTATTCTCACATTAAATCTTTAACGTAATAATTATTGAACTGGTTCTGTTACAGGATGGTCCCTGGCGGCATGGACGGAGAACTAAATGTCGGTTTATAGATATTAATGTAATGATAATAATAAGTATAAAGTAAATGTAAACCTTTAATAATATATAAACAGGAATTTGGTTGTGAGTCTTGATCCTTCTATATACATGATATTAGTAACTATGGATCGTTAAAAGCTACAAAAGTAGTGGAAGTATTTGTGATTATGAGCCCGTGGCAATCGAGCCATGGTAGGAGATCTGTACTACCGGCAGACTGACAATTAACAAATATACGCCTTGACGTAGAGGCTTAGTTGATTGTTTGATATATTCACATCAATTTACAGCATAAGTATGCAAATTAATACAACAAAAATAAAAACAAGAATAAAATAGTCTAAATTGGTGTTTCTATGCATAATATTAAGCTTCATGAAGCCCGTCCTCCCCCCGTCTTCTCTCCCTTGGAGTTTCAAATCATATCCAGAGTTTTTAGCCATTAATCCTAAGAAAAATCTTGCAAAATATAAAGCAATGTTTATATTAGCAAGTAATAATTGAATAACTGTATTTTTAAGAACTAGTGGATACATAGTATGGAATAACACAAATCAAAAAATAGAAAGATTTTTAGACTTCCGAAGATGCCGCATGTTGTTAAGTAACAGCTTCAACTTTTTTCACTACTACTACTACTGATATTGCAGAAACTGGAGATAATAGTAGTAATTCGCCTCAAGGATTTGATGAGACTCCTGGTTCTACATTAACCACCACCGTTCATCGGGTCAGTTTTATGACGGACAGTTCGGTGACATTAGGAATCTCTTACTTATTATAATACTTATGGTTTTGTGGATCTCTTTTTCCGTATTTTTTTTTTTACCATAGCAGTTGTGACAACAGAGCTGCTACATTTCTATTAACATTTGTATTTTTCGTATTGTCCATGACGAATCAGCAACACAAAAAGTTTATTTGTTTCTTTTTTTTCTTCTCGAAAAAATTTTCCAAATTGAGGCAAAAAAAACGGTGCAAATGCGAAGTAGACATTGACATCAAGGAAACTTAAAAGTTTATTTTTATCCAAGATATTTAACCCAACGTTAGACAAGTACTTTTGGTAAAATAATTTTGAAAAAAGGAAAAAAGAAAAGAGAGACAAAAAAAGAAAAGAGAGACAAAAAAAAATAAAAAATAAAAAAAAAATATGAATACTTACAATAGCTTATTGCTTTTTCCTGTCCCTTTTTCGTATTTTAGTCCAATTTCAGTTACTTTTCTTCTCGGTTGTTGTTGTAGTTACGCCAATGTGATACTCTATTTTGATTATATTGAGTCATTCCCTGTAAGTTTATTTTGTTGTTTTTCTCTCTTTAATTGTTAACCAATTGGAATTCCTCGGCAATTTGGATTCTATAAAAAATCTAGACCGTTGATGCCCTGTTGATCTTGCATAAGCGATGGTCATTAGATTAAAACTGCTCCGCAGCTTTAGGTAAGACACTCTTCTCGCTTAGCTGCAATACATAAGCTACGTAATTTTGCCATGATCTAAACAAGAAATTAATAATATCATTACCAATTGATAGAGTATTTTTTTGGCTCACTTTCATCAACCATCCGAAGCTTCGCACAATCATTGCCTGGAGCAAAAATATCCTGTTTGCCAGAACAGGTTTAGAAAATAAAAACATACTTTTCAGATGCATGCGCATACATAATAGGTAAAAAAAATTGGAAAAATATCTAATGACGACACACACGTATGGAGAAAAAAAGATTTGAAGAAATAAAACGAAATTTTCTCAGAAGAGCTATTATTTCTTTTGCCAAGTTGTTCACTTGCAGCGTTTACTACCTAAATTGGCAATGTTACATGAAATTCTACGATCTATTGCATATGATGGCAAATGCAGTTCTAGATACTTCCTCGGAACAATATCTTTCTTTTTTTCTCTCTTCGTTTTTTCATTCTTCCTCAATTATATAAATATGAATTCGTTCGCCATGAAATCTTCTAATTTGCAATACTAGATTTGGTATTGACACTAAAAAGCATTGATAATGAAACAATTCAGTACATTTTTATCTACATTATTTTTAGCTTTGTTCTTCAGCTTCACTAGTGCTGACAGCGGTGACGAAAACAATCGTGGTGCAATTCGTGAAAGCACTGGGTGTGCTATCAGCAGCTCACCAATTGGTTCTGGTTTCAATGCTAAGTTCTATAATTACACTTACGCTCAAATGTACTCACAAGGCTTTGCTGAGTACGAATTTGCTGATAATGGTATTTTAGTTGGTGAAGCTTCAGATATCACTAATATTACCGTTGATTGGCCAAGTGATGCTGATGGCGTCCAGTACAGTCAAGTTTATGGTGTTGATATCTCAATTACCAACTTCACCTTGGAACTTACCGGTTATTTCTACGCTGCAGAATCTGGTTTCTATGACTTTGACTTCCACAGTACTGATGACGTTGTCGTCTTATATCTTGCTAACAATGCTGCATTCGACTGTTGTAACAGTGCCAAACTTTCTAAGAATGCCGACTATGATAACAGAGTCATCTACACTGCTGGTTCTATTGCCAATGAAGGCACGGACTATGATGATTCCAGACAAACATACCTCGAAGGTGGTTACTACTATCCAACAAGAATTGCTTATGTCAACATGGTTCAATTTTCCCATTTGCAGTTGATCATTACCACTCCAAGTGGTAAAAAGATTGAAACATTTGCTGAAAGTGTTTTCCAATTCAATGAAGAGGATTCCACTTGTAGCACCATCACTGCCAATTCCCCAGGTTCTACCACTACTACTACCATGCCATGGACGCAAACCGTCACTTCTTCTTACACCACCACTGCTTCTGATCCAAGTTCTCCAATTATAGTCGTTGTTGAAACTCCTGAGCCTCGTGTTACCATCACTAAAGGTTGGTCTGGCTCATATGTTTCCTCTTCTACTGCCTTTCCAACTGATTTGAGCGAGACCATCAGTGTTTTCGTTGCCGTTCCTACCGTTACCACTGTTACCAGTAGCTCATACTGGACAGGCAATTACAACTATATTGTTACCACAATCACTGGCGCTGCTGCCGCTGGTGGTTCTGGCTCTGGCTCTGGCTCTGGCTCTGGCTCTGGCTCTGGCTCTGGCTCTGGCTCTGGCTCTGGCTCTGGCTCTGGCTCTGGCTCTGGCTCTGGCTCTGGCTCTGGTTCTGGTTCTGGTTCTGGTTCTGGTTCTGGTTCTGGTTCTGGTATTGAAATCCAAACCAACGTTGTTGTATTAGCTGTTCCTGATTCTACTACCACTCTCACTTCGTCCTGGACTGGCCTCTACAATTCTTGGTCATATATTTATCCAACTGGCACTGGTACCGTTATTACTGCTATTGAATATGTTCCACAATTCACCTACATTACAACCACTATGATTATTACCGGGACACAGGCTAGTTATGCCACTCAAACTCCTACTGGATCACAGACTGTTGGTACAGTAACTGCTTATCTTCCTCAACCAACCAAAACCAGAAAGTTCACTTATACTGGTCTGACAACCAGCTACTCCACAATCCAACCAACTGGAACTGTCTCAACTATCTTTGTTGACCAATATGTTCCTATGCCAACCACTACCGTTACTGTCGGTTACACTGGAACCACTGATAGTTACACCACAATTCAACCAACTGGTACTAAATCAGTCATCAGTGTCATCAAATATGCACCAGTTGCCTATGTCACCGAATCTGCTTACTACGCTGGCGAGACCACTTATTTCACCACATTATCGAAATCTTCTGGTGCTACAAATCCAACCATCACTGTCTCAGAATATTTGCCTTTCAAAACATCAACTTCCACCACCTTCTATGATGGAACAACCACATCTTATTCCACCGCAATGCCAATGGCCACTGTGTACACTGAGACCAACTTGGTCCTGGTTTATGGACAGTGTGGTGGTATTGGTTATTCTGGAAATACCCAATGTGTTCCTACTGCTTATTGTAACACACAAAATGAATGGTACCATCAGTGTGCTTCCAGAACAGATGGTTTCACAGGGAGTAACGCTATTGTATATGAATATCTTCCATTTAGTTTCAGTACTGAAACTGTTCATTACACTGGTACTGCAACTTCACAATTCACAGTTGTTCCAACTGGCACTGGCACCCAAGTTACCATCAAAGAATACATTCCTGATGAAACCTCTACACGTACAGTCTATTATACCAACTCTGGGACTTCTTATGCTACCCAATATCCGTCTGGGACTGATACAGTGGTTATTGTTAGCCAGTTTGTTTCCGGTCTCATCAAAACCATCAGCGCTCCCTACACCGGTACCACCACTTCCTATGCCACTTCTTTCCCGTCCGGAACTCATTATGTTATGACGGTTACTGCTTTTGTTCCTGGTGCCTCTGTTACTTCTTCTTCCATTTCTGCTTCATTGACTTCTAGCTCCAGTGTTGTCAGTTCTGCTTCATCTTTGAATACTACCTCTAGTGTTTCTACCTCTAGCTCAAGTACTTTCAGTTCTGCTTCATCTTTGAATACTACCTCTAGTGTTTCTACCTCTAGCTCAAGTACTGTCAGTTCTGCTCCATCTTTGAATACTACCTCTAGTGTTTCTACCTCTAGCTCAAGTACTGTCAGTTCTGCTCCATCTTTGAATACTACCTCTAGTATTTCCACCTTTACTACCTCTAGTGTTTCTACCTCTAGCTCAAGTACTGTCAGTTCTGCTCCATCTTTGAATACTACCTCTAGTATTTCCACCTTTACTACCTCTAGTGTTTCTACCTCTAGCTCAAGTACTGTCAGTTCTGCTCCATCTTTGAATACTACCTCTAGTGTTTCTACCTCTAGCTCAAGTACTGTCAGTTCTGCTCCATCTTTGAATACTACCTCTAGTATTTCCACCTTTACTACCTCTAGTGTTTCTACCTCTAGCTCAAGTACTGTTAGTTCTGCTCCATCTTTGAATACTACCTCTAGTATTTCCACCTTTACTACCTCTAGTGTTTCTACCTCTAGCTCAAGTACTGTTAGTTCTGCTCCATCTTTGAATACTACCTCTAGTATTTCCACCTTTGCTCCATTGACTTCTAGCTCAAGTACTGTCAGTTCTGCTCCATCTTTGAATACTACTACCAGTGTTTCTATCCTGCTTCATCCTCGAGTGCTACCTCAGTGCTGATACCTCGGCATCATTTACTTCAAGCTCTGGTAATTTTAGCTCTATTTCATCAACTTCCATTTCCAGCACTGTTAGTTCCTTTTCTTCAACTAGTACTTTATCTTTAACTTCAACTAGTACTTTATCTTTTTACTTCAGAAACTTCAACCTATCAACCAGTTCACTATGGAAACACAACATCGAGCTCTTCAACCACTTTTTCTGGCCATTTACCAGTATTACTGAAGGCACTACTTCTTGTGGACCAGATGGTTGTACCTCAGTGATCTCTTCATCAGTACAAGTTATGCTTCTATTGTTGACTCTTCAACTTTGAGCTCATCACCAGGTTCTATTACAACTGCAACGGCTGCTTGTACTAACATCATTGAAGTTCCTATCACTGTCACTAAAACCGTTACTTCTTGCGATTCAATTGGATGTGTCTTGATGACCTCAACCGCCACCATTACTTCAACTTCCTGTGCAAATAGTGCTGTTTCTACTAATGTCCCTCCTGTTTCTACCCATTCATCAATTTCCAGTTCTAGCCCACTTTTGACTACTTCTACCGATGTTGTTCATATTACAGCCACTACTGTTGAAACCATTACTTCTTGTGGTCCAGATGGTTGTTCCTTAGTTACCTCCACTGCCACTGTTGTTCCAACCTCCAGCTCAAGTGATCTTTCTGCTACTGTCTCTCCTGTTTCATCCCATTCATCAATTTCCAGTTCTAGCCCACTTTTGACTACTTCTACCGATGTTGTTCATATTACAGCCACTACTGTTGAAACCATTACTTCTTGTGGTCCAGATGGTTGTTCCTTAGTTACCTCCACTGCCACTGTTGTTCCAACCTCCAGCTCAAGTGATCTTTCTGCTACTGTCTCTCCTGTTTCATCCCATTCATCAATTTCCAGTTCTAGCCCACTTTTGACTACTTCTACCGATGTTGTTCATATTACAGCCACTACTGTTGAAACCATTACTTCTTGTGGTCCAGATGGTTGTTCCTTAGTTACCTCCACTGCCACTGTTGTTCCAACCTCCAGCTCAAGTGATCTTTCTGCTACTGTCTCTCCTGTTTCATCCCATTCATCAATTTCCAGTTCTAGCCCACTTTTGACTACTTCTACCGATGTTGTTCATATTACAGCCACTGCTGTTGAAACCATTACTTCTTGTGGTCCAGATGGCTGTTCCTCAGTTATCTCTACTACTACTGCCGGTTCAGATGATGCTGTTTCCGTTACTGGTTCTCCATCTATCAACACCATCCAATCTTCAACTTCAACTGATATGGTTTACAAACATGTCACTGTTACCAACACTATTACCTCTTGTGGTTCAGAAGGATGTATTGCGATCACTACTACCAGTATTGGCGTTTCATCATCAACTGCCGCTGTCTATGTTTCAGAGTCATCTTCCACCGCTAATAGTCCAAGTCTTGAACAAGAAGTCACCACTCAATCTAAGTCTACCTTTTCCATTGCAACCGCTTCCTCTTCTTCTTCAACTACCACTGCAGAATTGCAAACCTTTCAAGCTTCAGGTTCCCAATTGACCTCTAGTTTTGTCTCTGCTTTGGCCGTTTTTGCTTCTTTAGTCTTTATTTTCTAATTTTCTCCCTCTTTTTCCTTTTCTTCTTTATCTTCTAATTTTCTCTCTCTTTTTCCTTTTCTTCTTTATCTTCTAATTTTCTCTCTCTTTTTCCTTTTTTCTTTATCTTCTTACTTATACCCTTTCCTCATGATTATCATTTTCTTTTAACTGTTGTATATTAATAATAGAGAAACTAAATCACTTTTTTGACACTTTTTCTGTGTAGCTCACCCAATCCGACCGCATTCCGAGGAAAAGATGAGGTGAAATATACACGTGATATGGGCTCGGAATATCAGCTTTTGTGCTTTCGTGTTATTTTTCAATAAAAAAAAATTGTAACCGTTTTGAAGCTCACCTTATTGACAGCATCTTTGTAATCAGTTATCTTTGCAATTATCACACTGGAATCATGACTGCTTTAGGTAAGTTACAAGCATTTTTATGTTCTTCAATTTTATTGCTCATTTTCTTTTGCCTTTTTTCCCTTTGTTATTCGTTGATGCCAGTTTCTGTTGAACTAACCACATCTTTTCAGAATCCCACCAACCAGATATCAGTTCAGAGTCTTCTGCAAACTACGAAAATTGCGAAACTGTTAAAGAAACTATCAGAAGTGGGACTCCTCAAGCAGCTGCTACTCCTTCTAATTCTACCGATGCTAACGGTTCTGGTCCGGTCACTCCTGAAGTCAATATAATTCGCCGCAAATTAAATGGATACGTTGGGTTCGCAAATTTGCCAAAACAATGGCATAGAAAGTCCATCCGTCGTGGTTTCAACTTTAACTTCTTTATTGTTGGCGAAAGCGGCCTTGGGAAGTCCACCTTAGTCAACACCTTGTTCAACAGAGAGCTTTACCCACAAAAAGAAGTCAGAGACCCTTCCGCTGAAAAACAAACCAACGTTAAAATCGAAACCGTCAGTGCCGACATCGAAGAAAATGGTGTGAAATTGCATCTTACTGTTATTGATGCCCCAGGTTTTGGTGATGCCATTAACAACAGTGACTCGTGGGAACCAATTATTGAAGAAATCAATTCCAGATTTGATCAATACTTGGAAGCAGAAACCAAGATTAATAGAACCACCATTATCGATAACAGAGTCCACTCTCTTGTGTATTTTATTGAACCTACTGGTCACTCACTTAAACCTTTGGACATCACATTTATGAAGAAGGTCCATACTAAGGTCAATTTGATCCCTGTTATTGCCAAGTCCGACACCTTAACTGAAGAAGAAATTGCAGACTTCAAACAAAGAATTCTTGATGATATCAACACTCAGGGTATCAATATCTTCAGACCACCAACCTATGAAAAGGATGATGAGGAAACTATTTTGTCCTGTCAAGAATTAATGTCAAGAATTCCGTTTGCTGTAGTTGGTTCTACTGACGAAGTATCAGGTAAAGATGGCAACAATGTGAGAGGGCGTGCCTATCCATGGGGTATCATCGAAGTTGATAATGAAGATCATTGTGATTTCGTTAGATTACGTCAACTTTTAATCAGAGACTACCTTGAAGAATTGAGAGAAACCACGGCCAAAAAATTGTATGAAAATTACAGAACTGAAAAGTTACGCAACATGGGTATTGAACAAGACCATTCTGTATTCAAAGAATTTGATCCATTGGTCAAACAACAAGAAGAAAAAACTTTGCACGAGGCGAAATTGGCTAAGATGGAAGCCGAAATGAAGAGTGTTTTTGATCAAAAGGTCACCGAAAAGGAAAAGAAATTACAGAAATCAGAAGCTGAATTGTTTAGTAGACATAAGGAAATGAAAGAAAAATTATTGAAACAAGTGAGACTTTTGGAAGAAAAGAAGACTGCATTGGAAAACTCTTCCCGCAATATGTTAGATAATCCATCACAACAAAAGTCACGTAAAAGAATCTTTTAGATGTTCTGTTTTTCATTTTTCATTTTTATTTTTATTTTTATTTTTTTCCGATTTATTTTAGTTATTTATGTCTTACTTTTTCGTTTATTTGTGTTCTGCTAATCAATTGATTATTAATATATGTTTGATAAATATGTATTTTTTTATGATTTTTGTAATATTAAAATATTATATAACCAATGAAAAAAGGGATATTGAATACAATATATAGATAGTATTCTTGAGTGAAACAATTAGAATAGGGAAAGTATATAGGGATGTGACTGAAAGATAAAAAGGAAATAATAAAGTATAGGATAAACTTCGCTTAAGACTTTGTTTAGATAAGATAATTAAGTAACAAATTAAAGTAAGATTGAATTACAACGTTACTGATAGTATGTAACATAGGCCATGCTCAAGGTATTATTATACTATTGTTAATGTACTTCTGGGATGCATTGGTTAACTGATAATCCTTCGTAGAACATGCTAGCATTTCGAAGAATTCCCTTTCAGGTACTTGAACATGTCAGGATATTCTATTACTTTCTATTATCTTCTATTATCTTTTAGAACTATCCAATTGTTCTAAGAGAAGATCAAACTACTTAAATAGAGCGATGTTTCTCGTTTTTCCATCTTATTATCCTTATTTTAGAGGAAAGGTTTAAACCTTTACACAGTATTCAAACTTGCTTTAACAATGAATTTTATTTCATTCAATACAGCCATTAGTAGATCGAATCATGGTATAAGACTCTCAATCCGTCGATTAACATGAGATCAAGCTTATATTACAGATTTCTCAGAGATTTATTGTCTTCTTTGGGTTGAATAGTACACTGTTTATGTAAAAGATTCCCATTAATGGGTGTATTATTGGTAGCAACGATTATATAGAAGAAATATTATATTGTACAAACTGATTTGGAAGTTAAGAAATGCAATTGATAGAGAAAAAATAAAGGGAAGGTGTCCAAGAAGCCTTATAAACATAGAAAAACCAAACGAAAACCAGCAGAGAAGAGGAAAATAATAATAAAATAATAATAATAATAATTGTGCAACATTAGGTCCCTGATAATTTTTACCTGGAAATTAATTCATCACACCAACACTGCAGCGACGGCAACCATGACAACAAGGGCAGATGTCCCGCCAACCTTGAAGTTAGAAGCAGCAGCACCATCATACGTGGTAATATTGGAGATATTACTGACTGAGATATTAGAACCCGGGTATTCTATGAAAGAAGTACCATTAGTAGTATTGTTCACGGTAGCGGCGGATGAAATACCAGAGAATATAATCGCGAAAGTAACAAGAGTTGAGGTGAATTGCATTGTAAGGTATAATATCTGCACAACAAAAGAGAAAAATTGGTATCAGGAATATTAAGTATATTAAATTGATTTCATTTATCAAAAATTTTTACTTTGTGCTTTGAATATTATAAAAATGGGGGAATTCATCTGGTATTTATAGTATCGTCGAGGTGGCTATTTTTTTAAGGCTATGACAAGAATTGAAAAAGAAAGAAATGATTAAAAAAAAGGATTATGGACAGCCACAATAGTATAATAAAGCTAGACGAGTTGCTTTGTGGTCTCGAATATAGAAAATTGTGAGATAATAGTATAAGAGAGAAGAGGAAGAAATTGTACACAGACAGAGAGGACGTCTAATAGAAGAAACAACAATAGTGACAAAAAATAAAGAACTGTATCCACGGTTTTATTTTTAGAAATATGTGAAGTATATTACGATATTATTAACTTTGTGGTAGTAAAGTATCCAAGAATTGTAATATCTGCAAACATTTCTGAGTACAAAAACTTCCTGCCCTCATTTCTACACGAGCAGTTAAAAAATGTGATTATTTTTCATATATTTTTTTTTCTTACAAAATCATATCATTAGAAAAAATTCAATGAATAATAATAATTCTTCTTTATTTTCCATGGATGAAGTTCTATTGATACGCAATGTGCTATTCATGGATTGCCAGTAGGAACGACATGTGGCAGTTGGAAAAGATTTTATTGAAAAAAAAAAAAATAGATTTATTGAATAACCAAAGACAGAAAAAAAATATATTATTAATTGAGAGCTATGGTTACTTTGAGAAGACAACAGCTTCTCTCAATAGTAGTGTTGTTGAGAGTGGCATTTCACAATAGCTTTAACGGAGAAGGCTGGCTCTGACAGGGATTTTTGGCAAGGTTAAAACGAGAAAATATCCCCAAAATCCTTGGACAATTGAAGTTGCCAATCTTTAAAAGCAGCCACTATGAATGTAGTCGATCAAATCACTGGGTTTTGATGACAATAAAATAGCCCATTTCAATCTGTTTATAATTATCAGATTAAATGAGCCGTCATCGATGAAGGGTGTATGAGAGGATCTACTCCGTGGAATAATCTGCTGCACTACAATGTACCTGTCAGATGGATAAAAACGCACCTCACTCTGGTATTACGTAAATTACAGGGTAACGGTTATTCCATCTCCCATCAATTTGCAAAACTAAAAACTTGTCATCATCAACAATAGCTTTTTTTGGATACTACTGTTGAATACACCATCTTTTTGACCAGGTTGAAAAAAACAAGTATTAAAAACAGAAAGCAAACGAAAGGAGCCGTTTTGGAACAACTTTTTTTTTTTACCCAGTGGCACATACAAAGGATCAAAAAAACAATATTCTAATATCATAAATATGGCTGTTTCCGTACGTATAGTGTTTTTTTTTTGAGAACTATGCTATTGGTATCCAATTTATCTTGGTCTTATTGAAGAAAAATGAATGACTATTTTTCAGGTAAATCCTTTACTTTTATATAGGTCTATTGCAATTGTGTCAATTTAACTAACCAGTTTTCTTATAGGAATCTGAATTCTTGTATGTATTGTAAAATCAATATCACTTCTCCCAGAAGTTCTCTGTTATAATCATTTCTACTTTTTTATTGGAAGAATGGTATAAAATGATTCATATTCAATTTTGCTGTCTTTTTTTCTCTTTTTTTTTCCGTGGTTCCTTTACGATGCTAATATCGATAGACACATGAACTAACAATAATTTGAATAGAGCCAGTTACCCACAAACTTCTCCGCCAGGCCCTTTTACTGGCTATCCAGGAAACTTGACTTCTGAGCAGAAAGAAGCTCTCCAGAAGTTGCACGATGAGTTGATAAAGGGTGGCTATACTTTGAGATTGGATGAAGCTACTTTGGTAAGTTTATTATTTTGAATTATTGTTAGGGTGGGAAGAAAGCTTGTCTTCTTTATTCCCTTGTTTCCCATCCATCACTTCAAAATTCTTAATTATTTATACTAACACTCTCAACAGTTACGTTTCCTCCGTGCTCGTAAGTTTGATGTCGCTAAGGCCAAGCTCATGTTTGAAGAATGCGAAAAATGGAGAAAGGAAAATGGCGTTGATACCATCCTTGAAGACTTCCACTACACTGAAAAGACTACTGTTGCCAAGTTCTATCCACAATACTATCACAAAACTGATAAGGATGGCCGTCCTATTTATATTGAAGAACTTGGGTCAGTTAATATTACTGAAATGTACAAGATTACCACTCAAGAGCGTATGATCAAGAACTTGATTTGGGAATATGAATCTTTTGCTAACCATCGTTTACCAGCTTGCTCACGTAAGGCCGGACATCTTGTTGAAACCTCCTGCACCATTTTGGACCTCAAAGGCATATCCATCACCTCTGCCTCTCAAGTTTTGTCCTACGTGCGTGAAGCTTCTTACATCGGTCAAAACTACTACCCTGAGCGTATGGGTAAGTTCTTTCTTATCAATGCGCCATTTGGATTCTCCACCGCTTTCAGACTTTTCAAGCCATTCTTGGACCCTGTCACCGTTAACAAGATTTTCATTTTGGGTTACTCTTACAAGTCTGATTTGTTGAAGCAAATTCCTGAAGAAAACTTGCCAGTAAAATTCGGCGGTAAATCAGAAGTTTCTGAGGAAGATGGTGGGTTGTACTTGGCCGATGTTGGCCCTTGGAGAGAAGAAAAATATGTTGGCATTGAAGGTCCAGCTCCTGTTGCTGGGAAATGATTGGACTTCTTGGTGCTTTTGTTCCTTTTAAACTTTGTTTTCATCTATACTAATTTGACATACATAATACATGATACTCGCTCATATGGCTTGCTCAGGTCAGTAAGAGATGGCATATGAACAGCAGGTATATATTCCCAAAGCATGAGAATAGCGATCATTTCACGTAATGGCAACTAATTGGCCATGGTCTCGAAAAAGTAAGTGGTCAAAATAGTAAATGGTTCAATATGATAATCAGCAAGAGGTTGGATTGACATCTTGTTACATTTGTGCTCTATTTTCTATATTCTGATCTCATTCAACTGTACCCTGTTTTTATTTATTTATTTATTCATTTATTATTATTATTCTAAAAATTTATTGTTTTCAACTTTTAACAGTCAATTTAGTCATAGATTTCAGCATCGAGGATATCCTGTATTTATACGTGAAGAAAATCTCTCTTATGTATCAAGACTTTGCATAACCATTATATTTGTCACCTGGGTATTATTTTCAGTATTCTCATCTATTTTCCTAAAACTAAAACTTGAGAGCAATAAATATAAAATAATGATAATTGAGTTCGTTCAAATTTTAAGTAAAATGAGCAACTGTTGCTGTTTTAGGAAGACATTACATGTAGTCATCTTAGTTCCCTATATTTATGATTAATATTGCAAATAAATAATAGTCAAGAAAAAAAAAGAAAAGAAATCAATTGCTATAAAGGCTGGAAAAAATAAAGGCGATGTGTATTTTGAAATTGCTCCTGATTGTTTCAGTAGTGTCTTTGTAACTTCCTCCCTTTAAGAAGTTGTCTCTGACGTGGATTATATTCAATTGGTAGAGGTTATTCTATCATCATATTTTATGAGTGGTCATATAATGTTATTATAATTTACTCCAATAGTGTTCTATCAAAACTGAAAAGGAAGGAAAGAACAAAATTTTAAGAGTCTCGAAAGAGAAGAAAAGCATCCAAATTCAGGACTTTCAAAGGGAAGTGCAATCTAAAACTAAGGTAAAATTTGTAAAATCATTTTCTTTTCTCTTGTCTTATTATTATTAACTCTCTTTTTTCACTTTTTTGCCCAATTCTCCAAATCAAAAATTTTCTTTTTAAGTATTAGACGTGTTACCGAACGGAAATTTTACTATCACAATCACTATCACAAGTATATGTTAATAATGGTTGACAGAAAAATATGTTTTCCATTTGAGAGAATGCCAAATGAATTAATATTCCGGATTTTTGGGAGACTAGATGCTTACGAACTTTTACCTGTAATGCGCATTCTACCATCGAAAAACAGGTTATACGAATGTGCTTTATTTTTGTTGCTCCATAAAGTCGAAATTTATTACGATGGTAAAAATACAAAGCCTGAATGCTTTGAAGACATTTTCAAAACTATTTACAAGTATCAAAATCAATCTGATGGAAGTCAAAATAATTATCTGAAACCACACGTTTGGATTCGTTATAACAATCTTCCAAAGATTCTGAAATATGAATCTGCAATTAAAAAGATTATAATCCATAAAGCAGAAAACAGTTTTTGTACTCGGAGACCTTTAATATCCAAAGGGAAGTCAAAAATTATCCAATGCTTTTTGAATCGGTGCACTAACGTCAAGGTAATTGAAAACAGGTGTGGTTTAGATGTCGACTATCCCAAATCAACGGAAACTTTGAAAATATTTATGGAAGATGAGGCAAAGTCATTTTATATGCGAACTTACGGAAGATTTATCATTGATTTAAGCAAAATTAGTTTGCCAACAAAGATAAAACAACTATATCTTAAGCTGGTAAGGTTCATTTTTGATATAACAGCTTGTTTTCCAACTTTATCCCATCTTGAAATTGAATGCTCTGTAATTAGAAATCCTAAAAAACTAAGAATCGATAGGCATTGGTTCCCCTCTTTGGTAACATTAGTATTGCGTTGCGATACTATGTACCTGGATCCGTTGGAGATAGATTTACAAACACCGAAAACCGGCAACACCTACCACAATAACGCAAATAGTGTTGATCTGAATCTGACAACATTCTTAAAAGGATTCCAGGAAATTGAACATTTGACCATCATCAAGTGTGGAGACTCTATGATTCCCAAAAGTTTACAAAATTATAAGGCCTTGAAAACCATTGATTTTTCTTGGAACAATACATTCAGAATCTCCAATAGCTTTAAATACCTTGTGAATTTAGTTTCCCTAAATCTTGAATACAATGATATTCGGAAAATTGAAAATTTGGGTGGGCTTTTGAACTTGGAATGGTTACTGCTAAAAGATAATGAAATTGAAAACATTGAAGGCTTAAACTTGCCTAAGCTTAAGTATTTGAACATCAGCCAAAATCGATTGCGAGCTATTGATAATTTACAAAGTTTGAAAGTCCTCGAAGAATTGGACATCTCGCGTTCTTATTATTTGAAGAGCATTGTGGGCTTGCTAACCGTGGTTGAAACCCTTGTTACTCTTCACTGTTATTCTCTTCCTTGGAGAAACTTCTCAGATACTGATCTTTCCAGGTTGTCCAAAATTAAAACCATAAAATCTGATTCTTTAATGCCGCAATTTCCACTCACTTAGAACACACAGAGGCAGGTTTTCTAGTGTTGAAGGAACTGATAGTAGTTTCTGCGAAATCCACGAGCCCATTGAAAGAAGCAGGATGCCTTATCAAATAATCGGTTTAGAGTCTTGAAAAATTTTATGCAGGGTTCTACTTAGGTTCACCTAAAGTGAAAATAGTAGTGCAAGAGTAACTTTCCAAAAGATGTAACCATAAACAATAGGCGAAGAAATTGAAAATTGTTGTTCATTCAGCATTATCTAAGGCTGCATAATTTTCATATAGTAGTCTGTAAGAGATTTACAAGCTAGATAACAGCATAAATTCAGTTAGAAGTTCCAGCGTCACATCATGTCATTCGTCAATGGGTGAGCGAACAATATCTTAGTAATCAGTCGATGAGACTGAGCGAACCAACCTCCCACAGGTGTGGTGGTGCCAACACAAATACTACCAATAATGTTATGTGATCTCTAATTTTCTCATCGGATAATATTTTAAGAAGCCAAATTGATTCCAAAAAATATATTGCACTGTGTGACTATTGAACAAATCTTCTTTTATTAATACTCACCTCAGCTCATAACTTTGTTTCATTCATAAGACATTAATCACATTTCTCTTCATATTTCTTGATAAGTTATTAGGTGCTTTTCCGTTTTAACGTTTAGAAAAAGGCGCTTGACCTCAATATAATAACATCTTCAAACTTTTAAGAGGCAAACTTATGATTTTCATAGAATATCATCCTGCTACAATCAAAGCAGCAGCATTTCCACAATCATCGATCAAAATGTTCTGAAGTCATAAAATTTGTGTTTCATACCTGTTGGTTTTGAAGCTGAGTCTTATTTTTTTTTGAAAATAAGTTAACTTTAAGTATCTATTTCTTTTCATGGCCTTCTAACATTCTTACAGATTTTTTAAAAGATGTTTTTCAGCCTTATCGCTAACATCTCAATTGCATGCAGAAAAAAAAAAAAATTAACGGCAAAAAAGTGAGCAACAGCAATTTAGTGTGAATGAAAGTGAAGATAGACACTGTGGAGGCAGAAAAATACACCCTAGGGAAGTTAAAAAAAGATGACACCAGTGTCTCCGTATGGTTCACCCACTAAAATTTTTTTTGAGTGCGTGGTGGTATCGCCTACATGTGAATTGTGATATTGTATCAATAATGTCTATTATGGAATGCTAAATGCTACAGGTGTGTAAAACCAAACGTTAAATCAAAAGTACTAAAAAACAAAAATTAGATCATAAAAAAAACAAACAAAAACAAAACAGAATTTAGATGGCATTCATGCAAGAGAAAAGCACATATAGTAATTAGAAATCCGCCTTTGAGCCAGAATTGAGTTGTTCATCTGCCAACAACTTGTCCAAGACTCCGGCTGCAGCAGCTACAAGACCCAAGAATGGTCTAGATGGCTCTAAAACCTTAGACAAGTATTCAGGGTGGTATTGAGCAGCAACATAGTATGGGTGAGATTCATCTTTTAATTCAAAGATTTCCATTCTAAGATGGTTTTCATCTTTACCAACAAAGCTCAAGCCATGGTTTTCAATTTCGGAAACCAATTTAGGGTTGACTTCATATCTGTGACGATGTCTTTCAAAAACTTCAGGTTTGCCGCCGTACAATTGTCTGATTTTGCTCCATTCAGAGTTAGGTTGGAATTTGGTGGATCTAAGACCCAATCTCATGGTACCTCCCAATTTGTTTTTGTCAATCTCTGGCATGTAGACAATAGCACGCTTGTCTTCAGGAGTAGATTCGTCGAATTCTTGAGAAGTGGCACCTTCAATACCAAGAATATTTCTCACAAATTCAATAACAGCAACTTGCAAACCCAAACAAACCCCCAAGTATGGAACCTTGTTGGTTCTGGCGTAGTTAGCAGCAGCAATCATACCTTCAATGCCTCTGGATCCAAACCCACCTGGAACCAAAACACCATCGGCAGCCTTCAATTTAGCCCAGTTTTCATTGTACACCTCTTCGCTAGCAACACCCTTTTCCAAATCGGTAGACTCAATCCAAGTAATGTTCATTTTTCTACCAATCTTCATGGAAGAGTGTTCCAAAGATTTGATAACTGATAAGTAACTATCATGCAAGTTGGTGTACTTACCAACAACAGCAATATTAACGACTTCCAAAGACTTTTCAACAGAAGAGCACAAATCAGACCATCTCTTAAGTAAATCTTCACCCTTGGTAATTCTTTCTTGAGACAAGTTGCTGTCACCGAGACCGAATTTCTTGACCAAGAATTCATCTAATTTTTGTTCTTTCAACAACAATGGTACATGATAAGTGGAATTCAAATCATGAACCCCCAAAACATGGTCTGGACCAACATGACAAAACATGGAGATTTTGCTCATAGTGGTTGGTTCCAATTCCTTTGGACAACGACAAGCAATGAGATCTGGGGTTAAACCCAATGATCTCAAATCTTTGATGGCAGCTTGTGTTGGTTTGGTTTTTTGTTCACCATTGATAACTGGAACCAAACAGACATGAACCAATGCAAAGTTTTCGGAACCAACTCTGAATTGGAACTGTCTGACAGCCTCAATGAATGGGGCACTTTCAATATCACCGACAGTACCACCCAATTCAACAATACAAATGTCTGGTTCTTCACCAGAGTTATCAACCGGGATTCTGGCGGTACGTTCGATCCAATCTTGAATTTCATTAGTCAAATGAGGAACGATTTGCACGGTTTTACCCAAGTAATCCCCTCTTCTTTCCTTTTCAAGCACCTTTTGGTAAACTTTACCAGTGGTGATATTATGATCCCTGGTCAATGAGATGTTCAAGTATCTTTCATAATTACCAAGATCCAAATCACATTCGGCACCATCGTCCAAGGTGAACACTTCACCGTGTTCCAAAGGGGACATAGTACCAGCATCGATATTCATATATGGATCGATTTTAATGGAGGTGACTCTGTAACCCAAGGTTTTCAAAAGCAAACCAGTAGATGAGGCTAAAATACCTTTACCAATACCACTGATAACACCACCAGAAACAAAAACGTACTTCATAATATAATATAATTCTTAAAATAAAACCTTTCTGAATAAAGATACAGGCACTATACCAATGACTCTTGACTCGAGTAAGAGTAACAAAAGTAAAAAAAAAAAAAGAGGGCGAGAAGAGGTCGCGGTAAAAATTTTTTTTTATGAAAATTTTTTTTTTTTTTCTCCTGGGTAATTTTTTTTTGGCGTTTATCCCGTGATATACTATATACACCATTTACACGGGTCATCTGCTGGCAGCTAACTGCAAGTATTTGGAAGCACCCAAAATAAGGAAGGTTGAATATTTTAACTAGAGGAATGAGAATGATAATTTCCATTAGTGTAATCATAAAAAAACCCAAGAATTCTGCTCTATTTTTGAGGATTATATAGCACGAGCTGACAATAAAAAAATTGTTATTGATATAACTACAGAATAAATAATTGAGCGATCAATCTTTTGAGACATTACAATACCAAGCGAAAATTGCATTGCGATATTCAGCATTTTGTAATATTATACTTCCACCGCCACCGTTTCTAGAATTACCTTCAAGTTTTCATAAAATGGCCAATGACTTTCAAAGTAACTACCTGATGGATATTGATCTGATCCAAATATGACAATATTTTTTATTGTGTTTTTCCAGCTCCCCTACTCATCTGGCGCATTTCCCACATTGATTTTTTTCACTACGGGAATTCCTTATAAAGTCTCAGTATACACTGTGTTATTCAAAAGTAATATAATGTAATATATATTGTAGCAAATATTTGTGGTGGAGCAAAAAATGAAGAAATGATTATTGGAATATGTAGGCATAAGAAATAATAATAATAAGTTATAATGGGAAACGTTTGATGAAAGACACAAAATAGATAAACGTAATGGGAAGCACATAAAGAGAAGGATGTAATGATAAATATATAATACAAAAGCACCAAATTTCCAATAAAATTTACCCTAGGGCCATTCCTTGAATTGACAACCTCAATCCACACAATCATCTTCATTACTTGTAATTTTTTGAATTTCACCATAATGTTTTGGGAAATCTTGATAATGGAACGTATGCCTATGAGCTTTCAGGAAATTCTCCCTTCTTTTTTGTATATCTTCACGTTGATTCATTTGTTGTTGCTGCAACATCATGAGTTGCCTATTCACATCATTCACCCTGGTTTTTGGTGGCAACCGGCATGCATCATCGTCATCTTCTACAAGAAACAGCGACGGCAAGGATCTTGATCTCTCATGTTTCTTTATCCAACTCATCTTCTTACTCTGGATTGTTTTTATTGTTGCTTTTGTTGTTTTTATTGTTGCTTTTGTTGTTTTTGTTTCTTCCTCGAGGCTATGGGGCGCTACACCACAGTTTAGCTCATCGCCTTCGGTTTTAATGGAACAATCATCATCACTATTATTATTGATAGCCATTTCCTGATCCTCGTCCTCGCTAGCATAGTTTTCGTATTTAAAATGTTCATCTTGCTGAAGACTTTGCGTTGAGTCGGTGACATTGAGATTAATCGTTCCCTGGTCCTTGGGATCAAGATGATGATTCTCGGTTTTTATTGACTTGATCTTTGTGTAAATCTTCAAAAGATTCATTTTGGGGGTCACTTGAAGCATTTGGTTTTCCGTAAGTAAAAAAGGTTTATCAGTGGTCAATAACAGGGGTACCTATAAACAGGATATTGAGATATCAAAGCAATTGTCGTTGATTTTGCTCAATTATTTTGGGGGCTTATTATATATTAAATACTGATTGAGAAGGTATGGCAGATCACACACTCAGCAAAAAAAGGCATGCATCCGATCGCACATGAATTTCTTATTTTTTATTTGCCTTATTTGATAAGATCGATGTTTGCTGTGTACAAAAACAATAGCTTTGTCAGAAAATCACTGAGCAACAGAAAAGTATATGTTAGCAATATATGTTTTACCTGGGACTTCCAATCAGTGTTGCTTTCCCTATACGAACTGTAGTTACTAGTAATAGTTATTTGTTGATGAGATATGAGACTGAGTCAACTTTTTCTTGTCTTTCTTTTCTTAGAAGACTCTTGCAGATCTCTTGATTTCTACTCTTAAACGAGGCGATTTCAATAAATATATGGGCGTGGATAGACAACGCAAAAGGATCTCTAGAACTGTTGTTTTTTCTTTCTTCCTTTTATTTATTATCCATTTCAAACATCATATTCTGTGAAAAAAACAAAGAGCCATTTAAAATACTAATTTTAGCAATACTATTCATATCTCTGAAGAATTTCTGGAAAATGCGGCTCTTCATATTCTAATAACTCAAAATCAAAAACAGGAAATTCCAGAAAACAAGAAGTCAACCGGATGTCTTGGAGAGTTTGAAAACCTGATTTAACGGTGTGGTGGACAAAAAAAAGAATTCCAAAAGTAAGAAGATGATCGAGATTTAGCTCTCTTGGGGTCTTTCAATTCAGTAAACGATGATCCGGTTTTGTGGGAATGTATTTCAGATAAGAATTCGGGAAAAAATTCTTTCGAGTGAGAGTGTTGCTTAGATTTATGGGTGTTGTAAATGCTATTCTTTTTATTTTGGCAACTTGAGCCGCCAAAAAGCACATTGTACCAAAACAGATTGGAATCGCGAGTAGCATTATTTCTAGACAATTCAATCAATCCAGTATATTCTTGATCTCCATAATCATAATCTTCTTCCTCTTCTTCATTTTCACTATAAATATTGTCAAAGTACTGACGATGATGAAATCTTTCTCCAAAAACCGATTCTGAACATCTTATACATGCCCTTTGCTCTTGGATATTACCCTGGAAGTATTGTTTTTGTCTCAATGATGCCGGATTTTCCTGTGTCTTGTTAGCGCCGCCGTGCATTTTTCCTGGAACTTTTTGATTTCTTTGTTTATGGATATACTGCTTCAGAACCTCGTTTGAAACGCCGTCCAAATCATAACCTTTGCTTTGCAATTGATTTCTGATGAAATCTAAGGCTTTTGGAGCCCGTGGTAAATAATCTGGATGATTTTGAGGCAACATTGGATATGTAATTATATAGTATGACGTCAAGTTAAGAAAGTATTTAAAAATGAAAGATGAAATGTTTGGCAGAAAGAACAAGAACAAGAAGAAAAAGAAAAAGTGGAAGCGAAAAATGAGCTAATAAATACTTATTGTTGCCATAGAATCACATGAAAACCGAAACAGGGAACTCATGACCTCCTGCTGTTATCTTTCATCATTCGTTTTTCCTTTTTTTCGGTTTCGTCATGTTGAAGTCAAAATATGCACGATGATCGGAGGCAAACAATAAATCATAATAGAGAATGATACAGAACGAAGAGCACAAGAGGGAATAAGAGAAGAGATAGTTAAATGATAAATAAGTAAGCGCCATCTATACAATATATTATAATATGAAGTTTCCACGTTGCCTCCCCCAAACACTGATCCTATCTTACAGCGGGGCCAACTTTTTTTTTTTTTTTTTTCCATGTTGCTTAAGCGATATCTGATTACGAAGCTCAATTTGCTTATCTCTTCCTTCCTTAGTAAGTTATTCTTATTCCTTCCTGATTTAATTTTGTGCAAAACCATGTTTTAGAATGCTCATTTTGTTCCTTCTACTTTATTTATTATAGGAAATAACGCTTATATTACAATACATATGATACACAGCACGAGGCAAACGATTACGGGCGTGAAGAAAACATTTGCCAGGAAACCATACAACTGGGAAGGGGACGAACAAAAAATGAACGAATGAAGAAAAACACATTTTTTAGTCTTCATCTTGATACTCCACCAAAGTAGAATTTGTAACTATCCCCAAATCGTCTTCAGGAAAATCATAACTTGATAAATTGGAAGTCCTCTTTAGCCCCGGGATCGAGAATTTTATCTTCAATGGACTGCTTGGTTTGCTAGAACTTTTTGGTGTTGTAGGGGTTGAAAAAGACCTAAGGTCGTTACGTCGCTCATGAATAAAAGAAAACGTTGATAGCGTAGTGCTTCGAGGCAATCTAGTATTGGCAGCACGATTTGGTTTGGAGTCATTGCTTTGCGATAGAGCATTTAAATTAACTGAGCTCAAGGAAAACTTTGATTTCTTTTTGGTTAAAGTTCTTGGACCTGGCGCAGAGATTGGACCCGAATATGGCATTAATGGCGGATTAGAATTTTTTTCCAATTTTAAAGGAGTGAGATTTGGCCTGTTTTTGAGTTTTTGATCTTTGCTGGAAGGATCTTTAGCGAATAACCTAATATTTGGTATGGTGAGTCCACCAAAAACTGAATCGCCGTCGTTAAAGGGTAAGCTGAATTTCCTTTCATGGGTTTTAGTAGAACGATTGGCATCTTGATACCGGTGATTCAAACCTGTTGATGAGGAATATTTATGTAGTCCCAGAAAGTTTTCATTATTAAAAGTTGGGGGTTCAAATGATCCTAAAGAATTTTGATTTTTGTGGGACTCAAAAGAATTTAATGATGAATATGGTTGAGAAGGTGGGAAAATTTGAGGGTTGAAACTGAAGACATCTGTATTATTATTATTATTATTATTATTATTATTATTATTATTATTATTATTATTATTATTGTTGTTGTTGTTGTTGTTGTTGTTGTTGTTGTTGTTGTTGTTAATAGCAGTAGCAATAGGAGTGATAGCATCAGTAGAATTCGAAATACTACTATGACGCTTGTTACGCTCTATGGTACTGGAGGAAATGGTCAGATGTGATACAAAGTTCAAATCATCATCATCATCATCTCCTAAATTCAATTCATCGTCTCTGACAGAAACTTTGATAGTTCTATGTTTAGGATTACTATTGGCATTGATATAACTTGACGCGACAGAATCCGCCCCCTTCATAACATATTCATCAAATATGCTAAGATCTGACGCTAATGAGTCTCTGGAGACGTTATTATCTTGGTTCAATAGTCTTTTGGCATATAGCTCTCTATGAATTGACGACGAAGTGCCGATGGAGTCCTCTGTCATTTTGCACCAGGATTTTGTGACGTTCTTTGTGGTAATATGTTGTTATTGTTGAACAAGTAATCTAGTGAGTTTGTTTTGTATACAAAAAGATACCAAATCGAAAATTGTGATCTCAAATATTACTCAATTGGGAAACAGAGTCAACAAGAGATTTTCAAAGATGGCAAGTTGACAGAAATGGAATGATAAACACCAGTAACCGATAAAATGAATGAATAAATAAATAAATAGCTACCCAGTAATGTTATTATAAATAGATATAGATAAGAAAGATAGGAAAACAAATAAACTTTTTGGTGATACTTTTCTCGTTTCTTTTTCCTAAGCAGCGTGCGCGGAGTAACTGCCCTTTGTCTTTTTCTTCAGGTACCACCAGTTACCACACATTTCCAGAAGAACGTGCCCTCTGAAAAGTTGGAAATGCCATACCTGGTTCTTTTGTCTCTCTTTTATTGTTACAGTATCATAATGTTTTGAAACAAAGTGAGCATACTATTTTTGACGGCTAACGATAAGAAAAAACCTGGTTCAAAACATAATACGTAATATAAATAAGAATGAGCCAGAACGAATATATAATAAGAATACACAATAATAAATAATTAGAAACAAGAGCATGACAAGATAACATAGCAAAAAAAACAACCCAAACAACAAAAATCATATCAATTCCTTGATGTATTTTTCAATAGCGTGAGTGCCAACAAGTGGATGGAATCTTCTGACAACTGTGCCATTTGAATCGATCAAGAACTTTTCATAATTCCATAACAAACGTTTACTGAAGCACCCATCTTCACCAACTCCATAATTCCCATTATTCACGTTGAATTTGTTGATCCATGCTGGCGCCTTAGATGTTTTCAAGAATTTGAACACTGGATGACAGTTCAGACCATTGACATTGACCGTGGCCATTATCGGATGAGGGGCGCGGTATAAACTCTTCTCATTCTCTGGATGATTGCGCAGGGGCTCTTGTAAGAATTCACTAGACATAAATGCGAGAATTTGGAATTTTTTAGGGTTGAACCTTTTATAAAGTTTCGAGTACTTTCGGAGTTGATGTGAAAGGCCATAAGATGTGGAAATGTTTACTATGAGCACCACTTTACCTTGAAGTTGGGTGAATTCAAATGGAGTAGTGTCGTAGAGTGATGCGGAGAGGGAATAAAAGTCTCCTTCGTGGGCTTTTAGCAATTCAGAAGGTATCGATATTTCTGATGCTTCCGATGAAAGTCTGGCGGAAGTATTTATATATGGATTGTGTTGGTTGTGTTTATTGGTCGTGGCCCTAACACTGTAATATTCATCGAAAAGTTTATCAGTAGGAGGAGGTGGGGGAGCAATGATATTATTAGCAACAAAGTTCGAAGTTATTCTAGGGATTGATCTCCAAAGACTTTTTGCGCTTTTGAGACTGGTGCTTTGGGATTTTGATTCTCGCGATTTACAAGCAGATAAACAAGACTGTGAATCACTTGATGTGGTGACAGTTGAGACACAAGGGATGTTGAAATCATGCGATTCACTGGCAGAACTCCCTATAGATGATGATCTATCAGAAATAGAACCAGGGGGCGAGTGAACATTTTGATGTTGGTTGGTTGAAGAGATCTCAACATTTGGATGTAGATAATGAGCATTATTTGGAAAAGACTCGAAGTTGAAGTGATTGTAAGCATCTTCTTGTGACTTAGTTTTTTGGAAAAATGTTTCAGGAACTCTTCCGTCTTCAATATCCAGTAGATCTTCAAAAGAATTCACGGACACTCGAAGGATTGCTGGTCGGGTGAAGTAGCACATCGAGCTTCTTTTATTGATTGAACCATAAAACTCCAAATCATCATCAATGAAACTGTCGGTGGTTTCTTGTGTCCAAGACATTTCATCATTGAAAAGATTGTCGGTGTCGGAGGTACAGGAGTAAATTGAAGTCATGTTGGGTACCACGATTATGAAAGCTTTACCAAGAAAAATAAAATAATCTAGAAGTAATTTGTTTTTCATAAGGAACCGTTCCTTCATTTATAACACGAGGATAGTGATTATAACTATAACTCTATATTTTATAATTATAACTTATTTATTCTGTTTATGAAATTTGCCCTATTCCAGTAATCCTGTACGCAATTTAATTGCAGCTAATTAATGACATACTGCAGGTTGGTCTTTGTTAGCGTAATTTTTACGTATCTGAACGATTGTTCGCAGATTGAATCTTACAGATTGTCTCCTTTTTCAAGTATGTGACAATAGCAAAAAAAGGGGGATTCCAGAGGTGTCATATATGAGGTACCTGGATCCCAGTATCAATAGAAGAAAAGTTTCCATATATATATATCCATGTCGGGGTTGCGCCAGCAACAGAAAAAATGATCCTTGCAAGTTTTCTTCTTTCTCTTTTTTTTCTTTTGTCATCCCTATTATTTTTTACAGTGCAAGCTTTGTTATTAGTACTATTATGAATTAGCATTTGTTAGAAACAGCTATAATTTTTTATAAATAGGGGTATCTAAATTGAGACACATTGGTATCATCAGTGGGCAAATTGAAAAAGCTCTTCCGCCAACTCGTTCTTTCCCAACTTGGAAGCAACCGTTCTTTGGACACATCGCCAGCCTCATCGATAAATTTCTTAATTCCGTATAAAGTTTAAGCCTCAATTTTTTTTCCTCTTTTTGTTGAGGATATCCATGATCCTCAATATATTTAAGATTTTCAAGGAGATGTTCCAGAGAAAGTATGTGACAACTATCATGTGCAAGCCCCTGGAAAGAAGAGCTTCCTATGGATTACCAAAAGATGAGGAAACTCAAATCAGCCTGCTTATTATTATACTTATAGATTTTCGTTAATTTCATTGTAGATTTTCACGATTATAGATTTTCATTATTATTACTATCTATCAAGAATATCAGCGTCGCTCTATCCTGACCATCTTCGTCATCCTCAACGTTTCTCCAATATTATTCTATGAGGGCAAGTGAAAACCAAAACGATCTCGTTTATGTACTTAGATGGGAAGCTTCCCTTTTGGGATAACAAAACCAAAACACTTACATTGTCAGGAATATAATGTTCTCCATAATATTATTACTCATATAGGCAAGAACCAGGGATTATGCGAAATATGCAAATGAATAATTACCATGCAGCAGTGACATTGTACACAAATTCCAAAAATATTATTATATAGTTGAAATGTATTGCACAACCTTTTCGTAAACTGAAAATTGGAAACGAGGTACTAATTAAATACTAATTGAAACAAAAAAACAAACAAAAAAGAAGCTTCTCTTCTTATGATAAATACCAAACAATATCTACTCATTTCATCAAATGGTCTACCAGTACAAATATAATTTCATCTAAAACATTTATAAAGCTAGCAAGAGGAAGAAAGTATAAGGAGAAGAAAATTCTATAGCAAAACAGTTCAAAAAGGAAATGTCAAAAAAAGGGCAAAAAAAAAAGATAGCAGAGAACAGAAACTCATCATAAGCGCAAGGCTAAACATAAAAAAAAAGACAGAAAAAGTGAGAAAACAGAAGTCAAAACCAGCACAGGAATCAAGGAGATTCCATACTGTTCGTGAAGTGAAATATATGTATCACAAGGGGATCAAATTTGAAATAGAAGAATAAAAATATAACTCACGAACCACCGAAGCCAACACCAAAGCAAAACACCAACAAAAAATAATGATAATAATAATAAAATAAAGAAAATAATAATAATTACAAATGATAAAAAACAAAGTCTATGACAAACGCCATTAGGGGTCATATCAAGAACAAAAAGAAACATAAAAAAGATTCAAGAAAACATCCCGCTATTGAAACCAACAATAGGTCTGCAATTATCAACAACAACCTGGGATTCATCCAACAAATATTTGACCACTTCTTCTATCCCATCTCCGTTTTTCAACCATGAATAACGGCGGGCAACATTACCATAACGATCAACCAAGAATTTCTCAAAGTTCCATTTGATAAACGAAGTACCCAACAAGCCTTTCTTGTCACTTTTGAGATGTTGATAAATATCATGAGAGTGTTTCCCGTTGACTTTGACCTCAGTGAATACTGGGAATTGAATGTTGTATTTAGTGAGCACCTGTTCGATGCTGGAGATCGCAGATGATGACGGCGAATTAACAGAATTTGAACGGGGTTTATAGTAAGGGCTAGTAGAGAACATTGACACAGCATTGTTGGAAACACTTCTCGAATGAACTGGTATGCTATTCATCGAAGCTGAGGCGGCAATTTGTCTTTGGTTTTCGGCGATCGTTGCTAAATCAGATAGCGAGACACTTCTTTTATGAATCGGGGTCATTTTCATTGAAGAGTAGTCAGTGATGACGTTTTTCTTCTTCAAATTGAATTGATAGCACGGGAAACCAATGACCACCAACCCTTGAGAATGGTACTTGTTGTGCAAATAATTTAATAACTTGAAATTTTTTGCCGCTAGCGATCCATGGAACGAAACGTTCACCACAAGCACCACTTTGTCGCGGAGCTCGGAAAACTCAAAGTGATTACCATAGATATCGTCAGCAGAGAGTTTGTAGAAATCAGAACCAATATTATATTGAGCAGACTGAGATGGTCTAATCCCGTTAGTGATGAAATGGTTGTGGGAGGCAAAACTGGTGGTGGAATAACCCGCCCGTGAATTATTAACCATGCAATTTGGTTCGGCCATCGCCACTGACATCACTGAGTGCCTATTTTGGTATGAACGATTAACATTGCCGAATGTTTGGAGATCTGGAAGAGTATCATTGGCCTCTGGGTCTTGGGGAATGGATTGTTGTTGCGTATTAATTGTATCCCTCAGGAGAACGCTTGCGAGGTCAGGATCTTTACTGATGGTTATGAGCTTTCTTTTCCTTTCAACAATATCATCATCGGGATAAAAATCGGTGTCAAAAGTGAAATCATTATCTTCGTCTTTACTGATGATGGATATTGTATCTTGATAAACACTGGATTGTCTTCTAGCTCTTTTAGTAGTGGACATCGGAGCTCTAGTTCTCACATCGACGGTGCTCGTCGAGTACTTTGTATCAAACGAGTTGTCATTGGCGTAACCATCAATGATATCTTCCAAATCCCTCTCTAACACTGATTCTCTTTGGACTTGCTCATCGTGATGACTCTTGGAGGCAATCGGTCTTTGAAAGGTGAAGATCGAGGTTTCTGGTGTAGTAGGAGTTGTTGGTGACGATGCTGATTGGAAAGTGAATTGATTATCTAAGGGCGAAGGGGACGAGGAGAAGGATGGGGGTAATATTCTGTTGTTTTTGTAGGCGACAACTGTTGGAGACCGCGAGATCATGATTTTTTTTTTTATTGAGGATGTGAGAATGCAGAATGGTCCGCGGTTTGCAATTGGAGATAGAGGAAAGTCTAAACGATGAAGTAGAAAGAGTTTAAAATTGAAACTATGCGATATTTAGATATATTTCGTCGAGGAGAGTAATATTTTTTTTTTGTATTATTTTTTTTATCTCTGATCTCAGTTTCTTGTATTTATTTAAATTTGATTTTTTTTTGTTTTTTTTTTTTTCAAAGGAGGGACACTCGTAGGCACACACACAGGAAGGAGGGCGTGTTTTGTATATTGCTTCAGGTTTTTCTTAAAGGAACGAAATATATTTCCTGTTTTTGTGGTTGTTGTAATGAAAGATGTATGGAAATGGTGTAAGTTGCAAGCATATATGAGATAGCTGGCTTATCCAAAAGATGAAGGACAGGAAAAGGCTCTTATAGTAAAGAGCTGAAAGAGGCTAAAAGATTGGCGGAAAAATTGCATGAAAAAAGGTGCAGTGAGTTGCCGCCGCTACTTTTGTTAAGCTCAGAATTACGGTTATGCTTCTGCGGTACATTATTACTCCAACAACAACAACAACATAACAACACACAACAGTGGCGAAAATAAGAATATCTGTTGTACTATATATGATACTCATCAGCATCAGCAATAAAAACTGTAACACCCAAAAACAAAAAAAAACAAGCCTGGAAACAGGCCTCCTGCCATCAGCAGATCTATTGTTAAACAGAGAAACGTTTCCCCTTAAAACCAATACGTTTTCCCACTATTATTCTAAAACAGTTAGCACAATGCAATTGCTAAACCGACACTAAGCACATAAGCAATAGTATCCCAGAGTACTCCCCAATAACTCATATTAGCCAAAACTAATCTACACTAGAGCCAAAAAAGTATCATTTGATAAGCTGATTTTTTTTTTCTTCGACCAAAGACAGGTAAGTAAGTAACAGCTGGGTTAGACCCCCGACGTAAATTATAGAGCCCATGAATATCGAATATTTTTTCGCAATACTGCTATGTGCCTCGAGGAGACTCATGGCACTGATGACTATTATCAACTATGACTGATAAGAGGGACAGCCATCAATACTATCTCATCACAAACACCATGTCTTACCTTGGTTGGTAAAACTATTGTTTATATATATATATATATATATATATATATATATATATACATATAAATATTTTTGTTTCAAAAAACCCCTCAAGATTTTGTGTCTGCTCTTCTCAAGTGGGCATTCATCGTTATAGTTGTACATCGCTGACGCTTCCCCTGAAAACATGCCAATCTGTTTGACTAAGAAATATTAGTTTGGAACTATCAAATATTTATGTGTCACCCTGATCTACATCTGATACTCGTCTACATTATTCTTTTTTTTTTTTTATTACTGGCTATCTGTTTTGGCCACTTAATTGTCGCAAATAATCAAGGAGAAGATTATTAGATAGTATATATATATATATATATTCATTGCAGTTATGAGCTACTGGGGCCACACAAAATAATAATGTACCGTCATGGTTAATTTTTGATATCAACTGACCACGTTGACTAATCATACAACGTTTCTTATGTAAGGAGCGGCACCATTTTTTTTCTATTTTTTAAACCCCATAAAGAAAAAAACTCCCGATTCTCTTACACAATTTAGTATGAAATGACATATCCCACATCGTATATCCCCAATGAGACCGGAAGACGCAAACATTGGGACCTCTGGCTCAAGAACAATCACGGTCACCGCCAACACCCTTCGATTGACAGCAACCAGTGAAGGCCAACAGCAGCAGCAACCATCATCATCTACAGCAACACATCATGATGGAATACTTCACCCTCCGCAATCCAACGCCCACCAAAATGACCGACGCGTAACGTGGGCCGAAGATACTGTTGACAATGAGTTCATGAACAAAAAAAAATCAAAAATTTGCTGTATATTCACTCCAAACAGTGGGGATTTTGAAGAAGAAACCGACTCATCTGGTGGCGAGAGTGACAGCAGCAGCAGTAGTAGCGGCAGCAGCAGCAGCGAAGAAGAAGAAGAAGATGATGATGATGCTATGGCCCGGAAAAGTGCTAGAAACCATCATGATCATTGTAATCACCATGATCACCATCAAAAAAGAAGGGGAAAGAAGAAAATAAAGGATAAAACCCAGCTTCCTAAGCCAAATGCTTACGAAATACAGCCCAAATATAGACCATTGAAGCGCGAAGATGGAGAGGATTAAAGAGGGAAACCTCTACGTTTGAGGCTTTCATTATATGGATTTGAACGCAAGTGCTATTGTATGCTTACGGTTTTGGTAGAATATTAATGTACAGTATTCCACAAGGCAATCATAAAGAATATTTTGCGTCATACAGAATAGTGCCATTAACAACAGATAGTGGATATGATAGTTTCCTTTTGTTTCATGATATAGGTTGTATAAAATTATGAGTAATTGGGTTGAAAGAGATCTTGGGTTATTATGTTATAGCCTGGGGAATGAGTATAGATTCAGCGGTAGGGTAAGGGATATATGCCTTCCCTTTAATATCCCTGAGGAGGTGAAATATTTTGCATACAAATGGCAACCACGAACAACTAAACAGCCCACATAGAAGTAATTATACATCAATCAATATAATAATGATAATAAATTAAGGTTGATGAATACAACACAATAAAGGGTGGCAATTACCCGTAGTTGGGTTGAAGGCCGGCTCGGGAATGACAGTGTCAAATACGGTCGGTATTACCCACGTGACTAAAATTATATTAGAGGGAAATGAGATCAATTTCAGCTTTATTATTTTTGTAGCTGTGTGTGTTCCCAGAATTATTAAATCAGGAAATATATTCACTATATCACTTGGGCTTAGTTTCTCTTCTTAGCCACATCATTCATTCACTGATAACTATCCTGATATCAAACTATATCCTATTCGGTTTATTTTGGTTTTTGTTTGTTTAGTGTTTTTGTCATTGACTTATCCAATCCATATATTACAATAATTCATTCCCCCTGGATATGAGTGGGATTGCTGGAAAATTGGTGGCGGTTGCCATGAGACAAATGGCCAAACCTATCTCGGTAAGTCTTTTTATTAATTTCTTAGGAAGCAATGCAATGCTTTTGGGCTACCCATTTTCTATATATATATATATATATATATTCCAGGATATCGATATATCTTTATCTGGAGTTCTCTTACTGGCATCTCTCGGCAAAAACTAACACCTTGGGTTTTTCCAATAGCTAACGATAAAATCTCAAGTAATGCAACATCCAAGGTTCCGGAAATCGTGCATTTTCATTGCCCAAAAGCTTCATACCTGGGATATCAAGCTTCGAATGTCGCTTCTTGGTCAAACAGAAACCAAAGTGCGACCATTGAATGACCGTAAGGCCATTGAAGACGGGGCAACGTTCCTTGCCGAATCGTTTGTCTTTGGAGTGGCTGGGAGTATCATATTGTACGAAGCGTACAAGACCAGGAAAAAGCAAAATGAACGTACCGAAATGATCGAGGATGACATCAAGGTGTTACAAGACGAAATCGAATACATCAAGCGCAAAATGAACGATTTGGGAGTCAAGTTGGACGATTATATGGCCCCTAAAGAATTGAGACCTAAGGTTTTGAAAACAGTGACGTCAAAAGAAGAAGAAGATACCCCGAAATCCATAAAAATAAAACAGAAAAACTCATTAATTAATGAAATTGAAACCTTGGAGAAAAAGTATAAAGACATCAAAAAATAGTAGATACTAAAATATCGTGTTGCCCAGGCTCTTAATCCAATTCGAATTTTACCATTTTATGTTCAAAACATTTTCATTTTCTACTGATATTGATTCATTGTTGGTCTATATAAAAATATTCCTAGAACTCTCACGTACTGTATATAAACAAGCTTGATAGATTGCAATAATAAGGACTCATAAATGTAATGAAAGAAATAAAAGAAAAAAAAAAAAAAAAAAAAAAAAAAAAAAAAAAAAAAAAAAAAAAAAAAAAAAAAAAGAGATAAGGAAAGATCGATCTCATTCAATTTTGGAACTTTTAGCTACTCAAACATGGAAATTAAAAGAAAAAAGCAATACTTGCGGACATAACAAAATAATAGTAATAATATAGTTTTTGAAGAAATGAAGGGGAAAAAAAAAAAGAAAGAAAGGAAACACCAAATGAAAAACACACAATTGACCAAACAAACAGCAAGCCTTACACCCTATTAATAATCATAACACACATGAACTCTCATAAAAAAAAAAGCCTTTTTTCATTCCTTTCTTTTCAATTCACGTTAATCTTGGTTTCTTAAGAACAGGATGCTCAATTATCTCTCCCAAAGAACCCAAACTGAGAGAATTTGATCCTGGGACGTCTGGCGGAGTCGGCAATATTTGACCCAATTCATTAACACCTCCGGGACTTGCAGTCATCAAATTCTGATCTTGTTGTTGTATCAATTCGGTACCAGTCAAAGGCACAGGAATTGATTGCTGAGAGATTGGACGTGTGCCAACCTGACCAACTGATACTCCAAGCGCTTGAGGTGGAACTTGCGGAGGAGTGTGAATTATATGGGGTGTTTGAGGGGTAAGCGACTGCTGATGGGGTTGGGATGGCTGTGATTGTTGACCTGTAATGGAAGGTTGTAGGCCATTCGAGTGAACTCCAGGGGGTGTCAACTGACTCAATTGAGTCATATCGTGTGCCATTGGCGATAATTTCCGAGTTTTATGTATTGGCGGTGGTTGTACTTGTTGTATCGGCTGCAGTACTGGTGGCTGTATCGGCTGTTGTTGTTGTACTGGTGGTTGGTGATATCGTTGTTCTTGTATTTGATTTACCATTATCTCAGGATTTTTTTCACCAGGACTTTGGTTATTCATGGCTTGCTGTTGCTGGGATACAGGTTGCTGAGTCGGTTGCACAGGAGGTTGTATTGATGGTTGGTTTGGTGATTGCTGCTGCTGTTGTTGCTGCTGGGCCACAGGAGTTCGCTGCTTTAAATGCTTTTCCAATATCTGATATAAATCCTCCTTGGTGAAAGGTTTAGCTAAAATGTCACTCATACCATGTCTCAAATAAGCCATCAAGTCCTCATCATTGATTTTACCAGTCATGGCAATAATTGGTGTCGTACTATCAAAGTTTCTGATTACCGAGGTGGCGCTAGCACCATCTAAATTTGGCATGACAATATCCATTAATACCAAATCATATTTCCCTTTATTGACCACAGAAATTGCCGACAAGCCATCAGTTACAATTTCCACAGTACATCCATACTTAAGCAAGAATTTCCGGCATAATTGAATACAAACCATATCATCTTCAACAAGCAAAACGTTGAAAGAGCCTTGGAATGGTGGCGGCAAATCTTGAACTGGCATAACCATGGGATTAGAAGTAGGCACGGCATTTGGAGGGGGACCATAATAGACTGTATTTCGCTGTTGCAGATGTCTCTGTTGTGGCCCTTGTTGCGAGATCTGGAGCTGCTGTTGCGAATTTGCCAGTCGATCTAAAGAATCTAATGAATGAGTGGTAGAATGAGTAGTCGTTGAGCTTTGCTGTTGTTGTTGATTTTGTGGCATCTCTAATACTTGATTCAGGTTCAAAGCTTGCGGTTGTGAGGATCCCTGTTTTGATGTATTTTCATCCTGGGCTGCTGTACCAGCATAATTTAATGACGGAAGATCTACTGGGGGTATTTCAATACCAGCGTTTGAAACACTTCTAATGATTGTCTCTATGGCAGAATGATAACGGTTATTTATGGTCCTAAATTGAACTAATGACTCTAACACATTATTGTATTTTGATTTCATACTTTTCAACTCATCTCTCAAACTGGTACAATCATCAGTTAAATATTGAACTTTCTTTGTAAGCGAGCTGATGGCTTCTTGGGACTGTTCTTGTGCGGGTTTCTTTTGAGTGGGTCCTTTTCTCCTGATGTTTTCCAAAGCACCCTTATTATTCATCTTGAAATCTGGATGCTGGAATTCCCAAGCACCATCGACGTAGTCTTTTGATTGCTTATCGTCATTTGAGATCTTCACTTTGTGAAAATCATACTTGTTCAACTGTCTAACAAAACTTGCGAAATTACTATGCTTAAAATGTTTTGGTAAAATTTCTCTGGTGAATTCACTGGTATCCAAAACCACAAAGCTGTCACCGTTTCTTGTCCACCTTACAACGTCCTTGTAGAGATCCTGTTCTAACATTTGATAGAGTTTCTTGACAAAATCTGTTGATCCATGAGATGAGCTGCTACTAACGTTAGATGCTCTCACCACATCTTGGCCAGGTTCTGACTTCACACTGGCCATATTTCACAAGTAGCAAGCGATACTTATAGTTATGCAGATGGCCGGCTGAAGATTGAAATTTCTGTTGAATATCGTGATCTTTTGAGCAGCGTGTCTTCTTTTGATAATATTGGCAATATCAAGAGATATAAAGGGAATGCCTAAAAAAGAGAAAGGGAGAAGATATCCTTATGTTTTGTGGTATGGGTCTGTCCTTCTAATGCAAGCGCTTGAAAAGACTCTCTATAGAGATTTCTATGGAAATAGCACGCAAGTTATCAAAAACCAAATCGAATCAACAAGAAAAATAGAAGCAAAACAGATTTTTCTCACTTCCAAGATTGTTTTTTTTGTTTTTTTTTCTTTTCTTTTAGATAATTTGAATTTTCTTTTTCTTTGCAAATGGGGGTTTCTTTGGTTACTTTCGGTTTCCCTCTTGGTTTGAGCTCTCTTCCTTTTTTTTTTTCCAGATACCCCCTTTTTATCACTTCTTTTCCTTTCCTTCAACACTCAAAACGATGATTTGGAAAGCGACTATCGAAGAAAGAAAGCGGCTGCTGATTGGTATATATATGTTATGCGGCATAGTTTTCAACGTTTCCATTTTTTTTTTTTTTAACGGATAGCCCCCATGGCTTACATAATGCTTCACTTGACAGATGAGTAAGCACCCCAACCTGCCAATTACACCAAATGTCAATTTTAACTAAAGACCTGGTCTGAGGAATAGGATAGAATATTGTGATGTATATATATTTTTTTTCAGTAAGTAATCAAAAAAAAAGGTGGCGATATATTTAACTATTAAAAAAAAAAAAAAAAAAAAACGGAAACATAAATTATGAGAAAATGATGACAATCAAAGTGTTAAAAATATCCAAAGCCAAAGTTGACGACAAACAACAGCGGAAAGTTGATCAATAATAATAACAAAAAAAGAAGGAAGAACGAACGAAAACGAAAACGACAAAGTTGTCTTATAAAGAGGTTAAGAGAAGGAGTAGAAAGCTGGTTATCTGAAGGTCTGTAGTGAAGTAAAATCTAACTGTCGAGATCTAATATTTGTATCCCAATCAAGTCTGCAAGATTTTTTTTTTAAAAAAACAACTCAAAAACAAAAGCAAATTAAAAGAAAAAGAAAAAAAAAGAATAAGAGAAACTTTATTTTCCGAATCCTAAAAAATGTGAAGATCATACCAATTCCACATCATAATCGTCAACATCCGGAGATCTAATATTTGGTTCATCCACATCCATTATATCATTAAACTCTTCATCATCTTCAATGACATTCTCATCTGGAGGTAGGTTTGGATTCCCTGGAATTAAAGACCCTGGGCCTTTGTACACACTCTTCTTGTAAGTTCCAACATAGTTATTTTCGGTGTCCATCATACTTGGATCAACATAAGTAAAACCGTTAAAATTAGCTTGAAGACTGGAACTCAAAGGAGTGGAGACCACTCTTTGTTTATTACCGAGAGCTGATCCTGCGTTTTGAGTAAATTCAGGATCAAAGTTAGAGGTATCTAACTCGCTACTGACATGGGGTCTGAATGGTGGAGCAATCTTCTTTTGAACCAATAAGTCCCAATCAATATCGGCGAAGAAACTATGGGCTTTCAACTCTTTAGCATCCCCCTTTGATCCCAATCTATGGTTAGGGTTTCTGTTTAACAACCCTTTAACAAAAGATCTACCGGCTTGCGATAATGCTTCTTTTGGGAACCTCACTTTACCATAAGCAATATTCTTGTACATCTGCTGAACAGAATCGGCATAAAATGGTGACCAGCCACAACACATTTCAAAGATCAAGACACCCAATGACCAGAAATCAACCATTTTATTGTATCCATTTTCATCCAATAACACTTCCGGTGCCAAGTATTCTGTGGTACCGCAAAAAGTTTTAGCAGTATCCTCACTTGTCAAGTTCAATTTTGACAAACCAAAGTCACACAATGCGATGTGTCCATTAGCATCTAACAAGATATTTTCTGGCTTCAAATCTCTATAAATAACCCCTTGGTCATGCAAGTGTTCCAAAGCACAAACCAATTCAGCAATATAAAACTTGGTACGCTCTTCGCCGAACTTGCGCTCATTTTGCAAATGGAAAAACAATTCCCCACCTGCCATGTAATCAAAGATGAAATATAAATCTCTTGGGGTTTGGAAAGTGAATTTCAATGGTACAATAAATGGACTCTTGGCGGCAATTAAAATGTTACGCTCACCAAAAGTATGGGCAATCTCCTTTTTTCTAGCAATATATTTTTTATCCAAGACTTTCATGGCGTAAATTCTTTTGTTGTCCTTCTTACGAACTTGGAAGACTTCACCAAAAGTACCTTTACCCAACATTTTAATGATGTCAAAATCATCTGGACCGTAATGTCTCTTTTTAACTGGGTTGAAGTTGTACTCAATTTGAATTTTACCTCTTGCTTGGTCATATTCATTATTAGAGGCCAAATTATACCAACCAGAATGTGATCTGTTTGACAAAGTGTCAGGTCTCAATATTACCTTTCCCAAAAATGCATCGATCGCACCATCATAAACACAAATTTCCAACTCTGAGCTGGCGCCAATAACATCAAAAGAGGCTTGGTGTTGCCACTTTGGATTAGATGCATCAATGGTCGTAGATGAAGTGTGCATAAACTGATTTGAGGACTGTCTAGTATAAACTGGGCGTTGGATGTTTCTTCTAATTGCCTGGGGTTGGGTACCAAAGAAATTAGATTGAGAATTGTCAACCATAAGGTTGTTGGATTTCTCATTTTCTTTTGGGGCAGTAGTGATTGCCTCTGCCGCTTCATAAGTACATACAACGTATGGTTTGGATGTAGGAGTGACATTCAAGCCTTGGGCTCTAATAATTGTGACTTTAAGCACCCCTCTAGGGATATCTGGCTCTTCGGTGTCAACCTTGATAGCGGTTGTTGGAACAATCGGAGCTGGTTGAGCCACAGCCTGGGTTTTTTGAGCAAATCCAAACTGTTGTTGGTTATTGTGTTGGTCACCATAGAACATATCTTGGTTCTGTTGTTGGTAGTTTTGCTGAGCATGATGTAATTGCGAGGAGAGGTAAAAATCTGGGTTCACGTTATTACCAAAGTTGTTATTGCTGGTCATCATCGTGGTTGGCGAAGTCATTGTAGTATCGAAATTCGAGGCAGCAGGGGTGGAGAAAGTGCCATTGATTGATGTTTGACCGTAAGCATTAGAAGTGGTGATGGCGGTGGTTGAGGGCGGTGATATCACTGATACCGGGAATTTTGAATTGAACCCTGATCGTGAGTTTAGAGAGGAGATTGACTGGTTCATATCACCGACAGAAGGCTGAGATCCAATAGGTTGCTTGTTTTCCTCATTGGAGCCTTCGCCACTGTTTGCTTCTTGTGAGTTTTTGTTGAAGGAAAAGAAACTGGAAAGTGCCATTATATTTAGATAGAGGGGGGGAGACAAAGGGGGATTTCAACAAAAGCACAAACACGATAAAGCCAGAAAGGGAGAAGAATTAGTTAATGATGGGTAGTAATAGTGATAGTAGGAAGTGATGGAGGGAACAAGTTGAATTGATAAGCTGGTGGGTCCTGATGGCAACAACAGGGGATATAAAAGAGAGAAAAAAAATTCAATCCAAGAGCTTTTGCAGTTCCAACTCATACCAAAAAAAAAAAAGAAAAGAGGGAAAAAAGTGTTGCGAGGAAAAAAAAAAAAAAAAATAAAAAAAATAAAAAAAAAAAACGAGAGCCACTGGAACCGCTGCCTTGGGATATGCTTCAGTCAAACAATACCAGTGAGCTTGTTCTGGAATTCTCCGCCTACCTAGATTATTATTTCTCCCGATATACAGGGAGAACTCTTTCCTGCGAAGGAGTCCAAATAATAAACTGTTATTATATGTTATGGCACCATTGATGAATTATTCGATGCTCCCTACAAGGGAGGCTGTTCCCAATGATCATTAACCTTGGTTGTTGTTTTCTCTGTATTTGTACAGTTAGGCCCTTCAGAACTTAACCTTCGCAGTGCTGGCTGGCTGCTACTTTTGCTGCTGTCTGGGCCTGGTCCGGCCGTTGCAACTTTGGTATTATGCCAAGTGGCAAGTACGCGTATCAATGGTGAAGTATTGTCTTCACCATGCTTATTATTCACAGTCAGTTATCATTACCTTATCATAGATTTTATATTAACTCTACATGAGCACCTACCTCTGTTGTTCTCACTCATTACTCACACGGGTGCCCTATTTGGTCGGCAAAGTACCTTCCAGTTGGTCCACCCTCTTTTATGCGAAAAAGAAAATAGGGGTGGAACACGATAAGAAATGAGGACATCGACAATTGTTATTACACACCATGCGTTTAAGCAGATCCAGCAACACATAATTGTTATAGAGATCTGAAAGAAAGAAAAAAAAAAAAAAAAAAAAAAAAAAAAAAAAAAAAAAAAAGAAAAAGATTGTCCAGCAGACACATCAACTAATCTATGCTTCAAAATAAATAGCCACAATCATTACCGAACAACAACCATTCAATCCCATAGAAACATGTTTTGTACCGGCTCATTATTAAGCAACACCATTCCACTCTTACCCACATTCAAACTAATTTGGGAATTCATAAGACGTTCAATACTGGCCCTCGTCACCCAGACAATAGACCCAGTCCCAACTGCTTTACCATTTATTGCCAAGACTCTCAAGATTTTTGGACAAGATTCTGCGGTGCAAAGCCCTGCCAAATCGTAAACCTCTAGAGGATCATACGCAAGGTTTTCTTTTCGAAGTTCATCAACATAGTCACTAGAAATCACTTCATTTCTTGAATCTACCTTTCCTGGCAATAATTTCTCCACCTGAACTCTGATACCGTCAAGTTTTGGAACCCAGAGATCCCCGGGCATTACCAAGCTCTCATTAGAAGACATAGTGGCGGGCTGAAAATCACTCTTTTCTTTTACCCTATCGATTTGGGCAAATCTCACATTGTCCTTATCACCAAACAACACCTCAAACGTCTCAGTATTTGAGCTCCTTAAACATTGACTATTTTTGGAATCGCACCAAATATCGTAGAACTTCGATTCCAATTCCAATTCTTGATGACCGTACTTTTCCAAGTATGCTGGTTTCTTCAATGATCCTTTAAAACGATCATCAATCTCGTAGAATTTATCCCAGCTAAGCAATTTAGAAAAAAATCTTCCATCATTTGGCAATGGATTCAATTCGCATACGTCATGCAAAGTGGTAAAATCTTCATCATTTAACACCAACCCAAATTCTTCGATCCCAACCATATCGCTTCTGTTGAGTTTTGATTGTAATAACAACTGATTGTAATCTAACAGCCTTTTTCTGCCAGTCGAATAATAACTCTTCAATTTCTTGAATAGGAAATCATGGTTGGAAAACGTTTTTGAGATCAATGCAATCATTCCAGTAGCAGAGGTTGGTAGTTTCCCCATCAATTCTTTGGGGATTTTCCAAATCGCTCCATTTGAGGTGTCAAATACTTCATTGTCGGGTACATCATCAATTACTATCTCTTCAGGTTCATCTTTTTCTTCTTCCTCTTTTTCTGTAGAATATGGAATGGTCATTTGTTTATCCAACCACATGGGATGCCCCTCGGTGGAAAAAATGATATTTGTGGAAGTATCATGGTGTATTGGATTATCCTCATCGAATAATAAATAAAGATATTTCAAAGTCTCACTCAAAACAAAACTTTCCATTCGATCTTGTTTCTTGTTGGTTCTAATATCTTGGATTCCTGAGAATCCACAATCAGAAATGAACCGCTTTTGAAAATCACGTAATATTCCTACGCCAATTTGCAAATATAGAGGATCTTTGGTAGCCCGATACAAGTAATATGTAGATTCGATAAACTCAGGACGCAAAGGATACCATTCTAAAGCAATTGCTCTCGATAAGCTATTGGCAACTTCGTTGTGGAAGTTCCATCGCTCAGGAATGCTTCCAAATGTATTCCAAAGCTTCAAATACATTATATGGGTCTTTATGGCATCATCAACTTTCCCAGCCAATACCTGTAAGCCGGAAAAAAATGCTGATAAGGAATCAATCCAGTAAGTACTGAGAAACCCATTTTCAACATTCACGTTGGTAAAGAACCAAGTATTTTTTGAGTTCACCGATAATGCTTTGTACGATATTTCCCAAACGTTAAAGAGTTCAGGATCATCAAACAAAATTGCTCCCTTTAAAGCATACTCAAAGAAAGAATCGATACTGGCTCCAATCCCACTTACCGAATCCAACCATTTACCTTTGTTGGGATTCAAACTCATAGATAGCAAGTCCAAAGTACTCCGCAGCTCCCAAAGAGTCATAAAAGCATTTTTGGAAACGGTTTCAAACGTCAGATCTCCGGTCAATTTAGATAATAGTGTCATTTCGAGCATCGGTGAACCAGCACCAGCTGTACATGTTTCCTGGAGCAAATTTGGAGGTACGCCCTCAATCCCATGCTTTAAATTGACTCGAGCAAAGGGAATTCCTGTCTTAGTCTGATAGGCCGGTAGTAGACGGTGACCTAAATCATAAGCCATAAATAGCAATTCATTGTTATAGCCATCGATCTTGAACCCTCTTTTTTCATCTACAGCATACATGTGACAAGTCAATAATGCCCCAAGCGCTCTAATGGAAGTTTCAAATACCTGAACCGTGGAATCAATATCAAACAGAATGTGATTTTTGATAAGTTCCACGCCATTAACAAAACGTTCATAGTCACCCATGATGATAAATGTATCAAGGGAATCAAGCAATGTCACCGAATAATTTCCCAATACATCGTTTCTCAAATCTTGACTATTTTCATAATTAGGTCCGTATCCCACACAAGTTATGGGTCTAACTTCATCTTGGGGAAATCCGTGGGTCATATACGAGTTCCAACCATGGAGAAATAATTCCCTTGTTTCTTCCCGAAGCTGGTGCAAATGTCGTTTGGTGAAACTTGAATAATTGCCTGTATCATTATTTTCATGTCCATTCTGATACCCATGGGCAAATGTCACTATTGACAGAAATATAAGGAAGTGATAAATCGCAAATTTCAAAAGTTTCCTAAGCACCAGTACTTCAACTATTGATTTTGTTGTTTTTAGAACCACCCAATGCTCTGTTGTTCTCATTACCAGAGCAGCCTCGTACTGAAAAAAAAAGACTTTACTGTTATTATTTGGGTCTTGTTAAATTATTAAAATATTACCAATCACAGCGGACAGTTAAAATACGTTTTTGATTTGCGTACTGAGTAGTAGTAGTGTCCTGAGAATATTGACGGCTAATTTCAGGGTAACCTTTTTCTAATAACATTGGGAAACACTACTAAGATAGCGCAAACACAAGATAAGATATAGGTATATCCAGACCCTTTGCAAATGACTCAACTAATGACGATCGCCTGTATGGGTTTATGATGTACCTGTTTCAACATCACACAGCACAAAGACAAAAACAATGGCAGAAAAAAAAAATCAATCTACAAGATTATCCGTAAAGTAAAATATAAAAAGTATCTTATTCAAGAAAATAATATGATATACACCCAACAAACCCAACTAAAAACTATAAAGACTCGAAAAACAAAGAGTAGTCTGGGGCCAAAAATTCTGCCAGCAACGCACAATAACAGCTAGAATTCATTGGCAGCTCTGGCGCTGATCAAACACAGAAACCAGCAAACTCAAACAATACAGCATCATTAATTATTTGGTAGAGCATGAGGAGCATTCACAAGAACCAGCAGTACAAGTGCAGTCTTTGGTGGTAGAACAAGAGCAGGCCATTATTAATAATTATTGAAAGGAGTAGTAGTTGTTGTGATTAACAAAATAAAATCTATTTTTTGCTTTGTGATACGTAAAGGAAACTACGATCAACTAAGAAACCGGGGCGAACCAACGGCGCTTTTATATTGAAGCTTTGCGATGTTTTCGCTGCACTTTTTTTTCTGAGATTTTTTTGCTTCCTGCAGCAAGGTGCAGCGAAGCGAAAAGCACTCAACAGAACTTCCACCAGCGACGTCATTCTGTTCTACACTCCTTCTAGTTTACTTAGCCTACCAATTATACGCATATCTCTATCCAATCTACACCTATTATTATGGTATATCGCTAAATTTTGTTGGCGAGCCTATGTCAACGATATTATTAGTACAAATGTATCTGTGGACAGAGGTCCCTGTCCCTGGAAACGTCCTTTTTCTAGAACTTGCCGTCGTTAGCGGTGATGTTATGGGCATGTTGTATACGATTATGCATTATTGAAGCGTAAAAGTTGATGATAGATAGACATATTGGTGAATTGTCAACCTTCCAGAAAATACCTCTATCTCTCCTAGTGATGCCCCTAGTAGAGCTTTCTTGGCTTTTATTCTGCAACAAGCACTATCAGATGTCTACACTTAAAGAATCAGATCAAACCCAGAGAAAAGGGACATATTTTTAGGTAAAAAAAAAAAAAAAAAGGGTGGGAACTTATGACTGTGCTCAAGATTCTCCAAAGAATCTACATGAAGGAGATTATACATTTTTTGGTTAGAAGAATCTTATAATTGTATCTAATTTTCTAGTCATTCTTTGAAGCAAATCGATTCTAAATGCTGGAGTACATTGTCTCTGGGGATCTTTTAAAACCCAAAGATACATGTGCACATACATAAGCTTGCTAACATCTATTTGATTACAAATGTATAAGGTGAAAATCACGTATAATTAGAATTACTAATACCCATGTGTTGAAAAAGGGAGTATGGTGATGCTTTACTTTGATAAGCAATCATCACAAAAATATTTGAAGTTCTTTTCGTCTTCCTTCTTCCTGACTGAGGGGTTGTTGACATCACTCGATCACTAGCCAGATGTTTTCACAAGCATTTTGACGAACTTGAAAAATTCTAGAAGAATTCATGGTTGGAGTTGATAACTGACATTGATAAGGATTATAATAATGAAGATGATAATAATAAATAAGGATAGGCTAGATAATAGGTGACGGCGTGCATGGAGTTGAGAAACAGAGAAAATAATGTGGTTGGATTTATTTTTTTTCAACGCAAGGCGGATCAGTGTGAAGAGAAAACGAACCGATGGAAATATTTTATATGGCATACTGGGAACAAGAATGTTGGTGGGATGGATTTGAAATGTTTTTGAGAGAGAATGTGGTGGAAGACGTGGAATCAACATGCTTCATGGGTATTAGCGTCTCATGTTGGTAAAATGAACTGAAATAAACCAAGTTAACCAGAAAATTGAAACGTCATATTAAACTGACGTTGGAAAAGGAAAGAAACAATAATCAAATGACCCCATATAAAAAATGCAAAATAATTGAGTTGGAGAAATGAGAACTAAAAAAGGCATGGAATAAACAGCAAGCTGTGTCATACTTGAAGAATTTCGGAGCTGTAGTCTGCATCGTTAATGTCAAGACTTGCAAAATTTTCATCATAAATGTTTCTTCTTTCCATCAAGTATACAAATTTGGATTGGGGATCCAAGGATTTGTATTCATATACATCATTTTCAATGTATTCGTTGAACGTGTTAGTCAACAACTCAATAGTTTCTATTGGCAATCTTTGGATTTTGTAATTTGGGTTGATGTTAGAAAATCTGTGGGAATTTCTTGTGCCAGACTTATCAAATGTCTTGGTAGGTTCAAAAAATGCTACTTTTGTACTTGGAGTCATTTTGATACCAATGGAGACAAAATTGTCGTTAGAAGCTTCAAATTTCTTGAATGAATAATCATGGTGATCAAGAGACTTTTCGTGTTCAAGGTTTTTTGCAAAAGTCTCGGCCACCGTGGTATCAATTTTTAGAGATGGTTTGATTGAATATTGGAAATCATTTTTCTTGGTGACTAGCTCAAATCCTTGGCCTATAAATTCCTCATCAGAAATTTCTTCAAGTGAAGAACTGGATTCGATCTGAGAATGAGTTTCAAATTCAAACTCATCAGCAGTGGAAATAGATTCTGGGGAATTTGGGGTATATTGGGGATGAATGGTCACGCTTTGGGTGCTGTTGGCTTTGAGAACAATATCTCCAACTTCTGAAGTTGAGGGCTTCTTCCCTTTGAACAACTTTTTGAACTTCATGGTTGCTCGAGCAAGCTCGTATAAAGGAATTGTTGACTGGTTGGTCAATTGATGGTGACCTAAGTTAATAAGTGGAGAAAACGAATGATATCCATTCATTGGGAAAGCTGTAAAAAAAAACTGAAAAGTCTGCTGTTAATATATATATGTATATGAGGTGCTGGTTATTTTTAGTATATGGATATTATTAGATCTAAATGTAAGGCAGTATACAAACTGTAGGGCATCAGTGAAGTGCAATTGCTTTCGCAACGTCTCTTTTCGAAAAGGGGTTATCAATTCTGTAGCGAAATATTTTAACAAAACGCAATGCAAGGAGATATAAGGCTTTCTAATATATCCCATGTGTTCTGCTAAGTTATCCATGGATACTCTTCGAAACGTCAAAAATTCCTGAGCATGACGAGGCCCCGTATGCATGATGATGTGGGTGCATCGGTATGTGAGATCAATACTTCTGACAAAACAACAAATCCCCTAATATTATTATTACTGCAATGTATATCAGTTTCAGGTTCTGCTTTCAGTTGTTCTGCTTTCAGTTGTTCTGCTTTCAGTTGTTCTGCTTTCTGTTATCATGTGAGTAGGTGGTCAATGTTCAAAGTTCCACCAAGCTCTCCCCTGTTTCATTTGTATTAATGGTTTACCAAAATGAACGAACTGATAAGCCTTGCAAGAAAAAAAGAAAAGAAAAGAAACTACATGAAAATGAGGAGACAAATCGGTAACCATGCTTCTATATATATTTTGAAGTTTCAAACTGGTGGCATTTTCTTGTGATTGCCTCTTGAAACTGATATCTTTGTCCACCAGTGGTTTTTGTATTTGTACACCCCTACACCCCTACACCCCGTAATCCCAAACAAAACCCACAAAAAATTGGAATCACATATACAAGATGACATTTGGTTTGACAAAGCCAAAATCATTAGATGATGACCGCTTTATCCTTGCTCGAAGTCACTGAAAATGTTGACGTGCTTCCTTATTCTCATGAATTGTCAACTTTCAAAAATTTTGATCTGACAACATTTAGGCTCATCACCCATGACTCTCAACAAGAGATTGGAAGAATCATTCCCTATGTCATTCAAGTTTTCCTTCGCCATTACGAATTCCTCAAGAAATTCATAATTATTAATACTAATGCCAAAACCGTCACTATTTCCAGCGAGTTGAATACTTTTGAGAAAAGAAGTCAGGCATTTGCCGAGATTGCTGAATACTTGAGAGCTACCGACGAGCTTGATACCCTTAAAGGATGGCGAAATGAGCTTTTTACCTGTTATTATCCTTCCAAGGTGGTTTATTTTACAGTGGAAAGATCATTGGCCCCGGCTTTGGGGATCCAAATGTATGGAATACATATCAATGGATACATTCCCCCGGAAGAATCTAAGGATGGGAACTTGAAACTTTGGGTGGCCAGAAGGTCTTTGACCAAACCAACGTTCCCGGGGATGTTGGACAATACCATCGCTGGCGGAATAGCTTATCCTTATTCTATTTACGATACAGTGATGAAAGAATCCATGGAAGAAGCCAATGTTGATCGCAAATACGTCGAGGACAATATTTCCTCGGCAGGAGTTTTAACCTACTTGTTCACTCCAAAAGTCCCAACCAGCAACGAAGGGAAAGGAGACTTTTTCTATACTGAAAGCCATGATGAGGACCATTTTGTCCAGCCTGAATGTGAATTTATTTATGACTTGAAGTTCAGCGAATTGGAGAAATCAAATGCTACTATTGTGGGACCAGCGATAAACGATGATGAGGTATCAGGATTCATGTTGATGACAGTAGAAGAAACCCTTGAGGCAGTGAAAAATGGGAAATTCAAGCCAAACTGTGCAATTGTGGTTATAGATTTCTTGATGAGAAAAGGCTATATCACTCCTAGTAGTGAACCCAATTATGTGGAGATAAGTAGAAAGATACATAGACACATTGCCTACCCTGGCATTTAAACTTCTGGCTACATATCTCTGAACATTTTGATAATATATATCCCCAAATGACCTGAAAAGCTATAAAGAGAAAGAATAGAAAATGCCTCCCAGAAAAATTATATTATTAATAGCCTATCAGAGAGATTGAAAAAAAGTAAGTAAACAAAAACATTAAATGAAAAATTGCATGAATCAAATCTTTGATAATTTTATGGATTCCAATTTTGCAATTAGCTCCAGTTTTCTATGACATGTTCTTTGAGCATATTTCCCACAGTAGCTCCCCCATACTGCTTGAAATCATAGGTGTAATTTTTTTCAAACCCATTTACGAGGTTTAAAGCACCAGTAATGTAGGGTTTTAAGAAATCGTAAAACACAAAATCTAGGCTTTCCTTATTTCCATTGATGATTTCGGTAGATCCAATAATGTTTGGGGAAGAATCTTTCCCTAAACTGTATGGGATATGAGGGGTGTCATCACCATCACATCCGTGATCATCGCAAGTAACGTAACCTTTAGTAAGGTTCTTGAAGCTATAATCAATCGGTAATTCAATGCCATAAAGTTTTGAATTATAAGCCATTTTCAGAAGTGGAGCCAACATGTAATATGGGTCTTGAATCTCATCAAAAAAGTCTGCGGCTCCCATGATGTAATCAAGATTATTCAAAATACCAATCGCTTTCCTAATGGTCGATAAAGGAACATTTGGCAAATACAACCACTTGTTTTGGAACGGTGAAACAATATACACAGAGTCATCAGTGAATTGACCCTTATATAAATCATATCTGATGGAACCAGTATTGATAACAACAACTCTTGAATTATTTTCCTCAACTTTTTCTTTGATTTCACTCTTCAATCTCACCAAGACTTTCTCTTCTAAGAATGAATAAAGGTTGAACTCACTTGGGTAAGAATTATCGATCACCAAGTAATCATTTGGCACGTAGCCAAAAACTGTGGTGATATTGAGAAATTCTCTCTGGATATCCAACTCTTTAGTTATTTCAGTTCCTTTGAGAGTTGAGAAAGTCTCTGCAGATTTATTAGAATGAGTATAGAATGAGTGGAGATTGAAATCGATGTAACGACGATTGAACTCCACGATTCCCGGGGCGGATTGCGATTGATAGGTTTCTGGGAAGTCAACACCTAAGAATCCAACTGTTTCACAATATCTCCCACTTTGCAATGCAACTGATCTTTCATCAATAACTGAAAAGTCTCTAATATGACTGTGGCCACCAAAATAGTTGATAACAATATCTGGGTAGTATTTTTTGATAACTCTATGTATGGCAGAGATTTCCGGGAAGCCCGAAACCATTTGCACTGGCATGTGTCCAACAATAACAACCATATCAATTTTCCCAATATTTTCCTGAAGCACTTCATGGAACCACTTCTCTTGGATAACGTCTTCGACTTTATCAACTCTAGTTTGTGGATTGAATCTGGCAAAATTGAATAAAAATCCAAAAGATAATATCTTCAATTTTTGATTCTTTGTTTCAAATATTCTATATTTTGAGCCAAAATCGACCCATTTATCATCTATGAGAATTTGGACATTTGCTGCCAAATACTTATCTTGAAATTTGTCTACCACAATCTCGTATTCTTGAAAAGAACTACTGGCAAGGTATAGTTCATGGTTACCAATGCTTAATAAGTCGAAATCTTGTTCAACAAAGAAATTTGTAGATACTTCTCCATTTATAACTGATGCATCACTTAATCCGTTTCCGTCGTGCTTATCGCCAGAGTCCAATACTATTAGATCAACACCAATCAGGTCTGCGTAGTCTCGCAAATGCTTAACGAAGGAAATGTAATCTCCCCAATCAGCACCATAATTTTCTTGGTTCAAATGACCAGCGTACCAAGCATGGGTGTCAGTAGTATGAAGGAAGTTAATTTTCCCCCATTTCAACTCTCTGAGCTTTATATTGGTGGGTGGATCTAACGCAGTTGGTTGTTGAAGAGATGAGAGATCATCATTATTGATTTTTTGAATTTGTTGTTGGGTATCGAAAGAACCTAAGGACAATGCAGTGGACACAGTGGCAAGTATTGCCGAGATACACACCTTCATTTTTCTCTAAGTCTATTCTATTATCGATTAGGAGATATGAGCAATATCCAAGAAGGTCAAAAAGAAAAGGAAAATAGGAGAAGAAACAAACAATCCTTGATGAGATAGTCATGTGACCGTATCTAATCAAAAGGGAAAAAGATGACGGCAACTCTTCATAATTGGGGTTATAAGCCAGTAATTATAAGGGTCTCTATGTTATTATTGTTTTCTTTCCTTTTGCTAAATGTAACTGCCTTCTTTTTGTAGTTTTAACTGCCTTCTTTTCGAAGTTGTAAAAGTTTTCTTCTTGAAACTGATGGAAGCAGCGTTAAACAACCCTGGTGGTACTAATCTCACTGTTTAATATTCAACAGATTGAACTCAATCAAACAAAAACAATCATTGTAAATATTTTGTTGAAAGAATTTCTCTAATGATCTCCAAAAGTATATGGGGAAAGTAGCAGGATCCACGAGGTATTACAGAAATACCTGTGAGTTTCGCCGTATTTGAAAAAGTTACGATTTATAATTGAACTAAAAGCATTTTGTTTCCTGTGGGAAGATTCGTCAGATCTGTTACATAGTGCCTGTATTTCATGCTATTTGATATGATTATCAATAAAAATGTGAATCTGCTGCAGCCACACTACTAGTCAAAGCAAACGATTAAATGCCTTTGACATTAAAATGTGTTGTAATCTCCAAACTGTTCAAGGAAGTAATACTACTTCTAAATCTACCTAAAAGAAAAGTCATACCTTATATAACTATGGCTGAGTAACCCTTGTAAAATAATTTCAGAGTAAATAGATGACTAAATAGAAACAGTAGAAAAGGGGAAAAAACTGTGGAACCACCATAAACTGTGTACCTGTTATACTGTGTGTGCCAGAATAACAGGCACAGATTGCGGAACCACTATTTTCATGCATAAATCAACGATTTCTATTATTATATATAATCAGATAGTTTTTGCTAAGAAGCCACTTCTTTCTACTTTGAATAATGTTTATTAGAACATTTGGCGGAAAATGACCTCTTCTAGTTTGGAAAAAGTTCCAGGAACGCTTCACGAGCACTTAGAAGAAGCCTCAAGTCATTATAACTACTTTGAAACTAACTTGACAGACAATGAGGTTTCAAAAAGGGTGGACGAAATTATTACTACCAATCCTGATCTACTTGAATATTCCGAAATTCTTCATAAAGGAGCGATTCTTGCTAATGATGATGGGAAAATTACCCCAGATCGTAATATTTACACTGCAAAGGAAATAAAAAATATCGAATACGAGTCTGCGCATTCTATCAGGTCCCAAGGATTTGCTATGTTCCTTGTTGCTATCGCAGGAAGCTTCTCTGCCATAAATTTTGGGATGGATGAATCTGCAGTTGGTGGTGCTCAACTTCAGTACATTAACAAATTCAACATCATCAATGCTAATGTTCAAGGTACCGTCAATGCCGCACCTTATTTAGCTGCTGGTACTTTGGGGACAGTGTCAACAGTGCTTTTGGACCAAGTTTTAGGACGTAGAGCCATTATTTTCATTTCAGCATTGTTTGGTATCGGTGGCTCGTTATGGCAGGCGCTTGCTCAATCTTTTGGGTCTTTGTTGGTTGCCAGATTATTTCTTGGCATTGGCATGGGGTTAAACTCCTCGGTGGTTCCGATTTTTATCGGTGAAACCAGTCCCGCTAAGTCTCGAGGATCTTTCCTCATGTTATGGCAAACATTTGTGGCCTTTGGTGTTATGTTGGGAAGTGTTTTCAATCGAGCTTTTGTCGGCCTTGATCCTTCTATCTCCTGGAGATTGATGATTGGCTCTTCTTTTGTACCTCCATTATTTGTCGTTGTCCTGATTTTGTTTGCCCCAGAGTCCCCAAGATATTTACTTACTAAGAGGCAAGCTAAGAAAGCCCTTGAAGCTCTTCTTAGTTTACGAGGAAATGAATTATCTGCAGCCAGAGATTTTATCATTTTGTACACTTCCTTAAACCACGCCAATGAAATCGATCGTATTCCAATCTTCAAGCAGATTAGGTTTTTTTTTGTTGATAGGCGGATCCGGTTTGCATTTTTGGGGGCGAGTTTCTTGATTGTGATGCAGCAATACTGTGGCGTCAACATCTTGGTGGGGTACACCACCACCATCTTAGTTGGTGCAGGGGTCAGTGACACCAACGCAATTGCCGGTAGTATTGGTATTGGTGGAGGATGCTTTTTGTCCACTTTCTTTTCGTCTCAAACTATTGATCGTGTTGGTAGACGTAGAATGCTTCTTTACACTTTCCCGGTACTTGGTGGTTGCTTGTTTTGGTTAGGGGGCTCGTTGTACATCAGTGATTCAAAATCTCGTTTGGGGTCTGCTCTTACCTCCATGTACGTATTTGTTTTTGGGTTTGGCTTGGGGATCGGTCCAATTAGTTGGATCTACAACGCCGAAGTATATCCATTGCATGTCCGTGCCTTTGGAAGCACGGTGGGAATGACAATCAATTGGATTCTTGATTTTGTGTTGAGTATGTCATGGCCTCAAATGAATAAAACCATGACCAGTAGCGGGGGACTCTTCTTCTACGGCGCAATGAATTTCTTAGCATTCGTCCTTACCTATTTCTTCATTCCAGAAACTGCAAAATTGACTTTGGAAGAAGTTGACTTTGTTTTTAGCAGTGGTGTTAGAAAATTTTCCCTGGAGAAATTGGGAAGGTTGTTTGGTACTAATTAGGAATTTAAATTACTTTCCCCTCCCCCTCGTTCTTTTGCTCAGATTACATTAACTTTTACAATTCCATTATTTAAAATTACGAATACATGATGAAATCAGTATATCAAAAGAGAAATAAAAATTATTTTTTCTTTATTCTTGTTACATCAAATTTCATTTTCTATATTCCTTTAAATCCAGCTTACAATAAATTTTTAATTAAATTAAATTCCATAATATATTTACATATATGCAAATAACTAATTTCCAAAAGCAACTAGCTAAACAAAATATAAACTACCTTAAAACCAAACCACCCAACCAAGAGAAAAAAGCACAAACAAAAAGAGAAAATGAAAAAAACAAATCATAAAAAAAAGGATCATGATTTAAAAATCATACAACAGTTAAAAAATCCTCTATAGAATTACTTATTGACCCTTCTTTTCTTGGAGTCTTTACCTCCATCTGATTCTTCTAAACTCCGTTTCGTTAACGAAGAACCAATGATTTCAGATTTATCAGATTCATTATCCAGAGTTTGGGCATTTGAATGAATGGTCTTCGTTTCAGAAACACCATCATTTTTTGCGGCATTCTCTAAAATAGAATCAGTTTTTTCGACAGATTTATCAGAAAACGAGACACCAGCTCGCCTCTTAATAGCTCTTCTAACAAATTCTCTTAGCTTAGTTGTTTCATAGGTAGCACCTACCAAGCATTCCACATTCCTATCCATAATGTCTTCAGATAGAGCTTTTCTACTTGTTTCACTAGTAGATGGTTCATCTGATTCAATATTCGTAGTTTGTGACGTATTCAATGAATCACGCATCATTTCATGAGATATTCTATTGATCATCTGGTGAAGAATACGCGGTGACTCAGGACTACCCAATCTGTGATCACTACTTAATAGCCTCAAAGGAGAGTTTCCCCTAACACTGCTATGCCATCTTTGATGATTTACGTACCTGCTAGTATGCAGAGAAATATGATGTGAGGTTCTGGCCACTCCAGTAGGCACGGGAGGCTGTAATATCCTAATGACTCTATCTTGTCGAGGAATAGGGTCTGACTCACCGACGGTTGCATTATTTGATCTTTCAAGAAATCTTCTTAAAAAGCCTCCTGAGCCATTCATAGAATTTGGCCTAAACGGCTCATTATCTTCACTATCCGAACTACTATCAGTGTTAACCAGCACTATCTCACGGAGGTAGTTATGATCATGACTAATATTTTCCTGGTTTGCTAAATTCCTCAAATCTGTAGATGTCTCTCTTCTTCGTATACGTTGATTTAGAGGGCCTCTCGATACTTCATTTGACGAGAGAGCAGTATAATGTCTTGAAAGAAGAATTAGTTCTAACAACGAAATATACAAATGGACTAGTCTCTCATGATATTGGTGCGAGTTTGCACCATCCACTTCATTAAAAACTTCAAGACAGCGCTGGATAAGATCTCTATTTGCAGTCAGAGTGGCTGATATTTCATTTTCTAACCTTTGAATTGCACCAATATGTTCATCGTCTTCTTCAGTTTGGCGCGCTAAAAAATCACCAATATCATAATCAGATGGCGGGGGTGATCCATTTCTGGTTGAAGTCGAAGGCGATCGTGGTCTGTTTCTGGAAGATGGTGTTGGTGAAGTGACCCTGGAAATAGGGGGAGGAGACAAAACTCTTGAGTGAACTCTTGATGTTGATCTTGAATTTGATCTGGATCTCAAGATTTGATTTGCATTAGAATCAGGATCGATTGCAGAATTTCTTAGGGTATTCTGCAATGTTTGGAGTGAATTAAGAAGGTTTGGATTATTACTGTCATTATTATTATTGTTAGGGGTTTCGCTCCCTACTAGGGCAGGAAAACCATCGGAGTTTTCGTCATTAGAGATCAAGTTATTATTAATATCCAGAATATCATCATCATCATCTGATACTGCTGAATTATTTTCTCTTCCAAGTACAGACGAAACGTTTGCATCCACGAAAAGATTATTGAATGTGTTGATATTAGTGCGATTTGGAGAATGAACATGAGGTACCGTGATACTACTCGAGCGACTTGATCTCAAAATCCCATGGACAATTGTCCTATTGTCTCTATTTCCGCTACTTGAACGTGAGCCTCCAACATCTCTGGAGTTTGTATTAACATCACCCGATAATCTGTTGTTACCTTCGCCATCAATCGGATTTATAATACTATCATTAGTGGTAAAAGCAATTCTTGGTCTCCTAATAGAATGAGATCTCCTTAAGCTAGTTTCTCTGGCACTTTCAATAATACTCAGATCACTTTGGTCGTCTGTGGCGATCGCATTCAAAGGTATGGTGCTATCCATCTCTTGGCCAGTATTCACCAATGCGGGATCGTTAGATGGGACATTTGTTGTAGTGCCATGTAGGCTTGTTGATAAAGAGATACTTCTGCTATGTTGTCTTGTCAAATTAGTATGGGATCGGGTTCTTTCAATAGCTTCCCTGTGAAGAATCAACTCCTCGTCCTCACCTTGACTGGTTTCAGTGTCTTCGCTACTGGAACCAAAACCTCTTGAAGGGTTTCGCGGCCCATTAGAATTTCTAGGGATATAAAATGATTCATCAGCACTCGATATTCTGACTCTTTTCCTTATATGAGAAGGGCTGGGGCTCCCATCATCGTCACTGTCACACCCCAATGAGGCATATGAAATACCCATCACATATACCGATGCCTATGAGAACAGAACAAAATGCTGGGTAAAGTGTATGCGATAATGTACCTGGCAATCAGCAGCTGTTTGTGAGACCTTGAATGAAGATTTGATCAATATTAATTTATATTTGTGATTTTTTTTGTAAGGAGAGTGAGTGCTTTTGTTTTTATTATTATTATTGTTTCTATGCGAAGAGCAAAAAAAAAAAAATACAAAAAAAAACACCTACTTCGCGCACAGCGAAAGTTGTCAGCTTTTATTGAAAACTTGAGCTTTCATTCACAAAAGGAAAGGATAACTGTGAGGATAATGGAAGATGAGCAGACAGGTATTGGGATTGGGAAATGACGTTGTGAACATTCAAAGGTTTCGCAACATTTTGGTGCACCATGGGATCAATAGTAGTTATGTTAAGCGGTTGACACAACGGATCCTAAATGAACGCCATGAATATCCAAGATTCGCTTCACTATTGCCGAAAGGCATCTCAGGGGAAATATCTGGGGATAAGATAGACCTGTCCACGTTGCATAGATGCTGCCAAATACTAGCAGGGTCATGGGCGTCGAAAGAGGCGTTATTTAAAAGCTTGGATCCACACCACCAGAAGCACTTTGTCTTCAAGAACTGGTACAAATGGAACGACGAGAATGGGAAACCTAATATCCAGATAGATCGTTCTGTAGCACCACTGGATAATATGACAGAGGATCAATTCATGCTCAGTATCAGCCATGATGGGGATATGTTGATAGCGACAGTATTACGCATTGGTAATGTGGAGTTACCTGATCGGTGATAGTGATGGGTATCCAACGATATACTATAGAATACTATAATGAAACATAATAACATAATAGCATAATAACATAATAGCATAATAATATAATGTAACATAATATAGTATAATATGACATAATAATATAATATAATATAATATAATATAATATAAAATGACATAATATTATATGACATAATAATCGCAGTAATAAATAAAGGGCCGCCTTCCTGTCCGGCATCCGCCGTTGGCGGTTTCTCATTGGTTAGCTGCGGTGGTGCCGTTCTTTTTTTCCTTTTTCCTGCCGAATTGTTGAAAATTCCCCCCATCAGCACTGCCATTATAGAAGTGGTGATCATTACTCTTTCTCTTTAATTTTTTGTTGTCTTGCTAGATAAAATATAATAGGAATTCACACTTTTCTGTTAGTCACTCAGACAAAATAATAGTATCGCTATCCTCCTATTATCCTCTGTTTTTTTTTTTATCCCTCGTTCGTGCTGGTGCCAGAAATAGAAATCACGTTGACTGACACAAGATTGTTGTGCGCTCATCTTTTGTCGTCGTCATCTTAGGCCCCGGAACTTTTGCAACCAAATAGTGTCAGAACTTAACAACGAGGGCCAAATATATCTATATATACATTGCAAATTTGACTCTTATTAATAGTATCTATAAGAGCATTTCATAGGACTGTCCCTCGTTTTTTTTTTCTTTTTTTTCCCCTGTTATCTAGGGTGTCCCTAATCATTGTTCATCATGACCAGTTCCACTTTGACTGTTAATAATTCAGACATTATAGGCACCCAGGACCTCTTGCCCCCTTCTCAACCGTCTAGAAGAAGATCATTGTCTATGCTGAAGTTGTTTTCTTTTGGGTTCAATAAAGAGCCAACTACTGTGGCAACTCCAAATAATGATTCATCAACTATGATTAACTTGAAGCCTTTAAATGACGATAATATCAAGAGTCCATCTAGTCCAAGCTTTGTCAATCTTAACACTAGGGACCAGGAATCGTCTATCAACCATGATGCTGATGACTCAAAATCAATTAGACTTCTTGATATTTTGCAGGACTCAAGTCCCAATCTAGCAGTCGCTTCTCCAACCATGCTTTTAAACGATCAAAAGGTATCCTTCAATTCTTCAAAAAGCAATGGCAATGGATCAAGCAAGTATCATGATATTCTGTTCGAATCTTCCGAGGTTAATATCTCAACAGGAGCAGTTAACCCAGATCTTTCTGAGAACGACCAGGATTTGCTGAATAATGATAAGAGCACTAAGAGATTGACTAAAATAAAAAGTTTATTTAAGTTCTCCAATGGGTCGGAACTAGATGAATCAAGTCCTTCAAGGAGTTTACATCTGTTATCGGATGCCGATATTCTTAATGCCACAGACAATCCAACCAAGCTGAAGCCTAAGAAAGAATTGCTAACAACAATTCGAGACCATGCAGATGATAGTCTTATCACGCAAAATGAAAGCTATAGTGACGGTGGCTCTTCATTAGTTGCTGTAACAACGAATGATGCCCATGAAGTCTCGTTCAGCTCACAATTCCATGTCGAAGATCACTCTCAGCTTTCGATTATGAAACGTCTTCGCCGCATGCGTTCACCTTCATCACCAACCCCCGCTGCGGCTGGTGCCATCGATACCACCAACAAATCATCACATAGAAAAGAAAGCAAAGGCTCAACTCTCTTGAAGTCTCCAACTCTTCCCAATGATAATAACCGAAATAGTCAGGGTACTGGTGATAATCTTAGCATCATATCTTCGAATCCGTATTTTGCTCATCAAGGACTACCACCTCATTTAATCGATGACAATCCAAATGATTATAATGATGATGCAACAGATAAGATTGTGGAGAATTTCAAAAACGGTGGTAAAAGTCCATTGTCATTTGCGTTGAAGTTACTATCAAACAAGAAACGCGATTCTGTTTCTATCGACACAACAATAAATGATAATGGTAAGAAAGAGACCCCTGTCGTATCAAAAGCCCAAAATTCTGACAAGGATAGGCAAAATTATGGTGAAGGTGTTCCAATCGTTGATGACCAAGAAGAAATAACACAACCAAAAGTTGACGAGTCCTTGGGGTTGAAAGCTCCTACATATGGTAAACTTAAGGACACTAGCAAAGAAGATATGTCTACCACAGAAACAAAAAATGCTAATAATCACGGTGGATCTCCAGCTAATGATATCACTCCTCAAGCAAAGAAAATGTTGAGACGTGTTGCCTCCGCTCCGTTGGGGTTGAAAGCACTTGTGGGTAATAATGAAGAAGGATCCATAAATAACACACCAAATAACAAATTACAGCAGAGCGATACCGATGCAAATAGCAGTAGTCCAGGTCTTTCTCCTTTGAGTTACAAGTTCATCAAATCATTATCTAATGAACCAAATGTGATGAAGACCAATGAACATATTGGGGAATTGAAGGGTAGGCCTAGAAACAAATCATTTGGAAGAATGTACTCCTCCAATTCAATTAAAGTTTCCGATGTGCAAGTTGCTCCATCGTCATTTGAGAAAGTTAGATTATTAGGGAAGGGCGATGTTGGTAAAGTTTACCTCGTTAGAGAAAAGAAATCTAATAAGTTATATGCTATGAAGGTATTATCGAAGCAAGAAATGATTGAAAGAAATAAAATTAAACGCGTATTAGCTGAGCAAGAGATTTTGTCCACATCAAATCATCCTTTTATTGTTACATTATACCATTCGTTCCAATCCGAAGATTACTTGTATTTGTGTATGGAATACTGCATGGGTGGTGAATTTTTCAGAGCTTTGCAAACCAGGGCTTCTAAATGCATTGCTGAACAGGATGCTAGATTTTATGCAGCAGAAGTTACCGCCGCATTAGAATATTTGCACTTGATGGGGTTCATTTATCGGGACTTGAAGCCTGAAAATATCTTGCTTCATCAGTCCGGTCATATCATGTTGTCTGATTTTGACTTGTCAAAACAAATCTCTTCTAGCAAGAATCCCACAATTGTATTGAGTAATAGAGGCAGAGGCAACAGTCAAGGAAACATCCCAGTTTTGGATACTAAAACCTGCATTAATGGGTTTAGAACAAATTCTTTTGTCGGTACCGAAGAATACATTGCCCCAGAAGTTATCCGAGGCCATGGTCACACTGCCGCAGTCGATTGGTGGACATTGGGAATTTTGTTATATGAAATGTTATTTGGGACTACGCCATTCAAAGGCTCAAACAGAAATAAGACATTCACTCATATTTTGAAACATGATGTTACTTTCCCTGATAGCAATTCTGGTAATGGTAATGATAACAATAATAAATATCAACAAATTTCTTCAACATGCAAAAACTTAATTAGACAGTTGTTGATCAAGGATGAGAACAAGAGATTGGGATCTAAATTGGGAGCTGGTGATATTAAGAACCATCCATTCTTCAAAAGTACTCAATGGGCGTTGCTCCGTAATCAACAACCACCACTAGTTCCTATACTTTCAAAACTTGAGAAGAATTCAAATGGAGAAATCGACGAAAGAAACTTGCAAAATCTTGCTAGTGCCAGTATAGATATTAACCATAAAGATGCAAAAGTGGCTACAACAGATTCTGATGATAAAAACGACTGTGATGCTGTAAAGGCTAAAGATGATCCATTTGGAAACTTCAGCTCGATGACATTAGTTCATGATGGAATGGATGATCCAGATAATAGCATGTTATATGGAAGTGAGACGAGTTACGATAAGGTGAAATATACCGTGACGAAGAGTAGATCTAATACATATTCCAGTGGGAAACACAAAGGGTTCTTTAAGGAGAAACATAGTTTTATCAGAGCTTGAATATTATCGTGAAGGATATGGTTCTCGGTTTATATTTTCGAATTACTGATACTTTTCATTACATTTTTGTTTTGTACCATTTATTTTTGTTTTTTTGTTTTTATTTTTGTTTTTATCATGCATGTTGGCGATATTGGTTAGAGACCTACATTTTTCATTGTTTTAGTTGTGTATATATAAGCAATATTCTAGGTTTGAGGTTTTTTTTTTTTTTTTTTTGGGCATTTTCAATGGGGGAAAGATGTTTTCTGTAATAGTACAATTATATACCATAATGAGATAGTTTTTATTCCTTTCTTCGACTTAAAACTTGTGTAAATTTTGATTTAGATTTATCAACAAATCTTTTAGTGATGAATGCACCGCTTATCATTTAAAGGACCAAATTATCTAATAAAATATTAAATAACTAAAAAAATTTGGAATAATAGCTTAAAAAGCTTTGGCCATTTTCTTGTCATGTCCTGCTTTTCTATTATGATTAGCGACCTTACTTTTATTCTTCTCATTTCGATTATACTTCTTCCTTTCGCCCTCAGTGGTCTTTCCACTTTTTGGTTTAGAATCATTATTTTCCCTTTTGGCATCCTCTTTCCTGTCCTTATTTGAGTCTCTGTTTTGCTGGGCACTAGAATTCCTGGCATTTCTTGGGGCGGTATTATTATTTCTTGAGAAGCTGTTATAATTATTTCTTGGGGCATTATTATATGGAGCAGCAATAGTCAGGTTTTCAATTTTTTCTTGCTCTTCTTCCATTTTTTTATTAAAATCCTTTTGATTGAACTTGGTCTTTACTTTCCCTTTGCCTGCCTGATTATCTGACTTATTATTTTGTATTTGCTCACTATTGATAATTTCGGCATCAAGGTAAGAATCATCAGGTTCATCCTCATCACTCTCATATAAGGAGGCCAATGCTTTGATTAATGTTTTCTTCTTCAAATCCTCTCGAACATCCTCATACTTTTCATCAAGTGTAGCACTGGTCAATTTCTCCTTCTTCCCCAAGATAACGTTCTTGGAATTGAATTTCAATTTGGCAAAATCATCTTCATCGTATTTAGATTTACCACGAGTCGAGGTATTCTTCTCGGATGATTTCATTTTCTTTTCCGGTATCTTGCTGATGATGGAGGAATCTTCTAACAATGCATTGGTCACTTTATTAGCATCATTTTCGTACTGTTTTAATAAATAGTTTCCTTGGTACATTGATAACTGAGGAAACATTTCAATTATTTGGTCAATCTTCTTTTGAATATCTGCCAGATACTTGTTAGGGAATAAGAAGCTCAATGATGACTCAAGTTCTTGTCGATTGAAATAGTTGACAATAAATTCTGATCGGATAATACCGTAAAATAAAGGATATTTCAAAAAGAAATTGTGCTTATCTTTGAATCTCAACTTGTTAAAGAGTTCTCCTTCGGCCAATTTATGCAATTTCTCAAGAGAACAACTCAATATTGTTAATACCATCAAAGTTTTCGATGCATTGGAGTGGATACTTTTACCGTCACCATAATATCTCTCAAGAATTTGGATCAACTTAGCATTTACAAACAAATTGACAAACTTCTGAACTCTTTTGTCGAAGTGACTAAGCTTCTTATTTTCAGCAGCTTTTGGACCACGCTGATTGTTGAGTTGGTTCATCACTCCAAGCATCAAACCATAGTAGTGGATTTGATCCTTATGAAATTTATCATTAGCCAACAAATCTTCAAGAGCCAGTACAAGGGAAGGGATCAAACTCACTGCCTTCCCATTGGGTATTATTAAATCTCTAACTGCAAGCGAATTGCCTTTAATGTAAACCCTGATAAAGTGCCACAATGTCTCGCCACTAATACCAAAGTACAACAATCCATATTTCTCAATAAGTTTAAATACCAAGGATCTCAAGGTTTTGTTATGTTCATTGATCTGTGGATTAACGGACCCCAATGTCAATACCTGACCCTGTTCTAGTGAGCTTTCGTATAAATATTTTTGGATTAACGCTTTCATTTGCGTAATGGTATTGGCCTCAATATGGACCAGCAATGTTTCATCATTATCGAAAGAAAGCAAAAGATGAAAAAGTTGAATATAGGTTTCGAGTAGGTGAACCCATATTACCGGATCCTTATCATAAAGAGAAGATCGAAGTTTGAGTGGTGGATACATCACGATGGGTATTTCAAGTTTATCAATACCATCGAAAGTCACCACTTTCTTCTTTAATCTAATACTGAGGTCAACCGGCATTTTTTTTTCTAACCAATATTAAAACCAATGACACTGTGATTCTTATTTTCCTTTTCTTCTTTTTGTATTTTGGCGACTTCAATTGAATTAGTATTCGTGGTTGCTTAAGGTCGTGAAAAATTATAAAGGTTCATTTTTCCTCTTGAAAAAAAAAAAAAAAAAAAAAAAAATGCAGCTGCATGAAATGTTGACAAATCAATTGTGCTAAAAGAACTATGATCTAGACATTTGAGAATTATCTTTTATTTTTATTTTCCCCTGCTAAATTTAGAGTCAGTATTATGATGAACCTGTTAAAAATTGCATCAGAATTCTTTGGGATTTTTAACTCATTGTGGTTCTCATATTAGTAGCAATTGGACCACAGCCCTTGGACTAAAGTGATTCAACATGTTTCATAAGCTCCCTTTACAGGAAGCACTATTATTAGGACATATATATTATCAAATTGTAACGTTTATAGAATGCACAGTATTAAAAAAATACAATGCAAAAAAAAATAAAGAAAGTAATATCATTGATAAAAAAATAAAATGAATGACAAGTGATTTCATTCGTTAGCAACAGCAACAACTTTCTCATCAAATCTAACACTCTTTCTTCTAACTGTTAACGAATCATCTGCTTCTTCTAGCTCGAATTCTCCATCATTTTTGGCCCCTTCCAACATTTTCTTAATGTCATTTCTAGAACTCAAATCTGAGCTTTTTCTCATCGAGTTTTTACGGGAAGATTTCAATGGTTTGTCGCCATTGACAGTTAGCTCATCGGCTTTTTTTTCATTAGGATTAGGGCTTGCTTTCTTTGGATCACTGCCAATATTAGATTGCAATCTGTGTGTCTCTTTTTCTTCTTCTTTGCATCGGTTACAAGAACAGTTAAATCCCCAATTTACTCTAAGCTCTCTCTTTCTTTGATTCACATTATGAGTAGGGTTAACATAGGATGTGACCAATTCTTCACCAGCCTTAATATTTCTGGCGGCATAGACTTTAATACCATCAGAAAGTTTGCGGGTGTTATCAGCAACTCTCACATCAACATTCTTGACACAGTTATGATTCAAATGTGATTGAATCAAGTACAAAGACTCGATATTGTTGATATTGTAAGTACCGATGTACAATAAATAGTCTTCATAAGAAATTTTGTGTTGAGAAATGGTGTCTGGATTCTCACCTTCAACATCAAAAATTTCATTGAATAATTCATGACCTTTATGCCAAAGCAATTCTTGTTGCTCTTTGACAAATAATGCCCCATCACCACCATTCGAGTTGTCAAAGGCACCGGCAGACGAATCTGAAGCTTTGTATCTTATATCTTGGCCAATTTTAGCAAATGCATCAAATTGTTTAGCCACAATCCCGGTTTCGTCACTCAACTCATGTATTCTAATCAAACCAACAGCAAATGCCGCACTCCAGCGATTCTCCAAACAAAATTCCTTATACTTTTGCCATTTACTGGAATCAAGCTTCAACTTATTTTTCGATTTCAGAAGTTTCTCATTATGGTTCAAAATTATATGTAAACTGTCAGATTTTTTACAGCCTTTGGAACACCATAATTGAGAACAATATTTACAATCCAAACCATTAAGAAAGCTTTGAGAATCAAACAATCTCGATTGAAGCAACTTGCCACAGTAGGCACAACTCTTCCCGATTTTCATTAAATAAACATGGTCCAAAGGTGGGACAAAAATAAATGGTTTCTCTTCCCAAATTAACTCGCCTTTGGCGATAAATTGTGATGCATAAAGCCCTTTCCCTTTGCTTTTCGCGGTCTGCAACTTGATTTTAGGTGGTAATTCCAAACCAGGGGTTGGCTTGGAAGTGATTTCATTGACATAACAGAATTTGGGCTGATTTGCCAATAACCCGTATTTTTTCAACAAAGTTTTCAATCTTTTCTCAGAAAGTGACCAGTTTGGTTGGGCTGCCTTCACAAGAACATGTAATTTAGCAATTCCTAGTGATTCAGTGGCAGGATCATGTTTCCATATCTGTATTACCTCACTTACTACCATACGTTCGTTGGGAGTAATTTGCACTCCCTCGGCATCATTTGGATCTTTATCATTGATAGATAAGATCTCGATCTTGTTATTTAGGGTTTTCGTGGAACTAGACGGCTGCTCAATCATTGATGTATTGATATATAGACTAATTGGTAACTAAAAATGGAATGCTATTCCCTTTTTTTTTCTCTCTTTTTTCTTTCTTCAAATATTCAATAAAGGTGCTAATTAAATGTCTTGTGAAGAAATTTTCCAACGAAATTTTGTCAGGGATTTTCGGACTGAGTGCGTGCAGTAAATGTTGTACAGTGGCGATAAATACAGAATGATGCGATGAGTTACTAAAGACATCGTTATTAAAGGGGGTAAAACAAAGTGATGGTATTTGGCAGTGTATTCAGAAGATTCGCAAGTACTACAGCTAGAAGTCCCAAGTCAGGGTTCTTCAAAGCCCACTGGAAGTTATACACTGGCACATTTGTTGGGGGCGCCTTGACCGCGCATTTTGTTCCAGTACTATCGATTGTTGAATACTATTTGAACTCAAGACTTCCAAAGGATGGTGATCCAGAAAGTATTAGAAACTATACCGATTCCCTTGAAAAAAAGTTGGCGAGTTTGAAAGTCGTTAAAGAGCTTGGCAATGATAAAGACTGGAAACAGCATAGAGATTGGAGTTATGTTAGTGAATCAAAAGCAGCTAATGAAGTTAACAACAAATCTATTACCGAAGGAGCCTTAACTATTCCTGGAGGTTTTGCTATCAAGCCTTTAATTTTCGAAAATCCAAAGACAAACCAAACCATTTCGGTAATTTATGTGGGATCAAGACTTTGTGGATATCCGTTTATCGTTCACGGAGGTGTTTTGGCAACTATTCTTGATGAGGTTTTCAAAAAAAGTGTGGGTTTAAATTTCAATTCCGATGGAGAGGCTAAGGAATTTTCAACAAAACATTTAGAATTGAGTTACAGGTTTCCGACTTTGGCTAACAACTTTATTGTGATTAAGACCAATGTGGGGAGTGATAGTGGCGGAATAGTTGCTGTTGATGGCAATGTTAAGTCATTGGATGGTAAATTATTAATTAAAGGTCAAGGTAGTGTTAAAATATTAGAATCGGATAAAAAACCAAACTTTATAGATGATTCCAAAGATGAGGCTAAGAAGGGTTTGAAGAAACTCTGGCCTTTTTGAATTAGATCTTATCAAAGAAATAAGGCTCGAAAGTTGACTTAATAAATTATACAGTAATATTTTTGGTGTAGAGATCATAAGTATATATTGGGTATCACTACAATTGATGAAATTTGTCTGTTATCAACAAACCATTAAGGTCCTCATCTAATTCGTCAGTAGGTACGTCCTCTACTAACTGTTCTTTGAGACAAGCTCCCAACAAGAATGGATACTTTTTTTCTTGGGAATGTGCTTCATTATAATCGTCAACATATTTTTTATGTCTGGCAACGAATTCGTCATAAAACCCAGCCCCATGGCCTAACCTTTTTATTCTGTTTACACCCCCCGAAGTGTTGATTGAGAATGCCACTCCCGGCATGATTAGTAAATCTATTCCTCCGAATTCAGGAGAAAAGCAATCAGGCAAATCTTCTGATGGTTCTTTTAATTTGTAAGGCCCTTGAGGTTTCATTTCCAATAGTTGGGTAAGTGACGGCATATGATGGAATACTAAATGGTTCTTCTTGGCACTCTTCGAGTAATCCCTGGTGGTTGAAAATGCTGTTAGAGTAGGCTGAAAATGACAACGAGGTAAAAACACCTTTTTACCATCTTCAAAAGCATTTCTAATCATCAATGAGGTTTTTAGCTCGCTAGCATCCATGCTCATGTAGAATCCTATGGTCGAGGCATCGCGATATACGGGCAATTGTCTTAGAGCTACCGCAGCTTTCAAGGATTGATCAATAAGCTCCGCGGAAGACAATTGCGCTAGAATCAGTTTCACATGTCTTCTGACAGGGCTCTTCAACAGCATTTCGGAGTAGTAGCTATATTAAGTTGTTTGAGGATATGAGTCAACCAATGGTGATTGACTGCACACTGAATAATAAATTGTGGAGAGATTCTGTCCATTTTACCCGGCCACACACATCAACCATTTTACTTGGGAGGTTTCTTATCGCAGAACACCGCTCCTGGTGTTGAATTAGTCATATTATTGTAGCTGTATTGATAAATATATCTCCCCAGATATATTATTAACAATTCTTCAAGCGTATCGAGGACCATTCCTTGTAAGGTAAACATTTTGCCTGGAACTGGCGATTCCGGAGTTCAGACAAGTGTTTACCCGTCCTCGCTAAAGGCCGGCTCATCAAATTTTTTGACTCATAGAAGAGCTTATAAAAACGCCAATTTTCCAATGGGATGCTGATAATAATCCACAAAATACAACATCAATTTCCATCAACAAACATCGTACGTATCGCAAGCAACATTTGAGGTTCAGTTCTGCGGATATTTTCTAGAGAAGCAGGTGCCTGATAAGGTCTCCTGATGTTGGGCGTTCCTTATCTTATTTTTTTCACTTTTTTTTAGTCTTATTTTTTATTTTTTTTTATATATAGGTTTCAATTCCGTGTGAAATTTCAGGTTTCCGTTAAGTTCCCACAAGGACAACCAGCCAACAAATTGGTCAATTCTCAATCGGATAAAAGACCTAGGACCAAATTAATACTTCAAAGGCTCATCATCCTGCAAAAATGCTGTTCCAAAGATTGTCCTTGCTGGGCTTGAAATCTTTGTCGTCTGCTAGATCTACCTTTATTAGTTACTCTCAAAGATCTTCCATTACTAACTCATTCAGAACCATGTCTACTGCTCCATTGGACGCTTCCAAATTGAAAATCAATAAAACTGCTTCTCCAAAAGCTAAGTTGCCAAATGAACAACTTGTCTTTGGTAAATCTTTCACTGACCATATGTTGACTGTTGATTGGGATGCTACCACTGGTTGGGGTGCTCCTGAAATCAAGCCTTACGCTGGCTTGTGTCTCGACCCATCCTCTATTGTCTTCCACTACGGTTTCGAATTGTTTGAAGGTATGAAGGCTTACAGAGATGCTAACAATAAATTGAGAATGTTCAGACCAGATATGAACATGATCAGAATGAACAAATCTGCCGAAAGAATCGCTTTGCCAACCTTTGACAGTGAAGAATTGATCAAATTGATTGGTAAATTGGTTGAACTTGATGCTGACTTTGTTCCACAAGGTGAAGGTTACTCTCTTTACATTAGACCAACTTTGATCGGTACTGATGCTGGTCTCGGTATTGGCACCCCATCTCAAGCTAAGCTCTTCGTCATTTGTTCTCCTGTTGGTCCTTACTACAGCACTGGTTTCAAGGCCGTCACTCTTGAAGCTACCAATTACGCTACCAGAGCTTGGCCAGGTGGATGTGGTAACAGAAAATTGGGTGCTAACTACGCTCCATGTGTTCTTCCACAAAAGCAAGCTGCTTCCAGAGGTTATCAACAAAACTTGTGGTTGTTTGGTCCAGAAAACTACGTCACTGAAGTTGGTTCCATGAATCTTTTCTTTGCCTTCAAGGACTCTAAGACTGGTAAGAAGGAATTAGTTACTGCTCCATTGGACGGTACCATTTTGGAAGGTATCACCAGAGACTCTATTTTGGCTTTGGGTAGAGAAAGATTGGACTCGAATGAATGGGAAGTTAACGAAAGATACTTGTCTATTGATGAAGTGGCTGAAAGAGCTTTGAAGGGTGAATTGCTCGAATGTTTCGGTTCTGGTACTGCTGCTGTTGTCTCCCCAGTCAAGACAATTGGCTGGAACGGTAAGGACATCAGTGTTCCATTGTTGGAAGGTAAACAATACGGTGCTCTTACTAAGCAATTCCAAGAATGGATTTCTGCTTTGCAATATGGTAAGGAAGAGTTCAAGAACTGGTCCCGCGTTATCAACTAAGTTAGATAATTTAGGTAAATTAAATAGTTACCATCTTTTTTCTTCTACCGCTACGTATATAATAAGTCATGTTATGGGAAATAAAATTTAGAATTTTAAATGATTTTTTGTCCATGATCTTTTGTGTTATCGTAGAAATATAATTCTGCTAAAGCTCTACCGCTTTTATTTACTGCCTAATTCCATGGTGAAGTATCCTTCTTAAGTGCAAAATAAATAAGAAAACTCAAGCACATTAAATATTCTTATCCTTTATGTGTTCTCTTTCAGCATATCTTCTTACACTCCTTGCTGACACTAGGTATTTAATAATTACATACAGACCAAGTAACAGCTACTATATACGAACTTCGGTGCTATTAACCTCTTCTTAATTAATACTTGTTCCTATTTCTCCTCCTATTTCTCCTCCTCTTTTACACCACCTTCCTCAGTTATTTTTTCATTTTCAGAATGAGTTTCTTCTTTGCTTGCCGTTGCTCGTTCGTCTTCTTCCTGTTTTGTGGCATGATCGTCCTCAACTTTCATCTTCTTTTTTGTAGGTAATATGAGCGAAATATCATCTTTTCTTTTCTTTTTAGTGGTACCCTTATCGCCTTCAGAATTGATTCTTTCAATCAATTGCTTGCCATCATTTTTAGTATTGTTCACTTCTTGCGAAACCTCAAACCATTCCAAATCTTCAATGTCATAATGCTTCAAAATCTCTTCTAGTTCCGGTTGGGTAAAACTTTCATTGGCATCAACATCTAACCACTTATTCCATGCTTCGGAGTTTGGTTCAAGTACAATTGGCATTCTTTCATGTAACCACTTGAGCTGTTTTGGCGCTGATGCCGTGATGATGGTAAACGAACATACTTCATTAGTCAATGGTTCTGAAGTTTTGTCTTCATAACCGCATACTTTATCAACGCTTGGGATTTTCTCTTTGAGTTCTGACCGAGACCAAAGACCAGCAAGGAAAAGAACTTTGCCTTCTTCCTGTTTCCTGATATAATAGGGACGTTTGTTGACCTGTGCCTTCTTTGCCTTTTTCGAGGCTGGAGTTTTCTCATGTATCCATTCGTAGTAACCTTCAACAGGAATAACACATCGTTGATGTTTCATGTAAGAGCCCCATAATCTTGAGCTGGGCTTAAGACTCTCCTTGCGAGCATTGAAAGTCCGATATCCTGAAAATTTCTTCTGGTCTTTGGCCCAGGATGGCAAAAGGCCAAACTTCATGTACCTGGCTATGTACTCGCCCTTATGTTTAGAATCCCCCGATTCATTTTTCAGGTAATTTTTATATAGTACAGGACTATAGTTTGTTGGGGATATGTTATAGGACTTGTAAGCATGCCTTGGTAACACAACAACAACATTATGAATTTGATGGACATCTTTGAATACCTGGGGAATTTGATCAGCTTCCTAACTGTATGTTAGACAATTTATACTTCTTCAAACATTACCACTAGCCGTTTTCATTGAAAACACATACAATAGTGAACACAAATCTTCCACACATGATTATGTTATAATTGTAATTGAATACTAATAGTATCCTATTAAAAGGTTGCGTATGGTCCCTACAATTTTTCTTTTATGATGCGATGACCCAGGTTTCTGGTATAATTGTTATCAATCAACAGTTGCGGTCTATACGGACGCTGCTTGTGAGATGTGTTGTTTTATTGTTGAGTAAGATTTCGTAGAAGTAAGCCTGTTGAAATTCATACCATGTTTATACACCATGAGTACCTTTTTTATTGCTGATTATTAGTGAAGCAAAAATTTAGTTGATATAAAGAACTGCCTGGGAAGTAAGGAAGTAAGGTGGAAAGTGCTACTTAGTCATCAATTACTTATCACGTGAAAATATTTACCCCCTAACACCCTGTAATATAGATGGGCTGCTAACCAGTGAAAATCACAAAAACACTGTAAAAAAAAAATGTGCGTAATCGTTACAGAGATATATATATGGAGATATATATACCTTACCATTCGAGCCGATTTGCTCTGAGATATAGAAAACAGAATTGACACAGGAGATTCTTTTTTGGTCATCAATCACTTATCCAGGCTTCTTATTCCAACTTTTATTTTCATTGTCTCGCCACAAAGTGCATAATATCTATCGTTTATCCACAACGCCTTGTTCTACCCAAACGTCTTCAGTGGATCTTTTGTGTGTACAAAAATCAGGAGTGAACCTTTTTGATCTCTTTATGGATCGGTAAACAAAAAAAGCTCATCTCTGCCTTTGCTCATCTACACCTGCGGTTGGTTTTGTTTCTCGGTATTTGACACAGAAACCATATATTCTTCAGATATGGCGTTCCTTTTCAAAAGAAATCCTAAAACTCCGGCAGAATTGATCAGGGTCCTCAACGACCAAGTGGCAAAGCTCGATGGATCTGGTGATAATAGAAAGATACAGGACGAATGCGGCCGTTACTTATCACAAATACGCATCATCTTATACGGCGATGACGATAATGACCCACAGCCAGATCAAATTGCCCAGCTATCCCAAGAAGTTTATTCGACTGATTGCCTTTATTTACTAGCAGCAAATTTAGCTAATTTAGCTTTTGATTCTAGGAAAGACGTGGTAATTTTATTCTCTACTTTGTTGCGTCGTCAAATTGGAAATAGATCGCCAACAGTTGATTATCTTCTATCCCGGCCTCAAATATTACAAGTCTTGTTTAAAGGTCCTGAAATACCCGAAATTACGCTTACTACAGGTCAAATCATTAGAGATTGTATTAAGCATGCGTCTATTAATAAATTCTTGCTAAATGATAAAATTTTTTGGAATTATTTCAGATATTGTTCAAGCAACAGTTTTGAAAACTCGACAGATTCTTTCAATACTCTTAATGACTTATTAACGGTTCACAAAAAAGTGGTCGCTGAGTGGTTGAGCAATTCAAATAACGTTGATATATTCATTAGATCAATTAATGGATTAATAAGGGATGGAAACTATGTAACGAAACGACAATCAATAAAACTTTTATCCCAATTGATTTTACAAAAGCAAAACAACAGTTTGATGATCAAATATGTCGAAAGCTCAGAGAATTTAAAAATCATAATGAATCTATTGAGCGACAAGTCTAGAAATTTACAATTTGAAGCGTTTCATGTGTTCAAAGTATTTGTGGCTAATCCAAAGAAATCACGGCCGGTATTGGATATTTTAATCAAGAATAGAGACAAGTTATTATTGTTCTTAAAGAATTTCTCATTTGATCGACGAGATGATACTGTTTTCAACGAAGAGAGAGAATTCTTGATTGAACAAATTGATGAATTACCGAGAATTAATGTGTTGTCAAACAAAAGTATCCAACAAAAATAAGGAAAAATCCATTGCTCTTTACCTTTTGTCAAAAATAAATTTTTCAGTTTTTTTTTTCATTCTACATCATTATTTTTATTTTCATTTTAAATTATCGCTACTGCATCTCTTCATATATTATGATTGCTTTTTATCTTTGCATTTTAGGACCATTTTCATGATTTCTACACTTTTTGTACCATTTTGTATTTTTCTTCCCCCTCTTTTATTTTTGCTTTTCTTCTCATTTTTAGGAGACATGTATTTTCAAATTTATACTCTTTGCCATTGAAAAACTATGATAAAGGTAGTAGTAGCTTATGTTTAAATCCCTTGAAGGAATGATGGTTGGTAAATATACACGTGATTGATTGCTAAACTTTATAAAAAGAAATCCACCGAGCTTTCTCTTTATCGTGTGAGAGCCAAAGCTTCATTGTACGGGAAATAAATTATATTTTAACATTGGAGAAATCTTGATGTCATCAAAAACGAGGCACAAAATCCCGAAATACTGGCATTTTGCTCACTTAACTGCATCTTACACGCCAATTCTCAACCAACATCGTACCGAATCAATAGCTTTGCTTGTTGACTCGGTGGGACTCTACCAAGGAAACTTTAAGATCCATAATCATCAGAATGGGAGAATCTACTTAACAAACGAAAGATTAGTTTATGTGGATAATGATGATCCAGTTAATTGTAGTTTATACTTCAAGTTGATTGATGTGATTTCTGATGGTGGCTTGAAATTTTATAATGGGTTTTTGAAGCTGTCACCGAAGATAACCGTCAGGTTCAAAGATGACAATAATATCTCAGATGATAGTGAAGGGGGATTATATGAGGCCGATGGCTTATTTGAAAGTATTGAATCTACACAGTCGAATAAAGATAAATTGAAGGATCCTAGTATTGAAAGACTACGAGCTACTGATATGTCTCAAGCCAGTTCTGTAGGCTCGATTTCTGGTAACAGCGATATTTTCGAAACTGGAGACTTTGAGATAGTTTCCTGGAAATGCAAGATATGTCAGTTCGTTAATAAGATTTCTCTGGAGAATTATGAATTGGATAAGTTGTTGAACCCAAACTTGAATACGGGCGTGAAGTTTCCAAATTGCGTTAATTGCGGCATTCAATCCACAAAAAATGGGATCATCAGTGCGATTAAGAAGAGCAGGAACAAGAAATTGAAACTAAAGCAGAAGGAGCTAGAAGCACTAAAGGATAAAGATTTAATTGATCTAAGTGATGATGTTGCGTCATCCGAAAGCGTTGTTAAAAGCAAGAATATTAATCAATGTCTTGTGTGTACTTTTGTGAACCATCCATTAATGAAGAATTGTGAGATTTGTGGCTCTTCATTGAATAACTTTCCAAAAAAGCCAACCTTAAAAAATGCTAGAAATTTAATCATGCTTGATACCGAGGATCCGAGTGATGGAAATAAAGAAGCTTTTCAAGCTAGATCTATCAAATTGAGTTTCCGGGGCAACTTCAATGGTGGAAATAATAATAATTCAAATGACTTAAAGAAGTTTTTATCAAAATTGCAAGAAATGATAGATGAGGCGAACCTTAAGGACATTATGAAACGGGCTAATAAGAATGAGAATGTCCAGAAGATTATTATGTCAAACCCGAAAGGACCATCTGATTCCCTGGTTTCCAATGAAGCTAAAACGCCAAGAATCAAAACTGGGATTTCTGCACTCGAAAGTAATCAAGGTCATATTATCAAAAAGAATGAATTTATCTTGGAATCTTCGTTGGAAGACTTGAACTCTTTAATGTCGAAGGCAAAAGAACTAAACAATCTAATCAAGTCCTTTGATAAAGTTATTAATGTTAATAGTATCAGTAATAACGAATATCAAAAAACTCTTGATGAATCTAAAAGCACTTTAGGAATTGGCAATACTAATGATTCATTTCACTACCTTGTTTTGAATAACAATTTTAATTTTTTAAATAAGTTAGATAATAAGGAGATATTTTACAAAGAGCTTGCCAGAAACTTGGCAATATTTATCCAGAACTTTGTATTTGGTATTGGGGACAACAGTATGAAATTAATTACAAATGAATACTCTGGAGGTATTATCTCATTGATAGATCTCTACTCCCTATACAATATATCGTTGGGATTCAATAATAATTTAATCTCACCTTCTGATTTGCTAGAATCGGTATCATATTTCGATAGCTTGAAATTACCGTTGAAGTTCAGAAAGTTTGAAAAAAGTGGTCTTTTAGTGATTCAAGATTCGAAATGTACTGATGAAGAGATTCTCAATCAAGTTACGGATTTCTTGATAAATAAGAAGTTCAGGTTACAAAACAGTGAAGTTATAGACTCTGAATATCAGAGTGTTGAGAATAAAATTAAAGGTAGCGGTGAATATTTTAGAGGAATAAATATCCAAACCCTTGTTAAAGAAATGAATTTAAGTGTGGCAATTTTGCAAGAAATCCTCGACATTGGGCTAATGAATGGATCTTTATTAATCGATGAAGATATTTCAGGTACCAGTTACTACTTAAATGAAATTGATAACTACGAATGGTAGCTATCTGGAATATATTCAAGTACTTTAATGAAATCATAAAATCACTGGATTGTAGAACATGCAAGCTATTTAATACCATCAGAATGGGTCTTTCAAAAAAAAATTGGGGGAAAAAAAATTGATTGAAAAAAAATTTAATACACTTCATATGGTCGAATTTGCTATTATTAACTATCTACCACAAAAAATAATCAAAAATGGTTGAAATACCGGTGAAGTTTATATCATCGGACTGTATTCTTCTGGAGGAAGAGATATTACGGTTGAAGAAAACCCTTATCAAAAATAAACCTGCAGATTTGATCGGCAGTGTTGATGAGACTGGTACAACATGCATAGAGTGCATCTTCTATCCAATATTCAATACTTTGAAAAGCTATAAAGGGCTCGGTGATATCAGGCTTTACTGTGCTGATTCACTTGCTATATGGCTTGTTAGATGTATGCAAATCTTTAATCATCCGGATGCTGACCCTAAATTGATTCAACGCTTATCAGGCTTCATGACTGACGAAAATTCTAATTTTGTCTTTGATTACATTGTAGATTTTTGGAATGAAAGTGGCTCACCATTGAGTAATGCCTTGAGGGATTTATTGACGAAGATGGTGAGTTTTCTAAGTTTGTTTCATCAGGATAACGAGGATCATATCACTGCCAATGTGTTTCAAAAGTGGAGTAGCAAAATCTTGAAAACTATTCCCCATACCAAAAGGGTGTTTTACTTTGTGATCCAAACTTTGGCGAGAAATATTGATTGCAGAAAGATTTTAAAGGAATCACCAAATTTTATTGAAGATTCTTTGGCACAAATGTTCTCCAACGCATTTGCCAATTCCGTTGCGAAATGTGTGGCAGCGGTGTTGGATGGAATTTACCAGAGTATGAAAAACTCAGAAGAACAGGACTTTGAATTGAAGTGGACTTTAGTATGGAAGGACCCGGTAATAAAATCATTAACTACTTTCAACTTATGCAGAAACGTTCAGATTTACTTGCTTCCTTTATTGTTGAAAGTTCCTCAGCAACCAAGACCAGTGTACAAGTATTTTATCAATCAGATATTAGATACCAGTGATCCAAATTTGAGCTTATCAGGGAAAGAACAAACATTTAGATTATCCTTGTATCTTGGATGCTTGAAAATCGGTAAGGACTTACAAATCGATGAAGAACCATTTGCCGGTGACGATCCAATCATCAATTTGGAATTGTTAAAACAACTATTGAGTCATGAATCTAAAACCATCCGTATCACATCATATTCCATCCTAGTTTCTTCCACTAAGAGAGCAAGGCCGGTCAGTCTGTATATATATGGTATTGTGGAAGACATCTTAGAAGTCTACTTTGTAGATGATGATCCAGATTCAAGAAGTGATTTCCATAGTTTAACCAGAAACTTCATCCTTCGTGTCAGAGATTCTACTTATGCCTTGCAGAAAAAGCTAAATACACTCAATAGCAAGGGGCTTGATATGAATAACGATGAAATGATCAAACAAATTGAAGAGGCAAAGGAATTTTTGGAAAGATTGTTGAACAAAATCAAAACCCAAATCACACCTGGAATGACTTACCAAAGACTCCATTTGGCCTTTTCTCTTTTAATTTCAATGATAACTTCGGGAGTTGATGAGAATGTTCCAAAGAAGTATCTTGATAGAAAGCACCTTGCTTATCCTTTCCAGATTCAAATATACACTGGAGACATCGTGAGATTATTGATTGATAACATTTCAAATAATTTTGATAACATCAGAGAATGTGCCATTAATGCTCTTTTGATGGCACCAGTCCCACTTGAAGGATTCAGCTCCAAGGAATCCATCAACGAAATCTTCTTGAGGTCTGTGCATATTTTGAAAAATATCCAAGGTAAAATGAGTGATAGTGGTGCCAGATTATTGCAATTTGTATATAACTACAACATAGCTCAAAAGCGTTACGATGAAAATAAAGCTATTACTGATTATCTACTTAACGCTTTAGAAGAAAATATTGATGCTGCTTCAAACAACCTTGCAGAATCTGTTTCTACTCACTCAGTCCATGGGTTATATAAAGGGTTAAGCATAATCATTGAGAATTCAAACTTTGATAAAATGGAGAAAGAGGAAGAGAAAGAATGGAAACAGCGAGTTGACCGAATCATCGATTTGGTAAATCAAAATTGGGACTCTACAAAGGATATCCTCTCTAATGACTCTCCAGAAGGAAATATTCCTGATGCTTTCAAAGAAGTGGAAACTATCAAACAAATAAGTCCATTTTCTCAAATTATCTCTAATTACGCTTGGAGAGCAGTCAAAGACTCATCATTCGTATTAAAGCAACTACTCATCAGAGCCCCAAATTTCATTTTGAGTAAGGAGTCTGTTCTCAAAATTAGTGACTTGATCTTAACTCAGCTATCTTCGGTGAACCATAAAGGGGCATTTTATTCTATTTATCCAACTTTTGAAGAATGTTGTCATAGATGCTATCGTAAAGACTCTGGTCTTGAAATGATGCCAGTTAAATGGTTGAATGATAATTTATCTTTAATTAAAATCAAGTCGACTTATATTATCAGAAGATCTGCGGGTTTACCTTTCTTGATCTCTATGATCTTAGTGGCGGATATTAGAAGACTAGGGAAAGTTAGGGTTGGATTGAAAAACACTCCGTTGTTCAAGGAAACATTCAAGAGGCTAATTGATATTGCTAGAACTCCTATTAATGAAGAAGAATACAAATTGGATGAAAATATTGAATTACCTCAAGTACATGCTTTCAATTGCATCAAACAATTGTTCATTGAAGCTAACTTATCGGACCCTACATCCTTCTACATTGATGCGGGTCTCGAATTGTCTTTCTGGGCTATTCAATCTGGCATTTGGTCAATCAGAAACTGTGCCGTAATGTTGTTCGCTGCGTTAGAAAACAAATTGTTTGGATCGAAGAAAGTTGGTAACACCATTGTTCCATATTCGGGTAGATTGTTCTTTAGTAAGTTCAAGAAACTCAAAGGAATCTTGACTGACAACTTTAGAAAATTCTTAGCTATTGAGTCGGGCTCAGAGAATACAAATTCCAATTCTGCTTTGGAAAGTATTTTCCCAATTCTCACTATTCTTTCTAGACTTGAGCCAACCAACAACTTCAGTAATGATTTAGAAGATTTTAAACCCTTCTTGTTGGAATCGCTTGGAATTAAGTATTTCAAGATTAGAGAAATGGCGGCCCGTGCTATTCCGTCCTCTATTTATGAATATGAAATCTTTGATGAGATAAATATGTTGCTTGACAGAATTGATGCTAACCCAGGGCTGCAAAATGAATTACATGGGAATTTGTTAGCAATTAATCAGTTGTTGATTAAGAGCAAAAGAATTTCTGTGGAAAATGAAAAAATTCCTGAAGAATTGGTTAATAGAATTATTAAATCTTCTCCACAAATTCTTTTCAATAACAAATGCTACATGAATGGAAAAGCCTATATTGACATGCTCAGACTCTTATTGGATATTAACGGAGGCTTCACTGCTCCTGGGTTCATGAACGCTATTGGCAATTACTTCATTGAATTGGAGTACACATTTATGGAATCTGAGAAATTAGATGGTATGAAAGAATTGCTTGCTAAGGATATTGCATTATTAATTCTTGAGTTCTGTGACGACGCCCAAATTGGAGAATTTATTGAGTTGGGTATTATTTCTGCCTCGTATAAAGTCCAGTTAGGAACAATGAGATTTATAATCCATCGTCCTGAAATGTTGAAGAAACTCTCCAATGAATGTATTTCTAATATCATCAACACTCTTTGGGAGATTATTGATGACGAGTCTGTTTGGTCATATATTAAGGCTAATGCTTTAGAGCTATTGCAACTAGTATCAACTAATGCTGGTGTAACTGACCTCACCAAAACTAATAGGGAGAAGTTATCTATTTTCATTCTGTTTGTTGTTGATGATCATAGTGAGGATGTCAAAGCAACTGCTTTGCAAGCTATGGGTCCTTTTATTGGCTACTCAATTATTAATAAAGAACATGATGAGACAATAATTGGAAAATGGTTACATTTTATTCGCTTGTTTGCTAATGATGACAATATTCTAGACTTGAGATATGCTGCCTGCAAGTCCTTGCTTTCGATGCTCAATGTTGTTATTGATTCAAGACTTAATTTCATAGAGTCTCCAGTGGTGGCCAAAGCACTTTTCTATCTTTTCCTCCAAATCAGCGATGATTCTGAAGAAATTAGAGAAGATATTACGAAGTTTTTCTGCAGTTTGTACGGTGTCAACTCGTCAGTCCCAGTATTCATGGGTTTCGAATTCGTGTCAAAATTTGTGCCAATGTTCCAAGGCCACGCAGCAACTGTGCTTTTAGAGTACTTCATGAACTATCCTTCTTTGAATAAAGTGGTCGAAGAATATTTGCAGCTGGGTGAAGTTTTATTTGATGCAGAAAAAGACAATCTTTATGTTGTCGAATTCATTAGGTATTCTCAAATCATAAATATGTTGACCCAATCACGCGACTTCTTGTCAATTGAGCGAAAGAACGATATTAAGGCTAGAGTGGTGTCAGAATGGCAATACATGGTGAGCTTTGTTAAGTCACAAGGTGCTGATGGGATCCTTGGCTGGACAACCAGTGAAACTACGTTTGGGGCTATCAAGATGCAGACTTCAAACTTGAATATGGTTTACGAATTAGGCCTTAATGATGAAATGACTGAAAATTTATTCTCTTGTTTTCAAAAACTCTGTCAAACAAATAACTTGCAAACGCTATTAGTTCCTCGACGCTAATTACTCTTATAATTATTATCTTGTTACATACATAATAGAACTTTTAATATTAATACAAATTATATGAATATACTGTAAGAAAATAAAATTGCAAACTTAAAGATAAAACTTCTTCTTTTGCTTATCCATGCTTGGTTTATGCTCCCATTCAGTTTCTCCTTTGACACCTCTTTGTACTCTTCTCAATCTCAAAGTGAATTGAGGACCCAACTCCTGCAATCCGACTTTCTCCTCATTTCTAAACACATAACGATGTCTTCTGAAGAACATGAAATCTCTCTGATTATGAATAGTAATCACCTGTCTACCCTCGATATCTGGTTTGTGTGGGAATAATGATTTAAACAAGTTACCAACAGAAGCACCCAAAGAAGTTTTGAAATTATTGAGCACAAGTTCAGGAATATGTGATGTAGCTTTACCGTGGCCTGGAATTTTTTTACCCTCAATATAGGAAGACACTGAGAAATAGTAGGTTGGCCCCTCTGGCAAGGCGATAAAAGTGATCCCATTGATGGTTTTCTTGTCTTCGTTTACCACCACCAAATGAGTGTAGCCTCTATTAGAACTCAATCTTGCCATATCATTCATCGAATAGTTTCTTTTCCGCTTAATGAACTTAATATCTTCGAATAGTTCCCCAAAACAATCAACAAAATTGTAGGCATGTCTGGTACAATTGGCAGATGTGGTTATTAGTATCTTAGGATCTTTTCCGTCTTTGAAATAGCTAGAAAAGTCTCCTTGTTGGTCGTCATCATCCTGCTTTTCATTTTCCTTTTCATCTTCAGAGTCAGAATTATCAACACTAGAATCAGAATCTTCAGGGTTCTTAATGGTTTCATCATACTCTCTTTTACCATCGATGGTATCTGGTACCTGTTTTGGCAAACCTTTTTCTCTTCTCTCTTTACGTTCCTCACGCTTGAGTTTCGATTTCTCCTTTTTGTGCTTGAGATTTATCTGTGTTCGCACATCCTTATTTTTGATCTTGAAATTCTTAGAAGTGGTGCCCATGGTTTATAGTGAAAGAGATATTTCTTAATGTTAACCTCATCTTGAGGTTGAAAATAAAAAAAAAAAAAAAAAAAAAAAATTTTTGTAGCGCCAAAATTTGGCGATGCTGTCACGTGAGTGAAATTCGGGTGGGAAATCGCTTTCCAGAAAAAAATCCCAATGAAACCTTCTCCGAGTAGATGAGATGGATATATCCAACCAAAAACAACCCTTCAAGAATGCTAAGGTCAAATGTGGGTGCCGCTCTTCGCAGCCTCACCAGAAATGCTTCTACCAAAGCTTACAACTCCTCAAAAGTGTTGAGGAAGTATCCTATTGGACAAGAGATTCATGGATTTGAAATTAAAAGAACTCTTGCAGTCCCTGAGTTTGCCTTTACAGCAGTGAATTTGGAACATAAGCGTTCAGGACTTGAATATCTTCATATTGATAGAAACGACAAGAACAATGTGTTTTCTATTTGTTTTAAAACTAATCCTACAGATTCTACTGGGTTGCCCCACATTTTGGAGCACACCACCTTGTGCGGGTCAGAAAAATATCCAGTGAGAGATCCTTTCTTCAAAATGTTGAATCGTTCATTATCCAATTTCATGAATGCTATGACCGGTCATGATTACACTTTCTATCCGTTTTCAACCACCAACAACAAAGATTTTGAAAATTTGAGAGACATTTATTTCGATGCTTGTTTCAATCCTCTCTTATCGAGTCAGGATTTCCACCAAGAAGGCTGGAGACTTGAAAATGAGGACCCAAATAATAAAGAAACACCAATCACATTCAAAGGGGTGGTTTACAATGAAATGAAGGGTCAATTTTCAAATGCTTCATATTTGTTCTACATCAACTTTTTAAACAAGATTTACCCAAGCTTGCATATTTCGGGTGGCGATCCTCAAGCAATCACCAATTTAAGCTATGAAGACCTAGTGGATTTCCATGCCTCAAGATATCATCCTTCTAATGCCAAAATCTTTTCTTATGGTGATCTACCATTGAGCGAAAATTTGGAATTTCTTAATAAGAATTTGGGTCATTTTGGTAAGCGTGCCAAGAAGCAAAGTAGACTGGATATTAAAGAACCAATTGATTTATCCAAATCCCAAGAAGTGTTTGTCGAAGGTCCGGTTGATCCAACTTTATCCGAAGATAAACAATATAAGGCCTCAATGACTTGGTTTGTTGGTAAGCCTGAGGATGTTTATGAGACTTTCGTGTTGAAGTTGCTCAGTAGTTTACTTTTGGACGGTCACGCCTCTCCATTTTTCAAGAAATTGATTGAGAGTGGGATCGGAAATGACTATGCTGTTACTTCTGGTGCTGAATCCATTACTGATTTGAATAGTTTCACTGTGGGGCTTCAAGGGTTGTCAAAGGAAGATATTCCAAAATTTGAAAAAATCGTCAATGAAGTTATGGAAGAGTGTGCCATTACTGGATTTGAAGATCAAAAAGTGGAGGCCATGCTTAAACAAATTGAATTAGGAAAAAAAGATAAAAAATCTGACTTTGGTTTGAATTTACTTTATTCAATTGTCCCTGGGTGGGTGAATCGTGTGGATCCTTTTGATTCCTTAGCGTTCGATGATGTCGTCAACGACTTCAAGATCAATTATGCCGCTGCCAAGGGACAATTCTTCCAAAATGTCATCAAGGAAAAGTTTTTGGGAAAGCCTGTTTTCAAGTTTGTGATGAAACCTGATGCCAATTACGAAAAGAAAGTCATTGATGAAGAAGCCACAAGATTATCCAAGAAACTTGAAACTTTGAATGAAGAGGATAAGGAGGTTATTTATGATCGTGGATTGAAACTATTAGAACAACAAACTAAGGAAGAGGATTTGTCATGCTTACCAACCCTTAGTGTAGATAAAGATATTCCAAGAGATGGTGAAGTTACTCCAGTTGATATTGCTGATAACTTAAATTACAAGCTCTTGAAAAGAATCACCGATACCAATGGTCTTTTGTATTTCCGTGCTCAAAAGAGTTTAGAAAATGCGGTACCATCAAGATTGGTTCCATATTTGCCATTGTTCTGTGAAGCGCTTATGAATGTCGGTACTAAGAATAAAACCATGGACCAATTAGAAGACGAAATCAAGTTGTACACTGGTGGCTTGAGCTCGTCAGTGTACGTGAAACCTTCAATCACTGATAACTTGAAACCAAAATTATTTTGGGAACTCCGTGGTGTTGCATTGAATTCGGAAGTTGGTAGAGTTTATGACCTTTGGACAGAAATTTTGAACGAGGTTGATTTTACCAACACCGAGAAATTGAAAACCTTGATCAAATCTTTGAACGCCAATAGTGTGAGTGACATTGCCAGTTCAGGCCATTCTTACGCTAGATCATTTGCTAGTGCCGGCTTGTCGCCAGTTAAAGAGTTTGGAGAATATCTTAGCGGTGTGAGTCAAATCAAATTTATCAATAAATTGAATGCGATTGTCGATGATGAAGAGAAATTGAGATATGAAATTGTTTCTAAATTGGAGGAAATTAAGGAAATCTTGATCAATAAAGATAACTTCAAATTCGGGTTGATTGGTGATAGTGAAACCGTTGAATCCAACCAATCCTTAATTGAAAAATTCTTGAGTGATCTCCCACAAAGTAACGTTGATAAAAGTACCATCGATTATGAATCACCAACATACTTTAATGAATTAAGATCTGAATTCTTTGGTATTACTGGCGCTAAACCAACGCTTCTTAGTCTCCCATACCAAGTTTCATACGCGTCATTGGGTCTTTTAGGTACTACATTTTTGAAGGAGGACAGTGCTTCTTTACAAATCCTTTCTCAATTATTGACCTTTAAATACCTACACAAAGAAGTTCGTGAAAAGGGTGGTGCCTACGGAGGTGGAGTTAGATATGGAGGGGTCGATGGGTTATTTGGATACTACTCCTATCGTGATCCAAACCCACTCAGGAGTATTGAATATTTCAAGAAATCTGCTGATTTTGCCCTTGACAATGCTTGGACTGCCGAAAATTTGAATGAGGCTAAATTGACAATCTTCCAAAGTATCGATGCGCCAATGGATGCTAAATCGGAAGGGATGATGTTGTTCCGTGACGGAATCACTGACCCAATGAGACAAGAGAGAAGAGAAAACTTGTTAGATGTTAACATTGAGGATATTAAGAATGTGACTGAAAAGTATCTTATAAATGGTATCAAGGATAGTAAGAGTCATAGAGTGGCGGTGATTGGTCCAAGATTGGAAGAATATGATGAAAGCAAATGGGAGATTATTGATTTCAGCTCTTGATTGCTAGTGATTTGTGACATGTAAATAACGTTTCTTATTGTTCATAAACTATCTATTAGATTTGATTTTTTATCAATACATTAAAGATAAAGAAGAAGAAAATTTTTGTTATTTATTCCTTATGGTAGCAAGTAGATATTCGATTCTCCAAATTATACAAAAAATGCAAAGATTAATACATATACGAAAAGCGTTACTAGAAAAGAAAGAGAGAGAGAAAAAAAAAAAAAAAGCTCGATACTTGCCAACCGAGACGATACATCGTAGACTATGAAAATGAAAGGAAGAAGCCTTTTATGAGAGGAAAAAAATTCATTAGATGGGAAATTTGATAAACTAAACAGATATTATCAGCCATTGAAATCATAAGATATGCTTTGATCTAAAGTAATTTCTCAAGTAATTAACTTGCCATGCACCCAAGGCCATGAGTAAAAAGATGGCACAAACAGAAAAGTTCTTGACTCTGGTGTTGGTAGATTCGTTAGTGTCTCTTAATCTTTCTTCTCTTCTTTTCAAGTAGTTCAATTCATCCACAAGTTCATCAGTCAATTCTTCAATTCTTCTCAACTCGACTTCAGCTGGCTTCAATTTTTCAGCAGCCTGGATGGCATTCCAATCTCTGGCAGCGGCACCAGCTTCGATGTCCAATTCAACTTCTCTAGAAAGAGATCTACCTCTATGCACTGCAGTGTTTTCAAAACAAACATCAAAGGCGGAATTTGAGTGGGAAGTGAAGGCAACTCTGACATTTCCAGCAAAGTCCTTCTTTCTACGGTATTCATTACCGACACTGTCAACGATGTAAAAGTTTAGCACTTGACCATCACCCACATGACCAGAAGAGTGGATTTTGGCAACAACTAATTGATTTTCGGTTACAAAGTCCCTGATGCAAAATGGGGTTGTTCTTGAGGAAGAAGCTGGCACATCGAACCTAAGGGCTTGGGTGCTTCCAAGGTATATGAAGAATAATATGAGAGACGAGATCACTGGCAACTGCATACTGGAATTGATCTTTGAATGTATTTTGATCCTATAATCGTCTAAATGGCCCTGTGTTTATCTTATTGCGACAAAGAGTTAATTGGGAATATTTCTCCTTTATGTTGTCAGAGATGGCACCTTCCTAATCTGATATGAATAGTAGGGGTTTTTCGTGGATCAAAATCAATCTTGTGTGTTATTTTTTTTCTCTCTCATTGAAAATTCGTGTCCACTTGGAAGGAAAAAAAAAAAACATTAGCACGTGACAATATATCCTTCATCATAGGGTGTATACACCCCTTATAGGACCAGGACTATTAACACGGGGCTTTGCACCCCTCTACTGAAAGTGTTTCAGCCTAAAGAGCCAAACCACGCTATGCGAAAGTCTCCGGGAGACACCGACTGCCTTATGGGTGTGGCTGAAGAGATTTTTCGTACAACAAGCGAATTCTAAGACAAGCTTATCAATATAAATGACCATTTTGCAGAGAGTTGTTATCTCCTGGTTAACTACCGTGTGAATGTGTCAAAATGGGCAATGGTCGAGGCTATCTGAGTTATTGCATATGATCACGCGCTGTGATTGGCTGATTCCCTATCAGCTGCTGACCGCTATCAACGTTGTGAGCCCTGTGTGGTTATCTAAACAATATATCAGGCGAGTGTAGCCTCCTTATCTATCTCGTTTCTTCTGTATCTTTTCTTCCTATTATCTCTCTCTTTGTCTTTTATTTTTTGGATCTCATCATCTAGCTTGATAAATCTTCTCCATAAATAAAAAAGAAAATCAAACATAAAAAAAAACATATAACCACAATGGCCGAAAAAACCGCTACTCTTTTAAAATACCTTGACTTGCCACAAAACGGAAGGGTCGTTGCCGGTATGTACTTTCTTTTCCCAAAACAATTCAAATTCTTTTGAAGACAGTCAATCTACACGAATGTGTATTTGAATTTATTGAAACTAATCTTAACTACATTAGAATATTTCTGGATTGATTCAGAATATAACGTCAGATCAAAGGGTAAAACCTTATCTAAGAAGGTCACTTCCCTTGACGACCTTCCAGAATGGAACTTTGACGGGTCCTCTACTGGTCAAGCTCCAGGTCACAACTCCGATGTTTATTTGAGACCAGTTGCTTACTACCCGGATCCATTCAGAAGAGGTGACAACATTATTGTTTTGGCGGAATGTTGGAACAGTGACGGCACTCCAAACAAATTTAACCACAGACATGCTGCAGAAAAGTTGATGACTGCTCACGCCAAAGAAAAGACCTGGTTTGGTATTGAACAAGAATATACGTTATTCGATCAATTCGATGATGTTTATGCTTGGCCAAAGGGTGGTTTCCCAGCTCCTCAAGGTCCTTACTACTGTGGTGTTGGTACCGGTAAGGTTTCCGCTAGAGATGTGATTGAAGCTCACTACAAGGCCTGTCTCTATGCTGGTATCAACATTTCTGGTATCAATGCCGAAGTTATGCCTTCCCAATGGGAATATCAAGTTGGTCCATGTGAAGGTATCTCTATGGGTGATGAATTATGGGCTTCCAGATACTTGTTGCACAGAGTTGCCGAAGAATTCAACGTCAAGATCTCTTTCCATCCAAAACCATTGAAGGGTGATTGGAACGGTGCTGGTTGTCACACTAACGTTTCTACTGAAGCTATGAGACAACCAGGTGGTATGAAGTACATTGATGCTGCTATTGAAAAATTGTCCTTGAGGCACAAGGAACATATTGCTCTTTACGGTGCCGACAATGAACAGAGATTGACAGGTAAGCACGAAACTGCATCAATGAGCACTTTCTTGTCTGGTGTTGCCAACAGAGGTGCTTCGATTAGAATTCCAAGATCTGTTGCCAAGGAAGGTTATGGGTACTTTGAAGACAGAAGACCAGCTTCCAACATTGACCCATACTTGGTAACTGGTATAATGGTTGAAACTATTTGTGGTTCTATTAGTGATGTTGACATGACTAAGGAATACGCCAAGGAGTCTGAAGAGTAAGCTCAAAATAAAAAAGTAGTGTCTTCCGTTTTTGTTGTTATTAATATTTTTACGTATTGTTGGTTCTCAGTTTAGTTTGGTTATATCTTTTTTTATCGGTTGCTATTTATTATCTCCTCTTTCTGTTAACTGTTTAACTATTATAGCTTTTTTTTTTTAATCATATGCAAATTTAGAGTGTGTGTTTCAAATAAAAGTGTTTGTAAGTATGCTTCCTCCCAAATGGACCTCAGGATAATTACTCTAAACTCCAATGAGATTGGTCTTGTGACTCAAGTTTTTGAGTCGCACAAAAACATTTTCAGATTCAGCATTCAAAGTATATTAGATTATTATAATTACTATAAAAATTAGTTGCCGTTTATCTCTAGGGTTGTCCGTACTCGGGGTTAGTCATTGGAGATAATAGTCTTAGGTACGAAGAAATATATCACCTCTCTGTCTCTCTGTCTCTCTCCCCGAATATGAATGTTTCAGCAATGGGTTTTTATGACCCCTAGAAGATTTCTTATCATTCGCAAATTAGTTTGCGAGTATCGGTTGGTAAAATCCCTTCGAAATTAGCTACAAATGAGTGGGGATAAAATCATCCTCTCACATGTGCTCCATAGATGTTGGGTCTATTTCTTCAATGTGCTTCTTATCGTAATTTGATGGTTTTATCGAATGAGTTTTTTATTTGTTTGCAAACCTCTTATTACTTTAGTTCAATAGCTAATGATTTAATAGTCTTCAATGCTGTCATATATATGTACATATGGGTGATGTGAAAGAGTCACATTTTTTGGGCTATGACTACAGCTTGAGTTTTGGATCAGATTATTTTCGATATTTCAGTTCCCGATATTTCAGTTCCCGATACTATTGCAGTATAAATACTAAATATTTGATATCTGTCATTTGGAAACGATACAAGTGTACCGTTAATCATCAGCTAAAACCTTTTCAAAGTTTATTCATGGGTTTTATGTGAGGCGATCCAGTTTTCTGGAAACGGCAATAGGTTTTTTCTTTACTTGTTTGATTCCAACATTTATGAGTCAAGTTATTCTCATATTTCATCTGATCCCATATCCATTCACTTCAACCTCTTTTTTTTGATTGTATCATTTTTTTTCTGGATGAGCATCAATCATCAGGATGATAATAATGTTGGATAATTGGGCATGCTATTGAAATTGTTCAATACCAACTGTGTGTGATCCAAGAGTTGATTTTCGTAATTGAATATTGAGTACACCCATGAAACAGTTTTTTATAACACTAAGAATAGTGTGAGAGTGACAGCTCAGGTATCAGAGGGTTTTTTTTTTGAAGCTGATGAAATTACATTTAAGAGTTACTTTTGAGCATGTTCCAGGTAAAAGAATCAAGTATGAATATTTAAAAATTAATAAAAGGGGATGCATTCCAAAGGTCGTTACAGCATTCATGACAAATTACTATAGCAAGAAGATTACTTGAACAGCAACACAACTCAAATAACATGTTTTGTTTATTGGAATATATATATATATATTAAGAAATCAATACCGAGTATATTACTTTGGGCTCCATTCAAAAATTTTTGTTTGACATTAATTGATAGATGATAGTGTCAAGAAAGGCAGTAAATATTACATCTTAGTCGTTCATTAAATGTGCAAGGAAAAAGGAGGACAGACCAGATTATTGGAGTCGATAAGTTCTTGCCATTGTGTCAAAAATGAGAATCTTAAATTCGTGAGAAGTCCCTGCCTGGTTAAAGGGGGTGGGAATTAGTCATTTATTTACCTCGTTCTTAAGCTAAGAACTTTGTATCAGACGAGAGGTTGTTAATAGCAAAAATAAGGCAAAAGAAATATAAAAGATCTTTTTGTTTGAGAACACTAACGTTTTTTTTTTAATATTAAAAACCAATGTATATTTAAATTCAGAAAGTATTCTGATTGAAAAATGCAACTAAAATCAAGTAATGAATAATGCAAGGTAGAAAGAAATGATACCGAAAATAAGAATGTCAAAAAGTGGAGATGCAGAAAATGAGAGAAACAAAAAATATTTAAAAAACCAAAAACAAAATATGACGAAGATAAAAATTATGCAAAGAGGATGAAAAAAATACTGATGATAAGATGAATTAATGTTCGCTTAACTATTAGAGCAAGAACAAGGCAATAAGACCGAAAACAGATGAGCCATAAGCGATGTTCTTTTGGTTACCAGCACCGGTTTGGATAAGTGGGGTAGTGACAGAAGTAGATGAAGCTGAAGTGACAGAGGTAGACAAAGAAGAAGTGAGAGAGGTAGACAAAGAAGAAGTGATAGAGGTAGAAGAGTTTTCAACAGTAGTACTGCTAGTCTTGCTCAAGGTCTTGCTGACAGTAGTGGCTTTAGTGGTAGAAGATTCTTTGCTAGAAGTAGTCAATTCTGGAAGAGAGGAAGTAGAAGATTCAACTGGAGCAGAAGTGATGGTAGAGACGGCGGTGGTGGAAGTCAAAGGACAAACAGTGGTGTAGGTGGTAACAACTTGGGAGGTGGTACTGGTGACACCGGTAGAGCAAGAATCTTCGGAACAGCTAGTGATAGTGATGAGAACGGTGACATCACTAGAAGTAGTGACAAAACTAGTGGTGTAAGAAGCAGTGGAGAAAATGTCGGTGGTTCCTGAAGCTGAACTGGTAGTGGTGGTCAAACTAGTAGATGGAACAACGGTTTCACTAGTAGCCTCGAGAGTAGTAATGGACTCAATTGAAGAAGATTCAATGGTAGTAGAATTAGCGATAGAAGATTCAATGGAAGAAGACTCGGAAGTGGTAGAAGATTCAGAGGTGGTTGGAATGGTGGTAGTGGTAGATGGGGTAACAGTGGTAGAAGATTTAGAGGTGGTTGGAGCAGTGGTTGGAATGGTGGTAGTGGAAGATGGAGTAACAGTGGTGAGCTCAGAAAGTGGACAGGTAGTAGTATACACGGTGGTGACTTCGACGGTGCTGTAGGTAACAGATTCAGTACAAGCAGTGTGACCTGCACAAGAGGTGATAGTGACTTCAGTAGTGGTCAAAGAGGTGTCAGTGACAACAGTAGTAGTCAATTGGGAGCCTGGAACAGTTTTAGAAGTAGTTTCCACAGATGATGAACTTGGGACAGTAGAAGTAGTTGCTACCGATGATGAGCTTTCACTGCTGAAAGCTGGTTCGAGAGTGGTGGTAGATTGTGGTTTGGAAGAGCTGCTTGACTCAATAACTGGAAGAGTGGTGGATAAAGTACTCAAAGCAGAAAGAGGACAAGTGGTAGTGTAAGAGGTGATAGTTTCAGTAGTGTGGATGGTGATGAGTGGCACACAGGTAGAGTATCCAGAACAGGAAGTAATGGTGTCAGTGACGGTAGTGAAATCTTTTTCGTAAACAACGGCAGTAGTCATTTGATCATCAGTAGAAGCAATAGTGCTATTAGTGTAGGGAGCCATTGCAGAGGCAACGGTGGCTAACAAGAAGACAGGCAAGAACATAATAATGATATGAGTTATTGAATTTATAAGATAATGATCCGTAAAGCTTGTCTGTTGACTGAGTAATATTTATATTGTTTTGTATCTAGGAATAATTAAACATAATTGTAAAATCAGTATACCGAGTGGATCCTGAGCTGTTATATAATTTGCCATTCTCGAGAAATGTTAGTTAATGTTGAAAGAAAAAATAAAAAATATCAGACATGCATGTCAGACACACAAACAAACACTGGCAGACGACGCGTTAGACGGGTCGACCAGGGCCCCGTCAGGTCGGTTATGCATGGCTTTGGCACAAGAAAATGTAAACAAAAAACAAAAAACCACTATATTGGTGACACACATGGCTCGACTAGGACTAATATCATCTAAAACCAGCAGATGCACTATACCTTATTGCTTACTGTTTATTCCCCCCGGTTTCGTTTACATTTATTTGTTGTTACAACGATTTTGACGTATTGTGAAAAAAAAAAAAAATCTGTTTTTGCCCAAAACATTCTTGATAAACTAAACGGTTTATTGTGAATGAAAATGAAGATATTGAAGAAAAAAAACACAAACAAAAGAGATGCATGTTCAGATCTTCCATTAACATATTATTGGAAAGAAATAATAATCGCCAAATTTAATATTCTAATTGATAATACCTAAGCGAGGTCCTGACACACTGAATTTGTGTACACAGTGTTTGAAGAACTGTGGTATTATCGGGATTCGGAAATACTTTGGTTTTTATGAGGATTAACTGAAATAAAATTTTCCGTGACATTATTTCACACATGGTTATTTTCAACTAAAATTCGATTCTATTGAATATTTACCGAAGTATGGTCTTAGACTAGTTATTAATCAGACCCTAAAGGTCTCACTTTGTAAGGACCGTCTTTTCACAGCATGTCAAATGATCAGCACTGCAACGAATCCCCAAGTTTTATCCGCGATAATAATGTTAATCGATCAAGCTCTCTTACAGTAATCATATTGCTAGAGTCTGAAAAACTGGAATTCAGGGGTCAAAAGATCATAGCAAATAATATTGTTGGAGCCGCCCGTTGTCCAAGACAACGCCAGACTGTTGCACTTCACCGGAAGTACCAGTAGAAGGATCAGACTGATTATCCATTACAAGCAACAGAGGTTGAGGTCGGTAAGTAGTTGTACAATGAGATGTTTTAACTTCAATAGTTAAGTTCTTCTACAGATTAAACTAGACTATATGATCACACGATCCTTAAATAATAAACTACCTTCCATGATAAGTGGAAGCTCTTTTGATACCCCTATAGGGGAATATTCTATAAATAAGAGTATCATATCCATACTCAAGGTTATTACTATTGTAAGAGATTTACAAGTTAGATAACAGCATAAATTCAGTTAGTAGTTCCAGCATCACATAACGTCATTGGTCAATGGGTGAGTGAATAATATCCTAGTAATCCGTCGTTGACTAAGCGAACCAACCTGCAACAGGTGTGGTGGTGCCAACAATAACCCATAAATAACTGATCTTATTGTTACACAACTTTTCAGATTTGATGTATTTCACATACTAACATCATCTGAACTTCTAATAAGAGTGTTGACGGAGTCCTCAATGGTGTTCGATTTGATGAGAGGTATTGCTATACTGATCTCAAACAGACATTGAAACTTCCCGTCAAAAGAGGTGTGTGTATACTACACATTCTTCGATTTATGGTATCTGTGATCATGCTAAAAATAAACTAGTAATTAAAGACAACATGCACCGCCGGATTGCGTGGGAGGAAAGGAGCAGGAACACTAACTGACTACCGTGATTTTATTCTCTTAACTCTGTAAAACACATTTACGCTACACGATGACGTGAAAGATTAAATCAAAACATGGACAAACGAGACGGACTCTGCACTTCGCTGTAATACAGGCAGAAATTTTCATTCGGTGCATGGATGCATAGTGGGACATGCAGCGGAATGTTTGACGAGGGTCCCCATGAAAACAAAAACAATAACAAAAAAATGAAATCTTGGTGATCTTCTGAATTAGTCTAAGACTTTCCAAAATATAAACAATTTGCTCCAAAAAAAATAAATGGAAATAAGGGAAAATCCCTAAAACTGATGACTGTTTGCCATTTTGAAATAGATCTGCTTCTCCAAAAATTTCAAATACATTGTATTATAACTCATAGTTTCATCATGCGACCTGTTACCATGAAAACTATTTTGCCCTACATTTTCTACCACAAGGCCTAGAGAACCATTCTACAAATAACAAGAGCGAATTCTTTTAATGGCGATAATAAGATGTAATATTGGCAATTTGGCAGAGTATGAAGTATAATATAGAATGATATAAAAATGGAAAAGAATATTATTTGACAAAAAAAAAATAAAACTAAAACAAGATTAGCTCAGTCAAAACTTGACATCCCAACTATCCAACTTCATTGTCCCATTATGTTCAAAATTTGAATGCATCTTGAAGACATCCTTCAAAATATGTGGTTCATGTAATGCTTTTCTCTTCAGAGCATAATGCACCGATCTATCGAAATAGTCCATCAACTGAGGTTTATAGTCAGGGTGAGCACATCTATTAATGATTTCCAAAGCTCGTTCTTTTGGAGACATTCCTCTTAAATCAGCCAAGCCTTGTTCAGTGACAATGACATCGAGGTCATGTTCTGTTTGATCAACATGGCTAGCAAATGGAACGACACACGAAATTCCAGTAGGGTCAATTTTAGATGGGCGAGCAGATGGGGTATGCATCACTGACAATTTAGCATTTCTAAGAAAGTCAGCAGACCCTCCAATTCCATGCAACATTTTAGATCCGCTGACATTTGTAGAATTGGCATGGCCATAAATATCAACTTCGACCGGGGTATTCATGGCAATAAGACCCATACGGCGAATAATTTCAGGAGAATTTGATACAGTTTGCGCCCTTAAACAAAGCTTGGAACTGTAAAGGTCCCAATTGTTAAAGAATCTTTCGAATCCTTTTTCAGTAAGCCTGATGGAGGTAGCAGTGGCGTAATCTAAGGTTCCTTTTTCGAAAAAATCAAGGAAAGAGTCTTGCAAAACTTCCGTCCAAACGGTAAGATTCTTGAAAGATGACTGCGCAAGCCCTTCAATAACTGCATTGGCTATATTACCGATACCAGATTGTAGTGGATGCAAATTTGCAGGCATTCTTCCTAATTTGACTTCGTGTTCTAGAAATTCAATCAAATGATTGGCAATAGCTCTCGAAATATTATCCGACGGGGTATTTGCCGGAACTCTATCGGACATCGTGCTTTCAACAATAGCAACCACGCGATTCGGGTCTACAGGGATGGAATCGCGTCCGCACTTATCATCGACACGTACATATGGATAAGCTGGTCTAAATGGAGGGAAAGTAGGCATATCGATATCATGAAGGCCTTCAAAAGATGGTATGGCGGTATTAACCTCGATAATAACTTTATCAGACACACTGATAAACTCTGGGGAGCTGCCGACCGCTGGACCAGGGACAATTGAGCCATCTTCTTTGATTGCTGTGGCTTCAATTATGGTGTAGTCTAACATATCATTTTCCTTATCCTTGGTATAATACCCATAGGTCAAGTCTTGAGGGAACATGGACAAATGTTTATCGAAAAACTGGGTTCTCCCATCATTGATAGCGTTGGCAATTGGTTTACCGACCTGATGAGGTGCCCTTCTAAGGATCATATTGAGATCGGCCCATCTACTTTCTTCGGGGCCGGCGCTAGCGCCGATAAACAAATTGAAGGCAAGTTTCCCTTGTAACCCGGTGGCCTCGACATGATTAGCAAGGGCGTTTGGAACTACTTTTGGAGAACCTACTCCCGTGAAGCCTGACCAGCCAATGTACTGGCCGTGTTTGAAGAGGTCAACACACTGTTCAGGGGTCTTTAGCTTAGGGAGGTATTGAGGGTATCTCACCCGTTGTTTGAGTATGGCCGACATTATGTAACTGAGGGGCGGTGTATTATGTCAGCAGGAGTACAAAAGGAAAGAGAGCGAGAAAAAGTCAGCAATGGGTGCTCATACATATATATATATATATATAAATATTACCACACATACAACAGAGACCCACTGCGACAATCGTGTCAAAAAGCTGCATGCGGGGAAGAAGGTGGGGTGCGTACGGAGTCCAACAAAACAAACAACCGCCCACCCATCCAAACACCCGGTAGGTGCGACATACCACTGCCTCGGGTCTGATAAAAAAAACCCAGACACTCATACATCCACAGAAAAAAAAAACTGTTTACGCTAACAGACTGAAATATCTGTCTGATAAGTACCACCCTATATATTTCTCTCTATTGTATTATCTCAAAGACCAATCAAACAATGGGCCACGATGATGAAGACGCAATAGAACTCTTGCCAGTACACGTCACCCCGACCACCTCCCCAGTGTACAACCTGGGTGTTGATGCTTTGGATAATAGTAACCATCGCATGTCTCCCCATCATTTGCACTCTCCATCCCATCATAATCCTCAACACTCTTTTGGCATCAATACTCAGAATGCTAATGATTCTTACAAACCTTCAAATAGTGGTGCCCTTCTCACAGTAGACAAGCCAGCATTCTATCTTCTAGTATTGTTATACTTCCTCCAAGGTATCCCTGTCGGTTTGGCCTTCGGATCAATCCCGTTCCTCATGAAATCCTCCCATCTTTCATACTCGCAGTTAGGCACGTTCTCCTTGGCCTCGTACCCATATTCTCTCAAACTTTTCTGGTCTCCATTTGTAGATTCTTTTTATAGCAAGAAAATTGGCCGTCGTCGTTCATGGATCATCCCCGTTCAGTCACTTACCGGTTTGGTGTTTATCATTCTTGGCTTTAGAATCGACACCTATTTTGCCGATTTGTCCAAAAATCTAAATACCTTAACATTCTGCTTTTTCGTCCTCGTGTTAATGGCATCTACCCAAGACATTGCCGTCGATAGTTGGGCTCTTGTCATCCTATCCCCGGCCAGCAAAAGTTACGCTTCTACTGCACAAACTGTAGGTTTAAACACCGGCTACTTTCTATCATTCACAGTATTTCTTGCATTCAACTCGAAAGAATTCATGAACAAATATTTCCGGTCCACCGCCAACCAAAAAGACGTTGGCCTCATATCTTTGGGCCAGTACATGGTTCTCAGTGGGATTATTTTCTTGGCCTGTACCGCGTTTGTGGCACTCAAGGTTCCAGAAGTCCCGGCCCATCTTCAGTCCCAGCAGAAAAGGCTTGAAGATGATGGATTGGCATTCGGTCAAGAGGATGATGATGACCCATTCAACCGGTCTAGCGGATGGGAAAACCTCAGGAAAACTTACTCGAAAATGTATCGTGTTTTATCGCTTTATCCCGTTCAACAATTCATAATTATTCTTCTCATTTGCAAATTTGGATTCCTCATAAATGAAGGGGCCACCAACTTAAAACTTCTCGATAGAGGGTTTTCTAAAGAAGATCTTTCTTTGACTGTCCTCATTGATTTCCCATTCGAAATCATCTTTGGGTACTATGTCGCAAAATGGTCTCGCGGGAATTCCGCGCTTAATCCTTGGCTATATGGGTACGTTGGCAGACTTGTTGCCGCACTTCTCGGTCAAATTGTGGTTTACATTTTCCCGCAACGCCCAGATCCAACTACAGGCCAACTTGTGTCAACCGTTACCTCCTGGTACTTTTTATTAGTGATTATCCAACATTTGTTCAGCTCTTTAATGAGCACTATTCAGTTCGTGTCATTATCAGCTTTCCACACAAGAATCGCTGACCCAACCATTGGTGGCACCTATATGACTACTCTCAACACCCTCAGCAACTTTGGTGGCACATGGCCTAAATTCTTTTTATTGAAATTCATTGATAGAATGACATTTGCAATTTGTGCCCCGGAAGCATTAACCTCCAATGATGCTTCTGTTGCCTCATTCGAGAAATTTTGGACTAATGTTAAGGAGTTCCTCAGTCTCACGGCATCCACACTTGAGTCCCAAACATATTTCCCAACCACCCCAAGTTTGGAACAACTATCACTCTTCTCTAGTTATAGTGCTTCTAAATTTGATATATCTAAGTTTCTCACTTACTTATCTACAACATTCTCGACATCAATCACCTCCGTTGCTGCGCTTTCCGCCTCGACCTCTTCATCAATTGCTGCCTACTCAAGATACACTACTACCGAAAAAATTGATTTCTGGTCCAACAGTGGTCAAAGTTCCAACTTACCAACTTGTGCAACCGATCCTACCAAACAGGTATGTGTTGGTATTTTTGGTGGGGAGTGCATGGTGGTGAAAGATGGGTACTACGTGATGAATATCTTGTGTGTTCTTGTTGGTACAGGGTTGTTGGTTGGGCATATTTGGAGAAAAATTGGGGAGTTGCAATCATTAGGAGAGGCAAGTTGGAGAGTCAAATGATGACATTGATAGTTCAGTTCTTTTCTAGTAGCATTTTTTTTTTTTTTATTTTGCAAATCTCTGGTATAGTGATAGAACAATTTTATTATCCAATACACTGGAGCGACTTGTATTTTTGTAATTTCAACATTTTCTATTTACGTGTTGAATGTTGTTGGGCTGGTCTCCTCTTTATGCCAAAAAAAAAAAAAAAAAGAAAAGACGATCCCATTAAAAAAATGAAAACAATGTCCTAGAAGGCGGAGAAATGAGATGGAGGAAAGATCCAAACTAAAATTACAAAAAATAACACATTCTCTAAAATTACTCGTCTATACTAAAAATATGGTCCGCTTGGAGTGGTATATGCTATTACAATAAAATAGCACAACAACACTGAAAAAATAAAAACAAAAACACATACATACACATACACTCCCAAGCCAGAAAAAAATTTCATTTTTTATTTTTCATATTCTTTTGTAAGATTTTCTAAAGAGTATATATCAGTACTCATTGACCACAAAATCTCGACATATAAATGGCTGTCACAATCTCAAAATACCCAGCCGCAAACCCACCGATTAATTCTGGTAAAGAATGGAAATAAATGGTAGTTATTAGAAGCATCCAGGACCATAATCCTAATAACATCCAAGTCACCACCGGAGGAGTGCCCAAGAACGCCAAGATTTCCATAATCTTACCTCTTCCACTTGGACGATGAGCAGGCATCAGCTGGGCCTTGTTTCTGAAGGTAGCAAAGTCAAGATCAAATGACCATTTGCAGACAAGAACTTCGAGAAGCTCACTACTATTGACAAGTTGATGGAAAATGTGGTTAGTTTCATACAATTTCCGAATTTGAAGCACCGAAAGAGGTAAAAGTTCAAACCAGAGGAAAAGCGACGCATGAACAAGCAAGAAACAATGACCACTTGGATCATGACCACCTTTCCAATTACCGCCGACTCTTCGACATATAGCAGAGGATATCTTAGCCTCATAAGCATCCACATCTGAATCACTAATACCATCGCTGTTAGGGACCAATGGACCAGGACCTAAGTAGCTGCCAGAGTCGATTTCAATCTTCCTTAATTCATTTTTCAAGTCAGGATTTCTATCAATGTAGTTCAATAACCTCTCAGAGTGGGCAATACTAGTACATTTACCTCCAGTAGCAAGGAACACCCGGTCCATCAAAGGCCGGCCAAAAAACCATTGGGTGAAGAAAACCCACCACAATGTGGCCATCAAGTAACGTAAAATGCTTCCACTAACCTTCCTAACGGGTATGCAACTTTTACCATCTGCCAGTTTCGGAGATAATGGACTAATTTTCAAAAGGACCCAACTGCCGATAAGGTAAAAGTATACTGCACTGGTCCAGCCCCATCCTTGCTTGACGAAAATTACGTTGATGATATTACGCTTCTGCGTAAAGTAGTTCTTGTGGAGCAACCAGTCATTTTCTAGTTCATTCCCACTCAAAAACAAAGTCCTTACCAAATGCATAACTTGACCAACCATCATAATCGTTGGATATATACAAAGTACAACAAGTTCGGGACCGGATAATCTCAATTTCCTGGCGGTGGCGGAGATGAGCTTCGTTACTTTGTTCAAAGGCAATTCATACACCGAGGACTCCGAATATGATACGTTTGAATCACCTAGTAGTGGCGACTCTGAGGCGCTATTGTTACTTTTTCCTTTCGGTAACGATGTGACTTTTGACAGAGATTCATCATGTGGAGAGAACGAAGACATTGCGATTGATCTTTTCTCGTATTTCCCAATTATCACGAGGATTGCTCTTTGCTTGTATGTTTCTTCACTGTATTATATATCTATTAGATAAAAATTATTGGACACACCAATGTATTTTATTATTCTTTGCTCATAAATTGATGAGATGAATAAATGTGGTATAGCTGAAGCCCCAGTTTGCCATCGGATTTTTGTGCTTTCTAGCTTTCATTTTTTTTCCATCTAATCGATTACATAAGCGCGGAGCTTTTTGTACTTTACACTCATTTTAATCATTTACGCCCATTTCAACACCCAAAGAGAACAAAACAGAAAAATATAGTATAGAAATATATAGTATAAATATAATAAAAAATGGGAAACGAAGCGTCTTGTATTGTATTGTGTAGTAGGACTTTACATGACAGTGTTCCTTCTTAAATCCAGATCGTACCTCCGCACCACCCTAGGCCTCAAGATCTCTTCACTGCTTCCATTTCTGAAAGAACTAGAGTAAATAGACGGAGCGCTATTTGCTTCTCTTGACGAATTGCTCCTTTGCAAACCTTGTTGAGATGGTCCGGTTGTACTCATCCGACCAACAGTTCCCGTGGACCTCGATGGTGCTGATGCCTGGAACCCAGATTCATCCTCTGAAACATCTATTTCTTCGAAATCTTCATCGTCCATGTAATCAGGAAATGTAGGTTGGGTGGAAGAAACCGGAAATTCAAAGGATTCTAAATTTGCGACGCCAAAGAAGTTCTCTGAGCCAGAGGCGGAAGAAATGCTGGTATCATTGGTGTGCACAGAATTTTCTTCATTTAAGTCATTATAATTTTGATCGAATTCATTGTTGTGACCATCTTCACCATTGGTATCTGCTGAACCCGGTAGGATTTGATGGAATTGCATATCGTCATCCCAAGAAAGCAACGCCGTTGTGTTAGATGACGAGGAAGAGGTATGTGATTGATCAATGGTCGGGTTAAAACTACTATCATTAAAAATGCTCCCCAAATGCCTGAGGTTCAAATCACTGAAAAGATTAGTTTTGAGAATATTTGTCAATTCCGAGCCTTCCATCGCTGGAATCGATGGGTTACAGTTACTGAGTTTTCCCAGAGCTGGTGGGAAGCTGAGACCACCAGGAGAATTTATTGGAGTAATCGACTGCAATGCTACTATCCCACTGGATGCTCTGGATGTTGTAGAATGTGGTGAGTTATTTGATAACCATTGACCGACCAACACGTAAAAGTTTTGCGCTAACGTATTATAACTAGTTTTTATGTCATTGAGAATATAATGATATGAGCTTCGACGACTATTAATCTCTTCCAAAGTTTTCGATTCATATTTAATAAGTTTATCCAATACTGCTTTGATTCTCATGGAAGAGTTGACAGCAACATCGGTACAATTGAGAATCTTGAGGTTCTCATATTTGGATAAGTCATCATTAATTGTTTCCTCAAGTTTCGCAGCCTCAGGCTTTAAGCTATTAAGGAGGGGAACCCAATGATTTTTAAAAGTAGATTCAAATTCCATGAGTTTTGGAATATAGAAATTAGAAACTTTTTTCAACATGTAAATGTTTTCTTTAATCGTTCTATTTAAAGAGTCATTTTCATTTTCATCGACTTTCAACTTTTCCATAACTGACACTTTTTTGGCCTTTGATTGAAGGATTTTGAAGACCGTTTCGTCATAATTTGTCCTCAATGTTTTGCTTTGGTTAGCTTTTTCGTGGATTTTCGATTCAAGTTCTTTTGTCTTTCTGCTGATTTCAGTTTTCTCATTCAAGAATTTATTGAACATGTTTTCAATTGTCTCGCTACCTTTTCTCAGGATGTTATATTTTTCTTGCTCACTTTGGATCGTATTTTGGTATTTGATAATTTCAATCTTTAAGGCACTAATCTTTTGGTTAATTGTCAGAATCAAGCCATCTTTAACCCGCAAATCTTCCAATAACATCAACAACTTCTCCTCTTGTTGCTTGGTTCTCCCCGTTAGACCTAATAACTTTTTCTTTAAGTTTCTCGACTCGCCATCTATCTCTGATATTTCCTCCTCGTACATTTTATATATGGATTGATAGAGCACATCATGGGCCTGTTTTAACTCTTCTTGATGGTCTGACTGACGTTTTACTGTCACCGCCAAAAGAAGAAACAACACGAGTACTAACCACTCTTCCATAACAATAATTTTCTAGGCAATTGATGAAATGGTCAGTTGATAGTAAACCATGCGACGCTAAAAAAAGTTTGACATTAATTGGTGATGGGGAAGTAATGGGGCGCTAAAAAAAAAAGGCTGATTTTTTTGTGCCACCCCCAAAAATAGACGTTTTTAGTACTGATAATCCGTTTTTGTAGTGCTGGTGTCCGTTCTCAATTGGTGCTATTCGCTTTTACTATAGTAACGCAAAAAGTTGTCAGCCTGCCACCTGAATTTTTCAATGTGCGTTATCACATGTACCACACCCACGGGTAATAAATACTACTAAGGGCACCGAACACGGCAGACAAAGCCGTCTTTTATTGTGACAGTTGCTGCCCATATACATCAGAATGAAAAATGGCAGCATAGGGACTACAATTTATTAGTTTGGAAATACAGTAATTTCTTCTCAAAGAGAACTTTGTGAGACCGAAGGTTTGATCAGTAATTTTTTTGTAAATGACGTACTAATTATGCAACGGTTAAGTAGCACCCCGCAAGGTGATTTTCTCAACATAGCAACACCACAAACCTGAATTTTGAATACAAATCAACCAGAGTTATATTTTGAAGAAGCAGTTGAAGAAAAAGCCAGGTTTAAATTTAAAATTACAGATTCCTATATTCAGGTGAAACTGATAAATACGCGTAAATTGGTGTGTGCATTGAGGATGTTGAAGTCTGTAATATTAACTTGATTTTTGTAATAAGGTGATATCCGTCGGTGTCATGGAAAGGCATCGCTGCCATAGAAGGGCATCGCTGCCATAGAAGGGCATCGCTGCCATAGAAGGGCATCGCTGCCATAGAAGGGCATCGCTGCCATAGAAGGGCACCGCTACCATAGAAGACACAAGGAAAGAATCCGGCTATATCCGCAGGATACTGGCGGCTTCCGTAGAAGTATATAAAGAGGACTCTGGTCCACTACAAGTAAGTAGTATAGTATGAATAGAAAGCATCCATTCTTAGTACCAGACTCACTAGTAGCCATTGCAATTTTTTTATTAAAATAATATGTAAGGAATAAGTGGTTTAGTACCTCTTTAAATATATAATGAGTATGGAATAGTAATTATAAAAAAAGGGATAAGATAAGGATCCGATAATAAGTAATTGATTAGGTAATGAATGAACAATACTGGTGGTATATGTTACAAAGTTCCTGTGTTTTACTATAATAAGTAATAGGAATGGATGTGTAGTATAATATATATATTCCAAGCCAATAATAATTTTTATTTTTGCTATTATTATTATCATATCACCAAAGGCTTACAATAGTCAATCACCTTATATCAAACGAAAAGCATTAAAATTAAAATAAATCTGCAAGAAGAAACAAAAGAACATGGGGTAAACAAAACAAAAATAAAAACGAAAAAACAAATAATATATCATACTGTTTGCGAATATAATTTAAAGGAACTCAACACGAATTCTTCTTACAGCTGGCATTTGTGACTGCTGTACTGGTTCTTCAATCTTCTTCGGAAGTTCAACCTGCTTTGGAATATTTATCTTCTTAGGAAGTTCTACTTTCAAGATTCCATTATCATAGTCAGCAGTAAGTTTCGAGTGATCAACCTTTACCTCTTTTGGGATTTGGATCTTTCTTTCAAAACTTCCAGTCTCAATTTCGTTCAAGTGGCCCTTTAGTACCAGATCTAAACTATCGGGTCTAGGAAGGGTACCGGTCACAGATAATAAACTGGCAGTTTTGTTGAAATCAACATTGATTTGCTCCCTGGTGGTACCTGGAATGGATACGAGTATTTCAATGCTATCTCTGGTTTCCCTGACATTTATTGGAGGAACGATAACCGAAGAAGATGGCTTGATACGATCTTTCTTCTCATCATGACCTTCTCTTTTGGAACGTGATTGGTTCTTCCTCGGAGATTCGGTTTTTGACCGTTTCACATTGTCGGCGGTTTTGCTAATGTGTCTTTTGACAGCTTCTGATTTGGATGGGCAGAAAGGAGGAATAGCAGCATCCTTTGAGTTGTTTGGTACAGCAGCAAATAATTCAGGAGTTAAAATATCAGATAAGTCTCTATAATTGCCAATGAAGGGGTTAAGATCACAAGAACCAGATAATGCAGCAGGTGCACGGTAGAAAGCAGGAGTATCAAAAAGAATGGACATTTTGGTCGTAGCGTTGAAAAAGGATGTTTTTTTTTATAAAAATAAATAAATAAGGAAAATTTAATTGTTGATTATTAATAATAGAAAAATAAAATAAACTACAGAAAATTATGAGAGATTCTGGTGTCGCTTTATACGCAGATTCTGTTCGCCACCTTGGTCTGCGCGCGAATCTTCTAGAACTATCAGGCATCTAGAAAATTCTGAAGCTTCTAGCAGTAGAACTTACTAGAACAGTAGGCGAAGCCTGATGATGCTATACACCAGAGAGCTCTGGCGTCTTTATTGTTTTGATCATGTGAATACATGTGGCATATAGTATAGTGCGTATTAAATTAATGAATGATAAGATAAATTATCATACTGATCCGTATATACACATTCACACACACACCTCTCTCTCTCTACTTCCGCTTCTTCTTAATCCACATGACCTAACACGTGTCATTTCTTTTATCTTTTATTTTTTTTTTTTTTTCTCTAGAAATATTTTCGCGTCGCTTTTTTTTTTTTTCTCCTCAATGTTTGTTAATTCACGTTGATTTTTTTTTTGTGCAATTGTCTGCCCTTTTAAATTTGTAACCAGAACATCAACAACAAATAAAATAACGTTGGGAAATCATTGAATCTTGCTCACTAAATATTCTTCTGATTCTATTGATAAGAAAAGATCCCCAATTTTATATTCCTCTCAACGCATCATCATCATGACAGAGGCAGAGCCTGTATCAGATGTCAACAGTCCCGCTGCCGTCACAAATCAACTGCCTGCAACCTCAATAGTAACAACAGAGTCTCCTGAACCTGAAAAAAATCATATTGTGGAAACAAATGTCGATAGAAAATCGTTTTATTTTGTGGATGAAACCAAAGGGCTGGAAAATGATGAAAGACATCTCCACGAAATCACAAAAAGATATAAACATTTGTTAGATTTGTCCCATCTATTCAAAACATTCATCCAATCAAGGGCAAAAAAGGACCCAAAATTCAAACAGGTGATCGCCAAGGTCGAAGAAACTTTACATAAATCTATCTTGAATGACGACGATGTGAATAAGAAATCTGGGAAATTTACTGGTTCCGAAGGAGTTAGAAGACGCAAAACCGAAAAGGAAGAAGATGCCGAATTGCTTGGCAGTTCCAATGATTCCGATATCATTGAATTCACAGAATCACCATCGTATATCAATGGGAAACTAAGGGAATACCAAATCCAGGGTCTCAATTGGTTAGTGTCTTTACATGAAAATAATCTTAGTGGGATTTTGGCCGATGAAATGGGTCTTGGTAAAACATTACAAACAATCTCATTTCTTGGGTATTTGCGCTTCTTCAAAGGTATTGTCGGACCCCATTTGGTGATTGTTCCAAAATCAACTTTGGAAAACTGGCAAAGAGAGTTTGGTAAATGGATACCTCAATTCAATACCGTGGTTCTTACTGGTGATAAAACTCAAAGAGCAGATATAATAAATCAAAAAATTATGTCTTGTGATTTTGATGTTGTGATTTCCTCTTATGAATTGGTCATTAAGGAAAAAGCCACTCTCAAAAAAATTGAATGGAGCTATATTGTAATTGACGAGGCACACAGAATTAAGAATGAACAAAGCTTGTTATCCCAGGTCATTAGATTATTCACTTCTAGAAATAGATTATTAATTACAGGCACTCCTTTACAAAATAATTTACATGAACTTTGGGCATTGTTGAATTTCATTTTGCCTGATGTTTTCAGTGATTCTGAAAGCTTTGATGAATATTTTGGCGCGACTAATGCTGAAAATGATCAAGATCATGATCAAGATCAACAAGAAGTTATCAAACAATTGCATACGATTTTATCCCCCTTCTTATTGCGCCGTATAAAATCACAGGTGGAAAAGTCATTGCTTCCGAAGAAAGAAATGAACTTGTACGTTTCATTGTCGCCTTTGCAGAAAAAACTATACAGAAAGCTATTGGAAAAAGATTTGGATGCTGTCAACGGCTTGAATGGTAAAAAGGAATCAAAGACAAGATTATTAAACATTGTCATGCAGTTGAGAAAATGTTCTAACCATCCGTATTTGTTTGATGGGGTTGAACCAGGTCCACCGTATACCACTGATGAACATTTGGTGTTTAACTCTCAAAAATTAAAGGTTTTGGATAATCTTTTGAAAAAATTCAAAGCCGAAGGTTCCAGAGTTTTAATTTTTTCTCAAATGAGCAGAATGCTAGATATTATGGAAGATTATTGTTATTTTAGGGGTTATGGGTATTGCAGAATTGATGGTTCCACCGACCATGAGGATCGTATTCAACAAATCGATGAGTATAATGCTGAAGGTTCGGATAAATTCATCTTTTTGTTAACTACTAGAGCTGGTGGTTTAGGTATCAACTTAACCAGTGCCGATGTAGTAGTTCTTTACGATTCAGATTGGAATCCTCAAGCTGATTTGCAAGCTATGGACAGAGCCCATAGAATTGGACAAAAGAAACAAGTCAAAGTTTTCAGAATGGTGACAGAAAACACCATCGAAGAGAAGGTTTTGGAAAGGGCCATGAAAAAATTAAGATTAGACCAGGTCGTTATCCAGCAAGCAAGAGCATCCCTGGCGAATCAACAAGTCGATAAAGATGAGTTATTAAATATGATCAGGTATGGTGCACATGATATGTTCAATAACTCAGCTGGTCAACCTAAAGATTCAGATGAAGATGGTGATGCCGGCGATGAGATTAACTTAGATGATTTGCTAGCAAATTCGGAAAAGAGAACTAAAGAATTAAATTCAAAGTATGCTAAATTGGGTTTTGATGAGCTACAAGATCTAGAAGCCGAAAACACTTCTGCTTATCAATGGAATGGCACTGACTTCAAAAAACAAAATACAAAGAAAATTGGTTCTGGGTTCATGTGGTTAAATCCTGGTAAAAGAGAAAGAAAAGAGAATTATAGCATTGATGGTTATTATCGTGATGTTTTGAATTCTGGTGGCAGACCAGCATCAACCGAGCCTAAGGGTCCGAAAGCGCCAAAGCAAATGACATTGTATGATCATCAATTTTATTCACCAAATCTTTTTACATTACACGAGAAGGAAAAGTACTGGTACAGAAAGCAAATCAATTACAAAGTCCCACTTAATCAGAAACCCCAAAGTAATGGTGGTACAGGGAATACTAAATCTGCCCTTAGCGCTGAGGATATTAAACTCGACAATAAATTAGAGCAAATTGAAGTCGATCACGCTACCGCCTTGACAGAGGAAGAAGAAAAGCTCAAAGAAGAATACCTAAAAGAAGGATATGGCAATTGGTCCAGGAGAGAATTTAATCATTTTATTTCTGCTTCTGCCAAACATGGAAGACATAATATTGATTTAGTTGCCAATGAAATGATTGAAAATAATGTCGTTATGACAGTGAAAACTTTTGATGAGATCAAAGAATATTCAGAAACATTTTGGAACAGATATACTGAAATCGAAGGTTTTGAAAGATATATAATGCAAATTGAACAAGGTGAAGAGAAAATTGCCAAACAAATCAAACAGCGGAGTAGCTTACATAAGAAGATCAGTCAATATGAGTCTCCATTGAATGAATTAGAATTAAAGTTCCCACCAACTTCAACTTCCTTCACTCCTGATGAAGATGCGTTCCTTTTGGTTATGTTGTTTAAGCACGGTATTGATAGTGACGGAATTTATGAAACTATTCATAAGGAAATCTTGAAATCGAACATTTTCAAGTTTGATTATTTTTTGAAGAGTAGAACTTCTACTGAATTGAATAGAAGATGTAACGCATTGCTAGCCGCTGTTGTCAAGGAAGTTGAAAGCAATGAGCAACAAGTGTTGACTATTCTTACCAAAAAAAGAAAAGCGTTGGATGATAAGAAGAAGAACAGAACTAATAAAAGAAAGAAGGTGTCTATCAAAAAACTTTCATTGAAGTCCAGCGTTTCCTTGAGAAGTAAAAAGAAGAAAGATGAACCCAAGAAGAGCGCTCCAAAGAGAGGTGCTGCTAAAAAAAAGGTGACCTCTAAAACCGACTCGGCTTCCGGTGCAAAAAGAAACAAACCAGGTCCAAAGCCGGGGGCCAAGTATAAGAAGAAACCAGGTCCAAAGCCAGGAACTAAAGGAAACAGTAAGGCGAAAAGTAACGGTGATATTTCTTCCTATTTCAACAAAAAATCCTGAGGGTAGTCTTGCATTGTGTTTTGACTTCACTGGCTTCTGTCTCTTTCTATTCTGTTTTCTTATTCTTTTTTTTTTCTTTGTAATTTTGTTTGTAATTTCTCATTTCTTTTCTTTTCATAAAATTGTATAAGTACTCAAGGAAACACCTATCATTTCCTTATAATTTTAATAAATATCTCACAGCTTATTTACTTTGTAGCCCATTGAACTTACGCAAATTATTTGAGTTGGCCTTTAGAGCGGCAATAAATTCGCCTTTAATTACCTAATTGGGCATCAAGACCGATAAATAGAGTTTTTAACTCCAAGGGTGAAAAAATATAATAAAACTGTATGACTGCTTCATATTTTTGAAAACTACAAAATGATAATAACAGTAATTATAAAAGGTCGAAAATTCCGGTTATATATTAATTATCTATAATTTGCTAGAAAAAAAAAACAAAAAAAAGCATTAGGTCAACAAAGTCCGTAGAATTGGCGCTACTTGCTTGCGACTGGCCTTTAGATTATGCTGGCTATATACTTGTAATCCTCCCTCTCTATTACTTGACAGTTTAAGTTGCAATTCTAAGTCACTAGTTAAAAGCTTTCTTTTTAAGAATTGAGATAATTTCACATTTGCTTGAGTAGCCGGCCCTGTTGCATCTATAATCGGCTTTATCGCCAATTCCCTACAGAAACCATGAGTAGCATCATTGAAATTGGTCATTAAAATCAACACATTAACATTATTAGCCTTTCCAAACTCATCAATACTTTTCTCCATTTCTAAAAGTCCATCTCTACTCAATAACCATCCCATAGGTTTCACAATCGATGTTATGCCGATAATAATATCCTCGCCTGCTAATAATTGAACCTCGGAGTTCAATTCTGGGTTAACAAATTGATAAGCCTTGTAGTCTTTGTTAATTATATCAACAGCTTTTAAAGTATCAATGTTGTCTTTCTCTTTTTTTAGAATATCAAAGTATTCAGTAGTATTTAACCCAGTTGATATTTCTCTATATGCTTTGAAAATGCCAATGTCGTCAGGGGTGGTCTTGTATTGTAAATTTGAAGTGTCGATCAACAAAGGTCCAAGAAGTAGTTTGGCCAATTCTTGCAAATCAAAATTTTTACCAACTTCATTAGCCGAGGATCTATTGATTTGAAATTTGTTATCCATTATTCCTAATTTTTCAAACCAGTGTTTTGCAATCATCGTGGAGCATGAGCCAACCACCTCAATGATTCTTGGTTGGGCATCCAAGTATTGATTTTCATCCTTGTGGTGATCAATTATAGATACAATATTTCCATCTTTATAATATAGTTGGTTCCTGATATTAGATTCAATAGAGTTATGATCGACCAATACCAACTCCAAGTTTTGCTTTTCTTCAGCATTAAATTTCAACTCATTGATAAAACATAAGTCCTGCTTCTCCACCTTAAGATCACTGAATAAATATTCCACATCTTTTCTCAATTCTAGTTCTGAGCTTTTGAAATTCAAAACTGGAATCGTATTTATCCTTGGTGGTACGTGATTAGACGGTAGCGAAGTATATTCGGCGATATAGCTCAAGTAAGCATAACTAATTGAAGAAATAATCGAGTCCAAATCCCCTGATTGATTCCCGATGACAAACTTGAGTTTCGAGGGATGACTTTTAAGGTCTGTAAACGCAGATTTTGCGTTACGCAAGAAGGTTGCGATAGACATCACCATCTTTTGCATCTTTGATAATAATCTTTGGAATATATATAGATAAAAGATCAAAAAATATTTTTCTCATCATTAATCTCTTGAATATTGGCACATAACCGGCGCATATAAAATTGGGGGTGTCAATGATAACAAAAAAAAACCCTTTGTTATTGTATACAATATAGGTATAACTAGGACAGTTAGAATGTTAGAGCTTTCAAGAAAGTAACAAACACGTTAAACTCCATCACCAGGAGTTCAAGAGTTATCTTCAGAAGAGTCTATTCTTCTGTTTGTGCACATTTAGCCTCGGTGCTTACCATAAATCACTCTCAGTAATAATATTTGGTTTTACACTACACTAACCATTACTCAAAAACAACTATGATCTTCATCATTCCGCGATATTTGCAAATTCTCATCCATAATGACTTCTATACTATCTTCTCTCTTTACATGTGAGTGAGCAATAAATTGTGACATTTGTTTGTATGCAAGAGATAAAATGAATAGAAACTAATTAAGATATCGGTCTATAAAAGGAGGAAAAATAATATATAAATGAAAGGAAATAGTGAAAACCCTGTCTGAAAATATTCAATCTATTACTCTCGCCATTATAAAGAGAAAATAGCCAGTAAAGTGAAGAAAAAAAAAAAAAGAAAAAAAAAGCAGAAATTTAATAAAATGGAAATTGGATAAGAAAAAAAAAAAAATCTAAAATAGTAGCCTGATATGCAAAGGATGAATCACATCAATATCAGGAAAACACTCTTTCCTCAATCCCATCAGTTAATCTAACTCTCATGATTTCAAATGCCAATAAGCATACACTGGTTGCAGGAATTGTTGAAACAACGTTTCTGCCAAAGCCCATGTATGACCACTGCCACCAAGTTAAGTTCTTGTTTCTTTGGATAGTCAAAATTCTAGTTAAGGTCTCCAAGTAAGATTTATAGTACACACTAACCATCGGGTTTGTGGTGATTCTCTTGGTCCAATATTTGAAATGGAAAGCCCCACGGTTAACCCCTTCAATCGGTTTTTGTAAAAATTTCGGGAACTCCTCAACATGAGTGATCAATCGATATCTATTGGAGTTATAATGAGGAGTCTTGTATTCTGGAACTTGTAAATTATAATAATCTAAAGCCTCAAGTCTCGACAAATGAATATTTTGGATTTTTGTCAATGGGAATTGAATGACCTGTAAAATACAAGCAGCAGAAGCGCCACCAAATAAAATAAAACTCGATTTCAACACTTTATAAGTAGTCTTATTAGATTCCTTTAAACTGGTTGGTTCACCTTTAAAAATCATACCCAAATAGTAATATTTGAAATTTCTAACTCCATCAATGAAATTGATTGTCTTATTGAATGCTTGGTTTTTAATCAATTCAAAAGTTGAGAAATAAAATGCGAATCCCACTGATTCTTTTATTAAACTAAGACCATAGCCAGCAAATACCCCGATCAATCCGATGTTTCTCAATTTATAAATTCCATATTTCCAGAGATTCTCATGCTTTTGGGATAATAGTTCTGCCGCTGAAGAACGAGTGTATATAGCATCGATAGGTGCTGCCACTAGAGATTGTATTGCCCCAGCGAAAAGCCCTGCCCTAAAGCAGTCGGAAAAACGGGGTTCGATAACATTACCGCTTGGTCTGATACTAATGGAATCATCTTGAGCTGCGTATCTATTCAATGTAGATAAATAGGAAGTATACAACACCACCCCAGTAAAACTGTTTGCTAATAAAGGGGGTAGAACATTATCTGGAATAAATCTCCATCCATGTTTCTGTACAGCTTGCACAAGTAGAGCAATGCTTGAGTGTTTGAAGAAACTATATTTTTGAGGTTGGACGGTTGAACGTAATGCCGGATTTTGCGCTGTTTTATGGGATTCTTTCAACTCTGAAACCTTTTCATTATAAAATAGAGCTAGTCTAGTAAAAGCCATATAGTCAAACCTTGAAGGTCGAAACAACTTCATTGGAGTTCTGAGATACAAGGCAGAGATTTGATATGTGAAAGCACGAATACTTGCAGTGATGGCACCAACAACTTGGGAGTTTTGGTTGGATATGGTTTGTTGATTTGAGTTTTGATTCGATACTGTACTATTGTTATCATTTGCCTTCATATTAATGTTAGAAGACTCATTGTATATGCCATTAATCCCGACAATACTGGGGAATATCAGGTCCTTCATAGCTTTTTTCTTTTGTAAATCACCGCCAATATCATTGGACTAACTAGCATGAACCAAGAGAATCTCCGTACTTCAAATATTTAATTGGCTACAACCAAACTATTTTGCTGCTGTTTTTTGTTTTATTTCTTTACCTTGTAATTACAAAGAAGCAAATGGCCTGAATATCCCCAGTGTTGTAAGTGGCGATTCACAATCAGGGTAGAAGTTCCTGTCAATTTTGAGGGAGATCTTTACCCATTCTTTCCCTTCTCGTCCAGAGCACCCACACACTAACTATGTTCCTCAGTTTTGTGGTGCACGGGTGTCACCCGCGCCTTTCCGGCCACCAGAAATTATTATCAACTGTAGAAAAAAAAAATGGGAATTGAAATAACACTGTTACAAGGTCTGTATCAGATATCGACAATTCACCTACGGGAAACAAAATATCAGATTACTCTTTGTTCATCTGCACTTTTGTTATCGCTGGTTTTTTTTCATTGATAGATCTCACAAAAACATCTTTTTTAAAACATAATTTGAAGAATTAGTTTCACCATCACCAGCAAGATGCCATCCTCCCACGCCTTAAGTGATGACCAAGTATGTGTTAATGAACTATTTCTACTATGGTTTTCTTTTATCAGAAAATGAATAAAATATGATTGCAAAAGGGAAAACTATGCAGAATAATAGGGGTAAAATTATAAGCAATGATGTCAATAAGTCTCATCATCACAAGTGTCTTCTTATCTTATCAATGTATCAACTCTAGTTAAATAACTTTGTTGGCTCGTATAATGTTTTTGGATTGTTTGGTTCTTGTTATGGAGCGAGCGTTTATCATCATAGCTAGTTTGGGGCTAATTGGTGTCCCCAAATCTTCAAGAGTCTTTGTCAATCATTTTCGATGCCTGCCAATCAAGCGCTTCTTTTGTGGTGAAAATACTAACATGTAATCCATAGGTCAGTCATGAACTCTTCAAGATGGAAGCCTTCATCAAGAAAGAAGCTGAAGAAAAAGCTAAGGAAATAAGATTGAAGGTAAGTTCAATTTTTTTTTGTGGCGAGCGATAAACATGCAGCCACCGACTAAGAATTTTTTGTAGTGCTAGCGGTAAAGTGAACTATATCATCTGGCTTCTATCTAGAATGTTGAGAGCATACATCTTCAGAAGGATTATAACGATAAAAGTTTCACTATTCATTGGTGTTTAGTCGGAACTGGAAAAAAAAAGGATGGCCGATGAGAGCGCTAAATGGTATTCTATCAATGTCTTCTTTTTTGGTTAATACTGAGATTACTTTACTAACTATTTTTTTTTTGCTAGGCTGACGAAGAATATGAAATTGAAAAATCTAATATCGTTCGTTCCGAAATTTCTTCAATTGATAAATTATTCGAACAAAAATTGAAGAAATCTGAATTAGCCCAACAAATTACCAAATCTACAATTGTTAACAAAACCAGATTAAAGATCTTGGCCGAACGTGAAAGTATCCTCAATGAAATCTATGCCTCAACTGAAACCCAATTGAAGGCATCTGTCAAGGATGCTAAGGCATACAAGGAAGTTATGATCAAGTTGGTTGAGGAAGGTCTTTATACTTTGTTAGAACCAAAAGTTTCATTGAAGATTAGAAAAGGCGACACTGAATTGGTGAAGGAAATTTTGCCAACTGTCACCGAAGTTTTTGAGAAGACTGCCAAATTCCCAGTCGAAATCCTCATCAAAGAAGATGAATACTTGGATGATGCCTTAATTGGTGGTGTCATTATTGTCAACGGTACCGGTAAAATTGAAGTTAACAACACCTTAGAAGAAAGATTGCATTTGTTGTCCGAAACTGCTTTACCATCGATTAGATTAGAACTCTTTGGTCCTTCTCATACCAGAAAGTTTTTTGAATAATCATCGAGATGGGTAGAGATATTATGTTGATTGATGTTATTTTTTATTTCCAGTTTTTATTTATTTATCATTATTATTAGTTTTTTTTTTGTTTGTGATTTTCCGGTGACCCCCTACTAATTTTTTTTCTCTATCTTGAATTAATTTCTTTTTTGTCATTGTGGAAACTTGGATTGTTGCTGTGAAATTTCATATTTACCATCTGTTATAATTATTCTATTCAATTAAAATATAAACCGATTGAGAAAATATTAATATTCTGTTCTTGGTAAATATTATATAGTGATAGCCCAATTTCCAAGTTAACACTTTTCATACACTCAAAACTACTCCAATGATTCAAATTTACAATAGATATTATGAAAAAAAAAAATGAAAAAAAAAAAAAATAATCATATAAATCTGTATTCGTTAGTGGAACAAAAAATATCACCAAGTTTTATATATAAAAAAAAAAGCAAAGTTTTATCAATTATCAGGTTGATTGATTCATCTTTGTTAGCAATATAATACAATAATAGTCTATTTACAAAGACCAAAACTAATTCCTCGAGTTTGAAGAGACTAGAAAGTCATTCGATAAATATGTATCGACCCTATTTTTTTTGTTGTTCTTCAATTAACCATCTCCAAGCCATGGCTTTTTGTTTCGCATCAACCATTGGATGTTGCTTCCCCAATCTTTTTCGAAAGAATCTATGCTTCATTAACGCCCATTCAAATCTCTTGAGTTGTTCTAACTGCATTTTCCAGGACCAAAATCTATAACAATAAAACCAATTTGAAAATCTACTTCTTAAAGAACCTTTGGTTAATGAAATTTGGGTGCTCTTTTCGCTTGATCCTGAATTAGAGGGAATAGTGTTGGTATGATATGTGGATGATGTTGACGAAATATTTGAACTCTTGGCCGTGCGATTCATAAAATTATTTTGATACTGCAATATCCCAGGAATAATATTAGTATACGCCAGTGATGAAGGTTTTGGAATGATTTTATTCACTGCCGGTCCATTTGATGGATTCGTAATGTACGGGTGCGAAGAATTTGTTGGCGCTTTACTGGAATATGATAATTCTGAAGATTCTGAAGAAGTTCCAATACTCATGTTTTCTTTGATGAATCGGTCTAAGTTCCCGTCATTACCCATCATCATGGTTAATCTTTGAACTGATCTCAACTTATTGAAGTTGACCATGGTTATCCCTAGTGCCGAAAAAATAGAGATTCCCACAACCATACCAAACCCATAAGGTGAGTCCTCGATAAAGTTTTTCAAGTTCATACCATAAAATGCCGGAACTGTAGTGGCAACGGTGAATCCAAGAGTATATATGGTGATTTTCAAGTCATACAACATAAGAGAATTTCTGTTAGAATCAAGAATGATATTGACGATTTCCTCAGTAGATTTAATATCGGATATCAAGGAGTTTGCTTGTTGAACGAATTCATCACACTGGGTATAATAATTTTCTAATAAGATTTCTACTTCGCTGAAATTGAAATCGTTGCCACCGTCCAGATCCATGACAGAGTCCATAGAAGAAGAATCTTTGGTGTTATTGTGTACCAAGGAAATTTGTGACGGTGAAACTTGTGATTTTTTTGTAATCTCCTCCAAGGATTTTACTTGATCACTGGCGCTGCTTTGTACATTAAAAATTTGGGTTAAGTACATCCCCTTTAAATCTTCATCGGTTTCTAATAACTCGTCAAGAACATTTCTAATCAACAAAGATTTCTGAGAATAGTTGGTTAAAGCCTTGGAATAAATCAATAGATCCCGAAGTTTTGTTCTATCAATTTGGTTTTCCAATTCTGTTAGTACTGTGGTACATTTGGAAATATGGTAATTTAAGTCATTTTCAAGCACACTCATAACGTTGATTAATATGGTTTCCAATGCCTTGAATTCAAAAGACGTGTTCTGGGTGATATTGGTTTTCAATTTATCTTGCAAATCATAAATAAATAGAGATAATTTGCTAACTGACGACGAATCTGAGGTATCAAAAATCATTATTTTATCCTTCATGATGATTGACTTGATATGCAACAAATTCACAAGGATACAATTTTTTCTGACCGCGACAGTTGGAACGATATCAATTGAGGAATTATCTATTTTTCGCAAATCTCTTGGATATAGATCTAATTTTCGTAGGAAGTCCATCTTGGGATACTTCTTGGACATGCACTCGATGTCACCATGGACATTAATGGTAGTGCAACTGACATAATTATCGTTAATATGAACTGGTTTTAGAGTGAGAGAGTATGAACTATTGGTTCTCCTCAATGATATGCGAGAATTTGACTGTGAATCATTATTTGGGAGGTAGCTGGAAAATGATGAAGATTGGGCAGATCGGATATCCAATCTGCTGTATGAATTTCTCATATTTCGGGTCAAAAGGGGTCGCCGACATCGTATGAGGTTATCCGGGATACTAGATTCAGTATATACCATCCCGTATCGTACTATTGGAGTTAACCGGCGCATTTTGAGGTATTTGTAAATGGTGATATATAGATATTTCAAACTAATCAATGGCAAATTCAGAATATCCTTTTGGGATGATGATAAAAAAGGAATCTCACGTGCATACCAACACATTTTATCCCACTTCACATTATCAATAATAATAATTTAACATCGTTAAATAATAGATAGAGAACGGAAAACCCATTCCTTTTGCGTTTCAGACATTGCGGAGCTGGTCAAAGCTCCGTTCCCCAGAATCGAACGCCAACCTTCTGATTCTATATAAAAGTGCCAATGTAACTTTGTTCATTCGCAGTGGCATCTTAGTGATTGATATCTAAAGGTATCAAAAAGTGCTTGTCAGCTACTGAGACGCTAAAGAGATAATACGACACTACTGCTAATGGGCTTCAGTTGTTCATATCAGTGTATCAAGACAGCTTGATCTGGAGATAAGCGTCAGGGACACCCGAACATCATAAAAACACCCGAACATTAAATAAAGCCATCTGTCACTCAATTTATTTGCATTTTCCTTTAATTGGGCATGCTAATAAACCCAATATATTCTAATTGTAAATAATATAAGTTCATAATATCAAGTTACAAATCTCTCTCCTTCTCTTATCAATAGCTGGCACTGTTTGTTGTTCGCTGTTTACTCTTTTTTTTTTTTTTTCTTTTTTTTTTTCTTGTCTTTGATTTTTTTTTTTCTACTACTTTTCCAGTAGCACAAAAACGTATCAATAACATCAATGGTTTCGGCCATAAACTTTTAAAAGATCAATAATTTTAATAGAAATACTAGATAGATCAATAACATGATAAATATACCCCATATACTGCTGCTGCTGCTGCTGCAGCAGCAGCGGCAATACTCCGAAAACCAGAAAGATCATTCAAGGAGCAAGAGCCACTCGGATAGCACACCATCACATCAATATCAAAATCATCAAGACGATTCTACGACTCATTTGCCATTTTTCAACTCCTATGATATCAAAATCATTCAATATATGGTGGCAATATACCGTATAGATTCGTTTCTTCAATCTTTGCCGAAATTAGTGAAGAAAGTATCAACGCTACACCCAAAACATAAATCAAATAGTGTTAAAGCTTCGATCCAGGGCCTGGATGCCAATGGTTCGAAAAACTTGTGTTGTATACCTCTTGTGAGTTATGTTTCTATTTTGACCGGATTCTCATTGAGCTTGAATGCAGATTCAAATGACATGATCAATACTTTGATCTCCAATAATGAATTATCTGATGTGCAGCTATCCAAATTGAAGCATTATTCGAAAAATCAACCATTAGAACATATGATTGAATACAAGAGCTCTGGGTCTTTTGATGTGGATCTATCTGATTATAATCCCCGGCCCCTAACCACTTACACCAAATCATTAACATTGATCCAGCAATTACAAAAAGTTGCAGTTGCCACAAAAGCTCAGTATGAAGAACAAGTGGCCGTTTTAATCAAAAAAAGAAAGAAGATCAGTAATAATCAAACCAATGAATATCGTGATATTTCATTTTTGGCTGATATTCTTGATCCGGCAGAGCTATTCAATCTCAGCAATCTATATGTCAATTTGGAAAATCTTGTATCTTTCAAAGAAAATTATGACATTAACCAAAAAATCATTGAAATTCACTTCTCTTCATTACCTTTCTTGCTTAGGTTAATCCATACAAACTTGAAACATTTAAAAACCATAATGAACCCTTATCATAATTTCCTCAAAACAAGATCAACTGAAAGCTTAATATTTTTGCCCTATCCTCAATATTCAATTCAAAGAATTTATACCATTTTTTTGAAGATTTTGGAACTCTACATGATTATCAAGAGATTTAATAAGGTATTGAATGTTGTCAATTTCAACTTATTGCTCAACAATAATTATAAATCAAATCGTACCATTCTTGTTAACACAGATAAATCGTGTATCAACACTTTTGAAAACTATCTCAAAAAATTCAACTACTGTTTCAATGATGAGTTTGCACGGATGATTTATAGTCCCTTGAAAATTTTCTCTCATCTGAATGCTTCTTTGGTAGTTAACATTGATAATTTGACCAAATTGAGTGTTAGATTGTTGAAGAATTTTAAACTTGTGGTCAATATTTACAATATTTTGAAATCTTTTTACAATGAGTATCTAATATTAATCAATGAAGAGGTTGAGTTAGAAATAATTGCTCAAACTTCTACTACACAAAACCAATTCAGTAATGGCAGCTCATCGACCATCAACAATTCTATTAATCAAGGAAAATCAAATTCAAGCTCAAGTTTGAATTCAGCGGAAGGCAAAAACCAAAACCAAAATCATCTTGTCAACATTGGGTTATATACTTCAAATTCATCCAGTGCCGCTAATGGTATTGACTCTCAAATCAATATTTCTTATAATCTTGATAGAAAAGTGGCTTCAAATTCTACTGCACTGAAAAATGTGATCACAAACTCCCCATTAAGCAACATCGAGGCATTTAGTCCCCCAATGCTCCAGTCTCCAAATGGCCAATTTTCACCCCAATCACTACAATTTTCACAATTTCCTCTTTCTCCCCAACTCAACTCCTTTACACAAAAACAATATTTCTTTGGTCAGGGCCATTCCAAATCAAACTCTTTAGTATCCGCAGATTCTGGTATGGACGTCGGACTTGCTACTGGTGATGGGTCTAGTATAATAGGTGACGGTACAATAAGTGCAAGCTCAATAAGTGAGAACTATTCAGTGTCGTCTACAAATAATGGGTATCGTACGAAGTACGAAAATAATGATAATGCTGCTTCCGCGAAAATAGTTTCTAGTGGTTTAATTGATATTCATGGACTTAATAGAAATAAAAATGACAATTCCTCTTTCGTGACTGGCAATTTTAGCCATTCAAATCCTGATTCTTCTCAAATCAAATCTCCGAGACTAAATGTGACTTCCCGGAATCATCAAGTTCAGTATAACCATTATCTACCTCAGGCGAAAATAGATAATAAATCTCCTGTTATTAATAGCAGATCACAAACTCAATCTTACGCAATTGGTAACAATAATGAAGATGTATTTGATAGAAGCAATCCTCAAAATAGAACTGGGATGTCTCAAGAAGTTGCTGCGAAATCTTTCGCAATAACTAGCAATGAACCAAATACTAAAACAAGTATTTCATTCCCTTCGAAATCAATGGTCAACAGTTCAAACATGGGCATCACCAACATTAAAGGCGTTGAGAGACGTCCACAGAGTAATTACCAACTGAACAACAACGCTATGAATGATGATCTTTATGCATCAGCATTTTTGAACATGGTTGCAGGAAACAATAATTCATCTTTTGGGAAAGATGTGGCAAAAGGTAAACTGAAAGATTCTAAATTGGAAAATAGAAGGGGTGGTGCCGAAAAAGGAAAAGAAGCAAATCGTATTGAAATGGAAATAAAAGCGGTAAACACTCTGAAGATAAATCCGGATACGATGACTAATAATGTACCGTCTGTGAAAGCTTCTGGTAATTTTAATGCTGAAGTTGAGTTGCGTACCCCTTTGAATAGCTCTTTTTCACCAAACAACATTTCAGAAGATGAAATCAGTACTATTAGGCTTCCGAAAAAAACTTTTTCATCAAGATCGCACTCTTTTCTCAGCTCATATCGATCTGACCAATCTTCCAGCAATCCGAATTTTGCTTCTACTCCAGCCAGGAAGCCTGCTCCCTTGCTGATTTCCACCCCCTCACAAATTATGAGTTCACACTTTGATACGAATTCTACTTTGGCTACTCCGAATTCAATATCCTCGCCAAAGGTTGCATTGGCCGTCGATTTAAAAAAGGTAAAAGGATTCAAATTGACGGGATTGGGGATCCGCGGATCCGCCACAAATGAACACAAAGATAGTAAGAAATTGGACTCGTCACTGCCATTTGATGAACTGTTTTCTAATGTTGAGGATACTGACTCTAACGGAGCTTCAATTCTTTCAAAGTTAAGGAGCCGGAGTATTAGAAGAAATAAGCGCGCTGAGAATACACAACAAAGTGAGCCAAGTGACTTGGATGAAAATTGTGATAACTTCCTTCCCTTAAGCCCTATTGAAATGAGGTCCACCAAAAATTCTATTAGTGGTACTGATACAATGCCATCAGCAGGTAAAAAAATAGGATGTGTTTCCAATGAAACTGCACTTGAAAAATATGGAAATGAAAAGATGAAAGCTAAAAATGATAGGGTTCTTTCTGGTTCAGGGCCAGGAATTGATTCACCAAATGACAATTCACAAGCTAAGGAATCTTCTACTAGAATCTCGACCAGTGTGTCCGAACTGTCCTCTGCAAAATTCAATAGTGAGTCCGTCGGTGATAGCTCATCAGATTTAAATAAATTCAAGGATCTCTTGAACCCTGATGGTGATGATTTTCTGTCTGATCCAAATTATGGCAACACTTTCAACTTATTGGATGAAAACTTGAAGCTCATTGTGGACAAGATTGCTAATTCCTCAAATGAACAGGAATTGAATGACTTGGAGAAAAAGTTATTTCCTAATGAAAAAAATAGAGTTGATGTTGATGATACCATTTTGGAAAATGAAAATGAGGATGAAGATGGCGACTCTACCTTAAAAGCAGCTGATCAGAGTTATATTCGGAGAATTCAGGAAACATTTAATAATATCACCACTAATAGGTTGACTGGTAGCAACAATGATACGGTCAGTTTCTCGCTGAACAAAGAAGAAGTATCAAGTATGACTACTGATGAAACTAATAATGAGGAAAGTTTTGGCCTTTCTGGCTCTGCGAATCAAAATGCGTACAGGCTATCCAGCCACGATCTTCGGAAAAGCCGTGTCATTAGCAAAATTTTAGATGTGAATGAATTTTCTGCAATTTTGAATTTCTTGGCTACTGAAGACACAATAAATGAAGATGATAAAGATGGAAGCCATAGCAGAGAATCCGAACCCCATGCTGAGAATCTTTTTCTTGACTCCAATAATGCTATAGTCGACGAACTCGGGGGAGCGGAAGAAAGCGCATTACCAATAGAATCAAGTAATGTGAATGATACTTCAAAGATTGATTCCAGTAAACTTCTGAAAAAGGTTATTGGAAATGAGGCCTCCTCTATGAGCTTAGCTTCTCTACATCAGGAAAAGCTTGGTACGATTAATGAAGATGGGTCTCATTACGACTTTGATAACGAAGGAATTAGTGAGAATGAATCTGTCTATTATACGCCTTACATGACTCAAAACCCATTCATTAATGATGAAAATATTTCCTGTGGTAATGTTCAGAGCAATAGCGGCAATATTGAAAGTTCACGCTTAAGTGTAAAATCTAGAACTTCCTTGTTGAGAAAATCAAACTCGTCTTCTGTTTATAGCAATATTAACCCATTCGCAGTTTCTATAAATAAGGACTTGTTGGAACAGCCTCCTGTGAATGAGGCGTCGCCAGTACAACTATCAATAACGGTTTTACCACAAAGTACGACGTCTGATTCGAAATTCATGGGTAATGTTAGTCTGACATTGTCTCATGAAAGTTTAATTGATGAGGAATCTGTGAAAAGTCAAGTTAAGAAGGAAATCACTATTTTTGATATCGCAGCTGTGAATCACGAAAGGCCTAGGTCATCATTACAAAAAGAGCTGCGAGAATCGCCGCCAATGTTACAGGATACTAGACCTCACTTGTATTCCTCCGCCCCCTCTAACTTCCAGCAAGATAATGCTGGTTATTCATCATCATCATCACTCAAGTCTCCAACTGCATATGAAGATAATGAAGCTTTCCATATCCAAAAAATCTCCAAACTATCAGAACAATTCCAAAAAAGCTCAATTGATACACCATTTTCTCCTCCTAGATCTGTGGGTAATGCAGCTGAGATATCTAGCTCAAGGTCATCTCTTTCTGGCGGCCACAGCCGTATCCCAACAAATGTTAGCAAGTACGAGTTACGCAAAACTAACACCAATGATTCAGCTCTCTCTGAACGTTTGAGGCTCGCTGCGTTGACAAAGAAATTACCTGAAGTTCCAGCAAAGAAAATTGTCAGATTTTCTGATCCAAAAGATTCCGATGAGCCATCAACAAAAAATTTCACCGCTTCGAAATTGAAATTTTGGCATAGTGGGAATCATCACCAAAAGGATAAATCCGTTTCTCTGGGGACTTCGAGTGTTCTTTCGACCTCAACCTCCAGTAAGAAATTGAATATTTCGACTCCAAAATTAATTAAAAGCTCAAAACTTTTGCACTCAACTTCACAACATAATGATTTGGTTTTCCATAACACTCCATTTGAAAAAATCACAATTGAGGATCGTCCTATCACCAATGGCCAGAAGGGTGATGATGGGATCCTATGGATGGACGAGGAGAAACGAATGAACATGCTTAGAAATAATGATACCAATGACATGTACCCCGAGTACGGTACGGGAATGCTCCCTCCTTCAAAATACTTGACTCAACATCATGATAAAAAATTGACGGCAATGAAAAGTAATGGAAGCCAGAAAGCGAGAGATGGGTTGCCAAGATCTTCCAGTGGAAAACTTACTTCTCGATTTAAAAAAGTATGGGGCTAGAACCTGTTGAAACTAACTTATTGCAGCTAGATGTTTAATTATTATTACTGTTGATATTTTCAGCAGTTTTGCAAAAGAATTAGTTTTCGCCTTTTGTCCTTTCAGCTTTCTTACGATTTCTTTTTCTCGTTTTTTTTGTTATTTTTTTTATTATTTTTGTTTTTGTTAGTTTACTTCTTGCTACTCGATTTTTTTTTTTTTGCCTCTGTTTTTGCCTTCTCCTACCTCCTCTATTGATTTAAGGCTCTTACTAATGATAATTTGTTTTTCTGTTCTGTTTTTTGTCTTGTTTTCGCCTCTAAACTTTTATATTTCTTTCTAATTTGAAACAGCGTTTCTCTTCAATTTATTATTCCTCTAATTCATATGCTTTGTTCATTTATTTACTTTGCAATTGCATTTACATCCTATTTTGATTTCACTATTGTTGCATTATTTTTCTTTTTCCTTCCTTATTTAATTATTGTTTCTTAGTTTACCATTTCTAATTCAGTTAAAGTTCAATACATTGCCTATAATAGAATGCATTTCTCATTTTTTAGCCATCTCATATGTATTATATTTTTGTTTGAAATATTACCAATCCCTATATAAAAAATAAATAAAAAAAAAAAATTAAACAGTCACAAAAGAAAAAAATGCCATCCTTCCAGAATATCATAAATTCATATATGAATTTCAAAAAAATCAAAATCTGAATATCAATAAAAGAAAAAAATGTACTACATAATCACATTTCAAAATCTTTATGTCAATTCGATGGCGAACCTCCTCTCTTTATCAGAGACGAAAAAAAAAAAAAGAGAAAATGGGCATCAGTTGAAGTACAAATCAAGAGAATTCACATCATAGTATCCAATATAACAAATTATAATGAATGGACTTTCGCACTGGTAATAATATTTCTAGTTTTACTAGAACTAGAATCTGTTGATTCGCCCAATTGACTAGTACCCTTCTCCTTGTAAGTGCTAACTGCAGGAATATCAGCCTTGATCCTACTTACTATAGTATCATATGCCATTGGCTCCAACTTGATGACCGTGTGCAAAGGAATTGACATCCATGGACTTTCTTCTTGTGGTACATTCATAAAATAAGCATAAATGCATCTTAAAACTGCTTGATGAGTAATAATCAAAATATTTTCTTGTCTTTCCAATTCCATAATAACGGGTTCTAATCTAGTCACCACATCCTTGTACGATTCACCACCTCTATATCTATAAAGGTATTTATTTTCGTCCCTTGCCTTGAAATCTTCAGGATATTGTCGTTCAATTTCTTCATAAGTCATACCATCACAAATACCAGCATCCAATTCGTCTAAAGCTTTCCACTGTAGTTTCTTGTAAGGTAAATATTGAGATGTTTGATAAGTTCTCTTTAAAGTTGAAATCCACACTGTCAATTGCTCGTCAGGCCCCACCAATTTCTGGATCATCTCTGGTAATTTTTGAGCATACTTTAGACCTCTTTGGGACAAGTCAGCATCACCGCCAATCTTACCTTCTAAATTATACATTGACTCCCCATGTCTCGATAACCAAATAGTTCTTGGCTTAATATGGAAGTTCATTAAATAGTAAACAATTCTGCTTTGCAAATATGTATCGATTTTGTTGATAATGATACTTTGATGGATGTTGATCATTTTCACAAAAGTTTTATCAGCATCAGTAGAAGTATCTAAAGTAGTGTAATCTTTCTTGTAGAGTTCGATTCGATCTTCAATATCTTTGCGAGCTTCTTCTGGATCTATAGCGGAATAATCTGGGGAGTTCAGATTAACATCAAGGATATTATTAGTGATTAATTCGGGCTTGTCAAACCAACTCTCCAAAAAAAGTGGTTTGATATCATGTTTTCTGCAAATCTCTTCGATTTTATCTCTTTGAGATTCTGAATGGTTTGACCCATCCAACACCCCAACAATGCCTTTCTCTTCTTCGAACCATTCAATCATATCAGCAACTGCAGTTTCAACCCATCTATAGCACTCTTCATACCGGTCTTTTAAGGTAAGCTCATTGCTCTTACCATACACCACTCTTCTGTAATCATCATAACTGAAAGACTTTGCTTTAATTGAAAGCCAAGATAAATACCTTACCACTAAAATAAATCAAATTGTTAGAGACCAGTTCTGTGAATCTGAATCAAGATAAATCCAAACATACCTTTCTGGGCTATGAGAGTTTTCCCTCTAGCTGGCAAACCTATCCTGTAGTAATAAAAACGTTAGTTTTCGAACATCAACAAAAAATCAAGGAAACAACCACAAACATCACAGTGATGATAGCAATACATACAATATGACACATATTTTGGAATCCTGGATCTATTAAAAGCGTTAGTATTTGATTAGCATATATAATCAAAAACAGCACAATACCCACATTGTTGGTGTAATTTGGCATTTTTGGCTAACAAGTTTCCCTTATATTATCAAAAAATTACCGTAATACACAAACACCTAATTATTCACCAAGTGTGTAAAAGCCTGTGAATTTGAGCACCAAATACCAGCAAAGAAAACAAATAATTATCAACTGGTCTATGTTATTTTAGCCGCGGTCCCAATTCGGCTATCTCCACACTGGTCAGCGTCAGAATTCGAGAAGAAGAGAAAAAGCTGGGGAATCTTTGGGATTTGCGAAATCACTAAATCACAAGACACCGACCCCCGGTGGCCACCACATACTTCCGGTTTACACGTGATTAGGGTGATATTCCCTTATAGCAATAACAATAAAGGCATCATTTATTAATTATATGACATTACATTACCTGACTTCTAAATATATCTATAATCTATTTATTTTTGTAACTCGTACAAGTCCCCCAACTTATCAGCATAGTATTTTGGAGTGCCATCTTGCTTCAAGACATTGGCTTCTGTCTCGATACCTGTCAAGACTAACAAGGTTCCCAAGCCACCGTCTTTACCAAACTTCATGTCGGTGTTAAGTCTATCACCAACCATGATAGATCTCTCTAAATTCAAGTTGTGCTCAGCTTGAATGGCTTTGAGTAAGTTCATATTTGGTTTACCACAAACTGTTGGTTGTCTGCCGGAGGAGTAGATCGCGGATTCAATAATTGAGCCTGCCCCTGGCAAGATTTTGCCATGACTAGGGAAAGTAGAATCAATATTGGTAGCCATAAAGATCACGTTCGGATCCAACAAATACTGTAAAGTGATGGACAATCTATGGTAGTTAATGGAAGTATCCAATCCAGCGATCACTGCTCCCACTTCTGGGTCAAGCTTCAAGAACTTAGAATCATCAGAAAAAGGTTTATCCAATTCCGGATCAGTACCACCAATGGATTGAATGCCCAATTCTGTAAGCTCATCATGAACCCCTTGGCCGCCAAGAACCCAAACCTTCTTGGTATGATCGAATTTCATCACTTTATCCAAATAAACTGCAGTTGCATAAGCTGACCCAAAGATATCACTTTTAGTGATCCCTTTAACCCCAAATTTCTCGAACTTTTTCAAGTAGTTTTCTCTTGACTTGGTGGAGTTGTTGGTCACAAAGATCAACTTTTTCCCTTTAGACTTCAAGAAGGCCAACGTTTCCACAACATGGGGTAACAAATGATCCCCAAGCCAGAGGACCCCATCACAATCAAAAAGAAAGTTGTCATATTGGTCCAAAAGAGCATCAACTTGCTCCTTTGTGGTAATTTTCTGAGGGAGGGACATTATTTTCTTTTTCTGAATAAATATCTATATAAAAATGTCTATACGTGAACAAGAACAAACTGTTCAAATGAGGGAAGCTGTTATAAATTGAATCACGTTTTGAGTTTTTCGCGCGCAAAGCGCTGGTTATGCGGCACTGCTTGCTGTATTGGTGCTGTCACCATCACGCAACACTTTGAGAAGCAACGATAACCATTCAACTTCTATGGAAGCTAGTATTCAGAGAAATATAGAAGCAGAAAGAAGAGTTGAGAAACCAGCAGTTGAAAGATCCTAAGCTGGAAAAATGGCATAAAACACAACCTCTTGGAGCTTTGTTATCGCTGTAAATAATTATTGTATTCAACTCTTTTTTTTTTATAAATGTTGGTAGTTCACCTCTGATAGTTTCGTAGATTTTCTAAAAGCAATGCACTTTGTCGCCACCAAAATGTACTCCACACACCTCACTTTTTTCTTTATACTTCTGAAGTTATTTTCCAATGATCCATTTTCATGTCGGCTACACAAGCATAGTAACTAAAAATTGGGCTTCCTATTGCACATTTGCTCAACGAAATATTGGATTTTTCCAGAGAATCTATAACTAAATGTTTCAATCCAATATTTTAATTTTGTTGACTGAGAACATTTTGAGTAACTCCACTTTTATAATTTTGGAATTCTAACCTTTTATCATCTTTTTTTATTCACTAATTTTTTGTAAACTTTATAGAACAGAACAATAAAAACAAGACCTGTATGGAAAGAGGGATGTTTCAACTACTTGTACACCAAGAAAAAACAAGAACTCTATGGCACAATAAAGATAATAAGGCCTAACAAAAAGTGCTTTTAATAGTTCTTCTATCTACGAATAAAACAAGACTGCAAGATCATAAGATGCTTCAATAATGAACTTCCTTACATGATTGGTGCAAGATATAAATGACTAGGTAAACCACAGCGGTAGTCTATACCGACATAGCCTTAAGCTGAGCACTTAGGCAAGTTTTTTTTAGCAAAAAATTGTTGACTATGTTCAATACAAAGTATTCAGTTTGCTTCACAGCCCCTAGCCGGTGTCTATATAGTATATAGTATATAGTATATACTGCTTCATCAATGTATGCAGCTACTATTACTAGTTAAGGTTAAAGTCCGCACAGTTTGCTACAGCTTTAAAGGCTTTCGACTTTTCAAGTAACCAAATTTTGGGTCACCAAGTATTAATGAAAATCGTACATTAAAGAAGTGTTGCGTCTTTTATCAAGTAGATTCATTTTCCAAGAATAAATCCAACTTTCCGATACTTATTTTCTTGACTTTAACCCCCTTCATATAAAACTTGGTCAATTTTGGCAACCTAATAACAGGACTAATATCATCAATCCTGTTATTATGTGAGATATCTAAAGTAGTCAAAGAAGTTAATTTTCGTAAGCTTTCTATATTAGCAATATCATTTCCCAGAATTGAGAGCATCTCAAGTCTTTTGAAACCAGTGAAGTTTTGGTGAATTCCTTTGATGACATTGTAACTAAGATCTAGTCTTTCTAAATTATAGACACCATGTAATCCATCTAACCTAACAATTTTGTTTCTACGGAGGTTTAATTGCTGCAAATTTTTGCAATTTGATAATCCCTGAATATCTCTTATTTTGTTTCCTTGCAAGCTCAACATTCTCAAGGTGCTCACGAGAGCTACATTTTTCATGGATAATATATTGTTAAAACCCAAATCAAGGACCTCAATGTTCTTCCATCTAGAAATCTCCGGAGCTATTGCCTTGATACAATTGGAACTGAAATTCCCTTCCCTCAACCCTTCAAGTCCATAGTATGATACCAAACTATCAGTACCACTACCATTCTTATCCACATGTATTTTCTTTAAGTTTGGCAACTCTAGAGAGCTCTCAAATGAGACAGCATTACCCAGATGAACAGTAAGATTCTCAAGAAGTGGGAGGTAGACATCATTAAAATTTTTTATAGATATTTCCTTTTCAATAAAAATATCCAATGATTTCAACTTCGGCAATCGGAGGTTCTGTCCATCAAGGTCATTGGTACCCCGATGATTGAATCTCAAGACTCTCAAACTTCTCGCACATGGCAAATTTCCTATATTATCAAGGCGTACATCCTGAAGTGTTAAATTCGTAATATTTGTGAAATAATGACTATTTTTCAGAAGGGTCGTTAGATTTTTAAGGGAGCTTAAATACATTGATTTGATTCTCTGATTTGTATCTTTCAACTTTAATGTGATCCGAGGTTCAATAATTTTCAAGTCAATCTCTTGTGTCAAGTTTGTCAACATAAATTCAATACGCTTCTCGGTTTTCTTCAAGACCAAATCATCAATAACGCATGATTTGCAATGTGATTCAGATTCTGGCAATTTGATTTCCAAAGTCTTAATAAACTGAATATTTTGAAGAGTAAAAGATTTCTCAATGTATGAGGTTATTACTGCAAAAACAGGTCCTTTCTCAACATCGTAGCCACCAGGTATTCCATGCATTAATTTTCCTTTCTTATTCCTGAGTGAAATATAGATTCTCACTGTTTCAAACAATATAGCATTAAATACTTGCTGAATATTTGGATGGAAATCGTTTATGTAGGTGAGTTGGAAATTGAAAAAAAGGTGATCAAAATTGCGAAAAATCTTGAGTAGGATTTCAGCAGGAAGCTGAGGTAAGTATAGCTTCATTAATGATATTATGTGCTAAGTGTCAAGTTGGTAAATCATAATAATAAGAACTAAATGTATTCATCAACTCTTCTATTTACCAAAAATTGATGCATTATGCATAAATATTTTCTACTTAAGTCACATGATACACATTTTGAAGTTGCAGCAACATGTTTACCACCTTTCACTTTTGATTACTAATAATATGCGAAAGAAAATAAGGGTAAGAACAAATTCAAACTTCGTATATCAAATGGTGAGTAAAACGAATTATTATTATTATTATTATCTTTATTATAATCATTTTTTTTTTTTTGAAAAATTATTGCTCCACTAAATCTTTCTTAGCCAACAAGCAATAGTTGTGATAATGTAAATCAGTCTTGATGTATTTGTGAAGGAAATCTGGAAAATATAACAATCTCCCGATTCCTGAGCTTTTTTCGCTATTAATAAATTTCTCACAGTGGAGTATTTCCCATGCTTCATCAGCAGATTGTAATCCTGCATCACTATTCTTGAGTAATCTAGTTTCACCAACCTCAATATCGACATCTTCATCAATGTCAACATAGTAGGCACAGGTCTCAAAATCAACCAATTTCCCAGCATCGAACAAATTCTGATTGTTCATACCCTCTGGATAGCTTGAAATTGATTCTACTAAGCCAGCATTCTCTTTAAAGTCACCAGGTAACAAGCCATTAAAACCAGACTTAACAAAAGCGAGTCTTGTGTTTTCGTTCGGCAAGAAAAAAGAAGATGGGTAACGGTACCACTCACGACCAACACACACATTACCAGAGGCATTTTCTGGAAGGTAGCTATATACATGCAATGGTGCAGAGTAGCCTTTAAATAGATGTATGCTTCTCGATATAGAAATAACAAAGATCACAACGATGAGCACAATATCGCATAGAAATCTAATAATTTTGGAGGTGGAATAGAGCTTACTCACACCGCTAATCAGAGCATCAACTTCAAACAATAGAATGGCGGCCGAAAGGTTGATAATTGGATAAATTGGGTACAAAAATCTTTCTTCTTTATGTGGCTGAAGTCCAAAGATGACACACCAAATTAGCATAGGGAGAAGTAAAAGACAAATCAAAGACGAATGCAATTCACGAGTTGCAGAAACATGTTTATCTGAAATTTTTGATTTTATAGAGCTCGACAAAGTATTGTTCCAATGTTGTAATATTGGAGAAAAACTGAGACCCATGAAAGCCAAAAAGAAAATTAAGTTGAAATTCAATGCCAAATTTAATAGGTAGTAACTGAATGGTTCAGTACCAAAAATATTAGGACCCGATTTCTCATCTGCAAAAAGAACATTGTAGAGAAAGATATTCAATGGTACAACTGAAATTTTACTGTAAAGAGTGGAATCAATAGTGACAATAACAACAAGAATAGAGCCAGCTATCCCTGCGCTACCCAAAATGAATTTTAAAGCATGTGTCACTGATTTGTTACTTAGCAAGCATTTTCCCAAAGTATAGAAAATTAACGGCAACGCAAGTGCCAAACTGAATGGCCATCCTAATAACCCAGCCAAACTATACCAAAAGATGGCACCAAAAGCATATCTCATTCTCTGGGTGAAATAAAAATCCAAGATAGCAGAAATTGCATAAATGTTACAGCATAGAGCAAAAGATGAAGGAAGTAAAGCAACAGCACCATGTGTCATTCCTGTACTGACGCTACTGAAAAATAAGAACCAGTAAGCCAAACTGCTAAAAGCAAAGTGTGATTTTAGTTTATAAAATAATCTAAGCTCACCAACGAGAACCATTGTGCCCAAAGAAAACCTTACCACATAAAATCCGATGTAAGGGGCCATGGATAACATATTATTGGTATTGTTTAAGAATTCAGAAAGTTTGAAAAATGGAACAACAAGACAATAGTAAGGTAAAAGATATGCCCATGATCGAATAGAGTATTCTGGTGAGTACTCCCATGTTTGTTTACCAAATCCTCTTAGTAGGAAATTTAAAGGTTCCCAGTAGTTAAATACCTCATCACAATCTGATATCATCATAAATGCCACAGTCAGCATTCTCATGGTTAGAAGAAGCAATATAGGAAGAATATCACCCTTGGTGAAAAGGTTCCGCTTTGAAATCTCCATAATTGCCTAATTTCCTTGAAAGATTCCCACACAATTTCATATGTTGTTGAAAAAAACGCTAAATTTATGAAATGACGCTGACGGTTGACAGTTTTTCAGACTGATGATGTGTGTATTTACAGATTCGAAAAAAATCGGTTGAAGTTCAATGTCCCAGACTAGCGGTACACATCGGCCATGACTACAAGATGCAATTTTCATCAAAGATTGAAACTATCTGATCAAAAAACACTAAAAATTAAAGAGTAATACAACAGAAAAAATAAATAATGCCAATTAGAGGCCGGGAACTAACTATAAAAGTAATAATAATAGCATATAAAAAACAATAACAATAAAACGTTAAAATACACACAAAAAAAGACCACCACATACCACAGAAAGAGCTTATCCTTTTTCAAGAACGAAACTCAGCTACGAAATTGAAAGAAGAAAAAAGGATGAGCAAGAACAAATAAAAACAAAACAAAAAGTAGCCGACAAAAATATAACGGCTTAGACATTTTGGAAATGCGCCGTGCTAGCAACAAATGATCTTCTCAAGGCAATATTGGTGATGCCATGCTTTGCAGCCAAGTAATCATAATCATTCTTATTGGTATCCATGTTTTGAAATCTTTTATCGTCATCCTTAGTCCAAATGCCCGTTGCATTTTCTGGGGGACTAACACCAGTGTTAATGACAAGGTTAAGATACTTTGTTACTAAAGACAAATCACCACAACAGCTGGTAAGTAACTCGGTACCAAACTCCTGTCCAATTCCAAGCTCGTCATGCAAGTCATTTAACAACGCATCTGCCCCAGATACTGAATAATCACGCTTCACAATCTCATTGGCAAGATCAAGGACTTCAGAGAGTGATAGACTAAGCATCTCTTTCTTGAAGTATTTCAATAAAATTCCAGGGTCCATAAGTTTGGAAATGGCTAGAGAAGAGGAATCTCTATTTATGAGTGGTATCTGAGAAGATTGGTTCGTACTCAACATGGATTGATGACCAGCTAAACTAGAATCAACTAATGAGTTCAATTCATTTCTGTGTTCATCAGTTAAGAAGAGATGACTGGAATCTAATTCATCGGCAGGATTCTTATTCTTATCTTTCGAAGAAGCAGCGGCTGCTGCAGCAACAGCAACAGCAGCAGCAGAAGAATTGACAGCAGATATCTTCTTTCTCTTATTTCCACTGCGCGCCCTTCGAACATCACCAATCAACTCGTTGAAATCAATGTTGTCATCTGCACCAATTTCTTTTTCATGATTGTCAGAAGTAATATTGCCAGGTGTTGGTCTCTTGAGCCTACCAAGAGCATCCTTAACATTCTTTCTCGCTGTGAAATCCTTCATTGGTTCGGGAATCTTATTTTGAGCTAAACATTCTTCATAATAACGAATATAATTTTCAATACCATAAACTCTGGCAAACTTCCGGAATCTATCTCTCCAAGCTGCCCGTGAATGATGAGGTTGTTCTTTTTCCATGAGATCAAAGAATTTATTTGGCAAGGTAACGGAATTTGCTTCATCACCTTCAACAACTTGAGATTTTTGCATCACTGATTTACATAGGACATAATCGTCTTCACTCGTGAACTTATTTTTGACCGTAGATGGCATATTTTCGGTTCTGATGTAGTTACCATGACCATCAACCAACAACTCACCTTTATTGTCAGTTTTGTAAACATAACCCAACAGTTTTTGCAAATGGTTTCTGAATCTGTATCTGACAGAATTACCGGTGTGTCTGTTCAACTTTGTAGCGATTTCTCCGAACAATTTATGGGTTGCTCTTCTAGTAGGGTTTTTACGGACCTCCTCCATAATAAAGTTATCTTCTTCTTTGGTGAAGCCATTCTTATTCACAGTAATAATAGTTGGAACTTGATTATGAGTAGCTTGCGTGTGTTGCTGAACTAATTCGAATGCCATTTGTTCATCAGATATGCCTGTGTGATTGTTACTGTTAGCAATAACGGTAGCAAGATTAACGGCCTCCGCATCTTGAATAAGACCGTTACTTTCTGTAACGCGATACGATTCTAAGTTAGCAAAAACCCCATTATTGAGAGAGTCATAAATTAGTTCAGGTCTAAAAGCCACTCTTGATGGAATAAAATAATGGGAAATCACGTAGCCCGAGTAGTCATTGACCACTTTGCCGCCATTGGCTTCGATCATAGTAATGAGGTTCTCTCTGTCTGATTCATTAGAAGGGATATAGAATTTAATAGGACCTTGCTCTTCGTTGAAGAAGATCTCCCCGGTCTTCAAGAGCAGAGGTGGTGCCGAGGATAATGAACGGAAGCTGTCATCATCATCTTCGTCGCCATGACCGCCGTTAGAAATTCTTTGCTGATTCTTGGTTTCAAAATGGTGTTCAGATTTCGGTTGCACGTTACTGACCTGCGGATCAATATTTGAAGTATCGATGTTTACCAACTGTGAAGCAGCGTTATTGATGTCTTCCAGGCTCATGTTGGGGATAACCTTGAGCGTCAAAGGTGGTGTTGAGTTGTTTCGAGGAGACACAGAAGTGGTGAAGTGATTAATCAAGACATCAACATCCAAACAGCAATTTTTTTTTTTTTTTTTTTCTGGTTGCTTGAGCGGCTGGGTAACCAATGAAGGATCTGCATATGCCTCCGGTCCGGAGTCTTGCACGGCTGGACGGGTTTCCATTCCCACGGCTTGGAGGGGATGCTCTTTATAAAGAATAACCAATGTGGTGCAATAGTGGAGTGGAGTTATCCTTTGAATAATTTTACCATTGCCCGAACAAAACAATGGGGAACAGTCGTGGGGTGATCTATTCATCCTTTCTTGTGGTGACCTGTATCTTCATTGCTTTCCTGTTTGTGCTCATTAGTTCAGTATCTGGTGCACCAGATCTTCCCCCGATAATCAAGTTTGGAGAGTTGAAGTCGTATATTGAGCCTAATTTAGCTGTCGTCGAATCTTTCTATGAATCTGAATCAAACTCCCCACAGATGAAGTCCAAGCACAAGAAAAAGAAGCCTGTCTCAAGAATCATTATTGTCGGTGATATCCATGGATGTTATGACGCTTTAAAGTCATTACTCAAGAAGGCGAATTATGACCGCAAGTACGATCAGCTCGTTTCCCTTGGTGATTTCATTTCCAAAGGTAAACAAAATTTCGAGGTTTTAGATTTCCTTATTGAAAATGATGCTGCTTGTGTTTTGGGTAACCATGAGGTCAATATATTGGAAAAATATGCTTCCTACTACAGTTATAGCTCGCCAAAGTATTGTAACTCCCTGGAAAATGACACTTGTGTCAGTGAAGAAAATCTGAAAATGGTTACTACTGAGAAACCAAAGTTTGATCTGGAATTGTCAATTGCTAAAAGACTAAAGCCAAACCATATCGATTACCTTACAAATTGTTCAATCTTATTGGACTTAGGTCCAATAGCACATGGATTCCAGAAAACTCATGCAGATGTCTCGCAACCGTTGTTTGACTCAAATGGCGATACTCAGGAATCTATGAAAGTTTCTGAAGGTAGTGCTAGTATCAATTATTCCAAAACTATTGAAGGTTTGGCAGTTCATGCGGGCCTTCAGTGGCACTTAGACTACATTGACCAATCTGTGAATACTATGGTCAACCTTAGGGCTTTATTCAAACCAAATTATACAGAACCTTGTTTCGACTCTAAAAGAAATATTGATGAAACTATCACTAAACCTTGGTCTGAGATTTGGAATATAAAGCAACAAGAAAAACTGAACTGGAGTGAAGGAAGAATGGTGTTTTATGGCCACGAAGCTTCAAGGGGCTTAGTTGAAAGGGAGTACTCTACGGGGTTGGATACTGGGTGTGTTGCAGGTAAGAAGTTGACCGCAGCTGTTGTCACGGGAAAGTTCTCTAAAAAGCACAAAAAAACTATTTATAACAGCAAAATTGTTCAAGTTTCATGTTAATTCTATTTCTTTTTTTTCTTTCTCAAATATTAGTGTCTTCATCCCGTTCCTTATGTTTCTCTTTATTTTAAATTGCTGTTTATTTTTTCTGCCAAGTATTAATCATTAATCTTATTGTCATATCCTCACTAATACGTGTTTTTTTCTATTTTCTCTGCTGCTTTGGTTGTCCTTATTACAATATTTATCATACAACAAGCATATACATCATTATACATTAAACTTAGAAAAATCTAAACTAAAGAAAAAATTCAAAATATTGTAAGAACGGCCACCCTAATATCCAACGCTTCTTTTTGGAATGCCTAATTTCATACCATTGCTGCTGCTAACCCATCTAAATAATGCAACATGATGAGTCGTTGGTCTTCTAGGTTTTGTCCGAAATTTTTCTTGTTCTGCTTCTTCGTCGTCTTTCAAACTTTTGGTGCTTCTAACTTTTTTAGCTCTTTTTTTCAATAATTTATTTAAAGTGTCTCTTTTTTCTTCTTCCAATTTCTTTTCATTCAAATTTTTTCTTCTTCTGGCCATTTCCATTCTCCTAAGCTGCTGTTCTTCTTCGGTCAAAACATTTTTCTTTTTGATATCATTGGAAAGAGCCACAAACCCGCCACCAACTCGGCCAGTAGAAAATTTCTGAGTGTCGTTGACACTAGTTGGAAATTCAGAAACCGATTTAGAATCATCACTTTCTATGTTTTCCTCCAAGTATTTGCGCCGCTGTCTTTCAGTCATTCTTGTTAAATCTGGAGTACTTGATGAATAATTGTCAAACCCATCGTCTCCACCAAGAATTTCCTTATCAAGTCCTAATATTTCATCATCATCTTCATAGTCCTCTTCATCCTTGCTATTTATACTATCAATTTCTTGATCGTCATATTCCTTGTAGTTAACTACTTGCATTCTGGACCTCTTAGATCTCGAGGTTTCTGTCAGCTCCGGTTCAAGATGTCTTTTTGCAGCAGCTACACTTCTAACACTCCTTTTTTTGTCTGACATACGTTTCCTTGATGTAACTGATAAGCTGGATGATGAATATTCATCTTCACTATCCAACATTTTGTTAGCTTTCTTTGACATGTTAAATCTCAATTTAATACCTGAAGTTTTTTTCACCCTAGGAATATGGTCTTCATCACTCTCGTAATCATCACCAATCACCACATCGTCATCAGGGTTGGGGAGTGCAAGGTCATCATCGTCATCGTCTACTATAGGCGGAACTGCATCTTCGTAATCCTCATAGGCAGGATACTCTTCATCTTCCTCTTCCTCTTCCTCTTCCTCTTCTTCTTCTTCTTCTTCTTCTTCTTCTTCTTCTTCTTCCTCCTCCCCTTCTTCTTCCTCCTCCACATCCACATCCTCAACTTCCTCGTCATAAGCATCAGCATTATCTGGAGCCTGTCCTCGTGGTTGTTGTTCCTGTTCTTCATCATCATAATCTACCTCCTCATCATCATATTCTTCTTCTTCATCTTCACCCTCCTCACCATCCTCGTCTCGATTAGCAAAACCAACATCTTCTTCTTCTTCTTCTTCTTCTTCTTCTTCTTCTTCTTCATCATCATCATCATCATCATCATCAATATTATCTCCTACTGCCTCAACATCTTCACTTTCCTGACTGTATTGACTCTCTAGCCCTTCAGCTTCAGACTCCTCGTCGCCATTCATATTAGCATCACTTGGAAGGGCTGAACTTTTATTATTCATATCTTCACTGTCTATCGAAGACAAATCCGAATCACTGTTATAGCTCATTAGATCACCTTTGTATATATATATAGAGTATGGACCTTCGCTAATCGCGGACTCAATAAGGCTAGTTAATTTTCGTGTCGCAACTTGAGGGAACCCACACAAATAAATAGTGCGCGTATCACTAAATTTTCAAAAACTCTGCACTCCATCCAGTGGAAAGATTCAGTCTACACAAAAGATTATCTACGCTACTACTAGTGAAGGTTGCCAAAAAAAAAAAAAATGCTCAGGGTATTATCAAGAAGAACTTCTCAATTATCTAAGGTGCGAAACTTTACTAAAGTTTCTGTTTCAAAATTCTCTAATGCGCTGTTGTTATCTCAAGAGGTTACTAGCGAATCTCCAAAGGTACCATCATATTCAAGACCAAAGATTCGTCTTGACAGCCTTTCAAGGATTCTAGTCGAAACTATTAAGACAACAGGCCCATTATCATTATCGTCTTATATGAAAACGTGTTTAACCCATACGGATTATGGATATTACACTACTAAAGATCCCCTTGGTATCAGATCATCAGGGGATTTTGTGACGTCCCCAGAAATTTCACAAATGTTTGGCGAAATGATTGGTGTGTGGTTTTTTACAGTATACTTGACACAAAATAAGCCAAACAATGTCCAATTTATTGAATTTGGTCCAGGGAAAGGTACTTTGATGCATGATCTTCTCAAATCATTCAATCAATTGTTGAGAAGCTCTACATTGAAAGAAAAAATTAGCATTGTTATGGTTGAAGCGTCTCCACTTCTCAGGTTGGAACAGTTTGAATTATTATGTGGGAAGGATAATAAGATTAAGGAAAGTGAGGATGGAATCGGATATGTAGGTGTGACCAAATGGGGTAACAAGATCAGATGGGTGGATACCGAGCAGGATATTGAAGAAATCGGACACAAAGATCATTCCAATTACGTTGTTTGCCACGAATTCTTTGATGCTCTACCAATCAAGCAATTTGAAAAGACCGAGCAGGGTTGGAGAGAATGTCTTGTTGACTACATATTGCCTGAAGACAGAACAACTAAAGAAAGTGAAGGAAGGTTGACTTTACCAAGCCAAACCACTATCAAATCTTCTGACTTGGAAGCTGAGAAGGAGCCAAGTTTCCATATGACTGTTTCTCCTAAGAAAACTACATCTGCTTTTGTTCCACAACAGTCTCCTAGACATAATGCGTTACCTATTGGTTCCAGAGTTGAAATTTCCCCAGAGACTTTGACTTACTCTAAAAAGATTCATCAAATTATTACATCCAATGAAAAGCAACAGGGGGCAGCTTTATATATCGATTATGGACCAGCGGACACTATTCCAATCAATACTCTTAGAGGTATCAAGGACCATGCAATTGTCTCTCCATTTGTAAACCCAGGTACTGTTGATTTGTCTGCGGACGTTGATTTCCAGGGTATCAAAGTTTTGCTGGAAAATCTAGGAGGAGTGGATGTCCATGGCCCGGTAGAACAAGGTGACTGGCTCAATGAATTAGGAATGCAATACAGAGCTGAACACTTGATAAATAAGCTGAAGAATGATGCGGATAAAGAGAGGATTCTGAAGTCGTACATCAGACTAGTGGATAAGAGCGATGCTGGTATGGGAAAGATCTATAAGTTCATGGGGATTCTTCCTAAAGGGACCACAAAACCCGTTGGGTTCGGAGGGTCTGTTAGTGAGTGAGACGTGAAGGGTCTTTATTTTACGATATTAAAGAAGACTCACCTTTTTGTAAATAGGTGGGATGCTGATGGTTAGGCATTGGAAGGAGCTTTTCCACCACACATAGATATATATGAAAACCAGTAGACTCTTTGAAGACCTTTATATACATATTGTATTAAATGTAATCAATTATTATAGATAATACTAATGCCCCATATATATAGAAGGGGGTCGCCTGCAAACAAGAAGGGGGCATTACACCCCTGTTATCAGTTATGAGCGCAGCAGCCAGCAGGCCGTGGGTGAGCTGTATAAGTCTAGCTGTCCGTTTCCAAAACAGAGAGAAGGAAAAAGGAAGGAAAAAAAAAGGAAAGGAAAATTTTTTTAGGATTGTTTAACTTTATAGTCTCAGGAAGTATAGATTTGTGTTGTTTTAGCGTGGCTTATCCTTGCACCTGTCAATCCTTTCTTGAATTCATTCAAGTACCCCTCCATAAAATTAGAAAGTATCCAATTGACGATCGTTTTATATTTGCGGAGGATCAAAACAACATCTTGAAAGTTGCCAGCATTTGATTTGCCGTCATCTATCATAATATTGAAAATAATAATAATAGAATGAGTGACAATCCTTTTGAGACACCTATTTCAAAAGGAGAGGATACTGCTGTATCTAGTGCCACTAACGATGCTGTGGCATACGAATATTGTCTCAAATCCGTCGAGGAAACTGCTGAAAAATTGAGTACAGACGTAAAAGTGGGCTTATCATCTCCGCAAGACATATCATATAGGAAAAGAATGTATGGCTTAAACGAAATGGAAGCAGAAGAAGATGAACCTCTCTATTTGAAGTTCGTGAAACAGTTCTATGAGGACCCTTTAATTTTGCTTTTGATCGGATCCGCCATCATAAGTTTCTTAATGGGGAACATTGATGATGCTGTTTCAATTACCGTTGCCATCACAATTGTCGTCACTGTTGGGTTTGTTCAAGAATATAGATCTGAAAAATCGCTCGAGGCGTTAAATAAATTAGTGCCGCCAAACTGTCACTTAACCAGAAACGGAAGCACCGAAACTTTGTTAGCATCGAACTTGGTCCCTGGTGATCTCGTCCACTTTAATGTCGGCGACAGAATTCCAGCAGATGTTAGAATTATCGAATCTAATGATTTGTCTATTGATGAAAGCAACTTGACCGGTGAGACTAATCCTATCAGTAAGAATGCCCTTACCATTCCAGCACAATCAGAGTTCACCAAAATTCATATCAGTGATTGCAAAAATATCGGGTTCATGGGTACTCTCGTGAGAGACGGTAACGGTTCTGGTATTGTTGTTTCTACTGGCTCCCAAACCGTTTTCGGTCATATTTTTAAGATGATGGCTGATATTGAAAAGCCAAAAACTCCTTTACAATTAACCATGGACAAACTTGGAAAGCAATTGTCAATGATTTCCTTTGGTATCATTGCAGTAATTGGCCTTATTGGTATTATCGAAGGCAAGTCATGGTTAGACATGTTTCAAATTTCTGTTTCTTTGGCAGTCGCTGCTATTCCTGAAGGTTTACCAATTATCGTGACTGTTACTTTGGCACTCGGTGTTTTAAGAATGGCATCCCATCAAGTGATTGTGAGAAGATTACCAAGTGTTGAAACTTTAGGCTCCGTTAATGTTTTGTGTACTGACAAAACGGGTACTTTGACTCAAAATCATATGACAGTTACTAAAATCTGGGCTCCTCAACAAGATATGATTGACATCTCTGCTGAAGGAACTCATCACGGCAGTCATCACTATGGATATGATGAGCCATCTTTTGAGAAATTTTTGACTGCTGATGTCCAACAAGTATTGGAGATTGGGAACATTTGTAATAACTCAAGGTATTCGTCTGAAAATGACCGGTATATTGGAAATCCAACTGATGTTGCTTTGGTTGAAGTGCTAAGAAAGTTTAAGCTTGAAGATATTAGAGATACTAGAAAAAGAGAAAAAGAATTGTCTTTCAATTCCGCAAGAAAATATATGGCCGTCACAGTTCATAAGGGTGATAAATCGAAAAATGAAACATATATTAAAGGTGCCTATGAAAAAATCTTGAATTACTCAACACATGTGATTAGCGATAACAAGGCTGGCAAGGTATCGATTACCGAAGAATTCAAACAAAAAGTGATCTCTAAGGCTCTTGAAATGGCCTCTCACGGTCTTAGGGTCATTGCTTTGGCTAAAAAAGAAGGTGAAATGGATTTCAATAAGGACCCATCAGGCTTGAAATTTGGTGGTTTGATTGGGATGTATGACCCTCCTAGGCCAAACGTTCCTAATGCAATTGCTCAATTTGCTAGGGGTGGCGTTCATGTGATTATGATTACTGGTGATTCCGAAGGAACTGCTGTATCAATTGCCAAACAGGTCGGCTTGTATATTCAAGACGCCAGCAGGCAAGTTATTTCCGGTGAACAATTAGATAATATGTCTGACAGAGATTTAAGTAATGCCATTCAATATGTTAATGTGTTTGCTAGAAGTACACCTTCTCATAAAGTTCGTATCGTCAAGGCTTTACAAAACAGAGGGGATGTGGTTGCAATGACTGGTGACGGTGTTAATGACGCTCCTGCTCTTAAGTTGGCAGATATTGGTATTTCTATGGGTAAACACGGAACTGATGTCGCCAAAGAAGCCTCAGATATGATTTTGGTTAATGATGATTTCACCTCCATCTTGACTGCCATTGAAGAAGGTAAAGGTATCTTTTACAATATCCAAAACTTTCTTTGTTTCCAACTTTCTACTTCTGTCGGTGCCTTGGGTTTGATTGCCATTACTACTTTCTTAAATTTGCCAAATCCATTGAACCCAATGATGATTTTATTTATTAATATTATCATGGATGGCCCTCCAGCTCAATCATTAGGGGTTGAAGCTGTCGACCAAGATATTATGAACCATCCTCCTAGATCAAAGCACGAGAATATTTTATCAAAAAGATTATTGCAAAGAATTTCATTGAAAGGGTTGATTACCGTTCTTGGTACTATATTTATTTACCTGAAGGAAATCACCTCCGATCATCAGGTTACTAGAAGAGATACTACTATGACTTTTGTCACTTTCGTTTCATTTGATATGTGGAATGCTATTAGTTGTAAACACAACTTCAGATCAATATTCCAAGTTGGCTTCTTCAAGAATAAATTCTTCAACATTGCTTTGGGCATCATTATCCTTGCAGAACTAAGCATTGTTTACATCCCTCTTTTCCAAAACATTTTCCAAACTGAAGGTTTGAGTTTTGGTGATTTAGTATTTATTCTATTTGTTACATCTTCTGTTTTCGTGGCTGATGAGGTTTTCAAGATGATGGTTCCAAACAATAATGACATTACTTTCGCTGGCAAAGCCAATGCGATTGTATAATAATGATTACAATTTTACTCTTTTTAATTCACATATTCTACGCTGTTTTTTCGAGCGTTTTCTAATATAAATTGTTTTTTTTTATCTTTGAGTCTAATGGTACCAAGAAATCGCATTTTTCATTCATTTTTTTTTTTCATTTATATGTTATCATTAGATTTATTTCTCTTGCTTCTTTTTGACTTGTAAATGATAAGTGAGAGTAAAGGTTTTAACTATTTCCCGTCTTGGGGTGTCATTAGTATTCCGGGTAATGCATGGTTAAGCCAAAAAAATATTCGAAAAATTTTTTGAGATTATAAAAAATGTCTTTGAATTTGTAGTATGGCTGATAGGCTGAAATATATATTTTAGCAAGTGTTTACAGCAGCAATGATACTGAAAATTATAGAAAAGAAGCTTGTTTCACTTCAGTTGGTGAGAGGTATGTTTCGTGAACCCTTTTTTTTGTGCTTTTGGGTTATATTAACGTAACACTTTTTTGATACTAACTAGACATCTAGGGCTTTCATCGTCCACCGCCAGATCAGCAAGAAACAATGCTTTTAACACTGTTATAACCGAAGAAGTGGCCACTAAATCACCTCAGCTAGTCACATTACACAACAGATTGCGCTTGCCAGGCTCTTTCAAGTTATCTACTTTGGGAAGATGTTTGACTTGTATTCAAAAAGACAATAAATATCCAAATAACGTCGGGCTCAGTATTTTTGGGAAAAACTTGTTGAGTTATCACGCGACTGAACTTTTATTGATGAAATACCCAAGATTGCCTTTGAATGTGCTAAATAACGCTATTAACGGTATAATCGGAGATGAAACATTATATTCAATCGGTAAAGAATGGGGTATCCAAACCGACAGCTCCACCGCTGTCGAAAAGTTTTTAAATGAAGAACCAGAAGAAATAACGATAGGAAGATTGAGATTCGACAACCAAAATAAATCAATCGAAAGCAACCTTACAGTGATTGACAAGAAAAACACATTGACCCAAGAAGTGGCCATGGCTTCAGCAGTGAAATCCATTGTTGGTGCTTATTATGCTTCATCCAAATCATTACAAGACACAAAGAAATTCATTTATAATTATATTTTGACCACAAGACACTTGAAGATCCAAGATATGTTTGAATTTGAACAACCAACCAGAGAATTGGCTGCCCTTTGTAAAAGACAAGGGTTGGAACAACCAGTCACAAGATTACTTTCGGAATCTGGTAGAGCTTCTAAGAGACCGGTTTTCTTGGTGGCTGTTTTCAGTGGCAATGAAAAATTGGGAGAAAGCTTTGGTGCCTCTTTGAGAGAAGCCAAGATCAGAGCTAGTGTGAATGCATTGATGAACTGGTATTTGTACAGCTCTTTGGATGTCAAATTGCCAAGTGATGCTGATTACTCTCGCGAGACACTTAAGGAAGTTGATCACGGTATTGTCATTGTGTAAGTAATTTTAAGGGGAAGGTGTTATCTGTGTATATAGAAAAATTTAACGCCATTCGCAAGTTAAATCTCTAATGAACAATCAATTTGTTTGATAAACATAAACATATAATTTTTGGAACTCCGCGTAGGAAATTATTAATAAGATTCTAGGGTAAAGTGGAAAATAAAAAGACAAATCGTAAATTATAACTATGAAATATGATATAAAAGCAATCCTTTTGAAAAAGTATAACATCAAAAACCCCTGATTTGCTTCAATTTCTCGCTAATGTAGGACAAATGCCTCATTAAACCTGTTAATGACTTGGCATTACCATTCCAGATATTATCCTCACCAATCAACTCTGCTTCACTGATTATTTGGCCTCCATTATTGTCCATGCTTTTTATGGAGATCTTAAAATCATTATCGAGATCACTGCTTTCGTCCTCTTGACTAAAATTCTTGGCTTTCAAACTCTTGTAAATTGCCTCGTGCTCATCAATATCAACCATGGGTTTTAACAACGCACCAAAACCATTAGGATTTTTGGACATCAATTCCTTAATTTGTAGCTTCACTTTCTCATTATCTATCAAGTATCCTCTTTCGTTTAGTTTGGAAAACAAATTGGCATTGCTGACAGTTTCGTTATTAACAATTTTTAAAATATTCTCGTTCAACAATATGTTCAAATCATTGCTCAATATAATATTAATCAAATTCATTTGAAGATTCTCAATTAAAGTATCTTCTGGTATCTTTTTAACCAAGTCAATTGGGTTTATCAAATCATTAGCCTTCTCGATCAATGCAGCTATGAAAAAGGGCTTATCAATGCTATGATCCACTAAAAACTCTAAAAGATCCTCATTTTCGTTTTTGTTGGTCTTGATTTTATTTTTCACGAAATGAATTGCCTCATCTGGACTGCCAACTTTTTCAATGATCAATTTCAAAGCTTGAATGTTTTGTCCAATCTTCCCCAACAAATATATTAGCTCTTTGATATATCTGTTGTCATTTTCAAAAAGTTTAATTGCCTGGTCAATATTATAGTTAGTTTTGTTTATAAGAAAATATAACAATTTCTTTTGGTTAAAAGTCGCTAATAAGGTGATCATCAAATTTTCAAAAGCTTCGAGAATAGACGGTTCAACATTATTGATTTGATATAGTTTTTCAAGATATAAGTAGGTGATAAAATCAAGCTTCAGCTTTTCCAAGACGTCAACAATCCTTTTTGGTGAAGTTTCATAGATATTCTGAATCAACATATCAATAACTGGAGAAAACACCTTTGAATATCTTTCGCAATCTTTAGATGATTTAATTTTTTGTAATTCTGTAGTGCCAATGTTCATGGTGACTATTCTAGGTAATTCATCCAAGAAATTCAATAGCAAATGATATTTGGTGATGATTGTAAAAACTTCATCACTTTTAAGTTCGATCAAGTGTGGCACCGCAAATGCTGGCTCGTTGGACTCCAAATACAAGTTGCTCAAAATTTTTCTAAGTTTAGGATCATTTTCATGCTCAATTTTTTCTTCCAATAACTGTTCAATATGTTTTATATCATATAATTTGGAGTCCCATTGTTCAATTAAAACCAAGTACTTATCTTTGTTGTTTTCTAAGTGGTAAACTAATATGGTTTCATAAATCTTGTGATCAATCTTCAATTTCAAATTGGTTGGAATAATCTCTGTTGCGACATCAATTTGATCATTTTTGATAAATTTCCAAAGGTACTCTTCCCATTTTGATGATAAAAACTTTTGGTGATCCGTTAATTCTATCTCTTCATCCATAGGTAAGAAATCAATTTTTAGTACTCTTGAGATGAATTCTCCTGCCTCTGGCCAGTTATGTTTGTCTATTAATTGATCAACACAGTTTAATCCAAGAAGAGCTCTTTTATGTTCACTCATCAAGTGCTCACTCATCTCCCATGCTTCTTTAAACTTCGTCTTATCGATATACCATTGCAATCTGTCGTTGATATTAAATTCTTCGGTTATTGCTGCATCCCTTGCACTAACCAAGTAATACCGTGGAGGACTCAGCTCCCCAATAGACTTCCCCAAGTGATAGTCATTCAAACCAAGGGATTCATAATCTTTCAATGCCACCTCATCGTCAGCAACTTCTTCGCCATCAGTAGCATTAATCAATTTAATTTCTGGAGGACCTGCTTTTGCTTTCTGATGACTATCAGAATCCACTTTTTGTGGTGCATTATAGGTTAGCAATAATAATAAATCGTTGTTAAATGAAGCGATCCCTGAAATTAATGAGTCAGTGTGTAGAGTATTTTCGACTTCGGCCTTTCTTTCAACGGGAGCTCTGAAAGATGATGCTGCACTGCTAAGAAAGGACATATTAGAATTTCCGGCGGAGTTCTCGATAATATCAACTCTAATGGAATAAATATAGTCACACCAGCCAATAATTACTCTGTCTGAATCAACAGTATGGAATCTAGGCCAGTATAGATCCGCTCTCGGCGAGTTCTCGGGCCTGGCGATGTTCAAAATCTTTGTCTTCGTAGAGACATTGTAAATAGATATCCCTGCCTCATTCGCCCACATTAAAACCTCTCCAATGTAGTGTATTCCAACAATTGGGCCATTACCTTCATCAATTACTATATCGCTTCTACCGTTCATCCAATTTTTTTGAGACACTATAACTTGGCCTGCCATGCCACCAGACACAAACCACCTTGTCAGTTTATAATTCTTGTCAATAGCTACGGCATGAACTGGTCTTTTGAAATCAAATTTCGTAATATCGCTTTGATCTTTGATTGATCCTATTACCACTGAGCCATCCATTGATGCAGTCGCAAAATAATCGCCATTTGTTGCAATCGATAGAATAGATGCTTTGTGGACTCTGAATGTTCTTATTGGTGTCATATCAGGTTTGCAAAGATGCAAAACTCCTGAGTGAGTAGCAAATATCAGAAAGGTATCATGAATTAGACAACAAGATACAGGATCTCTTCTGAAGAATGACTGTGGCAATCCTGATAATCTGGAATATTTCAATCTAGGTGGCTCCTCTTCGTCATCTTCGTCATCTTCGTCTTCGTCTTCATCTTCATCTTCATCTTCATCTTCATCTTCATCTTCATCTTCATCTTCATCTTCATCTTCATCTTCATCTTCATCTTCATCTTCATCTTCATCTTCATCTTCCTCGTCGTCTTCATTCTCTTCACCCTCTTCATTGTCTTCTTCCTCATCTTCTTCGTCTTCCTTTTCTTCTTCATTATTTTTTTCTTTTTTATGTGATTTACTATTAGCATCTAATCTCTGGTTGGATTCATTGTATTCTTCTTTACCAATGACATCTACTTTGTGCGAGCTATCCTCGGTATCTAATACAGACCTTTCATCTCCTTTTTTCAGATTTTCTATTTCCTTTTTGTACTCTGTTGTATTATCACCGGCCATTATATTGTTTCCAACTGAAAGTTTTCTATTATCTTCTTGTCTTAAGTCATTCAATGCCTCTGCGCCAGTCTCTATGTCCGCTCTCAGGTCTTCTTGGTTGGTGTCAAGTACGCCATTAATCATTTTGCCATTTGCCAATTGGGATTCCTTATGCCTGTTCTCCGTTTGCACATCAATTTCAGATTCATTGGTCGGCCCTTTCTTGTTTCCTATTGCTTCTGCTTCCATACTATGTTGTGATAGGTCGACACCGTAGCACTTCTCTATTAAGCAGGCCCTCCCTCTTTGTATTTTGTGCTGTTTTTCGTTTATCACAATCACACCCTGTAAATTTCCATGTGCGGAATTAGAGGGTCCCGAGGTCACCTGCAACTGCGAAATACTGTGATGATGATTCATTTTTAGCAAAAAGTTCTACCTTTTCTACTGTTTTTCCCACATTTGTAAGGATTTCCTGAAATCTGACGAGGATATTCAGTTAATGATTCATACCTGTTTCTTTGAGAAATTAGACATCATAAACATACATATATATAGATGTACGCATGAGGTACTTTGAAAAATGACTAATTATCTACTTCTTGAATCACAACCGGAAAACAAGTATTCCAAGCTTGTTAACAACCAAAAGATAGTGATAATTCCAGAATTTACACTCGAATGCGGTGAATCTCTTTACGAGGTTCCAGTTGCTTTCAAAACCTGGGGGAAACTTAACGAGAAGAAAAATAATTGTATGGTCATCTGTCATGCTTTAACTGGCTCCTCGGACATTTCTGACTGGTGGGGACCCCTCTTAGGTAAGGGCAAAGCTTTTGACCCAACAAAGTTTTTCATAATATGTTTGAACTCTTTAGGATCTCCTTATGGTTCTGCTTCTCCAATGACAAAAGACCCAGCTTCAGGTGAAAGGTATGGTCCGGAATTTCCTTTGGCCACCATCCGTGATGACGTGCGAATCCATAAAAAAGTCCTTGATTTCTTGGGCGTGAAGCAAATCGCCGCGGTAATTGGTGGTTCCATGGGTGGTATGGTTACCTTGGAATATCCTCTCATCCTCGGTGAGGAATATGTTCGAAGTGTGGTGGCATTAGCAACCTCTGCTAGACACTCAGCCTGGTGTATTTCCTGGGGCGAAGCTCAACGTCAAAGTATCTATTCTGACCCAAAATATAAGGATGGTTATTATGATGTTAATGATGGCCCAGTTTCAGGTTTGGCGGCTGCCAGAATGAGTGCGTTGTTGACTTACAGATCTAGAAATTCTTTTGAGAACAGATTTGCAAGAAACGATCCATTGCAGGCCAAAAATGTCCCAAAATCAAAACTCTTGGGCCATGAAGGTTCTATTCCTGAGAACTCCCCTGTGACACCTAAAGAAGAAAATTGGACAATTCATAATGAGGGTAACAAGAACCGCAAGCATTCAGTGAGTTCACCATCTTTGAGGGCTGAGCCTCCAACTTCTCCTTCTGCTAATATCAGTCATCCAAAGAAGAGACCTCAAACGTTTTTCACTGCTCAAAGTTATCTCAGATACCAAGGTGATAAATTCATTGGTCGTTATGATCCTAACTGTTACATTTCCGTAACCAGGAAATTGGACACTCATGATTTGTCCAGAGATCGCTATGTCACCAATCCAGAAAATCCAAATGAATTGATTCCAATTACTATGGAACAGCAGCTTGGCAAGATTACTCAGCCGAGCTTAATCATTGGGATTGCCTCTGATGGGTTATTCACTTTGGCTGAACAAGAATATTTGGCCAAGCATATCCCAAACTCAGTTATGTACACTGTCCATTCGTCAGAGGGACATGATGCCTTCTTATTAGAATTTATGGAGATCAATAATTTGATTATCGATTTTGAGGAGAAGCATTTGGTGGATATTTTGGAGCAGGAGGCAATTGAGTTGGATAACCATGAAGACTTGAGAATGAAAGGGGGCCCTAGTTTATTTGGAGAGTCTGAAGAGGTTACCAACTGGTAAATGATTGACACTCATTGTTTGCCAAACTAATATCAAAGCATTTTCTTTATGTTTTGTTTAGTTTAACTGATGTTATTGTCTTTACTTTGTTGATCATTTTTTCATTAGGTTCTCTATTATTATTATTTTTTTTTTTTTGCATCGCTAAGAAAACCTTGGGGACTTTATATTCTGAGTTTGCACATAAATTTTATTTCTTGCCTACTATTTACTTTTTACTTTTAATATTTTTCTCTTCTTTTTTATCTCTCTTATTATTGGGAATGGTTCAACGTTATTTGTGTTCATATTTATATTATAGTTTTGCGGCAAATTCAACATTTGTATAGATTCAACATCTTTCTTCTAGCTAACTGAATCTTCAGAAATGATGAATTCAAAAAAAAAATGCACATATAAATTGCATTGTTAATAATCACTCGTATTATCATCCGTGGATATTAGTTGTTTATGAAATAATAACCGATATTCGATGTTATATTTAGAAATCATGCATGTTGAAGCTTGCCGCATCGCCACGTGTGACCATATGAAACGCAAAAAATGCAAAACGCTAAGTTACCAAACAACGGAAATTATTGTCCATCATTATAAAGGCGAAGCATTCTTTTCCTGTCCCTCTCTTTCTCTTTATCCCTCTTTTATTATTTTTTTACACTAGTGAAACATACAACGCCATGTCTTTATCCCAAATTTATTGCGACCCAGCTAAAGTTTCTAAAGAAGACAAAGACGCTCTTCTTGGAAGTCTCTCCCAGCTTGACTCAAAGCTTTTCGATCAGGTCCAAGAGGCCATTAACTTCTCATCTAACGCCTCACAATCTGAGGTATCCCAACTTCCTTCTTCTAGTTTCTTTTCTTTGAGCAAGGATGATTCCAGCTACATTAATGAAACAAAGCAGCGTGAGCTTTCAAAGCTCGGGCTTGATTTGATCTCTAAAGGTCAAGTGGCGGTGTTATTGATGGCCGGCGGTCAAGGTTCCAGACTAGGATCCTCTGATCCAAAGGGCACATATGTCATTGATATTCCATCTAAATCATCTTTGTTTGAGCTCCAAGCTAAAAGGATTCTCAAGTTACAGGAATTAGCCAACGGCGTGATTCATTGGTATGTGATGGCGTCTGGTCCAACTAGAGAGAAAACTGAAGCATTCTTCAAAGAAAAGAACTTCTTCGGTCTAAAACCAGAAAACGTCACTTTCTTCAATCAAGGTACTTTACCTGCTTTCACTAAAGATGGTAAGCAAATATACAGAAGTGCTAAGAATACATTGGTTGAATCTCCAGATGGTAATGGTGGTTTGTACAAGGCTATACACGATAGCAACTTGCTTGAAGATTTCAAGAAGAGAGGTATCATGCACATTCATATGTATGCCGTGGATAACTGCTTAGCTAAGGTTGCTGATCCTCTATTTATTGGGTTTGCTGTTGAGAACAACTTTGATTTAGCTACTAAAGTAGTTAGAAAAAATGAGCCAACTGAATCTGTTGGCTTGATTATTAGTAAACAGGGGAAACCTTCTGTTATTGAATATTCAGAAATCTCTGATGAGTTAGCCTGCAAAAAAGATGAAAATAACCAAGAATTGTTGTATCTCAGAGCGGCTAATATTGTGCAACACTATTATTCCGTTGACTTGCTCGAGAAAATGGTTCCAGTTTGGATTTCTTCCAGAGAGTATTTGCCTTACCATATCGCCAAAAAGAAAATTCCTCATCTTACCCTTGAAGATGAATATGTAAAGCCAACTGCTGTCAATGGCATTAAGTTGGAACAATTCATCTTTGATATCTTCCCAAGTATTGAATTATCCAAGTTTGGGTCTCTTGAAGTCCAGAGAAATGAAGAATTCAGTCCATTGAAAAATGGTCCAGGTACCAAATCTGACAATCCTGAAACCAGTGCTAGCGCTTTGAAAACCTTGCACACAAGCTGGATATTGGCCAATGGCGGTGAGATTGAGAAGGATGGTAAGGTAGAAATTGATGCATTGCTATCATATGGTGGAGAAGGTTTGGAAGGTGTCAAAGGGAAAGTGTTTAAGGAAGATGAATATATCACTTCTTTTTAGAGCTCTCTTTTAATTTGCATGCAACTAATATATAATGATTTTCTGATTTTTTGCTGTGTAATATCGTAAAAGACTGCTAATGTGAGCGTCTTTATGGTTTGTTTACTTTTTGATAAAGGCACTTCGTATCACGTGTATGACGTCAAAATGTACCATTTAAATGGATCCTTGTTGGTTAGAATGATCTGAAACAGACAAATAATGCTAACGCATACGTCAATAAATAGATATGTATTTAATGTCCTTGCGTACTTCTCTTGAGTCTTTAAAAGGCTATCTCATCAGAAACTCTCTTGATGTCTCTGTTATCGAGCATGTCTTAGAATTCCCTGAAAATTCCCTTGAGCAAACGCTTAGAACCTCCCAATACTTGATCCAAACCATCAAAGAGCATGATGCGATTTCTTCAATATCATTTGTCTTTGACACTGGCGTTCTCAAATGCTTGATTCAAAAAATGCGTCACCTTGAGGCAACTCTTGGAACTCGGTCCTTAGAAGTTCTTCGAGAGTGCTTGGTAGCACTAACATTGTTGCTCAATATCTCTCCGCCTTTAGAGTATGATCCTTATAAGAACCCTACCGAAAGAAGAATGGCACGTCAAGCCATAGATCAGAAATCTGCACCTTACAGATTTCGTATGTTGGAAACTTACAAATTTGGGGAAATAGCTTGGAACAGAATGTATGCTGCTTCTTTGCCTGTAGATGTACACCTTAAATTTAGAGAAGTGATTTTGGGCTTGATACGATCCCAACCAGAACCAACTTTGAAGATTATGCTCAAATCAGGTGGCTTTGTAGCTGAACATATAGTACAGGCCCCAGACTTTTATAAGGGCCGATATAGTGGTGTGAACGACCCTGTTTTTATCACTCAATCCCTGATGACCAAAACTATTTTGAGCATGGAGATTTTGAATGAGATATGTGCTCCACGTTTTTATGATCCAGAAGTAATCAATATATTGCAAACTATAGCTACAAATATGATCGCCTCTATCCAACATAATAAAAAAATTTTACTTGACGAAACCAGAGAAAAGAAGCAGAAACCGGGGGTTTATCCTGCAGAAGTCATCAAGAAAACACTTCAATGTTTTGGTATTATGCTTCTTACGCAATCTGACGAGTTACTGCTCTACATTAGAAAAAAATTGAAGTTCTGGGATCATTTTTTGTATTTATTGGACAACAAATATCATGATATGACTTCAAAGCGCGTTGCTCTCAGCTTTCTTGCAGATATGATTCCAGTGATAGATGATTCCACCCTTAAGAAATTTGATCCAGTGAAATTGAAAGTCACTGTTATGGATTGTCTTATGTATCGCATTGCACTATCTACTAAACCGGTAGATATTGATGATACATCAAGCTTGCTCAGAGTATATAGATGGCTCATGAGTTTGACTCCAAAGAAAAAACGGCAAATTGCTGAACTCAAAAAGGTTGATGTGCCAAGTTTAGTCATAAAAGTGCAAAAGACTTTGAAAAATCCAACAGTGTGTACCATGCATGATATGTCTGTTCGTTCAATTCCCCTTGGCTTGCAAGCTTCAGAAAAATCTATTGGTGAGTTGGTCCATTTCGTTAAATTTTTGATGAAATATTGCAATGGTGCTCAAGAGGAAGAGATTATTCAGCTGATGGTCGAATTTCATAAAAAGACTTCTTTCACTCAAAGAATGAGCATTCGCGAATTTTTCATCGAGGAAGTACATGGCAACAGATCAAAGTATCTTGAAATATATAGATCAGGAAAATTCCATGATCTCTTGCTCCTGTCCATCATAGAAACCAATGATATACTTCGATCTTATACAACATCTACCACAGATTTCACGATTAATGGAATTGAAAATCAGATTGATATGATACATTGCTTTGTGGATGATTATCGTTCTGTCCCTAGCCTTAGCACGTTCTCAGACATTGTAAATCCTTTGATTGACGCCCATGTCTTAGAGCAATTATTGGATAATTATGTCAAAGTAGACACAAAGACAACAAAAGCCATATCTATCTTCATGAGTGATTTGATTTCAATGGATATTCCTATTACAGAAGAATTATGTGATATTCTTTCTGAATTTTTTGATAGTAATCCATTGGTGGCACTCAAAGTGAGTCTCAAACTCATTGATAGTCTCGGAGAATCTTTGAGAGGATCTTTGAAAAATATGCCAATTCGCAACAAGTCCGTTGAATCAACATCGAGAGTGGTATTTTCAGTCAACTCAGTGATTTCTCATCATCAACTCCTACATAAAATTGCATCTAATACTGCAAAAGAACCCAATTTGACAATTAAGTGTCTTCATGGAATTATGACCACTAGCAAAATAGCACTGAGTTCACAACCTCTGATTCTTGGTCTTCTAATCAATGCATACAAAAAACTTGATATTGTTACAGTATTGGCATCTTATAAGGATCCAGAGTTGAAGTACATGGTAAGCGATATACTTAATCTTCTTTGACATGTTAATAATTGATTTCTCCGCAATTAGTCTTTTCTGATGTTGTTGTAGTTGGAATGATGCAGGATGGTTCTAGGGCTTTTTATTTGGTTTTTAACTATCACATGATATTGTATATTTTAGGGCTCATTTGTGACATCCGTATGCACGTGAATTATCTTTTTTTTTTTTCTTCCTCACGGTGCCTGTGTCTGCACAGTGGGAGTTTCGAGTTTTCTAAAATTGAAAAATTACAGAAGCATCACAAGTCGTTTTCTTGAGGAACTGACCAAAGGATAATATTATAGCAAAAATGGCCAAAGTTAGCAAAGGTATGTGAGGGATAGTGAAAATTATGGACGCAAGAATGGCAAAGAAAATCTATTGTGAGTCAATATATGGAAGTTTATTGGCCTTAAGAATTCAAGGTAATCAATCTTCAAGGATAAAAATTTATAAATCTAGTAAAAGAAAGTAATACTCAAAGACAATACCAACATGTTTAATTATATCATCTTCAGCAGCATTGGATGAATATCCAGAAATCCAAAGTCGAGAAAAATGGGAATGAATAATTTACGAAGAAATACCATTACATTCAAAGGAAGGAGAGAATTATCATCGTTATGTGAATAGACTGAGGTTGCTTATCAATCAACTTTTTTTCAAGTAGAATATATTATATGGAACAATTAATTTTGATTAGGAAACTAATAGAGCTCCAACAAGTCATTTTTCTGCATTTTATGACATTATATCCACAACATTTTACTAACAGCCTATAGACGTCTCTAGCTCCAGAAGCAAATCCAGAAAGGCTTACTTCTCTGCCCCATCTTCTATCCGTCGTAAGTTCTTGAGTGCTCCTTTGTCTAAGGAATTGCAAGAACAATACGGTGTCAAGTCTTTGCCAGTCAGAGCTGACGATTCTGTCAAGGTTGTCAGAGGTTCTAGAAAGGGTCAAGAAGGTAAGATCTCTTCTTCTTACAGATTGAAGTTCGCTATCCAAGTTGAAAAATTGGCCAAGGAAAAGTCCAACGGTACTTCTGTCCCAATTAACATTCACCCATCTAAGGTTGTCATCACCAAATTGCACATGGACAAGAACAGAAAGGAATTGATCCAAAGAAAAGGTGGTAAGGTTGATGCTTAAATGACTTGATCTAACTTATATTATTTTCTTGCTAATCTGTTTAACCTGTATCAATAATACGATGCTTTCTTTATGAACTTAATTATTATGAAACCAATTAACTTTGTGATACCCTTCTCTCACTCACACGTATTGATTGATTTGAATGTGTTACTATGTTGATGTTTGTAGTATAACCTCTAATTTGCTAGAATTGAATATATCTAGGAGTCATAAAGACTTCGCCAATAATTTTTCGACACTTTTGACTCGTCTTACGTTTCTTTTGTTACCTTGACTGTGGTAGATTGTGTATATTAGGCGTTATTCAAATCCCCAAACTGGTCTTCTAATATTTCGTTGATTTGCAATAAGCAATTGGCTGTTAATGATTTCCCATTTTTGAACATTTCGCCCTCCCCGAATATGTTTGAATAGTTATCAAACATGTAATTCAACCAACTAAACCAATCGACGATTTGGCTTTGAAATTGCGATATCAACAATACTGGGTTCGTTGAGTTTAAAATAACCAAAAGCAAATAGAGCTGGCATTCAAGTATGGCACTGATTTCCCCCAACGAAACATCTTCAAGAGAATTATTTGAAATCAACAGTGATAACACACTCTTCAAACTTGTTAAAACTTCAAAAATCTCACCAATTATTTCAACCAAATTGATACAAGTCGGATATGCACAATGTACCAAAACAGTCAAGTTCTTAAGATAATTAGTGATAATGGTATTAGAATAATTTCCAAGTGATCGCATATTTCCTTGTAAGTGGTACCAAACGGTCAAGAATGGTCCAATGAAGTATGCATAACAATTTGTGGAATAATTATCCCCATCATCAACATTAGAGACCCCTGATAAAGAATTATTCTCGTTTTGTTTCGATGCACGTTGTTTGAGTAGTCGTTGTGAAATTTTCACAACTTTTCCTTGGTCCGTTTGAATCAACTTGTCGTCAATTAATTCTTTACTCTTACGGTTTGCAACCTTACTAATTTGTGATGTGATATTGTCCATTCTATGTGCCTCAACCTGTAAGCTCAATGGACCCTGACTGCCAATTTGATGACCGTAATTTTCATCGAGAACAAGAAATTTCAGATGCCCTGCCCCATTAAGTTTTCTACCTGGTATTGTTTTACCACTATTCAACAAGCTTTTCGCTTTCAACCTCTCTTGCAATATAACGTTGTCATAGTTTACTTTGTCTTTATAACCTTTCAACTCTCTGGCTGATAATCCGATTGAGTTAATTATCATTAGTCGATCGTGAATAGAAAAATCACCCGCAATAAGCTGATGAATTAAATATGTTGGCATTTTAGACGGGTTTACCACACAAATGGTAATTAACGCTTGAAGCTTAATATCATTGAAATATCTTATTTGTTCCTCTTCGTCTTCTTCATCAGTTGAAAAGTCAGAATTATTAGTTAACGCAGTTTCGATGCCTTCATGATCAATTGAGCTTTTGGAACCCTTAGAAGTTAGCCCATCTACTTTCAAATTCAAAATAGCACTTGCTAATCTTTCACTCCAAAATTTTAACTCATCTCCAAATCCATGTTTCAATCTCACAATTTTGCTGAAGCTTTGTAACCCAATCTTTCTTTTTAAGTAGCTTTGATAAGGATCTTCTTTAGAATGGCATGTAAGGTATGAATGTAAGTCACGTAAATAGATTGGGGTAGAAGGTAAAGTATTGTTATGTTTTGCCAATGTTGAATCATGGTGATCTTCGTCATCAGAATCTTCATCATCAGAATCATTGTGATCATTGATTGCTAATTGATCGAACTTATTGATAACTTGTATAGAATGGCTATTAATCTCACTTAGCGACGACAGTTTATTCACAGAAGGTTTTCTTGGGGTATCAAGGATATTAGCATTCATTCTTAATGTGTCTTCAATACATGCCTTCAAGTATTCTACTGAAGTATAACTCATAATTTTGGTATGGCCACAGATATCATCTAATTTTAAATTATCATCAATTTTCAACAACTTTTTTTCGAATTCTTTTGCTTCCGAGATATTGAACTCAAGCTTAGTTACAACCGATCCATCTTTACTATTAATACTTGCTAATGCTGAGAGTCTTTCCATAAATATAATACCCAAATATCTTCCCTGAGTCATTGGCAGTTCCAAATGAATGGTCATTGCCTCAATGATAGAGGAATCATACATCAAACAGCTCAAAAATTCGCCAATCTCTGATTTCTCTAATTGGCCAATGTAGTTGATATAAATTACCAAAAATATCGTAAATGATTGTTGTATCTCTGTTGAAGAGTTTCGTACAAATTGCTTGTTATTCCAATAATCACTAATAAAGGTCTTGAAGTGACCCAAAAATTCAGCTATAGAAGAAGAAGCAGACTTTATGCAAAGAACAATAGAATGGAGAAGTAGCGTAATGATACCCTTGGGCCAAGTCGATGTTTTCTTCAAGACGTGAGTGATTGTAGATTCATAATTCAATGGTCCGAACAACGTCAAGTAGTAATTTGTAAAGTAAACAAGCTTTGAATAACTTGTAATTTCTTGTATTGAGCAAGATCGCAAGGTTTTAACTAGAAACTGATCGATCAAGAATGAATTGATGAACTGTATTTTATCAAGTTTTGTAAATTTATCAAAAACTTGGATGAAACAATCAAGTCTCTCACTTTTCGTCGGGTTAAAAATTGGATCTATTAATATTTGTTCAAGAAATAGTTGTGAATTTTTTGGCGAAAAACGCAATAGATGGAAAGTAAGCCTGGACATATCTGACAACAGCTTAACGTTTCGCATCAAGTAGAAAAATTGATGATTTAGCCAATTCAAATACTTTGGAAACTCCATTATCTGCTCTATCAATCCTTTGTTTATGAATTTTGCTAAATTATCATTGATCTTATCATTATAATCACTAATCATATTGAAAACCTTTCCATTGAAGAATAAAGTGTCGAAATTTGCGATTGTCTTCTTCAATTGAATGGGTTTCGAGAGTGCTCCATCATTAGTTATCATTTTCCATATAAACTTTTCGTCTGAATCAAACATCAATTTCAATAATATATTGATTAAGCACTGGATCAACTGATTTACATCATTTTGTTCGTTGGAAGTGATCTTTTGATTCAACATCGATATTTGACCCACAAGGTTATTGATCCCGATAGAATTATTTAATAATGATTCAATCAACCCATTTGCCTCCAATAAGTCCTCGTTTTTGAGTTCGCCATCGTCGATTATATAAACCTGGGGAATAGTATGGCTCAATAAGGTCGTGACCAACTTGAAGTTTATATTGACAGAGTTCTCAAGAGTCAGGGCATTGTTTCTAAGCGACCTCAAAAGTCTTATAGTTGAGGAGAGGTCTTGCAGGGACTTGAGTCTTTCTATCTTTGTTAGAAGTTGTTTCATGGATATGCTGCTGGTGTATAGTATAAAATAATATCCAAAGATGATCGGCCTAATTTTTTTTTTTTTTTTCCTATATTGTGCTGCAGGCGGTTGGCGGGTAGGTTGATCCAACATGGGATCTCTTATCAAAGCCCCATATATGATTATACTAGTAGTGGAAATCAATGAAATAATGGTTCTAGTCCCCAGTGGTGAATACCGCAATATTAATTAATGATAATAGCAGCTGCCTATTGACACTTTTCTTTTTTGTTGTTAGTCTTGGGCAACGAATTACATCTAGCAGACAACTATTAAACTGTAATAAACATATAAACGAATTCCAAAAGTTTAGGAAGACCTTGATGTACTGAGTAGTAATAACTTCGAAATTCTCATAAAATATTCCTGCTGTTTGAATCCATCGTTTTCATTCTTAATTGGTTACATGGAGCAAAAATGACTTACTTTCTAAATTAACGATCCCGAAACAAAAAGGAAATATACAATAAAAAGAGAAATAGAAACGAAAAAAGAAAAAACGAAAAAAGAAAAAAAATGGCACAGGAGCTTTAGTGTCTTTCACATCATTCCAGTGGCTCTTAAATTATCTTGAATGATCAAGTCTGTTACTGCAGCCAATACAAACTTCATCAATTTGGTATCAGTGGCACAGGTTCTATGAACGTATACGCTCTTTTTGGTCCGGTTAAATCTCAAGAAGGTATCCTCAAAATACTTCATTCCTTCCTCAAAATTACCAACTTTACCGTTAAAATCAGGTAAGTATCTCTTCATGGGAGATTTCTTGATTTTCTCTTCGAACAAATCAGTTTTGTTCAAGAATAAAATGAACGGTGTATTGTAAAACCATCGAGAGTTGACCAAAGTTTTGAATAACATCATAGCTTCGTGCATTCTATTTACTTTATTATCCTCGAATAGTACCTGGTCGTATTCCAGGACTGCCAATACAAAAAGCACGGCGCTAATATCTTCAAATGACTTCAACCATTTCTTTCTCTCGCTTCTTTGACCACCGGCATCTAATATCTTAAAATCTTCGCCATTGATGGTGAAAAGACTTTCTTGAATTCCCGTGGTTTTAATTCTCGCAGATAAAATATCAGAATCGGTAGCAAGATAGTGCTCATCTACAAAATTCATGATATTGTTGAAATAATAATCAGCATTTGATTCCATTTGAAATTCATTGCGACGGGCCCATATTTTTGCAATTCCAGAATCTTTGGTCCAAAGCTCATAAATTGCCAAAGCCACCTCATATCTTGATACCACTTTTGCTGAGTTATTATTCCGATTTTTTCCAAGGAATCCCGTTAAATTGCCGTCCAAGTTGCTGTTGTTGGTAGTTCTTGCATCAGAAGTTTCCAATGAATCACTATCAAATTCTTCACTTTTCTTATATCCTATTGATTCATTAAAGAAAAGTGTATCAGTTTCTTCATTGTCTAACTTCTCGTCAAATGCTTCGGTTCTTCCGGTGCTATCTTTCTGTCTTTTTAACTGACTTCCAGGACCATATTTTGTGATGTAATCGTTGATGAATTTGTTGCCTCCCGCAGCGTCAGTATCAATATTCATCAATATGTTTCTCTGATAGCTTGACAAGTTATAACGATGTATTTTTAAGGAGCTGGTAAGCTGATCACATTCTAGTGGAATCTTTGCTTTTCTTGCTTCCGCAACCAATACACACATACAAGTGACAGCGTCGGCCCAGATTACTTGGGTATACTTGGCCCTCTCTTCATGACTGAAGCCATTTTTGTGCAAGATCTTCAACTGCTTCAACACCGTTGATTTCCCACTTTCACCAGCTCCCAAAATAAGGATTTTCTTGCATTTCCGCTGTTTATTGGATTGATTTAGAGCTTCGGTGATGGCTCTGTCTGCTTGTTTTGCCTTGTATAAAGGGTCATTTATGTCTAGTTCTTTACTGGCAAAGCACCCCATGATCTAACAACTAGCTATTGAGCAGGGGAAAGCGGGTATGTGGAATGATGGAATAGAAGAGGACGGGGAGATTATTTTACTTACTCTTTGTTGGTATCTGCAGAATCAGTTATCTGGCGATTATCGATCCTTTTTATAAATACACATTGCTACGAAATGGGGCTCACTTTGCAGATCATTCATCCTGTTGGGCTGCAATAAAAATATTAGTGCGGGTGAATGCACAGATATAATAAATAGCTTGAATATTTGGCATTGTGAGGAAATATAGTAGTGAAATTTATTTATTTATTTGAATAATATTGTTTAATTTTTTATTTTTTCTTGCAGTCTTAATGGGGTTTCTTGGTGTAAGTAATATTATCATGTCGTTTGCAAAGCCAGCATGTTTTGAGGTGTGAAAAATTAAGGATATTTTTGGGTGACACACACGTACTAAAAAAAATGAGTGTCTGATTTCAGTGTCGGCCCCTGAGTAAAGCATTCTCTTCACATGTAGGTAGTGTTATTTATTTATTTAAATCAAAAATTATCTTGCGGATGAAAGCTTTCATTCAAAACGTTTCTTAGTAACTGTATATCCTCGTCCTGGCCCAAAATCGGTTTTGCTGATTGAGTGGTTATTTCTTATGAAACCATCTATTATACTAGGAAAGGAAAACATATTTGTACATTAATTAAATATAAACATTGAAAAAAAGAGAAAGCTCCATTATCAAATACAGGCGAAAATCAAACAGGAAAATAATTGAGAATCTATAATACCTTTTTATAAAAAAAAGGTCTCTACGCATCTCGAATTGACTAATTTTTGTGAGCTTTTTCAAATTACGATTTCAAATCTGTAATAACGCCATTCATCTTCTTTTTGATGTCATGATACTTCTTCAATTCAAGCATTGAGACACTGGCCTTTACCTTCGCTAATGAATTTTCAAAATCTTCCATACTAACAACGTTGACCTCTTCTTTACCTTCTTCTTCATTAACTTCTTCATCTAGTTGCTCAATGTTTTTATAAAATCTCTTCTTCAATGCAAAAACACCCGCTTCACGTACAAGTGCTGCAAGATCTGCACCTGAAAAATATTTGAGTTTATCATCTCTGGCAATTTTCTCCAAATTGACATCATCCCCGATTGGGGTCTTGTTAGAACTGACAATCGTCTGTAAAATCTCCAAACGCTCATCAGGAGTTGGTAATTCAACATACAAAGTCTTGTCTAATCTCCCAGGTCTCAACATTGCTGGATCAATGATATCTGGTCTATTAGTCGCCCCGATTACAAAAATTCCCTTTCTATCATTCAACCCATCAAGTTCCGTCAATAGAGTGTTGACGACCCTTGATGATGATTCGGATAAGGAGGTATCACGCTTAGGAACCAAAGCATCTAACTCATCGAAAAAAATAATACATGGAACCGAAGCTCTGGCACGATTGAATACTTGACGCACTGCCTTTTCTGATTCACCCACATATTTGTTCAATAATTCTGGTCCCTTTATTGAGATGAAGTTGGCTCTGGATTCATTGGCCACAGCTTTGGCAAGCAATGTTTTACCACATCCCGGTGGACCCCAAAGCAAGACACCCCCTGGAACAGTAATCCCAAATTTCTCATAAAGTTCAGGTCTCTTAATAGGTTGCACCACGGCCATGTGAAGTTCGACCCTGATGTTAGATAACGCCCCCACGTTAGACCAACTAACGTCAGGTATCGTGGCAAAACCTTCACGCTTGGCTGTTGGTTGAATGGTAGGTAATGCACTAAGAAAATCATCAAATGTGATACTGAGAGGAGCTAATTGCTCAGCAGTCAATGATTTTGGATGAAGCTTCAAAAATCTTTGGATTGTGGATAGTTTCAAAAAGTCTTCACTATTGATTAACGCCAAAGTTTCTTCATCATAAAAAGGAGCAGTTGCTTCAGTTACTGTTACTATATTTGTTTCTTCATCAATATCCATAGCATCAACATCATTTCCATTCTTCAAAAGTAACTGAGATTCATCAGAAGTGCTGATAACAGACATTGTGGTAAAAATTCTTTTAATGGCACAAATACCTGCGGCAGTAGCCAAGGCCTTCAAATCTGCCCCAACATACCCTGGAGTGGCCTTAGCTAACCTTCTGTAATCTAATTCCCCGTCAATCTTCAAGCTCTTGGTCATCGCTTTCAATATATGCACTCTTGAGTCTTCTGACGGAACATTAAGGCAAATTTCCCGATCAAATCTTCCCGCTCTTCTCAACGCTGGATCAATAGCATCCGGTCTATTGGTTGCCCCAATGATCACAACAGGTTTACCACCATTCTTTTCCATTGAAAGTTCATCGATACAAGTTAATAATTGCGCTACAATCCGCTTTTCCATCTCACGTTGAGCACCATCTCTTTTTGGGGTGATGGCGTCAATTTCATCCATAAATATCAAGCAGGGAGCAAGCAGCTTAGCCTCTTGAAATAATTCCCTGACTTTCTTTTCACTTTCCCCACTCATGCCACTAACTATTGATGGGGCACTGATCGACAAAAATGGTACCTGTAAATCACCAGCCAATGCGTTAGCTAACGTTGTTTTCCCACACCCCGGTGGCCCATGAAGCAAAACCCCTCTTGGTGGTTCGACACCGGTAGACAAATAGATCTCAGGATGAATTATAGGCATACCAATAAGTTCCATTAATTGACCAATGATATCATCCATCCCACCAAGCTGAGATAATGATGCATTTGGCGGACTTCTATCCTTTTGTCTTTTGGAAGCACGCCCACTATTTAGGGCATCCTTGGTACGCTTTTTCCCGCCGCTAGTCTTAGAAATAGCTTCAAGGGATTCTTTATTTTCATTTGAGATGTTGTTTTGGCTATTGTTGTTTGTTGGTGCTGAGCCGGAAACTGGGCCATCAATATCCCCATTGTTTTCATGTGGAGCATTCATCATATCATTTTCTGCCATTTCTTCTTGAATTTTCAATTCGCTAAGTACCCTTTCAATACTTTTTTCAATCAAAGTACGTTTATTTCTAGCCAAAGAAGCATCATGAGAGACCACATATCTTAGGGCCTCAGAAGTGGTGATACTTCGTATGAGCTTGTTTTCATCATTATTATTGCTATTTTCTGCATCATCATCACCATTCTCCTCCTCATTATTGTCGATATTCACACCATTCAATTCGGAAGAGGTATCTTTTTTGTTTTGTTGTACTTTCTCCTCAATTAATCCATTAATAAGTTTGAGAATTTTCCCATCAAACGATTGAGTTAAACTTATACCCTTTTGGCGACCCATGGTTCAAGCACTATTATTGCGCTGCTTAAAGTTTCACTTGTGTAGTTGTATTACTTATTTTTTCAGTCAATCTAGCTAAACCACGCCCGGTTTTGAAAGATGTATTATCAAGCCTTTGATTCAAAGGGCATCACGATGGAAATTTTTTTTTTTTTTATTTTTTTACCAAATTTTTTTCTGGGTGCAGTCAATCATGCAGGAAAAAGTTTTAACATGAGATGTCAAGCCTATAAATTCCTACGAATGACCTTTGGTCTGTAAAACCAGGCTGGAATGCGTATGAAATTTGTTGTAAATCACAATTTGAGTGGAAGGAGCATTAGCCTCTCCAAAAATGGGGAATTCATTGTTTTTGAGCAATTTTGAAAGCGATGATTTCAAATGATTGTGTTTCACCAGGGAAGTTTCATGACTCGCATTCAGGACGGTCAAGTAAGTAGGAATTGAAAAACTTAGGATCCGCAAGTCTGTTGTTGTTCAACCTATTTATGATTTTCCTCAGCAATAATATTCGTTGAGATGTTCCATCTTTGTGCTCTTAAGAACTTTCACAGTGAGGTATCTACCATTATGGTCATGGTATGGCTAGCTTATGATATTTACTGTTTGTTTCTCAAGGAAAGTGAAGATCAATAAATCATTGAAAGTCCAAAATTTCCACGCAGCTGCGAGGATTGATTTTTGCTTTCAATTGAGACTGTTTTACGAGGAGATTGATATGCACAACCAACCAATTCTTTGGTTTCATTTATTCACACAAGAAAATGCCCTAATATCGTAATAACTTGCTTGTTACAGAGTATAACACCTCTTGGGTAGGGAAAATTTCCAAACTTTTGAATGAATGGCAGAGTCGATCAGTGCTCTATCGGCTAAAAATTTCTTGATATGGCGAGTTATGTGCAACAATACTTCTTGAAAAGTTAAAGATTCATACAGAAAGAGAACGCAAAATAAAAAAAGCAATGGAATATAAATAAAAACACAGCACGGTACACAATAAAAAAATATATATATAAAAAAAAAAAAGCATTAAAGAATCAAAATGCAATTGTTCATAAATACAAAAGCATGTAGTTTCATCTAACGGACATAAACAGTGAGCTTTTCATGAAAAAAAAAAAAAGACCACAATCATTTCTTGGCATCCTCATTTTCTTCACCATCAACCACGCAAACTAAATCGGCGGCTTCAACATTGTCATTGTCTTTAACCAAGACATCACCAACAGTACCGTCATGTGGGGCACTAATAACCATTTCCATCTTCATGGCACTCAAGACACATAATGGTTGACCCTTCTTGACCACACTGCCCTTGTGGACCTTAACTTCCACAATAACACCGGCCATTGGAGCACCGACATCACCTGGCTTGTGAGCATCGGCCTTTGGTTTAACAACCTTCTCGACCTTGGAATTCTTGTCATCAACAGTGACTTTACGTAATTCACCATTCATTTCGTAGTAAACAGCCTTCTTACCTTCAGCAGCATCGGAAATGGCAGTCATCTTGAACATAAGAACCTTACCCTTTTCGATTTCAATACTGATTTCTTCGTCGATCTTTGGAGCAGCCAAAAAGTAACGGGTTGGAATCACTGACAAGTCCCCATATTTGGCAAGCATACCTCTGAAGTCTTCGTAAACCTTTGGATACATGTTGTAAGAAGCAACATCATCTTCGGTAATATTGTCATATCTTGAACTCAAATCTTCACGAATAGCGGTCAAGTCAAAAGGAGCCATTTCCAAACCTGGACGAACGTTGAGCTTGCGACGCTTACCACTCAAGATATCAGATCTCAAAGGTTCAGGGAAGCCACCCACTGGATGACCAATCTTACCTTCAAAGAAATCAAGCACACTATCTGGGAAATCCAAGGATCCAGCAAGTCTCTTAACATCATCGGAAGACAACTTGTTACTGACCATAAATTGTGCCAAATCACCAACAACCTTGGAGGTAGGGGTAACCTTGACAATATCACCAAGCAAATAGTTGGCTTCACGGTAAGCCTTCTTGGTTTCACTCCATTGAGCACCCAAACCAACTTGTTGGGCTTGGAAAAGCAAATTGGTCAATTGACCACCTGGAATTTCATGCTGGTACACCTCTGGATCTGGGCCCTTCAAGTCAGCCTCGAAGACAGAGTACAACAATCTCATTTGCGCCCAGTAAGCATCGATTTCCGTCAATTTTGAGGAATCCAAGCCGGTGTTAATGTCACCATCGACAGAGGCGACAAACGCACTAATTGATGGTTGAGAAGTCATACCAGACAAGGAGTTAGTGGCACAGTCAACAACATCAGCGCCAGCCTTAGCACAAGCAACCATGGAGGCGACACCAGTACCAGCAGAATCGTGTGTGTGTACATGGATTGGTAATTTAGGATACTTCTTTCTGATAGCACTGATCAAGGCAGTGGCAGCGGCAGGTCTCAAAGTACCAGCCATATCCTTGATACCCAAGATATGGGTACCCATAGCGACAACTTGATCAACAAAGTTCAAGTAGTATTCCAAGTTGTACTTTTTGCCTGGTTGCAACATGTCACCACTGTAACAAACAGTAGATTCGACCACACCGCCAGCCTTCTTGACAGCATCGACACCAACCTTCAATTGTTCCAAATCGTTAAGAGCATCGAAGACTCTGAAGATATCAACACCGTTTTCTTTGGCTCTGGCAACAAAATGGTCAATAGCGTTATCTGGCAAAGAAGAGTAAGCAACACCATTAGCCCCACGCAACAACATTTGGAATGGGATGTTTGGAACAGCAGCTCTAAGTTGTCTCAATCTTTCCCATGGGTCTTCATAGAGGAATCTCATGGCGACATCAAAAGTAGCACCACCCCAACATTCTAAAGCAAAAGCGCCAGAGAGAGCATGGCTAGTAGTTTTAGCAATTGCGAGTAAATCTTGGGTACGGACTCTGGTTGCAAGCAAGGATTGATGGGCATCTCTCCAGGTAGTGTCCATAACCAAGCAGCCGTTGTTGTTACGAACGGCTTCAGAAAACGCTTCTGGGCCTTGAGAAACCAAAATTTCTCTCCAACCCTTGCTGTATGGACTAGAAACATCGATGACAGAACCATCAGCATTGTGGAGTTGTGGAACAGTTGGTTCAGTCAAAAGCTTTGGAACGCCAACTTGACCCTTAATGGAGGAGCCGTTAACAGCCAAATCAGCAAAGTAATGAAGCAATTTCATGGCACGGTTTCTAGATGTAACCATGTTGAACAAAGATGGGGTATCATCAATAAAGGTAGTCCAACAATCACCAGCAATAAATGTTTCATGGGTCAACAAAGTCAACAAAAATGGGATGTTAGTCTTGACACCACGAATACGGAATTCAATCAAGGCTCTGATCATCTTACGACGAGCGATTTCGTAAGTGGAACCAGAACAAGAACACTTAACCAACATAGAATCGTAATGTGGAGAAATAACTGATCCAGCGAAACCATTACCACCATCAAGACGCACACCATTACCACCAGCAGATCTGTAGACTTCAATTTTACCAGTATCTGGTTGGAATCCCTTGGCAGGATCTTCGGTGGTGATACGACATTGGATAGCGAAACCTCTGGTAGTAATTTTGTCTTGCAATAAACCAAGATCAGCAAGAGAAGCCCCAGCTTCGATTTGGATTTGGGCAGCAACAACATCAACCCCAGTGATTTCTTCGGTGATAGTGTGTTCGACTTGAATTCTTGGGTTGATTTCAATGAAATAGTGACGACCTTGGGCATCGACCAAAAATTCAGCTGTACCAGCATTGACATAGTTAGCAGTCTTAGCCAACTTGACGGCATCTGTAAGAATAGCATTACGGGTTTCAAGAGAAATGGTTTTAGCAGGAGCAATTTCTACAACCTTTTGGTGACGTCTTTGAACAGAACAATCACGTTCAAACAAATGGATGACATTGCCGTACTTGTCAGCAAGTAATTGGACTTCAATATGTTTTGGCTTGTCTAAGAAACGTTCGACAAAACATGTACCATTACCGAAGGCAGATTTGGCTTCACTGGTAGCACGGTTGAAAGCATCCCTAATATCATCACCTTCACGAACCACACGCATACCACGACCACCACCACCAAAGGCAGCCTTAATAATAACTGGGAACCCGTATTTGTTAACAAACTCTTGAGCTTCTTCGGCGCTTTCAATTGGACCAGGGGTACCAGGGACAGTTGGGACACCAGCCTTGTCGGCCAACACTCTGGCACTGACCTTGTCACCAACAGCGTCGATAACTTCTGGAGGAGGACCAATCCAACGAATACCAGCTTCAATGACCTTTCTAGCGAATTCTGAGTTTTCGGATAAGAACCCATAACCAGGATGGATCATATCAACCCCGTGGGCGGTAGCAATCTTGACGATTTCCTCGCTTTGAAGATATGCTTGGACTGGGGAGAATTGGCCCTTGTAACCAATTGGGTAAGCTTCATCGGCCTTGAGACGATGCATTGACAATCTATCTTCATGAGAGTAGATGGCAACTGTCTGCATTGACAATTCATGAGCGGTTCTGAAGATTCTGATTGGGATTTCACCACGGTTGGCGACGAGGATTTTTTTCAAAGACCCAAGCACCGATTGATCATCTCTGATCTCGTTGATGTTAGAGAACTTCTTGGACATCTTAGAGATATTTCTGTGTTACTGGTGTTGATGATAGAGAGAATAAGGTAAGAAGAAGAAGAAACAGAAAAAGAAAAAAACTTTTTGTCGAAAAGTACACAGGAATTGAGTTGCTTATATTTGATATCCGGGGGGCTGTCAGCATGTCATTGGATGACTGAAAAAAAAAAAACCAGAAAAATGCCGGGGGGATGACCCTTGCGCGCGCACACTGCGATGAGCTTTGTGGTGGTGATTTAATTGGGCGATTAGCAATCAATAGAGGGTGTCCTACAGATATTTGCATCTGCTTTATTTATAAACCGGGCAAAAAATGGAAGAAGAGCGAGAGACAACAAGTATGCACTATAGGAAGAAGATCTCTCCTACACAAGAGGGACATATTGCCCCATGTTTTAAGGTACAATAATAATTTCTCAGTGATCTTCTCAGTTGTTGACCCTATGACTAACGGTGGTGATGTAAGAAAAGGGGGTGCTGTTATGAGCCATTATACATTGAGGTCATGCTATGCGCATCATCTCACGTTACTCTGCATAATAAAGATTCTGCCGATTATTTTTTTTTTACAACAAAAAAAAATTCGTGTTGTTCAGAATCCTCTTAGAACTTCGCTCGGGGTACGCCAACTGATGTTCTTCGCTACTTGGGAAGCCAATGGACAAATGCACCAGTTGTCGTAGCTAGGAATAATGCTGTTTCTCAGCTGTTGAGGAAAAAGAAGTTTCCTGTTTGCAATATTAGCCCAGATTAATGGTGATAAGACCCGCCGTATCTTACCACATGACTCTCGCTTATGATTGCAGTATTATTCCTTCTCTCCGGGACAAACCCATAAATGTGTCAAGAAAAGAAAAAAAAAAAATCGTTACTATCATCTCATATATTATTATATATATTTACATATATAAACTGGTAAGTTAGAGATTGAGATATTGACGAAATTTCCATCAGCAGCTAGTAGCTTTGTTTTCATCTCTTCCTCAAACCCGGGGTCAATTAATATTTTTTGTGGTTCGTGGCCCATCGAAAGTACTAAATCCCACAAGGCAGACACTTAATAGAAATATCCCGGGGTTCGTTCCAGTAGATAGTAGTTACGTAAAAGAAATTATGCAAATATCATGAAACTTGCTTGACAACGAGTTAAAGAAATCTATTTGGATTTTCTAATGATCCACAAATCAAAACAGAAAAACTAGAGGTAAAAATATGACATATTTAGAGATTGATCACATAATAGTGTGATATGGTGAGTTCCCATATCACGGTATTTCATATCACCTAAAGAAGAAAGTATCGACTCAAGAACATAGGGATTGGTTGTAATTTCCTTTAGAAGGTGACGAAATCGTTTTTTTTTTTTTGATTCATGCTAGTACATCGTGCTAAAATAGCCATATGTTGTGAACTCTTCTTGCAGCTATACTATTTTCCCAACATGCATTGCCTGACATTAATCGTCAAAAAAGCAAAAAAATTCAACGAAAATGAAGGTCAAAAAAAAAGTATTACAATTTTAATAGAGAATATGATTTCATGAACCTTAACCTATTTTGGGTAAATAAACAGACCAATAATGCCAAACAAAACTGAAACAAAAGAAAATAAGAGATAGAAAGAAGATGAAAAAATATCTGAGAGAGAAAAAAGAGACAAACAAAATGAGTAGTGAAAAAGAAAAATGTACTAAAAAGCATAGAAATAATAACAATAAAAATGAGAAAAAGCGACAACAAAATTGTATAAGATGACTTCTGTCAAGGATCGAAAAAAAAAAACCAACTCACCATCAACACCAAATGTTGTACCATCTCCACCACCAAGGTTGACTTGCAAAATAAGCTCTTTCTTCAGCGACCTCTTGTCTCAAAACATCCAAATCAACAGCCTTTCTTCCATGATCCAAATCGATGTTTTTGAAACCATTGAAAAAGGTAAATTCCCTGTTCCAAATAACGTATGCGATATAGAAACAAAAGACGACGGGAACTGCCAAGTAAGCTTGCAAGAAAGTTGCAATTCTGTCACCAATGTTGTCTGCTAACTGAAATGGCCATGCAGCAATCCAAAATTGAGCAGCAAGAACACCAAAATAACCAATCAAACCATACCATGAACCAATTGTTCCAGTAATACTGGTGAATGCCAATTCATCAGTACCTCTACCTTGAACAGTCAATGCTTTTCTAAATATGATATGACAAGCGCAAATAGAACCCCATGTCATGATTGCACACAATCCAGTAATAGCCAACAACCAATCGAATACCTCGCCCTGTTTATCACTAGCAGCAAGAAAACTCAACAAACCAAAAACTAATGTCACAATGGTTGCAGGAATAGGTCTCCCCTTTTTATCAATGTAAGTGAATATCTTTGGGGCAAATCCTTGTTCTGCTAAAGATAAGATAGTTCTAGAACAGCCATAGGTGGAAGAGTTACCAACTGAAAGAACTGTAAATAAAATAATCACATTGAAGATGGATGGTAAAACTTTGATACCAGCATTAGAGATGGAAATGACAAATGGGGAAGCTTTAGCACTATAAGAAGATGTGCCTAATCTGCTATCGTTATAAGGAACAAGCAAGCCAACCATTAAAACAGAAAGGAGAAAGAATAATGTGATTCTCCAAAACACTTGCTTCGAGGCTTTTGGTATACTCTTTCTAGCATCAACGGTTTCAGCAGCGGCAAGAGCACACATCTCAGTACCAGCAAATCCAAACGCAGCTGTTACAAAAACTGAACAAAGACCTTTGAATCCATGGCGGAAAGCACCTGGATTATGCCAATATTTTCCACCGATGAACTCGTGGTTTGGACCACCTCCAGAAACCAAAATTATCCCGAGAATGATGTAACCAATGATAGAGATAACTTTGACCAGAGAAAAGAAGAATTCAGCTTCACCATAACCTTTACCACCAAAGAAGTTAATGAAGACAATCAAGGAGTAGAAAATGCTAACCCACGCAGCTGGACTAATCTTATCATTCCAGTATTGAATTACCATACCAGCAACGACTAATTCAAAAGGCAAAATGACAAGCCATTGGATAGCGTAATTCCAGCCCATCGCGAAACCCCAAGCCCGAGAGACAAATCTAGAGTTATAAACAGAAAAAGCCCCAGATAGAGGATATGCGACAGCCAACTCACCAAGTGATTGAACAGTAACAAACAATAAACTACCTAAAATTGTTGTTAGTATATGTGTGGAGAAACACATCACTTGATGAAACATGAAAAATTAAAACATACCAATAACAGCATAAGCAATGAAAGTCCCAGCAGGGCCACCAGCCTGCAAACAAGCACCTGAACCAACGAATAAACCAGTACCAATGGATCCACCAATGGCAATCATTTGTAAGTGTCGATTTTTTAAATTTTTCTTCAACGGGGATTTTTCAATCTTTTGCAACTGCTTTTCATGATCGGTCAAACCTTCACCTGTGATATCAACATCGGCTCTTTTGAAAGAATCCTTGAGGTTGTACCACCACCCACCGCTTGGTTGGTCGTATGGGATTGAAGAACCTTCGCATACTTCACTTGTTTCAACTTCAAATGCAATTTTTTCCGCAGACGATTTCTCTATCATAGTGAAATGTGTTTTATAATATATAAGGGGATGTAGATATATAATCTATATTATATATTCTTGGAATACTATAACAAATTTCAATGAAAGATTTTTTATGAAGAAAATAAAGGATCCCATCGATGTTTTATGCATACACTGCATAATATCATTTGGCAGATTATTTCGTTATCTGATCCTGTGAAGCTTCTTTATCTTTCATTGCGATAACCAAAAGCCATTGGTTTTTATGATTTGATAATAAATGAAAGGCATCACTACAGACCTGCATCCCTTTATTACAATTTCACATTTATATTTCATGCAGATAATTCCAGTTTAGGAAATACCCGAACATCTTGGTCGGTGAGAGATTCTGATTTCCACCGCCACCTGCGGATTAATTTTCGAAGTATGTACATTGTTGTTGAAAATGAGATATCACGTAGTTACTAAGTTTATGAGGGAACTTTTTGTGAGTACAAAGGAAATTTATGTGTCTTTTGTTGTGACACAGTATCTCCGAAAAAGTGTAAGATTTCAATATTGGTAAATGGTCAAGTGCTTGCATATATTGTAAGATTCACACGTGTTTATTAACCATTAATTATGAGGTGTTTCCTGCTGTTGATCGGTTATCCAGGACATAATCATTAATGATTTATTATCTTGATTGTGTTGAATTCTGGATTTAGAATGCTATTATGCAGGAGCGGGAGGGATAGGGGGCTGAACATTAGAAAGGGTATTGATTGTTGGTTGGATATGATCCAATCTTACGTGCCGATAGCGGATGTTTCCCTATTGGGAATCTGTCGAAGTAAGGAATAAGAGATCTACAAAAACCCAAAACTATTGCTAACCATCCCCGCAACTTTACATTAGACTTTCATATTATTCAATTGCTAATGAAATCTTTCTATTTGGCAGAAATAATGTGGCATGGTGTTACACACAGCTTCCAAAATAACTAGAAACTACAGGTGAAATCATACTTGGTCTTTATGTTAGAACCTTCATACTATTATTTCTGCATAGAAAAAATTGGTATAATAAAAATGTATTTGAGATATTATCATCATACGATGCGGCTATCATCATCCGAGCAAGCAGGTAATGTCTCTGTTGGCGTTTTCGTGCTTGGTATTGGTGGCTGTACATTTACACCATCCAGATTGCTATTTGGTACGTCTCAAACCCCCACATAATCATTTATTACGATATTAGGACATCTTTGGTATGTGTAAAATTACATTAATCCGCTCAAAAGTTTATTCGTAAAACAAACGTATTCTTTGCAATGCCCCAGATAAAAGTTTCTGTGCTTTTTCTTTCTAGAGCATCTTCGAGCCCTATTTTAATTAAGTGGAATATCTAAATGTTATTATTATGTATTGACACAGTTTTTGCAAGATGAATAAACATTGGATTGATCTTCTACCAACGTTATTTTTACGCATTGCTTAATAGTCAATTAATGAGTAAAGTAGTGGCAAGTTATCTATCAAGATACAATACATGGCAGTTTAAAATTCAGATAAATGAATCGAAATCTTTGACACCCCTGGCAAGCCTTTGTCAAACCTTTCTGTGGCAAACCTTTATGGTTATAATATAGACAGATGCACTTTGCTCACCAGGGGGGGTTGTTTGTATATCAAGAAGATACTCTTGATATATGAAGAAAAACAAACACACAACTTAATCATCTACAAAAACAAGGAAAGAAAGATCATAATTTAATAAAATTAAAAGGATTATTAAAACAATAGAGAGTATACACTTTTCCAAAACGCACACAACTAAAAAAAAAAAAAGAAGAAAAAGAGAAGAAAAGAAAAAGCGCGACCCTGGAAATTATTTGGAAGAGCAAGCACTCAGGTATTCATGTAAGTACTTGGGTCGACACCTTCATCTGGGAAATCAGTGATTTTAACATCAAATCTTTCTTGGATCTTTTCCAAAATCTTTTCGTCTTCTTCATTGGCAACAAAACTGATAGCCAAACCCTTAGTACCGAATCTACCAGCACGACCAACACGGTGCAAGTATTGATCAGCTTCATTTGGCAAATCATAGTTGATGGCAACGTTGATACGTTCGATATCAATACCACGGCCAAAGACATCAGTACTGACACAAATTCTCTTGTTGAATTCCTTAAAAGACTTGTAACGGTTGATACGTTCTTCCTGAGGCATGTTAGAATGAACGGCAATGGATGGGAAGTTGCAGGAGCATAACAATTGGTTGAGTTGTTCAGCACGGTTGGTAGTCTTAACAAAGATGATAACTTGGTTGAATTCCAAAGAGTCCAAAAGATCAGACAATTTACGGTTCTTTTCATTTTCAGCCAACTTCAAGTAGTATTGTTGCAAACCGTGCAAAGTCAATTTAGCTTCATCGTCAACGTAAATTTCCAAAGGATTTTGCATGAACTTCTTACAAATTGGTCTGATTTCTTGGGACAAAGTGGCAGAAAACATCATAACTTGCTTTTGGTGTGGAGTTTGTTTGAAAACTTCTTGCACGTCACGACGCATATCAATACCTTCCAAAACCTTGTCACATTCATCAATGATAAAATTCTTGATGTTGTTAACTCTCAAGTACTTGTCACGAACAAGAGCCTTTAATCTACCTGGAGTGGCAACAACAATGTGTGGACAAGTTTCCTTATTCTTCAACAATTCTTCATCCTTCTTGTAGTCGGTACCACCGTAAAAGACAGCAGTACGGATGTCTGGAATATACTTGGAGAAACGAGTGTATTCGTTACGAATTTGGTAAGCCAATTCACGAGTGTGACAAATGACAAGAGTGCTGACTTCACCATCAACTGGTTCAATTTGTTGAAGGGAAGAAAGAACAAAGACAGCGGTCTTACCAAGACCAGACTTGGCTTGACAAAGAACATCAGTACCCAAGATAGATTGTGGGATACAAACTTGTTGAACTGGAATGATGGTTAATGTTAGTTAAGCTCTTTCTGAAGAGTTGACAATTAAGATGATATTGTGTTTGTTTGTGTGTATGTTCTTATAATAATAAGAAAAATGTTCTCTCAAAGACTTTAATGGTGGGTTTTTATTGTTTAGTTGGAGTGATTAATCAAGAATCATAATTTTTCTTTTTGATCAAATGGCGCGTAGCAAATTGTGCTTTAGATCCATAATCATTTGTTCCTGATATCATGATTTCTTCTTTGGAAAAACATTTATGGTTTGAGAGTAATCTGTTTTTTCAAGGTCTGGAAATTGGGCTTCAATCAGCAGAAAGTTGGTATTTTGAAGATTGTAAACAAATTGATAGAATGACTTGCAAGAAAAAAGTCAGGAAAGACAAAAAAAAACGGTAAGCAAAAGTAACGTATGGTAATAGAGAAGGATAATAAACAAATTCTATCACTCACTAGGTCTCTGTCATGAAAACAAGAGAGCACAGGCAGGGAAAAAAATGAATCCCGATATGCAAAGGCAAATAGAAATCCAATAAACTTCTCTAAATTGATTGGCTCATTCCCCCAGGATCAAACTTTATTCATTTCAAGCCAATTATCTGTGTAAAGAAAATGAAAAAGAACGAAACCGTAGAAAGAGCAGCAAAACAATTCCATGACAAAAAAAGAAAAATGTGAAGGCATTTGGGTTCAAAAGGAGCATTAACACCAAAAAAATAAACCAGAAACTGATAATTTTGATCCTAAATTGAAGTTTGAAAATCTCATTTATACCATATTTGTTTCCAGGTGGGGAAACCAAAGAATGAACGCTAGAACAAATAATAATAAGCAAACTTCGACCCAAAATTCATGCTCTCCAATCCAATTGAAATAACTGCTGATCCTTCAAAACTAAACAATAATTCAGAATTCAATGTGACTCAACAAAATGTTGATAAAAAAAAAAGCTACGCGTCACACTCCTCCATTTCACCACAAAAAGTTGATAAAAGCCCTTTTAGTCCAAGTTCCTTTAAGCCTTTTCTATCATTCAAAAATACTAGAATTCTTATCTTTGAATGTGATCTTAAAACATTTAATCTTTGATACCATGCAATACAGGATAAATATTCATCACTGAGGGGCGGCTCATTTAAAGTTGATAATCACGAAACCTTTATCCCAATCTATTTTCAAACCAATAGTCCAATTCAATTTCCAAGAGATATTCTCCGCTATGTATAAGATCATAATGATCAAATTTCCTCCTTTCCAAAATAAATATATAAACACACACACACACATACATATATATAAAAATATATAAGCACACAAATATCATCATGTCATGTAGTAATAATATGGCTTAAAAAGTTTCTTACCTTCAGATGGATGTTCAAAACCACAATCCACAATGGCTCTCAATAATTCTGGCTTCAACAAGAAGTCCTTGAACCCAGTGGCGTGAATACCAACGTAGGAACCCTTCTTATCAGCTTCTCCACTTTCGCCAGCTTCTTCGCCACCTTCGGTGGTAGTTGGCTTGGTGTTGGTGACTTCTTCAGAGTCAGAATATTCAAGGAGATCTTCTTCACCTTCGTGAGACATTGTTGCTAGTATTTAGAGAGAAATGAGATTAATCAATTGATTGATTGATGGAGAGAGAAAATCAATCAGAAGAACTGTGTTTTTCAAAAAATTTCAATTTTTTGGGGGGCTGTTTTTTTTTTGCGCTTCACTGGAGGAAAGCGGTTCTACAAGGGTAAAAAGGTGGCAGGTGGGTTGTAATAAGGCCGGGTAATGTATATGTGAGCGTTGCAACAATTTGAGTGGAAACAATTATGGCCATTCAAAACCCAAAGCATTCAAGCTGTCAAATGAAACAAAGTTACTACATTCATATTAGACTCAGGCGCTACCAAAAGTGTCGCCGGTGATACCAGTCTATTAGAGAACGTGCAATATCAAAAAACAGAATTGGCAACATTTGGTGGGACATCAGTACAAGATACGGTGATGATACACATATAATCGTTTGGAACCATCTTTCTTTTTCACGGAGAGTGTTTTCAAGCCAACAGCTTTTGCACTTTTATCCTCGGTATTGGTGAATGAAAAGATCAATATTAATGCTAAGTAAGCTTCTGGTATCCGGAAAAGTTATTAGCATCATACATATTTGTTATTATTACTCCAAATATGAATTTTTTTCATGCCTCCATACTCAGGAATATGAGCTTCCCAACATTAAATTGTTTTTATTACTTATATATAGGTTACTTTTTTCATTTATCTTTGTACAATTTATCAGAGAGAAATCTTTGCTGCTAATTGCTTCTTGAAACAAGAACAGACTGGAGTATGCTCGGTATTCCATTCATAGTTTTCTATGTCCGATGGAAAGAGTACTCCAGTGATTGGATATTTTTATTCTTTTTTGTTGAAGGATAAATTTTGGTTGGATTTTTTTTTTTTGATATATTCTTTTAATTCCGTGATATTGTTATGGGGTGAAGGGCTCCATAATATTGAAAATGGACACTGGCCTAACTACAAAATATTCGTGAGCTAAGTATGAGAGGGCACGTTACTAAATAATTTAAGAGTTAAATGTTGTAGTCAATGACAGTCCAATCGCCACAAAAAGTAAAACGGAGCATCTACTCTGTAGGCAATATACATCTTCGTATTTCATACATAATTCAACTCTCTTAATGATTATAGTATTTGCGGCATGTTTTTTTGATATTTCTATACGTCTCATTTCCAACACCCCATTTACGATTTAATCTTCAATTAAACTTGATCTGATGTGTCCTTCTTCAATAACTCCGGACAGGCAAAGCAGAGGTGACCTAAAGTATATACCTTTAACTTTGGCAATTGAATAACTATACCATAATTTAACTCATTCATCAAGTAGTTCCTGCAACATATTTTGTAGCTAAAAAACTTCAGGAGACCATTCTTTCTTTTTGTTAGGTCAGTTTTTTTCTACTACTTTTGCTACATTCGTGTCCTTTTCAAAAAAGAAAATCACATTAAAACACACTATTATTAAAATTACGCCAATTCCCACAATGATTGAATGGAATCTCCTACTTACATGATATAGTTTCTTTTCATATATGCGTAGCAACTCAACATCTATAATGCGAAATCGCAGTGATTGTATAATTTATTGTAAATTCAAAAATCTAAATTTGGCTAATTTTCATATTACAAATGAAATAGTAACATATTTAAATAGGGTATGGAACGAAGTATTATTTATTATGATTCACAAACAATTATAATTACAGTATATATAAATCATAAATTATACCCAATCATTAACTTAAAAATGAATAGTGACGCGTAACGTGCTGCAGGCGTTTGATTAACATTCAAATGATAATTATCAAAATAGTAGACAATAGTGAGATAAACCCGAGTATCATCATCAGAGAATATCATAATACAATCTTCAAGTGATTTTAATTTTCATAATCGCATGTTTTGTTTTTTTCGTTTTTTAAGCTGATAAGGTGGTTTTATTTTCGGTTTTATTTTCGCGTTTCTCTTGTCTTCTTCGAAGTTCTTTTGGTGGCCATTTGTGGCAAACTTTTTGATTTTTGCTTATATCTTTGTGATATATGGTCTCTGTTTAAATTTGTTTACAGTTTATCTCATACTACGCGATACTGGTAGTTACGCTTGAGCTTCTAGGTTAAAGAGAAATAAACTATTTTGGATGAATAAAAAAAAAGACAGCTAGCATTATCCACGTCCGTATGATCAAAATTCTGGTTAAGCGTACACTACTGTTAGTCATAATTCTCTTAAAAAACAGGGATTTTTTAAAATGATATATAATGAAATACACTCCTTGTGACTGAATAATCAATTAATAGCCTAACCAAAATCTCACTCACTACCTATAGTGTATAGGGTGATAACTGTACTGAATGAAGATTACAAAGCAAAACCATTCTAGAGTTCAATACTAGACACTCTGTAAGAGAGGGAAATATAACAATCAAATAATTAATTCTCAAATCTATAAAACGCACAGAAATGATCATACATCAATAATAACTAAACAATAATAAGAACACACCTAAAGGAAGATACATGGCACATATTATGAATGTCAATACAAGCAGCAAGGTAATTAATTTCAACAATTAATAAATAAACTAAAAAAGAAAACGCAAATACTAGACCAAAGAATGAAAATAAGATGAATAACACTTATGATAAGGTGACATCAGTGAAAGAAAGTACACAAATATTTAAAACAAACGGTTAATTCGACGTTTATAGCAAACAGAAAGTATTACAAAATGTGAAGTGATACGCAAAACCAGAAACATAAAAATAAATGAAATCAGACGCTTCCATTCAACAAGGCATCAATTGCTCCCTGGACACTTCCACCACTACGTCTCAAAGCATTAACGTTACGATCAAAGTCGAAGAATCCCATATCATTCAATTGCCTAAGTTGAGATTCGTACCTCTCTTCAGGTGGTCTGTTGTCGACTGGAGCTTGGGAGCCAGCACCAGCACCAGCACCAGCACCAAGCAACGAAGCTAAGAGTTCTGGATTATACATTGAATTAGTGGCATCACCTGGTTGACCAAATAATGACGGAGCGCCACCAGGGAACATGGCGGCAAATGGATTACTTGCAGCAGCACTTGTAGCGTTAGAATTAGAATCAGTGGTAGTGGTGGCACTAGCAGTTGATGCATCGTTACCTCCAACGGCTGGGCCTGGGGCAGGAAAGCTTCCGGCGCCTGTACCACTACCAGCACCAAATCCTCCAGGAGCAGAACCACCCATAGCTCTCTGCATTGACATAGCGTTACGCATCATTTGTGGGTTGGACATCATTTGTCTAAACATTGGACTTTGCAAGATCTCTCTAGCCTGTGGACCCATCGAACGAAGCATTGGGTTTTGGTTGATCATGGTGTCCAACATTGCTGGATTAGAAAGCATGGAGTTCATCATTTCTTGGAACATTGGGTTATCCATCATACTGGACATTTGATCTTCTGATGGCATACCGTCTGCTCCAAACATGTCTGCAGATGGCATTGGAATATTATAGCCAGCATAACGGGCATCAGTAAGACCAGCAAGTGGATCAGAAGCATGAGTTCCAGCAGAAATGTTTGTTGGAATATTATTATTGTTTTGATTAGAGCCTAAACTTGCTGAGGTGCTGCCGGAGGTATCAGTTTTCTTAGCGGCGGATTTCACCATGTGGATGGTATGGCCATCCTGAACTTTGTAAAAGGCCAAAGTCTCCTGATCTTTGAGCACTCTTCCGGAATAAATCAATCTCTGCTGGTCACTTGGAATAGAAGAAACTTCCGCGACTTGGTCCTTGAATTCAGAGATAGTGGTTTCCTTAGAAGCCTTGATTTCGTACTTCTTATCACCAGCGGACCTTAAATTATATATGGTTAATAATTGCGCAATGCCAGGAAATCAGGTATCGAAACCATTTACTCACTTAATGTTAATGGTTATTTCTTCAGACATTTCTGTTATTGATATTGGTGTGGGGTGTCAAAAGAAAAAAAGTACTCAAATATAGTGATAATTTACCACAGTACAAAGATTAAGTGCTCCAAGATTTTATTTTGGGAGATTTGGGTGCAATCACTGATGATCTTGAAAACTTCGCGAATGTTCTGGGGAGCAGTTGCCCGGCTCAGCGGGAGGCTCTGAAGTGAGCTTTGGAGGACCCGTAAATCGATGAATTAATAATATCGTTCATTTAAGCAAGATAAAGGAGAACAATAGAAAATAAAATAGAGAAGAAAATAGAAACAACTGCTTATTGGAATGAATTCAACTCGCGAATGGCAAGAGTTCAATCAGACTATGGAAATCTCTTCAAAATGTTGTGTGTCGTAATTTTGAAGTAATAGACTCATATATAAGATGATAGCTACCTCAGGTTCCAGTCAAAATAGGAAAAGAAAGTTTCATTATTTCTTGTGTGTTTCCTTCTTTGTTTTCTTCCTAATCATAGCCAGCGATGCTTATCCCACACTGGGTCCTGAATAAAACTAGTCAACAATTTGGAATTACTAGTCTGAAGTAGCGGATGACCAGCTATAATTGACAAGAACTTTTCCAACCCTTCTCTTCGCTGTTCAATTTCCAAATCATCAAGTCGATTCTTTGCCAAATATATCTTCCCAGGCAATGGAGGGATCACCACTCTGGAGGACTCATTCTGTAATGCAGCTCTAAAGCTCTCAAAATCGGAGTAACGACGGCGAACTCGCGACAGACGTTTGCGGAATGCCGGGATATTGGTTCTGCACACCACCTCGTAGTCAGTAAAGGCATTTCGACCCATTCCATGTGTTAGAGGGTTGATGACCTCGACTTCAAGAAAGTTCTCTGGCTCGCCGTAGATTTCATCAAAAGTCTGCTGCTTGAACTTGGGCGTGTTACTGTGGGGGAGCGATTGCTCAAAAGATTTGAAGGCCATTATTGTCAGTTTGTCTTGTTGATGTCATAGACGTGATGATGGCAACTAAAATGAACTTATTATCCCCCTTTGGTTAATACAAATTACTATCTTTGTTATTGTAAAAATGTGTGTCAGAGAGGTTGCGCAGCCCTGGATGATAGCGCTTTTTTTTATTTTTTTTTTTATTTTTTTTTTTATTTTTTTTTATTTTTTTTTTGTGGTGTGTAAAAACATCTTCCAAAAGACCATCCATCATAAACACCCCCAGCAACGAGTCACCACATACATTTTCAAGAGTGTGCAACCATTTTAAACTTGTCTTCGCCATATAGTAACAACAGCGGACATATAGTAACAAGACAGCAGAAAGCAAACAAAAAAAACAGGCAAACAACCACACACATTATCATATAAAATGGCACAGCCCTACGAGTACGACCAACAGTTTGTTCCTCAAGAACAGGAGCTTTATCATGATCAACTGGTGGCTCAACACGCCTCTGATACTCAGCTACAAAATCATGAAAATCAATCTCAGCCACAGATAAATGGCCACGAACACCACCTACAACATATGGAGAAGTCACGAATGGACGGTGCCGACCAAAATATCGAGCAACAGGCAGTAATAATAGACAACCAAGAAGAACGAGAAGTGGAAATGGAAAGGGACGAACAACAAGATTTAGAAGACGGAGAAGACGATGATGAACAGGAAGAAGGAGAAGATGACGATGAGGAAGAAGAAGATGAGGATGACGATGATATGAATAATGCGTTTGCCAATGTCGGACAGGGGCTTACTGGACAATATAAGCAAATGATGATGCAATATTGGCAAGAAGTTATCAACTCTATCGAAAGATCAGATCACGATTTCAAGAATCACCAATTGCCTCTTGCGCGTATCAAGAAAGTGATGAAGACTGATGAAGGAGTGAGGATGATTAGTGCCGAGGCCCCAATTCTATTTGCTAAAGGATGTGATATTTTCATTACAGAATTGACGATGAGAGCCTGGATCCATGCTGAAGAAAATAAAAGAAGAACTTTACAAAAGAGTGATATTAGTGCTGCATTACAAAAAAGTGACATGTTTGATTTTTTGATTGATATTGTTCCAAGAGATGAAGAGAAGCCAAAGAGACAAAACTCCACTGTTGGAGGAGCTTCCACCAGGGCTGCCATGTCAATGCCTAGTGTATTAGGTGGGGCAGCACACTTGGGAAATATCAATGGAGTAGATGGACCAGGAGTCGTTGGATCGGTGTCTGCTGCGGCTTACAACCCATCTAATTTTTATTCAGACAATAGCTTGAATATGGAAGCTGCCCTCACCGAGTCGACGACCTTCAATGACGAAGGTTCAAATGCTTTGAAAGCAAACGATATCAATTCAACTCAATCCAAATACAACTCTTACCTCCAGCAATACAACTCTGGAAATGTGAGCTCTGCAAATACATTGAACTCATTGACCACACAAACACTAAATGGAAACAACGGAATTGCCAACAATTCAACTGATCAAACAGCACAGTATTTGGACCAACAGTATTATCAGAATACAGGGAATAATAATGGGAATAACCCCGGAGTTTACAATGATCTTAATGAATATGGCTTCGAGTAAATGCGGGAGATTATAAAAGATTGATGGTTGTTGAATACTGATTTACTTTGCAGCAAGAAAGCAACAAAAAAACTTTTTGAATTCTAAACTTTTTGTCATGTTTTCTTTTTTTTAATGATGTTTTATATGTTATTTTTCTTTTTCATTCTCTTTTTTGTATGTTTCACTATTTTTTTTTTCTGTATATTAGAGTTACTGGTGATTAACACCTATGGGATTATTATGAATAATTAATACTTGATTATTACTATTTGATTGTTTGCATACCGCCTCCTCTCTCCTGTTGCCAAAAAAACAATAACCTTACGTAGCAGAAGAAACAGTAGAACTTTTTTTTTTTTTTATTTCATTCATGCCCCAAGTGCCATTATACACACAGATCAATGCCATACTGAACTTAATAACAACACATGGATTATAAGACAGTGTTTAAATGTTTTGTTAATATCCAATAGCAGAAACAAAGGGATGAGCCCTCGGTGCTTCATATTATCCCTTTTTAAATGGAGCTCCAACACTCTTCACAACCCTTTTAAATATTCAAGACTTTCTACCAAATTAATAATTATTTCCTCATGAGTCAATACTTTTTCAAACTTCCCCTGCTTACAGAACAGAAACAATTTATTTTCCACTGTTGCATCAGCTCTTACTTGACCATTACTATCAATAATGATCAACTTATCCAAGGGATAAACTCCACCACCCATAGGATCTAAAACTTGGAAAAACCGAGCTAGAGCACCGCAGTCATCACTTAGAATCGGAAAGCCGTAATTCCAATTTTTGGTGGTATCTGAAGTCAAGTTGGCAGTGATCCCCATGATTTGCGCTCCGTAGTGTGAAGATAATAGTTTATGACAGTTGTTGAATGAGTCAGGGTGAGCGGTACTAAGAGCACCAAAAAATATCAAGACAGTAGGGCCACCGAAAATGGTGTTACGTCCGAAGCCAAAATGATAAAGAGAGTGGTAATTATCATCATTATTATTATTGGTATTATCAACAGTTGTCAATTCTTGTTCTAAATCAACCGTTTGAGGTTCCATACCGCCAGCACCATTTGGAACATACACTCTCATATGAGTTGCAGTATCGGAATTCTGTCGATTTTTGATGAATTCAACAAGCTGACTTAGTGACTTTGGCTCCCTTTGAATGGTTTCATAGTTTCGAAGAAGTTCGGGAACAGGAGCATATGAATTGGTTTTTACACGTTTGGATCGGTGTATAATCACATACTGCCGGTCTTTCTCACAATAGTCATTCGAGGTGGCGGCTGGATTCGAAAGTGAAGTGATAATGTTGGCAGACAGTCTTTTTCTGGATATTGAAGAGAACATTCTTTTATTTTGTTGGGAATCTCCGTATATATATATATGGAATGAGATACGATGAGATGAGATGAGATGAGATGAGAAGGAATAGAGATATGATGGCAAGAAGAAAGTCGCTCAATGCCTTTTTCGGAGTTGATAAGAAAAGAAAGAGAGAGGAAGTAAGGAGAAACTTTGAAGGTCTTCAAAGAAATCGTAGAATTTTCTGTGGTTACTGGTTATTGATTCTTCATGAAAAATGTCAATGTTTAAAATTGAAATTTTCACAAAAACAAAACCAGCTTGCAGATGATCACAAGAAGCAAAAGGATGAACAAAAAAAAATAGACTAAGTCAAAACAAGACAAGGGAAAATTTATAGGCCCTGTATTGCCCCGCAAAATAATAAAAGTTAATGATGAAACAAAGTTTTTCGTAATTTTTTTTTGAATAATAGTGATAAAATAGTTATCACCAAAACGCAGAGTTGAATAAACTATTGGGAGACGCGCTTTATACAAATTGCTAAAGGCGCGTTTTTTTAGTGGAAGGAATTTAAAGAAACAGAAGAAGGTGATGAGAGAGTTATATGGGAAGCAAAAATAAATATTAAAGGGAACTGAGAAATGAATGGTAGACCTCCAAGAAACATAGAAGAGCTATTGTACCGGATGGTGAGTTTTCTTTGTCTGCTTATTCTTTTTTGTTTTCATACATCAATAGGAAATGTCTGATATTGTTAGCCATGATTTTCCACTAACAAAGAATTACTAGCTTATGGATAGCAAATCCTTCCACAGAATGGTCCAGAAAATATATTGCAGAGTCAATGGTATCCCCTATCACAAATATTTGGATGCAAATGCCCCAGATCCCTTGAAATCATCTACGAATTTTGCCATGTATCATCCCACAAAACTACATAAATTTAGGGCATGGAGGGCACTATTTTGGGATGAGATGAAGAAATCTTTCATGTTGAAATGAATAGCTGTGTGGATCTTAGGAGTTTGCAATGTCTTATCCTATTTAGTGTACAAGTTTGTGGTATATCCTGTATTATACATGTGATTATGCTTGGTCAACGTTGCAGATCAAAAAAAAAACAAAAACAAAGCCATATTTCTTGTATACCTTTTATATTGAAAGCGATGAGGGTAATGTGAGAGCATAGAGGGAAGGAAAAAAAACACAAACACACATATATGTATATATGTATGTTATAGTCGGATTTTCTGAAATGGAGGAGTGATTATCAACGAAATTGTTTTGATCAACTTCACATTTCAGCTAATATATTTGGTAACTTCAGCAAAAATGTGACATCCTACAGTCATTACGAACAATTATCTCAGAAGATTTTTTCACTGGCTTTTTATTATTTAGCCTATGACATTCATTTTTGAGACCACAGGAAAAGTCAAGACTCGTAATTTTGATTCCTTGGTCATGCCCTCTCTTCAACTGCAGGAAAATTTTGCCAATATGCAATAGAAAGAGAAAACTTTTTATATGGTCTTCTTTAATTCTATCCTTTTGAAAAATAACGTTGAAAGCTCAGCGTCTTGCACGGCATTATTTTCTTTATCCCACAATGTGATTGATCTTTATCTACAAGAAATATCTCTTATTGTTTTGTTAAATTGTTATATTGTTACTGGCAACGGCTAGGCGAGGGGACATGCCAAGATACCGTAGACAAAATAAGTAATTTCAACTTCTTCCTCGCCAATTTTTTGGGTTGAGTAGAGTTCTGTTGATTACTGCCTTTTGCTTGCCTTATCGATAGTTCAATAATGTATGAATCATTTTGTCTAAGAGCATATGCATAAGCAAAAAAAACAACAGCCAAAATTTTTTTCATTTTGATTTTTTTAAGTTTATTACAAAATAAAAAAAGCAACAAGGAATGAGAAAAGTTTCTTTTTCATGGTAATTTTTCTATGGATAATTTGAGCATCCCGGAGTAGATTATGCACCCTCTTATCGATAGACCTCCAAACAGGGACAAGTACAAGATCTACTTTTAGTGAAATAAGGAAACAAAGCCCAAGGCTGGCACAATAAGAAAAGCTAACAATAGAGATAATTCTCCTTAAGATAGAGGTCAGGTAAACCACGACCCAAGCGGACAAAAGGAATATTGCCTAATATCGTCATTAATTAACTGAAACTACTTTCTCCACAATTTGACCTCCACCCACCCAAATGACGGAATATATCAGTAGTAGCACTTCATTGGGTCATTGAAATTGAGCGCGTTCCGCACTGAGGACATTCTGGCTTATCTCACGAGAGATAGACAATTGCTGTAGAGCCTTAAGCCATTAAACAATTGTGCAAACACCCCTATTTCTGGAATTACATCACGTTTATTATTAGAAAAGCTACGTTACTTTTGGCGGTCAAATGCATATATGCGTCTATATTAATAGATATATATTAAAATATTATGATTGTTAGTGTATATATTTCTGACACTCCAGTGATCATGACAGTATGAGCGTGTTTCCAACTTGTATGGCCCACCACCGCTCTGTAAAGCCACCCACCAACACTAGGGCAGCGCTCACGAGGTGAAAAGGTCCAAACGATCGTCTTCTATTTTGATCCTCTGCTGCCGAAAATGATGCTGGGCTTCCGCGGAATCCACCAGGAAAAAGCGTCTCCATGCCGGCTGATGTACCAATACGCCGACGGTGGATGTGTGCAGTTCAGGATCTTTACAGTGGAGCACACCGTATTGGTGGTTTCTCCATGCCCTTCAGCTGTCATATTTTGGAGCGTATTCAGCAAGAAGTGGATCCAGAACAGCCATCAGTGTAACTGTTTTTTCAGGCATTCGTTATGGTTACATATACCACCATGAGAGACATATTTTTGGCAAATGTCACTGTGTGGGTTGTTTCGGTACCCAGTGCAACAAGGCACACTGGCAGCCCCCAAAATTGCCTATTACAGACAGTCTTGTGGTGCCACGGCTGATGCATGATTACTGCAGGTAATATGCTTGAGACAATCAACATAAAAGTAGGAAAGTACAGAATACTCATAGCTGATCAATGTCAAGAGTGTGTGTTATCTCTAAGCTTAGAAAAAATGTGTAGGTATGAGTAAATCAGCATTGCGCATAGATAAAGATATCGAAATTGGATAACCATGCATATAAAGGAGCACACGATTCCCCAGTTTATTGGTGATAAAGAAAATATTGTTCGGTGTTAATACTTTCATCACTCAATCATAATCTCTAATTGTTATTATGTCTTCTGAAAATTATAACGAGAAGACAGTGGGGGAGAAGGATTACAACCTCACCTCCCAAGGTTCTGAAAATGCAACCAAAGAAGAATACTCCCAGCTCGATGAAAGCTACAGACATCAATTGTATGTCAAGTTAGGGCATGCTCATTTGGAAGATGACTCTGCTATTCCAGAAATCGAATACCTTTTCCAGAAGATTGAAGAGATGTCTGTGAGCCAGGCCATCGCATTGTTGAAAGAGAGTCTTATTGAACATGATGATGACCCAAATTTCCCTTTGGAGGATTATGCCACTATCGAAAGTTTGGTCCAAGGTTCTGACGCTAACCCTGAAATCTCTGAAGAAGAATGGACTTTCCAAGTCAAGATGTTCGCTTCTTTGAAAGAATATTTCTCTCCATACCCTGAAGTCAGAGCTATTTCTTCACCACTTGATGATCCAGAAATGCCTTGTGAAACCATCAGAGCTTATTTCTTGGGGTTCATTTGGACTGCCATCAGTACTTTCCTCAACGAATTCTTCTCTCACAGACAACCAAGTATTACTTTGACCGCCTCTGTTTGTCAAATTTTCTTGTATCCTTGTGGTAAGGTTCTTGAATTGATCTTGCCTGATTGGGGTTTCACAATGTTTGGCAGTAGACACTCCTTGAACCCAGGACCTTGGAATTACAAGGAACAGATGTTTGCTACTATTATTTTTGACGTTGCCATCGGAGGTGTGTACGTTTCCTCTAACATTTATGTGCAAAAGTTGGATGTCTATTATGGAAGTAAGTGGGTCAGTGTTGGTTACCAAGTCTTCCTTGCCCTTTCGACACAATTTTTAGGTTTCGGTTTGGCTGGTATCTTGAGAGAGATTGTCGTTTATCCATCTAGAGCGGTCTGGCCTTCTCTTTTGCCAACCTTGGCCCTTAATCAAGCTTTATTAAGACCAGAAAGAAAGGAAATCATCAGTGGCTGGAAAATCTCTCGTTATAACTTTTTCTTCATTTTCTTTGTGTTCTCGTTTGTTTATTTCTGGTTCCCTGACTACATCTTCCAAGCTTTGTCTACTTTTAACTGGATGACCTGGATCAAACCAGATAACTTCAACTTGGCTATGGTGACCGGTGGTGTCTCAGGTCTCGGTTTAAATCCTTGGGCTACCTTCGATTGGAATATGTTTAGTTATAGCACCCCATTGGCCATTCCATTTTTCACTCAGGCTAACCAATTGATTGGTATGTTCATTGCTTTCTTTATCATTCTTGGTCTCTATTATTCCAACTATAAGTGGACAGCTTACTTGCCAATTAATTCCAATCAAATTTTCGCTAATAGTGGTGACACTTATGATGTTCAAGAAATTCTCACTAATGGATTGTTTGATAAATCCAAGTATGAAACATATGGTCCTCCATACTATACGGCAGGTAACCTTGTTGTTTACGGTGCGTTCTTTGCCATCTATCCTTTCTCAATCATTTATACTACCTACACTGAATGGGGCAGTATTCGTGGTGCTCTCTCGCCGCTCAAGAAATTATTTTCCGACACTAAATCTTTCAGTTGGAAGACCCTTGGATCGTCTAATATTACCAGCTTTAACGATCCACACTCTCGTATGATGGCCAAATATAAAGAAGCTCCAAACTGGTGGTTCTACATCATCTTGTTGATTTCCTTGATGTTTGGTATTATTTGTGTTAAGGCTTATCCTGCTAACACTCCTGTCTGGGGTATTTTCTTCACCATTGCTATCAACTATGTGTTCATTATCCCATTGACTATCATCTATGCGGTTACCGGGTTCTCTTTTGGTTTGAACGTCCTTGTTGAATTGATCATTGGTTACGCTATCCCAGGTAACGGTGATGCCCTCATGACTTTGAAAGCCCTTGGTTACAATATTGGTGGTCAAGCCGAAAACTATATTTCTGATCAAAAGATGGCTCATTACGCCAAGATTCCTCCAAGAGCCATTTTCAGAGGTCAGCTTGTTGCCACCCTTTTGCAAGTCCTCGTCGCATTGTTGACAATCAACTGGGAAATGAGCAGTGTGAAAGATATTTGTACTCCGGATCAACCAAATAAGTTTTCTTGTCCAAGTGAAAATACTTTCTACGCTGCCAGTGTTTTATGGGGTGTCATTGGACCAAAGAGAGTGTTCAATCAATTGTATCCTATTCTTCAATGGTGTTTCTTGATAGGGGCACTTCTTGCTGTGGTTTGTATCGTTATCAAGAAAAAGTTCAAGACCTATTGCAAAAAGTTCCAACCTGTTGTCATCATTGGTGGTATGTTGAATTTTGCTCCTTACAACCTTACCTACTATCTTCCAGGTTTCTACTTTGGTTACGTCTTTAACCATTACATCAAGAAAAGATATTCTGCCTGGTGGGGTAAGTACAATTATATTTTGTCATCTGCCTTGGATGCCGGGGTTGCATTTTCCGCTATTATCATCTTCTTTGCCGTTCAATACCATGAAGTTGATATTAACTGGTGGGGAAACAATGTGATGTACGAAGGTGTTGATGGTGGTGCTGGCCAAGTTTCCTTGAAGGACCCAACCACCGCCCCAGATGGCTACTTTGGATTGCGTGTTGGCCAATACTAGTCAGCCACTATTTGATTTTCTATTTTTCTCCTTCTTCTTATCTTAACACCCCTTGCTTTTTGTTTATGCTTTTCGTGTTCTTTTTTTGTTTTCTTTGTTCTACGCTCTATCAGTTGCGCCTCTAGCTATATTTTCATACCATTCTTGTTTAGAAATATCCATGCTTTTGCTTTAATCTTTATTTCATTCTTGGTCATGTAGAATTCATCGATTTCCAATTTATTTCAAAAGATTTCTGATATTTTTAACCATTACATATATACTGTGAAGTCTTCTCTTTGATCGACCCCAACTACTGGAATGTCTGGGATAACCCAAAAACTTTCATATATTAATAATGATAATGATAATGATAATAATAATAATAATAATAATAAAATAAAACATCTCTATGTAGAAGCCCTAAAACAAAACAACAGGAAATAATAATAAAAATAATAATAATAAAAACACAGGTTGACAGTAAACTATAATAACCAATAAAATAAACATAAAGAACAATTCAAAAGTGTGGATATGTCGATGGTAGGTGAAAAGTAAATTAAAATAACAACCTGACCCAAATAATAAGAAGAGGAAAAAAAAAAAAAAGGATTGGAACATAAACATAAAAAAGAAGCCGATGTCAGTGAAGGGCTTAAACACTATGGACGAAGTGATATATTAACTTAAGAAATCAAGGAATTTACTTGAAAAAAAAAAAAAAAATAGCAAAAAGGTAGTAAAACTTAGCTAATACCTTTTGGTGTCAGAAAATGTTTCCCTTGATGGTTTTAGGAATCTCTTTTTATTAACGAGGGCAACGTCATCACTCATCGTAACAATCGCGTTTTTATCAGAACCATAAGTGAACTCATCGGCAATAACTTCCATACCATACCTTTTAATTAAGTAAGGTTCCCTATCACCCTTGAGGATCTTTCTTAAGGACCAGCGGATAACGTAAGGACCAGAAGAAGAGATGATGGTGGTTTCTTTACTCTCCAAACCGGTATTGAAACGCGCAAAGGTGAACTCAATAGGTTTTTTGGTGTGTTGTCTCATAAGTACGACATGTTGCGGTAAAAGCTGTAACATTTTCGGAATTGGTTTGCTATCTTTCGAAAATGATTTGAGGAAACCAGTGGTGCCAGCGTTTTTACCTTCCTTGATTTGGGCATCAATCAATAAAAGGAAAGTGCTACAGGTAGCCAAGACCCATCTGCCATCAGCAGAAACATCAAGACCTCTAATTTCCTCACCCAAACCTGGTAATCTAGTTTTAGCATTTATACCAAGCCTGTCAAACAACTTGATCTCACCATCCTTCGAGGCAACTGCAATATTACCTTGGGCAGTTGAAGTAATGGCAGAAAAGTTGGTCTTCGACAAGTATTGTTTGAGTTCTGATTCAACAAGATTATTGCCTGATATTCTTGGATCGATCTTAAACAAGCCATTCTTAGATAACCCTAAGAAAGTTTGCTCATTTGTCAATTGACTGAATTTCTTGGTTGGATTAACTTCCAAAACATCAAGCTTAGCATCAGGTTTGCCAGCATTATATTCCTCAACAACTTGGCCCTTAGTTAAATCCATCTTATATAGATTACCAATTCTACTTGGATCCTTCAAAATCAAAGAAGAATCTTCACCATGCAACATAATTCTTTCCGGAGTGAAGGTCTTACCACTAGTGTTTTTGATGTTTTCAATGGCAGTGTAAAAGTCTAAGGAGTTATTGTCATTAGATTTGAAAACACCGATTTTGTTACCTCTAACAACATAAGATCTTTCATTACTATATGAAACTGCCAATGCTTTGTTCTTCTCTTTGTTGGATTTAAATCTGGCAACTGAGGCAGCATCATCTGAAATATATGAGAGTGTCTTCTTGCCGGAACGAAGAGTTTTTGAACATTCCTCTTCCTGTGGTTCTTCTTCTTCTTCTTCTTCTTCTTCAGCACTCAGATCTTCAAGTTTATCCGCATCATCCTTACAGCCATCAATTTTTAAGTCATTAAATGCATCAACAATGTAATCTTGGTCTTCTTTTTTTATCTTACCCCATTTAGCTTTGTTTAAAGATTCCCACAAGGCTTGCATGAGCCCAGTTTGGAAATCAGACAACGCGTCAAACTCCGCAAATTTGAGCAACCATGAAGTCCCCTCATCCTCATCAACGATATAATTGAATATAAAGCATAAATGATCATAATTGAAAGTAGGACTCATATTTTCATCAATTTTGGCCGCAAGAAGCACCTTATCTTTTGACTTAATAATAAGCCAGTATTCCCACTTACCAGCGTCGACAACGTTTGCAACAGCACCAGACTCCTTAGATACAAATGCAGTCTCCACAGAGTCAAAAAAATGCAATTCGCAGGTGTTGGAAACTAGCAGGTCACCATCAGGAGCAACCAAATTCTTCTTTTTCTTATTGCTAAAGCTAATAGGAGCTGCTACTTTTTCATAGGGAATTTTGGCAGGGGACCCGGTCATCGCATCCTTAAACTCCTCTTCATCATCGTCATCGTCATCGTCATCATCTTCTGTACTTTGAACATATTCACCAGAGTCCATAAGCTCATTACTATCAAAAATATTACTGCTCATGTGTTTAGAAAAGTCATAATGAAATTCCACTAAATCCGCGTCTGTGGCCAAATTTGAGGATCTTTTGTACTTTCTTTCAAATTCACACTTCCAAATGGTTTTCATAAACTGATCAATTAAATTTTCAGAGACAGAAATATCACATACAAAGGCAAATTTATCACCATCATCACCAGAAACATCTTTCCAAACAATAGTGGTGTTGCCATCGGCATTGATATACTTATGAAACTCTAAATCTTGGGAGATTAAGAAAGTCCGTTCATCCCCAGACTCGATTTCTTCCAAAAGAGAATCATCGTTTTCCTCATCATCTTTTAATTGCTGTTCTCCTTCTTCGTATGCTTTCTGGACCACTAATTGGTAATTAAAAGTAATTGATGTTGGCCTGATTGCCGCAACAGCATCATTGTACAAACATTCTGATTCTGATTTTGGTGATGAGGGGCTTCTGGAAATTATTAATTGTCCAGAAGGAATGACGACCAAGTCATCCTTCTGACCTGAACCCAAAATTTTCTTGAGAATGTTCATCAACGAAGCTTGGTTTTGTTCAAAAGCCTATTCGCCACTGATGATTATATGTGCATCGCTCTACACACACAAACAAACAAGCAGAAATAAAGAAAGAAAAAAAAAAAGATTGCGGAGGTTGCGAAGCACTGCAGTATCACCGGTCAGGAATCATCACCAAGACGGTGGATTGAATTTTTTTTTCTTTCTCATCTACAAGAATTTTTTTCCTTTCAATGTCTATTCTATATAATACCAGGGCATGCGATGAGATAATAACTACGAAAAGCTATGATAATACTACGATGGGTACGAGGAGGAGAATATATCCTGAATTACAGATCAATATGGTCAAATAGATCCAGCTATTGGCTCCCAAATAAACACTCCTATTCCATACGGCTGCTTCATTCTGCAACCCAGTGCTTGCAAAAAACCATTCCGAAGAATAAGAAACAAGACCAGAATCAGACAAAAAGACCATTGAAAATAGAGCATAAATCAAGCTGGGATCTTCCTCAGCTACTGTATGTTAAACCCAAGCTATCGGCGCCTGTCGAAGAGGAGCAACGTTCACCTAAAGATAAAGTTCCGAAGATGGACAGATTTGAATTGGTGAATTCAATTAAGCCATTAACGAGACATAAATCTTTGAAAGAGTTATTTAAAGATCCAAAGGTTCCGGAGTGGAAAAAACAAAAAGAGGCTTTGAAAAATAAGTTTGGTGATCAAGGCTGGAATCCAATGAGAAAAATATCAAGAGAAGAAATGAAGTCTGTGAAGTTCTTGAAAGCTCAGAACCCAAATATAAATAATACCCAATTGGCAGACTATTTTAAAGTATCACCTGAAAGTATTCGAAGAATTTTGAAATCAAAGTGGGAGCCTAAATCTTTGGAAGAAGACGAAGCACTTTACGAAAGATGGAAAAGGAGAGGCGAAAAGATCAAAGAAATGATGAATAATAATAGCCACAATCAGAAATCAAACTTCAACAAACAGGCATACAATTTCAACAAACAGACATCAAATTATAGAAGTTCAAAACCCAGTAGCGACTTAAAATTTGTATCTGAGGAAGAGAAGCCTAAAGTCTTCCTGAAACAGAAAAAGTACCTATCCAAAAGACAAATCAAGATTCAGAAAAGAACCAAAAAACCCAAAAGTTATTTTGAATAGGAATTTGTTTAAACATAAACACATGTATATAGTGTATTATTTGTGAATATAATTTAGCATTTGAATTAGCATTTGAATTTACTGCTTACTTTGTACTGTATTTTATATGATTGTAAGTTTTGATGTATTAATCAGAATCACTCATCAAGTATATAGTTTCCAAGTTTATCCATTTTTAAGTTCTCCACACCACTCTGTAAGGCTTCTATTATACGCTCATTTTCATTATCTTCAGCATCATCAATTTCATCCTCACTATCAAAATCAATGTCATCATCATCATCCTCATCGTACTCCGAATATCCTTCTTCGCCACTCTCGTACTTTTCTTCATCTTCCTCGCCATCGTCTGCAGGAGGCACAATTTCTTGGCTTCTCATGTTATTCATGGCCTCTTCGAATTCCCTATCAACTAACTTTGCGGCTCCATGCTTCTTCTTAAATCCTGAAGCTTGAAGTAGCTCATCGATATTACTAACTCTCTTGACATCTCTTTTAAAATCTGGCTGTATGTACTTGTAACCTTCCCCATAACCGTCTGTATCCAACATCAGCAGATCCCTGACAGGCTCGTACTTAAATCTTTTCTTGAAAAACAACTTTATACAGTCCACATCTCTGTTGAAGTAATAGTCGGCTTCAGGATGGTCAATGGAGATACTCTGTGGGAAATCGAGAACCACAAAATCATCCGGAAATTCTCCACTTTCGATAATTTCGTGATCACGGATCATAATATTAAATTCGTTAAAATCACAATGAATTAACCCATAATTGGCCAACTTAACGATAAACTTCATCAATTCTGAGTAAAGTTTCTTGTAGTCTTTAAATTCGTATAATTTAGTCATTGGGTACCCTTCAACCCACTGCATCAAGATACAGTGTCTAGAATAATCATACGTCTTTGGAACATTAAAGCCATTGTCATACAATGTTGTCAAAAATTGAAATTCTTTGCCTGCTGCGACTTTTGACAAAAACATCCAACTACCACCAGTATTCTTCTTCAAGTAATCTCTTTTTGATTTGACACTTCTAAAAGATGTTCTACCCAATCTGTGCACTTTCAAAATCTTTTCAAGCCCATTCTTATCCACAGTAGAAAAAATATCCGATTCTTTACCAACACCCACAGTGGTACCCAAAGATTCCAAACTGTCTCTTTTCAACATTGATTTCAAGGCAAGATAATCATGACCAAGATATGAAAGCTTATACCCGTCATATTTTGCATTTCTTACTTTTGATATAAGTCTATGTTTTGCTAAAGTGGATACTGACCTGTTCACTGCCCCTGGATTCACTTTACTGAGATTCTTGATCAAATAAGTTGGCACCAAGTCATGGTCCTTTGATCCCATCTCCACGGCATTCAATACCCGGTAATCGTCCCCAGACAAGTATCTCATCTGACTTATATCTAACTTCATCTTGCAGCAATACTACTTTATTTTATTATTTTATGAGGCCCTTTGTATGTCTGGAGTTAGCTGGTCTTCAAGCTTGATGGATTTTCATCAAGAAAATTTTTTTTTTTTTTAGTGCACCTCATCAGGAGAGGGTCTCGAACCCCTTAAAAGAATAAAGATGATAGGCAATTATATTTTAATAACATACCCTTTCTAAGCAACATCCCTTCCTCTTGATAATGTTTTCAACCTCCACAGTGTTTTCAATGGGCGCCCACAATAATAGTAGTGAATATGATTAACTCTGTTCACAAGATAGAATCCTCTTTTTCGGAAGCCAGTTATGGTGCTTCGAAGAATAGAACTTTCAAAAGACCATCTATCACAGTCTCGCAAAGGAGATTGCATGGGCTAACTGAGCATTATGATATCGAAAATACAAATATTCCCGGATTAAACGAACTAAGGCCAGGATATTTTGATCCGATATATTTGAAGAAATCACAATCAAAGAGGAATAGAAGGAGAATTGATGATGATCTAGATGGCAAGAGTGAGAAGCTACATGGTATGACGGTTAACAGGAAAACACAATCTTCTACCTTGACCCAGAGGGCAATCAGTATGTCCAACAAGACCATAAAGGATCTTCTAAACATTTTCTCGTTAAATTCAAGAAAATCCAGTGAATCATTTATTGGTGTGTTGAGAATCTTTATTGGTTATTTGATATCAATTATTCTTTGTATAAATTCAACTTCAGGTCGATGGTTAGGTCCTCAGCGAACTATAGTTCCGTTGATTGTAACAATTTTCCATCCATCGCATTCGGTTGGAACCCAAATAGAAATGTCAATATTGGCAGAACTTGGAGTTATATGTGGTGGAGCAGTGTCAGTCTTAGCCATTTTTCTATCCCTGTTGAGTTTGCCTTCAAGAACTCATTACGGTGGAATATTTGCAGTGTTCTTATTTTTGTGCATATTTCTATTACAATTATTGAGATTGGAATTCAATAGATCCTATTATTTCTGCATAACAACAGGAATTATCTTGATATATTGTTTGACCAGTTTCCCTGGGATGACCACTTTCATTAACGATATTGGTTATTTACAGTTTTTCAAGAATTCCATTATCCCAAGTTCGATGGGAATATGTCTAACCTTGCTCATAAATTTGATGGTTTGCCCCAGATTTGACCACAAGAGACTTATCTTTAGCTATATTAAAACCTTGAGTGATATCAAAGGCTCAATTTTGGAGACGGTGGGGTCAAATGTTGACAAGCAACAGACTCTTTCAAAAAACATTGACTGGAGCTTGATAACACTATCTGAAAATTTGAGGGAATATTCAAATGAATTATTGAAAATTACGTTGTTTGAAAGCAGAGATTTGGAACAAATTAGAAATTGTATTAATCTTATTGTTAGCCCATTGAAATCGATTCCATATCCTATCTCATTGCTTACTCCTGACTGCGATTTAAAGGATCATATACATTCAAACCTTTATACTAAAATTATAAGTTCTGATCTCCAAGAAAACTACAAGATACGCCTGCTATTGGATTTGAGAAGTACCCTGGAGAACCAATATGATGGGGATGACAGTCTCTCACATGCCAGGCCCGACACAACAACTGGGCCACCCCTGAATTCCAATCTTAGCAGAGAATATTACTTAAGGATATTTGAAAATCAATTTAAAAATCCTGCATTGGAATTGCTAATTTCAATAGTTGCTTGCATTGAGTTGTCACAAATTTGTTTAATTAAATATGCCAGGATCAATATTACTCCGGGTGAATTGGTCTGTGATTATGGCTTTAATTATGATATGACAAATGCATTTTTCTCTGATATTTTGCAGCGAAACCAAGATATACAAAAAGAAGACGCTGGGACATTATTACTACTTCGATTCGAAAATACTATAAATTATTTGAAGAGAAATTTACAAAATTTGGACATAACTTATAAAAAATACACAAATACTCACAAATTTTGTGATGATCTATTAGTGGAAAGGGAAATTACAAGGTGCTTTTTATTCTTGAGATATCATCGACAAATTTCTAAGCTAGTGATTTTTCTATCCCATATTATTTTGAAAATTTGTCTGAAGGAGAGCTGTCTTACCAATGGACCAATGTCGCGGAACTTCTTCCCATGGAGCAATTGGAAATTCAATTGGATAGATTATCCTATGAAGAAGGCATTACTCAGACTTCCAAAACAATGTCTCAGGGATCGTGGGAAATTAACTGTTTTCAGTTATTTTCAGGTGAGCAATGAAGTTGATCAATCATTTGAAAAAATTTATAACATGAACACTTCAAGAACTTTTTCAAATATGAACTCTAGAAAGTCGGCCAGCGAGGGGGATATTATTAGGGCAATTAGTCACACAGATTATAACAAACAATTATTTCTTGAAGATTCTGATAAGCTGAAAATCAAACATCAAATATGGCGATTGGCGAAAAAGATTACCAGTGGAACAAACTCGAAGAACTCTTTTAAGAATGCGTTCCTAATTATTATGACTTCCTTGCCAATATTGATAACAGGCTTTGACGAAGAGTCTCATTATCCTTGGTATGTTAATTATCATTGTTATTGGTGCCCTGTACTTACGTGGGTTTTATATAGTAGCACAAGTGTCTTTAGCATCAAGAAAATGGCGAAAAGATGTTGCGCTGTCATTATTGCTGGATTATGGGCTCTCTGTTGTTGTGAGAGTGTTTTCAAAAATTCTTTCAAAGGTGGAAAACACATTTGCTTAATATTTTCAGCGTTAATAGCATTCCCTTCAATGCTTAAATTTCATGTCTATCCTACAGAATCTAGAATCGGGCTAGTTTCTCTAAGTGTCTTTTCCCTTATTCTTCTAGATACATATGACGACTCTGAGAGCAGCAATTTGACTGCAGGTAATATTTGGAATATTTGTTGGAGTATAAGTGCCCTGGCACTAGTGGCAGTTATTTCAACCATTATGATTAACATATTGATTTGGCCATTTATTGCTAGAAATCAAGTGACCAAATCGTTTGGAAAACTTTTGTTGAATTTGTCACAATGCTATCAGATTGTTAATGATAGATATGTGTATCGAGATGCTGATGACCCACCAACAGAGTTGACCCTAACTTTGTCTACTATCCGTGAAACTCGGGTGTTAGAACATTTATACGCGGTGAGGAATTTGATTAAAAGCAGTATCAGCGAAGCCAACATCATCAATATATCTGTTAATATCAACCACTATTATAACCGAAACTCTGAATTTTATTTCAAAACTGTCGAGAAAATATTGGAATCCTGTTATGTGATTTTGAATAAGATTATTGAAGCCCGTATCAATGCGGTCCAATTCACCAGCTGGATCAAAGACAATGATATTCTAATGTCCAAAAAGTTATTGCCCTTAAGAAGAGATTCTGCGGTCAGCATTATATTCAATTTCTACTTGGTTGCCAATTGTTTTCAATCGGAAAATAGGATTCCAAATTATTTACCCAGCATGTTGAGTTTAAGAAAGCGACTTTATGATGAAATGTCAATTATCAAGAACTCAATGAGTAACTTGAATATCGAAAAAACTAATAAGATAACAGAGGATGTTCACTGGACCGAGATTCATGCGATTGCATTTTCCAAGTCAATTACCGATATTGTGGAAGAATTGGACAAAATTATAGATTATTCAAAAATTATTTTAGGAGAACAGACTTAGGACCTTTCATTTAATGTTACACAAATTTTTTTTTCATTTTTTTTTTTTGTATATCTCTCATTTTTTACTGATATTGGCATTATAAGTTGTATAAGTCCAAGCGCGAAAAAGCATAAATACAATAAGTTCCCGAAAGAATAGTCATACTCATAAATAATTCAAATTTATTATTTGAAATGAAAGAAATAAATGATACAATACATATATAATAACACGAAACCACATAACTTTGAAAATGACCAGCATATTTTATGACCCATCATATTGAGCAGACCTAACATGAGTCTAAGTCTATCTTTGATGAGCCTATTCTTGAAATATTCCATTAGTGAACAAACCATTGAGCCACAACACTTTTGTACCCTATAAATAAGCTCATTTCAATGTACCAACAGATCTCCATAAATATTCATGAAGAAGCAACAGGTTCATCTGTATTTGAGGAAATGAAATGATATACGACAATCAAACCAAAGGACAAAAGACCCAAAGAAATGGCAAGTGAATTGAGTTGGTCGTCAGTGATCATTTTTATTTCTATTTGAGTGGATACTGGGCTTTTCCTTCTTCCCTTTTTTTTCTTTCTTGATTGTCTTCTCAACCTTGGGGAGGGGATTGAATTATTATCCAATACGTTTACAAAAGCCGCGGTCTTTATCACGTGCTTGAACATCAAGTTACAATTCTACAGCCTCCAAAGTGGCTTAATTCCTAACCATTTAAAAAGCAAAAATAAATCAAACCAAAGTCCAATTAATGAGAATATAAATATATTTTTTGATTGTGATAGAATAAATAATAAAATGAGGTTTGTGGTAATTTTTTTAATTTTTTATTTTCGCTAGTAGAACAAAGCAAATTGCCAATATTTATTCCAGTTTGAGTGTATTTCAGCTGAATCGTAACGACTAAAAATTTTAAATACCCATTAACATGATATATCAGCAAAGCTTATTTAGACAAACTCAAAAGAGTTGGTTCACCTTGTTGTTCACCGGCGTTGAACTTGACGAATCTGACTTCAGCATCGTTACGCTTTTCAGCAACAACCTTCAAGTCTTCCTTCAAAACAGAACGAAGAGTTTGAGAAGAGATAGCAACGTATTTGTTGAAACTAATGTGAAAGTTAGTAAGAATATTTTACCAAATCAAAGCTTAATACAAATATTAATTCTCATTTTCGAATGGATGAAAGGTTTGGGAGTGTTAATGGTTATTGTTTTGTATATCATCATGCCTTTCGATTATAATACAAGGCGAGATTAAACATGGGTAAGTTGAGTTGCCAGTGCCCTTGCTTTTGTGTTATCCTTCTAACACTACTGCTTTTGATTATTTTCTCCATAAAGTGACAACAAAATTCTAAATTCGCCATTAAGCTCAAAAACCCTAACAGTAGCAGTGTACGACATGTTATAACACGAGAAACACAACTTGAGGCTTGAGCATTTACAATGCCCAGGCTGCTAAAAATGCAATCTTCATTTGCGATTGTTTCAGCATTTCAATAATTACGTTGACGATCTCCCGAATTTTCTTTAGCATTATTATAATACGCTTCGAAATTCCTTTGTAATCCTAAGTCAATCGAATAGATGTCCAATCCCTTGATAGATTATAGTTAAAACCACTTGATATTTAAAAATTTCCTGAATTCCCGATCATCCCAATTTCCCTCATCCTTTCTAACAGCTGAAGGTTCACAGTTTCCCAAAAAAAGAAAGCAATCACATACGAAAAACCGGCTTTTCTCCAGGCAGACATTATGAATAGATGTATTTAAATAATAAATCTGTTTAGAGAATTGATACCACTTCTAGACTTGGTTAGGTGAAGTAACACCCAGGTTTTTTTTCTCCCTTCGAAAAAAATCACTGAGGATCGGATGGGCCAATCATATCTCAGAAGATAGATTTCTCACCCGGTTACGTGCCCCCCAGAAGAGCATCATTACCCGTATTGGCTGTCATCGGGCTCGCAACCACGGAGTTTCCTTGTCCCTAAAAGGAATCACCGATGAGATGACAATAAGAGCATGTTCGATAAGGCTCGACAGATGAGATCTCTGTTGAGAAGTTGAGAAGTTTATTCATTTGATTATTGTTTTTTACTTTTTTTCTTGCCGCCTTTTGGTAAATATTATTAGTTATAAAATACAATGGTCAATTTAGTTCTGGGCCGCTTGTCTACCAACAAAAATGGTGATTTTGTTGATAGTGAAGGCCGCAAGCTCACCTTAAAGGGCATCAATATTGATGCGAGTTCAAAGCTCCCATTCACTCCAAATATCCCCAGTAGCTTCCCTTCCGCGAATGAGCTATTCTGGGATGGTGAAAATGTTTCCTTCGTGGGAAGACCTTTCCCTCTATCCGAGGCAAGAACTCATTTGTTGAGAATTAAGTCATGGGGGTTTAACGTCATAAGATACATCATCACTTGGGAAGCGATAGAACATGAAGGTCCGGGAAAATATGACGACGACTTTATTGAATATACTTGCGAAGTGTTACGAATCATTCAAGATATTGGGGGAATCTACGTTTTCTTCGACCCTCATCAAGATTGCTGGTCTCGTTTTTCTGGGGGAAGCGGTGCACCATTATGGACCTTTTATGCTGCTGGCATGGATCCAAAGAAGTTTGGCGTTTGTGGAGCATCTATTTTACATGGCGACTTCTATGATCCGGATGATAAAGATCATAGCCAGCAAGATCCCGAAGTCTATGCTAAGATGCTTTGGCCCACCAATTATTATAAGTTGGGAGCAGCAACAATGTTCACATTATTTTTCAATGGTAAGATGTTTGCCCCTAAGGCAATGATTAATGGTGTGAACATTCAAGACTATTTGCAGAGCCATTTCTTCGACTCTTTCCAATATTTGCTCTCCCAAATTAAGAGCAAACATCCAGAATATTTCGATGAAATGATTGTGGGTATTGAAATGATGAATGAGCCCAATGTTGGTTTCTATGGGACCTCAGACTTAAAGAAGATTCCGCGCGAGAGAACTTTGAGAGTGGGGCATACACCAACATGGTATGATTGTTTGCAATTGGGGGTTGGGAGAAAATGTGTTGTGGACAATTATAAAATTACCGTGTTTGGACCAAGAAAGACGGGTACAACTGAGATTGATCCTATGGGAGAGACTGTATGGTTAAGCCCAAGCAGTGGGAAATCTTGGGATACCAAGTACCAATGGGACAGAGCCTCCTCTTGGAGACTAGGAGAGTGCCTTTGGGGTCAGCATGGGTTATGGGACCATGTAACTGGAGAAATAACTGAGCCAAACTTCTTCAAAGTGGATCCTCACACTGGTCAAGAGCTTGATATTGATTCGTTCACCAACGGTCCCTTTGTTGAGTATTATATTAACTTCAAGGAAAAGATGAGATCAGTGCAAGACAATATTTTTATTTTATTACATCCAGTGGTTTTCGGAAGACCGCCTAAATTGGTTGATAAGCCTGAATTGATAGATGATAAAATAATTTACGCCCTACATTATTATGATGGCCTCTCTTTAATGTCTAAAACTTGGAACAAGATTTATAACGTTGATACTTTTGGTATAGTACGTGGCAAATACTCAAATCCGATATTTGGTCTAGTTTTTGGAGAAACGAATATCAGAAACTGCATCAGAAGCCAATTGAGAGAAATGAAATCCGAAGGGAAGAAAAACTTGGGGAAATCAGTGGCAGCAATTGTTACAGAAACTGGAATGCCATTTGATATGGATGGAAAAGCAGCGTTCAAAGATGGCAATTACGACAAGCAGACCAGCGCTTTAGATGCCCTTGGATATGCTTTAGAAGGTTCTGATTTGTCCCATACTTACTGGTGTTATTGCTGGATTAACTCTCACAAATGGGGAGATTCATGGAACTGTGAAGATTTCTCGTTTTATTCTCCTGATGATATGAATTCAATAGAAGATGATAACATTACAGTATCTTCTGAAGAAGAACAGAAGAAAAGGCGCGATACTGAATCAGATGATGCTGAAACAACCAGTATGATGGCAGCACCCGTCTTGGCTGACGCTACCGCTTCGTTCCAGCCAGCGACTCGCAACGGGGTTCGTGCTGCAAATGCAATCATCAGGCCGTACGCCCTAAAGATTCATGGAACTAGCGTTGAACACTGTGAATTTGACATGAAGAATCAACTATTCAAATTAAAAATTGGAAGTGCCATTTCTTGCTTCTCAGCCACCGAATGTGGTGGTCCTAGTATCTGTACAGAAATTTACTTGCCAAAGAGACATTTTAAGTTGGAAAATTATCAAGAATATTTAGATGTCAAGCTAAGTTCTGGGGAATTTGTGGTAGATGTAGATTCAGAGATCTTGAAATGGTATCATGGGCCAGGAAAACAAGAAATAGAAATATCCAATTATTCTGGTGCCATGGGGGCATCGTCAACAAATGATTTTGTGTGCCTGTTTGGCAATATTTTAGGTTGGAATTGATTTGGGATTATTATTATTATTATCATTATTGTTATTGTTATTATTCTTATTCTTGGTTTTTTTTTGTGTCATCTTTGGTTTGCTTTTCTATTTTATTCTCTTTCTACAGGTTGACGTTACAATACAAATACTTTTTGTCTTCTGCTTCTGATCACGTCAATTGGTGTCTTCGCCGCGTTGCAATGTACCCTCCGTAATGGTGCTGTGCAGGACGACCCCAGAGCGCAGTATAAATAAATCTTCGCCTGCCGCGTTTTTGTGTAGGTGAAAAAATAACAATTCTGTCACGAAGAAAAAAAAAATTCCAAACCGCAAATAAAACCCACCTTCCACACCATCGAAAACCTTTTGACACAACTTCAATATAACAATAATGTCCAGGCTCGATAGGCTCGTGCTTCTTCTTGATACAGGCTCCTCTGCCTTTATTAGAAACACCGCAGCAGACCAGCTATCAGACTCGGCTAAAAGCCATCCAGAAGAAATCTTGAACATTCTTGCAAGAGTTTACCCTTACTTGAAATCCCGCAAATGGGAGACCAGAATTGCTGCTGCTAGGGCTTTTGGGGGTATTGTTGCAAGCTCTCCTGTGTGGAACCCTAATGAAATCAAGGAGGAGCCTCTCAAAAATAACAAAGTGATTGGCGAAAAACATCAGGTGCATCAAAGCAACACTGTAAAGACCGAAGATAATGGAGATCTCCCGTTAAAAATTAAAGAAGAAGAGGTGGAAGGAGAGTCGGAGCCATTGGTTAAAATTGATCCTGAAAAACAGTTTGAGAAAATTAAGGAAGTACTATCAACTTCAGATAATGTAAAATTATCAGATTTGAATTTTGGTAGATTGATTAATGATTGCCCAAAACTTGTGGCAAGTGGTGTATCATTACTTGATTTAAATAATAACAAAGATTTAATGGAAAATTTGAAATTAACAAAACAATTACTCAATGCCAGATTAGGTTATGGTGACCCGTCCATTTTAATAAAACAAGAGCAAGAATATAAAAGGTTAAAGAAAGAATCTGAGCAAAATAGGATGAAGAAGGAAAAAGAAGATCTTGCAATAAAACAAAAGGAGGAAGAACTAACAAAAAATTCCGTACAGTCCCAAAGCTCGCAGAGTAAAGGCTCTGCTGCTAGATTGAGAGCAATGGCTCGTAGAAGGGCCAAGCAGCAAGCGAGTAATCAACAAAATAAAAACGCGCCAGTGGACTTATCACAATCATCCCTATCATCTTCGGTGGAGAAAGATGAGCCAAAAGTAGTAAAAACTGAGCCAGCAAAATTTGAATTGACTTCCCAGGCTGATGCAAATACTTTGGTGATGGAAACTAAAGTTTCAAGTATAGCGTTTGATGAGTCAGTAGGCGTATCTGACAAAATTTGGAAATTTCAAGGTCTTTATGAATTGCTAGTATTTGATTTGTTTAACCCGAACTGGGAAATACGACACGGTTCGGCGTTAGGTTTACAAGAATTGCTAAAGGATCACGCTAAATCAATAAACAGAATCAGAGGGTATACAATTGAAGAAAACAACCGGAGAAATTTGGACGCATTGGAAGACTTAGTGGCAAAAATTTTAACCTTGTTTGCGTTAGATAGATTTGGTGATTATATTGGTGACAGTGTTGTTGCTCCTGTCAGAGAGTCAACAGCGCAAGCATTGGCTGCTTTATTAGTCAATATTGATGAGTCTGTTGCTCCAGAAAAAGTACTATTAGAAAAAATATTCAATAAATTGATAGAGTTGGTCGTGCAAGATCCAGTTGTATTCCAATTAACTATCGATAAAAATAGATCAAGCACATGTTGGGAGGCCTCTCATGGTGCCATATTAGGACTAAAGTACATTGTCACGATTAAGTCTGATTTTATATTCCGCAATGATAAAGTATTTCAGAGTGTCATATCGGTCGTGCTTGATGGTTTGCAAAATCATATTGAAGAAATCCAATCGGAATCTGCTGCATTATTGATCCCAATTCTAGATCACATATTACCATATAATAAATGGCTAACTAAGATCGTAAAAACCATTTGGAACATCTTAGAATCAATACATGATGATCTAAAGTCCTCTTTGAATAACATATTAAACCTCATCTCTTCTTTAGCAGAATACCCAGAGGTGTTGAAGTTAATGAAAGATATGTCATCTGGACCTATGACAATTCAAGAAAATGGTGATGCGTCGCATTATTATTCCTTTGAAAATTTAATGCCGAAATTATATCCATTCTTCCGTCATTCCATTTCCAATATTAGAAAATCGGTCCTTCAAACTTTCTTGTCCTTTTTGAATATTAAGGAATCTGCAAGTGCTGTTTCTTCTTCAAGACAATGGTTCCAAGATCCATTGCTTTTCCGCTTAGTTTTTCAAAACTTGCTATTTGAACAGCATCCGGATATTTTGGCATTATCTGAGAAAGTATTCAGAAAAATTGTGAACAAGAATCTTGAGTATAACGAATTAGTCCCATGCTCAAGTTCAATTGAAGATGTTTTTAAAATTCACTCAACACCACTTTTGAATTTAATTTTGGTGCCACTAGGTATCAACAGATTAAATTACCACATGAATAATTCTGATGTCTTGAAACCAAATGGTGAACCGTACTCCAATGAAACACAGACCAACAATTCCATGCAACATAAAAGAGGCCGTAAAAGAAAATCTCCGCCGGCAGATGTGATGAATAAGGTCAGTGGTGAGGAAGGTTATATTGCGTCAAGTGCAACCCCAAGTGATAGTGAACATCCAAGCTCTGCGGATTTGCATGTTAATATTGATGCTCCTATATTGAAAGGTGATATCGCCTTATTGGGGATTGATGTGTTTATAAGGACAAGGATTGCGGCCTCAAAAGCGTATGGGTTTATTTTAAGTTCTTTTAATAGTGATGGTGAGATTTTGAATATCTTTACAAGATTGAAACAAAGTTTAAATTCTAATTTATCTACACCAAGAATTTACTCAGCCATGATAATTGAGGAGTATTTTGTCAGATTAGGGGAATTAAATAAACATCAAAATTCAGTATTGGTGAACTTGATTCAGCCAGTGCTACTCAAATATTTGAATGAGCCAGAAAAGTTGCCTTACTATAGGGAATTAGTTCCTTCGCTCAAGGCAGTCAGAAATAATTGTTCTGAATTATTCCTTAGATTTGAAGAAAACGGTGGAGTCCCTCATAGTAAAATTCCATTATTGCCTGTAATAGTACAAGGCGAAAAACAGGCTGGTAATAATGCCTTCAGTGTTGCTGATGCTGAAAAGGTTGTGAATCAATATTACACTAAATTATTCAAGTTGCTATCGGGAGCCTCCAAGTTTACCGCATCTGAAGCTTTGGAAAACTCAAAGCAAGTAATTGTTCAAGCAATTGAGAACATTAATGAATTAAAATCTAGTAGAAATATCACCATTCTATCTAGCTTCGCTGGCGCAGCCTTGAAAATCTACATCAATGCTGATTCTTTGCCACCGAAATTGAACCCATTTATCAGATGCTTGATGGATTCTATTAAATCAGACTCTGAGTTGTATCAGTACAATACTGCGAAGTCTGTGGCTGCACTTATCTATAAGTTGGTGGACTCTAAAAAGTCGAAGATTTACGAAAAAGTGGTGAAGAATTTATGCTCATATTTGAGTGTTCAATTTCCTGAATTTCAACCAAATAGAGACCTCCATAACGTCATCTTTTCTTTGGAGATTCAGAAATCTGTGGCCAAATTGAATAGCTATGAAAATTCGCACATTACTAAAGTGTTGGGAGCTAAAACTACTCTATATATGATTATAGAATACTATGGAAATGAAATCTTTGATAGGTTGCCAATCTTGCAGAAACTGGCTTTCGATTCTCTGAAATCTCTATTAATTACTGATGAAAATGTGACCTATGAGGACGATAAGATTGCCCAATCAATTATTGACAGTATGGGAATCATTGAAACTATTTCACCTAAGTTGAATGAAGAACTTTTATTTGGTTCCAACTTAGATCTCAATGTTTTGTTACGCGGCTTGAAATCAAAGTACTCCATCTTCAGGTATGCTGCCTCTAAATGTTTAGCTATATTGTGCAAACATTTTCCAATAAAAACAATCCCATTTGTTGTCACTAATGTGTTGCCATTGCTTAAGAATTCTGGCTTTTTGTCAAATAGGCAAGGTGCTATTGAAACTATCTATCATTTATCCAATATTATGGGTGCTGACATCTTACCATATGTTATTTTCTTTATTGTTCCTGTGCTCGGTAGAATGAGTGATAGTGATCCGAATATTAGAGTCTTAGCTACAACAACATTTGCTTCCATTATTAAATTGGTGCCTTTGGAGGCAGGAATTGAAGATCCGCAGGATATGCCAAAAGATTTATTAGAAGGCAGAGAAAAGGAAAGAAGCTTCATCCGAGAACTTATGAATCCGAAGGAGATTCCAGATTATGAATTACCAGTAGCTATCAAGGCCACACTAAGAAGTTACCAAAAGTCTGGTGTCAACTGGTTGCATTTTTTGAACAAGTACAATTTACACGGTATTTTATGTGATGATATGGGATTGGGTAAAACTTTACAAACGATTTGTATTGTCTCCAGTGATCATCATAATAGAATTGAGCAATTTGCGAAGACTGGGCTAGATGAATTTAAGAAATTACCTTCTTTGGTGGTGTGTCCGCCTTCTGTTATGGGTCATTGGGAACAAGAAATTAACCAATATGCCCCATTCTTATCGGTTTTGGTTTATAGTGGCTCTCCAACAGTTCGAAATCCATTGAGAACCCAATTTGATTCTGCTGATATCATTGTCACTTCTTACGATGTCATGAGAAATGATGTTGAGTTCGTTGCCACCAAAAATTTCAATTATGCTGTTCTCGATGAAGGGCATATCATCAAGAACGCCAATTCCAAATTAAGCAAATCTGTTAAGAGAATCAGAGCTGAGCACAGATTGATTTTGACTGGTACTCCTATTCAAAATAATGTTTTAGAATTGTGGTCGTTATTTGATTTTTTGATGCCTGGCTTCTTGGGAACGGAAAAATATTTCCAGGAAAAGTTTTCCAAGCCGATTGCTGCTAGCAGAAACTCTAAGACTTCTTCTAAAGAACAGGAAAAGGGAGCGTTGGCATTGGAGGCATTGCATAAACAAGTCTTGCCATTTATGCTTAGAAGATTGAAATCTGAAGTCTTGAACGATTTGCCGCCAAAGATTATTCAAGATAGATATTGTGAATTAAGTGATATCCAGAAGGCTTTGTATAAAGATTTTGTTAAAAAAAAGAAAAATGTTGTGGAGGAAGATTTGAAAAACGCTATACAAACTGATGAAGGTGAAGGAAATGGTAAACAGCATATTTTCCAAGCGTTGCAATACATGAGAAAATTATGTAACCATCCATCGTTGGTTTTAAGCTCAAATCACCCAAACTATATGCAAGTTCAACAGTATTTGAAAGATTCAAAGTCTGATATTGATGATATTAGACATGCGCCTAAATTGTTGGATTTGAAGAATTTGTTGATTGAATGTGGTATTGGGGCTTCTTCTTCTTCTGCTTCTGGTTCTTTGAAGAAGCATTTATCTGAGAAGCAACAAAAGCAGCAGGAACAACAACAATTGCTCTCTGATGGTGTTATCTCTCAACATCGTGCATTGATCTTTTGTCAATTGAAGGAAATGTTAGATAAGGTTGAAGAGGATTTATTGAAAAAACATTTGCCAAATGTTACTTATATGAGACTTGATGGTAGTACCGAACCGCGTATGAGACAGCAACTAGTCACAAAGTTCAATTCCGACCCATCAATTGATGTATTGCTCTTAACTACGAGGGTTGGTGGTTTAGGCTTAAACTTGACTGGTGCTGATACTGTTATCTTTGTTGAGCATGATTGGAACCCTATGAATGATTTACAAGCTATGGATAGAGCACACAGATTAGGTCAAACCAAGGCAGTCAATGTGTATAGATTGATCACTAGACATACACTTGAAGAAAAAATTATGTCATTACAACAATTCAAGGTTAATGTTGCCTCTGCTGTTGTTAGTCAGCAAAATAATAATTTAAATTCTATGGATACTGATCAATTATTAGATCTATTCGACGTCGATGATAAAGATGATGGCCTTGGCAGTAATGGTGGAGAAGCTGAAAAGAATGGGGACGGCGAAGATGGCCCTATTGATGATTTAGGATTGGGGGGTAAGGCAAAGAAGGCACTCGGTTCCCTTGCTGACATGTGGGATAACTCCCAGTACGAAGATGAATATAATGTCAAGAACTTTGTTGATAGATTGGCCTCTAGAAAGAAATGAGCAATCCAGGATCACCAAATTTTTGTTTCGTCATCGCGATATTTTTTTTTTCCTTATAAATTCTTTTTATTGAAACCCCATGGATTTACTTTTATTTTTGATAGGTCTAAGGGTAGGACTTTTGAAATGTAAAGAATGTATTTTTAGTCAATTTATTTCCAGTAATATAAATATTTTTTGCAAAGTTTACACTTTCTTTGGTTCATGTAAAATCTTGATCACTATATCAATACACTTAGGTATCACAACGCAAATGGAAAAAATAACAGAACTACTTCATAACAAAATATACAAAAGCAACAAAAAAAAAATAAAAAAAAAATAATATACATTTTCTCCTTCATTTCATCTCCTCATTCTCCTTCATCAGGAACCTCAATCTTTTGTTTCTTGGTGTCTTCATTTTCACCTTCTTCTCCCTCATTTTCACGCTTTCCATTTGCAATCAAAATTTGTAGGTTATTCAATAAATTGGCAGCACTTTCCTTATCAGGGGTGTCTCCAGATATATCGGTAACGGAATTAGATTTTTTAGTCTCAGTTTTTGAGCGCTCGCTTTTGTTACTTGACTTTTTATGGGATCTAATATTATATTTGCTCATCCATTTTTTCATGTAATCTTTTGTGTAAACTTTTACCTTTTTAATTTTGTCTTCCTTTAGTTCCTTCGGAGGTCTGAATGTAAGGCCATTTCTCTTAATTTCCTTATCTGATAATATTTGAACAATATCCTTGGCACAGGCTTTAAGTTTATCTCTTCCAATTTCTGCTTCATATTTTTTAATCATATTTGGAACATAACCAGCGAACAATTTCGTCCATACTTTCAAGGCCACCTCATAATCCATTTTCTTAGGTATAGGTTTCTTGTTGGCCCTTGGATCTTTCCCTTTTTTCTCTTTTTCAAGAGCTGCTTCTTCCTGCTTCTTTCTTTCCATGTCCGCCTTCCGAGCATCTTCAATGATCCTTGAAACTGTCTCTTGTTGTTGGGCGATTTGCTGGAGTCTTATCTCTTCTAATTTTTTATTTTCATTCTCAATTTGTTCCTTATATTCTCTAAACCGTTTGTCTTGTTCATCATCATAATGAGAATTGGCACCATAATTGTCATTTGTATATCCCTTTTTACGAGGTGCAAAGTTTTGGGTATTTGGTAAATTGTAGACAACGTTATCCTTATAATTATTATAACCATTATTGTCTTTTCCTCGTTTGTTGTTTCCTGTATAACTATTGTTATATTTTCTATAGCCGCCCTTATTATACCCATTATTGCCGTACCCATCATCGTTATACCCATTGCTACTATAATTGTAACCATCATTATAATTGCCATATTCATCATAGTTTGTCTGGGCCTTGTTATAATAGTCACCATTTCCATTATTATAATAGTCATTATTGTTCTGTTGTTCTAAAGTTGTCTTATCCTCTTCACCATAATCAGCATCTTCGCCCTTTCTTCTACTGAAGTTGTAAGTTGGGATAGATCCATTGCCATCAGCAGCTTTACGAATTCTAAAAGCCATTTGCAATTTATTCCAAACACTAAGCAATTCCAGAGTTTTTTCATGAAGCTCATAAAACTTGTACGGCTTTATGTTGCCAATATCATCTGTAAGATTACCTTCTGAATATTGTTCAGCCTCTTCCGAAATGCTTTTTATAACGTCCTCGATTTGTGAGCTCGTGATCTTGTTTTTACTCATAGCAGGCCATCTCAATAAAATCTCAACCATTTTGTATAATGTGTTGAATTGAGAACTCTTCCGTCTCCACATTTCTTTCATCAAAGTGGAGAAAGTCTTGTAGCCATGCATCCTGATGAGCAATTTATTGATTTCTTCATTATCAGCCAGATTTTCAGAGATATAAATTCTATCAATAAGTTTATCGACAATTAAATGCTCCTGATTTGGTAACATTAAAGCACCCATTAACTTTGGAACATCAACCGATACTAAAGGCTTGATAGGAACCATGGAAATAAATTCCTCATTGATGTTGGATTCATTATTATTGACCTTAAACTTCTTATTATTCTTTCTTTTAGATTTGACCCATTCCTTTTCTTGTGATCCTGTTATACCCAAAGCATCAGCTAAAGCTTGTGGCAATAAGCTAGCTGAATCTGTCTGAGTTTTACCACCTAAAAAGCCAATACAATTTGATTCTCCGCAATAGCATGGTTGAGCAACGGCACCATATCTATCAACATTATAATCAAAACAAATTTCTTCACCCTCAATAATATCTCTTTTGGCAAAGATCCCCATTCTCAACTTGTTGCCCACCACCCACTTATCGACGTAGGCATTTGGGCTACAAGAATGATTACAGAACCTTGCCAAGCATCCTTTTTTGGTGGCATCAATGAACTCATTCTTCTGTAACATCATGAAATAAAAGTGTTTGATGCCCTCTCTGTCATAATCCATCATTCTTTTCTTAAAATTCTTCTCATCTATGACTTCGCCAATGTATTCATAAACAAATTGGCCTTGTGCCAAATCTGCCTCCGCACGCACACCATAACCTTTTTTTTCTGTTTGGAAGACCGAAATCTTAGAATACTCTCTATTCTGGAATCTTTGATTACGGCACTCGGGGCCACAAGTATAACAATGAGTGTCTATACACTCCACTGAAGTTAAACGATTTATACAGTCGGAGTTCTCTCCACAGGCAACATTTTGACCGTCAATAAATTTCTTGGAACAATCACAAGTGATGGCTTCTTCTTGACCACTTGAGCCGATCAGTTTATTTAAGTAGGTACAGGACTTTAGTTGGCCAAATGTTGACAAAGCCTCATCTGTCCTGTCCTCCTCGTCAAAATACAACTGTGGGCTTGTAGGTACATCTTTTTGTGTCGTAGTCATTTTTCTGGTTTTATTTTTTATTCAATACCAAAACTCTCAGCGTCACCGTTTCAGGCAGAGACTATGTTTCTTTTGAAATATTACCTTTAAACAGAGTTACTCTATTTTAATAGCTCGATTGCAGTTGATTACGGCCAAATGTTGTTGTTTTTGTTTTTCTTTTTTTTCTTCTGGTTTTTTTTGTTTTTATTCCATCATACAGTTTTTTGATTCCTCAAAGGATTTTTCCAGTAAATTTCAACCCCATATGAGATTTGCATGCACATGCATGGGTACATCATATATTTTCTGCAGTTATACATTATATAGCCACCAATTACTCAAAGATCATCATTTTCTCCTAGCATTCTTAACAAGAGCTTCTGAAGTCTTTTTCTACCTTCGACATATTTCCACACCTCATATCCGGAGTCCGTCAAGACCCATTCATTATGGGAATTGTGCGACAATTTCGTCAATTCCCTCTGCCAATTGCCCCAGGTCAATGACTGCTTAATCAAGAACTTAGAACTTATCACAGAAACCTGTTTATCAGCATCATCCAAAGCATCCTTTGATATCAAGATGTCATTGTATGAAAGAATACTCGCAGAAATTTGTTCTTGTAGCCTGGCTCTTAAGTATTTTCCCTGGAGATGCATATCTCTTCCAAAAATCCTTTCGCTTGATCTAAATTGATGAAAAATTAAATTGTAGAAGTTCATCATATTTGCCGAAGAAAACACACCCTTCAACCAAAGCTTTAATCCATATCTTCTGTTTAATTTTGGTATTTCTCTTGGCAAAATAGCATCTTTGCTCTTTGAGTGTTTGAGGGGATTTGGAAGAAGCAATTCTTCAGACCAACCATCAACTAATAACAAAGAATGAACTTCATGGATGTGTCTTGTGGCAAATACTCTAGCATACAACCCACCAATTCCTTGACCAACCACTAAAAATGGGCCTGTAATATTTTGCTTCATCAAAACAGAAGACAACAAGTCTGAATTTATCCCTAAAGAGTACGGTGATGGCGATGAGTCTGAAAATCCGTAGCCAGGACGATCATAGATACAATATCTGTGGACCTTGTTTAGCTGGTAAAGCTCCTGTAACCAAGAGACAAATTCCTCACTTGAGTCATGACCAGACTCCAAAAGAACAATAGGTTGATCATTGCTATCTTCTTTGTCACCATAGACGTCACCTTGGCAATATAGATGGATCCTATATGTCTCATCATCTGCGAACACCAAAGTCCCCCAAGGTTTAGAAACTGCGGAATCTATACATTTTAAATATATATTCAAGCTGATACTCGCAATGTAAAGAATCAACAATACCTTTAAAAAAAACTCTAACCCTATCAGGAGGTGTTCCTTAAGCGTTTTTCTAGTTTCTATTCTTCCCGTTAATCTAACCTCTTCGCCTCTCTTTGCTATCAAAACGTGCTGGTTTGAAACAAGGTTGAGTCCAATAGAAAACAATGAGAAAAATGAGGCGATGTACTCTGATTTCCCATGCTGACTTCTTTGATATGGGACAACTAAAATCATAAACAAATCCAAGGATATCAATATTAAACCAGCAATATTAAATAGGTAATCAATTTTCAAATCTGATGGGGTCAAAAAGAACACATAAGACAAGAAATTCGCATATAAACTGATCAAGATGAAGCTGAACTCGAAAAATGACTTTCCACGGCTGTCAAATCCTGGAATGGAAACAAAATAAGAAATTAGCGAAAGCACTAGCCAAATCACGTTGAATACCAATAGCAAATGAAGGCAACCCCTCAATATCTTAACTTTAGTTACATTAAGAGGTGTCACTCTAGGATCATCAGGTGAAAGTAAAGGCTGGTTTTCCTGATTTCGCGTAAGGTTTTCAATCATTTCACTATTTACTGAACTTGAGTCATCTGCTTCTACTTCAATCTGGGGAGGCGATGATGTTTTACTTTGCTGAGGATTAGATGTCAGACCTAAAACTCTTCCATGAGATCCGGCAGCATCCTCGATTGCGCCATATGATTCATTCATGTTTCAGTTGTTATTTGTCTTGATTGTCTCAATAATGTTATATAAATCTTTGATTGCTATGTTTTTTTTTGTTTTTGCTTTTTTCTGCATGCAGCAAAGACCCACTGATGCGGGTCTGTTGTTGAAGGTTTCGAAAAAATTGCAAATGTTTATTGTTATCTTTAAATATTATCTAAATGTAGCATTAATGAATTATAAATTGGGGCAAAAATTAAAAACGAAAATTTAATAATAACAAACACGAATTGAACTTTGAATACTATGAGCAATAAAAGTGTGGATGAATGGTGAGGCAAAACATGATACAATGCAGTTCACACTATCCTCTAAGCATCACTAAATAACAATAGTAGTAATGGTAGTAGTAATAATAATACAAAAAAAAAATAATAATACAAAATTGAATTGAAAATTTTTAAAATAAAAATCAACCTAAGCTCTTAAGAGAAATGAGCCGGACGAGCTTTTTGATCTAATTGATCCATTTCTAGATCCCATGGAACCTTTAGGGGAGGACGCCCTTCTTAAAGTCAAGTTAATTGAGCTATGAGATAGATCACCAAGTGTGTAATTCTGATTTACCAAGGCAACTCTGGAAGGAGAGGCAGGAACATTCCTAGAAACGCTCAACTTAATTTCATTACCACCAATATATGATCTCAAGGAGACTGAATCATTCGATCTTTTGCTTTTAGAGCTATGTGGTCTATCGCTTTCGCTGCTACTCCCGTGGGTTCTGTTTGCGTTGATAAATTGGGGGTTATAGTTTATACTTTCACTAATAGCGTTGAGATTATTCTGAGCATCCAAATTTGACTGATAATGATGTCTTAAGCTTCCGTGAGCTGGACTGCGATTTCCCGATTTATTGCTACCAACTTCAGAAATAGAGGAAGCATGAGCATTTCTTTGATTATTTGTGATGGTTCTTCTAAAATCCGGTGATATTGTTGAAGTTGACTCAGTGATATTACTTGGAGACTCACTTCCGGAAGTATAATTGATTGGCAATTTTTGTAGATTAATCCTGGCGACACTTGAAGTCATATTGACATGATCACTGGACCTTCTAATAGTTTCCTCAATTAAACTATCAAGTTCGCTATTCGCTGTTATGAAACTGCTTGTGCTGTCAACGGACATGGTTCTAGTTTTGAAAACACTAGGGTTCATGAGGGAAGCGGAGGAAGCATCCATAATTTCATCGGAAGGGAAATTGGTATTCCATTTTGAGCCACTAACAGAATCATTCCTTTGTTCCGCAATAGGGTTGTCTAGTAAGGAATTTTGTAATCTGTAATTAATCCTTTGATTCACAATCTTCTTCATATATTGTCCCCAAGCTTCGTATGATTGCCTGTTATTATCTTGAACACTTGAAGAGTTCCCAGATGATGAATTGCTTCTTTCGGATCCTCCACGTCCACTACTTGTTGATTCAGCCACCGTAGATCCTGTGTATTTGCTGCTGCATAAAGAAACAGGAACAGATTGATGGCTGGCTGAAGACGGATTTCTCTCCACGTTTGTACTTTTATCATGGTTTTCATTAGCAATGATAGGCACAACAACTCTTTCTATTGGTTTGGCGGTATCAATTAATCTGACAGGCATGTCTTTTTGAGGAGATTGTGTAGCGGCTTCACTATTTCTCGGCAGCAGGTTAACAGCAGGGCTTGGGGAAAGGAATTTATCTGAAACGATATTAGTAGCAGAAATCGGTTGATAGTTAATCAAAGCTTCCAGAGAATACAAAGCAGGCAGGGGCAGTGGTAAAGAAGAATCATTGGATATGGAATGAACTTTAGAAATCCTCTGTGGTGGTGGTGATAGTTCACCAACATTAGGCTTCTTAGATTCAGTAGTAGGAAACTTAATTTTTTCCTCAATATTTTTATTATCCATGTTACCAACTTTCGTTAATGATTCAACAGATTTAGCAGAAACTTCACTAGCACTCATTCTGGCACTATCAATAACATTTCTTCTGGCATAAAACTTTTCTTTTGAAGAAATGGTGGTCAAAGATGAATTTGAAAATCTTCTTTGATCATGTTTTGATTTCACTGGCGCAGGAAGGCCTAAGCCATTATCACCGGCTAATTTTGCTTGGATCATGGCTTGAATAGCCATCGGGTTGAAGGAATCTAATTCGCGTTGCAAGTCAATCTCATCCTTATCACTTATAATATAATCTGGATTAATAGCACTATCCTTGTTCTGTTCATAAATATCAGAATACCTCTTGTACTCATCTGCAGAAATATTGGTAATACGCAATTGGAAATCCTTGTGAGCAGCACTGTCACCATCAGTTTTCTGAGACTCCACACTTAGAGTTGCATTAGTATTAATTTGAGAACTAGATTTCTTAGCCAGTGTACTGATTAAATTATTCGTCACACCAGGAGACACTTCCCTATTCGCCGTAGGCTCCGATTCCGACAATGTATCTTTGTTGGCTGTACTTTCGGAATTTTCAACAACTACGCACTTCTTGAAGGATGAGCCTGAAGACTGAGAGGTTATGCCTAATCCAGCACTCGCAAAAGGCACTAATTCTGTTCCAGAGGCATTAACACCGAATTTATCTCGAGGTAACTTCACGCTACTGACTGAAGACCTCTTACTTTTCGTGGAAATAAGAGAAGACCTTTTACTGCCGCCTTTAAGTCCAATCTTGCCACCACTGAATAAGCCACTCAAAATCATTCTCTTCTGTCTCCTTTTTTGAGTATTGGCACGGTCAAGCAAACCTTGTCTATCAGAAATACTAGTATTCGCCAACTCATCATTCAATTTATCATCAATTGAGACTGTTTTGCTTTTCCTCTTATTTGACTTTTCAAAATCATCGGCAAAGCCGATTGGAAGAACATCAACTTCTGGAGAGTATTTTCTAGAATATTGCACCTCAGCAAATCTGTAATCATTAGCAGTGCTTGGATTGGTAGACGATGTTCCCGTAGGATTTTCTTTTCCAGACGTCTCGAAATCAATCTTCTTTTTGCCTTCCCTATGAGCAGAGGCACCTTCTAACGAACCTCTATAAATCAATTCACTACTCGTGCTCAATCTCTTTGAAGCTAGCGCCGCAGTCACGGCAGCATTATCCAATGTATTGCTCATGGTGCTTATGCTGGTTTGGGCTTTTCTTTGTTCACGAATCTTGGCATTGTGGACATCGGCAGCTGAAGAATCTGAGCCATAACTATTTGGAATCTGCGTAGACATCACTTTTTCGGTGCTTGAAACAGGAGGAGTGAGATTATTAGAAGAGCAGCTATATCCTTCAAAAGCAAATTTATCAAGATTGTCACCAGAGGCTCTTGGAACAGATTCTTGAGTAATAGGAGGAGTATAATATGCTTCATCTTCGTTACTGGATGTACTAATTATAGATCGTCTCACTAAATCCGTCGACAGAAAATTGGGGGAACCAGTTGATTCAATTTCTTCCCTAAGAAGCATCCCCATTCTGATATTTGGGTTCCTATTGAATTGCTTGGTTTTGTTTCCCCTTGGAAACTCATAAGTAATTGGAGAGTCATATTTGTTGGCACCTTTGGAATATGCTATGATATTCTGTTTAATAATTCCTGGGGCTTTCAAGGTTGCTTGTGGCAATCTTGTGGACGATTTCTCACCACCGGCAATAACAGAAGCTTTTGGAGAATCCTTTTGGGTAGAAGAGCCAGCATTTGAATTGTTACCTTCTTCACCGGGTTTTATAATCAAGGCTTCAGAAGTAATATCATTATTAAGATCATTTGAATCTTGCTTCATAATAGCACCAGCATCAATGATATTTTTTATTGCCATACTGTTGTGAGTAGAAACCCTGTTAGAGCCTCTCTTATTGAAACCATAGCTCAATCCATTATTGTTCCAAGTCTCGAACTCCAAAGATGGGGTTCTCAAAATCAAATTCTGTTTATCATTCCAATCTGTACATTTGACTTGCGATTTCAATTCAGGATTCAAGCGCAACAATTGGAGGAATAATTTCCGGTTACCCATCCCTTTCACAGGGCGCATCTTTTTTGGTTTGGCATGATTTAAGGAAGGAGAGCTAAGTACTTTTGAATTTGTAATTAATTGAACACTATAAGCACTAGAATTATCATTGATGATTTCCTCAACATGCTCCTGCGATCTATTGGATTGTTGATGCTGTGGATCACTTCCCATCGACTCCACATTATCATTTTGTAATTCAATAAAATTTTGAAATTTCTTAGGAAGAACAATGTTTTCGTTACTCATTTTTCTGATTTGTTGCTTGATTAGCTTTTTTCGTTGCTCTCTTGATAACTCAGAGTTCTTCTTCTTTGATTTTCTGTTGAATTTTGGGAAAACAAACTTTGCCTTTTGCCTTGTAGTTGCCAGTCTCTGCAAACGTTTTGTTTTCACTTTGTAGTCTTTTGAGAGAGGTGGCACGGGGATAGGTAGACCATAATAATGATATAAACTATCTTGCGAAATATTGTAACCGAAGGATAAAATGTTAGAAGGAACAATATCATACTTTATTGATGGAGCTCTCATAACATAACTCATTTTCCGATATAGCTCATCTTTGCTACTATAAGCAGCCTTCTTGGTATATCTTTTGCTATTTCTTTTGAAGAACATGTACTTATGCTTCTTTTGCTTTTGAAAAAGGGTATTGGATCTATGAGTAGAATCATTCGATTGACTGATTTCTCGTACTGTGCTGCTATGACCTTGACGAGGGCGCAATGTAGAGTTCTGTCTAGCAATAGAGTATGAGTTTAATTTTCTGTACGGATTTTTTGGATTTCTCTTCACTGTTGAGTTTCTTCTCATCATTGAGTTGGTTTCAAATGCAGTATATAGCGAACTAGGGGAAGATGTGTTTCCGGTCGCTGAAGCTTGGTCTGCAATACCGATCACTTGGGCACCATCAGCTGATTGTAGGATCATTGGTGCCAGTTGATGATGATTTTGTGCTGGATCTTTAGAGAATTGGCCTGTGGAAGTACCAGGTAGAAAGAGAGGGCTATCAAAGGATTTTTGTCGGACACTTGCTGATGTGTTAGACATAACACTGAATCTATTGGCCGAAGATGGGACCAAGTTTCTTCTAATAGTGTTTGGTATTTGGTTTGGAGAAGACGTACTGTTCGTGACAGGCGTTGTCGTCGTCTTCCCTTGAGAGGGTGGTCCGCTATTATTGTCTATATTTGACATCACTTTGGAGTTTTCCTATTCGCGTTACTCTAGATGACAAGGTAAAGTTTGATATATGAAACAAAAGAATAGCAGGGAAACAATAAGATTTTTTAATTATAAAAGTCAAAGAAGAGCAATTGGGGGAACAATCATCATAAAAATAGAAAACATTGGTAGATGAGCGTCCACTGGTAACTACTGCCCTTGATGCTGGATCCAGCTCGTGTAACCAGATCCCCAGCGGCGGGTTGTAGGGTGTATATTCCCAATACGGAAGGCCGGCAGTTTCTATGGGGGTGTCTATCAGGGTATCCATGGTTGATTTGACACACCCACACACCTGGTTTAGAATGGGTAAACATCCGGACATATGTTTTGTATGTCGGGTAAGAGTTTGTTTTTGGTGTTTTATTTTATTTTTTTTTGGTGAATTTTGGTTTAACGATACACGCTTTTCGCTTCTCTGTTGTTGTTTTTTTTGGTCACTATTTACTGTTGCAATTTTCAAGGCCTGTCTACCAATACGCAATAAAGAAATGTCAGACTCTGCTGCAGAAACCCCCGAAGTTGAAATGAAGGACATTAAGGAGGATTTAGAAGAAGAAGAAGAGATACCTCAAACAGAAGAACAAGAGGAAGTGTCTATGGCTGAAGATGATGCCGCTGAAAATAATGATGTAGAAGACGATAAACACGAAAATAATGAAGGCAAAAATGACGAAGACAAAAATGATGAAGATGATAAAGTGGTGGACTTGGGTGAGATCTCTAAATCTATCGAAGAGAAAGCTAGACAATTTTTAGCCAAACAGACCAGACCAGTAATCATTCCCTCTTTTGCAGCGTGGTTTGACTTGAACAAAGTTCATGAAATTGAAAAAAGATCATTGCCAGAGTTTTTCACCAATGGCTCGAGATTCAAGACAGAGAGCATTTACAAGAATTACAGGGATTTCATGGTCAACACCTACAGATTAAATCCGATTGAATATTTGACAGTGACTGCTTGCAGAAGAAATTTGGCGGGGGATGTGGCTTCAATAATAAGGGTTCATGCCTTTCTTGAACAATGGGGTATCATAAATTATCAAATAGATCCAAGAACTAAGCCCTCATTACCAGGCCCTCAATTCACCGGCCATTTCCAAGTTTCTTTGGATACCCCTATGGGCATCCAGCCTTTTATTCCATTAGATCCTACGGAAAAAGTCATTAAAAAATCAACTGGATCAGCATATGCCCAGCTTGGCAGTGATGATTCTACACAAGAGAAGAATAAAGATGATGGTGGTTTATCAATCCCATTGAATTTAGAAATAAGAAAAGACATTTTTGACTCTTCAGAAGATGCGTTGTTGTTGAGAGAAAAGGAAAGATTACAATTGACTAATAACGGTAATAAAATTTATATATGTAGCACTTGTGGCAATGACTCGACTGAAGTCCGTTATCATAATTTGAGATCTAAGGCATCTATTTGTGTTTCATGCTTTGAATCTGGTCATTTCCCGTCCAATTTCCACGCTGCAGATTTTATTAAAATGATTCATAAGAAGACATTGACTAATACGGGTGGTTGGAGTGAGCAAGAAACCTTATTGTTACTCGAGGGCATTGAAATGTTCAATGAAGATTGGGATAAGGTTGCTAATCACGTTGCCACAAGAAACAAAAGACAGTGTATTGCAAAGTTCTTACAATTACCGATTGAGGATAAGTATTTAAACAAAAATATTTCAAAGAAACTTTTGAAAGGACCTAAAATTGTCAGCAAGGGAGATAGTATCTTTAAGCATAAAGAAACCGATGCTGTGCTACATACTATAAGCTTTTTGCTTGATAAACTTGATCCAGAATTAGCAGCTACCACAACTAAAACTTTGCAAGAAGAGTTACTCAAGAAGAATCTCAATATCAATGAAATGTCTAAATCATCGGACTCAACCATTATGGGGGAAGCTGATGAGGAAATTATGAAGGCTGCAAAGGCTGCATTTGGCGTAATGAATTCTAATTCTATATTCGAACAATTGAAAGAACTAAAACAGCAGCAAAAGATTCTTAATCAAATTGCTGCATTGCAGTTGAAGAAGGTGGACTTGAAACTCAAATCTCTTAATCAGTATGAAAAAATTATTCACAATGAAAAAACTGAATTGGAGAATGAGAAGAAGAAATTGCTTATGGATAGATTATCATTTAGACGTCAATCATCTATGGTGAAGGATAAGGTTACTAATGCAATCCAGTTGGTTGCTGGTACAAATGGTGAAGTAAGTCAAGAAACAATTGCTAAATCAAATAGTCTTTTAACTGAGGCTATGGACGAAGTTAAAAAGCCAAGCAGAGTGGTTGTTTTGGACAATGTTCAAGAAGCGGGTGGTGAAATTGATGCAATCGACAACGATGCTGGTGTGGAAGATGATGATGACGATGATAGCAAAGAGAATTCAGCTATTGATGCTAAGATGAACCCTCTTTCTTTAGATAAACCACAACTATTCACGGTTTGGGAAAGTTAAGTTTAGATAGCCACTGGTCTTATGTTCTCAATTTATCTGGAAGAGTGTCTTAATATTAGCCAAGCCATTTTCCCGTGATACTGTTCTTTTTTTTTTTGTGGTAGAAAGAGGCAGCTATTATTAATTTCTTTCTTTTGTCTATATATGTATTTGGTGTGTCTGTGTGTGTAATTTCTGTACAATTAATAACTTTAAATGACCTTCTTATCTAACTTTTTTTTTCTTTGGCTTTTCCTTTTATTCTCCTATTATTAAATTAATTGAAACTTTTCATTTCCTTGTATTCAAAATCATACTTTTGAAAATCTACCTCTTGATGATAAGGCGTATGTGTAGGTACACGTCAAGTGGATACCAAGTATTTTATTGTAGCGCAAACGCCTTTGGAAAACAATTTACACTGGAAAACATTTCAAATGAACCATAGCTCTACAATATGTAGCTACTGCTACATGGAAATGTCAAATTTGGGGGCGCGTAAAATATTTATAATAAAAAGACCAAAATACAAGAAAGAGAAAAAATAAATAAAAAGTAAAAAATGGAAAATAAAGGTGAATGACTACAAATAAAAAGAAAAAAACAGAAAACAGAAAGAATAGGTAAGAACGAAAACGAAAATAATTAAAAAATCTCATTAACCATAATAACAAACAAAAATCCTGAAAACATTAACATTATTTACTTATATGAAATTTTAGTTTAGAATGATAAAACCGTTTCTTCCGCTCCAATGATGACCAGAAGAAATATCAATCTGGGATTCTTTACTGATATTGTTGGTTCATTTGATCAAAAGGTGGATAATTACCATATGCTTGATTTGGCATATAATTCATTGGCATACCTTGAGGTGGATAATGAGCCTGTGGATGTGGAGCTTGAGCTTGAGGAGCTGAGACTGGCACTTGTGGTTGTGTTACGACTGGTTGAGGAGTTGGTTGCTGAGTTTGGGCTGGTTGAGGAGCTGGTTCTTCTTCAGCTTCCTCGGCACCTTCTTCAGGAGCATTCAAGCATGCTTGAATCAAATTTTTGCCCTCTGGTTTAGTAACCAAAGGCTGTAATTTTGGAGTGGTAAAAGTGTAAACCAAACCAGTTTCAGAAACAACTAACAATAAAACTTGGGTTCCTGTTAAAACAGATAATTCGTAGGCTTTCTTCATGATACCGGCCTTTCTTTTTGAAAAAGTAATATGACGTCTTGATTTATCTTGGATGAATCTGATTTCAATCTTTCTTCTTTCTCTCTTTCCAGATGGGGCATCTTCATCATCATCCATGTCTGGACCTGCGTTAGATTCGTTCTTGATTTCTTCCTCCTCTTCAAGTTTTTGGGCTTCTAATTCTGGCATGATGATATTATAATAGAGTGTGGGAAGATATTGGCACAGTCAAAATATTAGCAGACTATCTAACAAATTTGAAGTTAGTAAACAAATTTAGGTAATTCATTCCGCATTTGGCTCCTTCATTATGTTATTGATCATATTTGGTCCATCGTCAATTGTCACTCAAAGAGGCATCGAAAAAAAACCAATGATAAAACATGTAGCAATTCAGCAAAATTCCAGGACTCATTCAATGGGATAGCATTGTAATATATAACTGATCTGCCACTTCGACACTGCTACCTCATCAGGAATTACCATTTTGGGTTGAGCATAGAAAAACTGAAACCAATGTAGAAATAAAAACAACGAACTTTCACATCACTAAAGGAGGTAAAAAAAAAAAAAGCATTTAGGGACAGTAGAAACCCAAACAGACCAATAGCATAAATTTTCTCAATAAATAATTTTTTATATTCGCAAATTGATTAACAGCTGTCAATATACGTACCTGCAGTTGTTTAGAAGTTATGGTGTGGGTAACGCGTAAAAGATAGCTTGGAAGACTCGATCAAAAAAACTGTAAAGGGATTACTATTTTCGTGGGAATTGCTTTTTTAAGCTACTTGGGCGGAGGAGGCCTTTTTTCAGAACAAACGGTAGGGCCACGGGGTTACGTAGTCACAAATTCGGGGGTGTTATTATCACGCTTATTTGCACGTGCTTGTCGATGATTTGACAGGCTCTAACCTTTTTGGATCCTATAACACTGAAAAGAGAGATTACAATGGGAGGCTTACAATCTTTCATTTCCTTCCTATGAATTTATTTCTTTTTTTATGTTCCCAGCTTCAAGCAGTGGCGGGAATTCTGTAATCCTCTTGCATGTCTGGAACAAAAACATCTTCACCAAATACCCTTCTATATACCTGAATCAAAAGATCTCTCACCTTAACCCAATCCCCAGTATCCTTCAAGTCCCCCCTTTTCATGAAAACCTCAAGCACCGATCCTAGTCTCACTCTTGTGGCAACTGCTAAATATATTTCATCTGCGTTCAATATCTGCTGTGCAGTTTTCCCAACTTTTTCAACGTCAACATCATCAGAGGTCTTAAAAACTTCTTTGGTGAACTTGCGCTTTGCCTCTAGCAAAATTTTGGTTTGTTCCTTCACTTTGTCGGTCAACTCTTTGGCAAGTCCTTTATCTTTCTCATTGATCCCATTCGTGCTTCCGCCCCAAAATGAGGTATCTGTTAACTCTTTGTATTGTTTCTCCAAAAAAGCAATTTCTGCTTGCTCTTTCTTGAATTCTTCAGGGTCAATTGTGTTTTCTTCTTCTTCTTCCTCTTCTTCTTCTTCTTCTTCGCTCGAATCTTCTCCTTCCTCGACACTTTCGACTTCTTCGTCCTGTTCATCCACACTTTCAACTTCTTCCCCTTCATCCTCTACCATTACGGACTTATTTTGAGACTCCTTTTTAGTTTTCTTTGTTGCCTTCTTTTGGGCAGTAGTAGCAGCTTTTCTCTTTTTCGGAGAGGCATCTGACTTCTTCTTTGCTACTCCTTTTTCTTCCTCTTCTGTTTCACTTGATATAGATTTCTCGGCAGAAACATCAAGAGCTTTTCCATAGCTTCCATTAGAGGCAAAAGCATACATATCCAAACCTTTGGCAGCTGCTTCAAAGGCTTTCTCGAGATTTTTTGACATTTTCTTTGGCTTGAATGCAGAAATGTTATCGACCGGCAAAAGCTGCAAGTCGTCGACACCAATCCATTGATAGGTATCGTCATGAAAAAACTTTACCAAATAAATACCATCATCATTTGTGTTTTCAGCTGTGTTGCTGGAGTTCGTGGCCGCTGTGTTGGCCAGCCTTCTTGATCGCTTTTTAGATTTTAACGATTTTGGCTTTATGTTAAGGATATTGGCTGGAGCAAGAGAATCTGGTAGAATCATCGAAGGCCATGCTGGATAGCCCTTGACTTTAGTAAGAACTATAGATCCAGGTTTAAGTTCGCTCATTTTGCTTTTTAAAGATTGTTGCTGAGTATATTGTGCGAAAGGAATTGAAGTATGAAAAATACGGAAAGAAAAAAAAAAAAAAAAAATAAAAAAAATATGGGAAAGTGCGACGCGTCAGCAGCTGAAAAACAACAGTGAGATAAGAATTGACACCCTAAATTAACCGTTCTTCACTGATGATGGTGGTAATATGATTATTTTGAATATCCGTTTTAAATGAATATATATTTATATAATGCATGAGTTTTCGGCGAGCCGCCTGAGTCATTATTTATAATTTTTCTACTATTATTGTAAGTATTACGTAGTTTTTATCAAAAAGCTTGTTAAATTGGAATCGTATCAATGGGGGAAACACCAGTTGATTACTGTCTTGAATTATTGGTCATCTTCCTCGATATATTATCTTTAAAGAGCCCTATTCACGAAAAGTTGGAAATTTTCTGATAAATGACGCGACATGGACCCTCCTTACGAAAAGTTGATCATAATTTACTATTGTTCCTACATTCAATTCTACTAAAGGAATTTTGCCTTTCAGCACATTTATAAGACTTAATTTTTCGTTTATTCAAACATCTTAGGGTTTACTTTTGTCTGATTTTGATTTGTTTCTTTTTTTTTTTTTTTTCAAAGAGACATCTGGTCATTTAGAACGTAGTTATTCCATTTGCATAGGTTCATTACGCGACAGTCTAGCTAGTAAACATATATATTATATAATATTGAGAAGCATCTGAATTTTGCAGGTTAAAAAAAATTATTGTTACTTTTATTTTCATTATTGCATGTGAACCCTTGAAACTTGTTAACCAAACTTGTCTCTCGATCTATCCCGTAGCAATCACCTCAAAATAAGTCAAAAGAATCTTCTCGAAAATTAAAGACCTGATCGCAAACCAGATATAGTAGCGTCATAATTCAACTATCTATTATTTTATATGTACGATTTATCATCTTTGAGCAAAGAAGAATTTTTTCTTTTTACAAAGGCACCAGTTTTTTTGAGCATTTACTATCATAAACACATTCTCTTCTTCTTTTTTTCCTCCTCAAGTTTTAATGTAATTTTCCAACTCTACCATGTTAAGTTTTTTTAGCCAAAGTCTTTAATTATTTTCTTTGAATGTGTATGAAAATATTGATGTTCAGTAAATATTATTTGTCTGTAATTTTCATTTGCTCCAAATATTCAATCCGATTTCCAGAAAAGGATATTGTCAAATTAAATACTATTTAGATCTAGAAGATAGAAAATCTGATACTTTTCTAATAGCCTCCTCTCTGTCTTAAAAATCAGCAAGAGATAATTTATAGCTATTGAATTGCCTATACGTGTATCCACGCTGAATTGAGATGTTTAATATAGACTTCTTGAACTGCAGGTGTGATTTCTGAAATTATTAATAATTTCACAATTTATTCTGTTATTGTATCGCGATTTTTAAGATCTTAGTGTATTTAAGAACCTTGAAAAATGTAAATGTTATTTATGTCTTTTATATATTTTAAGATATTGATAAAGCTTGTGGTATAATATTTAATACATCAAAATAATTTGCAAAGTACATGTAGGTAACTTTTTTTCTTCTTTTTATTTTCTCCACTTTTATATTTATGAGCTAACAAATCTTGCTATTCAATATCTTACAAAGTACAAAAAAAAAAGAAGCTCATACTGAAGGACATTCATATAATATTAGAAATTTTAACAAAAAAACAAATAATTCCAAGGATTCTTGAACCCAAACTTGATTTCGAGAACATATGAACTAGTCTCTTACATAATAAGGAATAATATATAAATGAAAATATGAAGAGTGAGACAATATAATTAATAGAGTTTTTATGTAATACTGAGGCAATAAAGAGCAGGCTTCTTGTTATGGCAAAGGAAATAGTTCTCGAAAATGTTCTGTAGTGGTTTACATAGTTCGAAAGCAACATACGCAATCTTAGGGAATTAATATTTACAAAGCTCCAGAAAAAAACCTCCAGAGAAAGATGGCGCGGAAGCTATAATAAATCTGAAGGTTACTTCATTTCTGAAGGGTTGATCAAACCTCATTGACTGGCTTTGTATTGCCTGATATGATGGTCGATGGATGGTCGCATATCGGTCAAGGTCACATGCAATTTTATAACAGAAAATATGCATCCGAGGGTTAGACACATGACCAAGTAGAAATCAATTTTTTTTTTCATCTCATCTATTGAAGAATCGGTTTATGTCAAATCTCAACTCCCAAGCAAAAGATATCCTCATACCAATATTCACAGATCTATTAAGATTGATTTTTTTCACTTTCGTGTCATATTAATTCAGCTCGCTAACTATGTCGGATAGAAGAAGAATCACAGGGCCAGAAAGCGCTCTTCCATTAGTATTTGCGCCAACTCCTAACAATCAATCAACAACCAAATCACCACAGGAGAAGACTAATAGCGGGATAAGGAACTTCTTCATAAAGACCGGGATTGTTTCTAATTGTAATGGGTCATGTTTTTTGGAGGTTGATAATACAACAATTATTGTATCGGTGTATGGCGCCAAACCAATTAGAGGCTCATCAGTTACATCAGCTTCATTCAGTGTAATGACGAAAGTTAGCAATAATTTGGAAGAATTATCTAACTTCACTAGCTCAGATTTGTCACATAGTAAGGAGGAGAAGGAAGAACAGAAACTAGCGAAAGAAGATGAATATGTTACCACCAACCAAATTGGTAAAACCCAACTTTCTTTGGTCGAACAGAAACTCTCTACTTACATTCAGACTGCATTTTTGCCATCAATACTACTTGAAAAGTACCCTAAATCAAGTATTGAGGTGTTTATAAATATCTTGACTAACGATTCACACACCAACAGTAGCTTATTGTCATTAATTACTTGGTGTGCCAATTGTACATCTCTCGCTCTCGTGGATTCAGGAATCGAACTAAAGGACATGGTATCTACTGGAATAGCGAAATTAACAGATGACCAAACCGTGGTTATCGACCCATCGTATTCAAATGAAGGGAGAAAAACTGTTGGCGGTCAAGAAGTGAGGGCCGTGGCCTCTTATATGAGTGTAACAGACACTGTTGTTGGACTAATGATTGAGAGCGAGGAAGGTGTCAATGGAGAAATGATTGAGAAAGTCATTGATGGATGTAATACCATGGCGAGAGAAATCAGAAGCAATATGAATGGGTTCTTGGTTAGTACAATGTGAAGATTTGAATAAAAATGTCGCTGTCATTAATTTTTTTTTTTTTTTTCCCTTTTTGTTTTGTGTATACTAGTAACAGTAGTGATATGAAGAGAAAAAACTATTATCGAGGCTTCTATTTAGAAAAATATAAGAAATCTATAAGAAATTTATAGAAAATTTATTAAAATTTATTATGTCAATTGTTATGCAAAACTAAGGCACCTGGGAAACGAACACTTATCCATCATCAAAATCGTAGACTCCTTGGGAGGGTGATATGCTAAACCTAATACTTTTTCAACTGTAATAAATTCAACCGCTTCCAATTTTAAATTACATAGTTTCTCCTAAATATGGAACTTTCCTTAAATGCGGAGACCAAAGGTGCAATAATACAGGCTATTCAAGCTGCCAAGTCATCAGAAGATCCAGATAAGTGACGCCAGAGTGATCGACCACAGGGGATACCAATATTTCCAATAATAGTAAGTTGAATAGAATAAATCTAAATTATAATCATTAGCACAAAAAAAGGGCAAATTTTATTCTATGAACTAGTATACAAATAAGAAAAGGAAACAAAAGAAAATAGCGATTCGTGAAAACACAAGAAATGTTTGAGCCAATGTCCTAAAGAAAAAGCAAGGATTCTAACGGGGATATTATTAAAAGAACAGAAGCGAAAAACTGACGGCTTGTATGGGAATAGATTATATCAATGCCATGATCCCACCAGCGACTACCAATGGCAAACTGTATAAAACAGAGCCTGGGGCACCTGCGCTAGTGGAGGAAGTGTTATTGGTGGAAGATGTTTCAATGCTACTGGCAGAGGAAGTTTCAATGGCGGTAGTTTCAAGAGCAGTTGATGTGACGACAACAGAAGAAGATTCTGAAGAAGAAGATTCTGAAGATTCTGAAGACTCTGAAGAGACAAGGATGGCGGTGGTATTTTGAGAAACGGTGGAAGTTGTAAAGCTGATCGAAGCAGTAGTGCTGGCAGTGACCATGGAATCTTCAGCATCATTGTTGCCGGAAACGGTGGCAACATTGAGGGCCAAAGAGGCAATATTGGTCAAAGTACCTTCGAGAAAATCAGACCCATAAACTGAGGCAAGGGAAATAAGAGCAGAGGTACCTTTAGCATTTTCAAATTCTGACACTAACATAAGGAGTCTACTATCAGTGGCAGTACGCAAGTTGGCCGAAATGACACTGAGATCTATTGGAATTGAGTATGAATAACCTGTGGAGGTGATGGTAGTGGTATCAGGACCATCAGCGACTACACGTTGGGCAAAAAGGGCAGCGATAATAGAGACGGTTGATTTAGAGAACTGCATCGTTGTAGATGTGGTGATATTAATTATTGGCAAAGAAAACACTGCGCTTCACGGTGATGAGTGGTTATTACGGGAGAAGAGTTTGTGTAAGCGATAAAAGCAGGGGCAGGCATTGTCGAGTTTTTATATATGTGTGGATTCTGGCGTGTACCTTACCGATTGTGCATTTAGTTGTAATGCCAAAAACCCACTAAGTTGCAATTGGGAGAAAAAATCTTCCTGATGCGCGTACGTTAGCGTAGCGTAATGCGCTCCCTCCCTCCGTCTGGCCCAAAGTAATAAGAGAATAAACCAATTGGGGGGCAAGAAAAAGAAACAGACTCCGGTTTGCTGCGACCACCACTGTGTTGTGGTAGGGAATACCCTGCTGCTCTTTTCCCCTTTTTTTGTTCCTGAATGGCTGTTGTGCGAGTTTCTTTTTTCCCAAACTTATCAACTAGTTCATTTGCTAAAACATTGTTGTTCAACATTTCATGCATTGTTTTCTGCAGCGCTAAAAAAAAAGAGCAGAAATGCGTAGTGAAAGGTAACCCATTTTGGGAAGCGTTAAGATCGAGTGGGTAACATCGAAATTAAAAAAACTTACAAGTTAATTTAATTTAGTAAATTAAGTGAAAAATGAGGCCACATTATCGAAGTGTGTAGTTTGACAAATACCGTTTTATTTGAAAAGAAATGAAAAGTAGATCAAAGGAACTGTGCAAAACCTCACCAACCCAACTTGGGTACTCGAACATCCTTCTTGAGTGAATTATATTGTAATACAACTACAGCAAAACTGTGACTGGATACATTGTTGTTGGGTGTTTCATAACTGGGTCTAGTGATGCGAGTGACATATCACATGGTCAATCTTGCATCCCCCCATATCTCTTTCGCAGAGTTCTATTAATTCAGTCAAGAGTTGCCTGTAACTCCAGCTAAATGAAACCAAGGAACATATTAGTGATTTCTCAGTGGGTACGATGATTGTTCAGGATTCTTCTTCTTCTTCTTCTTCTTCTTCTTCTTCTTCTTCTTCTTCTTCAATTTGTGTTTAAATTTTGATATTTGTTAGTTTTTGCTGTACTAATAATAACTATTGATGTATCTAATATCATGTGAGGCCGAACAGATTACCCTTAATTAACTTGACGCTTAACTGACCGCTGGGTATGGATAATAATAATAGATGATGAAACTATATTTTTCACTGGTGATGTGATGAATGGAAAATTGATGCCCCGATAGTACCCTGTTGTAGGTATACATACCAAAACAACGGGTCTAAAGACCAACTGTAACCCAGGGTAACAAGCGACGCTTCTTCGCGCACTTAACAGTATGCGTGGTATGATTGGAAAAATACTTTGTGCACACTGCAAGATGCTGCATGACGAGTTTAAGGTTATTAATCAACCTGGTCTGGCTGTCTAGTCTTTCTCTCTGTTTTAAGTGGTGTTTCCTCTTATCCACCTTAGTTGTTCGATGTCATTCTCAGCTTCTTTTATTTTCTCCTTTTCTTTGTTTTTAAGTGTTTTAATCGAATTTATGGAAAGAGCACGCTGAGGATGATCTGTCTTCGAAATATTTACCCACGCTTACATTTCATTTAGCAGCAAAACCCAATCCAGAGCGTAACAGTAATCAATCATTTTTGAGGTAGTTATATTACGGTTATTCTCAGGAAGGAAGCAACTTGCTGATGGCCAGACCGTCAATTTAGGCCCGCTTGTGAATCGGTAACTTGCCATCAATCTACAAACAGCGTGCGCAAGGTACTGTGAGTTCGCCGTTGGCATAATACTGGAAAAATTGTTCATCAACTGCTATAGAGATGAAATGTGTCTTTTTAACTTCCCTTACTTATCTGATGTACGAATTGGTCTCTCAACATGACAGGAATGTCTACCGAAGATACTAGAAACAAAAATGCCCTTATAATACAATACTTGATATATATATATATATTGAAATACTCCCTTATTCATGGCATTGCACCCAGTACACACTAGACTCATTCCCTGCCAGACTCACATGCTATCTAAGGATCTTACAACAAAGAGAAATTTCTCGAGGCCCGTAACCCCCAAAGTACAGAGAAATGAGTTACAGGATTTAAACTGGCGGATTTTCGATTCTGGAAAACTCATTTCCCCACTTTATAGAGCAATATGGACAGTTCGGTGTCACATTCCACATATTGTCACTGTTGCTAAAAAAAAAAGCATACAAAAAAACTGGCCACACACCCGGCAGTTTCAATATTGGTAAGCAATCCATCATCGCCACCCATGGCACCTGAAAAAAAAAGAAGCCCTATTTCTAGTAGCTTCTATTACTGGGAATCGTAACAAACTAGTTAGCTGTCATGTTTTTATAGAGCCGGAAAATATAAGTTCAAAGTGCAAAACACATTATGCATCTATCGAATGGTCCAATAGGTTTTGTGGACAATTAGCTGTAAAATCTAATTAGATTGCTGCTGAAAAAAAAAAAATACCGCAAAATATGTATTGAGTAAGAAAGAATACGAGAGGAAAAGGCTTATTACTGGCAAGTTGTAAGACAGCATCTCACTTTCTACCTTCGTTGGACAAGTAATTGACACTCAGATATGTGGTGTGCAACAACCCACCTGGGGCCTAATATAAGCCCTACCAGTGCAATGAAACAATAAAATACTGCCCCCTCCAATTGCCTCTAATGCCAAAATAAATCGCTGTGTGATTCTGTGATTTATTTAGGCAATTAGTATAGGGGTCACCCGACGCGCGTTATGTTGGAGTGTGTCCCCGTCTCACGTAGATTTTGCACACACAGTGGTTCCCCCCTCACTCTTCTCTTCTCATCTCACCTTGAATTCCTTCGAATCAATGACGAGCAAACATCACCAACAGGATAATATCTACACCATTCGATTACCCCTTTCCTGTGCTTTAACTCTGAATTGTATCTCTTTTATCAGAGCACCTGTGGAAAAAAGAATTATTACTGAAAAAACTCTTTTCTGTGTTGTATTTTTTTTTTTTTTTTTTCCCCCGATTTTTTTTGATGGAGTATTTTTTCGATAGAGTCTATACTATTATAAATCAATTTCTAGGCTTCAAAGAAATTCCAAGGTATTTTACTTAGGTAAATTGAAATCCTACTCAATAGAGTGCCTTATTATATTAGTATCAGTACTATTAAACATATTATTGTGACGGAGACTTATTAGCAGAGCTTTAGTTCATTAGGGAGCTCATTTATTCTTTACAAACACTTTTTAATGGGTGATCATGACCCAAACAAAGATAATTTTCATTCGCAGAATATAGGTCTTGAGAATGACTATGACCCTAGCTATGGAAACCCCTCCTTTAAAATGGCCCCAAAGATTAATATTGCCAACCAAAACATTCTATTGAATTCCAGTCCAGGTAGCTACTCCACGCATAACAGTAACGGACAACATGAGATCGATAACCGTGAATTGAAGGCATCTGACTTGCTCAATACTAAAGATCAAAATGATGGTAGGAAAGCCGATGATCTAGGACAAGGAAAGTCAAGACCTGCTTTTGTGGTGAAACTATGGATTATGGTCAATGACTCAAATAATTCAGAATATATTCAATGGGCAGATAATGGAAAACGTTTCAAAGTATTGAACAGAGTGAAGTTCATGAAAAAAGTTCTACCAAAGTATTTCAAGCATTCTAACTTTTCAAGTTTTGTTAGGCAGTTAAACATGTACGGATGGCATAAAGTGCAATATGTTTCCAATAATATAAGTGCCCCACATTATAATGAATTAAATGTGCCTTCCAGTAATGCCTCAAATCCTGATGAAATATGGTTATTTGAAAATCCGTATTTTCAAAGAGGAAGAGAAGATCTACTTGAGAATATTTCCAGAAACAAAAATGGAAGACAGGAGTATGGAGAAATGAATGTCAATTTGGTAGTAAACGAATTGAATCGTCTCAAGAATGCCCAGAATATTATTGCTGACGATTTGAAAAGAATCAAAAACGATTGTGGTGTGTTTTGGCAAGAAATGGCAATCAGTCGTCAACGGTACGATAAACAGAATGAAACATTGGGAAGTATTCTAAGATTCATTGCCTCAGTTTTTCAAAATAATCCTACTATTAATCCAAAGGAAATTCCCTTTGAAGGAAATATCAACGCTTCGTTGATGGCCGCTATCACTACCAATAATGACAGAAATCTGATTACCATGAATAGTGTGCCCTTACTAAACAATAGTATTCCGGCAGATCCAATGCCAGGCGTGGTGCGCGACAGTATCACAGCGCCACCTCATGCCCATTCTTATGATCGTATTGCTTGTGGTATGACTTTTGGAAATGCTCATTTGGACCACAGCTCAGTCAAACAGGCGAGCAATCCTGCCATTCGTAACACAGTACCTAACACTCCTCTGATCTTCTATCCTCCACACCCAGCAATGCACGGATTACCTCTGAATGCTACTCCAGCGTTCATTCCAGTGCAACCAATGATTGGAAGGATTGCTCAACAACATGCTATTCCAAACCAAGTTCCGATGAAGATTTTCGCACCAGGTGAGTATCCTCATCCAATCCCAGTACCACTTCCCGGTATAGCTCCTCTTGTTAATACATCCGCATCAGGCACCGCCACTTCAACAAATTCCATGAATATGAGCGGGAATGGTAATCCAATTACGCAAGGAAATTTGAATGATCTTGATGGTGATATAGACACATTGAATGGTGAGATGTTAAGAGCTCCTGAAAATACTAAGGACAACTTTATTATTCCAAAGGAAAATTTTCCAACTTCAAGTAGATTTGCCCCAAAATTCAATTCTAATCCACCAACGGTATTAGAATCATCTAATGGCCATTTAGATAAAGTTCCCCCAGCGGCCGTTGACTATGCATCTCTTGGTGCTGCAACCGTACAGAGACCAGCAGTAGTTGGCTTGAATACATTTGAAGCTAACCCAGTGGCAAAAAATTCAAGAGTAGAAAATCCTGCCATCATTAAAGTTGCTGGAATCATTCCTACCCCTACTTCGAGACCGGGTCATTATACCAAAACTGCTAGAGCTAATATTCCGACCGTTCCTATTCCGCCGAATATGATTGTAAATAATGCTGTTTCTTCTGCTCCTCCGTACAGGAGCCCTATTATACCGACCCCCGAACCTACTATACCTTTGAATCCAGGGACTAATAACCATAATTCTCCAGATTTTCATCTGTCACAACGATTAATGAACCCGACTTTAGAATCCTTGACATCGTACATTAACCAACAAGAGGAATCAATAAATAGATTGTCCAGCCTAATCAATCGATATATACCGAGTGATGGAACTCCGATCCCAATATCGGTAAACGCTACTCCGGAACCAGTGTCTCCTTCAAAAACAATCAATATTGCTACAAACATCAATGAAAGCAACAGTAGAGTCCAAGAATTTAGGCTTGATAGCTCGCTGAAACTAGTTGAAGGGTCAGGCTCAAGCTCAACAACATCCCTAACAGTCTCAGAGGTCAATATGGGAGATATACAGGGGCTTTCAACTTCATTGGCTACTTCTAATACCGATAAAGTAAGCACCGATGCTTCTGGTAGTGCTGGAAAAAAGAGACCTACGTTGGAGCTTGATGAGGATGATATCATTAGCACCGGAATGTTTAAGCGCTACAAGGGTTGATATAGTGGGGGTGTCTCAAATTTGAAATATATCTTCGTTATCCTAACGTTATCATTCAATTGGTGTCTCTCTGTGTTATTTTTTCTTTTATTTTTCGTTCGCTTGTTTATGATTTTTTTTTTTCATGAAAAATACAATTCCTTTAATGTTTTTTGTTCTTGGGCATGGTTCTTTAATGGTTTTTTTTCTATTTTCTTTTTTTTTTTAATTCTTCCTTTTTAATATGTGTTTTCGACATTCATACCTGTGTGATCTTTCAGTTTTTTCTCTCTTGTCTGTTATTCGTTTTAACTTTTTCTTTCTGTCTAATAACTCGAAGAACTGAAACTCTTTTATTACGTCTTGTATAATATTGCTTTTAATTACCTTACATTTTATTAAATGGAATACGATCTGCTTTTTCACAAGAATAGAAATAAAAAAATAACCGTAGCTAAGAGGCCAAAAAATAGTATAGACAGCCATTATGAAGTGCTAATCCCTTTGAGTCAAAATTTTTATATATTTCTCACTTTTTAATCGTTTCTTTCGTTATTAAGTTCATTACTAGCAATCAAATCAGTTTCCCTTCCAAAAAAATCACTGTTCCTTCTTTCGTAACCAAATCTATCAATACCTTCTTCATACTTCCTAGCAGTATAAAACTGGATTAACGCACGAAGAGCTAGTTCTTGGCCCTCGGAGTCCCCCATTTCGCTATCAATATCTCTACCACTTAGCCAATGATCTTTCAATTTCAAATTCAAGTTAATATAGATCAATGAAATAAGATCCATATTCACCGACTTCCACTTCTTCCCATTATATGGAATTATTTCCTTGAGAACTTTCAAGATGGACTTGTAGATAGAGTAATTATAAAAGGGACCAATAATAATCCGGAAAAGATCCACCGGTTGCTTTTCGGAAAATGTTACCAATCTTCTGGTTTTATTGAGGATTATTTTTTGTAAAATTTTGAACAAGTTATTAAGAATCAAGCAAAACCTGAGATTGAAAATCTTACCGGAAGTATCATAAATTTTTCCCTTGGGCTTTGATTCCCCATTCTCATCCTTCAATTCAGAATCAGTTGCCGCACTCAAGAAAGTATCTAAGCTGATATCCGGATCGGAAGGCGAGCCAGAGCCCTCAAGGCGACCAATCTGTTGTAATTGAACCGCTCTATAGTATTCATTAGTCAAATTTGGATCACTATCGAGTAAATTATCGTAAAAATAATAGCCCTTACTGGAGTCTGGCGAGTCCTTTTTGGCATCATGCGAAACTGATAATTTCAAGCATCTCTCAAAAAACCCATCCTCGAAGGAAATCTCATCATTAAACAATTTTTCTCTAAAGTTCTCATTTCTGATATAATTTAACAACAGATCAATAAACCCAGAATCAAATATCACAGTGCCCAAATTTTCAGCCTTCAAGATATGCGACATCTTGAACCACTTCATAAAAAGGCTTATCACCGACGAGATATTCTTTAATGTGACTTCTTTGGCTTTGATGATTTCAAGTTTTTGTTTAAGTGACTTTAAAGATCTTTCTTTATTTTTACTGGAATTCTTCGAGTTTTGGGAGTTATTGCTTTGAGGGTTCTCATTTTCACTGCTCTCATTTTCCAACTTTTCTTGTCTTTTTTCTTTCAAAATATTGAATTCAAAAGCATAATCATTACTTTTTATCGTCTGTACAAACACATCGACGACGGAGCTTAATGATGGGAATACCTCTTTGTAATAACTTTCGATTTTCACTAAGGTTCTGATCTGTGGTTCGTATCCTGGGAATTTTGAAATCTCAGACTTTAAATCACTAATATCATACTCATCACCACCATTATCGTATAATGACTCATTGTTGTCTTCATCGTCTTCGTGGTATTCCAAGTCATTGTCCAAAGAGAGACTGGTGGGATTGATGCTACTCTTCCAACCTCTTTCTTGCTGCATAAATACCACTCTTTCACTCCACAATTGTTTCTTTGCAAAACTTTCCACAACATGACTGGAGAAAATTTCACTACCTTCCTTGATACTATATGGCACATTACCATCTTTAATATCATTATTGATAGGATAAATGAAAGGAAACGCTTGATTAGTTTGGAATGATCTCTTGCCCTTACCATTGGCGGTAGGGACCAATGCCGGACTAGAATTTGGTGACGCTGCAGGGGTGGCAATATGAATCGTTGGCACCGGGAAAGTGTTATTGAGGAACTGGTTGTCCAAAGTTCTTGGAACTTCAATGAATTGAGACAAAGAAGAGTTGTTGTCCAAATATTTTGGATATGTCGGTTTTGGTGGCTCATAGGCTGGGTATCTTGAAGTCAAATCTTTGGAATACACATAATAATCCAATGGGAACGCATGAAGTTTTTGATTTTTTTTAGACTTTACTTGAGAGCCGGGGTTTGTGTTTTTATTATTAGAAGTCAAATTAGTGGCATTTTTGCCAGCAGCGCCATCATCATCATCATCATCCTTTTTAATTGGTTGATTATGATGAGGTCTCATAGCCCCATTTTGAGGTTCCACGCGGCCTTGAGAATCCTGGAAGTCGTCTTTGTCATTAAGATCCTTTTTAGTCTTGATGCAAAATTTCTCGGCTAAATATTTTTTCACCTTAATGAAATTCTTGATGTTACCAAACTCCACCATCATTAATTTATTTAGTAGTAGAATAACATTTCTAATCTTCATTAATGATTTATTATTGTATTTCCATTTTTCAATATATTTCACCAAATACACCATAATCTTGGTTTCCTCTAATACTTTCAAGAAATCATTTCTAAAGTCTTCAAGTTCGTCTTTTGACATTTTCCCATAATCTTTTGCTAATATATGATTTCCATTTACTGCTTCATCATCTAATTCAAAGTCTCTGTTTAGCTTATCTTCATAATCAACAAACTGGAAAATAAAAATGTTCAATATGAAATAAAAATTGGTCAAGTTCAAAAACCAAAACTCATTGACAACTTTCAAAGCTTCAATAATTTTTTTTGCACCATCTCTGCCATCATTAATGTTATCCGTATCTATTAAATATAAAACTTTGGAAAACTTCTTTATATTTGATGTCAATATTTCCAAAAATCCATTCTTTATCAACTTGTAGAAATACGTTCTCATCGAAGCCATTTGATGTTCTTTATCATTAGCAAAACCATAATTTCCAAATAACAAATACGTTAGTTGCTGCATGATTCCAATTTCCTTGTAAATGTAAACCAATTTACTGAGAATGATTTCATTGGTATTTGAAAGCAAGATTGAATTTTGTAACTCCAATACTGATTCAACTTCAAAACTTTCTTGACACTTGAAATATTCTTTTAGCTTCCCAATCAATTTACCAATGTATTTATCTTGCTCCGATTCAGGGTATTTACTGAGATCCTTATTATTAAGATGCTTGAAGAAAATGTCTCGATAATGGCCCAAATGACTGAATTCGTTACTGATGAACCAATCATCGATCTCTATTTCAAAAGTCTCATAATTCTTGTTGTGATCGAATGAAATAATCGACTTGTTCATGGATTTATTATACTGAAATATCAAGTCATGCAAATCTTCATCTTTAACTGATTTGCTTCCCTTGTTCAATTTTTCATAACCATTAATACCGTGGTTACTGGCAGCAATAAAGCTATTCAGCACAGAGAATTTTGACCCTTCCAATTTTGCGGAGGATTCTTCATCGTTAAATGAATCTTCTAAGAAGTTGTTGGCCGGTGATGTCAAATTGAATAATGATGATGCGGTGGAATCGGCAATGGAACCCTTATCAGAAAAGCGATCATCGAGTTCAATCATCCTCTTTCCTGTAAGATCCCCCGATAAACTGGAAGTAGAAGATGGCGATGAAATATACAATAAATTATCTTCATAATGGTCATTAGAAATCTGCAAGTCGTCTTTCATATTATCTGTACTATGAAACGCGATGGGATCAAGAATAATGCCATCCATATCTTGGGTAGAAAATTTATGACTTTTGGGAGACAACACCCCATTAACGGGAATACCCATATCCTCAATATTTGCCTTCTCAAACTCTTCTATTTCCTCTTGATTCAAATCATGATGGCCATCGTTTACAGTAAAGCTCGGCAATATCTCATCGAAACTCGACTTCTTGGGGCTCCTTATAGTGTTATGAAGGCTCATATTGAGTTCCCTGGTCAAATCAGGCGGCGACTCAATCTTATGATGATGATCACCCATATCTTATTTTTCGCAGTACCGTTTCCGATGAAATCCTTCCATTGATCGCAGCCCCAAGCCATCTCTGCCACCACAACTGTTATTTACACCGAAAAGAGACCCTTCACCGACCAGGGCACATACCCAAAAACGCGTCCTACGCCCACAATACCTCATCAAATATATTACCAATGATAACAGAAAAAGGCGTTTATTATGAAAAGTGAGACACTTTAGAAAAATATTAACGGTCTGAATGAGTTTTATAGCCGTGGCGGGGTGTCTATTATATCATTACCATTTCACAGATCATTTCATCTCACTTACCTAATTTATTATGCAAGAAAAAAAAAAATCTAATTTTTTTTCCTTTGTATCAATGCTGTGAATGAAAAGTTTCTCGAGGTCAAGGAACTTCTCAAAAAAGCCACACATTCATAGAAATCACCTTTATAGGAACGCTGTCTCCTTTGAGAAGATATCAGAAACAAGAGATCGAAATAAAATAAAAATGAAAGTTCGTCTGCTGGTAGCGAAAAAAGAATTCAAGAAGAATTCGGGCTTTGTGAATTTGAATGATAGTGAACATGAAGAAAGTGGTAACGAAGGTACATATTTGAATTTCCTAGAAGATAGTAGTGATGAAGAACCAAAGAAGAAACAAAAAAACAAATCGAATAAAAAGAATGGCTCTAAGTCTTCAAAGAAAAGAAGCCTAAAGCACGATAGTGATGAGGATGAGCCTGTCACCACAAAGAAATCGAAGAAGGATGAAGGAGAAGATGCAAATTCTGGTGAATTAGCGGCTAATCAAGATTTTATTGGGTTTGATTTTTCAGAAAGTGAAAACGAGGCTGATGAAGACGAAGAAGAAGAAGATTACAGTACCAGAGGTGATGGGAAAGTCAGCGTGAATAATCAATTTCCTTGGATTCTTAATCACGATCATTCTACACAAAAAGAGATTGCAGATTGGTTGAGTTTAGAGATTCTAGATTTTGTCAGTTACATTTCTCCCTCCAAAAAGGAGATCAGGGAGAGAAACGGATGTATTTCAAGGCTTACTGCCGCCATTGAAAGCTTCTGGAGAGACTCCCATGTTTACGTCTTTGGGTCATATGCGACAGATCTCTACTTACCACACTCTGATATCGATATGGTTATCAAAACTGACGATCCGGACTCTGGGTACTTGAAGGATAATCGTTCTTCTTTGTACAAGCTAGCAAATTACTTGAAAGGCAAACAGATTGTCCATGATGTGCAAGTGATTGCTCACGCCAAGGTTCCTATCATTAAATTGGTCGAATCAGTCTCCAATATTCATGTGGATATTTCTTTTGAGAGGTCTAATGGGATTGATGCTGCCAGAATCATTAAAGAGTGGTTGGATACTACACCAGCCATGAGGGAATTAACATTAATTGTGAAACACTTTTTATCCACTAGAAAGCTAAACGATGTTCATCTAGGTGGATTGGGAGGGTTTTCTACGATTTGTTTGGTTTACACTTTTTTGAAATTACACCCTAGATTATCCACCACATCAATGGATCCAATAAAGAATATTGGGGTGCTATTGATCGAGTTTTTTGAACTTTATGGTAAAAATTTTGGGTATGACAACGTTATTGTTGCTCCAGTGTGTAAAGAAAATAACGGTGCACCAGGTTATTTGAACAAGATGCATTATCCAGCTTTGCAAGGCAGAAACCCTTTCCAACTAACTATTCAAGATCCTAGTGATCCTGCAAACAATATCTCCAGGGGCTCGTTCAACATTAGAGATCTAAAGAAAGCCTTCACTGGTGCATTTGAGTTACTCGTGAATAAGTGCTTTGAATTGGAAAGTAAAACGTACAAAGCGAGAATTAATCAATCTATTTTGGGAAATATAATAAAATATAAAGGGGAGACGAGAGATTTTGTTGATGAGCGCGGGTTGGTTAAGAATGTTGCGGCTATAGAGAACCAGATTTTTTACTATGAGCAAGATGCCAGAAGGCCACTAATCAGTGACAGAACTACTGATTATGTCGACTTAGATGAAAGTGAAGATCAGACGAAAGATTCTGATGGTGATGGAAGCAGTGAAAGTGATGAAGACGAAGATTTTAGCGACGAAGAGGATGATGACGCTTCTCAGGATTCTAGTGATGATGAGGAATCGATGCTTAAGAAAATTAGCTATGATGATAGCGATAATGATGATAGTCATGTTACCATGGCCGGTAAGGCATCCCACGTATCGGTTGATAATCTCATGGGTTTAAGTGATGACGACCAACTGGCCAGCCAGGTATATAGTCCTTTGGACAAAACGATTGAAAAAAAGCCTGAAGGAGCATCGAAAAGTGCCAAACGAGACTATTGGTCTAGAAAGGGAAGCCTTGATTTTGGGCAAGGTGAGCAATGAGCACCCAGGGATATTCTACGATTGTAAATAATTTGTATTATAAAAATTGCACAATTCTATTCATCTATTATTCATTTGGTTTCATTTCTCATTTCTCATTTCTCATTATACGTCAAGTTTTAGGATCAGGTATATTATCATTAAGGTACAAGCTTAGTAGAGTATCGACAGTATCCTGTAGTATATCTATCAGTGGTAACACTTTCGCCCTTATGTGGTTTCTGAACGTAAAATCTACTGATTGGAAAGTATGGTAGTATAGATCTTTATACTCAGAACTTGATTTGGTTATGCCTCGTAGTCTAAGTCCCGAAAGGATGATCCGTTGGATGGTTAATTTGATTTTATTGGCCAGATCCTTTGATGCTTTCGAGTTCTCAGTGTTTGGAAGTACTACAGACGGGGCCCTATAAAGCAGCTTGGTTGGATCATTTCTTTTCTCCAAGACTTGATCTATTTTATCTTTCTTTTTATTTTCAGAAATCTGGGTGGGCTTTGGATCTTCACCATTTGTACTGTCATTCATCATCATTTGTTGGATCATTGCGGTTGTGAGGGCGTTAGAATTCGCATCCCCACCACCTCCTCCCAAAGACCCTCCTAGTGATTTCGAGCAAATATCATTGACTCTATCATAAACCCGCTGGTTGGTATTTAAAGGAGTTGCACATAAAGAATACCGATCATAACCATGCTTTTCAAAATAAAATAACAACATCACTGGTGCCGTCGAGGAACTGTTACGACTCTGGGTCTCGAGATTCTGCAGCAGGGCACTGATTAATAAGGAAATAGAACCAATACCACTTTTGAACTCACACTGATTCAAGATGTTGCTGATGAACTCCTGGGATTGTGAATTATTAGTGAAAACCCTGTACGGCTGAGCCCATGAGTTCACTAGTAATTCGGCGGGCATCACAAAGGTGTTGGTAAACGAAATGAAATTTAAAGCGGGCTGACTGGATAATATAAGGCTATAGTCCAGAAAAACATCTTCAGTATTATTTTTCAGAGAATTGGAAGTATTTTCCCATATCTGAATATCTTATATATATATATGTTAGCTGCTGCTTTGACAATCATGAGAAATAATAGTCAACTTACCAGATAATGTTAGGAGATCCGGCAAAGCCCGGTGATCAACGGATATATCGAGGGACAGAATGATCCGTAGTCCCATAATAATCTTCACCCTAACAATTCATATGACAATAAAGGTTTGGGTATGACAAAAGGGTCCTTTATTATTATCAAAAAAAAAAAAAAAAAAAAAATACATAGAAAGAAAAATAGATGCTGCTTCTCAACAGATTATAACGTTAAGAACCAACCCAACTTAACCAACCCAAGAAGACAAAATGAACCAGATAAAAGAAGTTCAACTGGGGAAAGCAATACCTTCATTTGAAATAAACTGTTCTAACATAGGACAAATAATATATAGGAATAGATAGGACGAATCATCATCACCATCATCACCACTGACACATGACCAAGCACGTGTACACGAAGCAAGCGGATCGCCGTTTTTTTTGTTTTTGTTTTTTCCCCCCCATCGATCGAGCGACCGCGTTATCATTTTTGTGTGTGCTGCTCTATATCATCACAAGATACATACCATCTTTGCAACATACCCACCCCCAATAGTATTATTGCACCAGTATTGGTTGTGGTATTTCTGGTTAGCGGCGTTTGTTTAATATAACTCTTTTTGTTTTTTCCCCATCTTTCTTTTTGGGTTTTCTTGGTTTGTGTGTGTAATTGAGTGGCCACATTATTTGGGAACACATCAGAAGAAGACTCCATCAGAAAAAAAAATAAAAATAAAAAAATGAATTCGATTTCTAAAGGAGATGACGTTTATTCGGTGGCAAGGGTTTATGCTGACGCTTGTACGAAAAGACCTAAGGAATATTGGGATTATGCCAAACATACCATCAACTGGAATGATGTGTCTTCATACGAGATCATCCAGAAAGTAGGCAGAGGCAGATACTCGGAAGTGTTTATAGGTACAAATATCGTCAATTCATCGCTATGTGTCATCAAGGTGCTCAAACCTGTCAAGATAAAGAAGATATACAGAGAAATCAAAGTGATCCAGAACTTGACGGGAGGCCCCAACATTATTGGGTTATACGATGTGGTTCATGATCCAAAATTGAAGATTCCCGCTTTAGTATTTGAATATGTAAAGAATGTGGAGTTTAGAACTCTTTATCCAACCCTCACCATTCCTGATTTGCAGTTCTATTTCACCCAGTTATTGATTGCCTTGGACTACAGTCATTCCATGGGGATCATTCATAGAGATGTAAAACCGCAGAATGTCATGATTGACCCAGTACAACGGAAGTTGAGGTTGATTGATTGGGGTCTAGCAGAATTTTATTATCCAGGAATGAATTTCAACGTTAGAGTCGCATCTAGATATCACAAGGGGCCAGAATTATTAGTGAACTTGCAACAGTACGATTACTCATTGGATCTTTGGTCTGTTGGTGCCATGCTTGCCGCCATTATTTTCAAAAAGGAACACTTCTTTATTGGAAGTTCTAACACTGACCAACTAGTGGTGATCAGCAAAGTTTTGGGCACCCAAGATTTAAAGGCATATTTAAACAAGTATAAATTGGACTTACCTAGAGAATACGACGGGTTGATTGGAGATTTCCCAAGAAAACCTTGGAAGAGTTTTATTAACAATAGCAACAGGCAGTTTGCAACCCCTGAGGCTATTAGTCTAATTGACAAGCTTTTGAGATATGATCACCAAGAGAGATTGACAGCTAAAGAAGCCTTGGCTCACCCATTCTTCGAAGGAGCACCTGCAAAATGAACTTCCATTTTATTTTACATATCTTTCTCTTTTTTTTTTTAAAAATCTATTTCTGTATTGCTTCCGTTATAAATCTTCGCTTCGATTCTTTTTCGACCTTTTTTCTTTTTCTTTTTCTTTTTCTTGTCTGTTTTGTTATGTCATATAATCGTTCTCATATTTTTGCTCCTTTATATTTCTAATCCTTCGCTTTTTTTCTGCCGTGTGTCTCATCTTCTTTCGTTTTGGAAGAATGTGTAGTAATTGATGTGGAGCTCTTTTGATGTTGTTTATGTGAACACCCCGCATCACCCCTAATTATGCAGAGGGTAAGAAATTATAGAATTTTTTTTTTTAAAAAAAATTTTTTTAGAACTCCATGCTTAGGCCGATGGATGAGTGACAGTTATAAGATATTCGCATATATATTATCAATACCACTAGAATGACCAGTGTCTCTAGTAAAAATAAGAGCTGGAACCTCTTCCCTATTGGTGGCGGTAAACCTTTGAGGACCGGGTCGACATATTCTCCGGACAACAAGTATTTTATCCAGCCTTTCAACAGTCTGCTTAAGGTTTACTATATTTCCACCAGACAATGCGTTAAGACCATCCCAAATTTGGAGTTAGACACTTTGGTGGCATCCAGAATAGATCCTTTACAGCCGAACTTATTGTGGGTTTTTAAATCGACTGGCGAGTTTTCAATCATCAACTGGAAAGATCGTGCATTCGATGATAGCGGTTCGGTAGTGGTATATGAAAGCGGTAAACTTTCGACTTTAGAGAACTTGAATGATATCATTGATTTCAGATTTAATTATAGCTTGAATAGTTATGAAATAATGACGATTTGTGGGAAATCATCTCAAAAGTCCCATTCCAGCGGACACAAGAAAACATTGAATAAAGTCTTGATAAAGGTCAATGAAAAAATCAATAATAACCAGGCGGTTGCTTTTAAAGACATTGATATTGAAAACAGTGTGCAAATCCAAGAATTAATTTCCATCAAGAAAGTGTTGATGTTTGCTAAATCTTTGGACTCGAGATGTATGGTGTTTTTAACCGAAAGTTCAAGCGATAACAATAGTGGTCAGATGTTGGAATTGAAAGTGGTCGAATTAAAATCTTTCAACATTCACAACGAACAATCACACCTTCTTCAAAAGAAATCAACAGTGACGGCATTATCCATTTCGAATAACAAATTAGTTGCCATTGGGCTCTATTCTGGGGTGGTTGAAGTATTATACAATTTCGTGGCCGCTTCCTCCGATAACAGTAACAACAGCAAGATCTTAAGATGGCATATGAACCCGGTTGGTGCGCTAAACTTCACAAAAGACTCTAATTATTTGTTGACCGGTGGGCAGGAAAAAGTTTTAGTGTTTTGGCAAATAGCATCTGATAAATTACAATTTTTACCAAGATTGAACGGGAATATTTCACAAATTTCCACCAATTATTTCCCACCAGATAATGATAGTACTAAAAACAATGATGGAATTGATTATTATACTTTGGTACTTGACATTCCTTCGAGTCAAAATAATGATTTTGATGTATTAGTTTTGAACTCTATCGAATTGACCTCAAGACTTTCCATCACCAGTCTTAAACTCAACACCAAGAATCCCGTGGCGTCACTCAATAAAGAAAAGAAGAGACTTTTAACAGGAAATGGCGACGATAAACTCCCAAAGATACTAAAAATTCAAAAGGATTATACTTTATCAGGGTCTTCGGAAATCAACTCAGTGGATAAGAACTTATACATGTTGAGCGGTTCAGAAATACAAAGTTTCAGTTTACTTAAAAATGAACAAATGTCCAGTTTGAATGTGGTGCCAAAGATTTCTATTGGTAAGGTTAAGACTGAATTGAACTTGACGGATCCAAAAGTTAATCTCTTCAAATTCACAGAAGACGGGGAATGGTTAATTACTGTTGATGAGTATGAAACCCCGAGTGTCGACAATTTGATTACTAAAGGGGAAGTCAGCTACTCTTTGAAGTTTTGGAAAAGAACTAACGATGCCGAGGGTAAAAATAGCAGTGAGAATCATCATTGGGAATTGGCCACCAAGATTGTCGATCCCCATGGCGCAAATGTCAAGATTTTGGAGATTGTCACTGCTCCTAGTGGATATTTCAAAGGTACTGCTTTCTTGACTGCCGATGCCAAGGGGGGTATTAGACTTTGGAGACCTCAACAACCAAAGCTTTCGTATAATATTGCTAAGGCCAACAAGCTCCAACCGACGGCTTGGACTTTACGAAAATTCATTACTTCATTGATCAGTGGCCATGCTGAAAATGTCTCGGTTGCCTGGTCTGAAGATTCTACCTTGATTCTCATGAGTTTGGGTAATAACATATACAAAATTCCTTTGTCTAATTTTGATAACTGGAGTTATTTAACATACAACAAACAATTGGTGAACAGCAAGAATATCAACTGCATTAAGTTAATCAATAACGATTCTAACTTGCTAGTGTTCAGCGATGAGTTTTTGTTGAATTATAATTTGATAAATGATAAAGTTGTCTATGAATACAAGGTTGATGGTAACAAGTTGGATATAAATGAGAAATTGGTATCGTTCGACCCAATCAATAAGAGATTCACCGTGGGTTTCAATTATTTTGAAACCAAGGGGTCTGAAATCAATGAATCTTCAGCAGTGTTGGTGTTTGATTACCACCAACCAAAACCAACGGGATTAACCAAATATAACCATTATATTTCTGCGGTGAAATGGCTTCCTGGTACCGAGAATTTTATCATCTTGGACACCACTCATAAAATCAGTCTTTTGGATTATACTTCACTATCATCACACGTTCCATCATTGGTAACGATTCTTAGCGGCTCAAAGAGTGAAACCGCTGACAATTTCGCCGAAGAAATGGTTTCTTTGGTGCAAACCAGTAAACCAATCAGTTTCGCTAAACCATCAGGGCATGCTAACAACAACAACAATGATGATGATGATGATGTCGATATGATTGATGATGATAATGACAAATTTTGGTACGGAAAGAGAATCAATAATCATACTTTCGAATCGGTGCTCAACAATAACTTGGAAAACATGGACATGGAAGACTTGTTCAATTCGATTGTCGAGTGTATATAAGTATTACTGTATTATTCATGAATTTTTAATAGATAACTTATAATTTTGCATCAATTGACTGTTGGTTGTAGATGGCGAGAAGTATACGAGATCATGCTACGGGGATAAATTCTCAATAGTGATTATTAAAAGAGCAACTCCATGGTATTTAATTACCAGTAAAGGCTGACAATCTAGTAAATGACAATGCTTTGAGAGGTATTTCAGTTTCTTATTTTACACAACAACAAAGGACCGTAGTAGCTATAATCTACTTTCATCTTTTTTTTTTTTTTTTTTTTTTTAATAAAAAGAACCTCGATATTGTATGTGTATTCCGAAATTATAATTATTATTAGCTCACGAAAAAACAACACAATATTACTATGTACTGTACTATACTATGTTCCATAGCTCTTTGTTGGTGTGGGGGTGATAGACCACCGTTAATTCCAAAAAGCGGTCGGTGAGGGTGTGTTTGACTCCAGACCGACCTGAGGGGGGCGGTTGCTGTTCTACGACGCAGTGTAAGAGGAAAGAATAGGGCTATATCTGCCCCCGTGCGTGTCCCGTGATACCTGTTTAAAACCGATCACAATATCCTCACCGCCAACCGGTTTTTTTTTTTTTTTGTTTTTTTTTTTCCCTTACTCCCATTCAGGGGCTGCGCAACCTGTGGTCAAAAAAAATTAGTGAAAATTTCCAATCCAATACTAACAGTTTGGTCTATAGTGTGATTTCTTTCAGACAGTAAATAATAATAATATCGTTAAGATGCCTCCAAAGTTTGATCCAACTGAAGTTAAATACCTCTACTTGAGAGCTGTCGGTGGTGAAGTCGGTGCTTCATCCGCTTTGGCCCCAAAGATTGGTCCATTGGGTTTGTCTCCAAAGAAGGTTGGTGAAGATATCGCCAAAGCCACTAAGGAATTCAAGGGTATTAAGGTTACCGTCCAATTGAAGATTCAAAACCGTCAAGCTCAAGCTTCTGTTGTTCCAGCTGCTTCTTCTTTGGTCATCACCGCCTTGAAGGAAGCTCCAAGAGACAGAAAGAAGGTCAAGAACGTCAAGCACAACGGTAACATTCCATTCACCGAAATTGTCGAAATCGCCAGAAAGATGCAACACAAGTCTTTCGGTAAGACTTTGGCTTCTGTTGTCAAGGAAATCTTGGGTACTGCTCAATCCGTTGGTGCTCGTGTTGATGGTAAGCCAGCTCACGATGTTATTGTTGCCATTAACGAAGGTGAAATTGAAGTTCCAGAAAACTAAACTTTCCACGATCTTTTATTCTAATGTTTTTCTAATGTATCATCAATGCAGGTTTAAATTAAAAAAAAAAAAGAAAAGAAAGGGTTTTGTAACGAGGGGGAAGTATTAATATGTTTAGAGAAAGAAAACATTTTTTTAGGAATTTGAAAAAGGGGGGAATATTGATCACCAATGAAAAAAAACAAAGTTTTTTTTTTTGTGTCTATCATTTCAACTAATCAAACATAGGTCATACTAATCAATCAAATTTTTTTGTTTTTTATTCATTATTATTATTGTTTTTTTCTCTGTCTCATTTTCATTTTTTTCAACCAAAAGTTTGCTAACACTCTGGTGCTGCATTTTGTCACTGTATGCAGTTCCTATTTTAGTGCAAACAAGATCATTTTTCACTCATTACTCACCGCGATATTCGTGTTTCTCTCTTTTTTTTTTTTTCTTTTAAAGGAAAAGGAAAAAGTTTTCGAAAAAGATGAATATAGTGGTCCATTTCAGGAGTGTACATCTTATTACCTTTTCTTATTGATTGATGATTGTGTGATGTTTGGTTATTGATAGTTGTGGTGATCCAATACTTTGCAAGGTGTTGATATATTCCTACCAAAATTTCCTTATTTGTTTTTGTCTCTCTACACTATTTCTTGCTTCTCTTGATTGTAGAAGCCATCCAGAAATCTCACTAATTGTATTATTAACGAGTTTCCATCTGGATGGAAATTTTGAGTTGCTGAAATGAGTTAGTTCATTGAATTGACATTCCAGAAATCTCGCGCGATTTTTTTGGGACTTTTTACATATAGAATGAATAATAGTTAGTTTGAAACCAGGCTCTTCCCACTTGTAATTTTTGCTTCTCTTTTAGGATCAAACCTTTCTGAAAACGTCGCAGTCCGTTGAGGTGTTTGTTTATCCACGTTGTCTGCATATCCTGCCGCTGCAGGATCTGTGGAGGAGCGAAAAACACCAACGATTTTTTTCCCTGTTTTGTTTTCTCTTCCCTAAAGATCTTCTTCTTCTTCTTCTTTTTCTTCTTTTTTGAATGAGACTTATCATCAACAACACCAGACTACGATATTACATTCTAGCCGTGGTATTGTCTGCTCTTTGTCCTGTTATTATCAATCGTCCCATCATCATGAGTGCCTCCTACAAAATCTCTGAAGTTGCCACCACCCCTTTTGGTGATCAAAAGCCAGGTACCTCCGGGCTTAGAAAGAAGGTTACGGTTTTTCAACAACCACATTACACGGAAAACTTTGTCCAAGCGGTCTTGGATTCGATTCCTGAAGGGTCTAAGAACGCCACATTGGTGGTTGGTGGTGATGGCCGTTATTACAACGATCATGTCATTGACTTGATTGCCAAAATCGGTTACGCCAACGGGGTCAAAAAGTTGATCATGGGGAAAGATGGGATCTTGTCGACTCCTGCCACCTCGAACATCATCAGAACTTTTAAAGAAGAAGTCACTGGTGGTATCATCTTGACTGCTTCGCATAACCCTGGTGGTCCAAAGAATGATTTGGGTATCAAGTACAACTTGGCCAACGGTGGCCCAGCTCCAGAATCCGTAACCAACAAGATGTTCGACGCGGCTAAGAAATTGACGAGTTATAAGATTGTGCAAGACTTACCAAGCATCGACTTGGCCACTGTCGGGGTCAAGCACTACGGTGAATTGGAAGTGGAAATCATTGATTCCACCGAAGCTTACGTCGAAATGGTGAAGTCTATCTTTGATTTCCAATTGATTAAAGAGTTCATTGACCGCAGAAAATCCAGTTTCAAAGTGTTGTTCGATGCGTTGAACGGTGTTACTGGACCATACGGTAAGGCGATCTTTGTTGACGAATTGGGATTGCCGCTCGAATCGATTCAAAACTGCACTCCATTGCCAGATTTTGGCGGATTGCACCCGGATCCAAACTTGACTTACGCCAAGACGTTGGTCGACAAAGTCGACGCCGAACAAATTGCCTTTGGTGCTGCTTCTGATGGTGATGGTGACAGAAACATGATTTACGGTGCCAACACCTTTGTTTCCCCAGGTGATTCTGTGGCGATCATTGCCGAATACGCTGATTCTATTCCGTATTTCCAAAAGACCGGGGTGTACGGGTTAGCCCGTTCGATGCCAACCTCCGGGGCTATTGATTTGGTGGCTAACGCCAAAGGTCTTAACGTGTACGAAGTTCCAACTGGTTGGAAATTCTTTTGTGCGTTGTTCGATGCTAAGAAATTGAGTATTTGTGGGGAAGAGTCATTTGGTACCGGGTCTGACCACGTTAGAGAAAAAGATGGGTTGTGGGCGATTGTTGCGTGGTTGAACGTGTTGGCGGCTTATGATGCCAAACATCCAGAATTGCCAAACGGGGCTACCATCAAAATTGTCCAAGAAAGCTTTTGGGAAAAGTATGGGAGAACTTTTTTCACCAGACACGATTATGAAAATGTTTCTTCTGAAGGGGCGCAGAAATTGGTTGACCAGTTGCGTGAACATATTGACGATGAAAAATTCGTTGGTAGTGAATTGGCTTCAGGGATCACGGTTACCGAAGCTGGTGATTTCAGCTACACCGATTTGGATGGTTCAGTTTCCGATCACCAAGGTTTGTACGTGAAGTTGTCGAACGGCAGTAGATTTGTTGCTAGATTGTCTGGTACCGGATCTTCAGGGGCCACCGTTAGATTGTACATTGAAAGACACTCTAGTGATGTTTCCACTTACAAATTGGATGCCCAAGATTACTTGAAGCAAGACATTGAATTGGTTACTTCTTTCTTGAAGTTCCAAGAATGTGTTGGCCGTACCGAGCCTGATGTTAGAACTTGATTATCATCAAATTTTTTTTTTTTTCTTGTTATTCTATATTTTCATCATGTCATAAATGCTATTCCAAGTTTGCTAACCTTGGCTACCAATATATAAATCTTTGATCAGATTTATATTTTATTCTTATTCTTTTTTATTTTTTCTAAGACTTTTTATTTTAGCTATTTAATTTGCACAATTTTTTTTTTTTTTCTCTCTCCCAATCAGTCGCTTTAATACACTTATTTAGTTCTAACAGTAGCATAGCAACAGAGAAAGAAACTTGTAGATTATTTGAATTTGAGAACAATGTATATTTGGAAATAATTATTATTATTATTATATATATATATATATATAAATATTATATCCATGGTTGGGCAGTAAGTCTATCGAGATATACTTTTAGCCTTTTTGCCTCGTTCTTTCCAAGCATTATGCTTTCTTTCTTCTTTGGATAAATATCTAAACTTCTTCTTCTTTGGTTTCATTGGAACCGCCCCGGATAGCACAGCGTATTTTTGGGCTCTAATGACGGATTCCTTGAGGACTTCTTCTGATTTCTCGAGTTCGACACAGTTCAACTTGGCGATCTTGTACAAATCGATACCGCCAGAACCATTGGTCAAGTCATCGTTGTTAGAAAGTGCTTCGATGGTGACGGTGGTGACGGCTTGATCTTGTTGATCATCATCGGCATTTTCAAACACGACTTTTCTCTTTAGTATACCTTTAGTGGTATTTCTGTTGTCTTCATCATTGAAGCCATTCCATTCTTCATCATCATTGTCGGATTCGGCGTGGTTAACATCATCATCTTGAGGATTTTCTTTGACCTTGACCTTGACCTTGACCTTGGCCTTGGCCTTGTCCAGTGATTGCTTGACTTTTTCTTGATCATCATTGTCATCATTGTCATCACTATCATCACTATCACTATCATCAGCAGCCTGGCTATCTTTGATCAACTGCAACTTTTCTTGGATGGCTTGTTTTCTTTCATCTCTGATCCGCTGTCTTTCGTCTAGTCTTTCCTGGTGCAACTGTTTTTCTTTGAAGTCTTTGGCAACCTTTTGACGTTGGAGCTTTCTCTTATGGAACCCTGTGAGATATTCGTTTCTGTTTTCTGGATCAAAAGTAATTTCTGCTGGCTGAGGGCGGGCTTTCTTGGACTCGAAGTACTTCTGACCTCTGGTCAAGATGTCTTTGTTTGACTGTTTCTTGGGCATTGTCTATATTTTATATATATATATATATATATATATGGATGGAAGGATGGATGGATGAGATGTTGTATGGGGAGCGATGGGATGAAATGAAATGAAATAAAAAGAATTTTCTTTTGGTGTGTGTAAGAGCCCTGGATGGATGGATGCGATTGCAGGACGCAGAGAAAAAATAAAAAAATAAAAAATAAAAAATAAAAAAATAAAAAAAAAAAAAAAAGTCTGCGGCGGGCGGCGGGCGGAGAGAAAAACAGAACGAACCAACGAAGCAAAAAATACCACCGTGTATCATCAACAACCTCAACTCAACTCAGCAACAGCACCCATTAATTATCTATCTATCTATCTATCACCACTACTACGGTCCTCCTCCTCCTCCACCACATATCTATATTATAATTATTACACACACCCTGCCCTGCCCTACCTCAGTCAGTCAGTCAGTCAGTCAGTCAGTCAGTCAGTTAGACCTCCCCAATAACCCTCCTTAACAATACTTCTCTCTTTTTTTTTTTTTTTCTGCCTCTTCTCATTTTTCTTCTTTTCTTTTCTGTTCATTTTTTTTACACTTCTGCGTTCTCACATCCATCACCAATCCCCCCCAACACCCTCCCTATACTATAAATACTATAACCACCCTCCTTCTTCTTCACTCCCCTCCCATCAACCTTCTACTTTGATACGGCCTATTTGACAACTGTGTGCTATAGTAATAATAATAATAATAATAATAATAATAATAATAATAATAATAATAATAATAATAATAGTAATAATAACAATAATAATAATAATAATCTCCCATCAAAGTCAAAACAATAACCCATCCTTCTCTCCCTCCCTCCATCCATCCATCCCTCTCTCTCTTACTGGCCAACCCCACCACACTACACCATCACATTAATCAATACATCCCTACCTAACAAATCATGTCAAAGGCCTCGTCAAAAATTGTTCAACGCCTTGACACCCCAAGTGCCCCCGTGGCTCTGAACGCCTTGATCATGAACTCAAAGGGCTCCGTCGAAAAATCGTTGTTCTACATCTGTCTCCACTTGATCAAAAGACTAGAAAAAGTCCCCGGCTTACAACAATACCTCCGAATCGCCTACATCACCGCCACTACCACCAACGAAGAGCAAGCTTGTGCCCTATCCCAAAACTCCCAAAGAAAAATCTCCAACATCACAATATCCACCGCATCCACATTAGTCAACGCCAATGCCAACGCCAATGCCAATGCCACCGACCTTTCTTCCAAAAGAAAATCTGACGACACTGCCTTTAGTGCAGCCCTCTACAATTTCCACACCTTTGCCTCAGGAATGTTACCGGCTAACGTCAGCTGCGACCCAGTAACCCAAGTATGGAAGTTATTCCAACAAGGCGCCCCTCTTTGTGTCATATACAACGCCGTCAACAACAACTCTAATCACCAGCTACCAATTGTCAGCGCCGACGACTTGAACATTTGCAAGCGAAGTGTCTACGATTTCTTTTCCCGTTGCAAAGAGGATTTAAATTTCAGAGACGATGAACTCGTCCCGATATCGTATGTGTTTAGCTCAAACACCAACGATTTGATCAGGGTCATCCAAGTGGTCAACACCGTGCTAGATATGATGAACCCAACTTTCTCGTTATCCGATACAGAAAAACAAGAATTATTCCAACAACAAGCAAACATCGCCACCCCAAAGGACCCAAGGTATAACGTTCTTAGGGAAATGGTCGAGACCGAAAGAAAATACGTCCAAGATTTGGAAATCATGTTGGCGTACAAGAACGAGTTACGGCAAGCAGAATTGATCCCCGCAGAGTCTTTGCATGTGTTGTTCCCAAACTTGAACCAGATTGTCGATATGCAACGAAGATTATTAGTGGGGTTGGAAGCTAATGCCTTGGCCCCTCCAAAACTACAGAGAATCGGCTCCATCTTCTTACACTCATTCGAACCTTTCAAGGCTTATGAGCCATGGTCGCTTGGCCATAAAGCTGCCGCGGAAATACTACACCAAGAAATGTTGAATATGGAAAGGTCTTCGACGATCATCAGAGGCGAATTGGAACTCAATAGTTTCTTGTTGAAACCGGTACAAAGATTATGTAAATACCCGTTGTTATTGAAAGAATTGGTGAAATACACCGACAAAACCTGGCCTCACTACAGCGAGTTGGTGAGTGCGTTGCAAGCGTCAAAAGAAACCGCGGCTCACGTCAACGAAGCCCAAAGAAAAGTCGAAAACTTGGTACAGTTGAGAGAATTACAAGAAAGAGTCCATGATTGGAAAGGTTATGACATCAATTCTTTTGGGAATTTATTATATTACTCGACTTTGGGGGTCCGTGATTCCGACGCCGAACGAGAATTTCACGTGTATTTATTCGAACAAATCATTTTGTTTTTCAAAGAATCACTGCCAAAGGATAAAGAAAAAAAATCAAAGAAGAAAAACTCGTTGAACGATTCATTTTTGAATAATAGAAACAAGTTGGAGTTGAAAGGAAGAATTTACATTCCAAATATTTATAATATCTCCTCTAATGCCTCGAGCAATGCTGCCGGGGCCGCGGCCCCCGCTGTCTCCGCCCCCAGCGGTCATTTATTGACGGTCTCCTGGTCTGGATCAAGGGATTCCGGATCATTTGTCATGAGGTTTAGAAATGAAGAGGCGAGAACTCAGTGGGAATCCTGTCTTAGAGAATTGGTTAGTCGATTGCGAGTTGAAATCCAAGAGTATAAGACTTCGTTAAATAACGGCTACCAAAGCGGCGACCATCCAACCATGAGGTCCAGTATGGAAGGAAGATACAGCCAAAACCAGTATGCTGCGCAACATAAATTGCGGGCCAACAGTTCGTCGTACATTGGTAATTATGGTGGCGGGGCTGCCGGGGTCAATAATGGTTCTGCAACAACAATAAATGGCGAAATGGATTTACGGAGTAGATCGGTTTCTTCTCCGTCATTATTGAACAATTACTCCAAGGTCAATAATTCCAGCTCGTTGATTTCTCCAATGAGCAACTTGTCAATCTCTTCATCGATCGCTAATGCAGAAAGTGCGGCGATGAATATGTCACCTAACGAGTGCATCAAAATCAAATTGTCTTTTAAGCAAGATATCTTTACATTGCTCATTCCACGAGATTCTGACTTGACTGAATTGAAGAAACGGATCGAAAAAAAATTGAAACAGTGCGGTGCAATGATCACAATGGATACTATGAAAATTAGATATCAAGATGAGGAAGGTGATTACATTGCTATTGATTCCAATGAAGATTGGTCGTTGGCCCAAGAAGTTGTCGATGATATTATCGAGAGTAGTGGTGATAGCATATTGTCCATTTGGGTTATTCAAACATAGTTTTTTTTTGCTGAAAGAATAAAAATAAAACAAAATCGCTACCAATAACAATACACTTATTCAAAGAGTTTTTAGAAAATGTGAAACATTAATAACGATATCTTTTAATTTTGCCGTTTGCTAACTAGAAACTATTATCGATAGTTTCTATTATTCTGCTATTCAAGAAACATTGAAATTTTTTTTTTTATTTCTCTTGATGAAATATATTCCAACTACAAAAATGGTCATGACTCTTATCGATTTGTTGCTATGATTATATATTGTGTGGTTTTGTTATGTCCTGTTTATTTCATGTTATTTTCCTTTTTTTTTTTCTTATTTGCTTTATTTTGTTTTATTTTGTATCTGCTTGTGTGATTTGCTTTAAATGATCCTTTAATTTACTACTTACTGCCTTTTTGATATACCATTATGTTTATCTTTTTTTTTTTTGTGTGTTTTATATTATTGCTTCATTTCAACAGATACCATAAACTAGAAATGGCATTATCCCTCTCCCTTTTTTTTTTATATTAGTTAATTTTGCTTATTATTATTATTATTATGCTCTTTTTCTTTTTCGTCCAACACACCTCTTGGCTCCTCTCCTTCTCCTCTACTTAGAATTATTATTATCATTATTATTATCATTATTACTACTATCATCGTCATCGCCTTCATGAAATACTCTTTTTTTTTTTTTTTTTTTTTTTCCACCACCTCTTGCTATAAAGTTGCTCACCATAAAATGACAATGTTTTATTTATCTATGTATCCTGATTAATGTATTGTTGTTTGCTCACCATATATAATGTGTTATTATTATACGACCTTATTTATTATCATTCATCATCTGTTTTGCAGCTGTATTCATGTAGTTTGAGTTTGAATTTGAGTTTGAGTTTTTTTTTAAAATTATTTAGTTGTTACTTATTTATTTACCTATTGGCTATCTGTCGATTATTTATTTGTTGATTATTTATTTGTCGATTATTTATCCTTGGCATCAAGTGGGGCCCCGTGAAAAATTACACGTATTGATTTTGGCGGAAGAAAAAAAACAAAAAAAAAAACCAACAACAACAATTTTACAAACAACGAAAAAAGTGGAACTTTTTTGATCCCATAGATCAAATCAAATCACATCACATCACATCACATCACACCCACCCACAACCATCAATCCCCCTTCCCCCCCTTCCTCCCCGTAATACCACCAAGAATTAACAACATTATGGAATGGGATCATGTTCTTCCATTGGGTTATAGATTGAATATATTATTCAACTTGGGGCTCGTGTACTATTACTGTCTAATTTCGATATGCCATCATCGATACGGCATGAACATCATAAAGATTCTTCATCTCCAACATGAATACGGGAACATCAATACTTTACTTGGGAGTACCAGGAAATTCACCAAATCAGTCACGGTGATCAACCTTGCCAGCTTAATAGTTTATAATCTCCTCGGGAAATTGATGGGGGAGTATTTATTTATCTTGCAAGTGTTGCCGGTGATCACCTTGATTTTCAACTTTTACATCATTTTGGTCTCGGGAGAAGGCCGGTTGATGCTGATTTTCCAACGGGTCTTACTTGGAAGAATCGACACCAAATCGTTACGGATCAATGATCTTTTAATGTCCGATAGCATCACCTCTTATTCCAAGATCATTTTGGACTTGGCAAATTACTTGAACTATATTATCTATTACGGCAGCCGCGATGATGATGATGATTGGAAAAAATTGGACCAGAACCGGTTCGGGGTGGATTTGATCATTTTGGGACTCCCGCAACTTATTCGCTTGAGTCAATGTTGGTTCGAATGGAATCATTCCAATCGCCGCAACCGCCAGCCGTTTTTAAACTTCATCAAGTATTCGACCAACGTTGCCCCCTTGGTGATGATCTTCATCACCAGAAGCTATACTGCTCGGGAATCGTCGGCTCCAGGAGGAGGAGGAGGAGGAGACCCCATATTGATGCTCGAGAAATTATTGATTTTGGTCAATTCGATGTATACATTTTTCTGGGACGTGATGATCGATTGGAATTTCACCCTGGTCAAGCAAGCAAAACGCAACGATTGGGTGTTCGACGCATCGATAGTATTTGATTGCAGTTTACGGTTTTTATGGCTCTGGAAGTTTATTTTCACCAGTGCTGGATTCTTTTACTATTTCCACGATAGTGATCCAGGAATGACGTTGTTTGTGATGCAATTCTTGGAAGTCACGAGAAGATTTGTTTGGTGTATTCATAGATTGAACACCGAGGCGATGCGTGATTCGATCACCAGTATTGAAATGACCAAGGTATAATATATATATATATATATATATATATATATTATTGAAGGATGAGGTTTGTGGAAAAACAGCGATTGAAAAAAAAAAGTCTTTCATCCTTTTTTTTTTTTTTGATTTGTTATTTCCATTGTTTTATTTTCTTTGGTATTGTATTCATAGAATTATTATTATTATTAGTTTTAGTTTTAGTTTTAGTTTTTTTTTTTTTTTCCACTTCTCAATATTATTCTCTCCAAGTTCTTTTAAAAAAAAAGAACATTTTTTTTTTAACAATGTTATAAGTGCAAGGTCTCCAATTGTAATTTGGCTTCATATGTTCTTTCTGTATGGAAATAGTGACTTTCACATCAACGTCAAACAAGACCTGATGAACCTTTCAAGAAGAAAAAAAGGAAGATGAAATATAAAGTATGAAATATGAAAAAAAAAAAAAAGATGAAGAATCATAATAATTAGAGATCATAAGTGAAGAATCACAATAATGATGAGAGATCATAAAAGCACAGAAGGGCCCATCCATCGTCCGCGTGCGGCTAGCTTGCTCTCACGGAATCGGTCTTTTTTTTTTTTTGACGTCTTGTTGTTACAACTAACTGATCAATTTTATTTTCCTACTTTTAAATTCAATCTTAATCTCCCTTATTATTGTGCCACGAAAGAAAATATTCCATTCCTATGTCGAATCTAAGAAAACGACAGCAACAACAACAACAACAACCTCACAAGCCCAAGGCAAATGCCGCCGCCGCCCCTCACCACCAAGGAATGCGGAAGATCAAATCTTTGATGCTTGAGGTGGTGATGTATGTGGTGCTTGCAATCATTGCATTGAATTTATTAGGCAATTTATTAGACAAAATCGATACCAACGACACCGAACAACAGTCGATATCCAACCCTCGTGATAATGATTTGGTTTCAGATATCCAGCCGCTGACACTGGCTAGCGACCACCACCCAACGATAAAAATTGACATGTCGTTGCCTAGTGGGATCTCCGCCCTGGAATATTTATCATCTTCAAAATACTTACAGTCTCTCAAATTCTCGTCGTTCCAAACCATTGAGAAACCAGTGATGGTGGCCGGAGGAGCAGCCAAACAAGGGCCTGATAGAAACGATATCATCTATATTAATTCAAAGCTCATGCCACAAAAAGTGTTCCCAATATGGAGCGAGGCCATCGAGAATGAGGTTGAATTATTCGATATACGAATCTATATCAACGGGAAACAAAATTTCAATATTAGTAATCCTCGAAATAAACTCATCGAGCCTGATTGGTTCATCGAAGGGGTTCGATTGGTCGATGATGTGGTGAAACAATCACCACTATCGCTTTCTCGCAAAAAATTGCAAAGATTCGCAAACTCTTTAGAGAGTAATGTTTATTTCCATATCTATCTATATAGTCGTCATGGAGCGAGTACTATGGAAAATGCTGCTGCTACGTTCCATAAAATAATTGCCATTGATAACCATGAATTGGTGAGATTTGGGCCCGTTCTGTTGGATGATGGTAAGCCAGAGCTTTTAATAAACCCGTCGTTCTCATTTACCATCATAAACGTCCAAGAAATTATTGATTATCCGAAATTGAGTGATCTGATGAAACAGTCAATTGACTTAGACGTTGTTAATAGAAGAGATGCTAAATCAGGAACAATTGGATTATTTTACCCGATCATTCACTTGAATCGATTGAACTTTAAATACTCCAAGTTTGTCCCGGTCATCGACGACTCGGCAATGGTGACCCTAGAATTCAAGATCAGTGATAGTTGGTCGATCTTCAAGATTTTCATCAAACTAAAAGATATTTTTGAAGGGTTGATTTCCTGGACCAGTAATTATAGAAATGGAGTAATACGGCCGATCGTTGATCTTTTCAATAAGGGGCTAGTGGATATTCTCCAAATAGTATATTTCTTTTTATGATCAACAAAACCTAAGTAAAAATGGTTACGGTTATAATTTTCGATTTCAAGAAGCTTCTGTAGATTTATGAAAATAATATGAGGGAAATAAAATGAATGAATAGAGAAAAAAAAAAAAAAAAAAAAAAAAAAAAAATTATGGATAGATAGATAGATAGACAAACAGATAGATAGATAGATAGATAGATGAAAAAAAAAAAGTTAAACGAAAACCAAGAAGAAAAGAAACGTTAGGCAGAGAAGGAGGAGAAGAGAAATCAAAAAATAAAATAAATTATCTATTGATCAACTTCACCGGCAGACTCCCATTCTCCAGACAAATTTTCTTTCCAAAGAGTAATCTTATTATCAGCACTTGATACCGCCAAAATGTTACCAGACAATGACCAACTGACCTTCCAAGTGGCTTCGGCAAACTTATCTTTGGTCAAATATTGCTTTTTCCAAGGACCCTTGTTGTTTTCTTGTGTCCAGATGATCACGCTTTTGTCTAATGATGAAGAAGCAATATAAGATTTGAATAACACCGATGATGACCAGGCAACGTCTCTGACCCAATCGGCATGGCCTTCCAAAGTGCTTTCCAAAGTGGCCTTGTTATTAACAGAGTCCCAGTTCCAGACCTTAACCAAGTTATCGCACCCACCGGTGACAAATCTCTTCAATGGTTCAGATGGTTCGGTTGGACTTGTGATGGTGGTGCCGGTTTTGTTGGTGCTCACTGGGGCCCAAGATGCCGAATTCACCCCTGCTTCATGAGCTGGGAACACAACGTTGTGAGTGGTACCGTTTTCTTTCACTTCGAATATTGACACTTGTCCATCAGAAGAAGCACAAAGCAATACGGCCCCGTATTCATGAGGCGCCCATTCAACACTATTGACCGACGCTTTATGGACGGTGTGTTCCAAAAGTGATTTCCATTTCCCGTTTTCTTCTCTCCAGATAATCACTTTCCCATCAAATGAAGCCGACGCCAAGATGACCCCAAACTTTGGGTGCGCCCAGCTGACTTGCCAAACCGCCCCGTCATGTTGTTTTAAAGTATCCACCAATTTATGAGTCTCACCTTCAATTTCAAAGATCTTGATGGTTTGATCGGACGAGCAGGTGGCCAAACGCTTGCCGTAGTAATCCAACGCCGCGTCGTGGATCGAGGATTCGTGGGAATTGGAGATCAATGTCATTATTACCGGGAGGATTAGGGAGTGCTATTGCAAAACAAAAACAAAAATAAAAAAACAGATGATATATCCGGTTGTTTGATTATTTATTTGTTATACAGGTGGAGGCGGTGGTGGTGGTGATATTTTGAAATTTTTTTGGTGATTTTGAGTTTTAACAGCTCTGCCGGTACGGGGCTGCAAACCAAATGGTCGTGCCCTCTTCTGCTTCTATTATTTTTTTTTTTTTTTTTTTTACCCTTTCTCTTTTATTCCTTCATCTTTTAATCATTTCTCTACAATAATAATATTAATTGGAGGGGGAGGATCAATATTGGTTAATGCAATGTCATCGTATCTTTTCAAAGACACGGTAAATGAATACTTGGAGAACTTGCCATACTCGATGAAGTCGAAGCTTTTCAAGTCGCCGGCGACTTGTTTAGCAATCTACCGTCTTCTACCAAACTTGGCCAAGTTTTATATCATGTCGATGGTTTTCCATGAGAAACCGGTGAATTCAAGAATCTGGGATGTATGGGTGAAGGACAGCGATCAGGGGAAGAAATTGGAAGTCGAAGGACTACGAAGAATGAAATCACTAAATTTGATCACCGAAAAAAACAATTATTTAGTATTAGATGAGCATTTCCGAGAAAGTTTTAGAAATGCGTTAGTTGGTAATGATTCCCACCATGCTTTTGGGGTACCGTGTGCCACTGATGAAAATAACAAGACTTCAATCGATTTTTTGGACGAATTCGCCACCAAGAAGTGGGAATCGATATTGCATTTCATGGTGGGGACCGAACTAGATGAACTACCGAGCGTGGGGGTCCTAAGTCTTTTGAAACATAGTGGGTTGATGGAAATTAATGGGGATATCACCAAGCGAAACCTTACCAGTGTCAATATCACCAAAGAAGGGTTCCTGTTTTTACTTCAAGACGTCAACGCCCAGATTTGGACGTTGTTGTTGGAATATTTGAAGATCGCCGAAACTTTGAACATGGACTCGGTAGACGTGTTGAATTTCATTTTCATGTTGGGGTCGTTGGAATTGGGGAAAGATTACAGCTTGGAAGCCCTATCGGAAACCCAGATCAAGATGTTGGAGGATTTAAGAGACTACGGGTTGGTGTATCAACGGAAAGCTAGCTCGAAAAGGTTTTACCCAACCAGATTGGCCACGACATTGACGTCAGATTCCACCACTTTGAGATCGGTGTCGTCGGCAATGAACAAAGCCATTCGAAGCGCTAAACAAGACAACGAGAAAGATGTGAAGGAAGAAGAGGCCCAAGTGGATTTTGTCTCGGGGACAATTATCGTGGAAACCAATTTCAAGTTGTACTGTTACGCCACTTCGCCATTACAAATTGCGATTTTGAATTTGTTTGTGCATTTGAAGAGTCGATTCAGCAATTTAGTAACGGGGCAAATCACCAGAGAATCGATTCAGAGAGCGTTAAAGAGTGGGATTGCTTCGGATCAAATCATTGCGTATTTGGAAGTCAATGCCCACCCACAAATGAAAAAATTGGCCCAAGCAGCGCTCAATAAAAAAATCGAGTTTGAAAGCGTCAATGGGATGAAGGCGTCGCATTTAAGCTTGAGGAATTTGGAGATTGTCCCCAGTAATATTGTTGACCAGATCAAATTATGGCAATTGGAATTGGATAGAATCCAAGCGTTTGGCGGGTACTTGTTCAAAGATTTCAAAGGGGAAGTGGAATATAAAGGGTTGCTCAATTACGCCGAAGAAATCGGGGTGTTGCTTTATAAAGATAATGCTAATAGAAAATTCTTTGTTACTGACGAGGGCCGTCAACAATTGATTGATTACGCTTCAAGAAGAACAAAGAGGCAGAAGAAGAGTTGACAGTATTAATCATTAAAAAAAGGTTATTAGGAAGTGATGATAGTTTAATATATATATATATAGATGTAAACAGAATTGTACAAAATTGGTATCAAAAAGGGGAATAAGAAATAGAAAAGTGTAGTCAATGGATGAATTGGGAGAAGCTGGGAGGAGAGAGTAGACAAAAAAAAAAAAGTAAAAAAGAATAGAAAAGAGAGAGAGAAAAAGTGCAATAAAAAAAAAAAACAGAAAAGAGAATATAATATGAAAAAAAGTAATGACGGGAATTTAAATTTAAGAAGATTTGGATTTTTTTTTAGACTTTTGCTTAGATTTTTTTTCCTTAGATTCTTCACCTTCAATAGGTGTTTCTTCTTTTTCATTTCCTACTTCCATTCCATCTTCAGTTTCCTTCTTTGGTTTGGTAGTCTCTGAATCATTATTTTCATTATTATTATTATTATTATTATCATCATCATCATCATCATCATCATGCTTTCTTTCAGGCAAAACTTCATCAAAGGCCTTTTTCCAATCTTTACATTCCAACCATTTCGATAAAAGTAAATATACGTGCAAAGAGGTCAACACTTTTCTACCACGGATTTTGAAATATTCATTGATCGGTAATCTGGCGGTTGGAATCCCCAACTCTTTGGCCTTGTCATAACATAAATTCTTGTATCTGCCTTTATCGACAATACCCCCAATAATGTAGGTGTAATCTTCCTTTAATTCATCAACGGTAGCGTCTTCGTCTGCAGAAAGGTAAACGGTTTTAGACAAATCGAGTTTCCCTTCTTTGGCAAGGACGTCCAAATCCTTGGTTTCGTATTCGAAATGATCCCATTTTTCGAACCCTGGATGCAGCCCAAGATATTTCTTCAACGACCCTTCAAAACAGGTCAACTTGGTGTTAATGAAGTGTTCGGCCCTTCGGTTTTCACTGTAAGATCTGGCGATTTGTCTGGCCATCGAAGCAATTTCTTCTTGTTTCATCTTATGGTTGAACGAACAATCAAACACCACATTAACTTTACTATCTACTTGGGTTTCGTTTCTCTTGGATTTAGGGATCCTTTTTTTATACATTTCTTCGATAACATCTTCACGGGCCTCTCCGTTGGCAACCCGTTCTTCAACAAGCTCCCTCTTTTGCTTTTTCCTCTCCTTGGTCCGTTCTTTTCTGGCTCTTCTCCATTCTCCCATCATCGAGTCTCGGTAGAGCTTCTTTTGTTGTTTCTTGAAGGCGTTCTTACTCATACCTGGAGGAACTGCCAACTTCTCTCTTTTGAACTGTTGGGGTGGTTTGGGTTTGTCTTGGTCAACAACCATTTTTCTTTTGGTCCCCACTTCGGCATTCTGGTTAGGTTCGCCATTATCAGTGTGCTTGTCTTCAGGCTCTCCCACTGGGCCAGGTGTGTACTTGGTGAAAAATGACTTTATGTAACTGAACATGAATATATATATATATATAGATGTAAATACAATTTGAATTAGTTAATTAAAGCAACACAAATAAAGAGGGTGAATATTTTTTTTTTTTTTTTTTATTATTTTCTTCCATCATTTTGGAATTTTTTTTTTTTTTTTTTGTTTTTCGAAAACAAAAAATGGAACCGCAGCGGTGGATCGAATGGGTACGTATACCAAAAGAGTCAAAAAACAACATTTATTAAAAAAACAAAACTGGAACAAATATGAGGAGATACTGAAATATAGGGAAAATAATGTGCTTATTGGGTATCCACCAGGAATAATACAAACAAACAAAAAAAACAAAAACGAATTGAAATAACGAAGGCCAGACGAAAAAAAAAACAAAAAAAACAAAAAAAAAAAAAAAATTTAACAGATCATTTTCTCGTCCTTGAAAATGATCGCCCCTTCTTTTTGAGCCTGTTTGAGGGCTCTTTCTAATTCTTCTTGCTCCATTTCTTTATCCAAGTTTCGGTATTGATAAGCAAAGACAAACGCAGAAATACACCCAATGGCCCCAGGGATGGCAAATGCGTACACCAATTTTGGATCCACGAGCACCGAAGTCAACGCTTCCCCTAAAGCAGCAGAAAGCGCGGTGGTGAAAAGGAACAACGCCATCACCAACCCTTTCAAGTACTCGGGAGATCTACTATAGGCAACCTCGTACCCTGTGGTCATGGCAAAACATTCGGACGCCGCAGAAAGAATATAGACCACCACTTCGACCCAAGCAGTAATTGGAGATGGTTCATCACAAGTCGAGGCTTCGTATCTACAAGGACTGGTTTCATAAATTTTCCATTGGATGATGGCCCCGGAGATTTGCGATAAACCGGCCAAAAAGAACCCCAAGGAAATTCTGTGGACGGTGGAGAATTTGATGTTCTTCTTTCTCAACATTGGATAAATACCGTAATCAAGAATCGGAATCAACACAATGATGGTGAGGGGGTTGAAATTGTTGAACAAATCATTAGGAACCCCTTTGGTCGACATTGATCCAGCTTGGGAAGTTTCGATCGATGAAGAAATCCCCGAGTCACAAATGTTGTAAATGATATAGTAACCAAAGAACATGTTGCAAGCTTTGAAAGTTTTCTTGACATCTTCGACAAACTCGTCGCTCCAAGTGACCGGCTTCTTTCTGAATGTTTCCTGGCCTCTTTGAATCATATTGCTTGGTTTAGCATACTCCCAGAACTCACCATTCTTCAATCTGTTAACCCAACCACCTTTATAAGCAACCCCGATCACTTTGAACACTTCGTCTAAAATACTGCCTTGCGATGGGGCAACCTTCATTTTATTGTTCAAAAATAACAACACAATAGGCATGATCATGTAAAGGATCCCGGGAATCAAGTACCCCAACCAGAACCCGATATCTCTTTCACAATAACTGGTGGCGAGTTGCAAGAACGCCCCAATGTTAATGCACCAGTAAAACTGCATGGAAATACTTTGAAGGGTAGTTTTTCTATCGACAATGACTTTTTCACCACTTTTCAAAACTTTGACGAGATCAGGATCCTCATATTGATCGAGCAAAAGTGGGAGAAGGTTTGGTTTGATGAACCCCGTACCGAGAGCCAAAACAATGATACTAATGATGGTTGGAGCAAGGGCTTTACCACCAATAATGACGGTAGGGATAGCAGCGATAATCAAAATAACGTGGGCGATGGCCCCCAAAATAACCCCGATCCAGATGGCTTTCAATCTTCCAAGCTTGGAATCGGCAGCATAACCACCAATCAACGGAGCAACGTACGCAAGGAAAGTCAACAATAAAGTGACGGCACTGGCGACTTGTAAACCCAACCCCAAAGCCCCGGCGTTTTCACTGCTATCTCTACTCACTGGGGCACCGGTGGTACTACCGGTTGGTAATGGTCTTTGGATGAAGTTGGTCAAAATACCAGAGACCCCATAATAAGAACCTCTTTCTGCAAATTCGATCAAACAGATCAAATAACAATGCAATGGAGGATGGCCAGGGACTTTTCTTAAAGTTTGCTCTTGCTCTTCGGTCGGTGGAAATAGCCCGTTTGGGTTGTATTCGTCATGATAGGCGCTGAATGGAGATTTTTCTGCGTTCTCTTCACTGACTTCTATAACCACATCGGTTTTATTGATGTGTTTGTCAGCTGGGTAGCTATTGTCTTTGATACTATTGTGTTCAGACATGATGTCTTCTAGAAGTACCGTCGGATTTATTTTATGCGAATAACGAGGTTTAGCAATCAATATTTGGAGGATAGTGAATGTATATATATATTGGAATGTTCTCTTTATGTTAGTGGTCTTTTTTTTTTTTTTTTTTTTGTTATTGTGACAAAAAGTGACAGGTGTGAGATATCAAGAACAGGACCCCTTTCTTTTGTTTTTGGTTGTTATCTGAGATAAGTCAAAAAAAACAACAACAACAACAACAAAAGTAATGATAAAACCAATCAAACTTCATTCAAAGAAAATAGTGGATATTCGAGTGTATTTATCAGGCATATTCTCTGATCAATCCTGTTGCAAGCTTTTTTTTTTTTTTTTCGTACGGACCAAGAAAACGTCAAAGATTTATCCTCATCTGGTAGTGCAGTAGTTTTGAGTCGAGTAGAGGGCAACAAGATGCACGAATATTTGTGAAATTAGTTGATAAGAAAATTGTGTGAGTGTGATTTCTCTTGGTATTGTGCCCCATAGCTGTTTTGGGCACGGCCAAGAGTCAAGTTTTGTTGTTAGGGTGGGTGACCTCGCGAGCTAATAATTAAAGGAAGCGGCACTGTTTGGCTTGGTAAAAAAAAAAAGAAAAAAAAAAAAAAGAGGATAATTAATTCATGGATGTTGATTGGCATACTTGAACCACATATTTTTTGTTTTTCTTGATTCTTTCTGGGACGTGTGGTTTTAATTTACTTGAAACAAAAAGGATAGGAAAAAAAAAAAAACTGGAACCGGTTAGCAGGATATTTATCTGGTGATGGTGTTTGTTGTCGGTGTTTTTTTATTTTATTTCATTTTATTTTTCTAGTGGGATCGAACATTCTCTATCTGTTATCATGTTGTGGACGGATTTTTCTTGACATGCATACGGATCGCCGTGGCCAACTAATCTTTTGATTCTGTGCGACGGAGAAGATTATTATTATTATTATTATTATTATTATTATTATTATTATTATTATTATTATTATTATTATTATTATTATTATTATTATTATGTGCAGGACACTCAGCAATACAATTAGATTTTAATTGCAGTGAGTAGTAGTTTAGTTTATGTTACACTGCTTTTCTCTCTCTCTCTCTCTCTCTCCTCACCTCCCAGATAACAGATACCATAGTGGGGGCTCACATGATATTGTGACTCGTGCTATTGTGGATCGTGCTATTGTGGATCGTGCTATTGTGGATCGTGCTATGGTGGATGGTGCAATGGCTATGCTGTTTCCCACAATAATAATTGTAATAAGAATCTGGAAATAGGCTTTCACAAATGTAGTTTTGAAAACCTCTTTATTTTATTTTACTTTTTTTTTCAACAACAATAAAAACAATTACAATTCTTCGCCTTCCTCGCCCTAACAAAGATGTCATCATCAGAACAATCAATCCTGCGATGATTCCAGCCGTAAGATTAGTTTTTTTTTTAAAAAAAAAACAACTTTTTGGAAAGCAATGAAGATAGAGAAACTGCTGAGGAGGATGATCTTTATTCTGTAATTCATCAGCGTTACATTAAGAGAAAAAAAGAGAAAAAAAGAAAAAAAGAATGGGTTGGGGTGCAATAGCAAAACTAGAAAACTAACTAAATAAAAAATAATCACAAAACTCGCGAGCTGACTTATTGGAAAAAGAAACAATTAGAGCGGCCAATCGAAAACCATTCTAGGGTCGCACCTGGTATTGAAGATACAAAAAAAAAAAAAGATGGTCTCAACAACCCCATCCAACAATAAATGATAAGAGAATTGATCAATACACTGGAAAGCCCATGCATGCCGAATGAATGAACTCATCCATTTGACAAACTGGTCAGGCGAAAATAGAGTGCAAGTATATAAAATAAATATGCTAGAAAAAACGGTTCGCCTGATGGTTGCCTGTGTTACGAAATTGTCGTAGCCGAAGCTGTGCTTGGAGCTTACATTAGAAAATTGTATTGTATTGTATTGTATTGTATTGTATCAAACAAGAGGAGGAAGAGGAATCCCTGTCGAGTGAATATACTCTGAAATGAATGTTGAAAAAGGCCTTGTTTGGCAGCTTGCCATGCATGTTACGAATTCTCTTTGAATTATCTTAAAAAAAGTTGGGGATTTTTTTTTTTTTCTGTCGAATCCTCATCATCTTCTTCCAATAACAGCAGTTTCTATTCGGGTTTAGGTTTAGATAATCCTGAAGAGGAGGAAAACGAAAACGAAGATGATAAAGAAGCTGCTGGACTTTGATCTTGCCGATTAAAATATGATGGTGTTAAATTGGTTGGGATCGAGGATCCTGAGTTCGATTTGTGTACGTAGTGGTATTTTCCAAGTTTTATTTATATAACTTTCAATACGGTTACTGATTGTTTTTGCTTTTTTCATACACTTTTTTTTTTTCTTTTTTGTTTAATTAAGTTAGAAGTTTGACCAAATTTGTTTTTGTAAATCTACAAGTAAGAAGTAGTAAGTAAGTTGATTACTAAACCCAGGAACTGGAGAAGACTTGATGTAATGTCAGTGCCCTGTAACATGATTATTATTATTATTATTATTATTATTATAGCGGCCTATACTGGATACGCGACGCATTCTTTAGGCGATATTATCAGAGTATGACTTTTTTTTTTATTTTATTTTTTTTTCTAGCTAGTTAGATATTCCGGCGCGGCGTGTGATTTGGCGACTGATGGATGATAATAAGTTTGTCTAACAGACTATACTATTAGCCAGCGTGTGGGTGTGCGTGTGTGATAATTGTGTCGTATGATACCGCCCGCCAGACAGCCGGGGCTGATTAACCAGGGTGAACTTTCTGTCTTTCTTTCCCGGCATGTGACTCCCTGCGCTTATTTTTGTGCCCCACTATTGGCCCCACCTTGCTGCAGCCAACCACGGGAGGGAGGGAGCGTGACCACATGCTGCTGCCTCCCCCGGGGACCGACAGCACAGACCGGCGTTGTGTCAGGTGATTGGGCCACCATCACCGGGGCCCACCCCCCCCCCTCTCCCCCTAGAATCCGGGGTATGTTGGCTGGCGGCTGCTGGTGACTAATCACTCACTCACTCACTCACTCACTCACTCAAGAAATCGTCGCCTCTTCCTTCGTATTAACGATGGTTTGCAGGTCATGTTAGGGACCCCTTCCCACTCATTTAAATATCCCACCTTTTCTTGTCGATTGGCCTTTTTTTTTTATTATTATTATTATCATTATTATTCTTTTAATTGCCCCTGTTCTTTCTTCTTTGCTTCATCCCCTTTAAAGACTTATCTTATCATCTTTAGTATCTTGCTTGTTTATTCACATACATCTATCTATCTATAAAGCAAGAAAAAAAAAAAAAAAAAAAAAAAAAAAAAAAAAAAAGTCAATCACAGGTCCGGATCCGCACCTTTCTGCTGCTTGTTGGTCATTCTTTTGATATTGCTGAAATTTTTCCAAGGAATATATCTATCTGTGCATAATCAGTTGTTTAGAATTTTCCCCTTGAAATTTTTCACTTTTTCATTTTTCATTTTTCATTTTTACCTCTTCCCATTGGACTATTAGTGATCTTTCCCTCCCTCTCTCATCCTAATAAGAACGACAAAAACAACAAACAGTCCATTCATTCTCTTGCTCGCCCTCTCTTCTCTTATTGCACTTTTTCATCACACAACAATACAACACAACACAATACAACACAAAACAATGCCTCCAAAAAATAAGAACAAGAACCCAGTAATCCACTTTGTTTCCGGTGGGGTTGCTGGTTTGCTGGAAGCCCTTTGTTGTCATCCTTTGGACACCATCAAGGTCCGTATGCAATTATACAGAAGGGCTGCTGGCAGTGGAGTCAAGCCTCCTGGTTTCATCACCACCGGGGCTGGAATTTTCAGAAACGAAGGGTTCATTGCCCTTTATAAAGGTTTGGGTGCTGTTTGTATCGGGATTGTCCCGAAGATGGCCATCAGATTCAGTTCGTTTGAATATTACAAGACTTTTTTCACCAAATCTGATGGCTCGATTTCCACCGCGGCCACCTTTGTTTCTGGGTTGGCTGCCGGGGTCACCGAAGCCGTTGCTGTTGTTAACCCAATGGAAGTTGTCAAGATTAGAATGCAAGCCCAATCAAACTCTGCCACTGATCCAACCGCCTTGCCAAAATATAGAAATGCCATCCAAGCTGCTTATGTCATTGGTAAAGAAGAAGGGTTCAAAGCGTTCTACAAAGGGGTTTCCTTGACCGCCTTGCGTCAAGCTACCAACCAAGGGGTCAACTTCACGGTGTATTCCAAATTGAGAGTCAAGTTACAAGAATATCACCAATCTGACAACGTTCCAGGCTGGCAAACTTCGGGTATTGGTTTGATTTCCGGGGGGTTGGGTCCACTTTGTAATGCCCCAATCGATGTCATCAAGACCAGATTACAAAAAGAAATTGGCTTCGATCCAAAAGAAAACTCTGTCAAGAGAATCACCAGAATCGGTACCAAGTTGATCCAAGAAGAAGGTGTCAGAGCGTTCTACAAGGGTGTCACCCCAAGAATTATGAGAGTTGCTCCAGGTCAAGCCGTTACTTTCACCGTTTATGAATTTATGCAAAATGCTTTGGGTAAAGTTTCATTCCTTAATAGCAAGAAATTGGATTGAAAAATAAAATAAAAATAAAAATAAAAATGAAATAAAATAAAATGAAAAAAAAAAAAAAAGAACAACAACAACTAATGTGAAAGAAAGTGTATTTCTTTTCATTTCATTTCTTTTTTTTTTTTTTTTTTTTTTTTTTTTTTTTTTTTTTTTTTTTTTCATTAGGATAGATTTGGAATTTTTCTCACCTTTTTTTTTGTTTTCAGTTTATTATTATTTATTGTAGAATGTTTTTTTTTGTTTTGCTTCAATTGAACATATTCATATATCACCAAAGCGATTACCATTATGGTGTCAACTTTAAGAGAAAAAAAAAAAAAAACAAGAAAAAAACATTTTCGTATATGATAAGATGGATGGAGATAAGGGATTTGATTGATCTATTCCGACGTGTGAAATTTTTCCCAAAAAAAAAAAAACACAAACAACCAAATCATAGGTGTAGGTAGGACAGGACAATTTCTCTTAAACCGTAGTTTCTTTCAATTTAAGCAATCGTCAATAATCTTTTATTTTATACTTTTCAATGAGTTAATAATATATTTGGCAAAAAAATAAATATTCAGTTGATATGCTATCACATTCTTAGAAGGACCATCTCATTTCATACAACGAATATATATATAGAAGTACAATAAGTATAATAAAATTCATGGAGAGTACATTGATAATCAATCCCAACTAGCACAATAAATCATAATTCCAGTGGACAAAAAATTAATATAATATAATATAATATAATATAATATTACAAAAAAAAAAAATCTCAATTATAATATAAATATGTACATAAAAATCAAAAAGTAATCATTCATAGCCAAAAAATCAAAAAAAAAAAAAAAAAAAAAACCATAGTACTTCTCAACAATCAACTAAATTAAACATTACCAAACATCATCTTGGCAATTTGCATTCCATAATTCACTTCGGATGGCGATGATTCCAGTTTAGGCTCATTGATAAAGTTACTATTATTATTCTTACCGTTGGAATTGTTAATGTCAGAAGGTGAAATACCGCTGCTTCCCGTCATATTAGATGACGACGATGATCTCATTACACCATTGATCTGCTGATTAATTTCGTTGTTGTTCATGATGTTGTTCAAGAAGTCTTGCGATTGAATGTCCAGAATGGTGTTAGGACTAATAATCAGCGCCGAATTACTCATTGGACCCCCACCAAATATTGGTGCCGCAACACCATCATCTCCAGTAGCCATCAAATTAGAGTTATTACTACCAACGGCATTGTGTTCCATCATGCTTTTCAAGAAATCTGCATTGTTCAAACCTCCAATATTATTTAAATCAAAACCCAAATCTTCAATCGCCATTCCATCATCATTAACTCCATTATTACTCGCAACATTCCCAAGGTTATTCTTATTTTCTTCCACCTCAGCTAGTAGAACTTTATGATGTTCGCTATTAATATTATTCTCAATGTCAAAATACGGATTGAAATAATCAAGCTTCGTTTGTCCATTCTCATCCACCAAATTAGCCCAATGATCCATTCTTGGATTTTCCGCGTACATATCCAATTGCAAAAGCTGGCTATTGAGAAAATCGTTGAATTGATTCATTAAATTTCCATCAATATCATTATTCAACGAAAAGTTCTTGTTCGGGTCAATATTTGGATCGTGCCTTTGTTTTGGCTCGTTGTCAGAAACGTCTACCGAATTAATAACATTCGACGTTTTGTTGTGGTATACTGCTCTCTGAGCATGTAATTTGTTAGAGAAATCCCGGTATATCGGATGCCTTTCGATTAAATAGGTCATGAACATTCCAAGAATCTTGCAAAACATCCAGGCTTGGAAGTAGGTCTCTGATAACTCCGAATAAAACCGGTACATATCTTCCATATAAGCGTATAATTGAAGTGCCAACACTTGAGAATCAGAAGAATCAATGCCACAAAGTTTGGCAATATTCTGCTTGTTACAAGTGAGCCATCTAATAACTTCTTTCAGTAACATTGGTCCGCCATTAGCGTTTGTTATTGTACTGCCAAAATTTTCAGAATGTCTCACCACGGTTATACAAACCATTTGATAAACTCTTTGCATGGCAATAACCACCGAAGGAGTAACCAATTTATATAAATCATCGCCGAATACATGATTTGGATGCTTGAAATAATCATGACAAAACTTAAACACTGAAAGAGCAGAGGAGATCGATTTACCAATGTATGTTTTCTTCAGTTCTTTCTCGTTTTCGGAACTTGTCAACGTCAAAATATGATTCAAAACGCTATAGATTATATGCACTTCCAACCCCATCATACATTCGGTGGCCCGTTCACAACGATCAGGGAATGACCGCCCACTACCTGCTCCAGAAATTGTACCAATATTTACAAACTCTTGGAATGGTCGGATTCGCTGCATAAAACCCTCCAAATCCTCGACACACTTATTAATTACTGATCTTTTTGGATTTTGTTTAATCACCATCATGACCTGTGAGATCTTTCTAAAAATTGTCACCATCTGATTTTCTATCGCAATGCTTCTCACAATAGACGACTCGTATGGATTAGCACTCCCAGTCTTTTGCAAATCACTGCCAATATAAGGCAATTCAGTATCGTATGAATCATCGTCGGGAATAAGCAACTGAGAGCCAAAATTAAGTGATTTCTGAGCATCCATTTGTAAAAGCTTGAACCAAATTTTTCTCCAAACATGCCTGATTCTTGCATCATCCACAAACTCGAAATTACTCGGGTCTCTATTCAATCCAATTGATTTGGCCATCTGTATGATGATCGACAAACTTACTAAAGAATCAAGCCCTGTATCACCATCTTCTGGGGATTGCGATTTATAAAACTTGAGATAGAGGAATGCTTGCACAATTTGCAAGTTGGCCTTTTTAAGCGCTGAAGAGTTGGTCAAACAATTCTTTGCATGCTCAATGAATAACGGGGAAATATTGATTTCTCTAGAAAACATCTCCATGGTCAAATCATCCACATTTTTATTTTTTGAATCACCAGAAACTTTATCCATAGGAAGGGTTAAGAAAGAAAATCTCAAAAAAATCAAGGCCATAGATACCGTAACTAGTTGGAATCTATCTGGAACAATGAAAAAGCAGTCCCCGTGTTCATTGGATCTCAAAATACGTGAAAGTTGAATATAAAATATCTGTTTATCAACGAATGGCATAAGTAAGTAGCACTTGGAAAAAAATCTCTCCAACAATTTATCAAAAATGTGTCTTGGGGGCAAAATGGAGTTAATTGGATCGATAATTTCACTCATTTTCTCACCACTGCAGGCACTTAGAATCGCAGTATCAGCATCATTTATCTCATCCACTTCATGATAATTGTGATATTTTCTAAAAATTTCTTTATGACAACTCAAAAATTTTCCAAACACATCAGTGATAATCGGTTCATTTGTGGCCAAGGACATGAAACTAGTAGAACCATAATGGTGCAATTTATTCTCCTTGATAACAAGGACATCGAAATCTTTGACTAAATCCACAATTTGATCATCGTCTTCATCTTTAGTGGGTTTAATATTACTAAACCTTGGAGTATGTAAGTTATTGAATATTGTATTATTACTCTGATTTTCAGTAAATAATAATCTTTCCTTGGTGGTATCGTTACTACTGACTGTATTTGTCAAATGGGTAATCTGAACCTCATAATTCGCCACAAGACTCTGGAGCTCGGCATTTTTTTGTTTCAACTGAATGATCCTCTGGTTGAGTTGCTTTATATCGTTGGTGATATCCCAAGGTTGAACTTCATAATGACATGAATTACAAGATGAGCTCCTTATACAAGAGCCGCAGAATGGTCTTAATTTGTCACACTATAATGTTAGTAAAAGTAATCGAGTGATAACGTGAACGAACTATGCCGCATGACAAAGAATGGGTGGCAAATAATCATTGACATACCTTCACCTTCTTTTTCCGGCAAACATTGCAGCTTGTAGGGATTCTATGTCTGGATTTTTTGATTTTTCCAGGAGGTTCCATGTTCTCCATGGATAAAGGGTCTGGCGGTGAGTTACTAGACGTGCTGCTGGTGCTCATATTTGTGGGGATTGAATATGCTCACTGACGAATAGTGATAATACAGTAGCCAATTTTTTTCTTTTTTTTTTTTTTTTTTTTTATTTTTCTGTTTCTGTTTTTTTCATTATTGATTCGTTATCATTGCGTATTTTTAGCAGAAGTACTCAGAGCCAACCAACATTGGTGATGAGTTTGCCCCCCCCTCCCCTCCGTCTCACACCCCCTTCCGGTTTTAAGCGCAGATCTCCGTACTATGCGCACACCGAAACAGCATATAACCTCTTATCACATTATATCTAAAGCTTGCAAAGAGTGTATTACTCCTTCCTTCCACTTTGGATATTATTAGATAACCATACTTAAAATAGTTGTGGTATACTCTCTCTCTCTCTATCTCTTTATCTCTTCTTTCTCCTATTATCTTATCTTGCATTGAGGAATATTGGTCACCTGCAAGTGAAGCCTGGCTTATGATTTTTTTTTTTTTTTTTTGGAATCTAGATAGAGTCTTGGTGAACCACAATAGAAAAAGAAAGAAGAATATCAATTGTTTGTCTCTTGTAAGCTGTTATAATCACTAATTGAGTTGCAGACTTTCCAGTCTCATGGACAGCATTTCTTATTTCTATTTTGATTTGTTGCACTAGCTCTTTTAATGTATTTCCCCAAGACAATGATTCTTCAACATAATAAGAATATCTCAAGACTTTATTTCGAACTGTAGTTGTAAATTCCATTCAAAAATCCTCATTTTTGATTATCCCATAAACTTCATACCATGTCATCAGGTTAATTTCTTCAATGATGATATCGATTGGTACCAGGGCAGGCCAATCATCCAGTATCTCGAAAGTGACAATAAAGCCTATATGTTGTAAGACAAAGTGGAAGTAATTGAAAAAATATAGAAAGTAATAAGTAGGAAGAAAGCAAAACAATAATAGAAAGTATATTTCAGCAAGAATGACGAAACCCCAGCGATTTTCTCGCGCTTATCTCCGCAAAGTCCCCTTCGGCAACGAATGGAATTTTTTTTTTTTTTTATCATTTTGAGGCCAATAAAAAAATGACCGACCGATTATAGAAATGTATTTTCATCGTTTATTATCTTTATTTTTATTATCTTATGTTTTCTCTCCAAATTAACAATACAATAACTATGGTTTTACCTAAACGTACAAGTCCATTTATTAACTAACAGAAAACTAAATCTTTTCAACAACCAGAAAAAAAAATCTAATCTAAGAAGATTCGTAAGTGACCTTTGGATCATATGGGAAACTTGGACCAATTTCTTGGATACTAACCTTGGCAGTCCATTGACCCAAATCAACGGCTTTAGCCATTGGAAGACCCTTCACCAAACCAGCAATGAAACCACCGGCGAATGCATCACCAGCACCGTTAGTGTCCTTGATCTTGTCAACGGAAATTGGGTGGACTGGGTATTCGCTGATTTCATATTTTTCGGTGGCGAAATCGTATTTAACAACAACGGTTGGTTCGGTACCGTGGGTGAAGACAACAATTCTTGGCTTGGTGGTGTTTTCCTTTGGAGTCTTAGCAACTAATTTGGCAGTTTCAACCAAGTTGCTTGGTTCAGCATAACCGTGGGAGCTGGCGTAAGCTTCAGCTTCGGTTTCGTTACAAATAACGTAATCCATGTATGGCAAACACTTGTCAAGTTGGTCTTTGAAAAATTCAGGAATGAATGGGGCGGAAAAGTTGATGACGGAGATTTTGTCATTGTGAGCAGCAGCTTCTTTACCAAGCTTGATAATGGCTTCTGGAGAAACTGTCAAGTGGAACCCACCAATGTAAAAGACTTTACCGCCCTTGATGATTTCTTCATTTTCTGGCTTTTCTAAATGAGAAAGAGTAAAGTGGTTAGCGGCAGCGAGGTCAGTGACCAAAGATCTGTTCAAACCGTTGATCAAGGCAGCACATTTACCGGTTTCGTGTTCAGTTTGGACTTGGTATTTGGTGGTAAGACCGGCTTTTTCATTGGCCTTGATCAAAAGGTCTGCATATTGATCATTACCAACTGAACCGAAATAAACAACACTTTTTGGTGGCAAAACGTATTGAGCAGCTCTGGCAGAGTTTTGGCCAGCACCACCGGCAACAATGTGAAGACCTGGTTGGTTGATCACTTCGTCGTAAATTGGAAGGTGCTTTTCTTCGGCCAAGATGGCATCGTTTTCCTTGAGAGAGTATTTTTCAAGGTATGAAGGTTCAACGTCGACTTGCAAGTCGAGCAATGGGTTACAAAGACAGACGAGAGGGAAGGACATTTTTTAGTAATGTAATATAGACAGATGAGGGAGGATCTGGAGAAATTATTTGAAAATTCAGATGCTTGATGCCACCAACCTATTAATACGCAAATTTGGAAATTTTTTATGTTGAGGAAACTGGCGTGGGGTGCGTTACCCGATTGCAAAGCAGAAGATGATAACATTGCACATGTGAAAACCAGCATTGGTAGAGAGAGTGTATGTAGTATCAAGAAACCAATGAAAAATGTTGACCATTTTGATGAATGGCGTAAAAAAAATCGGGACTACTTTTTTTTCCTTGTAGTAAGAAACACCCTTGATGTACGCAATATCTGATACTACTCATTAGCTGATCAATACTGTCTGTCATCTTATTGATTTTCTTTTTTTTTTTTTTTTCTTCCTCTTCTGGTACTTTTATAAAATAATGTTTATTAACAATATACAACAGATATTAATGACAAAATTGAATTCCTTAATTGATGTTTTTGTAGAACAGTTTCATTGAGTTCCCTAATTCATTGGCTTCTGCTCTCATCACTTCATCGCTTCTAGGATACCGCTTCTCATCTTGAGAGACCCATTCATCATCATGGCCCTCACCAAGTGACTCTAGTTTCTCTAATTCCTGCCTCAACGCCAGTTTTTTCATCTCAAGGCTGAATGTTTCTAGTTTGCCGTAAATAGCATCCCCAAAATTATTGACAGAGTATCGAGGTATTATATGGGTATGCAAATGTGGTACCGACTGACCCAGGGCAATTCCATCTTGGATTGCTATATTGAGGGCATCGCTTTTATAATGGTGAGTGATGAACTTTGCCACCTTTCGGATTGATGACATATAGTCAATGGACTCCTCATCTGTCAAGTCATTGAGTCTTGGAACATTTCGGTTAGACACTACCAAGACATGGCCTGGGACTATTGGTTTAAGATTGACCAATGCAAAAGAGTGCCTTGATTTGAAAAAGACTTGGTCGGTGACTAGAAACTTGTGGAAGTAATATTCGTTCATCTTGTGGCGTGAGAAGCAATAGTAGAATCCCACACACAATTCCTTAGAGTCTGAGATCCCTGTCCGGTCTGAAATTTAAAATCCGCTGCTTCTTGTTCAGGGCTGCTAATATTTTTAAGGCACCAACTGGGAGGGTCATTGTCACCACCGACAGATCTGCACTGATGACAGCCAATGTTCAAAAATATAATGAATGAAAATGCAACAAAAAATACCTTTTTTTTTTTCTACTTTATGATCGACATCTTAGATCCTATTTACTGCTCAAAATCGTAAAACCGCAGCCACCCAATATTGCAAAGTCTTAACAAACATTTTTTCCCCTCGCCGGGTTTTGCAGCCTCGACCGCTGGGCGACGCGACGACCTGGATGAGGAATTACTATAAATAATGGACATTCGCCGTCTTACATAGTTGTTGTAATAAAAGAACTAACGATTCTTATCTTTTTCGTAAAACCACTACAGTATGTGTTTCTTGCAACTTCTGCCTTGCTATATTACCTGCTATCGTCAATGTGTGAGGAAAATTAACTTTACCACTGTCCTTTTTATTAAGCTCGGTAGGTCACAGGTGATTCTAACAAAAAATAAAAAAAAAGACTCTTGAGGTAAAAGAGATCGGAGTTATCACTAGATGATTTGCGGCTATCACGATGGTGTTATCTTTGGCTTTTGGTTGCCCTCAGAGTTTATTGATAGTGGGTACCGATAGACTGAAATCAAGCTTGTGCAGATTATTATAAAGATTGTAATAATAATAATAATAAAACACACACACAAAAAAACAATGTAATTTAATACCAAAACCTGGATTTTGGTTTTTCGGTTATTAATTAAATATACATATAGATGATGATGTGAGAATTTCTGGCAACCACCAACGTCCCTAAAGTATTATGGGTGTACGGGAACATACTTCTTGCGCTCTAACCAATTAGGCAAATGTATGTTACCACATAATTTGGCCTTTGGGTACTACCAAAATAACAAACCCGAGAAAAATATGACTTTAATCAATTATTGCCTCGCTTTCCTTGTATTTATTACACATATCACATAGTACCAGGATGAATGGGCGGAAGGTTTAATAAGCTTTCGGTTAGGTTTCTTATCTAAACGCACCACATAGATTAGATCCTGCTTTTTGATTGATGGTCGCAGATAAAAAAAAAAAAAGTAAAGATATGAATGGCATATGACATACTCAAGATTATTAATATCGCTATCATCAACGTAACTTGCAATGGCTTCGAAACGACCGTTAGGAGAATTCATGGCAGTTGATGACTCACTGCCACAAGACAGACTGGGCCCTGGAATTAGCGATTTTGCAAAGAAATGGCGTCAGATAAGGGCGTGTGCCCGGTGCCATCGATTGAAGATGAAATGTGCTTATGATGATCCATCATATTCTTCTTGCAAAAGATGCTTTTCGGCGGGTGTTGAATGCTCTCCAGATTTTGATCCAACCAGCAAATTTAAAGTCTCTAGACCCCGCAAGAAGAGCAAGATTGTCAATATTCCAGATTTCAAGCAGCTATCACTATACATTGGCAAGTTGCAAACATCGAACAACATTATCGATAAAAACAAGAAGGTAGAAGATCAGGAAAAACTTAGAGCTTCAATTGTTGAAGAAGTCAGTGGGTTGAGGAATGTCAAGCTACAGCTTTCAAACTTCATTTCACAAATCGATCATTTGGTAGATCAAAAGGAGTCACTACTTCGACAAAGTGCAAATCCCACCCAAAACAACGATGCCAATGTTACGAACTCTCCTCAAAATGTATTTAAAAATAACAATCCTAGCTCTAAAGAACTGATGTTGCCTCCTAGCATCATTACTCCTCAGAATTTGCCAATTATTCCATTTGAAAAGAATTTGGTGCTCGAAATCATAAAACTTAATTATCTTAGCATTGAAGTTGTTAGAGAAAAGTACCAATATTTCAAAGATCATTTGCTTATATTTTGGCCAGCAATTAAACTTCCTGATGCTTACACTGTCGATTATTTGATCAAAAACAAGCCCCTATTACTTATTTCCCTCATTGTCAACTGCTGTGCCACATCCAATGACATTGTGTTATACAATATTCTATCTTATTACCTTGATATGAACCTTTCACATCAGATTTTTATCAATGGGAACTTGTCTATTGATATTATTCAATCGTTCTTGGTTCTATCAATCTGGAATCCGCCTCCAAAACAATGGGGCACGTTTAAGCATCAACTCCATCTTCTTACATCTCTAAATCTTAATCTTGTCGTGGACTTGGGAGCAAAATGCGAGCAAATTCTTATTGAAAGTAGCACCTCTAACAAATCAGAAGCATTATATTTTAATGATAATGAGATTGTTCGTCTTTATCTTATGATTTATTCAAGTTGCGGGTCGCTTGGACTCAGCCTTCCGAAATTTAAATCTGTTGTCTGGACTCTGAATCATCATTTGGCTAGCACTTACCTTTACGATAAATATATCAAAAATAACCAATTTGAAGACAATGACAGGACGGATATTTTCATCTATTACTTGTCTCGCCTCATTTGCATTGGCCAGGATATGGCTACTAAACTCGATACAGCTTCTGGTGATACTTATAATGACCCCGAAAGTCTATCCGCTCTCATAAATACTTTTGAAGAAAGACTTCTTAAGTTGATGCTAGACTATCGTTTGACTGACCCGAGCTCGACCTCCAATGAGAATCCACTTGTCGGGTTGACTTATCAACAAATTTTAATGACAATGTATGATCATTTAATTTATAAGAATTTATCATCATCACTTATATTCTTTATCAATAATTCATTCAACAAACCAAAAGTGGAGAATGAAGAATATAGGTTATATCAAACTTCAATTAAGGTGCTTGAAAAATTGATTATTGTTTGCAAAAAATTGGTGGAGACTTTTCTTTTGGTTTCCGATAAAACGCTCAACGTCCCAACTTTTTTTCATTATCGCCCAATGAATGCTATCGTTAGTCTTATCAAAGCCAAGATTTTAATTAAATTGCTCATTTTTGAGCTCAGTTATAGAAGCTTGCGGAATTCCTCTGCAGTCAAATCTAAGAGTGGATTAATTAATGATGAACTTATTGATGATATTACATTTTTGGATTTCAATCTCAAAAGCTTCTTCAATCATTTTTACAAGAAGTATGAAAGCTATACAAAATCTTCAATGACCTATGAAAAAATGTTTGTGATTTTAAAGAAAACGAAGAAGCTTATCAAACTTGTTGACCAAATTTTAAACAAAAAGAATCCTCATAACAAACAATCAGTAGTACTTTCCAGCTCCGGAGACAAAATTAAACAGGAAGATAGTGAGGAATTGATTGCTGGATTCAACTTCAAAATTCACAATAAGAGTGATGAAAATGAAACCACGCACCAGGAAAATAGTTTTGCCATCACTTCAAATCTTGCCAATAATGATTTACTTAATTTGCTTTATGAATTAGGGAAAGAAAAAGCAGTAGAAAATATTGATATTCTTGAACTCAATTCTGAAACCAAGCGCAAGAAGCGTGAAGCTCGTCGGAGACAAAAGCTTGTTAATGATACAGATTCTATGGCTTCTGGAGACACTCCCGGAGTGGTGGACGATGTTTCAATTGGTAATAATGAGGTTGATGTAGCTGCTAATGAATCAGCTCAGCACCAGGTTTCAAAATCCACTAGCGAAGAGCCCCAAGTTTCCAATTTGAATTTCTTCTTCAAGGAGTTATTCTCAAATAACCTTTTCAGTGATATCATTACAGAAGTAGCCCATGATGAAATGTGTCCCGATATTTCACAGCTCTTGAACAGTGACAAGAATCAGAATCTGAGTCCTGATCCTAATATGGATCTGGAAATACTGTCCCAGCACCTTGAGCAGTCACAAATACCACAGAATACATCAAATACTGTTTCAAGTCCTTCGGTTCATCAAACAGGAAATCAAAACATGAGTGGCACTGGAAATGATTTAAGTTACCCAGTGTCACCGGAAAATTCGCTTGACATGCATGAAAGCAATAATCTATTACTCTATGGCAAGGGAGGATTCTCTTCTATTAACCAACTTTTGGCTGCGCCATCACAAGATATCTTTTCTATGAATTATGGTTCTGTAGCAAATGGTGAGAATCATGATGGAAGGATTCCGTCCACTCCTATGACCAGTATGCCGATGGTGGATTCGAATAGTACGGGGGCGGCAAGTAGTATTGGTGATGATTATAGCACAAGAGATTTTTGGACGAGTAAGGATCAGCAGCATCCAGAGAATATCAATGGGTTCGATTTCGATTAAGCGTATTAGGTGATCTCCCTTTTTAGGTGATCTCCGATTTTATTGTTTAATGTGGAGATTGATATATTAATAATATTGTTTTTTTATTTTCTTTTCTTGTTCCTTATTTTTGAATTCGTTATTTTGCGGTATATCATGCCACTGGGATATTTTTTTTATGCATTATTTCCTTCTGTATTTTGAACGGAAATTTAAAAATTTTATAGACATATTTTTTCTCTGCGTGGTCTGTTTTTTCATTTGCAACAACATGTTCTGTATCCCTCTTTCCTGTTGTTTTACTTTTGGTTTACTTTAATATATATTCAAGGCATTTTTATTTTTTGGTAGTTTGGCTCATTTATTGAAGAAATTGTAATAATTGAAAGAAGAAATTTATACACGAAGACTATTAAAAGGGAAATGGAACAGTCGAGCATTGAAAGGTGTAGCTCTAGATCGATAGTATTAGTGGACATGCAAAGTTTGAACTGTGGTGATGATTTGACAATTTGAATTCCTTATTGGCGAAATTCCATATCATTAGTGATTCCATTTTTCTTCCCTGAGCCTTAGAGGGGCGACCATGGAGTTTAAATAAAAAATTATGCAATGAAATCCATCTTTTGTGATACGCACATTACCACTTGACAGCCACCATAGATACATGGCAAATGCTGGTTACACTACAGCCTTGGATGTTCATGTTGAGGGCGAACCGTTGCGGCCTGCGTGGACGATTAAAGAGGTGGTGTGTGCGGGTAATAATAACACCCCCTGTATGCCTCGCAGCATCGCATGAACCACTTTAAGCATCAGTTTTGCGGACCAAAGAGTTGATCTATGACAAAAGAGGTGTTTATTGTGTAACTTCCCATGAAGAAGCAATAGAAACGCCACTCTTAGTACATATAATTTACTGTTATATCCAAGCTAAAAACGTGCTTTGATAGCAACGGTTTGAAACAAAATTGTCGTCGCTTTCTTGTGTTATTAGTCAAAAATTATCCGTCCACTAAATCGACATCTGGTCATCCCATTATTTCCGATTTACATTTACTATTTGGATATCCTTGAAAGCTTCTCCCCGGCTGCCAAAACCGTAGTATCTACTGCGGCCGAAACTATTTATGATTTTGATTTGTTTGCTATAATACTTTGGAAAGTATATTATTGCCTTGTGTTCTTGTTCGCATAGGAGCGGCCTACCTTTATTCGGCACCCGATTTAGTTTATAATGATTGATAACGAACAAAGAAAGACTCTCAAGCCAGTTCCAACTGTTTTCCCAACTCAGGAAGAGTTTGACAATCCTATAGTTTACTTATCCTCGCCAGAAATCCAGAAATTGGGTGACAAGTATGGGATGATTAAGGTGAAGCCACCTTCAAGTTGGAAACCTCCATTTTCAATTGATCAAAGCTCATTTCGCTTCAAACCCAGAGTCCAAAAACTCAGCGATCTAAGTCTTCTTATTAGAATTAGAACGATATTTAAAGATGGTCTTGTGAATTTCATGAAAATGAAAAAAAAGAAAATTCCAAGAACATTGTACTTTCTCTTGAGTAATAAGGAAAAAATGTACTACTATGATTTATTTTTGAAAATAAATCAATATATTGCTGGTAACTTCCAAGAAATTGATACCAAAAGAAAGAAGAATGACACAAATGGTAGAAACACTGTATATAATGAGATTAGAAATTTCCCAGAAATATGGCAACGTTTGAATAAGGAAGCTGGATTGGGCCCACACTCTGAAGAAATAGAGAATTTCTATTATAATTATATGAAAGAATATTGTATATTTTTGGCAAAAAAATATAGCACAAAGATTGCATCTTTTGAGAGCGAGTATCAATTCAACCAGAATCCTTACAATGACGACAGCAACGAAAGCGACCAAGAGCACTCTGATGAAGAAGAGGAAGACTACTGGTGCCATGCTTGTGGAGGAGAATCAGATGATGCAAAGATTTTGCTTTGCGACGGATGTAATGATGGGTATCATATATATTGTCTAAAGCCGCAGCTCAAAAGTGTTCCAAGAGGCAGCTGGTACTGTGATGAATGTCTAGTAGGGAGTGGCGAGTTTGGATTTGTTACCAGTAATACCTCATATTCTCTTGAAGAGTTTCAAAGATTGAATACTGAATTCAAAGAAAAATATTTTGCGAATATATTGGCAAACAATGATTCTTATTTTTCTCTTTCGCGATTAGAAGATTTATCTAGGACATACTTGGACAATGACGCTAATGAAGACAAATATGTTGATTTTTTGGAAAATGAATTCTGGGAAAATTTGGTCAATAACGAACAATCTAATATGAAAGTAAATTATGGTGCAGATATTCACAATCTTAGACCGGGTCAGATTTCTGGCTTCCCAATGAACTATCCATTCAGAGAAGAATTACTGGAGGATTATTATATGAACCATCCATTTAATCTAACAAAACTTCCATTTGCGGAGGGATCTTTGCTAAACCATTTGAATGATAAAATTAGTGGCATGACAATACCTTGGCTTTACATCGGTTCTTTATTTTCAACTTTTTGTTGGCATTTGGAAGATCATTACATGCTATCAGCAAATTATTGTCACTATGGTGACATTAAAAAATGGTATTGCATACCTGAGTCGAGTTGTAATAGATTTGAAGTGTTGATGAAAGAATTAGCCCCAGACTTATTTCTAAGACAGCCTGATTTACTCCATCAATTGGTCACCTTGCTATCTCCATATGACATCGTCAAAAATGAAGTGGAATGTTATTACGCCAATCAAAGGGCGGGAGAATTCATTATTACTTTCCCCAAATGCTATCATTCGGGCTTCAATTGTGGATTTAACGTTAATGAGGCGGTGAACTTTTCCAACAATGGCTGGTTGAAATTTGGTATTAATGCTTTGGATAATTATAAACTTGTCCAGAAACCTCCAGTTTTCAATCAGATTCATTTGTCTTATAGCATCTTATACCATTTCTTGCACGAGGCTGATGAATCCGGTGAAAAATTCATTAGGGACAATAAGATTACTGAGTCGAACTATAACTTGATTATAATGTGCATTGCTTATCTTGAAAAGAACGCTTCTGATTATGTTAGAAATTTTAAAAGCTTAAGTGAATCTCTTCCAAAATACAAAAAGCTTCAATTAAAATTCGCTCATGATTATTATGATAGTGGGGCACTATCTAACTCTAGTTTCAATATCAAAAACGCAAAGAATTTAGATCAGTTTTACAATGAATCAGCAAATAAGGAAGGCGGTAGTAAAATGATGGCTGCAATGAATGGGAGTATGTCAGAAGATATCATGTGCGCAAATTGTCGTGAGATTTGTTGCATGGCTTATGTTGAAGTTTACGATAAAAAGTATACTACCTATCCAAGTACAGGGCAGGCAGTATTTGTGGATGAGCAGGAAGAAACGAAGGTACATCTTGCAACTCCTGAACCATCGCCGATTAATGATAATAGAGCCATAGAATTGGATGATTCCGGGTCTCCAAAACGAAAACGCGGTCGTCCATGTAAAAAGAGAAGAAAAGTTCAAACCAATGAAAGCACTTTTGTGAAACAAAATGTCCGATACTACTGTATTGAGCACTTCCATAAACTGCATGAGAAGCTAAGGCGAGATTTCACAGTGTGGGTAAAGTGCGACGATACAAAAGTGAACAATATTACTTCACAATCAAAATTGAAGTTAAAAGAATTGAAAATTTGTGATTAGTTTCCAATCATAGCCTGTTATATTATTTAGATACCCTTGTACCCTGCTTTTATCTTTTCTTGTTATTTAAAATATCTTTACATGAGATTGTTTTCTTCTTCTTTCTACCATATGGTCATGGTTTTTGATATATTATACTATTTGGCTTTTTTTTTCTTGTGTATATTATCACATATATATTCTTTGAGGGTGATTATTACTTTGATTTATCTAATAAGCACAATTACAGTTTCACTAATTACAACGGAAAATATTTTCGACTGGAAGAGTCCTCTAAAAGTCATTTGACTCAACAAGCATAATGAAATTATGGCAAAAACCCTGAACAATTACAATTTAAATTTGACTTAAAAATACCAATCATAAACAATACAGAGGATATATAGATAGCATACATAGACAGAAAAATAAACCACATTAGAAAAACCAAGAAAACAAAACTACCCAGCATCCTCCTTCTTCACCAATCATACTTATCAGTGGAAAATGTTACCTCCTTCCATTTTTCTAGACGTTCAAGGGCATCTTTTGCATACCTTTGTATAACCTCATAAGTATCCTTGCCAAAACTGATAACTGGAGGAATTTCTTTTTCATAAGGCCCTTCGTGGTGGGCTAGCGCAACTATTTGTGATGCTAAAGCCTTTGGATCACCAATGATATTACTAGAAAAAGTCTCATAGCCTGCACTGGCAACGTCTCTTTCTTCATCATAATCTTTGATAGTGCCTTGAAGGGTAATCTTGTTTTCTTCTTTTCTTGAATCTTTGAAAAAATCTGTTCTAAACGCTCCAGTTTCAATGGCGATGGAACGGATACCAAATTTCTTAACTTCAAGATCCAAAGTGGTACTGAGCGTCATTAACGACGATTTAGTAGAGCTGTAATAGCCAAAGAACGGTAATGATTCATGACCCACACGGCTGGCAATGTTGATGATCAACCCGTTTCTGCGTTTACGAAACTCTGGTAAAATACCTTGAATCACTTTGATTGGACCAAACACGTTCGCGCTATACTGCTTCTCAACTAAATCTAACCCAACTTCTTCAACAGCTCCCAATTCCCCGTAACCCGCATTGTTAACAACCACATCGATCGGGCCATACTTTTTGTCAATTGTAGATAACGAAGATTTCACGGTATCAGCAGAGGCATTGACATCAAAATCTACAACGATCGCCCCTTTTGATTTCAAATAAGTTAATCTATTGGAGTCTCTTGAGGCAGCAATCACCTTATCACCCTTTGTAAGGGCTGCCTCAGCAAAAGCGGCACCAAGGCCACTAGAGGTACCAGTGATAAACCAAGTCAACATATTTAATGGTAAATGTAAGTGAAGAAAAAAAAAACTTGAATAACAAGAAAATTATCAAAAGATGAAAAAAAATGAGGCTCTTTGAGAAATAAATAGTACATAATTAGCAACCGCAACTTTATTAGTAATTCATGTTTGACTTACAAATTCTCAGCAACTGTATCTGATTATTAATTCGTAGTCTGCTTACAAATTTGAAAGATACTAACTTTTTATCAATTGATTTTTATTTTCAAATAAATATTGGTTTTGAGGTGAAGGAATGAATTTTACGTATTCTAAATCTGTCGGGTATTAATAATGAATTGGTTTGCACATTGTGACCCGTGGTGATGGTACTTTGTTATTTTTTCTGGGGTATTATTTTTCTCTTTTTCTTTTTAATGCAACACAAAACATCTGCACACACGAGAAAGAGTACAAATAGCTATAATCTGATCAGAATGTTAGCATTTTCTTCTTCAGCAAAGCGGGCCGCTCCAAGAATATTTCCAGTTAGACTTTTTTCAACAACGACTTCCTTAGCTGAAAAGGTGAAGCTTGACTTTTTCAGTAAGGAAGATTGTGGACTTTGTGTTAATGCCAAGACCATCCTTGACAAAATCATTCAAGATAAAGATTCTAGTTTGAAAAATGAAATAGAATATAAAGTATACGATATAACTAAACCTGAAAATAAGGAATGGTGGGACTCGTACTGTTTTGATGTGCCAGTATTACATATCACACATGAGAAATCAACAAAGCCAGTGAAATTTATGCATAGATTGGACCAAAAGAAGGTTATTGATGAAATCAACAGAACCATATAATAATAATGAGTATTTAACTGTATATATTAAATTAATGATGATGAACGATTAATTTTGCTAGCGAAAATATTTACTTTCAGTTGTAGAAGCTTGCAGCGTTTTGGTGATTTCATCAACGTTACCATCTAATTTCTTGATCTTTTGCTGGGAAATCTCCGCCTGGAATGAGTAACAATATTTGTGGCCTTTTTGGGTGAGTCTGCAAGATCAAAAGGATCAATTTCATGCTCCTCTTTAAGTAAAGACCTCTTTTTTCCTGTCTTTCCTTTCTTTGTAACATTCTTCATTGCAACAGTAGGAGAAGCTTCTTCATTTCCAATGTCTCCTCTTGAAGAACTATTCCTAAGATATTGACCTGTATCATGTTTTGGACTACTTTGAAAAATTATTGAAGCATCAATCTCTGAAATTTTGATCGTTTTGGCTTCAGTGATTGGCTGCTTATCACCTTTCTTCGCTCTTGCGTCCAAAGTTTTCGAAGGATTGTTTACTGGAGCTGATATAGCAATATCACCAGTTGGGCGAGATTTATTTAACACAGCTTGTTTATCACTGGTACTGGTCTTTTTCTTTATTTCGAGATTTCTGATATTGGAAGCTTCATTAAGTGCGGCTACCATTCCATCAATATCCTTTTTGATAATTATATGGCTGTTCAAAATATTAGTGATATTGTTGTGAAGTTCCTGCTTGGTTAGTATACCATTTTAGGTCCTCTTAGTAATTATTTATGCTAATACTACTCACCATAAAATCAAATTCAGAGATTATCTTCGCCATTTCAGTGAGCGAATACTTCATTTTTTCATGTCCTTTCTTAGTTTCATCAAGATTCAAAGCAAAAAACTCACTCATCCTATGTATTTGATAATCTTTGGTTTCAGATTGCTAAGTTTTTGTTAGTACTCTAAAATTTTATTTATATTCTTATTTGTATTGCCAAATATACACTCACATTTGACAAAATCGTATTAGATAAAACCGAAGTAGTTTGCTCCAAATTTTGAATAATTGCTAATTTGCTTTCCTTTAAACAGCTGTTCAATAGCTCTGAAACTTCCAAAATTTCTTTAGCCTTTCCTTCAATGGCTAGTAATTGAGCTTGATTTCTATCAGATATACTGGTAATTGATGTCTCCAAACGAAGATTTTGTTCTTCATATTTGAAAAGAATCTCGTCCATTTTGGATGTAAGACCATTGATCTGACCGTTCTTCTCCTTAATTAATTGTTCATGTGTATTTAGTAAACTTATTCTGGTTTCCTGAGCTACATTAATTTCCGATTTATACTGTTCCACGATTTTTTCCAACTAAAATGCTCATGTCAGTTTTAGGTCTAGTGTATCAAAATCACCAAATTAATTTTAAGTCTGTAATACTCACTCTGCTTATCTTTTCTGTGTATTTGAACTCGTCTAACTTCATGTTGATTTCTTTTTTTTCACTCTTAGCTCTGAAATCTTGAAATTCAATAAAACAGGAATTGTATTTTTCTTGTAAGGCTTTGTTATCTTTTTCTAGCTCGTCTTTTTCTAGTTCAAGACTTGTAACTTCATTTCTGATTGACTGGGCCTCTTGATGATTGGAATTTATTTGTGCATTGATAAAATTTAGTTGCTCACACACCGCAGATTTGTCTGCTTTAGTCCCCATAATTTCGATTGAAGCATTAATATTTTCAAGCCTGGACTTGAGTTGATCTGACAGAACTATTAGTCCTTTGTGATTTTCTAATTCCTTTAGCTCGGATTTCTGAAAATTTGTTTTAATCAATTCCAAGCTTTGATTCATCTCACTTAATCTAGAATCTATTTGTCGCATCCATTCAGAATGATGTGGTAAAACAATAGAATTCAATCTAGAGGATAAATGTCAGTAGAAAGGCCCGAGAGAAATTTTTTGGAAGCTTACTTACTTATTACCTATTTGTTGATCCATTGCCTCTTGAAGGTCACCTAACTTTGTGGAGATAAAATCAGCATTGTGGTTTCTAAAATTTAGGTCAGTAAAATTTGTTTCTCTGGTAAATAAATAATACACATACTTCAATCCACTAATGATATTGGTTTCAGAACTCTTGATATTAATCAAAAGTTTTTCCAAGCTGCTGTGATTCTTCTCAATTTCTGATTTCATTATGGAATCATAAGTTGTTCTTGTTTTTTCTATTTCTTTCTGTAGCATCATTGATTTGAGTTTCTCTTCTGATAAAGTGCCATGCAATTTATCAATCTTTTGGGTAAAATTCTTTGTTTCAATAATTTCTAGTAATGTTAATATAACAGTATTCTATAAGATAAATTTCAAAGTTTGATACTTGAAACTTACGCCTTTCAGAGTCGATGGTTAACTGTTTGATTTTGATATTAGAAGCTCTCACAAGCTCTGTTTCTCTTTCTAGCAGTAACTTGTATGTAGCAACCGAATCTCTCAATTTGGCACATTCAGATTCCTTATCACTTAGCTCGCAAATAATGCCCTGCACCTGCTCTTCTGATACCTTCACCTTATCTTCTAAACTCAGTACAAGCATTTTTGAATCAGTAAGTTGGGTCTCTAATGATTTTATTTTTTCAGCGGTTTCAATTAATGACAATGATTTCTGTTCAATTTCCTGTTGAAAATCTTTGATGATATTTTCTTGGGCAACATGACGTGTTTGCCAATTTCTAATAGTTTCCAACAAATTATTGATCCCAAAATCCATTTTTGTTTCAGTTCGTTTCAGCTGAGGGATCTCGTCCTCATTTTTAACGCAATTAACACCTTTTGGTAAAGATAAATACTTCTCTTTAGAAGAAAACTTTAAGCGTGGTTTATCCTTTTGGCGCACACAAAAAATCGATGAAGAAGATTTTTGTCCAGACGATAATCGAGATGGAGCCTTTTTTTTAATCTCATCATCATGACTGAGCTGTTTCACTTTTGCCCCAATGAGTGTATTAATTTTTTTCTCCGCCTTTGAAATCAAATAACTATCTTCCGACATGTCATCTTGAGAAATATTAGTCTCATCTTTAGAGGAATCGTTGGTTATCTCATCCAACTTTTCAAGATATTTGTTTTTTAACTCTAACGTACCTTGGGATATTATATCATCCTCATCATCCTCATCCTCCCCATGATCAGAGACTGTTGGGATCTTGGACTCATTAAGCTCGGCGCTTGATCTCGCTGCCCTTGGAACGCCAACACCAGTTTTAAGATCCGTATAGAAACCTGAAAACGAGGTAGTAGTGTCATCTTCAATGGATGTTGGGATTGATTTTTCACCGCTTCGAGTAATGGAGTCAGAAGCGCTGGAACCAGTAACATTGTGGCTAGTATTGTTTGGGGTTGTGACACTAATGCTATCGTTCGTTGGCGGGTTGTTGGTGGGCCTCTGAGTGAAAAAATTGGCCGAAGACTTGAAATTACCAGCAGATCTGTCCCTAAAGAACGACATCAGATTAATTCACTGTTATTTCTTATACATGTATCCCACTTGGAATGTTTAACAAGGGGAATCGGGGTGTGGGAAAGGAACATCAACTTTTACATGTTAATATATAAGAGAGCAGTGCCTTTAGTAAATGCAAGAATAAGCATCTACAATAACTAAAAAGAAGAATCAACATAACATGTATTCAAGTGAAAGATATGAGAAAAGTCCCTTTTTTGAAATGGATTGGTAGGAAGAGGAAAATAATTATTAGAAAAAAAAATTAATAATGGTGACAATCAATAATAATAAGAAAAAAAAAGAAGGGAAATAGCAGAATTTAATCATCATAATATCCTGGGTGCACAAAAAAAAAAAGGTAATACTTTGCCTATATAAAACCTACAATAATAATCAATATATAAAACAAAAATTATGTTCAAAAATTCGATTATATGAAATGCCAAAATAAGTAATAATACAAGATGCGAAGCCAAAGTACGAATACATCTTTTCCAAGCAAGATCTATTAGGAGGGATTAATTGTAGATAAACTATTGATTGTACTCAAACTCTTAAGTAGTGACACATCAAATTTCAAGCCATTCAAATTTGGCTTTTTTGACACCCCACGGATCTTATCCTCCTCAGCTTTACGCTTACTCAGTGTTTCATTATAACATATCCAGTGGTATATTTTTTGGTTTACCTGAATAGCATTTTTCCATACCCATTCACCAGTTTCATCATGGAAGACACCTTTAAGAGTATCTTTGCAAATATTACATATCGTACTCATGTCAGTGCAATCATCCGGAATGACAATATAATGCTTACTGGCATCTGAAGAATTATCACTTGGAGCAGTAGTGACATCCCTGGAATCATTATTAGCTTCGGTTGTCGAATCACCTCCTTCACCCAAAATTTCACTTTCCTTGAACAAAACAAAATCCTCAAGACTTAAATAATGACTTCTAGTGTTGATACTTGCAGTATCCTTTAGCCTTTTGTTGATTCTGAAATGCCAATCCATATGATTCTGTGATTCTTGAGTGTCAGTGAAACGTTTACCACAATTATTACATTTTATTGGTTTGGATTCAAATAACAATTTCTGAAATTCTCTGATATTCGGAAGCTTCGAAGAGTTGCTTGAATTGGTAGGCAAAAAGTCGGAATAATCCAAAGCTGACCGTACATCAGACTTAGGCTTTACCTGCTTAGTGTTGGTCAAAATGGATTGAAGAATGGAGGTTGAAGGCAAATTAACTAAAGGCTTCAAAGGTCCTTTTCGAGGTTGCACGTTGCCACCAATAATCCCTGGTTTATTAGATTGTGGAGGATGTAATGCCATATTACCACTTTTATTAAGATTAATAAGCCCCGTGGATTGTAATGTATTAAATAAGGTATTCATATCAATGTTATTAGGTTTGACCAGGTTATTATTAGCAGTAAACGATGGACTTTGCTGAACATGATTATTATTTGAAGCAATGCTGCTGAGTAGAGCAGCTGGATTAAGTGCCATGGTGTTTACATTAGCATTAATCATTGTACTAGAGCTATTACTACTAATATTATTTACAAAACCTTGATTCGGTGGCGGAGTATGTATATGAATAGGTTGATTATTTGTAACTGGGGGATTAGTCGTTTGTATCTCACCACTTGAAAACTCTTTTAGTTGCTGTTGAATACCAGCCAATTCACTAGGACCAAGGGCCAGTGAAGACAAGATATTTTTGAGCTGGTCCAAAATTACCAACTTTTGGCTGTCTTTAGCATTGTTAGGATTTAAAGCCAATCTGCCACTAATAATACTCTGTAGGTTGCCAATCTCAGAAATCAAAGATTTTGTCATTGTTTGAGGTGTTTGCGGTTTATTATTGATGTTACCGTTGTTAAAAAATTGCTGTCCATTAGAATGCAAAAGAGGGTTTCCGCGTTGTTGTTGATTTCCCAACTGTTGAGCGTTAGGCTTCGTGACCTTTATGAGAAATTTCTCAATCATTTGAATAGCCTCATGAGGAAATAATGGCATACCTGAAGTAGACTTAGTAACTTTCCAAGTCTTGAAGAGGTCAATCATTTTCTTTCTTTGTACGTCATCCACAAGTGTATAAGTTTCGATGAATAAATTGGAAAGATTGCTACCAAAGAGAACAGTGTAAGGAGAACCGATATTTTTGCAGATGGAATCCAAAAGATAGAGAGAATAAAGCTTCTGGGAAGGTACACACTTTGTTATTCTTTTTATGATAGCATTGGTAATATATTTCGCCGCTGAAATGTTTTCTTGGGCAAGAATAGTGAGGGTAGTAATGAGAGGCTTTGAATTAAAAGTAAGCTCCGTAAGAGAGCTATAATAGTCCTCGCCAACTAGCTGGAGCTCTTTTTCAGAAGACATCAGGCCATTAACGAAGATGTTAGAAACTAGCAACTGGTAACTTGGATGTGTTTACTTCAAAAGCAAATTCAAGAAAATCAGATTAATCAAGACCATCACCATCATTACCCTATCAAAGGTTCATCGTATATGTCTGGGTGTAGTCAGCTGATGAAATACTGGATGTCCAGGTGTCGGGGGTTCTCGTTCCGTTATCGACCAAATCGTGAATCTACGAGATCAAACGAATTTTCCGAGATCTGGAATCTTCCAAAGGCAGGAGACGATTTGTCAGACATTAAAACAACAATTATTAAAGCCCAGAACAGCACGATGACAAATCTGGGTAGGCCACGCATAGAGACTGGTAACATAGATCATATTTCTACATCATTTTCGGACTTTTATTACTAAGTTTACATGAATTAATCAGAATCTGTGGTTCTGGCTCTGTGACGGGTAAGGACAGGGGGTGACTAAGCTGGGAATCGGTGGTCCCCTATAAAGCTGTGTGCCTTCGCACTCGATTTTCAAAAACAAATAAAATATAAACAACAAGTAATCCAACTTCTTGACTCAATTATAATACACACATAACAAAATGGTCGCTCAAGTTCAAAAACCAGCTCCAGCTTTCACTAAGACTGCTGTCGTTGACGGTACTTTCGAAACCGTCAGCCTCGAACAATACAAGGGTAAATGGGTTGTTTTGGCCTTCATTCCATTGGCTTTCACTTTCGTTTGCCCAACTGAAATCATTGCTTACTCTGAAGCTGTCAAGAAGTTCACTGACAAGGATGCCGTTGTCTTGTTCGCTTCCACTGACTCTGAATACACCCACTTGGCTTGGACCAACGTCGCCAGAAAGGACGGTGGTTTGGGTCCAATCAACATTCCATTGATTGCTGACACCAACCACTCTTTGTCTAAGGACTACGGTGTTTTGATTGAAGAAGCAGGTATTGCCCTCAGAGGTATCTTCATCATCGATCCAAAGGGTGTTTTGAGACAAACTACCATCAACGACTTGCCAGTCGGTAGAAATGTCGAAGAAACCTTGAGATTGATCGAAGCTTTCCAATTCACTGAAAAGTACGGTGAAGTTTGCCCAGCTAACTGGACTGAAGGTGCTGCTACCATCAAGCCAGATGTCGAACAATCTAAGGAATATTTCTCTAAAGTTAACTAGATTTGGTTTCTGACGCTTTACAATAGGTTATATTCAGCCACGAAATAATACACAAAGAATTTTATGAAATTTGTTTTTGCTTTGTATATATCCAATAATATCTTATAGAGTTTGTAGAAGATAAATAAGTCAATGATCGCGCTTGTTCGCGTTCAGGTACTCTTAGTGTACTGCGTTTGCAGTATAGATGCATTGGAATAGATTATTTGACACAAAGCTCAGTATATTAGTATACTTAACTACTAACAACCTATTTTTCCCTTTGTTTAGATATTATTATTCCTTATTTATCGATACTTTTTTCCTTGTGTAATCCACAGTGATCTCACACTTTCAGACCCAAGTTTTCACCTTGGAGGTCATCAGTGGACGTTATTATGATAAAGCATTAACGTCTACAGTCATATTTCTAAAAATATTACTATTGAAAAAATCAATTACTAAATACAAGTAATGCTATAGCTATATTACATCACTTTCAACTGATTTAACAGCATCCAGCTCAGTAGAAAAAATGACTCAAGAATTCTCGCACATCTCAAATGTTTCATATATCTTGTACAAATCTTGCACAGATCTTTGACAAAGTTCCTCCCACTTTCAAAAAGCTTTATATGAAGAGTTTCAATGTTTTGATAACGTAAATTTTGATGGGAAATAGTTTGGACAGAGGACACACACACCCCCCTGTGCATATATGCACCAATATTTGAACCAAAAACTCTGAAATTTATATATATTAATTAGCAGAGGCCTTTTCTCTCAATTCCTTGAGCTTATCATATCTCTGCTGAGCTAAGAAGGCTCTTCTTTTTCTTTCACCACCGTTGATCTTTTTGCCAGTTTTTATTTGGTACAACTTAATGGTAGAGTCTTGGCTGTACTTGTATCTCCAATTTAATATGTATCTTCTAAGGTTTGCTTCAATACCTTTTTCTTTCATTTCAGCACTTGTGACAGTAAATATCGATCCCCAAGTTGGAAAAAGTTCACTATGTTCACTAGCACCACGGCCAATTTTATTAAGGAAATCAGCAGCGGACATGGTTTCTGGAGGCACCGTGAGCTTAGCAGAAAGAGCAACTGAGCGGGTAGAAAAAGCTCTGCTGGTAGTAGATGCGAGAAGGCCAGTTGTTCTAAGCATTTTATTCTTGTTTATATTGTTCCGTTTTTTATTGATTCTTATGTGACTTACAGTATCTTATTATCCAAAAGATTTTTTTACCAGTGAAGTTGAAAAAAAAAAAAATCATCCGTAAACCCGCCCGTACACCACCCAAAATCATATAACAGAAACATCATGAAATCCATATTGCAAAAAGTTCTAACTGTAACAAAGATAGCATCTATTGGGAACCGCTTCTTTTCCTAAAAATACAAATAAATAAAGAAGAACAGAAGTTTTCGCATACTCAATAAAATAAATATGTCGGCTGATACTCCTCTTGACGAACTTCAATGGTCATCCCCAGAATGGATCCAAATGTTTGGCCTCAATTCATACAATGTGCTAGAATACTTTTCCCAGCTGCCATTTTATGATCGAGCTTCCAATAATCAAGTACTAAAGATGCAGTATCAATTCCATCCTCACTTAATGCATATGCCCCAGAGTCATCATGAGTTTGTTTCCGCCCTTCAAAAGATGTCCAACGGTACAGAATTTGTGGTACATTTGAATGGGGAACCAACTTTTTACATCATCCGTAAACAACAGCGACATTCACCTGGCCCAGCTCAGCTGTCGGTACAAATCTTGCACGACTATTACATTATAAATGCCAATATATACCAAAGTCCTTCGGTTTTTGGTATTCTCAACTCAAGACTTCTCAGCTGTGTGCTAAGTTTCAAACAAAGTTTTAATATTCTTAATGGCATGAACAATTTCAATAGCGGCACTGGTCATCAGTATGTTGCCACAGATATACAAAACAATATAGTGGAATTGGAAGCCAAGATTAATGCAATTAATAAGAATGAAATAGAATCTACTAATCCAACCGTATCGTCAGCCACTACTGGCAATATGTCCATGAAAAGGGCAAATAATGGTAATATTGGCAATAGTGTACCACAAGCACCTTCCACAGGCTCCAACCAAAATACTCCTGGTAACGTGGGGATAAACGCTGCGGCAAGTGCTCAAGGGTCTACTCGCCAGCCGCCGGCTGTGGTATTTGATAGGTTGTTGGGGATAACAATGAAAGAGCTCAAAAGCGCAGAGCCAGATTTTGGGAGCAAAAATTTAAAGGAGGAAATCAAATAATTCCTCATATCATTGACGGAGGCGGAAAAGGCACCAGGTATCCAAATTCTTGGTGTTGAAGTTCTTGAAATGCAAAACTTCTTCAACTGATCTATTAAATGTTAATTCCTGGTCACCTTTAATGTGTGTTATTGTATATGATCATAATTCGGGTGGTTGCTGGCAGGGGGATTCAGTTCCTCTGTGATTCTGCGCAGTTTTGCAAACGCAAAGAATGCTGATTAGAGATCAGTTTTTCTCAACATTATTGGACATATCAATATTCACAAGAACTTTGTTTGTTACATAGAAAAAGATACACGAATATTTTTTTTGTATGATCTATCTATATATATTATTATTATAAAAAAAAAGGAAAACAAAGGGCCACATAAGTCCCTCCCTAAAAAATAAAATGAAATAAAAACGAAAAAAAAAAAAAATTCTATAGTCTCTAAGATTCGTAGTGATCAACTTCAGGTTTTGAAGAGATGACACTTAAGCCATCTTCAATTTGACCCAAGTTTCTGACTTCTTCCATCTCCTCAGTTTGTAGCTCGTTATGGAACTTTTCCGGACCCAAGAAGGATATGATCAACATGTAGCCAAACACACAACCCATGAAGATTGCCATAACTTTACCATAGTTGTATGCGCCATGAGCAGTTTTCCCATTGACAGTATCTAAAGGAAAACGTGATCCAATACTTGATTCAATGGTTGAACTGGCTGAACTGGCTAAATTCCCAAGTTGGTATGCAAGACCAGAAATCATGGTTCTGTATGGAGATTTTGCCGTCAATTCAAATAAGTGAACACTGGCAATACCCCATGTTCCCATAACCGCAAATTGTAAAAAGAATCCTGCGCCCATGATCGCTGATTGATTATGAATGAAGAAAGTTGGATAGATAAACGCACCTCCGAAAACACAACAGAACATGATACCAAAACGACGACCAGTCAATTCCGTGAATTGCCCAATACAGAATCCACCAAGCAAAGCTCCCAAATTGACCACAACCATTGTAACGGTGATAGCGTCAGAACCAAGACCTACTTGATTTTTAAGCATAGTTGGGAACAAATCCTGAGAACCGTGGGACATGAAGTTGAACCCCGCCATAAGAAAGATTAAGTAAACGAAAAGAAGCCAGTCGTCCTTAAAGAACTTTAAAAGCTTGTTAGTTTTGAAGAAATGAACGATGGCGTTATCAGTTCTGGCAGCTTCTGGAGAATTAAGGTTTTTCTCCAATATTGTTTGCTGGTATTCTTTAAAGAACTTCATTTCTGGAAATGGCAACCGCCACAAGATGACCAAGAATGGAGGAGCGGCAGAAAACCAGAACAAGGCTCTCCATGAGTGTGGTGTGAATTCGAATGCTCTCCAAAAAATCACTGCAAAAATGTACCCAAGGTTATAACCTGGTAAGAACAACCCTGATAAAAATCCACGAGAAATTAATGGTGCGTCTTCCATGGCTGTTGAGGCAGCTAATGACCAACATGCACCCATGAAAATCCCGAATATGGCCCTAACTGCCAAAAATTGTTCATAAGTTTGTACAAAACCTGTACCAATTTCGAGAACCACGAATGCTGCTAAACAAGTAATCAATGTCCATTTACGACCGTAGTTATCTCCGATGATCCCAAATAGAAACGCACCAACAGAACGAAGCATGAGCACTAATGTGATACCCCAGGTGATATCGGTAACAGAAACATTGAGTGATTCAGCAATAGCGGTGGCAGAAGCACTGACACAAAAAAAATCCATGGAATCGATGGTCCAAGCGAAAAAACCCATACCAAAGTAGTTCCAATTGGACAAACTCATGGCTCTGATTGCAGGAACTGGACTCAAGGCCTTGATACTTGTTCCCGGAAACGATAACAATGTAGATAATCTTGTCAGAAAGTAAAGCCTAGCACTTTCTGCTGTTACAACATGTTTGTTGTTTGCACTGATTGGTTCAGTCATTATTTATTTGCTTTCTTGGATATTGTTTTATTTTGTTTTCACAATAAACTAATGTTTTTTCTACTTCTCTTTTTCTCTCTTAGATTCCTTAGGCAGTACTTCGATGGATAATGGCCGTATTTAAAGGATTTTTTTTTTTTTTTTTTTGTTTTTACATCATTACTGTCATTACTGGAGGGACGTTCTAGTACCAACTCCATTTCTCCGCAAGAACCATACAAAGAAAAATGTGGGGTGCAGGACATGACTTTGTTTGCTGCTGACGTTTATGCACGACACAATCTTAAATTCTGCGGCAGAACAAAACTTTTGTGTGAACAATGAAACTGTCAGATTTATGAGGGGAATAGAATCAGAAATGATTTCTAATTGATGACAGACTTACTGACATTATTTCTTGACTAATTATTAATAACAAATAGACGTCTTCAACAGTCACTGCTCTTAGTTTTTCTTTCATAGAAGAGCCATCCATGGTAAATATAGAAGTCCCAGTTAATCTATGAGTAGATTATTTTTTTTAAATACAACTAGAGAGTTCTATTTACAAAACGCTAACATAAAAAAAACAATAGGGGGACCCCTTCAGAGTCATCCCGGAGTTTACGTAAAAGTTTTCCCCAAAATGGTCTTATTTAGATTCATTCCATCTGCCATCTCCACATCGAAGCCCCACTTTTTGAAGGAAGGAAGAGAAGATCAGGGTCCATGTGCACACTCACCTATTTTTGAAAAAGTTTTGCCACCCGTCATATTAATAATAATGTGGCAGTATCGATTGCTACAGCAATGCCTGTCTGTTGCTGGATGTAACGCTGAAAACTCCGCAAGCCTTGGCACAATTATTCCTTACACCCCGCTAAAAAACAAAGAAAAACAGTTGGGGTTTCATTCTTTTTCCCGGGCGCTGCCATGTTGGTTGGTTCAATTAAATAATTTGCCAATTGGCAGATATTAGCGGCCCAGCGTCTTGATGCTTCTTATATTACTGAGCAATGATGTAATAGCTATTAATAAAAAAAAGTCTCTGTGTTGGATCTTTGTATTTTCTGTAGAACTTTGGAAACAAGTACCAACTTAGAAATAATTACTAATCTTTCGAAGTTATTTATGACTCGATCTTTTTACTTTTTTTTTTTTTTTTTTCCTTTGTTCTCGTGCTGACTTCGAGTAGTTGTCTTGCCATACAGAGATGGAAAGCAGTAATAAACACTACAAGAGTATACGACAGGTCTTTCAGATGATCTTGCTATTTGTAGTAATTTCAAAATCGTCTTCGTTTAAGTAATTTTCCAGACTTCTTATAGAAACGCTTTGAATTTTTCTTTCCTTTAAAAAGTTTGTTGTCAATAACATACATTCTTTTCTTTAACTTCAGTTTCAGCATTCACTTCCATTGATCTAAGTGTTCTAAATACTAATTGATCAGGCTCTTCAGGCTCATACAATGAGATCAACGTGTCAACATTTGTTTTGGCAGACCACTCTTTTTGGGTAGTCTCATCTTTAAATATGTACTCCAAAATTTCTCAAACTTATCTATAAGGATCTTCTGCTCTCTTGATAACTGGATTCTCGAACTCTATAAAATAGAACAAATCTTTGGTAGTTAAGAACTTTTTGAGTTCATGGTAAAAGGTAATAAACTTATTGTCTCTTTATTTTGGTAGGATCGGTACAAGACAAGCATCACTCTTCAAGGAGCTAGTTGTTGGCTATTTGTCAATAGTTAACTGATTATCATATACCACAACAGTGGTGGGTACTGATAAAAACAATGTATATATGGATCTAATTTGCGGGGGTACTTCTTGTATTTTGGCGGCAGAAAACAGTTTTTAAATGAACCTTGGCCACTCACAAAGCATTGTACAATACGTCAAAAGCAATATACAACAATACCACTATTTTCTGAAGAATATTATTCTAGCATCGTACGATCAGTGGCCTATCTGGGGCAGGATATTGTTGAAAATGGAGAAATAGGACCCTTCTTTTTTCCCCCAGGAAAACAGTATCCATATAGCTGTGTTAAATATTTTGATTTTTTTTTTTTTTTTTTTTTAGCAAAAAACCCTATTTGTTAGCTTCAAAACCTCCCCAAAGATTCAAAAGATAAAATGATAATGTTATCGTTTTGCATCCCGTTTGCGTATATACTATGCACTGTAAATAGTATACTGTCTTGGATTTATCCTACCGTTTTCTAGTCGAGTTTCCTTCATCGTAAACACCTAACTCATACATCAAAGTTCAGGTTCTAAGTTTTCCACTTGTTGAAAAAAAGTTACTTACTGCCATGCCCATATAATACTGAAAGATATTAGCATATCATCCTTTTTTATTGTTATATATTGGAAATGAACTCAATATTCAGGAAAATAATGAGAAACTTTTCAAAAAGAAAAAATATATAAAGAAAACAACAAACAAACCCTTAGTTTCCTATGCAAGGAATTTCCAAGACAAATGGTCTTGTAAGGGGGGAGATTGTGGGAATTTACCTGCACTTGAGAGAGAGAGAGAGAGAGAGAGAGAGAGAGAGAAAGAGCGACAGTTGCTGTTGATAGATATCAAGATGATGGCAGCTAAGTGAACTTTTGAACTGAGAGTAACATATCACCAACACACTCTTGCTGTCAATGCCATCAAGGACCCTTTGTTGATGTGTGGATGTCATCGCGCTGAGGTATTGATGTTGTCAAGAAGTTTACCTGTTTAGGCAATAGCGTGCATGGGCGATCTTTCAATTTTTAGGGAAAAAACAAAAAAACAAAACAAACAATATATTAAGCATCTCCTTCACACTCATATATAGGTAGATATCCCAACAATATCATTTGGTGTTGGTTGGTTAAAAAAAAGATGGTGTCTTCCAATGGTCGGTCCTTGGGTTGGCTCTTATTATTGCCAGTGTTCATGGCATTGATATATTTAAAATCCCCCGGAAATTATGATAGCAACCATAAACCAATAATAACCCAGTCCTCATCATCACCTGTGAAAATAATCGACAACTCTGCAAGGGCCGAGGAATATGAATCATTGGGACTCACCAATTCACCGTCGATTGAAATTGAGCTTCCAAACAACATGAGAAAAACCATCCATGGACGGTTCTTGCACATTACCGACATGCATCCTGACTTTTTCTATAAAGAGTCAACTTCAATCGGCACCGCTTGCCATCTGGGTCATGGAAATGCTTCGTTTTATGGGGATGCCATGATGGGCTGTGACTCTCCTTATGCGCTCGTGAAGGAGACATTGGATTGGATCGAAGCTAACCTCAAGGATAAGATTGATTTTGTCATTTGGACCGGTGACAATGTACGTCATGATAATGACCGGGCCTATCCACGTACTGAGGACCAAATTTTTGATGTCAATGAAAATATCAGCAGTTTGATGACCCTCAAGTTCAAAGGAGAGGACTCGTTGGATCCAAGAGCGTTCCAAGTCCCGTTGGTGCCAAGTCTTGGAAATAATGATGTGTATCCTCATAACTTATTTGCTTTGGGACCAACTTTACAAAGTCGATTACTTTATAGAACTTGGCTGAGTTACATTCCTCAAGACCAGGCGCATGTATTTGAAAAAACCGCTTGCTTTCTTTCAGAAGTCATTCCTGGAAAGCTTGCAGTTCTTTCGATCAACACGTTATATCTTTTTAAGAGCAATCCTTTGGTTGACAATTGCGATAAAAAGAAACAACCAGGATATACCTTATTTGTTTGGCTAGGATATACTCTAAAGGAGTTACGTCGCAGAGGAATGAAGGTCTGGCTCTCGGGACACGTTCCTCCAGTGCCTAAGAATTTTGATATCACTTGCTACAGAAAGTACATTCTATGGCTCTACGAATATCGGGATATTATCATTGGGGGTGTGTACGGCCATATGAATCTTGATCATTTTGTACCTTTGGACGCGGTTGCTGCATACCAGTCTTTAAAAAAAGATACGCCGATGCCAGGATTTCAAGATCTTGTTAGCGCTTTTCAAGAGTTAGATGAGGATGATGAAGATGGATATATTTCACTTACTGAGCTCTATTCGGCATTTGGGATTGATGATTCTCATGGTGCAGCTGCCGCCAAATTGTCTTCGGAACTTCATGCGCTTGGTGCGTCTCCAGGGTCGAACAAAGTTAGTTATATGGACACGGTGAATGATATATTCTATTCTTCTGTTATTTCCAGCTCACAAGGGGTAAGCCAGGAAAGCGATAAGAAGAACAACAAGAAGGACAAAAAGAAGAAGAACAAAAAGAAGAAGAAGAAGGAATATAATGATGGGACAAGATACCTGGTCATTCATGTTGCAGGAAGTGTTATCCCTACGTTCAACCCAGCGTTTAGAGTTTGGGAATATAATGTCACCAACTTTGCTGAAGAAGCTGCTAATATTCATACTGCATCGTTTGAACCATGGGATGATTTCTTTTATGGCTTGGAACGAAAAATCGATGCAATTGTTGGCTCAGAGGAAGATGAGTACACCCAGGAATATTTGGAAATTTTTAGTTTGCGCAATGGATTTGGGGCGAAATCAGATAAATCGCTCCCTCCAAAAATGCCATCGGGTACTGGTCTTGGACCGGCGTTTGTTCCTCAAACATTTACTCCTACGAAATTCAGTCAATTTTATTTGGATCTCGAAGCAGTTAACTCTGGTAAAAAAGAGTTTAGATATGAAGTTGAGTACACCAGTGAAAGCGAACCTTATTCCATGAAGTCTTTGCTTGCGAATGACTGGGTTGAATTGGCCAGAGAGTTGGCAAAAAAGAAGAAGGCTTGGAATACATATTTACACAGAACATTTGTGAGCACAAATTACGAAGAAATAAGGGCTTAGATTTTAGAAACATATTTACAGAATAAAATAATTTTTAGACATTTCAATGTACATTAGTTTTCTTTTTTTTTTTTTTTTGCCATAGTTTTTATATAAATTAAATATTTTTTTACACAGTGTAAAAACGACACTCAGGATTATATATATATTGTAATAAAGATCTTTCAAACCAGCAATGAACATAATTAAATAAACGGGAAAATCTAACAAAATAATAAACCAACAAAAATAAACTAAAGCCTCATGTACGAATAAGCAAACGAGTTCAAAACTCCGCCACGTATCAATCAAAAGCTCTTACCAGATGTAAATAACCATCGAAAGATTGTGCGTGATCTTGATGATGTTAAATTAGCTCTGCAGTGATAATTAAGAAAACAAAAATAAAAAGGAGTTCAGAATCAATTAAACAAATTAGCAGTTATTTCCCCCACCTTCCTCAATCAAACACATGCACAGTAGCCTAATGGCAAGCCAAAGATTCACCTTCAAGGCTATCTGTTGACAACAGAAGCAAATCTTGAACCCCATTTCCTACTTGTTTGTTACCCCAGATGTAATGTCCCACAGCTGCCCCGACAACCACCGCACCCATTAACCAACCATTAAAACTCATAAACACAAGCATCAACATGAACGAGTATCCGACAAGAACACCGTAGAACAATGCAGTCTTGAGTCTCGTGTCATTTGGTACCTTATTAGCATAGCTACCAGTGGTGGCAGGAGTTGGCAACCCTTTGAAAGACGTCAGGGATCGGGAGTACTGTTTATATTGATATTTCACAAATTCGTACCCAGCAGCTAGAGCAATGATCGCAACAACCGAGGCCAAGAGCTGGAATTGAGACTTGATATGCCACCATTCAAACACCACACAGACATCTTGATATTCCCAAGTGAAAAGCATGTTGGCGCTACAAGTACTGTCATTAGCACCGCCATGATTATGGCCCGGGGGCATCGTGCCATGGTCAGGCATACTGTGATCCGGCATGTGGTGGTCCATGATGATAAAAAAAAGATACTTGGCTTATAAAAAGTGATGATATTTTCTTTCTGGTATGTGGTAGATCAGAATATATATATATATTACCAATGATGGGAGATAATATATGTATTTATAGAGCAGCCACAGCATGTGTAGGGATGGCAATATTTGCTCTCTTTCTTTGGGGGGGGCTTAATCCAGTGACGCGGGTGAGTGTTATTTTCCGGAGTGCGTTTAAACAGATTTGGTGATGCTTTTACATGTTTCGTAATTAATAATAAATCATATTTGTATTAAATAATGATTGATGCAAAGAATAAAGCAGATAAAAGAAAAAGAAACCAAAAAATAAATGAATAAAACCGTACAACTCTTTTTTTTTTTCAATAATTCAAAAGGAATGTGTGTGTGTCATTCAAGAAGAAACAAAAGATCATAATCATCATAACAAAGTAAAAATGCAGGAAGTTGGAAAAAAAAAATAATGAGTAGGAAAAAGCAGCAATGATGAAAAAATAAATAAATAATCATAGTTTGAGGAATATGGAAATATACTACAAATGTGAAGGCCCCCGCTCATTGGTGATCTCGGAGATCAGCAAAAGAGAGCACTAAGGCTTTTTGATCCCCGAGGGACTGCCAGTCTTACCGTATTGAGCTTTAGAGGCAGTGGCAGGAGCAGAAAAAGTACCATGACCAGTAGTAGCTTTGTTGGGGGTCATTGGGCTGGTGGTAATTGAATAAGAGGATGTTCTACTGTGGGAAATCGAGGTGCGATTGCTTGACATTTCCCCAAGCGAGCTTTTTCTGGATACCGAATAGGTACTGCTGGTTGGAGAATTGGCACCGGGAGTAAGTGACGAGTTGGTTCCATCTGCTTCAGTTTCTTCGGGAATTGAGGCAACTCCAGCAGCCTTGTTCTTGCTTCTTTTGATCGACTGTCTTTTATTTTGAAACCAAATCTGTACTGCCTTCTCGTCCATTTTGACCTTATCAGCAATCTGTTGGCGCCTGGCCTTGCCTGGATTAGGTCCCAATCCGAATTCGAGTTGCAAGATTGATAATTCATGAGTGCTGGTTCTTCTCCGTTTGCGTCTAGCTAACTGGGCATTATCAATCGACGGTTCTTGCGATGGGAAGGTGGCAGGGGAATGAGAAATGAAGGCAAAGATTTTTTCATTGGAAGGCTTTTTAGCCGGTGGTTTCTTTGGTGCAGCAGAGCTAGCGGTCAGTGGAGGGGTTGGCGGGGCGAGCTGTGGAAGTGGAGGAGGTGGAAGTGATGGTCCCTGGGGTTGTTGTGGAGGTTGGTAAGGGTAATGGTAAGAATGAAGTGAGTTAGGGATTGGATTTTCCATGATATGCGAAGGGCTAACGTTTCCAGGAGGAGGGCCGGTTAGGGATACCGAAGCCTTTTTAATTGTCGGAGGGGTTTGTAAATTAAGCTGGCCTTCATAATTCTTGTATGGCTCCATAGGTTCAAAAGGCGATTGTACGCTAGCGCGGAAAGGGACTGTTGAACTAAGACGGTTTGTAATCATCAAAGGAGAAGTGGATGGTGGGATATTGAAATGATGATGATGATGATGATGATGATATTGCGAAGAAGAATATGGGGTAACATGGTAAGATGACGGGTATTGACTGGAGGAGGACTTTGGAGTGCCGAAACTCTCGGAGATTCCTGTGCCAGTACTGCCAATGAGAGTGGAGATTGGGGGTAACGATATTGGTCTGGATGACGAGTTTTTAGCCGGCAACTGATGATGGAGGTCCCTGTCCCGACTGGAATTATGAGAGTTTGAGTTCATTATGGATGGATATTGTGAGGAAGAAGTAGTAAAAGTTGAATAAGAAAGGGACATTATCTGGCAGTGTTTTTAAGGTGGGCAGTTGAGTGTAGAGTATATTTTATTGTGGTGTTTTTATTTTTATTTTTTTATTCTTGGATGTGTTTTTTTTTTTTTTGTTGTTGTTGTTGTTGTTGTGGAATGGTTGTGATTTGTTTTAATGAACGCTGATTCAGGAGTAAAGTGAAACGAGTGACTGGGTAAATGAATGAATTAACGATGGTGCTAATAGTGACGGCAAGTATCAATAAATGAATGATAATAATAATACTAGTAGTAATAATACTGCATGAGATCAACAGAACAGCAGTGTCAAAAAGAACGAAGGAAGGAAGGTCTAAAATGGGGGAAACCTCAACATATATGGTAAGGGGGAGAGAGAGAGAGAGAGAGAGAAAGAGAGATAGAGAGAGAGAGAGAAAGCAAGAAATAACAACTGTATAGCATCCGCAGGCGAAGTACACGCAGATAGACAACATCCAACCCTTTTATACTTACCGTCTGGCCTGGCAAATACAAATAGCGCAACACAGAAAATGTTTAAGACAATACTGTGCAGCTTAATGCAGGTGCTGCGGCAGGCACCGAATATAAATCACAATCACCGCAACAAACAATCCCTTGACCGAATCGAGCGTGTGCGAGCGTGGGTGCGTGCCCGTGCATTGGTGGGAGGGAGGGAGGCTCCTGGTTTTGCTTAAATTATTTACTTTACTTGACTCTCGATTGCGATTTTACTATACCATCTTCCTTCGCCCCCCTCCCCCTTCTAGATTTTTATTTTTATTTATGCCTTTTATGATATACCATGTCTCCACCATCCACTAATTTGTATTAATTAATTAAACCATAAATTAAAATATAACAGGCGATTTCTTATATCTATCACGGTTTGCTGTGCCCACCGGTGTTCATTCAGCCAATCTCTGCCTGAGCATGTTACAAAAAAAAAACAACAACAACAACAGCAACGTAAAGACATAGCATAACATAACATAACATAACATAACATAAAACACCAGACAAAGGGCGTTAAGGATCCAGTGAGGCAACACACTTAAATGACGCTAATTGGACATTTTCTGTTTTATATCGGAAAATAGAGGCACCAGACCCCCACTATTGCCTGTTTCAGTGCTAGCATATGAACCCTAGTTGCCATTTGTATTATTATTAGCCCGAAATAAGGTTTGCTCCGTAATCTGCTATTCAATTCCAGATCTTTCCGTAACAATTGAGATACCTTTTCTTTTCTTTTCTTTAATTTTAATTCATTCATTCATTCATTCATTCATTCATTCATTCATTCATTCATTCATTCATTCATTCATTCATTCATTCATTCATTCATCTATTTACCCCCTAGATCTACAATAGTATTATTGAGCAGTGTGTTCTTCTTGATAATATATTTAATGTCACAAGACACTTACTCTATATAAAAACTACACATCACAACAATATATATATATATATATCTACGATATATCGGAATCTATTTTTACGATACTTTTTCGTAAAAGTTTTTCTTTTTTTTTCCACTCCTCCTCCTCCTCAAAAAAAATAAAAAAAAAAAAAAAAGGTGCGTTCCCGCCTATTACCTGGAACTACCCTGGATGCAAATAACATATCTCACTGCAGATCATTTACAGCAATTCCGCTGTAGAAAATCTTTCCGGTGTTTTACAACATAATTTATCAGCATTCTGGTACCACACACACACCCACACAAGATAGGACATATTTCAGAAATTAAACGATCCAGGAAAACTCATATTGCTAGCACTGTTATTACAGCGATCACCATTATCAATATTATTACTACTACTATTATCACTTGGATTAATAACATTCTTGCTGTCACTATTATTGTTGTTTATTTCCATTCTCGCTTGGGATTTTTTAGATTTTCCTTTCAATACATCATTCATATTTTCTTTAAACCTAAATGATAAGGGCCCAATATATCTTCTCCCCCCTTCAATATCTTTCCACCAACTCATAGTTTGTGGATATTTCTCAACCACCATTAAATGTATCTCTTGCGCAATTTCACGAACTTGGGCATCATTCTTAACCCAAAAACCATGTTGAATTAATGGCTTCAAATTATCCTCGTCTTCAATCAAATAATCATTCATACAACAATCTTTATGCTTCTCAATAATCACTAATATCAAATCATAGAACATCCGCTGACTTGCTACTCGATCGACAAATTCCACTGCTTGAGAAATCACTGGAATGAAACCAAGGTAATCATTACACGACGAATCAACTGCCATGAAATTCATCATTGTCGAGAGCTTATTCTCCGTATCCTTTAACCTTTGCAAATTCAAATTTCCAACCGTATAAATTCCTAGTTGGGTAGCACACAAATATCTAAACAAAACATGATGACGCTGGATATACGGAGAACCAAGTTTCCAGGTTTCGAATTGACGATCAATTGCTTTATGATCACGACTCATGTATCGTAAATGACACCAGATGTATCTCAAAACAAAATCAACCAAAGCCCCGCAAATCATATCATTTGCATCCTGTAGCAAATTAAATATGGTGCCGGTACTAATAATCCTTTCCATCAAGTTATTAAATTCTGCCAAATAAATGTTTGGATTGGAGAAATTCTTGTCATTAGCACCAAACACTAACAATTTGACAATTAAAATCTTTTTAGTTACAGAGTCACCAGAAACAATCGGAGAAGTCTTATTATTGGTCAAAAATAAAGAAAGTTCTCTAATTGCCCTATCAACTTTCCACACCGAATTATATCTTTCCATATTCACCAGGAATAATGGGTTTGCAACCCATTTTTCAATATCAAAATGATTTTTTCTATTGAATGCAAAATCATCAACTTCCAATCTTGGTGTAACTGGAAATTCCACATTCTTAGGACACAACTTCATTAAATCATCCGTTCCATACACTATTTTTCCACTGGAGTTAAAGTCTCCATGAACTCCAGTGTAAAAGAAAAAGCGGTTACCCACACTGAAAGCTTCTCTGGCTGAAACCACATCTAAAGGAGCTGGTGGTGGTAATAATTGATGCCTCATGGATATCTCTCGTTGAATGGGAATTTGCGTATAATTTTTTTGTTCAGGCATGGCACTTAAAAACAAATGTTCCTCAAATGAGCTATCCGATTTCTCACAAATGCGACCAGAAGGTGATTTTAATGATGGTGATTGTGAGAATGTGCCATCACTAACCATTGGCGCCAGCGAAACTATTTTGCTTGACCAATACAGGCCATGGTGATCTAGCTCCTTCCAAATGTCAGACTTTTGGCTTGTCAATACTTCCCTATTGTTTGCAGTTCTATTCCAATGGTAATCAAGGTTGTTTTCAATTACGCTTTGCCGACTTTTGCGACTTTTGAAATTGTAGGCATATTCTCTGATGAAAAAAAGTAAGCCCGCCAAAATTGTAAGTATGATTGTGATCCCTCCAAATAAATAAAGCGAAAGAAGCATAGGCTCAACATCTTTTGCTGCTGATAAGATTTGCGATCCAAATCCAAAATACTTTGAACCATTAGTACTTGAATTCACATTGGATCTGTCAACGTTCATATTGTTTCCCAAGGAAATGATATTTGGGAGTTTATGATTATGTGCTTGCCCTTATGGTTTTCCAGAGACAATCCATTAACTTTCATTTAACTTTCATTTTCATTTTCTGGTGTTGGATTTTTTCCCTGTTTCTCTTGCCTTTTTTTTTTTCCCCCCCCTTATGGTTTGTGTTTGTACCACTTTAATCTGATACATCTGTTTGGCGCATAATTTTCTTCAGCACAATTGAGATAGGAGAAAAGGGAATATCGAGTGTGAGATAGATTTCAATAGCCCCCTGTAATGACCTCAAGCTCCCCAGCAACTTGTTCTAGGCCTGAATCGCCAGCCAGTTTGGGGCCGTGAACCATTTGAAACAATTTTGAGAGTTTCACGCTGTAATAATGTTGACGAGCATGTGTGTCGCACCAAATTCTGTTAGACGGCCTTCAGCGGTTTTTGCGTTCTTTTTCTGCCTCTTTATTCTTTACGCGCTGGGATATTTTTCAAAGACGATTGTTGAGGCCATACAATATATATATATATATATAACTATAATGGAATATTGTCTTGCTAAGAGAGTCTTTTAAAATATACTATTTTCACATGCATTGCAGGCGTCTTGGTTCGCGTGTAAAATCACTGATTGAAAAAAAAAGGATTAAAAAAAATAATCTGTGATTTTATTTTTAACCGCTGCCACTAAAAAAATATTATACAGGGGTATAATGACATGACTGTGGACAGTCTCGTCTAATTATTTCACACCATAAATACCCTCAAGTTTCCATTCAAATCATTGCCACCACCATGAATCTTTCTCTTTTTTTGATTTAATCAATACATTAGCAACCATTATCATAATCTCTTTGTGATTAATTTTTGATACCACCAGCAGCTTCCTATAACTAAGAACATCTTCTGCTAAAACACAACCGAATATCTGGAATATTTATTGGCGTTTCCTTTTCTAATTCAACACAATAAGCACATTATAATGAAGTTCGTTTCTATTGCTATCTCTCTTTTGGCAGGTTCTCTCTGCGTTAAAGCTGAAACCGTTCAAGCCATTTCTCAAATCGGTGATGGTCAAATTCAAGCTACTACTGCTACCACCTCTGCCGTTACAACCGTCCAAGCCATTTCTCAGATCAGTGATGGTCAAATCCAAGCTACTACTGCTACCACTTCTGTCATCGCAACTGCCCAAGCTACCACTGCCACCATCTCAACCGTTGAAACTGTCCAAGCCGTTTCCCAAATCAGTGACGGTCAAATCCAGGCCACTACTGCTAGCGTTCGTACCGTTTCTACTTTGATCGGATCCGGTTACAGTGACCTCAGTTCTACTAAATCCGTTTCCGGCTCTTTGAGTGGATCTTTGACTACCATTACCACCACTAACGCTAATGGTGTTGCCGTCACTATTATTGCCACTGGCGCTCTCACCTCTAATAGTGGAGTCTCTTATGCTACCGCTAGAAGCACTGCTGAAACTATTGTGACCACCAGTGATGGTGTGGTGATCACCGAAATTGTGAGTGGTGCTCAGAACTTACAAACTTCTATTACTGGCACTGTAATTTTTGGGGCTATCTTTGCTGCTTATGTAGTATTGAATACTTTGATTTACTAAATATTATGATTGCTATGATATTTCTTCCTCTTTTTTTTTTTCATTTTCCTGTTTCTCATAGACTGTGCATCTTTATTTTCATCTATTTTGGTTTAGCATTCATTACTCATCTTATCTAACTCTTTGGCATTATTATCTTTGATAAATATTTATGCTCCTATTATTGTTTTGTATTCCTTCTGTAATTTGCTTGAAGTGAAAAGAAAAGTAACCATACGTAATAATAGATATTTTGGAAATATTTGAAACCGTATCGTTCAAATTAGTGAATGCCACTAGTTTTTAGTGGGGAAAGTATACTTTCATATGAGAGATTTTATCAGACCACCAAAACTTTCTTGAAATTGTAGATTTTTGGGAACAATACTATAATGATGTCTCAAACAAGTACTAGTAGGCTAAGGTACAAATAGGTGTCCCCATAGGAGATCCATTTGTGAAGCGTCAAGTTATAGTTAGCATGTGTGGATGGGCCAAGTATCCATGTAACATTCCGTTTGTGAGATAGATAAGAAAGTTTAACAGTAGAGTGTAGTGCACATAGATATACGAGTAAATTAATATCATAAATACATGAAGAAAGAAGAGATCCGTCGGTTACCTTTTTTCAAAGAGTAAAGAGCCAGAAAGAAAGAAAGAAAGAAAGAAAGAAAGAAAGAAAGAAAGAAAGGTACCATTGTTTCTTGGTGAGGTACCTTTTCTTCTCTTGCAACATCTTAAAGAAGTGTGATATATTCAGGAACACAACGACTATTGCGGCTTTTTCCATCCGGAGCACATTTGTTTTAGGATAACGTGAGACAAAGTTTAATCACCTTGCCCAATCAGGAAAAGCTATCGACTACCCAAAACATCCATTTATCTTGTGAATGCCACAAAGTGTCCTCTTTTTTTTTTTTTCTACTATGTTTTCTTCTTGGAAATTCCTCCTGACAATACCTGATTCTCCACCATTTGCTAATATTCCCTGCCCTCTATTGCCCATACCGTGCCATATAAAATTTTCTCACCCCAACAAATGCGGACTGTTTCAAGATGCTGTTGCGGCCCCCCAGGGGCATCAAACCACAATTGCCGGCCTAAATAAACCGCTGCACTTTTCTTTTTTTCTTTTTTTTTTTTTTAGGAAAATTTGCAAAAACTAGTATGTGTGCCTTTCTCACTAAAGCTGGTTAAATTGCAAAAGAACTCAAAATAATTCTTATTTCCACCCACAGAAATCAACTCACTTATGGTGCGAAGAGATCGCTTCTTGGGCTCGATCTCAAATTTATCCGTTGCCCAGTGAGATTAGATCTTTGTACAACAAAAAAGGATCTATAAAAGAGGATGAAAAAAGAAAAATTCCCTGTTCGCGTCGCGCAAATTCCCAGATCTGCAGGTCACTGAATCGCACCTGCCGTAGTATGCGTCGTCCTGCTTTTTGAGCAACAAGAACAATACACTTCTCCTGCCTAATCCAGTGTGTTCCCAGTCTATTGAGAATTATTACGTCGGTTTGGGATATTTTATTGAACTTTCGGCGAGGGCAATTATATAAAAACCCACATTAGTCCCTGTACCTTAGATTCTTATGACAATTTGCACCATATATTGAAGAATCTCAGCAAGTAGAATCACATCCTCAATAACATCATTTACTTACCCACTCTTGTTTTCTTGCACAGTTCCCCTCCTAGTTAACTTTTTTCTCATTCTATCACAATGTTTGCCTCTTCAGCTATTCAACTTTCTGCCCTCGTTGCCACAGCCAACGCTTTCTTGTACACCTATGCTACCGGTGACTTGACAGTAACAGTCTCCTCTGTGACCTATGTCAGTACTGTCATTGACGGTAACACTTATGACTTATCCTTCTTGGCCCCAACCGTCACCAACACCGTCCATTCTGCCGCCACCGACTCCATGAATGAAGTCTTCGACATTTCTGCATCTGGTATTCAATACAACGATGAAACCCAAACCGGTAACCTTCCAACCGATACTGCTACCACCTTTGTCACTTACGGTAGTAACTCCACCGACAGCACTACCTCATCTACTGCCAGTCAAGTCACTTCCACCATCACAACATACCCTGCTGACAACAGCACCACTTCCTTGACTTCAACTTCCGAAAGTTTGAACACTACTTCCACTAATGCTACTGCCTCAGGTATGGCTCCTTCCTTGTCCTCTGGTTTCGCATTGGGCGGTGGTTTGGTCATGGCTGCCATTTGCTTGCTTTAATTTCCTTGAATTTACATCCCGCTTGGTTCTTACTGTTAAAAGTTCCTTCATGTTTCTATTTTATTTTCCCGTGCTTCACATTTATCTCAATTTTGTTTTTACATTCCTACTTTATGACCAACCCCCAATGTTTCGAAATACTATTTGTTGAAACAACCATCAACTCATGTTGTCGACTTATTCGATAGCGTTTTATCACTATCACAATCACCCCTAAAACCCTCATATCACTGCTTCAGATCTTCTTTTTCTTCTCATGACTGTGTTTTTAAATATGTTTTTCTACTGCATCAGTTTTATTGTTGTTAATTGTTGCTGCTATTATTATTGTTATTATTATTATTATTATTACTGTTCTTCTTTCACGTTATTGTTATTGTTTTTGCTATTGTTTTCATACAAAGGATCCCCTCTTAAAATATAGAATTTCCCATGGACTGGTCTCAAATTTCTTTTAAAGTTCTGTTTATTGTAGAATGATAGCTTCACCATCACTACCTCCAGCGGCTGCTAATTGCCACTAACTGAACGTGTTTGCGTTTTCTCTTCAAGGCAAAAAATTATTATGTTGGATTCAGTATGTAAAGTCTGGGAAACAAAGAAAGGCAAATCAACGGGTATTGATTAGAGATTAATTACGCTCAATCAAAATTAAACAGATACATACTAGAACTGGAAGATGCTGTGGCAATAAAATCATATCATTATGTCTATACTGCCATTGCAACGATATGATTAAATGCCTGGTCGACGCGCCAGGTGTTCTTAATAATCAAGTTCATTAGCTTATCCCACATAGTACAGGTGTTGAAGAAGGTACACGAAAGACTTTGAAACCGACGTCTATAAAACTGAGCTTTTATGGTGTTCGTAATTCGTATTTTATGCTTCTACCCAGCCTGATTCTTTAATGATCTTTAATTGCAGGTTCACCTGGAGTCCTGCTAATCGCCAGAGAACATCTCCTTGTTTGGAGGTGGTTGAGTGAATTTGAAATGACTTCTCATTTTTGATAGTATCAAATTTGTATTTTTTTTTTTTTTTTAACTATCCTATTTCTAGCACTGTTTCATGGACCTCTTTATTTCAAACATATTACATCACGAAGGAACTTGCGCGCGCAATTTGGATCAATTTTCTATGACTAGACCGTTTGTTCAACAACAATAAAACATGAAAAGATAACGAAAAAAAAAAAAAAAAAAAAGATCGATAAAGAGTTTCATCGATTCTTCCGTTTTCGTAAATAGAACCGAGAATGATGCTGATAATGATGATTAAAACAGATGGGATGAATAAATATGAGGAAAGAAAAAGTCCAATGATGCTTGAATAAAAATATGGAATATTGGTAATTAAATGCCGTGAGAGATACGAAAACCTAACAGAAAAAATAAGAACATTCATCTTCTCCTACCTTTCAAATTTTGGAAAAAAAAAAAAAAAAAAAATTAATGATGGTCAGTTAATTTCATGGAAATTGATGTTGAATATAAAAAAGCAAGTACGCACTGGTGGCCAATGCTTCCTGTTGTGATATTAAGGTGACCATAGAATCATCAAACTTGAACCATTGTCCTTCGCCGTTCTTGATCATGCAGATATAATGGCCCTGATTGACTTGCCCAATGTGACAAACAATAGCAAACAACTCATAACTGAGTTCACCAACCACTTTCTGGCCTGCGGTGGTGTTAGTACAATACTTGGCCATGTCCAAAATCACTGGGTACGATACCGGATGTTCCAACTTCACTGAGCCTCCGGCTGCCAAATGTTCAAAACGCTAGAATGTTGTTAGTATGATTCGATATAATAATGGAAGCATCATAATGAAAACTAAAAGTAATGACAACAATGATCATAAGAAAATACCAAGAATGATATCATTATAACTTACTTTTAACTGAATGGTCAAAATAGAGCCCATCTTTTTAATTGACAATTTCTTGGATGCATCAGTTCTGCTCTCACAATTGTTGCAATTATAATTGCTTTCCAATGATTCTGGTTTGGTAAAGTATCCTAAACATTCATTCAATGACCCGTACAACGCACCAGTGGATTTATTTTTGATCTCCAACAACAAGTCTATCATTGGATCGACAGTTTTATTGACGTTGCCACACTCATGACATTTAATGGAGCTTTGCAATTCCCCAGAGAAAACCCTATGGGTAAGACATTCGCAATGATGGTCATTTGAGCCGTACGATATAGATGATGACCGGGCGTGGTTATTGACATTGACTTTAGGTTCGGTTCCGTGGCTCGAGTTAATCATGTGTGATTTATGGAATTCTCCTAGAACGAATTGCCAAAACTCATGGGCGTCTTGTTGGGTGTAACCTGCCAAAGATTTGTTGATTTTCCAACAAGTAGATAGGAATTTGGTTAGCCCGAAACCATTGACAGAGCTCGAGGTGAAAAAATCGGTGAACACTTCATCAATTCGACAAGTGACGCAACTATCGTCGTTTGTTAGGCCTTTGATACACTTGGCGTGATCTCCTGATAAGAAATATTCTCGCACAAAAGGGTTATGAATGAAGGTTTGTAGGATCGTCGACATGTAGCAGGTGGCCCCCATATTCACAAACCCTTTCAATCCGGTGGTTGCCTTAAATGAGGGAGCCCTCGAGTTCTCCAATATAAACTTTTTCGCCTCTGGAGTCCGATTCTCCATGAATGGATATACCGGCATTCCTGGCGCTGCCAGTAACCGACCAATGGATTTTAGTGACCCCACCCTGATCTCTTCCAATTCAGGATCGCTGACATAATTATTACATTTGTAGCAGAAAACTTGTCCAAATGTCGAGATTGCAAAAAGATGGTGGGTCGATTGCGAATGAGCTAGGCCATGTCGATTATTGAAGCACCCGACAAAAGGACATTGTAAACAAATCAAATTGACCGATAAATTGTTTTTGCACAGGCTACATTTGACGGCAGCACTTCTAAGTTTGAGAAGTTTTTTGTTATCGATATTCGATACCGTCGATACCCCATTTCCAGCAGTCGGTAGGGTTTTCTTGCCGACCTTCGACCCATTAAGCTTGGCGTTATGATGGTGGTTGCCTTCTTTCATGTTTGAATATTTGAGACCTGGCTGCGGATAGGCCAAGCAGGAGACCTTAAGGGAAAGATTATAGTTACGGACCACCAAATCTTTAGCAGGAGACGCTAACAACTTCTTCAAATGATCACACGATGAAAATGTAACGAAATCAAGTTTATCGGTGCCATCCTTCTTGTCACTTAGTACTGGGACTTTAGATTTTGGAAGTGATTTCTTTCCTGACATGATGATTTAGTGCAGATAACCTTTGGACTTCTTGATTTATTATATGTTTTCTTTTTTCAATGTTTGTCCTGTTTTTGTTTTTGTTGAAATAGAATAAATACTTCCAATGGCTAACAATATTATATGCTGCGGTCCAGAATTTCCAGGTGATTTCCAAGAGAGAGATTATAATTAAGTCCACTATACCCTCAAGAAAATAGAAAATAAAAAAATAGGAATATTTCAAACCAATCGAAGATCACTAGGATGAAACAAAAAAAAAATGTAAACCAAAAATAAACAATGTTTTTGTAGATGAAATTATGTTATTCTGTAATCCTTTTGTTTTTCCCCCTCGAATAAATGGTCAAACGACTAAATGGATCTGGAAGCTTCTGTTCGAATAACCAAGTGACTTTCATGACGGCTGCTTTTTTAAAAATTACCTTTCATCTTTTCCTCGTCACCGTGGCGGAGGTAACGCTACCGCAGTCACCTGCCGCAGAGGAGGTGCCAGCTATCTATACATTCTTACAGTTATACTATTTTAATTAAATCGGATGCAAAAGAATATATTTTCAAACAACTAAAACAACAAGAGAATAACAAAAACCTGCAATTATACACATTATGAACAGTACATAATACAACGCTAAATTAATATCAGCACAAAATCCTTCCAAATTGCTTATTTGATGTTAAGAAGCTTAACGTCAAAAGTCAATTCGGAGTTAGCTGGAATACCTGGCAAAGCTTGGGAACCGTAGGCAGCAGCAGCTGGGATGATGATTCTTCTTTCACCACCAACAGCCATACCTTGGATACCGAGATCCCAACCGCGGATAACTTCACCTTTGCCCAACTTGAAAGAAAATGGCTTGCCCTTGACGTTCTTGTCGAAAACCTTACCGTTCTTCAACTTACCAACGTAACGGACACCAACTCTGTTACCACTCTTGGCCTTGGCACCTTGACCAACGGTTCTGTCTTCGACGACAACACCAGCAGACAAGGTTTGCTTGACGACCTTCTTTTCAGAGCCTGATGGGCCTTGTTCCAAATCCTTGTTGAATTTCACTTCCTTAGATTCCTTTTTAGATTTCTTGGCTGGCTTTTCTTTTGGTTCTTCCTTTTCTTCTTCAGCGGCTCTCTTTTTGTTTTCCTTCTTCTTTTCCTTCTTGGACTTCTTTGCTTCAGGCTTTGGTTCTTCCTTTTTTTCTTCAACTTCTTCTTCAATTTCCATGATCTTTCCTTCTGACAAGTCAATGATTTCATCTTCATCTGGAGTCAAGTCATATTCTTCATCATCGTAATCGTCTTCCATCAAATCATCGTAGTCTTCATCAGATTCATCATCTTCAGAATCGTATGGGTGAGTGATGTAGTTACCAGTCAAGTGAATTGGGTAAGAGCCAGTAACAAAGAAGTAAACTTCTTCGAATGGGTTGATGGTAAGTTCCAAAGTTTGTTGGTATTGGGTCTTTGGGCTCAAAGTACAAACGACAAATGTTTCAATATCTTCTTCTTCTTCTTCATCAACACCTTCTTCTTCTTCGGCACTTTCATCTTCGGCGTTTTCTTTACCCTTTTCAACCTTGATGTTCTTAGCCTTTGAAGATTTCTTTGGCTTTTCTTCTTCTTCTTCTTCTTCTTCTTCTTCTTCTTCAGAGGATTCTTCATCCAATTCATCTTCTTCTGAGTCGAGTTCAGAATCGTATTCGTAATCATCAGCATCGAACTTCTTCTTCATGATACGTAAAGTAGATGGCTCATCATCATCATCAACAGCTTCTGGGTCCAAAGCAGCCATGGTGACGGTGATTGACATTGGGTAAGCTTCAGCAATGGCCGGGGTTGGGTCAAATGGCTTCAACGCAAGGCTGTAAGTAGCAACTGGGATAATAGCACCTTGTTCAGACATTTTTTTTTTCTATTTGATATTGTTTGTGGGATATAATTATTATTCCTAAAGCAAGTTGATCACAGATGAGATGAGATGCCATAAAAAATTTTCTTTTTTTTTATAAAGAGAAAAATAAAAAAAAAAAAAATTTGCAGTTACACCCCTGTTTCGACGATATTATGGGGGTGATCCAAGTTGACGGGTCTTCTCGAAGGATCCAAATTGACGTATCGACAAATTGGGACATGCGTAAATGGTGATGTTCTAATTGTGCTTGAAGAAGTCATTGCAAACTATCTATTAAGGGGTATCAAAAGTGGTGGCTTTTCATAGCAATAGATTTTCTTGCTTTTTGTTTTTCTTCTGTGTTTGTGTTTCAGCATTGGGCTTAGATACTCAACAAGATTTTAAACTCATATGTATTATACAACTGGTCAACTAAATAAATATCAATATCAATTCCACAATAATAATAAAATGGAAAGGAAAATGAAAAAAAAATAAAAAAAAAACACCCCCAATACAGTACAATTTTCAACCACTTTAAGTACTTGAAAAAAAAAAAAAAAGATAAATCATCATTAAGAAAGAGATACATGGAGTCGTCATCCCAAAGGATAACAACCACTGTAGATAAATCAGCAGGACAAATAGAAAAAGCAAATAGGGGAAATGGGGAGTGGTCAGTAAGTAGTAAAGCTTTTATATTTTCCTTTCATGGGAAGGGAAAAAGAATATATAAAAAAAAAAAAAAAATTAAAACGTAGAAAAAAGACCTCATTAGTAAAATTATAATCATCTCAAAAAGTAAGCACAAATTTCAATTCCACTAATTTGTGTACAATCTATTCTCTTCATCACTTTGAAATGCTCGTTGATAATTATCATGCCCCGAATTATCATCAAAATCCACTACTACTGCATTTTCCAAGTTATTCTCTTCGATCAATTGACAAGGAACATAACACAAATTGGTATTAAAGTTCGGGAAGTTCCGTTTGTAAGACCAATAAGCAATAATGGCCCCTAATAAACTACCCAAAGCGACATCGGAATATCTGTGGCGATAGTCTTCAGTTCTGCTGATGGCAATCAATCCGGCAATTAGACTAGGGATGAATGCAAAACAGGTTCTCCAAGACCCGGTTTTCTTATGATACGCCAAAGTTTGCCCCAAGATCCAGAAAGTTAAATACCCGAGCCCTGAAAACGCGGTACTGGAATGGCCAGAAGGACACGATCTCATACCATCTCTGAGAAGTGCCAAGTCGGTCTGCTGGCACACTTTTGATGGAAGAACATAAGTATCTTCATCAGTGTCGTCCATAGGCTGACAACGGCTAATGAAATCAGGACGAGGTCTACCAATCCAATTTTTCAAAATTCCAGTAAGGAACGAGGTTACCGAAACTGAAAGTAAAAGCCCCATGAACGAGATCCAGGTGACATAATACCGTTTCTCGTTACTGAGAGATAACCCAAGAATAACGATGATAATCACAGGTACCATAATGGCATATATTCCCAATTCGGTAGTAGAAACAAGTTCAGAGGTGGCATAAGTATGAGATATCGAGAGATCGTTAACATAAAACTCTCTTTCAAACGGAGGGGCAAAATAAAGGGCACCGTAAATTATGAGAAGCACCACACAGAGAAAAAAATCATTGAGACGCCATCTGAAGATTGTATTCCAAGTTTTTGAAGCGAGACCGAAATTGATCCGGTTGAGTTTTTTTGTTAGTGGCATTTCTGATTATAATAATATTATTCTCGGCATTATCTTGTCTATACAATTTCGTATATTTTCCAGCTGTCACTTAGATTTATGCGTTACTTATTATTTCTTGGATACAAAGAGTAGGTGTTACCCGGTGGCTATGAAAGCCACAGCCCTGTTGTTTTATCCAACGAATCGTCTACAGAGAATTATCACCATTGATTATATGAACCACGGAAATTATTTGCTACAGACAGAATGACACGGCTAAAATGATTTCTGAGAATCATTCCGCTCCTATTTCCTTTTATATACAGGGAGTATACCAAATCTGTAGGTCGATAATTTAATTTTTTATCACGGGATCTACCACGTGCAAGAAACTCTCACTCTTTATTCTTTCATTTTGAAAGCCATTGTGATGATCAGGGGAAAATAAAAAATAATAAATCCCTTAATTTTTCAACAACGACCTTATATTTGCCACTCCTCAGTACCCCATTCACGCGATACGTTCATAAAAATAGTTGGAAATTACCCGTCCCTTCCTCACACCCGGACATTTATTTGATTGGGTGTCAGGGAGCGACCGAAAGATTTGGAGGGTGGTTCCCCTCTATTTCCTATTTGGGAATCGGCGAAATCCCTTCACCAACATTTCCTGTTTGGGCAGTGGTGGACGCTGTTTCACCGAAGGCTCACCTAAACCTCCAGGTTGGGATCTCAAAGTGGTGCTTTTCTTGGACTGACTAGAAGGATGGTGATAATCTATTAACATCCTCTTCTACTTCCTCTACAACCAATATTAACTGATCTAGTCTGGTAATTCAATTTCCAATAGGCTAATCATCGCAATTTACAAACCCTCTAGCCGACTTGCAGCCATTTGCAGATATCCACTTGCTATAATCTATAAAGTGTGGTCGTCTGCTCACCTTTTTTTCCCCCAACTTTTTTTTTTCCTTTTTTTCCTCGCTTGTTCTATTATTACAACTCCGGATTCTATCATAAACCAAACTATTTCTTCCCTTCTTTCAAAGTATCTATCACAGATATTTATTATATATTATACCATTATTGCTTACATATTACAACTCATTGCTGCTTTAGACTTCTTTTTTTTTTTTTTCATAACATATCAATAACATGCCTGGTATAAAAGGAAAAGATACCGCCGCTGTCCAGGATGCCAGTCTTGAGACCACCTCGATCTCTGATGCTTCCTCAAGTGTTCATCACTCCGCCAAGATTGTGCCAATCAACAATACCGACAATACCCTGGTGCTATTGACATTCAGTAACACCAAACCAACATTGTTGGTGGTGGTCCTCACATTTGTCACTTCAATCTCGGGGTTCTTGTTTGGGTATGATACCGGTTACATTTCTTCGGCGTTGGTGGCGATTGGCCAAGACCTTGATGGTCATACTCTTCACAATGGTCAAAAAGAATTGATCACTTCTGCTACGTCGCTCGGAGCGCTCATTGGGGCAATCTTTGCAGGGTTGTTTGTTGATTTCCTCGGTAGAAGACCAACCATAATGGGTTCTAACGTGTTGTTTATTGTCGGTAGTGCTATGCAAACTGGAGCGCACAGTGTTGGAGTGATGATGGGTGGGAGATTCGTTATGGGTATTGGTGTGGGTATTGGCTCGTTAACTGCTCCGTTATTTATTTCTGAAATGGCGCCTTCAAATATGAGAGGTAGATTGGTGGTGGTCAATGTGCTTTGTATCACTGGTGGTCAATTGATTGCTTATGCTATTGGTGCTGGGGTGGAAAAAGTCAGCCAAGGTTGGAGAATCTTGGTGGGTTTGAGTATTTTACCTCCAACGCTTCAATTGGTGGCGTTTTTCTTTTTACCAGATACCCCAAGATTTTACCTTATGAAGAACAGGGTTGAAGAGGCCAAGAACGTGTTATTGAGGATTTATCCTGAAGTCGATGAAAAGCTCATTGATGCAAAGATTCAAGAACTCATTGCCATTAACAACGAAGTTCCAGGTGACAACTTCTTTAAAAAAATCGTCAATGCCACCAAAGAAATCCATACCGTTCCTTCGAATTTCAGGGCGCTTTTGATTTCTTGTGGGTTGCAAGGTATCCAACAATTTTCGTCTTGGAATTCCCTCATGTACTTTAGTGCCACTATTTTCCAAACCGTGGGGTTCAAAAACTCTACTGCGGTTTCCATTATCATTGCTGGGACAAACTTTGTGTTTACTCTTGTTGCATTCTTTGCCATTGACCGGATTGGTAGAAGACGGATCTTGTTATTCTCCTTGCCGTGCATGGTGGCGGCGTTGGTGGTGTGTGCCATTGCGTTCCATTTCTTGAATGTCGATTTCTCTAATAGTACCGCGGTGATCCATAGTTCTGGGAACGGGATCTCTGGCTGGGGAGTGGTGATCATTGTGGCCATGATTTGTTTTGCTGCCTCGTATGCCATTGGTATTGGTAATGTTCCATGGCAACAATCGGAGTTATTCCCCCAATCCGTCAGAGGGGTCGGGTGTGCTTATTGTACCGGGGTCAATTGGGGTGGTTCATTGATTATTGCCGCCACTTTCTTGACAATGATGCAAAACATTACTCCAACCGGGACTTTTGCGTTCTTTGCCGGGTTGATCACCGTATCGTGGCTCTTGGTATTCTTCATGTACCCAGAATTGTCGGGTTTGGAATTGGAAGAAACTCAAAAGGTCTTGACCAACGGGTTCAACATCAAGGAATCCGAAAGATTGGCCAAAGAAAGAAGAAGACAAGCCGCGCTTGCAAAAGACCAGATCAACGCCACGTTTGCCCTGGAGAAAAAAGCCAGTCCCCTCCAAACTCTCGAAACCGTTTGATTGTTACGGATAAAAATTGCACAGATTTCTACAATCGTTTGAATTGTTTATGACTATTTTTTATTTCTATTTTTTTTTTTTTTTGGTTTGTTCACCTATATTTTCTGCTTTGCTTATAATTTTGCGCTACCTTATTATTATCTTGCCGTTTTTTTTTGTGTTTTTTTTTTTCGTGTTCGTTCATTGATGATATTCATTTCCCATTATTTTGATGTTTTTTAAATCCCCCATCATGTGTTATGCTCTTTTAGTACTTTATTTCTCATTAATATTATTTTTTGGTGCGATTTATTTTAATAAAACCATTATATATTCAATTGCTTGTTAATTTCCTTGCTCAACCAATAATTAGTTATTCTCAGCTTAATGTTTACAAAGAATTTGAAAAATAACCTTTCTTTCTACTCTATGCCAAAACGTAAATGAAAAATGAGAAATAAAGAGAGAGAGAGAGAGAGATGAAGAAAAAAAAAAAAAATTTATGAAAAGTACAAATAAACAGAGACAAAAAAAAAAAATAATATAAATAAGCTCCAAAACAAATCATAGCTTTTGAAGAAATCTAAAACACACTACCAATCATTAAGAAAAAAAGAGAAGAAAAGAAAAAAAAAAATAACCAACATGAATGAAAAGGAAACACAGAGATTGAAAAAAAAAATATTAATTAATTTCCCTCTTGACCAAAATCTCTGGTAAATTCTTCTTGTTTCTGTAAATCATCCCTATTAACGGTTGGTCTAGCAGTCTTTACCGCTTTCAAGAAATCTTTCAATGTTAAGTCTGGTTCCTTCAACTCATCAGCACCAATATCCATCCAATTTTTCTCGACCGCCCCTGAAGATCCCGGTGAGCAAGGAGTGAGTCTAGTTTTCCCATCATCACACTCTACCGGTTCGAAATGGGTGGCGGATTGGATCTTTCGTATAGGTTCCATAAGAGCGTCTCTGACAATCACGGAAATATCTGACCCCGAATACCCATCGGTCATTTCTGCCAATACTTTATAATCATTCTTGCTCAATGAACAAGGAGTGGTCCCCACATTCAATTCAAACATCCGAATACGGGCCTGAACGTCTGGTAAGCCGATATAAATTCTCTTCTCGAATCTTCTTCTAATGGCAGCATCCAATTGCCATGGAATATTGGTGGCGCCTAACACGAGCACCCCTGAAGAATCATTACCCACCCCATTCATTTGCACCAACAACTCGGTCTTGATTCTTCTGGAAGCCTCGGATTCTCCTTCACCTCTAGGACCACATAACGCATCGACTTCATCGATAAAGATGATCGACGGTTTATTTTCCCTGGCCATTTGGAATAACTGTTTCACCAATCTTTCAGATTCTCCCATCCATTTGGACACCAAATCCGAAGAAGATACCGAGAAAAAAGTTGAATTGGCCTCAGTGGCTACTGCTTTGGCAAGAAAAGACTTACCAGTCCCCGGAGGACCAAATAACAAGATCCCATTGATCGGCTTTCTTTTACCGGTGAAAAGATGTGGGAATTTGACCGGTAAAATCACCGCCTCTTTGAGCGATTCTTTAGCGGGTTCTAATCCCGCAACGTCATCCCACTTCACATTAGGCTTTTCACTGAGGATCGAGCCTGCTAAGGCGTTCTTCAATTTTTTGGTATCGTCATCATCTTTGGAATCACCGCCGTCGTCGGTGGACTTTGCCTTGGTCGATGATCCGTTGGCGTTTTCTTCTGTTGCTGACTTCTCCTCTTTTTCCAAGTGTTCCTTGAGCTTTTCTGCTCTAGAAAGGTATTCGGTGAACTTCCCCCGTAGTATTTCTTTGGTCTTTGGGTTTTTCTCGTACTTCAACGCGAGCATAAGATAATCCAACCCATTATAATATAATTTATAAGCTTCTTCGTATTTTGTGGCGGAATCTGCTTCCACAGCATCACGTATGAGTTCTATCCCTTTGCTCAAGAAATCAGAGTTCGACATTCTATTCTAGATACAAAAATGAAAGACAAAGGATTAAAACAAAGCGCTAGCCAGTAGTGTATATATATAAAATATATATTACCACCTATAATAGACAGCCTCTCACCAATACACCCTTCAATAAACAAACGCAGAAAAAAAAAAAAAAAGGAAGCAACCGATGATTCACCCGGCCTTCTCCTGACGATAGATGTACCACTGCAGCGGGATTTATTTCCCAAAATCCTCTGTGGTATTATGTTTATGTGGTGTGATGGCAGCATAAAGTTTTTCGATCGGTGACTCAATTAAATAAAAAGCTCCGCAAAATAAAGTGCGAGTCCCGTTTTTTTCACATTGATCTTCAGACACTTTTGAGAAACTGTTCTTTACATATTTATATATACACACATTATCTTGTGAATAGTCTGTTTTGGTTTGTGTTTTTCCTCTTGAAATTCGTTCGTCTACCCTCACAACAGAAAAAAATCGTTCCAACATTATGTCTGCTCCAATCAAGAAGAAAGCTGGTGTTTTGGGTGCCACTGGTAGTGTGGGTCAAAGATTCATTTTACTTTTAGCCAACCATCCTGATTTTGAATTATTCAGATTGGGAGCGTCTTCCAGAAGTGCTGGCAAGAAATACAAGGACGCAGTTACTTGGAAACAAACCGATTTATTGCCAGAAAATGCCGAAGATATCATCATCACCGAATGTACTTACGAAGCGTTCAAGGAGTGTGATATTGTGTTCAGTGGGTTGGATTCCGATGTTGCCGGAGATATCGAAAAAGAATTGTTCACTAACGGGTTAGCCGTGGTGTCCAACGCCAAGAACTACAGAAGAGAAGCTGATGTGCCATTGGTGGTGCCAATTGTTAACACTGATCATATTGACATTGTGGAAAACCGTGTTAAAGCTGCCGTTGCCAAAGGTGAGAAAAAACCAGGGTATATCATTTGTATTTCCAACTGTTCCACCGCGGGTTTAGTTGCACCACTTAAACCATTGGTGGAGAAATTCGGGCCAATCGAGTACGTCACCGCCGCGACTTTGCAAGCGATTTCCGGGGCTGGTTTCTCTCCAGGGACCCCAGGGATCGATGTTTTGGATAATATCATTCCTTACATCAGTGGTGAAGAAGAGAAAATCGAATGGGAAACCAAGAAGATCTTGGCCAACGTCAACAAGTTGGGTGATGGTTTTGATCTCTTGACTGAAAACGACATCAAGGTGTCCGCCCAATGTACCAGAGTGCCGGTGAGCGATGGTCACACCGAATGTATCAGCTTGAAGTTCAAGAACAGACCAGCCCCATCGGTGGAACAAGTCAAGCAAGCTCTTAGAGACTACGTTTGTGATGCTTATAAGACCGGGTGTCATTCTGCTCCAAAGAACTCCATCGTGGTATTGGAAGAAGACGATAGACCTCAACCAAGATTGGACAGAAACAGAGGTAATGGTTATTCCGTCACCGTTGGAAGAATCAGAGAAGATCCAATCTTTGACATTAAGATGGTTTCTTTGTCCCACAACACCGTTATTGGTGCTGCTGGTGCCGGGATCTTGATTGGGGAGTACTTGGTGGCCAAGAACCTTCTTTAATTTTTTTTTTTTTTTTTTTCGTCTTCATTAAGTTGTGTTATCTTTCTTTTAAGTTTCTTCTCTTTTCTTTTCTTCTTTTTTTTTTCAGTTTGAATCTTTTGATCGATAATCCTTCCATTATTTTCATAGCTCTTGATACAAAGTCGGTTAAAATATTATATTGCCTTGGCTGCATTTATATTTTGTTGTTTGTAAGTGAAGACATGCAAATTATCATTGAGTTATAATTCAAACAGAATACAAAGTTAGATAAAGGTATAATACATAATGTATATATTGTTCATAAAAACATATCTTATATTACAAGTGCCCGTTACTTTCAAGGCAGGAGATGTTTAAAAATTAAAGTTGGCTGGCAAATAATAAAAAAAAATGAAAAAAATTTGAGGCCCAAAGTTCCCTTCAAAGTTTAATGATGGAATGGGGAACTCAAAAATCAAGAATTAAAACAGTGCAACACAAAAAAAAAAAAGATCAAAAGCAAGGAACCGTAAAACAAGATGCAAAAAAGGGAATGAAGGGAAAAATTTTGGACAAAAGTATCAGGTTTGGGTAAGAGAAGGGTTCAAATGTTGTAAAAGATGAATTTGATTAAATAGTTTGATATGATCTGATGTTTTGTAAAAAATATTAATATTCTAGGGTATTCTCCTCTAATTTTATTATATGATGATGGAGATCGTTGATCATTGGGGACTGGCATAATTTTCCTTACATAATTTGGCTCTCAAAGTAGCACCATATCTGTAGAAAGTGAACGGGATAGCAACCATTGCCAATGAAATAAAGGCCAATAAGAAACTGGCCCAAAGAAGACCCAACTTATGGTACATTTGGGTAGTGAAAAGTGGGAAAGCCCCACCACCGGCAGAACGCAAAAACACTTTGGTGGCCAAAGCGGAAGCTGAGTAGAGGGCATAGGTATCGATAATGTAGTTATTGATCGAGTAGTAAATCAACACCATACCATAACCGAAGGCAAGACCAGAAGAACATGGACCAACCCAAATGATGCCTTTATGACTGGTAGCCCCAAGAATGAAAAGCGCAATCACTGGGAAAGGAGATCCAATCATGGCACCAATGAGACGATCTTCAGGGGTAGGGGTTCTGCGTTTTGTCATGGCAATGTACTGCTTTTCAAGGATAGGGGTGGTACAAAGGGCAAAGAGGGCACCGATAAGAATGGCAATAAACATGAGACCGGTGATACCATCATTGTAACCATAAAGTTCTGAGAAAATGACTGGATAAGCAAAGAAGAACGCATAAAGAAGGGCATAAATCAAACAGACATAGAAGCACATGAGATCCAAGACTGGTTCAGTAATCACAAAGTACAATGGACGTAACAAACAATTTTGAATAACTTCTTTCAAGGACAAACCTTGGGCTTCTTGTTCGGTCATGATCTTTTCATTTCCGGTTTCTTTTCTTAATCTTTGGGCTTTTTTCTTTAAAATCACTGGGGCATAAGTTTCTGGAACAAGGGAAGAGGTGATCCAGGTCAAGCCGGCAAAACACATGTTGACCCAGAACAATAATCTGTATCTCCAGACCAAGTCGTGGCCTTCAGTACCGACATTGATCCAACCACTGATCAATGGGCCAAAGACTGGGCCAGAGTATGGGCAAAAGGCAAAGAAGGAGATCCCCAAACCTCTAGTTTCTTGAGGGAACATATCAGCGATAGAGCCACCAACCAAAGTCAAACCAGAAGAGGCAAACACCCCACAAAGGAAACGACAAGCCAAGAGCCCACCGATATTAGGAGACATGGCACAAGGGATTTGGAAAATGGTATACAAGAACAAAGAGATGAAATAAACTGGTCTTCTACCAATTTGTTCGGACAATGGGGCCCAAATCAAAGGACCAACGGAAAAACCAAACACCATAAGAGAAACCGTCAAGATTGAAACTTCGGTGGACACATGATAATGTTCGTCAATAAGGGCAAGGCCACCGGTGGTACACGCCGAGCCAAAGGCAACGGCAATGACGAGAATAGAAAGGGTGAAGGTATAAGACCAACGGCGGAAATTCGACCAATTATGAGGATTTTCTGGATCGTTTGTTAAAAAAGTGACGAATTCGATTTCCGGGTCTAATTCTGAACCAGGAGTTTTTTTTTCAATGCTGTCTTCGTCTTCATCATCAGCAAGGTCATCGACGTCTTGACGGGTCAAGTGGGCGGTTCTGGTTCTGGTCAATCTCGAGCTGGTACGACCCATGTCATGAAGAGATGCGACAGGAACCAACCCGGTCTCGGTTTCCATGGTATATTCTTCAGGGAAGATCGGGTTGTTGACGTTAGTTGGGGCGTTGACATCAGGGGTCTTTGGATCTGACAGAAGCCCGGCGCTTCTAAGGGACTTTGCGGTTTCTGTTCTCATCAACTTGATTTTGTTGTTGTTGGAAGAGGCTCTGGAGATGTACCGAGACAATTCACTTTGGGCGTCCTCATTTTCCTCTGGGATATAAGGTTGAGGGTTGACGTTGTCGTTGTCGTTCTCATCGACGACCGACGATATCGATTTGGAGTAAGTGGAATCTTTGCTGTTGCTCAGCATGGTAGGGGTGGGTATATAGAGTGAGGGTTTTGTTGATGTGGATACAAGTGGATAGTCGATGGGTGAGGGATGGAGGGAAGGGGGCAGATCCTGTAGTATTTATAACAGCGGGCAAGGAATGTTCTAAACTGTCTACATAAAAATTTTCTATTGGGGATGAAACATGTTTTGATTTTGCCCTAATTTGCTCCGCGCGGTTTTTCTTTTTTTTCTTTTTTTTTTTTTTTGCCCAATTTCCCATTTTTTTTTTTTTTTTTTTTAATCCCTTATTTTGGGTGACGGGTTAAGGGCATGGTTGACAGGCGTGCTAGCCATTGCGGTGGGTGATGTGAGGGCTTAATAGAATAACATACGGTGCCGTGATATGTGAAACAACGGATATTGTACTACGGTTGGGTTATGTGGTTATTATCAATGCCACTTGCCAGCTATCGTATCGCTGTTGTTGTTTTTGTTGTTGTTAATTGTCATTTCCAGAGGGAAAAAAACGTTAAAAAAGTGGCAATTTGACAGGTAAGTAGGGATACCGCTGGCTAATTAGCGATGGTTGTTATACCTTCAATGGTCGTCTTCTCTGTGTATGTGTGTGTGTGGTGGACAGTGCACTGTAGCACTGTATAATACAAACAAAAGTATGAACAGTATCAGTCACTGCTACCTGTTACCAAGTGGTAATATATATGGATGGATGGATGGATGGATGGATGGATGATGGGTGTCTGTTATTATTTTGTTGCAATCTGCGTGATTTTTTTAGGAGCGCTGCGTAGTTTTTTTTTTTTTTTTTCGTTATTTTTATTTTTTCTGTTAGGGGCGGCGGGCGGTGGTGGTGGCTATAGCCTCGCCTGCGGTGCCCTGCCATTTCCTTGGGTCGTTTGACAACATGTCACGTTGTGCTCGATACCCAACATGTCTGCCTACCATACAACCAACATGTCTCATACAATATACAATACACAATAAATACATTAAAATAAAACTATCATCATAACATAATCAAGAATAAAATATCTGAATAAAAATCATCTCTTGCCCCACCCAAACACCTTCCTACTTCTGTCAGCACTACCAACAACACCTCGTTTCTTCTGCACCACCGACTTACTCTGTAAATACGTAATCGACGCTGTCTTGCCCCCAACCGCCTTGTATCCTTTACTAACAACCACATCCCCCACTCCCATGCCTCTTCCTTCACTGATGTCATTCTTCGATGTCTCCTTGAAACTTCTATAACTAGAAACTACCGAAGATCGGCCTTTCTTGAACAACGCTCCACTGCTAATGATCGACGATGAACTAATAATCCCCATATCGTTATCGGTATCAACACTGTCGCATCTCACAACCACGCTCTCGCATTGACTATTGAACACAGAATTCCTCTTCAATCTCATCATATCATCCTCAGCATCCGATCCGTCGTCTTCAGCATCATCAATAACTCCGCTGAGGTCTCCTCCGTCCAATCTCTTTCGTTTTCTAGACATATCGTCAACAGCACTCTGATCGTCTTCGTCATCATCAAGAAAACTCAACTTGCTTCTGACAAATTCCTCACTGAGTTGGAACTTTCTCTTTTTAATAATCTTCCCTTCATCTTCAAGTTTCCCTTTAGTAGTATCACCTTCCTCACCAAAGTTTAAGAACCCGCCAACTGATTCTCTAAATTCATACGTGTTGGTTTCCTCAGCAATGGTTTCAAAAAATGCCTTGGTCTTTTTATTTTTCCCCAATTCAACAACTGATAAATTATCCATCATCTTCTTCTTTTGGCGTTCTCTCCGGGCTTTCAAAAAGTTCATTCTTTCCAAATCATCAAGATAACTATCATCGTCAATCTCCAAAAAGTTCCCTGATCCTCGTTTCCCTAACCTTCCTAATTCGATATCTTGTCTCAATTTCTCAACCATTTCTTGATCCTTGACCAAACTTTCATTGTGCATCAATTTCATTAATTCTTCATTATCCTTTTTCCCGGCCCTGGTGAAATTATCAATCATTTTTTCATCTTCACTATCGATATCATCGAGCAAAGCGTCTCTATCTTGACCACCAACTCCGGCCCACTCATCTTCACTTTCTTCGGCTTCACGATCAACAATATCGTTCAACCCATTCTTCCGCATTTGTAATTCTTTCTTCCGTTTGGCCAACTCTTCTTGTCTTTGTAATTCAAACACTTTTCTATTCGATTCTATAATCATCCGCTCACGCTCTTCATCATCCAATTCTTCAGATTCAGATTCCTCTTCCTCTTCCTCTTCTTCTTCCTCTTCTTCTTCCTCTTCTTCTTCCTCTTCAATAATTATGTCACGTTTTCTTTGGAGTTTTCTGGTCTTCTTATTGTTCTGATCATCATCTTCAACTTCTTTGGAAACAATTTCCCTACCAACATCATTATCTTCACTATTATCCACTCTAGTACCAACAAATTCATCATCATTTTGGGTTTCACTAGCCAAAAAGTCTTTCAATACATCTTCATCTTCCTTTAAACTTCTCTTGTCATCATCAACCGCCACTTCGGCTTTAGATTTTCCAAAATCAAATCCAACAACAAAAGAACGGCGGTTGGATCTTCCCATCCCAGTATTGTTTGAAGTATCTTCATCATCATACAAAGATTGAGAAACATTGTCATCTTGATTCATCGTGGTATCCTTAGCCTTCTGGTTTCCTAAAACAATAGCCCCATCATCATCATCCTCGATCATGTCCACATTGTATTCCATTTCCCGAAGCTTTTGTATCACGTTTCCTTGGGTTGGAATCGAAGGTTTTACAAATTGGGATTGGGTTGGAGTAGCATATAAGAGTCCATCATCATCGATATTATTGTTGTGTGAGACATTGCATTGTGATTGGGTACTTCCATTGGCAAATAAACCATTAAGTTTCTGGGTGAGTCCTGCTCCTTTACCAAAATTAATCTCGGCTTCTTCATCAGAATCTTTGTGGGAAGCAACCTTCAAAATAGTGGTATCCAAATCAACATTTGTTGGCTCGGCATCCTTAGCTAGTGGTACTGTGGTAATCAAGGTAGATGAAGTGGCAGTAGATTCGTGCTCTTTATCATCTTCATCTTCTTCTTCATCATCTTCTTCATCAAACAATACACCCTTTTTTGTTTTCCTTATTCTAAGGACCCCTGATTCCTCTTCATCCTCGTTATTACCGTTCACAGTTTCTAATGGTGAGGTGGTGGTGGTAATGTCATGATTATAATTAACTTGAGTTAAAATATCTTCATCTTTCTCATCATTTTCTTGTTCTTCACCCATTTCTTTGGAATTCACCTCTTGTTGTTGTTGTTGTTGTTGTTGTTGTTGTTCTTCTTCTTCTTTCTCTTTTTTTTCTTCTTCATCATTAGAGTGCACCGATCCATCATCATCATCATCTTCTTCTTCTTCTTCTTCTTCTCCTTCTTCTTCATATTCGTAATCTGGATCTTCTTCTTCATCAACAAGACCTTGTTCCTTGGCCTCTTTCTCTTCTTGTAGTTTCTCACTTCTTCGTAGTTCATAAGCCATGGCATCCTCAACTAATCTACTCACATCCACATCATCGCCATTTCTGTTTGTTTGTCTGGCACCCATCAAAGCTTTCGCATTAGAGTAGTCGTAATCATCACCTAACACCGCTTTCATCTCTTCTTCTTCCTCATCAAACCTGGACTTTATAACACTGTCACGGTGCTTTCTCATCATCATCGCCACCAAATCTTTCTTGGTTAAATTCTTTTTCTTGCCATTTGGATGTTGCAGCAATTGATGATTATGTGGCTGGATTTGACACTCTTGTTCGTTCATTTTCCGTTGCTGTTTCTTGCGGGCAAACTTCACTTTCAAATCAAACAATTTGGGTTTAGGAACTCTGAACTCAATAGAATTCTTGACTTCAACATCAGTGACGGAGCTTGCAATATTTGGGGTGGACTCTGTCTTGATCTCAATATCAGAATCGGAATCAGAATCAGAAAATTCAATTTTACCATTTTGACTTATTTTTTCCTTCAACGCTTCGGTGTATCTAGCCAATGGATTACCTGAAGATTTAGGGGATTTCACTTTATGGTCTTTGGAGTCAGTAAACATGATTGCGTCGATATCAGATAATTCAGTTTCATCCCCACTATTTATATTAGCAAAGTCCTCAAGCTGAGAAGATTTGGAGATTGGACTGCTTGATTCTTGCACATTGTTAGGTTTCCTGATTGTAGGTTGGAAAACGCCTTCACTAAACCCAAAATCCTCTAATAGATCATTCTTAGTAATTTCAATCTTATTGTAAATGATAGGTTGTAAATTATACTTCAACGATAGTTCTTGAGTTTTTGCAGCAATATCTAATAACTCTTGTTGATTGCGCTTGTCACGAATCGACCCGGTGGAGATTTTTGATTCCAAGTTTTCAAGAAGTTGTTCTTCTTCGGCCAAGTCCCTAAGAAGTCGTTGTTCTCTTTTCTGGCGAGCGAGTCTGGAAGCAGCATTTTGCGATGACGAAGCAAGATCTTCTTCCTCTTGTTGTTGCTGTTGTCGTTCTTGTTCTGGTGGTATATCATCTTCTGATTCTTCTTCGAAAATCGCGGATAAGTTCTTTTCAGAAGTCATAGTACCAACAGGCTGAGTTGCTGTAGAGAGAATAACTTGGGTTGGTTCGGTGTTTAGTGGTATGGTAGCACTGGAAGGTTGGGTTGGCGGATTTATTATTTGGGTGATCTCATCAGACTTTTTCTTTTCGATTCTCTCTAGTATCGAATTCTGAGCATTGTCATCTTCATCATCACTCTCGTTTAATTGATCAAGCACGCTCTTTTCTGGATTATCCCCCATCATGTGTGGCTCAACAACAGATACAGTGGTTACTGATGGTTGGGCCATTCCTGCTTCTTGGAGGGTTTTACTAACAATTTTGTTCAATCGTTGTACTCGATTGGCACGACGCGCCAATAATTTCTGGAAACGGTTGTGACGGGAAATCATCTCTGTGTTGATGGCGTTAGTTTCATCTTGCTGGAGAATTGCCGTGAGATCATTAGTATTGTTATTTTCTTCATCTTCGTCGTCTTTAGCATCATTACACACATTATCTTCTTCTTCTTCTTCTTCTTCTTCATCGTCACTTTCATTGAGTTTAGAAACTGGCGCGTGGTAAGGAGCGGTAGTTATTATCATCTCTTGATTATTTTCGGTGTCTGAATCTAGCAAGTTATTCATAATAGTGTTGACATCCTGACTTTGGAACTGACTTGCAATATTCAAACTACTCATTCTTGAAGGTAGTCTCAATAATCTGTGGTGTAATATTTAAAAAAAAATTGCAAATGAAAGAAAACGCGTTAGATCAAATGGGTAATGTGAAATATTTTTTCTAGTTTTCCTTTGCTAAGTTGAAACAAGGTAAAGTATATGGTTATTGATTGCCGCTGAAATATAGTTAATTGATATTGAATTTGAATATTGTTTGGTGGTTACAGGAAGATGAACAAATAAAAATGTATCAATTCGCGTGTAATTTTTTAATACTAAAAAAAAAAAAAAATCCGTTTACGTTACGCGTTTTGAAAGTATTGAGAATGACGCGTCGTCTTGTTTACGATCTGCATGTGACATGAGAGAAAGAGAAGAAAGAGAAAAAAAAAAAACTCAAGCAGCCGGCCGAGGAGGTGAAATATCATCGATGCCCAGATCAAAACTGTTCCCCAATCACATTATATCTATCAGTTTGAAGAGAGTCAACCACCTAATATGTCCAATTTTAAACGGCGGGAGGAGGAGGAAGAAGAATTGGATGAAATGATTCTCGCCAAAGAGCCCTTATTTTTCAAAAAGCCCAAGAAGAAATCAAAGAAGTCTAGGGAGAATGAAGAGTTCAAACCAGTAGCGTTCAAGAGTCTTAGAGGAAACAAATTCAATTTCCAGAAGTTCAATCAAGATTATATACTAAAACAGTTAGATCTTGTTGAAGACAATAGTAATGACAATCTGGATCATCCTGAAAACAACAACAAAGAAGAAAAAGAAGAAAAAGATAACGATGACGACGAAGATGATGATGATGATGATGAATATCCGCTTACAATGTTCAGCAATAACAAGAAACAAGGACGGCGAAAACCCATCCCTTCTGGTAAGAAAAGGGAAAAAAGAGCTGAGAACAAGGGCCTGGCAGTACATACATTGACCACGGACGAAGCGCGGATCGCCGCTAGCCAGCCTCATCAACCGTTCAGCGAGGATCGGGGGAAACAAGCAAGGTACAAAGAATACATTTCCAGCGTGTTGGCGAATGACGATGTGCCTGTGATATTCAATTCGCAAGAGCGGCAAGAATTCGATAACATCACCAAGATGTACCTGTTGTTGAACCGGTGCATGAAAGACAAGTTTTCGTCCTCAGACATCACCGCACTGGAGCCGTGTAGTAGCGGTAGCCAGGATCTCCGAGAGGTCCGCGATCTACAGGTCTCAAAAGTGGTTCGCCAGCGCCTTGGCCTTGAAGAGTGATGTTTTTTGACAGGGAAGGGGCTGCTCCGGGGGGATGGGTCGCACGTGCTGCAATGCACAATGACATAGTGCTTTTGGCGGTTGTTGTCTGATGAATCCCGAATCTCGCCATCGCTTCTCCACAAGAAAAATAAAGAAATCCAATTGTGTTCCACATTACACTTTTCCCCCAACATTATCTAACAAGCAGCTACAATATCCTCGCGCAGGCTCTATTTTCTTGCCTCCTCTGTGTCTACCTACCTATACCACCACCTACCGCCCTTCTAGCTTCTGCTTGTACCCGCAAACGGTCCCACTGCTTTCGTTTTTTTTTTTTTTTCTTTTTTTTTCGTATTCCGATTTTTATGCTGACCGGTCTAATTCGCTTCCCAACAGATGTGTTGATCTCCATCTTTCGTCATTGTGAACTATCCGACCTCCATGTCTTTCGCAATGCTCTTTCTTTCAATCACCGTGTGACCACGGCAATTGATACGGTACTCTACAATTACATTTTCCTTGTCACGTCAAGCACTCTTGGCGAGAACTCCCAATGGGCCGATGAATGTTTGGAATCCCAAAGCTGTATCATCAACAATATCACCTTTAAGACTTCTAGCTATTCTGGGGCCCATAAGTTCTTTGGTCTTGTTTTGCTCGATCAATTGCCTCTCTTAAATGGTTATGAGAAATATATACAGCACTTAACGGTTTGCTGTTTAGATCTTTCCAGTTTAAACCTTTTTGGACGGGCTCACACTGAGGCTTTGTGTCTTGGGGAACTCATTGCCAATAATGGAAATCCCCCAAAATTGGACAATGGTTCTTGTGGTATGAAAAATCAACAAATTCCAATTGCTATTAATCCTACTTCTCTAAGGTCTCTGCCTACCCTAGATACTTCTTTATCGGCATATTCCCATTCGGTGTATCAAGTTGGGCCCAACTGTCCTGAATCGCTAAAGTCAATGCAAAAATTCATTGATTCTCTTGTGAGGATACGCAAAATAGATATTCGGTGCCCGTGCCTTCGGTCGCTTGTGAAAAACATCATCAAATCGAAACACAAGATCGCTAATGAAAGCTCAGAATTTGTGGCTCCAACATATACTATCATTTTGCAGTCTGATGTGAAGAAAGAAGAAGCGATGGGGGTAATTTAATTTTACTGTTGCTGTTCCCCGAAATGTGGTTTTAATAAACTATTCCTGAAATTTTTTCCACTGCTTGAGATCCCGCCCAATTATATTATACTATAGTGTTATTTGGAATTGTGAATTCTATTGATCTATTTTATGTGCCATGTGTCTTGTTTTGTTGTTACTATTGTTTTTTTGTTTTTGTTTTTCTCTAATATGTTGATATGATCTTTTGGATGTTGCTGCTCTCCTTTTGTTTTCTTTTTTTTTTTTTTCCATCTAATCTAATTTCTTTATTTTGGGAACCCAACCAAACATCCCATATATTATGGCTGATGTCTATTATGAAGCATTCCTTGTTCATAAGTTCTTATACTATATCATATCTATACTATATCATATATATACTATATCATATAAATATACTATATCACAATTACAACACGGTCCTTTTCTAGGATTATTTTTTTTTTACCTTTTCCAATATTTTACACTAATAAAGAATGACTATCAGAAAGAAGAGGAATACAAGAGAAATCAATAATAAAATGAAGAAAATAAATGTATGTGAAAAATCTATATCATTTAAAAGGCAATAAATACTATTTAGCAAATGCAGCGAAAGGGTTGTTTTTGTTTTTTTGTTTTCATTATGGTACAATATATTCTTTTAATGCATCACATTTCTCTACTCTAAAACACCTTGAACCCTCGTTTATACCAATTGAATCTCCAAGTAAAAAATGTCAAAATCATTGAGATCCAAATACTGATCCCGGTGATTATAAACACCACTCCGACCTTATAATCATGGAAATAATCGTAGACATTGGCATAAATAATACCAAATAGCAACGATGAAAATGCCGGGGCAACCATATATGATCCCCAAGTAGACCCCAAGATGTCAATTCCCCAAATACTGGCCATCACCGAGGGGTAAATGGTAAAGATGCCCCCGTAACTCACTCCCGAAAGACAAGATATCACACTATACAACCCCGCGGCATGATTATTTGTGATCAGAGTAGTACTGGCAGTATTGATATCTTTATATTGTCCGAGAAGATAAACAATGAGAAACTGGTCAATCACCCCGGCTAACAACAGCAATATCAAGAGCCATATCCGGCAAACCCCATTTTTGAATACGAGTTTCTTTGGCGATACCGAGGCCAAGTAGTCGGAGCACGCCCCGACAAATAATCTGGTGGCGGTCGAAGAAAATGAATAAAATGACACTTGAGTGGCAATGGAAATTTCGGATGATGGTGATGCCATGGCAAGCAAGTTATTAGCAAACTCGGGGTTTTTGAAATTGAGTTTATTAACAAGCACCACTAATGATCCCATGTTGTTGATATACATTTCGAGCGGACCAACACAAAGAAAGAACGCGATTAATAAAAGATACGCCGAAGGATCGTGAATGAAATTAGAGAATTTGGCTTGATGCGACACTTCGACAATGGAATCAACTTCGGTGATGAGCTCGTCATTACCCACCACCTCTTCTATCGAATTATAAGAAATCATCGAGTTGTTCAAAAGACCTTCTTGTTCGTCTCCCTGGGGGGTTGCTGACGAGAGGGAGTTGTTATCCTGGTCTGAATGGTCTGAATTCTTAATAACAAAATTGATTTGCTTTTGAATGGTTAAAATACATGATGAGGTATAACTCAATCCACAAACAACCGAATACATCACCCCAAAGAACCGGAAAATCCTCACAATGTTTAGTTCAACGGTACCATCTTCCATAATCGAATGGAACCAATTAACGTCCTGTATCAATCTTGACGCAAGCAAACTGCTTAATCCGTAGCACGTCACTGGTAAACTAATACTCAATCCTTTGATTTTAGGGTATATGTTGGCACAGGTCAATAAACTGGCAAAATAGAGACAGCTTACACCAAGCCCAATCGCCGTGAAGCAAGTAGTCATAAGCCAATAGCTTGCCTGGGACTGATAGAACCAAGCAGCGGCAAAGTATCCTGGAACAAATGTGAAAAACGCTGTCAACGACAATAGCACCGTACCGTAAATGTCAGCAAGGTTCCCAATAAGCGGGAGGAGCAAGTACATCCCCATAGAGGAGAACCCGCCAATGATGTTAATTTCAATCTGAGAGTATCCCAAATGACTGGAGAAATAAGGGGTCCAGAGTGAATAGAGCACCACGGTTCCCGAACAAATACACGCTAGAAGAGACACTACAAACGCATACAATTGGAGATGCGAGTGTTCGGATATTTTCAAGTGATTAGACACAAAAACCCTGAATGGTCGAGTCAACCAGATCTCCACCGACGATAGTTCGACCATGTGTTATATGTATTTTGTGATTAAATGGCAAAATAAACAGGAACAAATAATAATGAGATGACCACTAAATCAATCCTGGGGAAATCATGTTACTCATCAACATCGAACCTCTTGCTTTTTTTTTTCTTCCTCGTGACTTTTTTCCCATACCGTATACCAAGCCAATGGAATTGCTCATCTCATAGTCAACAGTGACTTGACTTCCTTATCAAGCTAGAAAGTAATAACTTCCTGTAGATTCAAAAAAAAAAAAAAAAAAAAGGTGCCGTATATTAATGCTGTATGATGATTACTTTTACGCTATAAGATCAATTCAAAATCCTATCATTGATATCGCTTGTCTCCCACCAGCGGAAGTCAACATCCCCAACGTCTGAGCCCCAAATGGGAAATAACTGATGGTATAATAAACCACCGCCACCATTTCCGCCACCCCGGAGATCACCGTCAAGATGGTGCTCTTGACAATCACTGCAAAATATAAGGTTGACAATACCGTGACGAGGAAGAATCCCGAAAACGCAACCCGTTCTTTCGATACCATATGACGGAAGTAGGCAATTGGTCCATTGAGCACCGCGAACGCTGCCACAAAGCAGATCGACCCCAAAGTCCAGAGCAACGCAAACTTTCTTGGTTGGATCGCAAGTACCGGGAATAGCACAAACGAGGTACCAAAGAAGAACGCTCCTGCGAGAATGCAACTCCCAAACGCTACGAGTCTTTCAAGACGTGATAAGTTAAACCACGAAGGTTCAGGGGTCAGCTCTTCTCGCTCATAAATTGGAAGACGGGTATATAGCTGATTAGCGGATTCTGAGAGTGAGTCCTTCCAAGAACTGAACATCGTTGAAGAGGCATGGTCCGAATTATTGGAACGCGATGCAGACCAGTTGTTCCACTGATCACGAATACTTGGGCCCGACATATTTGCTAATTATTGGGGAGTTTATGAACTATGGCACTAACTTTTGTGGTCCACAACAACAAAAAATTGATTAAGATAAGAAGCACAAAACGATGGAACAAATCACTTCCAATTCATCATAGACTGGGACGGTTTGCCCACAAGACGCAATCAGTGATTGAACACACTTTTTGTTTGTGAAGCCCCTCAGCCGCCAGGGCTGCACAACATTTTTGGGGCAGCGCAGACGCCGACCCCCACACACACACACACACACACACACAATAGTACTTTTTTTTCTATATTTTAGATGTCAGTAAAAGAACGAGCATTTTGGAGAAAGGAAAGTGGTTTAGATGATCAACTGTATGTCTGGCTGCTAGGTATTATCCGCTTCTTCTATTGGATGTGTTTTTACTGCAATCGAGATTGTAAATGACGCGACTACAGGAAGAAAAAAAAATAGAATAAAATCATAATAATAATAATAATAACCATAGGATAAATAAAGTACCGAAAAAGATATATAAAAAAATGTTTGAAAGATTTGCTTGTTTGTTTTTTTTATATTATACAAAAGATAAGACAACCTGAAATTGACATAAAACACGAAAAATTGAAAAAAAAAAAAATTGAGAAATATCTTGAAGTGCAGAGAAGAGAAAAGAAAAGAAAAGGGTTCAACCTTTATAAGTAACATGAAATTTGATAATAAGGTTATTATATATCAATCAATAATACAAGTAGTATACACGGCATGACCGGAATCTTCTGGCGATAGTCATACCCATAAAACAGAATCATAGCAACGTAAAAATTTCGCAAACAGAAGGCAAAAAGCGGCATCATTTTAAGTTCCAAAGTTCAAAAAGCTGGAATCGTTTTCCATAACGCTTACCTCGACTCCCCTCATTTCATCAAAATATGTTCTGATATTTCCATGGGGAGTGAACTGAATAACCCCACCATTTGGATGTTGAAATACCGGCCAGTCCTGGCTTTCCTTAGGAACTTCGGTCTTGTGAAACTGGCGCTTGATGTTGTTGTGCTCGTGGTTTTGATTATGATAGCTGTTGTAATCACCATCGGACATGTCTGTGTCCATCATGTCTTTATGGACCACAATGTTACTATCACTGATGGACTTGCGGACCTCATGGGCGGTATTATTGGTCGACATCGAATGGTCTTCGTCATCATCACGACGAGAGCGCTTACCGCCAGCGGTATTTAGCATTTGATGGTATTGTAACTGACGAAGTTGTTGTCCTGTTAAGTTCATTGCACCATTACCATTGTTGTTGGCAGTGGTAGAGTTATGTAGGAGGATTTCATTAGGGAAATACTTTGTCTTGTCATCTTGCATAGGATACAAATCAAGACAAGCAGAGGGGTTCATATTAGCACAAACTGAAGGATAATAGTACATGGTTCCTGGGTGTATATTCCTGATATTTTGTTGTTGCTTGTTGTTTTTGATAGATTAAAGCGAAAAAGTCTGGGGTATAAAATATAGCGCGTGCGGATGTGTGTGTGTGTGTGTGACAGGTCTGGGGGATGGATGGGTGTATATATAATGCAAAATAGAAAACAATAAAAAAAAAAATGAAATTCAACAAATTAGTGATTTTTGTTTATCGGGGGGTAATGGTGAGCTATTTTGGAAGGTAATTAAAAGTAAAAATAGAGGTGGAAGGCAATTGTGTGGGTATTTATGTTGAAAAAACCGTGCAGCAAAAAAAAAAAAAAAAAGTGAAGGATTTTTTTCTCTCTCTCTCTTTCAAGGCTGCCCACACTAAAGGGAAAAAGACAGGCCGGCCGCATTTTTTTTTGGGGGTATGAGCGATGGGAGAGGGTACACACCCCTCATAATTTTTTTTTCTCCTTTTTTTTTCCTGATGTTTGGGTGTGTGGCCTCCTATTCGATCAGCCAGCCCAACCAGCCGCGATGTTTGGATGAACTTGCGTAGTGTATTATATTACCCGGATGTTAAGACATTCTAGAACATGTGGGAGTAGGCAAATAGTCTAATTTGCGTTTCATATCATTTAATTCTCTCAATTAACAAAGATATATCCCGGTTAGTAATAGTTAAACCCAGGAGTTGAGCAAGCAACTCTTGGAAGTGCAAAAAGTCAAACTAAAAAGTCAAACTTCCTAATCTCAACAAGAATTCATGCGCTATTACTGTACCGAAACTTATCCGCGACAATTGTGAACAATTATAATAATAATAATAACAATGCACGTTGCTATTTAGAAATGTAAGTGCCCCAATAATAATTACATTGCAAATGGGTCAATAAATATCTACATCCGTCAGCACAATGTTCTTTCAATATCGGATAAACATTATACTATAATATCATCTTTAGAAGATGAACATATCGCGTTATTTGTTTTGAAGAATTTTCCGCCCTGCGATTATTGCAATATAGTGTTATTCACATGATAGTCACATGGAGAATTGCTAAGTGGAGATGGCTGTTTTATGGGGTGAAATACTCTTGCGATGAGCATCTAAAACAAGTAGCCCACACGTCGTGTGCTTCACCTCTAATGTCACATATCTCCATGGTAATTTCCACTTGATCTTCATGTATATGAATGGTTTATTTATTGATTTTTTTGCTACATTGTGCTGATGAAATCACATTTCTCACGTGCTCAGCGGCTAAACCTTCAAGTAGGGAAAAGGCCATTTGATTAACCATAGTTATTTTAACCATATTTACGTATAAGAGCCTATATATGGTAACACAGAATAAAAGTAAAAGGAAAAAGAGTTGGAACCATTACATGATTTTGAAAGCAAAAGAAAACCTTTTCTGCTTGTACCATTTCATTCTAATTATTGAAGAGCCACAAAACAAAAATCATCTAGACGAATATGTTCTTTCAAAGCCTTTATATCTACTGTCTGACCTTATCTATAGCTATGCGGAGTCATCCAAACCGGTCACAAGAGAACAAAGAGTGTCAGATGGAAGAGGGGGAAGCTATTGATTTTTTGGAGCTGTCGACAATAACAATAACTGAGTGGCTGTTATGACATCTTAAATGTACTGTCATTTGAGTGTTTATAAACAGGATTCATGTCACGTGAAAATGACGTCTTGGTGGTGATTATATGCAATGGTATGCTCATAAAGGCACTTCCCAGTACAGATCGGTGATTAGAAACATGAAACAAAAAATCACGGATGAATAAAGTGTTTCGCCGCTGATAGAGGCTGACACCCGCCAAGCAGACCCAATTTATCGTATCTAAGATGATAGCCATTAGAGCCTCTTTTCCTTCAACCAGCATCAGCACCAACCATCCCAAGTGCCACTAAACACCCATCCAGATAACAACAACACTACTTAACCTTCCGATTAAAGCCTTGTCGGGGCTTTGCCTGCAGTTAACACGCGCCTTCACTCTGTGTAATATTTCTAGGTGGCTGCTCCCCTACTTTTCTTTTTTTTTTTCTTTTTCTGGTGTTGTTGTGGTGAAGTGTGTGTCAAAGCCCCGTAGTTTGTTGCTTCCTTTAATATAAGACTTCGCCCATCATGTGTATGAGAAATCCAAAACATATATATAATCCTAAACCTCACCCTGTCATCAAAGACATTGAAGTTAGCCCACCACCATATCAGCCATACATCATGGACGAAAAAACTTACATCCAAGACGAAAAAGCACAATACGAACAAAGTAAGCCTTTGCTCTGTTACTCTGACTCCAAAGAACCTTTGCCATTCCCAGTTACCCAAAATGACAAACCTCACAAGAAGTCTATTCGCAAACCAATTGCCATCGCCTTAGGCTCTGCCGCCGTCTTCCTTTTGTTCATGGCCTCATCTCATAAAGGCTGTCATGGTGCTCCTCCTCACGGTGCTCCTCCTCATGGTGGTCCTCACGGTGCTCCTCCTCATGGTGGTCCTCACGATGCTCCTCCTTATGGTGGTCCTCATGGTGGTCCTTATGGTGGTCCTCATGGTGGTCCTCATGGTGGTCCTCATGGTGGTCCACCTAACAAAGGTTGTCATGACGGTCCTCGTGGAGGTCCCCACGGCAAAGGCCATCAAGAAATGCCTCCAATCTGTCATGTTGTTGGTAGAGGTAAGGGTAAGGATGACAGACCTGAATGGTTACAGGAACTTAAGGACGCTGTCACAGCTGGCGACCTTGAAAAGGTCACTGAAATTGAAACCCAACATGAAACTGAACTTATTGCCTTCAACTTGGGTAAAGCTGAATTAGAAGGAGATTCTTTGATTCACACCGTCCATATGGCCTATCATGAAGGTCTATTTGATGTTGCTGAGCAAATCATTGCTGACCGCAAGGACTCCGAAGAATGGGACATGCCACAATGGTTGAAGGAACTCTGGGGTGCTGAATATTCTAAAGATTTTGAAAAGATTGAAGAAATCAGAAACGGTGAACATTCTGCTGAATTCAAGGCTTACAATGAAGGTATCAGACATGAATGTAAGAAGATGGGACCTAAGGAACACAAGAAACATGATAAGGGTCAAGGTAAAGGACCAGGTCATGATGATATCATAATGGTTGAAATGGGCCAACCTTACTTTTCTTCGATTCTTTAAATTTAATCCCTGAGATTAGTATTGTCATTATTTTAATTTTGTGTGTGTGTGTGTGTGTGTGTGTGTGTGTGTGTGTGTGTGTTTTTGCATTGACACAGTTAACCATTTCGTGTGTCCTTGATCCTAAACTCTGCTAGCTTAATCTAACCATCTTGAATCAATTTCGTATCCGAATGGATTTGTTTTGCTTGTTTTTGTTTTATAATCAACCTGATCCGGTCATTTTAATTTTGTTTCTATTTATTGTTTATTTAGTTTGTTTTCTTTTTTTTTTTTTTTTAATTTTGGGGGTATGTGAGTGCTTTCACTTTAATTTATTTATAAACTCTTGTCATAAAATCATTGGCATTTTTTAGTAGTAACTTTCTTTTTTCTTTTTTTACTAAATGTAAGCAAATGACTGAGTTAATCAGGATTCCATATCTCGCCCATCAAGTCCGATTTGCTATACGTGGGTTTACAAGTTAAGTTGTTGGAGAGTCCATTACAATAATTTGCAAATAAAATTGTTTATTGTATTTTTCCAAGACACACTTTCTTAGTTGTCGATTATGATACTCAAGAAGCATATATTCTTGTGTTTCTGAAGAATAGAATGTGGTCTACCTCCGAGAGCAGGATTTAACACAATCTGAATGGTTTACAAGTGTCAATTATCTGTCAGTGCTGCTTTCAAATTCTTTCGCACCCCCTCGCTCCACCTGGCAAAAGCCCGCAAAGATGATAGTTTAGGGATGTTCAACTTTGTTGATCTAATGGAGATCTAAAAAGGTATGTGTACTCTTAAAAGATGTTTGTAGAAGTTTTGGGCTTCCCATTTCGTTGCTGATTAAATCTAAAACCGGTTTATGTGTCGCTGATCGGCAGGAAGAAGTAGGTACTGTCAGACTATGTTAGATGCCAAAATAAGGCTTTCCCAAAGTACGTAGTTTGTAATACATTCTCCAGCATTGAGATGGTAATATGAGCATATCAATACTCCTCTTATCAGTATATAATCATTATCACCTAATCCCCAATGGTTAAAGAGGTCGGGCTTCCTCCTAAAAACCCTTTTAAAATATCGCGGGCCATGTGACCCGCTCCGAACAGCGTTGCTGCATTTATCATATGATCACACCACAAAGAGTAAAAGAGAGAAAAAAATCGAACAAAGTCCAACTATTTGATTGCCCCCAGTCTCGGTTTGACGTGGATAGCTAACCAAAACATAACTAGAACCAAAAACCCTCAATCAGAAAGCTTCTACTTAACGAAAATCGTTCCAATATAATAACAACCATCATATTATCCTACATTTAATTTCATATTCACATATCTGGTAGGCCATCTTCATTTATTTATTTTTTCCCCATTTATTTATTAGCAGCATCATCTCATCCCTAATTTAACCAAAACACCAATAATGCACACTAATGAGGTTCCTGAAAGTGAGCGTGAAGTCTATAATGCTTTGATTAAAATTCGTGCTAGGCTCAGTGTATTGAAAAATAATCGCAAAGAATTCATGAAATCGCAGGACGTGAAGAAGGCATATGATGAAGTTCTTAGCGAATACAACAAGTTAAAAGAAATCCGGTCTCATTATCCAACTAACTCCTCAAAGTCAAGGGATAAGAGTCGTCGTCGCTCTAGCATCAGCGCCCTTGTTGCCAATGGTGGTCCAGTTCATAATAAGGTCGACCTGATAGTTGATGAGAATTTCCAGTTGTTGTCCCTTAGTTTCATGACGGTTGGTCTCACTAAGACTGCCCCAGCAACTTATGCTTCTTTATCCACAGTTCAAAGGTTATTGGAGCATCTTGTGGAGTCTAAAGTTTACACTAAACATGATTTGAAACCAATCAAGGACAGACTTGATGAAATCTCCGTCATCATTAAAGAAGATGACTTTCATAAATTCGGTCCTGAAGGTTCTAATCTGAATCAAAGCTTCAATGCTGAGCAAGATTTATTAGCTCAGAAATTGAAGCATTGTGTTGCTGAATATAACGTGGTTGAAAAAAATATTGATGAAATCTCCCCAGAGTTAACCCCATATCTTGATGAATTGATTGGATTAAGAAGATTGCTCATGGCTCTCGTTACCAGGCGCGACGATGATGCTTTTGATGATAATGACTTTGATGACTTACTTAAGAAATATGAGGTCAATTTGAAAGATCTCGAAAAGCATCGTGATGAAAATGGGGCATTCTTGACTAAGGATGATAAAGAAATTCAAGATCAGAAAGGGCAAGTTGTGCTTAATGGATTATTGGACGAATGTCATAATATTATAAATGATTTGACTATTGCTAAAACTGATTCTACCGCACAGGTATCTCTTATTGATAAGGAATTATTGCCATTGTTCCAAAAACTTGTGAAAATCAAAGTCTCGTTGGAGAACCTTCTTGTCACCCGCCGTTGGACTTTGCGTGAAACGGACCTTTTCAACTTCCAAAGAGAATTACAAAAAATTGATGACCTTAGAGTTGATGGGAAATTCCGCAACCCTAGTACACATGAGCCGTATGCAAAAGGTCAAACGATGTTGTTATATCTTCTTAGACGGTGTTATGCTATCATATATAAGCTTTTGGAATCCTCAGAACCAGTTTCTGAAGCTCTACAACCCGTTCATAACCAACTTTCTACGGTTCGTCGTTGTCTTCTTGATGTTAAGAGAATGGGAGGCATTAATTCAACTCGTGAATTGTATCCTTATCAAATGAAATTGGCGTCGATCGATGATGTTCGGGTCGATGGGAAATTCATTGTTGATGGGCAAATCCCTGAAGGTCAAGGAACTTTGAATGCCTTACTTGCCGAGTGTTATGATATTTGTTACGAATTGAGAGTTGAATTGGACGAAAACAATGAGAATGGTGAAGATGATGAAGATTACGAAGATGAAGATGAAAACAGGGAAGAAAGGCAATATGATGAATTAGAAGAAGAAGATTATGATGATGACACCCATAAGAATTTGATGGCTGCCAGTGATTACGAGTATGATAGTTATTTACCAAGTGAAAATGTTACTGATAACGAAATGACTGGATCTCTAAAATGAAATTTCTTTTTCGTTTGTTTTTTATTTTTTTGTTTTTCCGTTCAATATTAATGGGCATTGAATCCTTCATATTTCCTCGCTAGCTTCCATTAATTATGTATTTATTGCTTCAATAATTATAAATAATGTTGCGCGAGGGAAATTCTTAATTATATAATAGTGCTGACAATGGAATCAGTAGTGATGTTTTGAGTTAATGGGCTTTTTTTTTTTATTACTATCATTATTTATTATTTTCTTTTATGGTTTGATTTGGGCTGGGCGTATTTTTTTGATTTTTCTCTCGTGAGCAAGAAAACAAAAATTGACCTACCATGTTAATTGATTTTGGTATCATTACAAAACTGTCCTGCATGGAAATAAACCATAGTTCATTAATATTTTTCTTTCTCTTTCTCCACATTTTTTTTTTTGAAAGAAATCAATGAAATATGAATAAATGTATTATTATTAAATAAAGTAGTGGCTTATAGACATTAGGGTTGCACTAAATAGTGCTATGATTATCTTTAACCAACTTCTCACAGCTTGCTTTACTTTATTGTTGAAGGTATATTGGTTTATCTTGAAGCTTAGCAGTGGTCACGCCGTATGAGTCTATAATTGATAGTTTATATTGTGACACGAATTCGTAGCACCAAGCTAGATCTTTATTATTTAAAGTAGGATCAAGCGCAGGTATGTTTCGTGGCTAAATGAAGCCATGGCCTGCTCTCTCTGCCTGTTTCGGGACTTGAATAATATTCAGACACGAAAAAGATGAGCCGATATTTTTCAAAAGCTGTTGCATTTTCCTCAGTTCTATTAGATTATATAATATGTATTACATAGTCATGAATTTATTAGAATCTGATGTGAGAGATAGAATATTAAGAAGAAAAAAAAGGAAAAATTGCAAAAAGATAAGTTAAAGTAATTTGGAAGAATTAATTCAAGGAAATTTGTTATTATTTTTTCTTTTTTTAGAAATGACGCAGCTTCAAGAAGAAAACATAATGGGTCTAAAGGATATGAATAATAGTTTATATATCTTGGAAAAAAAAAAAAAAAATGTCGAATAGAATATTGCAATGTAGACAGTTTCCATTCATGATTATTTCCTATCTTTAACTTTGATGATCTTAAACTTTTCAAAATCGAAAATATCCTTCAAGAAATCATAAGGAGAATCATCCAATTCTGTGGTGACTCGAGTTGTCACGTAGTGACAATCGGCCAATGTCAACTTTTTGAGGTTTGGTAAAGGTTTGGCATTATGGATATCGATTATTTGGTTCTTCGCCAAATTTAGTTTTGTCAATGAGCCCAAGTCATGTAGTTCACAAATAGTTTTAATTTGGTTATGGCTCAAATCTAATTCTCGCAAATTAGGCAATGTCAAATTTTCAATATTGTTGATATTATTATAGGAAAGGCTCAAATACTCTAATTTTGAACATTTCGACAACCCTTTATCAATTGAAGAAATGTAATTTTTGGTAAGATCAAGAGTAATTAAATTTTCAAATTTTCGCACACATTGGGGGATTTTCTTGAACTGACAATCACAGAGTTGAAGGACCTTAACTCCGGGAGAGTTAACCAAATTTAAAGTGTCAAGAGCACTCTGGCAAATTTGTAACCATTCAAGTTTTGATAGTTTGTGGAGATTTGATACATGGCTCAAGAATGGATTATCGCATATCAGCAACCATCTCAATTTCGGAAGATCGAGGCATGACGCGTCCAAAGTTTTTATTGCTTGCCCGGAAATTTCTAAATCTTGAAGCTTTGGAAGATATTTTTTATTTACATTGATGATTCCTGTAGCAAAATTTCCCAATAATGATAGAGAAACTAAGTTAGGAATATTGCTGAAACTGGCACCATCGAGACTTTTTCTATCGTTGACGCTTTTACTGTACACGATGGTATCCAATTTTTCGAAAGATCTGAAATGGTTGCCAAACTCCAATGCACCACGATGCTTACCAATAACAAGAGTGGTGATGTTGGAGTTTTTCACATCGTTAATATATATCTTTCCAGAATCCACGATCAAGGTATTAAGAACTCGAAAAGAATTAACAATATCAATGAAAGCTGGCCTATCGACTCCAAAAAGCGGCCCATAATGAAAGGTTTCAGTATCAGGTGAAGAAAGTTCCAAGCTTCTCACGAATTCGTTATAATGCCATGCAATTTCTTTAAGTTTAATAATATCATTCACCATACAAATAATTCCACAGGAGTGATCTTTGATGAATTGAAACCCATCAATGATTGACGCATCGGAATATCTCTTTTTGCCATACAGAAAAATCACTTTTTTGAAAAGCATACTATAGATCACCCGATGACAATTTGAGTTTTTGGGAGCCACTATTAAAACAGATTTGAAATCCTCCAGATCGCGAAGCTTTCCAAAGATCTCTCAAAGAACAGTATCAGGTAACATTTCAAGTGACCCCAATCCCATAGGATTTTGATGATGCCACGCACGATTAAAAGGTGGTTCATCACAAGGAAGAAAGTATGATTCAGCCGAATATTCTGTATGTCTGCGAGTGATTGGAAAACTATGAAAGTCATTCACGCTGGTTTGTTTGCGTTGTAACATTGTGGAAGCTTAGGAGTATTACAGATGGGAGAGATTCAAGAAAAATAAAATAAAATAAAATAAAAAAAATAAGTATCATACGTGGTTTAAATACTGGAGCTCAACCTACTTGGAAAAAATGAAGGAAAAATTATAGCAATGGTAATATAGCAATACAAAAAATATCATTGGAATGCTCCTCTAAAGTATTGTATAAATTCCTTCATTGGGGGCATCATGTATGTTGGGGGATAAAAGGCCAGTATTACTGGCACATACATATAATAGTTGCTTCAGCATAAATAAATACGGGGTGCCGTACCCAATATAGCATTTTTCCGGATATTTGCAGAATCTACCAGTTCACCAGAATTCGACTTAGAAGGGTAGATTATCAACTACTTCAAGTCAATAACTACTTTGTCTTGGCTAGTATAAGCCCGGCAGTTAAATCACGAACTCCTATATCTGAGCATTTGGATAGTGAATAGACAGCATACTGTCGATCAGAAAGATTAGATTTAGATTTATTGAGCTATTTTAACTTTTTTTTTTTTTTTTTTTACATCGCTTGTTGGCTTATACAATAATCTTACGACGACAGCCGTAAGACCATTGCGGATGTCTCGGTTTACAATCTAAGAATATTTAATTAGATTAGCAAAATGACACCACTACTTTGTTTATTAGGTTTTATTATCCTTGGAGCTTTGTCACATACAAGTATGTGAGGCAACTTCACGCCTGTGAAGGAAAATCTTTTGTCTCAGAGATACAAAAAAGGGCTTTGATAAATCAACTCTGCCATACGCGAATCAGAACTAAATTAGGAGGATCTGACAAGGCTCTGCAAAGAAAAGAAAACAACCCCTGCCCATGGTGTTTCAGTGTGTCTTTGATTTAGCACAAGTGGCAGTTCTATCAAAATAAATTACGCATTGCATGCTATGTTTTCAACAAGAATTTGTGATCAACCTTGGCTGTGTGAGAGAGCCATTTGCACCAGGGGAAATCTAGACCTTTAGTGTTAAGAATACGCTCCTTTTTGTTCTTCCTTTTTTTATTTTTTTTTCTTCTATTCTTTTGCCTCTTCTGATGTCATCTCCATCTTAATTGTTCACACCGTTTCAACAGCGCTGCAATTCCAAAGTTCCAGCTCGCGAATTTCAGGTGGAAAAAAAAAAAAAATTCAAAAGCTGCTCAATTCAGAACCTGCATCATGCATTAACAACAGGTATCCGCAAATTTCCAAACTGGGCGTATTCATCAAAAATTCAAATAGCTACTCAATTGTGACTACGTGAAATTACTAAAACTTAAGAGATACACCCAAGTAAAAAATGCACATGTTAGAAGTCGCAAATACTTCAAGCTAGCAACCAAATATAATTGCGCAAAATTAAATGAGAGAAATGACTGCAGAAAATCCAGAAGAAAGTTTTCCTGGGGGGAATAGAGCTTAAAAGCATTTTTGGGGCTCACGATGCCGTACAGCCTAGTACACTGACGGTTGAGAGTGCAGGAGAAGCAGCCATGTTGCAGACACTTCGCCACCAGTTGAGCTCTCTCAAATAAGCAACAGCACTACAATTGGAAGTTCACAAGAAGGGAAAAAGGAGTGAGTTACACAGTAAGCTCCAACATGCTTTTCACATTAGTGGTGATTCCGTGTCAAAACATTTCATAACGTGTATTAATTTAGGACCCTTGCTACTAGTCAGCACTAGTGAGCCAGTAGACAGATTTTGAACCCATAGACTGTGTCCTGTTACTGTTCTATTCTACTCAGGCGTTTGCGGAAGTCTCTGCAATGCGCAGTAACTTTATTACTGCAGTCGAAACTTATGCCTAAAGCAGCAGCATCAAATTTTTAATGGAGCTAATGTGCCAGCAACACCTAAAGAGAACAAAGGTGCCGAACGAAAAAGAAAAAGAAAAATAACAGTAAAGGGAGAAAATAACACTTGCTTACAGTCGGAACAATCTCCGAGCGTATTCCGTATTTCCAATAGGTCTGCTATAGAATTCCGTTTTTTTTTTTTTTCGTTCTCGTATACACGATATGGTAGTTTTTCTCTTAATTGATTAATTAATAATACTGGAAAATTCCAATCATATGATCTGATGATTTTCAGTAGTTATCTTTTTTGTACAGAGATCTACTTACTGCGGAAGCAAGGGAGCCTTTATTTTTTCATTTTTGTTTTTTCTGCGAGAGCAGAGGCCTACAACTGACCGTATTCAACGGGTACGGAAGTATTGGGAACAATATAATTATACTGTGAGGTGGAACATTCTAAATTTGTCAAGAAAGGTACAACAGTATCCATGTTTCAAAAGAATTCTAGTTATTGTTCCTATTCCAGTGTGTCAGCAATTGTTTGGCGAGGAGATTACCGAATTGAGCGAGTGATGCTGAATTTTTAAGGGATCAAAAGGAGCAACAACAAAAATGTCTTACCCAAAGTCTATTGACAAAGGGCAACTATACAGGAACAATAAGGTTATTTCATAAAACAAAAACAAATAAAATTGTCTTGAATTCTTTAATAGTGGTTCTATTTTTGTTCTGCTGCCTTGCGAACTCACTCTCACACATTTTTTAAAATTAAGATTTTCAGCAGAGCATTATTTTGGGAAAAAAAAGTTGAAAAAAAAAAGTGATCAATTATCCCAATTAGGTAGTAGAGTAAGCACACCTGAACGTAACCATCAGTGTTAATAGCATGTAAACTTTTGCTGAAGAGTGTTCCCCCTACACCTATAAATGCTCACCGCCTATCTTGAAAGATTTTTATCAAAATGTCAAGTTAATCAACCCTAAATGCAGCGTGCCTGAAATAAAATAAAAGGGAAAAATGGTAAACAAGATTCTAACTCATTAGTGCTGCTCGTGTCTCAATCTAGTGAAATATCTGGCCATTCTCTTACAAAACTTCTGCAATTCTCCACAAGAGGAAATCATCAAGTTTCAACCAGTTTTTTTTTTGCGGATGCACATCCACTCTTTCTGATTTACATCATGCATGACCTCGCGCGTCCCACCAAACCCTAAATATCTGTTTATACCCTCGCCCACTGAGAATAGAACTCCTATAAATAGGCCTACCAAGACCCTCCTCCATTTGGTTTTGTTTATATACCAGAACTTTCTGTTGTCTTTAACTGAACTTGTTTGTTTACCGGACTGTTTTTCTCATCATCTATTATATTGTGTTAAAACTATCTATTGTTTCTCAAAGATGAAGTTCTACGGCTTGTTCACTCCTTTGGTTTTAGCTGGTATTGCCCAAGCAGCCAGTGTCGGAACTCTCACTGTCCATGTTTACTCCACTATTACCGATTTCACCACTTACTGTCCATTGACCTCAACCTCTGAAGAAGTTTCTTTGGTTACCGACTATGTTACCGACGACGTCACTGTCACAGAGTCTATTGAGAATTGTGGCACTAGAGACTGTAACGGTTCCTCTACCACTTCCGTCCAAAAGACAACAAAGGCTAGAACTTCCAAGACCACTAAAACCCGTACAATTGTGACTACCTCTGCCTCCACTTACTCCTCTTATACCGTTATTACTTCCAAAGCTACTCCACCTGGCGATTGTTCATCATATGTCACTGTTACCCATAACCATGGTTCCTCAAGTACCTCTGAAAGTACTCCAAGTATCACACACCCAGCCTCTCAAACCCATGTGTCTTCTACTACTGAAAGTAAAGCCTCTTCTCACGGTTCTTCATCTGTGACCCACCCAGGTTCTCCAGCTTCCCCAACCCACGAAACCTCTACTACTGAATGTGAAACCTCTTCCCATGGTTCCTCCGTCACTCAGCCAGGTGTCTCACACCCAGCTTCCCCAGTTTCCCCAACTCACGAAACCTCTACTACTGAATGTGAAACCTCTTCCCACGGTTCTTCATCTGTTACCCACCCAGGTTCTCCAGCTTCCCCAACCCACGAAACCTCTACTACTGAATGTGAAACCTCTTCCCACGGTTCTTCATCTGTGACCCACCCAGGTTCTCCAGCTTCCCCAACCCACGAAACCTCTACTACTGAATGTGAAACCTCTTCCCACGGTTCTTCATCTGTTACCCACCCAGGTTCTCCAGCTTCCCCAACTCATGAAACCTCTACTACTGAATGTGAAACCTCTTCCCACGGTTCTTCATCTGTGACCCACCCAAGCTCCCCAGTTTCTCCAACCCACGAAACCTCTAGCACTGTTACTTCCACTGAATCCTCCAGTTCTTCATCTGCTACCCATCCAAGCTCCCCAGTTTCTCCAACCCACGAAACCTCTAGCACTGTTACTTCCACTGAATCCTCCAGTTCTTCATCTGTTATCCATCCAAGCTCCCCAGCTTCCCCAACTCATGAAACCTCGACTACTGAATGTGAAACCTCTTCTCACGGTTCTTCATCTGTGACCCACCCAAGCTCCCCAGTTTCTCCAACCCACGAAACCTCTAGCACTGTTACTTCCACTGAATCCACTAGTTCTACTGCTAGTTCTACCTCTTTGGTTCCAGTCCCAACTACCAACTCAACTTCTTTAACTCCAGTCGCTACCACTAGTTCTACCTCTTTGGTTCCAGTCCCAACTACCAACTCAACCTCTTTGGTTCCAGTCCCAACTACCAACTCAACTTCTTTAACTCCAGTCGCTACCCCTAGTTCTACCTCTTTGGTTCCAGTCCCAACTACCAACTCAACCTCTTTGGCTCCAGTCGCTACCACTAGTTCTACCTCTTTGGTCCCAGTCCCAACTACCAACTCAACCTCTTTGGCTCCAGTTCCAACTACTTCTGCTTCATCCACCTTCGTCTCCATTCCAACTACTTCTGCTGAATCTAGTTCTTTGAGCTTCCCAAATACCTCTTCATTGTTGACTTCTGAAACCACTGCCTCCAGCTCAGAAAGTTATACCAACTTGGTGGTCACTATCACTACTGAAGGTACTAGCACCGTTTACACTACTTACTGTCCATTGACTGCTGCTTCTAGCATTGCTTCCAGTGTCGCTGCTTCCGGTGCTCCAAGTTCCACTGCTGCTGCCATCAAAACTACTGCTTCTGCTTCTACTTCCAGTGCTTCAACTACTACTGTTGGTACCACTAAATCTTCTGAATCTGCTGCTGTTTCTAGCTCAGAAAGCTATACCAACTTGGTGGTCACTATCACTACTGAAGGTACTAGCACCATTTACACTACTTACTGTCCATTGACTGCTGCTTCTAGCATTGCTTCCAGTGTCGCTGCTTCCGGTGTTCCAAGCACCACTGCTGCTATTGCTACCCCATCTGGTGTTGCTCCTCCTGCTCCAGAAAGCTACACTACTGTTGTCACCTCTATTGAAAACAAATCCACTGTGGTTCACACTTTGACTCTTGCTAAGTCTTCTGCTACCCCAACTCCTGCTGCTCCAACTTCTGTCGTTGAATCCTCAGCCGCTCCAACTTCTGTTGTTTCTTCCAGTGAATCTGCTGCTGCTCCAACTTCTGTTGTTTCTTCCAGTGAATCTGCTGCTGCCCCAACTTCTGCTGCTGCTCCAACTTCTGCTCCAATCTCTGATTTGGAAAGCTACACTACTATTGCCACTTCTATTGAAGGTAACTCCACCGCTATCCACACTTTGACTCTTGCAAAGTCAAAATCTTCAGCTTCTGCAGTCGCCACCAGCAGCGTCAGCTCTGTTATCTCTGTTTCCACTGAAGCTGCTACCAACATAACTGCATCTACTTCTGATGCTGCCTCAGTTTCTGTCTACAGTGCTGCTGCCAACAAACAAATGGTTGGTTCTGGTTTGGCTTTCATTGCTGGCTTATTGTTCCTTGCTTGAATTTTACCATAAATTTAAAATTTTTTACTTTCTTTTTTAATTCTTCTTTTGATCACTTTTTTTCAACGAAAGCACTTTGGTTCCCACTTTCTTTACGATATCTTTCATTCTATTTCTGAAGCGTCATTGCATATATTTTTTTGAGTTTTTCTCTATTATTATCATTGTTATTAAATTCTATTATTTTATCTATTCAAATGTTGTAGCTAACCCTTCTTGGTAAACAAATGTAGTGCATGATGTATATCTCTGTTGGATATCATAAATATTTACGGATTAGAGATTGTTGTGCGGAGACAATTCCAAAAAAATGAAGGAAATTAAGTTACCCCGGAGGGACGAAAAAATGCAGCAATCTGCACTGGCCCTCCCAACAAGTGCTACGTAACCAAAACACATCACATGTGAAAATGAATAAATAAATTTTTGGGGTAAAGCAGTGATGTTGATTTGCTAATTGTTGTGCAAACCATCATTTAGCCACCATATATCCTCAAGACGCCGGTTATTGTTAGCCTCAATTCGCTACAGCTAGTATATTTAGAGATTTTTATCGATTATCAGTGTCTTTCAACAGGAAGCAGAATCACTATATCGCGAGATATAAGCCGAAAATATACCATTTGAAAAAACAACAACAACAAGAAACCAACAATAAAATAGACTATTAAATATGCCAGTGAAGGAATTGAAAGACCTACAGGAAAAAGCTGTAACCGAATCAGTAACAAAATTGGAAAAAGCTGAAGAAAAGGCTGAAGAAAAGGCTGAAGAAATGGAGGAAGAACAGAAGGAAGTCAATGAGAAATCTGCCGAGTACAATAAAAAGAAGCAGAACTTTATTGTACGTACCACCTGGACCCTTGTGATGGTTCTCGGAATGTTCAGTATCCTCTTTCTCGGACCAATATGGGTCATTGGTTTGGTTATAGTTTTGCAAATATTGACATTCAAAGAAATCATTGCCTTGTCCTCAAGACCAGCAAGAGAAAAGGAATTACCAATGAACAGAACTTTGAGCTGGTACTTTTTATTGACTTCCTCCTACTACTTGGATGGGGAAAGTTTTATCCATCATTTCAAACATTTTATTTTTGTTGATAAGTTTTTATCACCATTGGCTACAAATCATCGTTTTATCAGTTACTGCCTTTATGTGTTGGGTTTTGTTTTCTTTGTTGCCACTTTAAAGCCAGGCTATTATAAGATGCAATTCACCCAATTGTGTGTCACCCACATGGCTTTGATTATTGTTGTTTTCCAGGCTCATTTGATCATTAGCAATATTCTCACTGGGTTATTCTGGTTTTTGTTACCAGTTGGATTGGTGATTATCAACGACATTTTCGCTTACATCTGTGGTATTGCTTTTGGCAGAACTCAATTGATTGCTATTAGTCCAAAGAAAACTGTGGAAGGCTTTGTTGGTGCTTGGGGCTTCACAATTTTGTCTGGTTTCCTCTTGACAAGAATTTTAGGCGAATATAATTTCTTGGTTTGTCCAGTTGAGGATTTGAGTATCAGTGTCTTTTCTAGTACAGTTTGTGAGCACAACCCAGTGTTCATTCCACAATCTTATAGATTGCCACCGGTTTTGGGAGATTTGATCTCCCAAGACTTCATTGTTTTGAAACCAATTTATTTCCACGCTATTGTTTTGGCAACTTTTGCTTCATTAATTGCGCCATTCGGTGGATTCTTTGCGTCTGGTGTCAAGAGAACCTTCAACATCAAGGATTTCGGGGATACTATTCCAGGGCATGGTGGTATTACTGATAGAATGGATTGTCAATTCTTGATGGGATCATTCTCTTACTTGTATTATGAAACTTTTATTTCCACTCACAGAGTGACTGTCGGATCAGTGTTACAAATGGCCGTTAGTAATTTGAGTACTGCACAAATTATCCAATTGGTTAATGCTTTACAATTATTTTTGCATAACACGGGTGTCATTGATGCAGAGACATACGCCAGTTTATCAGAAACATTGTGAGAAGCAAATTGAAGACACCCTTTTTTCTGCTAGAAGTGGGAATGTGTTGCTTCTTGAAAAAAAATAGTAATAATTAATAATAATAAGGATCAAAATTCCATTCGCTTGATCTGTCATTACCTGTTCCTTTGTCTCATTATTCTTATGGGCTATTAAGCTGTTCTATTAGAGGTTGTGTTTCCTGGTGTATCAACATGTAATTTAATAGTAATTTTTTGATTGTTCTTTTATATATTCTAATCCTATCCTTTTATCATTTTATTCGGTATAGAGCTGTTGCTGAAGGGGGCGTTAGTTAAAACTTCGCTTTCCTTGAAGTTTGTACATCATGTATTCGTGTTCACCATAGCTTGGGACATGCTGGCTGCTGTATAATTATTACATCGCTGTTAAACACCTGCCAATCTGTTTGCTGGTGCATAGGGCTAATTATTTTTCTATGAACTGCGCCCCGTTTTATATCACGGGACTTTCATGCAAACAAAGTGACCGCATAGTTTCTGGCCGGGTGAGGAGCGTCAAGTGGGTGTTGATGGTGAAAAATTAAAACCAAAAATCTTCACATCAGCAGCATATTGTAAGCTTGGAATATTGTACTAATAACATATCAATAATCAAAAATGGGAAGTATGTAATGACAAGGTTGGAAATTATTCATATCAAGAGGAAACAGTGATTCAGAAATGTTAATAATGATAGTGGTAAACTATTTTTATAATTTGGAATATTCAAGCGTTTGACTGAAAAAAAATAATTCGGAACATAGAGACAATAGATTCAACGAAGATGAAGGAGTAGATAAAATATACCATACTTGATGTTAATGGAAGCCACTCAATAATAGATTACAACCTCGCAAAATTTTAAAGGAACAATTCACCAACAATCAACAAAGTTTTATCGTCTTTTGCAATATATCGTTTCAAGTTCAATAAGTTATCAAGATCAGTCAATAATACAAAAGGATCATAGCTACTAGCGGGAACAATAAAGACGTTGTGCATGTGATTTTTTCGACTCTGGAAGTATCTAATTCTTAACAGTGTGTTTGGGGATAGTAAAGGGCTCGTTTCTGATTAACCACTGCAATGAATAAGGATACATTACTGGTACCCACTTAGTTTTGGAAGTCAGCTAGTTAATATTTTCTTGAATCACTGAATTGCAATTTTTAGGAACAATGTGTCAAAAAGTCATGAACATTCACTAACGCATTCTATAGAAGGTACTCCATCTTTCGGTAAAAAGCACAACAAGTCCCACACTTTGTGTAACAGATGTGGCCGTCGTTCTTTCCACATTCAAAAGAAGACCTGTTCTTCTTGTGGGTACCCAGCTGCTAAGATGAGAAAGCACAACTGGGCTGAAAAGGCTAAGAGAAGAAGAACTACTGGTACTGGTCGTATGGCTTACTTGAAGCACGTTTCCAGAAGATTCAAGAACGGTTTCCAAAGTGGTGTTGCTAAGCCAAAGGCTGTCTCTGCTTAAATTAGCCCTCACTTAATGAACCCCCTCTAAAATAATCCCAATAATGAGTATCATTTGAAAAGATAAGATTTTGTGGTATACTCTACGATTTCATTAAAGCTTTTGTATGTTTATAATATTTTAATGTGTTTTCATATATTTCTTTTTCCTTTCAATGATATGAATTGATCTTCCTTTTTATTCGAATTCCGTTGAAGATATCTAGTGTAGTAAAGCCCAACTCCCCAATACATCATGATTTTAGGAATTTCCAATTTCTTGAGAATATTGTAGCATATGTTTGCACACAGTCTCATGTTTTGGCTCGCTCTAGTTTTCAGTTATGATCTTTTGTTTGAAGTTTTCGAAATCCTATCGACGGTTAGTCCAATAAACCGACCTCTTCTTTACATGAGCGATATTTTTCGATGGGGCAAAAGATAAAATCTCTATTATTCTAGAGACTTACAATTGAAGATAGCATTTCACCATGATTGATGCCATAAAGTGTATCACTCTTACCTTTAGGTAGAGGGCATTTTCTTACTGTTGTGGAAGTCCAGTGGTGCAACGAGTACTTTTACTACAACACCATACTACTTTTCACAAAAAAAAAGGAACACATCACATCTCCATGCTTTATCTAATGAGTTAAATTTCACTAAATGTTAAGACTATGTATATATACCGAATTTCATGTTTGGCTGGAATACCTATTGTTCTTGAATGTATGCTTTCTTATTTCTTAATGTTCCGCATGGCTTAGTTAGTCGGCCAGCACCTTTAATTTTCTTGCCACGATGGTTGATTCTTCAAAGAAGCCCTGAATCAGAGAAAAAAAAATTACTCGACCAGCTATAGTGTCTTTTCCTTACTTTCTTTCTTGGCCCAGCGAAATGCTTTCGCACCTCGACTAACTTCCAAGGTTTCCTTGAATGGTGATAAAGACGATAGTTATCTTGGTTTCTTACGGAAAAAACAAACAAGATGGATATGAACAGATAAAATCTTCACTTTTTTTCTGACTCCCCTACACTTCCATAAGAGGTGCGACGACTTGCAATAACTGGTTCACAGTACAGTAATTATAGTAAAGCATTTGAGGATTTGACCTGTATAAACCGTGCTCGTGGTAAGATTAGTCGCCGTCTGCAATTATGCAGGTGGAAGTTGTGAACATGCATACAGACCAGCCCGTCAATTTCCTGGGAATAAAGTTAACCACACCAAATTGGTACTGTCAGCAATCAAACGAGTAAATCGCATCAAAAAATATTTAAGGGGAACAATAATTTAGGTAGCTATTGTACTCACTACATTACGACATATGTCACCAACTGCGGTCTCATTTCGTCTACACAAATGGAAATCTTGAAGCATGAGGAATAAGCCTGGTTTTGACGAACCTATATATATATCGAACGAGATCTTCCTCAAAATCTCAAATTTGATTTTCGGTTAATTGCAGGATAATTTTTTTTTTCTTCTTTTTTTTGCCTCACAACTCAGTGAATTCAGAACATCTTCAGCAAAGGATCTTGTTGTGTCTAGTTATCACTCAATCATTGCGTCTTATATATCCGTCATCACTCCATTAGCAAGCTACTCCTCGCACATTTTTCAAACTAAGTGAAAAACTAAAGGATGTTCAAGAATAGGTACAATCTATTGCTCACAGTACTATCGCTTGTGTCTTTGGTACAGTCAGCTCCTATTTGTGGTGCCAATGATGCTCAAGTGAATCTTGCAAAGAAGGTAAAACGGAAAGTTGTGGAAGTTACGAGGACCGTGGCTACAGTCAGTGCAACCTCCTATTACTATACCACAACACATACAGTTACTGCTCCCTTAGTGGAGGTGGTGATTAGCGGTGATTTGACGTATACTGTGACTTTGACTTCTAATGTTCCAACAGAATCTCAAGGCCAAACGATCACTTCCATCGCTGCTAGCCAGGAATCCATTGCCAGTGGATTGTCAAGTGCTGTACATGCATCATCCTCTAATAATGGAGGTTATGTTAGCTCATGGTCATCTGATAGTTTTTTGATTCCAAGTAATAGTGCTACAGTCGGTGCTTCTACCCCTACTCAATCAATATCTTCCATGCCAACATCCACTTCTACTACAAAGAGTGATACTACTACTTTATCATCAGTTACATCCTCGTCATCATCTTCTGAGTCGTCTACATCATCATCTTCTGAGTCGTATACATCATCATCTTCTGAGTCGTCTACATCTACATCATCGTCATCATCGTCATCCTCCTCCTCTACTTTGAAAATAACCTCAACTACATCTTCTTCAACCTCTTCCTCTTCTTCTTCCTCAAATACATCTTCTTCTGGATCATCCTCAGACTCGACCTCTATCTCAACTGCATCCTCTACTTCTGAGTCAGTGGCATCTACTTTGGATATCTCAGTTACCTCCACTCTAAGCAGCACCTTCTCTAGTGCTGTTTCTACCATCATCCCAACGGCTTTGGCATACTCTCCTTATAATGATGATGGATCGTGTAAAGACTATGATTCTGTTTCTTCTGACCTTCAAAAGATTTCAGATAGAAGTATTCCCGCCATAAGAGTGTACGGTACTGATTGCAATTACTTGGATACCGTTTTACCTATTGCTTCGCTGCTTGGGATAAAGGTTAATCAAGGGTTCTGGTTTTCATCAACCGATCTTGATCCAATCCAAGAATCTGCTGCCGCGTTAATTGCTTATGTCAAAACAACCACAGAGGGTTGGGACTTATTCGAATGTATCACCATTGGTAACGAAGCAATTAATGGTGGGTATATGGAAGCTTCTTCTTTGATGACCATCATCACGGCCATAAAAAAGACTTTACGTAATAGTGGGTACAATGGATTAATCACCACTGCCGAACCCCCAGTGAGTTTTGAAGACAACCCTGAATTATGTTCTGGTGATTTACTTGACTTTGTGGCAATAAATCCTCACTCTTATTTTGATGCCTCCATTGATGCCACTCAGGCAGGTAGCTTTGTGGTTGGTCAGCAAAAGATTGTGGAAGACATTTGCCCCGGCAAGGAAGTCATCATCTCAGAGACTGGCTACCCAAGTTCTGGTGATACTAATGGTTTGAACGTACCAAGTGCTGAAAACCAAAAGGCAGCAATTAAATCCATTTTAGAATGCACCAACGGGGAAGTAACAATTCTAACGATGTACAATGATATGTGGAAATCTCCAGGCTCATATAATATTGAACAATATTTCGGCGTATACGAACTCTTAGATTGATGAGTCAACTATACATATTCTGCCTTATTTGACGCTTTGTCATCTCATTCATTTTATCTTTCGTTGTTATTTTAGTCCCTTACACTGGGATTTGTTTTACTTGGACAGCTTCATGATTTGTTTTAGATTTTTCTGGATATTTTTTTAGTCATTTCATAGTTTTATATTTATTACATGTTTAAAAAATAGATTTATATCTCTACGTAGAAGAAATTTTACATTTTAATAATAACACATATGATTATAATATAGCTAATATACAAATTATTGATGACATTAAAATTCCACCGTCTTGTTGGGAAAAAATTCATCAATTAATCCAAGGTAATAGGGCTCTAGCTCTTCAACTTTATAAACATCTTTTGACTTAGAGTACAAATCATAGGGGTTGAAAGCCTTAACCGCAGCAATCATTTTTTTATCATCTTCATTCATCAAATGTTCATAGCCATTCTCACGATGGATAGGATAGCATGAATGATATCTTATCATGGCAAGCCCCTCTTTAGGTAAAGTTGAATGCAATTTGGCTATATGGTACATATATTCATCATGTCCCCAACTTAACATAACATTATCGAGCCCACAATGAGGTGAATAAATGCCATATTTTGTCTTGTAGATCGGATGGTAAGAATCTGGATTATCTTTGAAAAATTCATGGAAAATGATCCTTTTAGAGAACCCGCATCCAATAGGGAAAGTATCACCTACCACATCCCATTGACCTTTCGCATCGAAAAAGTATAGTAGCTTACCCAAGTCATGAATTAAACCCACCAACTGCATCCATCTTGGCTTTCTATCTCTACGAATTGCTTCTGCCGTTTGTATTGCATGATCGATTTGCGATAATTCTGTGTCTGGGTCACTTTTGTCTATGAGATTATTCAATTTCACCAAAGCATCCCAAATGGTAAGTCTGGCTCGTACCTTGGTTTTGAAGTTTATTCTCGCTTGGATATTATAAGCAAAGGTTTGTTTATGATGTTGTTCCTTGTAAAATGCCTTCACTCTATCACATGCAATGATATAATTTCTAAAACTGGACTTGTCCACATTATTTGATATGGTATCGTTTGCATCCCAGTTTCTTTCGTTGGGGGAAGATGAATCTTCCAACATCACCTGTCTGTTGTTATTGGAATCTTTTAATGGATTTTTGGAGTCCAGCGCCACCTCGTTTTTCAGAGAGTCTAATGGTCCATCCTCTAGCAACGAAGCTCCCTTATTTTCGTTCGATAATGGAGATTTGAAGGATGATGATGGTGGTGCTGGCGAGGGAGCACTTTTGGCCGCAGGATCGGTAGCTTCATTCAAAAGCTTCGATTTTATTGCATTGACTGTCTGGATATCTTCATCTAACTTTTCTAAAATATGGCCCTGGAAGGTATGGATGAGCTTTCCTTCAGCTGAAGTACCACCAGTCATCATTCATTATTGTAAACAATTATAAAGTATACCAATCCGCGATAATAGTGCTGATTTTCCTCTTAATTTTTTTCTTTTGTGATTTTTTTTTTTTATTTTTTTGCAGTTTTTCCTGCACCAGCTACAGGAGCAGAACACCGGGATTCTCCAAAACTATGCTTTTTTTTTTAAAAAAAAAACGGTTCATTGAAATGATTATATGACATTAGCATGATATTGGTATAGCCTTGGATGCGGCGTGGCTCTCTGTTTATTGCACTGCTTTCTATGGTTTTAATCAAAGTCTATTGGTGGGAGCGAATCCTACAGCATGCATATGTGTAATAGAGGCAGCTAATAAGTTGGTAAAAAATACAGCGTTTCCATTCTTTATTCATGCCAATGGCAAAGGGATAGAAAAAAATGAGTAATATCGTCAACAATATTGATGGAGGGCTAATTATTAGTGAGTGCAATTCTACCATTAGACAGTCTAATTTCCATTGTATTCGTAAGAATAAGTTATTTAATAATTATAATTTTCCACTAGAAATATGAAGGTACATAGCATTCCTTGTCTCAGTATTTCATAGTATCTTGAGGCTAATCAATATCATTGGGAATGGATTCATTTTTGATGAAGCCTCTTTAACTTAAAGATTTGTTCACCTGTGAGTAATAACGAGCGTCATAATAATCAGTGAAGGTTTTATGAAATATTCCCAGATTCTTATTTATGTTAGTTACAATTTCAATAAATTTTCAAAAGAAAGTGGATTTGTATCAATATTTCTCTCGTGCCAAAAATGAATAGATATTTTAAATAAGTTATGTGCTTATTTGAATGATGTCTCATTAATTAACCATCCGATGAAATTGATCCCCACTTCCTATTCAAAAAGATATGTACTGGTTTGCTGCAGACATTAATGCATTTATCCACCAATTACAAAAAAAAAAGAAAGTTTATGGTGAATTAAATATATGCTGATGGTTACTGAGTTTATGTTTCTCTTTCGAAAATATGTGCGAATAGCTACATCATGAAATTCACTTTTCAATCTTCGAAGCTACAAGTTAATCTCAAATAGGCTCTACAGCCCAAAAATTACCTCCTATGGCTTTTCAAGACACTATGAGACATGTAAATCGAAATCGTGAAAGTAAGCCAATTTTTAGTTATGGATAGCTTAATACATCCATGGTTCATTAGTGGTTAACCGGAATTATTCCCGCTGGGCTGATCTTCTCCTCACATTATATTATGTCCCACGGCAAGAAAAAAAAAACATTAATAAGCAATGAGTCAAAGGAAGTGTGTCAATACAACAGAATAATTTTTAATAAAGGACGAATAAGGGGAATATTATTATTGATATAATGGACTGTCATATGCAAGTTTCATAGGTTTGGAGCTATGCAAGTCAATCCACAAATAAAGTGATAGTTGATAGCAACAAATTACAGTAGTAACGACAATCTCATAGGTTTATATCATTGGATACTTAATGGTCTAAAAAAGCATAGCCCACAAGGATAAGCAAACAAAACAAATGGCTTTAATGAATTCTATTAAAGTTGTATTGCATGCCTAAAACTCTTAAGTTACGTATTTTATTTAAAATATCAAGGATACGGAACCAGTGATGAAAAAAATAACCATTAGCAGCAACCATGCAATTTCAAAGAAAACATATGAAATTAATAAGTTCAATTGAATAGTAGTTAATAGGAATTGTAGTACTACAAAAAGTGAATGAAGACCATCAATAAATCTCTACTGCATTTTTTTTCGCACTATACAAAGTCTTTCACTTCCAATGTAAGAATAGGAAAGGGTCCCACAACCCTAGTATTCAATACTTCGTTCACCAAAATTTTAGTCCATAAATTGAATAATTTTTGTCTCTTCATCAAATCTTTTTCTTTCAACTTGTTTCCTTTACCCTTCATATCTTGTTCCTGTGCTACTTGTGTGTTTCTACTATAAGTTATGCATGTCAAGGATACATGTTGGGCTTTTTGCAGGCACAAGCTCAAGCACCACAAATCCAAAGGTTCATCAACAAGGTGATACAATATGGCCTTTGTGGCTGATACATAATGGCGACAGACTTGATATCAAAGAAACTGCCAGTATCCGGATGGAGCATCAACTTACATAGTTGCAGGATGGGGGTGCAGACCAGGGGTAAAAAGGGTTTTAGTTATTCTAAGTATGTTACTCTATCCAGATACCTCATTGACGGCCTCCTTCTCTCCTTGAAGCCTATGTGTATTCAGAGGATAGTATTTATACTCAAGACTATGTAGTCTGGATTACCGCATCCGTACCATAATCCAGACACTCCGGAGCCTCCTGGCCGGTCCATCTAGGTCTGCTAATCACCACTGCCATGTGGCACACTACCCTAGTATACTACTCAGTATGCTGACAGAAACCGACGTTTAAAAAATGTGTGATACTTGCATGAAATTCTGGTACTTTGGTGTCAAATCCTGTGAGTTTTGTACATTCTTATGCAGCGTGCGTTGATATTTCTTGTATATAATCCAGTGAATCTCAAATAAGGTTCTAGCTATTGCATGCTTCTTCGGTTTTTTTGGTGTCACTAAAAAGTGCTGATTTTACATGTTCATACATTGATAAATGTCCCAATATAGTAATATATTAGTATAAAAGAGTGTAATACCCTTGAGAAGAATATTCTGGGTTGGCTTTCACCCGGATCATTGAAAGATGTAGCAGTTTAGTTATTAAAAAGTTTCCAAATATTTTAATGATTTCAACTTAAGGAGTATTGCACACTCATGTAGGTGATCTCTAGTAGACTGGCTAGCCATTTTAGATGCTTCTTGTTCTGTTGAAAACTTGAAATTGTCAATAACCCTGATTAGCACAATGCAAAAATCAAAATACAAGTTAGAATTGGCAATAATATTGTTAACAGGTAAACCATCAAACTAACTATGAAGCAAAGTTAACTGACCTGTTTTTTTTTTTTTGGAGCTCAAATTTGAATATATTAATATAAACGGAAAATGGATTTTTTTTTGTCTTTGATGGATAAGGGCTCAACTAGAGTAATATTTCGGGAAAGCTTGTCAAAGATTAAGAGCACATTCATGATTCAGTCTGAGCAAATGCCCAAATGTTTAAGGTTAATGAGAAAAAAAAGTCTTTGATAACTAGTTAATTGTGTATCACTTGCACATCAAGAAGTCATAAATATATAAAAAAAATGAATTCCTTTATAGTTATCGGCACTTTCAGGCCAAGTTGTGGCTTAGGCACATAGATCTATACTTTGCAATATCTGATAATCGAAACCAATAGCACTGCTATACAAACCTTTTTTTTTTATGATGATGCACAGTGAAGCCAGAGCTTTAAGGCACATTGGAAAGCTTCCAAACGAATTGATAACAGAAGTCACCCAAAGATATAAAATTACCTCTGATTCTAATCACAAATGGGAGCGAGTTCCATTTGTTGCTATATATTCCGAAAACCTTCCTATGTTAATAAAAAAAAAAGAGTTTATCTTTTTACCCCACGGACTCCCACATCCGAGGGTCTGTATGACCCGGAAATGGCCCCTAATATAAATATCAAAAGAAATTCTCTATCATTTTCCAATTAATAATCAACTTTCTATATTTTCGTATTAATTTTCTATTTAATAGATTGTGATAACTTGAGCTGCCGCAAATATTATTGAAAGTCTCTAAATATTTGATTATCCTTCTTATTTCAATTTTTTCCTCTCATTAAACAATTTTTCGTATAATCCTGAAATCTTGGATAATTCTTTTCTATCATTTTCAATGGAAATGACTGAAACAATTCATAATACTGCCAATTTTATACACACCAATTCTGGTCAATTGCTTGAACAAATTGATAACGATGTAAAGAACATTAATATCGCTAAAGATCAAAGCAATGCAAATGAAAATCGGTTGCTTGAATCTCAATTCAAAAATAAAAACCTATTCAGAAACTACGATGGGGCCAGTGAAAGAGTAAAGAATTTTTATAAAGAGCAGCATAGGAAGCAAACAGTTGCCTATAATTTGAAGGCAAGATGGAGATTTCATTCCCAATTGAGAGCGAGAATGACAGTTTGGGACGCTTTAATGAAATTGAACACCTTGATTGATCAGTCAGATCCAGATACAGAGTTGTCACAGATTGATCATGCTCTACAAACAGCTGAAGCTATTAGAAAGGATGGTAAGGCAAGATGGATGCAACTAGTGGGGTTGATTCATGACTTAGGCAAGTTGCTCTATTTCTTTGAAGCAGAAGGCCAATGGGATGTTGTTGGTGATACTTTCCCGGTTGGTTGTGCTTTCTCTGAAAAATGTGTTTATCCAGACACTTTCAAAGCCAACCCAGACAATGAAAATCCAACTTATAATACGAAGTACGGAATATATCGACCGGGAATTGGTTTGGATAACGTGATGTTGTGCTGGGGCCATGATGAATACATTTACAAGATCTGTGTCAAACAATCGACAATTCCAAAAGAGGGTTTGGCAATGTTGAGATACCACTCTTGCTACCCAATCCATAGAGAGAATGAGTATCAGTATTTGATGAATGATCATGACAAGAAAATGTTGGAGGCCGTGAAGGCATTTAATCCTTACGATTTATACTCTAAGTCTGATGAGGTTTATGAAATTGATAACATAACAGAATATTATAAAGGCCTCATTACTGAATACTTTCCAAAAGAGATTATTGAATGGTGAATTTATTAATCAGGGTCTCTCTTTCTTTTGCAGGTAGGTGCTGGTGGATTTTTCTTTGATTTGGTTTTTTTTTGTTTTTTTTTTTTGTTTTTTGAATCTTCTTTGCTTTGAATTATATATTCGGTAACAACTATTATTTTTCTTGATACCTACATTTCAAATACTTTATTAGTCTTTATTTTATTGCCATGTCTTCCAAAAGTTCCTCGCTGTATCATAAAGCCCATCACATCCAAGAAGTTGCAATTCTGTCAGGTGAAGCTTGCATAAATGTTGAAAATGAGCTTAACACAAATTCCAAATGGGCTGTTATTGTCGACTTCGCGCGATTATGGCTTGTAGTAGGGTACGATCTATCCGGTCGGTGGTAGCGGCGGATAGTGTGTAAGAATATCGGATTTAAGATAATTCTGGATTAATACAAACAATAACTTAATAAAGTTAACAACGTAGTAAAATATAATAATTGAATAAAATGTTCTCTCTGAAAATAGTAGAGAGATAATAATAGTAGAATAAGTAAAATAAATAGAAAGTACGAAAAGTATGGGTTAGGAGTAATGGTGTTATAGCTATTGACACTCTAGGGTGTGGTTAGCAAAAAGTGTACAAGTACGACTAGTACAGGGCAGGAGTGTCACATGCTGGAAGAAGATAGAGAGGAAAAAAAAAATACCGAAACGCTGCCAAAAAATCTCAGTGAGAGATATATCCGAAGTTTTATTGATGATCCTGACCTTCAAATTATTAGGAATATAACCATGTTAAGAAGAGTAGTCATCAAAAGCCGTCCTCTTTTGAATGGCTCGCAGGCCCAGAAAATGCTGACAACTCGTCTACAGCCCATCAGCATAAGATTTCAAAGATCATTATCCACAACCGACACTGACAAATATCATTCACTATTTAAACAGATCAACAGATCTAGTATCGCAAATGATTTAAATAAGATCTCCGAAAGAGAGTTTGTTAATAATATCCCACTTGAAAAGGTGAGCGAAACTCTAGAAGATTTGGTGATTCGTGGTATCAAGGCCAGCAGGGAGTTACAATTGAAAAATGGGTCAAATGAAGGCGAAGAAGATTCTTTGCAAAAATTCCTACTTGAGAATGACAATGATAAAATAAGGCAGTTGATCATGGCCAATAATGAAAATATTGTGAAGTCGTATCTTCTTACCCAACCCCTTCCCGATGCAAAGCGGGTATACCGTTTGATTACCGGGATCAATGAGATGACCAGAGTGAATTCTACAAAACAAAGTGATAGAATGTTGGTTAGTGAGAATTCTGTGAAGGTGGCGACCCGTGTGATTTTGAATAACACTAAACTGAGTCCCGTGGAGAGTTTCCAAGTCGCTGTGAATTTAATCGATGAGACGGTGGGTGGTAAGAAATATGTCAATACTCTTAAGCACAATGTGTTTAGCAAATATATTCCCCGCTACATTGGTGGTTTCATCGGGGTGGAATTGGCGACAACTACGTTATTTGATTCATTTTTCACGGGGCTTTCAGGGCTCACCGATAGCCCATCGATGAAGATTTCGTATATGCTTGGTAGTTACTTATTCAATGTGAGTTTCTTGGGGGTGCTTGCCACTTTGGGTTTGTACAATAATAAGACCACCAGAATTAAATGGGGCCCTGGGGCCAATTTGTGGCATAAATTCTTGCACCATAAGGAATTATCCATGTACGATAGAGTCTTCATTCAATACGAAGAACTTTATGATTTGAACATGGACAACTTTTATTTGATCGGCGGCAATCGTATCAAGAGTCCTGAAGCTATTATAGAGCCAATAAATCAGTCGTTACAAGATTATTCTGGTGAGAATAACGAAGTGAAAACTACCAAAGAAGTGCTAACTTTTGATGACGAATCAATCATTGATGATAGTCACAAGAACCAACATATTCTTGAGGAAAAGGCTAAATTACTTCGCTTCTTCAGAGACAGGTTTGCCAGAAAGAAGATGAAGATTGATGACTTTACTGAACAAGAATTATTGTTCCAAGAATATTGGGTCACCAATGGTGAGAAATTCGAATGGGTAGAACCTGATCAGGATCCTGCTGAGATCAAGATTTTACAAAAATATCATGTTAATAGATGAAGGCTTTACTTATATATATATATAGAGAGAGAGATTGCAAATAAATATCCAACAACTAGATGGCTGATCGTGTGTAAATTTTGTGTACCATATGTGTGGGTCAAAGCCGCAGAGTTTTTTTTTTACAGCTGACAAATTCCATCTCATCTCTCTATCTATGGATATGAATATAATCACAACATCAATAAATAACACATCGAACATGAGCGAGCTTGAAGCACCGAAATCCTTAGCTCATATCAAGCATATTGTGCTAGTTCTTTCTGGTAAAGGCGGGGTAGGGAAATCATCAGTAACGACACAGCTTGCCCTCAGTTTGGTGATCAAAGGGTTCAAAGTTGGGGTGCTAGATATTGATTTGACTGGGCCGTCGATACCGAGAATGTTTGGTCTCGAAGGCAAGCTGATGTTCCAATCTGAAAGAGGATGGATCCCTGTATATGTTGACAATGATGAACGACTATCTGTGGTATCCCTAGGATTCTTGATTGGTGATAGAGGCAGCAGTGTGGCGTGGCGTGGGCCAAAAAAGACCTCGATGATTAATCAATTCATTTCCAATGTGATCTGGCCCAAAGATTTGGATTATTTGATCATTGATACCCCGCCAGGCACTTCAGATGAACATATTTCCATTGCTGAGCAATTGCGATTAGCGAACCCTGACGGTGCGGTGTTGGTCACCACTCCTCAAGCGGTTTCTGTCAATGATGTCAAAAAAGAGATGAACTTTTGTCATAAAGTCCGATTCAAGATTTTGGGAATTGTGGAGAATATGAGTGGGTTTATTTGTCCTTATTGTGCGGAATGCACAAACATTTTCAGTTCTGGGGGCGGGAAAATATTAGCGGATCAACACCAGATAAACTATTTGGGGAATCTACCGATAGACCCAACTTTTGTGGAAATGATCGAGAATAATAATATGGATAGCAAAAATGAGTTGCCGGAGCTTGAAAGATTGTCAATATCTGATAAGCAGCTGGATAAGGACCGGGAGGAGAAAAACCAGGAAAAGAAACATAAAGAAAGCTTAGTTGACCAATATAAGGAAAGCTCGATAAAGCCAGTTTTTGAGATTATAGTTGATAATATTTTGCTGCAAGGAATACCTTCAAGAGTTTAGAAGTACAATGAGAAATATAAAATATTATCGAAATGAAGGATGAGCTTTTATTAAAATTTGTAAGAAAACGTTGCATGAAAATGGCACAAAAAAAAAAAAGAAAATAACAGAATGTAAAAGCTTGGTTCTTGTACAAATACAGTGGTTAAACAAGTAGTAACAAGAACAGAAAAAAATTAAGCAAAAAGGAATTGAACACACAAAAAAAAGAGCAGCGACATAATATAGAGAGCTAAGAATATGAATCATAATAATTGGACAATGCTACCAGTGCAATACTCGCTTAATCCCAACTCATTATCTTGATCAGCATAGTAGGCAACTACTTTGTCAATGACTTTCTCAGCGCTCGAATCATCATTAACACAGTAAGAGTAGGTTACGTCTTGTTGCTGGGCCTTCAATTTGGTCAACTTCTTGTTTATCTGCAAATTTTGGGCTTTGACATCACACGAGATCGTACCATTGACGGTAATTTTATGAACTTTGGAATCATCCACCACTGGATTAACTCTGGTGTAACAGTGCATGGTATCATAATTTTCCTTGGTCCAGATCTTGAAGTACTCGACTGACCCAATTACCACTACCACAGATAACAAACTGATCACAATATTCTTGGTTCTGTTGACCATTTTGATTCCTTGCCTTTATTATTCTCAATATTATTATTATTATTCCTTGAAGGATATTTGTGCCTGGTTGTGGTCTAAGGGGGACTTTAGCCACTGGAAAAAAAAAATCCCATTTTTTCTTGGAATCCCTCAACTCCCTTACGTAATCTCCAAATAAGACGCACGTCGTGCTTTTTTATTTTTATTTTTTGATGTATATGATCAATCATACTCCAGCGTCGTTGTCTCGAGGGAAGATATTGCAAAATAGGAAGAAAACCATAACATATTAATAGTAACTATGGCAAGGACTAGCGGAAAGCGCGCGTACGAGGACGACCAAGGCGAAGAGTACCATGACTACGACGGCGAGGCAAGATCAGAAGAAACGACTCCCTCAGCTCCCCCAAATGTTCAGAATATGGCCTACAAAATGGTACGAGGGGTGTTTGCTTTAGAATTTAGAAAAAATATCATCAACAAGAACCAGCTACAGAAAGTGGTCTGGGAGAACGAGTCGTACAGGGAAGTTAAATTCGATAAAGTCTTTGAGTTGTGCCAACAGTCCTTGGAAACGATTTACGGGTTCAAATTGGTGGAACTCCCTCAAAAAGAAATCGATATTGGTAAACGCAAGCTCGCGGGGAATAATAACAGCAATGCTAATGAATCAAAGAAAAGTTCTGGGGTAAAAGCTTGGATTTTGGTGTCGGTACTTTCAGAGGATGCGAAAAAATTATTGGGACAATTTTGGGAAAAAGCATCGATCAAATATTTCAAACAAGTTGATTCTTTGGGCTCGATAAGTGAAAATAAAAACTTACCATTGAACGAATCGACATTGTGCAATAATGCGTTGACAATGATTGTTATCGCATGTGTTGCCTTGAGTTCAAATAATATGAATAAGGTTGAATTGTTGAAGTATTTGAAACATCATTTTGACATATCTTTGACCTCAACTATCCCAAATATTTCGCATAACAACGAGAAAGTCAATTTGGAAGATTTTTTGAAAATGATGGAGAAAACTGAATACCTTAGTAAGAAAGTTGAACATAATGAGGAACACGAATTGATCGAATATTCGCTAGGAAGAAGAGCAAAAGTGGAATTTCCAAAAGAGAGTTTATGCCAATTTGTTCAAAAAATGTACAATTACGAACAAGATGATGAGAAAAATGAACAGCTAAGGAACCAGGTGGAGCTATCTGTTGGCCAGGCTTATACTTGATATACTTGAGTAAAGAGACTGTTCAATATTCATTGATTTTTTTTTAGAGATTCGTGTTAATGTTATTTCATTATCACCCCTTTTTTTATCGCTTATAAAACTATGTTAACTCGTTGATGGTTATTCCATATTTAAGGTCTAGATAAATTCAATTCTATTAAGTGTAAGATATCGCGAGTGTTCGATATCTAATGATGCATGCAGGAAAAATAAAAAAAAATAAATAAACTAAAATATGAAGCAGGTGTAGAAAAAATTGATGATAATAATAATAATGATAAATTAATCGTTCTAGTAATGGCTTGTTTTCTTTGAAACAACGAATTGAAAAGTGCACAGCACAAAAAGTCCCGGGATTTTGTCAACTTGGACGTTCCGTTCTTTGCTTTTTTTCCCTCCATCTCTCATTTCTTTTTTTTTTTCTTGTTTATCTAATCTATATAAATTAAGTTAACTTCATTCTATAAAAATAATCTCAAAAATAGTCAGTAAATCCAAAAAAAGATGGAAAAGAAGAACCTGTAAACGGAAGAGGCTGGGATGTGAATATCACAAGAAAAATAAAAAATAACAAATTAGGAAGTGGAAAATACTGGTGGGATGACACACGGTAAAATAAAATAAGTCAAGTATATAGCATCAATATTCTGTCATCCATGAAGTTCAGTAAGAAAAGTTTTGCTCCTCAGTGAACCCAAATAGAACACTAACCCTCCAAAAAACTAGTGTTTAAGCTATAATTTGTAATCTTTAGATTATACCATGATTGAAACCATCAGAAACGGCAAACAGAAAAAAAAAAAAAAAAGAAAGGCATAAATGTTTTGTCTTCAATCAATTAGTTTTTCTTTTTTTCTCCCCTGGCTTTGTCACCATTTCTGAACTAGTTGATCTCCTTTTAGCCCCCTGGAGGCGCAGATATTGATTTTCCACATAAGAGCGCCAATCAGGCTCTTCAATGTCAGAGAGGTAATCATCATGAAATGAACTACTTCTGGCTTTCAAAGAACGTCTACTTAAAGTCTTCTTCTTATCATCCAGCAGGGAGCTAGCAGTTCCTAATTTTTTGTGGACTGGCAGGGCAGCTATAATCTTGTTGACTTCTTTAAGTTGTCGGCTGGCAGTTTTGCCTGTCAATTTTGACTGTGAGGTTTGGGATGTTTTTGAAATTGTTGTGTCCTCAGATGTTGATAATTTTGATGTAGAAGAAAGTGGAACTGACGGGAACAGTCTTTTGGATTTCAAAATTAGAGGTTTCACAGAAGCTTCATCTTTAACTTTCTTGGAGTCCAATTTATCAGCTTTTTCTTTCAATGGTGTAGTTGACATCTTCTCTGCTAGAAGTTCTGTTGATTTTTCACTCAATCTCTTGATGCCACTCGTAGACTCTTTGTCTTCCCTTTCAAGAGAAGGGTCCTTGTTATTTGAATCGTTGTCATCGCCATTTGCAATCATATCCACGCCATTCTTTTCCAAATGTGCACTTTCATCCTTTGTCGAGTCTTCCCCAAAAAGGCTATCAAATTTTGTCTCATCCTCTTCACTATCAATATCCATCTTTGGTGTTGTGATCTTATCACCTTGAGTTTCAGAAGAATTGACTGATGGTGCTTCATGGGCACAACCATTTGACTGCTTCTCTTCAGATTTACGAGGAATTTGACGATGTATTGATGGCGGCGAGGATCTTTTGTTTTCAAGGGGACTTTTTGGCTTTAGGCTCTTTTGAGGAGTCTTCGGCTTCAAAGTAGAATGGCTATTGCTTGGTTGCTCGTGTCCTTGCAAGGCATGCTTATTGATTTCTGTTTTCGATGCGGTGGTAGGTTTCAGTTTGCCATGAACAAGCTTCTCCTTTATGTGTACAGGGTCCTTCGATATCAGAATTAATTGATCAGTTGGCTTTTGAAGTTTACTAGCCATTAAGGCCGCGGGCGTTTTTGGTGGCAATCTTGAGCTAGGTTGCAGCGGCTTCAATGCTCGCGATTTAGACGCAAACAATGCAACCGATTGTAATGGAACGGTGGGTTTTTTTGGGAGATTCGACATAGCGGCAGACGGCTTGAAAGATTCTTTTGGATGTTCCTGTTTGTTTGGATTTCTTGACCAGTTCGATTGCTTTCGTTCGTTTTGACCTTCATTCTGATCATCCTTGAACCCGCGTTCCTCTGATTCATTGCCTTTGTGAATGCTCTTATTCATATTTGTCCTAGACATGTTAGAGCCATACCCTCCTCGACTTTGATGAAGCGACCCATGATTACTGGTGTTATTGTGATATCTCCCATAGCCATTTTCGTTTGGATATTTGTCAGAGAAGCCCTGTTGTTGAGTGGCCTTTGCCCTCTCTCTTCTGTCTTTTTCTTCATTGAATTTCTTATTATCCATTTCATGAGAAGCTTCAAACTCTGGTAAATCACTTGGTTTGTGTGCATAAGGAGAGGTTGAAAAATACTGATGCTTCAATGCCTGTTCTGCATTGAGTCGGTTCATTGGATTGATACATAGTAATTTTTGCAATAAATCAATTCCTTGTTCATGATCACTGTCACTGTGTTGGAAATACTGTCCGAATCGACTCCTCAAAGTTGGATTATAGTGAGTGATTTCTGCCTTCATTGGGTTTTTCAATTTGACAAATTCTGGATAATTCTGTTCCGTTGGCTCACCAATCAACTTGAAGATCTTGTAAAGTTGATCCAAATCAGACTTACCTTTTAAAATCGGTGTATGCTCAAAGAATTCGGCAAAAATACAACCTACTCCCCACATATCGATTGCGGTGGTATAACGGCTATCTCCCAATAATAACTCAGGAGCTCTGTACCATCTAGTGACCACTAAAGGGGTATACAGGGCTCTGACTTCGGAAGGTCCACCTTGCGACCTTGGGGCATGACCGTAGTATTTTCTCGCTAGCCCAAAATCGGCAATCTTTAGCACATTATTATGGTCTACCAAGAGATTTGCGGTCTTGATATCTCTGTGATAGTACCCTTGTTTGTGTAGATAATCTAGACCTTCCAAAAGTTGGTACATTAAACACTTTATCGAAGGAACATCGAATTCGATATCTGGATTGTGCAATAAACCCGACAAATCGGACTTCATGTAAGGACTGACCAAGAAGAAACTACAATATTGGTGCTTGATGCCACAGATTTTGCTCATTTCCGAAAACTTTTCTTCTTTGTTGGCCACAACATCTAGTAGTGGCAAAATGTTTTTATGCTTCAAGCGCTTCAAGATTGTGATTTCTCTGAACGCGGTAATGGGGAAACCGATCTTTTGGTCATGAATATTGATTTTTTTAAGGGCCACAAGCTTTCCCTTGCCTTTCGGACTGCCTCGGTCATCGAACTCTGTCATTTTGCACTTAGAGACGGTCCCAAAAGTCCCTTCACCCAACTTATCCAAGTGTTGGTAGTTCCCCATGGCAGACACCCCGAAGAACGGGATATTGTAGACAGAATTCTCTCTAGGGAAAAGCTTGGTGGTATCTGAAGAAGAGAAGCCCATATTGGTGAAATGTCATATACGATTTCTCACACACGGCCAGTCAGATGGGATAAGTTTCATTCAGCCAATCTGACGGATGTCGCAGCCCAAAAAAAAAAAAAAAAATCAAAAATCAAAAAAAAATCGCAGGGGGGAGGGCGGGTAGTTACCCAGGCTGAAGTAAATGTCAAATATTTTATTATGGTTATTAGCCTTTCTCTGGTCTTTCTCTGTATATGTCTAGATATACTCGTAAAGGGATCCTGACAGAAACCGTTATTATCGCCATCACAATAATCTGCCAGTAACCGTCTTAGTTATTACCGACAAAAATATATCTTTTGCACCTCCGTCTTTCTTTTTTTGCCTCTCTTCATACAGCTCTACAAATGTTGATTATGAGTAGCTGGTTCTTCAAGACCTCCAATGGGAACACACCGTCTACAAAGCCAAAACCTCCCCTTCGAAGACAGGCAGCACCGAAATTCACTCTAAAGGATGTTTCTAACCACAAAACTCAGGACGATCTATGGATGGTGATCCATAATCGAGTGTACGATGTCACCCCGTTTATCTCACGGCATCCAGGAGGGGTTGAAGTACTAATAGACTGCGCGGGGGTCGATGCCACGGAATATTTTGAAGACGTGGGTCATTCAGAGGACTCTAAGATGATGTTGAGACCATTATACAAGGGCGAATTGGTCGACAGCGATCGAGTAGCCGCGAATGAAGAACCAGAGATTATTCAAAAAGATAATGCAGACCACCACCACCAAAATAACAATAATAACAACCATAACAACAATAGTACTGTGAACCACCAGTATATGTGGAGCTACGGGGGAATGGCTCTAAGGATGCTACAGAATGCCATAAATATTCGATCGACAAAAGAAGAAGAGGAGAAAATACGACGGGTGTTACACAGCGGAGGGTACGTCAACAGTGTTCACCACCGGACAGAGAAGAAGCGCAAAAAGAAAAGAAACAGAAGGAAGACGTTCTTTTTAAGAGAAAAAACCTCGTTCTTGCTACTACTGATTGCCCTATTATCGGCGTTGGTGTTTCTCTATCTCCAACAACGAAAATGGCGATGATAGTATCGTGACATAGAAAAAAACAACCAAAAAACACAAATTGAATAAAATATTTTTTATTGCTGCCATTCAAACCTTTTGTAGATCGACTATCTTGAAAAAAAAAAAAGAACCTCTTTTACCATGACACAAGCTAAACCACTCCACTATGAAGAAGGCAATATTAAACGATTGAATAAAGAAGTATGTGATTATCAGTGGCCGTTTTTTTTTTTTTTTTATATCTCTCCTTATTATTATAATGTTTTACTGACATAAACAGATCTCCACCGCCCTATTTATAGGAGGAGTCAAAGGTCTAGTATTTGGATTGGGATCATTCTTCGCAGTGTCAATGGCATACCCTAGTTTCAGAAGATCCAGGCTCCCAGTGAAGGCGTTTTGGTTTGTGTGCTGGATTGGTGCGGGCGCTGTCTTTGATGCCGATAAGCAAGTGGTGGTTTATTCGACCAAATACAAGATCGAAAAGGAGAGACGAGATCAAATGATCTTGGAGCAAGCAGCAGACAATGGTGAATATATAGATTCTCTATGAATGCTTCAGGCGGATTCTAATCTGCTGCTACCCCAACGTATATTTATATATTCATCTGCGCAAACCCCATTTCTTAATGAGACAACCTACATTATAACGTAACTAACCGTATTGTACTCCCAATACATATCGACTAACTTCTAAAATAATATATGAACAAGACGCTAATACCAAAAAAAAAAAAACAACATATACAACGGGGGAAAAAAAAGCAAGCGCAAGCAAAAAAATAAAATAAAATATAAATAAACAAATAAATAAAACCAACCCTCAACAAACACACATTTTAAAAGCTAAACTTGGATTTAATCATCGATTTCATCATATTGTTTTTGGTATCCTCCACGGTTTCATTATACTGCTCAGCAATATTATTACCAGCTTCATTGAACCGGTCTTCAATTCCTTTATAGGTATTGTTGAGGGACCTTTGAAGATTACTCATATCAAATCCCCAACCTTTATTATTACCAGCACTCAGATTACTACTAGAGGTATAAGATCTTGAAGGACCCCCACCATAAGGATCTGAAGATGGCCCAGGATTACTGTCATTGCTACTACCATTGACTCCTCCAATCATCGTTTGTAGAGCACTATTCGCCATAGAATTCTCAGCTAATCCGGCCTCTTTAGGATACTTAGTTCTAGGTCTTCTTTCCCCTTCAAACACCATCAATAAATCATCAAGGGTAGTAACTTTGGAACCTCTTGCCCATTGTAAAGAATTAAATGTAGGTCTTTGAGGGATCTTCAACTCGAAATTGAACAATAAATCACTATCAGCTTCAGCACCACCTCTAACTGATCCACTTCTGGTTATGTGAACCAATGAGCCCTCGGTTTTATCATTTCTGATCAAAATATCCCCATTCAACAACACTGTGCTTTGGGTGGCAAAAGCTCTGTTAAGACGGCAATTGAGAGCCAAAGTAGTAATTTCGTTCAAACTTGGAATCGACAAGAATTTAACTTGGCCATTCTCAAATAAAACCGACATCACTGTAACCTCTCCTGATGATATTGACATATCATTAACTGGACGAACCCTGCAAATATCAGCAGTAACAATTTCACCACTATTCGAATTTTGGAAATTAACATTGGCGGATTTATGAGTAGGTGACTTGAACAATCTAATCCCAAATGAAGACACCGTTAAAATCAACCCCTTGATTAAAACTCCCGATCCCAACTGTGCGAATTCCTGAGTTTTGGCTACCGCAGAAGCACCATTATCAGCATTGATTGGGATAATGTTGCGAATCTTTGAGTTATCGGCATCCACACAACTCAAAAACTTGATTTGGAATCTCGATCTAGAATTTGGCGACGAGCCCGGCACAATCTGGAAGGTGATTAAATTTCCTACCGAAGTACCCAAAAACATTAAGATGGAAGAATATTTAGCATCTTCACTGCCTTTCATGATACCGAACTCTATAGATGTAACGTACGACAAGCTTCCTGTTGATTTTCTTTTACTGGATATTTTGTTGATATTCTCCATGAAAATGATATCAGAAACCCTTCTATCAACAACCATGATTTGACCATCATTATACGCAATCGCTGCGAACTCTATATTGGAATTTTTAAGAGCGGTAACCGTCAACTTCGGGCCGTCGCCATTCCTTGGTGCCCTAATCATTATGATTGGCAAAAATCCTTTGTGAATGTAGGCTGGAATATTATTTTCCACATTAACAATCAATGAATGCGAGTTACTTGGGGCGTTCTTCTTTTTCAATTTCATTGTCAAGCTTGAATCAAGATCGTAATCATTCCGGGTGATATTCGGATCATATAACCTGTTATTACCAAACTTATACAAAATGGTATCACCATCATCATTACTGATAATTAAATCGGTGGTGTGACCTGAGAATGAAACTTTGTTAACTGGAGATGGATTGCTTGCTTGTCCAAGCCCAAACGATGTGTCAATTTCAATAACACTTATTTCATCCAATTCTGATCTTGAACCGTCCCACAATTTCACTGTACCATCAGAATGACCAGATATAATCACACTTCTACCTTCCGTGAATACTCTTTGCTTCACAGTTGAGGCAGCTCCACCTGTCAAGATTGTTTCATCATAAAAATCCAGAGCTCCATTCTGACGAGCAATCTTTTTTTTTCTTTCTGATTCCAAAGTTTGCAAGATTCCCATCCATTGAGTTCGCGGAGCAATGATTGCTGACAAACATGTCAACTCAGGATGAACCCAGGACAACGAAGGAGGTAAAATGGACGAGCTGTGGATCAGATTACCATATGGATATCTCAACACTTCCATGATCCCATTTTCCAATAACACAAAGATAACATTGGGGTTATGGTTTCCTGCAAAGAATGGTGAACTAGCAGGCAAGGGCAAAAAGCTTCTAATGGAGCTTTTTTGGCTAATTGGGAAAATTTTTAAATTTTTTGGGTTAGAATAAAATTCCGACATCTTTTCATATGATGTGATCGAGTACTTTGGAGTGGTGCCAAAATCAATTCTGGTTAAGTTAAGATTAGTTTCTCTTTCATTAGGGTTATTCGATTTGATGGAATCCCCACCAGCAATCAACAACGAAGTGTTTTCAGGATTAGCTTCGCAAACCCACTCAATTTGAGTGATTTTATTATATCTCATTGGTTGAACCATTTTCACATTATTAAACAACCCGCTTTGTGGTTTGTCGACATCGGTGTCGAATAAAGTTCTGGCTTGGATCAAAGTACCATTATTAGTATCCCAAAAAACTAAGGAGCCGTCTTCGTGGCATGTCAAGATATTCAAACCATTAGGATGGAAAAGGGCTTTCACGACATCTGGTTGGCGAGAGGTTTCCACATTTGTTAAGTCGCCACCTGGGGCTCCTGGGGGAACTTCATAATCGAACTCTTTTTTGATCTTCCGCTCAGTCACCGAATATAACACCACGGTTTTGGAATATGCAATCAATAATACTCCAATATCTCTTGGATGGACCTGTAATGATCTGATAGAGTTGTCAATCCTTGTGGGATCGATATGTGGGGTAGCGCTATGATTCCAAGACTTTCTAATGACGTGAGTTTTTTGCAAGTTGGTGATTTTGTGGGGAGTCAAATACCCTTTTACCACGTCGTAAATCATAATCACTCCAGTATCCAAACCAAGGTAGATGAAATCCAATGATGGATCACTTTCCACAATTGAGACATTGCCAGGAACTTTGCATTCGGTCAATGACTGCTTGGATTCCAACGAGTAAACTTGCAAGATCGAGCTTGCGGTGACCGCAACCAAAAACACATTCTTGATAAACTTCAAATACAAGACTGGTTCAGGTCTGCTGGTCTTGAAAACAATCTCCACACCTTTCTGACCAAACACATACACTTCTCCCTGGTTATTCCCCAATGCTAATAACGATTGCACCGGGTCAAACCCCATAGAAATAACGGTTCCAGATATCCCATAGTGCGACACCGGGGAAATTTGGAAATCTTGAGGGGTCAAACCGCTAGAGAAGTCTGACAACGTTGCCGACTTGATGTTGTTGGAGATCGATTTCAACTTATGCTTGGACTTGTACATTGTGATCTCTATAGTTATTTGCTTACCTTTACCCCGTAATTTTTAACGTAACGCCTGCCATTTGGAAAATGCTGCGACACATGAAAATGGGAGGCGAAGACATTTTGTCACATGACAACGCGTCACATGTCAAAACATAAACACGAAATTTTATAGAAAAGTAAACATGTAGAAAATGTAAACAAGGCAGATCATTATTATAGAGATTCTGTTGAAATAGAATACCACCGTCAGTTATGTCGAGATCCACGTCCAATTTTGGAAGAAGTATAGGCTCTTCCTCCTCTTCCATCCACCGCCGAAACCAAAACCAACACGCCAATGACTTCTTTCCGTTACTTTCATTCAAAGAAATTGCGGTTTGTTTGGAAAGTTGTAACATCAACGTTACCGAAGAAAATCTTTCTAGACCAACCTCTCAATTCACCCAGCATTTATTTAATGATTTGATACCTCCAGAGTTTTTATCAACAAAGTTGAACAAAAAACTCGAAAAGTTTCGTGAGCAGACCAATCTTGGAGATGAATTCAATGATGTTTCCCAATCTTTACCAATCATCGCGTTACAAAGAGAATTATACGAGTTCATGAAAGTTTGCGGGATTTCCGATTTTAATTTCCTTGACATTTACAAACCAGATTCTTATAGATTAAGCCGGATCTTGAGTGCGATTGTCAACTTTGCGCGATTCAAATACGAACGCTCGAATGACTATCAAGAATTAATCGATGTTAGTGAGCAATTTTTGATCAAAAGAAATCAATTGATTGATGAAAATACCCAATTAATGCGCAATATCGAAACTATAGAAAACAAGCACCAAAATAAATCTAAAGAAAAAATCAGTGAAATCAACGATTATCAAGCGAAGATTCAGCGGGATTTGAAAGAATTGAAATCGATTCAGGATAAATTATCGCAAGAGCATTTGAATTACAAACAAAAGCGGAATGAATTAATCGGGGAGATCGAGTTGCAAAATGAAAACATCATTAATACTACAAGAGAAAACGATGAGATTGATGCGTTAATAAACAAAATTGATTTGAAGAACCCGGAAAACACTAAGAATGAGATCAACGATCTTAAAAAAGAGTTGGCAAATTTGAAGATCAAATTAACTAATATAGAAGATAAAGATCGCAAGATCCAAGTGACAATTGACTCCATCAAGTTGATCGGGAATGATATTGAAAGTTTAATCAATTTGAAGAAGAACATCAAGAATGAGTTGAGAACCTCTAATGAACAACAATTGAAGTTAACAAAGTATAATGATGCTAAGGACTACAAAAACTCGGAATTGATCAATTTGAATAAGAAAATTCAACAAGTGCAACAACAGATTGATAATGTGAATGAGAAAATAGCAAGATATTCGAATCAAAGGCAAGAGAAAATGATCAAAAACACAGATAAAATGAAAGCTTTGCAAGAAGAATACACAAAATTAATGTTGGAAAAGAAAAACAAAGATAAAGAAGTTAATGAAAAGCACGCCAAATTGAGAGAATTGACGTTAAAGACTAAAAAATTGGTTGATGATTTCGAAGAAGAATTGAATGATACTCAATATCAAGTTAGACTATTATGGCAGCACATTGAAGTTTATATGAAAAAGATGGAGATGGAGTTGGCCCATAATGTCTTTGAGTGATTTATCTGCTGGAGGTTTGTGTGCGCTTTCCTTTTCCCTTGATTAGAAATTTCCTTGTATTTTAGCTCGTCTTCATTTTCTTTTGCTTAAAGATTTCATCGCATTTTGGCTCCCTTTCTTTCTTTTGTATTATTTGGCGTTTGTTTTTGCATAATTTTATACATAAAAAAAAAAAAGAAAATTAACATTTATTTTTTGATCTTAATATTTGTATCATAATACAGAGCTCGATGTTATTTTTAGACCATTTTTCAAATTATGATTATGACTGAAAATAATTGTTCGTAAATTGAGGTTTATAATTTTTAATGTGACATGGCGAGAAGAAAGAAAAAAAAAACAGGTTGAAATATTAATACTGAAAATCATGAAGCTAACTAAGAAAAAAAAAAACGAGAAAAAGAAATCAATGAAAATGAATGCCTGATGAATATATATAATATATATATATATGATAAAATTCAAACATAACCCCAAGGATTTGCGATTATGCTCTAATTAATAGTGTTGAAACTAACAAAAAAAAAAACCAACTCATTCTAAACCCATACTATAAAATCGAAACTGATATCATAAACTTTCGATTAAAAAAAGACAAATTGTATAACGTATTCTAAAAAAGATACAACAATCTTTTTGAGAAGAGAAACAATTAAAAAAGAAAGAAAGAAAGAAAAGCAAGCAATCCAAGAAGAATTTGCCAATAATTGAAGGTAGATTGAACTATCAACAAAGTAAAATGGAATAGTGATTATTCCTCTCAACTTGATTTCAGTAAATTCAATTCTAACGTCTACCCAATAATCCCAAAAATTCTTCTCTTGTTTTTTGCTGAGTTCTAAAGCATCCCAACATGCAACTGGTGACTGTTGAACTACCAGTTTTTTGAACTCCTCTGCTAACCATACACATGTGAGCACATTCAATCACCACTGCCACACCCATTGGTTTCAAAATATCCGATAAACACATTGCAATTTGCTTGGTCAATCTTTCTTGGACTTGGAATCTTCTACTGTACATCTCGGCCAATCTTGCCAATTTGGACAATCCCAACACTTTTTTATTTGGAATGTACCCAATGTGACACTTACCAAAGAATGGCACCAAGTGATGTTCGCATAATGAGTAGATTTCAATGTCTCTAACAATCACCATTTCGTCATGGTCTTCTTCGAACACCGCTCTTTTAATAACATCTCTAATGTTGTCTTGGTAACCTTTAGTGAAATATAACATGGCTCTGGCGTAACGTTCAGGAGTTTCCAATAATCCTTCTCTGGTGACGTCTTCCCCCAATTCTGTGAGGATGGTCTTGACCGCTTCGGCGATTCTGAGCTCACGTTGGGTGTTTTCTTCTTCGGATTCGGCAATTCTGGCATGTGCCCCAACCGATGGCCAGGATAACCCATCGCTGTCGACAGGAGGGTTAAGAGTGTAAGGAGAGGCCGGTCTGGTTGCCAAAGGAGATTGTAAAAATCTGGTATCCACTTGGCCTTGGGACTTTGGTGAGTTATTGTAATCACCAGTAGATGATGAAGAAGATGCTTGATGTGAATGTCCATTAATGGAGGCCTTTGCTGAAGCAGCATATCCCAGACCGAAAGGGATATTATCGACAATCTTATGGTCTTGGGAAACCACTTCTTTTGAGGAAGGGTCTTCGGATATTGACAAATTCTTCATTGACTCATTTGCCGAGAAACTGGTGTACGAAGAAGAAGTAGAAGTTGAAGGTTGCTTTTGGTTGTTAGAACTCATTGCAAATTTGGAGGTTAATACCAAGAGGATAGTTAATTAACGTGTGTATGAGAGGGTGGGTATATACTGGTAATTCTTCTAATTTTTTTTTTTTTTTTTCCACTGCCCAGAAAGAAGATGCGATCTTGGAAAGGGAGGTGGAAGATGATGATAATTATCGTGATGAGCACGAAGAAAATTTCCACCGAAAGAAAAAAAAAGAAAAAAACGTTTTTAGATCTTGTGACATGTGCATTACACTGCATGAGACTGCATGAACACATGCATACTCCAACACTGCGGCAGGCCGTTTTTTTTTTTTTTTTTAATGCGCGGGGGGTTGTCCAGCCACTCATCTGCTCGCACAGTTACTGGGGATGATTACACTATCCTATTGTTCTCTTTGTTGCTGTGGTTGTCATCGTCATGGACGTTGTTTCAATTGTACGCATCACAGCCATAACTGTACCTGTATGCTGTTGTTATCCACAGAGATACCTTCGGTTGCAGTAATCTTAACCAAGATGGGAATATTATGCTTTCCTTTCTTTCTTTTTTTTTTTTTTTTTTTTCCAGCATTATCGATCCTTGAAATGAAAAAGAAACCATAAATAAAACTCTCAACAACATCAAAAGGAGAAAAGAAAAGAAAGAAAAGGTTTGGTACGATTTTTTTTATTTGTTTGCCGATAATCTTATCTTTTTTTCTTCTCTCTATTGCGTGCCATTTGTGGTTTTCCCATTCATTTGCGGTTCGAACACTCTTTACATCTTCAAATTGCCCCCCGTCCCGAACATCTATTGAGAATCAGACTTTTTTAATATTGCCATGAGGAACTTCCTAGTGTTGCGAGAAAACCAGGACGTGACCTATCTAAAGAATCATGATGTTGTTCCCATGCCAATATCTAGAAGAATATGGGGGTTCTGGACTTTCTTATCTTTCTATTCAATTGGTAATGTTTCTGTGGCAACTTGGTCTGCTGGATCTTCTTTGCTATCCATTGGTATCAACGTCGGGGAAATAATGGGTTGTATCGTCATTGGTAACATTTTCATCTGCCTTGCCTATTTTTTCGTAAGTGCCCCTGGTTACGATTTCCATGTGGGGTATACCATGCTTCAAAGAGTGATCTTTGGCATAAGAGGCTGCTATTTGGGGATCCTCATCAGAATCCTTCTATCGATCGTTTGGTACGCCAGTGACGCCTGGATGGGAGGATTGATTCTTGGGAATATTTTTTCATCATGGTCTTCAGATTATTTCAATTTAACCAATACCTTCCTGGAATCCGTGCCATTCTCTCGCAAAGATCTCATTGGGTTTGTATTGTTCCAACTAATCCAACTCCCATTCTTTTTAATTAGACCAGAAAAATTGAGATTCTTGATACACGTAGGATGTGTAACCTGTTTTTTCTCAATGTTGGGACTCACCATTTGGGCAGTGGCTTTGAATGGTGGCGACGATGGTCCTTTAATGGATACGCCAAACACCCTTGCTCCTTCGGCCCATGGCTGGGCGTGGATCTCAGGAGTGACCAGTTGGTACGGGTCTTTGCTAACGGGGATCGTCAACAGTCTGGATTACACCAGATTCTCAAAAAATACTAGAAGCTCTTGGGCCGGGGTCCCGGTAGGTAACTTGGTGATGGGGACCGTGATCCCATTGATGGGGTTAGCCACCGCTTCTGCATTAGATGGAAAATACGATGAGCAGTTTTGGACCCCATCACAAATCATGGACCAAATCTTAACCAATGACTACTCTCCAAAGGCAAGAGCCGCGGTATTCTTTTGTGCGTTCGGGGTTTTGACTTCTCAATTGGCCATCAATGTTGTTGGGAATGGTATTTCCGGAGGTACTGATATAGCTGGTCTTTTACCGAAATTCTTTAATATCAGGCGGGGTGCCATCGCTACTGCCTTATTGTCTTGGGCCGCTTGTCCCTGGTTGTATTATAACTCGTCATCCAATTTCTACTTGGTCATGTCTGCATTTTCTGTGTTTTTGTCGCCATTTGTCGGGATCATTGTTTGTGAACATTGGATTAAAAGAAAAAGAACTATCAAATTGTCGGATCTTTACACTTTCGATTCTGATGGGATCTATTACTACACTAAAGGGTTCAATTGGCAAAACATCATTATTTGGATCATTGGTTTTGCTCCAGGAGTGCCAGGGCTAGTTAAAAGTGTCAATACGAATGCCCATGTAAACTCAGGAATCATCAATTATTTCCAAGGCAACTCTTTGTTTGGATTTTGTATTTCTTTCTTCTTGTGTTATATCAGTGGTTTGATTTTTCCAAGTACGGTTTCAACCGAAATTGATGAGGTAGATGAATTTGATACGTTCACTGAGCAAGAGGCAGCCGACTTAGGAGTTATTCCATATGATGCTTCTGCTATCAAAGAATTCTAAGTTTGATTTATTGGTTTAGTTGTTGTTGTTGTGTTTGTTTGTTTGTTTTTTTTTTTTTTTTTTTGTTTTTTGTTTTTAGTTCTTGTGTGTTTTATTCTTTATCTGTTTATTATGGAGGGCTTTTTGTTTCCTAGATTATTAATTTCCCCTTCAACTTCGTTTCTTATTGTATTGTTATTCTTATTTGGTTACCTTTATGATTACAATTCTTGTACCTTTAGTCATTAACTTTCTGTAGCATTTTTTTTTTCTTGCCTATATTCTGTCTGTCAAACCTGATTAGTCAATTTGGCCACCGTATTTTCAATACTATAGAACGGAACTTACCATCTGTGGAGATATCATTGCTGCTGTTTTCTCATGAGTAAAATGCTTATTCGATATGTGGTTACGCAGCCCCCGTTGAGGTGATTATTGACAGTTCTTTTGATTTTTTGTTGATGTTTTTCACACAAATGACGAAAAATTTCTTCTTATTCAGAAGTAAAAAAATACAAGAAAAACAACAGCAATTCAGGAAGAGAGAGAGAAAGAGAGAGAGTAGTTATTAGATATATCATTCCTAAAAAAAAAGACAATATCAATTTATCACAACGAAAGAAAAGAGAAAAATAGCGATACAAAATAACTAGGGGAAGATGTCCGAACAGCCAACCACCTCTAATGAGGCCAAAAACTCCACTCCCAGTGGAACTGCCACTCCAGTTAAAAAGAAGAATCCTTTAGCTGGTAAGAAGGTCAGTGAGGAGATTTTATTGAAACGTAAATTGGGTCGTATAAAAGCGGCCGAAAATATGGCGATCAAGATTAAGAACTCGGGGATCGAAAAAGTCGAGAACAAGTTGATAAACTCATTGTTCCAACCAATCCCATTAATCAATCAAAAGAATTATTACACTGATTATTTGAAAAAAGACGACCAAATCATTTATTTGCGTAAACGGAAAGAAATGTTTGGGATGAAAAAGGGGAGGAAATCGAATTTGGAAAAACAACAGGAAAAATTGAAATCTGAATCGGTGGCCCCGCCAACCCCACTGGCCCCAACTCCTTTGGTGGGCAATTCAAAAGGAGAAACCCCAATGGATATTGATGATGATGACGATGACGATGACGATAATGAAATGGAGGAAAATGGCGGAACGGTGTCGGGAACCCCGGCCGCCGTGGCCCAAGATGCAGAAAAGAGGGCTAAAAGTCTTAGGACCATTGCAATTCATCCTGGCTCAAGAAATATCAGAATTGGGTTTGTGAATGAAGCATACCCAAAAACTTTCCCTAATGTGATTGCCATTCCCAACCATGACCAAGCTACCACCCACGAAACACTTCCTCGTAGGCGGAATTCTCAAAAAAGTTCACTGCAGGATACCAATGGGAATAATACCGAGGATGAAGATGCTTTGTTGTTTGGAGAGAAGTTTAATAACGCCAAAAAGATGGTCCAACGTGATTTTAAAGAAAGAATGAGATTTTATAAACGAAGAATCTTGCCGAATTCCAATGAGACGGTTAAGAATTTCAATAATAAAGTGCGAAGTGAAATAATCTCTGATTTAAACGATCCTCATAAGATCGATTGGACCAATAATAATGATGAGTCTATCAAGGATAAGAGTTATTTAGTTGGGGAGAACGCCTTAAAATTGGCAAATAATCAGAGATTCAAATTACGGTATCCTATCGTTAATGGGAAGTTTAATGAGAACCCCAACGATTATAATTCGCCTACGGAACTCGTAGGAGATATTCAACTCATCCTTTCTGAGATACTCACAAAAGAATTCCTGGTGGACAATTTCCAGAATTTCAATATCGTGTTAGTGATTCCTGACTTGTATGATAAGACCCATGTGGAAACGTGGATTTACTTAATTTTGCAAATGAATTTCAATGCAATTTCCATTATTCAAGAAACCATGGCGGCGACATTTGGGGCCGGGGTCTCACAAGCTTGTGTGGTTGATATTGGAGCACAAACCACGTCGGTGTCTTGTATTGACGAAGGAATGGTGATCAATGACTCAAGAATCCAGTTGGACTATGGTGGTGATGATATCACTAAAGCTTTTAGCAAGATGATTGTGCAATCAGGATTCCCATACAAGGAATTTGACTATGGTAATGTACATGATTGGAAATTGGTCAATGACTTGAAGGAAAAATTCTCGACTTTTGAAGATGCTAACATCGCGGTGCAATTGTACGACTTCATCAAACGGAAACCAGGAAGCAAAACTGAGAAATTTCAGTTCAAAGTCTTCGACGAAGTGATGTTATCTCCAATGGGGTTATTTTACCCTGAGATTTTTGAGCTTGAAGACCCTGAATCAGACGGCAACAAATTGCAAACCAAGCAATCGAAATTCCGGTTATTTTCTAAATCCCTGGATTCGTATACTGGGAAATCCAATAATCCTACATCTATGGGACAAAAAAAATCATTGACTAACGATTTATACGTGAACACTCCTGATGAAGAAATTGTCAAGAAATTGATTTTGATGGACAATGACGATCTTAACCCGAATAACCTGAACTTGAAAAAAAATGATTTGACGCATGATGAGGAATTGAAAATATCTCACACCAAGCTTGATTTTGCCATCATTGAATCGATCACCAACGCTTGCAAACATGATTTGGGCAATTGCAAAAAATTCTATGAGAATATCTTGATTGTCGGCGGGGTGGCCAAGACTCCGTCGATTGATTTGATCGTTACTGATAGAATTAATATTTGGAGACCGCAAATTCTCTCGATCTCTAACGTTTATGAGATTTTGAAAATTTTGAATGAAGAATTCGAACAGGAGAAATCTAAGATTGCCGCTAATAGCGGTAATTCCGAAGAGGGACAACATAAACTCGATGACGCCGAATCGATGAAGTTGCTCACGTCGATAATTAAACGAAGACTTCCTGGCATTGTGGAAAGTCCGCAATTTGTCGATCAATTGAATACTATCCAAGTGTTATCGCCTCCAAGAGATATCGATCCGCAAATTTTGACATGGAAGGGGGCGGCGGTGTTTGCTAGATTGAAAATTGTTCAGGAATTATGGATCACCAAAAGTGATTGGGATCTATTGGGAAACAGAGCATTACATTACAAGGCATTATTCAGTTATTAAGATAGAGGTTGTCAATTGCTTTACTTTTTTTTTTTTTTTTTTCATTTCTTTTTTTTTTTGTTGTTGATCAACAATTGATGATGAAGAGGGTTTTGGTATACTTTTATTACAAATTTTTGAGTGGATTTCTGAATAACAAGTACATTCAATCAATAAAACATGTAAAAAGAAAAAAAAAACGAAAAATAAGTAAATAAAGAAGCTGATCCTGAGTCCTTTGAGGACTTTAAAAAATGGGAAATAAAAAATGAATGAATGGGTAAATAAAGATATGGTAGGAGAGAGAGTAGATAGATAAAATAAAAAAGGCCCATCACAAATCAAATCAAATAACACAAAATTGAACAACAATATATATATATATATATATATATATTTAAAAACAAAAATGAAGACAAAATGCGACAATGAGAATGTTAACAACAAATGATAAAAAATAAAGTGGTACAAGTAATAAAGAGAAATCTAGAGCTTTTTTTTTTTTTTAGTTTGTTTGTTTCTTAATTCAGGGACTCTAAAGATTCCCAAAGAAATATGAAAGATCCATTTACCAATGTCATTGATGAGGGGTCGATGCATTATTGGAGTTCACAGCGCTTGGATATCTATCATCTGCTCCTCCAAAAGGATTCAAGGTCGAAGCAGTACGACTGCCACCATTATAAGGGGTGTTCATGCTTGGAGGATACACACTTCCTTTGGTACTCAAGTTATCGGTCGAGTCATTATTGAGCATATTATGGTTATTGTAAGCTGGAGGAGGATACACTGGCATGTCGTTGACAGTGATGAATTCTTCGTCGTTTTTGTAAAATTCTGGATCATTTTCAAACTCTTTTTGTTCCTTCTTATTATCTCTATAAGATTTGAATGCTAACCCACCCAATACCAAAGCGACCACCACCACGGGAACACAAATCGTTGCTGCCAATTCCCCGCCGCTGATGGTGCTGGGTTTTTCACATTTTTGACTACTGGCATCTTTGGAGCTACAGCTATCTCTCTTGAATAGCAACTCGGTATATGTTTGACTAATGGTTTCTTTAAGGAACTGGTATGACATATTTGATTTGGCGAATGTGTTTTATGAGCAAGGATTGTTGTTGAGAGAGAATTGGTGGGAAAAAAAAAAATCGATAAGATCGGTGATATAGGGGGGGGACACGGCAGATTCAATGAGGTGTGCAAGATGAGAGATATGATATTGTACTGCGAGACTTTGAACGGGTGAAAAAATCAAAGAAAACACACAAACAGGCAATATCTTTTTGTTAATGAATGAATGAAAGTTGGGGCTTAGTGGTAGCTGTGGTTGGGGAAGTGTACAAAAGAATGGATCGATGTTAACAACACACCTAAATTAGTATGGGGAAAGTAGAGTGAATCAAAGGGAAAAAAAAAAAAGAATGAGGAGAGAGAGAGAGATGAAAAAAAAAAAAAAAGTGCGTTGAAAAGATAAACCCACAAAAACACTGAGATACCAAGAGTCGGGGCTAGGCTAGTGGTATGTGATATGTGTACTAGGCGAAGCAGGCAGGAAAAGCAATCGAGCAAGCAACAAACAGAAACAATACGGAGAGACTGGCAGTAGCAGTGGTGGCGGTCTGGAATGACAACAGAATCATCCACCCGAGGGGGGCTGAGGGTCTCTCCATCCAGATCCCAGTACCAGCAGCCCATGCGGAGTTGATCGAAAACGGAAATTGGCCGTTTTTTTGATCACGTTTCTTGTCACGTTCCGGGTCTCAATTATCGCTGCAGTGTGTACATATATGGATATGTATTAAATACATTTTGTATGTAATACATATCCATGGTGTGTGTCGTTCTATGTCAATAATCATTAATCATGGGATGGGGAGAAAAAGATACAAAATAAGTAAGTAAATGAATAAATATACAAGATCAAAATATAGCAACCCTTTCAATTCTTCTTGCTCAACAACTCGATCAACGGCTCGATGTCTTCTCTAGAAAGCTCGATGTTCGCGGCCTTCATTTCTTTGGCAACTTTCTGCACCGCCATTTGAATCTCAGAATCGCTCATGATCTTCATCAATTGGAAATACGATGGTTTGGCCCCCAGTGACAACACTCCTTTATCGGCAATCAATTTTTGGAGACTCCCGTACGCTTCAAACACTCTAGGATTAGATTGGATCCTCGAGTTGATTTCCATGAGTCTACTTTGAATGAATTCATCCTCATTACTCTTGGATGAGGTAGCATAACCGGCAGCAGAGTTGTATTTGTTATGGATAGACGCCGTAATTCTTGATCCGTTGATGCCAGAGGTGGCGACCTTGGTGGCAGACAAAGCGAGCCTGGAGCTTGCAAACACTCCGAGGCTTCTAATATTTTGGGCAGAGGTTCTAAAAAGAGTATTCCACATGGCAACAATGGTTAGGATTGTAAATTAGGGTGGGTAATTATTAACATCCTTTGTTTGAGTTACTCGCGTTCTCTTTTTTTTTTTTTTTATTTATTTTTCTTACACTGACTGTATTATACGCCATCGCTCATAATTACACACTTCCAGCCCATTCAACATTACCTATATAAATGAAGTAACAATTGGTAATTCTCTTCTTTTTTTTGTTACTCGTCAATAACCGTGAAAAGTGAGCGAAAAACTATATATAATATAACAAGTCGCTTTCAACAATAATTTTCTTTCAAAAAAAAAAAAAAAAGCAACAAACTTAAGAAAACAACTAATTATCAATATACGGCAAATCATTATAAATCCCATTAATGATTTGCAACGAAAGTTTGAACTCTTGGGCCTCTACTATCCAATAGTTAAAAATGCAATTTGTCTGATCCACAAACATCCGCAATTTATCCCTTGTGAAAAAATGAATCCCAAATTTTTTATAAATTATCATCAATATTACACAAGACAGATAAGTATCTCTTAATCTAAACCAACTTCCGTGTCTTCTCTCACTAGCAAAATCCATCAAATCGGGAAATCGAAGATACTGATCACATAAATCTTTCAAAAACGCAATCAAATATGGATGCAAATACTGGTCATAGCTTATTGGTCCACCTCGAGACTCAACATGCTGGATAGTGTAGTTCGGCATCGGTAATGCCAAAACCGTTAATATATAGTATAATACTGGCAAAGATAGGCATTCTTTAATACGTATCACTCGCTCATCCGCACATCTCAAAGGAGTGGATAGGTTTTGCTGATTCAAGAATTTCTCAAAGATTATCAACAAATCCCCGGTTTCTTTCAAGAAAAACTGAATCAACTGTACATAGTCTTCTTGATCTAAAAGTGTCCAGTTGTTCTCCATACTGTCGCCATACGAAGATTTTGAATGTTCATTAGTGGACTTTAAATAAAAAGCGTTCAAAATCTTGTTTAAGATCGGTCGAACGAAAACTTCTGTCAAATAAAACGCCCAACCATCTTTAATGACGCTTTCTTCTTGATTGATATATCCTGGAATCTTCAAATCACTGATTTTGAAAGGTGGCTTATAACTAATAATACCTGATGACAAATACACTGGCGATAAATAAACTTTCAATTCACACTCGTTTTTATGACATTGCCAATATATCCGCTGAATCAATTGGTAGCTTTTCAAAGTAGAGTTTATTTTCTCACGATTCAATTCCAAATATACCAACATCATCGAAGATGCATTATAAATGTGATACCATGCTTCAAATGGTTTCAACATGAAATTTTTATACATCGATAGCAACAAATCATATTGAATGTCGCATAATGAATAAAACGACGTTTGGTGAGACAATTCGTGGCGATTAGCCTCGTCAATGAGAATTGACGGGTTATTTTGTAATTTCTTGAATTCCATAGATAGCAAATATAATTGATACGCTAACTCACTTTTTCCAAATTGATTTCGTTCGTCATATGACGAGGCAAAATTGCAAATTCTGGAATTTTTACAATCATATTTAGATGATAACATACCGATTGAACAAATCATCAAAAGACAATATATTGGAATATATCGTTCTCCATCCCCGAGATCTTCGTCAAGGTATCTATTCCCTGCCTCAGAAAAATGATACTGCAACAAAAAGTTTCTATTTTTGTGTTCGGTTTCATCAAAATTCAACAATTTTTCATTATCATCCTTGTTAGATGTTCCTTCCAGTACTAAAAATCTCGAATAATCATCCAAGAGTTCCGTAGTGGTTTTCCGTAATGATAAAATATCAATGAACAAATTCCCAGAAGTATGAACGTTCAAAATATAGTCTTCAGTCCATTTGGACAAATTCTTCATGATTTTTGGCTCCAAACTCCTTAAAGTCTCTAAAAATCGAAATCTGAAGCACCGTTTTCTTTTCAGGGACTTCCCATCTTCAAAAAAAATTTTGTTTTTCACAACTGGGTCAGTACTCTTGCTTATTGTTCCATCAATGATATTTCCAATTTTCATTAATCCCGAGATCTCATCTGCCCTAGTATCCTTAATATTACCGTTGTTATTTAGATTATCCATATTTGAGTTGCAGATATTATGACGCCTCTCCGGTTCATGATGACCATTGGACCTTTTGATTTCTGGCCATTCAGCGTGTAAGAGATGTTTATCATTAATCTTCATCACTTTATGCACCTCCTCTGCAAGTTTATCGTACTTCCCATCAAATATCGGCCATTTTAAAACCCGCTCCACTGATCGATCCCAATATCCAGGAAACGCACACTTCGACTGCGCTGGATCAATCAAATTATCATCGACATTCCTTGCAGCCGCCATCACCAGCATCATCCTTTTTTTTCTTGTTATTGGACATCCGGAGCTTGTAGAAAAATCATCATTGCCATTGAAGACAGTGATACTGGACGGATGAGTATTATGTTCTAAGGTCTTCAAAGTGTTATAAATTTCTTTCAAAGTTGTTTGAATGATATTGCCATCACTCTTGGTTTTGGTCGATATCTTTCCATCATCTGCAGTTGCCTTAGCCTTAATTAACTTGTAAATAATGTTGAACTTCCCAGTCACTTCCTTCAATAATTCATGCATTGAATCTGCTTTCTGTGTTGTTTCAGTATCACAATTCATCATGGTGTTGTTCGTGTTTTTTGGAATGATATCTCCTTGATACTCAATTGCATTGGCGAATGATGATGTTCTTGAAAACTCCATGGTGATTGAAGAAAAGCCTCCTGAGGGTTGGTGTGCGCGAGATGACGATATTAATAAAGTAGGTTGTTGATCTTCCAAGGTCAGTGCTCCATCGTCTCTGTAGCGACAATCCACTTTAACTGCCTCTTCAATCATTTTCATCGATGCCGCATGATGATCATTATTATTATTCTTTAACGACTTATTCAATTTCATTTTCGCCATCAATTTCTTTTCATAAATCGTTTTGCAATGACTACACACAGGCTTTAAACCATCACATTTCTTCTTTCTGCTTCGACAATTCTCACAGGCGATTTTCACTTTCTGGCGCTTGCGGTGATGTTGATAGGAAGATACTTCCACCCCAATGCCGCTGCGGCTTGGTTCGAATGTCATATCTTCGTCATTCAACTTTGGGAAATAAGAGGCATCATCCATTATGGGGACCTCATGCTATGATAAACTAGCCATTGAAGACAATAACAATCATAATTCATTTCACCTGGACAAACAAAATGGCAAAAAAAAAAAAAAAGAAAAAAAAGAAAAAAGAATGGTAGGCTATATTATCATCATCACCAAATAGTGAGATGAGATCTCCGCCTTTTTTTTTTTTTTTCCACCCGGGGAATCATGTATTTGGGGTGGGACACGCCATTATAATAATGTAATTACTGAATACGGGGATCTATCCAGTAAGTGAGTGAGTGGAGTGTCCTGGAATGTGGATGTGCTGTACCTTATATTAATTATATTATTTATTTATTTAATTACTCGCTCGCACCAAACAAGACCAACCACACACGGTGGGCAGGTAGGTAGTAGGTAAGTGAGGAAATCCGGGTAAAAACTACATCTCTATCTCTAAACATTCTAAGAAATAACTTCATCGGCAAATAATTAAGTATATAGTGGTTATCTATGAAAAAGTCGCATGAAAAGTATAACATGCCCAACTACCAAGCTTTACCTGACGGCCCAATGAATTAATATGTAGCATATTGTAGTGGCCCCTACATAATGAGAGCTCATCATGCTAACCCAAAATTATAAAGTACAATGCAGAGGATATATATTAACCAACAATAAAGAAAATTATAACAACAGTAAAAGTAATGAGAAAGAAGCAAAAATCAAAAAGATATAATAAAAAAAGTTAATGTAAATGGTAGTGAGATAATAATATAAATAAAAAGAATAACAAACTTCTCCGTTTCACAAGCCTTCCCCGATGTTTAGGTATTTATATTTATTTATTCATTTTTTTTTTTTTATTCTGATTTCCACACTCAATATCTTTCCTTCATTCTCGAACTGACAACTCTCAAATTATTGTAAATCTTGTTTTGTGGAGTACCCAAAATCAAACTCACCACAAATTGCTTGGCCATGTTAATGTTGGTGAAAGTACCCAAGATGTGGATCTTACTGTCAGCCAATACTATTCTTGTCTTTGTCGAGTTTTCAATGCTGAACTTGGTCTTCCCGTCTTTACCAGCAATTCTCCCGATCGCTCTGCTCAAATGTTGCCCAGTAAGAGTCTTGACATCCTTGACTTCAAAAGTTTGGATGTACAAATCGTCCAATTTAATTAAGGAAATACAATCATTGAGTTCGAACCCGTAATTGAAAGCAGTCAAGAAATCAACCGCTTTTTGTAATGAAGTTTGTGGATCAGGGGTTTTGGAATGTGTTCTCATGTCGACGGTACGTTTACTTGGGTTCAATTTGACTTGGAGATGAAGATGATCAATCAATGGTGGATAAATCTTGACCCAGTTATTCTTAAACGGGGTGAATCTGTGTTGGGATATCTGGACTTTTCTATAGAGTGATTTTGAGCTGGAACTGCCAGTTTTGGATTGAGCAGCAAATCTTGGTTTCCCTTCATCGTCAACAATCACTTTTTGAACACCACTAGTTGAAGCAGTGGTGTCTGGAACAATTTTATCCTCCTGTATAGCTGTTGGGGCAGACATTTTTTTTTTCTTTTCTTTTCTTCTTTTGACTGGATATTATTAATATATAATTTATCTTTGAATACCAAAGAGATCAATCTAACATGTACACTTTGAAAAAAAAAAAAAAAAAAATTCTTTGCAGGAGGATGTACGGATGTGATGAGATGAGTTTTCCAGGGGTGCACGCCATCGCAAAAGGAAATTCGGGGGTGTCAATACAAATAATTTATAAAACTAACTAAAATATATTATATTAATACTGATGAATTTGGAATAAATTCATACAAGAAGTGTCTATAAGCAAATCTATGGAGCAAAGTTGAAGTATTGATAAAAAAAAAAAAAAAAAAAAAATTCCAAACTTTAGTAAAATAAAATAATATTGGTGATTTCTTCTCTTTCTTAAATGAATTTTCCATTAACAATCAATCTATTTCTGGTAAAGTTCCAAAATAGTTCTCTTCAAAGCTTCGACACTTTCTTTGGAAATTTGATAATGTATACCGATTCTGTTCCCACTTAATCTGATCCCGTTCTTCTTTCCGAGTTCGTTGAACTTCTGAGCAGTTCCTTCTGGTTGTTCTGAAAAGTCAAGCCATACGAAATTGGTGTCTGTTGGGTAAAGTAGTTTAATATCATTCTTGGTACACAATTCTGCAACTTCTTTGGCGACTTCATGGGTGTATTTCAACGCATTTGGGAAATTCATTTTCAAGGCAACCATGGCCATCGAGGTGATCACCCCAGCTTGTCTCAAATTACCTCCGAGTTGTTTTCTGAATCTCTTACCAATTTTAATGGTTTCTTTGTCAGCAACTAAAACCGACCCAATTGGAGCCCCAATACCTTTAGATAAACACAAAGACACGGTGTCGAAATGTTGACAGTATTCTTTTATCGAAACCCCAGTGGCGGCACTGGCGTTCCACAATCTGGCCCCATCTAAATGAGTCTTGACGCCAACGGTTTTAGCCCACGCGCAAATTCTGGCAATTTCCTCAATTGGCACCACCACCCCACTAATTGTGTTTTCCAAACTGATGACTCTTGTGGTAGCAAAGTAGTATTCTTCAGATAACACAATGTGCTTCTTGATGTCTTCCAAGGTCATGTAAAGTCCATTTGACGGGATCACCGGGTACACCATCGCATTGGAAAGCATTGATAACCCAGCCCCTTCATAACGGTAGACATGGGCTCTGCTATCACAGAGAATAGAGTATGGAGGTTGGTACAACAAGCTTCTCAAACCAATTTGGTTCGACATCACCCCAGACACGCAATAGAGCCCGGATTCTTTACCAGATAACTCGGCAACGTAGGCCCCCAACTCGTTGGTGTCAGGATCCTCGTAGTAATCATCATCCCCTAAAGAACAAGTCGATGCAGCTTGGATGATGGTAGGGGAAGGGGTGGTGAAAGTGTCACTTCTGAAGTCATTATGGGTTGGGGATTTGTAATCTTGGGATGCCATTGTGATTTTTGCTGAGTATTGAGTCAAGCAGCGTTAGCGATCGATAAAAAGCACAAAAAAAAAAATAAAAATAAAAAATATGTAAAAATAGATTAGATTAGATCAAATAGTGAGCCAACTTGCAGAGACCTGATATGCAAACAAGTAAATAGGAGGATTAATCCACTTCTATATTATATATTTAAGAAATGTCTGTAACGTTAAAAAAAAAAAAAAAAAAAACTTTCTTTTTCCTTAAAAAACAGAAAATTTAAAATCGAAAAAAAAAAAAAAAAAAAGCAACGGTATTTACTTACAGAGTATAGGCAAACCTCGGCAAAGGAAAATTTTTTCGGCGAAACTTCCTTATGTTATTTACTCTTTTTTTCCTTCCACTGTTGGTCCTTATGACTCAATCAACGTGTTACCAAACCCTACAAAGTGTTACAAATCATAAGAGATACGAAAAAAACAAATGTTGAACAAAAACAAACAACAATGCAGAATTGAAATACTAAGCAAAACAAGATCCACAAACAGCGCTGGATCCAACCCCCTAAAACAATTGCTAACAAAATAATAATATGCACAAAACTAAAGAAAAGAAAAAAACAAAACAAAAAAAAACACTATTTCTCGTTCATACGTATCCCCATCTTCAGGCCCAAGGCCCAAACACACTGTTCTTAACTGTTCATCTTTTGTTAATTTTCAGGTTGGTGTCTTCTTGGTTCCATGTATGGCCCGAGGCTTGTAAAGACACGCCCATTTTCCAAAGTAGAATATTCAATCACCAATGCATCAATAACCCCTGCTCCACGTCTGGTATATAAGCAAAGTAGTCATCAGCCGTAACCGTGGTGTCAGTCGCCTCAATAAATAAGGTAATAGCCGCACCTGCTGCACCATCCACCAAACCAGATTCTAACGTACCAATGCAAACAGAAGACAAAAAAGAAAAATAGCAAAGATCTATCAGTCAACTAGGACGAAGAATAAATGTGGAAAAAATCGAAAAATAAAGCCCAATATAATACAATATGAATAATAACTTTCTCCCCAGTTCAAGTTGGTGATTTTCAAGCCATATGCGTGGTGGTTCTTTCTGGCCAATCAGCGGCCGCATATTGGTGTTAATCATCAAAAAAAAAACAACCAGTTCTATGCCAAAACACAACCGCCATAATTAAAGCCCAAAATCAAATGGCAATGCATCTACTGTTGATTCGAACTTTGCAATCTCAACTTCTGCTGATGGTGTTCCTTGCATAGTTCGCTGGTACTCATGCGGTTTCTTGCCTTGGTTATATCATCTCTGTCTTCATTGGCCACTTGATTAGCCGGACACTCGACAAGAGAACTCACACCAACAACACCAAATGCAACAAGAAAAGTGGTGGAGAATAACGAACTAGTGACCTTCTTGTAAGTGGCAGCTTTGACATACATTTTGCAATGCTATTTGGATATTTCGAGTGTGAAATTAGATAAGTAAATTCGAGTTATACTCAGAGAGAAATTTTTCAGCTGGAGGAAAAAAAAAAAAATGAGTGTTGCAGGAGTGCGTGCAGAAACGGGGATTGGCGAAAAAAAAAAAAAAATAAAACAAAAAAAATTGCGATAACACAGAGACAAAAACCCTTTTTGGCCAGGAAAATAAAATAGACAGATCAGATACTCACATCCATCATTTCTAAAAACTTTTTAGTAGAGCCTTTGATTGGAAACTTCTGCCATGAATCACAACATTGTAATGCTTTGTTATTAGGGAGGAATGTGTATATCTCTTCTGACCAAGACACTATAATTGGTCAAATTGAATCAATGGTTATTAAGGAAATTGACAAGAACCATTTTGGCTCCACCAATCTTTTAGAGTCTCCATGATTAAAGCAATATGTAATGAATTTCACCCAATGACTTTATAGACCAGATCAGGAGCTATTCCAGACACAACCAAAGATAAATCCATAGACCCTCCCCCTGGTACCCCTGTAGAAAAAAGAAACAAAAAAATATTATGGATGAGCAGGTTAGCAACAACACAACAATATCAATAACAAAGGAATAAGTAAAATCAAGAAAAACAAAAATTCAAAAAGAACTTGAATTGACCAGCAATAAGTTAAAACAATAATCAATTTTAATACCACAAAAAAAATGAAATGATTCTTTTGAAAGAGCAAACCGTTAAACTGAAATTGAACAAAAAAACAAATAATAGTAAACTTTTAAACAAAAAGTAGATATTATAATACACGATTCAACAGAGAGAGGAAACAACCCGATAATAATGTTCGAAAGTATACCACCTAAACCAAACCGGTGTGATTAAATGAACGAAAACAAAAAAAAAAAAAAAAAAAATATCCAAATTCAAACAGCTCTCCACTAAGATGTTTGTAAACCTCCAGGCAAAACTAACGCCACACAACCAACAATAATAAAATGTAACTAATGGAAATAGTTTGTTAGTATTATTTCTCCGTGAGCTAAAAAATATATACCCATGTATTCCAAAAGTTCTTTGTCCTGTAATTATCAACACATTGAGAAAATGATGGATAATCGTCAGCAAGAGTGTTTTGTGTGGCTAGCTAAAGGGAGATTCAGAGCAATGTGTAAGAGATCAGCAGTTGAGTGGAGATATTGAAAGAGAGAAAGCCATACAAACACAAAAATAACAAACGAAATATTCACCAACCAACCGGCTTTATATATTTTAATAAGCGCTGGTTTTTTGACATGCAGATTCAGATTATTATGCAAACACAAAACCGATTGGATTGTTCACAATAGCTTTACTGTAGACCCTAAAATATCATCAAAACACTACAGAAATGAATATCTAAAGATGAAATATTAAGCTAACTATAAAGAATCGTGAAAAAAAAAAACATTGCGGCAAAAACAGAAAATTGAACAAGCAAAAACAAACAATACAGGGGTATGTGCAACTGGAGAAGCGCAGGATATGGTTGTAGTATGTATCATCACAAAAATAATTATCAAAAAAAAAGTTCAAGGAGAAGAAGAAAGGGTATAGAAAAGATTAAAAAAAAAATCAAAGCATGAAAACAAATAAAAATTTATCTAATATGTGGCGTATGATAAGACAGGTAATGAATGAATAAATGAATGGCACAGATAATCAGCACCAATGACGACCATAGTAATAATAAGAATATGAGTTTCAATGATCAAATAATGATGACAGTTTCTTTGGTCTTTGGCAAGATATGGGACATCGCGTCCTGTGAAAAACGTTTAGTTCTCGAGCTCTTAGAGTCCTTAGATAAAGGCTCTAATAATTCTTGCACTCCGGAATCAATTAAATATTGCTTTTGTAAACAATCCAACTTTGGTGATAACTTGCTCAATGTCAATGTGGCCAATTGTTTGATATTTTCATCACCCAATACCAATAATGGAACCAAAATGTCGATGTATCCGATCTTGATCAAATAATTCTTTTGTTCATCTGATCCAGTAGAAATATTGGCAACCATTTTCATGATTTCCTTCTTTAGGTGATTGTCGCTGAACATAAGCACCAAAGGTTTAACAACTGACACAACATTGCAGTCAATAAGACACTGCTTCAATATGGAGTTACCTTCAGATAGATTGGCAAATATGGACAAAGTTCTTGATTTCAAGTCGTAATTTGGTGATGAAACAAATGGTAAGATCAACTCTAGAATTCCAGATTCCGCGATAATTTGTTTTTGTCTTTCATGGCCTTTACTCAAATTTTCAATTGCCCAAACTGTATCACAAACAGTATTAATATCGATTGCCGCAAGGAGTGGACCAAAAATTGAGCGTAAATTGAGATTAATCAATGCTTGCTTTTTAGATTGATCTCCAGCACTAATGTTGATAAAGATTTTCCCTATTTCGTGCTTTATTTGCTCATTTGTAGAATCAAGTAAATATTGCACAACCTGAAGCAAACCATATTGAAGCACCTCATTTTGGCCTTCCACGCTGAATGTCATATTGGAAATTGCAGATAGACAATGAATAGTTATTTCATCATCCAATAGTCGGATCCCTTCGAAAATGATGGGTAATGAAATTCTCACAAAGTTTTTCACATAACAAAATTGGAAAATAACATTCTCAACACAACAAACCAATATGTTAATGATTTCTTTATCTTGTAGTTTGACTAGCGGGTATAATAGCTTGAAAATACCTGAATATACCAATGCCTTAATTTGGTGCTCTGTGCCTTCAGTTAATCTATAAATCATTGATAGAATTGCCTTCTTGGTTTCCAAGTCCTCCTTTGATTTTAACAATATTGGCTTGATCAATTCAATGGCCCCAATATCCAAAATTGCCTGTTTATTAAATTCATCGCCTTTGGCAATAGACGCCAAGATTTCAATGGTTAAATTCTTGATGACCTCATTCAAGGAGAACAATAATGGAGGTAGTGATGTTAAAATCCCAGTGTCAACAATATGTTGTCTTTGAGAATCAGTTCCCTTGGCAACATTATTTATAACTGTTAAGGACATGGTAGTAATAGTTTCATTAACGTTATTTAATAGTGGTAGAAATACGTTCACTAAACCTAAATCGATAATTACTTGTTTTTGATTATTATCACCAGCACTAACACCAGTCAAGATTTGAAAAGTAGTATTGATGACTTCTGGTTTATAATATTCAGTGGATGTCACTAAATATTTCTTCAAGTAGCTCATGATCCCACAATCAATAACAATTTGCTTGCCGTAAATGTCATTATTATTGACAATATTACTCAAAATAATTAGACAATGTTTCTTGATAGAACTACCAGAATTCTTCATAATTGTTGGAATATTAGAAATTAACCCCACATCAACCAAGTATTGAACTTGGCCCATGTTTCCAGTAGAAACATTTTCAAAAATTTTTATCACTCTATTTTTGATACCTGTACTGTTGGAGTTTATGAGAGTAATTAAGGTTTTTAAAATCCCAGAATCAATTAAACTTTGTTTAAGTGAGCTGCTATCTTCCGAAAAGTTTTGAATTATTTGTAACGACTGCTTTTGGAAAGTCGTATCTCTTGATAATATCATGGTGTTAATCACTGGTAAAATCATATTTTCCGCCAAAAATTTCTTTTGAGATTTTTTTCCCTTTGAAAGATTAGAAACACATTCTAGAGCGTATAACCGGATGATGTTGTCATTATAAGTGATGAATGTTAAAATATGGGGAACAACATCATTGTCTAATAAAACTTGCTTTTGAGCCACACTACCATTCGCCAAATGTTGGATTAATTGAATGGTCTTTCTCAATAGCAGTTCATTGGAAGATTCAAACAAGGGAACCACTTGCTTTAGGTAAGTGTTATCAATTATTTCTTGCTTCTGATCGTTTGTTCCTTTTGCAATATTAACCAATACTTTCAAAGTTTCAATAATAATTGCATCGTCGTTATCCGGTCCAAGAAACTTCGATATGCTTATTAAAACTGAAGATTCAATCAAAGTTTGCTTTTGAAAGACATTTCCACTAGCCAAGTGAGCCAAAGTTCCAAGGGAAAATTTGTGGATCAACTCATTGCCGGAAGCTAGCAAAATCAATATTGAAGAAACTGTCCCAATTTTAATCAAGATTTGCTTTTGAGTTTCATTACCGTTAGCAATATTGTAAATGGCAAAAATTGCCTGTAATACCACTTCATTAGATTCATCTTGAAGTAATTCCACTAAAGGTCTAATCAAAAAATTCTTGGTGACCGCTTCGATATTTTTATAGCATTTCGCTATTAGAGATATTGTTTGACAGGAAAAGATTCGAATTAAATCTACTTGAGAAGAAATACTTTTGGAAATGCTTGATAAAAGGCCAGCTTTGATAAATGTTCCTATGTACTTCTTTTTATCTATCAAGGTGATAACTATCGCTTCAAGAGTCAATACTACTACTTCCTCGTCATCAGTATTTAAAAGCTCCAATAATCGAGCGACAGCATATTCAGGGTCAACTGACGGTTGGCTATTTAGAGGTTTATATTGGCCGTTTTTGCTATTCGGAGTGGTTGGGCTGGAAGACACATTACTAACAGAGCCGTTTCTCAGAGAAGCGACATTGTTTGATGCACTGTTGGATTTCCTTAGAGAGCTTGGAGTATAGCAACAAGCGAGTCTGGCGAAATATATTGGTGATTTTCTCTTTTGAATTTTTATGACTCCTGTATGGCCTACCAAGGAATACCTCAACATAGGGATTTCCTTGTTCATCTAAAAAGGACCAGCGTTAGTGACTAATGAGCTTCCAAAAAAAAAAAAAAAAATAATTCCGGTAAATCAAAATATAATACATACAATTTCAGCAGGACTCATTGAAGAGTTGTAGCTGGTGGCGGCGTTCATACTGGAGCGAAACATGATGAAATATTTGGGAATATTGAATCAAAACGTGGACGTTGGCTTTTTCTATATGATTCTCAGGAGGAGAGCCAAAGGCTAAAGCATACTATCAAGACGTCTCTTTTTTTTGCTTTCCAAATTTATATCAGTATAGTATTCCTGATAACAAGCGTTTAATGAATATGTGATAATGGAGAGGTAAGATATCTTTTTGTAATTTTTTTTTTTTTCTGTTACTGCGGCTGTCTCTGTCAGTCTCCCACTATTTGAGTTTCAGAAAGTTGTTTTGGCTTTAAAATATGGTAGCGATTGCTAAAAATAAAAAACACGCTACTATACAAGAAGCACTATTTGGGATCTATATTGTCAGAGAAGTGGTGGGGAGGCAATGGATGATACGAAACCACTGGTGGGAACATCACCGCTTATAACATGAAACCCACTTCGAAACACCACCGGATACGGTGCCCGGATGGCCATCCGGAGGGCGGCCACACTGCATCTGCCGCCCAATGCAGTGCTCGGCGGTCTGAAACTGGGCTATTCGACGGAGAATTCCAACCAAAACTTTTGGACGGTTTTTTGTAATTTTGTTAATTAAGGAATTGGTATCGTCTTATATTTTTTTTTTATTATTGTTTGTACGCTATTTTGTGCTGTATCTGTGTTATAGTGCCTGTGTTTACAAGGCCCTTTATTGTAGGATCCTTGTGGATAAAAGTATTCCTTCAGATATTTTCTTATCGCAAGATAAATGTGTACCCTTTGTGTTATTATTATTACCAGTACGCTAGAAAATCATTATTAGTGGTAAAAAATTCGACCCCCCGAAAGAAGTCAGAGAGTTTCCCTGGCTCCTATTTGAAACTGCAGCCAGACCCCCCAAAGTAGATATAATTCTGGTTTTTATTTGATATATATAAAAAGGTCTGCATCCTTTTTTTTTTAACTCTAATCTTAATCGTAATACGGGGTTGATCAATAATCAAATATCCACAATATTTAAATCGACCATTATAGTTAACACAGGTTTGCCATTAATGGGGGGGGGGGTGTATTTCGGAGCTTCTTCGTATCTGGTGATAGAAGATATTATGGATTGACATCACTAACAATCATGACTAATTTGGCACTATCATTGGTATAGTTCAACCGTGGATATGTGGCCACTGATAAGTGCTGTGAGGCCTCTTATTTATAGTTCGCACAGAGTTATTGTTACCGCACTCTGTAGTTTGCATCCTGAAGTGACACTAATTCTTTGACAACGAGCTAAAATTATTGGTATTGTACTCTCTCCTTATTGACCCTGTCTCGCAATCTTGGGTTTTATCCTTTCTGGGATCGAGACAGTCAACACTACAATTATCACCTCTTTATTGAAATATTAGTTCGTCCATGCGTATCTGGACTACCTATAAACTAGGGACAGCTGTTTACGAAGATAAATTCCCGGAAGTTTTCTGACCATCTTCGATAACCTATATTTTTGAACACTTTTAATTTTCGTAAAGCATTTATGCTGTTATATCCAATGCAAATAATAACAATTAAATAGATAAATATAGTTACTGTGTTGTTGGTATTTGTTGGTGGCTTGTGGTTGTACACCACCTCGTCTATATATGATTTTTAGAAATCATCACCCTACCGGATCAGTCCCCCTACCAATTCACAGCCAGCAACTTGTAAAATTTCATCCGTTGCACATCCTCCTCCTCAATCAAACTATCAATAACTCCGCCATTGCAAGTAAATTACCATCATATAACAATGTCATTCCAACAAAACTTACAATCAAAGCTTCAAGGCCATTTGTCACAAATCGACGGTGTATGCAATTTTTTTTTTCCTTGACTACCTCCTATCAGAGCTATTTTATTACCATTCTTTGAAATTACATAAATGCTAACTATAATTATTAGAGATTTGCCAATGTCAAGCTTTTGGACCAATTCGAAACCAATACTAAGTTACCAAGATCCTATGCCGTCATTGGGTTTGTTGGTTTCTACCTCTTATTGACTTTCTTGAACATTGGGGGTATTGGCCAATTGCTTTCTAACATTGCCGGGTTTGTTATTCCAGGTTACTTATCATTGAAGGCCTTAAACACCGCAACCAAAGATGACGATGAAGACTTGTTGATCTACTGGGTTGTCTTTGCTGTCCTTAATATTGTTGAATTCTGGTCCAAAACTATTTTGTACTGGGTTCCATTCTACTGGTTGATCAAAACCGGTTTCTTGCTTTATCTTTCTTTACCTCAATTTGGCGGGGCTAAGTTTATTTACTACTCTTTCTTGAAGCCTGTCACCGATAAGCACTTGTTCCATGAATCCAAGCCAGCCTCTAAGGTAAACTAATTGCGGTTCCGGCCAAGATAAAAGAAGAAGGTTCTTTTCCTCCTGATCATATATTATCTATGATATATAAACTATGTACCATATATATATGTGTGTGTATATATACAAGCATTTTGTTAAATTTTATCTTTTAAAGCCTTGTATACCACTTGACAAAAATTAATTATATAATTATCACAATAGGAATCCCATAGCAAGTATCGTTTCCCCCCAGGCGCTGCGCAAGGACCCGTCGTGCCGGTATCTTCCCCCGACGTCAAGTTGTCATATGGAGAAAAATAGGTTGATTTTATCTGATGAGCATTGGTAAAAAAAAACTGATAATGAATCCCATTTGATGAGCACATTACAATAGGAATAATTCCTCTCACTTGGAATGTCATTTCGCTTGTTCAGTTCACGGAAAAAGAAGCTGAGGACTACGGAGACCTCCTTTGAGGCTTCTTCTCCTGCCCGGGATACCCCGCATCATAACAACAGCACCTATCTTGTTGAATCGTTAACCAGCAATAAGCAAAATGTACAGCAATTACAACAGGTTTTGAATGAAAAAGTGGGCTTGAATCTAGGAAACCCAAAGGCAATATATAACCTCTACTGTTTGGATTTGTTCAATAATAGCAACAATAACAATGATGATGATAATGATAAGCTGTCGAAGAAAAAATCGGGCACAAGCTTAAGCAGAAGCAATTCCTTAAGGAGATTTCTATCTAATGATTACCAACTAACAAAATCCATATCTGCATCGAGTAATAAGTCAAATAATACCATCAGCTCTCAGAAGCTGATAAGTCATCATCTCAATCCACTTCGTCTATTAAGAACACGATCAGTATCCGAGAAACAGAAACCCAATTTTGAAAGTGTTGAGCCTAAAACTCTTGCCATTGATAATCCAATTAGTTCTGAAACTTCAGCACAAGTGGAGGTTGAGTCTCAAACAAGTGATGAGAGATATCAAAATCAACATAACAAACATAATGAACGGCTATATCAAACTACTTCATCGCAAGATTCGGTGGTGACAGAACAAATCAGGATCTCTGTGGTAAACGCTAATGATAAGATTTTTTTCCCAACAGCAATACCATCAGAGAGATTATCTAGAGGTAGCCGGGTTAACAGAAGTCTTAATAACAATGTTGCCGCGTCATTAGATGAAGAGGCTCGGAATTACGAAAATCGCTCCAGGAGAAGTTTATCCCGTGATGCAGAAACTGGCACAACCGGTGATAGTGGGGACGATGATAGCAATCATGGTAGTGATAATAGTGAGGATTATAGTGACGCCAACTTGCATACATTTGCTGTTATTGTATCTATCCCAAGATCTCTCAAAAAGACATTACCAGATGATGAGCACAGTTTGTATCTTGATTTGGAAGAAAACGATAATTCATCAGTTGATAGCTCGCGATCATTTGATAGTTTGTCTTCCACCAGTATTGTATCTAGCGATTTTTGTGGAAGGAGCACATCAGTCAGTCATATCAACTCTAATAGTGCGTCGTCACTAGCGAAATCTGGTTTCTTTACAAAGACAGATATCGATTTATCACAGATGAATGTTGCTCTCAATTTAGTTTGCAAAATATTTTGGAAAGAATTACCTTATGAAATAGGAGAAAAGCCTCCGAAACTTCAAAATGAAACATTTTTGGTAGGAGAGTCCAAATTGCTGTTGAATTTATTGAAGGATTTCAATTACTTTGTTCCTGCTGATGATGGAATTGACAAGGAATTGTTCAAAAAAAGTCTTTCTCTCTTATCTAGTACCAGTGTGGCTGTATCTGAACATGTGAATGATTCAGATACCTTGCTGAATAAGAGGAAGAAGATTCTTGTTGGAAGTTGTGAAACTCAACCTTTGCAGAGGGTTAAACTCAAAACCCTTGACCAAGTAAAGGAAGGTAGCTATTTCGATAGAGAGTCCTTTTTGGGTGAATATCGAGAAAGTTCTAATCCTGAAAATGATAATTCTGAAGGATTCAAATATCCAGCTGGTGATTATGTGTTTATTATCCCAACGGTTCTTGACTCATCTTTTCCTGAAACGATCAGAGCACCTCACGCATCTTTGAATTATAAATTGAACTTACTATTAAAGAGATTCTATTCTACCAATAATTCTGGTTTTCATGGGTCTCACGACCAGTCCTCTATTGTTGCTAAACGATTATCCATTGGCAAATCATTGAAGAGAATCACCCTGAATTTCACTATTGATTCCCGTTTCAACAATAATGAGTTATCCAGCAAAGATGTTGATAATGCTAATGATTTGGAAATCCACGAAATATCCACCTCAAGCGCTACCGAAAATATGCAGAACCAAGAATCTATGGACAGGGTCACGGTAATTAAGTCACATAGTGGCAGCACCATATCGAGAGATCAGGGCAAGCACTCCGCCATCAAGCGAGAATTGATCAACAAATCATTTAGAATCCCGGTGATCAGAACCCCACCTCCTCTATCATCTGCATTGAATAAACCAATCTATGTTCGTAGGATTTGGAATGACTGCATGTCATATGAATTGACTTTTCCTACAAAGTTTGTTAGGCTAAACAGCGAAATACCAATTAATATTGAACTATTGCCTTTGAATAAAGATATTTCGATAAAGAAAATCAGGATCAATGTTTTAGAAAGAGTCTCATATGTATCAAAGGATATGGCTCATGAATATGAAGAGGGGAGACGTAATTCCAAGGACCACAATATCAAGGAACGGGTGGTGGCATTGTCCGAATTAAGAACCACTCAAGAAGGGGGGTATGCAATAAGAGAGGATGTTTTGGTATTACCAGAAGATAAACCCTATAAAAGTAAAGAATTCTTTGGGAACACCGATCCAGAAGATGAGAAGAAAAACAATCTATTATCTCTTTGTTTCAATGATTTGAAAAAACTCAAGGAGGAAGCGTCCAAGAAGAAGAAGAAAAACGGCAAAGACGATGAGAGAAATGAAGAAGTTTTAATAGACAGACCATTAAGGGTTCAAATCCCATTATTTTTCAAAGGCATTAAATCCCAAAACCACCAATACCATAGTGGTAATCACTTGACGAGTGAAGAAATTTCAAATGTGAGCGCAGAAATGTTGAGAAAGAAAAAGCCATCTACTAAGAATCCCAAGTTACCAGATGATTATATTTGTCTCGGGGGTACTGAGCAAGACTTGGACATGGAGTTGGTTAATTCGAAAACTAAAGTCAAGTATGGTGATTCGGGATTCATGAAAGTTGCCCGCCACTCTCCAGGTCTGTGTGACAACTCTTTGATTGATTATGAGACTATACACCTTCTAATTCCTGAATTATATCCTGATAGTAATCATTTCAATTATATCACAGTCCTGCATCGTCTTCAAATTTGCTTCCGTATTAGCAAAAAAGAACCGTCGCTAGATCCAAAAAATCCTTCCCTGACAAAGACACACCGTTATGAGGTCATTATTGATGCACCTATTGTATTGGTTTCTGAGCTTTGTGATGATGACAATACAGTGCTCCCAAGGTACTTGGAATCGGCCCCGCTAGATTCTGTGGTGTTGAATAACTCCTTCGCTAATGATTCTGAAATGGAAGCTTTTCGCAGACTCAATAAACACTTCGACGAGCCTCAAGAGCATCTACCAACTTTCGAAGAGGCCACTTCGAAATTTGTATCACTGATTCAACAGGGAAGCAATATTGATAATTACGTTTTGGAAAATACTAAACATTATGGTAGCCAGGATATCCCATTAGATGATAATCTAAACCAAGAGTTCCATTCTCGAATGTTTGTATCACCACCCTCCCCTTCCCGGTCCCCGCCAATAATGAGTGAGATTCCTTTATCTAGGCACGGAAATGTTGATGGAATAAGTAGGAAAAGTGTTGGTGGGATACATGAAGTTTTGGCACTTGATGAAGCAATAACCTCAAAGAGAGCTGGCGAAAGTGCAAGTACCTCAAGAATTAGAAATATTGTGGGACAGAAGTTGGAGTTAAATTTGCCTAGCTATGAAGATACCATTAGGTATGATAATGTTGCGAAAGAAAACTAGTTTTCTTCGTTATATATGACCAATATTTGTATTGATATTATTGTGTTCCCTATGTTTTTTGTTTTTGTTTTTTGTCTTATTAGTGATGAATTTTTGGTATCTATCTCATTATCAAAAGCTTTTTTCTTTTTTATTAGTTTTTTTTTTTTTTTTTAGTTTCTTGAAAGTTATTTGATAGTATCATATTGGCAGGTTTTCTTTTTTTTTTAATACTCGTTCTTCGGATACTCTTTCGTATTTGAATTTTATAGATGTTTATAGTGTATTTTATATGCTTCCAATGTTGTATGATATCCTCTATAAATCATTTCTCTTTGTATTTTTCCTTTCTCATATCTTGATAATACTCATTAATGACTTCAAAGGTAACTCGAGCCTTCAAGAGGGTGTTTTTGAGACATATATACCGGTGACATTATTTTTCTTTTCCTTGTGTATTTGATGTTACAAACTTTTCTTTTGATAGTTTGATTCCGGTTTAATGTTTCATCTTACTGAATTACATCCTCAAGGAATAAAGGAATTATAGCTTTTACTACATTGCAGCTTAGGGTTGTATTAGTCATTAGATTCATTAATTGGTAACTATAAATAAGAAGAAAAGAAGAAAAGAAGCAGTAGTTCAGCCCTTTTCAAAAAATATTTTTCTCTCCTTTTTTTTTTGTTTGCTTGTTACGAGAAAATTTTCTTACCAATGCCATATTATCACTTCTAATTAGCTATCCAGCTTTCAAAGTTTCTCACAAGGATATCTTTCCTATAGATCATCATCTTCCAAATCCAAGTTAACTCTTTCTCTAGTCTCTTTGAATCGCGAGTTAAAGCCTAGTAATTCATTAATACCACTAGTCCAATCATTTTCACTACGGGCCACACAGTGGATTCCTTTATGTTCATTTTCAATGATGGTTCCGCTAGTGATACCACCATACGCAGTTCCGCCCTGTAGTTTTCTTAAAATTTGTTTTTCCATATTCGTCAGTCCTCCCTTTGCACCACTGATAATGTAATCTGGCATATTACTGCCGGGAATGAAAATTGTCCCAATTTCATTCACAATGTGGATCTCGTCATCTATAGCAAGGTTCAGGACATGGGAAGAGCCATCGATTGAAAGTCTGGCAAAACTCACTTGATTTGCCAAAACCGCAGCGCTTTCCGCCGCTTTTTGTTTTTCATCCACTGGGTTTTTGCCGTTCTTAGAACATGGGTCCTTAAACTTGTTGTTCCGTCTCTGGATCTTAATCTTTATATGTGAAGTTGAAGGGACGATCAATGGCCTAAAACTGAGACTACGGGGACAAATTGGAGTCAATAAAATACACTTCACTAATGGATGAACAATAGAGCCTCCGGCAGATAAAGAGTATGCTGTAGAACCCGTTGGACTAGAAATAACTAGCCCATCACCGGTGGCACGAGTGAGGAACTGTCCGTCAACATAGACATCTAGGGTCGCTAAATGCGGAGTTGAACCACGATGAAGAATGATATCATTCATAGCATGGACTTTTGCAGTGCATGTTCCATCATCCATTTTGCTATAGGTAATAGTTTCGCTTGGATCTGGCGCAATAGTACCTTTACCAGTGTTTGATCCCTGTGGTTTCTTCAATATATGACATTCAAGTCTTGATCTTTGAAGAACCTTGGCATTGGACAGATATACTTTTGCGAATGCATCCTTAAAATTACTGAAATCGTATGGTAAGAGAAACCCAAGAGTTCCTAGAGAAAACGAAAGAACCGGTGGAACCAAGTTCCCGGCAAATAAAGAAGTACTCTTAAGGATCGTTCCGTCCCCACCCAACGTGACTAGTAGATCAGCTTTATCAACAATTTCATCAAAGCTGCCCGTAAACAAGGTAATGGGTTTTTTCTCTGTTGCGCCTCTCGAATCATTTTGGGATTTTTGTATCTTGTTGTCCAAGATCTCTTCCACAACTTTCTCTGTCAATATGATGTTTAAATGCGGATAGGTTGTGGCCAAGTGTTTGATAAACTTGTTCATCGCCACAGTGACCTCATGATTGTACGGCTTCTTCATCACAAACACATTTCGCAACGACGATGTTGCTAATCCTAATCCCCCCACTGGGCCGGAATTCGATGGGCATGTTGATGAGATTGTTGGCCAGATCAACCGCTTTAGCTTTGAATTTGATACTGACTCATAGCGCGGATATACTCGATCAGGAAGCTCAGAGCAGTTGGAAATTGTTATATCGTCTTGAGTGAGCGGCAATTGGGATACATCGAAAGTATAGGCCCTTCTTTGTTGGTGAGGGATCTTCAATAGACTATATTCTTGTCTATTCATCCGCACAGGGGTGGTAGGTTGCCCATAATGAAGATATCTTCTGGTACTTTGAACGCTAGCAGCATAACTTTTCCGCCCACAAAGTGGGTAGCAGCATCGAAGAGACGGCTGAACTCCCGTCTTTATCAATTTGCGCATGGGAAAGCTCTAAGCAAAATAAAAATAAACAAAAGAAGAATATTAAATCAAATTGGAGAATATATGCTGGCAACAATATTAATAATATTATCGAGGAACCTAAAAAATGGTCTTGTGATTCTAAACTTTTCTGCTTGATGACTAAAAACCCAGCCTTCCATCACCCAATGATTTTTTTCATTATCTAGTCACGTGTATCTGATAACCTTTTTATTAGAATATGCGGGTGGACGGATTACAGACGAGTATTTTCGGATAGCATAACAATTTTGTCACATGTTTGAAGAGAAGAGATAGTAATAATAATAATAATAATAGTAATAATAAAAAAGAAGGAAGCGATAAGAGAAGGAGGGGGAAAAAAAAAACTCAAAAACAATGAACCATAAGAAAATAGAGTACAGATAGAGATTGAAGAATATTTGATCAAAAAGTATCAAAAAAAAAAAAAAAAAGAAATCGAAAATAATACAGAATATATCTCAATAAAGTCATGTTGACGATATCGAATCGATATTAATCTTGCCGTTGCTGCTGTCCTTCATTTTGATATCCACAGTTGGTTCACCATTTTCATGATTTTCGATATTTTTAGATCCTATGCCTTCAGCCTTATCATCATCTTCGTAAAATTCATTTCCTTGTTGAATAGTATTGTCTATAGCATATTGTGATCCTCCTTTGGTGTCTTTAGCCTCTGCAGAGTCTTCCTCCACATCCCCCAAGTCTTCACGGTCGTTAGGGGTATAGTGCATTTGAACACTTGGAGCGTGCTTTGTGTGTTCCAAGTTCTTGATCAATTGAGTCAACAATTTATCGAGGTATTCTGGAGAATTAGCATTCAACATATTGGAAGGTCTGACGTCCAATTTGTAATCTGGCCCATAATATTCGTAGTAGTCATTATAAGGTAAATCTGGACCCAAAATCTCATTATTTAAAATACCAGTCTCATAAGCCCAGGTACGCGCCACATTACGCATAGTGTACCCACCACCACCAACAACCATGAGAGGCAAGTTGAAAGATTTCACATAATTGACACAATTTGCATGACCATTCATGGATAAGTTGAAACACCCTAATCTATCCCCAGATAAAGAATCCCCACCACATTGCAAAACAATAGCCGATGGTTGGTACCAATCAATAACATGCTTTATCACCAGCTCGAACAAACTCTTGTACGTGGCATCATCAATACCATCTCTTAATGGAACATTGACAGAATGGTACTTACCTTTAGAAACCCCGATATCTCTAATATCACCTGTCCCTGGGAAAAATTCCCCATATTTATGGAAAGAGCAGGTCATAACTCTGTCAGTGGTATAAAAGGCTTCTTCCACACCGTCCCCATGATGCACATCAATATCAATGTACAAGACACGCGCGTGGTATCTTAATAGCTCAATGATACCCAACACAATGTCATTTAAATAGCAAAACCCGGAGGCCTCAGATTTCTTCGCATGGTGCAACCCCCCAGCGTAATTAATCGCCACATCACATTTACCTCGGTTCAAACGAGCAGCCCCCTCCATGGACCCCCCGCCACTGATCCCACAGTATTCAAATAATCCATCAAACACAGGACAATCTTCTCCGACATTGAATTTCGCCTGTTCTTTCTGGAAAAGTTCCAAATTATCAGGCGTCACACGCGCAAGGAAATCAATATACTCATCGGTGTGGAACTGGCACATTTCCTCTCTGGTGGCAGGCTTAGCACGATAGATTTCCATCTTCTTGTAAAGCCCATAGTTCATGATCAACGAGTGGGCCATTCTTATACGATGAGGTTTCATAGGATGTCCAGCACCGTACGCGTAATTACCGACATCGGCATCATAGAAGTAAGCAACACGCTTCTTCTCGTTGGGGATGGGTTTGATTGGGTCAAACGGTTTGAGTTCATACACCATCTTCTTTCTTTCTTTCTGAAATTAGTAGGCCTTGCAGAAGAACCACAGTCAATATGACTAACTTTCGTCGAGTACTGAAAGATAAGAAGGATACGAACAGAAAAAAAGGATAATCGATTCCAAGAGTAAATGGTGTTGATTTGTCCAGTTTTTTGCTAAGGTGGTTTGTTATGGTTTTTCATAAACAGAAAATTCGGTGAAGAAAAAAAAAGGCAGGCGGCGAGAGAAAGAACTCTGACCGGGTAGTTGGGTATGTGTGGAGTGTACCGGCACGGTGGGTCATCTCTCAAAATCAGATCTGCGAGAACCACCAAGGAATTGATGGAATAATAATATAAGGAAAAAGTGTCTATTTTAAGGAATGTTACAAGCACTTCTACTAATATTTGTGGTTTTGAACAGATAGCCGATGGGAGTCGACTGAGGTTTATCGCATTCGTAAAATTCTAATATCTTGGTACTTTCATCTTGCCAGTTTATTCTTATAAGCATGGTGATGAGCTTGCTATTCATGCCGATTAATTGCTTGTATTATGATCATCATTTCATTTGAGCATTTATTTTGCCTTTGACAAGTTAGGTAACGGTAAAACCAATTTTGATTGATTGTAAATGTTTGATCTCATTTTAGTCAGATTGGTTAGTGAATAGTGCTCGCAACGTGGCTCCTTCTCACTTACCGGGGGATCTGTTCATTTTATAAGCTACGGATTGACTGGTTTCACAAGATTTTGGTGAAAAAATATCTAAAAGTTTTCAAATACTCTCTCCTCCACCCCAATCGTTTACAAGTACCCAAAATTTGGTATCGTGATTTCCAATAACATTATACAGAGAAAAGAATGAAGCTTTAGTATTGTTTCACTACCTATATTCAGATCAATTCACTCAAAAATCCAACCACTCTCTTCGCGACTTCGTCTTGTGCCCCTTCTTTGCTGTCAGGACCAACGGCATGTTTTGCTCCTTCCAAAACACCACTGTACTTACTCTTGAATTTGGCGTCCATGAAGCTTTGCCATCTTTCCATTCTTTCACCTTGGTCAATCGACTTAGCAACAAACTCATCGTCTCCGGAGGGTAAAATCAAAAGAGGACGATTAACTTTACCGAAAGTTTGCGCTGGGGAATTAGGATGATCATGAGGAAGGTCAAGCAAATCGCTAGTGAAGAAATCATCATCGCCACAAGGAGCGGTAAGTGCTAAGAAACGATACGCGGTGATAGGAGTTCCAAACCATATCTTGGCATACTTATCAGGAAGTAAAATGCTGTCATCATTGGAATTTTCCTTAACAAATGCCTGTACTTCAGAAATAGCTTCCTCTGTTTCTTGAGAAGATAACAGCATGCTAATAGCTTCACGGTCACTGGCTGGTGCTTGTAGAATTCCACCATCAACATTATATAGCTCAACATCATTATCTAAACTTTGAAGAAACTTGGTGATATATTGAATCACATCTTGAGTACCGGTAGAATGGCCCATAATGACAATTTTTTCCTTATTGCAATTGACTCTCAAATACTTGACCAATTCCCCGATTTCTGCCGCATCGCGCTTCAAGCTCCCGGTACCCCAGCCATTGTAAGAGGATGAGATAAGAGTCTGGCAAAGCGACCAGTTTGATGGAAGTTGTGATGCAAGATATGGGACGTAAGGAACTGTAAGAAGACCATCGGTTAATCCCCCAATAAAGATGAGGGTGTTTGGAGTTTTCGTAGGTGAAAATTCAAATGCCGCCAATCTTGAGGTGAAATGATGGATTTTCCCTTCAAAACTTGGAGATTTGAGGCTTGCTGAATAAGGATTGAGATCAGTCATAGTAGATGTTAGATATTTACCAATTGGCGTAATTTGTCGAATTTGTTAAAATTACAAAAGAAAAGCCATGGTTCCAAAAAGGCAATAAATCATGATAATTCAGATGCCCATTGGTGTTTGGATTTTAGGATGCAAAGGTGGACAACTTGATGCTTCTTATCTCCATCCATGCCCTTAACTCCTCTTGATTCTTTAAAATATCTAAATTAGAATTAAAGAGCCTATTATTTGGATCTTTTCTGAACTTCAGGTAATATATTATATTATGGGATAAGCTATTGGAGTATAGGTAACACCGGACTCACGGAGTCGGTGGAAAATGGTAGTGTATATAAGGATACAAATAGTCAATTTCAGAGAAATAGATTGATCTATAGTAGAAAGATAGGAGCAAGGCAATTTGTTCTGATATATCTTAGATAGCCATCACAAAAATGCATACCCGAAGGATGTGCAATAACATATGAAAGACTGAAGTTTTGCTAATGGACCACATATTATTGATGGAATAATGGTCATCATGAAATTAATAGGGGATTCTATAAAGACTTTAATTACTGCAGAATAACTGTTTCATTCAACAGGTTAGCTTATACTATAGGAAAAGTTTTTTCCTGATCATATTTTGCCACAGAAAATAGAATTAAAGAATTTGCATTTATCTATGTACAAGTAGTTTAAAATAACCAGCTCTGGAACAATATTCATCCGCCAAAGAACTAGCAGTATAGGGGGCGGGAAAATACTAAAATTATAACATGGAACAAACTAAACGAAAAATAAAACATCTCATCACAGTAGAAGAAGGCAACAATTGATGTTAAAAATATTAAGGTATCCATTATCTATTGCATCAGACAAATAAATACATGAACTGTTTTCCGCTCATAAAATCAAATCTGGAGCTAAATAGATAAGGATTGATTCTGTTTTTTGTTTTTTTTTTTGAATTTGATTTTATTATTATTGATATAATATTGCAAATAATTCACAACCATTCAAATAGCGAATCCAGATCGGGATCCAATTCAACGATGATATGCAGATTGATGTACCAATAATTCTACTTTCTCTTGAAGTAAGTACTGGTAGTGAAGTACCCGACAGAAGCATCAAAAACATATTCACCGACATTCAAGTATTTGGCACCGTATTCCTTGATGAGGTTGTCATCGAATTGGTCCAAGTTTGGACTGCATGGTGGCGTTAGCTCAGGTCTGAAATTGCACATTGCAACACACAAAAAAAAATATCGACAATAAAAGAACATATAAAAGAACAAAGATTCTTTATATAGTGTACTCACGTTAAACCAGTTGATCTTTTGATGCCCGCAAGAAATGCTGATGCCAATACAAGGTCCACACTGATATGGAAAGCTCTCCCAAGCTGATAAAAATATAAATTGTTAGTTATGAATACCGAGGATATAATAGTCTGTATACCGATACCGATGATTAAGAAGTACATACAAATGGCATATTTGATTATTCTTTTTGTATTATATTATTAGTATTATGGTATATTGAGTTGAAGGTGGTATAGACAGTTAAAGAACCCCGTTTTTTAGGGAAGGCTCTACAGGAGACAGTTTTTGCTTGTGATGTCGGTAGCAGGGTAAGCCATCGCGCACAACATTAAAAGAAAGATGGTATACCATCTTTCTACTTTCATCTAGTTGTTACTAGTTGTTACTATAGTTACTATAGTTACTAAAGTACACGGTTGTAACAAGTGTAATAATTAAAGCAGCTGTAAATAACACCGTGGGCGCATAAATGGAGATTAATCTTAATAATATTCAAGAGAATGGTAGTTCTATGAATGAACTTATAGTGCGTAAAAAATAAAGTGTCTCATATAGTACATGTATTGTCTGTTTTTAAACCTCTAACATTTTAATGTATTTCGACCTGTTGATGTTTGTTGATATTTCATACATTCCTTTTTAGACTTTCATTAGCAGTATTAAGTAATCCAGACAGGATTTAATTGATCCTTTTCGTTTTTGTTTTTTCTTTCAGTGAGCTGGCTTCACATAGTCTCGTACTGCTTCCTCAATCTTGGCTTAGGTATTGAAGATGAAGGTTATTTAATTAATGAGAATACTGGTTTGTGTGCTAGACGTAGTTAGGTTTATATCAACACAGTGGAGCCATAAATTACTTTCCTTTTTTGATATTTCTCTCTTTTCCAATTTTCGCATGCCTTAATATTGCAGACTTCCCACAAATTCAGTATATGAGAATATATTACTTGGTAATATTGGAGAAGACCTGCTATCGGCAAATTTTTCCAGCAGCTGACGATATGATCAACTTTCTAACCGAAATTTTACCAATTGGAACATGTGCAACAATCAATCATATGCTAAAATGATGAAGAATCAAATTTTTTCTCAACATCTAGTCAAAAGTACTGGAAATTCCGAAGAGAAAAAAAATCGGTCAGTAACGTTCGATATAGAAAAACCCACCAATTAATACCAGTAATTTAAACTTGTGTGGAGAAGCTAAAGATTCTAGTTTTGCTGAACATTCTGTCATGTCTGGTGCAGGTTTTTTTTTGAATGGTTTCTTCGCCTCCAAAGATTACCAAATATTTTTTAATAAGATTGTACGATTTCTAATAATTGGAAGACAAGCCCAGTGCTCAGCTCATTGATGGAGAGGGGTCAGAGGATTGGTTCCAAAAATTGGGAATATTTTGCATGATTTAGCTAAAGAAATGGGATCTACATCTCCTTCCAAACGAGCCAAATATTTTGTGGATATAGATAGGTATGTTACAATTATTGACGAAAGAAATATGAACGCGGAAGATGGAATAATTATGGCCCTTGGGTTTCATGGCGATTAGGAGGTAATTAGAAAAAGAATATCCTTATTCAATAATGATTCTTGGAAGAGGTTACAAGCTGGTGATTCATACTATGGTGGCTACAGGAAATTAACGATCTCAGTGGAGAAAAAAGCTGACTGGGCTGTTGTAGTTGAATATCAGCAATGTATCCGCCGAGTGTATAGAGAATGGTAATTGTCAGCACAGTGACTGTTCTTAGCTGCCTTTCACACGACGACAAATAAAAATGAGAAATGGATATTATATTGTATGAATCAAAGACATTTGGCAATATTTGTGTCTATTGTGATAACTTTACTTTGCTTTTAAATATACTAAAAAAGACTGAGACGAAGCTTTTTACAGTTTGGTAGATCACTGCTTCTCTCTGTTTAATTAAGGAATATATAGAGTAGATGAGGAGCTATCTGCTATTTGTGTTGTCCACTAATGATGTTCAAAAAAGAAGCTTTCGTGTTTAGCACACAACAGTTGGTATGAGAGATTCTTGAGTTGTTACCGCCACGAAGGCGGTGTGGGTACATATGCAACTGCCTGCATTTATATGTTTCTGCAAGCATCTATCACAACAAACTATTGCCTAATAACACACAGCAATAAACATCGTCAATCAGACGGGGGCTTGTGCAAATGGAAAATGTGCCAAAACATCAATAGGTAAATAAAGGATCTAGCATCGCCCCGCCATCCTAATTTTAAAAAGCCCTAGAGGCTCACAAGTTCCCAGGCATTTCCTGGCACCGTGCGGAATTAGGATAGCTCTCCCACAGATTATTGTATTGGGTATTTTTAATTTAGGGCGCGCGGGGTGCTGTCGGTTGTTTTAGATTTAGGGGTTCCCACCCAATCCATACTTTTTCAAGGCCTGTTTTAGATCGACGGATGCCCATAAGATCCATCAATTTGTCCGACAAAAATTTTGCGAAAAAAAATATTGGTGTTCATCATCTACCCCAAGAAGAAAACCGCAGCAACCAAGCTTGAAATAATAGTTGATTATATTTTATTACTCTGTTTACCATTCATCAATCCTCTCTTCCCTTCCCATTCTTTTTCCTTCTGTTTGCCAGATCTCTCCTTTATTTCCTCATTTTTTTTTTTTTAAAACCGCTGGCACCGCCGACTCATCCACCAACTGATTGTCATCAGCATTCCATACAAATCAATTGGGACAGCTCTGTGCTTTTCAAAAGATCGCTAACAAATACTATAAAAAAGGACTCCTGTCTTTTCATTACCAGACCGGATTAAGTATCATCTTGACTCATCGAATTTGGGTTCATTTTGGCCGATCACTTACTCGATAGACAACACGCCATACAAAAAATTGAGAAGCAAAAAGAATTTTTTTTTTTTTCATCTTACTTTTTGTTCTTGTTTTGTTTAATTCACTTGAAAAGTTTATCCTTATCTTCTATCAATACTTCAAATAATGGTTTCTGACTCAGGAACCGTGGCTCTTGCCGTGACAATCCCTGTTGCTTTTGTGTTGATAGTTGTCATTCTGGCTTACAGTTTCTCCCGCAAAAGTATGAAAAAAGACGATCAGATGATTCAAAATAAGTTGGAGAATATTGACTTGGAAGCCGATCTAACTTTTGATAATTATCAACAATTAGCCGGCCCTCAGTCGCCTTTAGAAAAAAATCATGGTTTCAATACCACCAACGGAAACAATGTCGACGCAGTTCCTCAAGCTCCAGCCGACTTGAAGAAATCAAAATCTCGTTATAGAACTTATAGCTACCATCCAGCCATGAGAGGCCAGAACGATATTAATCTTAATAGTCTCAATCTCAATAGCAACAAAGAACTGAAACCTGCACTGACTCCAGAAACTGATTATTCATCATCTACAAATGCCACCAATCCCAACTCAAATACTCTTCCTCCTTCATTTGTCAACCGCTCCAACTCAGACTTTGGCAACGGCTCTTCAAGTACTATAGTCAATGGAACTTTCCCACCACATGTGAAGCGTAATTCTGAACAGTTATTGCAAAATTATTTTGAGGGTATTGTACCGGTACTAGGATCAGAAACCACCAAAGCACGCAACTCAAGTGATGATTCGCAAGTGCTAGTACCTCCTCCCCCTGCCGTTGTTAGAAGTGATAGTGTTAACGACTCTAGATCATCCAGTAAATCCAACTCGGAATCGCATACCGACGATGGCAGTTCCGGTACAAAGAAACAGCTGAAAGCAAAAACAATCTTCAAGAGACCTACCTCGTTTATTGGAAATTCAAAGAGTAGTGTTATAAAGGAGAATGCTAGTAGTTCAGATGTCGGATCGCAAAACTCTAAGGCCAATAACGATCATAATGATAAAGTTAATAGTGGTTTGAACAAAAATAATGTTGGAGAAAACTCCCTGGACTCAATAAATCAACAATACTTCATTCGCTCGTTGAAGAAAAATGCCCGGGAGCTGCATGATTTCACTATGCCTATCCCAGGAAGTGCAAGAACTAGTCATCTTATCGATAGAAAATCTCCATTAGCTTCTGTCGAAATGAGAAAACTGGGTTCCCACGGATCATTCACAGACAATTCATCTAAGCAAGGCAGTAATACCAAATTGTCTAAAATGGTCAACTACAATTATCATTCTGGTCATGCAAACGATTCTTCTAATGATTTTTTGCCTCCAAGGCATCCAGCAATGCTTAAAACCAGAAACAATAGTATCTCCACGGATAATAGTGCTGGCCATGTTGAACCATCTGGAGACGCTGGGTTCTATTTTGAAAGTGAGGCCGAAGCTAGTGAATTAGATTATGGAAAGGAAAACATAAATATGGAGCAAGGGTATCCTGATGTTGAAGTCTCTAAAGACCAAAAAATCTCACCACCTAGCAATTATAGCCAAAGCGTGGCTAGTAACACCACTGGAACTACTGGTGGGAATCCATTTGAAGGTTAATCCATCAGCATTATCATTTTTTTTTTTTGGTTTCCTTCAGCACTTGGTTGCATCGGACCATTAACTAATGTCTTGCAGAGAACGAAAGAAAAACAGAAAAAAAAAGAAAGAAAGAAAAAGCTCAACCAATGCTGTGTTTTTGTTCTCTAGTGATTCATTTCCTTTTTGAAGTTAGATTGTTCTTTTGTTTTGTTTTTTTAATTGGGTTTTTTTTTGATTTTTTTTTTTTTTGATTTTAGGTACCAGTCTTTGCTTTTATTATTGGTGTACAAACATTTAGGTCAATTCGTTTTTACTTCTTGTTCTTACAACTACATCCCCGTGCTTGGTTTCAACTCCAATAGGGTTTGAAAATCTCTCATCACATTCGACTCCCATATATGTTGAATGTTGATACTTCATCACCTCCATTCTATCCTCTGAGTATCATCGCCGAATTCCACATATGTACATAACTCACATTTTTTTTTTTTTATTTGCATCAAAGCACTTTCCGCTTAATATTTTACATTTACTGGGTTGTTTTGCTCCCTTAAGCAATAATAGATTTTCGTTTGGTAATATTACATTGTTGTTCTATTCAATTATCAATATGATTTTTTTTTGTTCACATTTTTCCAGTTATACTTTTTTTCTCTCTCTATATTTGGAGCACATAGTGGTAGCATCAGACGTGATAATCATGAAATGTATCATAATGATAAGGAGGCATGGGTCTAGATGTAAGGTTTAATTTACGATCCCTCTTAGCTTTTGCATACGAAACTGAAAAGCTGTTATACACCCACTATCATTAGACCAGGACCATGGGCTACTGAGAAATATCTAGCCTGCTATTTTGGATTTGGTGTCGCTGTTTATTTTGAGATTCTGCTCAATTCAAATACACTATTTTCCTAAAAACTGTAGGAGCTCGGAATCATCGAAAATTAGCTGGATTTCAATGATTTTTTTAAACAACTTTATCCGTAGCTATCCCACCACCTTCTTATTGCGACGTTTTCTTTTTTTTTTTTTCCCTTTTTTTTTTGTTACCCCCTTACAATAGTCTTCTATTAAACCATCTTCTTGAAAAGTTACACACATCTTTCCAATGACAGCCTATGGATCTGCCTCGATTTGTTGCCTCGGTGTGTAAAGAAGGGAAATCAGATCTGGCTTCTCCAGCTTATGCATGATGGGGGTGTTCTTGAATCCAACTGGCTAATATGCATGTATACACACTTATGTAATAGGCAATCGGACATCGTAATTTATATTGCAAATTTTAACTTTTTGATCTACTGAATAACTGTTTTCCAGATCGGATTTATTTGTCCACATATTTTTCAATTTGCTGGAATCCGCGTGGTAAACCAATGACAGAAACATGATATGACGTTTGACGCCATTTACAACAAATATAAGCGGGGATAAATCAATGCTAATTGAATAATTGGATACAACAATTTTTTTAAAAGAAAAAGAAAACAAGAAAGGAAAGAAAAAAAAAATGATACAAAATAGAAATTAAGACACACCAAAAACAACACGTCAAAGACGAAATAAAGAGTAAACATATTAAACTATACACCGTAAGCATTAGAAATGAAGAAACCCAAAATGGAAAACAACATAAGAAAAAAAAAAAAAAGAAGAAGAAGAAGAAAAGCAAAAATACAACAGTAATAACAAACAGTTCGGTGAGGAACCTACCAAAAAGGGATTTTTTCTTTCTCCAATACTTTATAGATTTCTTTGCAAGCTTCATCCAAAATTCTTATTTTATCATTTTCTTCAAGCACTCCATTTTCTATATCCAATCCACGTTTCACTACACGATCGATCACAATTTCATTTGCCAATCTCATAAACTCACCACATTTATCGTTGAGGCGCTTATCGGCAGCAGCAGCCCTTTGAACGAGCTTCTCGAGCTGTTCATGGTCTGCGGCAGTGGCAGCATTGTGATGTACAGTTTGATCTTCGTAAAGTTGCGCGGCGATCAACGAGTAGTTTGGAGTTACTCCCAACTGGTTCAAAGCCTGTTGATTTTGGGCGTGTTGGGCTTGCATTTGCGAAACATCATGGGTGGTGAGATGTTGTGGATGTTGTTGTTGTTGTGGATGTTGTTGTTGTTGCTGCTGCTGCTGTGGCTGGAGAAGTGGTTGAGTCGGAGGCTGGGGAAAGTTAGGAATTCTGGTATGAGAGATATCAATAGGCATATCAGAGTTCATGAATGCCTTGTTAGGGATCAATGGATGGTTGTGCTTGTCATTTACAATGGAAATGTTCCATTTTTCAGCTTTTTTAGAGTAATTTGCCCGTATCTTGAAACAGCAAGATTTGTATTTTGTGGAACGTTCAGAAGAAATATCCGCCTCATTGACACCGGTGGCATTATTCAAATTCACGGCGTTAATGTTTTTAACTACCGAGTTTCCTTCGACATTCTTGGATGCTTCGTCTTCAGTGTCTTCACCATTCATATTGGCACCATTTTCCTCACTTCTGGTTATTGGAGTTTTGTGGCGGCAACGGAATACGATTTTTTTAGTGTCTGATCTCTCGATCGCCAACATTATTCCCAAAGGAGCGAGCCTGGACTGCAACCATGGTTTGATTGCGTAACGAAGCATCAAGGAATATTCATTGGTGTCTCTGGAGTTGACTTCATCGAGGTTCAAGAGATCATGAAGTGGCGAGATGTATTCTCCGTTGGTGCGGCGTGGGGCAACGGGAGGAAGGTCTTGGAAGCCATTGGAAACTGTTGGTTTGATGTCGAACTTGAATTGCTGGTGTTGGTACGGAGTTTTCATTGTCATTATGGGGCAGAATACTTTGGCGTTATGGGGTGAATGAGAAGGACGAAGGAGGAGTTTCTGACCCCTCAACGAAAATACCCTAAAAAAAAAAAATAAAAAAACACCTGAGAGTGTGCGGGTAACCAGATGGGATGAGGGCAGATTCTCTCACCTGTTATTATTATAACCAACGGTAGGTATTTCCAATAGAGTATTACTGGGTTGGGAGGTGTACAAATGGTAATTGGTGGCACTGTGTAGAGTTTAGGAGATGTGATGGGTGTAGGTTACTTACTAACTTTAGAGCACCTTCCTTGCAGACGGACCGTACATTAACGGGGACTACTTCGCAACATATGAGTAGTTAATTTGAAAATAATAGAATAATTTGCTTACTCCTTACCCAATATCAATACTCATTGTCGTTGATTATCAATATCGTCTCTAAATATTGTCTTATCAGTGTGTTATTATTATTATGATGTATGCATGGAAAAAAAAGTATTTGGGAAGAAGAAAAAAACAAAAAAAAACCCTACTACAGCCTCACTGTTATGAAAAGTTTCTGGTCTTTTGTTGATCTTCCCTCTATCGACTACCATTTTAATGCCAGCTACAAATAGAATCATGAAAGAATCCCAGAAGTTTGAAAGAATTGTCACCAATGGTCTCAAATTTGGGGCTCACGTACTGACCACCGGTGGGATATCCAATGCTGTCACCAACGCTTATAACATTGGATGCAATTCATTTGCCATGTTTTTGAAAAACCCTCGTCGTTGGGATGCTGCTGCTTTGAAACCAGAAGAGATCGAAAAATTCAAAGAGAATTGTAAAAAATACAATTACGACCCATTGAAAGATATTTTACCTCACGGGCAATACTTCATCAACTTATGTAATCCAAACAGTGAGGCCCACGAGAAGTCATACCGTACTTTTCTTGATGATTTGAAACGTTGTGAGTCCCTCGGCATCGGCAATTACAATTTACATCCTGGCTCAGTATTGAAAGGTGGAGATCATGAAAAAGGACTCAAACAATTAGCAAGTTATATCAATAAAGTACACAAGGAAACCGAATTTGTGAAAATTGTGCTTGAAAATATGGCTAGTGATAACGTTGTTGGTTGCAAATTAGAAGATTTGAGGGACGTTATCGAAATGATCGAAGATAAGCTGAGGGTTGGGGTTTGTATTGATACCTGCCATTCGTTTGCCGCGGGGTATGATTTAAGAACCGAAGAAAGTTGCAAAGAATTCTGGGGACACTTTGACGAAGTTATCGGTTACAAATATTTGTCAGGGATTCATTTAAATGATTCTAAAGGACCATTGCTTTCTAACAGAGACTTGCACCAAAATTTGGGGCTCGGATTTTTGGGATTGGAAGCATTTAGAATATTTGCAAACAATAAACTTGATGCTTTCAAAAATATTCCAATCATTTTGGAAACTCCTTATAATACTGGGGTTGGTGATGAACATTATGGTGAAGAAATCAAGTTGTTGGAATGGCTAAATGGCAAAACGAATGACGATGAAGAGTTCAAAGAGAAGGAACAAAATTTTAGTAACAAAGGGTCTCAAGAAAGAAGTGAGCAGAGTAAGAAATTTGAAAAAAAGCAAGTGAAAAGGGCGGCTGATAAGGAGAAAGCAGCAAAAGGAACCAAAAGAGCAAAAAAAGGTGGAATTGATTCGTTTCTCAAAAAAAATTAGGGTTTCTACAAATCAAAAACGAATGATTCGTCAAGTATAGCCGAGGTTTATTGTTCTCTTCTCTTTATATTATTATTATTATAAAAAAAAAAAAAAAAAAAAAAAATAATTTACTATGTACACAAATAATCATGAGATCGGATAGTTCATTAGTAGAACATGAAAAGTAGGGAACAGAAATAAATGAAGCGTGGAGATATGAGAGAGGATAACATCAAAGGTATTTAATCAATTGACAAGTTCAGCAGAGTCGTCGTCGATAAGGTCGTATTTGACATCATCAACAGTGACCGACCATTCATCAATAGTCAAAGGAACACTCTTGTTTGGTCTATTGGCAACGAGCTTGACCACTCCGATTTTCCCATTATCGCCCTTAATTTTAAAACTAATGTCGATTTTCCCCTTCACTTGGTTGAATTCACCACTGATCCAAGGGAACGCTGATGTGAAATCAATATTTTTTCCAAGAACTTCTTTAACTTTATCGGATCTTCTAAGGAAATGCATGGTTGATCCAATAATTGGAGAAGAAAATTTCTCGTAGTTAACAATCATGAAAAACCCAACGGTCACACAGATGACAAAACAGCAAAACTGTAATCTCACTTTGCGCTTTTCAGCCAAAGGGTCTGGTAATTCGGTATTAACGGTCATTGGCTTCTTGACCTGCTTCTGTTGGTGGTCTTCTCTGAATATATTTTGAGTAACAGGAGCGGCTGTTGATTGCCATCTTGCTGGGGGAGCGGTAAGTGCCTTTGTGGTGGCAGTTATTGGGGCGCGAAAGGCGGCAGCAACACCACCTCTGGCCATAGGTGAGGATCTCACCAAAGGGCTTTTCAAGATCGATCTCAACATCTTTGGTAGCGGTACTTGTAAATTATGGCTATATATATATATATATATGTATATATATATTGGTGATATCGACTTCAGAGATGTGAATTTTTCACAGCGTGGGAAATTTTCGCATAGCCAGAAAAACCACTGGCGGTGCACTTAGCACTGGAGGCGCCGTCAAAAAAAAGTAGGCTTTTTTTTTTCTTTTTGGATACCGTTCTTTTACCACAGATCTCCCACCATACACAGATATATATATAATCTTATACTCCTATTGCCTTTCCTGGTCCAATTTCAAAATACCACTCTTTCTGTTTTATTCTGAAAATACTTCCAAGATTTTGTCGTTCTTTGCTTCGGTCATCAGTGACAAAAGAACTTCAGAGAAGTCCAGACTAGTAATTACAAGTGTACTTTGTGTGTCTGTCAAACGACTCATCATATTAGATGTCTGATTCATACAAATCACACCATGTTTCCAACATAGTCAGCAGGCTAGCGTCAGACTTCTTGAATTCTATTGATCATGATCATATCGTCTACTATCTCCAGACCATATTCGCGATCATTGACATCCCATCTTCTGGCGATGATATCATGTCAAAAATTCAGAATAATATCTCCAACGATGCAGCCCACCATTATATCACCAATATTTTGAAGCAGAATGAAATCTACAAATACACTTTCAATACCCAGAACCTATACCAACTAGTGTACATCTCGGAGCAATATTTCGAAAAATTCAACCGGCAGTTTGCAAAAGTCATGAATAATAACCTGGGGTCGATGGATCCCAACGTTGTGAATGATTTGAATGAATTCTTATACCAAGCATTGGCATACTATGTCATTGGTTATACTGTCTTGGTTTACTATATACCAACGTGTCTTTCAATGGTAAATGTAAATCTAATTAAAGAAGCAGATATGGAACTATATGGGCAACTAATAAGTTTCTACAAGAATGAATTTTACTTCAACACGATCAGATCAGAAATCGATGATTATTGTAACTTTCAAAAAAATTCCACAAATATTAATAATGACTATTATTTCCCCACGATCAAAAAGAGAAAGTCTACAAAGAGTTATTTAACGGATTATGGTCCAGAATATTACAAGCAGGAAGCATCGGAATTAGACGATAATAATGCCCACAAGAAAAAGCCTATCGACGAGGATTTGGATGAAATGGTTTACAATATCCAGGAGGTGGAGCTTTCGACAAAAGAACTCCCTTCAATATCATCAAAAACACTACAGAAATATTTGCAAGCAACTAATAGATCGGTATTATTGGTGGACTTGCGTTCTAGGGAAAGTTTCAACACTAATCATATTATCAACAAGTTTTTAATCAATATTGATCCAAACCTACTATCTACAAATAAGCAGGATTTAACTGAGGATAGTTTGGAAAAAGTATTGAAAAAGATTTTGAAAAGTCAAGTTCCAGATAACTCGAACGTTAACGCAGAATTGGATGAAGAGGAAGATCGAGATTTGATTACAGTTAAGAATACATACAATTATTTCAAACAACGTCACAAATTCCATTTAATTGTTTATTACACTGATGCGGAGACATGGTCGCTTTTCAATAATGAAAGAGTACTGTTCAATTATTTACAACTATTTTATGACTTGATTTATAAAGATAAGCCTACCAATGCTTCCAAATCACGAAAATTGACCAAACCCCCAAAAGTATTGGAGAACGGATTTGAGTCCTGGCTTAGTTTGTTGGAAAGCCAAAATTTAGAAAACCTTGATGATGAAAAAGATGCATCACAACTCTCTCCCAACGATTTTAGTAATTATTATGTGGCACGCTCAGAAGAAATGTTTGAGCAAAAAGGAACACTGGAAGATATGTATTTATCTGGTACTTATGATAATAATGGAATCACTAACAGCCGGCCAATTGATAATCATTCTGAATCTTATGATACTTTCAATAACAATTTCAATAAAAATAACGCTGGTAATAGCGATGGTATAGACCCCTATGGGATGCAAAGTAACCGCTATACTGATCCCTCAAATGACTCTGCTAAAGATGATCTGATTAGAAATAATGCTCCACGAATGAATCCACCTCCTATACCTCGGAAAAATAGTATGGCTCCAAATTCCTTTGATATTTACAATAATCCACCAAAGGATATTCCACCACCAGTACCTCTGAAATCACCTAAAGCTGTATCTGCTCCAAAATTTGTTATGACCCAGCATTCTGTTGGTAATGATTTTAGCAATAACAATGATGATGTTTCGGCCCAACAAGTGACACAGTATGCAACCGTTAACCAGAGGTACGGAGGTATTAACTCAAAAAACAATTCGAGAAATAACTCAAGAAACAATTCACCAATTAATGTACATTTCCAACAGCTGAACCACCACTCTCATCACCATAATCATCTTCTCCATCATAATCAGGGTAGGTTGAATAATAATGGTGGATATGTCAATGGGAGTAACATTTTATCGCCCGCGTTGCCATCTGTTGCTGCTCCTACTAATTATGGTGAGCCAGATCAGCCAACATTTCCACCTCCCCTTCCTCCTGCTCAAAAGTCGCTGACCGTGTCACCCTATGAAGCATCAAAGGAACAACTTAATAATAGTATGGGTGGAAAGAGACGGAAACCGCCACCAGACCCACCAGCTTTAATCAATAGCAATATGAAAATTGATACTTTTCCTACTCTTCCACCAATCCTGCAAGGTTCTAATCCAATACCCTTAGTATCATCGCAGCGGTACCAAGGGATACAAGCTCCACAATTACAACCTCCTCAACAAGCATCACAAATCATGATGGCCCCTCATCGTCCTATAGCTCATACTCGTCCAAAGCAACCTCTACCACCAGCTCAACCAACGCAACAACCATTATCACAACATCCAAGAAAACCGGTGAATGTTTTGAAATCACTTTCTATTGTAGGGTTGAAGAACTATGAGTCTAATTGTTATATTAATAGTTTATTACAGTGTATCTTTTCGGTTCTAAAGTTCCGAACCGTTTTTTTAGCTGGTAATTACAGGAAGTACATGTCCGACGCTTCAAACAATCCAAATATCAGGAAACCAGCAGTTTCCCAGGCTATTGGAAGATTATTCGATAAAATGAATACTCATGGTGGTGTAATTATTGCTCCTACTAATTTTTTGAATGTTTGCTCCAAGATTAGGCCTGATTTTCATATTCCATACCAACAACAAGACAGCACGGAATTTTTGATTTTCTTATTGGATATAATACATGAAGAATTGAATGGTTCGGATTTGATTATTAACCAATACCCTGAATCGATCATTCCTGCGTTGAATTTCGGCGATATAACAGACTTTGACACCAGTTCTAGACTCTCAATTAATGTGACTGATGAAGAAATTAGAGGCTATACTAAATGGTTCAAGAAAATCACTCAGAAAAATGGGGTTTCTCCGGTGAGTGCGCTTTTCCAAGGTCAATTAGAAAGCTGTTTGAAGTGTGTGAAGTGTATGAAAGTGAGCAAGACGTTTGCCAACTTTTCGGTGTTGACTTTGTCAATTGTTGCACAAACTTATGGTAAGAAGAAAATTAGGTTGGAGGACTGTATTAAACTATTCACTGCAGATGAGATTTTAAGCGGTGATAATGCGTGGGATTGTCCAAATTGCAAAAAGAAGGATGAGGAATTGAAAAACGTCAACAATTTCTATAATTCCGTGTACGGAGAAAGCAATGGTGATGCTGAAGCAGGTGAGCCAGCTAATGGTTCTCAACCACAAAGCCATCAAAACAAGACTTTTTTCAATCTTCGGGGTAAGAAAAAGGACAAGCTCGCCAACAAGAAACATGATGAACTGAATACTGGGCATGATGAGCCGGCCACTAATAGAGAAAAGTTTGCTAGTATGCAAATCACTGGAAATAAGACTATAAAGTGCTTGAAGTTCATTCAAATTCCAAGAATTTTGGTGATTAGTTTGTCAAGATTTAAATTCAACAAATATGGTGAGCAAGCCTCGAAGAATGGAGCGTCTATTATTTTCCCAATCCTGTTGGATATTAAAGTGAAAGATGAAATCTTGACTTATAAGCTATTTGCATTCATCAATCATTTTGGAAGTTTAAAAGGCGGTCACTATACTTCTATTGTCAATAAACAGGCTCCAGGAAGCAAGAGAGATTGTTGGTGTTACTTTGATGATGAAAATTATGAAGTCAATATCAATCCAGGTATAAACTATGCGGATAACACAATCACTAGTAGTGATGTGTACGTTTTATTTTATCAGAAGGTTGAGTCTGTGATTTAGTGCTTTGATATATTTTTCTTGGTCTTGTTCATTTCTTTTTTGGGCTTTGTCGAATAGCATTTTTCTATTTTTTTTTTTTTTTTTGTCCCTTTCTTGTTATTTTCATTTTCTTGCAAGTTAAATCTCTTTCTAAATCTCTGAATTGGCATTATGATCCAGCTTTAATGGTACCAATGTTTTGACGAAAGCATTTTTTTTTTTTTAAACCCAGCTTATTGTAATTATTATAACTGTTATACCATTATTCCCATATTTTTTTTTATCTTTAGCATCATATTCTTTGCATTTACAATTACGACTTATTATTTTTATGATTCATGTTATTTTAGAGCACCTAATATTGACATATTTTTATAAAGATAGTGTGTAGCCATAATAGCAATTACTTGTTCTGGTGTTTGTATTTGACTGAGGGATAAAGGTCTATTTGAGTAACTAAGAGACCAAATGCTCTGAGGAGCAATCGTCTTCTACATAAATCATCCTCTAAATATATCATACCCTACATATATACATATGAAATAAAGTGGAATAAAGCAAAACGGAATGAAGCAAAATAAAAAAAATTAAATGAATTGAAAATGGAAGAATTGAAAATGAGAAATACAAAATCCCTTTAAGAAAAGACAAAAGAAAACAAAAAGAAAAAAACGAGAATAAAAAACATTGACGTCCAGCGATCAATGCAAGAAATTATTAAAGTAATATGACTTGAAAGAAACAAAAAATAAAAAATGCTACAGTATAATATAAAGAAGAAGGATGCAAAAAAAGAAAAAAAAAGAAAAAACAGAAAAAGATAAAAAATAAGGGTAAAAATAATAATAAAAAAAAAAACTAAATCAAGGATCTAAACATGGGTATTGTTGCTTTTTTCTCTTCTCTCTCCTCATTTTTTTGTTAATCTTACTCTGTGGATTGTTATGAGTCCTGAAATGCTGCATACAATTGTCATGTCTTGAGAATCTCGAATTGCAATCGGGATAAGGGCATTCATAAGGACGAACGCCAGTGTGAATGATTTCATGGCGGTTTAGATGGGCAGCAGTCATGTACCGTTTCCCACACCTGTTACAGCGAAAAGGACGAGGGGCGGTTGATGGAGGTGAAAGGGGATTTGTTTCGAAAATGATAGGAGATGAGTGGACGAGGTTATTTTGAATAGAAGAAGAAAGCGGCAGAAGTTTTTGCTGCTGTTGGACTGAAGTTGAAGGGATATCGCACGGGTTCAGGGATTGAGGCACTGGTATATATTCACCAGACAATACAGTACCAGTAGGAACTGATTGGTCCTTTGAGCTGATAAAATTCTGTCTTATGGGAGGCAAAACACTTCCCAGACTATACTTTGGAAGGGAAGAAGAATAGGAGCTTATCAAGTCCCGTGAAGAACTTACGGGAGTTGGTAGGAGAAACCTTTGATTTTGAGAAGAAGGAAGAGGAGGATATTCATTACCGGAAGGAGGCAGGAAATTTCCAGACGGATGAGGAGCGGCGAATGTTGAGCTAGGTTCAAAATGAGAAGAGGTGCTTGGGTTCAATAAGGAGGCAATTTTAATAGAGTCTCCGTTTAATGACCCGGAAGAATGCCTAACCGATCCGGAACCTCCAAAGTTCATTGAAGGTGTTTGAGTAGTAAGTTGAGTAGTAAGGAATTCTGACGTTGATGTTTTCATTCTCTTTGGAGAAAAAGGGGAGTTTTGAGGATGAGACGCCATCACCTAGTAAAGTTAAAGCTGCACCGTTTTGTTATATTTTACTTTTTTTTTTTGTTTTATTTTTTTTTTTTTTTTTTTTTTCTCCGTTTGAGCTTCTTCTTCCTGTTCTTATCTTCTTATTCTTCTTCTTCACATTCTATCAGTTGGAATGGAAATGGGTCCTCCAAGGTGCTTGAGTGTTGTGATTTTGTCTGAGGTTCTGTTTTGTTGGGCAGGATATCCAAAAGTCTCTAATTGATAAATAATATCACGCGCACACACAAGCAGTGATAATAAGAGTGCAAAGCAACGCCCACGGGAGAAGAGCAACGGTTACGTGCCATACATAGAATATAAATATAAGATCTATTTGAGTAACTAAACCATATGCCTTGAGGAACACGCATACTTTACATATATACGTATGGGTGATTCAGCGTACATGCTTACAACTTTTCATGCCCGTTAGACTATTGATGCTCTAAAAATTTTGACCTCTGATCATACCCAAATGCCGAGAAGAAAAAACAAAAACACAAAAAGGCATTCTGTCTTAAATCTTGTATCATAGTCTTATGGAGGTTTTTTTCATAAGAATTCTTTGACAGCTTTGTGAATAATCTAATGGTGTCAGTTTTTATTAGGATTCTTTCGAACAACAGGGCCGCCGCCAAGTATGATCATGCAAGGTTATCTATCAACATCGAAGTAAGTCGGCGCTTTCTATGAAGGCCAGATGAGAATCTGTAAATATAACACTGTTCAGTATCGCCTATAGACGGAAAAATTCGCTACTGAAGAGAATTGTCGTAATTTTTTTTCTTTTCTTTTCTTCCTCGACGAAAGACAGGAGCAAAGAGTTATAGTTATATCCCATCGAACAATTTTTGTTTCCTTGGCAGCCATCGTCAATGGCCAAGAGATCCTCAGAAAGTTCGGTAGATGTGCCAAAAAAATCCCTGCAAATATCTATATGTTTGAAGTATCATTAACGGAAAAATCTAAAGGCTGTTGAAAACTACAAATTCTCAGAACTGTTTACCAAAAAGAAATTCTTACATGCATTTCGCTATAAAATGAAAAAAAACAAAAACAAAAACAAAAACAAAACACACACACACTATAAAACGGCGACAGTCAACGAGTGAAATAACCGGAAGATTTGAACATATTCTAATAGCTATCCACCTTGCTATGATATACAGGAGTATTCTACAGATAACCCGTATATAATCACCTCAAGCAACAAGTCAGTAATTTGTAACAGAATACGTTACTTGGGGTTCGCGTGGGCTTACCCGCAACAAAATCAGGCAAGAAAAAATAGAATAAACATTGATGCATCAGTGTGACAATAATTACAATCATCCTCGATAATCATTTCACTAGTCGATAGATTTTTCATTTTAATAAAACCGTGGGAGACCAATTGCTTTTGCTTGATACTTTTTATTTTTATTTTTATTTTTTCTTTACTTATCTAGTGAAGCAGCTTTGGTTTTAAGAGATTCTGATAGATTCTTGACACAAAGAGGGAAGCCATCATGTCATTATTCAAGGAATTAGATAATGAGAAAAACAACGTCTTGAAGGATATCGACAATCCGAGATCAGCATCTCCAAACAATTCACATTTAAGATCGCATTCTAGAGGACGACCACATGATAGTGAAAACAGATCATTAAGTCGTGCTAGAAGAACAGCTAACGGTATCAAATGGACCATCTTGAACCACGATCCTCTGGAAAGACTTCTGATAGGCAATCATAATTCGTTAGAAAATGAGGACGACGATAATTTCGATTCAGATTATGAGGAAGAAGATAGTGAGGAAGAACAAATCAGTGATACAGATAATGAGTTTCAATACGATGATGGTGGCGTTATCTTGCCCAACTTTGCTACCTATAGGAAAGAGCCAATTGAGGAAGCAGAACATGAACAAGAAAAATCCAAGAAGGAGAAAATTTCTGATGCTGGCCTTGCTCTTGAAACCGTCACTTCAAGATTGAGAAGCTATAGTATGGGTGAAACTAATGAAGATCCGGTGGTTAAAGATGCCAAGGAGGTTGCCCGATTACAAGAAATTCAGGCTACACAAAGTGCCTTGGAGAACGCGGTGGCCGTCGGCGCGCCAATCCCAAAGGAAACTATTGACATTATAAAGAACTTGCCACCAAAAGAATTAGAATACATTGATCAATCTTTGCTTGAGCGACAGCCAGCGGCGGCTCTTCCCGATGATGATGAAGGTTGTCCAGCCCATTCTCTGAAATCGGTGAAAAAAGTCTCTGATTTGTATCTAAAAAAATACGCTAATTATAAAGGAAAGATTACTTCTCCTGGTGATAAGAGAAACTTCAATGCGCCATATACTTATGACAGGGAAGTGGAGGAAGATGTTGAAGTGGCAAAGAAATTGAATGCTCAAATAAACATTGGTGACATAGACTCAAGTATAGAAAACTCAAGATGTATCAGAACCATAACAAGAGGCAATTTTTTCGAATCCTTGCTGATACATAATAAGCCAAATACCTATTTAATTTGTACAGACTTCTCACCAGAAAGTTTGTATGCCCTTGAATGGTGTATTGGAACTGTTTTGTGTAATAATAGCGTTTTATTCATTATTTACGTGATTGAGGAAGATAAAGAGAAGTCCAAGATGGGTAATAATGTTACTGATATCGAAAAAGAACAGATTAGAAAAGACGGGATCGAAAGAATCACCAAAACTTATTTAGACTTTATCAAGTTGACGAAGTTACAAATTCATGCTGTTGTGGAAGTGATTCATCATCCAATTCCTAGACATTTGATTACAGAGGTTATTGATCACATACAGCCAACATTGGTTGTTGTTGGTTCTAGAGGTAAGAACGCCATCCAGGGAGTTTTACTTGGTTCATTATCAAACTACTTGGTTACCAAAAGTTCGGTTCCTGTGATGGTGGTTCGAAAAGAATTAAAGAAAACCCTTAAAAAGAAGAAGTTTTCTAATTATTCTTCAAACGTTCATTCGCTTAAGGATGCTCGTGTAGATTGATTAATTTTATGCCCTTTATGTTTTAGTTTTCCTTGCAAATATCACTTTTTTTAAGCTCTTTTTTTTTGTCTTTGCTCAATTTGAGGTTGCCTGTTTCTTTTATTTTTTTTTTCCTTGTATTACTGTCAATATTTTATTATTTTGATTCACATCATTAGATATACTCTAAACTTTATAATTTCTTTTCCTGATTGAGTATTGTTTGCCATATTGAACACTCAACTTACAGGTGTATTTATCTCTTTATTAAACAAGTTCAGTATATTATAAATTTATTTCAAAGAAAGGAATAATTGTTTATAAACCTTTGATCATAGCAGCGATTTCATCAACGCTAGAGCCAGCATTAAGTTTTGTTAAAAGGCTCTTAACAGCGGTGGCAACATCCTTCAAATCAACCAATTCACCTTCGTCGGCATCTTCACCTTGGTTCAACTTCTTGATTCTCACTTTACCTGAAGCAACTTCGTCCTTACCAATAATCACAGCAACTGGGGCGCCGGATCTTTCGGCACCAGTGAATTGTGGTCTAGTCTTAGCTTTGGCTTTGTACAAGTACTCACATTCGATACCATTAGCCCATAACTCCTTGGCGATCTTCATTCTTTCACTTAAGTAACCATCGCCAAAGGCCATAATGTAAACTTGGGTGGAGTTAGATCTTATTTTATCCATCAAATCATTTCTAGCCTTCATTAATGAGAAAATTCTTTCAACACCAAAGGAAATACCGACACAAGGAATGGAAACGTTCTTCTTACCAGTAGCGGAGGCAAACATGTTAACCAAGTTATCGTATCTACCACCGGCAGCAATAGAACCGACACCGACATATTCGGAGGCATCTTCGACATCACCTTTCTTGGAGGCCTTCTTCTTCAATTCTTGGGCATTTTCAGGAGCTTTGGAAGCGTCAGTGACGGCTTCATAAATCAAACCAGTATAGTAATCTAACCCTCTAGCCAATGATAAATCAAATGATAAGTATTGGTGAATATCAAATGCAGCAGTGTATTCGGCCAAAATCTTCATTTCTTCTATACCTTCCTTGGCAGATGGGTCACTCAACAAAAGTTCATCAGCACCTAATTTTTCGGCCATTTCGCTAATTGAACCATTCAATTTAACGTATGAACCAATTTTTTCAGCAACTTCCTCTGTTTGGCCCTTTTCTTCAACCATTTCTTTCTTGACCGCTTCCCATGGAGATTTGTCCAATTTGTCAACGGCACTACTAATCTTTCTAACGTCTTCATCTTTGACACCACAAACTTTGAAGATACCGTCCAAAACCTTTCTGTGGTTGATTTTGATCTTGAATTCCTTGATACCCAAACCGGTTAAACCTTCAACCAAAATAGCCAAGATTTCGGAATCTGGGACCATGGTGTCATATTGCCCAGCAACATCAAAATCACATTGGTAGAATTCTCTCATTCTACCTTTAGTCATCGCTGGTTGATCTCTTCTATATACCTTGGCGATGTGGTATCTCTTGATGTTTTGAACATTGTTCATGGCCACGAATCTAGCAAATGGAACGGTCAAATCGTATCTCAAAGAAGCCAATTCACCACCTTGATCTTGCAAGTTGTAAATCAATTTGGAATCTTCACCATACTTCCCAGTCAAAATTTCAGTCAATTCAAAAACTGGAGTATCAATAGTTACACCACCGTGACGTTTAAACAATGATGATAAAGAATTGAAGATGGACTCTCTAAGAATCATGTCCTTACCAGACCAATCCTTAGTACCCTTTGGGGTTTTCAATTGGAAGTTATCCTTTGACTTCTTTGATTTTTTAGAAGCATTTGGAGCAGCGGCAGCAGTGGCGGCTGGTGGCACTGAGGTATTAGTCGCCTGAGACATTCTTCTTATAAATACAGATCGTATCAGACGTAGAAACATTAACTGGGATATTAAAGAGATTTACCAAAAATTCGCGGATTTTTTTTTTTTTTTTTGTTACTCATTCAATTTTCCAGTTGATGCTGCTTATCACCCCCAGTTTTGGTATATCTCTGTGGTATGTTATCCGGGTAATTATCATTGTTGGAGGGTCGTTTCTGTTTTTCAGAGTGGCAACAAAATCTCTGAAGGCAACACTAGCGAGCTGCGATAGTTAAAGAGTCTTCAATTCCATTGAATATTTTTGAATAGAAAGTTTTATTATAATGGCGTTGACTGCTTCTCCTTATTTGGCGCTCTTGGATGAGGAGGATCCAAGCTTGAAAGTTTACGCTTTGAAATCATTAGACAATGTTGTGGATGAATTGTGGTCAGAAATCGCTAATAACTTGGCTGACATCGAAGAACTATATGAAGATACTTCCTTCGAAGGAAGGGATCTTGCTGCCCTAATTGCCTCGAAAGTTTATTACAATTTGGGGGATTATGAATCTTCTGTGAGGTTTTCTTTGGCTTCTGGTGATCAATTCAAAATCGATGAAAGTTCAGAGTTTGTGGAAACTATTGTTTCTAAATGTATTGAAAAATATATTGAGTTGAGTAGAGAGGCTTACAAAACTGGTGATAAATCGAAATTGGAGCCAAAATTGGTGAACATCTTTGAAAAAATGTTAATGAAATGTATTGAACAAAGCAATTTCTCTTTGGCCATCGGGGTGGCCCTCGAAAGTTATAGATTGGATATCTTTGAATCTATCATCAACCAACAGATTTCTGTAAAGGAAGAAACCTCTTTGCAATTGATTAATTATGCTTTAAGTTGTTTGTCTACAATTAATTACAGCACACAATTCAAAAACTCGGCTTCTCACAAATTGGTGGAATTAATTTTAAAATTGAAAAACCCAGATTTCTTCATGATAACCAAATTGATTGTCCAATTGAATGATTCTAACTTATCTATAAAATTATTCAAAAGCTTAGCCGATGGTGATGATGAAAAGAACATTCCAATTGCTTATCAAGTGGCATTTGATTTGGTTCAAGCGGCATCCCAAGAATTATTAAATAAAACCATTGCTTCCCTCAAATCCAGTGGTAGTGACAAGTACGCCAAATTGATCAAAATTTTATCAGGTATTCCATCTTGTGATTATGATATCACTTTCCTCCACAATAACAATAACACCGATGCCAAAATCTTGAATTCTAGTAAAACTAGCTTAGATGGCAGAAGCTCGATGTTCCACAACGCTATAAGTTTTATGAATGCATTTTTGCACGCAGGTACCACTGATGACTCCTTTTTGAGAAAGAACTTGGAATGGTTGGGGAAATCCTCGAACTGGTCCAAATTTACCGCCACCGCGGCGCTCGGTGTCATCCATAAAGGTAACTTATCGCAAGGTAAAACTATTCTTGAACCATATTTACCAGAACGTACTGGATCACATTATTCTCAAGGTGGGTCTTTGTTCGCTCTTGGTCTTATTTTTGCTGGCCACGGTAATGAAATCATCGATTATATGAGAGGACATATCGTCGAAAAAGGATCATCTGCCGGTAACGAAGAGATGGATGTTATTTTGCACGGTGGTTGTCTTGGTATAGGTGTTGCTGCTATGGGTACAAGTGACGAAAGCATTTACGAAGAGTTGAAAACTATTTTATATTCCGATTCTGCTGTGTCTGGGGAAGCTGCCGCCTTGGCGATAGGTTTGGTGATGTTGGGATCTCAGAATAAAGAAATTATTAGTGACATGATTACATATGCTAGAGAAACTCAGCACGAAAATATTACCCGTGGTTCATCTTTGGCCGTGGCCTTGATGAGTTTCGGTAAAGTAGAACAAGCTGATGCAACAATCGATGAGTTGATAAATGAACAAAACTCCAACCTTCGTTATGGGGGTTGTTTCACTCTTGCATTGGCTTATTGTGGTACTGGTGATAAGAAAGCTATTAAAAAGTTGTTACACGTTGCTGTCAGTGATTCGAGTGATGATGTTAGAAGAGCTGCAGTGATTGCTCTTGGTTTTGTGTTGATTAAAGATTACAAGACCATTCCGTCGATTGTTGAATTATTGGCGGAATCTTATAACCCACACGTTAGATATGGTACAGCAATGGCTCTTGGTATTTCTTGTGCTGGTAAAGGTAATTTCTCTGGCGCATTAGACCTTTTGGAACCATTAACTAAGGACCCAGTTGACTTTGTCAGACAAGGTGCATTGATTGCCACTTCATTAATCTTAATTCAACAGAACGAAAAGACCTATCCAGATTTGCCAAAGGTTAAAGAATCATTTGCCACAGTCATTGGCAGTAAAGGTCAAGAAGGTTTGGCGAAGTTTGGTGCTGCTTTATCCCAAGGTATTATTGATGCTGGTGGTAGAAATGTCACTATTGGCTTAGAGAATGCACACACTGGTACTTTGAATGTTAAAGGGATTGTTGGTTTGACATTATTCCTCCAAAGTTGGTACTGGTTCCCATTGGCTCATTTCTTGTCTTTAAGTTTTGCTCCAACTACGGTGATTGGTGTTACTCAAGATTTGAAGATTCCAAAATTCCAGTTGAACTGTAACAGTAAGAAATCTGCATTTGCTTACCCACCAATGTCCGAGGATGTCAAGGAAAAGAAGGCACAGAAAGTGGAAACTGCGGTGTTATCTACGACTATTAGAGCCAAACAAAGGGCCAAAAAAGCTGCTGCTGAAGAGAAAGTTGAGGATAAGATGGATGTTGATGAGCCAGTAAAGGAAGAGGACAACAAGTCTACTGAAGAAGAGGAAGTTGAGGAAGATCATTACGAGCTTGATAACTTGACGAGAGTCATTCCAACACAGCTCAAGTATATTTCTTTCATCGAGAAGGGTAGATTCAAGTCAGTTAGAGAGTACAGTAACAGCAATGGTGTGGTGGTATTGGTCGATAAAACCCCATCTGAAAAGGTGGAGTATATCAAGACTGTCAGACAGTTGAACGATACTGAAGCAGCCATGCCCGAGCCATTCACTCTTACTGAAGAGGAGTTAGAGTAGATGCGTTTAGTCTGGGATTATATTTAGTAGTATAACATTGTCATCATGCCACTTTTTTAATATACAAAAATAAAATAATAACGAATCACTTTTTCTTTTTAGCACATCCCGGAGTACGCACCTTGTCGAACTCCGCAGCGGTGGAGACTCACTCCACCTGTCGGTTCTCCGCATTCTTCCCATCCGGCACCGTCAAAAAAAAAAAAAGTCAATTCCCGGGTGAGTAAGAATGAGTACATCGCTAAAACTCTGGGGAAATTTTTGGAATTTCAATTTATACTTCTTCTTTCTTCCCCAATTCATTCTTATCCATAGCCAAAGATCTCCTCTTTGCTGGTTGACTGGTTCTACTTCCCAAGACTATAGTGTGTATATAGTTCATAGTTACTCCCCCAAAGTACTATATAAACCATGAGCAGGGTATTTTCTTCTAGACTTGTCAAGTCTTCGGCTTACTTGACTGGTTTGGCCGCCACTGCCTATGCCACCAATACCTACTACTTGCAGTCTTCAGGATCCGTTCACAATGACAACAAGTTTGTTCCTTCTACTTTCCAACCGCTTGTGACATCTAAACCTGCCCCTCCTTCTAGATCTGACATGATCAACAAGTTGGAAACCACCAAGAATTTCGATGTGCTTATCATTGGCGGTGGTGCTGTCGGGACAGGGACTGCTGTCGATGCTGCTACCAGAGGTCTTAATGTTGCCCTTGTTGAAAAAACAGATTTTGCTGCCGGTACCTCTTCCAAATCTACCAAGATGGCCCACGGTGGAGTCCGTTATTTGGAAAAAGCGGTTTTCCAATTGTCCAAGGCCCAATTGGATTTGGTCATTGAAGCCCTTAATGAAAGAGGATCAATTGTCTCCAATGCTCCTCATTTGGCATCGATTTTGCCAATTATGATCCCGGTGTACCATTATTGGCAAGTGCCATACTTTTATGTGGGTACTAAGTTGTATGACATCTTTGCTGGTCGTCAAAACTTGAAATCTTCCTACTTACTTTCTAAAAACAGCGCCAAATCCATTGCCCCAATGTTGGATGACAAGGATTTGGTTGCTGGTTTGGTGTACCATGATGGTTTGTTCAATGATGCTCGTTTGAATGCTACTTTGGCGTTAACTGCCGTGGAAAACGGCGCTACCGTTGCCAATTACGTTGAAGTGAAACAATTGTTGAAATCCGAAGATAATAAAGTCATTGGTGCGGTTGCCGTTGATAAGGAAACTGGTAAAGAATTCCAAATCAAGGCTACTAGTGTGATTAACGCTACTGGTCCATTCTCCGACAAGATCCTTGAAATGGATAATGATCCAAAAGGTTTGCCTCCAATTATCGAACAAGCCCCAAAGATGGTGGTGCCATCCGCTGGGGTTCACATCATTTTGCCTGAATATTACTGTCCAAAAGACATGGGTTTGTTAGATGCTTCCACTTCCGATGGTAGAGTTATGTTCTTTTTGCCATGGCAAGGTAAAGTCTTGGCTGGTACTACTGACACTCCACAAAAGAGAATTACTGATTATCCTGTGCCAACTGAAGAGGAAATTGACGATATTCTTAAAGAATTGCAAAAATACATCAAGTTCCCAGTTAGAAAAGAAGATGTGTTGAGTGCCTGGTCTGGTATTCGTCCTTTGGTTCGTAACCCAGACACCGTGACTGGCGAAAACACTGGTTCCACCCAAGGATTGGTTAGATCACATTTAATTTACAAATCTGTCACTGGTCTTTTGACCATCAGTGGTGGTAAATGGACTACATATCGTGAAATGGCTCAAGAAACTATGGATAACATTGTCAAGGATTTCGATTTCGGTAAGGAAGTGAAGCCATGTCAAACCAGAGACTTCACCCTTGTTGGTGGTGAACACTACGACGATACTTACTCGTCTCGTTTGATCCAAGCTTATAACGTTGAAGAAAAGATCGCCTCTCATTTGGCTAACAACTACGGTACCCGTGCCCCACTCATTTTGGAAATTTACAAGCAATCCACTGAAAATCAAAAACCCGTGGTTTTGGCCGGTAAATCTGGCACTGCTGCCAGTTATGAAGCCTACGAATTCCCATTCACCGTTGCTGAATTGAAATACTCTCTTCAATATGAATACACTAGAACTCCAATTGATTTCTTGGCAAGAAGAACCAGATTGGCGTTCTTGAACGCCAAACAATCTTTGGAAGCCGTTGATGGTGTTACCGAAATTATGGCCAAGGAATTGAAATGGAGCAGTTCTGTCAAGGAACAACATCGTGCTGATGCCGCTGATTACATCAAAAAGATGGGTATCAACCAAACTTCCTGATCGTTGTTGTTGTTGTTTATTTATTTATTTATTTATTTATTTATCTATTTATTTATTTATTTATTTTGTTTTTGCTAGATTTTTGTTGATTGTGCAATTACAAACTAAATATTCAACTTTATCGTGTTTGATCTTTTACAAATAAATTCGATTTCTATATTAGCTAGATATAATCCAAAAAAAAAAAAAGAATCTGTAGAAAAGAAAATTTAACGCTCTTCCCTATCCTTGTTGTCTCCACGTTTGTCATGTTTACCCCTTTGTTTATTATTTTCCTGGAACAATTTGAATTCATGAATGGCTTGCACAAAAGCTTTATCGACAGTTTTATGCAAAATTGCAATTTCTTGATTGTCCACCACCTCTTTAGCCAATTTCTTATCAAGGGCTTGTTCAATACGTAACAATAATTCCAAATCATACTGAGTAACCAAACTAACGGAACGACCACTCTTCCCTGCTCTGGCAGTACGCCCCACACGGTGAATATAAGTTTTCGAATCGGTTGGCATGTCGTAATTTATCACCAAATCCACCGATGGGATATCCAACCCACGAGCCGCCACGTCGGTAGCCACAAGAATTTGCTTTGATCCACTCTTGAACTTATTAAGGGCACCCAAACGCTTAGACTGACTGAGTTGGCCATGGAGTGGGACAATTGGGAAACCCAAGATTTTCCCAAGAATCGCTGTTCTTTGACAATTCGCCACAGTACGGGTGAAGATGATGATTGCCTTACCGGTGTATTTATCAAGAAGACGGATTAAATGAGTATCTTTTGATCCACTTGGGGCGACAATCATGGTTTGAATAAGTGAGTCGACAGTGGTATACTTATCATTGACTGCACAACGGACAGGGTCTTCAAGAGACGCACGTTGAAGCTTAGCGACTTTTGAGGTCATAGTGGCGGAGAATAAGAAGGTACGACGTTTTTTAGGAACGAGTTCAAGGATACGATCCAAGGCCGGGCCGAATTCAAGTTCGAGTAAACGATCCGCTTCGTCCAACACGAGGTATTTCAAGGCTTTTAAACTGAACCCTTTGGTATGCTCGAGATGATCGAGCAATCTACCAGGGGTCGCGACAATTATATGAGGTTTCTTCATCAAGTCTCTGGCTTGGTCCATCATCCCTACCCCACCAACGATACAAACGGTTTTACAAGCCATTCCTGATCCAAGAGCATCAAAAGTTTCCTTGATCTGGTACGCCAATTCACGGGTTGGAGAAAGCACACAGGCAAAATATGGGGTTCTGGCTTCCCAAAGTTCTTGAAGAATTGGAATGGCAAACGCAGCGGTCTTACCTGACCCGGTTTGCGCAAGCCCAATCAAATCTTTACCTTTAAGCCCCCAAGGAATAGCTTCGGCCTGGATGGGCGTTGGTTTTGTGAATTTAAGCTGTTGACATGCCTCAATAAGTTCTGGTGCAAGGCCAAAATCAGCAAACGATTTGTATTGTGACGATTCTTCTTCTTCTTCTTCTTCCTCTTCTACTTTCACATTTTCCTTGGCATCTGATTGATCATTAGTAGATTCAGATTCGCTATCAGAATCACTGGTATTGTTTCTCTGTTCTTCCTCTTCTTCTTCTGCTTCTTCTTCCTTCTTTTTCGCTAAAGCACGCTCTTTAATTTTGAGTGCGAGCTGATTCGCCTGCTTTGAGCTCTTTTCTTGTTTAGTGATCTTCCCACTTTTTGAAGCTAATTTTGCCATCTCTAAGGTGTGGAATAAGTTTCAATATCTTAGCTATTTCTACAATAATTATATAAAGAATCAACCAAGAAAAAATTTTTGTATGAAGCTCATCGAAAAATCACGTGTGGCTGACATAATTTTTTTTATTTTTTTTTTTTTTTTTTCCTCTCAAAAATTTTTCTTTGTAAAGAAATTTTTCATATCACACTTCTTTTTACTGATATCTATCTATCATCAACTGGATCATATAATAACAATAATAATCTATTTATATTATGGCTCGTCATAGAAGAAAAACACATACCCATGTTAAGACAAGTGAGGAAGATCTTGCGAAAATTCCTCGTTCGATGGTAATTGCTGTTGGTGATGCCCTCAAAAACCATTCAGTTACTCAGCTTGTTAGCGATATGAGGAATGTCATGCAACCACACACTGCCATTAGTTTGAAAGAACGTAAATCCAACAGACTCAGAGACTTCGTGGTCATGGCTGGTCCACTTGGGGTGTCTCATATGCTTGTTTTCAGTCAATCTGATGCCGGGACCGTGAATATGCGTTTGACCCGTGTTCCTCATGGTCCAACCATCACTTTCAAAGTCAATAATTATTCATTGTGTAAAGATGTCAGACGTATTTTGCGTCATCCAAAAAGTTTGGACAAAGCGTCTTCGGAATATGCTAACCCACCATTATTGGTGCTCAATGGGTTCACCAGTCCTGCCAAAGCAGAACCCCACGAAAAATTAACCATTACATTATTACAAAGTATGTTCCCGCCAATTCAACCACAAAACATGAAAGTTTCTTCCATCAAGAGAGTGTTGATTTTAAACAGAAGCGAGGATGGGGAAATCGATTTACGTCATTATAGCATCAACACTAAACCGGTGGACCTTTCCAAATCGATTAAAAAATTGATCAATGCCAAAGAAAATTCCCATAAGAAATTGCCTAACTTAGGGAAAGTTGCCGATGTTGCTGATTTTGTGTTGGATCCGTATGCTAATGGTGCAGGGTTCACCAGTGAATCGGAGGTTGACGACGATGAAGTTGTGCAAATCAGTGAAAATAATCCACATTTCAAACAAGAGAAACAGCAACAGGAACCAGAACTGAAAACCAAAAAGAAAGCTGTCAAATTGACAGAAATTGGGCCACGTTTGAAACTTGAACTTATTAAAATTGAAGATGATGTTTGTAGTGGTAAAGTGTTATACCACGGCCTTGTCAAGAAGACCAATGCGGAAGTTAATAAGCTTGAACAACGACATGCGGTACGTCGTAAGTTGAAGGCCCAGCGGAGAAAAGAACAAGATGCTAACGTGCAAGCTAAGAAAGAAAAGAAGGAAGCCAAAAAATTGCGTCGTCAACAGAAAAAGGAAGAACGTGAAAAAAGATTAGCCGATGGCGAAGATGTTAGTGACGAGAGTGAGGAAAGTGAAGAAGAGGAAGAATCTGATGAAGAACTTTTCAGTGATTGAATGTATATTATAGAATTTCATGTTGAGTTGCATTATTTGTTGATAAATTTAAATACTGTAGATCACCATTTGTTTTGTTTTTTATTAATCATTTTGTCTCAGTCCAAACTCCCCGATCAGAGTGGTTTAATTTTATATTTTGTGGTTTATTTTTAAATCCAAAGAAATCCACAATTCCTGTCCAAGATGGCAGGGAGGCTTGCTTTTTTTTTTTTTTACCGAAACGTACGTACAAGCCACCGTCTAAAAATATCTACTCCTGTTTTTGAAGAGAGGCCTCACAGTATTGTCTGTTCGTCTTATTGCATCTTTTTTGAGATACAGTTCTAGTTATAACAATTGATCGGTTTGTTTGTCAAAGCCAGGAATTTTCCAACATTTAGACTTTAGCACAATGTGCGTTCATGTAGATTTTCTAGCATGTCTTACTCGGTGGCTCTAATTTAGCAGCGATTTCAGTAAAAAATGTCCCCCCAGATATCCCTGATGCTACCAATATGTACAAGTTAGACCCCTGGATCCACGCTCAGCTGTCTGAGACTTGTTAGGGATCCCTCATATTTCGGCATTAAGTGAGAATGCTCATGCTGATATTGCATATCACCGCAATAAGGATGATGAAATCGAACCACGGAAAAGTAGAGAAATATAATATACTGAGTACAACTATTACTAAGTATGTTTAATATATTCTCTTTCTCTTGAGTTTCTTATTTGTTTCTCTTTATATTAAAATATTAAAAAACGGAGCGGAACAAACTTGTTTAAGATTGGCAAGTGCACCAAGTATCCTGATTTCTGCAAAGTTATTAGTTTCAGTGGAATTTCTGCACCAGTAAGTTTGACGTTGTGGAATGTTCAAACAGTAGTACTCTTTGAGGAGAAAACGAGATCCGCCAAAGCAATGACAATAGAGATGGTATCTATATATATACACATCTTTTCCTCCTAAATATCCTTTATTGGAAATCCATTTTTTTCTCTTTTCTCTTCTACAAGCTGAACAATACCAACTTCATTCATTCCTTTCTCCAATAAGTTGCATTTTCTTTAGAAAAATGATTAGTCACTCCTTTATCTTTGCTGTTGCTGCTGCTTTCCTTGGTGTCCAAGCCACCAACTCCACCAATGGTACTTCCTTCGAGTATCCAACCTCCTTAAGTGCCTCTTCTTCTGGCCCTGCAGTGACCTCTTCTACTCTTGTTGCTAACGTCACTCTTCACGAAGGCAAAGCCCAATTGTACTACCAATGTGGTGGTTATGGATGGACAGGAGCCACGGAATGTGCTTCTGGTGCCTACTGTAAATCACAAAACCCATACTACTATCAATGTGTCGCCACTTCTTCTGACTGGTATAGCAGTAACGGACACTCCCACTCTTCCGCTGCCACCACCGATGTTGTTCAAGTGACTGTCACTACTAAAAGTAGTCCTCAATCTGCTATTGCTGCTTCATCTTCTGCTTCATTTAGCAGCTACTCAAATAGCACCGCAGTCGAAATTTATAGCACATCAGCTTCATCTGACAACGTTACTTCTAGCAATCATGAAGAAAAATACTCTACCACTGTTAAAAGTACCCAAACTTTAGAATACTCCTCTAGTATTTCTACTGTTGCTCCAACCACCACTGTTGCTTCCTCTGCTTCTTCCTCTGCTTCTTCCTCTGCTTCTTCCTCTGCTTCTTCCTCTGCTTCCTCCGAATCATCATCTTCATCTTCTTCTTCTTCTTTTGCCTCATCTTCTGATGACAGTACCTATACAACCAGCGCTTCTTCCACCTCTTCTTCTGCAGTGGCCACTTTGTCTACCTCTGTTGTTTCTTCATCTGCCACTTCGACCAGCTCTGCTGCAGTTGATCTTAAAACCGTTTCTGGAGGGTTCAGTGGTTCTGGTGTCACTACTCGCTACTATGATTGTTGTTTGCCAAGTTACAGTTGGAGCGGTAAGCTGAGTGCTGTCTCCCAACCAGTTTACGCTTGTGATGCCTCTGGTAACAAATTCTCTGGTCAAACTTTCTCCACTTCTGGTTGCATTGGTGGTGACGCTTTCATGTGCCCTGATCAACAACCATGGGCTATTAGTGATGATTTGGCTTACGGTTTCGCTGCTGCCTCGATTGAAGGTGCCACCGACCAAACCTTGGCTTGTACCTGCTACAAGTTGACTTTCACCAATACCGCCATTGCTGGAAAGAGCATGGTGGTTCAAGTTACTAACACTGGTGGCGATCTTTCTGGATCCCATTTCGATTTGCAACTTCCAGGTGGTGGTGCTGGTATTTTCACTTCTGGCTGTCCAAGTGAATTTGGTTCTTCTTATTCTTGGGGCGCTCAATACGGGGGTGTTTCCTCTGAAGAAGAATGTGCTGACCTTCCAGATACTTTGCAATCCGGTTGTGATTTCAGATTCACCTGGTTTGAAAATGCTGACAATCCAGATGTCACTTACGAACAAGTTGTTTGTCCAGCTGCTATCACTGCTCTCTCTGGTTGTTCCCGTTCTGATGAGTAGACATATTAGCTTGAAATGATGTTTTCAATGTTAGTTTCTATTGCCGTATATTAGATACCTTTCGCATAAAGTGCTTTGGTACTTTTTTTTTTATTTCTTCGTTTCTTCCAACACTCTTGTTTTCTTTCTATCTTAAATATATTTTCCTCATTTCAATTCTCCTCTTCCATGATTTGTAGAGTTAATTTTGAAAAACTTACTGGAATATCTAATGTTACAGATAATGTCAAGGCAGCTGATGTCTTAAGCTGCTCTTACGTGTATTTTCATTGGAAAAGTCATTGGGGTCAATATATTGTATGGAGCATATATGCTAGCGGCACAATCTTTGGCGGCTTACCATATCGTACAAAAAAAAAAAAACTGTTGAAGATCGAAGAGAAGGATAATAATAACGAAACTAGTAAAATGCATCAGTAAAATGCGTTAAGATTTCTGATATTTTAGGGGGGGGGGATCATTTCATGAATAAATCTATGGTGTTCAGCTGAGGGAGTGGTAAATAATAGGGGTATTCTGTGACTGTTTAACAGAATAACCACCCACAACCATCGTACAATGGAGACCGTTACACTAGATACATTCGTCACACGATAAGCCCTGGCCTAACTGTCTTATCGAGATAACCAAACCCAACAAGAACGGGGCCGGTCTTCTTGGCCTTATCCTGCTAACATGTGCAAAAAATTTAGAACTTCCACACGCCACCACGCGGACCGCCGCGGAAGGTACGGTACGGACGGCAAGGATTATTCTTCTGTTGCAATGGTTTGTGCAGAGTATCAAAGGATCCTGGAGACCCTGGCACATAGATACGATGGAGCACCGTAATTTATCTAAACAAACTGTTTTCCCTTTTCACTCCATTTTTAATCTCAATCTGTCAACACATCGACTCACTCTCGATTTCTACCATTTCACATGCGATTTTTGATGGGGAAAAATCCAAAAAAGAAACAAAGAAAAGATCCGTCATGATGGCACCTGCAGCGAAGGAAGTTTTCCAACATTTATTATCACCGCTCGCTATAAAATTTCACCCAGATCCCTCATACTCTCTTTTTAACTGTACATCTTGAACAATCCTCAACCCTCATAGGACGTCCAACGAATATCTCTGGCTTTTGATTCCACTTCCGCCAATAATAAAACCTCCTCCCAAAATGTCAGAAGAAGAGGCTTCCAAAAATGAAAAATTTTCAGACAGAATCCCGTCGCCCACTCCCCGAGAACTCACCAACACCGACGATTTAACCCTGTTTGAACCGGTGTTGAAGAAGAACTTTGGTCTAAGAGCCATCCTTGGTACTGCATTCTCCTTAACCAACTCGTGGTTCGGTATTTCCGCCAGTCTTTCTACGGGTATTTCCTCCGGTGGTCCTCTTATTATTGTCTATGGTATTATTGTCATTGCTGTGGTTTCTACTTGTATCGGTATTACTCTTTCTGAATTGGCCAGCGCGTATCCGAATGCTGGAGGTCAATTTTATTGGACTGTCAAGCTCGCTCCAAGAAAATACTCCCGTTTCTTATCATATTTAACTGGTTCCTTGGCTTGGGTCGGGTCAATTTTCACTAGTGCATCCGTCACCATTTCTATCGCTCAGTTCATCGTCGGTTTCTGGGGGATGACCCACCCTTCTTATGAATATCAACGTTGGCAAGTGTTTGTAATTTTCCAGATCTTGAACTTCTTGATTTTCTGGTTCAATTATTTCGGCAAAATCTTGCCTGCTGTATCGCAAGCATCTTTTTACATTTCACTTACTTCATTTGTGGTCATCTCCATCACTGTTCTTGCTTGTTCTCTGGGTGATTATAACTCTAGCTCCTTTGTCTTCACCGACTTCTCTAATGGCACTGGTTGGAATAGTTTTGGGATGGCTTTTATTTTAGGTCTCATCAATCCAAACTGGTCTTTCTCTTGTTTAGATTCCGCAACCCACATGGCTGAGGAAGCTTTGCAACCGGAAAGAGTCATTCCAATCACCATCATGGCTACTGTGGCTATTGGATTTGTTACTTCCTTTTGTTACGTTATTGCCATGTTCTATTCCATTAAGAACCTTGACGCGGTGCTTGCCGATGTGAATTCTCCAATTATTCAAATATATTACCAATCCATTGGTAACAAAGGTGGAGCAATCTTTTTAGGGGTATTACTTTTCGTCACTGGTGTCGGCTGTAATGTTGCTTGTCATACTTGGCAAGCCCGTCTTTGTTGGTCTTTTGCTAGAGATGACGGTATTCCATTTTCCAAATACTGGAAACGTATCGATCCAAAAAGTAATCTTCCGGTCAACGCCCATTTCATGTCTACTGTGCTTTGTGCTCTTGTTGGTTGTCTTTATTTAGCCAGTTACACCGCCTACAATTCTCTTGTCGTTGGTTGTATCACTTTCTTGTTGCTTAGTTACATGATCCCAGTTTGTTGTTTACTTTGGTACGGTCGTTCTAATATCAAACATGGTCCATTCTGGTTAGGCAAAATCGGGTTTGTTTGTAATGTAATCACAATATTGTGGGCGTTATTTGCCACTGTCATCTATTCTTTCCCATTCACTTTACCTGCGGAGGCCTCCAACATGAATTATATGTCGGTGGTGCTTGTGTTTTTCACATTATATTTCCTTATTTATTGGTGGGTCGAAGCTAAGGAAAAATTCTGTAAAGATATTGAAAAATACTACTATGATGAAAACGAATAGATTTTGTATATCATTTCTTTTTTTTTCTTCTTCATATTCTTGTTATTTTTCTTTTTTTGTTTCTAATTGTCGCTTTTGAATTTTGTTTATTGGGTTTATTCTTGGCTCACTTTAATTCTTTTATTAGACTCTTTATATAAAGCTCTTTTTCTTTTATTTGATTCCGGTTTTACTATTGCTTACAAAAAAAAAATCAATATTGATAATTATGCCTAATTTTATTTTTGTTAAAGGTGTAAGCATTTTCTAGAGACTCATCTGTGAACGATAAAAAGAATTCTCTTTGATCATGATATCAATGTGAAATAGCGCTTATCTTGTAATATCAATTAACACTTGATATAAAACTTGCTATTACAAAGTAGAGATTGCCAATTTTGAATTTTTATGTACTTTTAGTTGAAAGGACACCGAAAAGGATATCTTTCCCCTGATAAATAGTGAATATTTTGCTTTCCAGTGTACTTTTAGCGTGCTTTTGTCATCTGTATTACAAAGTGTTGATAGCCACCCTGTTAGTGTGAACAGTACACTAACTAGTCACATCACTGATAAAAAATTGACAATCGAAATTATCAAGGGAAAAAAGTGCAATGTGATTGTATGATTTAGACTGATTTATGTGAGTCAATAGGCCCTTGGCGAAAGAGTAGGTGATCTGTTCAATAAATTGGTATTTCAATTTCAATTTCAAATCAAATCAAGCCAAAATCAAGTGTAAAACCAAGCCAAAATCGCAAAAAAATCAAATTGGAACTTCATCTTTTCCTCATTGCTCACTATCAGTGAGAGATAATAACAAGATTCCATGCGCATATTAATAGCATAGTTATTTGTCACTATTAACAAATTTCAAACTTAACTCAACTAAAAATGAATGAATTGAATATTAACGAGTCATAGAGGTTCTAAATAACATGCAAGCCAGGCATTTCATGTCGGTCTTTCTAATAGGTAAAGTAAAATACTATAACTTTCTTACAACATCACACTTCTTGGTTCAAGGATTAATCACATCAGCGGTAAAAAACTCAAAAATCAAGATTATTAAGGAAAAAAGGTACAATGTGTAAATATGATATGAAATCGCTAGTGAATTAGTCATCACTAGGAGCATCATGAACTGAGATGGAGGTCTTTGTTGAAGGGTTTTGGCACTCAAAATTATTATGGCTACAAGACATTTCATTTGAGATATTTCCCTTCTCTTATACTTCCACACGGGTCTTATGCCGTAGTGGTACCACATCAAGTTCACTCCTTGAAGATCCAGAGCTCGAATGTCTGTGAGACAAGTGTTAAAGTTGATAATTCAACTTGTTCTTCTTTTTGTTTTTGGAGAGGTATGGAAGATGAGAAGGCATCAAATTAGTGTCGAAACAATCGTCAACAATCCCCAACATGATACAAAATGTTATGAAGAAAAGTCATCATATAGTCTGTGTTCTATCTCGCCATTTTCAATTACTTATACTCATATACATATATATATAGCATTACATGCCAATATGAAAAGCGCAGACGCTTCAAGATCACTGTACTACGAATGCCCGTTTCTAAAGGGACATGAATAACCAAACATTCATAAAAACACCAGAACCTCCCATAACAGTATCAAATGAGTACCCAATATATTGCGAAAATAATAAACAGAGTGCTCTTTACTTTCAAATACCTTTTTTCAAAACCAATAATACTTTATAAGCTATTTTTGTGATTATTGGCATTAGTCATCGATTATTTTTTTTTTCCTTCAAAGTTCAATTTATTAATAAATATATAATTATATATATCTATGTAAAATCTTATAAGCTAATGCTCATTATATATGTTAGGGAAAACCATATCATATGGTGAAAAACCCTTTAGTGATAATTATTAGTATTTAAATAAAATGTTTTTTTTTGTTATTGTTTTTGTTATTTTTTTTTTTTTTTTTTTTTTTTTGATCGACTATTCAGCTCCCAGTAGTAATGATATAAATCAAGTTGATTACGTAAGCAAAAATTTGACTTGGTCATATAAACACAAAAATTAAAGTGTCACACCGGTCTTATGGCGCAGTGGTACCGCATCAAGTTCACTCCTTGAGGATCCAGAGTTCGAATCTCTGTGAGACCAGTGCATTGAAGTTGTTAAACAACTCTTTATTTGACTTTCTTCATTTTAATTTTTTTGTTTTTAGAACTCAGTTTCAATATAATGCTGGCGGCTCATTTAGTAAGAAATCTGAAATGGAAACATAATTTATTTGTTACTGGGTTTAGTACAGTCAGGTTTCATCATTTTAGTGCCAAAATGAATGTCTGACCTGAAAAGAGGAAAAGTCGTGGTTTTTTTTCTTTCTTTTTTTTTTCTCCTCGGTATCCCAAAAATTTTAATTTTTTCTAAATCCTGATCCCTTTGGTAATACAACTCTAAATAAATAATCAGAATAACATTTTACAAAATATGTCTGAATTGGCCTCTCTTTCTACTTATCTTAAAGGATGTCTTAAACAATATCCAAACTTCCCAAAAGAAGGTATTCTCTTTGAAGATTTCCTCCCAATCTTCTCAAACCCTGAAGATTTCCAGAAGCTCATCGATGCTTTTGTTCTTCATGTGAAGCAACAATTTCCTAACCAAAAGATCGATTATGTGGTTGGTCTTGAATCTCGTGGGTTTCTTTTTGGCCCAACTTTGGCTCTTGCCCTCGGTGCTGGTTTCATCCCAGTTAGAAAGCCAGGTAAATTGCCAGGTAAGACACATCAAGTCACTTTCAAGAAAGAATACGGTGAAGATACTTTTGAAATGCAAGACAGCATTATCAAATCTGGTAGTACCGTCCTTATTGTCGATGATATCTTGGCCACTGGTGGTAGTGCTCAAGCTGCCGGGGAATTAGTTTTAAAGAACGAAGGCGCCAAGATCTTGGAATTTTTGTTCGTCATGGAATTAGATTTCTTGAAGGGTAGAGACAAGTTGCAAGCCAACACTTTCACTTTATTGAGTGGCCAAACCGAGAAATTGCAATAAGATTATTCTCTTAAAAAAAAAAAGTTGGTTAGATTTTTTTTTAGGCGGCTTTCTGTATAATTATTTTCCATTGCTATTTTTGTTTATCTGTTAATTTTTTCGTTTTTCTCTGTTGTTTAATAATTTAATAATAATATGAGCTAAAAACATTAATAATTTTTTTTTTTTTGCAACGTAACGTTTCGATCTAGTGGTGATGATGTACAGAGGAAATTCAGGAATAAATGCCATTAACCCAAGGGACTGGCACTTTCAAAAGAATAATGATGTAATATAGGTTATAGAACATCGATCTGATTGAACAGAAAAAGAAAAAGAAAAGCTAATAATACAGGAGAAATCGACTAAAAATTTAATCAAAATGAAAAAATAATTCATTCTTGGTGGCTGGAAAGGGATGAATTGTGAAAATGGTTCTTCCTATACACTAAAGTGGAATGCGCATGTGACATGCCACCTGACCACATTCAGAAGTCCTCAGATTTGTTATTGTTCAATATTCCTAACATTGACCAAGATATATCGTTTGATAGAACGAACGCGACTCTTGAAATATCTGAATTGTTTATTTATTTATTTATTTCTTTTTTTTTTTTGCGAAATAGTGTACTGAGGTTCAGAAACATGAATCATCACCAGAAAAATTCACAGAAAAACAGACGACATAAACAAAAGCATTCAGTTTAAACGTACCATAAAATGAATCATCATCCTAAGAATTTCTTTGAGAGGAGGTCTCCGGGAAGCAGTTCACTACATTTCCTGAATACTCTCAGATCTAGATTTCGTCCGGTAGTGTCGCCATGCGGTTCATATTTGGCGTACATTTTTCAATTACAAGATCAGTACAAGCTTATTGTTAGATCGATTGAAAATAACAGTTACTCAATTATTCTTGAAAAGAATCTTAGCAAATTGCTGCAGAAAATTGATTTAAAAAAGCATGAAAATGATGCACCAATTAACAAGGTCGAGGAATTTTTGGAGCGCCATTCCATAAAAGGCTCATTCAAAATGAACAATGGCGCTAAAGAAATCCCTAAACCTAGGGATGAAACAACTACCAACAACAAGCATGACTTTCAATTACTGTGGGAATTAAACAATAATTATTCGTCTAGGTGTTATAAAATCTCCGTTCTTGATAAAGTATTCAATACCATTCATGTGTTCAGCGTTGCCAATAATGAATTCCAACTATCAATAAATGGTGATACTCGAAAAGACTTTCGAATGATCAAAACTGAATGGATTGGTGATCCTCACGGAAAGAACGGTTGTAACTTTCTAGTAATATTCTATGAATTTGATTTGGTTTGCAAAATTTTAAAGATTGATGATTCACCAGCACGTTTCGTATATGAATTCCCCAAGCCTCAAAGTCTGGAAATTTTGAGACGTTCTACTACTTCTGGTAACAACGGTCCTGGAATTATCTCGATAGGGCTGTCAGATAGTGGAGTGAAATATATTCGCCATTTTACCATTCTAAGGCGCCAATACGACGTTGAAGAACTTGTTCCAATGGGAAAATTCAGATTACCTAGATCGCCAGCATTTATTTCTTGGTCGATGACCGGCAAGTGGCTTTGTGTTGTTGATGAAATGATTTCTCTCTATAATATATTTGGAATTGGAAAAATACCAAGCAGTAATATTGGTCACCCGATATTGCAATGCGAAGTAAAAATGGTGAACACCTTATTGACATGGGGGGTCATGTCTCTATCCGTACTCGGGCAAAAGAACGTTGATAATAATCATAAAGTGTTGGAAACTATCATTGAATTGATACTCTTAGGGGATTTAGAAGAAAATGTACGAATTTACACTACGAATTTGGGAATTCTGGAGCTCATGATATTGAAGCATAGAAATACGGTACTTTTAGAAGATGCATCCAGAGAATTAGTAATTTGGGAACAAGATATTACGGGCTCAATGGAGAAAATTACTGTAGGGGAATCATATATTATGCCCCAAAATTCCAAAGAGAGAGGAATGGAAATCATTCAACAAGAGAACAAGATAAAATTTCAGGGAATAATGAAACTCAAAAATCAAGAATTTGCGATTTCTTACGTCGATTACCTCACAAAACTACAAAATTTGGTGGCCACTAAAGCCAAATCAATTTCTAGAGCAGCATTTATTTGGAACATTAATAATACTAATTATCCATTGCTAAGTGTTGTTTACGCATCCTCGGACATCAGACAGCTAAATTGGCATCCAACAATTCCCGGACTACTATTAATTATCACCGATGAAACCTTGATTCTTTGGAATTCACATTGGTCGCGGCCTTTGGTGATAAAGCCAATATCTTCAACTATACCATTATCGGTGAATTTTAATCATAAAAACCATGATACCGATGAAGGATTTTTTGGGAAAATCTTGGAAGCTCAATGGATGAACGCCGTTCCATCATTAAGAATAATGTGTCGTGGAATCAAAGAATTCGTGATTATCGAAGTTCACCTTTCACAAAAACTTTGGGAACCATTTAAAGAGTTTACAGCGGCAGTATTGAATGATTGCGGTACTATCATGTCAAGTGATCCTGAAAATTTGGAGGAAGAAAACGTATGGCTACCACAGGAAGAAGAAGAGGATTTTGATGATCTGTCTTCTCAGTTATTGATTGATGACGATACCAACGCAGTCAAAATTATCAACGATGTTCAACAAGGTGAATGGGCTACTGCAATAAAAACAAATAATGAAGAAGATACATTTCGTTTCAAAAGACGAAAAGGAGGACAGAGTTGACTTGGTGAATTTTTTTTTTTTTTCTTTATCAGGTACCTTCTTTGAAGAATTTTTCAAGGGTTTGCAAAAAATCTGGCGAATCTTCTTGTTTGATAGTGTGATATAACTCATCGGAATCAATAATTTTCTGCAATTCATTTAGAACACTGGCGTTACTTTCCAATATTTCATGATAAGCTTGCAAAACTGAAGGGGAAAATTTTAAAAGTGAAAAATCATCGGGAATTTGAACGAGAGGATATTCATTATCAAAGAAACGCCCAGTTGTGGGTAAGGAATCATCACTTAGATGCCCCCCATTGAGCTTTTTGTAGGAAAAAAGAAAATTGAAGAACTCAAAATTATCGGCATCAGGATTTTCGGTCATTAATTTTTCAAGGTTTCTGTATTCTATCAATGTCACCAAGAACGGGAAAAGACTCTTGAGCCCATAATAATAAAATCGAATATGCTTCTCAAAGTGTCCTTTGAAAATTATGTCCATACTCTGAAAAAGAATATTCCTGAATTTAATAAAACATTCGATTTTTTCAATAAGAGTTTCCAGTGCTTGCAAATTCAACGGATCATGATCGAATGATAATTCTCTGACTCGATGATGGAGTAAGAATATTGATATGAAAATTCGGAGCAATAAAGATAAGCCACAAGATAATACAATTCTCACAAGTTTTTCGAATTTTGGCGTAATTCTGAAATTAAAATTTTTCAAATCAACATTTGACATCCCATCAATATTAATATTCAAAAATGTTTTGTTGTTCATAGAGTATTCTTTTATTAGAACTTTCACCACTAACGCAACACTGGTTACGAAATCCCGTAAAAAGAATGAGTAAAGGGCCTGATTCCCGGAGTTTTCATAACGAGTCAATAAACATATAGTGAGTTTCAATTTCAACGAAAATATCATCAAAAATCTTTCAAATTGCATCACTTTATGCAAAGTGATCAAATAAATATCAGTAAGCACGATTTTTTTACCGGAGTCCACTGGCGTGAATGATTTGAAATTATCATTATTGGTAAAGAATGAATGAGCGTCACCAAATGAAGTGATGAGATATTCATTATACTCTTCATAGCACCAATAAATGTCTTTGACCTTAGTGGCTCCCGTAATATCAATGGCACAGTTGATGTCACTTACTAGTTTGTTCACTTCCTTTTTCTTTGCGAAATTCAAGTCAATCAACAGGTTCAATTGATCCTCAAGGTCAACTGATAATGTATTTATCAGTGGAGTGGCTCCCGCCTTCAATAATGGTTTCTTTGGTAATTGCACTGACCCACTAGAGCTCTCCTTAATTAGGTTTGTCAATGGAGAAGCATCCAATACAAACTCATCACAAATAAAATCTTGTATCGAATACCATAGCTTTCTCGTAATGTACACTAGACTCTCCTTATCTTGGAAATCTGATCCGGGATGCGGTGCGCCCTCCCTAACTAAAACAGTTGACCAATCTTGTGATAATCCAATGGAAGTGGCAAAGGAATGGATTGTGCCTAGTAGAATAGATCGCTCATCTAATGGAATCGCCCCAGCATGCTCTTCGGCCGACGTGATGTAATAATAAATAAACATATACGCGTTTAAAACGTTGATGTTTGGTTTGAGGAACGCTTTTGCTTGGGAAAAACAGGCCGATGCCAAGGTTATATACTCCCTGCTGATATATTGCAAATTATCAATATTGACAATTTCCCGTTCAATAGGGTTTTTGGGAGTTAGTAAATCAGGATTATACCGGAGTACGGAGTAACTGATCCGGAGGATTATCAAAAAACATCCAATCATTGAGAGATCAATGACCGATGTTAATGTAATATTGAGCAGAATAAAATCATCATGATTGGCAACATTATTTGTACTTCTGTCATCAATTTTAAGACCAACAATGATCAATTCAATGTCTCGCTTGAACGCTTTCAAGTTTAAAATTGGCACAAATGGGTACACATATCTTTCAAAAACGTTCCAAAGAAATTGGATGTGGCTTTGTTGTTTAGGAAGAATGTTGGCGATCTCTTCAATTAAAGATGTTCTAGATGTCGCATTATACAAGAAGCTGTCAATGAAAGATGGGAAAGTAATCACCGCATGCTTCGAGGCAAATGTCTGGGTAACATATTTTGAATTCTGTTCGAATAACGGACTTTCTTTATCCAAGAGAAAATTTAAAATGAATAGCAATTTATCATTCTTAAATCCTTCATTCAATTGTGATGGCAAAGGATTGATCAATACGCTTAAATCATTGTCGATTTCTGCCTCTTTAAACTTCTGCTTGATGTGACGATAACAACGATTCAAAAACAAGAGAACAGTTTGGAAAAGATCCCCACGAAGAAGCATGAGCCAATGGAATGGGTGCGTATACACCAAGGAGTTTGATCGGCTACTGACAACAAGGTTATTGCTGAAATCAATGGTATCCTTCTCGGAAATTATCGGGCGTTGTTGTTGTTGCATTTGGTGATGATTTGACGTTACAGAGATACTCGATGCTTCTGAATATTGGCTCAACAACAGCTCTAGTTTCTCAATATGTTGACTCATGTTCGAAACTTGAGCCTGTAAACTCTGTATTTCTGTCTCTGATGAGACTACATCTGGTTTGCGGATCCTTGAAATTGTTTCTCGAAGTATCCTGTCTTCATCATATTGACAACTTGCGGAGAATCCATGCTCCTGACAATATCCACATACTGGCCTAACCTTATCACACCTCTTTTTCTTTACCCGACAAATAGTGCACGATTGAGCGACTCTGTTCCTTTTCCTCTTACCGGAATCCATATTGCTATTCGTTTGGTGATAGGGAAGGAGGAGAGAATACTACTTCCTGAAAGTATTATGAATAATAAAAACAAATTTTCATGCAAATATAGTCGGGTTGTTATTGACACTCGCGTCTACATACAGTATCCCACAGAAAGGTCACAATTGTTAAGAAGGATGAACTTTCCCTTCAATATAAATGATCAGTATTATCATATTTATTATGAAAAATTGGAGATAAAATTTAGCTACAGAACCATTTTGTACAATTTCTCCATCTAGAAAGTTCTGTAAATCATTCTTAAAAACAAATGCTATTGGACCGATCACCTCTCTCTCTCTCTCTGTCTCTCTCTTTTTTAATGATTTCCACTTAAAATTCTCTCGGCATATTCAGAAAACGTTTCCTTCTCGTTAACATTCTCTCCCAAATTTGGTTGACAAAACACCGCCAAAGTGTTTCTCGCCACCCCTGCAACGTTACAACCTTTCACATAATGAGGAACCGCCTTAAATCTTTCCTGAGAAATCTCTTGTAATGCACTCCCAGTTTGGAACGCCAAGCAGTCTTTTGGAATATCAACCTTCACCACTTCCCCCTGTCTACTCTTGATATAAAGCCCTGATTCAGGATCTGGCGAGGCTACAAGTTCTTCTAACCCATCAACATCAAGTTGTTGAAGTTCATCAAAGGTCTTTTCGGCAATTTTCGATTCATCAATATACATCGCCGAGGTAAGCCCTGTCAACACACTATGGTCCAAATGTTCCCCGCACCAGATGTTCCCCGTTTCATCTTTCACCTCGGTGACAGACTTTGGATAGTAATGGAGCAATCTTGCCTTGGTGGTGTACGAGTTCTTGACCACTGATTCACAATAACCTCCAGGGAAAGAGAATTTAGCATCAGTAAGCTCCGAAGCAATGAATTTATCACAAACGGCAGCAACATTAAGAGCAATCTGAATTATGAGATTACAAAGGGCTTTGGCATTTTGTTCGAATTCATCAAGTACTCTCGCACGAAGTGATGACAAATCCGGCCATTTGTTCAAAGTGACATAGGCTTTGTGGTTAGCAAACCGTTCTCTTTCCTCTGTTGGGGGACCTTCTAGTGTTGGGTCAATGAAGAACGAACAGTTGATATAATATGACCCTTTGAGATAATCGGGTTTCTTGATGATTTCCGACCCTTTTTGAATAGTGAGTTTTTCTTTTCCACGAGACCACCCCACGAGCCAAAACGCTTCAGAAGATTCCATAGATTCGAGGACTTGGCTATCAAGCTTAGAAAGCAATGAAGCAGACTTGAGAACCTTGGAACGTAGTGAACGATACGATGAGGGAAGGTCACTGATAAGGATGATCCCTAAAGAATCAGGGCCAAACGCAGAGTTAAGTGATTCTCTCGGTATGCCAGATTTAAGCGACGATAGAGAAATATTAATAGGGGAAAGTGACATGGAGAATAATGTATATTGTACTATATGTATTGCCTGTGGGCTATTCTTGATGACGGTGCTGATTGTTCTCCTTAAAAAGCCCAAAAATCTCATTTTCCGACATACCACTACGGGGGGACGTACGTAACTACAGACACAAAAAAATACACATTAAAACATCGAGAACTAATTGGAACTAATTACAGAGAATAGATGGACTTAGCGGCAGCATCGGTAAAATATTGGAACGACATTGTATCTACCAAGGTATTATACATGTCGTCAGATTCAACAATTTTCAAAGCTTCATCAATATAAGACTCACTTGGGTTAAGAATATCACCAAATGTACTTTTTCCCACTGATGGTATAGAACTGCCAGCAATCTCAGAAGATGAAGAGGTTGTAGTGTCGCATGCCAAAATATCAATGTACAGTTTTAATTCGCACGAGGGTTGCCGTAACAAGAGGCAGGTTTTTTGGACAGGTTTCATTTTGTAAGTTAAACCCATGCTTTTTCTAGTGTCGTTAGTATTTGGTTTTATGTCACCATCACAATTATTTTGCTCTTTTTTATCTGAATGAGGATGCTCGAAAAGAAAATCAAACAACTCAATTTCTTTGGGAAGTGGATTGCTCATCAAAAGTGCATCGAAACGTTTGAATTCTCCTAACAGCAATAAAAAATGGAGCGAAAGTTTAATGTCATTATAATAAGTCTTGACACATCTATTCAAATACACCTTGTTCCAAACATTTATAATCTTGAGAATAAGATCTTTCAATGTCATAAAGTATCCTAACTTATTTCTAAGACTTTCAATAATTCCCACATTAATGGGGTTTGGATTAGCGGAAGCTTTATCGATCTCAATGCGCAACGCGAAAATTGAAAGGAAACACCGGAATATGATACTTGAAACAATAAATAATAATACAATAGACATATTCCCAACTTTTGGAATGATTCTGAAGTTGAATTCGGTAAACTTGGCATCGGATTTGCCATCAGCATTCCAAAAAGCCTCATTATTTATTATAAACTCCTTGATTAGCAATCTACTGTGTGCACTGGCATTCAAAACCGTGTGTTTCATGAAGTAAGAATAGAGCAGTTGATCCCCTTTCTTTTCATAATAATACAACAACATACAACCCAACTTCAATTGGGCCAAGGCAATGGTAAGAAATCTGTCAAATTGAAGAGCTTTATTGAGAGCAATCAAATAGGAACCTGTAAGTCTGACTTTAGTATTATCCCAAGGGCGAATGAAAGCTTTGAAGTTTTCATTGCTGGTGAAGTATGTATAGCTATCTGAAAAATTGGAAATTAAATAATGAGAGAACGCTTCATAGCACTCATATATTTCAGTGACTCTCGTTTGTTTCAGATCATACACTAAAGATTCCAATCCTCTTATTAGTCGATTGACTTCATCCTGCTTAGCAAAGTCATGGTCTAGAAGCATGTCTAGTTGATCCTCCTGAGAATCATCTAAGACACCGAAAGATGGGGATGCGCTAGAAGTAGTAGCTCTTCTCGGTAACTCAACGGCTTGATCACGATATATTAACCTGCTTGAAGGTGATCCATAAGAGGAAAACTCTTCCACATCAAGCTTTACTAATGTATGCCACATTCTTCTAGCAATATAAACAATCTCTTCGTGGTTCTGAAAGTCTGTTCCAGGATGCGACTTTGCTGGGAAAAATCTGACATCAGCCATATCTCTGAATAAGCCCATCGACTTAGTAAGTCCATCAATAGTACTTATTAGCACGAGAATTTCATTATTTTGGATACCATGGGCATTCTCCTCAGAATGTATGTAATAAAATAGCATTAAAATATGTCCATTTAAAGAGCTAATACTTGGTTTGGCCAAAGACTTTGCCTGAGCAAAACACAGCCAAGCCAAATCAATATATTCTGTTCCAATATAGTTCAAATTATCAAAATTCACAAGTTCATTCTCTATTTCAGAAGGCACAATATTTGAATTCAATCTGAGTTTCATGGTACAATAGCTGATTCTAAGAATAATTAGGAATGTACCAATAAAGGCAAGATCAATGAATGATGTTGCAGTGATGGCATATACACTATCCTGAGTATCGAGACTAGCTACATCCCGATCAATTGGATAAATCTTTAAACCAACAAAAATCAATTCAAGATCCCTTTTGAATGTTTTCAAATCCAAAACAGGTACAAATGGATGGATAAACTTTTCAAACACGTTCCATAAAAACTGAATATGTGCGGGCTTTTTTGGCAAAATGTTCTCGATTTTCCAAATTAGTTCGCGTCGAGAACTTTCATTAGTACCAGAATTAACACTAACAGATGACAATATCCCTTTACCTTGTTTTGAAATATGAAGTCCCACTAGAAGCTTCAAGTTATTTTGGAATAAAGAACATTCTTTATTCATTGCGAATTCCCACAAGAATAGTAATTTTTTAGCCTTGAAATTTTCATTAAGTTTTGCCGGCAAAGGGGTGATCAATAAGCTTAAGTCGCTATTGAATACCATCTCTTTAAACATTTCTTTAATGTAACAATAACAACTATTCACGTACGAAGAAAAGCTAAACATATCATCCGAAAGAAATTGACACCACTGAAAAGGCTTGAAGTGATATAGGGAATTGGATCGAATTAGGATAAAGCTTTCTTTCGAAAAGAATTCATATACATCATTTTCGGGTATCTTTGGCGTCATTGATCGACAATCAAGCTCCCAACTTTTTTGATCTGTAATTTCATAATTAGCGACAGAATCCACTGGTGAAACTGAGTTGCTTGAATGATTATGACTCAAAGTGGCTTCTAGCTGGGAAATACGGCGCCTCAACTCAGCATTCTCAGTCCGCAAAGAGCCAACCTCGTCGGATCTGTGTGGCGATATCATCAGGTCTTCAACCGGAGGGCTGGTAGGATAGTGATTATCATAATAACATTTCGATGAGTTACCGGTCTTCGAACAATAGGAACACACTGGGCGCTTTCTGTCACATTTCTTCTTCTTGATACGGCACGAAGTACAAGAATATGTCAATCTATTCCTTTTCTTTTTCAAGATAGCATCTACAGAGTTCATGATGATGTGTATAGAGTAAATAAAATGACAGTATGCGCATCAAATAGTAACGGAAGCTCATCTATAGAAGGGTGTGCAAATAAATTTCTGCACGCCGACCATGTGACCAAAGGTGATCAATATTGTCTAATAGGCAGTATAACTAGAAGGGTTTTCTTTATTAGGGTGTCGTAAGTGTGTTTAATATATAAAAGTGTAATAATAAGACAGGGAAGAAGGGGGCTAAATGCTGATAATTAATGTCTAGGACAAGGGGATCCGAATATCTAAGTGAAATAAAGTTAAAAGAAAATAAAAACCGGTTAGCAAAATAAACATGAACAAAAACAAAGGTATTATATTTATATCTGTAAGTCTCTGGCCTTTGTTTTTTTTTGTCAATCTTCAAAGGCATATGATTGTCAAAGACTTTTTTGATGAAATTTTCAAATGGAGAATACGAGATGAGAGTTGAAGAACTATTGGTATAGGGGCTTTTGATTAGTCCTTATCAATGAAATATTTTTGTGGATCAAATCTATTCTCAGCTGCAATCTTTCTTCGTTGATTTTCATTTCTTCAATACGTTGATTAAGCTGTTGGATATAGTTTTTATTGAAGTCGGACAACATAGCGTTTTTCTTCTCATAGTCACGGAAGTTGGCGACCAAAGTAGCACGTTTTTGTTTTTCAACTGCTAACTTTTCTTGAAGATTTTGATTCTCACGTTTGTAGGCTGAAAGTTTCTTGGAGAGTTCGGCAACCATATCGTGACTGGCACCATTCAACGGCGAAAATGCTTGTCGATTAACTTCGTCGGTGCTGGAGTTGTATGTGTAACTGAACATTGTGGAGCTTTTGGATGAAACAGATGAGATCGAGTTATCACGCTCATGAGATAAAGATTCTAGGGGTTCTGTAGACTTTTCAGCAGTAGTAGACTTCATGATATTCAACTGTTGTGTAAGTTTATCACATTCCTCATTAAGTGCACGGTTTTTTGAAAGGTATCGAGTGTTTCGTGATTCCAAGTCATTAGACTTTATCTGGAGGTCGTTATTGGTTGATTTGAGGGAAGTGTTTTCCTTTCTGAGTTTTGCGATTTCATTGGTTTGCCCGTGGATCTTATCACTAAGAGAGTTATTTTGAATTTTTAGGTCAAGAAGCTCTTGATTGGTAGTCTTACGCTTATTAATGGTGGTCTTTTCTTGAAGGAGGGATTCTAAATTCTTGATGTTTTCTAGTAAACGTTTGTTTTCTGCTTCGTGTTCTGCCACTTTATCGTAAGCTTGGGCTGCCTTTTCTGAGAGTAGTACTATTTGTTCTTGAAGGATGTCCGAACGTTCTTGTTCAGCCTTAATTCCTGAGGCGACGGTGGAAACGGTTGCTGTTCTTTTCAAATTGTGGTACGGGTCTATTGGAGATGTTGCAAAACCTCTATCCTGAGGGGTTGTAGGGACCGAAGCCTTTGTGAATAGAGAAAACATGGCTAGACGGTCGAGTATTGAGGTATCAAATGAGAGAAGACCGAGAATTGAATGTAGAAATATTAAAAATAAAAATAATTAAAAACAAAAACAATAGAAAAATAAAAATTACAATTGACCCCTAAAAAAAAGTAATACCGTGTCTGGGATCTGCACTGTCGCGTGTGTCAAAACTGCACAACCAAAACCCAGGAGGGCTGGATTTTAATTTAAGCCTTGCCACCAGCATAATAATAATAATAACATAATTTTGACGTGCGGACAGTTAGTGATTACCGTGGGGCCATACGTATGGTTATTCTTGGCCCTTGAGATAACATAATGTCTGTAAAAACTGTCCCCTCCAAGTTGTGGAGATATATATTGCTGGCAATAACTACCACTATCACTAAGCCGAGTCAGGCGGTGAACGTTTTGTCGCCGATCACTTTTGGAATCTGTGCACCGAATCTGGCGGACGCGCTTACCGCATCAGGCATTTGCGCAGCACAACCTTGTGTCCCTAACAACGCTACTATTATCACGATTATTGTCATATGGAATATACTGGCTAAGGTATATACCGTCTATAAACGCAATAGGTAATAATACCATCCACCTGGCATATTCTTTTCTTCTTCTTTTTTTTTTCTTGCCCAATTAAATTAATGGTAGTGGACTCACCATGAGGAGACTCTCTACCCCAACAGTTCATCATTTTTCTATATCTACGACAATATCTTTAAATAGATCAAGATTTTCAACGATAAATCAGATTTCAGAAACGCTAGCTTTTTTTCTATAATCCTTTACTGCAATCCTGGACAGTTGAGGTCAAGCTTCTGGTATTGCTAACAGGATCTCCTTCTAATTGTAGCCACAGAAGTAACGGAGTAAAGTTAATTGTGTTCCGAGACACAACCAGATATTCAGCACAATAACATAACATTGGTTACCATATATTAAAGCAAATACCTCTCTTGTTCAAATAGTAACAAGGAGCTATAGCAGTAAACAAACGCGTCTTCCTAAAAACACGTGACTACAACAATTCACCAAATTTGAAGGGAATTGCAAACACAACCACCAAGACAACCCCACCGCTGATAATATAGCAATTACCCTGGCATTCTCTAGACCATTGAGGTTGTGTCTGCCGATAATTTGATTGTTGGGATATACGAAGAAGGATAACGGATTAGACATGTCCAGTTTGCCACAAGAAATCGACCCAAAAGAGACCAGTGTCGGAACCTCTGAAATTGACGCCAACCCCTCTGTGGAGCTGATGGTTACTGTTGATAACCCAATAGTCGCAACAGAGAACGAGGGTGTTCCAGAAACATCTAATTACTCTATACCTAAATCTATACCCGACCAAGAAACTTCATCTGATAAGCCAATGGATGACATTCACACAGGAAATACAACAGAATCTGAATACAATTCCCCTAGTGCTATCCAACAGACAACCTCTAATCAATCGAATGAACCTCCACAAGGTACAAAGGATACAAGCATAATGAAAGGAAAAGGATTAAGCATGAAAGCAAAAGCACTTCGGCAATTATGTGGTGATGCCGAATACTTCATTACTAAGGGGGGTAAGCAGAAGCGCATAGGGAGAGACAGAACCAAGATTAAAAGAACATTTTTCGCAGAATATGTGGAAGAGGCTTCGACTTCAAGACGAGAAAAACCTAGAAAAAAAGCCCATATAGCCGTAGAACAAGATGCCATAGAGAAAGAGGCCATAGATGAAACCCACGCGGATAACAATAATATAGATATGAATACAGAGCAGGATACAGAAAGATTTGACAAGGAGCCTCAAGAACAGCAGGTGTCTAAAAGGGGCCGAAAAAAATCTTCTGTCAAAGACACAAAGAAGGTCACTAATAATAAAAAGAAAAATGGATTCAAAAATAAAGATGTGAAAGTTACCACGAAAAATTCCAAAAAAATGAAAGCGAATAAAAATTCAATAGAGGAGAAAGTTGGGGAACCAAAGAACTCTGTTGGAGAGACTCAGATAGAGACTGCTGATGAATATGAAACATCAAACACAGGCAAAAATAGCAGCAATATAATGTCAAGTGAAAGTACACCGGAATACTTGAGCTCCCCACTCTCACTGATTGATGGGTATAACGATGACAGTGGGTCTTTTTTTGAAAATTTTTTGGTGAAATCTAAAACAAAGCCAGAAAAGCAATCGAAGAAGAAAACATCTGGTGACAAGAAAGCAATCAAAAAGCAAGTGAAGAATAAGAAAAATATCAATAAAGATCTCAAGGAAGACCACGAGAAGTCACAGGAAATTGAAAATGAGCAAGTAAATTCTGTTAAAAAGTCTCACAAGCCAGGAAAGACCGAAATCTCACCAGAATTAAAGAAGCACAAACAATTCATGGATTATTTTTCATCATTCGGGAGCCCGACGGGCCCTTCTAAAATGGAGATAGTACTTGGCACAAGACAATTGTTTACTAATGAAGTAAACGCCTCCTGTGCTACATTAGCCAAGCCTATAGATTTCATCAATAACATTGATTTTATAAGGCAATTCAAGGATAATTATCGCGAGCATTTTGAAGTTGAGGATGAAACGGAACTTGTCATTGATTTGGATAATCCTCTTTTTATTCAACGTAAGGAAAAATTTCTCTTGCTAGCTCCAAGAGATGAAGAGTTGGATCCATTCCACGAGCTCGGTAGAACCATGGTAATTATGTCTCAAATATTTTTCCCAGATCAACGCCAGCTAGAAGTCATGAATAGGGACCAGCCACACAATTGTATTATCGGGTTTTATGCACAGGCGGCGCTTGAGAAAAACCTTAAGAAGGTTAAAGAAAGTGTTGCCATGTTTAACCTTTTAATAAAACAACTCTCAATCCAAGACGTCATTCTTCCATTTATCAAGTCAAAGAAAACTATATCCAGAGATGCAATTCATGGGTTGCTAAATCAGATATACTCAAGAACTGTTTCACCAGTTTCTAAAAATTTGAGACGTTATCAAGCCTTCTCAAACACTGTTTATGGCGAAATTTTGCCCAAGTTTTTCTCTAAAATGCTTTCTGATGTTGGAGCCAACAGTAATATGAGGTTTCTTGATCTAGGCTCGGGGGTCGGCAATTGTGTGTTCCAAGCGGCTTTGGAATATGGGTGTGATAGCTATGGTGTGGAAATTATGGAGCAAGCTTCTGCCGCCTGTGAGTCTCAAGAAAGAGAGTTTCTACAAAGAAGCAAGTATTATGGATTGGATCACGGAAAAGTCACATTTTTCTTGAGACAATCCTTTGTTGATAATGAACCGGTGAAGAAGATTGTTGAAAATATAGATATTGTATTGGTCAATAACTATGTTTTCGAGCCTAAGTTAAATGATCTGGTTGGCTTATTATTGAACAATTTGAAACCAGGATCTAAAATCATTAGTTTGAAAGATTTCAAGAGCACTGCAGGAACAGTTGATGCTTACAATTCTGCAAGTATTTTTCATAAGTTTATTGTTGAAAGATACCAATTTGAGGAGGATTCAGTGTCTTGGACCAACTCAGGAGGTACATATTTTATTGGTACGGTCACAGACAAATACCCAGACCATGTATGGCAAGAGCACTACTTAACTAGAACCAGAAGTCAGCTTGCTAAAAAATAGATTGCTTTTGAGATGATTTTATTCTTTTATTTTCTTTTTTGCTCCCAATTATTTTATTGCTTTCTGCTATTGTACATTTATTTTTATATTCTAAGTGCATTTTTCATTTCCATAATTGTCTTCTTGTACCATTTAGATTGAAATAATTTCTCGAATTAACCAATAATCAATTGGATATTTGTAATAGCCTCTATGATAATCACAAACACATAAGGTCATCTCATCTCCAGCAACCTGATGCATGGCTCCAGAGAAAAAAAAAACCTCCAAGAAAAACAAAGGAAACCGCTACACGTCAAAATAGATGACGCTATTGTTACAATCTCCCATGGCTAAAGGTCGAACACAATTAGTAGCAACTATAACTAAATATTTAATGACACAATCCAAAGATATCAAGACCAATGAGTGGGATATAAACAACTGGTTGCGTTGGAAAAGAAAGCAAGGATCAGGAATTGGCGATGCTGCCGCTACCACCAGTAATAAGGACATCGTTGATAGTTTCCCAGAGCCAGATAGCGAAGATAATAATAATAACAATAAACTTGGTGATATGATCAGCACGGAAACTTCTGAGGTTTCAGAAACCATCCAAGGGAAATCCTGGTATTTTTGGCCCAATGGCTCGACACTGACAGTAAAGGAATCGATAAGTATTGCCACACAAACCACAAGGTCAAATACCCTATATACTGAGGAAATAAGCTTAAATAGCGATAATATTAAGCCCGATATTTTACGAAGCACCACAGTCACTGATAGCCATAATATTTTGGTGCCATCTTTTGAAGAATCGTTGCCCAAGAACACGTACTATAATCAACTATCATCGTTATTCATAACCATGCTGAGCAAATTGGGTTACGAAGGAGGATCGCAGAGAAAAAGTCAATTGACAAGAAACGATTGCCCTAATACCAGTTTTAGTAATGTTTTGATCATTGGGGTGCATGGCTTCTTCCCAACAAAATATCTCAGGCCGTTAATTGGGGAACCTACAGGAACGTCGATAAAATTTATGTCAGAGGCAGAAAACGCATTCAAGATTTGGTTGAAGGAAAATAAACATTATTTTGGGAAAAAAAAGAAAATAAGACTATCAAAAATAGCGTTGGAGAAAGAGGGGAAAATATTCGATAGGGTCAAGTATTTTTATGACGTTTTATCCAAGCATGATTTGAACCAGTACGATTTCATTTATATCGCCGCTCATTCGCAAGGTACCCCAGTATCAATCATATTGATGGCCCAGCTACTAGAAAGCGGGCTAATTTCAGACATGAATGGGAAACTATTTGGGATACTTGGAATGGCAGGTATTAGTAATGGTCCTTTTTACGGAATTAATCAAAAGATCTTTGTCAGGGCTTATTCCAAAATTGAAAGCGACTCTATGTTAGAGTTGTTTGAATTCCAGGATTTCAACTCTATTCAATCAGTGAAGTATTTACAAAGCTTGAAGATTTTGTTGAGTAATAATGTTCGGATTGCGTTTGTGGGGTCTATAGATGATCAATTGGTGCCACTTTATTCCTCTGTTTGTTCACATATACAACATCCAAATATCTTTAGGTCTATTTATATAGACAAGGATACAGAAACCCCGAATTTCTTGATGAAAATTTTGAATTGTGCGCTTTTGTTAAAGAACATGGGGCTCAACGATCATGGAATCATCAAGGAAATATCTAATGCGTTAGCGGGACCTTTGACAGGGGGTGGTCATTCCAAAATCTATAATGAGTTCAAGGTGTATGAATCAGGGATACGGTTTTTCCTTTACTCTAATCCAAAAAGAGGGGTTGAGGATACACCAGTAGTGTTTAAACCGTTTGAGGTTGAAAAACTTGGGTCCAACCCTTACTATTTACCATTTTGTCTTCGAGGGTTAATGTACGAATCTTCTGCCAATATTGAAAACGGCGAAAGGTACGTTGAGTTGATGCTCAAAGAGTTTGATGATTGGAATCCAAATACTAAGGTTTTGAAGGATATTAAGTACAGGCTTAGTGCGATGAAAGCGAAATTGTGAAGGACAGAACTTAAGATTTCCGTCATAATAATAAGTTTTGAAAGGCAGGTATATTATAACGGATATAACATACAGTCTACATGGGTTTTTGAGTTTTAGATAATGGTTTTCTTACATATACGGTGATATTAATAGGGTGTGGTGTTTGATTTGTGTAAGGCATTGATTGAAGTTATGATTTAAGCGATAGCCTTATCCCCGGGTAACACCCAACAAGAGACCGGCCTTTAAACGATTTTTTTCATGTCTTGCAATCCATGCATGGCACTAGAAGGGAAGAGAGACAACATCTTTGACCGTTGTATTCAAGGCAGAACTCAGATCTCATTCCCCTCATTAGCAGCTCTTCTAATACTTCGTTGGGAAGAAGTTTAATTATTACTCGCTATTTCTGTGGTTTTCTTCCTTTTTTTTTTTTTTTGGTCTTAAACACACAGCTCTGCTAGTCTCTATCATCTTCCAATAGCTTAGCAGAGATGATCCCCCTAAATCTTTTTCTATTTTGCATACTATACTTCTCAAGCTTGGTATGGTCTACTTCCACCAGTATTGACTCTACTGGGTCGTTCAACTGCGCTAGTGATGCAAATCTGGCTGTTATTAAGGTGACGGATTTTGTGTTCAAATTTGACAGTGTCTCTCATTCTGTCTACTATTCGGCAACCGGTACCGCATCAGAAACCGTTAATGCTACGGCCAAGATCTCTTTATTCATGTATGGGATCAACGTTGCCAATAATGAGGTGAAATTCTGTGAAGATGGCGTTAGTGAGTTATGTCCAATCACCAAGAATACTGATGTCACCATCACTGGGAACCATACCGTCCCAGAATCCTACGTCTCTTCGATTTCTACTTTGGCCTATACCATTCCTGACTTGGAGGGCCAGATATATATAGAGCTATACGATGTTGATGATGAAACTAATCAGTTGGGGTGTTTTAGATCCGATATTACTAACGGAAATACTACTGAAGTGGCCAGTGCTAAATGGGGTACTGCCGTCGCCGCCATCATCGCCTTGGTGGTCGCCATGTCCACCTCTGCCACCTCTCAAGCTGGCGGAGGAGCCACTGCTCCAACTGATGGCGGGGCCAGTAATGCTGCTGCTGCTGGTACCACTGCCGCTGGTGGTAAGGCTGCCGCAACGGCTGCTGCCCCAACATCAGGCCCAGGTACCAATGTCGCAGCAGGAGGTTTTCATGCCCCAGGGGTTAATATTTTGGTTGGATGGCTACAAACCATGTCGATAAATGGGGTATACTCTGTCGATTATCCAAAAGTGTATCGTTCATTCACCAGGAATTTCAGCTGGACTTGTGGGGTTCTAGAATGGACAAGCATGGAAAAATCCATCGATAGTATGAGATCACGTACCGGTGGTAATTTGACGGAATCTAGTGTTGAAGTGCTCCAAAACACCACGTTATATGAGGATCCATTGACTAGTTCATCATTGCTGGCTCTTAGTAGTATATCACTGAATTCCACATCTAAGCGAGCGGTGGAAGAAATGGTGAAAAGGTACGACCATGCTAATGGATATTTTACCATCATTAAAAAACGATCAAGTATACCTACAACCTCCAGCAGTACTACATCAGTCGGAACATACTCTAAATACGTGACAGGGATCGAAGCATACCTTGAAAAGAACAATATTCCTTTCACGAATGGGTTTGTGACTTTGCTAATCTGGTGGTGTATTATTGTTGCTGGGATTGTATTCTTCATGCTTGTGTTCAAATATTCTCTCGAGTTATACTATACTGAAAAAAGAGTGAAGGAAATGGAGCGTAGATTGGAGGAATATGAAAGCACAAGTGCCAATCAAACTCAAGATCTGGATTATGATGCCAATCAAAGAAAGATGTCCAAAAGTTCGGCAATTTTTAGAAGATTGTCATTACGCGATGCTTCAGCACTCCGTTCTAATTCCATATTCAGCAGATCTTCCAGACCTCCAACTAAGCCAAAGTTTCAAGGTTACAGAGAAAACTACAGAAACTATCTTCGGATCACTCTCATTAGAGTGATTGTTATTCTATATGGGGTATGGGTGCTTCTTTCGCTCTATCAATTCCGGATTAAGGATTCCTGGGCGACGATTCTCTTAGCAGCATTGACATTTTCTATCTTTACATTCATCTTGATGGCATTTGCCCTTCGTATTTGGTATTTGGCATACATTGCTAGCAAAAAGCAGGCTGCTGCTGATGAAGAAGAACAGGTCAATGGTCGAAGATTTAGTACCCTTAGCGGCGCCCATAGTTTATTCCATCATAAGCCTTGGATCAGCAGGTATGGTGTGTTCTATGATGAGTTCAAAGTTGATTTTTGGTGGGTGTTCATGATTATCTTCCTTGCGGTGTTTGGAAGAAACGCGTTTATTGCCTTGGGTGTTGGCCATCCGTTGATCCAGATCTTTGGGCAATTGGCCATCGACGTGGTATTATGCGTATTTTTCTGTATATACACTCCGTTCAATACCAAAATGGGCAATGGTTTGAATATTATCATTCAAGTGGTCCGCATCGTCAGTTTGATCTTGACCTTCTTGTTCACCGATGTGGTTTCAATGAGCAGAATTAAGTCCACGGTGGTGGGGTTCGTGCTTATTGCGTTGCAATCTTCATTAACGGTTATCTTGGTGTTACTTATCTTGGCGAATGCTTGCAAAGGGATGCTCAATACTCACTGGCAAAACACCAAGCAGAAGCGAAGAGATAAGAGAGCTCTTAAATTAGCTTTGAAGAATCAAGAGAAAAGACCAATCGAGGAAGATGTTGATCTTTTGGATTTGGGCAATGATGAAGGAGACATGCAAAATAAGAACAGTATCAAACTCATTGATTTAGATAGTCCAACGGGTAGTGACTTCGATGAGTATGATGATGCCAGGGATGGTAGTGGGTCATTTATGGATTTCAGAGGCCCAGACCGTCCTCGCCGTGGTAGCATATTTGTCGAAGATCCGAATTTGAGCCAATATCATCATCATGATCATTCAAATCAAAATGTTTTCAGTGATAATTTTGCCATTGATTCGGGCTCAATAAGTAATAAAAGCAGAATAACCGCCGTGGATCCGTTTAAAACTTCATCAAGGGATGACGACGAGTTTGATTTTATCGATTTTGAGCAGGTCACAAAGCCATCAGATAAAGAAGGCACCAAAGGACTTGGAAAAGATATTATTGAAGATGGATTCAAATTAAACTACGAAATTGATGATGGCAAAGAAGATAGTGATGATGAGAGGAGATTATTGAGAAATACCTAACTGCTAAAATCATTAATTAATCCTTAGACATGGTGAATGCTCTGTTAATTTTTTTTCCTCTTTTTTTATTTTTTTTTTTTTGAAAATAATTGTTTTTGAATTCTAGTTTCCGTTTTGTTCTACAAATAATTTTATTTTAATGGTTGTTTAGTAATTTCTATTGCTGTTTTTTTTTTCTCTCACTCTCTATTTTGGTTCATTCTCTTTCTTTAGATTTTTCCTAATTGTTGCTACTATCTTATTAGCATTTGCTTATGCTTTATTTCACTCCTGGCTTTATAATTAATTTTAATTTTTTGTTTTTTTAAATATTATGAAATATGAATGTAAGCTTAAACAAATGTGATTAATTGTGAGTTTGTAAACTAGAATATCTGCAATGAACCCAATATACTTCACCGCAGAAGGTAGATGTTGGTGATCTATTAACAAATATTCCAAAACCTGAATAATAAGTTCTAAAAATTTTAATAAGTGAATACCTGAATTACAAGCTCCGGAATCCATAACCAAAGACTACACTAAAAAAAAAAAGAGTGCGAAAACAACGCTTGCTGGGGAGAATGAAATAGATAATTAAACAATAGGGCACGAGAACAGAAGAGAATGTAAAAAAAAAAAAAAAAGGCTAGAGATAAATGAAAATAAGAAGTAACAAAGATAAAAGAGAAGACAATAGAAAAGAAACAAAAAGAAAATGAGAGAAAAATGGAATGCTTAAATGATCAATTAGGGCAATTAATAAATAACTAGTTTCCAAAGAAACAATCGAAACGAATATTTGGATAGTAACAAAAATAAATAAATAAAAGTAAATGGTAGACCTTTCATGAAAAAAAAAGGAAGAGCGCAACAACCTAATAATCAAAATAAAATCTAAATGTTTAATAAAGGAATGACTGGTGGATTATACTTGAACAAAGACATGCTAAAATGAATGGATATGCAAAATGCTGACCGTGGGCGGTAATGAATGAATAATTTGATGAAGAATAATGCAATGTGTATAATATAAATGAATGAATGTGGGTATTTGATCTTTTGAATGCAGCAGTAAAATAAAAAATAGGTAGGTTTAAAGGAATAGGTAATAAAGCAGAACCGAACACAAATAAAATGCAGAACAAGAGAATTGTTCATTCTTCTTTAGTATTTTATCTTTTTTAGCATTTCATTTTTTTTGAAATAAGGACGAGAACTTTAACTATAATAAATAATATGAATAAAACTTTCCCAAGTTCAAATGTTTTATCGGAATGTTTTCAAATGTCTAATGAATTAATACTATTCTTCAAGAATGCAAGCTGTGCTGAAATCTCATCACACAAATCGTTTCTAGAAATGCTGTTGAACGCATCAACCTTGATTTCTAATTCACAAACCAAAGAGTACATCGAAGTCCATTGGACCAATTCGAAATCATAACCCACCCTCTTTGGCATACCTTCTCCATACAACCTGATCCGATCTCCATTTTTCTTGAAGAGAATCCCTTTCTTTTTAAGTTCTGCCGGGTTGAGTTTTGGGAAATTGGCATGAATAAACAATATTCTAGGAGTATTCTGTTGCAAAGGAATACCAGCATCGTTTGCATCTTGGAAACTCATGAAATTTTTTTCTGGTCGCTCCTTCAATAAATCTAAATTATTACTAAGGATTGAATAATCTTCCACAGGATCGTATTGACCCATCCCACAGCCAATAAACGTACGATCTTCATCGTAATGTCCAAATGCATTAAGGAATTTGTTGACTTGGTAAAATGGCTTATCTAAAACCACTGCCGCCGCCAAGAAGGTTTCTTTATCACCTTCACCATCTGATCCTTGTGAGAAAAGAGGGTAATAATGTGATGGGCCATATAAATTGTAATAAAGTGATAAAAGAAGGGTCTTAGCATGGAATTTCTTGGAAATCATCAATTGACCGGATTCGGTAGTCGGATCAGGAATTGTCCCCTCGCGGTCATGTAGAGGTATTTGAGAAGGATCTTGTTCATTTTCGTTGATGATTCCCGCCTCATAGACTCCATAATTATGATAACCATACCGTGTACGTCTTTGAGAAACAGTAATTCCCGCGATATCGTAGAAATATGGAGAGGTGGCGCGTTTCCAGAAATCTGGCCAAGAGATTAAACCTTTAGACTTATAAGGCTCTGAATCAAATAGATAATCGGGTTTTGCAGCAGGGACATTATCGGAGTCAAGAAGAAGAACATTTTCAAAAGATGAGGCAAGTAACGCAAGGGCTTTATATTGGTATCCAAAGAATTTGAAGTTTTTCACCACTTCAGCGCCCAAAACTTGAGGAAGTAAAACACATTTAGCTCCCAATGCAGGAAATACTCGACCACAGAGATCGATTTCGTATTCTTCGACTTTTGGAATGATAACTTCGACTGGTAATTCCGATCCTAAATAACGTAAAGTTTTAATTGATAGCATCACGAGCCAGTTAAAATTACCGCCCCCAACGTACACAATACCATTCCCTTTGAACGCCCCTTCGGAGAAATTTTCTGGAAGGTTTCTGACCACATTCTCGTGTGATGATTTCATTGCTTGAAGCTCTTCATCGTTTAAATCCAAAAACTCACGTAAGTAATCTTCGGTGAACACTGGGGCATTAGGGTCCACTTTGGTATCGTACCCTGCATGATAAATTCTTTGGCTGTGTTTGTAACGACCAAGCGAGTCTATAGTTGGTGCCGAATCTTTATAAACTTGGAAAATATCTTTCAAAGATGAATGAATTGTAGCAAGTCTCGCCGAATCGAAAGGGAAAGGGTTTTTTGTTGCAAGTTCCAATTTATTCAAATCAACTTGACTCAATGAAAGATGAGACATGAGATACTCGTTGGTGGTTCGAATATTAACATCAATATCACTATGCAGAAGCTGTTGTGTACCACCCCCAAACTTCTGTTTATTAAGTTTTCGAAGTTGGTCTTGATATTCTTCCGGATCGTCTTGTTTTGATTTGGTAGCAATGCTGTTAGAAGAGGGATCTAACAAATCTGGAAAGCGCGTGGTTTCAAGATTATTGAGGGTGAAAAATATCATCATGATCAAGAATATGACCATCAATATACGTCTATTCCGACGATAAAGGCGATTGAGGATACCGATCATGATTCTTAGAGGTGCCGATTGATAATATTAGATATAATGGAGACCTGGAATATAGCACACATATAAATACACACAAACACACAGAGGCATACCCTTTAGGAGGCTTTTTCTTTTCTTAATACAAGTACAATTCCCCAAACTCACTGGCTAGGGTTCCATGGGAAATTAAGGCTGATGTGTTGTTGTTAATGGGATTGTTTTGAAGGATGAAATTTCCGCCGGGAGACGTCAACCACTGCACCGTGACGGGTCGCGTGATACGCACTGCCGGGCGCCGGAGGGGACAGTTATTATTATATATAATAATTATCTGTAAATTGTTCAATTAACATACATTGATTAAATAAATAAGCGAGATATATTGCAGTTGTGGTTATGATTAGCAGCAGGGGATTCTCATAAAGTGGTTGAATAGGGGACTGGATTAGGGGGTGTTTTCATATATTCCAGTCAAGAATAATAGTCAGTCTGGTAGGCTGAAGAAATTTCCCTTGTAGTGGATTGATTGTTTAGAAGAAAATGTGCATGCGTTATTCATCGTGGTCAACGGTAACAGGCAAATACGAAGTTCTTTTCTGTAATCAAGCTGTAGTTTCTCTGTGTGTACTGTTTGCAACATACCACTTTCTTCTTACAATCTGAGACCTTTGGATAAAGAAATTTACTTTTTTGCTGTGCGACAGACAGCATTATAATTTTTCAATTTCTTTTTGGCCTTAGGGTCGTTAGGCTTACGGGTCATATCTTACGAAAAATCAAATAACCAAGAGTATATCAATACAGTATGTGCTTATAAGCAGCATGTGCCCTAGTGAATGTAGGTTACGAGGGAAGGAGAAGGAGCTCATGCAACTGATCAATACACTCCTATCTTCTTCACCTGACCTACATTAACCTGTTAGTTAGTGAGAGAAGTAACAGTTCACAGAGAACAAAAAAACTGGGATTTATATTTAAAACCTGGTGTTTGGGTGCCAAAAGTAGCCATATGCATTTCTCACATGACTGGTTGTGAGCGCTGCCATTTATTCAGTATTGTGAGGAATTATGATTATTTTACTCTCCACGTACAAGATAAAGAGTGCTACATATATGTCAATACTATAACAATAATAATAACAATAATAATCAAATATGATCAAATATATCCTCCTTTTGTCCCGACAAGGCAAAGTCCGGTTGGCAAAATGGTACATTCCCCTCTCCCAGAAAGAAAAAACTAAGATTATTAGAGAACTCACCGCGATCATCCTTTCCAGAAGGGCCAAAATGTGCAATATCATTGAGTACAAGGATTCCAAGATTATTTATCGAAGATACGCTTCGTTATTTTTCATCACCAATATCCCAAATGAGGACAATGAGCTTCTCACACTAGAAATCGTCCAGAGATACGTTGAGCAAATGGATAAGGCGTACGGGAACGTCTGTGAATTGGATATCATTTTCAATTTCCAGACAGCATACCATATCCTTGACGAATTAATATTGGACGGGGTAGTCCAGGAAACTTCTAAAAGAGAAGTGCTAAGAAGAGTAGCCACTCAGAACCAGCTAGAGAGTGCTGATGAATTGAATAGGTAAGTGATTGGGTTTTGGTATGATATTTTTTTTTGATTTGTTGGATTCGTTTACTAATTTACCGTGCGCTCGTCGTTATTAGTGTGATGACCTAATATAATGATTATAATATACTGATCTAATTTTTTTTTTCTTATTTTCCCCTTGTTATGAATTGTGATATATCTTTCTATAAATCATATCCTGTGATGTCTTTTACATGACTTCTATTAATTTTCGTAAGGATCATGTATATATGAGATAAATTTATTGGAAGAGCAGCAATGTATATACCAAGCAAAAAAAAAACTAAATAATAGTAACACACAACTAATGATAGCAGGAAATGAAATGGTACTGGAAGGACATCATAAAAAATAAAAAATAAAACTTTAGCAAAGATGACTAATGAAAAGTGATGTGCCATTTGATATGACGATGGTCTTGATAATGATTTTTCAGTTGAGCAATGATAGTAGTGTGCCTTATCTAGTGACCTCCCATTTGATATCTGTTATGCTGACTTCATTAAGGGTATTTTCATCAACATCATACCATTCATCATCCAATTCCACTTCCTCAAAAACTTGTTGAGATTCGGCACTCTTAGCCTGGAAATAGCCATTTGGAACGAACTCTTCGATTACAAGCCCTCTGGCCTCCAATTCAAGGATTGGCTTTGGTCTGGTCGAGTCTTCGAGGGTGTAAGGTACGACGTTGGTGAGGATACTGGCGTGAGAGTCATTGCCACAGAATTTGCACTTGAAGATGAAATTGGCGACACCCCTACTGTCAAGAAGGTCCATAGTTTCGCCTCTATTTATTGATATGTCTTTAGAATGCATTTCATGGCATCTGACGCAAGAGATCTTAAAGACGTAGTCGAAGGGGTCTTGGGCGGTGTCTACTGGCTGGAGCAGAGCAATATTTTCCAAACGCGCGGATAATTTGACGACGAATTTAACCATTGTAATGCAGTGATAAGAGAAAAGGAGATAAAGAGAAACCGGACACCAAACACTACTGCTAATATCCCTGGGTATTTATAGTATAGTCTTCTGTGTCGTTGGATATCGTCATCATCGTTGTCGCTGAGGAAGAAAACCGATTTGCGCTGCCCGCTGCAGAGGCTCATAACAGGCTGTCTGTCACGACGTACACGTGATCCCAACGCCAGGCAAAAAGGTAAACAAAAACAAAAAAACAAAAACAAATAGGAAAAAAAACCAACCGTGTTTTTCTTTCGATCTGTTTACTTTTATGGTCCTCATCATTATCATCAACACCGAGCCAACACAAATATATATCCTGAGATGTTCGCAGTAGGAAAAACAGAAACAGAAAGCCACCCAGAATTTGACAGATCATCAACCCTGTCCCCCCTAAGGTCTCCTACCCTAACGTTACAGCCCATCAATAGCACAACTCACAACAAATCAGCCCTTCCGGTGAGGAATCCCCTTGTCAAACTCCAGCTAAATGCCAACCGTAAAATAACAACCTCCAGCAGTTCAGAGAACCCAAAAAAGATACCAAAGACATGGGATCCACTTAGCAACATTCAAATCAACTATACCGTCGACACCAACCCTAATCGCAACAGCCATCTAGATGAAAACACCAGTATCGGCTCGATGGGGCCACCAATCTCTCCTAGTGCCCACCGCATTCACAGAACCTCGATTTTCAATCGGACCCTCGAAAACCCTGGAGTCAGACAATATTCGCTTGATGATTTCGAGATAGGTAAGAAGCTAGGAAAAGGGAAATTCGGGAAAGTTTATTGTGTTAGAGATAAGAAAACTGGGTATGTTTGCGCCCTCAAAGTGATGGAAAAGAAAGAAATCATTGATTACAAAGTAGAAAAACAATTTAGAAGAGAAATCGAAATCCAGTCAAATCTTAGACACCCAAACGTTCTTCGATTATTTGGGTATTTCCACGATGACAAAAGAGTGTACTTAATTCTCGAGTACATTGTCCATGGTGAATTATACAAGCTACTCAAACAAAAGGTACGGTTCAATGACACTTATGCCTCGCACTATATTTACCAAATGGCTGATGCGTTGCAATACCTTCACAAGAAGCATATTATCCACAGAGACATCAAACCAGAGAATATTTTGCTTGGTTTTGACAATATTATCAAGATTTCTGATTTTGGATGGAGTGTCCATGCCCCCTCCTCGAAAAGAACCACAATGTGTGGTACCCTCGATTACTTGCCCCCAGAAATGGTCGAATCAAAAGAGCATTATGATGAGAAGATTGACGTATGGGCCCTTGGGATTTTGATGTATGAGCTACTTGTGGGGAGTCCACCATTTGAGGAAGAATACAAGAGCGCTACCTACAAGAGAATTGCCCGGGTTGACTTGAAGCTCCCTGGATTTGTGAGTCTTGAGGCGGCCGATTTGATCAAGAAGTTGTTGAAACACGAGGCATCCAAGAGAATCAGCTTACATGAGGTGATGAACCATCCTTGGATCATAAAACACCGGAAATTCTGGCCACAACCCAAGAACTCGTGATGATTATTAGTGTTAATTGTGTTATTTAGGGTCATCTCATTCATACAATAACATCAACCAACTAAATATCCTGTTCTATATTGTAAAATGCATTGAAATAAAACCTCAATAATTGTATACAATAATAACCATAGTCATTAATCAACGGCCTCCTTTTTGACAAGGATGCGCACGCGTTTTTTTTTTTTTGTTGTTGTTTTTTCCATCCTCCTACATTTTTTTTCACAGAAAAAAGAAAACAGGTGTGAATTCTTCAAATCAACATATTTCACCTATCATCTCGAACACAAGAAGTATTGCTGGTTATTTACCTTGTGTCGAAATGTCGCCAAAGAAAGTACAGAGAAAGCCCCCAATTGACGACCCCATTGTTGAATTTCAAGTCAAGAAAGGGGTTGAAAGACCATTTGTCGTCACTTCACCATCACCATCCCTCTCGGACCTGCGCTCCATTTCTTCCCCTAAGGAAAAGGCGACCATTGTTGCGCTTGTATTCTTCTCGGCATTGCTAAGATTTAACCGTTTGGAATTCCCAGACTCCCCGGTATTCCACGAATCAAATGTGGGGACCACCATCAATAACTACATGACAGGTGATTTCTTCACCGATGCCCAACCACCATTAGTAAAAATGTTATATACCGGTGTTGCTTATGTCTTTGGGTATGATGCCTCATTTGATTTCAAGACCACCGGTCAACCATTCGCAGCGCAATTCCCATACGTTGCCTTAAGAAGTTTGCCTGCCATTCTTGGTGTGGGAACCGTGTTGTTCTTGTACTTGACATTGAGAGCTAGTGGATGTCGTATTGCCAGTGCATTGACTGCTTCTTTATTATTGGCAATTGAGAATGGTAATATCACAACATCGAGATTCTTTTTATTAGATTCTCCGTTCATGTTTTTCGTGGCGGCCACAGCATATTCCATGAAAAAGTTTGAGAGTCTCGTCCCATTCACCATCAAATGGTACAAGTCCCTTTTAGCAATTGGGTTTGGTGTGGGTTGTGCACTAAGCTCGAAATGGGAAGGGCTCGGAACTGTTGCTTGGGCTGGGGTGATGGCATTGATCCAATTATGGTTTATCTGGGGTGATTTGACCGTAACTCCAATGAATTCTTTGAAACACTTTGTGATCAGAGCTTTTGGGCTCTTGGTGTTCCCTATTATTCTTTACTTGGTGATTTTCTCTACCCATTTGAGCTCCCTCTTCAAGAATTCCCATGAAGCTGCCTTCATGTCTCAACGTTTTAGACAAGACTTGCTCAACAATGATATTCCAAAAAGCACTGTTTCCCAAGTTGGTATTGGGTCGGTCATCACTTTACGTCATCTCAATTCCAATGGTGGATTTCTACATTCACATAATCATTCCTGGGAGACCGGATCAAAGCAGAGACAAGTGACATTATACCCCCACGCTGATGAAAACAATGAATGGGTAATTGAACTTTACAATGAAACTACTCCACCAACCGAATTCGTTCCTCTCAAAGACAATATGAAGATCCGCTTGAGACACAAATTATCCTACTTGAGATTACACTCCCATGACCATCCAGCCCCAGCGTCTAAAAAAGATTGGCTCAAAGAGGTCAGTGGCTACGGTTACGTCGGGTTCCAAGGTGATGCTAATGATGATTTTGTGGTGGAAATTGTCAAACATGAATCGGAGAAAGGTATTGCCAGAAAAGAAGTCCAAGCTATTGACACTGTTTTCAGATTGAGACATGCCATGACTCACGCTTACTTGTTTTCTTATGATATGAAATTGCCAGACTATGCATTCAACCAACAAGAGGTCACTACTTCTCAATTGGGGCTTAGAAAGAAAACTTATTGGTACATAGAATCGAACCAGAATTCTCTTTTGAGCCACGCTGATGCTAAACTTGTGTCGTACAAAAAAATTTCGCTTTGGAGACAACTTGTAGAAGTCCATAGCCGCATGTGGAACATTTTACTGGATCGAGGCTCAGCTAGTGCCGGGGAATCAAACCCGAGCTCATGGCCATTGTTGCTCAATGGTGTTAGCTTTTGGTCTTCTGCTTCAGGAGAAAACCAGATTTACTTTTTAGGTAATGCTGTCACTTGGTTGTTGTCCGCCTTGTCATTGGGATTGTTCTTTGGATATTTGGTCTACTTGATGATAAACTACCAAAGAGGTTACGCTCCATCGAGTGACCCACATCTCGTTAATTATCTTTCACAATCATTCGGATATGCTGTTGGCTGGGGGCTTCATTGGATCACAGCATTCTTTATTGGCCGTCGTCATTTCATTCATGAGTATTTGCCGGCACTCTATTTCCAAATTCTTGTCTTGGGTCATACCTTGGATGTTTTTTTGACATATGTGTCAAGTAAACAACCAAAAGTGGTATATCTTATCATGATCCTCATTGTCGTCCTTGCTGGCGCGTTCTTGAATCACTATCTGAGTCTAATTGGCGGAGATCATTGGTCAAAGGCTGAATGTCTTAGTTCTCAGTTATTGAGTGGCTGGGATTTTGACTGCAGCAAGTTACAATGAACTTAGAAAGTTTTTTAATGCATATATCCAAATATAACTGATTCATAATATATTAAAAGCTGTAGAATTTACTGCTGTTTTTTTTTTAAAAAAAAAAAACAAAAAACAAATTTGTTCAATCCTGCGTAGCAATGCACACGAAGGCGAGTTTCTTGTGATAGGTGCATATAATCCGTAGTATTTTGAGCCCCGGCTGGGGCAAGGGAGCAGGAAAATCGTGAGAATTTTCATCAGAGAAGAACGTTGAAATTTAGTAAGAAGTCCCAAAAAAAGGGAACTTGAACTATTGCAAAACAATAGACACTAAACATAATGAAGGTCACCAGTGTTCTTCGCCAGTCGGCAAGCGCATCGAACGCAGAATATTTCGAACAACTTCCACAGATATTAAAGAACTTCTTCACCAAACATTCGCCGGCCACTGCGACCACCTACAGCCAAAAACCAACCTTCACCAACGACCCAACTGCTAACCCATTCTTACCAAACAAACATCCAGTGACCCTCAAATATCATTCTCCACAATACTCTCTTAGAAGACAATCGGTGCTCTATAAGACTGCCAAGATGTACGGGATTGAAGACTTGCTTCCATCGTTGAACAACAAGAAATTCTTTGAAGATAAGTACACAACCAAGAGTTTCATGAAGGGTGTTTTGCGTCCTAAGGGCCACAAGCACGAACTTAGCAAAGAATCTAGACAAGAAGCGATCAAGAAGGCCATGGAGACTATGGAAACCACCATTGCCAAGGTCAAGGGTTCTAAGTACAAGAAGAAGATGGAGAAGAAGAGAGAAGAAGAAAAGAAGTGGTATTAGAAGTGTCAGTAGATTATTATCCCGTCGTTTTCATCTTTCTCATGTATATAATATAGCGGGAGGCTTTTTGTCATTTCCTGCAAAAGTAGGAAGCATTTATTTATTTATTTATCAAATTGATCAATTTATTTTTAATTTTGTGTTTTGCTGTGCTTTCGGAATGTAGCTATAATAATAATTATACAGTTTTCTGGCGATATCCAACAATAACTATGATGCAATATACCATATTTTATTCCCAGTAAGTAGTCCCTTGGTAACCCTGGGGCCTAATTAAAATTACTGTTGGAGGAAAAAAGATCTCCCCATCGGATACTCTGTGGGGCGCGTAGCCTTGTTTCCTTGTACAAAAACAGGCAAAAATGGGTAAAATGGGTTTATTACGATAATCATTTATTATAGAAAACTATAATAAAAGGATTATCGTTCCCTGCTATATTAGATATATAACAAAAAAAATAGGAAAAAAAAAAATATAGTATTTTGGGATCTTTCATCTTCTTTGCGGTTCTGCCATTTGTTTACATTTCTCTCACAATTTACATAACCTAATTGATAAGTAACACTGTTTAGATAAGTAATCATCACAATGTCCCCATCCGACATTGGCTCCAAAAAAGACCCTGTCTCTCAGGCCTCGAGTCCAATTCTCCAACCTCAGACTTCTAAAGCGTCAAAGGCAGACACGTATAACAAACAGTTTGTGTTGCTTCAGCCAAAAACAAAGCCAGTGCCATCGCGTAACCCCAGCACCCTTTCAAATATAACAACAACAAATGTCCCTGTTGCTGCTGGTGGACCTCCATCTTCAAGAATTCCTAGTATTTCTGAAACTAAGAAGAAGAAGTTACAAAAAATGCCAATCACCCCAAGTAAATCTCGTTTTATTTTCAGTGTTGACGATGGCGAAGACGAAATTGAACAAGATTTGGAAAGAGAGTATCTTGAAGGTTACAATGATGCCTTGCGTGGCAAACTTAGAAAAAAAATCTCTAAAAACCCAATGGCATTAGGAATCACCTCCCCAAAATTGATGAGCACCGAACCAATGGAACTGCTGACCAAACTCACTAATTCCACGTTATCCATTGGCAAAAATATCCAGGATATTGAACAAAACATTGCCCAAAATTTGATCAAGGCAGAAGATGGCTTGAAGGAATTAGAAGCTAAAGAGGACGATGTTTCTCATCATTTGGACCACTCCATTGATGACTTGTCAAGCAATAGCCACCACATCAATTTGGAACACTATCAAATGAACCATCAGCCACAGGACGATATGGATTACTCAATGACTGCCGAAAGTGTGTTGAATGCCAGCAAAGATGAATCTGGATATCCAGAATATGAACCGGTCAATGAAGATCCTCTTGCAGTTGGCGACACTTCCAATCTTGTCCAAGACGGAAATGACGAAATGGATACCGATTCTATCTCATCAATGGAAAGTTTCACCTTACGTGAACGTCAAGATGCCATCAATACCACCCATCCTTTCGGTATTAGAATTTGGAAACCTGCAATTTATAAGAAATTCAGATCGGTTCAAAAAGAGGCCGACATGGATATTCACGAGGAAGAAAGTGACACCAGAATCATTCCAAATAGTGTGTATATTGGGAACGTTCTTTGGAGTTTAACTTTCGGGCTTGTTGGTTTCATTTTGTGTTTGGTTGGTTCTTGCTTTTCTGTGTTATGTTTTAGCTGGAGTAACCGTTCTATTGCTTATGCTAGATTATATTGGAGGCTCGGGTTTTATTTGCTTTATCCATTTGGCAAAGTCATTTATCTTTATAAAGACGAAAAATATCTAGATGAAGATTCCAATGAAGGTACATCCATTAATGAGTATAGAAGATGGATCTCTAATGATCAAGAAGCAGGTTTCTTGTTCACAGCAAACGGTAATCAGAATGAAGCTCGCCCATTATTGGACAGCGCTTCCGAAAACAACTCCAATTACCAGTCAACTAACGACGACACCAATCAGTTAGATGAAAATGAAGCAGGAATCACAAAATTGAGATTTTTCGGTAGAGGACAATGGAGCATTGGTAGAATTTGCTTTTTCTTGTATTTCTACCTTGTTTTGCAACCAGTTCTTTTCATAATTTCATCTATCTGTTGGCTCACTGTTTTCCCTATCCCGATGGCCAAAGTGATTACCATTCTATGCAGTCATATCCGTCAACGCCCATTGGCTCTTTTCATTAGATCTGATAAGAATAACAAAATATTGAATAAAGAAGCCAGTGTTCTTGTCTGTACTTATCGTGCTAGTGGGCTCCATTATTATAAATACACTGTTGATGGGACAAACGTGATTATTCTTAACTTGATGGCAATGGTGCTCTTTGTTATTATTGACTTTTACGTCTTCAAAGAAATGCTTGGCTGGGAAGTCTTGATGACAGACTCATTGTTTATTTTTGTTATTTGTTTATTGAGTATTATTCCATTAGCATACTTCATTGGTCAGGCAGTGGCCTCTATTTCTGCACAATCTTCAATGGGTGTCGGTGCGGTTATTAATGCATTCTTTTCCACCGTTGTGGAAATTTACCTATACTGTGTTGCTTTAGATCAACAAAAAGGGTTGCTTGTTGAAGGGTCTATGATTGGTTCTGTGCTTGGTGCAGTGTTGCTTTTACCGGGATTGTCGATGTGTGCTGGTGCTATTAAGAGGAAAACTCAACGTTATAACCCAAGAAGTGCTGGTGTTAGCTCTACAATGTTGTTATTTTCCACCGTGGTAATGTTTTCGCCAACAATTTTCCACCAAGTTTTTGGATCTTATGAAGTTACTTGTATCCCATGCGATAGTGGCAACTCATCGGATTTCTCAATTCAGGATGCTAGTTCCACTGAGCCACTCACCATGACTTCTCTTATGACCGTCCTCTCTTCTACTTTTGGTGGCGCTGTTCCAGATGCTACCTGTCAAAGATGTCACATTACTCAACCACCATTGAGGGCTGATAAGTTATATTTACATATTCTCAAACCTTTTTCGATCTTTGTTGTTGTTGTCTTGTTTTTCAGTTACGGGATTGCGTTGTGGTTCACTCTACGTACGCATGCTGCGTTGATTTGGCAGACTCCTACCGCTAGTGAATCTAAGGGTATTCATTACTCAGTGCCTGGCTCGAGCACTCTTCAACCAATCAAGACTCCAAGAATTGGCGGTTTGAAATCTCCTAGTGTTTTGTCTTTGAATGATCCTATTCCTGGCTCCACAATTTCTTCGTCTAGACAGCAACAAAGAAGAGTTTCTAATGCGGTTAATATTGCCAATAAATCTAGAAAACAGAATACCACTTCTCAACCCTACGAAGGCTCACTTGCCGATATTACTTCCCCACCTATCCATGCGACAACGGAAGTTGCTGGAGGAGCCCATGAAGAAGCTTCGGGGGGTCATGATGCCCCAAATTGGTCAAAGACAAAATCTACTGTTATTTTACTCGGTGCCACCGTTTTGTACGCTGTTATTGCTGAAATTTTGGTTGATTGTGTTGATGTGGTGTTACAACAATTCCCAATCAGTGCTAAATTCCTTGGTTTGACAGTATTTGCCCTTGTTCCTAACTCCACTGAATTCCTTAATGCTATCAGTTTTGCCATGCATGGTAACGTGGCGTTATCTATGGAAATTGGTAGTGCGTATGTTTTACAAGTGCTTCAATTACAGATTCCATCTTTAGTGATCTATTCCATGTACCGGTTAGCGTGCGTTCCTGCTTCGGCGCTCTTGGACTGGGATCTTGAAGTTAATATGCTCACCTTGATATTCTCCAGATGGGATTGTATTGCCAGTGTAATCTCTGTTTATATTTTCACTTACATCTACGCAGAAGGAAAGAGTAATTACTTCAAGGGAAGTTTATTGATTTTGATGTATTTAGTGGTGATGTTAGGCTTTTACTATAGCGGAGAAGTTGATCCAACTTCATTTATGCATTGAAGAAGTTTCAAATTGGGGAAAACTATAGCACTAGATTATCATTTCACATATGCTTATCCTTTTCTTGTCAAAAGAAAAAAAAACACATGGTATTTTTTTTTTGTTTTTACCACTTGTGGCCGTTCTTATTATTTATTATACTTCTTTGCTTTTCATCGGCCAAGCAATCATCTTCTTTTTGTTTTGTTATTGTTGTTTTTCACTGTTTTTTTATATTCGTTTATCCTATCTTCTATTGTCTTTTTTTTTTGTTTTTTTTCCCCCTCACATCTTTTTAATCTTATAGTTTTACTTTGGTTCTAATAATTTTCATCCTTTGATAGTGCTATTCCTTTTTTTTTATCAACTTTTTTTTTACTATTTACTTTTTGTTCTTTTTTTTTCAAAATCTCTACTTAACAATACCAAAATTTATCTTTTTGTTTCCCTTACAATAGACATTTTCCCTAGTTTATAAATGTTTGTGAATTTAACTGTAAGTCTTAAAGTTTTTAAAAACTTGAAATTGAGAAACCTCAAAGAAAAATAAATAGTCATAGTTCACTAATATATCACATCGTAATCCTTCATCACCATCATCTGTCCACTTCTTGTCCATCATTTATAACTTTCCTCAGCTATGGTGGTCACCAAATATCACACCAGGATATAAATATCCGATCTATCGGCCAGGGCATCGGTGGTCGCCAATAATACTGGTAGCGTCACTTTATACACCAAATCGTACACTTTCAACCCAGGAATCTTCAATTTAGTTCCCCGTTTCTTTGCCGTCGCCTTGAATTCTAAAGGTTGTCTGGTGAATGGTAACACCGGTAACTGAGAAAGGTCTCTATTGTACCCGGAAACCTCGAAATTGTCATTACTTTCAATGAAAGTAGAGAAAGAAAAAATCCTTGGGGTGGGGTTTTCAATGATATAGTGGAAATTGAACAGTTTTTCGTCATGGTCAACTGGGGTCATGTTGAACAACACTCTTGGTTCGAATAATGGGAGAGTGAGTTTCCAAATTTGCGACTCGGTGGTATTAATGATCCCTGCTTCGTGATTGCCATGACGTTTCCATTTCACTATCACTTTAAAATGCACCGGGATGTTCGAATGATGTTTCAGGTTCTTTTTCCTGGTGGTAAAAAGTTGTTTCAGTTTGACAATTTGTTGATGGTCGGTGCCTAAAGTCACCGGAGCAAATTTTTCATTATAATCAAGCTTTTCACAAATGAATTCTTCGTGGTTCGGAGTGACCACTTCTGAATATATATCGATGATATCAATAGGGATATTACTGGAGTATTTGATTACTGGCCTACCGCACCAAGTTCTTGAGTGGGCCACGATACTATCACTGTTATATGGGTTCGTAGAATCAAATAAGAAACTGTTGGGGATATCTTCGAATCTCACTTCTGGTAACACTCCGAATGAAAAAGTTACTGGAGCAGCAATTGGAGTTCTAATACTAAAAGTATCCCTGGTTCCCAAGGTGCGCATTTCTTCTTCCGATTCCTGTTGTTTAACAATATTATCCCCAGTGAAAAAACTGCATTCAATCTTGATGACAAAATGCTTGTGGATAACATTAGGCACCTTGATGAATAGCGAATGATGCTCTTTGCTTGTGGCTTTCACGTTTTTCAACCGGAAATCCAAATCTTTACGATCATCCACATCATCATCTGCCACCAATTTATCAAACGCATCCCATTGCAATTTCATAATTCGTACCCCTTTATCAGTAGCAACCGCCGCTTGGCTAAGTATACTATCACCCAAGTCCCCAGGCAGTCTGTCTCTGAGATCAAGACTGTTACGCGGTGAAGTAACCGTCAGCGATACTCTCGAACTAGGACGAGCCAAAGATTTGGTATCATACATCTTGACAAGCGGCCGGAAAATCATCCCGATATCTTCTTTGTCATTATTATCTATCACAAGTTTCAACTCGTAAATTTCATTACTATGAGCACTGGTAGGATTCTCCACGGAAATCTGGGTTTCCGGTCTTCTTGGAATGGTAATGAATTCATATGGGTTGGGGGTGCTCACAATGGTTTTTTTCATAGTGGCTCCTCTGATCCAAAAGAAATTGGTTTTTGGTAATCTGTTAACATAATAATTCAGATTAACATCCACGCTATGTGGGGTGACTTTAGCCAGATTATTTTTGCTATCCAAAAACCCATCATCCGCTAAATGAGGGATTGTCGGCAAATAGTATTTCAATTTGAACTTCTGATGGGCAAGATTGAGCACAATAGAACTCACGGAATTATTGGCGATCTTGCTAGCAAGTTGTGAGAACTGGAAAACCTTGTGTTCTTGCGATTGAAATGACAAATTAGTATTACCAACAAGAACATCCTTATCCATATTTTCATCAAACTCGTTAGCAAAATCTTCTTCCTTCAAATCATTCAACTTTAGATCCTCTTTAGATTCATCGTGTCTCAAAACAATTGGCTTCAAATAGCCCTCAAAGTCTATAACAATCGATTCCAAATTCAAATTCACGAGCACTAACGAATTCATCAAATTTTTCAAACTCAATTGCATTTGACAAGTTTTTGACAAGGGCAAAATATGATCTTTGAACAAGAAGACACCCGTGAAAAGATGGGGTGGCAAAATTGTTTCATCTAAAGGATAGATATTTATCAACGGTAACTCCTTTCCTTCTTCGAAACTAAGTAAGTCCTGGATTTCCATTTCGTTTAGAAGTCTCTTAATCTCCGGAGTATAAAAAATTTCATCAACAATTGCCAACTCAAGCATGTACATGATAAGGGCGTTCCATTTTTTTACTTTTGCAAGACTGCAAACGAGCTTGTAAAGGATGCAAACAAGAATAGTTCTCCAGTTATCTTGCTTATAATACCCAACACACTCTTCGTAATACTCAATAGCTTTTTCAGAATTCCCAAGACAATAATTTTCTTCTCCAAGTTGGAAATTGATATAGCTTATCGAGCGTTCAAAATCATTAGCCTTGGCTTTCATAAATGATACCGATGCTTTTTGAAGAAGCACTATCAATTTTTGATGGAATGGGAAATGTACCTGCTTTTCCACCGGAAGGCTCAAATAACAATCAAAAAATTCAAAAGCACCATCATCGTATTTGAGCACAACATTCTTGGATATATCTTTAGTTTCTAGGAACGCTTTTGCATCTTTTTCCAGAAGAATAAGTTTTTCCTTAATCGGTTTATCAATTATTTTATTTGCTAATGCCATGGATTCAGTTTTCCCCTTAGCGATTCGTGAAAAGTTCACTGATTGAAGGAAAACATATCCTGGTTGAGGCATTGCCAGAGCTCCAAAATTGAAATCATTGAGTAGTGGCTTGTCAACTGGGACAATATATTCATCAGCCATGACGCAAAGCTCACCAAACCATTCAAATTGGATAGATAACCAATTGTATGCAGCATATGATTTTGAATCAATGCTTTTCTTTTTAATTATCGACATCACATTCAGAAGGTGGTTGTCAAATCTCCTATAGGCCTTATTTGCCAATTCCAAGTACAAATACTCCCTAACAATATTTATGGTGAGAATATCCAATAGTTGTCTTGTTTGGTGCCAAAGTAAAACTGCACTTTCATCATTATAACATGCGGCCAAGGGAATATCCCCAGCAAGCAATGTTAAAGATTCATATGCCGATTCAAGATGCTTGACAGACATTTCATTATTTTGATGAAATAAGTTGGTCAATGCCAATTTCAGTGAGTATCTAGCATCCCATTGATCTAAACTATAACCTGTGATCTTTCCAGAGTTGTCGTGGGTTTCCGACAAAGTTATTGATTTTGATAACTGGGTTGTTGGAGGATTAACTCTTTTTCTTCTGAATTTCTTTTCCAAATTGATATAATAATCAAAACACCACGGTCTGATTAAATGAAGCACTGCCTCGACAAAAATGTTGTATTCTTTACCAGAACCAGCAGGTAAGAACAATAATCCGGTGCGCGGCGCCAAGCCAGTGATGTTTCTAATGTTGTTTATACGGTCACTGAGTTCAGGATTAGTCGAATTGGATTGGTCTGATACGATAATTTCAAGGAACCTGATTCCCCGATTTTGAGTCTGATTCTTGAGGGTGGTGATTTCCTTAGATAACCCCATATCTAATTTGGTGAAATAATCTGGATCATCATTTGATTGATCCTTTTCTGCAACAATTCTATGAACTGATATAAACACCGAAGGTACTAGTTCTTTATATTTTATTAACCAATGATCATCTAAAATCCCTTGGGGGTAAATCGCAGAGTTCGGATTGAACGGTGATAATATGGACTTCTCAGCCGACACAAGCGGCAATTGCTTCACTACCGGGGTTTCTGGTAGCTGGGCAATATTCGGGAGTCTAAATTTGACATCGACAAATCTGAATTTATATACAAGGGTATTGCTGTTATAACTGGTTTTAGTGAACTGACTGCACCAAACATCGTCACTTATATCATGACGTCTGAAAAGATTGATCAATTGGCTGGAAAACTCGGTTGAGACCTCTGGAAGAATCCTTTCAAGCTTTTCGGAATTGCTTTCTCCTAATGACGGATGGGATTCTGTCCGATTCTTCAATTTGTACGAATCCATCGGCGTTGATCTATGAGAAGACGTGTTTTGTGGCGCCTCTTTTCCCAAGCCCTGGATAACAACCAATGGGGCCAGCTGCGACACATAGTATTCTGGGTAATGCTCCATGTTCGCAAGAGTTTTATCGGTGTACTATTGCTTCTCTCTCTTTCTGTTTTTCACTTTTTTTTTTGTAGCGAATAGTGTTTCCTTTCATGTTGTGTTTGACGCCATGTTTTTGGTGGACTTTTAGAGAAATCTCACTTCCGTCACGTGATTGGCTTATTATGCAGCGCATCAATCGGGGGTATAATGTTAAAGAATTTATTAGTTTTCCTTTTAATTCCGTTCTGATATCAATTCGTATTAAACAGGAAAACGTCGTTTTGAAATTATCAAAAATAGAAGTTTTATCTGTGTATAAATTAGAAAAAATTGTATAGTTCTTATTAAGCTTGAAGGGATCGAAATCCGGAATATGTGGTGGTGAAAATTAGCTGCATTCTCGTTGGACTCCATCACTATCAAGCAATTCGCTCCTCAATCGAGTAACATCAATGATAGAATGGGTCCTTGAAAACTCATTACTGAAATGATCTGACAGGTTAAATAAAGTATCAGCACGAAGTATCTTATCCATCATTAGAGCGATATCACAATCTTCTACCATAGAGGCTTTACAACACAAGAAAATTTATCAGAGCAATGTAATGAGTAATGAGTACATTACATTGCTCTGGTAACTATGAAATATAAGATTTAAAAGTATTCTTGCGAGAGAACATTAACAGACAAGCAAGCGTTTACGAGATCTACATATGTATATGGGGTATTACACCCTAGAATGCTAATGAGCCAGTGATTTCTAACGTCTAAATGGTGATAAAGTGATAAATTACACTAATGATAAATACATGTAAACAACCCCTTTTATATATGGGAATTGGAGGTTATACATCTGTATTAAGAGTTTGACTTTTGGTTAATATGAATAATTGAAATGATATAGTATGCACTTCTTATTGGTGGGATCAACTAAAATCGGCGATACAAAATAGCGCACCTTACAATTACCCTAATTAAATACTTCAGTATAAGATCATATAATGGGATGTCCAGTTATAAATAAATCATCATGTATCGTGTGCAATTTTTTTGTTCTTTTCTTTTAGAACTTTATTCAGTATTTTTTACAAATTTGCAATGTACGAATTTCTATGCATGTTGGAATATAACATAAAAGAATGCCCATTGGTTTTCTTGTATCCTAAAAAATCACTTGCATCTTCTTATTTTTCCTTCATTTTAATGATATGTCAATTTTATTATCATTGTTATTTCCAGTTTATATACAGAATGGCTGTTGATTGTCTATTAAGCTATAATTTTCAGATTGAAAAGTCTCAGGCGTTTGTATGAATAGCCATTTAATCGGGGCAGTTATCAGTATAGGTATTTCTATTCCTAAGTACAATCTTCTTTCTGTATACCATTTCAAATGATGGCATACTTTAAAGATTTTCTTGAATATAGAGCATCAAAGATTTGTATAATTCTTTGACATCAATCCCACGCACGCACTTCCACAGTAATCACCCAAAAATTGACCAGGCATCTAACCCACATTATAAATAATTTATTCTTTAATATTTATGGCCCCAGTTGCGCACTTTCTCAAATCTTGTAAATTTTCAAAGCACTTGTCGGTTGGTCTATCATTTGCATTCTTTCTCAAACAGTCTTCGTAGCCTTTAAGTTTACTGACACAATCAGTTTGGATTCTTTGAAAAGATGGAACCCCTGTCTTGATACAAACCGACAATTCTTGCTGGACCTGGGCACACTTGCTTCGGTCTGAACGGTTTTCCATCATACATTTGTTGTACCCCAAGAATTTCTCCGGGCAAAATTTTGCAATCTTTTGTAGAAATGTTAGTTGCGAAAACTGGGAAATGTTGTGAACTCCACGCTGCCGTTATTTAACATACATCTTCTAACAATAGTTGGTCTAAGGCACCTGACATTTTGGATTGTTGTTCGCGGATACTGATTCTCAAGAGATTATTGTGCTTTTTTTTTGTTCTTGCAGTTTTCCATTTTTTTATTTTATTTTTCTTCAACATTTGTGCATCATCACGTTTTAGTCATGTCAAATGTTACATGGAATCATATGTATATAACCTTTACATATATGTAAATGATCGCAACACATTCTTCTCTTAGAGCAAATATTTAGTCTAATCAACTTGCAAAATTCGTCCCATTGAAATATTCTGGAAAAACCGATAAATAAATAAATAAAAAAAAAAAAAAAAAAAATAAGAAATGAGGTATAAAAAGTAAAATATCTTCTAGTAACATAAAACCAAAAACAAACTAAAATATCTTCTAGCAACACAACACAAAAAAAAATGAAACAAAAATATAATATACAGATTAATTCTGATATAACAAGAAAACAAGGTGCTCTTCACCCATATTCTATATTATCCTTCAAAATCTTCGTCTTCATCCTCATCTTCGTCTTCGTCTTCATCTTCATCTTCATCATCATCATCATCATCCTCTTCACTGCTTTCATCTTCCACATCAACATCTTTCTCATCCATTACTCCGACCACTCCCCATGGGACCTTAGTCAATTCTTGTAATCTGTTTAAAATCAAGACAATTGGAGAATAGAGCCCGAATTGCTTAAATTCCCCATCGTATGCATGCAACATTCCAACCACCCCGAGACCTGACTGCACCTCCTCACCAGAGGAGTTTCTGGTACTTGAATTAGAGCTATTTGAAGCTTCATAAATTGTACCAAGACCCAGTTGTCTTGGTTGATTAGGTTGACTAGGCTGTGGATCTTGTGCGGATTCAAAGTCCTCCAATTTTTGCAAGATCCACGATCCGGAATCACCACCGGAGGCGAACCCTGGACGATCACTGGCAATAACAAACTCACTGGACTGAATACTATTATCTGCCCAATACACTAATTTCGGCTTATTTAGCTTCCCAGTGGTGAATTTTGTGGTGCTGCCAAATTTGAATACTGATGACCCTGGCTTGATTTTACTAATCACTTTCTTGATTTGCAAATTGCCAAATAACAACGCTGGGTCGTATTGACTGAACGGGAAATCTGTGCCCAAATGATTCATACAGTTCACGTTGGGATTACACTTTATAATGGCAATATCGGATAATCTACCTTTAACGATCGACCGTTCTCCAAAAATGACACGGCCAAAAGTACCCGCGACATTTGCATTGCTGTTGGTTATTGGAGGGAATTTCTGTTCCAAATAGCTCAACGCCTGATGATACCCTTTGAATTCCTGGGAGTAATCTGGATATTTGTTTCGCTCATTGGCAAGTGCCTCTTTGTATAATTTGATTAATACTGGTGATGGAACGGAAACGTAAGGATGGGAAGCCGAATCATCGATACAGACGTGGGCACATGTCATGGCATAAGTTGCCTTTGCATCGTCGGCTAAGAAATTGTTCTTTTTAACGTCTATCTTTGGATATATGTAACCTCCCAATGTTCCGGAAAGTTTGCTACTAGAGTTTGCGGCGATGGATAATGAGATAGGAATATTGCTAGGATCTTGAGGGATTCTAAAAGGTGGTATTATTCCACCAAAATTGCTGGTATTTTCCATAAATGGAGACGATCCAGAACTGTTCATTTGCTGTTGTTGTTGCTGTTGGGCCATCAGAGTCGGCATGGCACATGTTTTTATATAATTCTTTTGAACCACGAAATGAATATCTGTAAAAGTTGAGCAAAGTTGTTTGACTTGTTCGTAGTGTTCTGCTTGCGGCCTTGGGAACCCACAAATGATTGTTGGGATGGATAGATCTTCAGAAATCCCCCGGCAAACTGGGGCGAGAAACGAACCTTCTTGATCAGCAACGATCGAGGAATCTGTGTTGGCAATGACATTTAAGATTTCAGAAATTTTAGTATCACCTTCCTCAACCAAACAGAAATTCGTTGGTTCGGGAACTGCCAAGTTATTAAGGTCCCAATTAGTGTCATTATTACTTGAAGCATTGGATGAATGACCAGTTTGTGATGATGTTGAAAGATTGCATCGAAGTGAGAATTGGTGGAAGCTCTTCAAAACCATGAATCTTGAGGTTTTGTAAGTGTCGTTATTGGCCAATATGTTATCGACAAGGGTCAATATAACGCGAACGATGTTGTTAATGTATGGTCTGTTGACATTTGAGAAGAAATCTTTTGGGTGTAAAGGCGGTTCGAATTTGTTGAGGGCTTCGGAAATCAAGATAGGGGTCTTTGAGTCAAACTGGTCCAAATACTGGGTCAAAGATTCTGAGGTGATTTTCAAATTGTAAGTGTCTTGTTGAAGGTTTTCCTTGTGGGTGGTTCTTAAAGCTCTTCCGATCTTGGAGGCAGGGTTTGAGGATGATGAGTAATTTGAGGGGACGGTGGAAGGTCTGGTAGAGGCGGTGGAGGGCTTTTCACTGAAGATACTTTCCCTGTGGGAGTAGTCATCGTTGTCGTCGTCGCTGCTGTAGGGAGACATGACGATAAGTTGTGGTGGCTATTTATCTTCTATTTGTATGGCCTCCTAACAATAACAATTATTATAATTAGTGTAAATAATACTGTCCTATCAGTTGTGTTATCAGTTGCCGATATAAAATTGGATTTTTTTTTTGATTTTTCAGCGATGGAAATCACCCAGCGCCCGCAGTTGCAGAGCACGGCACCACCCACCTCCACGGCACCAAACAATTGAAACGTGCAAGATAATAGTTATAAATTGGTATTGTTGCTGTTGGTTTATACGTATTTACTCTTCAGTATTTGCGGTTAGTAGTTATCGTTATCAGCATTATTCGGCAGATCATCGCCCACCACCCCCATATAAAAATGATTTGAATATCGGTCATCACCCACGTGACTATACGCGAAAAATCGATCTTCCTTTATTATTATTATTATTATTTTTATTATTATGCAATCATCATACATTATGTTATTTATTGACTCTCCCTCTCCAAATCAATAATGGCAAGGATCCTCAAAAGACCCAACAGTGGCACAGGGGCAGGCATCCATCCCTCAAAAAGACCAAAGTCCTTGGACACTGCTTCGGCGTACAATGTCCTCTCCAAACCTTTCAAAGTCCCCATTAGAAGAAACACCATCAACGGCAGTGATGGCAACAGACCTGCCAGAAGAGCGAGAAAAGATATAAACTACGCCGAGTTAGGTCCCGTTGATTCCAAATCTAACGACAATGATCAAACTTTCCATATTGATGCCAATGGAGATGCCTCTTTTGTAGTTAAAAGGAAAGGGGCGCTATTAGCGAGAAGGTTCATGAATTCTACTAGTGATGTCACTTTTAAAAAGAAGTTTGTGGTTCCCTTTGCTGATCAACTCAAGAAAAATGAAATGGCCTTTAATCGACCAACGATCCCTTTGGGGACCAGAAGAAAACCAATTTTGCTTCCAAGACCGCTTCATGATCCCACCGATGAGATGGCTATTGTCCTATATGATCCTACCGTAGACGTGTTTTTGAAACCACCAACTATTGAAGAACAGTCAACCTCTTCGGAATTACAATCCTCTTTGGAGAGTAGTGTTGGCCTGTCAAACTCTTCACCATCGAGTCAAAAAAGTATTAGAAAAAGACCCCATAAGAGTTTAGCAGAGATCTTGGGGATCAACAAAAACCCTGAAGACCGTATCAAGGATGCCCCAGACGTTCCAGTAATCGTTGATCCCAAATTATCGAAAATTCTCCGGCCGCATCAAGTTGATGGTGTGAAGTTCTTGTATAGATGCACCTCGGGTTTAGTGGATTATCGAGCCAAAGGCTGTATTATGGCTGATGAAATGGGTTTGGGGAAAACTTTACAATGTATCAGCTTAATGTGGACATTACTTAGACAAGGTCCAAGAGGCAAGAGAACCATCGATAAAGCCATTGTAGTTTGCCCATCTTCTTTGGTTTCCAATTGGGCTAATGAACTTGTCAAATGGCTAGGAGAAGGTACGGTGACCGCGTTAGCAGTAGATGGTAAACCTACCAAAGGGTCGACGGTTGGTGAATCTATCACCCAATGGTCGTTAGCCCAAGGACGAAACATCGTCAGACCAATTCTCATTATTTCGTATGAGACGCTTAGAAGAAATGTTGATCGATTAAAAAACACCGAGGTCGGGCTCATGTTAGCTGATGAAGGTCATAGATTAAAGAATGGTGATTCATTGACGTTTACTGCACTTGATTCTATAAATTGTGAAAGAAGAGTTATTTTGTCGGGGACCCCGATCCAAAATGATTTGTCGGAATATTTCTCGTTATTGTCATTTGCCAATCCAGGGTTATTGGGATCAAGACTCGAGTTTAGAAAGAATTTTGAAATCCCGATTTTGAGAGGACGTGATGCTGATGCTACCGATAAAGAAATTGCCAAAGGAGATGAAAAATTAGCGATGTTATCAGATTTGGTGTCCAAATTCATCATCAGACGTACCAACGATATTTTGTCCAAATACTTGCCTATCAAATATGAGCATGTTATTTTCTGTAATTTGACTCCGATGCAAAAAGCCATCTACAATCATTTTGTCACTTCGCCAGAAATCCGCAGATTGATCAAGGGTCAAGACTCTCAACCGTTAAAGGCCATTGGTCTATTGAAAAAGTTGTGTAACCATCCAAACTTGTTAGATTTGCCGGCAGACATTGAAGGGAGTGAAGCATTCATCCCTGAAGATTATGTTGATCCTTTACATAGTGGGGGGAGAAACAAAGAAATTCAAACGTGGTTTTCGGGGAAATTTGCAATCTTGGAAAGATTTTTGGCAAAAATGCACCAAGAAACTAATGACAAAATCGTGTTGATTTCCAATTATACCCAAACTTTAGACTTGATTGAAAGAATGTGTCGACAACGATATTATGGGTGCTTAAGATTAGATGGGACGTTAAATATTAAGAAACGGCAGAAGCTCGTGGATACTTTCAATGACCCAGAAGGCAAAGAATTTGTGTTCTTATTAAGTTCCAAAGCCGGTGGGTGTGGGATCAACTTGATCGGTGCTAATAGGTTAGTATTAATCGATCCAGATTGGAACCCAGCCTCGGATCAACAAGCATTGGCCAGAGTTTGGAGAGATGGGCAAAAGAAGGATTGTTTTGTTTATCGATTCATCAGCACCGGGACCATCGAAGAAAAAATCCTCCAACGACAATCGATGAAAATGTCATTATCATCATGCGTGGTGGATGAAAAAGAGGACGTCGAGCGAATTTTCTCGGGAGATAATTTGAAACAATTGTTTCAATTCAATACCGACGTGGAATGTGATACCCATAACACCTTTGGCTGTAAGCGGTGTAAAAACGGCAAACAACATCTAAGGTCCACCGCCATGCTTTATGGGGACCAGACCACTTGGAATCATGTCAATCATGATGGATTAAAGGACGTGCATGATGATTTGTTAAGAAATGAATTCAATTTCGATGAGGTTAGTTATACGTTCCAATACATTTCGCACTAGAAAAATTTTGGTTTCTCTTATTATTATTCATTTTTCAATATCTATAATTTATAAAAGAAATAATAGAAGTAATCAATAATGGAAGGTCAGTTATGCTTTGCCGATATTTTTTCCATTTTGAGAATTCACACTTATTATTATTCATTTTGTGCTTTATTTTTTTTTATTTTCTTGATATAATTTGATTTCTTCTTACTTGGGATAACTTTTTTAGGTTTAATGATTCTTTGACGATGGACTGTTGTTTATTAATATATAAATATAAACATTAATCAGAAATAATAAGCTCTACAAGTACAAGAAGGGGTTGAAATGTCTCTAATAGGTTCTTCTATATTGTTTTCTGCTTCATAAAATATAATATAAATAATATAAACAATATCAATAAGAAATAACGCCTCAAAATATCCTGTGTTTCAATATTTGCCGATTATCATTATGATTCTATAATAAGCTATAAAATATCTCTATATGGTGTGTCGATACTCAATACCCATAAAAACGATACCAAAAAAGAAAAATTTAAAAAAAAAAAAAGAAAAGAAAAGAAAAGAAAAGAAAAGAAAAGAAAAGAAAAGAAAAAAATAAAAAAAAATTGCAAAGTAAACTCAACTCTTATAATACTCATTCGGCAAAAGTTCCACCACCAATTGTCTTCCCAATTCCGATGGATGAATCATCGAAAACTTGGTCTTTCCTGGGGCATCATCGATCAACAGAATTTCTTTACTACCAATTACTTGAACTGGCTTATTTTGGAACCCAGGAACACAAGTCTGTGAATCAATTTTGAATACTTCAATGATGTTTTTCCCGGCAATGATCAATAAGTCATCTTGGAACGCCACTTTGGTGCATCGAAACGTGAACTGAAGAATACTGTATCTTGATAAGATCCCATGATTATCACAAATGATGGCAAAATCATTATAAACAAGCAAAAGTTCCTTGTTCTCGTTGATTTTGAATAGCCCCATCGGTTTACATGATGCCAAGCTAATCTTCTTGCGGATGATTTCCACATTACCGCTTTCAATACGGTTGCCAGAGTTTGGGTCGGTGAGAATCGGAATTGAATGCGATTGAAGAATCGAAAGCGATAAGATTTCAAGACCTTTCACAGTATGAATCGAGAAAGTATTGTTAAAAATTGTGAGGTTGTAACATTCTGCTTGAATGTTAAATTTTCGATGTTCTTCAAAATATTCAAAATTGTTAGAAGCATCATCTAATTTGGGGATCATGACTTTGAAGAAACATCCTGAAGAAGAAACCTTTTGTTTACAATAAAATAATAAGGTAGACCCTTTCTGTTGCCCAATTTTGAAGAAACTCACATATTGTTTGGAAAGTCGCTGGCCAATAGTCTTGTTTCTTACCCCTTTGTATACTGTGAAAATAGAATCAAGCTTATAGTACTGTAAAATCCGGTCTGCCAAAACCACAAGCAAATTGAATTCCTCCAACACTTTCAACTGAGTCACGTTTCTTAATTCCAAGACTCTTTTCCAATTTCTTATCTCACTAGAATCGCTCAAAAAAACCCCGTAGCCACATCCAATAAGAGTATATTCGCGACTGTTATAGTTAAATGACTCAGAAGAATTTACTTTACTGTACATTAATGGCCGAGGAGTAGCACCAGGAAACTGCTCCCATACTTCTTGCAACCCAAGATCGATAGCGGAATTTTTTGGGTATATAGGCAATTTATGAGGAATATCGTCTCTATCAAACGCAAATGCCGCGTCAGATATCACCCGTAATTTTAATGGTTCTTTTTTCCTTTCTTGTTCAAAATATTTACTTTGGGCTTCTTGAATGGCATTCAACCATTCAAACCTGTCGTTGGTAGAATTGGTGTAAAAAGTCCATGATTCATTGTGACCAATATCTCTAATCTTAAATGGGTAAATCACTGGGTCTTGGCTATTGTCATTATTACTGATCTCACTAGAATTGGTCCCTACTCTGCCGCCAGAATTTTCGGCAAATGTCTTGCTGGTATCAATTTCCACAAGCAAAAAATTCATGGAAATTGGAGTTTCCGTCACTCGATATTTCTTCAGAGTTGGTGAGTCTTTAATTTCGTCACTTATCAAAAGATAATTATCTAACAAAATAATATGTGAATAAGAATTAAGCCACATATCACGTTTCTTGGACACTTGACCACGTTTCACAATCCTTCTATCTTGAGATTCCCAATCAAGATCTACTTCCTTACCACTTCTCCAAAGAAGAGAATTATTCAAGTTACTAAGAGCTCTGGTCCGCACCGCATGGTCTTGCATGGTGTTGAATTTATTGATCAATTTTCTAACGGATTTCAAGGCCTTATCCAATCTTTTGTGTTCAGGATCAGTCGGTGAAGTGTATTTCTGAATCTCCTTAAGAGTAATCGGCAAATTCATGGTGGCTGCTAGGAAAGCTGGCCCAAATAAACGGCCATGGTCGAGGCCAAATGGCGTCACCCTAGGATCATTATCCATCTTGGAAATCCAGCTAGAAAACCGTGATGTTTTCCTCACATTAATCTCGTACTCTATCAATTCACGTACCCCAACCATACGATCCACATATTTCAAGTAAGGAAGAAATGCCTCGTGGACCCATTTTGAATACAAATCAGCAACCCCACTTATGAACTTTGACGTTTTGAGTTTAGCAATTAATGGCTCCAACAAAAACTTTTTGTGGGTTTCAACAATAGGAACAACCGTTAAAAATGCGTCTTGATAAAACTTATCGGTTGATGGGATTAATGGGGGTTTCTGATGGACAAAACTTTCTCCGTAAATATCCACAATTATTCTTCCTTGAGTTACTACTCTTTGTTCGCCCTTAATCAAATCAAAAAGATGTGATTGACGTTGCAAAGTTGGTTCATCAATTTCTGATAATTCTTCTTTTGATAAATTCCAATGATCTACCCAGTCACATCCGAGTTCTGAAGTGCCATCTGGTCGCATACCAGTTGGTTGAGTGATTATATGGGCTGCCTTGACTGAATGCAGCGGAACTTCGAGTCTTTTACTCGGCTCACGAGGGCAATGAACTGAATAGCAGGAACATATCTTCATGATAGACTTATTCGAATTAGCTTTCCTATGGTTGAATTTTGTAGAATAGCAAGAAGCAAGTTGTGGAAGAACCCCATTAATTTCTGCATCTTCATTGAAATAGACCAAAAGGTCACTACTCGAAGATGCTGCAGAGTTCATGGACAATTGGGAAGCCGAAAAAGTTTTCGTTGATGGGGATAGTGTTTGGTAATATATACATCCACTTTTTTCAAATTCTTCGATAATGGTATCAACATTATCTTCTATTAAAGTATTGCTGAGTTTTGAATATCTTTGACGGATGAGTGCCACCAACGATTTCACCAACTCGTCTTTTGGAATAAGCGCCTCTTTGAACCAAATTTTAAGGAGTTTACACCAGCTAAAGAGTTTAGAGAGTGACCAAAGATCAACACATTGCTTCAAATGTGTATCCGTTAGTGAGCTTGAGGAAAATGGCAATGAAGGAAGGTCGAGGGATGGCAATGGTGGAAGTTTTGAATTTCTTTTATCTTCAACCGTCAAAGTAGCGGTAGTTTTGGTAGTAACAGACACGTTCTTGGCTTCAAATTCCGCAGATGGAGGTTCGTTCCAAGTATGTGATTTTTTAGTTGTTTGAATGAAGGCGTTTGGTTCACTTTTATTCACCTTAACAGATTGGGTGTAATGGAGCTTCTTAAGTTTGTGTCTATCTTTCACAAGCACCGTTTTGTTGTCCTGCTTTTCAATGAACTTTGGATGATGGGCCATTTCATTCATGACTTTGTTTGTAGTAGTGACGGACATATTGGCTTCTATTGCTGTTGAAGTCGGGGTCGATGGTGCAGAGATGGTTGGTAAATTCATTTGAGGAACAGCACCATTAGTTGCCGGAGCTTTTCTCTTATATTTTTCTCTAGTAGGCGATGGTATACTGGAAACTGATTTCTGATGTCTAGGAGAGTAAGTTTCCAGACTTGGTGATGGGAAAGATGACGCTTCGGTGTTCATTGGTGCATTCAAGGACAAACTTTGAAGTCTCGAAGAAATCCTCGTAGTTTTATCTGGTGAGTTCGACATGTTGGCAGGAGGCTTTCTTGGACCCAAGGGTTTCTGAGAGATTTCTGAACTGATAGATGACGAATGGCTATGCAGATGAGTTAACATTTGTCCTTTTCTCATTGAAGATCTGAGTGTATGTTGCCCTTGCAGTACATATGAGGCGTCTTGATAATTGCTTATAGTATTATCTTGAAATTCGGGCGAGGTTTGTTCAGGATATGGTGGCACTTTACCAGTAAATGATTGTTCCGTCATGCTGTTATGACCATGTTCAGAATTTGTTGAGGCTATGTCTTGAGAATATCGATATCCTGAAGATGGGAAATACATGCTTTCTTCATTAGCCGAGTAATATTCTGTTTCGTTACCATTTCGAGGTTCTTTCAATGATATGGGATGTTTTAGGTGTTCTATTTTTTGTTGTTGTGGGTACGGTTGTGGAATATCATAATATTGGTCGGGATATTGAAAAGTTTCGCGATTTATGGAATGATTTATTGTATGATTTAGTGATGGTTCTGGTTGTTGATATTGATTTACGGCCGCTGGGCCACTGGCCCCAAATATGCTGGCATATGCCTCGTTTCTAATGGATTCGTTATCGATGCTCACTCTTTCATCGATGGTATGGGTTAATATTGGCATCATCATGGAGTTTGTTGGGTACGGAGGATTCAGAATTGGGCTTGAATTGTATGAATTTTGCGGTGGTAATTGGTGGTTATATTGAGGGTAGATCATTGGTGAAGGATCATTGGTATTGATATGTTGGTATGGCAGTTGCTTATCCAGGCTCATTTCCCCATAGGCATCGATAACGTCATGTAGCGCGGTATCAGTTTCTGGTGAGCTATAATAGATATTATGTGGCAGAGGCAGATTGAAAGATTCTGGATGGGGATTCCTGGAGCTGTTTTTTTGGTTGTAATCTTCTAGGGATTGGAATCCGTTATATTGGTGCTGTTCTTGTGTGAACAGTTTTGCATAATAATCACCATATGTTGGTGGCTTCTTCTGGGACATTGTTCGTTTTTCAGCGAGTGAAAGTAATAATTATGGGTGTGACAATTATAGAAAAAGATGAGCAGTCTCTACTCTTTTAGCTACTATTATTGTTATTATTCTCCCACTGTAAAGACGTGGATAGTGGTGGCAGTTGAAGATGGGTTTTTTATTTGGTTTTGTTTTTGTTTCTGTCTACACACGGCAAATTACCCGTAGATCGAAAAAAAAAAAAAACGGTTATGAGGTCGTAGTCTGGAGATACCCAAGCATGGTGGTATTTGCAATTATTTCACTTCTCTATTATTTTATTTTTAATTGAATTGCCTAATTCGATAAATTTAGGAGGCAATATTTAAATATTTATAAATATGCAAATTCAATGACAGTTTTCTGGTGTTTTTTGTAACAATTGTGAGCTGAGGGACCCCCGGCACTCGTCAACATGCATGGTATGACAGTACACAAAACAATCTGAGGTGATTTCTTCCAACTAGTTTTAACAATGGTCTGGAACAGCCATTTATGAAACTAATTTACTAAGCCATCAATATCAAGGCTCATTTTCACACAGATAGCCATCATAAAAAAAAAAAAAAGATATGAGGCCAGGCACTAAACCAAAAAGAGGTTTTGAGATTATCATTCCAGAAGGATTAGCAGTTCACCATGCCCTAAGAGGACCTGAAAAATGTGGAATCATTGCACAAAAAGATTACTTTCCTGGTAAGTATTAGTTCTCGATGGGTATAAGCATGTGGTACTTATTACTGACGTCATGTTGTGCTACAGGACAGACCATTACCACTATCAAGCCTTCTATCCAAGTTCTCAATTCCTTCAAGAGCTCTTATACACATGAGTATCTTGGTAATTCATGTGCCAATTGTTCCAAGATCATCCCAAAGGTGGTATTTTCGAGTCAATCTCAAAAGAAGGGCATATTAGGCGGTGATTTGGAAAGAAGAAGCACTTCCGTGGGACCTTGTGCAAAGTGTCATGTTGTTCAATATTGATTGTTTTACATCTCTAGAAAGGTTTGCGATGGACCAAGAGAAATTCATAAGTGAGAAAAATATTGAACTAGAAGATCAATTTATTCATAATGCCGCAGCCCATTCTTGGTTTGTTTTAGCAGAAGCATTTAAAGCTTTACAAAAATTCAAAAATGAAAAACTTGTTGGACCACTAAATGGACACTTAAAAGACTTGGATATTAAAAAACTATCGGCAATAATGTTAATAAACAGCGTGATGATACAAAATACATATGATGAATGTATTGGTCTATCATTTGACCCTTTTCTTTCATTAATAAACCATAGCTGTGATCCAAATGTCACTTTTATTTTCGAAGATAAAACTATTAAAATAATTGCATTACGAGGAATCAAAAAGGGCCAAGAGCTTTTTGTTAGTTATGTTCTTACCAGTTTGCCTACTACTATTAGAAAATTTGAGTTAGAAGGAAGATTCTTCTTTAAATGCCATTGTAAATTATTCCAAAAGACACTGGACAGATATTTGACATTCAATTGTCCCAATTGTGGAATGATGTTGGACAATAATATTCTTTCAGAAAAAACTCCAAAGAAACTCCACTGTGTTGGCTGTCTGCACAATTGCTTGGGGAGCTATATTAATAATTGGAAATTATATGCTGATATCTTCAATAAATATTGGGGTATTGTATGTGATAACTTAGCAGATCAGTGTTCAAATTATCGCGAAACAGTTTATATGAAGGAAACTTATCACAAAAAAAGAAAATTGAAATTTCAAGAAGTTTTGAAGGACAAAAATTGTTATACAGATCTTTTCCCACATCAATTCTTGAACATAGAGTTTGAAGAGATGCGAGAATTAACCATGTTGTTGAGTAATGCATTCGCAGAACAGATGATTCCGATGTACATGTTCCCAATTCCTCAAATTTTGGAAGATATTGTTAGTAATTTCAAAGATCATGATTTGTCAAAAGAGCATATCCAGTGGTTATTGATTTCAACTTTCAAGTCAAGAATACCTTGTGATCTCTATACATTCAAACCGACAGTTGGAAATGATTTCAGAGAGTTGGCAATCGAGTTATTTGAATCATCCCAGCAATTAAATGGTAGTTTCAGTCTGAATGAAATTCCAGTATTAAACCATGAAAGTATAATTAAGTTGAAATGCGGCTTATGGTTTGGGTTGAATGCCGAGATGCACCTATCCAAAGTATATTCTACGCAAAGTCCAGTTTTACGAGAGGTACAGCTATTGAACTTGGAAATTTTGAGGTTCATGAGCTGCAGTAAACTGCCAGTTTTACAAAGTTGGGTGAAGCACTTGGGCAGTGCCAAAATGTTAGACGACGGGGAATTGCCCCAAGTGATCGGCGGTGTCTCCAAAAGATTGAAAATCCAGTTTGCCAACCGGGGGTACGAGAAGGTGTTGGTTGATATGGATGATTTGGAAGAACGACAGTTGGAATGGTATAGGAAATCCTTGTGAAACAGGCCAAAAAACAATGTTATTTAGTTATATATACATATTCGATGTGTAACAATTAGACACCCGGCGTAAATCATCTCAGACCTACCCGATTGGGTAAATGGGGGAGTGAGGGAAGGCCGCTCTTCACCGGGCAACGATTGACAAAGCTTCCCCAAGTTGCCTAAACGGGAAGAAAGGGCTGTTTGTTAATACTTTTGAGATATTTGTCCTCTAATTACTCAATTAAAGAAAAACTAAAAGGGGTGGTGATGGTCCTCTCTTGGTGCCGTTTCAGTCTCTTTTGTTTTTTTCTGCCAGGGATGTTTTTTTGGCAACCTGTGGTAACGAAGAATGAAGAACTATGCTTCAATAAACAAATTGGATATCGACAGTTGTCTACTAAGATATCACTATTATATAATTATCATTATTAGCATTATTACTATTATATACTGAAAAACTTGACCGTAAGGAACGACCTGCTATAAGGATAATAGCGACGCAGCGCGTTTAGCAAAATACAGGCGGTGCTGCGAATTTTTTATAATTTTCCACCGTCAATACAATAAGTGTATTTATTCTCTTGTGTAGTCAATGCTCGCCAACGGTCCATTCGCTATACCTTCACTCCTTCCCTCTCTATAGATCTGTTCAATAATAATACCGCTGCCTTCAAAATTACACGCACACACATACACACACATACACTCGTTACACTTCAAGTCCAACCTTACTAGCATTCCCATTGCCCAGGATCATTATGTTATCCAACAAGCTCAGAAAACGGCTAAACAACATCAGGAGTAATCCAGCATCCCCAGATGCTCTGCCCACTCCTTATCTGCCTCCTTTGAGCCTTGAGACAACCGACCTCTACTCAAACAAATACACAGACTTACCAGATCGTTCACCAGACGTTCGTACCGCTAATGATAATGCTGTGTTTCAATCTCCCAACATAGATAATAGCCCTTCTCCATTTGCGTCTCCTAGATTTGGCACAGAGGGCCATATTGTATCTCCTGAAGCTAATTCTAATACAATACCTTCTTCAACAGAGTCCCATGGCAGAACTTTAAAGCATAAAACATCGAAATTATTCAAAAGGACAACCTCGATGACTCTAGAAGGCATTACAAGTACCACCGACAAACTCAAAATGAGAAATAACAATAGCATCAGCAAAGTTCAGATTTCAGGACCTCAGAATTTCAAGCATTTATACCATATGGATACCACCGCCAATGATAGCGACAAAATGCACAGTCCTGATGACATGCAACAACCGGCACCACCTAGTTCACAAAAGGCTGGGTACAAGCCATCTCCAGCATCCATGTCATCATCTTTGTTTTCCGATGATTATATTCAAAGTGGTCAATACCCCGCCACTCCTAGCTCTCCAGTGTCTAGTGCCACCCCAGCTACAGGAGACCGTCGCGTGTCAGATAGACCCAACATCAATATCAACACTAAGAACGTCTCTTATTATACCTCCAAAACTTCTCCTACAAACTCTGCCAGCTCAATATTTGACAAAAATTCCCATACTCACAGAAACTTACGCACCAGCTCCAGTTTTTCCACCACCACTGGTAACAGCAGTGACCAAAAATTGGGAATTTCTCAGCCAATACGTGAGACCAATGCAGACCATGGTTCTTCTAAAACTTCTAACTCCTATGATAGTATTGATTCCAGTCGGATCGGTAATTTTGAATTTTCTAGTCCTTTCAATGACACAGACACAAATGAGAAAAACAAATCAACTTTGTCTTATCGATCCCGTCAAAATTCGACATCAAGTTTACTTTCGAATACTTCTAACATTCTGTCCCATAGCCGTCGTTTGCTTGTATCGGATTCAAAATTACAATACGAATCACCATCTGCAGCTTTGAGCCCTCAAGGCGCATTTCTCAAACATAACAAATTTCTTAACGATTCTACTCCGGTGCCAAATTTTGCCCCTCCTGCTCCTCCAGTACCTGCTTCCCCGGCTCATACCAATAGAAGTGAGGACTCTTCCAAGACTGTCATACCTCCGAAGACTGATGACCCAGAAACGTCAATTCTGCCAATAACTGGCGGCGTTGCTTATAAGGCACCAAAGCTAGATGATTTCATTTCCGACTCATCAGTTCCAAATAGCTTACATGGCGAGGGCAGCACGTTTTCGGGAGATAATAGTAGTGGTGGGTTATTTAATTCTGCAGGAACCCCAAATGAATCTTTGTCAGCTATTAATTCTGTCATAAATTTGGCTTCTTCCTCTATGTCTTCCTCAATTCAGGTGAATAATATTCAACCACCACCAGCTCGCCCACAACCAAGGAAATCCAAGTCATTTAAAAATTTAAAGAAATCGTTAAATAAACATATCCAATCAGTGGCTCTTCCTAGAAAAATTGGCTTCAAGCAAAGCAATGATTCAGTGAATAGTTTGGGATCTGATAAATCATTGACAGGATTTTCGCCAGAAGAAGATACCAACAACGCTCACAGCAAGCATATATCATTAGATTCCAATGCAATGGCAGAGACTTCTACAATTCTAAAGCATTTAAGTTTCGAACAAGGAATAAAAAGCTCGTTCGATATTGATTTTGATAAAGAAGTGAATTTCCGTGATGGTGACGCAAGCAACACCGATAAACAATCGATGAGATCATCATCACATCAAAGACAACAATCTTCGTTCAGCAGTGGTGTTAGAAGTCCTTCCAATATTGCGAATATGCATTCCTACGCGGATGAGGTACATCGGTCTCGTCATGGTACCATAACTTCTACCACTACCAGCAATTCTTCGTCAGGATTTTCTTATAATACTACCAAACCAGTTCCCGTTCCAACTGGCTCTGCAAGCTCTTCAATTCATGTGGCTGGTTCCAACAACCCTTCTCCAAGCAAAGATCCTTCTAAAGAGAAGCGGCGTTCAACGGTGTACATTCGTCAATCCTGGTTGAAAGATGAAGCATTGGCAATTTACAAAGATGGTGATATTGGTAGGCAGTTGGCAATTTTGAACGGTTCTCCTATACTCAATACCACTGGAGAATTTTCCCAGGCTAATCATAGTAATGAGAATACCCTACAAAATATAACAAGAAGTCGCGCCAACAGCACCCTAAGATCGACGGTGGGCGATATTTTGGAGGAAGATGAGACAAGCCCAAAGAGGAGCTTGGCAACAGAAGAATCGCTAGTTAGACCTTTTGTGGGCGGCGCTTCTATGAACAGCACGTTTGATGATTCATACAATGGCACAATTGTAGAGTCTACTGATTCTGGGGATAAAATAAGAGGAGAAATTGAAGATAACGAAGCAATCCCATTTGAGGCCACTACTGATCACGAAGTGCAAGGTACGGCATCTGGGTTCATGTTTAGCCGTCGTCGTTCGGAAACTGACTTAACAAATATTGCGATGTTGGAGCTTGAGGAGAAACCAATAGAAAGTGAATTGGATGAAACCACCAAAGAGACTCCAGAAGAAACTTTTCAATTCCCGCAACATCAAGAATCATCACCAGTGAAGGAGTTATCAGTAGATACCAGTTTTGCGAAAAACACAGCCGAAGCTTCTAGTGGTCCGGCAATTGAGTTCGCCAGTAAGGGTAAATCTATGGCAGATTTGAAAAGATTGACTCTTCATACTCCTTCTTACATACTAAAGGACAAATCACCGTTATCCAAGTCTGCGAAAAACAATCAAGAAGCTGACGAATTAGATGATCTTCCTTCCCCTACTTTACCAATACCGGATGATGATAAGAGAACTTCTCCAACCAATACATCATTCAACCCTCCTTCGCTCTCAACAATGGCATTGGAATCCCCTTCGAACTCTCCTACCGCAAACCAAATCAGCTTCGTTTACTCCAAAAACTTGAACCTTCCTACACCAAAGAAGTTTGGTCACAATAGAAATATTAGTGTTGCCTCTTCGATATACTCCAATGGTACTGGGGGTCTTTCAGTTCCTAATGCCGGTGATATCAATAACTCTTCGCATTCCAGGTCATCCAGTATGTATAATAATGAAGCGCTTGTGGCAAGTGCAGATGATTTGCTTGTGAACAAATCACGAATTGAGAATGGCTCGAGCTTGAATGGAAATACTTTGGAATTGGATTCTGTGCCTCCAGTGGTGCCTTTAGGTATTGGTAAAGGGAAGAAAAAGTTGACTGTCGATAGAAATAGTTATATTCAGTTCAACTTTAACAAGTTTGAGGATTTCAAAGCTCATTTTAATGAAGTTGAGGAGTAGGTGTGTTGTGATGTGATGTATTTATGTATTTTTGTTTTCTTCTTTCTTAGTAAATTACTTGTTTTTTTTTTTTGGTTTTTTTTGGTTTATATTATTGGTTATTTTATTTTCTGTCATCTTGAGGTTTCATTGATGTTATCCTTTTGGCTTATTTTGAGATCGTAAATTAGTTTATATTAAAATGTACAAATATTTATCTCTACAATTATTCTCTCTACTGTTTCGTATCTAATGATATTTACTGAAAATCTCACTCATATTTAATGCTGAAATCGTGCCAAAGATCGATTCTGGATCTATTTCTTGTTGTCTCAATAAAGTTTGCTTAACTATAGGAGATTTACACCATTCAGACTGAATGTCCTTTGTAAGTAAATCGTCATCGCTACCTTGTAATTCCGGTAAAGTTGCATCGATAGGAGCCTGGAGAGATTTTTTTCTAATACCAAACATTATTGGTTTTGGGCTTGAAGGCTTGATTGTATCAATAGAAATTTTTGAGAATTTAGTACTTCCGATGTTTCTCATCCTATCATTCATATTCAGGCATTTATTTTTATTCTTAAAAGCTCCTTTGCCTAAACTTATAGTTTCAATATCAGGTGTAGAGATAGTCCTGTTCCATGGCATAGCGCTCCCCTTACAAGTTCTTGGCTTTCTTAGAGCTGAATTTTTGAAGGTGGGGATCTTTGAAAAGCTGCTTTGATTTAAAGATATGGAAACTCGAGTATCGAATGTACTGTCAATCTTACCAAGTCTCAATTTGGCTGACTTCATGAGAGAAATTCTTTTGAGGGGCTTCAAAGTACACCTTTTTTCATTTTTGTTTAATAAATTTTCTGTACAACTTGTGTTTTTTCTATTTGCCTCAATATCACTTTTCTTCATTCTTTGGCTTGAACAGATATACAATTTTTTCTCATATTCATTTACCATTTGTTCCGTCTTTAATGCTTTTGATCTAGTATTTGCATTCACTTCTTCAACTTTATTATTATGGCATTGTGCTTTATTTGATTTTTCAATATCCAAAATATCATTTGTAGAAAGATTTTTCACCTTTGTCTCTCTGAAGTTCTTACAGTTTCCCTGATCAATATCCTTCTTTTTTGAATTTTCTTGGGCTGTCCATGAGACTTCGCGTAACAGTGGGGAATCATCTAGACTTTTTGCTTTCATTATTTTGGCGTGCCTTTTCAAAATGCTTTCAGAAGATATATGTTCTTGAAAATTTCCCCTAGGAAATAGTGAGGATTTGCAATCACTTCTGGATGCACTAAGTTTTTTCTTTATTTCTGGTTTGCTACCAAAGGATGAATTAAAACTCAACGACCCACTCTCTAAATCGACTTTCTCTTCAGCTTCTTTTATTTTTGCTTTGATTAATGGGTCCTCTTTAATCAACCGCTGCGTTTTTGAAATGCCAGCGGTATTTATTGCAGCGCCTAAAGCTTTCAAGCATCTAGACTCAGCATTTTCTCGGATATTATTTTCTTTTGCTTCAGATTCTATGATAGGTTTTACAATAGTATTAGGATCTTTATTTTTGAGAATATCTTTTGATTCAATTTTTCTGTCTTCTGGGTTAGGGGAATACTTCTCAACATCACAAAACACTTTGACTTTTTGTTTCTCAGTGCTTGGACCATTTTTGATTTGATTATTGTCCAGGCGCTTCTCATCGCCCATTTTTATAATTTCTAACATCTCTCTATTAAGCCATTGAACGTTATGTTCCACAATATTTGAAAAACTAACCAATTGGTTCAAAGTCTCTTGATTCATCACCTTCAATTCTGTGGTAATCCACTTTGTTGAACCAGCTACTACCAATTCTTGCTGTTGAGTTTTCTCCCTGAGATTCACAAACCAAAAAACTTCCATTTCGCCCAGATGTAAAAATTTAATTATACAAAGCTCAAGAATGAGAAATAAAAGGAACAAAAAAGCTAAAAAAGATCGTGAAATTTTTGGACATGCAGGATTAGTAAATTATATAAGGGGAAAAAGAAAAAAAAAACAGCTTTTGATTTCTGTGAAGTTACAAAAACACAAAATATGCAAGTGAGCCTATAAAGACATACAAAGAATTAGATTAAATATCAAAAATTAAAGATTTTCGTTGACAAGAAAAATCAGCCAAAAAGCTTGATGTCATCGTTTGCAAGCGCTTCTTCTTCCGCTTTTGTTGCTTCTTCAACTTTCTCATCGTCTCTGTCTTCATCATCATCTTCATTCATGTTGATTTTTTGGCCAAGCAAGCCGGCAAAAAATTCATCAATTTGATAGTCATCCCATCTGCCAGCTTCAAACTTTGGTGCCATGTAGTTTTGAAGTTGTTCTTGCACTTTATAGTTAAGTTTACGGCCTTTTGAAGCCTTGGTATCCACATTCTTTTTGAATTTGTTGACTTTAGACAATGTGATAATGTTTGCCTCACTTGTTGACGCAGAATTGCTCACCTTTTTGTCAATAAGGTCCCTTAATAAAAGTCTGTAAAAATCTTCATCATCGAAAATCTTATCGTTTTCTTGGAGTAATGGATCGAACGCAGCCTTTTTAGTAGATGAGTCTGATTCTGGCGGTACGTATCCCAAAGGTTTAACATTTCTTCTATTCAATTTTGTTCTTTTCAATAATCTTTCCATATTAGACAAATTATTTTCTACTTGGACCGCGGCAGTTTGGTTAACAGCCTTGAATTTGGAGGCATTTAAAGCAGCGGATCCTGAGGCCGATTGAACTTTTTGAGACCATTTAGTCAAAACGGCGTTTCTGTACACTTGCAAAGTATTATCCAAGACTTCAGATTCCTGCAAATACGAGTCTAAAGATCTCTTCTTGTTGTTCATCTCCTTATCCTGTTTGACAATTTTATCCTTTTTGTACATGGCAAGTCTCAACTCGAGAACAGCATCCATCAAAGAAAATAAAGCCGATTCGGTTTTTTTAATATATTTCTCAGTTTTTTCATCACTAAATTTCTTGACATTTTCTGCTGTTTGTGGGAATTGATTATAAGTGCTCAAACCTTTGTGGAACTTGATTCGTGAGTCAACTATCGAATCATAGAGAGACTGTTGCTGTAAAACAAAGTGACCCTTGAGGGAGTCTGATTGAGCTGCATCGGAAATTCTGGTGATATTTTTTTACTTTCAGTATTCATTAATGCCTTAATCTTATCTCTTTTGTGTTCATCGCCTTCATCATTATGGTCCTCCTCATCATCCGACTGCTCTTGTTCTTCGTCGCTAGACTCTGCACTCAAGTCAACCCCTGAATCGCTTTCTTCACCTTCTTCGTTATTATCTTCACTTTCATTGTCGTCAGATTCATTGTCTTCAGATGCATTTTCATCAATATTATTCCCTACTGATCCGTACAAATCTTTTCTGCTAATGGTATCCCCTTTATACTTTGCGTCATTGACATTCAACTCATCCTTTCTCAATTTACTCTTACTCATCTTCACATAATGTTGTTTCTTGAGTTCATCATCTTCATCTCCAGAACTTTGGTTATTTTCATCATCATCAGCATCAATTCTTTCACTATCCTCGATATCGTAGTCGAATGTTTGGGGCTTCAAGAGATCAGCAAACTCTTGAGATAAAGTCTTCTTTTTAGCCATTTTCCTTTGAATAAGTCAATAATATCAATATGTATAGAAGATATATTTACATTTATGGTACGGGATGAGCTCTGAAAAATTTTTTTTAATGTATTACCCCCGGAGACCCCGAGAGTCACATGATATGAACCCCTCGGTAATATATCATCACAAATGAATTGGTAGAGGAAATCGGTGGTGAATAATCACAACTTTATCTACGTTCTTCGTGCCAAACAGGAAGGAAGGTCCCCACTCTCCCCATATATATATCATAGAAAGAAATGAAAATTGTAATCCAGAAGGTCACCAGGGCATCTGTTACTGTTGAGAATCAGGTCATATCCTCGTAAGTCTTTCTTATCTACTCCCGCTTATCAGAAAGATGCACGGACTAACCAGATCTTATTAGCATTCAGAAGGGTCTTATGCTTCTTGTGGGTATTAGTGTCAACGATACAAAGGAAGACGCCGACAAACTTTGCAAGAAGGTGGTTAACTTACGATTATTTGAGGATGAAGTCGACGGCAAGTTTTGGAAGAAAAGCGTCAAGGAGATCAACGGGGAAATCTTATCGGTATCGCAGTTCACCTTGATGGCGAAAACACGGAAGGGAACTAAACCTGACTTTCATTTGGCACAAAAGGGGGAAATTGCTAAAGAATTGTATGATTACTTTCTAGGGCTTATGAGAAGTGAGGTTGGTGAAAATAACGTTAAAGATGGCCAATTTGGGGCGATGATGGATGTCAGTTTGAACAACGACGGGCCAGTAACAATATTACTAGACTCTCAGGAAAATAAATAGATATAATAGATCCAATTACACCGTAATACCGCTAAAATCTGTATTGAATAACCCCATTGATTCGTAAGAAACCTGGGGCCAGTTTGGTTATGATGCCCTGGCAAAGGGAAAATTTTTTTTTTTTTTTTTTTCTAAAACTTTTTGGGGGAAAACGTTCAGAAGGTGTGGTGGTGATGAGAGGCTATTTGTTTTGTATTTAGCTATTCATTATATTTATAAATAGAGTCATGTCTACTGTTATTGGTATTAACTTTGGTAACTCTGCCTCATCTATTGCGGTCGCTACTGCTGACGGGAAAGCCGACATTATCGCTAACCAAGATGGTGAACGTTCCATCCCAACTGCCTTGGCTTATGCTGGCGAAGACGAATACTATGGTGGTCAAGCCCTTGCCCAATTGTTGAGAAACCCAACCAATACTATTATTGGATTCAGAGACTACTTGGGTGTTCCTTTTGAAAAGATCGACCCAACCTCTGCCGGTAACGGTGCCAAACCTTTCAACTTGGACGGAAAAGTTGGTTACAAGATCAAGAGATCCGAGGATAAAGAAGAAATCCTCACCATCGACGAAGTCGTTTCCAGACACTTGACTCAATTGAAGCTTTCCGCTGAAGACTTCATTGGTTCTTCCATAGATGGTGTTGTCATTGGTATTCCAACTAACTTTAATGAAGAACAACAAAAAGCTTTGGTAGCAGCCTCTGAAAAAGCTGGCATGAAGGTCCTTCAATTGATCAAGGAACCATCTGCTGCTTTGCTTGCTTATACCACTAACGTCAACGAATTGGCCAAGGACAAATTGTACGTTGTTGCTGACTTTGGTGGTCTTAGATCAGACGCCGCCGTCATTGCCGTCAGAAGTGGTATCATGACCATTTTGGAAACTGCCCACGACTACGAATTGGGTGGTGCTAAGATCGATAGTGCTTTGGCTGAATATTTCGCCAAGGAATTCGAAAAGAAATTCAAGTCTAACCCAAGAAACAACCACAAATCTATCACTAAATTGCAAGCTGCTACCATCACCACCAAGAAAACTTTGTCTAACGTCACCACCGCCACCATTTCTATCGACTCTTTGAACGATGGTTACGACTTCCACTCTACTATCAATAGAATGCGTTTCGACCTCGCTGCCAGAAGTGTCGCCTCTCAAATGACCACCTTTGTCGAAAACATTGTCAAGAAGGCCGGTTACGATACTTTAGACATTGACGAAATCTTGTTGGTCGGTGGTACTTCCTTCGTTCCAAAGATTGCTGCCAACTTGGAAGCCGTTTTCCCAGAATCTGTCAAAATTATTTCTCCAGCCACTCCAAAGGCTATTGATCCAGTCGATTTGATTGCCAGAGGTGCTGCTTTGCAAGCTTCTATGATTGAATCATTCGACGAAGCCGAAGTGAAGGAAGCTTTGCAACCAGTTATCGTTAACACCCCACATTTGACCAAGGCATTGGGTATTCTTGATGCCGAAGGTAAATTTGTTCAAATTTTGAGATCCGAAGCTGCCACCCCAGTCAGACGTTCAATTAAGGTTGCTGCTCCAAAGGGCGATGCCTTGATCTCCATTTACGAAGCTGAAAGAGACATTAAGGAAACCACTGTCGAACAAGCTCCAAAGGAAGAAAAAGAAGAAGATGACGAAGAATCAGACTGGTCTGATGATGAAGATGACGAACCGGAAATTATTAGAGAAAAGATTTTCGTTCCAAAGGCCAAGATTGCCGACTTGGTAGTGAAGGATGTGAGCGAAGGTGCTACCATTGAAATTACCATTGATATCAACAAGAATAACGAATTACAAGTTTTTGCTAGAGAAGACAAACCAGATGCCACTGTCACTAAAGTGAAAATCTAAGATTGCTTAATTGTATATTGACAATATTATAACTTATTTTCTGATCATTTTGTTTGTTTTTCTTTTTCATAATCCATTGATAGAAATTAAAAGAAAGAATAAATATGTTGTAAGTCTATATCAAGTGAGTCGAGGATGAAGTGCCATATAATATACTTTCTACCATTTCTATTTTGATTTTTATCAATATTTCATTGACAATTGGATTTCCTTTAGCCTAGTTTTTGCGGCTGAAAGTTTTAATAATAGATGTATAAGTTGTGCAAAACTCTCTTGAGTTGTGTTCAAATCTTTGGGCACCAACCCACCATTGAACATTCTTATTGGATTCTGTTTCTTCAATTCTAATTTCATAGCATCGACTTGCCTGGATATTTCGTCCTTGAGATCCTTTTTCCCCTTCTCTTTTTCTTCTTTTGATCTATTTTTCAATCTTGATTTATTATCATCCGCTAACACCAGCTTTTTAATTGAAGAGACATTTTTCTTTAATTCTTCGGTGACGGCTGCTTCATCAAACTCCAAGCCATCAACCAACTTCCACCCATCTTTCTCACACAGGACCGTTAAAGTTGCTTTTCTATCACGATAATCGTAGAAGTCGCGGCCAAATTTCTTGGTTCTTACCCCGTGGCTGGAAATATTAGCTCTTGTCAATGAGAAAAAGGCATCCGATGCCTTCTTGTTGATTTCGTTGGTCAATTGATATGTTTCGTCCAAAACCGAAAAATATTCCTCGATATGCGACGTCGCTTTACGAGAAGAACCATCTGTCGGAATCTTTATTAGATCGTCCATTCTGTCTTGCAATGATAATTTTCCTTAGTTTTTGCCCCAAATGATAAAATAATTGGACATCAAGAGTTACCATCGAAAAAAAAAACCTTATGGGCACGCACAGGAGAATCGTAATTTTTATGTGACGGGACAGATCAGGCTCCCCTTTTTAAAGACGGCATAGATAGTTTGACATGTCCTAATTTGAATTTAATTGCCAAAGAATCGTGTACCGGCAGTATATTTACACGAGATAATCTGATAGTTACCCACTGTTGCACTTTACTTTGAACTTCTTACTTTTTGGGATTGATTGCCTGTCAAAGAGAACTTAACTAACTGAGTTACACACGTTTTGCAACATTATGGATTCAATGGAAATTGATAAACTTCTATACAAAACTGAGGATGTCGTATTATTCGACATTCCACCGCCTCGAAAAGAGGATGGTTTTAAACATAACATATCTCGGTGGGATCTTGATGTGAAGCCATTGTGGAAAGGTGTGTTGGAAATTCATGAAGTTGAGCTGCTAGAGGACTATGCCGATATAAATCCTTTTGCTACCCAGAGCCCACCAAAAAGCAAAGACCCCAAAGAACTTCTTAAATTATGGATAATATTGAAAAATCCTGGAGATGATAGTGAATTTGCCAAAATTCCAAAATTATCGTCTTTAGATAGCAATGATTTGAGCATAATTCCTACGGATTCGTCAAAGGTTTATGCGGTGTTTCCAGAAATCGATGGTGATGTCCAGATTGAAATTAATAACGTAAAACAAGGAAAAAAAGATGCCAAAACCGGTAGTAATAGCAATATCAAACGTATTGGTATGGGGTTGAAATTTCCTAGCTCCTACGAGGCCAGCAATTTCAGCATGTATTTGAATGCGTTTGAAAAGGATTTCAAGGTTTTTGAAGAGGCAATGTTAGATGAGTTGCGTGAGGCTGAAGAGGCAAAAAATAACGAAACATTATCCAGTAAAGGAGCTCCTGAAGATGAAAAAGTATCTAATGAGACGATCGATGTACTAAATGACAAGTTTTATGATATTAGCATGAAAGATGATTGTCAAACCAAAAGCACAGCAAGTAAATTTGAAAGTGAAAGTGATGATAGTGACGACGACTTTGGTGATTTTATGGAAGTGTCCAATAAATAGTGAAAATCAGTTTAGTTTCCATTAATCTCTGACATGATTCCTCTTTTGGTAAAAGTTTTTACAAAAGATTTATCCTGTTTTTTTCTATTTTCTTCTTCCTTTTTTTTTTTTGATTTATATATATAGATATATATTTCTATATTTTACATAGCCGAACTGTTTTTCTTTTATTGTTTTTGAATTAAATATTCATATACACATTTCTAATAAACTGGTATCATTTCATCCGCTTTTCTCTTTAAGTACTGACTCTAGTGGTTCTTCTGCTTCTACATCCACATCAACTCCATAATCGGTTAACTTCTCCCCCATGTTATTTATCCATTCCTTTCTATTCAAATCTTTTCTGCTTTTAAAAATGTAGGATTCTTTAGCATCATGGTCCACCTCAGGCTCGAAATCGAGTTCTTCAATAACTTGGTGCCCACCATCTGGAGGCCAAGGCAACCCGAGCTGATCTTCTTCTAATAAATCTGTTTTTGCAAAAAGTATGCCATCACCTTTGGGCCCAGTCCAAGGTAGTAGCCAAAGCCAAGGATAATTCAACTGGTCTACAATATTATTCCAAAATCCTATGTCATAAGGGAAGACAATATCATCAATGGAAAATAACCAATGATCCGATTTTTTTGCGGCATCACTGTCATTATAATAGAAATATTGTTCGGCCCTAATGGATTTTAATTTTGGCATGGGTTTCCCGTGTAAATTCTGATAGTTATTTCTAATTCTATGCCAAAACCTCTCACTTCGTAGCTGAGATTCCACTCTTTCCCATTCCCATGTTTCAATTTGTGACATTCCTGAAGTAATATGAATCATGCATTTTAAGGTCAATAACCCCACAGATAAAAATACAAACCCATCCATCATAATTAGTATCATCAAAAAAACTAACTCTGACTTTCTAAACATATAAGCAGGATAATTTCTTTCTTCCCAAAATTGCCACCCTCTTTTGAATAATTCAACAAACACAAACCCGGTGGTAAAATCGACCCAAAACAAGAATCTCATGAAATGAGGCATATTTTTATATCCCACACAATTTGCAGTCCACGGACAGTGATGATCCATCTTTAATACACATTTCTTGCAAGTTTTGCAATGATGGGTTCTTTCTGGTTTGTAAGCTTCGCATTTCTTGCACCATCTTTTCCATTCTCCTGACACTGACTTATAGTCGCTTGGTGCCTGACCCGGGTCTTTCTTGATGGCAATATAATATGATATCCAAATCATGGCGAGAAAACATTCAAAGAGAATTTGTTTCTTGGTTGAGAAGTAGTGTTTGAAGATAAAGAAGTGGGCGCTATGACCTATGAACTCAATAAGGCATGCTGGTACCTATTTTTTTTTTCTATGTTAGAATTGAGGCAAGTAACTATCATATTTCGAGATTAACGTACTATAACCCCTAACGCGGGATGAGGGAGTTTGATTCCCATGTTGCACTCGTGCCTTCCTGGTGTCAACGGAGATGTTATTCGAATCGATAATTCGGCTTTTTATGCGCATCACCAAAAAATGTTACCCCCATTATGAGAACAAGCGATAAGAATCATTAGGGCAAGAGTTTTAATACAAGGTCCCACAATTTAATTTTTTTTTTCTTTAAACCTTTGGGAATGTTTTATAGGGCACAAAAAAATATCTACACAAAAAGTAAATGAAAAATTCCAGTTGGTACTATATGAAATATGAAGAAAATAAAATACATGTGTGTCCTTGGCTATATAAAACTGCGGAAAGCAGAGAGAGCCTGTGCTAAAAATCAAAACGAAAAAACAAAAACAACAATGAAAAAACAAAAAAGCAAAAAGAAATATCATTTTCAACAGTGAAATAAATATATGTATACATATCTTTGCTAATAATTCTAAGATATAACATCGAATCCTGCTTTGACAATAGGATTAGAATTCTCTTTCCCATATTTGTGGGTTTTCAAGCCACTAAAGCCGCTGACTTCATCAGGCATTTCCATATTGTTAATTTCGTAATACAAAGGAATGCAGCTATCATCCAGCCAGTTATAATCATATTCTGGTGAGCAATCACATTCCAATTTTTCTCTGATTTCTGCATTTATCGGACACTGGCCATTTGGCGAGTGATAATACCCAGTATTATCAACATAATGGACTTGATCCTTATCCAAAAGGAATGCTGCTGCCATAGTATGAATAGGAGCATCACCCCATCTTTCGTAATAAATTCCTCCCGAGTAGTCAATATACTCGAAAAAATCTTCATACGCTTCAGTTCTGTAAAAATCCATATCACCAATCTCAAAATTACTCCAGAAATGACACATATTGAAAGTTTCACCTTCATCGTCTGTTAAAAGCTCGGAGTTATTGTCATCTGAAACATATTGGGGGTAAGAGGTGGTAAAATTCTGGACCACCGACCACAAGCTAAGTACCGTTGTATGGATTTCGTAAGGTGCCATGGTAAAGCCATATACTTTATTATTGCTTTCCATGTATTTGAAGAGATCATAGTCGATATTACAGTTGAACAGAATGTCTGGTTCCACTCTCCAATAGTACCTATACTTTTGCATTGCTGGAAGCTTATAGAAAAACCCAGAATTAAATCGACACATGTGTCTATAGGATTCCAGATTCCCATATTTGATATTATCAGCCTCCATTTGGTCTCGAACATCAGCGGCCAAATCTTGATCTATCCAAGATGGATAACTCCAGAATTCTTTTGGGATCTTGACATAGGTAGGATTTCCTGATACCGCCCCTGAAGTTAACTGGATAAATTCTTGAGTGAATGTTTCATCATTGGCAAACACCCAGTCGTAATGATAGTTATGGTTGAACCGTTCTTCCACACTTCTGATGGCACTAAGAATACCTTTGAGGTCATCATTTCTTGCCAAAGTGAAAAAAGTAGCGTTAGATCGTTCGTAGTCAAATACTGTCTCCTGTAACTCGACTCCAAGTTCTTCGTCCAACTCCTTTATTGAGTCGTTAATATATTCTTCTTCTTCACTGGGTTGTTTGACTCCAGATTCCACAATTTGAATGGTAGAATTAGAGGGTCCTCCAAACTGATATACCGAGAAGGACACTAACGCCAATATCCCCAATAGTACGATGATCCTTCTTCTGAAGAAGAGCGGAGTTTTTGCTTTAGTCTTGATCCGCAAAGAACGTCCGTTCATCTGTGTTGATAGTAATAATGAATAATAATAATGAATAATAAATAGTCTGTTAATTAATATATGCCTTTTGATCTAAACAAAGAAAAAAGTTTAAAGCTTTTTCCCTTTGCAGGGCCCTGTTGTTTCCGCCAGGGCTGCGTGACTGTTTACAAAATGCCTTTAATTTTTGTATGATTTATGTAGGATCTATACACGATAATAGCAACAATAACTACAACAATGTCCAGGGAAAAGTCGCCGAAAAAAGGAAGAAAGAAGGATGCGATAGAGCAGTTCATCGGGTCTCACCAGATGTTGATCAAACCAGGGTTGTCTCAGCTTCGGTACATGATTTTGGCAGATGGACTCAACGTGCCTGAGGGCTACGAAACATGCCCCTATCGATGCTATGTTTGGTCGATTTTATTGCGAGTGCAGCCCATAAACACCAACTTCTACTTGGAGCTTGTCAGTAAAGGTCCTCCATCGTCGTACTCCAAGGTCAGAAACGATACTTTCCGGACATTGGCCAAGGACGAAACTTTCAACCGGAAAGTCCACGAGAACTCGTTGGTCAGAGTCTTATCGGCGTTTGCATGGACCCAAGAGAAAAACAATGGTATTAATGAGGAAGTTTTGTCACCATATGTTCAAGGAATGAATATATTGGCCGCACCTTTTTTGTTTGTGTGCAAAAGTGAACCAGAAGCGTTTGCTATGTTCTACAGCCTTTTAACCAAGCATTTGCCGCTATATATCACCCCAACCCTCGATGGCGTCTATACTGGTGCCAACTTGGTGGATATAATCCTCAAGATTGTCGACCCAAAACTTCAAAGCTGGTTGAATTCCAAGCTACTTAAACCGGAAATGTACGCTTTCCCATCAGTGCTCACGTTGTCGACCTGTACGCCCCCACTAAGCGAGATCTTAATCCTATGGGACTTTCTTTTCGCTTATGGGTGTCATATGAACATATTGCTTGTGGTAGCTCAGTTAGTACTTATCAGATCACAGCTCTTGGAGTCGAAATCCCCAATGTCGCTACTAAGAAACTTCCCTCCGATCAAGGCCAAAGAGATCATTAAGCTATCCATCAGTTTTGTCACAAAGATTCCCTCCAACATCTATGATCTTCTAGTTCGACATACCTATGACCCAAGAGTGAAACTAGAGCTCCAACTGTTGGGATAATAACGATAGTAATAATAATATTGGTCATCTGACTATGCCGCTTACGTAATACTGGTGCGTTTTGTAAGGAAAATCTCATTTTTTTTTTTTGATAAAAAACAACAATCAGACAGCTCACAAATCTATATTATATCTATATAGTCGGGAAACTGGAAATCTTCTCGGCCATTGTCCTGGGAGAACAGAGACACGTATATCTAGGAAATTAGATTCAAAATATAGAAAAATGAGTGACCAAGAGGCAATTTTCCGTACGTATTTGATAAACCCACGCCTGAAGAAGAGCCAGAACAACAGCTCATCGCCTTGCTGATCGTTGTTTGATCTGGAAATTATGGAAGTGAAATTCTAACATATCATTATTTTCTTCTAGGTTCTGCGGAAATGTCTCTTATTCAGGTATACCTTGCCACCGAGCTTTCCAGAAATGTTGTGTCGGTGTTAGGTGAAATGGGCAATGTCCAATTTCGTGATCTTAACAAGGATATCAACAGTTTCCAGCGTTCATATGTTAAGGAGATTAGAAAGCTAGATAATGTGGAAAGACAATTAAGATATTTGAAAGGAATAATGGCGAAGCAGGAGACCCCGGTGCGCATAGTGCATTATGAAGAAAGCGATACCATTAAGAATATTGCACCATCAGCATCACAGATCGACGAGATTGTGGACACTGTTGGTAGATATGAGGAAAAAATTACTGATCTTGACTCCTCGTACGACAAGTTGAAGAAAAAACAGATCGATTTAGTGGAAAATAGATTTGTGGTTTTACAAGGGAGTGCATTTTTCAGCAAGAATAATGACACCCGTCAAACAGCGCAACAAAGATTATCAGTTGATGAGGATGATGCCCCACTTTTATTCGAACAAGAAAGTATGGAATCAGGGTTTGAAATATCACCGACAGACGAACAACACAATATGTCTGCTTTGTTATCATTAGACATCGATTTTATTGTGGCCACCATTCCTAGAGATAGAGTCGAGCCTGCAGAAAAGATATTATGGAGAGTTCTTAGAGGAAACTTGTTTATGAACACTTCTCAAATATCTAAGCCACTTTATGACGAGAGAGCAGGGAAAGATATTTATAAAGATGTGGTTATTATATATACTCACGGTAGAGCGCTTTTGAATAAGTGTAAAAGAGTTGTCGAGGCGCTAGACGGGAAGATTTTCCAAATAGATACCAATCCTGATTTAATAGAAGAGAACTTGAACAGTATAAACTCTCAGTTGGATGATGTCAATACCGTTTTGAACCAAACAATGTCAACATTGACGGTGGAATTGAACTTGCTAGCAGAAACCTTAGAGCAATGGGGTGTGACCATCAAAAAGGAAAAGGCGATTTATGTCACCCTTAATATGTTTGATTTCGATCACTCCAGAAGATCATTAATCGCTGAAGGCTGGGTTCCAACTGATGATATCCAATTAGTAAGAAATGCCATGCGGGAGATCACAGAAACCGCTGCCACAAATAGTTCAACAACAACGATTGTGGTGAACGTTCTTGAAACTAATAAAACGCCCCCAACTTTTTACAGGACAAACAAATTCACCTCTGCTTTCCAAGCCCTTGTTGATGCTTATGGTATATCTAGTTACCGTGAAGTGAATCCTGCATTGGCCACAATTATCACCTTTCCATTTATGTTTGCTCTTATGTTTGGGGATATTGGACATGGTTTCATTGTTGCTCTCATAGCATTCTTCTTGATCATCAATGAAAAATCGTTAGAAAAAGCAGTTAATGATGATCTCTCAGAAATGGTATACGGGGGTAGATACTTGATTTTCTTGATGGGATTATTCTCGATATATACCGGGCTCTGTTATAATGATATTTTCTCGTTATCATTGACGCTTTTCAAGAGTGGTTGGGAATGGCCAAGTGATTTTAAAGCTGGTGATCTTATTGAAGCCAAGCAAGTTGGTACCTATTTCTTTGGTCTTGATTCCAGTTGGCATGGTACCGACAATGGATTAATTTTCATGAATTCATACAAGATGAAATTGTCGATTATCATGGGTTTTATTCACATGACATATTCACTTTTTTTCTCCCTTGTTAATTATCGATACTTCAAATCTCCTGTCGATATCATTGGTAATTTCGTTCCAAGTTTTTTGTTTATGCAAAGTATTTTTGGTTATTTGACCTTAATGATCGTCTACAAATGGTGTGTTGATTGGATCAAGATTGAAAAACCAGCCCCGGGGTTATTGAATATGCTTATTAACATGTTTTTATCTCCTGGGACTATTGATGAGCAATTGTATCCTGGCCAAGCGTTTGTTCAACTGATATTGCTACTCATTGCATTAGTTTGTGTTCCTTGGTTATTGCTTTACAAGCCTTTGGTACTTAGACATAAAAACAATAAGGCAGTCAGTGAGGGTTATAAAGATTTGTACTCTCAAGAAAATCATAACTCTGTGTTATTACTCGAAGATAATGCCAGTGAAGATGATTTGATTATTACCGATATTAGCACCGAAAATGATAATGAAGGTGGTGGACATGGTCACGGAGACGGAGAATTTGATTTCGGAGATATTATGATCCATCAAGTGATCCACACTATTGAATTCTGTCTTAACTGTGTTTCTCATACTGCTTCATACTTGCGTCTTTGGGCCCTTTCATTGGCCCATGCACAATTATCCTCGGTTTTATGGGGAATGACCATTTCGAATGCTTTTGACGATTCAAAGCCATCACTTTTCACAGTTTTCAAAGCATGGTTTTTATTTGGTATGTGGTTTGTCTTGACTGTTTGTATTTTAGTTCTTATGGAAGGTACATCAGCCATGTTACATTCCTTAAGATTGCATTGGGTTGAAGCGATGTCCAAGTTCTTTGAGGGAGAAGGGTATGCATATGAGCCATTTTCATTCAAGGCTCTATTAAAACAAAATAAGGAAGACTGAATCTGTCTAATTGGTTGACTATAGTGCTTTCTGGGAGGGAAAAAATGAATAAATAAACAAATATTATATTATCTTTTTATGAGATGTTGTTTATATTCTCATCATAGGTGGTCTCATCTGTGTTTTATGTGTATATATGTAAAGCGAAATGAAAATAATAAAAGTTTGAATGTCTATATTCTGGGTTCTTGTCATACTTCCTACATTAGTTATGATATTTAACATGTTTTATGTTTATTTTGGGTAACCCGGGACTTTAAAAGAGCATTGAAATGTTTCATAGAACGGGCTACGGTCCATATCACCAAGGACTCTTGTACATAATTCTGGTTTTGTTGAAGAAAACAAACAACAACTCTGCACTATCTATCCTGTTTCCACTTTTCAATTTTTTTTTTTTTTGTGTTGGCCTTTGTCGTGTTTTTTTTGCTTATGTACATTAAAAAGAAGATGTCATGGCTACAGAATGAGTTGACACATGCAGTTGTGTACATCAAGATGAGCCAACCTTTGACAGCAATCTCAAAAAAAAAAAAGTGATTCGACGCGGTAAACATGGGAGGGATAAGCGACAGTTTAATTATTGGGAAGAGATAATTTATCAACGATCAGATCGAGATTGAGATGATTGGCCATGACGTATTTGTGCTTGAAATAAATTTTTTGTTTTCTACCAACAAAGGTGCTACAAAGGTTCGGCTTCTGCCACCCCTCAATATACCAATTTGATAATATGGGAATATCAAATTTATTTGAAATTCAAAGAAAGAAAAAATGAATAAACAAAAAATAGATCTTGTATGTGAAAATGTGTGTGTTTCTAAATGACTGTAGAGTGAAGAAGCGATATAAAAAAAAAGTATAAACCTATTGTAAGAAATGAATATTTTCATCATAGGAATGCAAGGACTAATAACCAATATAAAGAATAAGAAAAAAAATAGTAATACAGAGAGTTCGCAGTAAATATGGTTAATCTATGACCAATATGAGGAAAATACAGAGCAATTAACAAAGCAGAAGACAAGAAATAAAAATGCGGATGATCAAATCAGCAAAAATTTGAATCAGATAATGGGAAAAATAAAGAACAAAGTCAAATCACCATTCAAGTTTCAGAGCCCACTTGACTGACTTCTTCTTTGTCTTTGTTGACTGCGATTGATTCAGATTGAGAGAGTATTCTTTGGTGATCAATTTCAAGTCGTGAGATGTCACTGAGTTCATATTTTTGGACTCATTTAGCTGGATGGAGGAGTTGTATTTTCTAAGTTGTTTCATCCCACCATTCAATGAGTTAGATTGATCCTTGAAAGAACTCCCTTTTCTGAAAAGTCCATAGTAGCTCTTACTCCGTAGGTAATTCTTGAGAGCGTTTTCGGTATAAAAACCAACATGGCCAGACTTGTCTTTCTGCGTAGCTGTCGTCTCTTTCGATGATTTGCATTTTATCACCTCCTGGGCTTTGATGATAGCGGCCTTTTTATGTTTCTTTCTGTTTCTCTTTGTTTGGTTCGCAGCGATACACACGGTATCGTCTTTATGTGAAGGAAAAGGGATTCCTCTGCCATTATCAGAATTTAATTCGGTGGCATATCGCGTAGCATCTCTGTTATTACCATTCTGTGCGGAAACAATAAATGTGACGGTATCATCACTTTTGTATTTCAATGATGATTTTGTGGGTTGGATGGACTTGTTTGGGGTGAATAGTCTTTTTGGAATTTCTGGAAATGAGTCAAGAGATTTTGAAACTCTGACCGCTCTGCCGTGAGATACTGTTTGAATTTCAAAACTGTCCTCGTCATCATCTTCATCACTCAAGCCGTTATAAAACTGACTAATATCACTGAATGAGAGGTCATTGTTTAGTGGGGCGTCGAGTTCTGCAAGATCTTGGTCTTCTTGTAGGAAATTGGTTCGTTTCGCCTCGTCTTCCGATACTTCAGTTTCCGATGTTTCATAGTTACTGTGGCTGTCTGAATGATCAAAGATATCTTCCATGTCATTAAAGGAAAACGTTTCAAAATCGTTATCATCAATGAAATCAGCATCAAACGGATCGTCAAAGCTGTTATTGTTGGTGAGAAAATCGTCCTCTTCAAAGACATTATTTGATGGGCTGAGCCCGGCAAAGCACGAAATATTAGGCGATAGTATTTGATCTATGGTTTGTGTCAGGAACATTTTTGGTTGTTGTGCTGATGAGTTATCGGTTGCAGTCGGTTGTTGTTTCCAAAGAGCACCCTCAGTTTCCTCATCATCTGATTGATTATCGAAAAAAGCGTTGTATTCCGAAGAAACAATGATAGCTGGGGGCTGGAGTTCCGACGATGTCGTGCTTGATGATGATTCTATTATTGGTTGAGTCTCGTTCGTTTTTGATTGATCCGCTAGTATTGGTGATGATGATGGCGATACCTCATTGGAGTGCCTTCTGGAGACACGTTTATGGGATTTTCTCTTGTTATGTGATTTTCTTGTCATGGTTGTATAAGGTGGAAAAATAAGGAGCCTGGAAGGTGGTTATGTATTATATGATCTGTTGTAGGTAATTGTGAATTGGCTAGTGAGCTATAGATAGTAAAGGCGATGACCCATATCAATCAAATACAGTATTCTAAAAGGGGAGACCAGAAAACTTTAAAAAAAAAAAGGTCCTTGTACACTTTCTAGCTAATCTCTATCAACATTGCAAGGTTCCAATAGATGTATATACAAAAAATAGAAATTTCGACATTCTCTTGAGGAAAAGAGAGCAAAAGGGATCGGCCGGCGAGGTGCGTGGAACAGGATTTCCCGATTCGGCAGAAAACCAAAACAAAGCTGCCCCTCACCGCGACGGACGGCCGCGACGGTAACGATAATAGTCAGGGAGCACTGTAACCGCATTATTCAGTTATTACTTTGGTGATCGGGCGAGACCCTTACGAGAATATAGAGCATAAATATATATATATGTGGATATTTAAAGTTAAGTACGCATTAACCCACCAATTAAGTACCAAATATAAAGTCGCAGACAGTCGAGTTCGAAAATTTGGGAGAACTCCTAATAGACGGCAAGTAGTTATCCTTTTGGACAAAGAAAAAAAAAATAATGAGAAAAAAAAAAAAAAAGGATTCAAATATATTCATATATAAATGAAAATAAAACTTCTCATCAACTATTAGATTAATGGTGATCAGGATTTCTCAACTCACTCAGACATGACTCAATTACAGTGTACTTTTCTCCCTCCTTCTCCATTCTGTCTGGCAAAATGTTCTCCTCTCTCTTCCTACTAGTGTCCGTCTCCTGAAACTTCCATAAGCTGGCTAGCATGCTCAAAATAACTACCACTTCACCACCATTTATCTGAAGAAATAGAGAATGCTCTCCAGCCGCACGTGAAAAATGATCCTCATGTTGAGATCGCCATGCACCGATCATATACACGTGACTGAAGAATAACTCTCACATATACCGGGTAACGCGATGTCCAGAGGAAAAAAAATTTTGTCAAAAAAAATTTCACCTACACAATTTTGCAGCAGGAAAATAGCTGAAGTGCCCTCTTCATCAGTCGTATCGTTTTTCGAATCCCTATATTATCATAATGACCTTTGTCTTGACTGAAACCGCTGCCGGTTACGCCTTGTTGAAGGCCGCTGACAAGAAGATCTACAAGAGCGCCTCTTTGTTGGATGACTTGAACTCTTCAGACAAGGTTGCAGCTCAATTTAAAATTGCTGCTTTCTCCAAATTCAGCTCTGCTGCCAATGCTTTGGAAGAAGCTAACAGTGTTATCGAAGGTAAAGCTTCCTCCCAATTGAAGAAGTTATTGGAAGAATCCAAATCCGACAAAAAGACCACCCTTATTGTCTCAGACACAAAATTGGCCAACTCCATCAACAAGTTGGGCATGAACTACCAAATCGTTTCTGACGCTGCTACTTTAGATATACATAGAATCATCAAAGAATACTTGCCAGAATTATTGCCAGGTATGAGCGACAGCGACTTGTCCAAAATGTCCCTTGGTTTGGCCCACTCCATTGGTCGTCACAAGTTGAAATTCTCTGCTGACAAGGTTGACACCATGATTATCCAAGCTATTGCTTTATTGGACGATTTGGACAAAGAATTAAATCAATATGCCATGAGATGTAAGGAATGGTACGGCTGGCACTTCCCTGAATTGGCCAAGATCGTTACTGATTCCGTTGCTTTTGCCAGAATTGTCTTGCACATGGGTATCAGATCAAACGCTGCCGAAACCGACTTCAGCGAAATCTTGCCAGAAGAAGTTGAAACTCAGGTAAAATCTGCTGCTGAAATTTCTATGGGTACTGAGATCACTGATGTCGATTTGGAAAACATTCAAGCTTTGGCAACCCAAATTGTTGAATTTGCTGCTTACAGAGAACACTTGTCCAACTACTTGACCTCCAGAATGAAGGCCATTGCTCCAAACTTGACTGCTTTGGTTGGTGAATTAGTCGGTGCCAGATTGATTGCTCATGCTGGTTCTTTGCTTTCCTTGGCTAAATCCCCAGCTTCCACTATCCAAATCTTGGGTTCCGAAAAGGCCTTGTTCAGAGCCTTGAAGACCAAGCATGATACCCCAAAATACGGTTTGATCTACCACGCCTCATTAGTTGGTCAAGCTAACGGTAAGAACAAGGGTAAGATAGCAAGAGTTTTGGCTGCCAAGGCTGCTGTTGCCCTCAGATACGATGCATTGGCCGAAGAACGTGATGACAGCGGTGACATTGGTTTCAGTGTCAGAGCTATTGTTGAAAACAGACTTAGTGCTTTGGAAGGTAAAGATATGAGAACCACTTCTAAGATTGAACGTCAAACCCCAAAGGTTGAAATGACCGAAGCTAGAGCTTACAATGCTGACGCTGATGCCGTTCCAGAGGCTGACAAGGACTCTGATGATGAAGACAGTGATGATGAAGAAGCTCCAAAGAAGCGTAAGAGAGATTCTGATGATGAAGAAGAAGAAGAGGAAGAAGAAAAGAAGTCCAAGAAATCCAAGAAGGATAAAAAAGAAAAGAAGGAAAAGAAGGAAAAGAAGGAAAAGAAGGAAAAGAAGGAAAAGAAGGAAAAGAAAGAAAAGAAGGAAAAGAAAGAAAAGAAGGAAAAGAAAGAAAAGAAAGACAAGAAATCCAAGAAAGAGAAGAAATGATTAATTCAATCTGACTATAGATTAAATTTTATTATTATTATTAAAGACTCATCCCTCAGATTCTTTATTTCAACTACCCAGACTCTTATACATATCACAACTTCCCTCTTCTTTTTCTCTCTTTTTTTTTGTTTTAATTATCTTTGGTCTTCCTCAAAAGTGTAATTTCGGTCATTTTTTTTTTCTTTTCTATTTTTTTTTTTTTACATTTCTTTCTTCGTCTTATGTTTTATTTCATTTTTATTTTCATATTATTAATGCATGTTTTATTGTAGCAGAATATCAATTGTAATTCTTTTTTTTTTCTCTCTGTGGGTTTACAAGTATGTATAATTGCCAGTCTACCTTAACAAGTTAACAAGAATAAAAATATAATACACACCTTAAAAAAGCCCCAATTCAAAATCTTCATCACTGAAATAACTCACCAATATTGTTCTGTCAAAGTACTTTGTACCATTGAATTTCACATAGCAGGACTCACAGTCATCAATCGAATTAAATTTGATAAATACTTTACCAAATCCTCCTAGTTTTCCAATCGTATGGAACTGATCCTTCAAGTCTATCTTCTGTGATAATTGTGGAACTTTCACTTCTTGGAACTCAATCTCCAAACTCTTGATCTTCTTCTCCACATCAAACTTGACTACCTTGGTCTCGCGCTCAATGTTGCTATAATTTTGCTCCTTGATAAGCCCAGAATAATCAATCATATTGAGAAGCTGTAGTACCTTTGTTGGATGTCTTTGAGATATTTGCTTACCATCTGAAGCTTTGATTAACTGACGGAAATTCATGACAGAATCGCTAGTATTACCAATACATGATATGTTCCACTTCAACTTCTGGTTTTCAATTTTCACCTCTTTCAAAGAGTCCCACGCTTTCGAAATCACTGACGGATCTTTAAATTCCACAAATCCAATTCCCTTAGAAGTTCCTTCTTTGTCACGTAAAATTGTCACAAACATTAGTTCACTGTCCACTTTTTCAGCAATCACAATACGTAGCTGTTGTTCATCAACGTTAATCGGTATGTTGCTCACAGTAATCTTTGACGGCGAATCTTTTAAAAAAGTCTGAGTATTATCAAGTTGCTCTGCATGATGGTTGAAAACCGGAATACAATATTCATTAGGCCTTGAGAGTTCGAGAGTAAATATACCTTCATTATCATCGTGTACTATATATCCATTGAGTGCCAATGCTATTGTGGCTATATGGTAATTTTCAAACACAACAATAAGGCTTGATTTTCTCTTTTGGTGGCTCTTGATCTTTATCTCCACATCTTCAAACACTTTCAACGATGACAAAAATTCTTTGAAATAGTTTAGTATCACATCGACCAACGCATTCTTTACATTGTTGACTACTATAACTCTAGCATTTAAAGCGTCTTTTGGATCAATAAGAGAATTCTCTTCCAAGATAGCTTTACTGTTATCATTCTTAATAATTTCAACCATTTTTTGAATATCAAGTGGCTTCTTCCCGGAGCCAGGCAATGGGAACAAACCCAACAACTTAGCCTTTTCCGCCCCAAGTTCCCCAAGTTCTTTAGGTTTTTTATCCCATAGCGTGAATCCCGATCTATCTCTTTTATCGATAGAAATTGCATGTTCTAACTCTTCAGGAGTGAAGGTGTCCCGCTTGGTGAAATAGTCATCATGATCTGTGGTTCCCACATTACCATTGTGATCGTCTCTATCCCACTCACGATCCCCGTAACTTCTCCCTCGGTCATTGTACCTTCTATCACGTTCCATGCCTCCTCTAGAGTTGTCACGTCTAGAATAGGAACCATAGTCATCATATCTTCCTCTGGAACCTTCATGTCTTCTATATCCCCTAGTTTCTCTCGTCTCTCTTATCTCTCTTGTCTCCCTCAATTCTCTTGTTTCCCTATTTGGTGGCCCCCTCTGTTTTGGGCCAGTAGGTAAATTGAGCCGCCTTCTATCTGACATTTCTGCTTTATAATATTATTGAATATACTATCAAAGAGAAGTCCAGCAGCTGTTTTGCCTCTTTCAAAACTCATCAAAAAAAAAAAAAAAAAAAAAACTTTTGGCAGAAAATACTAAATGCACGCATTACATAACGTCATCAGGCTTAAATTTAAAGTCTTTATCTCGGGTGGGAGAAGAGATTTATAGCATTGAAGGAAATATATTGAAGGATCCAAAAAATATTATGTTCCACTTTATTTTATTGAATAATATTTGCTTTTTCTTGCCTTTAACCTTCGACAAAGACATCGAATGGTCCTAATCATCGGGCCGCATAGACAAAAAAAATGAAAAAATCGGTGATCGAAAACCCAAGAAACACTCTGTTAAGAAACTCATTATAGATAATATATTAGAAATAGAGTCCCATTCTGTTAACAAAATGAAATTCTTAAGTATCACATACTTCGTGTTCATACTAGCGTCAGTGGTACAATCAGCGTTATTGGGGATCGATTATGGTGGAGACTTTCTTAAATCAACCTTAATTGCCCCAGGTATCCCGTTTGAAATCGTGTTGACTTTGGAAACCAAGAGAAAGGAACCATTGTCGATCGCAATGAAACTGATTGCTGACTCCAAGAATGAATTCGAAAGATTTTACGGCTATGCCTCGACCCCGATCTGCTCACGGTTCCCAGAAACTTGTGTTACTGCCTTGAAAAGTCTCTTGGGACAACCATATTCCAACCAAACTTTGATCGAACATTACAGTTCTATGCATCCTGGTGTTCAAATGCTCGAGAATGAGAAACGAGGCACTGTGGATTTCCAATTTGACGACGGCTCAGTTTACCAAATTGAAGAAATCAATGCCATGGTTCTCTCTCACATCAAAGATCGGGCCCAAAAGTTTTTGAAGCAAGAAACTGGAAGCAGTTACTTGTCCGATGTGGTTTTAACCGTTCCATCATACTTCACCTCGAGTCAAAGATTGGCATTGATTAATTCTGCTAACATTGCAGGCTTTGTCAATGTTCGGTTAATTGATGATGGTGTGGCCGTTGCCGTCAATTACGCTTCCAATAATATCAAATTTAACGAAAAAAAGAAGCAGTACCATTTGATTTACGACATGGGTTCCACTTCCACTAAAGCAACGCTATTGTCTTTTGAAAAGGACGAGAAATCTTCAGACTCATCAATTGAAGTCTTGGGTTATGCCGTTGACCAGTCTTTGGGAGGTGAACATTTTACCAAAACTATCTTCGACCTTCTCAAGACCAAGTTCCTTGAGAAGCATCCGAGCGTTGATGCTAAAGCTTTCACTAGCAATAAAAAAGCCATGAATAAGTTATGGCAAAGTGCTGAAAAGACCAAATTGATTTTGAGTGCCAACAATGAAGCGTCATCCTCGGTCGAATCTCTATATAACGATGTTGATTTCAGAGCGATAATAAGTAGACAAGAGTTTGAAGCTGCCAATGCCGCTTCAATTGGGAGAATCATTCAACCAGTTTTGGAATCCTTGGCAAGCGACTTGAGCTCCTCCGGCAAGAAATTCGACATCAAGCAACTTGATTCAATTCTTTTGTTTGGTGGCTCCACCAGAGTCCCAATGGTTCAAAAAGAGTTAGCCAATTTGGTTGGTAAAGACTCGATTTCTAAAAACGTTAATTCTGATGAAGCCGCAGTTCAAGGTGGTACATTGAGAGGTGTGGTGTTATCTAAGATGTTTAGAGCCAAAGAAATCGGCGTAACTGAACACTCTCTTTATGATTATGATATGGATTATTCTGTTGATGGGAAGAGCTCTAAAAAAATTTCGGTTTTCCAAAAGGGATCTAACTTGGGTAATGTCGTGAAGATTGAATTAGGCAATTTGAAAAATATTGATAACAAGGAGTTTGAAATTAATTTATACGAAAATGATGAATTAGTGGAAACTGATAAGTTCAAAAATGCTAAATCGGAAATCAAAAAAGCCGTGGACAAATTATCTAAAGAGTATGATTTGGAAAAATGTAAAAAAGATTCTGGGTTGACATATGATGCTTATTTCACCCTTGACTATAGCAGACTCTTTGAACTCAAGAATGTTACTGCCAGTTGCTCGTCCGAATCCAACGGATCTAAAGGGTTTTTGCAAGGTATTTTACTGAACAAAGATGAGGAGGAAATCGACGAAGATGCTAATGATACTAATAGCACGGAACCTGCCAAGTCAAAGAGCATCAAACCAAAGAAATTGAACACAATTGTTAGTCATTCTAAAGAATACCCAGCGATCAAGCCATTAACTGCCATTCAAAGAGATAGTTCTGAAAGAAAATTGAGAGACTTGAGTTATAAAGACCAGATTAGAGTTCAAAAGACGGAATTGATGAATAGTCTAGAAGGTGAGCTTTATTCACTCAGATCAACCGTTGATGATATCATTGATGAAATTGGGGAAGGAACATCGAAAAAATTCACTAATAAGGAAATGAAATATGTCAAGGCATTCAAGCAATTGATAAATGATTACTTGGAATGGTTAGAAGATCAATCTTACGGGAAGGGCTTAAAAGACTTGAAGACATCGTTCATCAATAAGAAGATTGAAAAACTAAATATCATTGACAGTTATTTAAATAACCCTATCGGGGCAAAACACTTTACTGTCCTTGCTAACCAAGGAACTAAGGTTTATGAAGAGTTCAGTGCACTTTCCAAGACTTTCTCTGATGAATTCGAAGCATTATCACAGACTTATTTGGATAATGATCTTACAATCCAAAATTTCGAAAAAGACAGCCAAAAAATTTCCAAGAGTGCCGTTTTGAAGATTGAAGAGTTGAATCTCGAAAAAGAAAGTCTTAATTTTGTGGAAACTTTAGAAAAAATTGATGAAGTGATCAATGAATTAGAAAGTACTGGGGAAAGGAATGGTGATGACGATGATATTTCTACTGAAGATGCTGAACAAATTTTAAAGAGCTTCCGGTTATATACTACCACATCGTCTAAAATTGTCGATTTACAAAAAATGATTGCCAAAATTGAAAAAGAACAAAGCCGTCGTGTCAAACAATTGAAGAAAATGATGGACAGCCGATTGAAAAAGAGAAAGGAAAAATTGGAAAAGACTGATGACGATAGTACTTTAGTTGAGTCAAGCGAGCAAGACAAACCGACAGAAGACCTGAATGCTCATGATGAATTATGAATCAGGAGTTAACCCAGAAGGAGTACTTGAATTATATTATATTTTTTACAAACTGACTAAGCTATTATTTTTTATATAGATGCCTTTTTATTCTTCACTTTTTTTAACCGTCGGCAGGCCAAATGTATTTATAATCTTATTCTTGATTGATGTAGTTTGACACAGACCCAAAAGAGACACTTAGATATATCATTAGATGGGATGATCCTTATTATTGGTACCCGCTCAGTTATAGGGCTATATGTTATCACATGCTCTTTATTTATTGCCCTAATGTATATTTGTGACATGCGTATTTATGCACGTGATTGAATTTCGCTACATGTTTGCGGCCCTGGCGTGAAAGATTCTCAGTTTGGCCCCGATTTTCAACTTGCACAAAAAAAATTGAAATTTTGTCAAGGTGCACCATCATCAAGTTGGTATTGGAAGACATAATCTAAACTACAAAAAGTAAGTAAAGGATACGAAGTGAAAAGATATGATATGGCATAGATGGACAAACAAAAATTAAACAACGATGGAAAATTTATGAGTGAAGTTGGGAATCATAATGTATTTAGAAATTTGATAGACCAGCAGAACAAAGGATAAAGTATCGAATTTATATTATGAAGTGGCTATTTCTAAAAGTGTTTTAATCATCTATGGTAGCCTATAATAGAATGTTAAAGTGGCTCAGCAACATTATACAACAGTGAAGTGAATCACTACTGGAATTTCAAAAATTTTCATCCACAATAGAAATAATAATATGGGTATAATTATATCAAATAACCTCCAAGTGATAATCATATATCATAGTATTCGTAATATATCGAGAAATCGTCATTCAGTATCATCAGTGTCTAATTTTACCTTTGAGCATCTATGAAAAGGAATTTGCAAAATATTATTTGGTATGATTGTGAAACAATTTACTAACTATCCTCTTTATAGTGGCTCGTCTTACTGAATATGAAGTTATCGGGCGTCGTTTGCCTACCGAAAACGTCCCAGAACCAAAGATGTACCGTATGACTATCTTTGCTCCAAACACTGTTGTTGCTAAGTCTAGATACTGGTACTTCTTGCAGAAATTGCACAAGGTCAAGAAGGCTTCTGGTGAAATTGTTTCCGTCAAGATTGTCAAGGAAAACAACGCTACCAGTGTCAAGAACTTCGGTATCTGGATCAGATACGACTCTAGATCTGGTACCCACAACATGTACAAGGAATACAGAGATGTTACCAGAACTCACGCTGTTGAAAGTTTGTACTCTGACTTGGCTGCCAGACACAGAGCCAGATTTAGATCTATCCACATCTTGAAGGTTGTTGAATTGGAAAAGACCGAAGATGTCAAGAGACAATACGTCAAGCAATTCTTGTCAAAGAACCTTGCCTTCCCATTGCCACACAGAGTCCAAAAGTCCAAGAACGTCTTCTCTTACAAGCCTGTTTCTACTTTCTACTAGATACATTCCAAGGTTATTTAGTGTGTTTAATTAGTTACTAATGAATGATCTTCTCCGATTTTTATATATAAATGTCTTTTTTGTAGTGATTGATGATATCCGATCGGCCACTCGGATGAGAAGGACTTTTTTTTTTCACATGCCTATCAAATTGATTGTCATCTCACTGCCATAGCCAATAAATGTTGTGAGTTAAATTGTCCATTTAGCGTATTACCTCACTATTATCATTATTATTGTTGTTGTATAAACTGACAGTTACCCTTAGTAGTGCCACATGTGGTCTCCCATAGTAGATTATCCTGGAACAATATCACCGTGCGATTTGTTTATTTTTTTCTCTTCCAGGGCTCAAAAAAAGAAGAAGAAAAAAAAAAACGTTCTCAAAGATTTTGCCTTTCGCCGAAGTTGTGTTGTTTTTGTTTGTTTTTTTTATTTATACAAATAAATTTAAGGACAATTATAACAGTAGATACACAGAGTTATTCTATCTCCAGTGATCTCTCGCTCTTCTAATATCTTCCGTCAATTTGCCGCTCTTAATTTAAAGCATCGACACTCTACCCGCAATGGTATCGCAAATCAAGGGCAAGCATGACAGCCCTGCTACTCCAAGATCAAAACGTTTGTCGAAACCAAACAAGGAATACGATATTACAAACACTACCTACAACTCTGAAGATGACCTGGATTACCATCCCGAAGACGACTCAGAATTTGGCGCGTCGGACGATGACGATGAGGATTTCGAAGACGATGATACAGTAGTGTTTGATGAGGTAAAGAAGAATAGAAATGGTATTTGTTCTTCTTCCTCTTCCGTTTCATTAGACGGAGAAGACGTCAAGAATAAATTGCTCCCAGATGATCTCACTGGAAATATACCCGACAAGAAGGGAGAGCCAGCTTTGAAATTGAAAGCCCATAATAAGTTTGGTGACTTTATCCATAAGCACGAAATTCCTCGGAAGTTTTTACACGTTTCTATAGGGTTTATCACTTTATATTTTTACACTCAGGGGCTAGATACCAAGATGTTTATTCCTTATTTATCTACTGCCTGTGCAATTATCTTCAGTCTTGATTTGGTTAGATTTAAAATCCCTGCTTTCAACAAAGCTTATTGTCAAGCTGTTGGTTTCTTGATGAGAGAAAAAGAAATCGACTCGTACAATGGGGTTATTTGGTACCTTCTTGGATTAACTATTGCTTTCCAACCGTTCCCAAAGGATATTGGTGTGATGGCAGTCTTATTATTGAGTTGGTCTGATACTGCTGCTTCTACCTTTGGTAGAGCTTATGGTCATTTGACCCCAAAAATCGCTAAACATAAGAGTTTAGCTGGTTCTATTGCCGCTTTTGTCACTGGTATCATTTCTTGTTTAGTCTTCTATGGCTACTTTGTTCCAACTTACAAATATACTGAAGACATCTTGTGGTCACAAAATACTAGCCGTTTATCTTTACCAGTATACTCAATGGCTTGTGGGTTTATTGCTGCCTTGAGTGAAGGTATTGACATATTAAACTGGGATGACAATTTCACCATTCCAACATTGTCTGGTATTTTCTTATATTCTCTCGTCAAAGCAGTTGAAATCCACTAGTCGACTAAGAGATTTCCCTCTCCCTTAACCTCAACCATATCATCAATTTTAATAAAATCAACTTCATCCTATTATTTATCATAAACATTACCATTTCATTCTTTATCTGATTTTTATCTACTACTTTTCTGATATTCCCATTTACATTTCCCCCTCGATTTATCTTTTTCTGTTCTGTTTTTATTATCTTCATGTGTTCGGTCTTGAAAGATGTTGTTCATCATTGACCATCTGTTTAATTCATTTCTCTCCTCACTTATTTTCTGATTCTCCATTATTTATCTTTCTTTTTTTTTTTTTTTTGCCCACCTTTCATTAATACCTATAATATTCTAATACCACATTTTGATTTATGTTCTGTTTTGTTTTTTTTTACTTTTGCCATTGCTACTCTCCTGGCCTTTGATATCCTTCCCTACTATTGTGCTTTTCTTAGTTATTCCTATAAATTCCTAATAATATGTACGCTCTAAATCAACCATTGCATTTTTGGAAACATTTGATAGACCACTCTATTGAAAAGGCATCACTAACGATAAGCTGGTTGATTGTGTTACATGATTGGTATTATGAATAAAGAAAACAATGAAAATTAATATTAAAAAACAACTTAAATAAAATAGACTTGCACGAAGTAAAATCAAAAAGAGTGATATATATAAGCCCAATACCAGTAATGAACGCAATGAGAAACAAAAACAAAACAAGATGCAAAACTTCCCAAAAGAAATGAAATATAATAATAATAATAATAATAATAATAATAATAATAATAATAATAATAATAAGTAACCGCTAACCTTCAAATAAGTGAAGATAAGACTCACACAAAAAAGTGTCATAACTAGGTTCTCTTGCAGTTACCCTTAATAAATATCACAAGCAAAGAGAAAATTAGCTATTGAAAAAGAACTGAAGCAATAAGATGTTAAGGCCTTGGAAAATCATTCAAAGGTACCATAACGCAAACCGAAATAGCCATCTGGAGCAGAAGTTGGGCTTAACAAGGATTGTTGACCGTTACCACCATCAATTCCAGCGCTAGAGACGATGTTCCCCCACCAATTAACATCAACCTCCTTCAATTGAACCGCAAAGAAGATAATGATTGCAGAAAACGCCACCCCAGTATCGAGTGCAGAAGACAAAATATAGTTATACTTCTCCCACCAGGCACTCTTTCTGGTCTTGATCCAGTAGTTGAAGATGAAACCAAGAACAACCCCTGGAAGATAGTAACTAAGGTTATAAGGAGCGTAAATCAAGAAGCCACCGATAACTGTGGTTGGGAAGAAGTATTGTGTTTGTTTCTTGAAGTATTTTTTGAGAAGGATACACGCCACCGCAAGGACAGCGCCAATAAGGAAACACCATTTCAAGATTGGATACAATGGTCCAAAAACTCTTTGAGGACCAATAACCCCCCATAAAACTGAACTGGAATAATAAGTACGTTCCAGAGGACAAGTGAATTTATCCGGTTGATCAGGAGTACAAATACCAGCAATATTCGCGGTTTCCCAGCTGATGACGAGCAAGGAAGTGAGAATTTGTAAACCAATAGCAATCATTTGACCTCTAAAGATGGCTCTTGGTGGAATTTTAGAATAGTGAGCAATTTTCTGATCGGTAATGAAGTTTTCTGCTTGACCACCAATGTTGTAACCAAAAGCCTTCAAAGTCATAAGAGCATCACCATTACCTGGAATAGCGTAACCAATGATCAATTCAACAAGCACATTAAGACCAAAAGTGAACCCAGTAACTGAATAGATGATGGTAATTGGAATCAAGAAAAACACATTGATACCGATGGTAAAGAAAATCCCCCACACTGGAGTGTTTGCTGGGTATAGTTTCACACACAAGATGGCAAATACCAAAGATACAGCAATGATCACCATGAACCACCAATCTGGAGTTTCCTTGTATTTTGCCATCATACGAGAGTGTGGGTCCTTGAAATTTTCGAAATTGGATTTGCCGAAAGAAGTGAACATACCACCTAAAGATTTCAAAGATGCACTGATGGCCATCCAATCAGTGTAACAGGTATAGATGATGGTGAATGGATACATAGCGAAATAAGCACCATAAAGAACTAAATTGGCAGCAGAATAATATGGTGGACCATACTTTTTATACTTTTCGACATCAAGTTTACCATTAGTGATGACTTTTTGAACATTATATGGTGTACCAGTATTTGAAAAAACGCTATTGGAGTTGATTGGCAAGTAACCGGTCCATTTGTAATTGGAATAATACACACCAACAATGCAGAAAAAACAAATGATAGAACCACTAATAAAGTTCACCTGAGTGTAGAATGGTGTTGCCAATGGAGCATTGAAACTGAGGACATTCCAATCGAATGTACTCCAAGGATTCAAGCCAAGACCTGTAACAGAACCGGTGATGGCAGCCAAGTTGAAGTTTTGTGGAGCAATCCAGGTGGTCCAGTTGAAAGTTGACAAAGCGGTGAAGAGATAATCTGGAAGCCAGAACCAAGAGAATGAACCGGCACAAAAGATGAAGAAGAACTTATAACGGGACATTGACCATCCATGGATTGTTTCTTTGTGTTCAGGTTTCAATAAAGCCTGATTAAGAGCCAATGTCGGTAACAAAGTTGGCCAAACAGATTTGACTGGATAAATGGCTACCTTCCTCAAAATTCCAGCAAAACCAATCCCTAAAGTCTGGGTACTGATAGTAAGCAAAATTTCGTACCCGATGTTAACCCATTTACTGCCATAAAATATATCCAATTTTTGAACATAAATATTTGAAGAAACATAGACACCGCCGATAGCCACGTTAAAAATAATAGTAGCAAACATCTGCTCTTTATAACTCCATGGGCAAGGGTTCAAAGAGTGCCTGGTGCCAAATAAGGTGAATCCCCAATCTGGTAAAACTTTTTCCAAAAATTTACCGCATGGGTACAATAACATTTGACAGACTGAGGAAGTAATGGTGATGGCTGGTTGTCTATGAGTAAAGAATTCATTAATGGCTGTACCAATGATTGTCCAGAAGAACCCCAAGAAATAGGCTCTTATGGTTTCAACAGGCAAAGTAGGATCATCAAGTGGTGAAGAAATTGCTCTAACTTCAGGGTATGGGGAGTGAAATTCGTTCAAAGTAGCAAGCATTTTAGTTTGAAATGCCCAATCTTCAGGAGACATGTTGGTGTTGTTCTCCAAACCTTGAGCCAATTCTCCAATAAGCTGAAAGTCTTCAATTGGGAAATTTGGATCACCTTCATGGTAGACAAGAGATTCCTTCAAAATTTCTAATGCACGAGAAATTGGCATTTCATCTGTTTTTTCAAAAAGATACTCAATATCTGGGATTCTTTCACCACTGTCCAAATTTCCGTGGCCCAACTTCTCATATAATTTTTGTCTGTAACCTTCATCAAGTTGACCAAATACGTAATCATCTTCGCCAAGTGAGTGGGTGGTTGAACCCGAATTTAGGGTGACCAAATTATCACCCTTCTCATTGAATTTCTTTTCATCAATGCTTGCTCCTGACATTATTTCTGGTGAGGGCTTCCAGGATATGTGTTTTTGATGACTGAAAAAAAAAATAAGTAGAGTAGGAGGTTTATTAATGAGTGATGGAATGTGAGAAAAGTTTGATTTATATTATAATAAAAACAATAAGAAATGAATTTAGAATGTTGCTGGGAAGCCTACTTTTATAGTTTTGAAATGATATCCGCAAAAGAATTTCTCTAAAATAGATTTATTGTGGTGGATACTTTTTTCTTTCTTCATCTTTTTTTAGTGTACTACTGCATGCGTGGTATGGATTTTACACGGCAATAATTGATCATGGATAACTTGATAATGTATGAGCGACTGGCCTTATCGTCTTTGGTGACTCAGGAAAAGAAAGCTATTTTGTAAAAACCAGTTTCCCTATCAAATATATAAGTAGTTTGGCTTTCTATATAGAATACTATCGAAGAGATAATTGAAAAAAAAAAATGAACGATGAATGGCTTGAAAGAATCTCTTCTTCACTGATCGGAAGTATGGAATCGCTAGTTATTAGCAATCAATCAGATAACTGTGTATAACGTGCAATTATTTCTTTTTAGCTCTTCTATTCCCCCCTGTATGGCAATAATGATGAAATTGGATACTCACTGGTGCCTCTTCCACTGATATGCTTCCAAATTTCCCGTGATGCGATGATGATGGGGGAGAAAAAACTACTGCACATTCTTGACAATCTGCATGGTGGGCCTTTTCAATTGGGCGCACCGTTGGGTATGCCACACAATGCTTATCATGAAAAAAAAAAAAGCCCATTCCCAAAGATTAGATTCTATAAAAATATCCTTATCTGTCACAAGTTGTCAGAGAGTGATGTAATTTATTTTAGCAAGAGACTGCTCATATTTCTCAAAAGAATGAACGAAAAAAACTTACATGAAGAGAGAATAGGGGGAAACAAAGAAAAAAATATATGATAAATCCAAGATAAGTATTTCATCATCTATGTCTTTCTCTTAATTATTGAAAAAACAAAAAAACACTACTGGCTTCGTATATCAATTATTGAAATTCATGACAGGAAAATAGGCGTCCTTGGAATTTATTGATGACATGCGTACTCTTTTTAAATTGTGAACTGGTGATATATTATAACATTTAAATATTTCAAAATCACCATACCCTCTTAATTTTCCAAGGTATTACACATTAGGAACTCCGAGTATCATTCCTTGATTTTATTTTTTTTATTTCGATGTGATGTGATGTGTTCCATTTGAGGTTCTAGCGTTCTGTGTACTATTCTCAAAACTATCTAAAATATAAATTTTGAAGTCAAAACGAGAAAACATTCAAATACCCCTGTATAGACCAGACACACTCTGAAATTTAAATAAATGTCAATGTGATAGCCTCTTTTATAATCAAACACTCACTATTTACTCCGATAAGATTGGTTTTTTCAATTATTCAAGAAGCTTTTGTTTGCTGGCCTACAGAAAACTTCACAGAGGCATGCCTTTCACAACTATGAAACAGAATTTCAAACCCAAAAATTATAAAAACCCAAATTCTAGAAGAATAATAAAAGGTGAATGGCTTCTGTAAAATTTTCATCTTCAAGGAGCAAGTCAATATTTGATAAAGGGATTGGTTAAGAAGTTCTCTCGGTGAAAAACACCACTGAGGTCTTTCTCCCTAGATTGAATCGAGTGATAAGTATTGACTTAATAATATAGGGAATTTTTTTTTCTGTTTAAAATGAAGTATGAATATCTATCCGTAGCTTGGGTCGCAGTCAATTCTTTTAAGTGAGCTAATTATAGCATACATGTTTCCTCTGAGTAAAAGGTTACACAGGTTGTGCTGTGTGGTGATAACGCATGCACACCACAGACACGCAACCCAACCAAGACCACAAGACCACATACTCACTGTTGACGCTTGATGCGGAATTCTACAAATGGTTGCAAATATCTTGATTTAGTAGTTAATTATTAATAGGTGTGTTTGTTTGTGTTTCACAGTGTAACCCGTCGCTTCGCTCCGCGGGATGCGGCCAAGCAGGTACTTGCTGCTGGTCGCATGAAAAATATGTACAAATTTTGGGAAAACTCTGGCTTTTTGAGAGGACTTTGGAGAAATTTTTGACTTTTCCAATAGTGTGCCTACACGTGACTACACTTTATTACTATGTGTTTGGTGTCATCACTAAAAATAGTGATGAAAATATTTTTTTATCTAGATTATTGTGCTGTGTGATATTTAACAGCCTAACAATATCCTAATATAGTAATAACTTTTATTACGGGGGTGAGATAGCATCAGTATGCCATTGAAGTGGTATTTACTTGTTTATATGTGTATAAGGGCAACTGATAAGTACCACTAGTGGTATACTCTTACAATGATTGGTACAATCAGTTATATATAGAATATTCATACATTTGTAGTAAAGCACCAGTATTAATAAATATTTATTACCAATTACAATACAAAGGTAGTGCTTTCTACTCCTGATAAATTATTTAGGATGAAATAGGACAATGCGCTCAAGTGAATGAAGAATTCTTTCCAAGATGACAAGAAACAACTCTTTATCATCACCAAAGAATATTCCAAAATAATAAAACATTTACTACCAATAACCAAGCAGATTCACTCCTAAAAGCAAAGAAAAAGAAAAAGAAAGAAAAAATCCTTCCGAGATTACCTTTTTCTTCTATCATACGCTACTCTTTTGTTAACCATTTTTGGATATCGGGTGCTTTGTAAGCAAGGAACCATCGCTTAAAAGTTCATATGCCCCAGAAACCCATTATAAAATGTGGATATTATATATTTTTTCAAGTGAAAGGAAATCAACCTAGGATACAAAAGCTGAGCGGACCCAAACACTATCTCAAGTTGTAGCAAGGATTTCATTTCCAATGACGCTTTTCATCAAGCACAATAAGAGTAGCGACAACCAGAACAGTCCTATGATAGAAACTATGAAACGGGCGATATAGCTTAACTAGTGTGGTATGAATTAATAAACTTTAGACGCGTAACAGATTTTCCATCTGAATTCCAAAAAATGCAAGAGGCATGTTAATAATTAGTATGCTATGTCTTTTATTCAGCTCAGTTACTTCAACAGCTCTTTAATAAAACTCGAAGTATTTAATTTCTTATCTCGCCAGTGGTAATTATTTTTAGTGTTTGACAATGATAGAAGTATCAACATTATTTACGTCAATTTTTATGAGGCTTCACTAGGAATGTTCTCAATGCCAAACGCGTCACAAGACACCTGGATGTGTTGACCTATTATTTCGTGTCTCCTCGAAAGTTTTCTCAATGGTGCTATTGATAACTTTCTGGAGTTGAAGGAATTAGTATCTTTGGCGTATGGTGTGATAAAGCTCCAAATAGTGATCAACACTATTTGGAGTATATAATCGGTACTATAGATGTAGCAACATTAATATTGTGTAGAATAGCAGCTTACGGGTTTACCGATATGAGTTCTCCTACTACATGTTATGAGCATCGTGATATTTTTTTTCCCTTCTTCTTTTCCAAAAATTTGTACTAGAGGCCTACACTTTAATGGGAGCAAATTTCACCATGAGATGGAAGAATGCCAGTCCAAATTTATGATCACTTTATTTGCCTATAGGCATAGGATTACTCAAGTCCAGAGTACTGTTTCTGTAAGCACGTGTCAAATCAGATGCACCAATGAAAAAGGGAGACCTATAACCCGTCCTTATGGCGTGACAGATGGTCCGGGAGACACTGTCGGGGGGCGTTCAAAGAAAAAAAAGCAGTAAGAAAAAATAAAGTAAAAAAAAGAGCAGCGAAATCTTCAATTAAAAGACGCGAAATTTTGTTTTTGTTATGATAGTTTGAAAAAAAAAAAAACACCAAAAAAAAAAGCAAAAACAAACAAAAACATCAATAAAAAAGACCCAGGGTCAGGTCCATCAATTCTTTATATCTGATTCTAAATAATGGCCAAACCAGTTGGCACTCCTTTTGAGGCGCCTATAACGACGCTTCTAATCAGTTTGCTTGATGGCATTGCCGAACTCAAATACCAAGGCGAGGACATTGCCTATGTTTTCAAGACTTTGCCAGATCGCAAAACCCCAGAATATTACAAAATCATCCAAAATCCAATCTCGTTAACTATTATGAAGACCAACTTGAGAAAGGGGAGATATCCACACCCAAATGATTTCATCAGGGATTTGGCCCAGCTTGTATGGAATGCCAAAACGTATAACGTCAAAGACAGTCAGGTTTATAATTATGCCAACGTCATTGAACAATATATCAAGAACAAAATTATCCCAAGAATGCACACTGATCCTAAGTTTGAAAAATATGCTCCATTGATTCCTTATCCTGATTTGGGTCCGCTTCCTGAGGATTTACCAGAAGGCCAAACTTACACTCAACCAAAGAGACCTCCTCCACTTCTTTCACAACAGCCGGTAGTTACTCAACCTTCTCAAACACCACAAATGACAATGGCACCAAATGTGACGATACCTCAACAAGCTACAGTGGGTATGCATTCGCCTTCCATCACGAACTACGGTAATACCCCTGTAATTAGTCCGCATCAATCATCAGTCGCTTATACAACGAAACATGGCAGTTTAACTCCTCAGCCTCCTAATGGATATAATCCAGATTTGACTTATGATGCCTGGTGTAAGAGAGGCAGACCTCCAATTATTGATCGTCCATACGAACAAAGAATTAAAAATATAATGAGACTGTTGAAAAAAGTGAGGAATGAACGTGGCGATTTTGTCCATCTTTATTTCGATAGATTACCAGATTCAAAAGAATATCCAGAATATTACCAGGTGATTACCAAACCAATTTCTTTGGATGTCATGAAAATCAAAATTCGTCAAAGAAGTTATGCCAATGTCGAGCAATTTGTTGATGATTTAAACACAATGTTCGCCAATTCAAAGACTTATAACAGTCCGGGCTCCAAGATTGTTAACGACACTTATTTATTGGAAATGAGGGCACAAGAGTACATTAAAGAGGAAACCAGCAAGCCTGACAATGCGTTTATGTCAAGTGATGGCTCTCACTCTTTGAAGATTCCTGTAGATCATGTGGATGTCAATGGGAAAACTTATAAAATTGGGGACTGGATTTTGGTGCGTAATCCGAATGATGAAAACAAACCTATTGTGGCACAGTTATTCAGAATGTGGGAAACTCAAGATGGAAAGCGTTGGATAAATGTTTGTTGGTATTACCGTCCAGAACAAACAGTTCATAGAGTGGATCGTTTATTCTATCCTAATGAAGTTTGTAAAAGTGGTCAGTACAGAGACCATTCTGCAGAAGAAATTGTTGGCAAATGTTATGTGGCTTATTTTACCAGATATCAAAGAGGGGACCCAGGTGTCCAATTCGAAGGTCCATTATTTGTTTGCGAATTCCGTTATAACGATACTGATAAAGGGTTTAATAAAATCAGAACTTGGAAAGCATGTTTACCGGATGAGGTTCGTCATATTGAAGATCCAATCATCCCGTTGAAGTCGCTTCGTGTGATGCCGAAGATTGAAAGTCCCTTGAAACATTTGTTACCTCCAAACGCAAATTATAATGACCCTATTCCTGATCCTGCATTGGGTCATCCTAATGCTCCACCATTAATTGGTGCGGTTTATAAGAGACCACCTGACCCAAAAGATGATTTGGGCCAATACTCTACTTCGATGAATCCGAACAAAAACAATATCCCAAAGAACATCAGTAATGTCAAAAACGTCACCAATATTCCATTGCCTCAAAACGCTGCTGGAATGAATGGTGGTGTTGTGTCAATGAATTCAAGTTATATCCCAGGAAAAATGGCACCAATCCCTGGTTTCACTGGTATGCCAATGAACGGTGCTCAATCATATTTACCATCTCCGCCTCCTGGGGGAGTAATTTCTAACCAAGTACCATTTTCTCCTCCGGTACCGGTTCATCATGCTAATTCTAGTTACATCACCTTGAACTCGAACTTCTCTTACACGTTACCGGCAAATATTGATTTGGAATTGGAAGAGTACAATTATATGAGAATGGATGATTTCAATTACCGTAGAAGGTTTGGTCCAATGAATAGAGACCTTGCGGTGGCCACGGCTAACGAATTGCCAGTGAAAACTGAAGATGATCCCGAAGTCAATGGGGAAAATCAACTCACAGAGAATGGTAAGCCTCCATTACCAATTGTTTGGTTCACTTCCCCACCGGTATTTGTGTCGTCTAAGATTCAATCCACCAATTTATTGACCCTCAGTAACCTTGTGCAACAGTCAAGAAAGCGGGTTTTCCCACAAGAAGAGAATGAAGAAGATGATCAAGGAAATGGGGAGTTGAGTCCAAAAAGGGCAAGAGACAAAAGAGCAGCGGCCAAGACTAATGCAGCCATGGGCAAAGACCACAATCATGGTAGCGTAAATGATGAAGAGGTGATAGATGGGCCAGGGTTTGGTTTTGCAGGTATAGGTGGTATCAATCATACTGCTAAATATTTAAGTTGGAAATTTGCAAAGAATAATAAGTTGGATCAAGTACAGTTTTGATTCATGCTCAGAGGTTTTTTATTTCTATTTTTCTTTTTCACATTTATCTTCTTGTCTTTTTAAATTTTATCGTTATAGTTTGCTACCTTCAATGTATATTAGACTCTTCTCTTCTAACAATAGTGTACTTTTATTTTTCACATCAAATAGCATGAATATATGAAAAAGTATGCCAATATCTTCCACCCATTTTCAATGTATACATAAGTATAGATACTAAAAGTCACTGCTTAAGCGTAGTAGAAATACTTGGGGAAGTTTGCACACTCGAAATAGTAATATTGTATATTTAATGGATCGCCAATTATATAACGACATGTGAAGAAATAAACTAATAAAAACAACATCAAAAAACATAAAAACGCTCATCTCTTTTTCTTTTCCTTTTTTTTTTTTGAAAACCTTTACTTGATTCCAAACCCTTCACTTTCATTCATTGCCATGCTCAACTTAGAAAAGAAGTTATCTTTGGAAGAATATTCATAAATACAAAGCTCGTTAAAGCAAGTATGTGCAACAGGTAGTCTACCAGTATCGCTGCCAAGCTTCGTGATCTTAAAGTTCATACTAACGATTCCCGTGGCAGGAATTCTGTCGGAGCCAGTAATGAATAACATCAACTTCTTTTGTCCCGCAATACTCAAGCCTTCAAAAAATTCCCAAAACCATTTAACAATCGCGGTTTTATCAGCAGCAGAAATATCTGCAAACCCATTATACTTTGTTACTGACTTCAAACTGACAAGATCAAATTTTGAATTTGCTTCATCACTTCCACATAAAATCAACTCAACTTCCTCAGGTGAAAGCAAAGAATAAGAATTGCCATTGATAACGCTGTGGAAACCTCTCTTGAAAGCTTCAAATTTTTCCTTGATGCCATCGATTAAAAAGTATTCGGAATACTTTTTAATATAAGAGTTCTTGTTGGACTTATTCACAGCAATTTCACCACCTTTTTCTATCAAGTCCACAGTGTGAATTTTATCAAATGCATCTTTATAACTAAGGTCAAAATAAAAACCATCAAAAACTTCATTGAAGTCATCACCATCATAGGAGCCCATTTTCTTCAAGTTTGATGCAGTTTCTGGGAAGAGGTCACAATAATCTTGAAATCCAACAGGTTTATCGAATAATAACTTGAATAGCACATGTGGGAACTTTAAATCCAAAATCGTAGAATTATACATTGCTAATCCAAGCACAACTCCGATCAAGTAATACAACTCCAATGATTCAGCATTGTCTGCATTTAACGTAAACCATAAATAGTTGGACTGATCGATATTATAAAACAACCCATTAAGTGGATCAAGTAATTTTTTCGTCAATATCAAGAACCATTCCTTCTTCAACCCTCCCGCATCTATACCCACTTCACCAATAAATTCCACTTTCAAAGATTTTTTTAAATCTTTGGCATTCTCCTTGATACACCTTAAAGAATCGTTAGTGATTTGATCCCTTCTTATCCTTACCTTGAAATGCACTTCCACAATAGTTTTCTTGTTCACTGCATGAAGAAAAGCTTCTTCAGCTTTCTTCAGCATTTGACTTTTAGCTTCATATTCAATGATAGATATCTTTCCTGCTAGTGACAATAGAAATGGGAACTGGCAAAACGCAAAGGTGGGACTGGAAACGTTACCCGAAGCCCCAATTGGGGATATTGGCACACTGACCGCTGATCTGAGATAATCATTGACGGAAATAACCATATCATTGACCTTTAATTCCGTCTTCGTGGTAGATTTTTTACCAGAGAGGGTTTGCCAAGCATCGAAATCTTGTTTCACATTGATAAAATCCACCATAGAGTTGTAGAAAAATGAAGACTCACACCGGATATCTGATTTACCAGAAGTTAAAGCTTGATAGAAAAATGATAAAAATTTCGCCGCAGTTTTCAACCGCCATTCATTACCGTATTGAGCTATTCCCAATCTAAATTTGTCATTCTTTTTTGATCTTTTTTTGCTATTTGCCGGCCATACTGGTAATCTGGATGGCATTTGTAAAAAATTCAGAGACAGGGAATTTACTGTAGAGGCGGAGGTTGGTAAGGAGTCATTGAATTTATCATGGCCACTATTAGGTAAGTTCTCAGATAAATACCTTCTTTGGGCAAGCAGCTCTGGAAAAGCTGGCTGATTTTTTCCTTTGTCATGCTCGGCTTCTTGGAAGCGATTGAGTAGAGATCTCATTTGAAATGTTATGTACAAATTGATCAATTCAACTTTGCTTTTAAATTCTATTGTGGAATACTTGGCAAACCAATTCACAAGATAATTAACACAAACCTCATCACAATTAGACAAGAAGCCAATGACTCTTTCTATTATTTTATAACTGACATTTTTGACTTCTCTAGACTCAAAAAATATAATATTTGGATGCATCCTTGATGTTGGCGTTGTAGCATTTTGAGAAGCATCCGCAGGTGGTTTACCAAAACGCAAACAAAAAGGTAAAGTAGGTAGTTCCAATAAAATTAATAACCAATTCAAGTCTTCTGGAGCCTCGGTTAGCAAAGGACTTTGAAGCAAGTTACTCACCGCCGTTAATAACACGAAAAATGGTTTTTTAACTGGCAATGATAATAGCAATTTGAACGTTTCCCGTACTTCTTTAAAGTCAACATTGGGTTGAGAATGACTTAATTTGTAATTCTTGAATAGTGGGAAAGAACGGCTTAGGCAATCAAAACTATTGAAACTTCTGTATAAATAATCTTCTAATGGTCTGAACTTTTCAAATCCTGCAACCCTTGAAGGCGAGTTCTCGGCAATATGTTTCCTGAATTCCTCAAAACAAACATCAGCGATTCGTTTGACCGCCTGAAAAGATATTGGTTCAAGTTTCTGAGATAAAGCCTTAATGCCGTGTGACGGGGTGTTAAAGTCATAATTGTTGGTAACAAACATGGTATCGCAAAAAACGCAACGATATTTTTGAATGTGCGATGGATATTTGATGATATTACCACAGCATTTGCAACCATCAAGAACATAATCAGTGTTATCTATAGAAGAGGCCAATGAGGCCGAGGAAATGGAAGAGTTTGGAGAAAGTGAAGGATCAACAGACTTGGGTATCAAACCCGAAAATAACGACCAGCCAATGTAGCCTGCTACACCGAAGCCATTACTGCTGCTAGCATGATTACTATCACCGTTAGTTCCCCTTCTCAGGACTTGTTGATTTGGTTGATGAGATGAGCGAGGCTGTTCCATGGCCATGTGAGATACAAAAACTTCAGTATTTCCAGCATAAAAGGGCATTTATATAATTTATCAACTATAATTATGAAAACTCAGCGCGGTATAAGTCCAATTCCATTGGTTGTTCAAATTCTGTGCAATACACCCCTGTCTCTTTCTAAAAAGTACAGCCACCGACCCCGGAGTTACCAGTTTCGCAGCAGGATATTCAATCAGCTGAAATATTTAGTGCCGGAGAAGGATGATATATCAAAAACACAGGTATTCCCAAACGACGATTGCCTTGTTTCTTACTGACGAACTCTGGAAATGCTTTTCCTTAGTGGCTTTGACGGCATTGCTAAAAATAAAACTTTTGGAAAGTGTTCTTGCCGCTTTTTTCTCTTTTTGTGATGTCAACAACCGTTCGTAAATATGCAAAAAAAAAGTACCATGATAGCTGCATAATTACACATATATACACACGAACCTAATCTACGAGTAATATAAAACAACCACGCCTTTATATTGAACTATTATGCCTTATACTCTTCAAGAATTTCTTCCAACCCTTTTGCCTCGTTTCTGATTTTACACTTCAGCCAGTCCACTACTAATGGGGCGTCAAATGATCCTTTTGGCACCTCAATGATTGGTTTAAGTGCCAAATTTTTGAGAATGGAAGATTCGGGTAAAATTAGGGCTCCTGAACTTTCCTTGTTGATGAGTTTTGGAAACACTGATTCGTAAGCCTTCAAGTTTTCCGGATCCTTCCGGGCGTAGTCAAAAATCAACTTGAATTGTTGAGAGGTAGGGAATTTGTTTTGAATATCAATGTAATAAAGGGCATTCTTGAAATCATTTGACACTTTCAAGCCATCGGAATCGCGGAACAAGATCTCGTCGATTGCCTTGGTGGATTTATCCTTATCTTGGCCAGGATTTAAAGCAAATATCCTGGATAACCATGATTTTCCAGTGGATATTGGAGCAGAACTCACTTGGTGCTTGTTGAGGATTTTCAAGAGCTCGATCGATTGATTATTATGCGGCAAATGGCTGCGATATTGTTAGAATGAATGAACTCCCCTATTATTTTTTTTTTGAAAATACTCAAAGCTGTAAAAACATACAAGATGGTGATCACCCCCGGAATGTGTTGAAGGGACTTGAACAATGACATTTTTGGATGATAATCTCTAGTAATCACCACTGACAGTTGCAGTATAGAAAGCAACTCATCTCATCAGTCCTCAGAAAAGGTGCCAAAAAAAAAAATCGGACATGCTCACGTGACATTTTTTTTTTATGTAATAATTTATTTTCCATGGCTCATCTCGACTCTCTGGAGTACATTAGTGAGGATGCTTCATGTGGTTGGTTGGGCTATTCTGAAATGTCAATTCTACTATCTTCTATACAACAGCCCAACTCGATACTAAAATCGCTATATGCGCCAGTTTTTGGACCTGGGGAAAATGCTGCTATTATCGTAAAACCAAACTCACTTGAGTTTCACAAGGTGGATCAAAATGGTTTAAACCAGATACATACCATGGAGTTTCTCGATACAATAGTAGATGTTTGTGATTATGATATGGAAACGAAAATAAAGATCGGAAGCTTATTGATCGTGCTTACTAAATCTCTTGAACTTTGGGTAATTGCTTATAAAGAAGAGACAAAATCTTTTAAAATCATCGAGAAATTAATAATCACCTCATCGTTACCAATAAGTTCTAAACTCAGCATCTGTATTTTTCAAAACATTTTAGCAATTCAAACACATGTGGGTGCTCTTGAAATCGTCCAATTGAGTAAAATTGAAAATGCAGTATTAAAGAAACTCGGATCACAAAAACTTTCAACGACTGCAAAGAATTCAATATTTCAACAGAAATCAACTGCAACAGTGGATATAGAATCACTTAAACAGATCGAAATATTCAGAACAGAAGGGAACAAATATTATGTAATGACCTTAAAAAATTCTATTCCTTCAGGAAGTCTCGATTTTTACAGCTTGGATTTATCCACTTCCAAGATTTCCATGTTCACTACCCTTGGGAGTTTTCCAGAAGAGGCGGGCTCTCCAAACTATATTATCAAATTAACCAATAACGAGAACCAGAACTCCTGTGGATTCATAGTTAATTTTCTCCACAAACAATATTATCTTCCTCCTCCAAATTTGGCAACCGCAAGTCTCAAAAACCCAGTACAGAATGTTGAAAACTTGATTTACGAAATGATTCCTCTCAACACCAAATCCAATCCATCACTTAAGTTGGGGCAAAAAAAGTATAATATATTGCAAAGAAACACTATTTTGGACTCAGATGACCTGTCTTATAAAGAAATTAAAGAGGGATTAACGATATTGGCTCATAGCATCACAGAAGTTACGCATGATGCTCTGGAAGAGAATGCTGACATCTTTACGTTTAAAATTTTCTTAGTTTCTTCTCAAAACAATATCTTATTGCTTGGCTTTAAAGTGTGCTTATCTTCAAAGGCTAAACCAACATCCAATGCATCCATAAATTCCAAGAGTATAGATGGGTTTTTCCGTCGGAGAACTCCGACCTTGTCCAGAATCAATGTATCAGACACATTAGTACAGATTAAGACGTGGTCGCTTTATGATTTGAGCTCACCATATAATGACAGATCCAACGACTTTATTAATCAAGCTAACTGTTTATCATATATTGAGTCGGGTTACTTCATTGCTACTTCAAGTGTTTCGAATTCTGTAATTTTTCATGTTGATGCAATAGAACCGCATATAAAACCAATTCAATATTTGAAAGAGTTCAATGATGGACCAATATTACAACTAGAATATGATGAAAATCTGGAAATTTGCGCAGGTGGTTCAAATTTTCAACCTTTGATCAGCAGAAATCTATCAAATCTTTATTCTGTCTCAGGAAGCTTGCAATCAAGCGAGATTAAAATGTTTTCTCGAGGTCTTAATGCGATTGAAGTCACTACGAGGAATGAAAAACCCAAAATTGGACCATGTTTCAATTTAAGAGACACCTTACTTCAAAAAAAAAGGTCTTTTGAAACAAGTTATGGAGGATTGCATATTTTGTATTTTGAGCAAATAGCAAATGAAAGTCGAATTACTAAACCAACCTCGATTTTAGATGATAACACTGGATTTCTTGAATTTTACTTAACAAGAGTCACTTCAGAAAATGAATTATCTCTTGAATTTATACCTTGCAAGTTCAAGGAAGATACAACATCAGAAGAAAATGGATTGTTGAGATGTGGCCGAATTAAAGAACTTAGTTTTTTTGAAGACCGGCTTGTGATTATATTTGAACAGGAACTCAAAGTTTACAACTTTGCAGATTTCGGAACTCATTATTATGAACGTTTGGAATATAATGCGGAGCTTTCCAGAAGTTTAGAGAGAGATCCCGTCAGTCAGATATACCTTGGATCTGGCAACGAAATTTTTTTATTTTGTGAATCCGAAGAAAAAAAATATTTCAGGTACCTAAATCTCATTGAAAATATTGATAGAGAACTTCCTGTTCCAACTGATGTTGATATAAGTTTTGGATTGAATGAAAATACATTGGTTTTCGATCTTGAAGTTGATGCTGTTAACGAGGTCTTTTATTTAGTGATTTGCACATTCGAAGGAGATAACAAAGTTGTCAAGTATAAATATTCACAAATCGATCCACATTTAGAATTCATCAAAGATTTCGGATTTCACAAAAAGAGCTTTTTCAATTCAATTGCTATCGATAATATTAGAGACGAAGTGATTCTTTTGGGTACAACATCGTCCAGGTCTTTGGTAATCATAAAATTGCACTCTATTGTTTCTGGGTTCAAGAATTCTAAAGTTATTAATGAGTCGGACTATTTGAAGTACAATTTAGATGATTTTTCAGCCGAAATAATAAAATCGAAATCATTGAGGAATACTTATTATTTGAAAACCCCTAATGCCAATACTGTGCATTTATTGAACCTTCATAAGCAACCATCGTCGCCAAGTATCAGTTATGAATTGGGAATTTTGAATTTTCCCTTTAATCATCCTAACACAACTCTTTATAGTGAATTTGAACACCAAGGGAAAACCTATCTCATGACAGATGGGTTTCCAAATGCCCAATTTTTTAAAGTTGATGCAAAAATGTTGATGAGGAAACCATGTCTTGAAGAAGGGGTCCGTCACAGAGTAGCGGGAGACCAACAGGAAGGACAAGAAGAAGAGGAAGACGATGATCTAATAATTTTAACTAGTAACAGAAAGAAAAATATCATTGGAGATGGAATAGACAAGGAAATATCGAACCAGAGAAACAAATGTCGGAAAATCGTGAAACAAAATACCAACATGACAGCTTCAGTGGATGCCGATGGCGATACCCTTCTTCAAATACTACCTGATAATACTAGTTTTCAGGAAAAGTCAAACTTTTATACGGTTATTAAATCAATTGAATTGACAGATTTGATCAGAAAGATTATTATTATGAAACAGTTTAACCTTATGGTGGTGGTGACAAATAAATATCCAAATTCCTGTGAACCAAAGGGAAATCGTTTGGATAAAACTGTCAGCACAATCAAGTTACTTAATCTTAAATCTTTTGAATTGTTATCTTGCAATGTCCTTGAAGGTTATGAAGTTGTTGACTTAATTGATGCGTGTTACCAAAAACCAAAGTCTACTGAAATCAAAGGACCAGCCCACGTCGAGAACATTTTGGGATTCGAAGATAAGACTTCGGTGGGGTTGCAAAAAATGTTGATGAATAAATTTTTAGTGGTTTCCAACTGTAGTGGGAGCACTTATCGAGAAAAAAATCGGGATACTGGAGATCTCGATGATGCTGATGTTGTTAATGAATTCAAGTTATTTTCCGTGATAACGGAGGAAAAAACAGGGATTATTTTGGAATCATCTTATAAAAACTCTTCCAAGAGTCAATTCTACTCCATTCATAATTTTGGGTATCGATTATTTCTAGCCACGGGAAACAAAACAGGGATTTTCCGTATCAATTACAGACCATCTACCAGGCAATTCTACATCGAAAGGACTTTTGAGAAGAGAATATCTAGATTATTCACTGACAAAATAACCTCCATTAATAACATGATCATGATCAATGATATTTACAAAGGCCCAATGACCTTTAAATTGAGTCTGATAAAATACACTGAATCGAAGCCTGCGCAAAGCGGGCCCAAAGATATTTATACTGTGAGTGATTATGCGGTGGCCAATAAATATGAAGATTACGAAATGTCATTAAGGATCAGCATTTATGAACTAGATCAGATTAATGAAATGGCCAGTATTGATTCATGCCTTACCAATTCATTTTTATCGCAGCTGGTGGATCTTTCTAATAATCTATCGGTGGTTTTTAAAAAAGTCGGATTTAAGGATAAAAAATTGAACATAGAGAAGAAAACTATATCTAAATTTAATTTAGGTGACAATATCAATGTGATTGAAGCTTTACCGTCCTATGGCTGTTACCCAACCATGAAATTTAATGGTATGATTACAAAACAGTTCATCGGAGAAGCAAATGGGTCCGATGAATTTTTTAGTGGTAATATTGCTAGTACCATTTTTCCTTTAAGTCTTGTGGGATCAGTAATTGGAGGGATTTATACGCTAAGCCTTATTGATAATAAGGGTGCAGCTGATTTGTTGAAACGGCTCCAGGACCATTTGGTGGGTATTTTCGATGCCTCACCTAAAGACGACCAATCGATGGCGGCATTCCATAAATTCAGAAACCCCAAAGTGTTTGGATCGGTTGTTGAAGATGAATACACAAACTTCATTGATGGCACTCTATTTCAAAAGTTTTTGAATTTACCTATGGATCAACAGAAGAGTCATTTAGCCAACGAAGATATTGAAGCGATGAAGAGAATTATTTCTGCAAGCACTTTAGGGTTGGGAAATTAATACAGAGCCCCTTATAATAGAGAACATAAGGAATTAATGAACTTACGATTTTTTTTTTTTTTTTTGTTTAATAAAAGACTCACCGTAGTCCGCAAAATAATTTTTAAATGCATTATATGTAAACAGAAGAAAGAAGAGAAAAAAATAATAGATGCTCTATCGAGAAAAATAATATACTGGTACAATCACCTTAGATCAAAAGGGTTTCAATCTTGTCCTTGATGGCGTAGATTTGGTTTTTGATGGAAGAGCTGTCGTTGGTGGTGACAGAAGCAGAAATGACTGGTCTGGAAACACCACAGGCTCTACCTAAGGCAGTCTTGGATGGAACGAAAACGTATGGAACATTCTTGTCTTCACACAACAAAGGCAAGTGCAACAAGATTTCAATAGGTTCAGCATCGGCAGCCATGACGATGAATTCAGAGATACCTCTGTTCAAAGTCTTGGTGGCTTCGTTAGCACCCTTCTTCAATTGTCTCAAGTTTTGAGCTTGTTGGATAACATCCAAGATTTGTTGGGACAAGCCAGAGTCAGCCAATGGGAAAGCTTTTGGGTTTGGAGCAGACATTTTTTTTATAAAGATATTTAATAAACTTAGATAAACTAAAGGGTTCCTTGCTATTGCTCGCCCAGCGTTATTGTTAGAAGAGATGAGATGAAAAATTATTTTTTTTGAGAAAATTTTTTTTTTTTTTTTTTTTTTTTTCAAGTATCTCGATCCTGTTACCCGGGGTGCATATTTCAACTTGTCAAAAGACTGCGGTATCTTGATGTATGTGAACATGAGGATATATTTGAGTAACTGGTGAGAAACAGCTCCCAATAAATGTTTGATATTTATTGGTATTTCTCCTTTGGATATCAAGTACTCCCCCAATACCAGAATGGGGACCTCTCAACCATCATGGCCGGGGTTGACAAATTGGCACGTCAAAAAGCCCTTTGCGGATCAGGGCACCTAATTGCGATGGCTTTTTTTGTGTGATTTGTTCTTGTTGCAACCGTTGATGAAGAGAACAGATAATACTCATTCGATAACCATCCCCCGAGAATTTAACAATGAAGTTAGAATTCGTTTCCATTGTGGCAACGTTTGCTCTTTTTCGATCGGTCTTCGGGGTAAAAAGAGAATTATTCAAGACTTGTGAACAAAACGGGTTTTGTCATAGAAATAGACATTTGGCCAACGCAATTTCCAACAAACATGGTAGTTACTCCAGCCCATATAGCGTTGATGAGACTTCGATCCGAATTCTGGAAGAAGTCTCGGCCATTGAAGGTAGTATTATGAAAAAGTTGCCAAATGGTAAAGCGGTGGAATTGCCATTCACCATAGAGGTATTGAAAAGTGATAATATCAGATTGACAATCGATGAAAAGGAAAGATCTGATCCAAAGCTGTTACGTGTCGCGGACAAAAGATTCAAGTCTAGAAGATTCAATGAGGCTTCGAAGTATGCTTTGAAAGGAGAACCAGAAATCTCCGTCAATGCCAAACTCACAAAAGAATCCATTACTGACAAGTCCACCGGGGAAAAATACTTGTCCATTATTTATGGTGACGAATCAGAATATGAAGCCCAAATTACATTGAGTCCTTTCAAAATAACAGTTTATTACCACGGTCAACCAGAAATTATCTTGAATGACAGAAACTTTTTTAATATAGAACATTGGAGAACCCAAGACCAACAAGCCTCAGAATTGTCACCAGAAGAAACCGATTATGGTACTTTCAAGGACGAATTCAAGGATTCACAAGGGGACCATTTGCCATTTGGCCCAGAATCTATCGGTGTTGATGTGTCATTCATTGGTTATGATAAAGTGTTTGGGATTCCTGAACACGCCGATACCTTTTCATTGAAGGATACCACCAACGATGATCCATACAGATTATTCAACGTTGACATCTTTGAATATGAAACCCAAAGTAAGTTCCCAATGTATGGTTCTATTCCCTTCATGGTTGCCCAAAAGAAATCCGCTACCGCAGGGCTCTTTTGGATCAATGCTGCTGACACTTATGTCGATATTAAGAAGGGTTCTCCTGCTCAATCTAATCCTGACCAAATTGTATTGACATCGGAAAAGTCAACAAAGACTCACTGGTTCTCTGAAGCCGGTATTCTTGATTTGATTATCATGGTGGATAAGAGCCCTCTTGCTATCAACAAAAAATACGGTGAGTTATCTGGGAATCCAGAATTACCACAATTATTTACTTTGGGTTACCATCAATGTAGATGGAACTACAATGATGTCGATGATGTTTTGGACGTTTCAGAAAAATTTGATAATTTTGAAATTCCATACGATGTCATTTGGTTGGACATTGAATACACCGAAAATAAGAAATATTTCACTTGGAAAAAAGGGTTGTTTGATGATCATGTGGAAATGAACAAGAAATTGGCGGAAACTGGCAGAAACTTGGTGGCTATTATTGACCCACATATCAAAACAGACTATCAAGTTTCCAATGATATTGAAAAACAAGGCCTCGGGATCAAAAATTCTGATAATGATGATACTTATCATGGCCATTGTTGGCCAGGTGAATCCGTTTGGATTGATACTTTTAATCCAAAATCTAAAGCTTACTGGAATAAGTTGTTTGCCAACAACACCGATTTCTCTGGTGATGAGACCAATTTACATATCTGGAATGATATGAGTGAACCATCAGTGTTCTCTGGTCCAGAAACCACTGCACCAAAGGACATCGTTCACTACGGTGGCTGGGAACATAGATCGGTCCATAATGCTTATGGTTTGACTTTCCATGAAGCAACTTATGATGCTATGTCCAAGAGATATGTCAATAAGAGACCGTTTATTTTGACCAGAGCCTATTATGCCGGTTCTCAAAGATCGGCCGCTATGTGGAGTGGGGATAACAAATCCAAATGGGAATTTCTTAAGATTTCCTTACCAATGGCTTTAACTTCGCAAGTTGTTGGTATGCCATTTACTGGTTCAGATGTCGGTGGATTTTTTGGTGATCCAAGCTCAGAATTATTGACTAGATGGTACCAAGCTGGTATTTGGTATCCATTTTTCAGAGGCCACGCCCATATTGATTCCAAAAGACGTGAACCTTATATTGCCGGGGAACCATACACTTCAATCATGAGAGATGCTATTAGATTACGTTACTCTTTGCTTCCTGTTTTCTACACTGGATTCCATCATGCATCAATCACTAATGCTCCAATTATCACCCCATTGTTTTACTCCAATCCAGAAAATGAAGATTGTTATGAAATTGAAGACGAATTTTTCGTGGCTGACAGTGGCCTTTTGGTCAAGCCAGTAACTCAAGAAGGAGCAACCTCAGTAAGCATCTATATTCCTGATGAAAAACCATACTTTGATTATCATACTCATGAACTTATTCAAGGTAAAGGTTCACACGATCTCCAAGCTGAGTTAGAGCAAATCCCAATTTTGATGCAAGGTGGTCATATTTTCTCTAGAAAAGATAGATATAGAAGATCTTCTAAATTGATGAAGTATGATCCATACACTTTAGTGGTTGCTTTAGATGAAGAAGGCTCTGCAAAAGGATCTTTGTACATTGATGATGGTGAAACTTTTGACTACAAAAAGGATGATGATTTCGTTTATGTTGATTTTGCCATTAAGGATAACAAGCTTCAATCCTCGGTCAATGTCGGTAAACAAACACCATTCACTGAATTGCTTGATAAAGTCAAGGTTGAGAAAATCATTATTGTTGGTAAAGATATAAGCTTTAGTTCTTCTGCCAAGGTTAGCCAAAATGGCGAAAACTGGGAAGCGGAAACTATTGGTATCAACAATAATGCTTTTATTATCAGAAACCCAGCAGTTGCCATCAATAAGTCTTGGACTATTGAGTTAAATTGATTGTATTTTTATTTATTATTGTTGAAAGTAGCATTTTTTTTCTTTTTTGAATTTGGATATTTTACTTGAATCTTTCAAAATACGGCTATGTAAGCGATTGACATGATAGATTACGCGTATGAATGTTGAAACTCCGTTCATTGAATTCTTACTCTTAGAAAACAGGGTCAGTGAGAAACGCCCATTGCACACAATAAAAATTCCAAAGTTAAAAAACAGTACAATAATACTAAACAGATAAAAAAAAAAAATTGACCAAAAGGGAGGAAAAATAAGTTTAACACAATAATAGGCTCTTCCTTTCATTTTTTTTTCTTTTCCTGTCACTTAAAAAAAAAAAAGAAGTTCAATTCGTAATAATAGTAAATGATAGGAGAGGGTTAACTATAACATAATTAAAAAAAAATTTATGATATATTCGGATTGGGTAATAATGAATTTCGAGGGAGAGACGGAGGGGCAAAAAAAAAAAAAAAAGAATGGGATAGATGTGAATGTACTTTTTTTTTTTGCTTTTTGTATGTTATTTGTTCTTCTTCTTGTTTAATTTCAGGATTATTGAAATTTTTTTTAAAAAAGGGGGAGGAAACCAACAGGCTTAACAGATAACATCTTGGGTGGCTCTAGAGTTCAACAAAAGAGCAACAATCAAACCGTACAAACCCAAAACTTCAGCGAAAATCAAAATCAACATCATACCGACAAACAATCTTGGTTGTTGAGCGGTACCTCTGACACCAGCGTCCCCAACAATACCAATGGCAAAACCAGCAGCCAAACCAGACAAACCAACAGACAAACCAGCACCTAATTGGACGAAACCAGTGTACAAAGCTTGTTGTTGTTTCAAAGAGTATGAAACAAGGACAGAAACGACCAAACCGTAAATGGCAATAATACCAGCCATAATAACTGGGACAATGTTTCTAACAAGTAAGTCTGGTCTCAAAACAGTGGTGGCACAAATACCAACACCGGACTTAGCAGTACCGTAAGCAGCACCAAAAGATGTGAAGACAATGGCAGCGGCACAACCAATGGAACCGAAGAATGGCTAAGAAATTTGTTAGTATTACATGGAAGAAAAAGAATAAAAATAAAAAGAAATAAAAGAGGTGAATGAATCCACATTATTGTCAACAATTTGACACTTAAATGGAAATATAGATTGAGCAAAAAAGCAATCGTTGACATACAGCATAAACTGGACTATAGAAACGTGTTAGTTAATTGGTCATCAATCTTACCTCGAAAACTTGGCTCCAAAGGTTAAAAAAAAAACAGCTGGTGCGATAAGATATCATGATAACATTATCATTCAATTCGGTAAAAACATGTCCAAGGTGGCCTGCCATTTGTTATGGCTCATTCAATGTGTCAAATTAACTGTACTAATTCCATCGAATGAATGCCATCTCACTGATGGAATCATGTTTTGCCTTCGAAGGTATCGTGGACAGCCTTTGTTATTTTTGATTATCTCAACCCAGTGCCATCGCTATCCAAGAAAAAAAAACATACCATAAGTCAGACATTGTGGATATTAATTTTATTTATTTTTGATAGGATTAATTAAATGACCGATGCTAATAAAAACAAGTAGACACTCGATATTTTCTTGACAGGATACAGTAACCAAACACCTAGTTTATTAACAACTAGCATCCAAAATTGTGAATTTCAATTTTGTTTTTTTTTGTATTTTTTTTGGTGTGGCCAGCCAATAATCGGGGCACCTGCGGTTAGGAGGTGTGATGGCTCATTGCCCGGCTGAAATCCCTGTTACTAAAAGCACGCGAGTTATATCGTATATTGACACACAAGTCCAAATATATTGATATTTATTGACTAAAATAATGGTTGAATGGTCAATGATAACCCTCTTACACAGCAAACTAAAAGAAAAGTAAAAAAAAAAAAGCGAATATAGTACATTTATCTCAAAAGGTAAGCAGCTCTAAAGTTCTCGTAAGCTTGGCTGCCCCATCAGTGACCCCGTCATTTTCAAGCATTATCTTGGCTTTGCTCTTTTCCAATCCTTCTAGCAACATACACGCTTTGCAAATGGTGTTGGAAGACAAATATCCACATCTCGTACATCTATTACCATCTTTGAATCCGTGCTTACCTAGCGATATTGAGCCATCGTTACGTATTTCCACCTCTGTTGGCTCCTTGGAACCATTGGCATTTTGTTTCTTTTTAAATTGTTGTCGCTTTTTCTTTTCTTTCAACACAAGATTCTCCCCACTGTAAATGATATCGGTGATACAACTCGACCTGATTTTCTCCAAGTTTTTCATCAACACTCTGGCAGTACCTCTAAATGCCTCTGGAGCGTAAGTACACTCGGTTGAAAAATAATCTAGCTTCTTGTAGTGAGCATAAAGCACAATTTCCTTTTGGTATATGTATTTGAAAGGTTTTGATCTTTTGATTGGTGATCCCGATGATTTGGTGCAAATAGTGGTGGAGTTCTCCAATCTTGCCAAATCACCTCTTAAAATATTCATCAATACAGTTTCTGCCATATCATCAGCATTATGGCCCGTTACTACGTGATTGATCCCCAATTTTGCCGCCCCTCTATCAAGTGCCTGTCTTCTTAGTACCCCGCAGTACGTACAACTATTTCTGATGCCGGCACAGGAAACAATTTCATCCATAGTCCAGTTATACAAGTCTCTGTAACTCACAATTTCCAATGGCAAATTATACTGGATTTTATTTCTCTGGACGGTGGCTAGAGAATCATCTCTGTAGCCCACAATCCCTTCATCGATACTCAACAATACGAGTTCTAGGCCATAATTATAACGCTCATTCAAAAGTTTCAACACATAGGCAAGAACGGTGGAATCCTTACCGCCTGACGCACCTATAGCAACTTTTTCGCCAGGGAAGAATAAGTTATTGGAGACAATAGTCTGATGGATTTCGGTTTCAAAGACATGGTAAAAGCATTCTTTACAGATCTTCTGTAGGTTTTTTGGTCTTTTGATCGCTTGTTTTCTTGACTTGCAAAGTTCGCAAAGTTTAAGATTTCCTTTCTTGGTCTTTGTCTTCTCGTCGTTAGTCATAATATTATGATGTGATCTGGTATTCAGTTGGCGATTGATCAGAATCAGATGCCCTTCTAATTTTTTTTTTTTTTATTTTTCACTTAGCCGTTACGGTGATGCATGCTGCGATCGCCGGGTTACTGCGGAAGCTCATCATCATCATCACCATCTAAGCGGTTGGATCTACCACCTCGCTATCTATCTATGATCAATCAATACTCAGCTTGGGGGTTGTTTGACTTCCGAAAAAAGAAATTGTGTTGAATTTGTCTCAAGTTTCTTTTCATTTAGTATTTTTCTCTTTTTTACGGGGAGGTTTTTTTTTCAATCGCCCATACTTCATTGGGCATAACCTCACAAATCACTTACCTCCTTGATAACGAAGATCAGCAACCCCACAAACTGTAATTTAGAATTAGAATTTTCGATAGTCTTCCTCCAAGCAAAGTAGTAATAATCTTGTGGAGTGAGAGTAACCTTATTCCCGCATCAAGCCTTCTTCATCACTAGAAACAGCAAACGGTGCAAGATGCCACCACGATCTCAACGAATGGTTTGCATGGATGATGGATGATATCTCAGCCATGCTTTGGATAATTGCTTATTTGAATTTGTTTATTCGCATTTGTGGTCAAGTCAATAATTAAAGGTTCCGTGGCTCAAACAACATCAATCAATGCGCAAACCAATAAGAGAATCTGCTATGCTATCACCCAACGAAGCTACAGTAATGCCATCCACTAGTCTGACTTATTCCTCTTATCATTACTATCTTTCCAATTCCCTAGCCACTCTTCTTTATTGACATCTCGTGGGGTGCGGGTCCGAATTTATTCCCATAAGTGGTCCTTAAACCACATGATCTACCAAGCGATCTTCCACAAATGCAGGGATTTTCCCATACAAACTTCTCAGTATCCCCAATGAAAAATATCATTTTAGCGCATATTTCACCTGACCTTGGAAGAAGGGACAAGAAAAGATAAACATCGGAATAAAACTTTTATAAATCCCTTCTGTCCCATCAACTTCCGAAATAGCAATTGGGTTTCTTTTTCTTTTGTTTCCCTTCTGTCAATATCATAAAGAATCAGGTTAACAACCCTTCTATTTTGCGTTCTGGTGTCACTTCTGCCTCATCTTTCTTCAAACTAAGCTCCTCGTCATAGCTTAGAGTTGCAAAGACTATTTGATTATAAATTTTTCAGATCAACCATCAATTCTGATCATGGACTTTTCCAACTTCCGCAACGGTTCCCACCTAGCATTTATTAATGCTGCTTCCTCCCCGGAAGTCAAATATGTCACCAGACCTTCTTTGATCGAGGGAATCCCTGACTCTATTTTGGGACTCATCGCCCCTGTTGCGATTTATTGGTTAATGTCCACATTCTTCTTGATCATTGATCATTATGAACTCAGCGAAAAATATAGAATCCATCCTTCAGAAGAAGAAGCCCAGAAAAATAAGGCCACATTCCATGAAATCCTCAAAGACGTTGCCTTGCAACACTTTATCCAAACCGTTGCTGGTCTTGGTCTTTTTTATTTTGAAGACGTTCCATTGACCGGGTTTGAAAATCACGCCATGTGGGAATGGAAGCAAAAACTCCCATTTTTGCCAAGTTGGGCGATTTATCACCTCTATTGGTACGGGTTCTCCGCGATCAAGATTGTCATTGCCTTTGGGATTATCGATTCATGGCAATATTGGTTACACCGTTGGATGCACATCAACAAATACATGTACAAGCACTATCACTCTAGACACCACAGACTCTATGTTCCTTATGCTTTTGGGGCCTTGTATAATGCTCCATTGGAAGGGTTTTTGTTGGATACCTGTGGTACTGGGTTCGCCATGCTTTTAACCAATTTGACTCCAAGAGAAGCTCTTGTATTATTCACTTTCTCCACCATGAAAACCGTGGATGATCATTGTGGCTACGCTTTCCCATACGACCCTTTCCAAATAATCTTCCCAAATAATTCGATCTATCATGATATCCACCACCAAGCGTTCGGTATCAAGACGAACTTTTCACAACCTTTCTTCACTTTCTGGGACACGTTGAACGGCACCCAATACAAAGATCTTACCAAGTATCAAGAACACAGAAAGAAAATGAGCATAGAAAAATACAAGCAATTCTTAGCTGACAGAAGAAAGCCTGCTGCCAAACCAACAGAAGAAAAGAAAGAAAAATAATTGGGATTTCTCAATATTTTCTTGTTCACCCTCGATTGCACCATCGAATACAATCATCACCTGCCAATATGGCAATATATCATTTAATACCTGAAAGCATGGTGTTATCACATTTAACGGCGCAAAAATATTTCTGTTTCAGTTTTTTAATATGTTTCTCTTTTAATTCACTTCGATATCACCAGACAATTTAATTTGAATTTTACAGCTATGATATGTATTTTTTCTTCTTCTTTTTTCATCTCCTCTTGCAAGCTCTCTATTTAATACCTTTTCATAATTATATGGTTAACATACCCCTTTGAGTCACATCTTCCTTTCTTGAATATCTGTGTATTTTTTTTTTATTTTTTTTCTTACCTGAGAACAGGTTTAATTTTTCCTCATCCTAATCTGATATACTCTAATCTATCCACTCTTACTGCCCTTTTCTCGTTATTATGCTTCATTTATACATTTGTGCTTTTTCTTATTATTGCCCCATCTTGTATCATTAATTACGTATGTGACTTCTGTCTTTGATAGTTTCAAATGTTATCTGCTCTCATTTAATATTAGTTGATCGTTTCAAAAAAAAAAAAAGAGTTGATAATATGATCCCTTATGATTGAGATTTACATCTTCTTTCTTCATCATTTTTTTCTCTTTTCATTCTTTTTGTAAATATCACAACGACACTGGTAATTTTTACAAAGTTTCATATCCACTTAAAATGGTTCTAAAAACACGCATGGTATCTTAGGAAATAGATTACATAATAGAGAGACAATAAAGCAAAAAAAAAAAATTCTCTAGAAAATAATTGATGAAATAAATGGGGAAATGAAGATGAAATTGCCACATAAAGTGAGAGAGAGAGAGAGAGAGAAAGAGAAAGAGGGTATAATATCCTCCTCAATTATTCAAAGCATGGTATATTTCACAAACCTTAAATCTTGTTGTCACTTCTTTGAGAAGTCTTCAAGTCAGTCAATTGCTTGATAACATCGTCCAAAGCCACAGCACCGGTCTTGGTTTGTAATTCTTCAATGTCACGGTTTCTGATATTGACAGCGCCGGCCTTTTGTTCTTCTTCACCAACAATGAACAAGAAGTTGTACTTCAACATTTGACCAGTTCTGATCTTCTTGTTCAAGGTGTTACCACTGACATCGACATCGGCCCAGAACCCTTGGGCATACAATTTTTCTTTGACCTGAACAGCGTATTCTTCGTACTTGGCACCGACTGGGATAACCAAAACTTGTCTTGGAGACAACCAGAATGGCCACTTACCGGCATAATGTTCGGTCAAGATGGCAGTCATTCTTTCAACGGAACCCAAAATGGCTCTGTGGATCATGACTGGTCTGTCTCTGGCTTCGGAATCGGTCATGAAATCCAAATCAAATCTTTGAGGTAATTGGAAATCCAATTGAATGGTGGCACATTGGAACCATCTCTTCAAAGCATCGGAAATCATAATATCGATCTTTGGACCGTAGAAGGCACCATCACCTGGGTTGATTTCCCACTTGTCAGTGAATTTGTTCAAGGCGTTGGTCAACTTAGCTTCGGCAGAATTCCAAGTTTCAATTTCACCAATGTACTTATCTGGTCTAGTGGACAATTCCATCTTGAAATCGAAACCAAAGACACCATAAACGTGTTGCAAGAAATCAAAGATACCAGAGATTTCGTCTTCGATTTGATCTTGACGACAGAAGATATGGGCATCATCTTGTTGGAATCTTCTAACTCTGGTCAAACCAGACAAGGCACCAGAGAATTCGTTTCTGTGCAAAACACCGAAATCAGCAACTCTCCATGGCAATTCACGGTAAGATCTTTCTCTAAATTTATAGACCAAACAGTGACCTGGACAGTTCATTGGTTTCAAAGCATACTTTTCCTTTTCGACTTCAAAAGAAAACATATTTTCTTGGTAGTTTTGCCAGTGACCAGAAGTTTCCCACAATTTGGTGTTGAACATATTTGGAGTGATAACTTCTTGGTAACCTCTCTTGTGGTATTGGGTCTTCATCATATCAACCAAGGTGTTGTAGATTCTGGTACCATGAGGCAACCAGAAACAAGAGCCTGGGGACATTTCATTGAAATAGTACAATTCTTGTTCTTTACCGATTTTTCTGTGATCTCTCTTTTCAGCTTCTTTCAAGAATTCAAGATGTTCGGTCAATAATTTCTTTTCTGGGAAAGCAATACCGTAGATTCTTTGCAAAGAGTCATTGTTGGCATCACCCAAGAAATAGCAAGCAGAGTTCTTCAACAATTTGAAAGCCTTAATTTTCCCGGTATGTGGAATATGTGGACCAACACACAAATCGATCAATGGACCGTTTCTGTACACGGTGGTGGCACCTCCATCTGGAACCTTGGTTTGGACCAAGTAGGTCTTGTACTTGGAGTATTTGAACATTCTCAACAAGTCTTCCTTCTTCATAACCAATCTTTCAAACTTTTGCTTTTCCTTGATGGCCTTCTTGGCAACGTTTTCCAACCCACCAAAGTTAGATTGAGAGATAGAGTTTTCGTTACCAACAGAGAATTCGTAGAAGAAACCTTCGCTGGTTGGAGGACCCAAACAAATCAAAGCACCCAAGTTACATTCACAAGCTTCACCCAAAACGTGGGCAGCAGAGTGCCAGAAAACACGCTTACCTTCATCGGTTTCAAAGTCAAAGAACTCGAGCTTACAGTCACCTTCCAAAGGTCTGACCAAATCCCACAATTCACCATTGACCTTAGAGATACATTGCTTATCAGCGAACCCTTTACCGATTTGGTTGGCGATATCTAATGGAGAAGTGACCCAAGCGACAGCAGGCTTAGTGGCACCATCTCTGAGAGTGATAGTGATTTCCTTGTTTTGAGAGGCCTTGGCATCAACAGAGTCGTTGTATTCTTTTTGCAATTCTTCAAAGATCTTAACTCTGTAGTCAATGAATTCTGGTTGAGGGTCGATGAAATCTTTAGAAGCAACGACGTTGTTTTTCTTTTCCTTCTTTTTCTTAGGTTGGGCAGGGGCAGCAGCAGGAGCAGCCTTTTTTTCCAAAGAAAGGTCTTCGACCTTGGCAGCAACTTCTTCAGCAGACATTGTCTTTTGATTGTTTTGTGATGGGATCGTTGAGATTTGGTGGAAAGGATTGGGAACCTTAAAGCGAAAAATAGAAAAATAGAAAAAAAATACAGGAAAATTTACTCATAGAAGTATGCGGTTACCCGGGCGTAATATATACTTTAGGCCCTCTCAACCGCCAGTTATTCACTTAAAAAGGGATGGCTAATATAGGTAAATAAAGTGTGGAAGCGAGAGCAAGGAAGGAACGATAGGATGTTATATCAGAAGGATCAAAGCGACTCTCATAAGACTAATGTGTGATACCAAAAGAGAGACAATCTATAGGAATCTATATGTGGTCTGGGGTATGGGGCAATGTAAGTTTTATGGTTGCCTGTCATATTTATCTATCGTTATCATGGTGCTAGGAATTATGTTTATACATACAGAAAACCAATAAAATGTTAAATGATCATATTAGTATCTATAGAGCAAATCCCAAATTGTAAACAATTGAGCTGTATCACTCATCATCTTTGGGAACATATCGCTCCATGCATGCTGATACCTTTACGGATGTTTCCAACGTTGACTAATCCCACAATATCGCCATTTCAACGAGAAACATAAATAAAATGACTCAATGGACAGCAATTGTCAATGGGTTGCTCGTATATATTCCCCGTACATGGAAATGGTTAGAAACCTCATCGCATCCCACATCAGGTGCTGAGTTCCAATATCAGGACAGTTTTCTTTTCAATAAAGTGGGTCTCTTTTGAAAGCAGGGAAGCTTCACTTATAGCTTCTTAGGAAAAGAAATGGGAGTTCATTGTGATTTCATCTTAAAATCTGCTATTAGTATTTTAAATTGTGTACTATTATGATAAGAAATGTCTTATTTCGTTCACTGGTGCTGCTCAATCACTTAATATCTCTAGAAAACTTGATCAGGCTGTCGGAAAACATAACATTTCATATCTGTATATATATCGAGAAGAAAACAGAGAACAAACAGTCATAATATTCGCTTATTCAACAACATAGCATATCATGATAATCACTCACCGCCATACCGTAGCAGCAGCAGGACCACCACCGCACTTTGCTCGGGTAATTATTTACACAAAAAGTTTCTGCGGAAAAAAAAAAAAAAAAAAAAAAATCGAAGAGGAACTGTGAATAAATGCAATTATCATCATCATTAATATTATCAGTTTTTCTACAGGGATAACTCTGTTAAAGAAGGAGGTTAAAAAATCATTCAAAGAGGGGAGAGAGAAAATAAATAATAATTCAAATATCAACTTTGGTCTCAATCTCAATTTTCCAGGTTATTCAATCCATCGTCCCCCTCATTCATCTCACTCATTTTTAGACATAATATTTATCAACGCTTATTACCTTTCAAAAATTCATCAAATTGACTTAAAATATTCTAGTGGATGAGAAGCTAAACAGCCTTTCAAAAAATTATATTCCCAATTTACAATGGTACCAGTCGATTCAAGTATGTATTTATTATTTGCTTCTCGATCTTTCGAAGTTGGATTTTATCTCATTTGTGGTGCAACTTTTGACCCACCTTTTTTTTTTCTTTGAGTAATATAATGGGCATGGTACTTGAAGTCTTCTTTTTTCTTGTTGTTAAGTTATTACTAACCATTTTTTAATAGAATCAGAAACATCAAAAAGGTCAGCTTCACTGCTAGTATCGTCATCAAGGAATTCTGACAGACCTAACAAGTTTGAAGAGCGATCGAATAAGAAGTCAAAGTACGGAAAGAAACCGTTTCATGATGATGACTTTGCAAATGACAGTTATAGTAGTAATCGAAGAGTCAGCTCTTCAAGGCCATTCAAATCAAGTTACAATAAGAAAGATTTCCCTCCTAGAAGAGGAGATTATAGAGGAAGAGGAGGGTTTCGTGGGAGGGGAGGCAGAGGAAACAGATCATATAGAAATGGACTAGGCCATTCTGAGACTGGTGGAAACGATGAAATGGAAGAAGATCTATTTGCCGAACTAGATCGATCATCTAGCAATACCGTACTACTGAAGGATCAAGATTCCAAAAAGGTTATCAATTTCAAGAATATTCCCAAGGGTCCAAAATCAAGATCCCGTAACTATCCTGCCCTTGGGCCCTCTTCATTAAGACATGATAAATATGTGCCGTCAAGTTCCTCACCAAAAAACACCACGTTTTCAACCAGTTCAGCAAATAGCCAAGATTCTGCTCAATCACACATCATTAAAAAAATCAAAGTAACTTATCATGAAACTACAAGAACCACGCCAATTTTCGAAAGAGTTATACAGGTTGGCGAAGGGACCTACGGGAAAGTTTACAAGGCCAAAAATGCCGTCACCGGGAAGTTTGTGGCTCTAAAAAGGCTAAGGTTGGAAGGTGAAAGAGAAGGTTTCCCGATTACCGCGATGAGAGAAATTAGACTATTACAATCATTTAATCATGCCAATGTTGTTGGATTACTAGAAATGATGATAGAAAAAAGAAGCATTTATATGGTGTTTGATTACATTGACAATGATCTCACCGGTATTTTGAGCCATCCTGAGGTGAAACTATCGCCAGCCAATTGCAAATATTTATTCAAGCAATTAATGGAAGGTATTGAGTATTTGCATTCGAAAAGGGTGATTCATAGAGATATTAAAGGGTCAAATATATTGATTGATAGCGGCGGTAACATCAAAATTGCCGATTTTGGATTAGCAAGAAGAATGAAAGATGTTAGGCCTAATGAATCGCCAGACTATACCAATAGAGTGATCACGCTTTGGTATAGACCCCCGGAATTGTTGATGGGGGCGACAAATTACGGCAGGGAAGTTGATATTTGGGGTATTGGGTGTCTATTGGTGGAGATTTTTCTGAAACGGGCGATCTTCCAAGGCACCGAAGAAATTAATCAGCTACAACTGATATTTGACATTATGGGGACCCCCAATATGGATACCTGGCCAGATATTGAACGATTACCATGGTTTGAGTTATTAAGACCAAAGTCTCGGAGACCAAATAGATTTCAAGAGTTGTTTGGCGATGGGAAAGTTTTGCCAACTGAAGCGTGTTTTGATTTGGCGGGAAAGTTACTCACATTGAACCCTGCCACCAGATTGGTGGCTAAGGAAGCACTAAAACATGAATATTTCTCTGAAGACCCTCAACCGGAATCGCTAAGTTTCTTGAAGAAGATTGGTGAATGGCATGAATTGGATGCCAAGAAGCAAAGAAGAAAGCTTCGTAAACAAGAGGAAGATAGAAGAAAGCAATCGAAACAACAACAACAACAACAACAACAACAACAACAACAACAACAACAACAACAACAACAACAACAACAACAACAACAACAACAACAACAACAACAACAACAGCAACAGCAACAATCACAGCAAACAAAAGAAGTTCAGTCACAAAAAGTAAAAGAGATTTCCGATGCGATTAGCAGCGTTCACAGTGATAATAGTACGGCCAAGGATCAAGAAACCGATGCAGTGCCTTCGATAGTTGAGCAATCGAACGAAAAGGACAGTGAAGAACTGGTAGACTCCGATGAGAAAATGAAAGATAATGAGAATACGAAATCATGATATCGATTTTGCATCGTTAGTATATTATAATACCTATGTATAATATGGAAGAAGAAGAAGAAGAAAAGGGGGGAAAAATAAAACCAAAAGTATCAAGTTTTTTTATTTTTTTGTTTCAAAATGGCTTTAATTCCATCTATTTTTTTCTTTTCTTTAAGTAGTAATGATAAGTTATAGTAGAAAATATTCGCGATAATAATAATAATATAAAGATGATTGTAATCACAGGCAGGGCTGCGCAACCACAATGTCGCGTGCAACAAAAAGAAAACAGAAAAATAGACACTTTATAGATTGTTCGGATCGAATTATCTTACAGAGTTTTATTGTATCTATTACCAGGTCTCTATTATTGGAGTTGTTCTATATCTACAAATAGTTTATCCACTATTAACAGATTTATATTATACCATCAGTTTACCATCCCGACTCACACACATATATATTCTAATGTCATTTGCCTCAATTAGAACACGAGCATTATCTTTGGAAACCCAGACCGTTGGCATCATCGCCAGCTATTCAGGATTTACTCAGAATATATCATCTATTGCCTCGACGAAAGAGGAAGGGTTGGAATCTGAGATCTCAGAAATATTACTCAAGCGTGAGAATTTGCTCAAGAAACTCGATGATATTGCCAACAACGATGCCAATCTTTCGATAGTCAAGTTACAACAATTGGCCAGGCACAAAGAGGTGCTTCTAGATCATAAACGAGATTATCATAGAATAAAACAACAGATTGAAGAAGCGAGAAATCGGTCTAATTTATTGAATTCTGTGAGATCCGATATCGAGGACCATAGAAATCGCAGCAAGAAGAACAACAATAACAATAGTAAAGATAATGGTATTGATGAATTGGACTACATGAACGACGAGCGCAAGAGAGCTAACCAGGCCAACTCGGTGGCTGATATGTTGTTGGAACAAGCGTATAGAACCAGAGACGAAATCATGAGTCAAAACAGTACATTGAGCAATGTGAATAAAAGGCTCATGGCAACCATAACCCACATGCCAGGAATCAATGTGGTGATCAAAAAGATTGGCACCAGAAGAAGAAGGGATCTGATAATCATGGCCAGTGTTATTTCTTTTTGCATAATTGTATTTTTCTTCTTATTATAGTAGAACGTACATATCGCTTTTCATTTACATATCATTTTCTTTTGTTTTACATGTTACTTTAATGGCATTTTATTTTTCACCTTATTTCTAATCCAAATAGGCTTTTCGGCCTTTTCTTTGTTTTATTTTGCTTTAATATATATATCCATAATCATAATACAATTTGAAACATTATTAGAATTTTCATTACTATACATATATATATGAAATCCTGTTAAATCAGTGATGTCTTTTGTAATCCTACGTTTCAATTGGCTTTTCTGAAGTGACTTCTTTATTCACATTGAGTTGCTCCCCACCACTGGCTCTGGTTTCCATTTTTTTCTGTGTTGTGTTTTCCTGGAAACTCATACCGGTTCTAAAATTGGCAATCAATTTGGATACGTCCTCACTTACCATTTCGTAATTCTGCTTGACTTTTGCTCCATTACCCATATCTTTGGAAATCACTTGGTTCATGATCTCCCACATCTTCGACAACTGCTGGATCATTTTATCTTGTTGGTTGTTTCGTTTTTTCAAATCATCGATTCGGGAATCGATAGTTTGTACCTCATTAGTGAGTCGCTTATTCAAGATTTTTTCCCCATTGGCCCGGGCAAACTCTTTTTCCTTTAGGAAATCATGGAGGCCTTTTAAGATTTCCTCTTCGCGGTCCAATAACGGGAGGTATTTTGTCACCAAGTACTCATTTCGCTGGATCTGTTGTTCAATTTTGATATTTTCATTCTGATACCTGGCGATTTCTCTGTCTAGATCATCAAGGCATAAATCCTCGTCACTGGCAGAGAACTCCAGCGGCGACAGTTGTCCATTACTGCTACTGCTACTGCTGCTATTATTATCATGACGGGATAATGATGTGGTACGCGAAGGTTTTTGCGACGTTTTTGAGTTTTTTTGCAAGATGATATGGGGTAGAGATTCTGGTTTGAAATAGTCTTTGCTTTTGGATTTTTGCCTTCGTTTGAAATCCTCATAATCAATCCCAGCATCGATGGCCATGGTCTTCATCAAATCGTCAAGAACATTCTCATCTTCTCGGTATTCTGATAATTTTGTGGATAGCTCCTTGACCAAAAGTTTTAGCGATTTCAAATCATCAGCAGCAGACCCATCCATGTTTTATCTTAATATAAATAATATTTATGATTGTTACTGTCAATACTTCTTGGTGATCCAAGTCTGTGTCTGTTTGTTGGAAAAACACAAAAAGATGCTCTGCGCGCTCCACATGAGATCCCCCACCTGGTTTCTTATAAGATCGACTTCTATAGAGAACTCCAGGAGAAACCTCTTTTCCTTTCTAAAGCCTTTTTAGGTTACATCTTTTTACTCTTCTATTCAAAAAGCATGGCTGTACTACATTGCTAACCCAGCACTGCAATTGTCCAAATCAGATTGCATCTGTGATATGAGACTTCAGCATCTTATTCTGATTCAGTAGCGATAATTCTACAAAGTAAGCGGTAAAAAAGTCCAAGTATATATTAGAAAAATTAACTATTAAGTGTCGAGTTATAATATAATATAATTGTTCAAAAGGAATTTGCGTTTCATGACAAGTATTACCTTGCTTGCAAGCTTGACATATGCCAATATTGTAGATATAAAAGTTTTCTAAATATATGATCTACATGCAGCAGTATTCTAATAATAATACAGATTGACAAGAAATATTACCAAAATACTCTTTTTTTCACTAATTATTAAAGAGACCAGTTTATGTCCATATGGCCTGGTTTTTCAGTAGACCGCTTTTATCATTAATTAATTCTTTATGTGACTTTCTTCTTGAAAAAATTGTCGAGTGCCCCTCTAACCACTTTTCTGGGGGCTGTTGGTTTCTTAATGCCCGCTGTTTTCTTGGAAACCGGTTTCTTTCTAGAATTCCCCCCGGCCTTAATTTGCTTATCCATTTCTCTTAACCCTTCTTCCGCCAACTTCTTCTTATCTTTGATTTGTTTCTGTTGTTGTAAATACTCATCAAGTTTGGTCAAGTCTTCCTTGAAAGATTTCGCCAACTCGTTCACGATCACTTGTGGCAAATAAGATCCTATTAGCAGTATAGAATACTTCAATTTTGCCGCGTCGAGGATTTCTGGAGGTGTCGATGAGGTGGAATCTGCCGGAGTAACCAAAGGAATAATTAGTTTTTGAAGAATACTTTTAGGAAATTTCTCCTCCTCTAAACTTTTCAATTTATTAGTTTTGTGTTGTAAGAATTCCAAAGTTTTCTTCATCGAGAATTTATAAAACGTATCGCCATTTTCTTCTATAGATTCACAAATCTTCGATAACCCATCTTCCAATATCCCCATTGGCAACTTGACCGCCATAGGTTCGAACTTATCTTGCAGTTCCATGGAGTCCACAAGATCTTCCAAAGATATGAACCGGGTGGTGTCGCTCAAATGATATTTTTTTGCCACAAAGAAACTGATTAATAAATATACCGGGTTGAATGGACTAGTCACATATACTGAAGGGTCTTCAATAATCAACCCAGTATGGTTACCTGGTGTCGAGGATTCGATTAAAAGAGATTTAATTGCCGAGCCATCTTCGGTTTCAAGACGTTGAGAATCTTTCAAATGGGGGTTCGATCCTTGGATTTGACGAAGTTCATAAAGAGTTGAAGAGTTGAAAATGTATTTCACCGGCAGCAGTGTTCGAGGATGGGGTAATGATATTATTTTCCAATCTGATTTGTCAACACCGGTGGGATCGTTCAAGTCGATGGTGATTTTGTTTATAGGGTTTCCATTCTTTGGTAAGATTATTACTTTGAGATTCTGAATTGCCATTATTTGTCTTCAAAACATGAAAAGGAGAAAAAAAATGTTATTTGAAGGTCTTTCAAATATCTGATCTCTTTATATTATTTCCTTGTGGGTTGCTCTATTATAATAATTGATCTTCCAACTTTGTTCAGGATGATTTACTGATGGTTCAAAAAGATTTGAAAAATACAACGCGTTTTCTTCTTTTTTTTTTCCCCTCAAATTTCGCGTTTGTTAACAATAACCCCAATTTTTACAGAAACAACAAGCAAGTATGAAAATTTCAATTAAAGAAATGATTAAAAGTGGTATTAAGGATTAAAAGGTCGGGATAATTTTCTTCAGAAAATATAATATATCGAAACAAATGATCATCGGGTCCTGGGAATGATGATTTCTCCTGCAGCACAGCAGACTATTAAAGAAAGGATAGAAAATGGATGGAAAAAATAATCATAATTTATACAACAATATCAGCATACAATGAAAAGAGTATTAAGCATGGAAGAAAATAAAAAAAAAAAAAATCGAGACAAAAAGTCATGATCTCAGAGCAAGGAAAATACGATAGAGACCACCCCACCGGCAATCAAAAGCATGTTATTGTTGGACAAAGCACCAGCAGCGTTTTTCTTGCCACTGGCAGAGCTGCTAGAAGCAGAGGCACTGGTAGAAGCAGTAGAAGAGTTAGTAGCAGTAGTACTGGTGGTGGAAGTAGTTGCGTCACTGGTTTCTTCTTCATCGGTGCTACCATCCCAACAGTATTCACTGAAACATTGCATACAAGCTTCGGATTGCTCGATCCCGGCTCTTTCTTGAGATCTTCTAATAATGGCACATCCCACACAAGTGGCCCAGTCAGCATCATCGGTGAAATTGTTTCTGGTGGCAGTTTCAAACCCGTTTTGGATCATAGAATACTTGTCCGCATCAGTGTAAGCCAATTTGGTGGTGGAAGTGTTTGAAGCAAAAGAATAATCTTTATTGGCAATATAAACCACAAGTGGTGGGATATTGGCCAATGAGGTGAGATTAGAGGCGTTACACCCAAAGAAAGTTGGCTTGGAAGTAAGGTTTTGGGCGACGAATCCGGCACTGGATGGAACGTATGGGAACGCAGCGCCAGAACCATCAGAAGAAAATTGACGTTCATAAGAAGAAACAAGAGAGTTACCATTTGGCCAGCTGTCGGTGGTGTCGGAAGAAGAATCGAAGGCGAAAATCACATCGACGTTTCTTTGTGGTTGCAACAATGGTTCGAATGGGATACCTTCAGTATCGTCACCACCGTCACCAAGACCCAAAGAAGTAGAGGTGGTGATATCGGTATAGTTAGAGTCATCACTGTTGTAGAATGGGTTTGGTTCGTAGAGTGATTTGAAAGTATTGTTGTCTTGGGTTTGATTAAGGTATTTGTAAGCCATTTCAAGAACGGTATCCATTTCGGTGACAAGAGCGTTAGAAGAACCAGACATAGCACCCATCAAACTGTAGAAGATATTGGAAGAAGAACCCATGAGGAACCCACCATTATCGAAACCGGCAACACAGGAGCCATTGATTGAATAGCCATTGTTGACATTAGACCCCAAATATTTAGTTTGGGTGAAAGATTTTGTGGTGTTATCCCAACTACCGAATTCAAATGGGTTGATTTCAAACAAGGTGGAGTTGGCGGCAGTGACCCCGTAGGAATTAATAATGGCATCACTGACAAACATTGGCAATGGCATTTTACCATTAGTAAATGTTTCAAAGTCTTGCAAACCTGAAAAAGTAATGTTGACACCATAATCTTCTGATGCTGGGAAAAGGGCATCGGAAATAATACGACCCCAGATATCAAGGAAAGTCACTGGGAACCCTGCTTGTTTCTTGGTCTTGATATCGGACATCCATTGGAGGAAATAGGAATAGATGGCGTATGAGCTGCCCATGTTATAAAGGACATTGTCAAGTTCCCAAAGACTGACGTCGTTATCAATGATGCTTTGAACACTGGTCCAGTTGTTCATGGCCAAAGACCCCACGAGCCAACTACCCCCAGAAAGACCAGAGATGTAAGTAGCGGAATCCAATAACCCACCGAGCCCTGATTCATTGGCCCCGTTAGTTCTACTATCAAGAGCAGCAAGTTGGCCGGCCCCGGTCAACATGGCACGGAACCCCCCACCGGAGAAGGCCATGGAAAGTTTCATGTTATCAGAGTCATTGAGGAACGATGAGTATTCAGATTCGTTCAACTTGGCACGATTGGCGAGGAAATCGACGAGATTGGCTTGGGTGATGGCGTCTCTTTTGGTCAACCATGATGCTTCGGACGACGAGATGTTGGTGGCTTCTCTTAACAATGAGCCGGAAGGACAATCAACGGTGCTTGGTGCGTAACAGTACGCCAATTGTGCCAACAATTGAAAGATGACAGCAGCTTTGAACATCATCTTGGTGGTCTTGGGCCTGGAAAATCAAAATGGGTGGGGAAGAGGACATTTTTTTTTTTTTTTCAATTTCAATGTGTTTCGGGAAAAGCTTATTGTTTATATACTTCTAGTTTAGGGCTGGCGAGAGATCCATCCCAAAGGGGAACTAGATTTTATTGTTTTGGGGAGAAAGTTACATTATATTGTTACGGGTGTTTATTTTTCATGATTTACGGTGTTTCTCCTCGCCTTCCCCTCAAATGTGGATGCAATCCGTTAGATAGAGAATAGTAGGACTACAATGACCACTCTTGATCATCACTACTGCTCATTTGCCATTACAAGCTGCGATCGATCGTTGGGTGATGGAAAGAAGCAACGGAAAATCTTCTATTCAGTTAAAGGAAATTTTGCCGTCGCCGTTGCTGCTGATGCTGCTAACATGTAAAGGAAAAAAAAAAAAGTTAAAACGGTTTTTTAATTCCCATTTGGACTCTTAATTGGATGGATGGATGATTATTGTACTAATAATTTTGTATATAATTATAGAATAGTTATCTGCCTACTAATTCAGATTTTCAGATAATATTCGTGGTTTCTTGACATTGAAAAAAATTTCAACTGACCGAAAAAATGGATGTTCATTACATTAACAATAGAAGAACTGAAGCACCTAAAGAAACTTTATTATCGAACGATTGTAGAAAGAATGCAAAACAAATATAAATAAACCAACAAATAAAACAGTTATAAAATAAACAGCAAATATAAAAAATAAAACCAATATAAAGATACTTGACTATGCAAATCCCATTCTAGTGCGTCGTCACATTTCCATACCCTAAACTAACTGGAGTGCTGCTCGCATTCAAAGAAGACTTATCACTCCAACAATACTCCTCAAAACATTTCAGACAAACATCAGATTGTGTCTTGTTCATTCTCTCTTGCGATCTTCTAATGACCGCACATCCTACACAAGTGGCCCAATGGGAATCATCAGTCATGTTGTTTCTGGTCGCAGTCTCGAACCCATTTTGAATCATGCCAAGCTTGTCAGAATCACTGTATGATGCCTTCATTGTCGAGGTGTTCGAAGCAAAAGAGTACTGCCTGTTAGCAATGTAAACCACAAGTGGAGGAACATTGGCCAATGATGTGAGATTCAAAGCATCACATCCAAAAAACACTGGTTTCTTATTGAGTTTCTCTTCAACAATCACCTCGGTAGTTGGAACGTAAGGAAAAGCAGCCCCCGAGCCTATAGAAGAAAATTGCCGTTCATAAGAAGCAACAAGAGACTTACCATTTGGCCATTTATCTTCAGTATTATCAGACGAATCAAATGCAAACACCACATCGATATTTCTTTCTGGTTCCAACAATGGGGCAAATGGGATTTCTTGGGCATCGTTCCCACCATCAGTAAGCCCCAAGGCATCAGAAGCAGCAATCCCATAGTCCAAAGAAGAGTATTCATTTTTGCTGAAAGGGTTTGGTTGGTATATCGCCTGATAAGTTTCATTTTCTCTCAGTTCCCCAAGATATTTATAAGTCATATCACCCAACACCTCCAACCCGTCCGCAAGAAGCTGTCCGTCTTTCATAGTAGGCAACAAGTTGTAAAAAATATTCGACGACGAACCCATAATGAACCCAGCGTTATCATACCCAACTACACAGGCATTAGCATTGATTGGTTGGCCGTTTTCCACCTCGATCCCCAAGTACTTAGTTTTAGTGAACGCTTTTTCTGAAGAGTCCCAGCTGCCAAATTCAAATGGATTGATTTCAATCACCGTGGAATCTTGAGGAGTAAGTTCACGGCCATTGATAACTGCGTCGGCCACGGAAATTGGGAATGGCATGTTCCCACTAGTGAACACTGCCGAACCTTGTAAACTAGACCAGGTCACTCCGACCCCAAAACCATTATCTGCTGGGAAAAGTACGTCACAAAGTGCCCTGCCCCAAACATCAAGAAAGTTCACGGTGAAACCGGCATGTTTTTTCAATACGATATCCTTCATCCAGTTCAAGAAAGTGATTACACCTTCGTAAGCATTACCTCCAGCTTCGAAAAATGGTTTCGCGAGGTTCCATATTGGGTATTCATTGTCAATGATACTCTGGACACTGGTCCAATTGTTCATTGCCAAAGACCCCACGAGCCAATTACCACCCGAAAGCCCGGAAATATAAGTAGATGACTCTAATAAGCCTCCGAGCCCTATTTCGTTGGCCCCATTAGTTCGGCCGTCAAGAGCAGAAAGATGGCCAGCCCCAGCCAACATGGCGCGGAATCCACCTCCCAGAAACGCAAGGCCGATCTTCATGTTGTTGGAATCGTTGAGTAATGCAAAGTACTCGTCGTCATCGAGGTTGGCACGAGTTTGAAGAAATTGAAGTAAATGGGGACGAGTGATTTGATCTCTTTTGGATACCCACAGTTTTTCCTCTGGCGACAATCCCAAAGCAGAGCTTCTTAGTAAATTTGTGGTAGGACAGCCGACGGTGGTGGGGGCATATCCTTCTGCGGCAGCAGATTGGACCAACAGTAGAAGAACTTGCAAAATAATAAAGACTTTGATCATTATTTTGATAATACTTTTATTAAAACCTGTCAAATTGACAAGCAAGAAAATGGAAAACTTTTAGAGAGGCATTGCACGTACATATATTTATATGGGTGGAGAATTGACATATCGAAAGTTCCTTACTAGAAGGTAGATGCCTTACGAAGTATGAAGGAAAGTACGAAGAAAAAATAATAAAAAAAAAAGACAATATAGAAATGAAACGTGGGAATTCTTCTGATACTATGGAAACCAAGGAATACATTTCTATATTTTATCAGTTGCTTTCCACTATTATTATTATTATTATAACAAAGAGCTCCACACAGGAATCCACCACACGTGCGCGACCCTCCTAAAAGATGTGCAAAAGATGGGACATAATAGACAACAGTGCCAAGTGAAACAATAGTGCTAAAAGCTGGAAAGCTCAGAAAACTTGGCACTCGCTTATTATAATCATTCTGATTATACACTCAACCGATGGTGGTCGACCCCATTTTCGGTGTTCGGTTTGAATTTTTGATTTTTCCATCCTTCACGGCCCTCAACTTATTATTGGGGAATGCTGAACGCCATTTAACACCGTGCTTACCAAGGCTTTCGCGAATATGTATGTAATATATTATCTAGCAGAAAATTATAAAGCATTCCCACGTGTGTAATTACAATATATTGTCATCCTTTTTGTGTTGTGTTTTATCTCGGAAGATTCCCCAACCGTCTGCATGTTGTAAGTTAGAGAAATATCCGCCAGTTCACAACCACCAATTGTAATAATACAGCAACTAACCTGGTGGTGAAACATCGCTCTTTTTCCTTCTATATATAATCTATTATTATATATTAAATAGATATTGTTGGTGAACCTCGCTAGGCGCAACAACACCAACACCAGCTAGCATTTTAGACCGGGCAACCCCTTGGACACCGGCAGCACCCAAAAGGAAGAATGATCTTTTACAATGTTTACGAAATTTCATTTGACATATAGATATATATATAGACAGGTAGATAGCTATCCCATCACCACCCAACTTGTGCGATACCGCCATGAACAAGCTCAAGCTCTTTCAGGAAAACGATGCAGAGAGTTTGTATTCCACCGCCAAGTACCTCTACTTGAAGACCCATTTTTGGAGCACATATTTAACCACTTCACAGCTTCAAGTCTTCAACAAGGTATTTGGATCGAATTTACCCAAATCCCAAAGCAAATTGCTTTGGAACCACTTGATAAATGGTAATATCGTGATAAAAGACGAGGAGCACCGTTCAATTGATTCGGCGCTTCTCAATTCTAAAGCAACCTGCCTTCGAATACGCTCGTTACTTTGGGGGAAAGCGACATCATACTATTATAACTTGGTGAACCATACCAACGACCGTGATGGTGGAGAAATATTCGAGATTCTCGAGGACGATGATAGTGATTTCGAAGATGCCTCCAGTGAGCATCATCAACAACAGCTACCTCAACAACAGCCGTCAAAACCAATTAGGGACCCTGATGAAGATGATGACTACGATGACGATGATGATGAAGAAGAAGAACAACAAGGGAATAAGGATACTGAGATGAAAGAGAATGATCAAACCAAAGAAACCAAACCTAATGACCAAAGTGTATTTGAATATTATGAAAAATCTTTGATTTTAGATTTGATTGGGTTTACAGAGACAACAAGTGAGAGCGATTCGTATGATTCAAAAAACCAAAAGCACAACCAACAACAGGAAACCCGAAAGTCACAATCAGGGAAACCACAAACTAATACCAAATTGAATGGTAACCCAACCCTAACCACCAGCAAAATGTCTACTAGCTTGAATAGCAGTGATACGATTGTTACCACCCAAGAATTAGAAATCATCAAGAATATGAATAGTGTGTACCATAATTTCGAAAATGATAAAGAAACCCTTATGAAAAGAGAGAAATTGGAAGCCAATGATAAAATCGTCGACCAGCAATTGACTTCAAAGCTACCTAGCTCAGAAATACAAAGTTTGTCGAATCAATTGAGTATGAATATTGGTAGTGCCAATTTATCATTGAAATATCTATTGAAATTAATTGATAATAATAAAGACAGGGTGCCGAACTTGACAAATAGAGAACTAACGAACTTGATTCATGATGTCAAGAAATCAAAATCGAAATGGAGCTCCGATGATCGAATTGGCCAAGAGGAATTGTACGAAGCATGCGAAAAAGTGGTCACTGAACTCCGAGGGTATACTCAACACTCAACCCCATTTCTCACCAAAGTTTCTAAAAGAGAAGCCCCTAACTATTATCAAATCATCAAGAAACCAATGGACTTGAATACCGTAATGAAAAAATTGAAGAATTTAGATTATAAATCAAAAAACGACTTCCTCAGTGATTTAATGCTCATTTGGACAAACTGTCTTACCTACAACACCGATCCTGCGCATCAATTACGGAAAGATGCACTAGCAATGAGGAAAAAAACTCAAAGTCTAACGCCTTTAATTCCTGATATTACTATCAGAACCAAAGCGGAAATGGAAAAGGAAGAGAAAGAATTGGAGCAACAAATGAGCCAACGAAAGAATCAAAAGAAGCTAAACGGGGGTAAAGGATTGAAAAGAACCAGCAATGGTACAGTTCTCAATATTAATCCTCCGGATTCTGCGTCTCCACAACCAGCCCCAACTCCAAATCAATCGATGCTTTCGACGGCCGCGGCTAACACTCCCGAACCAAGTAGTAGTGTTGGGGCAAATGACGAAGATTTAAACGAATCTCAGGCAGATCTATTCGATAATGAAGTATCCCAAACCCCACATGACGACGATATAGACCAAGAAAATGATTTCAATGAAGAAATTAATGACTTAGAAGTCCAAGTTTGGAAGAACTATACCTCAAAACTTAGAGGGGATTTCTTGCTTCGGAGATCCAAACTCTTCATCAAAGATGAAAACAATGAGTTGAAATTAAATTCTAACGCTGAAGCGGTATTAAGAGATTCGACAAGGATGTCTGAGTTTATGAGGGTGGTTGCAGGTATTCGAAAGTATGATACCGAAGAAGATGGAGGAGTGGAATCCAAACAAGATTTTAGTAAGCTGTGGGTTGGCAAAGAAAAGAAATCCAAGTTAGAGAACGCTGCTGATATCAAGCTTTCCGATAATGATCATGATGAAAATGGGATCGATGATGATTTGTATCTTACGGAATATGATATCATTAATGGTATTCCGGTAATTAGCTATCAAGGTGAGGATGAGAATGAGCTATCAAGAAAAGAAAACAAGATTTTGGAACGCTTGAATTTCCAGCGAAAAATGAACGGGTCTGATTCGCTTGAAAATGGTGAGACCAGTGATTTCGTCCCGCCTAAAAATGGGTTGAATAAGATCGTGGTTGAGAATATTACCGAAATGCAAGATATTAGAAAGATTTGTTTCAAGATCTCGTTGATTAGACGGATGCAAAATAATCAAATCATTCACCATACCCAACTTAAGGCCCCAGCGTTTGAAAGATTGAAAGATTTGGATTTGAATCCTCTTGAAAAAGAATCGGAACAAGTGGTGTTTGATCATAAATTTAACAGTACTTTTATTTATGATATTCTAAAGAAAAATGTCGGGAAAGTATTGATGAACACCGGGTTTGAAGCAGCTGATCCCCACGCAATTGAGGTGATCACCCAAATTGCCGAGAATTTCATGGGGAATCTAATCCGCACAATCAAGTTGCATTTAGAAACTAGTTCACAAAATAGAATTTTGAGTAAATCGGATATTTTGCTATTATCGTTGGTGGAGAACGGGATTTCTAAACCAGACGATCTTTTCAATTACGTCAAGGACGGGATTTTCAAACAGAATTCCAAATTAAAAGAACTACGGCAGAAATTATCAAATTTCTTGAAAGAATTGCTTCGTCCGACATTATTGTCATTCCAAACCGAGAAGGATCTTATGAATGAGAAGAATTTCACCGATAATTCCGACCAATTTCTCACTGGGGATTTCTCTAATGAATTGGGTGAGGATTTCTTTGGTTTCAGAGAATTAGGACTCGATAAAGAGTTCCATATGCTATCATCGTCGATTCCTCTACATTTGTTGAATTCTCGTTTGAATAATTCGTTGTTCAATTCGCAAAATGCCAATGCTGCCGATCAAAAATTGATTGAAGAATTCGATAAGAATGTCAAATACGAACGGTTGACCAAAGCGGATATTGGCAAGCAAATTGGGTTGGCCTCGCCATTCTTGAAGAAATTCTTTGAGAAATCCAAGGTGGTGTACTTGAAAAACTTCAAAAACAATAACACTACAAATAAGGAATTACCGCTCACCAATAAGGAAGAGGAAATGTTGATTTTGGAAGATGAAGATATGCCACAAAAGCAGAGAAATATCCGCCCAAGATTGCCGCCTAATGGTAAGATTTCTGGGGTTAAGAGAAGAACAGTGGGGAATGGGTTTTTCCTTAATGAAGACGATGCCGAAGAAACCCATGTTTTTGGTGCTGGTGTTGTGCTAGCCAACAATAACAGGGTGAAATAATATCAAAAAACGAAAAGCGATGACTTTTCCCTGTGCTAAATAAGGAAGGAATATTGGCTTAATTTATCTAACCTTTTCTATTATTTTGTGAAGTTTGTATTTTTAGATTTTTCTGACTTTAGTTAGTTTGAATTTAGTTAGTTTGAATTGTACAATATATATCTATATATATACATGATTAGGAATTTTTGTAGATCTCTCCCCCTTGGACATGATTATGACATTAAACCTTTTTTTATATACATATATAAAAAATGATGATTCGATCATGAAGGAATACAGTCCTGTTCTAGTATAAAGTAAAAAAGGAAAAACAAAAGAACGAAAAACAAATAAGAATCGTTGAAGCATAGCACAGCATTTGTAGCATAACAGTCATTCGAAAAATAATACAAAAAAAAATAAAAAAAACTATAATATAATTCCAGGTCAGCGAGTTTATATCTGTTGCTTTCAATCACAACATTATTTGGATTATTATACCAATATGAATTTTTTGAATTTCAATTTCCAGTGGGTCCACATCTAGGCCAACTTTTTGGCTTTTCTTGCGGCAATTGCCTCCTTAGCAGAATCCCCAATGGCCACCATGAAGATGGTTTGCCAAACACTCAACCCGATTCTTGGGGTGACACCTCTATAAAGGCCCTTGATCCCATTATTTTGGTAAACGTACTTCAAAGTCTTGGCCACGGTTAAGTTCTTTGGTCTGTTTGGATCTTTAACCTTACTTTGCATTTCGACTCTGACCACTTCAATCGGTTGATTCCAAGCAGAAAGTGACCCACCAATAAACGATGCCAAGATACGTTCGCTAACAGAAAGTTTTTCTCCATCTTGTTTACCGGTAGCTTTACGAAGAGCGTTTTCTGCCAAACGAGCCAACCCGTAACGAGACCCCCAGTTGGTACATTGTCTAATGGCCACGGCATTGACCCCTTTATTGACCCCTTTGATACCTTCTTTTTGGAAAAGATTCTTGAAAACGGTAAATGTTGACTCAATTGGGGCACCAGAAGCAAGTTGCTTTGATCTGGTGATTTCCACAGTCTTCATTGTGGTACAGAACCCCATGGTAGCATAAGCTTGGGCAACCCCACCAGCCATCCCGGCGGCGATACCAGCACCAAAGTTACCTAAACCAAGCTTTCTGAAGTGATATTCGGCTTCAGAAGCAACAAATACCAAGACAGCACCTTTTGTAGATGCTTCAATCCAGGCCCAAGGGATAAGACCTTGGTAGAACCCTAAGAACCCCCCTCTGGACCAGACGTGTCTGGCAGCTTGGGCGATCCCAAATGATCTATTGGCAGACATTGTGGTCTTTGTCACTTCCAAAGGTTGACCAAGAGAGGTCACTCTATAATAAAAAATATCTGTTAGTTGAGAAATCACAACGGGATGGAAATACACACGATTGCCTGATGTATGTCACCATATCTAATCTATACTCACTCCACAATGTTTAACCCTGCACCTAACAAAAGGTTCTCGAAGTTGACTGGCTTTTTTTTTATATCTGTCTGGGACATTGAGTAATATGGTAATCGATGAATATTAAATAGTTGGTCAAATTGTGAGGAAACCAGCTAACAAAATAAAAATAAATAACAAATTCCTAGCGCCACCACTATAAACTAAAAAGCGCCCCGGGCACCGGCCAAAAAGAGAGACAGGGTTGAGTCACCCTTCTAGACGCATGCCCCAGAGACCTACCTCGCCCATTAGAAGGCTCTTTTTTTGGTAGCAGTCAGTTGTAGAGTCTTGCAATAGTATTCCACGGAAATGTGGGAAGAGTTAGAGAATATTGAGGTGGTATGCTTCTGTTGGGTGGGTGAGTTTTGGTGCATATATTCTATTAGGTACCCAATACAAGGGCCTTAGATTGGATTAAAAGCTTTCCTCCAAATGAAAAGCAGTAACACAAATGGAATGTAATGGGGAGTGAATAAAAATCTAACAATCCAGTAGTCAACAAATGGTACATAGATCTACTATTTGTGTCTTGTAAACTCTGTAAATGGAAACAGCAGCAACGTCGCCGGACAGAAGGCACGTTTTTGAGCACGTGATAAAATACAAAGAGACGAAGCAGAGAGAGAACTGATGGAGTTGGAGCCTGATGGTATTGTTGTTATTATTCATCCAATTACCAAAGAACCCTAAAGAAGCAATTTAATATGGTATGTGTTGTACTGATTTCTCTCTACTATAGCACATTGTGTTAGCCTACTAACTCTGTCCAAGGTCGCAACAGGTTTACCAGAAGGTTGGGAAATTCGCAAATCTAAAACCCACAATCGCCACTACTATTTCAATCCATCAACCAAGCAGTCTGTATGGGATCCTCCTGAAGGTACCAACACTGACCAGCTCAAGGAATACTTTCTGGCCCTTAAAGAAGAACCAACCCAAGTCAGGGCTGCTCACTTGCTTGTAAAACATAACCAATCCAGAAACCCAAGTTCTTGGAAAAATGATAACATCACCATCTCAAAGCAAGAAGCAATCGACATCTTAAAAGGCTACGAACAAAGAATAAAATCGGGGGAAGTTACTCTCACTGACTTGGCCCAAACCGAGTCGGACTGCTCTTCTCATAAAAGAGGTGGTGATTTAGGATTCTTTACCAAGGGCCAAATGCAACCACCTTTTGAAAAGGCGGCATTCGGTTTGAAAGTTGGGGAAATGAGCGGAATAGTTGAAACTAATAGTGGTGTGCATTTAGTGCAAAGACTTGGTTAATCATATTTGTAGTCCCCTTTTTTTCAGATTTTGTTTATTTGTCTTTGTTTTTTTGATTGTTATTATTTTTTGATTGTTATTATTTTTTGCGTTTTAAGAATTGCGATTTTTGTCGATGCCATGGCCGCGGACAGCCGTTGATAACTTCTGTCCATTGGTCTGTTTATTTATTTATTTATTTAAGACATAAGGAAAAAAACAAACCATTTCTTCGCTTAGTATCTTAAAAACTTTGCAACTGGTGTGATAGTAAATTGGCGGCAATACTTTTAGGTGGCTCGTTCCTTTTTGTTTTTGTGTAAGTAAGCCCAGCATGCATACGAATATTATACAAGAGAAAATTCAGTCACTTTTCAATAATTTTTTTTCTGCCTTTTTCCTTTTCCTCAAACTCCATTCTATCTTCATCGATCATCAATTATTGTATCAGTTCGTAATGTTGTATGGTATAAAGGCCGCTGTTCAAAATTGCAAAATGTTTGCAACTGGATTGAATGATTTGAACCCAGTTGTCATCATCATCATCACATTATTAGGACAAATATTGTTGTTTTTGTGTAGCTTCACTATCAAAAAGTCCATATCCCCGGCATCTGATTTCATATCATCTCGCTCTTCAACATTCAAAAAGATAGTGAAGTGTACAGAATTTAATGATGGGTTGATTTGCTTACAAACCTATCGTCCACTGTTACAATTTGAAATTAACAAAGAGTTCTCAGAAAACACAACGATTACTTTGAACAAGTTGGTACAAATTACCTTTTCTTTCTATCAATATCTCTCGGTCATTGTATTAACTATTTCTGCTTTTCATAAGTTGTTTAGATGTTGTGGCCAGTCAGGTTAATGACATGGCGCTTTTATTGAGTATCCAATCATGTTTCCACCAGGCAGATATATCTGAGCGCGCTGACCAAATCTATCTCACCAACAGGTTCAATTTGCCTAATTTCTTTGGTTTGTTGGTCAGTTCTTTCATTCAAATGTTTGTAGCAGTCCATTCGTTGGTTAATTTCTTCTTCAATAATCGTGGTTTCAAAGAAAACAAAGAAGGCATTAATGCCTTAAGCCATGAAATGAATGACTTGAACGATACCGTAAAACGGAACTCCAAAGAAATGCATACAGTTAATAATGAGTTGAGAGAACAATTCAATACAATGGGAAGTAGTCTTAAAGGAACTTACGCTGAAGTAGGTAATATGTCTGATTCACTTGATAATATGTGGTTCATGATAAGGAAATTGAAAGACTGGATTGATAGCATTAAAGACAATTCATCCTCTACAAATTCATTGCAGAATATGTCTCCTAGCACCATCTTGAAACTTGACTCATCAATAACTGATATAACCTCTCCCAACGTCATTTCTTTAAATAATGGTTTCTCAGATGGCAAATTTTTGAAGCCGCCACTAAAAAACAAATCACCACTAATGAAAGCTAAAGAGGAAAATAAGTCTACAATCACTGCATCTGTTGGTGGTAAAGTCTTTGATTTGAAAACTCTTGAAGGTAAAAAGAAATGGTATGATTTTGCCAATAAAAGTGCAAAGAAAATTTCTAATGAGAAAGTTGGATCAAATTTGTGTGAGAGGGTTAATAAGATTGACAACAAAACAGAATCTCAAGAAATTAACCAGGATAATAACCACGCTAAGAAAACCATTACACTTACGTTAGATCAAGTCAGAAAGATTCCTACTGTGGATAAAAACGGTAAGCCATTCCGTAGAATTTTTGTTCCTGGTTTCGGTTGGGTATCGTCGAAGAAATTACAAGCTGACCCACATAGCTTTGTGACCAATAAAGAAAATATCTCTCAGTAATAGTACTATTGTTTTTTTTTTTTTACCTATTCACTCATTATCTATGTAATTTGATATTTTTAAAACACACTTACAAATATACTAGATCAAAACTATAATACAAAAATGAAACTTCCATTATCATTACTAAGCATAATTTTTTTTTTTTTATTCACGAGTTCAACTGTGACTTTTTTATTCTGGTTCTATCCTTTTTGATGACATTCTCTAAAGCTTTTTTATCGGCAAACATTTGTAAGATGAATGTTCTTGCAGAGAATTTGAAACTGTAGTTTTCTAACATGAACATCACTGACAAAAGCAAATCGGGATTGGAAAATCTTTCTTTATATTTTGTTTCCAACTTGTTTAATTGCTTGATTGAATTACTTGGGGTCATACTGAAATTGGCAATGGCTTGTATAATTTTTAAATCAACGATATTTGATAGCTGAACTTCCTCAGTATCTTTATAAACCACCGAATCTTGAAGTTCTAAATCCTTTGTACTAACCTGATTATCATCCAAGATTTCAGAACCAACAACTTTAGATTTCTTAGCCACCTCGACAATTTCATCAGACACCACCGGAGGCATACTAAAATAGTCTTTCAAGTTTTTCGGTACACAAAACGTGGTGGGGTTGTTATTGACATCGAGAGCCACGTCCCATCCAAATTCATCTAGAACTTCTAACCCTTCGGATAAGTTACTAAGGAGCCCCAATACGAAGAACGCCGTACCCTTGATGCTCCAAACTTTAGTGGTTTTGCAAATTTGGATGATATCTTGGATGATATTTGATTCGTCCACCATATCGATCGCTAATTCCGACATCCCAATATGACCAACTGCCCAAAGACACCCTCTAAGATGCAACATCTTGCGTTCATCAATTGATTCGGTCGCCAATTCTTTGATGGTATCGACAAACACTTGGAAATGGTTTGTGGATTGAAGCAAGGCAAATCCCGCTTGGGTCTTCACCAATTCTCCGTAGAAATGGTGGGGCATCATATTACGCTTGGATTTCAAAAGTAGATCAATATTCAAATCATCATTCATAAGATCGTCGCCAGGGGGAAGTATTGATGATGATGGATTATGCCCCGGTCCATTGCCATTATTACCATTAGAAAAAACCGTACCTGAGGGGGAGGAGCCCAAAATATTTCCGGTTTCCAAAGAAGACGGGCCATTGGTACGGAATGGCATATATTCTTCATTCAACAAATTCTCAATTTCTAGCACGTACAAGTCGTTTTTCCTAACGTACCAATCCTGCATTTCCTTTTCGATGAAATCAATCTCTAGCAAATCGTTAAATCCCAACGGAGTTGACAAAAATCGTAATAGTAATGGAGCCCCAATGTTTCCAAGGTGGTCCAACGATGGTTTATATTTCACCACCCCGCCGATATTTCGGGGGTCCAAGCAATGGGCATCCAAGATCTGCACCGCAATGTTACAAATTTCCATCCCCGGATCATATAGTTGATTGATTAATAATCCCACGGCCCATTTGGAACACGACGCGGTGGTGGCATGGGTCAAAATCACCGCTAAATGTTTGGTACTAAACATTCTGATCGAACTATCACAAGAAGTCAAAGAATGCGCAAAGATAATTCTTAGCTGACTCGGCAAATTATAATCGAATTCCGATAAAAAACCGAGAATCAAATCCTCTCGCCCCCGTTCATTGATAATATGGTGCAATATACTGAAAATTTTCCATTTTCTTAGTAATGCCAACCCATTGCGTGATTTGCTCAATACCCCAAGCATTTTGAAATAACCTGAACTCAACGTGGTCTTCAAGTTATGTTTACTGAAAATCGGGTTTTCGGCGTATAACCCACTGACCGGGTCTACTTGAGCTAAGCATTCAGCAATTTGGGGCAATAGTTTGTTTTCTGATAGATACCTTGTTCCTTCATTATGAGAAAGCAAAGTTTCAAATAACGCCACCCCAATATTGATATATTTCTGATAATTTTTGGTCTTTTTAATGAGCATAAACTTCCGTTTAAATGGTCGATAAAATGACATCATTCGCTTGACAAACTTGAATTGATTCTTCAAACACTCTTCAAACTTCTTGGGGATCCTGAACGGTCCTTTAATAATTTCCATAATAGTATCCCACCCCCAATCAGTAAATCGTTTGGTGATTAAAACCTTGGTATCATCAATCATTCTTCGAAGTTGCATATCATCAATATTAGACGAAATGATCGCCGCAATGTTTTCAGAATAGACAAAATAAGGATTGAATATCACCGGGGGGATATTATAAGTGGTTCGATTTTTATACAACTTTCTGGTGATTTTCTCCAATTGGAAAGCCGCGGTTTGCGCCGCCTGAGTATTAGTGAACAATGATACTCCAGTTTCACCAAGCATAGAAGCCAGTTCAAAATGGGGTTCCCAGGTCAGCCGTGGTAACAAATTCACCGAATAACTAAAGATTTCTGTCAATAAGAACATCGATTTACGACGATTGATTTCGTCAGTGCTATTTTGAGAAATTAACGTGACTTGCTCAACAAGCCCACACTTCAACAAAATTGCCAAGAGAACTGTGGTGTAATGGCTAATAATCGTCACTTGGTTTGAATCAGAAGCGTAAACACTGGGCTGGCTCTGATTTGTCGGAGGAGCAAGCTGGGAAGCTCTTCTATTGATAGCAGCAGCAGAAGAAGTAGAATAATTGTTCATCCAAGGTAAAGATCTAATTTTCAAAATGTCAAAAAAGATATCCATTAAAACGTCCCTCAAGATCGGGATATCGTATGAAAGACTAGCAATGAGGGTCTTAAGGATATCAAAATCATTGACAGCAAACGCAGATAATCCTACCCAAGTCTTCAAAAAACTCGATATTATGAACGCACTGTTATGAAGTTTTTCCGTACTCAAGTGAATCTTGTTAGGTTTTCCCGACTTATCATTATTATTCAGGCTCGATCTATCAGGAATATTGTCAAAATTGTTGACGAAATAATAAACAATCTGTCCCAATTCTTCCCCATTCCTCAAGTATTTTCTAGCATTTGGGGAATCCAAAATTTTTGAAAGAATCATCCCGCACATACAAGCAAGCTCCATTGGTCCTTCATTAATAATTTTGATGATCGATTTGACACCGTTGGCTTCATATACCAATTTACAGTCCAATAACATCAACTCACACAAAGTCTCAGTAATTAACCCTTTGAGTTCATCGTCAACGGAACCAACAATCATCGCTAAGGTTTTAACCACTCCAACGCTCAATTCTCGATGCCCATCTTCAATATCAAAATACCGTCTAATCAACTTTATCGCTTGCTCTCTTTCCACGTTAAATTTCGAAGATTTTGATAGCGAAAAGATCAAAAAATGATGGACTCTCAATGATTTAATCAATCGTAGTGAGTTTATATCAGTAATGACATATCTGGCAATTCTATAACCACAAGCAATGACTTCTTTTGAATCGCTCAATAATAAGAACTGGATTCTATGACCCAAAGTTGAAAAAACTAAATTATTAATTATATCGGGATTATTTTTCAACACATCGACCACCTGGTTAGACTTCTCAATGTAAAATTCCTCTTCCTCGCTTTTTTGACCTAATGATTGTAGTAATTCACTAAGGAACCAAGTGGTTGTTCCTTGTGACGGAGTCAATTGCGAAAGGTTTTCATCTTCGGTATATTCTAGAGAATCGTAATGTATTACACTATCATCTTCATGATGATTGGCTAGGGGGTCATCCAACATCGGAGTTGACGCAGTGGAGCTATGTGTACTGGCAAAAGTTATATTATGTATGGGGTTGTTTGGGATCAAATGGGTTGTGGTATCATCGTTCCTGGTTTGTCCAGCTCCTTTCATATAAGAAAAGCTGTTGGTGGTTTCTTGGGCCTGGAGTCGTTTCACGGCCTCTATCTTCCGTTCCAAAGTCATGATTTGTCTATTGACATTATTCAACTCCAATTGGGCTTCAAGACGCTTCACTTTCCGCTTCTCGGGTTGTTTATCATACTTCCCACTTACTATGTCTTTCTCGGTGGTTTGTAGTAACTTGTGGGCGCCTTCTTGTAATTTCTTCTTGGTTTCTAATTGGGTTTGCAAATCATACAAATCCGCAAACGATGATGTAGTCTTCAACTCGCTCTTCAATAACGAGCTCGGCTGTACGAAACTATGGGCCGAGTCGTTACCAAGTTGATATATCAGGCCATTGTTCACGCTGGTCATATTGTGACCATTGCCTTCCTTGATCTGTAATATTGGATTATTATGTCTAGGCTAACGAGATTTTTTGATTCACATTTTTTGACACCCACAAATCTTAACGGAAGGGAAAAAAAAACAAACACACTTCGACTCGCGTGCGGTTAACTTGGGGAAAGATTATTATTAGGAGAAAAATTTGGGATTGAAATCGCACAGAATGAACGTCATTCTACAAACCAAAAATAATAACAATAATACTGCTACTATAGAATGCATCCTCTTCTTGAAGGTGATAGATTTTCTGGTGAGTATGACTTAATAGTGAATCAGTTGTTGTTGTTGAATCTTCCAAACTTTTTGGGCTTGTGTACTAACGCTTTTATAATACAGACTGTGAATATTACATTCAAGCCTTGAATGAATGTCATAAGGCCGAGTTCGTCAAGAAGGCATTTGGGCTCTGTAACGTTCCTAAAGATAACTTATCGAAATGTCTTCACGAAACCAGAATCGCCCAAAGTATTGCTGATCTTCAAGAAAGAAGAAACAAACGTAAGGTCACCGAGGAGAAATGGAAAAAAATGAAGGAAGAAGAATACGGGAAGGACATGAAGTTGAAGAAAGTGATCGAGGAAGAGATGAAAAGAAGAGCTCAACAATAATTTGTTTTTTGTTGCAGTGTATAACAAAATAAATTCAAAGAGCAGAAACACACATTCTGGTCAAAACAGGGGATTAAAAACATTTAACATGTACATATTGGACAAATAATAAAAGGGTATCAGGATTCCTATCTTATTTCTTGACCATGTAATAAACACTTATAGCTCTACAAGTAAATAATATTATCTAAAAAAAAAAAAAAAAAAAGAACCTAAAGCACTAAAAATTTATTAATTTACAAAAGAAGTTTTTAAAAAAACAAAAAAAAAAACTAGAAAGATAATAAGAAGCAAGAAAAATCCACAGATAAAATAATTAAGAATAACCTTTATTGGCAGACGTTAACCCAGAAATCAATATGTTCTTCTGGTAATCTTTCCATATCTTTGACAGTGAGGATATTACTACTATCAATCCCACCACTGACAGTATTGTCCCTAAGAACTTTGGCGGATATCCGGATATTATTCAACCCCATCGCCAACTTCAAATCATACCTCGTTGTCAATACCTTATCACTATCTGCATAAGTTATACTTGGGCTGGGTTTGACTCTTTCATCATTAACTGTGAGGAAGTTCTCATATTTTTTATCTACCAAATCGTCACGCAAAGTGGCAAATACTGTAAGGGCCCCCTTATTTGAAATATTGTTGAAAACTGGCAAGTTTAATGCAACGTTGGAAATTTTGTAGTCACCAGCTTCAAAATTGTATTCAAACCAATTTTGGAAAACCGTGTTCGCAAATTGTGAATCGGACCCGGTTTGGCCATAATGCATCCTTTGGTTTCCAAACCCTTTGGGTCTTGACGAATTGATAGAAACCATTCTGATCAACGCATAATCCCCGTCTTTTACTCTTCTTCTTGGCTTTCTAGCGTCCTCTGACTTTTCATGTTCTGCTACCCGAGCTTCTTCTTCTCCTTCTTCTTCTTCTTCTTCTTGTTTCTCCTCCTCCTCATCCTCTTTCTTAGCCTCTGGTTCTTTTTCTTCTTCGGCTTCTTCCGGTATTTCATCTTCTACTTCGTCCTTGACCGATTTGGTCTCTTTTTTCATTGGGGCAGACAGTTTAGAAAGCTTGAGTTTTAACGAACTTCCAGCACCAGCAGTATGCTTTGTTGATCTACCTTTCTTTTTGTGTCCTGGGGCAGGGAGATCAACCTTTTCGCTCAACCCTGGAATCGTCAATCCTTCATCATTGGCAAGCTGGCATAATGATTCATTGAAATGTTTGGATAAAACCTCCGAAAAATGATAAACTAAACTGTCTTCTTCATTGTAAGTTTGGGCGTTTTTCCACATCAAATTCATATCAGCAAAAAAATTCTCGACTTTTGAATATTTTGAAGACTTCTTATTGTTCAAGCCTTTGAGAATGGTGTTTATGGCTATTGGCTTTTTGATGATGGTATAGTAATCTGGATATAGTTTTCTGGAAGGTTCTTCGAGGAAAACATCGGCTATTGGTTCATCATTTTCTGTAAAATTCTTCAATTTTTCCAACAAGTCTTGAAGTTTGTGCCTAAGGTCTGCATTGATGCTCTTATTGAGAAAGTTGGTGTCCACTGGTTCTTCGGCCTCCTTAGTCTTTGTTTTTGAACTATTATTCAATTTCAATTTCAATCTGGTTCCCGATTCTTTGGCCTCGGCCTTTTTTTCAGCACTTTCGCCAACATCTTCTTTAAGGAACTGTTCCACTTGATCCCGAACAAAGTTGGAAATATTGGCAGCATCTATGGCGATCAAACTTTCTTTCAAGTTATATTCGGAGGCATTATCTGACATCAATTCGAAGTCCGCCAAGAATTCTTTGGCATCTCCATAAGCGTTATTGTTGATTTTTTCCTTGATTTCCTGAAAAGACACCGGGATTTTAATCCTCTCGTAATAATCAGCGTAAAGCTTCTTAGAAGGTAGTCTCATAAATTGGGTTTTGATCAATCTTGGACCGTCTCGCAATTCTTGGGCAAGGGCCATCGTGGATTTGAAAAAATCGTACAATTCATCATCCACTTTGGGTTTTTTGAGCTTTTTCAGCTGATCGGGCACTCTTGACGATCTTCTTTTCGAAACCATTTTTGTGTCTCTAATAATATATCTATGTTTAGCACGGTATAATAGATGTTTCGCGTTATTTTTTATTTATTTATCCCATATATTTTTTTTGGCTGTTTTCCAACGCATATTTTCTCAGCAGCCCTTCAAAAGTGCTGCGTAACCAAACGAGGTCATCGCCACCCCCTAAATGCCAATCCCATCTTTTGACACATTTTGTTAATTATTCTGTTAGTTTCGTCTCATTCATATGACTGCCGTTTATCAATATTAGTTAGCAGAGAAACGGCATATAACTATAAAAATGTCTCTTCCTGGCTCCCCTTATGTCGCATACGCTTTCGAGATACTCTACTCCAAGTTACATAGAATCAGACCTCCTTTATCTCTATCATCCTTCAAATCATGCTATGGAGTGCCTATCTCCCACAGAACAGAAAAGCATCCATTGTTCGTTACTTGGAACATCATAGTGGGCTCAGAAAAGGAGCTCCGTGGGTGTATTGGGACATTTTCTCCCATGGAAATCCAGTCAGGAATTAAAGAGTTTGCGTTGACTGCCGCTTTTCAAGACAACAGATTCGACCCCATTGAGCTCGAAGAACTTGAGGAATTGAGTTGTGATATTACCTTGTTGAAAGATTTTGAAAAAGTCGAAGACATATGGGATTGGGATCTCGGGACCCATGGGATAAGAATCTCGTTCACTTATCATAATCGTCTTAGAAGCGCCACTTTTTTACCTGATGTGGCGGTAGAACAAAATTGGGATAAAGAAACCACCATGAGATATTTGGTGGCCAAAGGTGGGGGACCTCGGTCAATCACCGATTTTGGCAAGTTGGATATTAGTTTGACGAGATATAAAGGGGAGAAATCGCACATTACTTATTCTGAGTTTAAGGAAATCAGGAAGAGGGCGGTGAGTCATTGAACGTAGAGTACTTGTTACATTGTTGGGTCCAATCTTTTGAAATATTATTACAAAGCTGTTTGTTTTTTTTGTTTTGTTTTGTTTTTACAATCAAGAGAAATGCAAATAGCTTCAAATCTACCCAATTGCTCTAGAAATTTCAATTAAAGGCATATATAATATTAATAGTGTGCTGTGTATATCATCATGGTTTGCTAGTAGCAGCTTCGTTATCATCTCCCCCTCTGACAATTCTCATTTCTTTTGGGGGAATTTTCTTTACCTTTTTTTTTTTTTTTTCGCAGAAGCACTACTAGTCTGTGATGATGCTGGGTTTTGGATCACCACTGTGCCTTCTTTTATTTCGTCCGATGCTCCTTGAAATTTTTCCTGGCTTTCCAAATAAAACATCAAATCCTTAACTTGACTTTGTAATTCTTGTTTCTCCAACTCCTTTTCCTTGAGTCTCTCTAACAATTTCTTATTGGCCTTGTCAAGGGAAGTTATTTTTTGCAGCATCCCATTAGCAAGCGCCCTTTCTTCTTCATACTTCCGACTATATGATTGAAGTTCCTTGATACTCGCGCTCGCCTGATTCTGGAGTCGTTTATAGTCGTCGTTTGCCGTTTTTATAATATTTTGCTTTAATGAGTTCACATCATCCAAAAGATCCCTTACTTCCACCTCTCTTTCCGCAAATTTATCCCACATGTCTTTCAATTTTAGCTCATAATACTCTCGCTGTGATTCCAATTGTGTCACCAAAATTTGCGAATATTCCATATATGATGTAGAACTGATTTTCCCTGATTGCTTTGCCAGGGATCCAGAAGGTCCCTGTTGATTATTGCTATTATTAATATTGCTATTGTTACTATTAGCCTCTGATATCTCTTCTCTAGAAGGCAATTCTACTAACTTTCCATCATTTTCAGTTCTAATTAGCCGGTGAACGTAACAGTCACTGGCATAGTCCCAAATTCTTTGCGAATTGATATCCATGGCGAAGCAATGACCTGATTCATTGTAGTGGTTAATAGCATGGGCATGATTGTATCTCCCGCAAGCAATGCTACCGCAAATCAAACATATCCATAAATTGTCAGATATTTCACAAATCCCACACTTATCGCCATTCTCGTGAGGGTCGGTTGCGCTGGTGGTGGTTGTGGTGGTGGTGGCGGCATCGGCAACATTGTCTTGGGAACTTGAATGGTTCATCAAGTTTTTTGCGTGCTGTCGTAATGAAGAGTATCGGCAAATCGGACAGCTATCATCTTGCCATTTTCTTAAACATTGGCAATGGAAAGTATGCTGACAAGGAATTGTCAATAATCCAGTAACCGATGAGTCCATTCTTTCCAAGCATACTGGGCACGTTGGCAATTCTCGCAAGTCAGGAGTTGGCTTTTTGTTATCTAGTACCCCATGATTGATTTTACCCTCGGTGGTAATGGTGGTACTGGTGAAAGGATCATCCAAAAAATAATTGTTGTCATTGGTATCGTCATACCGCTTGAAAATCACTGATTTGACGTAAATGACGTGACAGGTTTCTGGCTCCATTGAGTTGAAGAGCCTCCCATTGAACTCTTTTTTAAATTTTTTAGCATATTTCCTTGACCTGAAGTTCAAAAGTACCAAAAACCGATTACTAATGTCTGCCTTAATGATTCTCACGTTGGAAATATGGTTTTGGATATAATCATCACCAATGAAACCCAAAATATCGGTCACGGTAAAATAACCGGGGATGGCCAAGATAGAAATTATGGTTTTTTCAAGATCCTCAGAACCTTTTGGTTTCAAGGAAATTGACGATAATGTTTCCGATAATAAATCATCATTGTTGTTGCCCGCCTTATCTAAATCATCGGTGGTACCGCCACCATCACTGGATATTTCTTGTTCTTTGGGCTCTTCGAATTCTTCTGGCTCTCTATAAAGCCTTATCACCCCTTGACCAATGTGTCTTGCTTTTAGAGGTTCTGTACTCAAGGTATTGCCTAAAGGTTTTTTTGAATTGGTCAGATCGTCCATGTCAAAGGAAATCAAGCCGAGATGGCCTAGTCTATAATCTTTCTGGTGAGCTTCTGCACGTTGTTCGCCGTCGACGGAATAAATATCGACCACAATATGATATACTATTGAGCCCAACATTAATATATTTCCATAGTATCACCGTATATTGGGTGGAGGAAATCTTGTTTTGTCTAAAAATAGTTTTGATCCACTATTTTGACATTTTGTAGATGCTTTGCTGGTGGTTTTTTTTTTCCTGTATGATTGAATTTTATAAGGTGTAGCACCCCTTTTCTAGCGATGCTCATAAGTGTATTTTATGGGTCTCTCTCCCTCAAACAAACGAAATATGCGTCATACTAATCTATTTATTTCTGTTTAAGGTTGGTAAATCAGGCCCTGGGGTTTAGTTAGTTGGTCTTTAATCTTGTAGAAACCTATGATTCATCCCCTCCTCATCAAACCACGCCGAATGATTTTCCTTACAATTGAATAAATATAACTGACTTACACAAAATATTGTTTACCATAATTTACCAAAATGACAAGCAACATAACGTCTCTATCCTAATAATAAATATAGTAAGTAGATAACTACTGTAAAGCCCTCTCATGCACTTTGATGAGTTCTGGAAATTCTTTTGGGCTACAGATGAAAGCCAACCTTTGCCTTTTTTCCTATACAGAATTTCCTAATGTAGTTACCTCTATGATTGCCACAACTAAATAGGTACCACCGAATTAATTGAAGCAAATTCTCTGGTGTCCTGCCTGGATGGTGGTAACTGTGGTGTGGCAGACCCCCCGCCGTGCACATTCCCTGGGTACTGAGGGTTGGTAATTAGCGGTGCGCCTTCTTGTTGAAACCGGTGGTTGCAGGGGCCGTTTGAAATGCTGTGTTGCCGATGAAATGTTATATATAGGATCGCTTTCTATGTAGTTTTTTAAAAGTATTCTTATTGTAGTTTATATATATTTATATACAATCATTATATCCTCTCGATACACAGCATCCTAAATACTTTTCATTCGCTAACAACAACAGCTCTCTTCCTTCGAATTTAAATCTCAACTACTCAAAAACACTTTCTTATCAAAAATGCAATTCTCTACTGTCGCCATCGTTTCCTCTTTGATCTTTGTCGGTGCTCAAGCTACCGTCACCTCTTCTATCACCGAAACAGTGTCTTCTGTGCAAACTGAAACCGTCACTTCTTGTGGTAGTGAAGTCACCAACTGTCCAGCCTCCACCACCACCTCCGGCACTTTGGACGCTTACGGTACCACTTCCACTCCACTTTCTTCCTCCAGTACTACCACTTACGGTACTTTGGACGCTTACGGTACCACTTCTTCTTACTCTAACTACACCACCGCTAACATTTCTTACACCGGTGGTGCTGCTGGTCCAGTTGCTTCTTCTAACGGCTTGTACGCTTTGGGTGCTGCCGCTGTCTTTGGTGCTGCTGCCATCATGGGTCTTTAAATTTAGTGTTGATGATTACCCCCATAAATCTTAAACGACGCAGGCGTTGCAAAAACCATCACCATTATTCTGAAAAAAAAAAAGAAAGAAAGAAAGCAACATTCTTCCAGCAGACTTCTTCTTTCTTATGAATATCATTCAGATGTCTGGACAATCAATCTTCAGTTTCATTTCTCAGTCATTAATATTTTCTTCAGTTCTTATTCAGTCATTTTGTATTATTTGCATATATGCTCATTTATTTATCTATATATTTATTAATTATAGTTCTACTTGTTTTATTTTCCCATTCCCTTTTACTCTATTACTTTTATTTTGATGATTCCCAATATACTTAAAAAAGCGTAGCGCACAATAATCTTCTTTTTGACGTATCCTGGACGGTTTTCCCATCCCGGATGCTTATCAGCACATCTCAACACCAAGAGATCAATGAAAAGGACCAACACCCGTACATCCCGACGGCACAGCGAATGTTGGGGATGATTTTTCCACGTGACTGAGAAGTGCGTTCCCGACCTCGGCCGCTGACTTATCCTCTGCAGTTTATTGGCTTGTTCCCCACGCTTTGGCGGCACCTAATGGTTTTTCTTGTTTTTTTTTTCTTTATATATAAAATTTTGGAGACTCTCAGGAAATTTCTCCAACAGAGATCATCAGCATTGACAGAACCCCAGCCATTATCTCCGCCCCAACAATGTTCAAGCAATCTCTCGTCCTTTCTAGACAATTCACTAGATCGTTGGCCACTGCCGCCAACGCCAAACCATCCTTGGTCAAATCATTCAAGATCTACAGATGGTCTCCAGATACCCCAGAAGTCAAGCCAAAATTGGTCAGTTACGACATCGACCTTAATGACTGTGGTCCTATGGTTTTGGACGCCCTTTTGAAAATTAAGAACGAACAAGATTCAACTTTGACCTTCAGAAGATCCTGTAGAGAAGGTATCTGTGGCTCTTGTGCCATGAATATCGGTGGTAGAAACACTTTGGCCTGTTTGTGTCGTATCGACAGAGACACCAGCAAAGACTTGAAAATCTACCCATTGCCACACATGTTTGTCGTCAGAGACTTGGTTCCAGATTTGACCCACTTCTACAAGCAATACAAGTCCATCGAACCATACTTGCAAAGAGAACAAGAAATCCCAGATGACGGTAAGGAAAACTTGCAAAGTATTGCTGACAGAAAGAAGTTGGATGGTTTGTACGAATGTATCTTGTGTGCCTGTTGTTCAACTTCCTGTCCTTCATACTGGTGGAATCAACAGGAATACTTGGGTCCAGCCGTTTTGATGCAAGCTTTCAGATGGTTGATCGATTCCAGAGATCAAGCCAGTGCTAAGAGAAAGGAAATTTTGCAAAACTCTATGAGTTTGTACAGATGTCACACAATTTTGAACTGTACCAGAACATGTCCAAAGGGTTTGAACCCAGGTAGAGCCATTGCTGAAATCAAGAAACAATTGGCTTTTGACTAAACAGGTTAGTAGTCCCAATTCCCAACAAAAGAAAATGAAAGCATGGTAACGCTGCCAAAGAACATTTCATCATCCAAATAACATATCTCTATTTTTCTTTTCACTTCCTCTCTACAAAAAAAAATTATCTCTTGATTTTGATTGGTCAATTCAAACCAAAATCATCCAAGGATATCTATCCCTCATCTCCCTGTTATCACTTACAAAACCGGCATTCTCTTTAACGTTATGGTATACTGCTCGGTCATATATCAACAATCCCTCTCCATCTTAGCCTAAATATCATATATCATATATTCCTCTAGTTGCCTCATATCATGCAATATCCATTGCATGCTTCCACAAAACAGTGTATATAACTCTTTGTTTTTGTCTTTTTTTTTTTCTCTCTCTCTCTACTTCTTTTGCCAGAGTTGCATGGGTCTTTTTTTGCTATCTATTCATTTTTATCATTATTAATATTAATTCCATAACAGTCCAATACATTTTGTCATCAGATATTTTGTAATTGTAGTGTATTTGCTTCTACTTCTTCCATGACAGTGTGGTTATTAGGCAGGGAAACATTAGTACTAGATGAATCCGAAAAGACCTCGTTTACGTTATCTTCGATAAAGTGATTTATGAATATCTTAACATGGCAACTTAATAGTAATGATTATAATATTCAGAATAGGGGTTATATAGTCGTTATTGAAATATTATATTGATGGCTCCCCTCTAACCTTCCAGTCAGATATTTCTCTTTGTATACTGTTTCTATATAGTAAATTATAATTTCTGTAAGAAAATAAATAGTAGAGTGGTGTTTAGTAGGTCGGCTTTCTCTCTTTCGAAATAAATTAATATTATTGTAAGACTTTAAAGTCATCCACACACTAATATCAGGAATGCTAAATCATTTACCGTTGGCTTCATCAACGAAATGGTGTGTAGGTTCTTGAAATCTTGAAGAAAAAATGACAGATATAAATAATTGGTAATGTAATACCCTGGACGCAGCCTGAAAAAAAAAAACCGTAGCGCGTTTAATGCCCAAATGGAAGCGCTCTCTATTTTTGCAGGCTTTATTAATTGTTGAATTTAAATATATGTAATCTTTTTCGTTCTTCAAATGTTTAAAGTAAACAATACGATGTCTTTCCTCTTTATTTTTTTTTATTTTTTTTTTTTAGAAAAATCAATGAATGAGAATCAATATTGATGTAAAAGAAGAGCTTGTTTGTAGTAAAATCTTCAAGATACTGTGCGGTGGGAAACATTGATGGGATATTCTATTAGGAATTGTTGTTTTTCAATAAGCTGCTTTTTTCAGTCATCTCCTGTGAAATAATGCCCAAGCTTTGATCGATACTGGCTCGCCAAGTGGTGTTGTTTTTCATATTCTTTGATATGGACACTTTAAATGGTTATTATTAACTTGTTTTTCAGGAGGTTTGAACATTTTGTGAATCTATCAATCAATAGAACCAAGATGAAGTTGCAAAACTAGAAGAAGGTTTCCAATGTTGCAAAAATAATAATTTTAATGGTAAGTGCATTTATATTAATGGTACTGTATTCATAGTAATAAATATGATGGTAGCTACTATGGTGGTTTACAATAATGATATAAATCCAATTCTTTTCTCTTAAATTATGACGATCATAATCAGGAAGATCATGGATTTGCAAGAGATTCTGCACACTCAAAATGCTGGCCATAATTGACAGTAGGCAGGTGTTACGAGATTATGGATATCTTTTTCTCTGTGAATCCTCTAGTCATTGTAAGTTTGATATACGGGAACTTAGTGTTCATAGATGTATTCATTCCCTCTGAGAAAAATGCATTTTCACCGTAATAGAAAGCACCATCTAGGAAAATTCAAAGATTACTGTGATCAAGTCATCTGGGGAATCTACATTAGTCGGCTCCAAGATACTCCTTGTGCCACAATACGCCTTTGAAGAACTATATAGTTACTGTTATAGCTGAGCATTGCAACTACTACTAATAAATGCTCTCTTTCTCTCTCTCACTCTCATTGGAGACAATGTCATTTGAAAAAAAAAAAAAAAGGGAACAGGAAGCATTAAAATGCAATTCATGATTCAGTGAGAAGATATTTCTCAGTACATTCTTTACCATTAATGATTTTGAACTATGTTTTTCATGGTATCTTGGTATTTCCCAATGGAACTCATGATGCGCCTATGAACTATGATAGGAAACACATTTACAACTAACTATGATTGAAAACACATTTTATATCAGACACTAACAGAAAGGTGAATGTAATTCATGACTACAATATAATTAAGAAGAATTAGGAAAGGCTACAAGAAAGCTTCAATTTCAAAAGAAAATAAAGAAAAATGAAATTGTATTGAAGATATTTACATGATAACTTTTTCTTTTATAGTACAGTGGAAAAAAAAAAATAACACCACCCCCAGGAAATGAATGAACCACTTAATTTTCCATACTTCTGGAGGGTCAACGATAAGAGAGGGAAAATAATAATAATAATAATAGCATTTTGAAAGAAGTTAATCAGATCACCAACCTTCAGTTCTTCACTTCAGGCTTTGAATCGTTTCCAATAGTCTTCTTCAAATGATCAAAGATTCCCAAACCTCCACTGATCCAGGATCCCACTTGTCCCATCTCACTTGGAATAACCACAGTATTGGATTCTTTGGCCAACTTGCCAAATGCTTCAATGTACTTTTGGGCAACTTGCAACGCCACTGCATCTTGACCACCAGGGGTTTCCTTAATGGCCTGGGCAATACGCTTGATACTTTCTGCTTCAGCGGTGGCTTTGGCCAAAATGGCTTCAGCTTCACCTTGGGCTTCATTCATAAGCTGGGCTTTGTGGGCTTCGGATGCCAAAACCGTGGATTGTTTTTGACCTTCGGCAATATTGATATCCGACTGTCTTTGACCTTCTGATTCCAAGATCTCTGCTCTTTTAGACCGTTCAGCACTAACTTGACGATGCATGGCTTCCAACACGTTAGATGGCGGATGGATATCACGAATTTCGTATCTCAAACATTGGATACCCCAAGATTCGGCAGCTTCGTTGATGGCCTCGGTGATGTTGTGGTTCAAGTTTTGACGTTCACGAAGGACATGATCGAGAGTCAATTGACCAATTTCCGATCTCATGGTGGTTTGTGCCAATTGCGAAATTGCGTATTGCGCGTCTTCGACCCCGTAAGATGCCTTATAAGCATCAATGACTTTAATATATAATACCCCATCCATTTCCAAAGTAACATTATCGCTGGTGATGGCTGATTGTGAAGGAATGGCGAGAGCAGATTCTTTAAGAGATTGCACGTACTTGATACGATCAAGGAATGGGATAAGAATCGCCATCCCCGGCTCCAAGATACGATGGAACTTCCCCATTCTTTCAACGATCCATGCGTTTTGTTGAGGAACGAACCGAATAATGGTATTGGCAGGCAATGAGCTCTTATCTTGGAAATAAGTCAAATTACCTTGAGATTGAGCCATGGGAGTAGCTGTCAGAAATGGTCGGGAAGTTGAGGACTGGTTAAAGGAAACAGATTTCGAGGCCGCAGCCATTGCCAATGGTCTAGCCATGGCCAACCCAGAGGTTCTAATAATTTGGGCAGTAGATCTGGAAAGCATCTTCTTATAATATTGGTGAAATGAAACAGCTAATTACAAGTGTCAAATAAAAGTTGCTCGGTGTAATGAATTTATATATAGACAAATCTCGATGGCAAAAAAAAAAAAAAAGTGCCAGTCTCCCGCGTGCGCATAACTCAGGTGAAGAGGTTTAAGGAGCAAATTCAGTGGTGATTATACATATATATCGATATGTGTATAATGAGAGTGAAAAATATATTGAGGATCAAGGAAAGTAGCCCTTATTTTATCGAGCTCCCCTTAATAATCTTGCTTTGAAGATATCTGCTTCTATTGAAGGTTTTTCCAGTTACATACTGTGCGTCACTTCCATGGTGCGTCCTGATGTTCATCTTTGAAACAACTTCCCTGGGACAATCAGGATTTATGAGGTACTATTCAGCGGCAGAAGGAATACTGTAATTCATTTGATAATCCAAGAAACTAATTATCTATCCAGTAGCCTCTTCAAACCCATTAATATAACGTTGCTGGTATTTTGGCGTGGCCAGGAAGGAGGAGGGTAAACCCATCTGAAAATGTAAAAAAAGTTAAAAGAAAAAAAAAAAAATTTCAGAAGGACATGATGAGGAATACATGGAATACCTGTAATAAAATCTTCTTATTTATATATTTTATAATTATCAATATGGTCAAATTGGCAGGATTATCTCTTAATGAACAGGAGTTCCTCACAGATTCCCTAAAACAAGGTATTAGATCAGATGGACGTTCGCTTGATCAATTTCGTGATGTCGAAATTACCCTTGGGGATCAACCAGGTTACGTCGACGTGAGGCTCGGGAAAACCCGTGTGGCCGTGAGAGTCAGTGGATCAATAACCAAACCATATGAAGACAGACCATTCGAAGGGATTTTCACGATTTCTACAGAAATTGGCCCAATTGCGGGTGCGTTTTTTGAAAATGGTAGACCATCGGATGAAGAAGTGTTAGTGTCACGATTGATTGAAAAGGCCATCAAGAGATCGGGGGCGCTTGATGTCGAAGGGCTTTGTATAGTTGCTGGGGACAAGTGCTGGAACATAAGAGCCGATATTCATTTCATGGACTTTGACGGGGGATTCATCGATGCTAGTTGTATTGGGGTGATCACCGCGCTTCAACATTTCAGTAGACCAGAAGTCACCGTCAGCGGAGAACAGGTGGTGGTTTATTCTACCGATGAAAGAGAACCGGTGAAATTATCGATCTTGCATGTGCCAATCTGTGTGACATTTGCGTTGTTCAATCCAAAGGAAAAAGAAGAAAATATAAAAGGTGGAGCCGATGGCAATGAAGAGGCAGGAGAGTTTGCAATTGTCGATGCGACAATGAAGGAAGAAGGTTTGAGTAATGGAACGCTAACCATCACTATGAATAAGAATAAAGAAATTTGTCAAATATCGAAAAGTGGAGGATTGCCGGCGGAGGGGCTTATGGTGATGGATTGTGCCAACAAAGCGTACGGGATTGTTGAAAAATTAACTGATCAAATCAAGGAGGTTTTGAAGCAATGAGGATATTCATTATGCATATAGGAGAGACTTTGGAGTGGGGGAGAGGATGTTTTCCAGTTGGAAAAGTATTTGTACTATAGATGATTGAAAAATTAATACAGAATTCAATATGTTCGAGTGTTATTTGCCATTTTTTTTTTTTTTTAAATGCTGATAGTGTAAGTGCCTCTTGCATATTATTGTTTGATTAGACAAACATGTTGATATAATTACGGTCAGATGTATACGGGGACAATTTACCATTGGAAAATGCTCGTAAGATTTCTCAAACTCCGACGGCTTTTTAAGTGCATGGCTAATTAGCTAAATGAGGCCAAGTGTTGTTGAACAATACGACGTTATTTATCCAGGGTTCAAGTACGTAAGGCGTTGTTGGTTTATGGGAAACCAGCTCTAAGGGAACAGCCGTTTGGAATTGAGAATTCTGGCAAATTTCCGCAGCTATGCTTAATCTGGAAAAAGAAATGAAGAAAGGAGAAGAAAAAATAATCATGGTCTCAAGCAATAACCCCCAATCTTGCAGGTGCTTCGAATGGCTATTAAAAAGCACCAGAGTGGATAAAACATAGATAATAACAACGATAATAGTGGTAATAATAGGGTTTGGATGATTAAGACAGCCCAAAACGGTAATTGCATATCGAGCCTCGCAGGCAGTACTTTATTGAGAGTTTTTTTCGAATGAGCCTTTGAGAAGGTGAAGCTAGGTGTAGTTAGCGGAGTTTATGGTTAGGCAGATAGGTACCTTTGCCATGGCCCTGGCAAACATTACTTTGTTAGTGGGTGTGGGATTACCGCCTGGTGGTTGGGTACATTGCCTACAGTAAGCAAAGGCAGTTAGCAGCACTGAAAAGAAAAATTCTTCACCGGATGGTGGAGAAACCGACAGGAAAAAAACAAAATGAAAAACGGCCGTGGTAGGCAGAAACACCCATTATTACCAGATAATAGATAGATATAATAACCGTGGGGACACTGTGACCACGTTATAGACTACGATAGAATAGACACACCTTTACATAATGTTAAACAGGAGCACCGCCACTGCGATGGCGAGAAGGAGCAGCAGTAACGGCTTCCATCTCGTTAGATCCCCGTCGTCGCATGCACCAGGGCACATGGCAGCGATGCTGGCAGCCCAGCAAAGTATAAGAAGATCGAGCCATCACCACTCTTTTGCCACTCCGTTACCATTGTCTTCTTCTTCTACTTCTTCTTCACCTCTCTCCCATCTACAAAAGAGTAACCGCAATTTTACCTCCCGTAAATTAGCACACTTTAATAGCAGATTGCCGGTGTTTTCTCGCTCTTCCACATCTGTACTTTCCCGCCTGTTTACCACATCTCTCGCCGCAAACATGTGCTCTTGCTCTTCTGCTGTCGATAGGTAAGTGTTTATTTTTCTTTCTTCAATGATTAAAAATAGGATGAATGGTGGGTCAATCAATTATTGTTTTACAGCATTGGGGCTATGCTATTATCAAATCTGAACAGCAAGCTTTCCCAATTGATTGCCAACACATACAATGCCGACTAAACCATTTGGTCAACCCCCAATGATTGATGGCCAGCGTATTCGGATGATTGATTTTAAGACTATTCGGATGCTTGATTAGGAAAATTAATACCAATTAAATATCCCTGTCTCTTGTGTCACTCATTTCTTATAGCAAACTGGCTTACCCCAAAAACATCAATATAACTAACACACATTTAGTACCGCTGGCCGTGAAATCTTGCCAACCAATGTCTACCCAGACCACTACTACATCACTCTCGAACCAGATTTCTCAAAATTCACTTTTGATGGTTCTGTCACTATCGATTTGGATGTGAAAAAAACCAGCTCATCTGTCACTTTGAACTACTTGGAACTCGACATCAAATCCGCTAAGATTAACGGCGAACCAGTCTCTGACATTAAATATGATGAAAAGAAACAAGAAGTCGAATTCATCAGCGCCTCTGAATTGGTCGAAGGTACCAAGGCTAAGATTCAAGTTGACTTTATTGGTATCTTGAACGACCAAATGGCCGGTTTCTACAGATCCACCTACAAAGACGAACAAGGTAACACCAAATATTTGGCTACCACCCAATTCGAAGCCACTGACGCCCGTCGTGCCTTCCCATGTTTTGATGAACCATTGCTCAAATCCAAATTCGAAGTCACCTTGATCGCTGATAAAGAATTGACCACTTTGGCCAACATGTTGCCAAAGGATGAAAAAGATTTGGGTAACGGTAAGAAGGCTGTTACTTTCGAATCCACTCCATTGTTGTCTACCTACTTGGTTGCCTTCATTGTCGGTGACTTGCGTTATGTTGAAAACAACGATTACAAAATCCCAGTCAGAGTTTACACCACCCCAGGTTTGGAAAAAGAAGGTGAATTCTCTGCTGCTTTGGCCGCTAGAACCCTTAAATTCTTTGCTAAGGCTTTCGATATTGAATACTACTTGCCTCACATGAATATGGTTGCCATTCACGATTTCTCTGCTGGTGCCATGGAAAACTTGTCTTTGATCACTTACCGTGCCATTGATTTGTTGATCGATGAAAAAACCGCTTCTTTGTCCAGAAAATTGCGTGTTTCCGAAGTTGTTCAACACGAATTGGCTCACCAATGGTTTGGTAACTTGGTCACCATGAAATGGTGGAACGACTTGTGGTTGAACGAAGCTTACGCCACCTACTGTTCTTACATGGTTTTCGAAGAAACTGAAAATGAATCATTTATTTTCCAAAACTTTGAAGCCGACACCTTGTCTGCTGCCTTTAGACTCGATGGTTTGAGATCTTCTCACCCAATCGAAGTTCCTGTCAAGAAGGCTGGTGAAATTAACCAAATTTTCGACGCCATTTCTTACTCCAAGGGTTCCTGTTTGTTGAGAATGATTGCTCACTGGTTAGGTAAGGACGTTTTCCTCAAGGGGGTTTCCAACTACTTGAAAAAGCACAAGTACGGTAACGCCGAAACCGCCGATTTGTGGGCTGCTTTGGCTGAAGCTTCAGGTAAAGATGTCCCAACCGTCATGGACAAATGGACCAAGAACATCGGTTACCCAGTGGTCACCGTCACCGAGGATGGTAACAAGATCAAATTGGAACAACACCGTTTCTTGTCTACCGGTGATGTCACCGAAGAAGATGATAAGGTTTTGTACCCACTCTTCGTTAACTTGAAGACCCCAGCTGGCGTTGACTCCGATATGACCTTGAATGGCCGTGAGACCACTTTTGAATTGAAGGAAGGTGAAGATTTCTTCAAGGTTAACACCGACGGTGTTGGTTTCTACAGAACTTTGTACACTCCAGAAAGATGGGCCAAGTTGGGTAAGGCTGGTTCTGAAGGCTTGTTATCTACTCAAGACCGTACCTGTTTGGTTGAAGATGCCTACTCTTTGGCTGTTTCTGGTTACTCATCCACTACCGATTTCTTGAACTTGGTTAGTGGTTGGACTGAAGAATCCGAATTCATTGTCTGGTCTTCTATTTTGGGATCTATTGGTGAATTGCGTGGTGTTATGAAATTCTTTGGCGATGAAGGTAAGTCAGTGGCCGGATTGAAGGCTTTGACTAGACACTTGATTTCTGCCAAGATCAACTCTCTTGGTTGGGAATTCGGTGCCAGCGAAGCTGTCTTGGACCAACGTTTGAAGGCTGCTTTGTTTGGTGCTGCTAGCAGCGCTGAAGATCCTCTTGTTGCTGACGATATCAAGGAAAAATTCGCCAAGTTTATCGCCGGTGATAAGGAAGCCATTAATCCAAACATCAAGAATGCCGTGTTTGCCGCTGTTGCCCGTACCGGTGGTGAAAAGGAATACGACCAATTCTTGGAAATTTACAAGAACCCATCCTCTTTGGATGAAAAACTTTTGGCGTTGAGATTCTTGGGTGCCTTTACTGAACCAGCTTTGATCCAACGTACTTTGAAATTGGCCTTGGACCCAGAAGTTGTCAAGCCTCAAGATATTTACATTCCATTGCAAGGTTTGAGAGCTCACAAGGAAGGTGTTTTGGCTCTTTGGCAATGGTTCCAAGACAACTGGGATGTCTTGGTGAAGAGATTCCCACCATCTTTGAACATGTTGGGTAACATTGTTTCCTTGTGTACTTCTGGTTACTTGGTTCCAGGGGCTAGACAAGAAATCAACAAATTCTTTGCCGACAAGGACTTGACCGGTATCGACAAGAACTTGGAACAAGCTTTGGACAGTTTGGAAAGTAAATGGAACTGGTTGGTTAGAGATGGTGAAAAGGTCAGCAAATGGTTGGACCAAAATGGTTACAAGAAATAAGTTTTGTAGTAACAAGCTTTAAAAATTTTTGTGCTACTGGTAGTTTACTGATTCTTTTTGTTTTTTTCTGGCTTTTGTTTCCCATTTATTTCCCGACTTTATTATTATTTATGATTATTTGTATTTAGTTACGAATTTTAGTTCTAATTGAAGATTATTTTTCTTTTGATTGTATATATAATTTGATGAATCGATTTGTAAAGTAAGTACACTCACTAAGTTACATATCTTTTTTTAAAAAAAAAAGAGTTATTAATTATGATAAAGGAGTTAATCGGATAGCTATATTACACATATATTGAATTGACTAGAAAATAATGCACCAAATAACGGGATTATAGAAAGTAATAAATCAGAATATAGATCATAGTAACACTGGGAAGATTGTTACCTCTCTCCCCTTCATTCAGGTATTGTAAGTGATGGTCAATCAATCTACCATATCAATATCTTCAAGCGATCCGTTTGCAGAAGTATCCATTACCTCTGATTCTTCAAGGGTTTGGTTATTGTCCTCAGATAACGAAGTTTCGATGGTTTCCCTTTCATTGCTTTCAGCATCAACCATTACTGACTTGGAAGATGAATTGTTGACATCATCGGGATTATCAGTATTCAAATTATCATTATCATTCGAGAATTCACCAATATCATCTCCATCATTTCCTTCTCCAAGCATTGTTGCTTGGTTTTCATCTTCAGGAGTTTTAACATCATCATCTTCATCAGCTTCATTATTATGGCTATTATTTTGGTCTTCTTCTTTTTCAGGCTGATGGTGCTGGTCTGATTGTTCTTGACCCTCCACTTCCACGGCATCTTCAGCTTCTAATTCTCGTTGGGCTTCTTCTCTTTCCCGTTCTTGATCCTCTTCGATTTCTTTCAAGTGGGTTTCTGTGATCCAAGGAATAGGTTCCATCTTGATGGGCTCGATCTTCCCCATTGGATCAGAACTATTGGCAGTTTTTCCCCCGTCATCACCATCACCATTATTATTTTTATTATTTTTATTATTATTGCTGTTGTTATCATCTTCGAGTAGTACTTTTTCTGTGGCGGAAGGTCTTTTCAATTCAGGAAACTCTGCCACGCTGCTTTGCACGTATACCAAGATCTCCAACGATCTAAGGAACTTTTGTGGTTCGTCTTCTTTATAGTATAGCGTTGGGTCCATTAAGGTTTCTGCTAGTCTTAAGATGGTGAATGGTGGGGATCGCGGGAATTGTACTTCCAAATGTTCGCAGATCCGAGTGGCCATGCCCTCAATGGTTTCATGAGAGGTATTTGAAAAACCATTATCTGGATTACCGGTGGGGATCACCATCAACGGGTTGTAAATCATCGTGGTCAATGGGAGAGAAAAGTCGGTGGTGAGGATTTTGAAAATATGTCGTATCATGTACCGTTGGAGTAGTGGCCATGCGAGGTTATTTGAGGCGGCATTATAAGTCTTTTGCAATATGATAAGGTCAAGGGATTTTGTTACTGGAAGGATATCAACCGTTAGTATTTGTGTCAATCAATAGGGAAACACACACACACACACACACACACATCGAGTCTACATACACTCTGCTAGGTCAATGGAATACTCGTCCATTGTGAAGTATACATATACATATAATTATATATAATATATACATATATATATATATATATATATACGTCAGCCCATCAATAATATTTAGTAAAGATCTGGTTATTATTGTTTGTTTATTTGGGCGATGGGGCGATAACTCATTGCCGGGTGACAGAAAGATCAGAGTGAGAGAGAGAGAAACGCGTGGGCGTTTAGCAATAAAATTTTGGGGAAAATGAAAAAAAAAATATATTGGAGGATTATCACATAGAGATTGCAACAGTGATAGTAACAGTAATAATAATAATAATAATAATAATGAGTTATCTCAGCATGGCCCTCAGGGTCCTTCCGAGAAGATCACTACAGAAGACAGCCACCCCATTTGTCACCCGTCGTTTGTGGTTGCCTTCCGCCTGCCGTTACAACTCCAGTGCCGCCCCAGCTACCACCATCAATAATAATCAACCACCACTCGATATCACCGACAAGGATATCGATTTGACAGAAGACGTCGATGAATGGCTCTCAGCCATCCAACAGCTCAGAGGCGAGTTCAGCAATAATGGCAAAACATTCAATCCAGAAACCTCGCTCGCACCACCAGGGGAAAACAACGTGTATATCGAATTAATGGAACAAACTCAATCCAAGCCAACCGCAGCCCAGATCGCCGAAGCCACCACCCTTAGAGCCAAAGAGGTCCCAAAGAAAAATGACGAGTTGCTCGAACATTGCGTAAACTTGATGATGAGACACGGGAAAAAGGCCAGAGCTGAAAAATTCATGGCCCGTGCGTTATACCTTATGAAATTGAAGTTGAGAATTGATCCAGTGGTTGCATTCAAAGATATTTTGGAAAGAATGTCACCATTGATGATTGTGAAGAATTTCAAGAACGGGACTGCCAAATCCACTAACATTCCTGTCCCACTTGGTCGCCGTCAAAGACTCAGAATCGCTTTTGGGTGGATCTTGACCAGAGCCAGTGAAAGACCTGCCAAGGATTTTTCCGTCAGATTAGGTGAAGAATTGATCGCCGCTTACAATGGCGATTCCAAGGGATTTGAATATAGGGCAGAAATGCACAAAGACGCTATTCAATACAGATCTTACATCAAACTCTGAGAGGATCATTTGATGTTGAATTTTGGTTTTGCATTGGAAAGCTACGTATTTTGTAAATAATTATTTAATAATAATGACAATATTGAAAAAAAAAAAAAAATTGAATAAACTGGAACAACGCTTTCCATTTATTTTGTAACCTCTGTTTGTAGGTGCTTTTATTACCAATATATCTTTGCGTTGGGTGGAACTTAAGGATTTCGGGTGCAGTTTGGGCAGTCACCCACCTATTGTGACGTTGCATCCGTAAAAAGATTTTTGACATCCATTTCACACCCTCATCAGGTAGCAAAACGTCAGTACTTCGAAGAACGTGTTTGGCATCATAAATTTCAAATTGTTGTTAAGTTTGTTTTTTTTTTTTGTTTTTTTTTTCATTCCTGTTAACTTCTTGTTCTTTCCAACTTAGCTTCTGTCATTTTGATTTCGTTTGATCGTCGCAACAAACAATCTCATCGAAATCTGCTATTATTAGGAGAAGATGGCACCACTACTACGAGTGGCATCGGCTATAGTTCTCACCACCCAAACCATTCTCAAAAACAATAGAACCACCATATGCTCTCGACGCAACAGCGGCCTTACAATCACTGATCCTCTTGTCATTTATCAAAATTATGTTTCCCAAGGCATCCTTAAAAGTGACGTTGCCCAGCTACGGGCCGCTAAAGAATTCCAAAGCTTATATTACAGGTTAAAAGATTACACTCCTCCCAAAAAAGCGGAGATTGAACTACGGATTCTCATCAGAGACATCGAGACGAGATCTAATGGTAATCGGTATATTGAAGGGTTTACCCCGACGTGGTGGAAGGACAGACAATCCAGATCGGCATCTAAAAAACTCGTCAAAGTCTTGAGCAGTGAGGAAGAACTCGAGAATTTGCCAATCCCCAAAGGTTTCTTGTTGAATGGTGAAGTCGGCTGCGGGAAATCAATGTTGATGGATATGTTTGCTGATAGCCTCCCATACGCGTCCAAGGGGAGATGGCATTATCATAATTTCATGCTCTGGGTGTACGACCAAATCAGTATTATTCAAAAGCGAAGAAACTCCTCCAACAAGTATACCAACCATTCGATCTTGGGGTTTGAAAACGAGGTGATCTTATTTGAGATCGCATCGAATATGGTCAATAAGAATACCGTGCTAATTCTTGATGAGTTTGCATTACCGGATATTGCGGCGGCGAAGATCATCAAATTGTTATTCACTTATTTCTTCAAACTTGGAGGGATATTGGTGGCGACTTCCAATCGATTACCTGAGGATTTGTACGCTAAAGATTTCAGAAAGCGAGAATTTAGAAGTTTTTTAGCGGTTTTGCAAATGCGATGCAATAGTTTGGATATGAATAGTGATAATGATTATCGAAAGATTCTCAGTGTTGAGTCCCAAGATATTATTACTCCACGGATTGTGATAAAGAAACAAAACGATGATCATGAAAATCATTGGCAAGAATCAATACTTTCAGTGATACGACAGGATAATGATGGTGCCAAAGATTATGTCAAAGTTTATGGCCGGGAAGTGATGGTTCCATGGCACCATGAAGGAGTGGTGAAGTTTGATTTCGATTATATTTGCCGAGGATTATTTGGCCCGGCCGATTACATTTCATTAGCTTGCAAATATCATACGTTCATTATTGACAATGTTCCGGTTTTTCAAGACTCGATGAAGAGTGAAGCTCGCCGGTTCATCACCTTGTTGGATGCATTGTACGAATCCAAATGCCAACTTGTCTTACGCATCGAGGTTCCGTTGGATAGGTTATTTTTCCCTAAAGACCAAGGGTTAGAAGGCTCTAATATCAAACAAGTTCAAGAAGAGGAGATGTATTCCAAGACCCAATTGGACTTGATATCACCTTACAGACCCAACGTATCTAATTATGATGATGGGGATTTGAAATTCAAAGATCAATTAGCGGTGAAGAATAAAGAAGATATCAATTTTACCAATACCAAAAGATTCACCGGGGAAGATGAAAAGTTTGCTTACAAACGTGCCGTTAGTCGTATTGAAGAAATGACCAAGCTGGAATCATGGAGAACCATGAAGAAATGGACTCCACTAAGCGAGGACTTGCGTACTTGGGAGGATTCATCGCGCAAGGATGGTCTGCGGATTCATCAAGATGATAAGGAAAAAAGGTCTTTGATAAACAGACGTCAGCAAAATGCTCCAAATATTAATGATGCTCATTTCTGGTCGATTGGGCTTTGGGGTGAAGGGAAAAGATTAACTGATGCATTTGCCAAAAAATGGATTAGAGGGGCCGGAGAATGAGATATAATATAATTGACCGATCATAATTACATATATATATATATAATATTTTCATTATATAAAATCTCATACACTTTTAGAACATATTCCATGAACATTCTTACAATAATAATATATGCCAAAAACTCTCAATTAATACAGGAAGGAGTAATAATAACATGTCCCAGGGCACCGCACCAAACGACGGATCAGTTTTTCCTGAAAGTTTAAAATCCCTTCAATTAAACAAACAGTGGCAGTGTAATTTAACTAGAAACAACAGAATAATCGAGAATTAGACCATATATATACTATGTCCAGTACCTCTAGACGGCTGTTGGAAGTGGGAGCAACAGTATTGGTACCCCATGATCGGGTGGGTATTCTTAGATTCATTGGCAATGTGGATGAGAAACCTGGGTTATTTGCAGGCATCGAATTGATCAATGGGTCCCCCGGGCGTAATAATGGTGATTATAAAGGCAAGAAGTATTTTGATGTTGAGGTTCCTAATTCTGGACTATTTTATTCTTACGACAGTATTGCCACGTTGAATGTTGGATCTGCTACTGGTGGTGTTTCCAAACCGTCTGCATTTGCTGCAAATCATAATAATAATAATAACAACAACAATAAAAGGGTATCTACAGGCACTTTCGTAACTACAGCAAAGGGAACCAAGGCCGTGAGGGATAAAAGACTATCATTAGATTCTCAAGCCACTGTCAAAGGTAATACCAGAAGAAGTTTCACTGCCACCCTTGCTACGACAACCACCGATTCCAGAACCCATAATCATCATCATCATCATCCTTTCACCACCACCACCACCACCACTAGACGGACATCATTGACCCCGATCAGGAGTGGAATTTCTAGTACCAATGATTTGGCGTCGCAAATTGATATCCTTACTAGACAGCAGGATGCGTTGAAACAGGAGAAAATGCAATTGGCATCGGATTTAAGTCAATATAAGGCGCAATTAGACAATAAGGTGTCGTTGTTGCAGGAATATGAGAATTCTATTGAAGAGATTTTGAAGCCGACAATCGAGGATTATAAATACCAATTACAGCAAAAGGACACCAAGATCCTGAAATTGAAACAACAAGCTGATCAACAAAGAGACGAGTTACGCGATGCAATCAGTGCGTTAGAAGATCAAGCGTCAGAAAACGCAGAGATTTATACTACGGAAATCACCAGTTTGAAAAAAACCATTGCCGAAAATGAACAAATCATAGAGTCATTGAGTCAAAAAACTACCACCACCGACCAACCAGAAATTATTACCACGTTGAAAGCGGAAATACAGGAAAAAACGGAGCTTATTACTTCTTTGAAAGATCAAATTCGGGTCAAAGAAACAATGATCGCGTCGTCGATTAAACAGGACCCAATTGTTACAAATGATGATGTCGAAAATTTCAGCGTCGTGAATAATGGAATAGACAGTGCGGAATTCGAAGCGATGAAGGTTGAATTTGAGAAAATCAAGGTTGAATCCAAGAAATTGATGGAGGAAATTGTCAAGAAGGACATTTCCATCCAAACTTTGAGCGACGAGATTGCATTATTGAAAAATGAACACAATGTTAAAACTACTATTGAAACGAAATCAACGCAAATTAATGAACTACAAATTAAAGACCAACAATCATTGGACAGTAACAATGAAAAATTGGAATCGCTAAAGGAAACCTACAAATCTCAAATCCTGGATAAAAATCTTGAGATTTCGAAATTGAACGAGATGGTAGCTGATTTATCATTGCAGCAGGGTATGTCAAGTGAGGTACAAGAGTTAAAGACAATGTTGGTTGTTAAAGAGCAAGAAATTTTCAAGTTACAAGAAGACAACATGAAAATTTCCAAACTTAATGCCGATATTGGTGATTTGAAGAAGCGAAATTTGGAGTTGATTGAAAGATCCAACGAGGCTGAGGCATTGAGATCTCAATTGAACAATAACGATCCACAGGAATTAATCAAGAAAGATGTAGAAATCGAGAAATTGAAACATAATATCCAAGTCATTGACGAGTTGAATGGAAAAATCGAGAAGCTACAAAATGATAATAGTTTGTTAACAAATAGTGAGGCGAATATTCTAAGGCAATATGAGGATTTACGTTACCGGCATTCCGAAACTGAGGTTGATCTTGTCAAGAAAAACCAAGTGATTGATCAATTAAAACTGGATATCTTGGAGTTACGAACTACCAATGACGAATTGCTCAAAGAAAATGAACAACTTAAATCAGAGAGTGAATTGTTGGAGGAATTACAAAAAGAAGAGATGCTTGAGAAATCTAACAAGATTGAAATGTTGCTTGAAAGAATTAAGGAGTTGGAAAGCAGTAACAATAAACAATTTTCAAGCCAAAAGTCGCCGATTAACAATAATTCGTTATCGTCAATTGATACTGGGAATATCATTTTCTCTCCTGATTCAGATACTAAAAGATTGAGCAACACCTCATCGATAGTAGGTGATGATCAGTGGGAAAACTCAAATGTGAAATCCGCGGGCAAGCCAAAACAATTACGATACTCATCTACCCCAGAGATTATTCAAGGAGAGCTCCCGATTTACAAACCCAAGGGTAATTTTGATGCTTCTGCAGGGAGATCTAAATGGTGCGGATTGTGCGAAAGAGAAGGGCACGATAGTTATGAGTGTCCATATGAGACATGATGCATTTTTTTTTTTTTTTGACTTGTGCAGTAGATCATTATAGATTTATTTATTTATTATTGATCACTTAGATTATTTTTTGTTATTTACGATTTATGATTCATACTTTATAATTTTTTTTTTTCGATTCTTAATATTAGTCACCTTGTATGTGCTTTGTCTGATCAATTGTTGTTATTTACGATTTATGATTCATCCTTTACAATTCGGTGATTCATCGTATCCCAATAAACTTATGATTCATACAATAAATTCTCGGTTATCAGTGAAAAAAAAACACACACACAACAAAACAGGGGGTAAATGCGCGTGCAGTTGCACCCTATCGGAATTCCCTGATAAAATGACTCACGGACACACGATGAGTAACAACACTTGAAACTTTTCAATTATAAAAAAGGAGCCACTTCTTCGTAATTTCCCACTTGTTGTAATTGTCAAAAAAAAAATTTTTTCATTTTCTCTTCTTCTCATCATCTATACTTGTTTACTTTGAATTTGATCCTCTCAATTCTCAGAACCCCCTGCAATTAACACAATAACCCCCACAATGTCTAAAGGAAAAGTCTGTCTCGCTTACTCTGGTGGTCTTGATACCTCCATCATTCTTGCTTGGTTACTTGAACAAGGTTACGAAGTCATTGCCTTCATGGCCAACATTGGTCAAGAAGAAGATTTCGAAGCCGCTAGAGCCAAGGCTTTGAAGATTGGTGCTTCCAAGTACGTTCTCGTTGACGTTCGTAAAGAATTCATCGACAAGGTGTTGTACCCAGCTATCCAAGTCAATGCCATTTACGAAAACGTTTACTTGTTGGGTACTGCTTTGGCCAGACCAGTTATTGCCAAGGCCCAAATCCAAGTTGCTGAACAAGAAGGCTGTTTTGCCGTCAGTCACGGTTGTACCGGTAAAGGTAACGATCAAGTCAGATTCGAATTGTCTTTCTACGCTTTGAAGCCAGATGTTGTTTGTATTACTCCATGGAGAGACCCAGAATTCTTCAACAGATTTGCCGGTAGAAAAGATTTGTTGGAATACGCTGAACAAAAAGACATCCCAGTCACCCAAACCAAATCTAAGCCATGGTCCACCGATGAAAACTTGGCCCACATTTCTTTTGAAGCCGGTATTTTGGAAGACCCAAACACCACTCCACCAAAGGATATGTGGAAATTGACCGTCGACCCAACCGATGCTCCAGCCACCCCAGAAAACATTGAAGTTCACTTCACCGCCGGTATCCCATCTAAGCTTGTGTACTACGAAGCCGGGGAAAAGAAGGAAGTTTCCGACTCTGTCGAATTGTTCTTGACCGCCAACAAGTTGGCCAGAAGAAATGGTGTTGGTAGAATCGATATTGTTGAAAACAGATTTATCGGTATCAAGTCCAGAGGTTGTTACGAAACCCCAGGTTTGACTCTTTTGAGAGCCGCTCACATTGATTTGGAAGGTTTGACTCTTGATAGAGAAGTCCGTGCCTTGAGAGACAACTTTGTCACCGTCAACTACTCCAGAGTTCTTTACAATGGTTTGTACTTCACTCCAGAAGGTGAATACATCAGAAGCATGATTGCTCCAGCCCAAAAGACCGTCAATGGTGTTGTCAGAGTTGCTTTGTACAAGGGTTCTATCCAAATTTTGGGTAGATACTCTAGCACTGAAAAGTTGTACGATGCTACCGAATCTTCTATGGATGAATTGACCGGTTTCTCTCCAGAAGATGCCACTGGATTCATCAAGGTCCAAGCCATTAGAATCAAGAAGTATGGTGAAAAGGTCAGAGAGGACAATGGTGACAAATTGATGGAATTGTGATTAATCTGTTGTGTGTCAACTTTTTGTATAATTATTCTTTCTCTTTGTTTCACGATTCATGCATGCCATAATTTTTTCCCTTTTGATCCCTATTCTTCCTCTCATCTTTTTATTCTGTATATTTGTTCTAGTCTATTAGATAGGTGAGTATATTATAATTTATAAACTTGTTAATTTGAAAATATTAAAGTATCAAATGTAGTTGAGAAAAGTGTTGAAATTGATAAAAATAATGAAACTAGTAAAATCATTAAAAGTGCTAGAAGTGCTGACAGTATTCAAAGTATTCAAAGTATGTATTCAAAGTATTGATATGATGCATGGAAATATGACATCCCAGCAACAGTGTTATTAAGTACATTAAAGATGATAATCCCTTACATCTAATTGGTGAATTTGGTATTTGATTTAATAATGAATTTAATAGTGGTAATAATAAGTGATGATAAAAGTAATGATAAAAGGAATGATAAAAGTAATGATAAAAGTAATGATAAAAGTAATGATAAAAGTAATGATAAAAGTAATAATAACAATATAGTAATAGTAACAATATAGTAAAAGTAATAGTAACAGTAAAAGTAATAGTAACAGTAATAGTAATAGTAATAATAATAATGTAAAAATAATAATAACATTGGAAAAAAAACAAAAAAAAAACAACAACAAAAAAACCGAATATAATTTAAAATACAACCTCTATGAACAATTATTTTTTGAATATAGAATATAAAATTATCAAACCTTTAATGGGGCTTTGATAGCAAAAATTTTTTGGAACATCATTTTCCATGGGACCTTGACATGTAATTCTTCGTCATTATCTCCTCCATCACCCCCTTTGACGCTTGCATCTTCAAGAACAAGGATGTCTCTAGCTATAAGGTAACCTCTTAAGAAAAACAAAGACAAGGCAGTGGTTGCAAATGCAAGACCAGCAAATAATGCAACATACTCATATTGATGACTTTCTCCATTAGACTTCTTCAACCCTAAACCAATAATTGGGGAAACGACACCGGCACTACCAATGAATACCCAAGTCATACCGAAGGTTGCAGGTGCTCTTTTAAGCCCGGTGATACGAGGGATGATGGCCCCGTTGGCACCCCAATTGAAACCCATAAGCCCACCAATGATGATCGAATAAGCATAAATCGTGGCCAAGTTACGACCAGTCATCCACATGGCTAAAGTCAAGAGAGCACATAAAGCATAAGTCCAGAACCCCACGGTCACCGCACCAAAACGATCTGACAAGAATCCCAAGAATGGTCTACCAACAATAACCCCGGTGGCCATCAATGCACTGTTATACGCGCCTTGATCGGCAGAATAACCTAAAGATTTGGTGGCGTCGGCAATAACGTACTGGATGGTGACAAAACTCAAAATCGAGCTGAAGTTCGAAGTGATGTGCATCCAGAATGGGAACATTTTGGCGACGGTGCCATCCCAGAAGGTCAATTTTGGGTTAATGGCTTGAGTTCTGGTTCTCAAGAGCGCGGCAGAAATCGACACCAACGCGAAAATGATGATGGCTTCGGCCCTGAGAGCCCATTGGACGGATTTGATATCGATGATTCTTTGCATGGTCAAGTTGAACAAAAGCGCACCGATCCCTGCCCCACAAGTGGTCAACCCCATGGCAAAACTTCTTTTCTTAAGAAACCATTGAGGAGGGATTGCTGGGGTATAACTGGCGATCAATGATAATGCGAACCCACTCAACAACCCTTGGGATAAATAAACTTGGTAGATTTTGGTAGCGTACGAAGCACAAAAGAGAGCCACAAATTGGAGAGCGCCACCGGTAAACACCACGACGTTAGCGTTGGTGATCCCAGCGACGTAGATCACCAAAGGAGAGAAGATGAGCCCGGCACCGAACGAGAGCCCCGAGATCACGGAGTAATCTATTTTGCTTCCACCCTCGAACACCGAGTGTTGCATGTAGTACGCCAAAATGACAGAGAACCCAGCGATGGCCCCCCAACTGCAAGCGTTGATACAGCACACCGCACCGACCACCACCCAGCCGTAACCACCATCGGGGATGTCAAAGTCCGACTTCGAGCCTTGTTCTTCTTGCGACTCGAGGTCTTGGTATCCTATGTCATCTTCAAACTCTTTCTTTATCGACGACTTTTTCTGCTGAGGAGAGCCAGAGTTGTTACCATCAAACGAAGCGGCAGCCATTGTGAAATTTGATATTTGTGTGATATTTCATCTGCAAAAGAAAACCTCCGAAATCCAGCATCAAATAAGAGGAAACCGGAGGCTTCTTATCTAGCGCCAGTAGACCCAGCCAGTAGACCCAGCCAGACACGATAGACAGATAGCATATCAGATATCAGATTAGCCAGAGACCCCAGCAGGCGTGTGAGTCATAGTATTGTCGTGAGTAAGGACGGTTCCAACGCCAGAAACTGGGAAAGGACGGGCAGCGATAAGGCGGCCTGGATATGGTCGGGCTGCAAAACCCTCTGCTGGGTACCCCTGGGTACCAGCGGCTCTCCGCGTTAACCAGCACAGTTCGCGCCGGAACAGGGGTTTTTTCCCTCCCACCCCACCAATCAAAGCACCATTATATTTGTCTCCTCCTTGCTCGTCCTTATCGCAATCAATTGTCATTAATAATCGTGTTTCATCTATGAAATAAAAATTTGCAGACATGTATGTATGTATGTATGTCATGGGAGAAAAAAAAAAAACATTGACTGCTGCATGATGAAAAAAAAAAAAAAAAACAAGTGACAAGGAAAAAACTTCACAGAGTTTCAGTGGGAAATAATTTTCAAGCAAGAACGCTCGCTCTCCCCCGCGAATGAATGTCAACTACAAGGCTCGCCGCCATTGATATCTTGTCAAGATCACTACACACAATGTCAAAGAAGCAAAAGACCTCTGCATCCGCCCACCCAAACAGCAAGCCTCGGGTCAAGGAATCACGAATCAAACTCGATGCCCACGGGTTCAAGGTCAAATCAAGGACCCAGGACGAAGAGCAGGTCAAACCAGAATACGTCATTGACGGCGCCCTACGAAGAGTAAAACCTTATTATTTTGTCTACAAAACTTACTGCAAACAACGATGGAGAGAGCGCACGATTTTGGATATCTTCAGCACTGAATTCCGTGACAAATCCTTAGAATACTACCGACAAGCGATCGAGGCGGGTCAAGTCAAGATCAACGACGTTGTTGCCTCGGTAGACACCATTATTCATGATGGAGATTATATCCATCATCGATCCCATAAGCACGAGCCACCAGTGTTGGCTGCCAGCCCGGAAATTATCTTTGAAAATGACAACATTCTTGTGATCAGTAAACCTAACGGGTTGCCAGCCCATCCAACCGGCCGTTACAAATTCAATTCTGCCGCCAGTATATTGAAATACGAGCGTGGATTGGTATGTCATCCTTGTAATCGTTTGGATAGATTGACTTCAGGGTTGATGTTCTTGGCAAAAACCTCGAAAGGTTCGAGGTTGATGTACGATCAACTTACCAATAGAACCGTCGAAAAGTATTATATTGCCAGGGTGGTGGGAGATTTCCCGCTTGGAGATAAAGATAAAAACTATGAAATAACCGTGGACCAACCTTTGGAAAGTGTCGAGCCTCGTTTAGGATTGAATGGCATTGCAAAAGATGAGATTGATGGCAAGCACGCCACGACAATAATGAAGAAAATCTCTTACGATAAAGCCACAAACACCAGTATCGTGAAATGTCAACCCCTCACGGGACGCTCTCATCAAATCAGAGTTCACTTGCAGTATTTGGGCCATCCAATCGCTAACGATCCTTTATATTCCAACGTTGATGCATGGGGTCCGGAATTGGGAAAAGGAGGCTTGTCAGATTACTCGAGCGCTGTTGCAGCATTGAACAAATGCGGTAGAAACGAACCTTCTTCAAGTTGGTACTATCAAACCAATGACAAATTCAAAGATATGAAACCTGGCGAATTGTTGTCTGACAAAGAATGCGAAGTGTGTAAGACAGAATTATACACCGATCCAAACGCGGAAGATTTGGAAATTTGGTTACACGCCTACAAGTATCAAACAAAGAACTACGATGAGGAAGTAAAAGAAGTTGCCACAGAAACACAAAATACCGATGAAAAATCAGATGAAAATGAGTTTAAAAGATGGTCATTTCAAACCCCACTTCCACATTGGGCACTTGACTCGTACAAGCCATTAATGGAACTTGCAATTAAAGAGGCTGCAAAATGTCCGCCTACCACTACTGCTTTTTCCGTAGGAGCAGTTCTTGTCAATTCTTCGACTAATGAGATTTTGGCCACCGGGTACTCTCGTGAGCTTCCTGGTAACACTCACGCGGAACAAAACGCTCTTACCAAGTATTACGCTTCTCATAACAATAAACCTTTACCAGATGGGACTGTTTTATATACCACCATGGAGCCTTGCAGCTTGAGGCTCAGTGGGAATTTACCATGCGTGGATCGAATTCTTGAAACCGAAGGGAAGATCGTGTCATGTTTTGTGGGGGTTATGGAACCAAAGACGTTTGTGGAGAACAACGTTGGCCGTGAAAAGTTGATGAGAAATGGGGTGGAGTATGTTCATATTCCAGGGTACGAAGAAGAGATTTTGAAATGGGCGTACAAAGGCCATGAGAACAAAGAATGATTGGATAGGTGATGTTTTAATGATAGATATTCTGTGTATAATAGTATGTATAATATGGCTCTTTACTATAGTACTAATTGTTGTTGGAGACAGTGTAAGATATATATATATATATATATACATATAAATGTTCCGGATATATAGTAAATAATTAAGTCCGCCCGGAGTCACTCAGCAGCGGGTGGGATGGGGTGTGAGCGCCCCCAATATGTTTGCAGCCCTTGGCTGAAGTTTGAGTTGGAGGGTCCACTAGTGAAACTTTTTGTGCCAGTGCCCGCGATATATTTACCACTAACTAATCATTATTGCTGTTTGCCTGGCTTGAAGAAGTTATTTTAGTTTGATTTTGCTTGTTGTTGTATTTTATTATACATAAAATATTTCATATTCATACACCCTCCCCCTACACACACAATTCAGCACACCGTATTTTCAATATAGCACTACACAATAATGGGGTTCTTTTCTAGATCCTCTAATACTACCAGCCCAAAAGAGGCAAAGCCAGATGCCAAGAAGCCAGAAATCAGTGAAAATGCGGTGTTCGTGCCAATCGAGCACCCTGTTTCCGGAAGTGTGAGTCAACCGGAAGTGCCAAATGACAAGGCGGTTACCGACGAAGAGAAAGAAAAAAGGTACCAAGAAGTTCTTAACCATTTCCAAAACCCAGATCTCGAATACCCATTGTCCAGCGATGACAAGGAAAAGAAAGAGAAGCTCACCACCGTGGAAAAAGCTTGGTTGACCAAGGAATGTTTCTTGAGATACTTGAGAGCCTGTACTTGGAAAGTATCTGATGCCATCGACAGACTTGAAAATTCCGTCGTCTGGAGACGTGAATACGGGATTTCCAATGGGGTTTACGGTAAGCACGATCCGATCACTGGTAAATACCAGATCCCTGAGTTGGCCGCCAAAGCATTACTGCCAGAAACCGTTGTCGATGAAAGTTTGACCGGGAAACAGATTGTATTTGGTTTCGATAAAGGTTGTAGACCTTGTTTGTTCTTGATGAACGGTAAAGAAAACACCAAACCTTCAGAAACCCAAGTGCAATTCTTGATCTTTATGTTGGAATGTGTCATTAACTACATGCCTCAAGGCCAAGATAAGCTTGCTCTTTGTGTTGATTTCAAAGAGTACCCAGTGGGACTTAAAAGCAAGTCGGTTCCTTCGGTTTCTGTAGGTAAGTCCGTGCTTCATATTCTCCAATACCATTATCCCGAAAGATTGGGAAGAGCGTTATTTGTCAATATTCCGTTCGTTGCCAGCGTGTTCTTGAAATTATGCTGGCCATTTTTGGACCCTTACACCAAACAAAAAGTGTCGTTCGATAATCCATTCAGTGACTTTATTCCAACCGAACAATTGATGGATGAGTACGAAAATGGGGAAGTGGAATTCGTGTTTGATCATGACAAGTACTGGAAAGGGTTGATTGAAATCGGGGTGAAGAAAAACCAACACTATTTGGAAAGATTCCTCGAACTTGGAGCCACGGTAGGGTTGAGTGAAGTGGATTTAAGATCTAATGAAGCAATCCCTGGCAGTGATGGCAAGACCGTCAATTATACTACCGAAGAATTCCAAGATGCTATCTCAACTGCATCGGTTGGTGACAATTTGGAAAAACTCCACATTTCAGACGCCCCAGTGGAGAAAAAAGACCCAGAAGTGGTGGAACCAGTTCAAGCTTGATGCTTATTATTCCACATAGTTATACTTGAATCATTTCTAGTTACCGCTTTTTTTTTTTTTTTTGTTCTTTAAAATATATAATAATCTAAAGGGATATGTTTTTGCTTTTTTCCTCTATTTCCTTTTCTTTTACATTCATCAATTTTTAATAAGAATTTTAATTTAACAGATAGATAGTCCAGAATTTAATATTTTGACTTACTATTCTTGTGAATGTAGAATAGTCGTGTGGCTTCATTCACAACCAAATATTCTTATGGAATGAATATGAAAAAAGGACGATAAATCTCGAAAGCACCTAAAAAAAAAAAAAAAAGAAGTCATCCCAATGGTTACTTAACCAACAGCATAGCAAGATTAGCCAATCGCACACCTACAATCAATTTGAAGCAAAGCAGAATAATAATTATGACATAACAAACGTAACAAGGGGATTATATACAACTTTTATACATGTGGAGTGGAAGGTAAATAAATACAAGATATAGCAAGATCGATTGTGAATTTGGCAAAAAAAACCTCAACCTCTTTTTTATATATAAATGAAACAACAGTGCAATCAAGAGACAAATCGTCTGCGATAGTAAAAACCCGTTTATTCAATTCAAGATTTTCCCTTGTTTGGCTTGTGCCAATTGGGCTCTCAACTTTCTAATCAACAATCTAATAGGGAAACGAGGTTTTCTCAATCCTGCGGCAAATGCCAAACAAAGAGTCAACAAGCCCATGGCACCTGCTTGATGGGCTGCCGCTAATGGGATTGGTACTAAATAAATCAAGGTACTGATCCCCAAAGCTGCTTGCAAGGTGACCATTCCCATGGTGTAGTGCATCAATTGAACCGCTCTTTTTGGAAGAAGCGCTTTATGACGGTTCACGTACATGTGGGCGGCAAACACGGTGGTGAAAGTAGAAATCGCCAAGATACGGTGGACCAATTGGACGGTGGTTGGGTTTTCAAACAAGTTTCTCCAGATCATATCCGACTGGTCTTCTTTGCGAGCAAATACCGGACTGAAAAGTTCGTTATTGTTAGGGAACCATTGTTCACCACCATTGCTCATGGTTGGGAAAGTGTTATAGATCAAACCAGCATCAAGACCAGCAACCATACCACCAGACATCGCGGTGACAAAAGTCAATGCCACTAAAAAGAGAGACAACCGACGGAACGGTTTCAAAAGAGGAGATTCAAGTTTGGCGATGGTTTGTGCGGCTTTCTCTGGAGATTTAATCCATGAGTTTTCTTTAAGGATTTCGAAACTGGTCCACAACATTCCCATGTAGAGTAAGAAAGCAGCGCCCAAATGTGTGGTCAATCTATATTGAGAAACCGTAGGCTTGGATTTTCTATCGTCTAATTGCTTTTGATCCAACCCAGAGTACACCATCCACCAACCAACAGCACCTTGCAAAGCCAAAAGAAGGCCAAGACCAATGAATCTTCTGTTCATATGGGCAGAAGTCTTCTTTCTAACGGCAAAATAAATAGCAGGCAAAACCAAAGTCAAGCCAATAACTCTTGCAACCAATCTGTGAGACCATTCCATGAAGAAAATAAACTTGTATTCGTCCAAAGTGATATGGGAATTAAGTTGTTTAAATTCAGGCGATTCCTTATACTTTTCAAACTCGGCGACCCAATCTTCGTGGGTCAAAGGTGGGATAGATCCGGTGATTGGACGCCATTCAGTGATAGATAGACCAGATTCAGTGAGACGTGTAAGACCACCAAGGATAACAATTCCAAAAACAAGACCAGAAACTCCGAGGAGCCAATAACCGACAGTATTGGAAGAGTTTACCGGGTACTTTGACTTAATCTTGGTAGCGATGTCCCCATTAGCCGGGGCGTTTTTGCAAAAAGCAGTACGATGAAAGGCAGTTCTAGAAGAGGTATGGAGGGATTGTTTGCGTATAATGGAGTTAACCGAGGCATTATTAGCGATATTTCTGTTGAAAAAATTCAAGTTACAAGTGGTCAACAGTCTAAGAGTCGAATTACCAACAGTTTTCGACCCACCATTGAAAGCTTGTGGTTTCAAAAGGCAGTGATTCTTAAGAAAGAACCCTGACAAAGGGCGCCTTATAATGTTCATTCTAATATTGAAAAAAAGAACCCTGTTAAATCTTGGTGTTGGTGAAATCGAAATACAATAATTATTATATCATCCATCCATCACCCAGAACGAAATTTTTTAAAATAGCAGAGAAAGGCACACATTATCGCATTTTGGTTACCCTGTCATGGACCGAAATTATTCCTTTAGCCGTATGATACATACTCTGTTACTGGCACATTAGGAGAACAAAGTGAATTGCTTTTATGGGTGGTGATGTGTATAATGAGGACGATGAATTACTAGTATTATTATTATTTGATTATTCAACATCTGCCGCTTGTTCAACATCCATTTTTTTTTTTTTTTTTTTAACTTCAATTCTTCATGCAACTGCTATTCTGATCTGACAACGACCAAGATATATGGAATTGATTGTGTGGACCTGCTAGGAAAATACCTACATGATGTTGAAAAATGAGATCCTGAGGTGACTTCTTGACTTTTTGGTGATGGTAACCAAAATACCGGTTATGCTTTGTGCGTGCTGCTTACTCAATCCATACAATGGAACCATGGAACTGGTACAGAGGAGTCGATTTATTGAGAGAACTTCAGGAGCCGGGAACGTTTCGTGAACAAAGATGGCACCTCATAGTTAATGATTAATAATGTAGCGCTATGAAATATATTATTGAATGATGAACACTTGGTGGAATCATGCTAACATCTGGCGGATCAATCACTTCAATTCGCCATATGTCGTGAGTGCATTTATATACAAAAATATGAGGCGTAAGTTTCAGCTATCATTAAATAATACTTCCTATTTCAGAGTTTGAGAACCTTAGTCTACATTTTAATAATAATAACAATTAACACATCTAGGAGCTTACATGGTGATATTTCAGACAATCGGATCCATTATTATTATTATTACGGTTGCTTTTATGCATGTTGCTTTTATGCATAGCATTTTCTTGGTGATTTCATGAATCAAGTCAGAATGAAAAAAAAAAAAGAGAAGGAGCAAACTATGATCTTCAATTGACTCCATGCTATTAATAAAAAGACATTATTTGTTCTTTGTGACTTGAGAAGTGTATATTGAAAAAAAAAAAACAAGACAAAACAAAAAAACAATGGACATCCTAGGAAGATTGCCTATTGAATTGCTTCCGAACGTGTTCAAGTATATGGAAAGGTGCCAATTGGCGAGATTGAGAAACCTGATTGCTGATGATCCTCTTTCACCATTATTACAATATATTGATTGTGTGTTGTTTGAAAGAATTTTCATTTTCCGAAAGTATCGTTATTTTCCAAAAATTAAATTGAAGAATCTTTCATTTTTTTTGGCTTGCCATGATTTTTTGAGAATTACTTACTATACGTGTTGGTACGATATGGAAACAGTATGCTTTGTTTGGGAAACCATTCACGATGAAGATATGATGGCGTTTATCCACAAATACGTCAAATCAATTATTTGCGACTTTGATGAACATCTTGATGCTATTGATTTAGAAGCTTTTGCGTTTATTATCAATTCCGCTAGAAACTTGAAATTCATTAGAATACCAATGATGATTCCTGGAGTTACCAAAACATGTGAACAAATGGAAATCGTCACAACTGTTGCTGAAGCAATACTTCCAAATGCTATTGGATCAATGAAATCTCTAATGATCTTTAGGAATAAAGATCACTTCATTACTTGTTCGAAGTATCAATTTTTCTATTTAAAGAGTTTGTAATTGTTGGATTGCGTGCCAAGCTTCGATGGCTCCCCATGGAAACTTCCAAACTTGCAACTGTTGAGGATTAGTCTTCGGCTGCGGAAAAGAATTTCGAATATCAAGTCAATTTATTTCCCAAAGCTAGAAAGATTGAGGTTACACGGTGCCATCAATCCAACAGAAATTGCTACTCTACGATACCTTGATATTTTCTGTGGGAAGTTTGATGAGAAAATCTGGGATTTGCAATGGGTACATAATTTGGAAGAGTTTTCCATTATCGGTTCCAAATTATCTGAAATCTCAGGCATAAATTGCTTGACAGAATTTAAATCTTTAAAAATCTTTACACAGCTGCAAATACAAAAAGTTAATAATTTACACGGTTTATCGAAGCTCACTAACCTAGACTTATCCCTGAATCGTATAAAAGAAATCCTCATGGATTTCTCTGAGTTTCCTGAGCTAAGAGAATTAAATCTTTCTTGTAACTATCTCACCTCCTTGACTAATTTGACCAATATTTTGTCTCTCATTAAGCTCGATATCAGTTATAATAGTATTTCAGATATTATTGAGTATAATTTCAGCAGTAATCACAGCTCACCTGTTACAAAAATGAGCAGCTCCAGAAGATTGATCTCATTAAGCGGGATGGCCACTTTTTTGAATAAGCGCAGGGTTGTTCGATCCTTTATCAAATTTCCAATTGAGTTTAGGGATATTTCAAAAACTCCTATACTGAATTATCCCAAGCTACAAGAATTGAATATCTCTCAAAATAAGTTCTCCTCGTTGCATAATTTTCGCAACCTTCGATCTCTCACTAAGCTAAATGCCAAATCCAATTGCATTAAACATATTCCTAGATTGAATTATCCGAACCTTTGGGAATTGGATGTGTTTCTGAATCATCTCGGGTCCTTAGATGGAATATGTAATTTTCCAACCCTTACTGAACTAAAGGTTTCTCCAGGCCAGGTTGAGAATCTTTCAAACATCGGGCATCCAAATCTCAGAATCTTAAGTGCGAAGTTTTGTGAGAGGTTGCAATGTCCAAAGTGTTCACGGATTTTAAATTTTTTAGGCCCAGAGAACTTCCCGGCTCTTGAGAAGTTTAGGACTTGAACATGTTATTTTGTGCTGCAGGGGGCTGGAAGTATGAATTGCTGGGCTAGACATTCATACCTGCAGTATATTATATATATGCAGTAAAAAAAAGCAGGGTAGGTTTATTCTTCACTTGTTATCTTCTTCATATGTTTTTCATAAAGACGTCCAACCTTTTCAAATGGTGATTGTGCCTGGTATTGAATGAAGCCGGTGACAGGCAGATGAATGTTTTTCGCTTCAAATAACCACGAAGTTAAATACACTAATATATAGTCAAGCAAAGAAAAAAAAAAGGAGTGGAATTACCAACTGCTGCTTGCGGACTTCACGGAGCTACAAATACAATTTAAAAATGAGAATGAATCAGCAGAATGCAAATGAATACTTAAAACTTATAATATGATCAAATTAACAAGAGTATAGAATGAAGAAAACGCATGGCTGGTAATAGTTCTTAATAGAGATTATAATGGCTCTCAGTATCATATATCAATGTCTAAATAGTTTTTGTAAGCTCATACCAATATCTCGCGGTTTGATACTTAACATACATATTTATTTAGTTACAATTCATACGGGTTTTTTCATTTCTTTGGTGATTTTGCAAATTCCAAGGATGCCAGTACAATAATAAATAATAAAAAAAAAAAATAAAAAAACTTCAAGAATAACTCATTACAGCACTACATTTACAATCAATTAAATTCACAACTTGCTCGCCACCTTCTTTGCGATTTCCAAAAATTTCAAACTAACTTCCAGCGACGCATTTGATACGGCAACCGGTTTCCCTAAGTCACTTTGTTCCCTGACTTCTTTGACTAAAGGCAAGAAACCCAATAACTCGACCTCTTGCTTCTTTGCTTCGGCTTGCACCCCCAAGTTCCCAAAAATATGAGACTCATGATGACAATTTGGACATTCAAAATAGCTCATGTTCTCCACTAATCCAAGGATCGGGATCTTCATTTTCCTAAACATCGTGATTCCCTTTTTAGCGTCGATCAACGACAAGTCCTGAGGAGTGGAAACCACCACAGCCCCATTGACTTTCAAAAGTTGACCAATACTTAATTGAGTATCCCCTGTTCCCGGGGGCATGTCGATGACCAAAATATCGACATTTCTCCAGGCAACGTCGAAAAGAAGTTGCTGTAATGCTTTCATCACCATCATGCCCCTCCAGGCAATTGCCGACTCTTCAGTAGGTATCAAGTACCCCATGGACATGGTCTGAAGTCCGTAATTTGTCTTCGGAATGAGTTTTCCTTGATCAGATATCCGCGGCTCCCCATCAATGTTGAAAAGCTTGGGAACCAGGGGACCAAAAATATCGGCATCTAGAAGCCCGGCAGTAAGACCAAGTTTCTGGAACGATAGAGCCAAATTAGCACTGATTGTCGACTTTCCAACACCCCCTTTACCAGAAGACACAAGCAAAATCTTTTTTACCCCAGGAATTGCCAGCTTGACCGGCAAATTCTGTGACATTCGAGGAATCTTGGGGAGTCCCTATATGGCATCATGCTGTTAGTGGCGATGGTTCTGCTAGGTTGTTTCTTGAAACTCATTACCTACCAAAGGATTCGAATGTGATCTGAGGATCGAAGAATAATGGATCCCTCGAGAAAATAGTGTGGTGACCATTCTATTTGTAGCTTCACTTCGAGTTACAATACTGATTGTTGTATGGGGTAATGGTTCTTTTTTTTTTCATGTACTTTTTTTCAACTTCAAAAAAAAAGTAAAATAAATGAGGAATCATATTGATTGATAAGAGTAGGTCCATGCTATAATATCTTTTGTAGTATATTGAGACTCAACTCAATTACCAGAGAATAGAAGAAAATAAATCAGTTGAGATAGAATCTAAATGGGAATCGAGCTTGGACTTTCTCGAATCATTCTTCTTCTCAAGAGACTTAACAACCCCCATCTAACGACATGGAAGGCCGTTCATGTTCTGGGAACTAACGGTAAAGGATCTATATGTTCCTATATCTCCTCTATTCTTCAGTCTTCATCGATATCACTGGGAAAATTCACCTCGCCACACTTGTTATCCGTCACCGACTCGATCATGGTGAATGGCAAGCCATTGACAAAGGATTCTTACGAACGTATCAAAAGGAAAGTAAAAGACGTGGATCATCAGTTTGCCATAAATGCCACCGAATTTGAAGTTTTGACAGCAGTGGCCTTCGAAGCATTCAGAGAAATGCGGGTGAAGGTTGCAGTGATTGAGGTGGGATTAGGAGGAAGATACGACTCGACCAATGTGTTGACTGCCAATAGTGATACTTTAAAAGACAAGGCAAATGATCAAGGAGATTACGGGGTGTTGGTCACTGGTGTTGCCAATATTTCAAAAGATCATGAAAATGTTCTTGGTAATACTATTGAAGCGATCGCTTATCAGAAGGCAGGGATCATCAAGCCTCAGGTCCCATGTGTGGTTGACGGTACGAACCTGGGGTCTGTGATCGAGGTGATTAGGGAAGAGGCAAAGTTAAAAAATTCCCAACTCACCGTCGCCGATGCCACGAACAAGCAATTCTTAGTTGATTCACATTCTGGTAGGACAACAACCATTGATGCCACCTCATTATCACCATTATTGGGATCGTATCAAGCCGCCAATCTTTCAGTGGCATTCAACATTATTACACAGGTCCGCCGCCAGCTATCGCACCTGAAGAATCCAGAAACTAGAGCTTTGGCACAAAAAATCACATTGACATCGATTATCAAGGGGATTAAAGATACCAAATGGCCCGGAAGATTACAGAAATTACAATTGAGAAACACCACCCAATCCAAATTGGATATCTTGTTGGATGGGGCACACAATGTTGCGGCAGCACATGAATTACAAAAATATCTTCAATCGCTGATTTCAAGTAAACGGAAAGTGGCACTAGTGGTACTGATGACGGCCCTGAAAGATCTTCCAGGAGTGATGGCACCAATCTTGGATAGCATCAAGGAAGTTCTGTCGGAGTTTGCAATTTACTTGACCAACTTTGATCATACCCACGGCGTAGAAGATATGCCTTGGATTAAATCTTATGATTGTGACCTAATGAAATCTGAATTTGAAGCCCTAGGAGTGGACACCACCAATATCAATATTCAGAAAGACGTGGCTAAATTATTTGGCAAAGTTTTACCCGAGAAAATGGGTGGTAATCAAGAAGACTGGGATATAGTTGTTTGTGGGAGTTTGTACCTTGTGAGTGAGGTATTGAGAATTCATTTGGCAAATGGGGGAGATATTAAGGATATTTATTAATTAAAGATTGTGGTTGAGGTTGATAGAATGAGTAACAGCAATTTATCCAGCAATATGTAACCAAATATACTGTATTATAATGATAAAAATGAGCGTACATATAAACAAAAAATAAACTGCACAAAAATAAAGTGATGATACATAATAAAAACAAAAAATTTAACAGATACACAGTACTAGAAAACCTTCAGATCACAAAAAAAAAAAATTCATTAACTTGAACTTGAATAAAAAAAAAAAAAAAAAGATAAATTCCCCGTAGAATCTAGAAGATAATGTGCATTGATGTTGATAAAATAGCAACTGTAATAGTAACTACGGATGTTGGATAATCACAACAGTTTTTTTTTCTTATTAATTTAAAGTTTAAATATCATCACCAAAAGCAGAAGTTCTAGTGGCATCCTTTTCAATCAAACCGTTGATTTCTGGTAACAAATCACCCAATAATTCAGCAGCGCTCTTGTGGTAACTCAATTGAGCTTCGATCAATTCGGACAATTCAGCCAAAGGTTTGGAATCATCAACAACATTCTTCATGATACTAACGGCCTCCTCGGTAGCGTTGGCAAATTCGTCTTCTAGGTGGTCCAATTCGGATCTCAACTTGGCCACTTGGTCAGGTCTGGCAGTCTTAATGGCAGCACGGGCAGCGTCATAATTCAAACGTTTTTCTTCAACGGTTTGACGGGCCTTTGTGGCTTTACTAAGAGAAGTCTTAAGGGCCTTGGACATTGGCAAGTTGAAACGAGCACGAATAAGGTTATCTTGGGTAAGACGAGCTTCACCAATCTTGAGTTCGGCAGTGGCGTACTTGCTCAAAGCTTCGGAAAGGGAACTGGAGCTAGGAGTGGCGGAGTTCAAATCAGAAGTAGACTTCAATTCCTGGGAAGCAGAAAGCGCAGCACGACCAAGAGCATGGTTCAAAGTCTTTGGTGGTTGTTGCTTACCGCCAGAAAGAAGAACGGCTTGAGCATCGGAGGCAGAGGTAGCACGAGAAAGGTCTTGAACTTTGGAAACAAAAGTCTTGGAAAATTCATTAACTGATTCTTTCTATAAAATTACTTGTTAGTATCCTTTCGGATCATCAGTGATTCACAAAATAGTTTAAATCCCAACATTTTGGAAGCATCTAATCTAGCTGGTGTAGACCAATCATTCACGTCTAGTGATGTGCCGCCCCCCTGATTCCATAGTTTGGCAAACTATTTCTTGGCAAATAGAAATTCAAGCAGAAGAACATACCATATTGGCTGGATAATCATAAGATTCATTTTCGTAAGTGTTACTAAGAGATAAAGGTTAGTTTCAATTATTATAACTGAAAAGGGGTAAACGATAAAGCAAAATCAACATACGTGATATCCAACAATTTTTGGTAAACCACTTTCAAACTATCAACTCTTTGTTCCAAGTCGATATATTCTTGAGGAAGTTGGGACTAAGATAATTACAGGTTAGTAACAAAGCTAAAAAAAGAAAAAGAACAAAAAGAACAAAAGATAAATCTAGAATATTAGGGTATATCGATCCAACACTTACTACATCGGTAGCCTTCCCCAAACGTTCCTCAACCATTCTTTGGGTCTTTTTAGCAAAGCTAAAAGATTGGTTCCCGAGGTCCTGGAAGGATTTGGTAATATTGTTGATGTCCTTAAAGTTTCCGAAGCTGCCGAATGACATTTTTATGATGATGAGGGGGAGATGAGATGTTGTCAATTAGGGAGAAAACAACATTTAGTTTGATCCAATTTCTTGTTCTCTGTGACGGACGTGTTTTTTTTTGTCACATGGGAGCTTTTTTTTTGACGGGGGGTCAGGGCTGCCACACCAATTTGGCAGGAGAAACTTCAACATCATTTAACACTATTGTGATTGATAATCAGGAAATCCCGTTGTTTAATCGTGTATTTTATATGGGGGTATTGCAGTAAGAAACATATTTTATTAATTGTGTAGTTCGGCACGGGTATATTAACGTTTTTGGCAAAATGTAGTGGAAATTATTCTGGGTGAATCTTCTTTTTGAAGTTATTTCTGCAGCTAGTTCGATGATTTGGGTTGAAGTTATCTTGAAACTCCTTCAAGTTATCGGAATTATTTAATTGGAATCCATCAATAGTTCATTCATCCAAAAAACTACTCAGTACATGCCGTCAGATCATGAAAAATAAAAAAGTATTTCATATTCAAATGAATACACTAATATACGTTTATACTATACAGTCCCGGGAATGCTATTGCCAAGGAGGATTTAAGAAGATTAATTTTTGTGGGTGAGAATAATAATGGTGAAAAAAGAGAATAGATGCAAAGCGAAGTAACAAGAACAAAAGATAGGGGAAGAAGATGCGCCATCACTGTATTATTATCCCATATCCAATATGAATCAGCTGATTAGAAGATTGAAAAGGAACATTTGCACCATTCTATATCTTTTCCTCTCACAACAAATAAAAGTAGGCCAAAAAAAAAAAAGAAATTCAGTCATTTGATTAACGACGGATCAAAATGTAAACATGCTCTTGTTTCAAAGATGACAAACTTCTGTAAGGACCTTCCAAACACATCAATAACCCGCCAAATGAAACAAATACAGAGATCTTATCATCTTTACCTTCATTGAATTTATAAACTGTACCGTACATCACGTAATCGTAGTCGTCGGCAAGAGAGTGTTCTCCAGCACGAGGTGGACGCCAGCTGACAGATTCCCCGGTTTCGGATGATTCTGTGAGGGAGGCAGTGAGAGCGACAGTTAAAGTTTCATTCATTTCGATTGGGAAAAGATCGTGGTTGATGTCAATGGTTAATTGGATTTCTTGAGACGATTTGGAACGGGCGGTCACACGGGAGACCTTGTCGTAGTTGGCATTGTCAATTTCGGTAATGACAAAGATATCATCGAATAGTGTAAGTGACATCTTGCAATCAGGGTCTATTTAATAAAAGGATATATTATAATGATGATAGTTACAATAGCATCATCGCTCTATTGATTATTCAGAAAAAAAAAAAAAAAAAATTTTGGAAAGTGCAGATTCTCCTCCACGTGACTGAACATTATATGGCGTTTAGCATAAAGAGTCACCCGGCGCCATCGCCAGCAGGAACTGAAAAGTTGTCATTTTCACATAAGTCATCTTGTATCCATGTAATCGTTCTCTCATCCATCCTCTTCCATCGCCACTTGCAAAGTAGTTTCACCACTGTCATCACCACCTGCTTTATCATCATCAAAAAATGGGTCTCCTTAGTAAGATAAAGAGCAAGAAAGAAGACTATGTCAACAGAAACAATAAGGAGGAACCAGCGGAGAATAATCCGTATATGAACACCTCTATGCCAACTAAAGAAAACAAGTTTAGTGCATTCGGTGACTATGCTACTCAAAAGCGTGAAAACATGGGGACATACGGTCCCCGTACTGAGGCTCCTGATACCTCCCGAAAAGCCCCTCAATTTGAAGAGACCTGGCAAGAATATAAAGCCAAAAAGGAACAGGAAAAGACCAGCTACGGCGGATACAATAACTACGATAATGGTTATGGTAAGAACGATTACAATAATAATAGCAATGGCTATAATAATAACGGGTATGGCGGTTATAGCGAAGACAATTTGAATGCCCCTGGCAATAATTACAACCCGGATGACTTGAATGCCTCCCACCATAACTATGATCCAGATGATTTGAATGCTGATCCAGAAGAAGTTAGACAATACGATCAACCTCAAGCCCAACAACAGGTTCAAAGAGAACTTACTGAGGAAGAAAAAGCCCAACAAGAAGAGGAAGAAGAGCTTGAGGATATTAAGGGTGAATTATCATTTACTAGAGATAAGACTCTTCAATCCACTCAAAGAATCATGGATTTGGCTGATGAAGCAGAAATGTCTGGGCAAAACACCCTTGGGATGCTTGGGAATCAAGCGAAGAGAATGTTTGATACCGAGAATAATCTTCGTCTTGCGCATACCCAAACCCGTATTGCAACAGAAAGAGCCAAGGAGTTGCGTACTGCAGGTAACGTGTTCCGTGCACCAGGAAACCCATTTAACAAGAAGAGCCGTCTTAGAGCGCGTGAAGAACGTGAAATGTCTAACTTGATTGCTGATAGACAGGCAGATGACAGAGCCCTTAAGGACTATCAAGGCACTGAGCGCCGTGTCAAGGAAAACCTTGGGTACTACCCTGGCCAACAAAACGTCACTGCTCAGCAACAACGTACCAGAGACGCTGCTCTCAGAGCCCATCAACAATACTTGTTTGAAGATGAAGATGAAGAGGAACGTGAAAAGGAATTGCAAATTGGTGCCAATATGAACAATATCTTGAGCAAGACCAAGAACTTAAAGAAGATTGCCATGGCCCAAAGTGATGAATTGGAAAGACAAAATGACAAGTTTAGAGAGATGGAAGAGAGATTGAACAATGTTACTTTGGGAGTTGATCAAAATACCGCTCGTTTAAAGAGAATCTCTGGTAAATAAGCAATTGTAGTTGATTTTTACCCGTTAGACAGCACAACGAACTTTTTTTATTTTATTTTGTAATTTATTCTGTTTTCCACTGGTTTCTGGATACTCAGTAATGATCTGTGCTTTATTTTTTTCTTTTATTATCACATTTTTTAATATTTGCTCATCATAAAAAGATCTGATTAATTTTGTCATTCCTTTTTTGAATAATTTTGTTATCCCTATTTTGACTCATTTTTTTTTGTCATTCCTATTTTGAATCATTTTTTTTTGTCATCACCTTTATTATTGTCATTACAGCTTTTTTATTTTTACATCATCATCATCATCATTATTATTATCATCATACCATTAATTATTCAATTCTAAATCTGCGTTTGCTAATAATAACAATAATATTCTTCATTATAGTTGAAATTGTGTATTCTGGTGGAGGGAAGGGGTCTGACCAGAACACCACCCACTAATTAGCGATTAGCGACCGGGACTGCTTGTTTTTCGAGGGCTCGGTGGATCTTGGGAGAGATTCGGACTCTTTTTGCTTTTCTTTCTTTGCGGATAATATCTGTGTATATCAATTTATACTTTCAACAACCTTCTTTTGTTCTTCTTTCTTTTTCCTTTCCTTTTTTGCTCTTCGACCTTTGCTTTTTTTTCTTCTCCCATCACCTCGGATTATCAGATTCGAGGGGTTTGGATGTGTTTGTGTTGAGACATATGATAAGAAATCATTTTTCTTCAACTTATCACAGTCATTTATTGCTACTATTTTATACTCGTCGTCTTTAGATCCGCAACCAACGGATGTTTCTGGCCCTTACTGCTTCTTCTGAAGTGGTTGTTGAACCTCCTCAGAGCATCAAGTCAAATATCAGCGTTACCACCGCATTGGTCGGCGAGGATGACGATAACGATTACTTGGGTACTAAAGAATTTACATTAGCAACAACCAACACTCCAACGGTGGCAGTAGAAGAAAAAGGCGTTGCCCAGTTTGATCTGGCCACCCCCACTACTATTAAAGATTACCATCTCATCAGAACAATTGGTCTTGGGTCTTTGGCCCGAGTCCATTTGGTGAGATGCCGATCATCGCGGAAGTTCTACGCCATCAAGGTACTAAAGAAGACATGTATTGTTCGATATAAACAACTAGGGCACATCAAGGACGAGATCCAGATCATGAAAGCTCTAAGCGATCCGCAATCCAACAAAAGTCCTGGCAGCTCGTTCATTCTTTCGTGCGATAGTATTTTCCAGGATGCCCACCATTTATTTTTAGTCCTCGAGTATCTCGAAGGCGGGGACCTTTTCACCCTAATTTCTCAACGAAACCTTTTTCATCAAGCACAAAATAATAAACCACTATTATCACTCCGACTATCGTTTGACGAAGCGAAATTCTACGCCTCGGAGATTTTCCTGGGAATATCGTTCTTACATCGTTGTGGGATCATCCATCGGGATATCAATCCAGAAAATATTGTTCTTGATTCACAAGGCCATGTCAAACTTATTGATTTTGGATTAGCAAAGCGGATCGCCAAAGATACTACCACGAAAACCTTTTGTGGGAAAACCGATTATATGGCCCCCGAGATCATTTTGGGGTTATCATACGGTGCTGGGGTCGATTGGTGGGCGTTTGGGGTCACGGTGTTTGAAATGCTATTTGGATTTCCTCCTTTTGCCCATCGTAATTCCAAAACCGTATATGAAAAGATCATTGCTATCTCTTATGCGGTGCCAGCCCAACCATTTGATAATGATCAGGATAGACAAAAAGTCACGGATTTGTTCAAAGGGATTTTCATCTCCGATGCCATCAAGCGTGCTTCAGCAAGGTATATTGAGCAGTTTAGTTTTTTCGATGGGGTCGATTGGAATATGGTTTGTAGCAAGTCCTCGAAACCTCCGTTTATTCCGTCAATTGAGCTGGGGATGGGTGATGATAAATATTTTGATAAATTCCCGGAAGATAATGATTTGCAATATGGAGAGACAACTGATCACGATGAGTTCAATGGGATATTTGACGACTTTATATGACTTTTTTTTTCTTTCTTTATTAGAGTTTTCTTATAAAGATATAAATTCTTGGGGCATTTTTCATTTAGAATGTTGGTTTCTCATTTGCCTATATATATATATATTTTTCTCTCGCTTATTTGCTTCACTCTTCATATAACATGAATTCCCTATTATGCTACAACAACATACTATTATTATGATACAACAATATAATACTATCATGAGAAATCATCAATATTTATCTTTTCTTTTTTTCTACATATACATCTAATCATTTATTACAGCCATCTTTATGCCAATTACTCTTCTTCTTCCAGATCCGATTCAGCAAAACTTTGGGCTTGCCACTGACAATTAATATCCCAACGACTACCTTGCGCGGAATAACTGACGTATTTCACAAACTTCAAAATGCTAGAATCTTTCAACATCAAAGTGAAACTATTCCAATCGGCTTGACGGTTCATGATGATATCTTCTTCCGAAGAGGCATTCCGATACACTGCAGGATCATTATCTTCTGAATCAACATTCATACAAAGCTCGTACCCTCCGAATTCCCCAGACTTCCAAAGCTTTGAAGGAGTTAAGCATAAAGTACCTTCGAGAACCGCGTCGACCATGGTGGAATCTCCCAGAGTTTCCGCAAAATCGGTCTGCTGGGTGGTGGCGAGGGTGAAGTCTGAACCGGGACGGAATCGACGAATAAGGATCTTTTGCGCCAGTTGCGGGATTAGTGAGGTGAGGGCATTCAAATATTGCTTGAATTGTAAACTATCAAAGAACCCTGCAAGTTCACAGAGTTTTTTTGTGGTAGAGTCTTGGTAAGATTCGGAGTTGGCCATGGTGAGGAAATCCGGTTGATCATTTGGAAGTTGAGCATCAAGGGCTTCACGAGCACTGATTCGCGAGGTTTTCTCGGCGTCGGACTCGTGTTCAAGTGATAAACCTAAAAGTTCTGGCTCGAGTTTGCGGCCATCAACGTACAAGAATCTTCTCTTGACGCTTGGCATGGCGACTTTCCAAGGGAATCCCACGTCTTTGGAGAGTTTTGGCACTTCGGTTTCTAATTCGGTTTGCTTGATCAATTTTGATAAAGTTTCAGAATACTCAGGGCTCAAGAACTCTTGGAGGGTGATCATGGAATCGCTGCAAAACTCTGAGCAATGGGCAGCAAGGTTCTCTTTATTCAATAACTCAGGGTTTATGAATTTCCCAAGATATTCCAAATCTAGGTCCTCGAACCGGATACCTTGTTGGAATTTCTGCTGTTGGTCTGCAGTATACGAGATCTTATCGGTTAATAATTTTGGGAAATCGAATTTATCCACCACACTAGATTCCAATCCTTCAAGGGAACTTTGTTGTTCGAATTTTTGTAATTCTCCTTCGATGTACCCTTCTTCGTCGACTTGTGGGATATGGAACCAACCTTGGATGGAGATTCGTTGTTTGTCAGCCTTGACTTCTTCAACATCATGGAAACTGTACCCTGGTTTGACTTCAAAGAATGCGTAATCATTGAATTGCGGCATGAATTTTTTGGCGAAATCGGATTTTGGGATATTGGCCTCATGAGACCCAAATAATCGAAGACATCCCCCGTAATGGTCTTTCCATGGCCGGTCAGGGTCTGGTAAGTATAAAATGAAAGAGACTCTTCGGGAGCCAATCACGTCGTCGTGGGTCAACAAATGACATGACTTGTGGTAAATGTTCAACGACATATCGTATTTGTGGGAACTGATGGCTCCGGCTTGGGTGACGTAGCTGATCATCTCACGGAATTCACGACAATACAATGCGTTACGCAATTTCAACAAGTTTGGCAACTTGGAGAGTTCTTCCAGATCCAACCCATTCAAGTTATTCAAGTCTCCGGATTGGAACACTTTGTAAATATCGGTTTCTTTCTTGGTGAAGTGGATTTCTCGAAGGATTTCATCACGAACGTTTCTTAACAACGACTCATCAACAAGCTGATTGATCGACCCCCATTTATAAGGAGTGGCATCGGCAATCTTCTCTTGAAGGGCTTGCTTGTATTCTGTGGTGAACACCTCGCGGTTCAAGCACTTGGAATAGTCCTCATCGAGGTCGATGGTCTTGTAATCAAGCGAAGCTTTCTTGTTAGTACCTTTGGTGGCAATGGACTCGCCAGCTGGTCTTTTCAATGATTCAGACATAGAATTGAAGTTCTGGATAAATATATATCAGATATATATATATATATATATACGATATATTTGTTGCAACGGGCTTGACATATATTTTGCAGAAAAAAAAAAAAAATCTGAAAAATTTCGTGGGGTCATTTTTTTTTTTTTTTTCGTATTTTTTTTATTCACGCGATAGAATTTATGCCAGTAAAGATTCGTCACGTTGGGGGGAGGATACTGCTAATAATATAATATGGATATGAAAAAAAAAAGGTTTCTTATAATATACATTTATTGATCTACACTTGTTTTTCTTTCATGGGTTTATTCTTGCAAATCCCAAACCTGCACGAGTCCACTAAGAGTGACACTGGCCAACACTTTCCCCAGCTGAGCAGTGTCGATTTGTAACACCGGGGAGTCCTCGCCAGTCAGCAATATTGTCGCGATCTTCTTGGTGTCAAGATCCCACATTAGGATATTCCCGTGTTCTGTTCCCGAGGCGATCATCGAGGGTTTATTGTTTACTGTGATGAACTCGGTCGAGCAGGTATACTTCTCAGCAACGCTCAATTCTTCATCGCCATACACTTGGCCCCCACCAGTGGCCAGTGGGCTTGGCTTGTATCGGTGGTTTCTATAGGTTTTTACCACCTTGTTGTTGTTATAGTTCCATAAGCGTATGACCCCGTCCAATGAGCTAGAGAGGAGGTATTTCCCATTGGGCGAGAATTTGATATAAGATATTGGGAAACTAGAATCGGTCATTTCGTACATCAATGTCTTTAAACATTGTCCCGATAACACATCAAACAATCTGATCAACCCATCGTAGCTGCCACTGGCCAAGATCGTCCCGTCCCAAGAAACGTCTACCAGGGAAATGGGGTCCGAATGGGTCGACAACGTTTTAAGACACTTGCCTCGCTGGACGTCCCATATTCTAATGGCCTCATCGGCCGAGCCTGATATAAGTAAATTACCCTTGTAGTTAAACTGGACACAACTCACGCTGTACAGGTGACCGACAAATGTCCGGATACATTGTGCTTCGGCAAGTCCCCAGAGCTTAATGGTGCGGTCGTCCGAGGCCAGGGCCAAATAGTGCGAGTCTGGAGACCAGCAAATGTCTGAGACTCCTTTAGTATGGCCGTGAAATTTGATCTTGAGCTTGCCAGAGGCCAAAGTATGGATCGCGATGGTGGAGTCGCTGGTACTGACGGCGAAGTACTGGCCATCGGGGGAGATTTTGATACAGGTGGACTTCAGGCCATTGGACCGCGGGGGGAGGGAGTAGCGGGAATTGTAGAGGTTGGAGAAGGAGTAGTCTGCTGTCATGATTTCTGCCCGCGCCTTATTTGTGGAAGTGGAAATGATGGAAGGAGGTAAATGATGATTGTAGCGATGATGTGAAATGTCAGAAGAAGAAGAATAATAGTGAGAGGAGGGTGCAAGGACAGGGTGACCCTGCCGTCGGACAGAAAATTAAATGGCGACTTTTTTAACCTGCTGAGAATTATTGGGGTATGCCAACAGCAGGTATTGTGATAATATCTACATAAATATATAAGAAAGACCCTTGGGAGCTGTTATTAGACGATGCTTTTCTTCAGTTTCTTCAAGACTTTGGTCGACCAGCAGGTGAGTATTGTGGTGTATTGTTTGCGGGACATGGGGAGGAACTGTAAGTATGCTAACATGTTTTATGAAAATAGATAACCGTCGAATTGAAAAATGATATCGAAATAACCGGCACTTTGCGTTCGGTGGATCAGTATCTTAATATTAAATTGGAAAATATCACCAATAAAGAATCGATAAGATACCCCCACTTGAACGCCGTGAAGACCTTATTCATTAGAGGGTCGACCATCAGATATGTACATTTGCCAAAGAGCGCGATCGATGTCAACTTGTTGCAAGATGCCGCCAGAAAAGAGGCAATGGTTTCTAAGTGATGATGATATTCTGGTGGTGGTGGTGGTGGTTTAGAATGATGACGGAGGTGTTGTATTTTATTTTATTTAATTTACGGGAGCAACCTCTCTTTTATTGGGTGTTTAGTTTTTAATGAAATGATTATTGATATGAATCAGGACTTGCTGATGGTTTTTGTAGAATAATAAGTGTTGATTTTTATAACTATGTTTATTTTCATCACGATTAATATTATTGAATGCCCTTCATTATCTTGGAATATTCAATCTCAGATCATTTATTGAACTACTTTATACAAATCAATGTCCCAAATTAAAATCAACTATAATACAATATCCTGTCTGGTAAATAACAATCATCACTACTCAAACCTTTCAGGACATTGGGCTCGAGAATGGCCTGGTTTGTGACAATATGAACAAAACTTTTTGGATTTCTGATGACCGTTTGACGCATTTCTATTAGAATAACGAGTTTTCCAAGTTTCTCCTTGGGGTTTTTTATTCTCCAAAGCCAGTTGTTGTTGTTGTTGTTGTTGAGAATTCGATCCTTTAAATGGTACCTGAGGAACCAAACTTTTCAGTGGCTCTTGAGGACTCAACCCTTTTAATCGTTGGTTAGTTTGCCATGATAGATGATCCATCAATTTTTGTTTCAAGTCATCGGGGATTGGCAATTTCAACGGCGATGAGGTACTTCTGGGATTTGTCGGGGATTTTGAGGTGCTGGTCTTCAGTTGATCAATAATTTGGGAGTTCAATTTAGGAAAAAGAATGAATGCGTCCTTTGTCGATGATGGGTAAACCAATTCATGGCAGTTTGCACACCTTACCTTGATCTTATTGTTTGTACTATCGATAAGCTCCTCACCACTGCAGCACTTCTCTTGGTTGCTAGAAATCATGCCACAACTATCAGTATTATCTTTTACATCATCCTTATTCTCCTTATTCCCAGTCACCATACCTCCACTACCCAGAACCGCAGTAATCACCGCCAAGTACTGTTGTTCCAAAGCTTCTAGTCTTGAAATCTTTTCACAATACTGGTTTCTCAACGTTTGTTCGTTCGAAGCGATCTTGCTCGCGAGCATCGAGATCTCGCGGTTCAAGTCTTGCAAATTATCCAAAGCACTACCATCGTGGTGACTCGAGGATTCCATGGTAATTGAAAGCTAGCCGATACTATTAAATTACATCCATATATTTTATTATCAGTGTGAAACCCTTGATTCCTTGAATGAGATGCCAGATTACCCGTTCTAATGACATGATCCTACAACCGTTACTACAACACTGGATATCTGTTGATTATATTATATATACATGGCGATACGAGATGAATAGTCATAATAATTAATTAATGAAAAAAAAGAAAAGGAGAAGGGAATATTCTCAGAAGTTGATAAGAACAAGAAACGATTGGCGAGAGGCGAAAATGAAGAGAACGAACGGAAAAAATAACAAGTAATAAATGAGCAAAAAAAAAAAAAAAAAGAAAACAAACAACTTAACAAAACAAGCAAGATCAACGTAACAAATAAGCACAATAGAAAAAAAACAACATAGCAATCAAAGGTTAACTGGTTTTCGTCTTCTTCTTCTTCTTCTTCTTCTTCTTTTTTTTTTTTTTGTATTGATTTTTTGTGGCCCTTCATCATATATTATAATTCTTTTCTTTATTACTATATTAGAGGAAATCAATTGAATGAAAACTAACCATGATTATTATATGCGATGTAGAAACAAACAATCACAATGAATTATTGAAAAATCCCATCTTGAACCAAATAGAACACAGACGAATACAAAAGAAGCAAACAAGCAAACAAACTAAAAAAATTCAATGTCAATTTTGGTCGGCTGCGGAATTGTTTATGTTCCCACCAGCAGCGGTTGGAGGTCCACTAGGGCTATGGTATTGATATGGGTTGGTGTTGGCATTGCTCACCATCCGATAGGCTCCAAATGATGGCATGCCATTGATGTTCATTGCCAAACCCATGCCGACTGTTGGGGCTGGCACTCCCTGAGAAGGAGAATGATGTTGATCATGATCATGATGGTGTGATGCCAATGATTGAGGGCCGATGGTGCCTGGCATTGGCATTGACATTGGGTGGGATGGGTTGTGATAACCATTGTTAGAGAATTGAGACATTGGTTGGTGATTATGGAGTGAAGATTCGGCAAATTCCGCTGCTGAATGAGAAGAAGAAGAAGAAGAAGAAGAAGGAACAGCAGCAGCAGAGGAAGAAGGAGCAGGAGGGGGAGGAGCACGATGTGATAAATTGCTACTTGCAGAATTGACCCAAGTAAGATTCTTTGATAGTGATCTAGGAGAAACAGGGTCTGTGGTGCTACTTTCATGCTTGTTTTCCCCAGGAGCTCTTGGGTTCAACAATCTGATATCTCTCTCGTGTAATCTCATGTGTCTGGTCATATTGGATCGCACAGAAAAGTATCGTTCGCATCCCACCCATCCACACTGGAATGGCTTTTCCCCGGTATGTGAGTATAAGTGGGTTTGTAAAGATGATGGACGCTTGAATTGCTTGTTACATTTAGGACATCTGTTACGAGCAGCGGTTTCTGGCGACATTCCGGAGTAAGTGGCGGTGGAGGGGGTCGATAACTTTGGTGATGAGGTAGAAGAGGATGACGATGACGATGTCAACCCATGAGGATCGGTGTTTCTTCTTCTATGCCGCTTTGGCTTGGTTTCTACCGGTGGCAAAGATGACAGAGATGGTGATTTATTAGGTAATGTTGTATCTGGGTACGATAACGCCCGGCTATTGAATGGAGGGGCACCACCACTGGAAGTGGTAGAAGCAGCAGGAGCAGAAGCAGGAGGAGCAGGAGCGGCGCTATCATCAGAATGAGGTGGTGCTGATGGTGGAGGAGAAGGATTATTATGATGGTGATGGTGATGGTGATGGTGAGGAGGAGGAGCATTTGTCGTTGAGTTGTTGTTAGTGGTGGCCAAGTCGATGGACATTGCTCCAAATGGCAATGATGACGGAGTCGACTGGTTGGTGGCTGAAGGATACGAGTATTGATAGTCTTGGTAATGTGGTGGAGGGGCGGCACTATTGGCAGTGGTTGGAGCACTGTTGTAATATCCATCAGGGTCATACATTGGGTCTACCGATGAATAAGGATCAGTATGGGATGGTAATTGCCGCTGGTGGTCGGAGTCATTCTTCATAGAGTTCCATGATGTTGAAGGCATCGAGACATTTGTTGGCGACGCTGTTGGAGAGGGTTGGTTATTATGATGTTGATGGTGATAATTGTGATTTTGAGAAGGATATGATGGGAAATATGTTAATGTTTGGTTGAGTGGGACAGACGCTGGATGTGACATTTGGGGGTAGGCATTAGGATTATTGTAACCAGGGGTCATCGATGGTTGTTGATGTTGATGTTGATGTTGATGTTGTTGCTGCTGCTGCTGCTGCTGCTGTTGGTTAATATAGTTTGGGAACTGTGAATGAAAGGATGAGCTCACTGGGGGTAAATGGACTTGGTGGTGATGATGGTGGTGGTGGTGATCGACATTATTGTTATAATACGATGCGGGAGCGATTGACGAAGATTGATGATGAAGATCCTCGTGAAAGGTACTTATTGGGTTGGATGAGGGTGATACTGGAACATCTTTCTTGGAAAAATTGGAAGTTTGAAGGTGTTCATGGTGGTTCTCCTGTTTTATTAGGGGATCAGAGGGTTCAGATGACATGTTCCAAATTGATAGATGATAGATAAGACTGCAACACACTTAGGTGATATGATATTGCATATGATCTCGGAGTATATCTGTGAGAATATATATGTATATCTATATATAAGTGTGTGTAAGTGTGGGTGTGTAATATGAATTATATATAAAATATGATTGAGTATAAATATATATACACAGGATGTGCTATATGGTTATGTTTCCACAATGGTATAAGAATTCAATAATTTTTTTTTTTTTTTTTTTTTTCTGCTGCCATTTTTCAATGCAATTGTGTGGCTCCCCAATCTGGATGCGCGGGGCGGTTAGCTGCCCAGAATCGGTCGTCCCTATGCATCTATATGTAAGACATGCAGGGGGCATCCTGTTCATTGCTGCACCGGACATCGCTCCCTGCGACAAAAGCGCCTCGCTCTAGATTACACTCTGCAGTATCCTGCAGTGGAAGACAGGAGTGTCACATGCGCCTATCATCAGATACATGCGTGATATAACAGAACGTGGCAGGGCGGAGTCAGAATCATCTTCTTTTTCTTTCCATTGCAACAGCTGTTGCAAAAGCTTCTGTTGATATCCAAGGGGAATATGTGTGTAAGGTATAGACATCCTCAAGAGAAAAACTCAAGATACCACTACAGTTGTCCCCGTTTCGGATGGCATATTTATTTTGGTACAGGTGATGAAAATTCAAAAAGCATCAAAAGTTCCAAAAAGCAACATTTTATCACATCAGTTGTCCCCCTATTTTTCTTTTCCTTTTTGTATCATCTGGCTTCTGATGGCAGACAGCTTTAACTGTTGCTTTTCCTGTCTTTCTTTTCTTTCTTTTCTTTCTTTTTTTTTTGTTTCTTTACAGCAGAATAACCAGTAACAATCGCATCTCCTAGTATTGTCTTCTAAAGCATCGTCTGACCCTTTCTTGCCCATAGATAATCCCATATATCAGCGAAAAAGAAGGGTGGTAACTAAAAGATCTACACCAGCAGTTGCTGGAATTCAATCTATATTGGCATGTAAGTAACTTTTAGTGACCGCCGATCCCCTTAGTCAAGTACGTGTGCATGCCGTCTGCTGCCTTTAGTTTCATAACAATCACTAGACCGGGGTGTTGTTATGAAAATTAGTGCTGTAGCCAGTGTCATAAAACAATAGCATTTGGTTTTCTATTTTATTTTATTTATTTTTTTTTCAATTGATTTTTTTTTTCCCCTCTCACTTGGCTGATTTACGATAAACCAGCTCTTGGAATTTCATTTTTCGTGATTGGTAAAAAAAAAAAAAAAGCTTTTTATGTATGTGCTTAAGATCGGATAATCCTTTTGGAAAGAGAAAGAGAGACAGAGACAGAATACAGAGAGGAAGTTCCGGCCAAAAATATTAAGACAGAAAAAGAATCAATAGTAGTAGGATCTCTATTATTGATTTTTTTTTTTTTTCTTTTTGATTCTCTTAGTCAGGGATTATTTGTAGTGGCCAAAGACAAATTTCCCGCATTTAAGATTTCATTTTCCAAGCCAATTATACATTTTTCAGTATAATTACTATTCGCTATGACTTGGGTGCCAACAACGCCTATACAATTTGTTTCAATTTGTATGATAATAATTTTGGTACATAAATCTCTTCCAAATATCCATAGAAGATGATATCTCCGAGCATGAGAACCGTCCATCCAAGGAATGTAGGATTGTTAATTAGACACTGTACACAGATACTGGTCACAATTGTTCTGCCACACGTAAAGTTTGTTGAAGCAAGTATGATTGGCCAATACCTCATAGCAGGCAAAGAGTGTGCCACTTTTTTTTTGTTTTTGTTTTTGTTTTTGTTTTTTTGTAGTCAATTGAAAAGATGCCGTTTACGATCATTCGCAAGTTTTCCTCAAAGAAAAGGTGTCTGTCTGTCTGTCTGTCTGTCTATATATTTTGATTAAATTGACGTCGATCCATACATAATAACGGCCTAATAAACCAATATTTTCCTCATCATCATGAAATCCATCAATACAAAGTCGTACTCTTAATTAAACAATAAAAAAAAAAAAAAAAAAAAATTAAATCCATCAGTCAAATAAAATCAAGAAAAAAAAGCGCCAATTTTAAATATCTTCAAGTCTCACAAAAGCCTAATGTATGCAAAACTCAAAACTAGTATGTACCACAACCATAACCCAATTTATTTTCAACCGGTGCCAACCCAACTATTGCCAAATTCATCTAGCATAACTAAGACTGCTTACCATATAAACTTACAATACTACTACTCCACGTGGAAAATTCCCACCACACGTTTATTGAAAAAAATAAAAAAAAAAAAAAAAATATTGGAAAAATAATTTTCCTACATATATAGATAGATACATATATTCTAAAAAAAAAAAAAAAAAAAAAACAATAAACGATCGCGCCACACCATCTCTTTCATCACCAGGAGGCTTCGCCTGCCACCTTCACAATGCTAAACCACTTTCAATTAATCAAAAGCTTTGTCAAATTCGTTTAACACCACTCTGTACTTGACGTTGTTGTGGTGGCACTTTTCCAACCCTTCCTTCACCCCAGCTGCAGAAATGGCAATTGGCTCATTCCACGCCTTGATCCCCTTTTCCGCAGCCAATTTCAACATTTCCTTCATTTCTGGTCTACTACCCAAATGGGATGATGATAAAGAAGAGGCGTTGGCAATGAACGAGCCTGGACCAACGTTGAATGGCTTTTCTGGCAAACCAACAGAAATAAACTTACCGCCAACTTTCAAACATGACAAGTACGATCCCAAATCAAACCCCTCGGATGAGTTGGCCGACGACACAATGAAATCCAATTTCATTTTGATCGGCTCGTTCCAACCTTTTTCCCCAGTGGCAATGTAGTGATCAGCCCCCAACTTGAAAGCGTCTTCCCTCTTCTTTTCCCCACGACTAAACACGTAAACTTCAGCCCCGAGAGCTTTGGCCCACATAATGGCAAAATGACCTAACCCTCCAATTGACACACATCCTACCTTGACTCCTGGACCAGCACCGTTTCTCACCAATGGACTGTAAGTGGTGATCCCAGCACATAACATTGGGGCAACGTCTTCGTTCTTCAAAGACTCTGGGATGTGGAATGTGAAGTACTCATGGACTCTAATGTGCGACGCGTACCCACCCATCGCCTTCCCACCAGCACTCTTTCCTGATTCTGGAGGATAAGTACAATTGTATGTGTCGACCCAATGTGGACAATAAACTTCATTATCAGTGGAACAAGCAGGACAAGTCTTCTTAAGACATGCCCACACTTGGGCCCCACAACCCACACGATCACCGACTTTGAATTCGGTGACTTTTGGACCAACAGCAACCACCTTCCCAACAACCTCATGACCGACCACCAATGGTAAAGCTGGGGTGTTCCAGCCAGAAGACGCGGTGTGGACGTCAGAACCACAGATCCCACAGGCATCGATCTTAATATCGACATCGTAATCATCGAAGACCTTTGGTTCGTACTCGATCAATTCGGTTTCTGTCCATTTGCTGAGATCGGTGATGGCGAAGCCTTGAAATGTTTTTGGGTAAACCATGATTATCGTAATAACTTATTGGGGTTTTCTTGAAAAAAAAAATAAAACTATTATTTCAATAAATCGGATTAAAATAGAGAGAGTGAAGGGGGAGGATAATTCGAAAAAAAAAAAAAAAAATAAAAAAATTGGAACCTGGAACCCAATTCATAAAATACTCCCAGCAACAACACACAATTGTGTCAGTAGCCTATCATTATTAGACTACCTGAAATCACCGGGGAAGTCCGCGGGATAGTAGGGTAATCTCTGAATGTAAAGGGGTGTCTCACCGCCAAAAAATCTTCTTCTTCTTCTTCCACTTCTTCATTCAAGTTTCCGCTTCTTCATCACATCAGTGGAGGCTTCCAGGGATACAACCATATTCCCATCAACTTTCGGGGACCCCCCGTTCACCTTATTGGCTAACATCATAATCTCCTCTTTTTTTTTCTGCTTCATTAATTCCTGGTCATCCTGGTAAACCTCTCCTAAAAACCCTTCCTTCATCGAAATAAACGAACAATTCCCTTCGATCGATGAAACAATCAATGTTTTACCATCATTGGTCCAGCCAAGATCGGTTAGAGAATCATAATGCAAGTTATTCACCATCCCCAACGGTTCAATCTGTTGTGTATCATATATAACCACCGAGTCCAATGTCGCCACTGCAAAAACCATACGGTAAGGTAATGCAATAAGCAGCGGTTTTTTCAAAAATGTAGTGTTACTTGTACTTGTCTCACCATTCTTTGGAGTCTGAGGCTGTTGATCTTGTTTTGCTTCTTCTTGTGTAGTTGGCATCACATCTGCTTTCTGCGATACTGTAGTAACCGTTTCCACTGATTGGTTTCTCAATTTATATTTTATTGGGGAGAAAGAAATGGCGATCGCTGCTTTCTTCAACCCTGGTAAGTGGTATACTGGTGGGTGATTCAATCCTGCCCTTGTATAAACGTACACCGTGTTGGTGACTTCCTCTTTGCTACCATTATCCACCATACTCTTGAAAATCCCCGATGGAGTCAACAAAAGACTGCCATCCGTCGAAAAACTCAATCTCCGGAAAAATGTCGACAACAGCTCATTATGATACAACATTGTCGGTTTCAAAGGCACTGAAGGCCTTACTACCGCTGGTAAGGTTGCTGGGCTAGGCGAGGCCGATCTTTTAATTGGAGCAATCATGGAAGGAGTCGTTCCGGAGCTTCCTGTTGAGCTATTGGATAGTCTTCGTTTACGGTTGGCGCTAGGCGGCGGTGGATCCATCAAGGTGCTGGTGGTAGATTCACGGTTAGGAGAGTTCATCACCACCATCATGGCATGTTCAAGGTTTGGTGACGCAGTACCAGAAAGTATTTTTCTCTTTGCCTTGGGAGTGGAAAGTACTGATGATTCACGTTCTTCTGTGTCGCTGCTTTGGCTCGAACTTGTCGCCCCGCTGCTTGTCCCAGTTCCTTCTCCTCCTACTCCTCTTCTACTAGCAGTGGTTTTCGGTAGCTCAGCTTTAGAAATTTTGTAAAATATCGTTGGGGAAATATCAATCGAGTCACTAGAATCTTGAGAATTCCCGTGCTTCTTTTTCTTCAACGAGTAAATATTGACGGAACGATCAGCAGATTGTGTAGCCACAAACTCGTTCAATGGATCCCAACACACCCCTTGGACATGTAGATTATGTTCTACTAATTCTCTAATACACTTCCCATCAGCAGCACTGTAAATTCTCGTGACATTGTCCATCGAACCGGTAATGAAGTACTTTGAATCAGGAGACCAGGCCAAATCATAAATTTCCCTGGTCCCTGTACGGCAAATGTGTCTGGCAATCCACGTCTCCGAGTCTTCTTCATGACCCAACACTTCTCGTTTATCTTCGGTTTTGTGCCAAAGCACCACCATGCCATCATCACCTGCAGATGCCAAAACTTCACCTCGAGGATCGAATCGTACAACGTTCACTGCCCCAGTATGTTTCGACAACGTGGCAAGGTACTCCACGTTCTCAAGGGTGTTCAGTGACCCGGAATCGTACTTCAACTTCCAAAGTCGAACGTTGTTTTCCCCGCCGCCGGCGGTGGCCAACCTAACAATGTCATCGCTTGAATCATGCTGTGGCTGGACATTGAGCGAATAGATGGGGTTATCATGCCAATGAATCGTCAATGTGGTTGCCTCCATGGTTCTTCTGAGCAATAAAATCGACAACAAATAAACCAAACAAAGGTGTTTTGATGATGATATAATAAATATCAAAAGTTGTTGTTTCCTTCCTACCAAAGCAAAAATAATTCACCTGGGTGGTTTTTTCACCCAAGGTCTCATAACCGCCGGTGCACCAAACGGTTTCCCAACATTGATTGCCAATTAAAATGATATTCTAGAAACTGTCGAATACGATGGATTTACTGGGGAGTGGATAGTATTACAATACCTGTGAAAAATATACTAATAAAGACATAACATTGAACTACATTCACCAGATTGATGCCGATCATGAACACATTAAAAATCTAAGAACTTCCAAAAATCAAACGAAAACAAAAACAAACAAACAAACAAACAAACAAACAAACAAACAAACAAACAAACATAAAAAAAACACCTGAAGAATAATATCATATCAAACTGTCTAGCTAGGTGAATTTGGAAATATCAAAAGAAATGAAAATATAGTATAACGAGTAAAAAGTAAAACTTGTAAATAAAAGACAGAGAGTGTGTGAAAAAAAAAGAAAAAAAATTAAAACATTGACACTAGAATAAAAAAGAAAAACTGTCTATAGAATATAAGGTGAATATCCTTGATCACTCACTTTGAAAACTTCCATTGACGAAGATAGATTTCAAAGTAGGAAGTGGCGACTCTTTGTTGCGAGAAACATGTGCTGCATTATTATGTCTCTGTTGAGCAAATTGGAGTCTTTCGGATATTCTCTTGGAAGAATGAACGGATATTGGGTGATTAGTATGGGTATAGAAAGGGTTCTTGATATCCGTGACATTGCTGTCGCTCATGAAAGACGAGTTTGCAACTTGAGGCAAATCAAAAATCAGAGGCTCTTTGCTCATCGATCTTGGAGATGCCGACGCGCTGACAGACCCAATATTTTGAAAATGGGAGATTTCAGGAATGGCAGTATGCTTCATTGGCAAATCTGGTAATGATCTTGGAGTGTTGAATTGCTGATCGTGGTGGTAGTTGTTACTGTTCACTGGAGTAAGTTCAGTTTTCTCAGCTTCATACTGGAATCCTACTGGGTCAACGGATTTAGAAGGAGTGACGATTTCCCACGGGTGAGATACATTTTGTCTTTTGAAAAAACGATGGCTCACGGTTTTTTTGAAAACTCTCAACTTATTCAATAACTTGATCTCATCCAATGAAATACTTGAGAACTCGCTGCTGTTGAGAGCACGTTCATTGATGCGGCGATCGATTTTCTTCCCGTTGGTGACATAGTTATCAGGACTAGAATCAACATGGAAACCTGGACTGCGAGACATCAAAAACCGTTGGAAAATATTTGGGGTTGATGATGGTGGTGATGAAGAAGAAGATGGTGCAAGAGCATCGCCGTGGTTTTTAGACTTCTTAAGTGGGAAACGACGTTTATTGCTCCTGGTTGCGGCATTATTAGAAACTGGCGTAGGGACTTCAACAGAAGTAACCGGTAATTTGGCAGCAGTAGGGTTGGTACGATACGCAACAGCAGAAAATGGAACCTGATCATCGGGTCTTTCGGGTTCTTCACAGACTTGTTGTTGCTCAGCCGCGTCAATTGCAGTAGATTCACTCATCACTGTAGTATTAAATTCTTGGAATCTTTCCTCTTCGTCCTCCACCACAGGCCTCACCATCGGTTTGGGAGACATCAGTTCGGTATGGATATCGATATTAATGGTGGTGTTGGAAGCAACTCTTTTACTATATTCTTTGTATCCACCAACCACACAACTGAACAAGTATTGATAGTATTTGCTCCAGCATTTCTCCAATTCAGCATTGAACTCTAAAGGATAGTTCTCATTTAGAGTTCTGAGAAACACTTTGCCAAAAATACTGAAATAGTGCTCGTTTGCTTCGATTTCCACCGAATTGCGCCCAAAAATGGTTTTTGAACAACAGCCAGCAGTGTTCAAATTGCGTTCTTGGTTAATATGGTGATGGGCTGTCAAGTAGCGCTTGATCCGGGGGTCATCGCCCAATAAAGTGATGGTGTCGGTCAAAATACTTCCAAAGGCCACTGCTTGACTTTTGGTGGATTCTGGGAAAAACGATTTGATGAATGCGGAATGGCGAATCAAATTGTTGTAGAATTGTCTAGCAAAAGCATAGGCCCGCTTGTTGTTTTCAGTTTTCTGCAATACCGATGGGATCACGGAAATTGCATCCCCTTGGGCATGGCTACCTTCGATCACCGCATCCCAAGACATTTGCAATAACGTCACCTCGTGCGGAGTGAAATTGATCTTGTTTCTAATCTTGCGGATTTTCTTGAGGACATTAGAAGGGGCAGCAGCAGTAGTAACAACCGGAGCAATCGCATCTTCTTCTTTTTCTGGAAGATCGATGTTGACGGTGGCAACCGAGTTCCCAGAGAAATGCTTATCGACAAACCTGCTGAAATCAAATCCTTCTTGTTCTGGTTGTGGCTCTTGATTCTTTGCTCCATCTTCAAGGTCCAATTCAGGTAACAGAAACTCAGAGTGCTCGAAAGAAGAATTGATACCAAGGTGGAAGGAAGTACTTGAATCTTTGCTCAGTAACCTGTTTCTTTGGATAGGCGAGCTGTCGATTCCAATAGGTATATCGAATTCACCTTCACAATCGTCATCACTAGCAATTGGAGTTTGATCGAAAAGTTTGCCTTGAAGGGCAAGGTCCTCTCTGAATTCAGGCGTGCCGTTGATTTTTGTTGGACACTCATCGTCCCAAAGAAGTACATCTCTCTTATATTCTTTCGCTTCTGAAAACGAGCAAAGAAATGGTTTATTTCTCTTGAAGTTTTTATTGTGAAGACTTTCTCCCTGATCTGAATGTTCGTGTTCTTCTTCTTCTGTTTCCTCTTCCTCCTCCTCCTCCTCTTCTTCTTCTTCAATTACTAGCGCTTGATCGTGATTATCGGTTTCATCCATGAAATTGGACATAAGCCCGCTCAAACGTACCAATTCATCTTCAGAGAAAACTTTTGAAATGAGTGACATTCTTAAATCGGCATCGCCCAAATTCGATTTGGTGTCAAAAGTTTCCTCAATTGACTTGACCATAGAATCGTAATGTGACGAAGTTGTATTTCCTGCTTGTTTGCTAATGATACTTTGATATTTTGGAAGCCCGATATCTGGCAAAGGAGCAAAAGGATTGACTTTCTCTGTTTCATGGAGAGGAAAATCAATAACTGATCCTTCACACATATAAGTATCTATTAAAGAAATGGCGTCGAATATCGATGTCTGAGATTGTCTTGATCCGGCAATGGCGGCGCTGTTTCTTTTGGAAGATGCACAATAATAAGGCTGTTGCTGCTGTTGCTGATGCTGCTGCTTCTTCTTCTTCTTCTTCTTGGTTCTTGGAGTATGGTTCTTCTTACCACTGTGTGCATTGGAATATGGATTTTTAGTCGGGACCTTCAAGTGGCCATATGTGTTGGAATAAGCCATTTTCGTTGAAGTACTAAAAAGGGTAGGACTAGAGTTGGCCCCCGCATAGCTGATGCCGAAAGACATGGGTGAAGGTGACAGTTAGATAAGTTATAATAATAATGTGAGGGTCACAAAAGGAATCCAAGCCAGAAATGAAGAAGGTAAAAAAAAAAAAAAAGGGGAGGGAAAAGGCGGTGCGAGTGAAATGGTATTTAAGGGACAGGAGTGAGTCGCCAATATGGATCTCTTGCAGATGCTGATACACATTTAGGCAAAGCACAATTGTAACAGTTATTGCACTAGTCCCGTTTTCCTTCAGGGGATCTGCTGCATGGTTTTGGAATTATTGCGTCAGGCACACCCCCTTTTCTGCTTCCAGGGAGGTAAAATTGTCACACGTGATATGTCACATGGTGTGTCATTCTCGTATATCATCTCGTAATGTATGTACGCTAATGGTCATATGATATATCACGTGCTTGCTTGCTTTTTTTTTTTTTCCTCTTGCTCTTCTCGGTTGCTGCATAAAAAAACCTATCAAATTTACTTTCCGTCAACCGAGATATATATCTAATTAACAGCCATTTAGTTAACAAACCAATAATGAGGAAACTTTTCAGCGGTCTATGCGGGACCTATGTTGGTCGATCGTTCCTCGGACATATTCTTTCCTCATCAAAAGCCCACTATTCAAAGCATTTGGCAGGGATCACGCCATCGTTCGCCACTAGTCATAATGTCGCCATTATTGTGGGTTTCATGATTATGGTCAACTTCTTCAAATGGATAATATTTGGCTCACTTACCAAACGAGAGATAAAGCTGTTGCGTAATAAATTCAACTACACGTTATGGGAGATTTTCCTTTCGTTGATGGTGATTAGGTTTGTGAGTAACGGCGGCGCGGCTGATGGCGATGACCTATTATTGTTCGACAAGATGATGATAGCGAAATTTGCGTTTTTGTTCAGTTGTGTGCTATTATTGAAATTCTTTCACTATTTATGTGTTTACCGAGTATCCAACGTCTTCAATGTGGAAAGAAATGACGCTGACAAGAAATTGGATGCCAAAGAAGAAGAATCTGATTCGTTTGATGAGTTCGACGATTTGTCAACCTATACGGCCCATGAACTTTCCACTTCAATCAATAAGCTTTACCTAATAAGCCAGCAGTTTCGCGCCGAGAAAATGAGTGCCGAGTCGCTTTTAAGAGTCACAGACTCGTTTATTTCCAGTACCAAGACTTCTCCTATCACCCATCTTCGATTTGCGATGGGGATTCTTATATTGAATTTGATCGACGTGGTGTTGATATATAAGTTCAAATGTGAAGTATATGATCATGGGAATCGAAATATCTTGATTGTATTGTTTGGATTTGAAATCATCAATTTTTACCCCTTGATCATCCTCACGAGTTTTGCGTATATTTTGAACTATTTTGAATTCCGATCCAACAAGACCCTCTTCAAAAAATTCTTGGCGAATCTTAATCACGAAGTGGCTAATGGCTCGTCAAAAGAGGTGATCCAAACTTATTATTCTAAATTCTTGACTCAGAAACATAAGAATTTGATCGCCAAAAAGAAGAACTTACTAGGGTTCAAGTTCTTCTTGTCGAATATGAAACTCTTGAACCAGATCTTGTTTTCGATTCATTTTTTGCAGCACTACACTGTGCCCCTCCATACCTTATCTCACTCATACATTTCCATCAGGATTCTTATCAATAAGATGAGACTTTTAATCAATCTCAAGAAGTTCGAGATGAGGTTGGTCCATTTTGCTGATGTTTTGGATGATGCCGATGTTGAAGACTTGCAACTTCGCGAGCAAACTACCTGCTTGATTTGTCGGACAGATTATTGGCCGCCTAAAGACGAAAATCCTTTGGGAGACTCAGTCAAGCAGTTGAAATGTGGGCATCATTTTCATGAAACTTGTATTATTAGTTGGTTGATGAAGACCAATAGTTGTCCTGTGTGTCATACAAAAATATGAGGGATATCTGATGAAATGACATTTATGAAAGGTAATTATTATTACTATTATTACTATTATTAATTTTTTTTTCTGTTTTCTTTTTGAAGCTAAAGTTTGTTTTTTTTTGTTTTTATTTGATGAAATTGTTTTCACTTATTAATTGTTGATTTCACTACACTGCTTTTTTTTTTTTTAATGACTACTATTATTATTTTTGTTTTAATGACCATTTTTATTATTTTTCTTTTTGTTTTGCACTGGATGGGATTGTTATTATTTTTTTCGCTTATATATAATATATATAATTTTTATTGGCTTATATTTTTGCGGTTTTGACTTCTCTTTATTTCTCTTGTATTATTTTTATCCATAAAATAGGGGGTTTTCTCGTATAATAATTATGGATACTTTCTTGTCTACGTTCATGCGCCTGTCTGAAGAGAGAACTTCACATCCACTTGATGAAACAATTGATATTCAAACACACCCAAAACACAAAATAACTAACACTAAATGAAAAAGAAAGAGAAGGGACTGAAACATGGCAATTTAATAATATCTGGCAAAAAAAAAAAAAAAAAGAAAAAAAAAAGCAGCTGATTACAATTTATGTTTTAATTGACGCTTTGCAAGCTGTTGGAACTTTTCGCCCGGTATTCCAGTTAAAAAACGTCTTAAACCTTCAACTCCTTCATTGATGTTACTAGAATCGATCTTTTGTCTCCAATTGTCTCCGATTAGTTTCTTGATCAATTTTATTGAGTCGAAATTCAACCCTTGTAGTCTTGACTTCATGTTATTAATCACCGCCTCGTTGAACTCTTCTGTCCCGAGCTTGTTCTTATCATTGCTGAATGAAGTGACCACCACCCCGGCTTCTTTTAATTCTCTTCCCGGGATTCTTCTGGATAACAATAATGCCTCATTGGCTCTGGTCACCCCTAATCTTTGGAACAAGGTCACCGAGGTAGCACCTTCACTGACAAGTCCCAACGTAGCAAACGGGAACAACATGTAAACGTCGTCCAAATCATTGGTCAAGATGATATCGCATAGCATCACCAACGCCGCACTGAGACCGATCACTGGTCCATTAAGCGCCGCCACGAGGATCTTACTATGCCGAGTGAATGCGTCGACCATCATGGTGTTATTAGCAAGGAAGGTTTCTTTAAGGAACAGTTCCAATTTCCCCCTCTTTGACAATTCGTCGGTTTCCAGTTGTTGAATCGATGCGATAAATGATCCGATGCTGGTATCGGCCCCAGCAGAAAAGAACTTCCCCAGCGATACCAAGATTGTGGCAATGATGTTTGGGTCATTTTCCGCAAGGTTGAGGAGGTCCATGATCCGTCTATAATGGTTTTGTCCAAAGGCATTGAGCTTTGAAGGACGGTTGAATTTGATTATGGCAACAGAGCCATCTGTATTGTAGGTGATTTCCTCAATGATGCTTTGGGGAAGTGACATGACGTATCAAAAAAAAAAAATTATAATATATTTGATGGATAATAACAAAGATGTTAGAGAAAGATTGTTGGGAGGAAAGTGATTGGTGAGTTTCTGTATATTTATTGTACTAAATGTTTATTAGTAGTAAGTTTCGCGGTGCAAGAGATTGACAGATAGATTGTTCCAAGGAATGTGCAGTATTTATAATTTTCGATTATTATTATTGTGATCCAAATTCCGGTCACCATTGCCGATTTTGCACCGTTCTGTCATCTGTGGGGTACGAGGTGCTATGCCACCACCACCAACCACCACAGAAACCAACCAGGCAGCAGCAAACTGTTGTGGTGCAAACGGTCAATTGGAGCTAGCCGTGGTTAGACCGTGGACAGTTGTATTTACTCTAGCTCATCACGACATCTAAGCCTTAGCCAAAAGTGACATTAACAAATGATAATAAATATATTGCTACAAGTGATCTTCTCTCAACATTACCTCTCACTTTACACAATACCAACCACTACACTTTGTTGTATGCTCTACTTTTAACCCCATTAGTTGCTCATTGTCAATTACCTCCCAGTTGGTTTCACAGTGTCAAAATAATCCGCATTCAATTTTGACAGCATCTCTGTAGGGCGTTTTTCTTACAAGGTCATTTCGTTATCACGTGCCTACATGATGCACTATTTAGGGCATATTATTCCCACCGTCACAAAATATTTATTTTTTTTTCATCTCAGTTTTTTTTTTTATAAAAGTTGAAAAAAATTGAAAGTATACACTTCATTATACTGACCGTTGATATCAAGTTCCCTATTAAGCCTGCCAATTTAAAATGAAATACGTTGCTTCTGAACAAGTTTTGGACATCCCAGAAGGTGTTTCCATCAAGATCGTCTCCAGATTCATCACCGTCACTGGTCCAAGAGGTACCCTTACCAAGGACTTGAAGCACATTGACGTTTCTTTCGCTAAGATCTCTGCTAAACAAATCAAGATCATTGTCCACAATGGTGACAGAAAGCACGTTGCTACCTTGAGAACCGTCAAGTCTTTGATTTCTAACTTGGTTACCGGTGTTACCAAGGGTTACTTGTACAAGATGAGATATGTGTATGCCCATTTCCCAATCAATGTTTCTATCATTGAAAAGGACGGTGACAAATTCGTCGAAATCAGAAACTTCTTGGGTGAAAGAAGAGTCAGACACGTCAAGATCAGAGAAGGTGTCACTGCTGAAATCTCTACCAAGCAAAAGGATGAATTGGTTTTGTCTGGTAACTCTGTTGAAAACGTTTCCCAAACCGCTGCTGACGTTCAACAAATTTGTGCTGTCAGAAACAAGGATATCAGAAAGTTCTTGGATGGTATCTATGTCTCTGAAAAGACTGTTATTGACGAAGAAGCTTAAATTATTTGATTTACAAATATTTTATGCATGTGTGTTGGTGTTTTTGCGATTTTTATGACTGGAATAATTTATTTGCTCTTTTGTTGAATATTTTCTTTTTGTTTATATAGATTGTGTATGTTTTGTCTTGTGGTTGAAGGAGATGTTTTCTCGGTGTGAGGCAGGCAGGTGTTGCAAAATGGGAATCATTACTGTGCTCAAGATATAATACAGAGCCACTTATGATTACTCGACCTTTTTAAATTCTTTTTGTTCTATAAGCCGAAACATTAAAAGATCCATTCACATTGAAACTTTTATCAAGCTATCTCCAACTGAGTAGATTTTCTATCAGTTGGTTCTTGAGGTTTGTTCTTTGATGATGTTATGACTTTTTTTTTCTTTTCCTCTTTCCCCCTCTTGCTTTAATTCTTTTGTGACATATTTCTTTTTGAAAGAAAAAAAGTCGTAGAAATAATCACCATCAAAGACCAAAATTCTCACAGAATCTTCATGATCAATACCGTAGTCTGGAAATTGCGCGAGTTCCTCCACGACAGGATATCCTGTCTATGATTATTGCGAGTTCCTCCAACAATGTTATTATTGAAGCTATTCCCAGGCGGGACACTTGGTAATAATAGCATGGTTGGTTAGAGATATCTAGTAATTCCCACTCTCTTGGATAATAATCTTCAACTTCGAGGAGTGGCTTATCATTTATGGGAACTGGGAGTGTATTAATACTTTCTTCCACTTTTAAACTACTAGTACATACATCCAGAATGGTGTGTAACCACTTCCTGTTCAACTTCAAAGATGGTTTCAGGGTATAATAAGAATCAGCACTTGAGACCATTTTTAGGGAAAACGGCTACTATTCCCTTCCATTTAGCCTCTTTGATTTACTTTTAAATGTTCAGTTAGCAGCAAACAAAAGTTACCTCACCTTATGGTTATAGGTAAAATTCCAGTGGGTCAACTTATATAAGACTCTTGAATCATGTTATTTCGAAAATGCTAGAAACGCATTTTATCAAATGGACATAATAAATAAAGAGTATCATAAAAAAACAGAAGATATCATATCAAACAGGCATAATAATAGGACAGTATAATTGACTTTCATGTGGTGCTTCTTCGTTCTCCATTGCCAGTCCAGTGCAAAAAAAAAAAACTGTGGAACCACCATTTGCATGCATAAATCAACGATTTCTATCATTACATATGATCAGATAGTTTTGCTGAGAAGCCACTTCCTTCTACTTTCAATAATTTTTACTAAAACATTTGGCGGAAAATGTCCTCTTCTAGTTTGAAGAAAGTTCCAGGAACGCTTCATGATCACTTAGAAGATGCCTCAAGTCATTATAACTACTTTGAAACTAACTTGACGGACAATAAAGTTTCAAAAAGGGTGAGGATGGACGAAATTATTTCTACCAATCCTGATATACATGAATATTCCGAAATTCTTCGTAAAGGGGCAATTTTTGCTATCGTAGGAAGCTTCTCTGCCATAAATTTTGGGATGGATGAATCTGCAGTTGGTGGTGCTCAACTTCAGTACATTAAAAAATTCAACATCATCGATGCTAATGTTCAAGGTACCATCAATGCCGCACCTTATTTAGCTGCTGGTACTTTGGGGACAGTGTCAACAGTGCTTTTGGACCAAGTTTTAGGACGTAGAGCCATCATTTTCATTTCAGCTTTGTTTGGTATCCGTGGCTCGTTATGACAGGCGCTTGCTCAATCTTTTGGGTCTTTGTTGGTCGACAGATTATTTCTCGGTCTTGATCGTTCTACCTCCTGGAGATTGATGGCTGGCTCATCTTTCGTACCTCCATTATTTGTCGTTGTCCTGATTTTGTTTGCCCCAGAGTCCCCAAGATACTTGCTCACTAAGAGGCGAGCTAAGAAAGCCCTTGAAGCTCTTCTTAGTTTACGAGGAAATGAATTATCTGCAGGGTTGCTTGTTTTGGTTAGGCGGCTCTTTGTATATCAGTGATTCAAAATCTCGTTTGGGGTCTGCTCTTGCCTCCATGTACATATTTGTTTTTGGTTTTTGGCTTGGGGACCGGTCCAATTAGTTGTATCTACAACGCCGATGTACATCCATTGCATGTCCGTGCCTTTGGAAGAAGTTGACTTTGTTTTTGGTAGTGGTATTAGAAATTTTTCCCTGGAGAAATTGGGAAGATTGTTTGCTGCTAATTAGGAATTTAAATTACTTTTTTTTCCCCCCGTTCTTTTGCTCAGATTACATCAAGTTTTACAACTCCATTATTTTTTATATATCTTAGAACCCCCGTAAAGCCATGCCGGAGTAGGAAATTTTTGTGCCTGTGCATGATATGATGGCAACTTATTTGGAATAAGACCAGTGTATCAAAAGCGCAATAGCAGTTCTTTTTTTGTATGGATCTATTCTATTTCGACTGGACTTCTCTCGGTCTCGCACTCAACCGGGGGGAAATATTATGCAAAGAGAAATTAACTTGCATATGGGGGGCTGCAAAAACGTATCATATCCAGAGTCAAGGTTATTACTATTGTAAGAGATTTACAATTTATATAACAGCAAGAATTCAGTTAGCAGTTACAGCTTCACATCACATCATTCATCAACAAACTGTATGTATAGGAGTTTATATATATATTTATATATATATGCCATATATCACATCAGTGAAAGACTCCGACACATTGCTTCGGATCTTGCAAGAGAGTACTATATCCTTGAGTATGGGAAAGCATTTCCCTCAATCTTTCCCAACAAGTAAACTTTAAGCTCTCTCTCTCTATAGGCTATTGCTAGCCTGTGGAGCCCTAGACATGCTAGACATCACTCATCAATTAGTTTTCTCCGGGTAACGCTCGCCATTCGTCAAGCATCAGCAAATCAGACATATCACCGGCAGTATGTCCTGGCACATATATATAGATAATATTAAATAAACGCAAACATCTATTTTCCAAATACATTCAGTGAATGAATGAAAAAATAGTAAACCAGAAACCATCCAGCCAAGAGAGGAAAGCACAAAAAAGAAAAAAAGAGTGTTAAAAAAAAGCCGCGCTAATTTTACTTATAATTACCACGAATAATTAATCCAGTGTCATAGTATGAACTATTGATCGCCATTAGTAGAAATAAATCATAGTATATAATGACTATAAATCCATAATTTTATCATATACACCGTACTCGTAATATATCCTACTTACGATTCTTTCTTATCGAAGTTAATAATTCAAGATGTCCGTTCATAAGTTTAATTTGATTTTGGTTGGCGAAGGTGGTGTTGGTAAAAGAAGTTTGGTTCAGCGCTTTGCAACTGGCAAAACTATAACCTTCCAAACCACCTCTGGTAAAATCATTTTTAATGTCTCGATTGTCGATCAATATCAATTACATGCTGGAACTGCAGATAGTTCGTTTCGCTGGGCTGATTGTGCTATAATCATGTTTGATCATAGTTCCAGAGTGACTGGCAAGAAGATTCCAGAATGGGCAAGAGAGATTTCCAGAGAGTCTCCAGGTATCCCAATTGTCTTGTGTGGTAACAAAGTCGATATTACAGGAGGAAATGTTCAGTCGCCTAGTCCGGCTTTAGAATGCTGTGGTATCTCGGTCAAGACTGACTACAACTTAAAAAAACCATTTTTGCTTTTATCCAGAATGTGTACTGGTAACAGTAACTTGGAATTTTGCCACTAGTTTATTTGATTGCTTCATTGGTACAGGAATTTATTTGAAAAGAACATTAAGAAAAAAAAAAAATGAATAAACAGAACTATCATTCATTATGAAATGTTAAAGTGATCGCATCTTTTTTTTTTTTTTTTGCTCTTCGAAGAAAAAACAAAGGGACTCTCCAATTTTTTTTTGTTTCGAAATTTTCTGCATTTTCAAAAATATTATATAATCTGATAGATAAATTACAATGGTATCCATCAAACATATCCTTAATGATGTAGATCACTTACAAAGACACTAAATAATATAATTTTACCATTTTTTTTGAGCTTTATTTATTGTTTTTCCTTTTTTTTTTTTTCATCTTTTTTTTCTTTCTTGTGGTGATGATTATCTAACCATATAAACAATAATCAAATATTTATGGAGACTGTCTTATAGTAATAGGAACCATTCAAGATTAATCAATTTCTGTTTTAACAAGTTAACTTCCAGGAACCTTGAACCCCAAAATCGTACCTTCTCTATATATTCTGTTCAATTCATTCTCAAATTTACCTGCACTGACTAAGTCAGCGTAACGATCATACAATTCCAAAGCACTTCTGGCATCTTCGATAGAATCATGGTTGCCAGTCTGAACATCTTTACCTAACACTGCAAACATCAAAAATTTTAACCCTAGTTTACGTTTCACATCTTTCTTGGAATATAGCTTCAAAGTATCTCTGACTTGCGTATCTGGAACTTGGATATTAATGGCCCTGAAATCATTCGTTAGCCCATGACCAACAAAAACAACCCCTATTTGGAGCAAAAGCCAAAGTTTCCGGTATGCCACTTCCAAGTATGTCAAAGATTTTTTTGATAAGAAAGGATCCAAATCCCCCTTTTCAATCCCAGAAAATGACGTGATATAGTCTTCCACTTGTTCTTCAATGACAATATAGTCATCAATAAATGGAACCCCTTTTTTCGGACCAGCATCACCTCGAACAACAGAAACTCTTGCCAATGATTGCCGCTTTGGCTTAACCAACACTTTTGTTCCATCAGACCTAATTTCGTACTTATCTGACTCCAAAATTACGAATTCCGCATCAAGAGCCACCAACGAGCCAGGTTTAGGCGCTTCTTCTTTAGTAAGCAATTCATATTCAATGATTTTCCCCTCTCTAGTTCCATGGGCAAAATAATCTCTATAAAGAATTTCCTGGTTAAGGCCACTTTTTGCAACCTTATAATTGAATTCAGATGGTGATTTGTTTGATTGATACAACACAATCAATGGTTTCTTCCACCAATATGATAAGTTGAAGACCTCATTTTCGTCATATATTGGAATAATCAAGAAGTCATTGAACAAATACCATTGATATGAATCGTTGGTTTGGTTCTTGACTTTAACAAATGTCACCAAATGCTTATTCTCAAGAGAATTATTCTCTTCAGAACCGCCAATTTCACAAACAAGCCCAGTCAACTCATACTTGATAATCTCGTTGCCATACTTCTGCTTCTTTATCGACGACGATTTGCATGAAGTGGTCGATCCAGATGATGATAGACTTTCCCGGTCATGTATGCTCATATTATTCAAACTTGCTCGCACATCATCCTGGTTGTAACTGTTGCCACTTGACGATCTCCCGCCTTTACCATTAAAATCAGCAGCATTTAGTTTCAAAATTGGTCTCTGAGACGAATTCGATAACTTGGCATAAAATTCATTCACTATCCAATGATGTGGACTCTTCCCATTCTTGGTTTCATCAACCTGAGTTTGTGATAATTTTCTAATCACCTCTCTATCATCGTCAAGATTCAAATTCAAGGATAGTACATGCGGTAAATTTCTCACAGTCTTAATAGTATTCATGGCTTGATACTTTTGGCACTCAGAACACCAAGTCTTGACTGGCGTAAATGAATGGTTGTTCATAGCAGCATCAATATAAGGCAAAATGGACTGGCTGTACAAAAATGCCGAATTGTTATGATCTGCATAAATATTATTATACTTGTTCATATTTTTCCCTTTAAAGCTGCCTGAGCTATAGATGTAGTTCTTTGAAATCTTTGGGCTGTCGGCCACAGAAGAAATCAACGGGTTCTTGGTATCAACACTACCCATGCATTTAAGTTCCAAATTATAAACTGTGGTGAGTTTGCGAGATGAGAAAGTACACGAAGTAGACTTGATTTCCGTTTCCATATTGATTCCAGCAATCCTGTCCAATTCATAGGATCTCATTTCATCAAAATTAATCATTCTTTGATGCTCATTGTTGTGTTTAATCAAGCCATTATAATGAAGTCTGCGTTCGTCAAAACTTAATCTCTGCAAAATAAACCTGTTAAAAGAATGAATCAAATTTTTCAACTTATCTTCCTCATCTTCCCTATCTTCATCTATCGATTGGTGTGAACTATAACCCTTCTTGCCATTATCAATAAGTCCCAATTGAGACGCCTCACGAATAGAGCACAAGACGTTTTGGAAATTGGTGGTTCGGCAATTCTTCCCACCTGAATTTGCCATCATGTCAAACAAATATCCAACTTCTGCTAAAAGTGATTTTCCCATTTGCATACCGGCTTTAGAAAATAAATTATCTTGAGATCTGTCTCTATCATAAATGAAACAGTCATGCGTCAAACTTTCAGTTAACCAGTTATAAAATTCTGGAACAAACCTATACAAAATCAACAAACTGTTGCAATAACTATTTTGAATGTCGATTTCCAACCCTGAAAACTTCTTTTTTGACCGGTTGTAAAACTTAAAGTCAAAATCTTCAATACCAAACCTTGAGTACAAAATATGAAGTTTTGAAAATGCTGGTGGTATTTTAAGAGGTGTTTGAGATGATGGTTTATAATCGAAAATTTGGGCTAGTTTCGAATCCTTGAAGATTTTATCATTAGGTTCATCTTCACTGCCATCTTTACCATTCAGCGCCTCTGAATCTGATTCACTATCACTTTCTATGGAATCATCCTTTTCACTAATGAACCTTGGAACATTTCCCTTCTTATCCTTCAGGTCCAAACTATACCATTGCTGATGTAAGTTTCTTGGGCCATATTTATTTCTATTATACTTCGAATACCTCAAATCAATCTCCGTTGTCCGTTCCCTTTGGAACCCTGGTGCCAAAGTACCTCTTTTAGTTGACTCAGAGTTTCGGATCAACTCAGTAGGAATCTTCTTGGGCAAGGTACCAGCATTAAATTTCAAATCAGATGAGTAGTTCGATAATAACGATTCTTTATAATATGGCATACCAACCATATTTAATTTCTTATCAAAATCAGTGACATTGAAGGAGTTTGATTTCAATTGCTCATAGTCAAGACCCACTGGGTATTCCAATTGTTTACTATAGTTATTAAATCCTGAAGTCGGATCGGTCGACCATAAGTACACGGTGTTGTAATTATCAACCAAGATCAAATAATCACCAGAGTTACTTATTTCCATTTTCACTATTTTCGGACTGCTTGGGCCATTTGGGGCTCCTAAAAATGTCAGCCCCGCTCCATGAGGATTGAGCAAATTCACTTGATATATCTTGAAGTTATTGATGTTGAACAAGTCAATGAACTGTAATTGACCAGTGGCCGAACAAGCAAAGCACATATTTTGCATTTTAGGGTGTAAAGAAACAAATGAGGCACCGGCAGGAAATGATGTTGGGGCCAAAGGCTTCAAATATCTTAAATCATACACGTTAATCAAAGGATCAACAACCGCCACGCTTGCGTAATTGTGTCTCTTTGAATAACCGGTGGTTACCAAAAGATAGTTCTGTAAATCGATTTTAGAAAACGATAACTGATGTGATTGAAAGTTCTTGACAATTGAATTATTGGACGATGGATCAAGGATATCTAAAGAACCATTGGCATTGCCCACAACTAGATACTTATTGCTGGATTTCATGACGGCGACTTTACCCTCGTGAGAGATTGTGGAGCTCACCTTCAATTTATTCAAATCGAAATCAATTAAACCAGCATCAATCTCTCCGCCAATTACCACAGAGCTTTGGCTAGCTGAGCCATAACACATTGCTGTAAAGTTACGAAGCTCGGAGGTCTCAAGAACACGCATCGACGGGCTATGAGGCCCCACATGCCATAGCGGGAAGGATTGCCGATTGCTGAGTTTCAAAGAATATTTTCCTAGGGCTAATATACCTCTTGGGTGATTCAAGAACTGGACTATTGGAGCACCGCCGTTGGTGGCGACAAATGAGGTGTACGCGGTTAACGATGGGCCAGAATATGAGGTGGCCCGACCTTTCAGATCCCCTATCCAGACTAAGTCTGTGGTATCATCAAAAAGCACACTGCTGACCTGGCCATCCCCGTGCTTTGTCTGTCTGAAATGGATCTGCTGGAAATTCTCCATCACTTCATCGCTTGGCCATATAATATGTATAGATAGCTTATACTGTTGGCGTTACCTACCAAAAATGGGTGTTATTTTTTTCGCATTCTTTGTTACGCGTGCTGGTTACGGGCGCGGGTGACGCCTACAATTTTTCTAGATGCTTCTTTCTGAACATTTTGAACGTTTTGGACATTTTTGAACTCTGTTTTCATTTTGTTCTTTTTCTCTTTGACATAAGATTGAATAGTAATACTATCGTCGTCTGCAAAATGGTCGTTAATAATCCGAACAACTGGCACTGGGTCGATAAAAACTGTATCGACTGGACTAAACAATACTTCAAGTCCAAATTACCAGGGCTTGCCTCCAAAGATTCCTCTGTCAAGATCACCGAGGTCAGATCCATCGAAGGTGATGTTGAAGTTTGTCAAAGAAAAGGTAAAGTCATTTCCTTGTTTGATTTGAAGTTGGTGATGGCATTCGAAAGCAAGGTTGAAAACCAAGAAACCGTTACTGGGTCGATCACCGTTCCAGAAGTGGCATATGATACTGAAGAAGATGAATACCAATTCAACATCAGCATTGATAATGACAACAATAGAGCTGATTCAGTGAAAAGCACTATTAGAAAAGATTTAGAAGGAACTTTAAGAAAAGCTTTATTCACTTTTGGTAAAGATTTGATTTTGTCCCAAGGTAATGATATCCAATTGCCTGAAGATCAAGTGAATTCGACTTTTACAAAATCTAACCAAAAGGCTTCTGCCACCGTCTCATCAAGCTCCACCGCCGCCGCTAAATCGAACACCACTTCTAGTACTGCCGCTGCTTCTGCGAGTACTGCAAAGAAATCCACTGATGCCTCGGTGCCAAAATACAATACTTCCACCCTTCATTTGGAAGCCACTTTCACTACCACAACAGAACAAATTTACGAAACCTTTTTGGACCCTGCCAGGGTTGCTGCTTGGACTAGGGCTGTGCCATTGATTGAACCAAAAGAAGGTGGTGTCTTTGAATTATTCCACGGCAATATCGAAGGGAAATTCCTTAAACTTGATAAGCCTAGTAAGATTGTCATGTTGTGGAGACTTAAAGATTGGAAAGCCGGCCATTTTGCCAATTTGGAAATCAACTTCTTCCAAGGTGATTCTGATACTAAGGCGGATATCATGTTCACTGGTATCCCAATTGGTGAAGAAGAAAAGGTCGAAGGTAACTTCCAGGAATATTATATTAGGGCCATCAAGCTTACTTTCGGGTTTGGTATCGTTCTTTGAAGCATGATAGGTGCTAGATATTGAATTTATGTGCAATGAAATAATGTGGTGATATATATTACAGAAATAATAATAATAATAAAAAAAAAAAATAATAATAATAATATATGACCGTAGAAATAGTAACTACTATTGATGTGCGATCATTCTCACTTGATATGATTATTCCCTCACTTGGCTAACGATTTTATAATTAATATCCTCATAATCATTTAACCCACCGAGCAAAAGCTTTGCCTTTGGATTCCTGAAATACAGCAACAATAACCCTTTTTCATAATTCCTTTGATCATAAGCTCCTTTTCTTCCTTCCTTCAATCTGGGTAGCTCCACTTGTAGAAAAATCATTGGGATCAGCAACTCCGTAAACTGATTCAATGAATCGTCAGTCATGGTGTTATTAGACACCAAAACCATGAATGTCGATTGACGCTGTCTTGGTGTCTTGACTCTTTGGTTGTACATCCCCGAGAGCTCTCTGATTAATTTAGCGGGGATTTTCTTGTTTGAAGTTTTACATTGAATCAATAGATCGACACAAAAAGCATCTTTTTGTAATACCTTCAGTAGTAGTGATTTGCCATTACGGGATGGCAATTTTAGTTTACTCGGTGTCAGACCAGCTGAGTCCCGATTCATATTGAGGAGATGGGCAGGTAAATATTGTTTTAAGTTCCATTTCCCAAGAATATCGACCCCTTGGTCGTATGAGCCACCAGTGACCATCAAATCATGTTCTTTGCAATTGAAAAATTCTTCAAGAACTTGCTTCGTTTGGAATTCGTAGTATTTTCCTCGGAATACCGTAGACTCGATAGAAAGGTTCTGTGATTTTGCGTATGCCAAATAAGATGGAACATCATGATAGCTTGATGATGGGTGGTAAACTGTCAGAAGCTTGGAAAAGCGACGTCGTATCTGGTCGTTCAACAAACGCCTTCGCCATATCGATGATGGAAGTTTATGGATCCTTGAGATTTCAAAGATGGCGGCCATTACTTTCTGGCTTGTGGAATGTGTAGAGCTTTCCAAAAGGTGTTGAATGATTCCCGGTTTAAGTGATTTTTTTTTTCCTTTGAAAAATTCCAATCCTCACGCATACATAAATATCTTTTATAATGTATCTTACATTCTCTCATAAAAATTATGAGAAAAAAAAATTAAAAAAATGAAATGATATCTTTATTCTCAAAAAAAAAATGAAAAAAATCTATGATATTTTAATGCAGTGTATATCTAGATCTGAAATTCTATTCTTTCGCCATAAAATACTCTTTAACCAGTTCGATTTCGCCTTTTTCGAAAGCACCAACTTTTCCTTGCCATTTATCTTTACCACCACCCTTCAAAGATTTGATCTTACTCTTCAATTCTCCAGCAATTTCCTGGACTCTGGCTGATTCCCCTCCGAAGATCATAATGGCCCCTGATTCCTTATATTCACCACACATCAAGACCACGGTTTGAGGAATCTTTTTGTTGTAATGAGCATTGAGGCCTTTGAAGAAATTCATCAAAAATTCTAAAGATTTATCGCAGTAGTGTTCGAACACCACCTGTTGACCCTTATCGATTTTTTCAATTAGTTCTTTTTCCTTCAATCTTGCGAGCTCCTCGAGCAAACTCTTGTTGGCACCCAAAGCTTTACGTAATTGAGTGCTCATACCGTCTAATTTCTCATCGACCTCATCCATTTGACAACTCAAGGCACTCAAGACGTTTCTCATCACCCCATGAACTCCCGAAGAGTACTGAGCCACCCGGCCACCACACAAGAAATGGAGTCTTGAATTAGTACCACGGACGTGAGTCTGGTGCAATAAACTAATGGAGGCAACTTGGCCTGTGGAATTCAAATGGGTACCACAGCAGGTATTGGCGTCCAATTCACCAATATGGACCACACGTAGCACCCCTTTAGAAAGATCGTAATCCTCAGGAATCTTATTAGTCTTATGTTGGGAGAAATCTTCGGCTCCCGGAACTTCCACGCCAATTGGGAGGTTTTCCAAGATCTTCGCATTGACTTCATCGGTAATTTGGGTCACTTCTTCATCACTTAGTTTGCGAGGGATCTCCAAGTAGTTCACCAATTCCGACACCGAGGTTCCCAGTCCCATTTTCCATGAAAGGGTAGGAAGTTGACGGGAATCAAGGATCGCGGAAAGCAAATGTTGACCGGTGTGTTGCTGCATAAGATCAAGACGACGGTGCCAATCAAGAAGCAATGATACTGGGGTTCCTGGAGCGATAGGTTCCAAGACCTGGTGGCGGGCGATGAGCCCATCACGACGAACAAAAGACACTGGTATGGATTTATCGTCACTAATGATAATTGACCCAGTATCGCTTGGCTGACCCCCGCCCATTGGGAAGAGAATGGTGTCTTCTAGTTCAACTTCGTAGTATTTCCCATCATTCAAAGAGAGACTAGAGATGTCTGGAGCATCGCCACTGGTGGCTTTTTCCTTGGATTTGCCCTTGGATTTCGATTTTGCTGGTTTCTCAGGAGTTTTTTCAACACAATTGACAACAATAGTTTTGAAAGTTTTGAGGTACGAATCTCTTTGGCATGCCAACGCCCCGACGACAGTCGAAGTGAATTGTTGGGAAATCGAAGTCATAATCTCGTGGCAACTGCTACAATATAGTTTTTTTTTACTGACGAATATGATCTGTAGAAGGATTAGTCAATAAATAAAGTGCGATAAGAAAAAGATTTTTCTTTGTCTCTGCGCACTATTTCTGTTATCTCTACTTTCTCGAAATCCTTTTGTTATTGGTTATTATTCGGTTATTGTTGTTTATATATTGTTTATAATCATTATTCATTTATTGTGGTTTATGTATTATTCATTACTATTCATTTATTAAGTATGTCAATTCAAATTAAAACCATTTCCAGAACCATACTTCTTTGATGCAATATATTATTTCATATCTATACCCATTTATTAAAAGTCTATCGAAAACACACAGTCTAGTGGAACAAAAAGTCTATGGAAAACCACTGTAAAATCAAAAAAAAAAAAGGATAGAAAAAGGTCATATGTTGACCAGCAAAATACTGAACAAAACATCAATGTAATCTTAATTTTCAATGTAAAGAAACTTCTTGTAAACGTCGTCGACTTTTTGTAACAATTGTTTCTTGTGATCATCTTCGATCCATGACCCTTCGATCCCAAACTTAGAAATACGGCACCAGGTCTTCAAATCGAACCCAAAGTGTTTGTGGACTTGAACATAATTCTCCAAAATGTAAGAGTTGAAGTATGCTGGGTCATCGGAGTTGATACTGAATGGCACCCCGGCATCCAAGAGTTCCTTCAATGGTAATTGGGAGAGATCAGAAACCACCCTAAGTTTCAAGTTGGACATTGGGCAGACTGACAACATTGTACGGTTGGCAGCCAAACGTTTCATTAATTCTTGGTCCTTGACCGAGTTGACCCCATGGTCGATACGGGTGACATTAAGCAAATCTAACGAGTTGGTGACGAATTCCGGACCCCCTTCCTCACCAGCATGGGCCGTCAAGCCAACGTGAGGGAACTTATCCTTGATTTTCCCATAACATTCGGCGAAGAGGTGTGGAGGGAATGGTTTTTCCGAGGAATCAAGACCCAACCCATGGATCGCTCCCGATTCATAATGCTTATGAGCAAGATCAATGGTTTCCAAACAATCAGGCACTGGTAAATGACGAAGTAAGCACATAATGAGCTTGGAAGTGATTCCTAATTCCTGTTTGGCCTTGGCTGCGGCTCTGGTGAACCCGTTCAAAAATGTCTCAAATTCGATCCCACGGCACAAATGACCTTGAGGATCAAAGAAAGTTTCGGCATGGTGAAGACCTTGGGTGGCAGCAGTTTGGAAGTATTCCCAAGCCAATTGGAAGAAATCGTCTTCGTCCTTGAGCACGTTCATCCCAATGTAGTAAAAGTGAAGGAAGTCATCCAAATCGGTGAATTGATTGTAACGGATCTCGAGGGCTTCAGGCGTCGATGGGAAGTCTGAAGGAAGTTCGACATTGTGTTTGGAGATGAGTTTGAAAAGGAGAGATGGGGAAAGGGTCCCTTCTAAATGGACATGATGTTCACATTTAGGCAATTCTGTGAGGAATTGGGTCATATGGGAGTCACATTCATAGATAGCTGGCATCGTGGGTATTCTTATCAACTTTATGTATAAACACTAATAATAATACCAAAAAATGGATCTTTTGCAATATAGTAAAAAGAACTAATGAAGATCTTAACGAGATAAAAAGAAAAAGAAAAAGAAGAAGAAAAAAAAAAAAAAAAAAAAAAAAAAAAAAAAAAAAAAAAAAAAAAAGAAAAAAAAAAAAAAAAAGAAAAAGAAAGGGGGCTACTCTTCCAGCCGTGCAATGAGGAAAACCTGCCAAAGCTGACTGAAAAAAAAAAAAAGGTATGGTGAGAGAAATTAATTACATAATGTCATCTACATTTTTTTTCCTGCTATTTCTTTGTGTGTTTTCATTGAATGGAAACCATCATCGCTCTCATGGTAGTTGGCTGATCCCACAATATGCACCGGAAAATTTTCAACCTTAATTTTCTCAACGGTTAAACGATCTATTACATCACAAAAAATTAATTATATTTATATGCCTTTTTGTCATCTCAGATATATATTTACATATACAACACGTAACCGTCGATTGAATTTCGGTTGATTCAATCAATATGCCTGTCAAGCATTCCATTTTCATATCTCATATATAGTACAAACCCATCAATTTAAAGAATTCCAGTGATAATCTTTTAATCTTCATTGATGGAAATGGTAATTATTAGTTCTTATTCTCCGTCACTTATTATAAAATAGGTGGGACTTCTTCTTCTGCTCCAACTCTTTTAGTTGGCAGGAGATTCAACCCACTTGGTTTAGGTTCCTCTTTTTCAACCTTTTCTTCAGTCTGCTCTTCCATTTGAATAACTTCTTGCACTTCTTCAATGTAGTGCTTCAACATAGCTTCAATCCCGTTTTTTAAAGTAATAGAGCTAGAATCACAGCTTCTGCAAGCCCCCCTTAATCTGATAACCACAGTTCCAGAATCTTCTCTGAACTCGACAAACTCAATATCCCCACCATCCTCTTGGATAGCAGGTCTAATTCTCGTGAACATAAGCTCTTTGATCATACCAACCACTTCATCATCTTCCTCATTGAACCCCACATCCTCTTCCATGATGGCATCGGGGTCAATGATCGGTTCCCCAGAGCTCAAAAAGTCTGTGAGAGTGCTGAAAATCTCTGGTTTAAGAATGGCCCAGTCAATATCCAAGTCACGAGACTTCTCAATGGTGATGAAGTTAGGACCAAGCATTACTGACGAGATCCCATCAATCGTGAATAATTTCCGTACAAGTGGAGAATTGAACGCATCCCTGCCAGAAAGGTATTCCAAAGTCTGTGATGTTGTCTCTGGCAAGATTTGTACTGACGGAAGAAACTTAAGAGCATCTTCGTTCGGAGTCTCCACTGTTCTAATGAAAAGAGATCTAATGGAAATCAATCGCGCCACTGGTGATGGTGCTCTAACCTGGATTCTTGGCGACACATTCTGATGCAACGACGAGAACCACCGAGGCGATGATGTAGCCGGCCTATAACCACGGTTTAGTGATCTAGATAATATTGAGAGCTGGCGATAATAACTTAGCATGTTCTGTATATATCTAATAAATAGAGTTATTAGTTTTATTAGTGATGATGAATAAATCACTTTCGGAGAAGGAGCAGAAAAAAAAAAAGTCTTTTCTCCAATTGGCACGTGCGCTTAGTAAGTCTCCAACAATCAAATGAACTTCTACGGATTTGTCATACACTTTACACTTTAGATTTTGCCAATCTACAAGCTGAATATCTGATATGAATAATTCACTTATATTGAAATTAAGCTCCTTTCTTCAGTTGAAAACTTACAAACAATCCAAACTTTAAATAAATGATAGAGATCTAAAATTTCTTAAACTATAAGTCAAACTAAAGAAGTATCCTTGCCCCCAAGAGAAAAAAAGCATCGACTGCAAAGGATGGAGTTGGGTAAATCAAAACATTTCAATGTTTTTCATTATCAGCGGGAAGGGAATGAGATGGGGAGGAAAAGGGCGGCAGTAGACAAAGGGATATGAAAAAGGGGGAGGGGAAGTTAAATAGAGTGAAATAATGTCAAAATATCGATGGTAATAAATTAAAAGGTATATGGAATGATGAATAGTATTTCAAAACAGAAAGTAAGAAAAAAAGAAATCGAATTAGAAAATGTAAGACAAAAATTAGTACTTTAGTACATTTTGAATTTAACCAGACTTTTCGTGTTGGGTAGAGACTCTTCTCATAGCAACAACGAAATCTTCCAAGGATCTTTGTGGAGCTTCTTCCTTGATTGGCTTACCGTTCATGAATCTGTCGAAAGCTTCAGATTCACTCATCAAGACGTAAGCACCACCCATGACACAGAAGACACCGAAAGACCAGATCCAGATTCTAACAACGGTAACGATGTCAGTCCAGTTTTGGGACCACCAGCCGAACAAGGTGAAACAAGTAGCAACGATGTCGACAATCAAGACGGCACCGGACAATTGCCAAGATGGGAGGGAAGACCAGAATGGACCTTCAGCTCTGGTGATGAAAATCAACCAGTTTTCAGTAAGGGAGATTTGCAAGAACAAGACACCATCAATAGCACCGAAGTTTTGAATAATACCACCCTTCTTCATGAACATGGTAGTCAAAGTGATCCAGGTACCAACAGCAAGAATAACACCCAAGACAATGGACATACCCCACAAACGTGGCAAGTTCCACTTGACAGGCTTCTTAGCGTATGGAGCGTTATCGTAAGCAATGGCAAGAGTGGCAACATCAGCGAAAATAGCAATGAAAACAACAAGATCAATGTCCAAAGATCTGTTCAAGATAGCAATCCACAAACCCAAGAACAATTCCAAGTGCAAAGACAAAGCAATACGGTAGACAACGTAGGCGTACATTCTGTGGAAAATTTGACGGGAAGTCTTAAGAGCATCAATGATAGCAGACAAACCTGGGGCCAAGAAAACAATATCAGCAGCAGAACGGGCAGCGTCAGAAGCACCTTCGACAGCAATACCAGTGTCAGCCTTCTTCAAGGATGGAGCATCGTTAACACCATCACCAGTCATGGCAACCAAGTAACCTCTGTTTTGCAAGATTTCAACGGCGTTGTACTTGTGTTGTGGGAAAACTTCAGCGAAACCATCAGCATTTTCAACAAAGTCAGCAATTTCAGAACCTGGCAAGTCACCACCACCAGACAAACCGAGACGTTCAGCATTGTAGATGTTAGTACCGAGACCCAATTGACGACAAGTTTCCTTAGCAATACCAACGGCATCACCAGTCAACATCTTAACTCTAAGACCCAAAGTTCTAGCTTCGTGAACAGTTTGAGCAGTATCATCTCTTGGAGGATCCAAACATGGCATAATACCCAAAATTTCCCAGTGACCTTCACCTCTCTTTCTGGCAACACCAAGAGAACGGAAACCTCTGCTAGCAAATTCAGCAACCTTGTTTTCATAAGCTTCATGGATATCTTCTGGGATTGGGTGGTCTTCTTCGACAGTCTTGAGAACGAAAAGTGGGGCACCCTTAACACAGATAATCTTTTCACCTTCTGGGGATTCAACGAGAGCGACAACCTTCTTGGAAACAGGGTCAAATGGGTGGAATTCCAAAACCTTGTATTGCATCAAAGCAGCCTTAGCTCTTGGGTAACCAGCAAGAGACTTGAGGAAAGCACGGTCAATGGCATCGAGACCCTTAGTCTTTCTGGAAGCAGCGAGACAAGCAGTCAACATCAATTCGTCGGCAGTAACACCAGCGACAGTGTATGGTTCGTAAAGGGACAACTTGTTCTTGGTCAAGGTACCGGTCTTGTCAGAACACAAGATTTCGACACCAGCCAAAGATTCAATAGCAGACAATTTTTGGACAATAGCTTGCTTCTTAGCCAAGTAAGCAGCACCGACAGCCATAGTAGTGGTAACAACAGCTGGCAAACCAACTGGGACACCAACAATGGTGATGGCCAAGGTGTATCTCAAAATTCTAACAATCTTGGCGGTTCTGTAGAAACAGGCAGTCCAGATAACGAGCAAAGTAACAATGACACAAACCAAAAGCGCAGTACCAATACCGTTCAAAACTTCAGTGAAATGACCGGAACCACCAGCAGCTTTGTTAACCAAAGCGGCGGCTCTACCAACGAAAGTGTTGTCACCAGTAGCAGTAACCAACATGAAAGCTTCACCTCTCTTGACAGTGGAGGAAGAGAACATTTCATCACCATTGTGCTTGTCGACAGCCAAAGATTCACCAGTAATAGCAGATTGATCAACTTGCAAGAAACAGTCTTCAGAAACAAGTCTACCATCAGCTGGAATAACGGTACCTTCTTCCAATTGCAAAATTTCACCAGGGACAACTTCATTGGCTGGGATTTCAACAAGAGCACCATTTCTGATGACAAAGGCAGAATTAGCCAAAGTTTTCTTCAATTCATCAACGATAGAACCGGCTTGGTATTCTTGAATGAAACCGACAGCGGCATTAAGAGCCAAAAGACCCAAAATAACACCGAAATCGACCCAATCTTCAAGACCGGCAGCCAAAATGGCGGCAGATTCCATAACGAATTGAATTGGACCAATGAAGAAACCCAAGAACTTAACAATCATGTTTTCCTTTTCTTCGGCCATTTGATTCAAACCGTACTTCTTTCTTCTCTTTCTAACTTCATCGTCAGACAAACCTTGTTGTGGGTTGGTTTGTAACAATTCCTCAGGAACAGGACGGTAAGAAGTAGCAGCATGGTCATCTTCTTCTTCTTCGTTGTCTTCGGCACCCTTGTTGGATTGCAATTCATCGATCAAAGCGTCGATGTCATCATCTTCTTCTTCGTCCAAAACTGGAGCCTTCTCCTTGGTTGGAGTGGTAGCCTTTTCGATTTCAGCCATTTTTGGTTAATGGTATTTCAATTAAAGAGGTATCACAATGGGGTATTGATGGCCTGAATCGTTGAAACACTATCGAATTAAAAGAAAAGAATACAAAAGAAATGAAAAGTTTTGGAGGATTGCGGGAATATTTATTTGTTTGGGGGATATATGGTGTATGGGTGTTTTGTTTTGCTTTTTTCCAAATTTCGTCGATGTAATGCACTGCAGAGATACGCATGCAATTCTGTATGATAAACAAAAGTTAGAAACAACAACAACAACAACAAAAGACTAGAGGGAAATTGACAAAATGGAGTTGGGATAACGGGAATGTAAGTAGCGACTACGAGGGATTTAAATAGTACTATTGAGAACAAAAAGCGAGTGAGCAAGTAGTTACAAAATAAATAAGGATTAGTTTCCTTCAGAGAAATACATACGAAGGAAATCCTCAGGGCAATCTGAGGGATATTCTCCTCGGTCGACGTTTTTGGGCAGCGTGTTTTTTGGGCTGCAGTTACCCTGGGGTAATGTGATAATAGAAGCTTGTTTGGAGCCCAGTGGTGGTCGGATGTGCTGGAATTGCCAACGCGCCATCCCAAAAGCAGTAACTCGCTGCCTTGATTGGGAGGGAAACATTGGGGGGGGAAGGGTGACCCGCCCGGTGTTGCTGGAGGGTAGTAGACCCTCGGCCGCGCATGGCCGACCACCCACATGGTACTAAGCAGAAGCCCGAGGGGGTGTCCAGGTGTTGGGGAGCAACCAGGAGATTTTTTTTTCCGTTCCCTGTTTTGGTTTGTATATACTGTTTTTGTTTGTTTGTTTTCTCTAACTTGGAGATTCCTTGTTCTGGTGGGCCTGTACACGTAGGTTGCCCATTAACCTGGGTTCTTTGATTTATTTGTTTACCTGTTCTACCTGGCCAATATATAAATAGAGTAAGCATTAGTTTGTTTTTGGTCTTCCAAGCATTTTTGGGATACAGGCAGGCAGGTGTGCCTACACCACACACACTCACATACCCAGATAGACACCCACACATCTCGCTGGGTGACAAAAAAAAAATTGTTTTTTCCCCCATCGGCGATGATGTAATGGGAAAGTACCGTCCACGTGAGGCGAGCGATAAATAGCGCGATGAGTTATTTATTTAAGCGCCCCTGAGATAAATTACTATGGGGGGTGCATGGGGCGTTCTCGAAACAGCGACGTGGAGGTCAAATCCAGCCATTCAAAATTTTTCATCCATCCTCACTTAATTGAGTAAATTTCTTGGTTTCATCTATTCATGCATAGGGCTTGTTGGCCGATCTCAAGGAAAAGAAAAAGTGAATAGAAAGAAAAAAAAGAAAAAAAAAAAAAAGTAAAAGTACAAGTACAAGCACAAGTGAGAAACCAAATGAAAGGCTGTAGTCTGCTGTTACGCACTGGAAAATCACGTATATTTCTTTTTCATGTATCGCACACATCTTGTAAGTTGGGTACCATGTCTAAAATGTACCACGGATTACAAATGTTTTGTGGCAAAAGACCTTGGTGGGTCTATTCACTCAATTGACACTATCTATAAGACCATCCCAAATTGTAGTAATTACAGTAATTATCAAAAATTGTGGTCTATGATTTCTGGTCATTCCACCTAATTAATAGTGCTTATACGGATGTACTCCGGATGGCTTCGGAGTTGGATTCTAAACCACAGACGTAGTTGATAAAACAGCAGGAGATGGAGAGCCCGACAAATTGGTAATCAGACACTATTTTAAAGTAATTAGTTAGTCGGGAATATAAAACACATTAAAAAAAGAGGTTATTGTGTTGTTGAGAGACACACATTATGAAGAGTCTATATTATTACCTCATAGATTTTTATAAAGCCATGAGTAATTTTTTTTTTTTCTAGCCCCACTGAATTTTTCATGGTTTCCGGAATTGTTGTCTGTACAGCGACATTCGGATCGGTACCAAAAAAAAAGAAAGAAATGTGTGAAAAAGAAAAGAAAGAGTTAGAGGAATAAAATCTTTGGACATAGCAAATTCCACCGTTCTGGGTGACAAAAGAAAAGAGAATGGCTATATGCTAAAATATTATCACTGGGTTGTATTACTCGTAATGAGTAGCCAACAATCAACTGTCTCCTTTGTTGTGATACCTCCGGAGGCTTCTCCGATGCACATTATTTTGTAATCACAAGAAAAAATATCATCTTAATGGACAATCAATCTAACTGGTGTCGCGTGACATTTTTTTTTTTCGTTTATTATTAGTCCAAGTAGTCCAAGTCAAGCTAGAGACGGTTCCCAAGCCAGCTTATCTCTTTTCAATAATTTTTGGTTTTTGAAGCACTCAATTGATCTACGAATGGATAAATCAAAGTGTCTTTCAATAGTTACGGTTTTCTCAAGTAATATAGTGGTGGTAATATCTAACGCTGACCCTGTTCAGTATTACAAAGAAAATTATGCCATTACAATGTCAATTGTCACAATATTTTTTGAGGATTTTTTTTTTTTTCGTTTTGCCAAATGGCTTTGGGTCTGGAAGTTCCGGCGATTTTAAATCCAAAATGGTATGAGAGAGCTATCCTCAATCAACCTGTATAGGATCTCTCTATTTTTCTGATGACTTTATTGTCCCCATATTGAGATCAATGAAGGTGCCTTATTTCAACAAGCCCATCTCACCAGCCTCCTCTTTCTCCTTAGCAATTATATCATATATATTATAATTGTCTAACTGGTGAATATCATTTGCTATCCATAATCTACAATGTCAATGGAGAAAATTATCCTCTACTTAACCTCGGTATTGATCTTGACAATCAATGGCCTTATAAAGCATACAAGCAAATGAGAATGAGAATCCATTCCCTGAGCCCCTGATAAGTCGATTGATTCGGTCCTTGATACCAAGCTTCGATATGGCTGCCAATACCAAGTAGATGAGGTGGAGCTTCAAATCATAGGTATTTCATTAAGCATTAGTATTAATTGGAAGGATGTTATTCATATCATGTCATGCATAGTGTGATGTTTTGCCAAATTGGAAAATCTTCTATTGTGAACAATAGTTACGACACCGTTGCTGAAGAAAACAGCAGTCCGTTGTTCCAATTCCAACATTAGTAAAAACGGTTCTACTGGCTTACAATTATCTATCACACCTCGCAAAAGCACAATCCCGGCTCATTTGACTGTCATCTCAGCTGATTAAGAGGCTCCAAACACCACAATCCGAGAAATGTTTCTCTATGTAGCGAGCGGCTGTCTTCGTCATCACATCAACTAAAACTGTAACAACTGCCATATGATGTTATTTTTGGCTTTTGATTCTTGATTTTCCCTCCAACCTCGAAACAAAAAATGGTCTTCTCACAGAGAGTTCAAGCTGTTGGATGTCTCCGTATCTTTGATCTTAAAATGATTACTTTCTAGCCCAGCATGGCTGCAGAATATCAGAGTCCTCTCTGAAGTATTTGCTACAGACATTGAAAAAAACATATAAGGTTTTTGGTGTAACATGGGCGATTATGCAAGGGCGGAATATTTCAGCACCCGGCTGCATATTTCACTTTTTTTTTTATGCATTCGTTTTTTCATATTTCCGAGGACCGGCAAAAAAAATTTTGACTTTGCATGATCATCATGGGGCAGGACTTGCAAAGATGGAGGAAGGAATCTACCTACGAAATACCGAACATTGGCCGAGCAGTGCAGTGTAGCGTGTGTGCCGTGTTGATGAAATCACATTACAAAACACCAGTGCTATTATCATTATTATACTTTCCATTTCTCTTTTGTCTCTATTTTTTCTTTTTTCTCTTTCTTTCTTTTTCTTCTTTTCATTAAATCAGAAATTTCATTTTTTTTTTCCTTTCGTCTTTTCTTTTTTTATTCTTTCGGGAATGCAGAATTATTCGGACATCTTCTTGGCTGGCCAATATGTGGCGGTGGATTGCCTTATCGATACAAAAGAAACTTTCTTTACAGTTGAGAAAAAAAAAAAAAAAATTAATAATAGATAGATGTAAGGATGAATCTCATCATTTGTGCGGGGTGATGTCATGGATTATTTTGATGGATAATAGCGGCTGTCAGGATTGAAAAATAGCCTCTGATGGTGTGTTGTTAGCTCACACCATGTGTTGACTGGTTATTTTAAGAAGAATTACTCAACTACCATTAGCCTGTAGCGAATACAGATTTATATAATCCACTAGGCAATCCAATGGCCGAAGAAAACCTCCATATAGCCTTATTCAGTATGTGTAGAAGAGATGAATCAAGAACTAGCACAAAAAAAGAAAAAAAAAAAAATCAAAAACCAGCTTCTGGTTATTATTTTGCGGTTATCTTATTGTTTTAGTTATCATCCTTATCTTAATCCGTACAAGCTTAATTCCACTCGATTAGCAATTGATTGTATTGCACAATCAGCTCCTAGCGTGACCAAGGCGTCAATAGTATGACTCATCGCGATTCCTCTAGGTGACAATCCCAACCAGAACAACAGATGGGACTCCTGCTATGCACTCGTAATAGTAGTTTGAGGAACCACCACTTTCAAAGCACTGTAATAATAGTTATTTGTCGACATTTTATAAACATACCAGCCAGACACTGCACCTGATAAGATAACAAAGAATGTGGGGGCACTTTTTCCAATCTTGAAATTTGAAGCCGCTTTTTTTTTATCAAACTACGCCAATCAACATATTGCGCAAAATTGTTATAGGAAAAAATTTTGCAATCGTGATTGGATAATTCGCTGATTGTATTAATATCTTATTAAGCACTATCAATAATAAAGGCACTGTTTAGTGCTTCGTAATAATTTGGTTGGTCACTGAAATTGTTTTAGTTGGCATAATTACCGAAGTGAATACCAGGAATCAACAAGATTTAATTGGGGGAGTTTGGAGTAAAACAAAATAGTTAAGTCATTTATTTATTTATTTTCCATTTTTTTTTAAAAAAAAAATTGCTGATCACCATAAAAAAAATGCTCAATTTATATAAATACACAAGGATGTAAGATATTTGATAATGGAGAGACAATTATCGATATTATAAACAAGATTAACCGTGGGGAGTAGCTCTGCCCATACCTTTTTCCCTCCACTGTTCCTCTTTAATTATACGTTGCGTCTATCTCCTATATTCATTATTCATTAGCTAGTAGTTTTTGGGCTATGCTGCTGGGTGGAAACTTGTATTCAAGCACATCATGTCTAGAGCCCCCAGATTTAGACTTACATTCACAACAAAATATACACCCTTCATTGTGTTTTTGGTTCGAGAACTAAATATATATGACATATACTTAAAGATACACATCTTGTAGCAATAAATGAGGTCTTTTGTCAGCATCAGAAACTAGAAGCTGGCATTTATGCCTTTATGTGTGAGCTATCTTGGGAATAAACTTTAGTCTTGATGATAGGATCCATGGATCGTGCGAAACACAAAGACGATTCTGGGCTAAGGATTGTTACAGTCAATCATCAGCTATAAAAAAAATGAACAGTGTGAATCTTATCCAGTTGTGAAAGAAAAAAAAAAAAAAAAGGCTATAGTTCTTTTGCCCAGTTGTTTTGGAGCTCAGAAAAGGTCATTTCTCTCTTTCTATTTTCTCAATCAGATTTATTCTTATAATATTTCATTTCTAAAATACTTTGAAGGGTTCAAAGCTTATGTTTGATGAAAAACCAACACTTCAGATTTTCTAGATTTTTGTATTTTCTGACGAACATCAAGTACTTTTAAGTGCAATTTTTATTCCCGTTTCTCTTCCACCTAAATTCTAACTTCAATAGCTATTTCAATTAGAAAAATCTAATTTTTCAAAAAATAAAACATCTTTATACTGATCATAAACTCATAAATAATGATCGAAAATAAATAGCTTGAAAATCGTAGGAACTACTAAGGATAATAATAATAATAGTGGCGACAAACAGTAAAAACAATCAGTATATAACATTCAAGGGCTTATAATGATGAGATAAGATTCCCGCAATACATTTCAATCAACATTAATTGCAAAAAAGCAGAGAAGAGTCCATTTAGTTACAGTTATTCATATTTACTGGTTAGGAGCCCTTTCAAAATAATAATATTTACAGATCACATGTTTGTGTTACCCCCTTTACGACATAGAAGTCACTGTGGCCGAGTGGTTAAGGCGATGCCCTGCTATGATTTATACGGTCAAGCTGTTAGGCATTGGGATTTTCCTTCGCAAGTTCGAATCTTGTCTGTGACGTCATTTTTTTGCACAGCAATTTCAAATTTTTTTTTATTTTTTCTTCAAAGAATAACATATACAGAATAATAAACAAAAAATAAATGCCTAGATGATAAATAATGTAATGTTCCAACCTCATCATCGAAGTTGTAACATTAATGAACCTTCATATTTTCATGAGAACTTGGGAATGAGTTGAATCAGTTTTATTTACTTGATTTTTTTTTTTTTTTTTTTTGAAGCATTTTTGTGATGAGGCTGCCAAAAAAAAAAAAAAAACATACATAAGAAAACAGCTTCTCGGCAAAATTAAGGATTACCATAGAGCCACACCACAATAATGGGTGTCAGTGGATTGTGGGATCTTCTATCTGAGGGCTTTGATACTCGTGTACCGTTTGAGGTTTTCATTAGTGATTTTCTAAAAAATAATGGGCGTCCAGTTAGAATTGCCGTTGATGGGTATGGCTGGATCGTGGAATCAGCAACCAATATGCAAGTGCAAGATCAAGATAATATTCCCTTGATAGTTTCGTTATTCATGAGCAAGGTACGGTACTTGTTGAAACTCAGTGTGTCATTCATCATCGTCTTTGATGGGAAATTCAAACCCAAATTCAAAAGAAACTTTGAAACCTATTTTGAATCAGCTGTGGGAACGGAGGATTACTGGGAAGCATACAACAAGATACTTAAAACATTGTACGATAAGCCCGAAACTGATACTGAGGATATAGAAAATGAATCATCGGATTTTGCTCAAGTGGTTCGAAATGTCAAATATCAATTGAATTTATGGAACGTTAGTTATTTGAATAGTCCGGGGGAAGGGGAAGCAGAATGTGCGTATCTTCAATCTTCAGGGGTGGTGGACTATGTCATGAGTAATGATGTCGATTGCTTAATGTTTGGGGCCACTAAAATGCTTCGGAATTTCTCGAAATTCATTGAAGATAAGCCAAATAGTAGCAATGCTGGGAATTTACATGATGAAAAATCCAGATGGGTGACACCAGTGAGAATCGATAAAGTGGAGGAATTTACGGGTTTTAACCGTTGGAGGTTATTGTTATTTGCGGTATTAAATGGCTCAGACTATGGTGAAGGGGTGAAAAATATGGGTCCTGAAAGGGCTAAACAGATCTCATTAATCGGCAGTAGCCAAAAGGTATTTTACACCAGCCCGAAGAAACGGAAAATTCAAGAGGATGATAATGAAGAAATTCCTGATTTCTCCGAACAATTGAAACTAATTTATACCTCTGAGCTTCTATTTGAGAATGATATTAGAATTGAAGAACTCCTCCGATTCAAAAAACAACTAAAGCATCATTTAATTTCCCATCCATTTAAGATCTTCAAACGGAATTTATCACATAACACATTTACTGGAAATTCAACCGAGTTAGAAGGGTTCCCATCGGATGAAGTTATTTTGGCGTTGGTTTACCCATTGGTAAATTATACTAATGTGTTTAAATTCACCAATGAGATGGCTAATTTTGCCGAAGACACTAAAGAATTACTTGTGGACGATGATCTCAATACGTCACTCATTGATTTCGATCATATTTTTAAAGTGATCAGTCCGAATCAGGATTCAAGTCAATTGGTGCATAAAGTAAAGTTGATTCGAAATACCGGGGTCAATAAAAACCTCGATTACTTTATTTGTAAAAGCGTTTATAAATATAAACCACTTTCAAATAATTGGATTTATGAATATTCCGTCGACGGAAATTTCCAATATTTCAATTCAGCTTTGCCGAGACCTTATTGTGACTCAACTTACAATAGGTTCAACATCCCCAACTTTGATAAAATTTACAAAAATCTCCTCAATGGTTGTCAGGATAGAACCAAAGATAAACGATCGAAGGTGATCAATAACCTCGATGAAACTTATCTAATACACCACATGTCGCAAGCTTTATCAACTAAATCGCAAAAACAAATATTTTTTGATACCCAAAAGGTTTTCCAGTACCCAGATAGGAGGAAAAACATCAAATATTGTCAAGATAATAATATTTCCCATTCCATTGAGCTATTAAGAATAAGCTACAACAAAGAGCTGTTTTTTGGATCATCGATTTCTCGGGATGAAGTAATTGATAGAATTGGTGATGATGTTGGGGAAACGAGCTATATTATCGAGCTGGAGGCAGAGGAGGAGACCAGATTGCTGTCGCCAAAGAAAAGGAAAGACCCCAATATTATCAGCGTTTGGATTCCGAAAGAAATTGCGAATTATTATGTTCCTTCATTGGTTAAGAAATATGAAACCGATTTTGCCAGAGAGAATCCAAAATTGAAGAGGTCGAGGTCAATTAAAAAGACAAAATCCTGGCAAAAAACTACTCTCGATCTGTTTGGAGGGTTCATTAAGCTGAAAGGTGGTAATGTGGAAGGAAAAGATCAATTAAACAAGTCTCCTAACAAAAACATGCTGACGATCACGAATCCTAAGAAAAGTCAATCGAAAAGTCCTGCCAAATCCCCTAACAAGGACTTTAAATTCAAAATTCCTACTACGTCTCCTAGTAAAAACATACTATCAATGATTAATTTTCCAAGGGTTGATTCCAGAAGCCCTACTAAATCTCCTAAAAAAACTCTATCAACTGAAAATTTCCCAAAGTTTGTATCGAAAAGCCCGATTAGTTCTTCCAAAAATATACTAGCAATTAAAAAGTACACAAAAGCTAATCCCAGAGTTGAGTCAGCACACCACATTACTGGTATCGGCGCTGCTTTTGATGATGGTGTGACGGAAATTGATGTATCCGATGGCGATTCCAGCGATGAAGAAGTAACAAGATTAGAAAAACTTCTCGATGACTCCGCCGGATTAATACAGCTTACTGACAAGGATCCAATTGATGGAGGTTCATTCTTTGATAAAATCTTGGCAACTCAATCTCTTGATCTCCTGGAATCATCCGCTGAAGAAGACATTTTGAAAAACGATATTGCAGAGAAAATCTCAACAAAAATACCACAGCATAAGAGGAAAATGTCAACAGAGGCACCACAGAACAAGAGAAAACCCGAAAGTGAATTCAGATCTACGTCTAAAAACAAAAGGCAGCGAAATAGAATGGTTCAAAGAGCTAAAAGTTTGACAGCGCTCGGCTGGGACGATAGTGATAATGGATCCGATGCATTTTCCTCAGCCAATGAGGCTGATATTTGGAAAAAAAAAAACCCATGGAAATCGCGAAAGCCTTCGTCAAAGCCAATCACCAATAGAACCGCCAAGCGTACTAAGAGTTTGACCGAACTTGGATGGGATAATAGCGATGATGGGTCAAATGAGTTTTCCTCAGATGATGGTGACACGAAAAAAATTCCTGGGAAGAAATCCTTTGTCAAAGATCTTGTTATAAAAATTAATTCGGTATCTCCTGTTAGGAGTTCCACCGTCAATATTGAACAAGATAATCTGTTTGCGCCATTACAAAGTACACCAAAAGATATAAATATTGTGGATCTAATGGATTCGACCTCGAGTGATGATGATTCAATAAAGGAAATTGATCAAAATGAGTTTTTGAACTCCGCTACTGAGCCGGCTCATGCGAAGAAAAACTGATTTTGTCAAATATTGGAAACATAGGTTTTGATGTTCAACTTTTTTTTTTTTTTTTTTTTTTAGTTTTCTTTACAATCTCCTTTGTTCTATCTTTAATTGCTTCGTTTTAATGTATTTTGTCTTGTTATAAGGTTAATATGTCGTTTAATTTGGTTGAACCATGCTCTAGTAACTTTTTACGCTCCCAGGAACTTTCAATTAAAAGTTGGAACCTTTTACTAGATCTAAATGATACTGGATAACCAGCTCCTCATTAATGTTGAGCAGCTAGTCAAATTTACTTTTCATTACAGTAATTGAAGCACATGAAGTGCTGCTCAAATAAGTAAGCTCAGATACTGAAAACCTGTATGTTGTTTTTCAGGCGAGGTAACAGAAATCCTCAAAGTATCTTTTGTTAGCAGCTTCATACAACACTAGTTGTTAGTAGTGATATACATATGGTGATATATTATCAAATCCCTAAGAATTCTTTAAAAGCTTCTTCAGTCTATAAATTACATATCGGAAAAGAGAAACTTTGAAATCATAGTAACTCACAGGCAAAGAATGTATGGCACGTGCATATTATTGCTTACAAAAATTTTCTCTGATCCGAACTCATCAGCACTTGCAAACCATCAATATAAGCTACCTCATTAACGTCAAAAAAAAAAACCATTACTCTACATTATATATGTATAGACTACTTAGTAGGCGCTCAAATATTGTTGGCAGCCTTCGGCCAACTTCGTTTTCCAGAGGGTTTGCTGGATGTTATCGTCTCAATGCTCCAGCAAATAGGACGCCGTCATTTAGTAATGATCACCAGCCAGAGTTTTCCCAAGCTAATGAGAAAACCACGAATAGCAGTGAGGAGGAAATGGATAGATTTCGTAAAATAGAGGTTATCAAGGGTATTTTCCAGGGAACCGGGTTTCTTATGTTGATATTTGGGGGATTCATCCTTTACAATGACTTTGGATACTATAAAACCAAATTCAAAAATTTCATCAATGGCAACGATATTGAAGAGAAAAAAGGTGAACCAGTGAAAGCAGCAAAACCAGCGGAGTATGTGAAATTCAAACAACTAAAAGATTCAGATGCAACACCAGGGGTTTATCTCTGGGGGTCCAATGCTGATGGGGTGGTTAATCCCAATGATTTGAAGACAAAGTCTTATAAATTTCCAACAAGACTACCATTTTTCGATGGGATCTTGATCAAAGACTTGAAAACTAATATCAGTATTGAAGAGACAAAAGATTATTTGAATATTTACTTGGATAATGGAGAAATCAACAAAGATGCCGTCGCACAGACATATTCTTCGGCATTTGCCATTGATTGCAATGGCGACTTGATACAGTGGGGTAAAGGTTTCAATAGCAAGGAACCAACTCCAAAATATACCCTCAAAGGCTTTAATTTGGTGAAAGGAGAATTCAGTAATAACATGATTTATTTGATGAATAATAAGAACGAAATTCTTTATATTCCTATCAACGAGCGTGCTCAAAAGAAGATTAAATCAAATAAACAATATACCAAATCAAGCTATCTTGGATGGGGAGGATCTGACAGGCAAAATATTTTCATTGAAAAACTTGATACTTCCATTTTAGGCAAACAAAAGGTTTATGATTTTAAAACTGGTGTGAATCATTTGATATTATTGACCAACTATCATAAGGCTTATGTTTGTGCTACTGGATTGAAAGATAAATTCATTAACAAAAAGAATTACGGTCAGTTTGGTTTAATTGAATATTCTCAATTTGAAGCTGCACCATCCCCAAATGAATTACACGAAATATTTCTTTTGAATAATGAAATTGTCTCCAAAAAAGATCCTAATACCGTTCCAAAAAGAGAAAATAAAAAGCATTCTAAGTTTATTCCAAGGGAAATAGTGCAGATTGCAGTTGGGAATTATCATACCTTAGCTAGGGATTCTATCGGTAACGTTTATTCCTTTGGTAAGAACACTTTTGGCCAGCTAGGTTTCAAAGTTTCTTATAATTCGGAAAATATTCCAATCCCTAAAAAGATTGATTTCTTCAGCCAGTATTTCAACAGATTGAACATGTATCCAATAATCACTGATATTCAATGTGACAGTAATAGCAGTTTTGTCACAATAAACACCAAGAATATTCAAGAGATGTTACAGAGAAACTACTCCGATGATGACAATATTGACGCAGAAACATTTTATTTCGCCTTTGGTAAAGGTCTTTACGGTCAGTTAGGTTTGGATTTTTACACCCATGCTAATGCCATTCCAAAGAAGATGTCATCCTCATTGCACGATATGAACGAATACGACGAGGAGACACAGAAAATGAAAAGAATCACCATTTCTGATTGGACTATCGGGAAAAATCACACCTTTGTTACTCTCCTGAACCGTGACGTTTTGTGTTTTGGTAATAATAAATTTGGCCAGCTCGGAAATGGGAAGTTTATTAACAGCCCAGCCCCAGCTAATACATTGAATATCATTGAATCTAAAGACGGGTTGAAGAGCAATTCAGCGATCAAAAAATCGGGACTACAAATAGATAATGACGATGAGGAAATTATAAATGTCACCAGGTTTCTACAAAAAGTGAATAACAGATTACAATTGGTCGATGATAAACAATTCAATTTTAAAGATTCTCGAGGCAAAAATGTATCCAAGAAATTGAAGCAAGTTATTATTGCAGGTAACGAAAATAGTGCCATATATTATTCTGAGAAATAATTCTGTAAATATATATGTATATATACCTTAATAAATGGGTTCAACCGGGCAGTTGTCATCTTATTTTTAGCCCATGTAAGACTTATCTGCAGCAAGGTTCATATAACATAGGGTGTGGAACCCCTGACGTGAAAATTTCTTTATCACAAAATTTGCTCGCTTAAAAAATGATGGGTATTTTCTGTTAGGGTACATAAACGTGCAAAGATCTGCCCAATTGAGACATTATTGTTACAATATCCCGGAGATATAATATAAGAGAAGAATTTTTTAAGTCCCCTCCCAAGTACCAAGACCTTAGTCTCCAGTTATAAGATCATATTCAGCCTTCAGTCATGTCTTCTGCTGGTGATGAGCCGTTGGCTAGCGCCAGGCCTGATGAATCACAAACAGACTCGGTGGAGCAAAACACCAAAAGAGCAATAGATAGCATAGCACCTTATTTAGAAAAGTTTTCCCCGGTGACTTCCTCGTCAGAATCAAAATCATTACAACCAAAAGATATACATCCTCCATTTTTTAGCAGTGATAGCAACCTCAATATTCAAACTATACATGAAGATAAGGATGAGGACAATGCTGACCATGATACGTCTAAGACTGACACTGCCAAGTCTTCGGGAGAGGCTGTTAATAACACTGCCAAGGAGAAATTAGCCCCAAAATTAAAATATTGTGGCGTTAAGACTTCTAAGGACCAAGTACCATCAAATCCTAAAGACGCCCCAAAAATCTACGGGAAAATTGGAATTTGTGCGATGGATGCCAAGGTTCTTAGTAAACCGTGCAGAGAAATTCTTAATAGACTCATTAAATTCGGAGAATTTGAAACCGTTATTTTTGGAGAAAAGTCTATTCTTGATGAATCCATAGAATCTTGGCCAGTTTGTGATTTTTTGATCTGTTTTTTCTCCAATGGCTTCCCTCTCGATAAGGCAATTGATTATGCCAATCTTCGCAAGCCATTCTTGATTAATGATTTAATAATGCAAAAAGTTTTATGGGACCGTCGTTTGTGTCTAAGATTGCTCGAGGCTGCTAACGTTCCAACACCTTATAGGCTAGAAATTTCTAGAGATGGTGGCCCAGTTAATTTCATTGGTGATGATTTGAAGCAAAAACTTATAGGCAAAGGAGTCAACGTTGATCCAATTCCTGAACCCGAATGGAAAATGATTGATGATGATACATTGTGGGTCGATGGTAGAATTCTTACTAAGCCGTTTGTTGAGAAACCCGTTGATGGGGAGGATCATAATGTTTACATTTACTATCCTGTTTCAACGGGAGGTGGTGGTCGTCGGTTATTCAGGAAAGTCGGTAACAAATCATCCGAATATGACGCTTCTCTCAACATGATTAGAACCAATGGGTCATTTATTTATGAGAAGTTTATGGACACTGACAACTTGGAAGATGTTAAAGCTTATACTGTGGGCCAAGAATTTTGTCATGCTGAGACCCGAAAATCACCAGTAGTTGATGGTATTGTTAGAAGAAATACTCGTGGGAAAGAATTACGGTACGTAACAACTTTACTGGATGAAGAAAAAGAAATGGCCAAAAGAGTATCAAAGTACTTCGATCAAACTATTTGTGGATTTGATATTTTGAGAGCTCAAAATCAAAGCTTTGTAATTGATGTTAATGGCTTTTCATTTGTTAAAGACAATACTGAGTATTATGAAGCCTGTTCCCAAATATTGAGAAATATTTTCAAGAAGGTTAGTCCAAATTATCAAATTACCAAGGCCTTAGAGGAAGAGCAATGTATTTCTGAAAAGTCGCCTGGAAATGCCGCTATTGCCAACAATGTTGTTCAAGATTCTCCAAAAGCTAGTAAAAATCCAAACAAGAAATCTGATGAATCAAAAAACTCCCACCACCATACAAGTTCCAAATGGGTTTTCAAAGGGCTTGTGACTGTTATTAGACATGCTGACCGAACCCCAAAACAAAAATTCAAGTATTCTTTCAGATCTCCGATTTTCATTTCACTACTTAAAGGTCACAAAGAAGAAGTTATTATTCGTCAAGTCAGCGATTTAGAAATTGTGCTTCAAGCAATTAGGTTAGCAGAAGAACAAAAATCTGAAGATCCTGACAAACTTCATTTATTAAGTACTACTTTGGAAAAAAAGAAAGGCTTTCCTGGAACTAAAATTCAATTGAAACCAGTGCTTAACGAAGATAATGAGGTTGAAAAGGTTCAATTCATCTTGAAATGGGGTGGAGAGCCTACACATTCAGCTAAGTATCAGGCGACAGACCTTGGTGAAACCACGAGACAAGATATACAATTATTGAATAAAGAAGCATTCAAGAATGTTAAAGTTTATACTTCCAGTGAGAGAAGAGTTATCGTGTCAGCTAAGCTTTGGTCACAGTCATTTTTAGAGGAAGAAAATCTTCCAGAAGATTTCCTTAAGATTCGAAAGGATCTTCTTGACGATTCTAATGCTGCTAAAGATTTGATGGATAAAGTTAAAAAGAAGATTAAACCTTTGTTGCGTCAAGGCATTAAACCACCAAAACAATTTGCCTGGCCACCAAAATACCCTGACCCATACTATGTAACCAAGAGAGTGGTTGAGTTGATGAATTATCATCATAAAGTCATGGAATATAATTTCAAACATTATGGTGATTTAGATGCATTACAGGAGCGCTGGTGTTGCAATGAGGATCCATACTTGCTCAAGGAAAGATGGGATAAATTGTTCAAAGAATTTACTACTTTTGAAAAAGTTGATCCAAGTAAGATCAGTGAATTGTATGATACCATGAAATTTGATGCTTTGCACAACCGTGATTTTTTGCAAAATATTTTCTGTCCCCCAGATTTGGATGAATGTATCAATCACGAGGATGATGATGAATTGAAAGAATTTAGCGAGGCTTTTTTCAAGTCTCCAGTTTTGTGTGATGCTTATCCTATTAATGTGTTGGCAATGAATAATTTCCAACTTCCAAGTGATCAGAGCAATAATAATTCTAGTACTACTTCAAGAAGTAATAGTTCGGTGAAACTTAGCACTGGGAAATATTTGAATGTTAAACCAATCCCAAAAAGTAATACTCCAGCTGGAAGTGCCATTTCATCGACGCTTAGCCTGTCAGTAAACAGTGTGAACACAAAATCAGCAACTGAAATGGATTCTGCCAGCAGCTCATTAAGCTCTACTACATCAGGTAATATTCCCTCTAGCTCTGCTGGCTCATTGGGATGGGTTCTCAAATCAGATTTTCATAGCAAACAGTCACCAATTTCGTCATCAACGTTTGATGATCCAAAGTTCAATCGTCTTAGAGAGCTTTATAAACTTGCCAAAGTTTTATTTGACTTTGTTTGCCCTCAAGAATATGGGATTGAAAATAATGAGAAATTGGATATTGGTCTCTTAACTTCTCTACCATTGGCGAAACAAGTTCTTGCTGACATTACTACAATGGTCGAGACTTCAAATCCGGCTACTGTTGCTTATTTCACTAAGGAATCACATATTTACACATTGCTCAATATCATTTATGAAAGTAAACTTCCAATGAGAATTGAGCGGAATGCCTTGCCAGAATTGGATTATTTATCGCAGATTGTTTTTGAATTATATGAACGTTCAGATGAAAATGGGGCCAAAAAGCATTCTATTAGACTTTCATTGTCTCCAGGCTGTCATACACAAGATCCGTTGGATATACAGTTGGATAACAAGCATTATATTAGTAACATTCCAAGGATTTCATTGACCAGGCATTTGGATACCGATTTATTGATCCAAAAATTGAAGAGCAGATTTTCAAGGGTTTCAATGCCAAAGAAGTTCATCCCGGTCAATATTTCCAGCCCATTGGTCATTGACGATAGCAAAGGCAAACAAGAATTTTTGAAAAAATAATATTTTAAAGTAGGTTATTAATGTTGAATTTATTCTTTTTTTTTCCCTCATCTTTACAGATGTACTACGTAGTACTGCTTGTAAAATTAGCTGGGTAATTGGTGAAGTCATTAAAAGATAATTGGACTTTGTGTTGGTAGTTTCTATTGCAAGGAAAAAGCTTATATTGTTTTCACAGTAATTGTAGTGCGATTTTCACAAGTATCATCCCCAAAAAAAAAAAAAAAAAAAAAATTACAGTAGTCGAGAAAACCTCAATTATAAATTAAGGGAGTATAAACATTCGGGGATTACTGCTTGCAAGTGATAAATTAGCAAAAAAATTCTCTTGGGGGTGATTCGAACACCCGATCTGCGGATTATTGCAGGAACTTTACAGTCCGATGCCTTACCAACTTGGCCACCAAGAGCAGATCTGAATTATGGATACCAAAAACAAATTCAGCTAGATTTTAATCATAATGTGTGACGGGGCACATAACCTCTTTTTTACATTTTTCACTAACTGTGATATTTTCTGGTGTATATCACTGAATATTATTGATTGTATGGTATTCTGAAAGTCTATTTGTTATTATTTCTTTCCAGAAAGCTTTAGTTTTGCCAGGTTTTTTCGTTGTAAAATTCCATTATTTACTTTTCAATTGTTGCACCAAAATTGTGGACCAGCAGTAGGATTGCGGTCTGGCATTAATGGAAATTCCTGGTGTATTGTTTCTTTGAGGATTATATTTTTAATTATTATTCAATTCATTCTGTTTGTTTTTTTTCTTTTTTGAAACTAGAATTTTAACTTAGATTTGAATTTTAGTTTGATTAATAGCGATGAGCCAATGATGATAGTAGAATGGCTACATCCTTGAATAATAATTTTTTTTTTTTTTTTTTTTTTAAAGATAAAGACGATTCCAAAATCACTCTTTCCTTCTACCGAGGGTCTCCATATAAAAAGAAAACTTTGACAAAAGGAAAGTTCTGGCATCCCAAAAGAACTTTTTCATAAGGCATTCAGTAAAACAAGATACATTCTGAAGAGCTTTTTACTATAGAATATGTAGATGCTTCATATCAAACAGAGAAATTTCTATCTACATGATGTTATTAATCAATGAATATGACCACACATTCCTGAATTTTTTTTTTTTTTTTTTTTTTGACGCTTTTATGCATTCGTTGACGTCTGAGTTGGTTTCTGTTGCAAATAAATATCCTATCGTGGGGTTAAATTTTAATTGGAAATATCTAAAGATGAATAAGTGGAAATCGCCAATCCTTTACATAATAAAATAATAGAATACAAAAAATAAGAGTATACTACAGAGGGGTGATACACAGAAAAAAAAAAAGTAATAACGGGTACAGCTCACGCACAAATACTAACATGTGGCGAATTAAAGACAAAAACAAAGGCTTCCTTTGAATAATAGGGATGTTGCAATATTATTGATACTGGCTTATTCAATCATAAGCCTTAGATAGCAATGATGATACTACTTTAAGTTGTTATTTATACCAATATACTAATCATAATCGTATGTGAAACCCGCAGCTTGCTTGAAATAAATGAAGATACATAAATCAGGATGGTGAAACCTTAAATAACAATTAGAATAACAGTGATAGACGTCAAGAAGGTAATAATGATGATAAAGGGAAGAAATTCCAAATGATCCATTACCACGGGTCTATAGTCAGTGTTGAATGAATGAATGAATTGTATATTAACGAGTCACAGAGGTTCTAAATAACATGCAAGCCGGGCATTTCATGCCGGTCTTTCTAATAGGTAAGTAAAATACTATAACTTTCTCACTACCTCACACTCCTTGCTTCAAGAATTAATCACATCACCGGTAAAAAACTCAACAATCAAGATTATTAAGGAAAAAAGGTGCAATGTGAAAATATGAGATGAAATCACTAGTGAATTACCCATCACTAGGAGCTTCATGAACTGAGATGGAGGTCTTTGTTGAGGGGTTTTGGCACTATATATCAAATACTAAGTATTTTCAATGTAGTGACCATCAGAATTCTGGGGGGATAATAACAATAAAAGTAATAAAAATCAATAAAATAATAAAATCCAAGTAAAAAATAAATCAAATAATCAAATAGACCAAATAATTCAAATAAGTCAAAATAACCAAGTAAACCAAATAAACCAAATAAACGGAGTTACCCGCCCGTGAAATATTACCAAGTGACAAAAAATAATGTGAATCATTGGAGACATCTAAGCCCTTATGGCCAAGTTGGTAAGGCGCTACACTAGTAATGTAGCGATCCTCAGTTCGAATCTGAGTGAGGGCATATAACATAATCAGAGAAGAGGTTTTACGATCTGTTCCCTGTTATTTTTTTGTTTTTTGTCTTTCCATTTCGTAACTGCCTTTTTTTTTTTTTTTTTTCTTATAAATTAATTTACACCTTGTATTAGTCTCTTCAGTCTCGTAGACATGCAAATCTCGTGAAAGCTGTGAAGATGGAAAATTTTCCCCAGGGCGGGTTTAATGCGAGGCTGTCGGCCGACGGGCGGCGGCAGTTGACGCACCCCCTCCTGTGCACACCCCCGGACCCTAACATGGTGAGAGCTGACTTCAGAGATTAGTTATCGCGAGGGGTCATGCACACACAGGTTTTAGGGAGGGAAACCCTTGGAAATTATTTCTTGGGACAATAAAAAACCATTTTTTAGTACCCTTTGTGCTCGATATACATTTTCTTAATGGATCTGTTCCCATTAACACAAAAACAAACCCCGCCCCTTCACAACAAGATGACCACGGTACTACTGACACTACCCACAGAATTGATCCAGAAGATATTGAAATTCGTCGATCAAGAAACCTTAGTGTCCTGGCGCAACAAGGTTTCTCCGGAATTTAATAAACTAGTTGATTTACAATTATTTGCCAATGTTTCTTTGAAACCCAGAAAACCAACCGACTGGAACCCAGTACGCGATCTCGATGATTTGTTTTTCCGAGACAAATGGGGTGATATGGCGTTCATCGATGGGAAGAACGCCGAAGTAATTTATGACCTTGCGGAAAAATTCAAAGAGTTGCTGATTTTCCTGCTTGACCCCGAGGAACCATCACATGCCAAATCTGTTGCAGAACTAATTTCCAAGGCGAGTAATTTGCGATCATTATTTTTGAATTGCACCGAGGTTGAGCTTCGATTGAATGATTCGTGCCCGTTGAGAAACTTAAAATTAAGTATCAATGAGAAGACCAGTTTTGATAACATGAATTTCAATTTCGACAATTTGGAAAGTCTTTCATTGGACCTGTACGACAACATGATCAATTCATCATCACTTTTGAAGCACAAGGTTTTTCCAAATTTGAAAACCTTCCAAAGTTATTACTTGAGTGATGTTTACGATGGGAAACAATTGCACATGCCTAACCTCAAAATTTTCACCATGTATGGAGAAGGAGTTATCACTCTCAAGAACTTCACCCGTGACTATTTCCCCAATTTGGAAGAAATTTCCGGTCTGCCTGATGGCTGCTGCTATGATGAAAGTTGTTTGACAATGGATTTCGAAGGAGTTTATGATATTCCTAGTCTTAGAATTATTTCCACTGTGGGGAAAATAATAAATTGTTCTCCTGTCAGCAGATTTGAAGGGTTGAAGGAGTTTGATGTATCATTTTCTGGCTTCGAAAACATACCAGACTTCATGGACGAGAGCTCCGAGGCACCGAAATTGATTGATTTGGCGTTGTGCGTATCTGAAATCTCAAAAATGGAAAATTTGGAGAGTTTGATCTATTTAGAGAATTTGAATTTAGAAGAAGCTCACCTCAAAAAAATACAGAACTTGGAAAACTTGACCAGATTGAAAACATTATTACTCGTCACTAATGAGATTACCAAAATAGAATGCCTTGAAAACTTAACAATGTTGAAATCATTATTACTTGCTGGTAATAAGATTACCAAAATAGAAGGCCTTGAAACATTAGTTAATCTTGAAAAGTTACAGCTCGGTGCGAATAAGCTTACAAAAATCGAGGGGCTTGAGAATTTGACCAACTTGAAATCATTAGACTTATCTTACAACAGCTGCTCAAAGATCGAAGGATTGGGAAATTTGGTAAAATTGGAGTCATTGAATCTAAATGGTAATCAAAATATTGGTAAAATTGAAGGATTGGATTCTTTGACCAGCTTAACATACCTTGGTCTTTCGAGAAATCGTATTGAAAAAATTGAAGGGCTACAAAACTTGAAAAATTTACGAGAACTAGATTTGAGCCATAATTTAATTTCGCAATTCGAAAATCTAGAGACCCAAACCCAATTAGAACATATTTTTTTGGGAAACAACAAAATTTCAGATATCAGTAATTTCCCAATCTTCTCATCATTAACTAGAGCTGATTTGAAATCTAATGATATAACGGCTTTTGATATTGACCTTTCGAAGTTCCAAAAGTTGGAGAGTTTTGACCTTAACTTCAACCCCATCGAAGCATTTAAAGAACTGGTTCCAGATTGCGTTAAATGGACTGCAGAGCTGGAAAAAAAAGAAAAAAACTGTTCACTTTTGTTTAGCTAAATGACAATGTCAAGCAACATCACTAGAATATTTAACGGAGACTTATAGAAAATATAAAGCGATACTTAGACATGTTCTCATTTAAAAACTCCATCATCATTCTTCAGAAAATGTAAAATTTTTTCCATATCGCCCTGGCGCAAAATCCCATGGCTTTGGGTTCTATTTTTCCTGCCTTACTTACTTTACTTACGCACTGGCAAAAAAAAAAAGCTCATGAAATTTTTATGAACAACTAACACTAATTAAATCACACTAATTCAAAAAAAAAACAAACAAACAAAAACTAACAAACTGGGTAGCTAATGAATACTGTATAGGGTCGCTTGATTAATAAAACCTTAAGTTTGACAAATAATAAATACAACACAATGCTACCGAATATCCTCAAGTTCCTATTAGTTCTGTTATCACTAAACCAGCTAGTGAAAGGTTCTACTGGTGATCAATTAGACGAATTCCAGAGATGTGTTGAAGCTTGTTCTCAAACGACGTGTCAGCAAGATTTGGGACAAGACGAGTCCAACAATGAGTTTTTGTCATTGGGATACCAAGAAATGCCATTGTCACTCCCATTGAAATTACTATTCTGGGACTGTGAATCGAATTGTGATTATCAGTGCCAAGAGATTATCAACTTCCTCAGAAAAAGAGATGAGCAAGAACTTTATCAATTCCATGGCAAGTGGTTTTTTGTGAGATATTTCAATATTCAGGAACCGGCTTCGTGTATTTTCTCATTCTTTAACCTTATATCGCATTGGTTGGGGCTCAAATTATTGAATCAAGAAATCATGAAATTCAAGAAATTGAACTTAATCAATAATTTGAAATATGTCAATAACTTGATTGCGCTTTTTGAAAACTATAAGATTATGTGCAAAATCACCATTTGTGCATGGATATTCTCGACAATTTTCCATTTCCGTGACTTGAACCTCACCGAAAAATTGGATTATTTCTTTGCCGGTGCCACGGTTTTAAGTGGTCTTTATGTTGCCGCGCTTCGTTCCTTCAAGCTCTACAAAGGGTCACCAAGAAGAATGATTTTGCTCAGATTTATCGTTGGCTTTGTGTACGCCTGTCACGTACTTCGACTTCTTATCGACTGGTCGTATACCTACAATATGCAGATAAATGTGGTTTGGGCGGTGATCCAGTACGGATTATGGGCGTACTTTTCGATAACTTCTTATATGAAATACTCGGAGTACTTATTCAAAAAAGATTTCAAAAAGAAGCAAATTGTCGAGAAATTATTGGGGGAGAATGAAAAGAAAATTCCTACTACTACTACTAGTACTACTAAGCAATGGTCATGGGATATTGAGGATCATCCAAAATTCTACATTTTGTGTCTCAAGTACTGTCCAAATTGGGAGAACATTAAATGTTTGACCCCAATCGGATTGTCTATTTGGGTGAGCTGTGGGTTGATTTTTGAACTTTTTGATTTCCCTCCTTGGAGAGATATGATCGATGCCCATTCACTCTGGCATTTGACCACCGTTTTACCAGGATATGTATGGTACCATTGGATGATTTGGGACGGGAACAAGTTGAAAGAACAAATCCTTTAGTTGAAAAAGCCAGCTTTCAATTCTCTTTTATACCATAACGAAATTTACAGTTGATATGAAACAAAAGAACAAATACAAAAAAAAAAAAAAAAGAATAGAAAAGATACCTCAAATTGATTTTAATAAACGCCAATTATAAATTATTCAGTGCAGCTCAAGAAAGGATATGATGTAGGAAATACAAGGAAAAAAAATATTCAGAAGTGTAATCAAATGAAGAAGGGATCAATGTTTGAAAAACTCGCTCTGCCTTTGCCTAATGCTCGTCTTCAATGAGGGGTTGTCATGTGTTTCATCGTTTCACTATAGCATCCTATTACGTACGTCAGTATACTTGGCTCTTTGATAGTTGATACCAGGCTCATCACTAAAGCCAGTAAAATTCCAATCTGCTTTTCTAATGTTATGTACTCTTTGGTGATTGCGTAAATCTGTTGTTTCCTGCAATACTTTTATAATTTTGCTAAACATGCAAAAACACAAAATATCCTACAAAAAAATATAAGCTTAAAAAATCAATTGCATAAGAATCTATCATTGAAAATATGTAAACCATATATATATATATTTAAAGAAAGAACCTTTTTCTTTTATTTTTATTTTTCATTTTTTATTTTTTTTTTTTAGTTTTTTTTAATTTTTTTAATTACTATATTGTTTATTTTTTTTTTTTTTTTTGAAAAACTCCATTAATCAAAAACCGCACTAATGGTGTTTTCAAAAATATTCAAACCTTCCTCAATGGTGGCAGAATCAATATTCAAAGATGGGACAAATCTAATAGTGTTACCACCAGCAGCAATTACAATAAGACCTCTTTCACGGGCAGCATCAACCAATTTGGCAGGAGACTCTTTGAATTGGATACCCAACATCAAACCTTTACCCTTGATGGTGGTGACCTTGTCACTGTGCTTGGCCTTGATTTCTTCTAATTTCTTCAAGAATATTTGGGATTTTTCATTGACACCTTTCAAGAATTCATCGGTGGCGATTTGTGACAACACATAAAGACCAACTCTGGCGGCGATTGGATTACCACCATAAGTACTGCCATGATCACCTGGAGCAAGAATTGCATTGACTTTTGGACTGACAATGGTGGCAGAAACTGGGAAACCGTTACCCAAGGCTTTAGCGGAAGTAAAAATATCTGGATGAGCTTCTTTAGGCAAGTACGAATGGGCCCACAACTTCCCGGATCTCCCCATACCACATTGAATTTCGTCGAAAATTAAAAGAGCATTGTGCTTATTGGCCAATTTTCTCAAGTTGGTCAAAAACTCAAGGGAAATTGGGTTGATACCCCCTTCACCTTGGATTGGTTCGATGATAATAGCACACGTCTTGTTTGTGTCGATCAATTTCTCGACGCTTTCCAAGTTTTCTGGCTCAGCAAACTTGACCGATGGGGCCATTGGGGCAAATGGGTCTTGGTATTTATGGTTAGCAGTGACCGACAAGGCCCCGAAAGTTCTTCCGTGGAAACTGTCCTTGAAAGCAATGACTTCGTATTTATCTGGGTTTTGTAATTTCCCGAATTTTTTAGCGAATTTGAGGGCGGCCTCATTGGCTTCGGTACCACTGTTCCCTAAAAATACTGCGGAAGCATCGTGCATCCCCCCAAACGCCTTGGTGGTGTCACAAATGGTCTTGGATAACTTGCTGCTATAAAGATTGTGGAATCCACTGGAGGTGTGAACCAATTCATTAGCTTGATCACTGATGATCTGGGCCACTTCTGGGTTGGAATGACCGAGAGAGTTCACGGCAATACCGGCACTGAAGTCAATGTATTGACGACCTTCAAGATCGTAAAGGTAACTACCTTTACCTTTGGCAACCACGAAATTTGGTCTACTGTAGGTAGCCACAATAGAGGAACCATTTTCCTCGATGTATTTCGCGGTCTTTGATTCTGGACCTGGTTCTTGGTAAGTGGCAGTGGTCTAAAACATGCTTTGTTAGATAACTGTTCTGTTAGAGTCAAAGAGTGAAAGATTTCTAGTACTCACTGATTGATAACGTCTTGCAGCAGACTTCAACAAGTCTCTTCTCAAGGTAGAAGACAACAATGCAGTTTGTCTGATTGGTAATTTTCTGCCAAACATTTTCTTTTTTTTTTTTTTTTTTGATAAATCAATGTCCTTTTCAAGAGGAAAATTTTCTTTCTCTCAAGATAGGAATTTGGGAGTGTATATATATGTGTAACAAAGGAGCATCATTTTTTCATTTTTTTCAAATCATGGAAATTAGTCACCAATGCAGACAGAGACGAACGATGTGATTATCATGAGTAACATCCATGGGCTCTGACTGATTTGGGTTCAAAAATAAGACAATGTCTGAAAAATTATCAGCATATCAAAACAAAACAACCGGAAGATGTCAGTTCTCTACCAGAATAAATTAAAACAGTGAGTAGCTCAACTCCGGCGTTATTTAGTAGCCACTATTTAGCAGCCTCTGCGATGACTCCCATAATTCTGATTGCAACCGCCAAAACGGTACAGTCAAGAGCCCAGTCACATCAGCTGACATTGCACGTTTTTTTTTTTTTTTTTTCCTCTCTTTTTGACGTCCTCTCAGCCGAACAAGGAAACAACATCGATGGAACAAGAGGTTGAGGAAACCGAGTCCACAATATGACCTCTTCCAAGGACTATATTCTCAAGGCATGGCCTCCCAATGACACAATCGCCAACACCAAGAAGTACCGGATCGTCAAGAAATCACCCATCCCTGTATCGGTCAAGATCCTCACGGTGTCGGTCCTTGTGTTTGCCGCTTTGTACATCGTGGTGGTGCGATGCTACCTTGTCCAAGTACCATTCCTATCTTATGCTCAAAGCCATTTCGCTAGCCCAAAACTGGCAGGGTTGACTATTTTAGTAACAGTAGCCATCAACCACCTTCTCTGCTATGTTTTCCAGAGCGATTTCGAGGAATCGATCATGGTGATTAAAAGTATGGGGATCGAAATCTCTACCACGATTCCCAACAGCACATTCTTTGGTAGGGCAAAGATCGTGGATAGGTTCATCCCCATCGGCGATATCATTGATATCATGATCCATGAAGCGTTCAAAGGGTTCGAGGTCATTTTTTATATGGTGATTCTCCGGCAAAACCAAAAGAAGTTGACGATTGTGTTTGAAAAGTTATTACCAAGGAGGGATCAGTTGGAGGTGGTGCTCCGTGGTTGCAGGAAAGTGTTGTATCACCAGAGAAGAGATAATAAGTTGGAAATACCTGGCTGGACCAAGTTATCTGAACCGAACAACAAGACAATATAAAAACCATAGTAGTAGTAGTATATAGGATATATACACCAAGACCACGGGAATATAGAGAATGTCATCGCTGAAGACAGGGTAAACAAAGCGGCCCACAGCAAAAAAAAATTTTCTGCAATTTTTTTTTTTTTTTTTTTTTTCACGCACAAAGGCCTTGAAACTTTTTGTTGTTTGTATCCTTAATCTTTTTCTAGTATTAACAGAATAACACAGAAAAGATGTCTGAGGAATATATTATCAAGCCAGAATCTACTGGCCCATCAGTTGACACTTCTGAGTGGCCACTTTTGTTGAAAAACTATGACAAATTGGAAGTCCGTAGTGGTCATTATACCCCAATCCCTACCGGTTGTTCTCCATTGAAGAGAGACCTCAAGTCCTACATTTCTTCTGGTATCATTAACTTGGACAAGCCATCCAACCCTTCTTCCCATGAAGTTGTTGCCTGGATTAAGAGAATTCTCAGAGCTGAAAAGACCGGTCACTCTGGTACTTTGGATCCTAAGGTCACCGGGTGTTTGATTGTCTGTGTCGACAGAGCCACCAGATTAGTCAAATCTCAACAAGGTGCCGGTAAAGAGTATGTTTGTATTGTCAGATTGCACGATGCTTTGAAAGACGAAAAAGACGTTGCCAGATCATTGGAAAACTTGACTGGGGCTTTGTTCCAAAGACCACCATTGATTTCCGCCGTCAAGAGACAGTTGCGTGTTAGAACCATTTACGATTCTAAGCTCATTGAATTTGACAACAAGAGAAACTTGGGGGTTTTCTGGGCCTCTTGTGAAGCTGGTACTTATATGAGAACCTTGTGTGTCCATATGGGTATGTTGTTGGGCGTTGGGGGTCATATGCAAGAATTGAGAAGAGTCAGATCCGGTGCCCTTAGCGAATCCGATAACTTGGTTACTTTGCACGATGTTCTTGATGCTCAATGGGTTTACGACAACACCAGAGACGAATCCTACTTGAGAAGAATTGTCCAACCTTTGGAAACCCTTCTTACATCCTACAAGAGAATTGTTGTCAAGGATTCCGCCGTCAACTCTGTCTGTTACGGGGCTAAGTTGATGATCCCAGGTTTGTTGAGATACGAGAAAGGCATTGAATTGTACGACGAAGTTGTCTTGATGACCACCAAGGGTGAAGCCATCGCCATTGGTATTGCCCAAATGTCCTCTGTTGACTTGGCCACTTGTGACCACGGTAACGTTGCCAAGGTCAAGAGATGTATCATGGAAAGAGACACCTACCCAAGAAGATGGGGTTTGGGTCCAATTGCTCAAAAGAAGAAGCAAATGAAGACCGAAGGGAAATTGGACAAGTACGGTCGTGCCAACGAAAACACTCCAGCTTCATGGAAGAAGGATTACGTTAGTCTTGAAAACGTCGAACCAGCTGCACCATCTACTGCTTCTACTACCGAGCCAGAAACCGCCAAGGCTGAAGAACCAGCTGTTCCAGCCAAGAAGGAAGAAGAAGAACAAGTAGAAGAAGAATCCGAATCAAAGAAGGAGAAGAAGGAAAAGAAGGAAAAGAAGAGAAAGGCCGAAGCTGAAGATGAAGATGAAGATAAGAAATCTAAGAAGTCCAAGAAGGAGAAGAAGGAGAAGAAGGAGAAAAAGGAAAAAAAGGAAAAGAAAGAAAAGAAAAGTAAAAAAGATTAAACCTATGATTGATAGATGTTGAAGCATTTATTGTCTATTGTCAATATTTTTTTTTATTGTCTCTTTTGAACTACTACTACTACTACTCCCGAAAAATTATCAACTGATCATTACCATCCATATCCTATTTGAATCATCCATGATTGAAACTGTACTTTTACAAAAAAAAAAAAAAAAGCAAACTATTTTATTCTTTCTATATGGATTTTGCAGAATACCGAAAAAAAGGTCTCCATATTTCTATATTTTTTTTTTTCCCAAGTTAATTTTTTTTTTTTTTATTAATTGCTTTTATAGTATAAATCTATGTCATATTAACGTTTATTTATTGTTTGGTCACTTGTAAGATGAAGTAAGAGACAAAATATACTATTAGGTTGCAATGAGAGAGAATGCAAAAGAAAAAAAAAAAAACGAACGGGATAAGAATTCATACAAACTCAATCTCAAGGTCAAGACGTAAATAAGCATATATTTGTAAGTCAAAAAAATTATAATCATATGATAATGATAAATGTGTGTTGTACAATACACTTTGCATTCACAATAAAGGAAAAAAACAAAAAACAAGACCAAACAAACAAGAAAACATGAACAAGTAAAATAAAATAGAACCTTGATGGAACTGAGATATGGTGATTATAATAACGATATAATTTGATTGAAATATCACATAGTCGGATCATATTGGGTTATGCTGTGAAGTGAAGAAAAAATAAATAAATAAATCATAATAATAATAATATGTTCTATAATTATGGGGCAAAGTTGTTGGGTTGGGATCATTAATTTCATAAAGTACATTTTTTTTTTTTTTTGTTATTTTTATCTTTTCATTGGTGAAAAAGTCCTTAGAAGTTTTGCTGAATGGCAGCTTTTTGGTTTGCAGTCAATGAGATTGGATAATCAACCTTAAAACTAACAAATAAATCCCCAAACTTACCAGGTTGCTTGGATATTGGCATACCTTGTCCTGGATATGTGGTTTGTGTACTAGGGCTGATTGGGGTTGCTCTATCAATAGTAATGGTTTTCCCGCCCAAAGTCTTGATTTCTTTTCTAAATCCGAGCAACGATTCCTTGAACGATAATGGGATGGTGATCTTCAAATTATCACCGTCTCTGGTATACAATGGATGGCTTTTTTCTTCAAGGACAAATTTCACGGTTTGACGGCCGTGAGGAGTCCAATCACCAATGCCTTTGTAAGTGATCTTTGTCCCGGATTTCCAACCAGCAGTCACATTGACACTCACTAGTTGCTTCTCTTGGGTGCCGTGTTGGTTCTTTCTTGAGATGTTGAGCTTTTTGGTCTTCCCGGTATACAATTCTTCCAAAGTACAACTCAATGGCAATGTAACGGTTTCAGGTTCAGGGGTATCATGAGCATACCCACCAAATCCGCCAGGCATGCCACCAGCACTTCTCCCACCTCTAGACCCACCAGCACTTCTCCCACCAGGCATGCCACCACCACCAAAGTTGAAGCCGCCAAATGACCCAAAGTCATCGCCCATCCCCCCACTATTCGAGAATTGTTCAAAGATTCTAAAGGCATCACCTTGAGAGAATGGAGAGCCTCCGAATGGTGAACTTCCAGAGCTGAAGGAGAATGATGGACCAGCACCACCGGCCCCAGAACCACCAAAGCCACCAGGTCCGCCGGCCCCAGCACCAGGCAGAGGACCGCCTTGACGGGCGGCTTCTAATCCGAATTGATCGTACATGGATCTTTTGTCTTTACTGGAGAGAATTTCAAAAGCTTCAGAGATTTGCTTGAACTTTTCAGTGTCTCCTGTAGGCTTATCAGGATGGTACTTGAGGGCCATCTTCCTGTACCCTTTCTTGATTTCGGCATCGCTTGCTTGAGGAGAGACCCCAAGAAGGTCGTATAGTTTAGTTTCTCTAACCATTGCTTGTAGTTATAGTATGTTGTCGTAATAAATGTGGTGAGCAGAACCAAGGTGAGCACAGAGCAAGCTTCAATCTGGGAACCGTCGCAGCTTTTTATATAACGAAAATCGCGTCGCAGTGCCAAAAAAAAAAAAAAATCCGCGAAGCTTCGAGAAGCTTCCACACCCCCTGATGCCTATTGAGGCAGTGTCACCCCCTTTCGTCTTCATACATTGTCTTCTGCCATATAATATTTACACTGTGGTGCGCTCTGTAAGTATATATATATATATTTTAGTATATATTAGTATATTATATCATTATTATCATTATTATGTACCATTCCCACTAACAACTCTTCCCACAAACACAGCTCTCGTTCCAGTATGTTCCGCCACCTACCTACAAAACAAACAGAAAAAAAACCCCCCATGAAAAATCACCCGTGGTGAAAAATTCCTGATCCAAATCATCTTCCGTCTCTTCACCATCCATCCATCCATCCATCCTCCTTCTTCTTCTACCAATTCAAAAGAATCTCCCCCCTGGTGAACCCTCCGTTGTGTCTCTGTCTGCCCTGTTTGTTACCTCCTCCCTGAAAAATGCCTACTCCTGCTGAACTTTTGGCCGCCGCCCACGCCGCTGCTCAAGCCGATATCCTTGATGACGTGGTCTACGACGATGCCGCCGCCGCCACCACCACTGCTGCTGCTGCTCCTGCCACCAGATCTTCCTTGGGCTCCAGATCCTCTGTCTCCCGTGCTACCATCAATGATGACTCTGCTTTCCCTGCCTTGGGTACCGTGCCTCAATCCTCTGCTTCCTCTGCCTCCTCTTGGGGCCCAAAGATGGGCAAGTCGTTTGTCTCTTCAGCTCCATCTTCCTCCGCTTCGTCTTCTTCTTCTTCTACCACCACTACCAAGTCCAAGTCCGTTGCCATGCGCTCCAAGTCTATCCAAGAAGCTTTCTCTTTGGACTTTGATGACCAATTGAACGTCAGCAAGTCCGAATTCGCTAACATCTTGAACGGCTTGAAGAAAACTACCAAATGTAACATCGAATGTACCTCTTCTCAACAAACTAAAAAGAGAACTTTCTTGCTTACTGGTGAACCTAATGAAATTGCCCGTGTCAGAAGAGAAATCCTCCGTCGTCTTACCAAACCTGTTAACATCGTGTTCTCCATTCCAAGCTCTACCCGTTCCGTGGTTATTGGTTCCGGTGGCAGAAACTTGAAGCCAATCATCGAATCTAACAGCGTTAAGATCAACATCGACCGTGAAACCACTCCTGAAGTCGATGGCGAAGAAGATATCTTTGGTGGCTCAGTTAACGTTTCCATTCAAGGTGATATCCAAGGCGTTAACGACGCCAAGGCACAAATTTTGGCCATCGTCGATGAACACACCAAGTCTTTGACCACCAAGTTGACTATTGACAGCGAAGTCGCCCCATTTATCGAAGGTGAACTCAAGGATTTGCATGTATCCGACGATGTTTCTTTGTACGTTTCTCCATCTGGTCTTGTCTCCATCACCGGTCCTCGTGAAGCCATTGTCGACTTGCGTAACAATGTCAAGATTCTTGCTGACCAATTGACTACCCGTATCATCACTAAAGAACAAAACGTTCCAAAGAAATTCCATAAATTCATCGATACCCAGGAAATTCTTGATGATTTGAATGTTGTTGTGGAGATTCCATTCGAAGAAGAAGATTCTCAAGTGGTCAAATTCATCGGTGACAAAAATAAGATCAATGCTGCCATCAACAAGGCCAAGCAATCTTCTCAAAAACACACCATCGAATCTTTGAACATTGCTCGTGCCCATAACAATAACTTGGACCATGGGAAAAAATTGGGGATCTACTTGAAGCAATCTAGTGCTCTTGACCCTATTGCTTCTGCTCACAATGTTCAAATTTACCTTCCTAGTTATGAGACTCTTTTATCTGAAAAGACTAAGACCGTTACTCTTGACTTTGTCTATGATAACCTCGATGAATTCAAGGCCGCTAAAAAGGCTGTGGTTGAATTTGTCAACAAGTTCACCCCAACCAACTTGAAAACCATCTCTGACATTGATTCTTTCTTTGCTGGCGAAGTCTCCACCGTTACCGATGATGTTGCTAAAGAATCCAGTGTGGCGGTTATCCCATTTGCTGCTTTGAACACCAAGGCCAAATCAAATGATATCTTGCTTGTTTCTGTTGGTACCGACGATGATGATTTTGGTCCATCTATTGATGAAATCAATGAAAAATTCAACAAGATTGACGCCACTCTTGCCAACTTCCGTGAATTGGGTAAAGATATCGTTACCAAGACTTTGTCTGTTCCATCTGCTGAACAAACCCACATTGCTGGTCCAAACAATTCTACTTTGCGTTCCCTTAAGGCTGGTGTTGCCAACCCATTGGAAATTTCATTGCACCAACCAACTGATGATGAAGTCACCGTTCATGGTTTGACCAAGGACGTTGCTTCCACCATTGAAGAAATTAAGCAAGTTCTTCAAGACGCTAAAGATTATGCGGTGGCCTCATCTTACAAAACTACTCTCGAATTCCCAACCGCTGTGCTTTCTCGTCTTATTGGTAAGAGCGGTGCTCACCTTAACAGTCTTCGTGACGAACACGGGGTTCGTGTCGATGTTGCTAAAGACGATGCCGGCTCCAAACCAGAAACCACTACCGTTACCGTCACTGGTATCAAGCGTAATGCCGAAGAAACCAAATTAAAGATCATTGCTTTGGGTAAATCATGGGCCGATGAAACCACCGAAACTATCAGAGTTCCACAACAATACCAACGTCGTTTGATTGGGCCAAAGGGTTTGTATGTCAACCGTTTGCAAGATAAGTACAACGTTCGTATCAAGTTCCCTCACGAAGACCAAGCTGCTAAGAAGGACGAAGTTATCGTTAAGGGTCCATCTAAGGGAGCCAAGAAAGCTATCGATGAATTGAAAGATTTGCTCAATTACGAAATCGAAAATGGTCACAAGAGCGTTGTGTCAGTGCCAACTGCCGCCATTTCTCGTATCATTGGTAAGAGCGGTTCTAAACTTAATGCTCTTCGTGATGAGTTTGGGGTTGAAATCGATATCGCCGACAAAGCTGATAGCCACAGTAAAGTTGAAATTACCGGTACCAAGCAAGCTATCAAGGAAGTTGAAGCTAAGATCAAGGAAGTTGTCAATGAAGTGGAAAACACCATCACTGAAGAATTAGAAGTTGATCCAAAACATTACCGTGCCATCTTGGGTTCTAACGGTTCTAACTTGCGTAACATCTTGTCAAAGGCCAAGGCCCCAGAAGACCCAAGCACCTGGTACCGTTTGCTCGTTATTCCAGACAAGGGCTCTGAATCTCACAAGATCAGCTCTACTGGTGACCGTAGTGTTGTTACTTCTATTATCAACCAAGTTAAGGCCATTGTCGCTGAAGAGGAAAACAGCATTACTGAAGAGCTTACTATTCCACAAGAAAAGCACCGTCTCCTTATTGGACCATCCGGTTCTACTCGTCGTGAAATTGAAACTAAGTTCAATGTTACTGTGATGATTCCACGTATTTCTGAAAAATCCGATATTGTTAAGATCAAGGGTCTTTCAGAAGCCGTCGAAAGTGCTAAGGAACATATCATCAAGGTCACTGCCGACAACTGGTCTGCTGTCATTGACGTTCCTGCTAAATTCCACGCTGGTTTGGCTCAAAAGGGGGCAGTCTTCAAGAAATTGAGATCTAGTTACGGTATCAAGGTTGAACACGGTCAACTCGCCAGAGATGCTTCCAAGTTGTCCAACGCCAAGGTTTCTATTCCAGAGTCCGCCCGTGCTGGCGAGGGTGCATCTAACTGGACTTTGGTCGAAGACAACGATGCTTCTGTGGATAGCGATGCTGGCAAGGTTATTCCATGGAGACTTGTTGGCAAGGAAGAAGACGCTGCCAAGGCCAAGAAGTTCCTTGAACAACAATTGGAAACTATTTCCAAGCATAACTACACTGGGTACTTGTACCTTGCTGACCGTAGTAACTTCAGTAAAGTTATTGGTCCAAAGGGTGCTACTGTGGAAAAAATCAGAAAGAACACCGGTGCTAACATCAACATTCCTCAAGCTCATGATGAAATCAATGATGTTATTGTTGTGAGAGGTAATAAGGAAGGTGTTGAACAAGCCAAGGAAGAAATCTTGAAATTGCTTTAATTTTTATTAGATTATCTTCTAGGCTTTATGTCATGTAAAAGTATCAAACAATGATTTGATACATCATATACGTTTTTACGATCAAGAATAAAAGTTAGTTTTTCTGTTAAGCTTATTATTATTGAGTGTTAATTGTAGTTGCGGATTTTAAAGAAGATATTTTAGATATCATGAGCCATCAAAATAGGTGCCAACTGTTGAAGTAGCATTGGAAGGGAGGAGAATCAACATCACACAGGCTAACAAAAAACTATGAGGGTGAAACACCCCCATACATACACGTATACATCATGTGCAAAAAACGTGACTTCATAAACAAATAAAGGCCGGGTGAATAGGCACAATCAGGTGATATATCACATGATATAAACTGAGTGTCCGGGTGTTAAATGGGTCTTACATCCAATAATACATACATCTGATAATATACTAATCCATACACCCACATCATATTATGCAATCCTATAAGCAATAATAATCCATAATAAATACACCTTCAATTGAGCACCTCAGTAAGATTATTTTAGGAAATTCACAATTAGTCAGTCTAGATGATAAAGGTAATGTTTGCAGTGGCCACACATATACGATAGATAATTGCCAGGGTGTACGTACTAGTAATAACAATAATAATGATTATGCAAAACTAACAGACGGCAATAATCTTCTTGTCTTATCTGGACCAACAGAAAGTCTCCAATAAACCATATCCAAGGTATTTTTCATCTGCAAGTTAATTAATTACCTCCGGAAAATGAAAATACGGTAACCAAGGATTGTTTTCCCCGCTACTGATAACCAAAATGATTTGCCCTTATCAGTGACTCCCAGCATCCCACACTTTTCTGAAGAGTCCTTTTGTCGCCAAATTCCCAATATGGATAGACCCGCAGGATGGGTGCGCCATTGCCCCAATGGGGCAGTTGCCGCCACCTTGACACTCATCCTCCCCAAGGTTTGAAATATATTTTTATATGTGATTTATATATAATTCGTTGATTCCCGTTTGAGTTTCCCTCCTTTAATTTTCTTGTTTTTTATTCATCATCTCTATTTCCCAATCGAAACATCAACGCGTACTGCTTGAAGTTTATTACTAAATCTTCACTTTTTTGTTCTCTAATCTAATATAACCAATATAACCATGGCTCAATCAATTATCCAAGGCCACGTTGCCGATGCCAAACCTCGTGTTGTTGACGGTAATGGTGTTTACGTTACCATTGAAGACCCAGTGACCAAAGAACGTAAAACTTTGCTCGATGGTGCCACCGGTGCTGCCGTCGGTATTTTGGGTTACAAGGATTCAGAAATCATCGAAGCCATGGCCGAAGCCGCGAAAACTTCGATTTACAATTTCCCACTTTACATGTCCAACTATGCTGCTGAAGAATTGGCACAATTCTTGATTGATAACTCCCCAAAAGATGCGTTCCTGACCGCGCTTATCACCTGTTCTGGGTCTGAATCCATCGAAAACACCTTGAAGTTGGCGTACCAATACCAAAAGGAAGTGGGCCAACCACAAAGAACTAAATTTGTTAGCCGTAACAGATCGTACCACGGTTACACTTTGGGGGCCTTATCCATTGGTGATTCTTCCAGAGCCGATGCTTTCAAACCAATTCTTGGGAAACCAGATCAATTCATCAAAGTCAGCGCGGTTTACCCATACCGTCACATGAAAGCCGGAGAAACTTTGGAACAATACAAGGATAGATTAGTGAAGGAAGTTGAAGACACTTTTATCGCCAATGATCCAAGCACCATCGCTGCGTACATTGGCGAAACCGTTGGGGGATCCACTTTTGGTACTTGTCCTCCAGTTCCAGGGTACTTGGAAGGGGTTAGAGCCGTGTGTCACAAGTACGGAGTGTTGTTTGTGTTGGATGAAGTGATGTGTGGTATTGGTCGTTGCGGTACTTTCCACGCTTGGGAACAATTCTTGCCAGAAGGTCAAAGTCCAGATATTCAAACCATTGGTAAAACCCTTGGGGGTGGGTACGTCACCGTTGCCGCGATCCTCGTGTCTCCTAAAGTCACTAATGCCATCACCAAAGGTAGTAACAACATCATTGGGGCCCAAACTTACCATCAACACGCTTTTAACTCATCAGTGGCTTTGGCGGTTCAAAAGAAGGTCAAGCGTGAAGGTGTCGTTGCAAACATTCACGAAAATGGTAATTTCTTTGGTGAACAATTGAAGAAACAATTGTTGGGTAAATCCAAGACCGTTGGTGATGTCCGTGGGGCCGGGGGGTTCTGGTCGATCGAATTGGTCAAGGACGTTACCACCAAGGAAACTTTCCCTGTTGATTTCCATTACTACTCTAAGTTGTACAACAAGATCACCGAAAATGGTGCTATCACCATGCCAAGTGGTGGGACTGCCGATAACCTTAACGGTGACCATATCTTGTTCAGTCCATCCTTGAACATCAGCAAAGAAGATACCCAAAAGTTGCTCGACATTGTTGTGAAGTCGGTGTTTGAACTCGAAGCCGAACTTAACTTGTGATTATGTTTGCTTGATTAGTACGTGATGCTATGTTTTTTTTTTTATCCTACCTTTCCTTCTATATGTTTTATTTCTTATTGTTTTACTGCTTTTTTTTTCTTCTTTTTGTTTTATTTGCTTAGCTTGAAGATTTCGCTATATGTATAAATGAATTTTTTTTGTCCTATTATTAATGATATTCCCATTATGTGAAAAATAAAAGAAATTTTTTCTATAATTTGCCGTGTAGGTTGAAACTAGTATGCTTCAATATTATGACATCACTGAGTTCTAATTCCAGCCGTGAGCGAGATAATCAAGTATTACTGGTTTTATAGTTCTCATTATTCACAAATGGTGATAAGGTACTACTACGTGCTGGTGAATAAAAATAATATACCAATCTCCAACTTACAATTAAAGATCCTTCAATTCAGTTCAAAACCAAAACAAAACAAAACACATAATAGCATCTTTATTAAACTTCTAATAACGTTACAATTCATAATTAATCATGATTGAGGTATCCAAACTTCTTTGTCCAACAATCCAACCCGATGGTACGATAATGACATCCCCTTCATTTACTATTGTCTCGAATGGGGTTAATTGTGGGTTGACATTGAATTCCAATTTCGGATTACGGTTGAAAATATCATGGATTGTTGATAATTCATTGGAGTCTCCCACAAGCATCAGCCTTTGGGAACCTGGGTACAATTTCACCAATCTTTGACCCCGGAGTTGAACCATGATTTGAAGGTTAGAAGACACCATCATGAGAGGGGTGGTCAATTTCCCCGAAGTGATAACGAGTGTCTTCTTATTACCAAAATCTTGGGTTGACAATTCAAAACAAGATGCGAGGAAATCATCATCATCTAATGGGATAGAAACGTTTTGTTTTTGATATTTATTGACGAGCATGCCATCTATGAAATCAGAGAATTTCACTAATAAGTTGGAAACTTGGATTTCAGTAGTAGCACCGATTTGCCCAATGATATTTTGCAACATTACCTTGTCAGAGCAAGAAGAAGAAGAAGAAGAAGAAGAAGAAGAAGAAGAAGAAGAAGAAGAAGAAGAAGAAGAAGAAGAAGAAGAAGAAGGTGATGATAATGTTGCTGTTATGACTAACGGAACGTCTGATGCTATAATCTCTTTAGTGTCTATTGATTTCCCATCAACTTTTTCTATAGCTTTACTCTTCACTAAGGTTGGTTTTTTCGTCACGGATTTCAAATCCTTGGAAACCGAGGTTTTCGATGTCTCATCATCGGGTTTCCGCTCAGTATCAATTTTGTTTTCCTTATTGAGAAATTCAAAAATATTGTGGGTTGATGATTGTGATTGATCGGATCCAATATTAATTTTTACAAGTCCATTCCAATAAGACCCAAATGAATAACACACCGCGCCCCCACCGACGTAAATCTTCTGACCATCATCAATATCCACAAGATCCCCACATACGAAGATCGGGAATTTCTCCCAGACGGATTTCTCGACTTGCAATTTTGTGAATTTCTGCTGCTCGGCATCGAATATTACAAACGCGGTATCTTGTCCGTATACGAAATCCGTGGCTACCCCACCAAATAGAAGGTACTGGTTGCTTGACTTTTCAATGGAGGTGACGGCAGCCCCAAAACGTCCGGCAAAAGCATGGGTCATAATTTTTGTGATCTTGACCTCATTGGATGGCATATTCAATTGAAATTCATAGATCGAAGGATCAATTGTATTTTCATCAAACATTCCTCCGAAAATATACCCTTTATTACTATGAGAATTGTAAGTGACCGCCGCACCGACCCTTGGAAGGAATGATTCCACACCGGTCTCCAGCAATGCCAATTTCTCCCAAGATTCCGTGGTGGTATCAAATTTGAGGAAACAATTATCGATGATCGACCCATTACACACAATAACGTCTTGTCCCACTACAAAAGCGTTCATACGATATCTTCCATGATCTGGTAATGATGCAGTTTGACGCCATTGATAAACATCACCAACCGGTTCTAATATCCAACAATCGGTAAATGGCTTATTTGGGGCACTACGGCCACCAATGAGCAAGAACTTGTTCGAATCGTTGATACTCACAATAGAATGACAAAGTCTTTCTGGAGGGGTAATTCCCTTGATAGGAAGCGTGGAGTTATCATTAGAGAGGATCAATGAAGATGAAAGCTTTGCTTGGGAGAAACCAGAGTTCACAAGAATCGATGTATCTTTGTTGGTGGGAAACGCGCACGCGGATGTCAAACGACGTTGGAGATTAGCGATTTCTTGGACTTGGAAACTGATCCCCAAATCACCGGCTTTAACAATAGGGATTTTTGATAAATCGGGTTTCGCAGGGATTTGAAGAACTTTACGGCCGTTATTTGTGAAATGACCAAAATAATAGTGGGTACAAAACAAATTATGTTCTTCGTATTCGTCAAACCCTTCGACTTTACTAATTTTCTGTTTCAACTCATCACTGATGAAATGGTCCCAGTATTCCATCAATGTCACCATTTCAAGCTCTCCAGTATGGTTTGCCAACCGATGGTATCTTTCTCGTTGGTGTTCGAACGTGCGGTATCTTCCTTCGACACTGCGGATTGGAGAGTTCACTTTGTTGAAATGACGAAACATCAATTGCACAAACCGGTCATCCATGTCCTCGTTAGGAATAAGCTGTTCAAGGATGATGAAGTGCGAATTTTCGCACTGGGTGGAATGTTCAATGATCTTATCGGATTTATCCGGTTCCATATAAGTGATGGAAACTTCAGCAATGAAGATTTTCGTGGATGATGATTGATTTCCCAATAGATTCAAGTCCTGTAATACCGATTGATACGATTTATAATCGTTTAGATCACATTGCACCATGATATAATTATCAGTGACGATTTTGTAGATTGGGCTCTTGTTTTTCAATGCCATAAACTCGTGGCACGACGTTGACTCATCTTCCAATTTGATGATCCTTTTAAGCTCAGGACTATTGTGGATCATTCTAAATTTCTCATCGATTAATGCGTGATAATCGATATCGACAAACACCACCTTGTCCTTGATCCCTGGTTTTTCCAAGTACTCAAACGCGATAGGGTCGTACCCGCATCCAAGGTTGATCACGTACACTTTATCGTCCCCACTGGCTTGGAGAAGCTTGTCAAGGGTTTGTCGCACAATAAGGAGTCGAAGAAGGTATCCACGGTTGATCACCGGGCTACGACGTTTGAATTTGGGGACAAAATGGTGGAAGTACTGGGTGCCTTCGGGGTGCGATGGGTAAAGAATCGATCCATAAAGTTTTTCTACCGATCTTTTGGAAACAATCGAAGAGTTGTTGGTCGCCTGGACAAACTCATCACGTCTTTCAGGCATGACTGATTATTGAAGAAGAAAGATGGTTATTTATTGGGAAATGAAATGATTGAATTGATCAGATTGAAACTTCAACTTTGGGTGATGAGATTGAATTTTTTGAAATTTTTTTTTTCATCTTTTTTTACAACATGAATTTGGAGGAATCCTTGACAAATCAAACAATTGTTGTAAATCCATACAAACAATTGGAGTAAAAATAAGACATCATAACAACATGAAAGAATTAAAATAAAACAAGATATCATAACAACATGAAAGTATAAAAGTTTTTCCTTTTTGTTTGAGGCAAAAAAAAAAAAAAAAAAAAAAAAAATAAATAAATAAATAAAAAAAAAAAAAAAAAAAAAAAAAAAAAAAGAAAACTAAGCGTGTTCATATCATAAAAAATATCATAACAAAAGTATTTGGAAGCCAAAAACAAATAAAATAATAATCATCCCAAAGTAAAACATAACAGAAGCGAAAATTTCCCAGTACATATCATAGAATAACAAAAAACAAACAATGATTCTGGAAATCAAACTAAATTTTTCTCTCTTTCTCTCCTTTTTCAAGTCAACATCAATGTAACATCATAATCTCTAATTGCATGGATCCAAGTAAAGTCATCCCCGACCCTTTTCTTTCCTTCCCAAATCTTATTCAACAACTGGTAACTAACAGAATAATTATTGATCCCAATGGTCCCCATCCGAAGACACCAGTCAGCAAACTTTTGCTGCAATTCAGGAGTATTGGCCTCACTTCCGGCAATGAACGCTTGCCAGAAAATTGGCACAATCACCGCCTTATTACTGGTGAGAATCTTGCCAATCTCCATCAAATTATTCATACAACTGGTGATGTACGGCTCGACTTCATGGTACGGAACGTGCTTGATGATTCGGTAAAAGTACACGGAAATCCCGTCCTTAAATGACAAAATATGGAAATAAATCGCTTTGTGGGTGGCGGTTTGGTACTCTTTCTCGTGGTTTCTGTCGTACTTGAATAAACTCCACTCCAATTTCCAAGCGTTCAACGCTTTTTCGAATTTCGCAGCTTCGTACTTGAATTTCCCAATCTCGTCGACGGTGGAGTCCTCCAATTTTTGCCCCTTATTACGATCGTGCCAAACCTGGGTCAACACTTTGATTTTCAATTTGAACAATTCGACCATCAGCCCAAACAACTTGATGATCGAATTCGGTAACCCAAATAACTCATCGGTGGAAAACGACGAGGTGTCGGATTTTGTCTTCAATGCCCGAGATACCGAACTCCTGTGCAACGGAATATCGTCAGCATCGTATTCATCATCGTATCGTGGATGGTATTTTGGCAGTAACGCAAAATTCTCATTAGCCGCTTCGATGAATTTCGGAGATTGCGGGGCAAGCATCGGCGACCCATGATTACTGTTAACGAGCAATTCAATAGAAACACGGCCTTTATCATTGATCTTTTCTCTAAATGTCGTGATCCCCGACGCCGGTTTAGGGTTGGCAACGACATCAGAATTGAACAGCGACCCCGCAATATCGCTTTCAATGTCTTCGAATAGGGTGTTAGTATTATAATAGGAAATCGAATCATAATTAAGTTTTGGGTCGAAAGTACGAGGCCTTAACTCCTCGATACTTTCATCTTTGGCGGAAATCCCCGAAGTACCGTCCAAATCAAACCTCAGAAGTTCGAAAAATGGATGTTCTTTGGTATCGGAAGTCGGGAAAATCTGGGTGGATTCTTCAATACACTTATGGAACGAGAAAATTCTGTGTAACGTTTTGGCCTTTGGAGATAATTTCCGATTTTTTTTCATTCTATTGCCAATGAATTCTTCACATAGATCCAAATAAGCTTTGCAGGATTTCATCGACCCACTGGCCACATCGATGGTACTCATCGATAAGATACTGACCAACACGTCTTTGTATTTTTGTTGGTATAAATCATGTTCGATACTATCGTTCAAAAAATCTTTGGCGGTGTTTCTTGCACTGTAGCCAACGACGTTCCAATATCTGTAAGGTTCGGTTCCCAGTTGAAACTTGTTTCTGAAATAAAATGCCGACACCGAAATGATGGCGTTCAAAGTACAATGATTGGACAGATCACTGTACCCAACCGCCAACACATCACCAATCGCCTTGAACGCTCTGGAAACGTAAATGGTTTTCCAAGGGTTGCGAGGAAGCACAAGCACCGTCATGAGATCGGCAACGTGGTGAACATAGTTCGACATGAGGAGTCTGGTAAGAGGTAAAGGAACAAGAACTTCTGTCGATACCAGATCGTAACCTTGGGGGACAAACGGAGCGCTCGAGTCCTCCATACTCATGGGTCTAACGAATAACGACCCGGAATTAAACCCGGAATTTTCTGAATTGTTACAGTAAATACTTTCAATTTCTTTGAGCGATCGAGTTTTCGATTTATTTTCTGATTTGTGAGGGGCTCGTTGAGTGACCGGAGTGGCGGTGGTGGTTGTGGTTGTGGTCCCATTAATGAGTCGACTGACCTCCATGCCATTACTGACGGGAAAACTGGTATCATGGGGGTTGAGAGTGGCATCATGGGGGTTGATATTATCATTGGAATTATTGATATTGGTGGTATTGAAGTTTATAACATCGTACAGCGGCGCAAGAATCTCACTGAAATTATTATTTGTCGAATGCGCTTCATCTTCGTAGTGATGATCGGTTGATTCAAGGTTATTGTGACTGGTTAACCCGGTATGGATGCTATTATTATTTTGATGAAGGGGAAGGGTTTCAGAATGATTAGGATATCCAAAACTTTGGGGATGTCGTACAAATGGCACTTGTTGGGATTCGTATGACGGAAGTGATACGTTATTAAGGGAGTTATTATCATTATTATTATCGTTATTATTATTATTATTATTATTATTATTATCGTCATTATTATTATTAATATTATTAGTATTAGTATTAGTATTATTATTATTATGATGATGATGTTGGGATGGTTGTCGGTACAAATTATGATGATGATGATGATGATGATGATGATGATTAATTTGAGAGGTTGATGGTTGTTCAAATAAGGTCATACTGGGGCCAAAAGAATCTGCAAACAATGTCCCAAATTCATTATTATCCGAATGATTGACAAAGAAGTTATTTTGAGGTTGTGAGTTTGGGGAGGATAATTTGTGTTGCGATTCTGGTGGTGGGGGGAGCGGTGTGCCATTTATGTCAGTGTCGTTGGAGATGGAATTTCTCGCGAGTCTATCCAAAGGATCTGACAATTTAGCCGGGGATTTTTGAGAATCGAGGGATTCGAGTTTCTTCCTCTTCAGGTCGTTCTTATTGGAAGATCGTTGATTCTTTCTCTTTAGTTTCTCATCGCCCATAAATACCCCGAACGGGCCCAATTTTTTAGTTTCGTAAGGCTGGAGATTGACGGCAGAATGCAAAATCGAGAGGTCCTTATCCATATCTTCGTACATTATGTAGACCATTCCTTTGGGGTATTTGACAAACTCGACATTTCTTCGCTGGAAGTACCCATTGTTTGCCCCGTTTTTCGAGCCTTCTTCTTCGTTGGTCCCGGTGAAATTCGAATTGTTTTCTGCCACTGGGGTGCCATCACGATGAAAATTGAGGGGTTTGGACCATCGTAGTTTGATATCGTAACCGTCACATTCTATTCCTGCTTTCTTGCATCGATTGCAAGCTGGTTTGGTGGTATCACACTTCACTTTACGGGCTCGGCAAGTCCAGCACCCGGTGAAGGTCTTTTTCCGTTTGACTTTGGGGACACCCATGGCGGGGAATTGGTACTTTTACCGAGGCAGCAGACAGATGACTGGATCGATGATTGGAAATTGATAACAACAATAGAAATCAAAATACAAAAAATCAAAATACAAAAATTCCTTAAATTTTTTTTTTTTTTTTTTTCTTCCCAGGATATTTGACCATGTGGATTATGCGTATTGGTGCATATGGTGGCAGAAGGTTTTTTTTTTTTTGGTTTTGTTTTGCACCGACGGAAACCAAGTAAATGGAGGAGGATAAATAATAATAATGATTATATAGTATAGTAAATATATATATATATATATATACATTAAATCTGTTATAGATGATAATAACAATCAGTAGCAGTTTCTCTCCGTTTATTCATCCCGCTGGTGACCGGGTGACCCTTCCTACACACATGACGGACCGAGTTGGCGGATCCTCAAAACGTTTCGTAATTTATTTATTTATTTATGAATTTATCTATTTAGTTATTTCAAACTCATTCATTTTGACGGGAGTTTTTTTTTTTTTTTTGGGTTTCCTCTTTCTCTCGCTAATTATATTTATCTAGGACACCACCACAACCATGTCCGACGACCTCCCGCATTTCGCCACCCCGGCACAAGCTTATAGAAGATCGAAATACAACCTATACCAACAACAACCTCCGCAACAGCAGCCGTTGTACCGTCAACAGCCACCTCAACAAATCCAACAACCGGTGCCGATTCCTGCCCAAGCTACCGGGCAAGAACAGCAACAGTATGAGAACATGAAGAGAGTGTTTATGGGGTTTGACCGAGACCGTTCCAACTCCCTCGACATCAACGAACTCTCGCAAGCGTTGTACAATGCCGATGGCAGCCGGTTCGACTTGTCGACCATCCAAATGATGGTCAAATTGTTTGACGAGGATAATTCCAAGACCTTGGATTTCAGAGAGTTTTACTTTTTGACCAAGTACTTGAACCACTGGAACAACACTTTCAGAAAAGCCGATTCCAACAGATCGGGGACCATTTCATTGAGCGAGTATGTCAAGGCGGTGGAGTCATTTGGGTATAGAATAAGATTCGAAACCATTAGGTATATTTTCAACTCATTTGCCTCTGGCGCTCCCCCACCACCTGCGGGATACCCTGCTGCCCCACCTCGTTACAATTCAAATTACATGAAGTTTGACAAATTCGTCGAGAGTTTGATTTGGATACTAAAGTTTACCAGCGTGTTTAGAAAGTATGATTATCAAGGTAATGCTAGAGCCACGTTTGGGTTCGAGCAGTTTTTGTGTGAAGGGTTTTCGTTGATCAGATGAAGGGTTTGCTGTCCTTGGTTTTTGCAAATTGATGTTTTATGGCTTTATATTTTGTCTTGTTGTTTGATTAGTATTTTTTTTATCGAATGTTTCTGGCCTATATCGGCTATTATTACTATTAATTACTATTACTATTATTATGTTTATTATTTTTGAGATCATAGTTCATGATTTTGAACACTATTTATGAACTTTGACCAATTTTCTTCAATACAAACCTCTTTTAGTACAAATCTCTTTTAATAAAGACAAAGATCGGCGATGCTTGATGATGACCGGTGATGTCAAAAATACCTAAGCGAAACATATCCACTATAACATTACCATAATCAGGTGTTGTCAAATATTGCCACCTTTGATACCCATCCAAGCGGTACACCGTCAACTGTTTGAAATAATGCTTGCGAAGCCTTTCTATCAAATGACCTCTTTATAAATTAACCCAAAAACTCACAATACAATGCCTACATTCTAAACAGAAAGATTATTTAATTCCATTCAAAAAAAAAAAGAAAAAAAGAAAAAAAAATAATGATAATATGTTACAACTGAAAAAACACCCACTATTGGACTGTTTTAGATAATGAGAAGAAAAAAAAGAATTAAATATGTGGCGACACAACCCTGATTGATTATTCGAGCCAATACTTAGTGAGCACCACCACCACTGATTTTTTCCAAAACAGTTTCGTAAGACACTTCGCTAAAGTCAGTACCTTGGATATCTGAAGCAACACCATTCAAAGCGCGACGCAAAGCATCCTTAGAAGAGGCGTAGACCATCTTACTCTGTAGAAAAAATAACCATGTTAGTAAAAACAATCAGACGAACAAAGAGTTGACACACAAAAACAAACTTACTCTAACTGGGGCAGTATCTGGAGACCAGGTGTAGAAGACAATCTTGGATCTCTTACCTTCGCCACCTGGCAATTCGTAGTCGAAATCGTAAACGGCGTATCTACAGTCGTTTTCTGGCAAGGATTCCAAAAACTTTTCATAAGATTGGTCGGAAGAAGTTTCATTGACGATGATTTGAGTCTTTTTGTCGTTCAACGAGAAAACAACAAACTTGAACTTCTTGCCCAACTTCAATTCGTTGAAAGCGGCCAACGATTCATCGGCAACGGCAACACTAGGATGGTTAGAATATTACGTGTAATTGATAATTGTCGAGTGATACAACTGACGGAGCACCAACTTACCCTGATCTAGACTGTTTGCAATTGAGTTAGTAATTAATTGGAACAAAGAATGATAAAAGTAAAAGCAAAGAAGTAGTAGTAGTAGTAGTGGCAATGTCAATGTACCCGATATGGATTGATGACCGTCACACCAACCACCATCACCATCACCATCACCATCACCATCACCATCACCATCACCCACCGCCATCGCAGAACAAGGGGAAGTAGTCGGGACATACCATATTGTAAATATTATTATTAGTGGTATTATATATATTATTATTATTATTGTGGATAACTTCAGAAAGAGATGATATCCAAATAAAAAAAACAGCTGTTAACAAAAAAAAAAAAAAAAAATGGCGCCGACGGGCGGGTGGTGGCGGGGGCTGCGCAACCAGCCATCGATCGATTGATCGATAGGCGACGTTTTCCAACTTGCACGAAGAATGGTTGTGCCCTTGTAGCTTCATTGTCAGGATTGTCATTACCACCAGTACTCTATCACCGCACTTCCAAGTGAAACCAATTCATTCTTCCTCAACCACCATGGACGCTTCCAGCTTCGACTGGGACGCTTTCTCCGGAGTCAAACCTTCGCCAGTACCAGCCAACAATATCTCCAATGTGTTCTCACGACTAAACTTAGGCATCACCAACAACAACAACAACACCACCACCACCACCACCACCATCAGCGACAATCAAACAACCCAGCAGGATTACCAGGACTCAAATAGCCTTGCTTCTGACCCACTGATCAACTCTTCAGGCTCAGCCACCAACCATCTGGGAAACATCCCCTTATCTTTGACAGTCAAGCAACTATCAGTAGAAGAAAGCAAGACTTATCTCAGATGGTACAACGATTTAACCATTAGAAAACACGCCAAGCTCATCCGTATCGTCGACGTGCTAGAATTTCTTAAAAACTTCAACCTCAGCGAATCGCTAAAAAACTATCTAAAAGGGCTATTCAACATCAATGAAAACTTGAATATCGGCCAATTCTTTGCGTTATTAAGACTTATCAGCCATTATCTATTGAAAACTGCCCACGATTTGAAGAAGGATTTTTTACCTCCAACCAGCATGATCACTCAAAGTTGTCAAGTTCCTAAACCAAAATCAATTTTGGCGAAAAAACGGGTGGGCGATGATGAAAACAACCAAGGGTCATCATCATCATCATCATCATCATCTATTAACGCCAATGTCGCCAATCTATTTTCTGCCACCGGCCAAAACAGTAAAATTGATCTTGATAGTTTTGCCAAGTTTATAATGACGGGAGAAAAACCAACCAAAACTAGTCAATCACCAATTAAAAAGAACAAAAAAAAGGCCAAAAGAGTGATGTTTAGCGATCAATTAGTCACGGTCGCCGCGGCTTCTATTGAAGAATCTTCTCCTCAGAATTATGACAATAATTCTACGCTACAAAATGTCAATGGGCTACCATCATCGACCGCGAATAACCACAACAACAATAATAATAATACTCTCGATTTGTCACTACCTATGGACCAACTTTTACAAAAATTGAAGAATAATCCTACCCAAAAACATCAGATTGCAGTACGAAAGATTTCCGAACAAGAAGCTAAAGAAGAAGAGGAGGTGTTGGGAGAAAACTTCAAACATTTCCAAAACGTTAACATTGAAAGTGCTTTAGTTCATGGTAAAGCAGCCGCAATTCCTCAAGAACTAGTGGCCACCAATACCGGAGGGATGATAATGGACACTAATAATAATAACAATAACATCACCATGAACCAACAGTTTAACCAGTTTCAAGATCAAACCTCGGTAGCAGCTGCTACCCAACAACCACAAATGTTGCAACCCACCCTAACCGGCTCGGCCAATTATTTTTTGAAGAAAAACCAGCCTGATATATTCAACAACAACAATAACAACAACAACAATAATAATAATATCAGCGAGATGCCAAACTATTTCAACAACTCGATGATTCAGAATCCTGGCATTGTCAGTCCTAACTCAAGTTTGAGTCCTAATAATACAAACACCGGGAATTCTTCCATAGCAAACAGATTTTCACCTTATGGACAAGCGAATGGCATGAGCACCGCTGGCTCAGGATATATGCAACCTAAGGGCACCGGGAGCAATTTCTTACAACCTAATATGCTTTCATCATTATCAAGTGCTACCAACAATAGTATCGGGGGAGCTTACGTAGGCGGTAATTCTCCTTCAGTGAGTCCCCAACCTACTGCATCTAGAAGTGATCAATTTATAAACTCTTTGACCGGTAGCAATAGTTCATTTTCTCCAGTACCTCCTCCACCGCCACCGCCTCCAAGAAGCAGAAGCAATTCGCAAAATGTGATGTTCAATGAAAATAATGCGGTTTTTGCAGGTTCTGGTTTCAAAAATAATGGAAATCCCGACTACCAAACTTTGCAAAATTTCCCTCCCCCTCCCGTAACTTCTAGAAATACCGGTAGTTTCAATGTTAATGGCGGTGCTAGTAATATAGCCCCTCCATTGCCTCCGAAAATCAACCTATCCGGAGGGTCTTCAGAGATGTTGTCGCCGCAAAATACTACCCAGTTCAACGCATCACAAAACCAGTTCCAGAACTCGATGTTTACCCCAACCCAATTCCCGTCATCTCAGTTTACTGGGGCAACTAATACCCAACCACAACCGCAATTCACTCCCCAGCCCCAATTTGGCCAACCACAACCTCAGCAGTCATTCAATGCATCACAACCTTCGTATATAAACCCCCAGTATGCTTATGCTTCTGGACAACAACAACAGCAACCACCACAGTATGGTAATGGGATGATGATGAACCAGTTTGGTGGAGGATCAATGATGGCCCAAGCTCAACCACAAGAAAATTTAGAGTGGTTTGAAAGAGATTAATTGTGGGAAAGAGATTTTTTTTATTTTAAAATTCGAAATACTCAGAAAGCTTTTCTTTAATTATTAATTTTTCCTTCTTTTTTCTTATTTCTTTTTCTTTTTTTTTTTTTCGTTGCATATAAAGTCATTCCCCAAGTATTTATTCTCTTGGTTTTTTTTTTTTGTTTTTACCATTTTCTTTCCTATTAAGGTCATTAATGTTGTTTTTACCTTTTTGTTACCTGTTTTCCCTGTTCTCTGGCATGACATGACACGTTTACGATGACGATACATATAAACCCGATAATAATATGTCATAATATGTAAGAAAAACTGCAAAGCATGTTTTTTATTTGTATATATATATATTTATATGTATTTATTTTAAATTCCAGCCTTATCAATATCAATATTTAATTATAGAGAATTTGCTAAGATTATTTAATTCCATCATGTTGAAGGTTGAACCATACCAAAAAGATAAAAAAAATTGGCTATTATGTGATTGCGAGCCCGCGCGCACAGACGCGAGGCGACACCCAAAAAATTGGAACAACTTCTCACGATTGGTAGATTATCCCATTTATATATATATATATATCTTACTAACGAATCGGCTGGAAATATCTATATATATACATTAATGTTTTGGCCCTTAGTGACCCCGTCTGAGTTGGATATCACCGATCTCGTTAATGGGGACTCGCTTATCCAAATCGCCACCCCGTCGGCGGATCCTAGGACCCCATTCGCGATCATTTCCAAGACCTCGATCTACGTGGTTAACCAACAGCCGTTGACGATTCTTGCCAGTCATATCCGGTCGCCTGAATCGATTGAGAGCTATGGTTTCAACGTGCTGATGAAAACCATTGTCGAACCCCCATCGAAGCTCCATGCTAGCAGCAGTAGTAGTAACAGCAAGGTGTTGATTGTGCAAACAGAGAAGAATTACTTGATGGTCTATTCGATCAATGGGCCTACCGTCAATCGCGATTCAAAATACGAGTTATTGCAAGTTTATGACAAAACCGGCTCGGATCATTTGATCCAAGACGTTTATCCTGTCGATAAAACTTTGTCGTTTTTCAATTTTTCCAGCTTCAGCGGTGGTGACACCAACCAATACCGGAATGATAAGATCAACGGGGTAAAGTTTTTGGAAAGTGATTTCGAAGATGAGACTACCAGGATTTACGATAGCGGGTTGAAGTTTCGGTTGGTGTTGAAAATCTCTAATGATTTGAAGGGGTACCAACTAATGCCTGATGGACATTTATGTATTATCACCAATAAGAAAAGCAATGAGAATTCACAAGAAGAAGAAGAAGAACAACAACAACAACAAAAACTGCCATCATCCGACACAATAGCCAACAACTTGGCGATCCAAACTATCAACATTAGAGGCTCCCAAGAAACCGTGAAATCTTGCTTTATTGATGAGTTCCCATGGTTCAACGAGCCAGACTTACAATCAATAAAATATTTCACTTATAACGAAAAATGGGACTTGTTTGCATTCATCACCAATTCTGGCAATTGCTGGATGTTCAAATCAACCAACCCCAAGAACCGGCTTGACTTCACCCAAACCACCGGGAACTGCGTTTATAGACTCGGCAACGCTAAACAAGTGTTGGTCAATGGCACGTTCAACCTCGTATTAATCGTCACTTCTAATGATGATATCTTCTACTATAACATGAACCATACCCGACAAAAATCACCGGGGTTCCAAATCCAATTGATTAAAAAATTCAAAAAACCCTTGAATTCTAAGAAAATCTTGCTGGTCAAGTTCTCGAAATTGGAAAATCTCCTCTTGGTGCTGTACAGTAATGGATGGTGTCTATTATCGATTTTCGGGAACATCAATTTCTCGACCTTTGACTATGATGATAATTTGGGGATCACCGGAGTCAACGCCTCCTCGGGAAACAACAACCGAATGGGATCGCATAATTGGTTCACCAAAGTGAAAGATCTCGATGTTTATTGCAATGACTCGTGTTTATTGGTGATCAATGACTATGGACTATACAGTTTCAAACTCCTCAAATGGAGCTGTCTTGATGTACAAAGCGATTTGAGTACTAAACGGCCGGTGCTCTATCACGAATCAATGATTTATATCTTCAATGGGATTGACGACACTACCGAGGCGTCGTCGATCCCGGAAATTAGCGAAACCACTAAAGAATTGACCAAAGGGTTCAATATTCTTGATATCCCAATATACCGGTACAGTCTTGTTAAACCAATAAAGATGGTGTCTGTATCGAAAAACGGGTTAAATTTGGCAATTTACGGCGGGAATAGCTATAATTTCGACCGTGATATTGTGGATAATGCGTTTAATGACACCAATAAGAACAATTTACTCGTTTATAGCTTTGACACCAACACCTGGCATCGCTTTATTGACAGTTATTACGATTCGCTAAATATCGGGTGCAATATTTTATGGTGGCAAAACGAATACGTCTTTGTCGATAATTATAACCCTGATACCAACCACTACGAGATTTTGATGTTGAACGTTGGGAAAGTGTTCAAATCGGTGGGCAAGTCATCCCGATCCCGAGCAACCATGAATAGTAATGGACATTCCAGTGATCGAGGGAGAAAAGATCAGCGGGTGGCTGACGATGGGAGAAATGACCCTGTCGGGGAGATTGGATCGGTGACGGAATTCGATTCCCAGTGTATTATTTGGCGGTATGAAATTGGACCAACTCCAGTGAAGTACATAAATTTGGATAATTCGCTCGATGAATTGATCATTATGACCTCGGATATGAAACTTGTGATTTTCAAACTTGACCAACAAACCGTGGGCAAGACAAAAGACTCCTCCACCGATGAGATGGACTCGGCTAACGATTACAAAGTATACCGGAAACAAGTATCGATTAATCTTATCATCAAACTATCGCTCAAGAATTTACACATCGACGTTGATTCGCTCGGAAATTTCAACCTCATTAAAATCAGCCAGTTTTCCAACGATTTACTCATGCTCGTCAACGGGAATTTATATCTTTTGAGTCTTGTGAAGGATGAATCTGGCGATCGGGCAGCGGTATACTCGTACGAAATGTTTTTGGTGTACAACAACATTGAATTTGTCAACAAGATCAACAATGAATCGTTTTATTTCTTCAACGGTGATGATGTATTGTATTTGGATGATTTGGACATGCAATATAACAAGAATCATCTAGTCAGTCATGGTATTACTTCTGAGATCACAACCCGATCCGCAAGCATGTTGGCGAAAATCAATAAGCTTCGATCATTGAAGATATCGAACTTTGACGAGCAATTCTACCCGATCTTCATGAACTCGACAAAGAATTACTACATCACCGGGCTTACCGTCGACATCGTGAGTATTCTGAGAAGAGGTCAAGATTTGTTAGGGGAACAGGAAAAGATATTGAAATTATTGACCACCAAGAAGTTTTTCCTTCATGATCTTATCAGTTTCGAATTGGATAAAGTCATCGTTGCTAATGATGGGGAAGTGATGGAAGCGCAACTAGATGCCAAGCTCGTCGAGATTTTCGACAAGTACCACCATTGCGGTAATTTCGAATACAGTTTGGAAATGTTGTTGTACATGGTGACGACAAAAGACAATGAAAACGATTCGCATAGTAACACCGATTTCAAACTCCGGTTGCTCTTGGTATTAATCAAGAAATTGAAATTGAATTATTTGAGCATCATTGCGAAATGTCTTCGGAAGATCGAGGTGGAGTATTGGGACAGGGTATTTGATCAATTGAATTTAACCTCCAAGCAGTTATTGCACGAGTGCATTCGGATCAAAGATTATAAAACCGCAGGATACTATTTGATTATTCTTTTAAGTCACAAGACCACCACCACTATTGTTCAAGAAGAAGAAGAGATCGACGAGAGTGATAAGCAAGAAATCATGAGTTTATTGAAGATCATGGTGGAGAACTTTGACGACCCAAAGTATAATAAGAACAATGAGCTTTGGGATATGGCGATTGAATTGATTAGGTTTTTGAAAGTTCTTGATGGCAGTGGGGAGATCTTGCAACAATCGATCACTTTTTTGAGTAGTGGATAGCTAGGAGTAGTTAAACGGAGGTGATTGGGCATTCCAAAAAGGGTAAGAATTGTTTGACATATTTTCACAAAAGGCTATTTATCATGGAATGTACCCTAGCGTTGATTCATTCTAACTAACTGTTATTTATTCCATTTATTCTATCCCAACTTTTATTTATCTTAAAATCTCGATCAACACTTACAAAGTCGACTGAAGCTGATTTTTTTTTTTTTTTTTTTTGTTTTTCATGGGAACATAAAATAAAATAAATACTATAGATGGCCAAACAACAAATTGGTATATTTTGACAATTTAATAAACATTTTTGTTATAAATGAGAGGGGAAATTGTGTAAGTTATCGAGAAATGACAAGTAAATGGGGTAATATTTGAGATAATACCTATAATCTTTTTCCAATTTTAATTTGTATTACCTATTAATGAATGAATTGTATGATTTCTATCATGTCTTGGAAATTTTGATCTAGAAAAAATCAAGCTTTTCAAGAAGGAAAAACATATCAAAATATTCATGGAGGAAAAACAAATCACAATCATTAGAAGAGCAAAAAAAACCATGTTATGGCAATAATAATAATAATAATAACACTTCTCGGATTACAGCTGCAGTCCAATCAATGCATGTTGGGGAGGGAAGGAGGAAAAAACAGCCCGAGGGAAAATGATATTGAAAATTTCCGCAATTCGGGGCATTTTCCGGAGTTTGAGTGGATAAACCGTCACCAATTGATGAAAGAACACAAAAACCACCAAGGACTTATTTCTCAAAGGACAAAAAAAAAAAAAGAAAAAAAAAATGTCTGAAAACAGGAAGAACAAATATCAAAAAAAAAAAAAAAGTGTAGGAATTCTCTTAATAATGGCATTGAAGACTATTATAAAAATCAAAATCAATCATTCTGTGACCATTCTGAAACCCAAACGTCAATCTGCATCGAAATATAGGTTTTGTTTTGTTTTATTTTGTTTTGTTTTGTTTTTATATATCCATTCTTGTAAAAATATAAGTGAAGTAAAATCTCAAAATATTTCATCTGTTAAAATCCACTTTACAAATAGATAATAATAAAGACATATGTCACGAAATTCAAATTATGCACAAAAAGATTGACTTATATTAGAAAGTATGATTATAATAGTTAAAAAAAAAAAAAGCGTTAGCTTATAGAGAAGAGTAGGAGGAGGAGGAGGAGGAGGAGGGAGATGGGGTTAATATTTCCGATTGAATTTTTTAGGCGGCCAATTTGTCCAAAACAGCCTTGGTGAACTCTTCGGTGGTAGCAGACCCGCCAATATCTTGGGTGGTGGTCTTACCTTCGGCAATGACTTCGTAAACCGCAGCGGAGATTCTGTCGGCGTTTTCTTGCAAACCCAAGTGTCTCAACATCAAGGCAGACGACAAGATCATGGCGGTTGGGTTGGCAACGTGCTTACCACTGATGTCCAAACCAACGTGTCTACAACCTGGTTCGAAAATAGCGTGTTCTCTACCAAAGTTGGCACCTGGAACCAAACCTGGACCACCAATCAAGGCGGCACCAATGTTGGACAAGATACTACCGTACAAGTTTGGGGTGACCAAGACGTCGAATTGTTGAGGTCTGGAAACCGCTTGCATCGAGGCGTTGTCGACAATGATGGTGTCGACGTCGATACCTTGGTATTCCTTACCAACGTCTTGGACGGTGGTTCTGAACAAACCATCACCCAACTTCATGATGTTGGCCTTGTGGACAGCAGTGACCTTCTTTCTGTCGTTCTTCAAAGCAAAGTCGAAAGCAAACTTGGCGATTCTTTCGGACTTGTACTTGGTCATGATCTTCAATGATTCGACGACCCCTGGGACAGATTGGTGTTCCAAACCAGAGTATTCACCTTCGGTGTTTTCTCTGATCAAGGCAATGTCGATCCCGTCCATTCTGGTCTTGACCCCTGGGATGTTTTTAATCAAGGTCAAAGAAGCGTAAATGTCCAATTGCTTTCTCAAGGCAACGTTGAGGGAGTTCTTACCAATGTCGTTTGGGGTGTGGAAGATACCTTTCAAACCAACCTTGTTTCTCTTCAAAGAGGCGACGGCGGCGTCGACAACGTCTTCACGTTCGTCACCCTTAATGACTTCCCAGTCGACTGGGACTCTTTCGGCCTTGAAGATGTCGACAACGGACTTGGTGATTTCTTCACCAACACCATCACCTGGGATCAAGGTGACGTCGTATCTGCCACCGTATTTCTTTGGCAAAGAAGCTTCAGTAGCGAAGGTTCTGGCAATGTTCTATAACAAAAGGAGGAGAAGTTAGTACAATGGCCAATTTGGCAATGTTTAATAATAAGGCAATAATACCATTGATGATAAAGAAGCACAAACAACCATTCAACACAGATCAACTAGAGACAATATCAACCCATCATTGATGGGGCAGAATACCCTAAAGATCCGAGTGCCATTATATATAGTAAGTACTACCATATAATAGTAATAGTAAGTACTACCTCATCTGTCTGGCCATAAATATCAAATCAAGAAAAAAGGAAAAAGAGAAAAGGAAAGGAAAGGGAAAAAAAAAAAAAAAAAAAACCAACGCCAACACAGTGGTAGAAGGAGGAGGAAGAGGAGGAGACATACCTTTTGGACAACGTTTCTCAACATGATTAAAACTCTGTGGTTGGAGGTATCTGGAAGATGGGAAGGGAAAGGAAACGATGGAGAAGTAAGTAAGTAAGGAAGTGTCTGTTATAATAAAAAAAAAAAAAAAAAAAATAAAAAAATATATTTAATAGAAAAACAAGAATCGATTTTATCCAACGGGAAAAACGTTCCTCTCTAATGGATCTTATTTCCTCCCCACCGCTCGGAGGCGACACGGAATTGGCGAAACCTCTCGGGGCGGCCCCTCGCTGCCTCTCTCACGTGATCTGCCGCGTGATGATAGTGGTGCCGTCTTTGACACGTGCACGGTCACATGTTTATGGTATGTATGGTAATGATGATGGTGATCCATTCCCACGGTACGTAATAACAATAACAATAATATTATATATATATATATATATATATATATATATATAAATAGCAAATAATTATCACTCCTTCAAATCTTTCATAGCAATCGACTCAGCTGGCTCATGCTCCTCCACCAAAATCTCCCGAAGCTTCGCCTTCGACACCTTGGCAGTCTCGTTGATGGTGTTGCTCACCACCAACTTCACCGGCCCCCACAAATTCAATTGATGGATGAAATACGCCGCCACCAAGAGAATCGACAAGAAGGTGAAATATAATGGGTTGCGGATCACCGCCATGAACTCGTTCCATCCAAGAATCACAATCACCACGTAGATCCAGTATGGAATAGACGAGATCGATTGGATAGTCGACCGTTTAGCATCAATGTAAATAATGTCAATCTGTTTCTTAAACTTGCCAGAAACATTATTTTGTTGAATATCCGATAAAATATGCGCGAATTCCAGTTGGTCAAAATCATCATCTTCTTCTTCTTCTTCATCAACATCATCATCCCCAGAAATCTCAACGTCTGGTAAATCAGGAACAATTTCAATATTGTCACTGGTCTTGGCTAAAGAAAGGATCGGTAACAAAGCCAATGCCGCAGATCTGGCATTCTTGTATTGAATGTCAATCTCCACAGAATTCTTCCACACCATCGGAATCCCTTCTTCATCGTACCGAAACTTATCCTCAAACTTATCCCTAAGAATCTTCACCACGTTGTCCTCACTCAAATAATCATGGATGATAGTTCCAAAAGCTTTCCAATAGTTTTTCTTCAATTTATAATAGAATCTCTCGTTTCTTTGTGGAGTCAACCCAAGCCCAAAATCATAGCCGCTGCCCTTTTTATATGGCGCCAAGCCTTTAGTTACAAGCTCATTAAATACATAGGAAATCTCGTCCCAGGTCTTTTCATTGGGGGAGTTAAGTAAATAGCTGACTTTCTGCTTGAGCTCACTATTGAATTTTTTGGCGATTCTCCCGCTCAACGACTTGATTTCTCTTGTTCTTTGAGATTCCACCAACTCCTGTAACGATTTTTCCAACTCTTCTAGTTCAATATCGTGCTTGAAACTTGCATTGTCTTTAATCACGTTGGCATTAAAGTATTGCAACCCAGTGGCACTGGCAGTGTCCATAGTTTCGGTGAATGGTGATTTTTTCAGCTTCAATTCGACAATTTTATCATGAAACAATTGAAGCGCCGATTTCTTGATATTACTCAAATAGGTCTTATATATCTGTCCGAGTTGAGTATCGATTTTTTCCACCAATTGTTTCCTTCTCTCAACGTACACACTCTTGGTATATCTCGAAGCCAAATTATCATAGTTCTCAAGCGGCTCTTTCTTCAAACCGCTAAACACTTCCAGAATATCCCCGGCTATCTTTAAGTTTTTCCCGTCGAAATTTGGAAATTCACGCTTGAAATTGGTGTCGAAGATTTCCATCGACGCGGTAATGATCTCATCACATCTGAACCTCGAGACCAACACTTGTTGGGTTGGCAAGTCCAATTCCTTGTTTTGCACAATCTGGTCCCAAATATTCTCAGAATACACCGTCCACCCATCGAATGGCACTTCTTTATGATACTGTGGTTTGAAGTATTTTTCCCCGCCGTCGTTCAAATCATCCCCAAATCTCCCCACGTCACTGACAAATTCTTCGGGTTTCAAAATCTTGTGGGACAACGAGGTGAACCCCAAGTCGAAATAGTCCAGCAATTTCGCATTGGCTAGTTCCTTTGGTTTGTTCAAGCTGTCCCAGATCTTGGTGATGTCCTCAGTTAACACCTGGCTCAAACTGTCCAACGGAGTAGTCCCGACATGATCTCTAATGACAAACAATAAAAGACACTTCTTTGGGTTACTATGGGCAAACAATGACAAATTCACTTCGAATACCGTCTTCAACAACCCCATGTTGGCTCCTTGGTACAATCCCACTTGGTGTTCCCAAATATTGACAATCAAGATTTCGGAGGTCGATAACGCAAATAGCGCCGCCTTTCTTTCGAAATCTTGGTCCTCACCACGTTCTCTCCCATCAGTACCTTCAACGTCCATCACAAGAATGTTATTATGGTTGTTGTTTTTGGTAGGACTCGTTTGTGGATCATTGACAATGTGGTCATTTTTTGAGGCAATCTGCGAGGCATACGCTAACCAAATCCCTTTGGTGGTTTGTTGTCTTTTGGATTCGTTCATCACGTCGAACTTGGTGCCAAAAAGGGCGTTAAGAAGCGTGGATTTCCCTGTAGATTGGGAACCAAACACTGAGATGATGTGGTAATTGAGCCCAATGTCATTGGTGGTGATGCCATTGACATACGACAAGATGTTTTTGTTGAAGTGCTGGTCTTCATTGACGATCTGGACCGCCTGTGACGGTTGATTAGTGGACATGCTGGTTGTGACAGAGAATAATGATGGTAAAACCAATCGATCTGATAACTGATAAAGGATGATAATGATAATAATAATTGTTGGTGATAATTGGCAATTTTGTTGTATTCATCCTCACGTGGCCAGAATTCTTGCCTTAAAAAAAAAAAAAAAAAAAAGTCATCTCATCCTTCTCAGATAGGAAGGCCGTCAAAGCACCCCTGGAAAATCAATCAAGATAATAATAATTAATTCTCAGCAATGTCCTCTGATGATAATCCTCGCAAGAAACGAAAGGTCCATCACAAAGACACACAACAGCAGCCAACGATTCCAAAAATGCCGTTCCCGTTGCCCATAAATTGGTCACTTTTGAAAGTTGATAGGAAGATCGAGCCGTATTATTACTCGATGTCTTATAGGGATGATTTCCTAGGTTACGAGTTCTATTTGACGGATTTCGTCAACGTATGGTGCGAGACCGCCCATTATGACGATGTCATCAAAATCGGCGCAGCTAGAGACTTTGTCTTATCGGGACCACAACACGTCCAAGAGCTTTTGGGATTGTTGGATAACTGCTTGTTCCAACAATACAACACCACCGACGAAAAAAAACAGCTTTATAAGCTGGAACTCATTTTGCAAAAAAACAACAAGCATCAAGACCCATGCGATGATCTTTATTTGACCCTTGTGGCTAATGGTGGGGATTTCAAGTGGGATTTCAACGTGGAAAGATTATCACGGTCTGTCGGGTCCAATTTGCTTAAGTACTTGAATTTCAGTTTGTTTAATATTTCCCATCGGCTTGATCTCCAACTCAATGATTTGAAACTGGTTATTGATGGGAAGGACCGGGTCATTGAGAATTTAAAAGACATCATTAGTAAATTGCACGGCGACGACGATGTTTTAAAGTACGCCAGAAGGGAGAACGTCGAGCGCTCCAAAGCATTGACGAAGTTTGATTATGGATCATGGGCCAAGCAATGGGATGTTGCGAAAAACGAGGGGCAATTGAACATGTATCACAACAATATCTGGTCGGTGATCAACACCGTGAGCATGAACCGGTACCTTTGGCAATACTCGAACCATTATTATGATTCGTTGGTCACTGACGGGACTTTACCGTTGGCCGAGGAAAATGATGAGAACAATGGCATGGTTCAGCAACAAGAACAACCAAAAGATACCACTAGAGCCGGTAGCGCTCTGGCGGATTTTGTTGATTCTACATCGGAAAATAACGATGGGTCATTCAAAAAAGAGACCGTGACTGGGGATTACAAAAAACGAAGAATCACCACGAGCTTAGTGATGGAAAGTGCCAATCTCGACGGCAAAGAAAACATGGAGCATTTGTCGCAGTCATTCTCGGAAAATTTCCACGTGAAAAATAATGATGATGATAAATTCTCAAGGGTGGTGAAGTCCCCTGCATCTCCAAGACTAAAGCAAATGAAGCAAAAGAATATTGATATCCCAGATATTAATGCCTCGAAAGTTCCAAAGTTGAATCTGGTGGCCACCGATATTGATGAATCGGACGATGAGTTATTGGGTCCATCGCCAAAGAGGGAAACCACCACTAATGAACCGCCATTTGTGTCGCCATTGAAGGAAGAAAACCTGCCATCATCTCAGTCTAATTATGGTTCACAAACTGGAAGTCAACCAATGTCTAAATCACAATCGCAAACATCTCCTTCGAAGAAGCCTGGGAAACACCGGATGTTGAATTCCAGGAAAAGAAATCGTTCTGCTAAAGGCCCGAAAAATCCCATCAAGGCACCAAGGCGTTTTTGAAAAATCTATTAGGAAGGGGGACTGTGAAATTTGAAAAAGTTTTGTAAATTATTATTGTATATTATTTTATTTATATCATTATTGTTATTGTTTTTGTTTATCACTATTACCATCATTACCATCATTTTTTTTTGTCTGTCATTTTTTTCTACCATTTTTATTGCCTTTTTTATCTGCCATTTCTATTATTTTTGCTTTTTCTTTTTCTTGATACCCATACATTGTGGTGTTTAATCAAACCACTCTTTTCATTGCATTGATCCATTCATTTATTAGTCTTAGTACTTTTCCTATCTTTTTTTTTTTTTTTTCGCATTTTGTATAGTAATCTTTTGTATATTATGAATATTATTTTATTGTTATTTTTTTTCTTTTTCTTTTTCTTTTTCTCGCATTGCCAATGTTATTTGTTCTATGATTCTCTGTTATCCATGCTATCTATGTTATGGTGTTGTTACTTTAGAAATGAAGGATGGATGTATGTATACTTCTAATTTCAATGTCGATCAGGCGTATAGATAGTATCGAGGCTGTTCATTAGGAAGCCAGTCCAAAGATAAAGAAAAATCACTAAAAGGATTTATACAAAGACAAAGAAAAATCACTATATATATATATACAAGAAAAGTAGTTATGAAACTACAAAGATTAGTTAGATAACGATAATGTTCATATATCAAGGCATTATTGGGGTCAATTAAGACTATAGACCAACCACAATTATTGACCACCAAATCAAAAACCAAAGTCCACAGTAAAAATAAAACACGGTTATAACTGAACAGTGTGTTAAAACCAAAGAAAATGGCAACATATTGTGTAATATATATATATATATATATATTACCCCATTGGAGCAAAGTGATGAAGCATTCTTTCTTGATATTTGCTAATCCTCTGATTTTGTTACATCACTATGCAGAAACATCCCATGCTTTGGGTATCTATCCCCTAGCTTCCTCCACAGTTCCTACTATTCGGATCAGTTTAATTGGACAACAATACCACAGTTCCTAGTTTCAGGAGATTTTGAATTTTCTTTCTATTTTTTTTTTTCCTCTACGTTTTTCCCCTTTTAGGTTTATCTCTTATTAGTATATAATTTCAATTAATAATCAAGATTTATAAATATATAACACCCGCGTACGCACACACACACACACACACACACACACACACACAAACTACTATTCACTACTACAAAAAAATTTTCTTCTTCAGTCACACCTAATTACTCTAATCTCTTTGTCAAAAACACTACTAACTATGGGAATTGCAGAAAAACTCTTTACTTTGGAAGGAAAAATCGTCTTGATCACCGGGGTTACCAACGGCATTGGGTTCTCTATGGCAGAAGCCCTTGCGGAATTCAAGGCCAAACAAATCATTTTTGTTCATAGACCTTCAACCGATCCTAGCAAACTTATTGCTGCTTTAAAACACGCTGCCCAAGAAAACCACCACCAAGATCTAGTGGTTTCTACAATTGCCCAAGACTTGTCGACTTTAAAGATTTCGGAAATTGAACCGTTGATCTTCAACAAGGCCCTTGAGTTGTCGGAAACTGGCAAGATCGACATCTTGATCAACAATGCTGGGATCAATCAGTTCCATAGCTTTGAAGATTATCCAGACTCGGAATTTGACGAGGTGTTGCACGTCAACTTGAGAGTCCCACACAAGTTAACCCAATTGGTGGGGGCCCACATGATTGATAACAACATCAAGGGGAAAATTGTCTGTACTTGTTCGTTGTATTCTTTTGAAGGTGGGCACGATTGCTCGGCGTACACCGTTTCTAAAGGGGGCATCCACTCGCTTGTCCAAGCCGCCAATAATGAATGGGCATCCAAGGGAATCTGTGTCAATGGGTTGGTCCCGGGGGTTATTAAGACCAACATGACCTCGGCAATCTACGAGAATCCCCAAAGAAACACAAAGATGGAGCAACGGATTCCTGCTGGTCATTTGGGGGTTCCGGATGATTTCAAAGGTGCCATCATTTTCTTGGTGTCTAATGCTTCCAATTATGTTACTGGGACCACAGTTACCGTTGACGGAGGTTATAGATCATGGTAATATATATATATATATATATATATAACGTCATATTATTTAGATAATTGATGGGTGTGTGAATACAAGTTAAAACAACAATAGGCCAGCAGGGTGTTACCCTGTGCCGTGCCGTGCAGACGTAAATAAAAAAACAGGGAGCAGCAGCTCATCTCATCTTGCTCTTTCTTTCTCCCGTTCCACAAAACAGCGGTGATATATTGGCGATTTCCCTTATATTTTGTCATTCACGTTGTTTCGTTCACTTTCTAAGACTATCCAGATCAAATTTATCCATTCCAAGAGCATTCCTAGCACAATGAGCGATACTAAAAGTTATATTGTATGTGGTTTCTTATCTGAGATCTTATCTTTTTGAAGGCAAACGTCAAGATGTTACTTTGCTTGATAACAACAAGTTACCTCGGTTCAACAAAGCTGAATTGACATTTTATTATTATTATCATTATCATTATTATTATTATTATTCCTATTCTTCTCCTCTCGTTTGTTACTAACCAGTCGATTTAGATTTCCTTGCGTGACACCATCCCAGATGACAAGCTTGCGACAATCAAGGACGAGGTCAAGAAGATGGGTGGGGTCATCACCACCGAATTTGAGCTCATCAAGGCGTTTACCGTGAAGTTGCCATCAATCCATACTGCTGCCATCAGCAAATTCCCAGACGTTATCGCTGTCGAAGAGGACTCAGAGGTTCACATTAATTGATTGACGACTCGGTGCACATATGTATGGTTTATCTGGTGTATTTCCCAGAGGTAGGGCGAGCAATAAAAGTCCTATACCTATATATGGTTTATATAACGGTGTTATAAAAGTTGATTCTCCAATAGAGAAGGTATAAATAATATTGATAAGATGTAAGAGTATAGATACATACATACACCAAGCATCGGTTGGTACACTTATTAACCAATAATGTATACGTTCTACTATTCAATAATAATGTTATCAGTCTATTAATATATTAAAAATAATGAAACAACAGGAAAAAAAAAGTTGGAAAAGAAATGATAGTGAAATATTAAACGCTCTATTTTATTCTTTATTTTATTTATTTATTTATTTATTTTTATTTTTTTCTAGTCTAATAATAACTATCTATCTAAGAAAACGAAAAGTCTGGAAAGGCATCATTAACGTCGGCAGTGCCTTTTTGAATCGCAGGGTGTTCACTTAAAAGATCAACCCATTTCTTGATATTTGGAACACTATCCCAATCATTCTCAGCGGTTTGGGGATACATGGTGGCCCAAGAATAGAAAGCGACGTCGACGGCGCTTAGCTTATCTCCGATGATGTATCCGGTCCCGTTCTTTGCAATTTGTTGATCCAAGATGTCATAATACTTGTTGACTCGTTTAAGGAACTCCTTTCTCCCCACTCCGGTGACATTGGTCAACTTGGCAATGAAGTTGGTCACTAAACTAGGACCAAGGGTGGCGGCCTGGAAGATTTCCCAGTGATACTGTTCGTAGAACAACGGGTCGGAGTTCGGATAATGGTATTGGTAATTGGTATCGTAGTGATCGAGAAAATACTTCATGATGACCGCGGATTCTCCAAAGATTTGTTTGACTCCATTGCTATCGACGAATTCAACCACAGGAATGGTCTCTGAAGGGTTCAATTTTTTGAATTCCGGGGTTTTCTGCTCACCTTTGGTCAAATCAACCTTGACGATTTCAAAATCGATCCCGAGAAGTCGGAAAAGAATCGAGATTTTTTGGCCGTTTGGGGATTTGAAAGTGTAGAGCTTGATGGAGGTAGGTTGGCTCGTCATTTTTTTTTTTTTGTGCTGGATGATGATGTCTATAGGAAAAAAAAAAGAGAGAGAAAAAAGGTTGTTGATTGGATAGTGTTATAATAATAATAATAATACTGGCATGGAAGTTGCGCCAACAGGAGGAGGAAGAAAGAGGGCTAACTGGGCCATTATTATAGCAGCGGTTGGTAAAGTTTTTTGATGCGGGATGATGGCCATCGGGTGCCGCACCCCTGTCTGGGACGCCCACGATTGATCCGCTGCGCAGTCAACGAACGACATTTTATGTTGTTGGGATCTTCGTGTCTGTCAAATCGGTGATAAAGGACGATGTCCGGTGATTTGTTGGATGGGGTGGCTGTTGTTGTTGTTGTTGTTGTTGTTGTTGTTGTTGTTGTTGTTGTTCTTGTGGCCGTTGGGGTTACGAGAGGATATCTTTGGTGATTCTCATTGGATCACCAATGGCCTACCAAAGAACAAAACACAATCAGCCCCCCTTCTTTGAATGGATCTCTTTGTGTCCTCAAAACGTGTACCGTGGGATTTTCCACCATGGTGGTATGATGAACGTTTCAGTTGGTCATTGATTAATAATTGGATAAATAAACTCATATCTACCATAAATATATATTATATATCTTTAAATGCCACTGGTCTTTGATATCCTGCGGTCTCTTTACTGGGAATAATTAAATTGATGTTGAGCATCCATCAATCGGCTGCGAAATCATCGGATATTCCCACATATAATTTTTTTTTGATCGCCAGGTGATTTATTTATTTATTTATTTATTTATTCATTCATTCATTTATTCACTCATTTATTTCCCTTCCTCTGAAAGGCCTACCACTGCGAAGACATCCCACTAGTGTCTTTATAGCCTGTTCTTCGGCATACTTTTGGTGAAGACTCGGACCATCAAATGGAGATGAGGTGGAGATCTCATGTGCTTATTGCCTAATTAGGTGGTGATGGTTGCATACATCTGCATAAACACGCGACAGCGCGAGATTGTGATGATAATAATTGTTGTCTGTACTGACTGCCTGCCTGTTGCTGTTGTTGTTGAGTACACAACAACATTGTTATTGTTGATGGCAACCACGGTCCCCAACACAATTGTTTTGTTTCCTCTTCTTGCAAAATACCATACCACAAAAGATAGCCACCGCGTTAACCGTCTCTTTTGTGATATCATATACATCCAGGACAAAGTGCTTGCCGCCGGGTATTGGATCTCGTTTTACCCAATTTTTTTTTTTTTTTTTTTTAGCTTTATTGTGGTTCTTGGGGGTTAGCAGTACTATCCAACACTGTTGTAATAAGCCTGGGCACAAATCATTGAGTAATATCTTATATCATATCGTATCTTCACTTTCGGCCGTTTTTCATTACTATCATTGAATGGACTTTAAAGTGCTGGCAAGCTCTAACCCTGGCCTAAAGAGTCTACGGTCTGAAAGATCCTTCAAGGATCCTAATCAACCAACAACCATGAAATGGGAGCCAATGGATCTTCCTCCAGTGTCGCCGCAGGAGCTCCAGTCGTTGAGAAATCAAAAATACATGAGAGCCAAAAACAAACAATCCCTTCATGACAATAATATACTACTAGGTACTAAGCCCTCAAAGCTTGATATGTTCGATGATAAGTTGACATCGTTTGCCTTTGCTCCACCACCTTCGTCGTCAATCTCTAACATGGAACAAATATTGACCGATTCCAGCAACGTTGATATCTCTTTTGAGTCCAATGATCATTTGGAAAACCCCAATAAATCCTCGCAAACTTTGACAGGGTTGATCGCCAACTTGACAGAGAATTTGATGCTGCAATCATCTCCCAAAAAACGCAGAAATACCGATCTTCTTTCTGGGCAGGAACCGAAAGTCGTGATGTCCCGCAATGATCCAATCGTGCTAATTGAAGATTATATCCCTGGACAACGACCTTCAAGACCCATCAGCGTCATGAACCTTAAGAAATCCATCTTTGATTTAAAACAGCATCAACAAGAAGAACGGCCGTTGAAAAAAAAGTCTCGTGGCAATTTGGCACAGGAGTATTTGGATAATCTGGTGGATGACGCATTGAAAATCACTTATAATTCCATCCGCTCGATGAGATCATTTCCACAATATTCTGCCGATGAGACATCACATAAAAAACCGCCGAAGAAAACCATGACCAACAAGAGAAGTTTGATGTATTTGAATAAAGCCATCAAGTTGTTGGATTGCGAAAACATTGATAATAATATTACTGATAATCACAGTTTGGCGCAATTTAAATCGGTGGATTTCCAATTCAATCAAGCACCTCAAAAAAATAATGAGAACCGCACGATTTCTAATAATTCATTGATGAAGGATTCCATTAGATCCGTCAGCTCGTCTACAGATATATCTATTCATAACCAGGAAACAAGGAACCCAAGTCCCATTGATAATTTCAGACTTTCAAAAGAAAAGCATTCTCCTACCATTAGTGACCCCAATTCAGCGTCATACGTCGGTACAAATTCCATGGCCACGACTCCCGAAAATCCCTGCAACAACAGTGGGGATTTTTTGGGAACCAATCAAAGGAAATTACCAATTTTACATGAAGAGAGAATCAATAATATTGCTGCTGCCTCCAACACCGCGTTTGAGAACCTCATGCTCGCCACAAGCTCGAGAAATAACAGTTTTGACTCGTCGGCTATCAATAAAAAAAGATCAGCGTCAGTATTGGACTCAATCCACAGTCTTGTGGCAGATGAACATGATGCATCGCTCAAATACTGCATGATTTGTGATAAACCATTATATGATCTCTCCTCGTTAATCCAGGATGGCTGCAAGTTTAAAATCTTTGTTTGTGATAATTGTACTGACGTCTATAATGAAATTGCCGAACTTCTTCACAACATCAAACTCGAGGTTTCTAACAGTGATGCAATCTCTACCAGGAGCTTACTGTCAAACACTAGCATCAGTTCAGAACTCCGTCACGATTTCAGCTCCATGACCATCGATCGCTCACAAGTCAGTGATGACAATGATGATAATTTCAATGAGGATTATCAGTTGGTGCACCTTGCAGAACTTGTGGCGCTTGAATTGAGTAATAATAATCCAGGAAATTCCCAAGGATTCCAGGATTCTACCGATTGGTTCATTGAACAAAACGGTGAATACTCGCGGAACGTCAAGATGTACGAAAAAATCCTCAAACTTGTGCTACTTTTGAATAACGGCGATGATGAATTAGAAGACCCTATGGAATCATCTGCTGCTGCTCCACCAGTACCCGATGAATCGGTAGCGGATGGTGATACCACCACGGATATTGGGAACGAGACGGCTCGTACGTTTGCTCTTGATCCTAATGCTGGGTTTGAAGCTCATCATCCAGCTCCCACCACCCAGGTCAATACCAATAATATTCTTCAAGATATCAACAATTTCCCGGACTCCGCCAGCGTGTTCAGTAAAAGCAGTCTTCGGACTAGAGGTTCAATGATCACCGAGCTGATCATCCTTCCTAAGCAGCGGCGGAAAAATAGAGGCGGACTAATCAATAAGAATGCACCAACTCCGAAAGATTTCCAAGAATATTACCGATCGCTAATTACCAAACCATCAACCACCAGATTGCTCTCTACCGCATTGGGCAAAGAAAATCAAATGGGCACCGTACCATTCTCCAACGATTTAGTAGGAACTCTTCAAAAGCAGCTCGATAGCTACACTGGCTCACACGCCGCTAGCAGTAATATTTCTTCCTTCGTGGGGACCCCGACTTCCAAAGATAATAATAATAATCATAATAATAATAATGGCGGCAGCTATAACCTCCTCAAATATTTCCACGCATCCCCACCGCCCCAAGCTGATACTGCTTCCTCGATAATATCCAAGAAAAGCGGTGCTAACAATCTTACTAAACACCAGTCGCTTTTGAACTTAAATTTGGAACAGGAATGGTCGACATTCAAGAAGAAGTTCCGCTGGAGGTGGCGTGTCAAGGGTCTTATGCCTGGGGTGACGTTAAATGGTAACCAGGGTCATTATTACTAAATGATATAGTCCGGAAGCTGCGCAACAATTCATTCATATACATTCGTGTCTTTTGTTTCTCCTCATTCCATCCCTCTTGTCTCATTTATTACTTTGGGTTATATGATCCAATAGCATTGCTCGGTTTCAACATCATTCTATCAGACCCATCCCTTTTACCTCATCATTACTTTCAACTCCATGATCCAATAACATTGCTCGGTTTCAATACCATCCCACCATTTTCAATTCCTTATAGTCTTTTTACTTGATATGCTAATCGTCAACTTCGTGAACTCCACCCAATAATCATCTCCCCACAAGATATCAAAAATAACCACTGTACTATACTTATTCTACTTTCTTAGATATATTATACCTAAACCTATATTTTGACATTTAATCCTACTCAGATCGATGGAAACGCCAGAAGGCTTTTTGCTCATTATCACTATCTTCTGTCTTTCTTTATCCTTGTTATATTTTCGTTCCCTTCTCTGTTTATTTGAAACTTTTTTTTGTTTTTAGTTGTTGTTATTTCATTTTATTATTGTGGGGCCTCAACTCTTGATACCAATTTAGAGAAATGAAATTTTATTTCCAACCTTTTTTTTTTTTTTTGTTGTTATTTTGACATCGGAGGACTTTAACTCTTGATACTAATTTAGAAACAAAATATTTGTAAGAATGACGATCCAAAGAATCAAGTACAGATCATAGGCAAAAAGTTCTTTAGAAAGGGCGCATGCTTGAGTTGCAGACATTAAATATTAGTTAGATGTGCCAAATACCGCGAATATTATACAAAAAAAATTCAGTTAATTACAAGGTGCACCTGACCAACAAATAAGTTTGTGTAAAATGGTATTCTTTGCATTCAATTGAATTAATATTAATCATCAATGAGATGATTAGTTTTTGTTTTTTTTTTTTGATGCTCGATTGGAAATGAAAGTTTGTATCGCGTGCATGAGCAAATCAAAGAAGTAAGTTGTTTTTAATAATGTTGCGGTGATATATATAATATTGCTGTGATATGAGATTATAACCACTGTTGTTCCCAAGGGGAGGAGGGGAGGGTGTTTTCTTCTTCTTCTTCTTCTTCTTCTTCTTCTTCTTCTTCTTCTTCTTGTTCTTTGATCAGGTCCCTCTTGACGACATTCCCTTGCTTTTTTTTTTTATCGGTATCATTTATCCCAACATGGGCAAACATTACTTTTGAGAAAAGCGATATTCCTGATAATATAGTATTGACATAAAAAGATTACGAATTGGATCAGCCATATGAGACGGGGATCAAGATGTTGAAGATCTTAAGAATTATAAAGACCGATTAAATTAAATTATACTTTCTCCTCCAAAAATAGAAATATCTCACCAATTATGATGATGAATTACGTGAAAATTGTGAATCATTCCTCCCCCCTTTCCTTACTGTAGTGTCTATTGTGGATATAATGCAGATGGAACAACTCGATATACTTTTGAAATTCTATAATTTGTCGACTACTGGAAGCATGAACCAAAAGAAAGAAAGAATCTCTTCTTGTTTATTTAGGGTATGATGTGACTTGGAATATATTGAGTGGAGAATCAAATGCCCGAATCGAGATTTTACGACTCAATTCTACAATTATCGAATTCCCTAATAACATGCACAGTTAAGGAGCACCTCATGTTGGTAGTGGTGATATGTCAATCAATGAGGTGTTGGGGTCTCGATGGAAAGACCATTGATGAGATTTTGAACCACTATGAGTTAGAAATGGGATATGCAGTCCCAGTGCCCCCCCTTCGCCCAGTCAAAATTCTTAATTACATAGGAATAAAGTTCATTGAAATTATGGAAAAGGACTCCTTGAAGATTCCTTGGAGAAATTATTGCATTTTGCAATAAAAAAAATGTCGAGAAGATCAATGCAATTGCCCAATCTTATGGCTTTAGAACCGACAAAGGTTGTCGTGAATTGTGACCTCCAACACGTTCAAAATAAGATAGAAAACAACATATGTTCAGCATGGGAGTACAACAGTAGTCTCAAATACGATGTTACGGCATTAAAGCAAATGCCTGATGAGTTAGGAAATATTATCTTGCGGGTTCTCCTGGGAGTATCAATGAGCTAAACAACCTATGTGTTCACCAAATTAATCACATGTTGGATTTCCATGGTAAAGCGTGCGGTAAATGCGATGATCCTACTTCGAAACTCCTAAAGCCAAAAGGAGTTTTAGGGGTTAGATTATCTGAAAATGATGGCTCTCAATCTGTGGCTCATTGATTATTATTGTTCTGCTTTTTGTTGTTATTTTAGATTTTTGGTCAATAATTGGTTTCTGGTTGTGGGCATGTTAGGATGAACCTCGATATATAACTCCATACTAATATATATATATATATATATTTGAAGTTATGAATAAAAAAAAAAGATAAGATAAGAATTAAGATATAATAATTTAATTAGATATAATAAGTTTATTAGTTACTTAAGATAATACAATGCTAGAGATTAAACAGCACGACTGGCTAGATATGCATATATAGTGAGCGACACCTAAATAAGCCTAGACTACATGGGAGAAGGGGATACTAGATAACAAGACCAAAAAACAAAGACAATTATTCCTTCTGGTTAACTTCTGTCTGGCCTTGATCAGACACCTCCTGGCAAAAGTAAGCTTTCTTATGACCAGATCCTCAACAAGAACAGTGACAAAAGTTTTGACGTTTTATCTTATACATGCCACCGGGTAACCATTCCGGTTATTAACCCATCCGGTAAAAAAAAAAAGTGGAGGCGATAAGTGATGATGGGAGATCTCAATCATAATTGCAATCATCATCTGATTATTATTCAAAATGTCGGGAGTAAGACAGGATCTTGTGGAGAAGGCTGCGGATTTCTTAAAAAACCCCCAGGTCTTCAACGCCCCGTTGGAGAAGAAGATTGAGTTTTTGAAGTCTAAAGGATTGAATGACGATGAAATAAACGCTGCGTTATCTGGTTCTTCTGATAACAATCAGGCCAATCATAATAATAATAATAATAATAATAATAATAATAGTAATAATAACAATAATAACAATAATCACACAGTAAGTAATGGAAGTCCCGGATCATCTTCTACTTTGTTTGATTTCAACCCATCAATGATGTCTGTTGCTACTCCTCCTCCAATTCCTACAAGAGATTGGAAAGATTATTTCATCATGGCCACCACCACCATCTCTTTAAGTTATGGTCTTTATTATGTGTTCAAGAATGTCGTCGTCCCTAGTGTTTTACCACAATCATTCAACCAACTAGAAAAGGATAAGGAAGCAATCAACCAGGAATTTGAAAGAGTTCAAGGATTACTCGATTCTTTGGAATCGCATAACTCTAAGCTCGTGCAGAACGATAAAGAAAATTCCGAAAAATTGGATGAGGCCATCACCAAGGTAAATCAATTAGTATTGGATTCTGAAAAAGTGTTGAACAAAAACAATGATGATTTGACATTGATAAAGTTGGAAATCGATCACTTGAAAAGTAATTATAAGATGGTGAACTCGTCGATTGAATCATTAGTCGATTCCAAATTAACCAATATCAACAACGAGCTTGATTCTCTTAGAAAACTTTTGGCATCAAGACTAAATGAAAACTCGGCTAATGCTTCTGCGAATAATGGGGCTACAAATGGTCTTCCTAATGGTGGTGGTTCTGTTAGGGGGATTCCATCGGTAAGTTCTGTGCCTTCGGTTTCTGATATTTTGAAGAATAGTAAGTTGAAACAATCGCAATCAGCAACACCATCTCCAGCTCCGGAAGTGAAGAACAGTGATGCTGCTTCTTCGATTGGTGGTAATAGAAGTCAAGATGACATTGATAGAAGTGGGGTTCCAGCATGGCAGTTGGCTAATAATTGATTGATTTGATGATTATTTTTAGTGAATTTTTTATGGTATTGTTCAATAGTTGATTATAAATTATTATATTCTGCCACGATATGTTTTGTATTGAAAATAATTTATGAAAGCATATGAGTGTATTTAATTTAATTTAATATTTTAATCGAATGTAAAATGCTGAGTATTCGTCAATGGAAATGCACTCTAGTTTATGTAAAACAAGTTAAAGGGGGCCGTCAGTGATCTTTAATCCCACCTCAACGTCAATGTAATATTTAGATAAATATTGTGATAGAGAAATAAATTTCTGGACTAACAAACAACTTCACTGTAAATAACTACGTTGTCCTGATAAATGTTTCCAACACTCCTCGAACATTTATTTGATTATCAACATCAAGCTAAAACCGTGAATATTCATTTTAGAGAAGAAAATTAAAAAAAAAAAAAAGATAACCTATATACTTATTCATATTAAAAAGTTATTTACTCAGTAGTCCTTTAGAAAATATAGCGACAAAAAATTAATTAAAAGCTTTCAAGAAGAAATGACTTATTTCTTGAGCTTGTTGACCAATTCAACGTACTTTTCGGTAGAGAAGGACTTTGGTCTTTCAATGGACATACCGTAAGCTCTGTCAATGATCAATTGTGGCAAGACACCGAAAGCTCTGGCAACACCGAACAAGACAGTGTAGAAAGAAGCTTCAGTCAAACCGTAGTATTTCAACAAGACACCGGAGTGAGAGTCCACATTTGGCCATGGGTTCTTGGTCTTACCGTGCTTGGTCAAGACACCTGGGGCAACTTCGTAAACGGTGGAGACGACGTTGAACAAGTGGTCGTTTGGCAAGTGCTTCAAGGCAAATTCTCTTTGAGCAGTGTATCTTGGATCGGTCTTTCTCAAGACGGCGTGACCGTAACCTGGAACAACTCTACCACCGTTCAAGGTATCCCACAAGTATTTTTCGATAGTTTCCTTGGTGATGTTACCTTCCAATTCGGAATCGAGCTTTTCCAACCATTCCAAAACTTCTTGGTTAGCTCTACCGTGCAATGGACCAGCCAAACCGTTAAGACCAGCGGCAAAGGACAAGTATGGGGAGGACAAAGCGGAACCAACCAAGTGGGTGGTGTGAGCAGAGACGTTACCACCTTCGTGGTCGGAGTGGATGGTCAAGTACAATCTCATCAATTCGACGAATTCCTTGTTGTCACCGAAACCGAGCATGGTGGCCAAGTTGGCACCGTAGTCCAAGTCCTTGTTGAGTGGGGCAACCTTACCGTCTTTGAAGACGTTTCTGTAGATCTTAGCGGCGATGGTTGGCAATTTGGCCAACAAGTTGATGGAATCTTCATAAGTGTAAGTCCAGTAGTCCTTCTTGTTGACACCCTTAGCGTAAGCCTTGGCGAATTCGGATTCGGATTCCAAAGCAGTGACAGCGATGGAGAATTGGGCCATTGGGTGCAAGTTGGATGGAGAACGGTCGATCAATTCTTCAACGTGCTTTGGCAATTCAGATCTGGCGGCCAATTCAGCAGAGAAGGCCTTGGTTTGGGCTTCGGTTGGGACTTCACCGGTCAACAACAACCAGAACAAAGCTTCTGGCAATGGTTCTTGACCACCTGGACCCTTTGGCAATTCCTTTTGGACTTCTGGAATGGACTTACCTCTGAATCTGATACCTTCTTCAGGGTCGAGGACAGAACCTTCCCAGACCAAACCTTTGATACCTCTCATACCACCGTAAGCTTGTTCCAACAAGACTTCACCAATGACGGTCTTACCGTGTTCTTTCTTGAATTGCTTGACGAATTCAGCCTTTTCTGGGTAGATTTCCCCGAATCTTTCCTTCAAGGTCTTTTCCTTAGTGGCATAAGATCTGAAAGCATTGTAGATAAAGGTGTTAGATCTAGAAAATTGGGTACGCAAGGCACGGTTGGAAACGGTTCTCAAAGAAGCCATTTTGAAATATATTAATAAGTTGAAAAATAAGCTACAACAAAGAACTCAGCAATCAGAATCTCTTTGGAAAAAAAAAAAAAAAGAACGCCTAATCCTCCAACTTTTTAATGTCTCTTTATATGGTCATGCCTTGGAGCCCCGAATTGGCCCCGGGGCACCGCGAACCGCCGTTGGCCTATAGGAGCGCGAGAATTCTTTACGCCCTGTGATTATTGCGTTCAAATGCCTACAGCTGCATGATGACGGGGTGCGTCAACGTCTACTTCTTCTTCTTCTTCTTCTTCTTCTTCTTCTTCTTCTTATTAATATTATTATTAATATCATTAGTATTATAGTACAAACCAGTAAAATCATCATTTCATTTCATGCATTCACCTTGTAATTCCCAGGCGCCCTGTAATAATTCCCCTGATTATCATCGATCAAATCCTCCTGGATCCCTTTATCAAGCGGAAAGAAGTCCTCACGCTTCAAACTGACGAAATCCACAATGCTCTGGATAAAGAACTTGGAAATCTCCCTGGCCTGATCATCAACTAGATATTCACAAATCAAGCTGGGCAATATCATCAAGAACCGCAAAAAATGCTCGATGCCATAGGCCTCAAGGATCACTGTCGATTTATCAGCCCTGGTTTTCTTCTTGAGATAATCATCCAACTGTTGATGTTCAAAGCCGTAGAGCACCAAGTTGCGGAAACTCCTCATAAGAAACTTCTTGATACTGTCAACAAATTCCGATAAGAACTCCGAGTACACCATGAAGTTGTTGTCGTTGGTGATATTAGTGTTATTGGCTCTGGCGTTCTCAACCGTCCTCGATACCCGCGTCGATACCCTTCTATTACTGCCTCCAGAATTGCCACTCCAACTACCTGAGCTTTCCAATTTTCTTACCTTAGCTGCATAGTATTTCGTATACCTGTCCAAAATCTTGATTATCAGGATATTCACGGGAATTTTCACCAACATGTTTCGGAGCTTAACATTCTGGCAATCACCAACAAGCTTCCGTCGAAGCACTTGGGGAATATCAATTATAAATGGTGCTTTCACTAAAAACCGCTGGATTTTAATGAAGGAATCATCATCATCCAACCGTCTACTAGGGAAAAACTTTTGGATTCCTTGGTCATCACTGTTCTCCAGGGTCAGGCTATCCTTACTATTACTGGTTCTGGTCCGGGTCCGAGCGTTGCTGCTGGTCCTACTATCGTTTGCTTCGTCCCGGTACCGATCTTCACTGACTTCAATTTCCACCCTTCCCCGACTATTGATGGCATTGGCCAATAATTCTTTGCACTTGCGGATATTTTCAGAATTGTACGGTAGCATCCGGCTGATATCCACCCATTCATCCCAGGCTTTGGGCCAGTTCTTGTAATGGATATAATATGCTTCAACCCCCATTAATCTCGATGGAAGCCCGTGGATCTTGTTACCATCTACTTGTTCTTTTAACAGGAACGCCTCTTGCTTCTTCCCAATGATGTCTTCGGAATTCGCTTGGTGTAAAAACTTGATGGTCGAATCGTAAAGAACCGGGCCATGGTACACAAAGCATCTCTCTTGAGATTTAGGGTGCCAGGCAGGCTCATCGTCCATGTGTAACATATTCAGCAAGGATGTTATTTCTTGAAAAATCAAACAGAGAGTAAGTGCAGTACTCCTGCTTATACACCTGAAAGTAAACAAAAAAAAAAAAATGCGACGCGAAGGTGCTTTTGTGGGGTGCGATTAGTGGTATTGATCACGTGCACACGATAACATCTCTCCTTCATTATACTCTATTATAATATATATATATATATATATATATATGTGCTCTCTTATTATCCCTCTTTATTGTGTTTAATAACTATCTTTTATGATGTACTAAATCTCCAGTGAGTACTTCATACCCTCATTAATAAAGCATATCTTACAATAGACCCTGGCCTACAAAATCACATTCCCAAAATCTATATATATAACACAAAACATCTATAAATTAACAAAACATCTATAAATCAATAAAGCTAACAACTTCCAATTAACAAAAAGAAATACAAAACCATCAAACCCCTGCGACAATATTGCTGGCATCAGTATATTTGGCCTGAGCCATCCCAACCTGAGAATTAGTGAGATCATAATGGACATACGCACTTCTCAAAAACGAGTCGCCCAAAATGTAAATGCTCTGACTACCAGAATCAGTGACCCCCACAGAACACATTGGTTTTCCAAAAAGAGTCCATTTCTTACCATTTGTCTTGGTAATAGGATACATGATCTGGGAAACTGGAACAGAAATCTCCACCCCTTGGTCAAATGTAAAAGTAAGATTCTTACCATCCCAATGATCACAGGCTTCGACATAACCAAGCTTTGGTAAATGGTATCCATAAGCACTACCAATTGCCTTGTATACGCTATTAGGGGCGTTAATCAATGTGGTTCCCGAGTCCAATAAAGCAGGATGTGAAACCGAAGCCGATGATGATGATGACGACAGTTCGTCACTAGTGAAGAGAGTCGGAATGTTATGTTTGGTCTGGCCGGTGATGGAAACAAGATTAACAAAGAATGCAACTGGAACTGCAGTTGGGTTCCCACCATCATTAATATGAAGCACTGGCAATTTCACTAAGTCCCCTTCATACTTCTCGGTATCAATGGCTCCGAATAAAATAGTCCCTGAGGTGCTTGCTGCAGTATTCAAATATAACGAGTAGCTAATGGTATCAAGAAGTCCCTGGCTATGAAGCAACATTGGGAAGTTCGGGTATTTGTTAGAAGCTACTTCATTACCTTGGAATCCCAAGCCCAAGACACCTTGCGCGGCAGTGACCTGGTTGCAAACCCCCATGGTCACATTAGTAACACTGATATCTCCCATTTTTATCACGTCGGTAGCCCAATCTCCATACGCATGGGTACCATCGCCATAAGTAATAGAAAACCCGGTGGAAATGGTTCTGTAGCTGGTGGATTGCGCTGGGGTGAAATAACCAAGATCCTCGGAAAGTTGCATAGTAGGAACCCATAGGTCGGCGGACCCTGTGTCCAACAACACCTCGACTTTTTGTTCTCTTGACCCCATTGATAATTCCACGCTGTAGAAGGTTTGTTGGTTTTCAATGGTCATTGATTCGGAGTCTGTTCTTTTCAAAAGGTTTCCCATAAAATGACTGACTTTATCAATGGCAGAGTTTGCAGTACTTGAACTGGTGCTACTAGCACTGCTGCTGCTGCTGCTCGAAGTTGTATCGTCAACAGAAATTGCTTTCAATTTACTCGAGGACACTGATTGGGTTACATTCATACTGGTGACGGTGAAATTCCATTGAATGTATTTGGAACCATTGGAATCGGTAGAGTAGTAAGTTGATGCCAAATTCTTCTCGGATACTGATTGGAACTTTGATTGACCATACACTGATGAGTTGCTAGAATTGGCGGTTGGATTATCAACGTATCTTTTTACTAAATCGATGGGGACCGCAGAAGCTGTTGATAAGCAGAGACTGGTCGCTGCAATAATAGGGATCCAATTATACATCTTCTCTATGGCAATATTATAATTATTATTCTCTACTATTGGGGTTAAAAAAAAAAAAAAAAAAAACGGTAACCTCAAACAAAAAAATTAAAAAGTGAGTACCATCCTATCAATTTTATAGGGTCTCTTGGTAAGATTATTATAATATATTGAAGAACTGCTGTACAAAAATACGGTGTATGTGCCTCAGCCAATACCATGGATTGTGCGCATGTAGGCCATCAATCACATAAAATGGTGTACGCCCCATCCTCTCTCTTGGTAACTTTGAGCTGCTTGAGAAGGATCTTTTTATCGTTCTTTTCCATACTTTTAAGCACCTTATAGAGGGATTCCCCGTCCTCCTTAACGTATTTGCTGATCCCTTGGCTTTTCTTGACCGGTTTACTTTCTTTCTTTGGTTGACTGTCTTTCTTTGGGGCAGAGGTGGTCTGGACTGGGGCAGTGTTTTTATCATTGTTGTTGTTGTTGTTGTTGTTGTTGTTATTGTTACGATTGGATTTTTTTCCTTTGTATAATGCCTTCTGATACTTCTCATCCTCGGTAATACACGAGGTATGGCTCTTATGGTCGTTTCCTTCAAAAGTGGTCGAACAATCAATACAGGTGAAGTAGGCCCCACGACATCTTGACTTGTGTTGATCGAGCTTCTTCTTAACTATAGTGTCATTGCAAACCTAAACAGGAAAGGTCTCGGTTAGTAAAACATAGTCTGCAAACACAAAGTCTAGATCATTGAGGACCATGGGTGCACGTCAAGTCTGTCCCCACTGATGAGGATGCTTCGACCTAAAAGTAAATATCCACATCCACACCTTTGGTTCTTCTCTATTATTTATTGTTTGTTTGTGTTTTTTCTTCACTCTTTTCATTGACAAACATACCTCACAAGAAAAGCTAACCATTGCTATATAATATGTTATCAAGTATTTACGGACTTTTGCACTGAAAGATTAAATGATTTTAAAAAAAAAAAAAAAAAAATTTTCGAACTCATCGCAGGAAAAAAAAAAAATGAAGCTGAAAAAAATGGCGGATGGAAAAAAAAAAAAAAAAAAAAATCACTTTCTCAAAACAGCCATCCATCCTATCCTATCTTACATTGAAATAGTCGAATCAAACTTATAATACATTCATTATTCGTAATCAGCCTCTATCCAACTACCTTCTGTCTATCAATCGAATAGATACGGGTTGATCTGTCAGCACTGGCCACTGCCAAATAATACTTTCCGGCTTTATCACCTTCTTTTTCCAATCTCCAGCTTAGTCTATTGATTCTGCCACTTGGAGTGTCTTCAGAACTCACAACCTCAATTATAGAACCTTGGCGTGTCACCGTATTGAACATGTAGATGGCTAAAGCACCTCCTTCAAGACCAGCAGCAATCAAAATATGGTCTTTAATGAAATACGACCCGTAAACACTGACGGCAGTAACCGGCTCAGAAAACTTCACTTGATGAACAGAAGTAACTGTGTTACCTTGCTCATCGATTTCCCATATCTTGATCGACTTGTCTCTTGAACCAGTGACAAACAATGGTTTCTGTCCAACAGCAGGAGTCGGGGCCCAATCCCCATCCCAAATAATTCTTGTATGTGCCTTTTCCATTGGTTTCCATAGTTCATATCTTGCTCCTTCATCAACTTTCTTCCAAATACCAACTTTTCTATCTCTACTAACAGACAAAATGAATTTATCATCTTTCGAAAATCTCACTCTGTTCACGGTCAACTCATGGAATTCCAAAGCTGGTCTATCTTTATCTCTAATCTCTAACCAGTTCTTTGTGTCAAACAATCTCAAAATCGCATGACGAACGTTGTTGGATTTACAACAGGAAACAATGTATTTCCCATCATGAGAAACGTCAAGTGTGGTCAATTCGTACCCATGTCCATACAATTTCTCAATTTCCGGCCATAATGTATGACGTTGTAAATGATCTTCCAAAGGTGGCTCAACCAAATTCGACATCACTTCGTAAGAAATGTTTTTATCTTCGTCTTCTTCTTCTCCTTCTTCTCCTTCTCCTTCTTCACCTTTGGCGTTCGCATCAGCAGCTTCTGCCTTATTCGACAACCCCAAAGTAGGCAATGATGCGGCTTCTGGTAAACTGCTCTCATCAAGATTAGAATTAACCCCACAAAACTTTTTCAATAACTTCATGATACTCTTTGGTTCACTAAAACTTCTCATTACTTTTTCATCACCTCCAGAAACAAACCGTAAATTATCATTCAAAACTCCAATGCAAATCATATCGTACCCGTGGATCTGAGGTCTGGCAAATTCCCTCCAAGATTGGTCGTGCTCATCTCTCACAGTTCCGTCAGCGTTTAACATCCATTGGGCGTATAATCTCGTGGTTTGGTCCAACGAAGTAGAAAGCAAGAAATCTTGGTTTGCCGACCATTGAACATCTGTAACCTCTTTGGCTGGACCAGTGATACCTAATTCAGATTTCCATTCTGTGATGGCATCACAATCTTTCGACCAGACTCTCCAAGAACCGGTTCTACCATGTGTAAAAATGTATTCTTTGTTCAGTTCTTCATCAACGTACCAAATAGAAGACCAGAACCCGCCTGAAGCACCAGTAGCGGTACTAGCACCTTTAATACTCAATTCACCTAATCTGGAAGTACTCACCCAGACCCCAGAAATGGCATCTGGCTCCCAGATCATGGTAGAAGTATCCGCTGATGTAGATAATAAACGCAATTTTTCATCCTTGGTTTTTGGATACCAATTAAGACAAGAAATCCAATCATCATGTCCAAGAATCAACGCTTCGAAATTTATAGAACACTGGAAACCTTCGCCAATAGAGAAATTGTACTTCTTGTTACTAAGTAATGACAATTTCTTGCTATTCTCTTCTGGCTCTTTGGTGACAGTAACCCCTGTAGACAATTTCCATAGTCTAATATATCTATCTAAAGATCCACTAGCAATGAGATATTCGTTGTCACCGGTTTCATTTATGACAATCGATTTGATCCAATTTTCATGACCTGATAATACAGCACTTTGGCTAAAACTTCCAAGTTTTTGATCAGCTAGAAGTTCAAAAGTATAAACGTACAATTGTGGTTTGGTACCCCCGATCAACAAAATATATTTCCCTTTGGTCAATTCATAAATGCTTAATGACAAGGAATAGAAGCTTGGACTGATAGTAAATTGGTGAGCCTGTACAAATTTAGTTGCTTCTTCCGTATCAACTAATTCCCAGATAGTTATCTTCCCAGATGAGCAACCACTGACCATCACAGTTTTCTCATTTTTGGTAGTCACGCTAAGACAATAGATAGATCCATCGTGCGCCTCATCAATGCTTTGGATCAATTTATATTTCCCGCCATTCAACAGTTTCCACACCTTAATGGTCTTATCAGCCGAGCTGGTGACCAAGATCTCTGCTTCTTTGGAACAGTATTTAACATTTAAAATATCGTCGGTGTGTCCCTTCAATGTGTATTCTATCCCTTTTGGATTGATGGAAGAATTCTCAGCTAATGGATTCCAAATCGCAACGTTATGCCCCGCACCAAAGGCAATTTGTTTCTTGTAGGAATTGAAATCACTGACACCACTATGCGGATTAGCACCGGCAAATATCGCTTCAGTGTTTACCATATTTATATCGATCAAAAGAATAATCCTAAATAACTAATCCGAGATATAGAGAAGAGTTTGAAAAAAAAAAAAAAATTTTTGTAACAAAAATTTTGGTTTGGTTAAGCGGCCCCTGAACAGGAATCACAATAAATCAACACATAAAAGTGGCATTGACTGGGAGTTTGTTGGTAGGTTGTTATTGAATGGGCGGAAATGGCCAAATGACAGTATATATTAAAGAAAGATAAATTGAAATCATGGCGAAACTGAAGAAGAAGGGAAACAAAAAACATCCGAAAAAACCCCAGAACACCGAGCAGCAGCAGGAAGATATGGCAAATGATAACAATACGGTTGTGGAAGTCGATTCAATAGATAAGAATAGCCAGGATAAGGTGGCAGGTGAATTGAACCGCCCGGAAAATCAGATAGTGAATAATCCAAGCGAGGAAAATCTCGAATCGAGTGACACCAACGCCAATAATTATGTGTTCGAAAGTGGTGTCAATACTGATGACATAGGCACTAGTAGGCCGAATGATAAAAACATCGATAACGATAAAAAGAAGGACATCCAGGAAACCGTTTTGATAAAGGAAGCTTCAGAAGATCTCGTTATTTCAAAGATTGAAGATGAGGAGCCTGTGTCTACTGGCTCAAGTCAAATTAATGATATACCAAATAAAGATAACGTAGAGGACACCATTTCAGAGGAGCATACAAACGAACAAGTTCCCATAGATCATGTAAATAAGATTACTGATCTAACAACCGATTATAAAGAAAACAATCTCGAGACCAATATTTCAGAGCGACATTCAAGCGAAAAAGCTTATATATATCACCCAACTGAAGATGATGGTTCCAAAGAAGATAGTCTCGAGGCCTATATTACAGAAGACCATACAGGCAAGATTGATGAGAAACCAGGTGACTGCAAAGATAAACCAGAAAGCCCAATTCCAGAATACCATTCAAACGAGGTTAATGATCTAGCAAATAATTCCGAAGAGAAAGCGGAATACATAATTGTGGAAGATCGTTCAAGCGAAAAAGCTCCTACTGATAATGACTGTCAATTACCTAAAGGTAGCTCAGCCGATGACCATCAGCGACCAAAATCTCCAGAAAAACCAAAAATGAATCCTGTTTCTGAAAATACCCCGCTGATATCAATAGGAAAAGAAACAAAACAAGACCTAGTAATATCAAAGAATGATCCAGAATCAATTGATCATATGTCCAATCCAACCCCATCTATTGATCTAAAAAAGAACGAAGAATCGGAAATATCGAATGATTCAAAAGATAGGGAAAATAATAGCGTTTTTAAGTCAAATAAAACTCAAGATAAGAATGATTCTCAGCAATTATCGAATACTAATGATAATGAAACCAATAATGCATCAGATATTCAAGGTCGTGGAGATAATGAGCTGTCAAAGAAATTAGATGATGAACAAACCATGAAAGCTGAAGGGGACTGTGATATTGGAAAGCCACAACCACTCGAAGAAGTGAAAATATCTCCAGGTCCATTCTCTATCGACGACTTGATTAGTGGAATAAGCTTAAACAACCCAGAAATCCCCGAGTCTGAGAATTCGGCTATCACTTGTGTTGCTGCTTTTGAAGAAAATATATACATTGGTACCAAACATGGGGAAATCCTACACTATTACAAATTGGACTGTGAATCAGGGTATCTTCCAATAAGCCGTCAAAGAGTACACCTTACCAAGATCAAACCCATTAAAAATATCTTATTGTTACCTCAGGTGAATAAAGCATTGATACTTAACGGATCAATGATAAATGTGTTTTCTTTACCTGAGTTATCCCCTGCGAATATTGGAAAAATCAAAGATGTGAACGACATGACTATTGACGTTGATAATTTTTTTGGAGTGGAAATCGATCCAAGCGTTGGAGTTCCTGTGGTGTTGTTTACAAAGAAAATGATAAGGGTGATCAGTGTCACCCAAGACAGTTTGAAATTAGTGAAAGACATCAGCTATCCCCATACCATTAAAGGCTTGAGAAGATCTAAATTTTCTCTTGTGGCCACCAGAACCAATTATGATTTGATCGATATAGACAGTTTTCAAAAAATCCCCCTCTTGCCAATGTCAACCACTGGTGAAGTGCCTCATGAAGATATTGAACCTTTTATATTTCCGATTCTGAAACATGAGTATTTGATAACATGTGGTAGCTCTAAAGCCGACCCTGCTATGGGAATGATTGTGAATAACAATGGGGATATTTCTAGAGGTACCATTCCTTGGAGAACGTATCCTGATACCATAGCAGTTAATTACCCTTATACCATTGCGGTTCTTGAAAATCAGGAAAACGATAATGGGTATAAGTATGAAGTTTCTGTACATTCTATCAATGATCAATGTGATGTTCAAAAAATGGAATTTACCGACGAGGTAAAATTAGCAACGGTGACAAAAGTATTTGAAGAAGAGTATCAACCTTTGTTGAATGTCATTTCAAGTGTTTCATTAATTACTCAAGAGCCCAACAAGCCCCTATTGACTGAGGAAATCGAGGAGCTATGCAAGATTAAATCATCAATTTTAATATATAATCCAAAGTCAGGGAAAATTAGAATGATCAAAACATTGCCAACTCTAAGCAGATTACAAGCGATAGTTGAGTCGCACAATTTTAATGAATTGCAGAAAGAGTATGATGACTTTGTTAAGCAATACGTTAATGAGAATACATCAACTGTTGATATATCTAAGGAAGACAAGGTTACTTTCTCATTCTTAAAAGAGGCTTTGGGATTACTGTTTATTCTTAATAATAGATTGGACTATGGATTCCGTTTTTGGATAAACCAATACGACGATTTAGATACCCAAATGTTATTAAAGCTTGATAATATTGGTATCATGGAAGATTTTGATGGGAATGATGAGAAAAAGATGATCTTATGTGACTTGCAATTACGCCCGAACCCTAGAGTAATAATTTATTTTTTCTATTCATTAATGAATAATGCGAAAGATAATAATGTGGATTTGCTTGCTAAATATTTCAATTTCAAGAGCATTGATATTAGAAAAGGTCTACTTCCATTTGCAAACCACATTTTAGCAAATTGCACTAGCGATAGCTTTTTGAAGTTTTATTTGAGGGTTTTGATGAACTGGTTGGAAAATTTTCATAAGTTAATAGGGTTGAACAGAGGGTTGTCGTCTAAATCCAATGAATCTGGCGATGATAGTGTGGCTCCACAACCATCGCCATCTAAAAGGTCAAATAGCTTTGATCAACAATTGGAATCGCATGATAACGTTGATGGGCTTTCATCAGACACTGCTAAAAGAGGTGATAGTTTAGGAATAATACGCCGCAATGGAAAAAGTGGATCCTCAGATACAAATGTTGCTCCAAAGAACATATATAGCAGTACTCCAAACTTGATTTATGAAACTGAAAATTCACACCCAGCGTTCAAACTTTGGGAGTTCCAGGTTAAAACAAGTGATATAGAGGATAAGGATTTGGAAAATATCCTGCTGCCATTCGTTATGCTAAATATTAAAGAAATTGAACTAGTTTTATTGAAATATTATATTGACGAATCTATGAGAACCAAAAGTGACAAAGACTTGTTAGCATTCATCAACGGAAATATCAGGATATGCCTTGATGAGACAATCCAAGTCTTAACACATTCTGGTAAATACTCGGTGATATTAAAAATTTACGAATCTTTGAAAAAGCCTGATAAGTTTTTCAAACTTTGGATGGCATTAATGAATGGGGAATTAATCGATGAATCATCTTTTCCTATCAACTCTACCGAAAGTTTTAGAAAATATCAAATTCGAAAAATTAATGATAAAATATTGTTTGGCGATCAACCATCGACATTAGGATACATTGAGTATTTCAAGTTTTTGATCAACATAGGTGAGTTTAGCACTGTCATAACTAATATTTTCGACCCTAAACTACTTGATAAGTTGGATGAGATTGAGATTTTAAAAACCATTGATGATGACATTACTGATTCTATGGTAGAAAAAAATTTCCAAAATAGCAAGTGCAAGACCGTCAACGATCTCAAAATTTCATATCTTGAATATTTACTTGATTCTGTTAGTTCTAAAAGAACTGCATTGTTTGGAAAATTGGTTTTCGAATACGTTGATTATTTGATTGATATTGTATCAAAGAACCGTGAAATGTTTAAACGGTTCATGGGGAATATGGTAGAGAATTATAAATCACTAAAAGATTTTCCAAAGGTCTCTATCGATAGCTATTTCAAAATTAGAATCAAGACAATGAGTAAAAATAATCAAGATGGCAATATGGATCGAGATATTATGGTGAGATTTTACGATGTTAATGCAAAGCTACTTGGAGTATTACGAACAATTGATGATGCAGAAAAGGTAACCATAATTGAATTGGCCAATGATGATCTAAAATTCCACAAGCGCGAACTATCAAGATCTAAAACACTTGAGAAAATATATGACCAGTTTTCAAAATTCCAAAATATCTTCCTCATTGACTTAATCAACATTGATGGATACCTAAATCATGTTGACAAAACTGTTGAGCATTTAACTAGCGTCGGAGATTTCGTGACCGCTGAGAAATTCATTAGCACCAATGGAAAAGTCCTATTTAACAAAAACTTTCAACATCAAGAAAAAGTTATTGACGATGAGAAAATGAAGGAATTGTTATTAAAGCTATACAAAATTTACGTCAAGGACCACGTCACGAACCAAAAATTGATCGAGAACTTTCTACTCAATTATAGCCAATTTATCGACTTTAATGTTTTGTTAGATAATATTCCGGAATCTGCGTTGTTCTCGATGAAGTTTGTGTCAAACACTATATTAATGAAGAACTTAATCGATGTTAATGATAGGCACACCATGTCATTAACCAAGAAAAACTTAGCAAGAAGCGAATTGAATTTTTACAATAGAATACTAAGAGAATTCAAAAGCACCCAATAATTTATGAATCATTACTATTTGCTCATTAATGTATTATATGTTGTTACTGTTACCATTTTTGGCTCAATGTGCCATGTAAGAGACTGAAGAAAAAAGAAAAATAAAAAATAAAAAGAAAGGAAAAAAAATTCGATAAAGTGAAAAGCAGAAATTTATTTCACAAAAAAATGCTCCAGACGAGGTTCGAACTCGTGACCATCGCGTTCCTCACACGATTGTGACCTTGATATAAAGTCTTTAATGACATTATAAGCACGATGCGCTACCCACTGCGCCACAAGAGCTGTTGAAAACGAACCCTTCTACGCACATTATCTCAAAAGCTTTTGGATTGATTACGTAAGCAAAGGGTAAACAAATATTGTCCCATTTGAATTTTGGAAAAAAATTAACCAAGTTAATCATCAACATCCTCAAGCAGACAACGGGATCCTTATACATTAACAACATGACTGGCCCATTATTCAATTTAAAAAATGGTACCCTCCAAGGTAATCCGTTTTCCCCTTCATTATTTGCATTAGCAGTAGAACCTTTACTACGATCTATCAAACAGAATACCAGAGGCCATAGTTACCAAGGAGATTTAATACCTGAAGCATATAGTAGTCAACATTATCTTGCTTTTGCTGATGATATCACAGTTTCAATAGTATGAACTATTTTTAATAGATGGTCTGAATAAATCCCGCTGCGGTGGTGCGAAAAATACCGGGGGTCGGTATGAATTATTTTTTGCTACTGGTATGAACATTTCCGGTGGTCGGTACGAATAAAAAATGAAAACACTGTAAATTGGTGATTAAGTGTCCTCAATTAATATTTTAACAAAAAAAAAAAGGAAATCTTCATTATTAAATCTGTTACAAGGACAACATGGAATCTGCTACTGTGAATAGGTTCTTTCGTTTGCCATTCCAAAATATGTGTGGCTTGCCGCAAGGAAGTGATGCCAAGAGTATTAATGAATGGATTATCTTTGATATGTCCAAAACCATTAGAACAAAACCAAACTGGCAAACCAAGTATAAAGATTCAGAAATCGTGAATAATTGGAAGAAAGATTTTTTGACCCAGTTTAAAAATGATGGAATTATTATTAAACATGCGAATTTTGATGATTTGTTTGAATATACCATTAAAGAGTTGAGTTGGTATGAAAAGTTGGAAAAAGAGTACAAGGGAAATTTGAAGATCTGTATGGATGATAGAATATGCTCAAGCGAAACTTTGGTGAATGGCAAGATTAAAGCTAATTTAAAAACCCAATCAATAGAATTGGAAAAGTCTTTTGGTGACAAGATCGATTATCACCCAGGCTCACAAAACCAAGTCATTGATTTGGTTCACCCTTCGTTGTTTCCCTTAGTCTATGGTAAGTCACAGTCGATCGATCCGGATACAAAAGAGATCTCAGTGATAGATTACTCCGAAGATATAGTTGGTGACCCAGATCACAAGTATAAAGGCTTTCAATTTTTTGGATCTAAAAACTTTCAATGGTTGCCTACTATTTTTGAATTATCTCATGATAAGAAGCGTTATGAGATTACTTCATATATCAATAACCTCGAGCCAAAATCTTTCAAGGATTTGTATAAAACAATTGAAGATGTTTTTAATGCTTCAATTCCAGCTTTAAATTTTGTGTTATCTCGACTTTGCTCTCCAGAGTATATTCGAATTCCAGTTCCAGGCCAATTGGAGGTTTACACCGAAAAATTTCAAGAGGAATACGAAGCGCTCCTTGATTCAGATGAAGGAGATTATGAAACGTATTTTAATGAAAATGCTGCTAATTCAATTAAAGACTTATCACCAACTTATAACTCCGATCCTATCACAAACAACTTTTCTTTACCCAACGAGTACCTGAAACTCAAGGTAATTGTTAAAATGGCAAATATTGAATTGATGCCAGAGAACCCGGTGTACCCTGGTGGTTCATGGCATGTTGAAGGTGCTTTAAATGAAGATATTGTTGCCACGGTTTTGTACTATTACGATACAGAAAACATTACCGATTCCGAGCTTGAATTTCGAGCAGATTTTGAGGATCCGTTGTATGAACAGGACGACAAGGTCTATTGCAAAGAAATATTTGGGATTGAGGACGAAAAAATCCATTCTAATAACTTAGGAGGGGTAAAAGTTGAGGAGGGTATGTTGTTAGTGTTTCCTAATATTTTTCAACATCATGTCAAGCCATTTGAATTGAAAGACAAGGGTAAAAAAGGAACCCGGAAGATATTGTGTTTTTTCCTAGTTGATCCTGGTAACAAAAGAAATTTTGCTAGTGATACAGTATTACCGCAACAGAAAGAATGGTTGGGTGAAAATAGTGATGAGATTGTTCTGAAAATGTTCAAATCCAAAAATCAGGAGATGACTTACACAAAGGAGCTTGATTTTGAGTACGATTTAGCATTGGAGATGAGAGCTAAGTTGATGAAAGAAAGATCAAATTTTTTTACTGAAGGTGATTCACTGTTTAGCAGAGAGTTTTGTTTATGTGAACATTAGCATGTTACTAATATATTGTTAAACTTGTTTTATGTAATTATAATGCGGCATATATATAGCTGCATACTTAAAATTTCAAAAAAAAACAAAAAAACGTAAGCAATTATTCATGAATGAAATATATAATTGGATTCAATATCCCTTGTGAGCTAGTATAAAGCGGTTTCTTAATATATTTCAGTTACTTTACTTAACTAAAAATATTCTTTATCATTATTTTTATTATTATGGTTAGTTTTTCATTATTTCTGGGTAGCAATCGACAATCATTTTGTTCAGAAAGCCTTATTCTTATTATATTATTATCATAATTTATATTAGTGCCTCTGAGCACGCTATTATTATTATATACTATAACTTAACGGTTTCAATTTCACTACTTGTTTATTTTCGTATCTGTAAAACATAAATTATGAATTTTTTCTGTAATACAAAATAACACTTATGAGTGAATGAATAAATTGTATGAACATTTGTAAAAGAAAGGTGAGCAACTTTTTTTTCAACATCACATAAAACCAGGTAATATTGCTTTTCAATATTGCTTCTGGTTTACAGATTATCTCCCAATCTGTTAAATGAAAATGTTACAAAATGAATTATGAGCATTATCAAGCCACCAATAATACTTCTGACATGGCGAGAACTACGCAAGCTGTAACCCAGCCTGCTTCGGTTGACAATAACACTATACATGCATTGGAACTGATGTTTAGTAAATTGGAAGTTACATTCGAGATTAAATTTAACCGTTTGGAATCCAGATTGCTCAATAATATAGGCTATATGACCAATGCCTTTGACTTAATGCAACAATCTTTTGCGTCTTTTGCTAGCATTTACAATCCTTCCAACTCAATCCCATTTCAAAATATTGAGACAAGGAAAAAATTAGTTGGGGGGTGGCATTCACAGACAAAGGCTCACCTCACCACCAGTGCACAAGAGCAGAGTTGCTCAAGGACAGCAATGCCATGATGAAAAAAAATCAGAATAATAATGCGGGGAGTATTTACATGTACACATTACTGGATTTGTTGGTTCATGACTCAAAAGGTGATGAATTTTTGAAAATCAGGGCCCTCGGTCAAGAATCTTCCTCGCCAGAATTAATGTCGTTTGATTCAAAAAAATTCATATTAGTTAAAATTGGCCGAACTGTTCAACCAGTGGCAAAACGTATCCAACAATGGCAGAGACAATGTAATAAAAATATAACTCTAATCAGTCCTGACATTGTTAAGAAAGCTTCTCCTTCCTCATTATGGGCTTTGTTTTCCAAGCTCACTATAGAGGATCCTTATTACAGCACGAATAAATTAAGTTTTAATCCTAACAGGTTTCTTCCGAATATCAGAGGTCATGGTATGATTAATAAAACCACTTTTAAGTGTTTTAACGAGTGTGATAACAGTTTCCATTGCCGAAATAATTTAAGTAGGATAGAAAAAGAAATCCATAATCAGTTGAGAGATAAATTTGGAGCTTTTGGAATGGAATGTGATAACTGCTCCTTGAAAAAATCCAAAGTGTATGACCTGAATGGTGGAGATATAATAGTGAGCAAACCAGTGACACACCGTGAGTGGTTTAGAATACCTAAACAGCGATTAAATGAAGTTTTTTTGCAAATTGAGTCCATATGTCATAATATGGAGAGCCAAATTTGGGAAAATAAAAGCATGAAAATGACTTTAGTTCCATTAGCTAATTCTTCTCTTCCTTTATAATAATATCTTAGTATGAAACATAAATTTGTGCTAAGATCCGCAAGTTAATTTGAAAAACTAGACTGAGAATCCTGAAGTGGTAGTCTCTTCCTTCCTTGAATAGTTACTCAATAATTTCATTTAATATAGTAATATATTCTTACAAGAAATCCGTAGCTCTTATATGATATTCAGAGATAATGAATCGGGATGTTGAACCCCTTTTATAACAAATGTAGCGGTTAATACGCAGCAACAGATAATAAAGACAAAAAATATAGGTAAGTCAACAATATTTCAAACGTCAAAACACTAGCACACTTTTTTTTGCTTAGCTATCGCTTTTGCAAAAAAAAATGATTTCGCCCAGGATCGAACTGGGGACGTTCTGCGTGTTAAGCAGATGCCATAACCAACTAGACCACGAAACCACTTCGAAAAGTTGAAATATTATTTATAACAGACTTAATAAATTTTAATAGACCCGCTGTGATGGTATATCACATTTCATTTCTTGATTTCTCCAAGCCTATTTTCGCTATTTTGTGTACTTGGATAACATATAGTAATATAATATTGCTTTCTATTATGTTTGGAACTTTTTTTTGTTTCATTTATACAACGCTTAGTCCAGTTTTTATCGAAAGATGAATATCATCGCGAAAGTGAATGGATGAATTCTCAGTGAATTGTATATTAATGAGTCACAGAGGCTCTAAATAAAATGTAAGTGAGTCTTATGAGCCGGTCGGCAAAAATAATTATTAATTATAAAGAGGGTAATTTACTCCTCTATTATATTCATTTTGCAGTACTATTCATGAATATTTGTGTCAATGTTTTTTATTCTGAAAAACCCCATTCTTTTTAGTAAATGTGGTGCTGTACTAATAATACTATTATTATTATTATTATTATTATTATTATTATTATTATTATTATTATTATTATTATTAAAATTTTTACTTCATGACTTTGTCTTGACTTTTTTTTTGAGCTATAGCGATATATCGTGTTCGTTATGCTTCATCAATTTCCTTGTGGAGATAGCACCATGTACCAACTCAAATTTAATGCTCAACATTCAGTAAGAAGAACTTTATACTATATTCTCCCTGGGAATAGTAATTATAATTAGATAATAATAAACGGCTTGTAATTCTATAATTTTGGTGGTTCTAAACCATTTTGATTTTCTGAAAACAATTGTAACCTTAATAAATTCAAGCTTATTTCTGGGAGAGTATTAGAACAAATACAATAATATATAATAAAATAAGAGAAACCCAGAAATAAAAACAACTAATATTAAATCAAAAAAAATAGCTGATGGAGAAATATTTGTAAATGCTACAGGAGCGAGGGGTAGAAAACCCCCCACCAAACACCTTGACACCAGATCGATTTTTTTTTCTGATTTGTTAAAATAATTTTTTCCCAAATTCGATTCATCCATGGTGTAATTAGACTTCTGTTTGATAACCAGTAATCAAAAGGGATAAATTCGGGAGGAAAGAAAAAGTTCCAGTGATAGAATTAGGATCAATTAGACTCTCAATCCAATTTTTCTGTTATCTGTATTCTCATTATTCTATTGCCCTAAAAAAAGGAAACGAAAAGAAAGAAAACTTTGAGATTTTTTTTTGTCTTCAAGATATTTGACTACTCATCAATCGCTAATTGCTGAATATTTATACCCTTCGAGTTTAGAAATCAAAAGCAATTATGGATATCGCTCAAGTTCTTGAAAATGCTCTTTTAGGGCTCGATGCAAACACAAGAGAAGAGGCCACTGCTCAATTGGAAACGGCTGCCGTCGAGAACTTTGTTATGTTCATTGGCCTTTTAACCCAAACTTTGGCAGATGAAAGCGTAAAGGTTGAAGTTCGTATGTTGGCTGCCATTGCCCTCAAGAATCAATTGACATCAAAAAATCCAAAGAGAAAGAAGGAACAAGCCGAGCGCTGGATTGGTTTGGAAGAAGAAATCAAACAGCAAATTAGAGACTCATCGCTCAAAACACTTTTGAGCTCTGATGAAAGAGTTGGAAGATCTATCGCTCAATTGGTGGCTGCCATTGCTGACATTGATCTTCCAAGATCCGAATGGTCCAATTTAATAACTGTAATTGTGGAAAATACTAAGAGTGACAAGCCAGTGGCTGTGAAGAAGGCCGCTCTTTTAACCATTGGTTATATTTGTGAGAATGCTGATCCTAGTAATCCAGGGATTGTGAGTCAAGCAAACGGTATTCTCTTGGCTATTGTTCAAGGTGCACAAACTTCCGAACCTTCCATAGATGTGAGATTGACGGCTATCAATGCCCTTGTCAACTCATTGGAGTTCATTAGACAAAATTTCCAAAGAGAAGGTGAAAGAAACTATATTATGCAAGTTGTGTGTGAAGCTACTCAATCTGATGATAGTGACTTGAAGGCTTCTGCTTATGGTGCTTTGGCAAAAATCATGAGCCTTTATTACAACCACATGAGTTTATATATGGAAAAGGCGCTTTATTCTTTGACAGTCAGCGGTATGCAAAGCCCAGATGAAAAAGTATCGTGTATGGCTATAGAATTTTGGTCGACAGTTTGTGAAGAGGAAATTGACAGAAGTTTGAGAAAGCAAGAATATGGGGATCAGCTATTAGCAGCAGATGCTCAAGATTTAGTTATTTATAACTTTGCTGTCGGTGCTATTCAGGATGTATTACCAACTTTGTTGACCTTGTTGACCAAACAGAATGAAGATGCCGAAGATGACAGTTGGAGTGTTGCTATGGCTGCTGGTGCTTGTTTACAATTATTTGCCCAAAATGTTGGAAATTACGTTGTTCAACCAACTTTGAACTTTGTGGAATCTAATATTGGCTCTACAAACTGGAGAGATAGGGAAGCCGCTATTATGGCCTTTGGTTCCATTTTGGATGGTCCTGATAATGACAAATTGAAGAGCCTTATTGGTGAAGCGTTGACCCCAATCTTAGGGTTGATGAAAGATGATAATTTACAAGTCAAGGAAACTGTTGCTTGGTGTTTGGGTAGAATTGCTGATTTGGTTATTGATGCAGTGGCGTCAGAACAATATTTGGATCAAGTTATCACCGCAATTGTTGATGGTTTGAAAGATCACCCTAAGGTTTCCACAAACTGTTGCTGGACTCTAATCAACCTCATAGAACAAATATCATCAGATTCTGAGGAATTAGAAACATGCGCCTTATCTAAATATTACGAAGTTCTTGTCCCATTATTGATTGAATTATCTAGCAGAGGTGAAAACGAAGCCAGTGCTAGAACTTCTGCTTACGAAGCCTTATCCATCTTGGTTTTGTTTGCTCCAAGAGACTGTATGCCATTTGTCAACAATATTGCTACGGAAGTTTTGAGCCGTTTGGAATACACAATAACAATGGCAAGCCAAGTTCAAAATAATGAAGATAAAGTTAATTTGGAAGAATTACAAAGTAACATTTTGAGTTTGTTGACCAATGTCATCAGAAGAGCCAAGAAAGAAGTTTCTGCCGTTAGTGATAATCTAATGGAGATCTTTTTGAAGTTATTGACATCTCAACAAGAACAACATGGTTCTAAATCAGTGATCGAAGAAGACATTTTCATTGCTATCAGTGCTATTGCTTCTTCTATTGACTCTGACTTCAACAAGTACATGCCAGTGTTTTTGCCATTCTTGTCAAAGGCTTTAGTCAATACAGAATCAACAACTTGTAAAACTGCTGTTGGCTTGGTTGCCGATATTGCTAGATCATTGCAAGCTGACCTCGCTCCGTATTGTAATGATATTATGAATATTTTGGGTAATAACTTGTCAAACCCAGACATTCCTAAGGATTTGAGACCAATTATTATTTCGTGTTTCGGTGACATTGCTTCATCAATCGGTGACTTGTTTGCCCCATATTTGGAAGTTGTTATGAAGATCTTGGCTGCTGCTCAAAACTTGCAACCAGAAGATGGGTCCATCGAATCTTTTGACTATATCTTCAATGTCAAAGAATCAGTATTGGATGCCTACGTTGGTATTATTGCTGGTTTCCATAACAATCCACAAGCTATCTATCCACATGTTCAAACGATTTTCCAATTCTTGGCATCGATCCCAGCCGATGTGAACTTTGCTGGTACCGATTCAGTTTGCGGTTCTACCGTTGGTTTGATTGGTGACTTGGCCCAAATGTACGGGGATGACATCAAACCTCTTTTAGCCCAAGATTGGATTTTGGAATTTGTTAAGCATGTGCAGAAAAATCCAAGTTTCTCTGACAATACTAGATTTACAGCTAAATGGGCCAGAAAACTCATTAAGTAATCATACAATTTACATCACCAAATTTAATATCATTTTCCTTTGTTCATCCTTTTTTCATAGTTTTATTGACTTTATTATTTTTGCAATCTTCTCCTCTCCTTAACGCTTTTACTTTTTCATATCAATTTTTTCCCCTCCTCCTCTTCATAGTGTATCCATGTTCCCACCATTTTTTCATATAAAGATTTTGTAATTTTTTTTTTTTTTTTTTTTTTTTTTTTTTTTTTTTTTTTTTTTTCTGGCTTTTATTGTTTGTCATTTGGCTTCAATCTTGTGATTTGTTCTATTTTTCCTGATTAGTCCTGAATGCTGGCTTAAATAACATATAAGGTTCGTAATTCGTAATATTCAGTAGCGAATACCAAGAAAGAAAACGAATAAACTTACTAGAAATACGATATAATTAATTACTATTACAGAAACACGTTAGGAGCAATATATAACAAAATAAATAAATAAATGAACAAAAAATCATGGCAACTATAATACTGATTAGCTGAAAATTATCCTCTCTAATAGAATAAAAAAAAAATAATAATCCAGACGCTTGCGAGGGGATGTTAGCAAGCAGAGTTATCTATTGTAAATCGGTACTCAAGGAATTCTTAAACCTACTACTCGTTCGCAAAGCCTTGATGATCTTATCCTTATTCTTAATGGATTCTTTCAAGTCATCGATTTCTTCCTTTTGAGTTTCGATCAAACTTTGTAGTTCCCTTTGATTACCATTCTTCAATACGTTATTTCTAACCTTGCTTGGTGACACTAGTCCATGGGTCTTGTATCCACCATTCATGTCCAGGTCGGAGATTGGGGAAAGTGGACATTCTATATTTTCATCATTGACAACTACCGCTACCACAGCAGGTGATGAATCAGGCTGGTTTTGGCTTTCACCAAAGTATTTCTTATATTCGTATTTCCCCAATTCATTCTCAAGGTGCAGGATATAACTGTTGTATTCTTCAATTTCTGTGGCTTGATCTCTGAACAATTCCTCCAAGTTTCGCAATACTGTTGGGTTATTCAATAACGTACCAACGGATGTTAGAGAGGTCATGATGTCGGTTTTGAGGATTACATTTTCCGTTCTTTTCTCATCCATCAATCTCGACAAGTGCTCGACTCTTTCCGTCAACAATCTGTTTTCAGAAGCCAATTGTGCGTTAACATCCCTAAGCCTCAACGAGTCAGAAGAAGAAGAAGAAGATTCCGAAAGTGGGCCCAAACTGGAAATTGATAAACTATTCAACCCATTGGAAGCCTTTAATAACTCGATCTCGACCTTCTGTTTCTGAATAGCATTCTGCAACTTTTCAATCACTCGATCTTTCTCACTATTACTTCCTCCTAGTAGCTCATGTTTACTGGCGTTTAAAGTGATATTCTTTGCCTTGGCAGCAAACCTCAATGTACTAACTGTTTCGGAATAACTTTGTTCTCCTAGATGTACGGTACAAAGAATAGAAATCACAGAATTACCGGATAATGACGGTTGCAATAATCTCGTTAACTTCGAATCTCTGAATGGAATATGCCCAACATTACTATTTGTTTTGGAAGTTGAAGCGGCACTCAATTTGGCAATCGCAGTACTTAAGGCCAATAACGATTTATTAATGTAAGCCCCTTCTTTTCGACGGGCAGTTTGGGTAGCCGCTCTTTCAGAACCAGCTAAATCGCAAAGACTCAATGTTGACACAGTCTCAGCCTTAGTTAGTATGTCAATACTACAAATTCTGATCAACACAATAGCATGTGATCTTGATGAACGGCTATTAAATTCTGTTTCCCCCGTCTTTCTGGACATATGACCCCGTTCTATTACTGAAAGTAATTCATCAACACTGTTGACAGGTTCCTCAGATAACCCAACAACTTTCACACCAGTCATTGGATCATCCCTGATCTTTAAATCATTTGTAGAAGGGTTGGAGGCGGAAGAAAAAGCTTGAGGGGTGCTTGAATTTTCTGGCTGAAGAAGATCCAATATTTTCTCATTGTATATTTCCAAATACGAGACTTTCACAGAATAATTTTTGATATGGCTGTTTTCATTGATGAAGTTGAATATCTCGGTTACCGCCAAAGGAATAATACCTGGATCAGAAGGACTGCCTTGCATGGAATGGGTTTTACCGGAACCGGTGATACCGTACGCAAACACCGTACCGTTGAACCCATCCAAAGTCTTATTAACAATATCGGCAACTGAGGTATTGTAAACGTCCTGATTGTTTACCTCGTTACCAAATACACTATCAAAAGTGAAATCACCAAGTTCAGGGGAATAGATTGTACTTTCATCACTGTCGATCATCCACGAAGTTTTCACCTGTTCACGAAGTGGCCTAGGTCTCACAGAAACCATGATGGTGCCGCTATAAATGTTCTCATTAAAAGTACTAGAACGCAGACTCAATCCACTCATGGAACTCACTGGTCTTGTGGATCTACTGCTCAAACTTGACGAAGGTCTGCTTGAATTTGGACTGGAAGCTCTGGAAGATATCATGCTACCACTGGTGTTTCTAAGCGAGGAAACTGGCGTTGATGGCCTTCTAATGCCACTAGACGTAGACCTAAGAGACATAGTGGATGCTGGACGTCTAAGGGACCCGCCAGTGCTAATTGCGGATGAACCATTTTGCCTTGACGGTGGACGATAAGATTGTCTCTTATTAGGCGACAACCTAGGAACCGTGAAATTCGACATTGTTATCTCCTTGATTATATGTTTCTCTGGTTATTTGTCTAATTGACACTATCCCAGAGGAAACTATTGACTGGTGATAGCAAGTAGTTGGTACGACAATAACAGTATGTTATTATCAGGGCAAATGTTTCCATTAGGGAAAGCCGTTGTTTGTTTACCTTTGGGTATTTTTATCACGTGATAATGATCACATGATCAAAGAGGCATCACCGCTTTTTTTTTTTTCCTTCTTCCTCTTGTTCATGTTATTGTTGGTGATGACGATGGTGTGTTTATTACAGGATATATATCATATATTGAATTAACCATGAAAGACTTAGTGGATAGGTTGATAGAGAGGAGAAAGATCTTGTTTGCACAGGAGTCTGAACACTATGATGAAAAATCTCTAGATGAATTGAACAGTTTCTCGGAGTTGTACAAATTTTCCAAGATCAATTCAACAATCACCAAAGGAACCTCTGTTTCTAGAAATTTGAATCAAATAATACAAGGAAATACCTCAGAAACAAACAATATATCTAATGAACTCTCATTAATAAAAGCAGAGAAGAAGACTTTGGGAATTTCCGCCAAAAGTTTGTCTGAAAAAATTATTGAGCGCCATAAGTCACAGCAGCGAGATGAGCCAGAATATCATCCTTCCTGGAAATTAATGAGAGTAATAGCAGGGCATACTGGCTGGGTAAGAAGTCTTTGTGTTGAGCCGGATAATGAGTGGTTTGCTTCAGGATCAGTGGATAGTACAATTAAAATCTGGGATCTTGCCTCTGCCAAATTGAAATTGACACTAACGGGTCATATTATGGCGGTCAGAGGGATTTCTATATCGGACAGACACCCATACATGTTTTCATGCTCCGAGGATAAAACTATTAAATGCTGGGATTTGGAAAGAAACGCCATTGTACGAGACTATTATGGCCATTTATCTGCAGTATATTCCATTGATCTTCATCCAACGCTAGATGTTCTCGTTACTGGGGGCAGAGACTCATCAGTTAGGTTATGGGATATGAGAACTAGAGTACCGATTCATGTTATGACTGGACACAATTCTAATGTCTTGAACGTCAAGGCTAGAGCAGTTGATCCTCAGATTATTAGCACTTCATCAGATGGGACAATCAGATTGTGGGATATCGTTGCTGGTAAAACGATGAAGGTTCTAACCAATCATTCAAAGAGTGTAAGAGCTCTATCATTAAACTCCTTTGAGAACTCATTTGTGACTGCTTCTCCAAATCAAATCAAAAAATGGGCTTTTCCAGAAGGCAATTATATTGAAGACTTCACACCGCCGCATAATTCCATTATCAACACTTTGAGCGTCAATCATGATGGTGTGTTATTTAGTGGAGCCGATAATGGATCAATGAACTTTTATGATTACAAAACTGGGGTGAAATTCCAGGAATCGGAGACTACAAAAATGCCAGGATCAATTGATAGTGAGGGCGGGATTTTTGTCAGTACTTTTGATAAAAGTGGAAGTAGATTGATAACTGGAGAAGCGGACAAAACTATCAAGATTTGGAAAGAAGACTCATGATATATTTTGAGAGTATGTGATGAGGCTCTCTTATTTTTTTTTTTTCGCTCTCTCTTCATTCTCGATTTTGTGTGATCAAAAAGTCTCACATATTGCTTTTGTGTAGCAGGAGCAGCAGCAGGATTTTTTTTTTTAAAAAAACCTAAGGTGAAATAAATAATGGAATCACAGTAACTATATAAAAAAAAAAACAAGACAAAACAAAAAACAAAGTGGAGGAAACGTTTACAAAAAAAAAAAAGGTTTGTGGGTTTTATTCATATGAATAGACTTATTGCTACAGACAAAACCGGTCTATAATATAAAATAACCTTGGATCTAGTATCAACAGTTTCGCTATTTTTTTTTTAAATAAACTAGCCTATATCACAAAATAAATACAAAACACGTCAAATAGAGTATGCTTACTCAAATAACGGTCTTGGAGGGAGAAAATCAATCAGCACCACAGAATTGTGGCACTCAAGAAAATAAAAAGAACTCAGCTTTGGGTACAATTGGAGCCAAAGCAAGGCCATCTAGTGGTCATTCCAGGAAAGCATCTCTTAATAATTTTTGGATTCCAAGAGAAACCAACGTGGTAAAAGTGACTAAGCCGGAGAAGTTGGGGATCAGAAAGTTAGCCAAGGCTTATACTAGGAGTTTAGTTAGTGGCTGGAGCACTGAAATCGCACCTCAAGGATCATTGCCTAAATGTAAATCTTTGGAGGATGCTGTTGTCAATGAGTTTCTATCTGGTAGAGAAGTCAAATCTTTGAGAATTGATGATAGTAAGATAGAAGCTTCAAAAGCATTCCCGAAGCTTCCCAATATCGATCAACGAATGTTAGCTGAAGAACAAAATAGTATCGGTTCTAGAAATATTAATCTTTCTAACCGCGATAAGAAACCATTAGAAGATAATAAAAACATTGTCAATATTTCTCAAACCCTTGAAACCTTGTTTCCTGGCAATTTTGCGAAAAAGGCTATTCAAGTGGACCCTGGAAGAGAAATGATTCTAACCGGATTTCCCAAAAATGTTAACGTGAATTCAATATTGGGTTTCATTGCAGGCGGGGTTATAGAAAGGATCGTTCCAGAGATTGTTAAAGAAGGGAAAGATATTGTTGTAAACAATCTTTACCTTTGTTTTACCAAGGCCAAAGATGCTGAGGATTTTTTCAATTTTTCAAAAACGGGACTTTTTGTTGTTTGTGGTGAAAATATAAAAGTTAGGTGGACTGGAAGTTGTAAATATAGATATTGCAATGAAATTCCTAAAATTAATGAATTGCTGTCCTCTTTCATTGAGTCTGAGGTTAATATTGGTGCTTGCCGTTGTTTGATTATTAAAAAACTAACCAACAGGTGCCAGAAATCAAAGCAAAGATCAGCATATTATAGAAACTACGGAATAAGCAGACCTTACTGTGATGATTTCGATATAAAAGAAGTGAGTGAATGCTCGACTGGCTTTTTGAGAAATGCAAAGTTTTTGAACTAACCTGACTTTATTTAGGTTGAGAAGGATTTTTCCCAGTATGGTGAAATTGTAGAAATTACCCCAGCAATTTCCAGAAAGCTTTGTGTATCTATTCATTATTATGATATTAGGTCAGCAATATTAGCCAAAAAGGAGAAAGAAACAACGGTAAGATCAACCAACTCTGAAATTTTCTGTGATCACTTTCGGGATATTAACGTACAATATAGACCTCTAAACTTCATGCCAAATATTCTGATTGGGCAATTTGGTATGGAAAGGATCCTGCAGATAAGCCTTGTATAGCTTTATAAATTAATACCGGTATATATAGCTTCTCTTCTTCTTTTATATTTTAACACTCTTTGGGAAATCTATGGATAGAAATAAATATTAATGTTCATACAAAGAAAATTACCGCATGGCTGGTGTAGGAAGTGTCAAAAAAAGCACCGAAATTTTCGTATTTTTTCAGAGAATAAATATCTGGGGAAGAAAGACCACGTTGATTTCATATTAATAATTTGATATAATAATAATAATAATAATAATAATATTAATATAATGTTTATTTGTGGGGCCAGAAAGGCATCATGCACAAAGAGGCTTACACTGTTTGCAAGGTTGAACTCAACTGTGTCACCAAAGCAACCGTCAGTATCTCATCAAGAATTGTACAACCAGGAGAAGTATAATGCAATCACTACATTACCAACAAAATTGTCACCAAGGAGGGTGATATTCCAGAAAGTTCTTGCTGATAATGGCAACAAAGAATCTCCTATTGTGTTTGCCAAACAATGGTTCACCTATGCCAAAGAAATTGTGTTGTTCTATAAGTTGGGATTGAAAAATATCTGGCATAATAGAAAGTTGAAGAACCAACTTTTACGAGAAAAGTTTCATATTGATTTGATAAATTATACAAGTAAGGAGAGTTCAGTAGTTGGAGAAGACGGTATTAGGACAAAGATTGTCAAAGGGCAGATCAACAATGGGAGAGATTTGACAAAATACTTGTTGAACGAGATCTACATTAGGCAGATTGAAATGAAGAAGAACGGAGCGGACCAGGGAAAATACCAGTTGACGAATATTAGCCGAAGCGAGTATCAGTTGATTTTAAGAACCGAGAAGGATTTCATGAAATTGCCGTTGTTTGGGTTGATCTTCTTGATCTTTGCGGAGACCACCCCGTTGGTGTGCTTGCTAGTGCCGAGTTTGATTCCGACAACGTGTATTCTACCATTCCTTATCAAGCGACAAGAAATCAAGAAGATTCATCTGATGGAAAAGGCAATTGGTGATGCGGGGAAGTCTTTGGGTTCGGAGGTCATTGGGGATTTCTTCAAGAAGGGGAATTTGTACGAATTATCAACAAAAGAACTCGGGTTCTTGCACAAGTTTTTTGGATTGAGTTTTTGGAAACGGATCACGAGAAGCTCCACTTTGAAATCGTTGATCGAGTACAGAAACGAAATCTTGGTGGACAATCATCTCATCATGGACAATAACCCTGAAGGGTTTGGTAAATTGAACCCGATCGAGTTGCTTTTCAGCGGTAATAAGAGAGGATTGATTAGTAGAGATATCATTCAGGATGTTAATGTCTTCAATGATGGTCATGATTATGGAGAGGGAATAGATAAGGATTTATTGGTTGCGAAAATGAACCAATTTGCAAAAGATACAAAGTTTCAAATATAATGATATGCGTTATATCTAGTCGTGAATGACAAAGGGCGATGTGGCATCGTATAATAATAATTGCATTGCTGGTACTAAACAATTTGACAATGATTGATACCTGTGAGAAATGAAAGGATTCAACGAAAAAATTTACTCTGATAGTTTAAAGACGGTATAAACAGGTTGAGTAGGATATATTGTGAAAAAATAAAAATAAAAAAAATAAATAAATAGATAGGAAAATCCAATAAATGGAAAGGAAATGAAAGAAAATGAATAAATATATGTATATAAACATAACGACTCTTTTAATCCAAATGTAAGTGTAAAATATTTGATGAACAAAAAAAAATAAAAAAAAATTGTGAAGAAGATTATTAAGTAATCTATCAAAGACTGAGAATTTATTATTTAGAATAAGAGAATTACTCAACACAGAATTGAAAATTTGAGAGTAAAAGAAATAATAATCAAAAGAAAAAAAAATTAGACAAGCGAGAGAAAACAACGATGATATCTTGATTTTTTTTTTATAAGGGAATATAATTTAATGAATAAAATAATAAAACACAACGACAAAAGAGAGAGAAAGGGAGAGAACCAATCAATGATTCGATTTCAGTAGAATTATAAAAGCCATAACACCAGCCAGAGAGAATTGAACCAAAAGCAAAAAAAAAAATAAAAAAAAAAGAAGAAGTAGAAGAAGGAAAAATATGTGCATAAAAGATAGACCGACAAAATAAAAAAGACGAATCAATCAATTTCTCAAGAAGTTTGAGTAATTATCAGGATTTAGGATCCCTAGAAAGCAGGCCAAAGCTCTTTTCTTTTCAGAGATTGTCGAAGTTATGTCATAATTGACCCCGTAATATTTCAAATAAGTTTCTAATTGGTTCGACCCCAAATTTTCAACGTCCAAAGCAGTATAAAGGAGTGGCAATTCTTGAAATGGATGAATACCTGGCTTCATACTATCTGTAAATGGGATGACATTAGCAGGCAACCCAAGATTGTTACGGTTGATGTTCTCAATAACAAGCAACTTATTTTCTAAATGGTCTAACCGTGTCATGAGAGGCTCGAGAAGTTTATTAAACACTTGAATTTGCGTGGTATTAATGGCACCTCCAGCGTTTTCTGGACTGACATTACTAGAAAAAACCCCAGCACTGCCACATGGAGCGGTTGGATCAAATGAGAATTGGGCTTCAAGGTTTGGAAATTGATTCAAAAGTGGGGTGGTCATGTTGGAAGTATCCGAGCTGTTCATAGTTTGCAGATGCAGTCTAGAAGTTTTTTTATGAATGGTTGGGGAAAGTCTTCTATCAAGGTCGTTTTTTTCCGGAGATTTCATGGTCAATGATAGTGATTGTAATTTAGGGGTTTCGATCTTCAACCTTTTGATGGAGTTTCTTTTTTGCTTGTCGCCTTTACTGCCGACGTTGGTCATCATGTGGTAGACTTCGTATAATAATGCTCGCAATTCTTGATTTTCTGATTCATCGGTGGATTCTGCGGTTCCCGAGCTAGATGGTGGCATATCGCTACTCCTTGACGGATTAGTGCTATCCCCAGGACTCGACTTTTCTTTATCGTCATCCTTCAAACTGTTTTTGAAATTCGTCAACATTTCGCGAACTTTTCTCGGCAAGTAGTCAACGGCAGCATAGAACCTATCTGGTTGATTGGCAGCTGTCCAAGTATTATAATTATCACTGACAAGTCTCCATTTGGCGGTGTCTTCGAATGGATTCACCGCCAACACCTCCTTCAATAACGCAATCTTATTCTCGGTTTTGAAAAAATGCTTGCTTGCACCTTTGCAAACCGGGACCCTTGATAAGCTCAACGGACTGGCATTCTGGGAATTTGCAGCGGTTCCTGACATATAGCTGTTGAAAGTAAGGGCGTTTAAATTTAGCTGAGCTGGGGCAGTTGCGTCCATTGGGTCGAAAAGAAACGGATTCTTGTTGATTAATGAGGGATGATGAAACTGGCCGCCCATCTGCTGTTTCTGAGGATGGGCCAGTGGATTTTGCTGTTGCTGGTGTTGCTGTTGTTGATGATGATGTTGCTGTTGTTGTTGTTGCTGCTGCTGTTGCTGCTGTTGCCGTGGATAATGCTGGAACAGAGAGTTATCTGGGGAGTACATGGGTTGAATCATCAAGATCAGAATTGTGTTCTTGCAAATTTTTGATGGCAAACAAAGTAAGTGACAAACAAGAGGCGTTTGTCAATGGTTGAAAGAGATCTTGAAATGGATGATGTTTTGATTGCCGTGTATATAAGGTGAAGCCAAGAGGAGGGATGTATCGAATCAATTGATCTGATCTATCTATGCCTTGTGCTAATTTTGAACTGGATGGAACGGAAAAACTGGAGATGAGCGAGTGAATATTGGCTAGGCAAGACTTGAAAGATCCAAATATTTCTAACTTTAGCAGTGGAAAATCATGAATACCTTGCTTGTACTAAGAGGAACGAATCAAATCCACCTCTAAATGGAACTGTGAATTTTTCAGATATGTATTTGTCCACTTCTCTTTAAGAAAAAAAAAAAAACAAACATAAAAAATAAAGAGTACAAGAAGAAAGAGCAGGGGAAAATGAGTCCTTCAAACAAACAAACAAAAAAAAAGCGACAACCAGATCTCTCGAAAGGCACCACCAAGCCTTATATAAGTTTGTGGGTTAAAGCAAACTGCAAGACGGCCGGCCTTCGAAGCAAAAAATATCCGGCAAAATGCTGTGACAATTGGGGCTAAAAGGTGCAGGCGGCGCACGACGGTTGCCGTCAAACTGGATATTTGTCGATCATGAGGCACCAAAAGTTTGTTAGCCTCTGTTTAGCTTTGGTTTTTTTTCTATTTTCTTTTTGTTTGCTTCCATGTATACTGTCATATTGTGCGAGACAATTCTTGAAGAATTGAAAAAAGGCTTGGTAACGTTATTGGCCTTTGTGAGTGTAATTAACATAACGATAGTGCCACGGTGTCTTTCAATTGGCCCCGTCGTAATCGAGAGGCCCGGATAGAGTTTGTTGGTGATAATAAAAATAAATAAATAAATAAATGAATATTGATACAACCGCGGGGGGATAATAGATATTACAAATATATCAAGGTAAAGATAATATACAATAACAACACAGTATGGTAACCACAATGAACATTCTCCAAAAGGGTTCGACACAATCTGCGGAAAACTCCATACATTTGCAAAAAACTATACTCTGATCAACACACACGTTGGTGAAAAATAAGCGCATCAAAAATATATTTAGATTAAAAAAAAAAAAAAAAAAAAGAAAAGACAAAGCTTTGGAATATACTTCAGCCCATTTTCCTCTTTGCACCCCGAAATTCAGCCCACGGGAATCCCAGCTTATGCAAGTCCAGTGGTCTCCATACGGCCAGCATGCATATTATTTCCTCGCACTAAGAATGTCTTTATTAATTTTTGCAATTCTCGGTAGGAAATAACGATCAGTCATGCGCCAACTTCTATTACGAATCCCTACCTTGATGGTTTCTTGTAACTTCTTGTCGTATTGGCATCGCCATTGCTCGATCTTTTCTTGAATTTATTACCACTTTCTTGATGCGAGCTCAACATATCTTTCGCACTAACAAAGCCGAGCCCAAATGACGCATTATTGCTTTTCCCCCCATGGTTGCTAGCAACAAGCTTAGAATTATTAATATTCTTTTTCGTTATCCTCTCTAGCATAGACTTCGCAGTTGTTATACCTTTTTGCATATCAAATGGTTCCCCACCACTGTGGAACCGACCATGGAGCATACTCGGACGAGTTCTTTCCTGTCCGTACCGCTTGATACCCGCTATTCCTGCCCCAGTCATATTTTTTGGTTTACCATTAGCAGCAATACCAAGGTTCGTATTTGGGTTCTTCCAATATTCGTCATATTCTTTGACAAATTGTAACAACTTATCATGCTGTTCTTCCGGGAAACTCATGTCTCGGATCTTATACATGTTCTTCAATGCATGAATCGTTGATAGTGCTTCTTGAGTCCCAGCGCCAACTTTCTTTAATAATTTCGTGGATAAAAATCTTGATGCAACAATATCTTCCTGTTGAAAGGCTCCAAATGATGATCTACCATTTTGTTCATAACTGGTGATCACCAATAACAATTTCGCCCGTGTAGCAGCAACATAAAATATTCTACGTTCTTCATCAATGGGATTATAGATTAAATCACGATTAAATTGAGACCGGATTGCATGCGAGCCCGGCATAATAGTTTCCACCACCGATGGAATATACACAACAGGCCATTCCAACCCTTTTGCCGAATGAATGGTGCTAATGAGTATTCGACCGTTAGAACTTTCATCCTCAGGCTCATCTTTGGATGTCGTCATAAACAAGTTGATTGATTCTAAAAATTTGCCCAAATAATTGTAATTATCGTTCAACGGCTCCGTGGTAATATCCAATTTAGGATATGATTTAGTTTCCTCCGACCCCAAGAAATCAGGAATTGTTTCATCTTGAGCAATATCAAACTCTTCAATTTCTTTTTTGACTTCCAAGATATTTAGCCACGCATCAGAATATTTTTCTTTTTCTTTTCCTGCTACTTTATTATCATCATCATCATTATCATTATCATTATCATCATCATCATCATCATCATCATCATCATCATCATCATCACTATTATTATTATTATCAACAAAGTCTTCTTTACTTTGAGCTTCCTTATATATCTTCTCTAACCCTGAACTTTCAATGAGAAAATCAAAAACTTTCAACAATGTGCTTTTCCCTCGTACAAATTTCGCTTTTCGCCTCCCCTCTTCAAAACTATCTTCCTTATCATCACTTTCCATAATATTTGACGACATGTTGATGAGATCGCAAAATTGTGCAAGATACTCTTTGCCCTTTTTCGGAAACCTATCAATTTTTATTTCATCATTAGCAATTTTTTGCAATACTTCTAAGCAAGAAAGTCCATCTTTTGCGCCATTAGATAAATGGGCCAGGATCTTCTCGAGAGAAACTTTTCCTGGGCTTCCCGGAAACCCTTGTAAGCTTCTGATTGCTGCCATAACATCGTTTTTAGAGTTGACTAATCTAAGTAAATCAATAATTGTCATGACTTCTTTCTTATCCCAGAAAGAAGTACCTTTATGAATTTTATAAGGGACTTTACCGGCGATCAATCGTTTTTCCAAATTTCTTGTTTGGAATGAATAACGAACTAGAATCACCACATCAGAATACTTGAACAAGCGATTAGGGATCGAGCAAACTCGAGAAATGTCTTCAACAATGAAGTCCAATTCCGCCTTTTGTGAATTGAAATGCTTATAAGCAGGTTTAAAATTCATTGAGAATTGTGAACGTAATTGCTTTGAAACGGTTCGTTGTTTATCCTGAGACATGATTTCCTCACTGATCTTCAAAATACCTTTGGTGGAACGATAATTTTCGTTCAAATAAATCGTGGTTACCTTTTCTTGATAATTGCTTTTCATAATATCAAAATTCCCTGATACTGCATCTCTGAACCCGTAAATACTTTGGTCAGGGTCACCAACCACTGAGAGGCTGTTATTACCAGTGTTTTTTGCCATCTTGTATAACAATTGTAACTGGATATTGTTTGTATCTTGAAATTCATCTACCAAGACATGTTTCAAGAAGTTCAAAATGCAGGGGTATTTGGTCAACAATTCGTTGGTATAGACGAGCAAATCATCGAAATCAACAAGCCCCTTTTCCGCCAATTGCATCTCATAATCTTTATATATTTTCTCAAACTCTCTGTCCGGTTTCTTAGTTGATTTGTGGTACTGATGAGCTCTAATTCCTTGTGATTTCATCGACGAGATCTTTGAGCTTATTATTTTGAGATTCCTCTTGTTGAAGCGATTGTCAAGGTCTTTAGATCCCTGGACAATTTCTTTCAAAATACCGGCACTATCTCTGGTATCAGCGATTTGAAATTTGTGCAAACCAATTAACGAGCCATGTCGCTTGAGAATTCTCACGCAAAGGCTGTGGAACGTCCCAATCATCAATTTTGAAATGTTGATTTCGTCTTGTAGATGAGCCGCCTCAATAATTGAAGTCAACCGTTCCACCATTTCTGCGGCTGCCTTCTTGGTGAAAGTGGTGACGAGAATGGTTTCGGGGCGTACCTTGTGCTTGATGAGTAAATAAGCAACCGTCGATGTTAAGACTTTGGTCTTGCCGGTGCCAGGACCAGCGATGATTTGCAAGGGACCATCAAGGGGGTCAGTCACTGCTTCCAACTGCTCATTGTTAAGATTACTGAGGATATGATTGATTGCATCATCGTATTTCTTCTCCATACCAGCCATTATTTGATTATGGAAATGGAGATGAGATGAGATGAGATGAGATGAGATGTTTACTTTTTTTGATTTTTTTCATACTAAGTTTCTACGCGTCGGCAGAATAGTGGAAGATGATTGAACAAACCCCGATGAAGTTCTTTATTCTAAAGGGCGCTGAAGACATTTGATAAAAACAGATTTTCAAAGAAGACGACATCCGGGATAATTGGTCATGCAAGAGAATGTTTAGGTTTTTACTTAGAGCCTATGAACCAGCTGAACCAAGAACTTTGGCACAAGACACATTTTATCTGTTGCATGTTACAACTGAAACAGATTTTAGCCGATTTGAAGCAGTGATTGATGATGTTATAAAAGTTCATCAATATGCAGAACAAGAAGTTCCCACTGAGGCTGCTATTCTTAATCAAATGGGTCATCTGAGCCTTATGAACCATCAAAGATTATTCAACATGCGCAAGTGCAGCAAAAGATGAAGAAAAGAAAGCAGTATTGTTTTTACTGTAAAAAGACAGGCCATTTTAAGGCCCAATGTTATACTCTTAAAAACATGTTGAAGAAAAACAAGAAGACCACTAAAAGGAAGAGAAATGATGATGATCAAGAAAAGAAAAAGAAAAAGAAATTTTTCATATGCGGTAACATAACTCATGGTAATATGGAATTTCCATCGCATTTCTTGTTAATTGATAATGGTGCACAAGCTTCTATTACCACCAATCCCCATTAAAGCGATTGGTTTGGGCACTATAACGGTGAAGATAAGTGAAGAACGTGTTGATATTCCAATGCATTTAATACCAGAGTCAGAAACCAACGGGAAGAAAACAATCATTAGCCTTGCAGATTTCACCGCAACAAAGCACTGATGTCGTAGCACATCTGGCTCAACATAATAATAACATAAAAGCCATTTCAAATATATATACTATACATTATATAGATAGTCATTTTATTATCGCAAGCCCCCACCTGCCCAATGCGTCCAAGTACATAGGAAAACATCAGGCGGCAGAAAAACTCGTGGACATTTCCAGAGTTATTTATGCAAGTGCAAAAGCTGAAAAAAAGTGATGTGCTCATAGTAATTAGTGCAGAACCTTGCTGTTTTTGGGGTGTTGGGCACACCCTCAGCTGTAGCACAATGTGATAAAGTTCTGTCCAGTGCATGAAAACTTGCACATCTCTTATACATTTGGTGACACAGACAGTAAAGTAGAGAGTCTTGGTCGATGTTTGAAGGGTCACAAACGACTTAATATGGTAATTAATTGATGGTAGATGGAGTGTGTCACTCTTGCGAGTAATTATTTGTTTGGATCACTCGTTATTTCTGTATCGTTTGATATATAATGCCTTCATACAATTTGTTAAATTCTGTACTGATTATAGCTAATTGAACTATTATGTTTTCACCAACTGATTTCACTAACACCCTAACATGAGAAGCAATTAGGCGTTAGTGTTATGATATAATATAATATACCCAAATGTGCTTTGTACGGCACCAAAATATTATTATCGCAAGCGTGGAATCATGATAAGCACTGTGCGCCACGTTTCCTTGATAAACCAAGATGAACCACAACAATATAGCCACTAACTGTGCTTTGTATATTATATATATATACTAAGGGTGACTTTATAATAGAAATCAATTTTTTTTTTACCGAAACAGAAGGGCCTTTATCACAGTTCAGCAGAAATGAGCTGAAGTTCCAAATGTCGTTCGTATTCATGTAAAGTCCCATTAAGCTCATTCAGGTCAATCAAAACACTTACAAAAAAGTCAAATTTTATCAATATAATATATAGTACATGAAATAAACACATCATAATCATTTGTATCACACACACCGCCAGCTAGTTGCGCAAAAATTGAAAAAAAAAAAAAAAAAAAAAGAAATAATGATAATTATGATAATTATTATGATACATATATGCTCACCAAATTAACTGAGTATCATTTTCATCATTATGGTGGGGCGTTGGTTCTCGGTTCGAGCGCTTTAAATATTCACCAAGGATACGATATGCATGCCTTTTCTCATTTGTTTTACCAAGCCAATCACTCAAGATTTCATACGAACGACCATCAGATTTCAGCAGAGTGCCATTACCATTGAAATATTTCTGGGCTAATTTTTGACTTTGCGCCTGAGTTTCTTGCAAATCTTTGCCTAATTTCTCATAAACAAAGTTAAGTTGGTCTTCACTAAAATCAGCGGTGGCTTCATCCAACCAGCAGTAATCCTCCTTATCCAAATTTCCAAGAGATCTTAAGGATTTGAGAATATCTAATTCACTGTTCTTCTCATAATTGTTAGCTCTTTTGTTAGAATTCTTGAAATTAGAAGCTAGAAAATCCTTATAGCTTTGAGGTTTTGGAGAAGTTTGACGATTCTTAGCCGGTTTAGATAATTCTTCAATGTAATTCACGTACTCATCATTTTCCAAATCTTCTAATTCTTTCCTCAATTCTTTCTTCTTGACGTAATTCAAAAGAATATTTTCCACCATTTTTATGTCGTCATCGACCTTAGGAAAACTTTTAGGTTTATCCTGGGGAATATCTTGCGGTTGGCTAAATTGTTGATATTGGTATTGCTGAGAAGGAAAATGAGAAACATTCTGCGGTTGATTGGTAGCAAATTGAGCTTGGGTGCTAGGTTGCACTTGTCGCGGCATTTGATCTATTTGAATCTTAGGTTGCTGTAAATCGACATTTGTCTGAACTGATGAATGTAGCTGAGAGTTAACTTGTGTTTGAAGAGGAATTTGATTTTGAGGAGGAGTTTGATTTTGTGGTTGATGATTTTGCGCCTCGTTTTCATTTTGTTTAGAGGAGTTCAAGATCGTGTTTTTTAATTGATCAATTTCGTTTTTAATTTGCTGTAGATATTTAACATCTTTTGTTGTGTCACCATTATCAACAGTTTTTATTGGCTCAGGTTTTTCAGCATAGTCATTCCTTTGAGAATTACTGTTATTTTTATCAATAATATCAACAATGTGATTCATGAAGCTTTTAATTTCTGTTTGGAATTTCTCCACAGTTGAACTGACATCGTCTTCTTTTTCAGCCATGTCAACGTTGACGGTCTTTGATGACTTGGAAGGTTTTAGTTTGCTCCCCGAAATCAATATTTCTGTATCTTCACTGAACCTTGGGCTCTGTTGAAGGTCGTGTTCCTTTTGTTTCTGTTGATATTGATCATTTATGATTGCCAATTCTCTAATCTTCTCCTTTAATTCTTGAATAACGTGGGATTGATTAATGTTCATATTTTTATATTTTCTAACTTTCATCATGAGAGCTTCGGATTTCAAATGCTCATCTTTGAGGTCCTCTTTGTCTGCCGATAGTTGGGCATTTTTTCTTTCCAACGCGTCGATTCTTCTTTTCAATTGCTTATTCTCCGCTTTCAACGACGCCAACTGTTCGGCAGAAATATTGGTGGCAGTACTCAAGAGTTTGTTCACAGGGTTGTCAGGAAGCGATGCCAATGACTTGTGAGGCCTGCTATTATAGTTCAAGATATTGGAAGTGTCGGTAATATCCATAGTTGAATCGGTATGATGGAGGGTATTTCTGGCGTGGTTGATATTATGCGACAATCGATTAGCGAAATCGCTGACAAACTTGCTTTTGTGCGACACCGAATTGTTGGAGGGGGCAAGTCTTGGGTACTCTATTGAGTTGCTTAACGTGTCCAATGTGAAGGTCGAGACACTTTTGGTAGGGGTTGGCGTTGGGCTGGGTAAAACTGAGTCCATGATGATACGAAATTAAGTGAACGAAAACAATACCGGTAGTTATATGATTAGCATCAAAAGAGGAAAAGCGGTCCCAGTTAAACGCGAAAAGAAGATGTGAAAAATAGCACGGTACCTAATTTTTTTTTTTTTTTTTTTAAGGGAGGAGGTGGGAGGGATTTCTATTTTTTCTATGGTTTTCAGTATACCAACAATCGATGAGTTTTTATGATAGGTTACAAAGCGGTGTAAACAAATAAAAAAAAAAAAAAAATCAAAACAAACGCAGTGGTGCTCGTAACCAAACTGTCCTTCAGGGAACAATTGTTCCATCGATTGCCAGGAAGATGGAGTTGTTACTGCTTTTACTTATTTCTACGTAGATTAGAATATACTCAACAAAAAATCTTGTGTATTTCAATGGTTGTATAAAACGTTCACACTAGGAATCTTTTGCAATTGTTAGTAAATAACTTCTTGGAAATGTCCATCGCACCACGAATAAAATAGAATTGGGTTTGCATATTATAAAATCAGTGTAACTATGACATAAAAATACCGTCATTGCAAAAAGAACCAGCCAAAACGACTGGCCCTTAGGTTTTTCTGCTCAATTGGTAGAAAAAAAAAGTTATCATCACAAAATAATAGACAAACCTCATCTCCATCATCCATCCAATAGCAACATATAACCCCTGTTGGGAGTCTATCACATAAAGAAATGTATAAACATACCGTTAATATAATCAGCCATCGATATAATACCAGATATCATTGAGATAATTGTTTACTCTTTTACAAAAAGAAAGAAAGAGAGAATTTAAAAAGAATTTTTTTTTTTCCAATTCCATAATTTTTAAAGGAAAATTTTTTTTTTTTTTTTTTTTTTTCTTCGCGTTTTGGGTGTACGGATTTTCTCTCTTGTGTTGTAATGCTTCACATCCATACACCTGGAAGCAACATCTCAACGTAGATTCTTCAGCAATTCCTCAGCAGCTATTTTACCAAATACCACACACTCTAGCAATGAAGATCCACCTAAACGGTTTTTCCCATGTACTCCGGAAGTGACTTCTCCAGCAGCATACAATCCTTCAAAAGCATTGCCGGATTCACTCATCACCCTCGCATGGTCGTCAATTTTGACACCACCCATCGTGAAATGAATTACTGGGGTGATTAGCCCGTAATAGATCTCTGAATCAGCCCCTTTACTTAAATCAAATGGCTCTTTGGAGAATACAGTTCGACCAAGTGGGTCCTGTTCTTCACCATTTATGTACTTGTTCACGGTGGTCAATTCATCAAGTAATCTTTGATGCGGTATATTGAAAACTTTCGACGCCACTTCATCCACCAGAGTCTTTTGAATTAATCCAACTTTCATGTAGAAGTCAAAATTCATCCTCATTTCTTGATACCCGCTTTCGTTCATAATAATCACAATCTGTTGCTTATCGGTAGGATGTTTTTCGTAAATATCAAAAATCGCGCTCGACACTTTATCTCTAGTTCGCAATTCATTGATAAATCTCTTACCGCGTGAATCAAACAACAACCCTCCAGTACCGCGCAAGGCTTCTCCCGCCAAAATCTTCCATTTAGAATCTGGGTCCTTTGGATTTATGAACCCAGTTGGATGGATCTGGATCTCCTGCATCCCCATAAGCTCACCCCCAATAGCCTGTACCAATTTGTGTCCGTCTCCTGTACTTTGCTGACCATTAGTAGACGGCAATTGTAAACAATCGGGTCTATATTTTGCAAGAAGTGATGATTCTCCCAGGAAATCAGCAGCAAAGCCACCGGTCGCTAAAATAACCGGACCAGTAACCTTTGTAATTTCACCATTATCACCAACCTTATACTTCAAACCGACTATCTCATCAATACCTGTTGACTTTTTTTGTTTTACCAATTCAACCACTCGAGCATCAGTGACAATCTCTAATCGTGGAGATTTTTCCTTGCCGATGAATTTCTGTAAGCTTTTTTGAAGCGTTGAGATGATCTCAAATCCTGGTGGTAAATTTTCGCCTCGATGGGTTCTTGCCACTGAGTGACCTCCTAGCTGACTTACCTTGTTTAACTTCAATTCCAATTCATCAGTAAGCCATCCAATGGCATCTTTAGAATTATTAGTGAGAGTTTCGATCAATTTTTCGTTATAGAAGTTGGAAAGTTCAGTACTGCGCGATTTCTCAAAAACAGAAAGGAGATCTTTTCGAGGACCAACCAAAACCCCTTGACTGGCACTTTTAATGGTGTCCTTCATGAACAATTCCACTGAATCTTTCTTTGACTGGTGTGTTTTCTCTAGATTCTTCAACACCGCAATCTGTTGGGGAGTGTTGACCCCATTGATCCCTGAGCTGGCCTTTATGGAGTTACCCCCAAGCTTTGGAGTTTTTTCAAATAACATCACTGATAAATTGTATTTATTCAATAATTCATGAGCGGCGGTGAGTCCCGCAAGGCCAGAACCCACAACAAGAGCAGGCTTAGCAGAGGCGATTGTCACTGGAGTAGCCATTCTGGAGTATAAAAGAGAAGTAATTTGCAATAGGATAAGGATAATGCACCCGCGTATAATATTTTTCTTTAAGGAGAACCTGGAAACCTGTTGATATTTCTCTGTGTAAGAACTTGACATATGACAGTAAAGAAAAAAGATGACAATAGAATGTCAATTGAAAGAGAGATTAAATAGCTTTTGGGAAAAAAAAAGCTAAAAAAAAGCACAAGTGATTATATATATTTATTTATTTCACACCCTTCGTATACCTTGTGGCTTTGAATACACCCTGTTCGTCATCAGCTAAAGTTCTATTCATTTAGGCAAAGATGATCAGCCAACTTTTTCCCGTCATATTGCTGCATTCCATGGACCCGTACATTTGGAACATTCCAATCCATCATCAGATGCTCAGTAAATTGCTTTGACAAAGTATGCGATAATATTGAATTTCACAAAACCAAATGCTAAGGAGAGGAAAATGAGTATACATGTGGTATTTGTGATCCATATTCGTGGCCAATGGATATGTTCGCAAAATGGTAACCGCATCTTTTTGGCTGGCATTTGATGGATAATCCCCATCCTGCAACAACATAATAGACCACAATTGATATAATCTGCAAGCTCATTCCGATGGACTCCAATTGAAGCAAGAGTCCTTTTACTCTATAGAACTTTGAAGACAAATAACGTCAATTGAATTGTTTGTTTGGAAATACAACTGTACCGCAGCGGTGGGTGGTGGTGTTTATGACTGATCAAAAGTATACCGTCATGGTGGTATTTATTGATTAATAATCTTGCAAACCCAATCTGTTGGTTGATTTACTCATCATATCTTTGATCTGCCATACGTGAGTCACCTTCTTGCTGTATAATAGAAGTTGAATTTCTCTTTTGAATCGATATTTTACTGGGGGCTAAAACTCGTTCAATTATTAATTCTGATAAACAATTCCAACAAGCAATAACTAAATTGGAAAAAAAAAAAAGAAAAATAATCACTGGACATTGACGAATATAAAATGAGTCGCAAATATCAATTTAAGCAGGTCGATGTGTTCACCAAGTCACCATTTTCAGGTAATCCTTTGGCAGTCGTCTTTGATGCTGATGACTTAGAGGTGTCAGAAATGCAAAAGATTACTGCATGGACAAATCTTTCAGAAGCAGTTTTCTTCCTCAAGAAGAGTGATCCTAAAGCCGACTACAAAATAAAGATTTTCAGTCCTACATATGAATTACCATTTGCTGGTCACCCAACCTTAGGAGCAGCATACCTGGCTATAGAAAGCGGGATCGTTGATTTGGATGATATTATCGAAAATAAAAACGGAACCATGATCCAGGAATGTAAAATTGGATTGGTTGAATTGAAAGTGACAAGACATTCAAAGATCGTCGATGAACTTAAAGGATTGGATATTTCCATTGCCTTCAAATCACCTACCCCAGAATTTATTGAAGTTAGTCCGGCTAGCCAATTGGGTTTCTTGAAAGGTTTCAATCTCAGCGAGTCCCAAGGTCTCAAGTTCTTGACCGTGAAAATCGGGATTACCTGGTGTATCGCACAATTTCCAAATCCCGAGTTATTGTTAAGCATTGAGCCAAATATGGATCAGATAAAGAAAATGTCTATAGAAGAGAATGTTGACGGTATTACGTGTTTTGCCTTCTATCCAGATTCAAAGTCTTACGAGGTCAGAACCTTTGCACCAGCTGCAGACACTCCTGAAGATCCAGTATGTGGAAGTGGTAATGCCGCAGTATCATGTTTTATGAGTCACGTATTGGGGTTGACAGGTGAATTTTCCGGCAGACAAGGGAAGATTTTAGGTAGAGATGGACAAATTGGGTTAACCGTCACTGAGAATTCAAGCAATAATTATGTTGCTGGCAAGGCGATCACTGTGGTCAACGGAACAATTGTTGCATGATTCTATATGAGGTATATTTAAAACAAAAAAAATTCATGCCTTTATTTTTTCTTCTCTATTTATTACCAGATCAAATTTATCACCAGAATACTATTCAATTGTAAAACTTAAACTCTAGAACACTTTAACAGCTTTTTATACTATATTGCCATAGAGATTGTCAACAGGGAAGACCGAAAATCTCTAAGGAAGTTTATGAAGAAATGAGACAGTTTAAGAGAGGCTAATATTTCTCATGGGGCTTTTGCTTCTAGGAATATGATTTTTAATAATGAAAGAAAGACTCTAGTGAACTGATTGTGAACATTTGAGCGTACTTGAGAGCACGCAGCAGAACTTATCCATCATTTGGATTACGAAAGTTGTCTTCAATATTTGCTTAATTTACCTTCAGTATTCTGCAGCTCATCTTCAACACAAACAAATTCATCTTCAGTATTCCATAAAAATTTCAATCGGAAATATTTCGCCACTACTGTCAAAATTAGAAGAATTGGGACTTCTAAAAACGGACCAAACGTAGCAGCAATCGATTGCTTTGATCCATATCCATAAATTGAAATGACAATAGATAAACTTAATTCAAAATTATTGGATGCAGCAGTAAAAGTTTGGGTTATTACCTCTTCGTATTTTGCTCCACACCAGGTTTTCCATCGTTCATTAGCCCCCGGCTCTGTCTTCAAAGCCTTTTCACATCCACATCTCAATAAAGGTGTTGATTCTCCAGTCGGTTGCACTGTCTTCCGATTGATTACATTGAAAATATATCTCATAAAGAAAAATGTTCCAAACCAGGTAATAATGAAGTATACCGTTAAAGGAATGAAACATTTGAAAGCCTGGCCAATGTTCTTAATAAAATCATCGCCTTTGGTAATAAATATCACGATAATGGTATATACCAAACCAATCAAAGACCAAGGAGAAAGAAAAGGAAGAATCTTCTTGTTATACAATGGTTTACCAACGGTGATTAACGACAACATTCGAATGACTAAACCAAGTGCTAATGGGATCCCCAAAAACACTCCCATGCTTTTAGCCACTAATTGATAACTAACCATCGATCCACTTTCAGGAGTGTTAGAAATGACATAACATAAGAATATCTGATACGGAGCCTATAAAAAAATTTGTAAAATACTGTTCATCACCACAATAATACTTCAAAGGGTATTGTCACCTCCCGATAACTCATTCCAAACTAATACCATGGCAATACACCTAGCGATCCCAATCATGATGATCCCAATTCGGTACTCTTCATCATTCAACAAAGCCATCCATCCTAATGCCACCATGAGAAGCGGGCAGATGATCCAGTTCAAAACAAGGGAGATTAATAATTGGACGTATACTCTTCTTTGTTTCAAGATGTTATGGATATTTTCCCATTCAACTTTACATAATGGCGGCAGCATCATCACTATCAACCCCACGGCCAAAGGGGCACCAACACCAGCAAACTGAGAATGGCAATCAAAGGCAGTTCTTGCAGAGGGAGCATAGACGGATATGAGAGCTCCCACAATTATAGACAAGATGATTATCAAAGGTAGTAATCTATCGGCCCATGATAGCTCTTTAATTAATCGATGGAAAATCTTGTTGTTTTTAGAGTCTATCATCTTCAAGACTTGAACTACTGGGAGGTAATTCAATAGGAATCTGATGAAATGATCCCCGAGTTCATATTCTTAGTGTGTGGATATCCTTCAAAGATTGAATCGATAAACAGACAATTCTCCGCAGAGATAATGAAATTTCTCCATGTTGATCCCCACACGTGCTGTGGGGGGGGGGAGATGAACAGCCCAAAAGCTTTTCTATTTTCTATTTTTTTCTTTTTTTCGATCACTTTTTCGTTAATTGTTATTGCATATATATTTTTTTTCATCAGCTTCCTCCTCAGTTTAATTGTTGGGATGTTATTAAACGTTATTAATTATATATTTTAAAATCCGACATGTTCCGACTGCAAGGCCGTACATATACTTACCCAAGAATTATAATCAGTGCGAGATTTCATCCTTTTTTTTTTCCATTTTGTAATGGATCTGCTTCTTCCTTTTATTCAATTTCTTAGAAAAAACATAGGTCTTATCTACGTGATTGTATTCATTACACTGGTTGTATGTTATTATCATGCCCAATTTCCTGAGGATTGGCATGGACTCTATTTTGACTCCCACAAACATTAACTGTTTTCGATATTAATAAAACGAAGAATTGCTGGTTATGCTGACTTCCATAAAGTTTCGAAAGTTCGATGTATTAACTTACTGGTGATTCTGAAAACTGCAAATAACGCAAATCTGTTCCTATGTAATATCCGATAAACGATCTCTTATATATGTTGGCAACCCTCTTTTTTTTTTTTTTTTCCCCTATTTTTGATGAGGTCAGATAAAATAGAGTGGAGACGGATTTCTCTTGATCTACTGATACCTGGGTTTCAAATCAGCATTAGCTAAAAACAATTGACAGGAAAGTCGAAAACGAATTGTTCCTGGAAGATATAGTCCAGGATATTATGAACCGTTGCTAAAAGAGGGCGCACACGAACCTCTTGATCGTTGAGACTAATAACAGATTCCTTAGCATTTTAATTCATATAATTGCAAAGCAAATCTTTGAGCATATTCTGTCCATTGTGGTCCTTAAAAACTGGAAATAAAATCTTCTTGGGAACATCAACTTCAAACTCTAAATTTTCTTTTGTTTGATAAATTGTACCTAAGTAAATCCATCCTTTTAAAAGACAATCAGCGTAGGATATCCTAATCTGGCCAAAAATACAATCAAAGTTACCAATGATGGATAATAATGCACATAGGTATTTATTTTGGTGAAGAAAAATTCATTGATACCATCAGCTCATATTCCTCATTCAAGATCTGGGACATATAATCCATTGTGGAAAATAATTGTTTTGCTGCGGCGAAATAACATGTTGATATCATATTTTTGGTACAATCAAAGACTTCATTATCGTTCAGTCTCATATGACGGATGATCAGCAGAATATGGGCGCTTGCTGCTTTGTAAGGAAGGTCATATCTAATCATAAACGATCCAGACTCCTTAGGAATTTGAGACACAAGTTTAATGAAATTATCTGGGAAATGGTATGAAACTGGACTAGCGAAATAGATCCGCCTAGAAGAATTGTTTTTCAGTTTCCCTCTAGAACCAGTAGGTTTATTCTTGTTTGTTTCTTTGGGTTTTAGATTTTCCATTATTACCTAAATCTTTATATATGATGTTTCTTTAGTTTTTTCAATAATGATATTGATTAATGATATTGAGTAATAAGCAAGAGAAGATGTTTAACAGAATACCAGTAAAGTAAAAGAGAAGATGTTTAACAGAATACCAGTAAAGTAAAAACATTTATGAGAAAATTTTTAGGGAAAAAATTGGATCATTTAATTATCTTGTTCCAAATTCCATTTTTGCTTGCTCCCACAAAAAGTTTGCTGACCTCATCTCCAATAAAATTTTGAATATTCCTTTTTGAACTATTGTCTATTACCAAGAAAAAAAGAAAAAAACATGAAGAGAATCTATCCTGATGATATATATAATGATAAAGAGTAAATACATAATACTATAACTCGTAGTTTTGATAGAATAGTAAAGTAGAATTGCCATCTACAATACATATATGCCCAGCCAAATGGTAAAATATATAAACCTCAGTACTTTCATTACCTTGCTATTATCACTGCAGAACCCAGTTATTCAACAACTCATCGTCTTCAATTCACTGAACTACAAATAAAACAAGATAATAAAGAACCATTTATTAAGTCATGGACATCTGAGTGATGGCTGATCACTATCTGCCCAAAGCCTGGTTTTGAAAAGTTGAAATAAAAAAGAAAATATAATGTTAATTAATCTAGGGAAAGAGTTCTAAAGAAACAAAATGGTTTGGGGTATAAAAATACAACAGCTGGGTTGACCTTCAAATAGTTATTAAGTGATTCAATCTTTTTCTTAAGATGATGTAATTGAGATTGATGATATTTTTGATGGTTTAGTATAATGAAATATTTCTTAATGACTGACTTCACAAACTATGAATTGAAGGCATATTTCGATCTGGCTCTAATTTTTCTACCATACTTCATAAAGAGGAATGGCACTGGGGTCATACAGAAGGCAAATAACCCAAGCAATAATCCTGCCCAGTTGGTACCCATACCTGTGAACATGTAGGTACCAAATAATGGGAAAACCGCCCCAAAAATACTTCTAATGAAGGAATTGGCAGCCATTGCAGATGCCGCATAAATCAAATAACAATCGATGATGAAATTTATCGAAGGTAAGAAAATCGACATGATACCAAACCCAATAAAGATTCCGGAACATGCTGGAGCAGGCCAAGGCACTTTGTCGTAATAATTACCGGTCCAACAAAGCCACAATAATCCAATTGGGAAAATGACACCTCCTGGGGCAAGAGCAGGAAGACGAGCTTCTGGTACAGGTTTACCACCAGCAAGATCAACTTGACGTTTGTATTCTTTTTCACAATAAATGACCCATAAGCAACCCAACATTTGACCTACACACATCCCAATGTATGGCAAATAGACGATCCCACCTTTCCAGCCATAGCCGTATTCAAAAACTAATGGGAAAGCTGTCAAACAAAGATAAAGGATACCATAGACAAATGAAACGTAAATGGTGATGAGAAAAAGAATTGGCTCGGTGAAAAGTAATACTAATGGACGAGAGATATTTTTTTCAGCAATTTCACGGAATGAAAGACTGAACTCTTCGTGGGCGGCACGAATACCCCAATTACCGGTACGACGACGGAGATCTTCTGCTTTACGGACCAAAATGATTGGATGGTGAGATTCTTCGTAGACTAAGACAATAAGCACAAGAGAAACCGCACCAAGGATACCAGTAATGTATTCTGTCCAACGCCAGCCAAGGTAAGAGGAACTAATGAATCCTCCAACAATTGGGGCTAATTGAGGTCCAAGGACCACACCAAGGGAAAAGAAGGAAATGGCATACCCACGAGTACGGTTGTCGAACATGTCACTGAAGGCAGCACCAACGACCACAAGCGGAGCAGAACCAATACAACTACCAAAGAAACGACTCAACATGATAGTTTGAATATCTTTTGCTGTGGCCACTGCAAATTGGAAACAAGTGAATACAAACACAGAAATGATCAACACGATTTTACGACCGTATAATTCGGACAATGGGGCCCAAACAATTGGTCCAGTAGCAAAGCCAAGAACGTAAAGAGATACCCCAAGAGTTCCCACTTCGGTAGAAACATGGAATTCTTTAGAGACTTCGGGGATACCGGTTGAGAAAACCGATGATCCAAAGGCGATAATCATGACACAAATCGTCAAACAAAAGAAAATTCCCAACTTCTTTTTGAATGGCCAGTTGAAAGGATGCATCAGGTCATTATCGGCTTCAAAACTCACAACGTATTGCTCTTTATCTGGCAAAGCAGGAGGATATGGCCGACCTCCACCCATTGGAGGCAAAGGAGCGGTTGATTTACGAGCAATTTCCGCAAGTGATTGGGTGTTGGTAAGAGATCGAGAAACGCGTTCCATTTCCTGAGCTTCACTGGCTTGATTCGGGCCCATATCAGCGACAGAATGTGTATAGTTTCTTACCAAATCCTGATCTGATTCATCATGATCCAGTTCTATACTGCTTCTAGAGAGGATTTCGTCGACATCATTATTGTCACTGCTATTATCGGATGGTTTTTCATTACAAGTAACTTCGTTAGAAGGATTAGTAACGGTACGGCTAACCGAGTTTATTGGTTCGGAAACGGAAACTGGTGGTGGTGGTTGCTCAGGCTCTGGGGATGACATTGCTGGTTAATAGTTCTTTGGTACTTTGTCTACCGTAAACTTCCACTGACAGGATAGATACTTTATCGATTATATATATATATATATATTACACTATTTAACGATCTATACGAAAAGGGGAGGAGAAAAAAAAAATTCCATTTCCGTGCAGCACTAGTAAATTTTTCAAGGGTGTGCGACCCTGATGCTGCAAAGCAATCTCCGCGTAACTCCGGATGGGACAATTACTGCCAGGACACTCTCCGTATATTAGTCAAATAATCTATATAATGTGGTGCGTCCTGGATATTTAAAAATTAATATACAATTCATTCATTAAGAATTAAGAATCAGACAAGTGTTTTCTCTCACATTGAAATGATGTTACCAATAATTTCAAAGTTTATTTTTTTACGTGCATCAAAAAAATCAATAAATCTTTATTTGAACTCATCTTGTTCAAACGATAGAAAGAATTGCCCAAGGGTTATAACAAGAGAACAGAATCATATCACTAAAGCAACCGATAGGCAGTCAAAATTTTTGGTATCCAATTATAAAACAAAAAAAAAAAAGAAATAAGGAAGAATCTAATAAGATAATGCAAGAAGTGTTGCTGATGTAAATAGCTCTCAGAGAATCAATTTTTTGATATAAACCAGTAAAACAGGGAAACCCAGCCAACAAAATATCACATACCAGAAATCTGAATAAGGTTAAAGCAAAAATTCAATTGACAATAGACAGTTCAGCCGATGGTGCAATATACAGGAAAACTCTGGAATAATTAATTTGCGTGCAGAAGCTTAGTTAACAAAACAAACAATAATAATAATAAAAAAGTGAATCAAAATAATAACGATAGAACAATAATTAAAAAAATAAATAAAATAAAAAAGAAAAGTAGCTCACCCTATTGATGGCCAAGCATTTCCAAACTTCAATATTCTTCGGCTTCGTCAACACTATCAGCACCAAGTTCAATATATTCATTAACAAGGGAAGAAACAGATTCGGCACTTTCACTAAGTTCACCTTCTTCCATACCTTCACCAACATACCAATGAACAAACGCTCTTTTAGCAAACATTAATTCAAACTTGTTACTCAAACGCAACCAGGCTTCGGCAATAGAAGTGGTGTTAGACAACATACTAATGGCACGAGTAGTTTGAGCCAAGTCTCCACCAGGAACAAATTGTGGTGGTTGACTACAGACACCAATCTTGAAACCAGTTGGACACCAGTCAACCATTTGAATATCACGCTTTTGTTTGATGGCGGTAACAGCGTTGGTAACTTCTCTAGTGACAACATCACCACGGTACAACAAACAGTTGGCCATGTACTTCCCGTTCTTAGGGTTACATTTGACCATTTGGTAGGATGGTTCGAAACAAGCGTTGGTAATTTCCATGACAGTGTTGGATTCATGACGAGACTTGGCGCTGGAGTTGATTGGGGCATAAGAAACCAATGGGAAATGGATTCTTGGGTAAGGAACCAAATTAGTTTGGAATTCGTTCAAATCAACGTTCAAAGAACCACCGAAACGCAAGGAAGCAGTGACTGATGATACAACTTGGGCGATCAAACGGTTCAAGTTATCATGGCTTGGTCTGGCAATGTCCAAGTTACGACGGCACATGTCATAAATGGCTTCATTGTCAACCATAAAAGTACAGTCAGCGTGTTCTAAAGTGGCATGGGTAGTCAAAACAGCATTGTAAGGTTCAACAACAGAGGTAGACACTTGAGGAGCTGGATAAACCCCGAATTCCAACTTAGTCTTCTTACCAAATTCCGCCGACAATTCTTCGAGTAACAAAGATCCAAAACCTGAACCGGTACCACCACCAAAAGAATGGGAGAACAAGAAACCTTGTAAACCATCACATTGATCCGCAACTTTACGGAGTCTTTCCATAGTTTGTTCAAGCATTTCTCTACCAACGGTATTGTGACCTCTGGCAAAATTGTTAGCAGCGTCTTCTTTACCGGCAATCAATTGTTCAGGATGGAACAAGTCACGGTACTTCCCGGTTTTAATTTCGTCAATCACATTAGGCTCCAAATCGACGTAGACAGTACGTGGGACGAATTTACCTGATCCAGTTTCCTGGAAGAAGGTTTGAAACCCATCACCACTTGGGGTGGAACTGCCATTACTAAGGTACCCGTCTGGGTTGATTCCATGCTCAAGACAATACAATTCCCAGCACAGATTACCAATTTGGCACCCAGCTTGACCGATGTTGACACTAATGACTTCTCTCATTGTTGAATTGTAAGATATTCTTTGTGGAGTGTTTACAGATAACCGTCATCAGGTTATTTGTTTATATTTTTTTTCTCTGGTTTTTTTTCCTGTTTTTTCAGGTGTTAGGAGATCTGCCCAGGTGCACGGGTGTATGCTAATAATGTTTGGGTGTCATATATCGTAGTATACCACCAGTGTGGGTGATCATGGTGAAGGAAAATCACCATCAAAATCATCATGATCAACAATAACATCAACATAGAATACAGGCGTTACAGTTGGAACAAAAATAACCTAGCAATCATTATGCCTATCAGTAGAAGGGAAGAGATAGAGGCAAAGAGACAGAAACTTCAGGCCCTTCGGAAACAGCGTCAGGATCGGGAATCTCGTGATAAGCTTCAACAACAACAACAACAACAGTTTACCTCACCAACTAGAAGTGTATCAGGTGTGGGCGCCCCTACAAACAAGGACAATGTGAATAAGCTTGTCGATGAATTATTGGTAACACACTCCCCGAAACGTCTTTCTCAATTGTCAACAGATAGAAATGGCTTTGATACCCCCAGTGTTGAGCTGTCATTCACGAGTGATGAGCCAGAACTAAAGGGGAAAAAAGTTGAGTACGTTGACATCGGAATTCAAACAGAGCCAATTATGAAGAGCTGGAGAAACAATATGGGAGGCAATCTAAGGCACGTTGAAACAATCACATACGATAAAGCAGTGCAGACGCTAGATTTTCAAATCCGTAAAGAACAAGACCTTGAGATCAAACGCCGAGAATGGGAACAGAGAGTGAGAAATGAATTGGAAGCAGAACATCTTGCTAGAGAAGAGCAGGTGAGCAAAAACCTCAAAGAGTTACAAGAGAAATACGAAAATAGTCAGTCATTTAAGAACGAAAAGATAAGGCAAGCAATAACAGAATTAGAAGATGAAGATGAACAACAAGAAAGTGATATGTTTAGTTTGAGAAAATTTACAGATCAAATAGACGCACAGGAAAAGCTCAAAGATGATGCCATGAAAGAGACAAAATTAAAATCGTTTTTCAGCCAATCATTCAAATTGATTAATCAAGTGCTAGCGGAAGACAATTATGCTGAAATTGATGATAACACCAATACTGATAACACTGAGAATTCAGAAAAATCTGTAACTGTGAATAAATCATTAACAACTTTCAAGTCTGAAGATTCGAAGGTTGCAATCAAGCAACATAGAATTCTTTATAATGGAAGTTTTTGCGCTGGGCGCTCTGTTAATTCTATTGACTGGGCCTCTGCTGATGAGCAATTTATTGTGGTTGCTTATTCTCCAAAGAAAGAAATATTTACAGCAGCAGTAAGATCGGTTAATGAAAATACAAATGATATCCTTGATTTTGGCCTAGACGATGATAAGTCACTTATTGCCATTTGGGACTTGAACCAACACACCAACATTCCAACACACTTTTTTACTGCTTCAACAGAGATTCTCTCAGTAATATTCAATAAAAAAAACCCACATATTATTTATGGTGGTGGATATAATGGGAAGCTTTACATGTGGGATACCAGACATAATACCAAAGACCCTGTGGCCACTAGCTCTTTAAACAGTGGTAGAGGATTCCGCCATCTATACCCAGTGTACTCTCTTCAACACAGATTCAAAACCATTGCTGGTGATAATGAATCAGGCATGTTGGTTTCTGCCAGCACCGATGGCACGGTATGTTCATGGTCGCCATTTTCTTTGCAAACACCATTAACTGTGCCAGTGCATTTGAAATCCCCGCCAGGGTTGTTAGCAAAATATGACGAGCTAGCTCCTTTAGCGGTGGATATTGTAAATAATGACCCTAAGAACGGACTTTTAGTGGCGTGTGAAGATGGTAGAATTTATAGAGTGGAAAACTGGAACACTCTTATTGCCTCCGGCCCTCTGGCCCAAAATTCCGCGGTTGTCGACTCTAAGAATATTTACGAAGGACATATAAAATCACCAGTCACCAGTATTGATTGTCATCCAAGCAGTGAATCAAAGCTAGGAAACTTATTTTTAACTTGCGGATTCGATTGGAATATCAAACTATGGAAATATAGTACCGCTGGGTCATTAGATACCACCCTCACCAACAGAAAAATTAGAAAATCTACAAATTCTTGGCTAGGCAGCGACAATAGTGATATGTTTAGTGATATCACCGGTAGAGAGTTCGATACCTCAAGCCTTGTGGAGACTATCCCACCTTTACTTGAGCTCAATAGAGATGACTCGGTAATGGATGTTCAGTGGAGACCTAGAGCTAGCTCCCAATTCATGTCTGTTGGTGGTGCTGGCAAACTTGAATATTGGGATTTGTTAAAGGATACAGTTTCTCCAATAATTGAGGCAGTGCCAAATAATAATCTTGAATTAAGTAATGATGAAGCTGATTCCAACCCAAAAAGACATGATGGAGCATTGACAAGATTACTGTTCAATTATGATGGGTCAATGGTGGTCACTGGGGGAACTAATGGGTTTTTGACTATTTTTATTATTGACGAAGAATGTGATTTGGATAGCAAAACCATTGATGATAGATTGGTAGCAATGTTATTTTGAATTTTTAGGATAAAGAAAACCTCAGAAAGCTTTTCTTTTTTTCTCCTTTTTTGGTAGCATTATTATAGAGTTTCTTGAAAATAGAAACAGTTATTAGCTTCTTCACGCTGGAAAAGCTTATGAGTGGCTAATAATTTATATTTTACAGTTTTTGCAACCGCTACATTCGTATTAAAGGTTTTGATATCATTGGCTGTATTATAAGATCTCCGCAATTTATTTTTTCAATGTATAAAGATAAATAAATCGGGTTTTTGAACGCTCAAAGTAATTTTGATTCAGAAGTTCTTTCAATTTCCAACAATGAGATTTATAATGACTAGTTCCTTTGCAATACGTGCAGTATTTTCTTGGTTACGAGGAATTTTTGAAGCTCTTCCTGTACTTTCTTTTCTTGTCAACCTTAGACGTAACAATTTCGTTGACTAGCGTTGGTGGGACGTAGTCACTGGAGAGTCTGATTTTTTCTTGAAGTTTCTTACCAATCTTAAAGACTTCAGCTACCGTCTTAGCGCCTACCAATTTGGTAGCTAAACGATTATCATTTGGACTCTTGAATTTTCTTCCATGAATTTTTTGTCTAATATGTTTGACGAATTCTCCCTCAGATGGAATCTCCAATCCAGCATATTTATGAAATGATTTCACTGTTTGAATTAAACTTTCGAGTTTGGGGAAATTTGTATCACTATGCACTTTGATCGATGCGAAAGCATCCCAAGCAACATCCTCTGGGCATCTCAGCCGTAGATAGAAGGATACTAGATCCTCAAGTAATGAAGCTCTCACAATTCATCATTCGTCGATGAATAGGTACCGGTGTACCACCATGGCGGGTCCTGACACTTATATAATGAATAAAATAGCGGCAACATGCTTAGATGCAGCAATAGGCAATAATAAGTAATGAGAAAACTAAATAGTAAAACAGAAAGGATATTACCACGTGGTTAAATGCAACAATAATAATGAGGTTTGCTGAATAATAGATTCTCTAAATGAGATAACTGTGAAAGGTAGTGAAAGATAGGAGCGAGATGATTAAAAAATATGTATATTTATGCAGTCTTATGCACACATCATGCCATTTACTTATGTTTCGGCCGCTATTATATGCAATTTCATGTATTTCATAAAGGCACGGTGGCCGAGTGGTTAAGGCGAAAGATTAGAAATCTTTTGGGCTCTGCCCGCGCAGGTTCGAGTCCTGCCCGTGTCGTCATTTCATTTTTTTTGAATGTTCTTTAAGACACTCCTACTTTTTACGTATAGAGTAGTTTCCGTATTTTGCAATTTTCAGAAGGTCGTTGCAATGTATTCTGGCAATTGGAACTAGCTCGTCTTTGCCAATACAATCAGAGGGAATTAGATTTTTGAGCGACTTCAAGAATATTCACAAGCCTCTTGTAACTCTTCTCATCTCCCACTTCACAATAAATCTCCACTGAGCCAAGTAACACAAACAAAGCACATTATTGGAGGTGTTAATGGCTTTAGGATCCATGATTGCCTTGGAAATATAACTAAATATCAGCTTATAATATTAATGCAATGATAATGAAATATAAAGTAAATGTAAGTGTTTAATAGTATATAAGCAGCAAATTTGGTCGTGAATCTTATTTTTCTAAATAAATGATAGCAGCGACAAAAGTGGTGGAAGTATTTGGTGTAGTGATCCCATGGATGTTGAGCTATTGTTATGATCCGGTCTACGTTTATATATTTTCTCAAGGCAATTAATTAAGTTCCGATAGAATTTATAGATGAGAGATCAATAGAAGAATTATTTTGTAATATTTCATTCAACTTTTCTCGAAGCGCTTCGCGTGGCAAACCTTTTAAATCATCAACATCCAATTTTAGAACACTTTTTGAAATTGCGTGGGCAGATTTGAGATCATTTTCTTCCTGTGGAGATAATTTAGCGAATATATTTTTGAGATTTCCTCCTTGCTCCAATTTTTGTAAATATTTTTCTGCAAAGGAAATAATAGATGGTTTAATTCCACACATCTTGGCACAATAAATTCCAAAACTTTTATCAGCGATTCCATCATTGATTTCATACAAAAAAGTGATTTTCTTATCCAAGTTTTCTCTGGCTTCATTGATTTCGACAGAGAAATAAACATCCATGTGGTAATGATGTAAACCATCTAATTCCTCAAAGATTTGGGACGTCCCATCATATAACTCTTTGAAATGCGTAGCAGCAATGACCCTCGGGCATTTGGAATGGGATCTCAAATATTCAATAATTGATCCAAACAATGCTGGCCCATCATAAACATCAGTCCCCTTCCCAAACTCATCAATGACTATCAAAGACTTTCTTGTCATTAACCTCAAGCATTTAGACATTTGCTGAGAGTCAATCATGAATGTGCTCTGGGTCTTTGACAAGCTTTCTCGAGACATTACTCTAGTTAAGACCTTGTCCACTAAACCGATGGTAGCTGATTTAGCAGGAATAAAAGATCCAATTTGAGCGAGAATCACTAATAATGCTACTTGAGTGATATAGACAGACTTCCCAGAAAAATTAGCCCCAGTTAATAAGATTATTCTTTCACTATCCAATTGCCACTTTTCAGGGTTGCTTGTTGTGGTGTTCAAAAAAACTTTATTAGGAACATAACAACTGGATTCATCTAATAGAGTTTCATATAGCGGATGCCTACTTTCAACAATTTCTAGCTCTATTCCATTAGTGAGAATTGGTTTGCAATAGTTTCTAGAAATTGCAACGTGTGTTAAACTAAGTAGGCAGTCCAATTCTGCGAAATATTTCCCAAAGTTAAGTAGTGTGCTTTCAATTTCCAAAATTTCCTGTTGTAAATTATATAAAATTTCAATTTCTAGATCACAAATTATACTGTAAATATCTCCATATTCTTCATCCATCTGAATGACTTTTTCATTTTTGAAAAAAATTGTTGTTGAAGTGTTGAAAATCATTGACCAGTTCCTATTGGTTGTCAATTCTTGAATAATATTCGAGAGTTCTAGTTCTTCCCCATTAATATCGAAAATATTGAGTAACATTAAATAACCTACTTGAGGAATATACGCAGCATTGATAAATCTTTGTAGATATTGAGGGAAAGTTTTTGCAACATCATCAGCAGTCTGATTGAGAATCCCATCCATACTGTTATAGATTGTTCGATATTCATCGAGCTTGCGCTCTATTCCTTCATGAATTATTGTTTTGTATTCAATTTTAGAAGAATCAAAATCAATAATCATGTTAAGCCTTGTTAAAGACCGCTGGACTTTATTAATATCACATTTATCATGAATATTCTCAATAATATCAATTTGGTTTCCTGCATTGAGCATTCGATTGTACAATGAATCGATTGTGACATACAATATAGTAGTCTTTTTTAAAAATGTTTCTAGATTCTTCCAATTTTGCAAAGTGAGCTTACTGCCGTTTAGTGAAGTGACCAATTGAAAAATATTTGGCAAACATTTCATAACCTTTCTCAAATCATTAAAGAAATCTTGTGCTTCGGAATTCATGAAAAATTCAATTGAGTTTTGACGTTTTTGAATTTTTTCCAAATCATACAACGGGCGAGATACCCAGCTATTTAACAATTTACCACCTAATTTGGATCCAGTAAAGTTTAAAAGATCAAAAATGGAAGTCTTTCCCTTTCCACTCTTCGTATTTCCAACATGGAAGTTTTTTGGATCGGGTAAAACTTGTAAGGCATATAATGATTCTTGGTCAATGAAAAGGTGATTATGCAAATTAATGGAATCCACTGCTTTTATAGTGAAATCAAAGTTGTTGTAGTTTTCGAAGAATCTAATGAGGCAACTCAATGCCCCTCGCTGGTAATTGTTTTGTTAGGAAATGCGGTCATAAGACGATTAGAAAAGCAAACAAAAAAAAAGGAAGAGAAAAGGTACTACTACCTTACCGATAAGTTTAAATCAGGAGAGTTTTGCAAACTAACCAACGCTGAATCAATATGAAATTGGCCTCTTTGACCGTTCAAGATTCCCTCTATCAAATTATGTACTGTTCTATTGTTGTTTTTGCTGTTAAATTCCTTGGATGGCCTAACTTCGACAGTAATCTTAGCCTCCCGAGAATCATTAAATATACTTACGAATTCATATAATCCGGAAGTAGTCAAGATTATATCTGGGTTAATCTCCAAAATAATGCTTGCCAAAGTGTCAATGATCTTATCCCGTAAGACGCTCATTCCTTCACCAGCAATCCAAAAATTGAAATCTTCCAAAATAGACAAGCTGGAATCTTGGTGCCTGTAGGAAATAGCACCTAGCTTATTGGTATTGAAGTTCAAGCATAAAATGACTTCCTTATCAAATGTAGAGATGTCTTGTTGATCCTCAGGCTCAACAATAGGGTCTAAATCACCAAATAAATATCTTTCTGTAATTTGTGGTTCTGATAACATAGGAATTTCAAGATGATCATCTTCTACTCTGTTGAAGTTTTGGGCTTCATCCAGGCGACAAACTGCATTTTCAGGGACTTGTGGAAATACCATCCCTTGTGGTTGGAAATCTGTATGAGCTGATCCACGAATGTCCTGGGATCCCCCATAATTACCAGAAGAACTTTTATCAACACCTAAAATTGGCGCCGGAGTATTTAAAGAGTTTCGAAAATGAGTTTTCTCATTGTCACTAAGAATTTCGTCGTCTATTTCGTCTTCCTCATCCCCATTTTCTGCTCCGCTGATATGGCTAGCGCCGATAAGCGAGTGCCCAATATCGGAGGTGACCCGAGCTCTTTTGAGAAACCTAGATAGAAGGGAATTTCCAGAATCAATATTCTCAGAACAATTACTCATTTTCACTGCGAAAACAATGAGTGGTAATGGTCATAAAAAATGATTAGGGTTACAATTATTATCGCAAAATTCCCCCATCGCCTTGTGTTTTCACATCACGCACCAACAACCAACATGCAGTCCAGGTGCACAAAGCCAAAATCCTAACCCAAAGAACTTGGTTCCTAACTCGATCTTGATTAATTTTAATATGGAATCAGTCCAAGAAGACACATTTCTCTCATATATACCTATAATTTCTGATTACAATTAAGTGGAATTGCTTAAGATGTTTATTGTAAACACAGGAAATGCAAGTAACCAAGAAAGACAGTCCCATTGAAAAGAAGAAGGGAAAAAAAAATATTAATAATCTATGCTTTTTTAAATAAAAATGAATTGAGAGAGAAAAAGAAAATAAAACAAAAATTAAAGAATGTGCTGGTAAAATTAACAGGTTATTATGCGGTGCGCATCACAACTGGCTGTAGTGTTTGATACATTGCCACACTAGCAGTAGTGGTGACAGCTTGTGGTACTATCGTCCTCGTCACAACGGCATATGCTTTTACACTAGGGGTTTCGGTGACATAAACCACTGGTTGATGAATGATTGTTCCTCCCCCTGCTACGCAGGCACTGCTAGCACTAGCGATCACGGCAGTATTTGCCCCAGAAACCATGCCTCCAACTTGACAAGCATCAGTGATTGTGGTCTGCACCATACGCGTTCTTTGAATGGTGGTCTTTTTATCGCTCGATAACATTTCTACTACTTGTTCTGCCATTGGTACAATCATCACAATGTCAAATAACCCCATGGCTTTGCCGAAGAATCCTTTCTTTGAGCTTGTTGCCGGTGTATTCTCCTTAGCAGCTGAGTTCGCTTCACCATCTTTGGAGTCCGTATCTTTAGATGAATTGGATTCTTGGGAAGAGCCATCTTTCTGTCCCAGTGATTCAACTTCTGTTTGTTCGGTAGGTGATTTCGCTGCGGTATCACTTTCAGTAACTTTAGGAGTGGTTACTTTTGGCTTATCGATTTTGGAGAGCAATCCCTTCTCAGAGTCTACTAGTTCTGTTCCGACGCCAAGGGCTTCTGGCTCACGCTTCTGATTTTTTTCAAGCTTTTTCATGATGCTGTAAGAATCAACAAACAAGGATTTGCCCCAATATCCCAAGATCCATAGTAGCAATATATTAAGTAAAGTGCCTTGTCTTAGTCTCATATTTTTTCTTCTTCTTTTATATTTCTCTTAGTATTCAAAATTTGAGTTTGTAAGAGAAAATATAAAAATCGGCGGCAATATCGAATTCATGGAAGTGATCCAGATATATATTGACAGATTTCGTGGAGAATGTTGAACAGGGCGCGCATGCGGCATGAGGATGTACGGAATTCCCAAAGGTGGAGGCATTCCATGCCTTTCTCTTATCTAAGTAATGTATCAAGGTAATAACGTCAGCAAGAAAATAACATTGGTTCATTCTGTTTCAGGAGCAGAGGAAAAGGGAAAAAATATCAGAGATATTAAAGATACTCAGGAATAATGTTTCGTACTTGCCAGCTTACGAGCGACAATACCAAAAGGAATGCAAATAGTATAAATGGCACTCGTAATCTGGTTTTACAAAAAACCCATGTTTACCTGTGCCTCCTATATGGGTTTTGAATAATATAAATTCCATATTTTGATGAACAACTATCTATATATAATCACTCACTAGAGCAAATCAGTAATTAATAAACAAATAAGAACAGCGTAAATTTCTTACAAATCTAATATTACAAGTAATATATATATTCTACCTATCGAGTCCCAATGAAAAAAATTAAATAGAACACAAACCAAAATAAACAAGAGAACGTTTTTTAAGGGCAAAGCCATCATCAAACAATCAAGCTCAAACTCCAGCCGTTGCATTTATTGCCAAACAGATCTATCTTGACATACTTTTGATCGCCATGGACGCCAGTATCACTGCCATCATTGTCCAAAATCACAATTCTTCCGTCAACGCATATTCTTCTTTTCCTTGCCTCTTTGTCTTTAACAAAGACAAGTAAAGATTCATTTGATTCGGTAAACACTCGTCGGTATACTATATCAGGATCATCAATATGGCTAGATTGAACATAAACTTTTTCAAGTATCCCGGCAAGAAATTCTTTCTGTTTTTGAAGTTGACAGTTTACTTTTTCAGAGGAATCACTGGAGTGGTCGGACAACAGCAAATTTTTAAAAGGAATGTCTATAATGTAGGATTTCCCGCTAATAAAATCAGAGTGAGGAGAAATAGTGAAATTAGCCTCAAGAGACTTCACAAGACTTAAAAGAAAGTAAGAATGGCAAGTGATCTGATTCTCGTCATTTACTCGCACACCATTAACCATCCTCACAACTTCACCTTCATAATTTTGTAAAATACTATTGATGTTGTTGTAGGCAGCAATTCTGAACCTGTCATTACCCAATTTCCTAAGCTCTAGTGAATCGGAATCACCAACGATTGCCGCATGAAGACCCCAAGATAACACCACAAAGAACTTGAGGCTAGAAATATAACTCTTGGAGTCTATTTTCTCCTCATCTTCAGGATCTTGAATATACGACCCTGGAGAGAATGATGCTTGATGAACTGGAAACTTCTGTATGCCTGAGGAGTCACTGAATACCTTCAATACTCCATTAATAGCAGATGTAACTCCAAGCTCGAGGGCAAATGCATTACCAGATCCCAAGGGAATAACTCCTAAATTGATGTTTCGAGGCGCCGATGTTTGAGGAAGACCGTTAATAAACTCGTGAATTGACGTATCGCCAGATAGTAAAAGCACAGTTAGATCTTTGTTAGGAGTGACTTCTGAATTTATTAGGGATCGGGCCAATTGATGAATAGAGTCCTTGGTTTCGGTTTCATAATAGTCGTGCTTGTCATGTAAACCGATTATTTTGAGGATCGGAACTATGGAGTTCTTGTAGATGTCACCATCGGTAGTTCTTCCCTTGCCTGATTTTACTGAATCAATGATCACTAATTTTGAAAGCTTTGGGTCAAGATGGTGTGGGAGATGGTATTTTTCAAGAGTATAGATAGGATCATTGGGCTCTGAGTTATCTCCTGGTTCTGCCACAACATGGAAGCTGGCATTAAGATTCAATGGGGAGAGTGGCAAGGCTGAAAAGGTTATTTGATGTGTGAAATCCCTATCCTTCACGTATAATTGATGTGATACGGCTGCCATTTTTATCTTTTGTTTTTTGAACAGAGGAGAGGCGATGAACGGAAGAAAAAAAAAATGGAGCTCTTTAGAGAATCCTTTTTGTCAGTCTAAGAAACAAAAATATAATGCATCAGTAGAGAAAGGGATTCTATTCTGCCCAATATTCGCAGTTTCTGTGGTAAATCGCAGTAACTTTTAGCGTAATTTACGGATTTCTTTTGATTAAGACACGTGACTACAATAGGTTTTTCTAACTCTATTACTAATCTTTTGACGTAGAAATACGACAATGATAAGTTATCTTTGGCCATTAAGTTATTTTCAATTGTCATAAGGAGCAAAAATTTTCAACTGAATCGTCTTTTTAATGGCATGTGTCAGCCTAAATAGTACAATATGAGAGGAGTATGTAATGCATATATGCATGTTGATACATGTTATCTATATGTTATCTATATATTATCTAACGCATGAATCTTCAGCTGTTCAAAAAAGACCAAAATGAAGGGTGCTGTAAAATATATCTAACAAAAATATAATTAACAGAAGGAATGAAAGTAATGCAAAAAGTAAAAAGTGAAACAATGCAAAAAGAGAAGAAGAGTCTAAAAAGTTGAACGTTTCCAACATTCAAGCAGCAATAGGGTAAAACACACGTTTAAGATAAGCACTCGGAGTGGTGGCCAATAGGTCATTGTATTGGTTTATTCTATGATCTTCAATACGAAATTGGAGGTCTTTACCATTGTCCAGTTCGGTTTTATCTTTATCATCAGAAAAATTGGTATTCGCAGTATTGACAAGTTCTTCTTCGGCTTCATTTTTCCATTGGCGAATGATATTACTGATCTTGAGCTCACGTAATGGAAGGAGGAAAAAAGAACTAACGGCAAACATTACACCTGTGAAAATTTGGGCGTAAAGGTATGGCTTTTCCGCAGAGTCGCTCCGTTTAAGACCCAAAGCGATAAGTTCGGACACCAACCCAACAATTGAGTTCACAAAAGATATCAAACACCAAACGACAGGGAAGTTCTTGACACCAAAGAAGTCGGCGATAATTGGGGAAATGGTAACGAATTGATAACCCATGACTAGCCCCATCATCGCGCTGAAGGCAATCACTTGGGCGTACGTGGTGATTGGGATCCAAAACGCAAAAGTGAAAATGATCACGGTATAGGACATGAGCATCGAAATGTTGAAGCGCCCGATCTTATCACCAATGATCCCAATACTCAAACGCCCGATGAACTGACAAGCATTCAAGATGGCAAGGGCATCAGACCCTTGCTTGGCACTGAGACCCACGGAGACCGCGAAGTTGGAGAGCGAATAAAGGATGATGACATAACCGATTGAAGAGATACAGAAATATCCAACCAACATAAGCGCAGTGCTGGTGAACCAGACTTTAGGTTGAAGTGGTACTCTCATGGCACGGATGAAGGTTTTGAACTGTCCTTGGTTATTATCTTTGACCGCTTTGATATGCAAAGGTTTTCTAAGCTTCACCAAGGCTGTGGCAATCACATTAAGAAACAAAGCAATAAAGGCGATAGTCCGTAAAGCCCAACGTTGATTACCAGTTCTTTCTATCATGGCTTGTGATACAAGGCTGAAAACGCATCCTCCCAAGCCGGTGCCAGCGAATTGTAGTCCGCTGGCAATGGTTCTTCTTTTGAGAAACCAAGAAGGAACTAAAATCACGGCAATAGCGAATAAAATTCCGCATCCCAACCCTGATAAAATACCTTCAGTAAGAATCATTTGCCAGTAATTTACGGAAAACGAGGCTAAAAGCATGCCGACAAAATGGAGGACTAGTCCGATAGTGGCGACTACTTTGACGTTCCAGATGACAAGAAGCCCAGAAACGACAAAGCTACAGCATAACAATAGGCACATAGTCAACCCTGCAACAAGAGCATAATCGATCTTGGTTATTCCGGGGAGAATATCACTGGTCAAGTAGAAGTTCAAGAACACTGCGTATGAAGAGACTGACCCCCAAGAAGCAAAACAATACAACAACGAGCACGCGGCTGCCGTCCAGGCTTCGACTCCTCCATCAGGTGGTAAGTCTTTTAAATCATCGGGGTGGTATGCTCCTTTATTTTTGATTTTACTTTCCGGAGGCTGATTGGCTTCAATGTCGGCTTCCGGTGTTGACTTTGGCACGTTTTTTCCAGTGTCTAATGTTTGTGAGTTTGCCAAGGAAACCATAATATTACAATATCAGTTGCTTATTACTGAAAATAGTCACTGAATCGCAAGAAAAACCTTGGATCACTTCTAGCTGTACCATTATATATATGATATTGAGGAATTAGTAATCAATTTTTTTTTTTTTTTTTTTTTTCTTTCTGTTAACGACGCGTAGGAAGACAAATATCCGATGGCATTTTTCAGTATACCACATTACTGGGTCTTCTTGGCTGGGTGTTATTTATTCAAATTTTGACATCTTTAGTACAAAGTTTGGCCACAGTTGTGAAAAATACACCACTGGGGATGTATAACCGCGATCCGAACACCAATGAATGTTTTGGCAGTTATATCTCAGTGGCATCCCATGATGGTAACCACGTTGGTAAAAATGTAATTGATCTTCCGCAAAGGGAATTCTTTTTTATCCAAGCATTTGGTCATTAGAAAGTCTATGGTTATTGTAAATTGAATGAAGTAAAACAAAAACAAAACAAACAAACAGTTGTACTCCATAAATGTCTTTCACAAATGTCGCCAGTCTACCGGATTCTTAACCCTTTATTTATTTAATTTCGCTAAACAAAGTAGAATGACGTTGATGTAGCTAATGCTTTTTTTAAAAAGCCATAACTACATTGTTAAGCAGTCTATTATGCGTATGTACACCACATGGCCGATTATGGTATCAATGGTTGAATGAATCTATGCTCAAATCAGTTGGAGAGTCACCATGCTAAAAAACAGGCTATCTTCAATCTTCAGCCAAATAGAGTCTTTGGATTAACACTCCAGGCCTGTTCCAGCTAGACACACCCCAAATAGTAGAAAAATACCCTAGCCATACACCACCACCGGGCCTAATGTTGGCGCGAGGTCTTTCCTACAATAACCTGCAACGTGCTGTCGTGCCCCGACGATAGCGATATGTGCCGCTTTTGGGTTCTCGCGCCATCACGTTCCAGACAGACGCAGTTGCAAAACGGACGGGGACTCCCCCGAAAAGCCCCAAAGCAAAACTGCAGCTGTATCACGTGTACTCACACTAAATCCTGTTTCCGCAGAGGGACAATAGTTTCTCACCAAACGGCAATCGCTATTCGGTCCATAGAAGGAATATCGATCAGAAGCATTCAAGGATAATGCTTCACAATGCGTGCCTTTGTTATTCATAACTTTATGTAGATCTGTCTAGATGTGCATATATATATATATATATATATATATATCATGATATCACTCGCTTTCTTTCTCTAATTTCAGATTTTCCCTTCAATCTTTGTAAAGAACATCAACAAAGATAAATATGGTCTTCATCTCTTTCGCCCTTGCGCTTTCCATCCTCAATGGCTTGACTACTGCCTCGCCTATCAACCTCTTCCCAACCTCTATCGGCTGGTTAGGGTCTACTGCTACTGCTGCTGCTCCATTTTTGGCAGAAACTAACGTCGCCGCTGCTGCCACCGGTACTCCAACATCCCAATACCAGTACCCTCAACCAATCGAAACCTCTGTCCAAAGTTTCGATCACAAGGAAGATGACAGAAGCATCTTTGAATTGATGGCTACCTTGTCTCCATACTACGTTCATGAAGACGGCTGGGGAGTTTACAATTACGCCACTCCTGGTCAATGTACCATCAAACAGGTCCATTTCCTTCAAAGACACGGTTCTCGTTACCCAGATTCTAGCTTTTCTTTCCCAAAAAGATTGGCCAATGCCACTTTCAATGCCACTGGTAATTTGGAATTCCTTAACGACTGGGAATTAAAGATGGGGAAAAACATCTTGACCAACCTCGGTAACAACCAATTGTTCAACAACGGTGTCAAGGGTTTCTTCCGTTACGGTCAACTTTTCGACTGGGACAACTTGGACGAAAAGATTGTCGCCCGTACCACTTCCGAACAAAGAATGATGATGACCGCTCAATATTACCTCCATGGGTTCTTCGGTCTCAACTGGGAAGACTATGTCAACTTGGAAATCTTGATCGAAGACGATGGCTTCAACAACACTTTGGCCGCTTGGAACGGTTGTCCAAACAACGACTACGCCTACGGTCATGTTTCTTATCCAGAAAATGACGAATATAAGAAGAAATACCTTGAAAAGGCTGCTGAAAGATTCAACTCCCAAATCACTGGTTTCAACTTCACCGTTGCTGACCTTAACGAAATCCAAACCATTTGTGCTTACGAAACTAATATTTTGGGTTTCTCTCACTTCTGTAGTCTTTTCTCTCAAGAAGAATGGGAAGGTTATGAATACACCACCTCTGTTGATTGGTATGCTGAAAACTCTTTTGGTAACTCAATGGGCCGTGCTCTTGGTGTTGGTTGGGTTGAAGAATTCAAGGACAGATTGCTCAACACCACTTACAACCCACAATTCCAAGCCGAACAAAACTCCACCCTTGACTCCAACTCTACTTTCTTCCCATTGAACCAAACTTTGTATATGGATTTCACTCACGATTCCCAAATTCAAAACATCATTACTGCTTTAGGTTTTGAACAATTCAAGGCCAACTGGACTTTTGAAGGCCCTGACAATGATACCCATCTTTTCGACTTGTCACGTATCACTCCATTCGGTGCTCAATTGGCTTTTGAAATTATTGAATGTGACGAAGAAGTTCCAGCTAACAGAAGCTCCACTAGCGTTCCAGGTTCCGGTGCCACCCAATACGTTCATGCTATCTTGAATGACAATACTCTTTCCTTGTCCAAGAACATCCCAGAATTCTGTGCTGACAGAGCTGACGGTTGGTGTGAATTCGGTAACTTCACCCAGTACTTGGACACTTTGTGGGACATTGCCAACTATGAATATGCTTGTGATGCTGACTACAACTATAATGCTACTGTCACTAACGGTGCTCCAGAAGTATGATTGTGTGTGTTTTTCGATTTCTTTTTTTCTTCTTTCTTCTTTCTCCTTTCTTGGTCTTTATAAAATAAGTGATATTTTTTCTAAGTTTTCTTTTTGCTTTATTTGTTCTAATTTACAACTTTATACCCGTTAGATTAATAATTTGTAGTTACTAACTAGGTCCCCCGAATTCTCATAAGTACGTTTTGATTCTTGCAAATACTCTCTAATTTTAATATACAAATACATACGTACCAATTCTTCCAAATACCTCCTAATTCTACCTAATTCTTTGATGATAATAATAATAATAAGACATCCTCGCCATTTTGGTGAGATATTTTCATGCATGTCGCGCTGGACAATTTTGAGCCCACGGCCCCTGCCGTTTTGGGAAAAAAGTAAACAACCAGTTTTTCTGGTAAATCTGGCTGTCATCAGAAAAAGAAGACGAAAAAAAAATAATAATAGCAGCGATCAAACTCTCTTTTATCCAAACATTATTATTTGGAAAAGTGAAAAGCCATATCTGATATTCCTATTTTTTTAAATTGTCACTCCGCACATTTCTTAGTGTTCATCGTTCCCCCCTCCAAAGTCAAAGTTCCTATTGTGTATTTCAACAAAATTTTTGAAAATTAAAGGATCAGGATCGCACCCCAAAAAAACATTACAAGGTCATCACCACAACATCAAAAGATAAGAAGATATCATTTCAATTTGCTCATTACCAGAATAGAAATAATAATTAGATTTAAACTTACCTATCCAAATCGATTAGCAAAAAGAAAAGAAAAAAAAAAAAAAAAAAAAACAAAGAAAGAAAGGATAAATCTACATCAATTCAACATGAGTTTCGAACAAAAATTCGAAGTTCTTGAACTAATTGGCCGCGGGTCTTTTGGGAATGTCCGTAAAGTTCGGAGAATCAGTGATGGAAGACTCTGTGTCCGGAAAGAAATCTCGTATATCCACATGAACCCCAAGGAAAGATCACAGCTCATTGACGAATTCCGAATCCTTGGATCTTTGAACCACCCCAATATTGTCGAGTACATCTACCATGAACACGTTCCTGAGGATCATATGGTGTATCTTTACATGGAGTACTGTGATGGCGGGGATTTGAGCCAGATCATCAAATCGCACAAAAAGCGCGAGGAGTACGTGCCCGAGGATCTCATCTGGAGCATATTTACCCAGGTAATAATGGCGTTGTACCGATGCCATTACGGAGTGGACCCTCCGCCAGTGAAAAACATCTTCCAGACACAATATGACGACGAGGAGAATGAGGAGGACGGAAAGGATACCCATGGCCCAAATAACCAGTACAAATACAGTGTTTCAGGAAGTAACGAGCCCACAGTGGTCAATAATGAAATGATTATCATTCATAGAGACATCAAGCCAGATAATGTTTTCTTATTGAAGGACAATTTCGTCAAGCTTGGGGATTTTGGGCTTGCAAAGTTGTTACTACTGGAAAGTGATTTCGCCACCACCTATGTCGGTACCCCATACTACATGAGTCCCGAAGTGCTCATGGATAAACCTTACACTCCTCTTCTGGACATTTGGTCCCTTGGATGTGTGATGTATGAACTCTGTGCCCTTCATCCGCCATTCCAAGCGAAAACACATTTACAATTACAAAATCGTATCAAAGAGGGTCATTTCCCAGATATCCCAAGTCATTATTCCCAGAAATTACGATTAACGATCAACGCGTGTATTCTGGTCGATACTGCCCAGAGACCGCTGTCTTATTTGCTACTCCAAGAAATCAGTATCAAGATCTTCCGAAAAGAATTGGAACTCAACACCAAACAACAAAATTTGGCTCTGCTCGAGCGTAGTCTCAAGTTGAAAGAAAATGCGTTTTTACAAGAACGATCCCGCCTAAGCAACGAGATCGACCAAGAGTTGGGGTATCATAAGAAAATCATGGACAAAGAAATCGAACAAATCAGGTTACAATATCAGAAGGAATTCCAATACGTTGTGGAAAAAGAGGTGAACAATCGAATAAAAATTCTACTTCAAGAGCCAGAATTCATGCAACAAATCATCAATCAAGCGACCACTAGTGGGAAAATGAACGACGAATATGGGAAACCTAATGATCTTTTGTCGAAGAAAAGTACCGGGGTCCTCAAACAATGGAATGGGCCAGGCTTATCAGGAAGCACCATCACCTCTGCCGCTTCCACCGCCCCATCAACATCAAGCAACAATCTGAAATACTCAATCAAAAACCAAAGCAAATTATTTGATGAGTATTCAAACCCCAATGTTTATGGAGGGGTCACAGGGAACCAGAACTTGAACATGAATGGTGGTAATGCTTTGAATAAAGCCACACATTCTTCGAACGCTCATGTAATGACCAAGAAAAAGAAATATTATAATGAAATGTATGAGGAAAATACACCTAGTCCATTTTTAAGGACTTTTAACCTGAATTTTTGAAGTCTTTTTTAGAGCAATATTTTCCTCTTCTTCTTCTTCTTCTTTTTTTTTTCTTTTTTTGTTTTTGTTAATGGTTTAGTTTTCTTATTGATGGTTCTTTGTGTATATATTCTTAATGTATTATTGGTTTGGAGGATTTTTTTTGTTGTTGTTCGTCTTTTATGAAACCCAATATAATGGACTTACTTGTGATACATGAGGAAAGTGCTTTCCATTTTCTCTCTCGTATGGTTATCTTTTCTACTTTTCTTGGTTTCTCGGCGATCCATAAATTGACCGAGTGAAGGCTTATGATCAGCTTCGAGGATTGATTAGCAAATCATTACAAATATATACATATATACATATAAAAAAAGAAATGCAACTTTGGCTCATCATTAATGAGATTGCCAGACTGTTGAGCATCATTTGATAGATTCCTCATTTGAAGGATCATAAGAAGTATTCATTACAGGATGATCAAATGATTAAATGTCTTCTCCATTCTTTTTCTAGTATGCTTTATACGTGTTTCTATCGTTTCCATAAACTGCAGATAAAGTTTAAGCAAACGATTCCTGACACAGGGAGCTCCACACACCATATAGGCTATTTAGTCTACCTTGAACTAACCAGTGCAGTCAAAAGGTTGCACGCAATAACCGCATAGCCCGTTTTAGGAAGAGTAATGATGATTTCAGTTGTCGATACTTACGACGTACCATGGTAGTAGTTTCTCGCCCTCCTCCCCCTCCCCCACATCACATTACAAGCTAATTGGATTGGTTTTCTGTAGTAACCACTAAGCGTATTTCAAATACACGTTTTCGAATGAGGATAAGCATACCTTTTCATTCGCATACAATTGTGAATAGGAATATACTCACTAAGCTCACACCCCCCGCCCCGTGTGTGTGTGTGTGTGTGTGTGTGTGTGTGTGTGTGTGTGTGGAAAGTCGGCCCGCAATTATGGTGCTAGTGTAATGGAAGATCACCATCCACTCACTTTTTGGCCTTGTTTTCAATTTATTGAAGGAAAAAGTGACATTTTTTCCGTTATTAACAAGATCCTCAGGCATTATTACGTTCCTATATTGCACTAGTGCTTTTGTGAGCACCTCATATGCTTGGTGTATGCTCTTGCTAAACTGTAACTGTACGTGATGGTAGACCATCATCCTGGTACCAAGGGTTTAATTCTTAACTCTAAAGGTGGTAAGTGGCACGTCGTCAAAATATTATCTTACGATACGAGAAAAGTCACAAGTCAATTGCCGATCGAAGACTAAAGTATGATTGATAGTTGGACAATCCATTTTCATATCTAAACACCCAAAAAAAAAAAAAAAAAAAAAAAAAAAGAAAGAAAACTGGCCATCACCAAGCACTATCACTATATCATGTCTTCGGGTCATTTTCATATATGGAAAGCCATTTCCATTCCTTATCACCAAATAAATTTGTGACAATTGGTGATTTCCTTATTATCATTTTGTGCCTCATCTAGACTGATGCTGCTCTTGAATTGATCAACATAAGCTCGGACTATATATCTGTGGATCCCATCAATCTAAGATCAGCGGTAGAAGCAGTCTAATTTATTGGAGGAAAAAAAAAAATCATACGTACAAAGAAAAGTGGCCCATTATGGGGAAATTAAATTCCTTTGCAGTCTCCTCCTATATTGATGCCCCGAATAAATAATAGGGGGAGAAACAAAAAAAAAAAAAAAAAAATAAGGAAGCGACACGAAAGGATCTAGAACTCTTGTGCTCCCTATTAATGAAAATCGCATATGTCACAGAGTGTGACATTTTTTGATAGGGACCCCACTTGATATCTGAGGTCCAAAAGAACCTTTGAAAGGATATGATATGGCACTTTGCTGCAGAGCTGAAGTACCGCACACACACACACACACACACACTGGGCTATCTATCTTCACCACCTGGTACCTTCAATCCCAAAACATTGTGACATTATTGTTGTATTGTATTGTTTGTTGTTATGACAGTGACAAATCGGGCAACTTGGATCCTCAAATAACTCGTCTCCTCATAATCAATAATAGACATTTTGCTCTGTCTTTTGACAGCCTGCTTTTTCATGTCTGCCGATGCACTAAAATGCGATATTTGCGAGACATCAATCTGCATTCTGCGTCAATATACATAAGGGCACATTGCATGGCATTGGTTTTATGAAAGGGGTTGCGCACCCCCACTGTGGGGGTCTCTTTTTGATGTCATTTTGAGATTCCCTTATATATATATATATATATAAGGGAATCAGTTATTGTTTTCGTATCATTATTAGTACTATCATATAGGCATATATTGTATCATATACGTGTGCACTCTTACAATATCCTTGGTGTATGGCACAATCAAACAGCTCTCACAGAAATATTGTCAAATCATGTCGTCGTCCGCCAACTACAATAACTTTGATCTTCTCGAGGAACTTAGGAATAATAAGCTACCTTTTAACGATGTTCAAGATCACTCCATCACATCATGGGCATGGCAGAACCATCATCACAATCACTCGATCCTTGGGTATCCCGAGCTTTCCAATAATAATAATAACAACTTAAGTTTAAGTGCGCCAACGATGCTTGGTCCTCCAGATCAAGCGTCTCCAAATCTATGCACCAATGACCTCGCTTATGCTCAAAGACTTTTACAAATCGGCAATTATTTGCCACCTGCCCTGGAAATTCCTTCTGATCCTTATCAAGTATTCCATTCTTCACAAGCTGCTGGTTTCGTCACCACCGCGTCGGAGGTTTCTACGGGATTCTTCATGGACGGTTCTCCAACCACTTCACCATCCAGCCCCATGTACTCACCATCATCCACTGAAAGTCGACCAACATCCTCTGGGGAGATCAATGCTTCTGCTGATACTGCTTCCAGCGGAAACTCCTCCCGAAGAGGAAGCATCGCCAGCATTATCAAAAACGACGCAGAGATGTGGGAGTACGTCACTGAGAAGTGCAAGAAGAAAGGATCCTACAAATGCTCGCATTGTCCCCAATCATTCCATTCGTTAGAGTACTTGATATATCATATTGATCAATACGATTTGAGTCATACGAGACCCCACAAGTGTGTGATTGAAACATGTATCTGGAGGTATATTGGGCTTCCAAGAAGGGCAGAGCTCAGAAGACACATGCAAGCATTGCATGGGATCAAATGGGATACAGATTTCAGGCTATTGAAGAATGAGCAAGGGAATAACACTTACAATGATGGTGGTACGAATCTTGCTTGCTCTGAAAAATCTAAAGAGGTGCTTGCCGCCCTCGATGGGATGGTGGACCCGTTTAATGAAGGATCATTTGCTGAAGATATTGAGTCAGAAGCCACCACCACTACAAAGCAGCGAAATACCCCAATGTATCATTGCACCGTCATTAGACCATATTGTGAAAAATCATTTCCTAGAAAGGATTCACTACAACGACATATCAGGTTATGCCATACCAATCCATCCAGTCGATTCAACAAAAAATTGGGTAAAAGCAGAAGAATGTTTGGATGACATTGGTCAATGATTTTTGGTTAGCTAACATTTGGGTATTTAAAAACAGGATCATTTTTTTATTATTACATACCTTTCTATCTATTTTTTTTTTTTTTCATATATATTTCTGGTGGTAATTTTTCTTCTTTTTCTTCTTCTTCCTCTTCTTCTTCTTCTTTTATAAGAACTGATAATAATAAATCTGATATAACTATACCTATCTGGTCATTCAGTATGGGATTTTTTTTACAGCCATATGTATCATTTTTAATCATATATTCTATTTGTGGCAACTCATATATTGATTTCAACAGGGAATTAACTTATGATTATAGCAATAACACTTTCAAACCAAAGATAACCCTCAGATATTATATTATTGCTTTGCCCACCAATAATCATCCACATCGGCAATTGATAAATAAACTTAAATAAAACTTCGAACCCGCAATTGTGAAACATTATCTGTAGTATTTTACCTCCTCCTGCTCAGCTGATACTGTCAGATACAGATAGCTACCGAATATAAGGTGACATGGAACTAAAAAAATAAATTAAAAAAAAAACACTCGATATTTAAGGGAGGTTAGCCTCGATTGATATACGATATATTTTTGACACATATTCTCCCTCCATCGGGTCTGCCTAGAACTCTATTTTTCTATATATTTATTTATATCTAAATAGGCTACATCGATAAGGGAATTATCAAAATTTCTAATATCTACAACTGTAGGAGTACTAATAGTGATAATAATAATAATAGAAGTTGATATAATATAATATGCGGTTTAGTGTCATCCGTTTCTGTTTCTGTTTCTCTCTCTCCCTCTCTCTATTTTTTTGGGCCATCGTCAAAAAGTGATCTTCATGGTTATTCTCATTAACCAAAATCTGCAATCTATGAATACTAGTACCAATAAATCAAGGTGTGTACGCGCTATTTTCAATTTTTGTTCATATGTCAAACTTTTGTAGCTTGCCCAGCAATTGTAATCGGTAAAGAAAGTATCATACAAATGAACCAGGTAACCTCTGCCTGCCTATTGGGGAGTTTCTCTGTTTCTTGGGAAGTTTTACTTATTATTCATAAACAGGAGCTAGTAGCTATTAATAAAGAGTTATTTACAAAGCAGTGATGATGCATTGATTTTTTTTCACCATAACAATTTCAATGTATGATGAAGGGAATTGCTTATCGAGTGGCTGTACCAATGTCAAATAACCCGGGGGTTGTCTTTTTCCAGCAAGTGTGATTTACTCAAATAAGGAAGGGTCCATCTGCATTGAATATTTCGGTGAGAGGTCTCTATATTTGCAAAAGGGAGTATATAATTAATCATTAAAGTGGACAAGAAAAAAACAAAAAAAAACAGTGTGGATGGAGTGCTTGAACTTCTGCCAAATCACCAAGAAGCGAAATACATTATTAGATTGAATTATCATTCATGTCATCAATGTCTTTTTTCCTTTTATCTGGAGGACCGGTGATGATATTTATATTCTCCTACTTATAAAATATATGCAATATTGTGCTTGCAGTACCCCCTCCTCCTCCCACATAAACCATAGAATATTTCAAATATTTCCCATAATAGTAACATAGCAGTTCAAGAAATCAGATGATATCCTAGACAAACAATCTTACAGAAGCAAAACAATGTCAAGTAGATACAGACTCTCTGCCACCACTATTTTGAATAAATATAAAGTTGAGCGCCTGTACATGTATAAACAAAGCAAAACTAACAAAAAAGAAATATCAAATACCAATTACATTTAGGTTAAGCATATTGTGAACAGCAAAGAACTTTTTTTTTTTTTTTGTATATGTATAATGAGTAATTGTGTGTGTATGTGTGTGTACAAAGAATCTCAATTCTCAAGAATGCTATTGCGCATTTGCCAAATACATGGCGATTATCAAGACAAGAATCATCAAGATTATCCACCAAAGCATTGATCCACCATCCTTCAAACTTTCCAAAGTCTCAACACTAGGCAATTCAATGACGTGGATACTGTTGGCGGCACTGACGCTCACCACATGGTTCAAGTTTTCTTCAATTGCAATATTGGTCACGGCAAAAGCATGAGATCTTGGGAACTCAAAGATCTTGACAATTTTGTACCCTCCATCAAGAGCGACGTGGTACAACACCACGCTGAGATCGCTGGTGGCAACGGCCAAAAGCCCGGCAGTGTTATTATTGTTGAATGGTGCAAAGTCGACGGCATTGACACTCTTGACGTTCTTCACTAACACTTGGCGGTTGATCACCTTATCGGTCGCGGTACAATACACGTAAGCGATGATTTGTTTGTTGGGCGACGCTCCCAAGATTAATAGCTTTGTACTTGACAAATACTTAATTCTCAACAATTGGCATTCTTTGGCAGTGAGTTTCAAGTCCTTGATCACTGGAGATTTCTTAGCAACAACGTTGACAATTTTCCCCGTCGATTTGGTAACGTATGCAAACTCCAATGCTTTATCATCATCATTAGAACTTTTTTTGATAGAAAAATCCTTGATTTCTTGAGTTTCCTTTGCTTCAAATACCAGGGGATTGTCTAAACTGGTAATATCATTAACGTAGACTCTGGAGACCGCATCAGATGACAACATTACCAATTTTCCAAGGTCATGGGCCTCGATTTTCTTGATATAACTGGAGCCTTCTACTTTGTTAGGAAACACTCGGTATTGCTGGGATTTTCCCACTTTGGTGCCATTGTCGCTGATCTTCAACGCCTTCAAATCGTGGTTTGTCGAGGTGGTCTCGATGATTGTCTTCCCGTCGTTACAACCCAAGTACGCGGTGCCCGTGGGCTTGTGGTACGCCAAGCTCATTGGGGCATCGCTAGTGTTTTTGTCGTACTTGAATTCACCAATGAGTTTCAATTCTTTTGGTTTGAGGAGGTCTGGCACTGGTTGCTGTGATGGTGGTGGTGGTTTGCTGTCTTTTTTCTTATTGTCAGCATCTTGCTTATTGGTGATTTGGAAGATGTCGAGGCCGTTAGGGATCCCGTGGCGGCCCTCTCCCCCACCACCAGACACTGCAAAAGTGTTGTTGTCGATGAACTGTAGGCCGAATAGCGGATAGTTCAATTCTTTAGTGAATGTGTTGAATGACATGGTTGATAATGGCTACTGGTGGTGATAGAACAGTGGGTTGAACGGCGGGGCGGCAGGGGGAAATTATCATCGATGGGGGAGCGGCAGATGGGGGGTGCGGCACGCGGGATAACCCTGACTTTCCTTCTCCTTTTTCACTTATATTGTGTTATATTCTCTTTATTATATTATATTATTACCGTTCTCATGCTTTCATATTAGTTGGTTCCTCGCTGCTATTCTCTTTGTTATCATCACCATCAGTACACACAATAGCCATGTCCATGTCTACTCTCTTCAACTCAAAGACATTCAATACCACCTACAAGGCCCACTTGGGGGTTCTTCTCGCCCTCTTCGTCATTTGTATGATTGTCCTCGTGGCATTGGTCCTCAGCCCTGTCAACAGAAGATCCGTCTTGCACTACAAGAAACGGAAGCAACAATTATACCCTCAAGAAGCGATTGCGGAGTATAGAGGAAACACCTACAACGATGGAACATCAATAAGGATGAGCACTCTCAATCCCGTAACAAGTGACAATCCATTCTACCAAAAGTCCTCGGACATATCGCGGCCCCTGAACATTCAAGGAGCACAGAGCTCAATAGAGGAACCTGTGAGCTTGGCTGTCGATCCTCGAGTGAGCCGTTGAGTGGGTGATTATTTCGTATTGGTTTCTGCTGCTTATTTCTTTGTTTTCTTTTCAATGGTGATGGTTTTAATCGGGAATGGATCTGTGGTTAGGTTGTTGGCGATGGAATATTGCTTATATTACAACATGATTTTATTTCTGAAAATAGTGTTGATTGATATATATATATATATATATATATATATCTGATACTCTCGTTAATATACATCTCAATACTCCTAAGCTCATAAAATCTAACAAACAACAACCACTAGTATATTGTAGTATAAACGTACCACCCGCACGGGTCTTTGGCAGACGACCGAAAAAAAAAAAAAAAAAAATGAGAGATGAATAAGAAGAAACGATTCCCAACTGTAATAATAGAGGGTGCACTCGAATAGAATATATACCCCAATAATCCATCCATGACACGAGGAGGCTATATCGCTCTAGGGCTCGAAGGATCAGCTAACAAGCTCGGGGTAGGAATCATCCGCCATCCAGAAGGGTCACCGGTGGCCCATCATACAGGGGCAGAGATCCTCGCCAATATCAGGGATACCTATATCACTCCTCCAGGAGAAGGTTTCCTTCCAAGAGATACGGCACGTCATCATAGGAACTGGATCGTCAGACTCATTCGGCGGTCGTTGGAGCAGGCAGGGTTAGCTTCAATCGACGATATCGACGTGATTTGCTTCACCAAGGGCCCTGGGATGGGGGCTCCATTACAATCGGTAGTAGTGATCGCGAGAACTTTGTCACTTATGTACAACAAACCGCTAGTTGGGGTCAACCATTGTATTGGGCATATTGAGATGGGAAGAGAGATCACCGGAGCTATTAATCCGGTGGTACTCTACGTGAGTGGAGGCAATACTCAGGTGATTGCTTATTCGAAGCAAAAGTACCGCATCTTTGGCGAAACTTTGGATATTGCCATCGGGAATTGCTTGGACAGGTTTGCTAGGATCTTGAAGATTCCTAATAACCCTAGTCCCGGGTATAATATCGAGCTATTGGCGCGCAAAGGGTTGACGAAACCTGAGAATTTCATTCAGTTGCCGTACACCGTCAAAGGGATGGATATCAGTCTTAGTGGGATTTTGGAACACATTGAGAACCTTGCAAAGAATAACGATGGTGGGAAATACGCTCCCCAAGACTTTTGCTTCTCTTTGCAAGAATGTCTTTTTGCAATGTTGGTGGAAATCACTGAGCGGGCGGTGGCCCACGTCAATTCGAACCAGGTGTTGATTGTTGGCGGGGTAGGATGTAATTTAAGATTGCAAGAGATGATGAAAATCATGGTCAGTGATCGTGATGGCTCAATCCACGCTACTGACGAACGGTTCTGTATCGACAATGGTATCATGATTGCCCATGCTGGGTTGTTGAGTTACAGAATGGGAGACCACGTCAAAGATTTGAGAGAAGCAGTGTGCTCCCAGCGATTTAGAACCGATAGTGTGTGGATTGATTGGAGAGACGATTAGTGGGGTTCAGGGTTTTTTTTTCACTATTGTTGTCACTATGGATTATCGTAATTGACTTATCGGGGGGTGGATATTTTGAAACTTATCAGTAGATATTTATCATACTCAGACTTTTCAGTAATATTTTCATGCGGCCAACAAACTTTCTGGAGCTTACTTTACTTATCATTAGTAATTTCCAAGGTATTGATCAATATCTACTTTTACGATCTTTCAGGTTATTCTTGGAAAAAAAAATATAACAGGTTATATAACCACAGTACAAGTTAAAAGAATGTGTGCTAATGATTAACTTTTGTAAGCAGTATGAGTGGGTAGCAGCATGTACTACATAATAGGCTAGCTTGACAAAAACATAACACATGTATGTGTGTGTGTGTGTGTGTGTGTGTGTGTGTGTGTGTGTGTGTGTATATATATATATATATATATATAGGTAACAAGTAATGAAAACCCCAAAAACTAATTCAAAAAAAAACAACCCTTTCGAGTATTTTATTATCTTTTTTTTTTTAGTCCCCACCCACTCTATCTTGTATTGTTTTGGTTTTTTTTTGTCATTTCAAGGTGAAAGAAAGATCGACATTACAGTATATTTTTTGGGTCTGAAATTTTTGCTCTTCGATCATTATTGCGGACGCCAAGTTTGTATTCTTTGACGGATAATAAGAATTTAGTTTTTCTAATTGATGGCAGTACCTACCATCCATAGCGAATTGGAAATTTGCTGTTTTGTATTTTTTTTGTTTTTTTTTCTGTTTTTACTGCCTAGATTGCTATGATACTATAGTATCATCATATATGATAAGCATTGCTGTAATAATAGAGCTATTAGATAATTACGGTACTTACTAATACTACCACGATTATCTAAATTATATATATGATTATCACAGCAGTAGATGATATTAACACGATGTTAGCCCGAAAATGGTCAAGTCGTGCTGCTTAGCTTGTCTAGTAATAATTGTGGGTGACCGTGTCGTAGTGCTATTCACTTATCAAACCTCTCTAAACTTTGAAACCTATCTTATCATGGAGGAAGAGCCCCCACACATTCTAAGACAAAATGAAACATGATGATCGACTAGTTTGTGATGATCGACTAGTTTGTGATGATCGACTGTTTGTGATGATCGACTAGTTTGTGATGATCGACTAGTTTGTGCTCATCATGGAAAATTCTTGGAATCTTTTGACTTGAGTTACGGATCTGCGTTACAACTAAGTGATATGCTTGAGGATTCTGTGTGACACATTAGCGATATTTAACCACCAACCATGGATAAATAACATACAAGGGGTAATGAAAAGATGAAAATAACATGTATAGCACAAAAAAAATAACGTATGGCAAAAAAAAAAAAAAAAGAAAGCAGTTATGATGCATATTAAAAATATAGTATGTTAAAAAAACGTTAAAAGAACCTAATAAAATCATCTATGGAGTGTAACTTTGTCCAGCATAGAATTGGGTATGTCATGCCCCACACTTTTTTTGATGATCGTCTCACTCAAAAGAAGCTGGACATTTTATGATAAAAAAAAAAGATCAACAAAAACAGAAAAAAAAAAAAAAAGAACCGTAAAATCATTTCAATAGCGTTATGATATCATTCATAACAAAAGTAAAGGCACAGGAGAAGAAAGGAAAAGAAAAAAAGATTTGCTTAAACAGTTTCGTGTTCAGAAACGTCGGTGGAATCAACCTTGGTTTCATCCAAGCTCTTGTCTTTATTTTTCCAGTTGGCAGAGTTCCATGGGTTACACTTCTTGTCCCCGTACATGAGATCGACTTCTTCCAAAGTCAAACCCTTAGTTTCGTAAACGGTGAAGTAGATGTAACCAATGGCAAAGGTCAAACACCCGGCAAAGATAAAACCGAAGGAAAAATGAATAGCGTTGGTGATGTATGGAGTGAAGAAAGAAATCAAGAAGTTCCACAAGAAAGAAGACAAGATACCGACAGATGAAGCCTTAGCTCTAATTCTGATTGGGAAAGATTCGGCCAAGATAACGTAACCAATGGCACCCCAAGAGGCAGCAAAGGCGGCGATAAACAAACAAGTGAGGAAAATCATGGCATTACCGACTGGCTTAGAAGAGGCTTCATCTCTACCGTTAGGATACAAGGCGACAACCCCCAAAATGGTGTAAATGTACAAGGCAATGGCACCGACAATGGACCCACCAATCAAGGTACTTCTTCTACCAAACTTGTCAACAAAATATAAGGAGAAAATGGTCGAGGCAAAGTTAACAACACCGAGGACAATCACAGTTTGGTAAGAGTCTTGTAAACCGACGGCAGCAAAAATGGTAGTACCGTAATAGAAGAAATAGTTGATACCAGATAATTGTTGCAAAGCCATAATCATGAAACCCATAACGACTCTTGGGAAAATCTTTGGCTTACCGGTGATCAATTCTTTCCAAGAGGCAGTGCCGGCAGCTTGTTCGGTCAAGATACCTTCTTCGATAGCCTTGTATTCTTCTTCGACAAATCTGGACTTCAATGGAACTTTGTTGATGTAGGCAATAGTTTCCTTAGCCTTGTCACCTTTACCAATTTCAGCCAAGTATCTTGGGGATTCTGGAACCACGATCCACACAAGAGCGAAAATCAAAAAGGCCCAAAGGAAATTCAAACCCATGACGATTCTCCATTGGGCAGCACCACTATTGTGTTCCTTGGTGGCGTAATCACAACAGTAACCCAAAAAGATGGCAAGAGTAAGGAATAATTGGAAAGAACAAACTAAAGCACCTCTGTACTTGGCAGGACTCAATTCACCACCAAACATTGGAGCGACACTGGCCAAGGCCCCTGACGACAAACCAGTGATAATTCTACCAATAAACATTTGGTACCATTTGCCATGGCCCGAGGTGATTTGAATAATGTTACCAACGACGTAAATAGAAAGGAAAATCAAAAGCGAGTATTTTCTACCAATGGTGTTAGCGAAACCAGATAAGAAGATACCACCGACACCACCACCAACGGAATAAAAGGCAATAATCAAAGATTTTCTGGTGGTAGTGAAGTAGTATTCACCAGTAGCGTGGTTCAATTGACCAAATCTTTCAATATAGTCAGGAAACCCGGTGATACCAGAAATGGTACCGGTATCGAAACCGAAAGTGAACCCCACAAAGGTGACGGAAAGCACAACCAAGGCAGCGAACATAAGAGAAGGAGCGGATTCATAGTCACCTTCAACCAAGGTGTGTTCACCAAACTTTTTTTTAGTTGGGGCTTCAGTAGAAGGTTCAGGAGTCCCGGAAGATGACGACAACATCTTTGGAGACTCTGGAGAAGGAGGAGTGACAACTTGTTCAGCCATTATGAATGGATGGATATATATTTCTCTAGTGATATATGATAAATATAGCTAAGAGGAAACAATAAAAGAAATGTATAGAACTGATAGAGAGAGAAAAGAGAACAGAAAAAGTATTAAATCTCCTCCACTTTTCAGCAAGGAAATATCCCGGATATTTATAGTTCAGCGGGTTGCCCCAGGATAATAAAAAAGAAAAAGAAAAAAAAAAAAAAAAGGGCCAGTCACCGCGCGCAGCAACAAAAAGCATCTCACTCCACGATCTTTTTTTTTTAACCCCTAATTTACTTTGGCTGGAACCGGAGTGAAAAATGAGATATTTTATCTATTATGTGAGACCAATAAAAGTAGAAAAGAAGATGGGGAAAAATAATAGATCAGTACCAACTGTTCAACACCGAGCCATGTTGTTTTGCAGTGCGCTTTCCATCTCCGTTGCTCTGTTTATTGCTACAAGTAGTTGCCGAAGGTGGGTTCCTTGCCCCATACCCTCCACACTGTACTCCATTCTCACCCCATCCGGGGCAATATTCGCGAAACAAGAAGTGTGTATGGGGGGTAATCACATAGAGTCTGGAGATGGCGCTTTTCCTTTGTTTCTTTTTCAGGAAAATTTTTTCTTGTTTTTGCGGAGCCCTCATGCAGGCAGCAGCACCTTTCCGGAAAAACTATGCAACCTTATTACACGTAACAGGTATCTATGTGGTGGTGGTGGGGGAGGGCTTTTTGTATTGGTGGGTGATGATTATTGTGGGATATCGTATATATATTTCATTATTGTCATCATATAGCTTCCATTCTTTTTTTTTTATTTGGCTACAGAGAGAATAAGCTATTCTAACCAAGGTTGTTGCTCATCGGGTGATATAATACTAATAAAGCCAGTTATTCCGATAATAACCCACGGAGAAACAACAACCTATGACGACGCTACTGATTATTGTGGGGGTGGAGTATCTCCACCACCCCAGAATATCTATTTACTTCTGATTTCTTAATGAAACCCACCGTTGTTGGAACAGGTGTTCCCAATTCAGCCTCGACGCTATTGTTTTTCCGATTTAAGGTTTGTTCTATTTTTCCAGCCAGCATGTTATTCCGTTAGAGGAGGGCCGCACTGGGAAAAAAAGAAAGGAGACAACGGAATAACACGGAGAAAAGATGATGATGATGATGGGTGGATAAAGGGTAGAAGAAGTTAAATGATATTATTGTTTAACTTGAGCACTCATCATTTGCAGAAATGTCTGTGTTTCTAAATACACAAGATCATTGGAGTCTCAATGTACAACATCCTGCGGGGTTTTTCCACCACATTAGTGTACTCGGACTTTTTCCGGCAGTGTTGATGGCCAATGGTATGGCTGGATGTCGGTTGATTTGACAATGCCGGGAAACAGCATAGTACTATTGTTATTACGGGTGTAATTATGCTGGTTTGGCTCGATATTACATGGAGAATAACCTGTAAAGTATTATTAACTCAAAAAGCTCGAACTATGTGAAGTTTCCACTTTATTACGAACCCCACTAGTTGATGAAAATTAGGCTCATGTAAAGTAAAACATAAAGATAAAAACTTCACCCCCCGCCATGTGTGAATTTTTCCAAAGACGTCAAATACTGGAAAAACTGGGGTCGTTACGAGATTGCTTGAAATTTCTGCAAAAAAAAAAAAAAAAAAAAAAAATGAACAAAAAAAAACAATTCCCTTCTCCAGACAACATCATCATGTAATTTTCCGAATCCCCAAAAACTCCTCTCCTATTGTTAATTAAATCTCATCAATTACACACCATCCCAGGAGGAGTTTCTTGGTTTGTATGTCATGGAGATGACTATTGATAGTACTTCTCACTGTGATAATAAACATACTAGGGTCACCCAATTTATATCACATTGATATCTTGAAAAAAAAAAAAGAAAGGAGAAAAAAGAACCACTGTAGATTGTTATTATTATTGTAATACTTCACTCTAATCCTATTTAGTTAAATAAGCTTACTTATCCAGCTTATCCTCTCTCAAATATCAACTGATCCACCTCCCTTACTTTCTATATTTATTATTGACGATACCTGTGTACACATGTTACCCAAATGGCATCCCAATATCAAATGTGTACACCATGAATCACTACTTTGGGAAAATGTACATACCTATCAGCTCTCTCAAGAAATTTTCAGTATAAATTTCTCAAGAGGATTAAAATGAGGATAGAAAACACAAGTAGTTTTTGATATCTTAATAGTTAATGCTATTAAATATTAAATATATCTTGAATTTTTTTTCGTTCCTGAGTTTGCTTAAATGGTAAGCTTAATTGAAGTAAAATGGGAATGAGCAAGGATATTAAAGCAATACCATTTGAAGCAATACTTAACTAACTAATAAATAAAAACAAAGAATAGCTAAAAGATATTATTGTATAAGATGAAAAAAGAACATCATTTTCAGGAAGCCTCTGAAAAGAATTTACCGAGCAATCGGACCTTCACTCAACGAATATTTCTGTCTACTCTCTCTGGAACCTAGAAGTTTAGCCTATGTCCTATTAGTCATTTTGCCCAAAGATCCTTACTTGGAATAATCACACTAAATGTTCTTTTATTGCCCTTAGTCTGTCAATCAACAAACTTTTTTGACAGCCGCCCGCTGGACCGATAGGCCCGACAAACCAATTAATAAGGGGACTACGCCCATAGATGACAACAATATAAACACACTGTGCAAAAACTAATTATTGACCTTATTATAGATAATATATTTATTATTCTATTGATAAAAATAATAATAATATATATATTTATATATATATTGCTTGACTAATCCCTGGGTGCTTATTGGCCCATCAGCTGGCTCCTAACGACAATTTTTCACCGCCTGAAAAAAAAAAAAAGCAATTATTAGTCATACCGCTATCGGGGACAATCACATATCATCCATATATATAACATCAAATCATTATTCTGTATATTGAAATATTCGCATTTCTATTAGGACCTCCGCCTGATTTACTTTCTTTCAATTATACACACTACACAAACTTCAACAACAACAATGTTTGGTGCCAACGCTGTTTTGAAGAGAAAATTCTCGACTCAACGAGTTGCCAGAGATGCTGTCAAGAAATATAACAAATATTCGTCCATTATCACAACACCAAAGTCCCAAGGGGCCTCGCAAGCCATGTTGTACGCCACTGGTTTCAAAGAAGACGATTTCAAGAAACCTCAAATCGGGGTTGGTTCCGTATGGTGGTCCGGGAACCCTTGTAACATGCACTTGATGGAATTCAACAAACTTTGTTCAGACTCCGTCGAAAAGGCCAACCTCAAGGCCATGAGATTCAACTCCATCGGGGTTTCTGACGGGATCAGCATGGGTACCGATGGGATGAGATACTCTTTGCAATCAAGAGAAATTATTGCCGACAGTTTTGAAACTATCACGATGGCCCAACATTACGATGCTAACATTGGGATCCCAAGTTGTGACAAAAACATGCCGGGGGTTTTGATTGCCATGGCCAGACACAACAGACCTTCCATTATGGTATACGGTGGTACCATCTTACCAGGTGTGGGGAGCTGTGGTCAATTCAACAATGAAAAAATCGAGTTAGTGGCTGCTTTCCAATCATACGGTCAATACATCTCGAAACAAATCACCGAAGAAGAAAGAAAAGATGTGGTTTCGCACGCTTGTCCTGGTGCTGGATCTTGTGGGGGTATGTACACCGCCAATTCCATGGCCAGTGCTGCCGAAGTCATGGGGATGACTTTACCAAACTCGTCATCGTACCCTGCCGTCAGTAAGGAAAAAAGATTAGAGTGTGAGAACATTGGGGAAGCCATCAAGAAATTGATCGAAATGGACCTCAAGCCAAGAGACATCATGACCAGAGAAGCTTTCCTTAATGCTATCACTTATATTGTGGCCACTGGGGGTTCTACCAACGCTTGTTTGCACATGGTTGCCATGGCCCACGCTTGTGGTGTCAAATTGACCCTTGATGATTTCCAAACTATTTCTGATAAGACTCCATTGTTGGGTGACCTTAAACCATCGGGTAAATACGTGATGGCCGATTTGCAAAAGATTGGGGGTACTCAAGCAGTTATGAAGTTCTTGCTCAATGAAGGTTTCCTTTATGGTGATTTGCCAACCGTCACCGGTAAGACTTTGAAAGAAAACGTTGCCGAAGCCGCGGATTTCCCAAGTGGTCAAGACATTATCAGACCAGTTTCTCAACCAATCAAGAGCACTGGTCATTTACAAATTCTTTATGGTTCTTTGGCCCCAAGAGGTTCTGTGGGTAAGATCACTGGTAAGGAAGGGACTTATTTCAAAGGTAAGGCCAGAGTTTTTGAAGAAGAAGCATCATTCATCAAGGCTTTGGAACTCGGAGAAATTAAAAAGGGTGAAAAAACCGTGGTTATCATTAGAAACCAAGGTCCAAAGGGTGGACCAGGGATGCCGGAAATGTTGAAACCTTCTAGTGCCTTGATGGGTTACGGTTTGGGTAAAGACTGTGCTCTCTTGACTGACGGTAGATTCTCTGGTGGTTCTCACGGGTTCTTAATTGGTCACATTGTCCCAGAAGCTTACGAAGGTGGTCCAATTGCCTTGGTTAGAGATGGTGATGAGATTGTCATTGATGCCGACAACAACACAATTGACTTGTTGGTTGACGAGTCTATTGTTAAGGAAAGAAAATCCAAGTGGGTTCAACCAAAGCCAAAATACACTAGAGGCACTTTGGCTAAGTACATCAAGTTAGTTTCTGACGCTTCTGATGGTTGTGTCACTGATGCTTAAGTTTTGTTGTTTCTCGTTTCACATTTTATTTTTAAGAGCCAAGTGTTTGTAATATATATACTAATGTCATGCATGAAGTTTTGTTATCGATTTAAAAGGTTTTGGAATGCTTTTGAAAGAGTTTGGAATCGTGTAGGTGACAACCATCCACCATATTTAGAGCATTCTCTGGATTACATAATACTTGTCTACTGGTTTTGTAATACGTAACCTAACGCTTATATAATCGATAGCAAATGTGATGAAACCCGTCAGGTTGGAGCATCCTGTTTCGCTTATATAATCTGCCAGCGAGTGATTACCTCACCTCTAACATGTGATTACATAAGATAGTGATTTTTCGCTATTTTCGTTTAAATTTTCAACCATCACCTTTGAAAAAAAAAAAAAAAACGCCTTCACTCACTCCATTTTTGTGAAACATTGTTTATCGAATATCACAATGTCTGAAGTGTATTCTGCCTCCGTTACTGCTCCAGTGAACATTGCCACCCTCAAGTACTGGGGTAAGCGCGACACAAAGTTGAATCTCCCAACCAACTCGTCCATATCTGTCACCTTAGATCAAGCTCACCTTAGAACCTTGACCACCGTGTCTACTGGTCCACAATATCTCGCTTCGAAATTATACTTGAATGGTCATGAAGAAACTTTGAACAAGCCACGTTTGGTTGCGGTGTTGATGACCCTCAAGGAACTTCGTAAAGAAGTGGAAGCTAAGGACCCAACCTTGCCAAAATTCAGTGATTGGAACTTGTTGATTGTTTCTGAAAACAACTTCCCAACCGCTGCGGGGTTGGCTTCTTCTGCCGCGGGGTTGGCAGCCTTTGTCACTGCAATTGCTAAATTGTATCAGCTTCCTCAATCATTCTCGGAAATCTCCAAGATTGCCAGACAAGGTTCAGGTTCAGCATGCCGTTCGCTTTTTGGAGGGTTTGTCGCCTGGGAAATGGGAGAACTTGCCGATGGTAGTGATTCCAAGGCTGTGGAAGTGGCTCCAAAGTCTCACTGGCCAGATATCAAAGCGGCAATTTTGGTGGTGAGTGCTGATAAGAAGGACACCTCGTCGACCTCGGGGATGCAAATCACCGTCAACACTTCGGATTTGTTCCAATACAGAATCAAGGAAGTGGTTCCAAAGAGATTTGTGGACATGAAGGACGCCATCTTGAAGAAAGATTTCAATGCGTTTGCTGATATGACCATTAAGGACTCGAACTCTTTCCATGCAGTTTGTTTGGACTCCACCCCACCAATCTTTTACATGAACGACACTTCCAAGTCCATCATCAAGTTGGTCAACTTGATCAATGATCAGAGCATTGCCAATGGTGAAGGTTTGATTGCAGCATACACTTATGATGCTGGTCCAAATGCCGTCATTTATTATGAAGCCAAGAACGAGGTCAAGATTTTGAGTACTTTGTACAAGTATTTTGGTGAATTGCCAGGCTGGGAAGCTCTTGATGATGCATTGTTAGCTGGGGTCAAGTCGGTGGAAGGCCCAATTATTGGGGAAGATGCGTTTGCTGCTAGTGATTTCGATGTTTCAAGATTGATCTTGACTGGTATTGGTGAAGGTCCTCAAGATACTGACGTCAGTTTGATCGATGAAAAAGGTGAACCAAAATTCTTGACCGCTTAGGTATCTATAACAATACTTCTTGCTTTTCTCCCATTAGTTATATTCATAGAATTTCTTAATATCCTTTGTCTTTTTTTTTTTTTTTTTTTTTAGTTCTAAGAATCTGCTTTCTTCTTTGTTAATCTATTTTGTTACAGCTATTTAATATTTGCATAATCTACTGGTAACTTGTAATCTACATATTTTTGCAACACTCAACTAGTCATTCAGTGTCATTTATTATCATATCAATAAAGAAATCAAAAATAAAATGCTCCCATTAAGCACTGGCCGCAGCAATAGCCTTTTCAGCAGTAGAGGTGGCAGATTGTGGGTTGACACCGGTGATGAATCTCCCATCGGCAACTGTGAAATCATCCCATGGACCAGCTGGTTCGACATAAGTCCCATTATCACGTTCCACCAAGGTCTTAATGGTGTCCAAATTGTATTTCTTCATGGCGTCGTCAGCTCCGGCTTGAACTTCACCAATATCCGTGAACCCGGTGGCCTTCTTACCGCTGAAGAATGGCTTCTTGGTAATTGGGTCTTCCAAACCGGCGAAGATTGCTGGACCATGGCACACAGCTGCTGCCACCCCATTATTAGCGTAAATGTCAACAAACAATTTTCTCAAGGTAGCTTCTTTAGGATACCACATGGCCCCATGGCCCGCAGCGGCAAAGGCAATTTTATAGTCTTTTGGATCAACGTCAGCAGCGGACTTGGTGTTCTTGAGGGCCACGTTAAATTCAGAATTGGCATCACGGTACACTTTGCCATCGTCACCGACTAAGAAGGCGTCGATAGTGGAGTGTTCATCAATCCCGTAGTGACCATCTTCAGAGACAATGTCGACTTGATACCCAGCCTTTCTGAAGGCGTTGAATGGATGAAGGGCCTCAATGTAGAAGAGCCCGGTTTTGGCGCCATCGGCGTAGAAAGCACCGTGGTATGAAGGAATAGCAAGCAATACTTTGGACATGTTGTGTAGATGATTATTCGAATATTTGTTTAATTTGAGTATAGGGTTGAGCTAAAATGATGCGAATTTCGAGAAAAGTTTTTGGCATAGCAACCTTATATAATGATACCCTGCGCTGACAAATTACTAAGCGGCTGGAATAAAATTATTCGGACTTTATTAGGCGGGAAACGGTGCAAAATTCTTGTGCCGAAAGAGGAAAAGTTTGCAACAGAGATTTGTCAGATTTGTCAGATTTGTCAGATATTTGAATGGGGCAAATATTATCATTGAAAGAAAAATATTAAGAAGAGTACTCGGCGACAATATTAGACTTTTGTTAGGGATAATAGTGATTCAATGGTGTGCTGGCTCTTCTTAGAAATGCGTTTAGTGTGTACTGTGAAACTGGAATGGTATTGACTATTTTGATAAATTAACAACAAAGATATATATATATATATATATATATATAATTGGGAGTTTGGGGATTTTCATTACCCAATAAAAATCTCTGACGATCATCTAGGAATTCTTTTTGTAGACAAAAATGGTATATATGAATAACTTGCCTTGGAAAAGTACATGAATCAGAGAAATTCAATGCATAGTAACTAATCTGTGTAACACATAATTCGGTATACTTCGTAGCCATCAGAGAAAAGGATGTTGAGGTTGCAAACTTTTACTTATTGTTTGTTGATAGGAACAAAATATGGAAATACTAGAAGATAATTTTGAATGAATTATCCAAGAAATTATTATACGATAAATGAGGATTCGATGTTTTATTCTCGAACAACACCTAATATAGTCACTGTTTCAACAAAGGACAAGGTGGTTTTATTATGCAATAGAATAACTAGTGATTGAAATTTCTCCAAATAATTGATATTTTCACAGGCTACCAATGTATATTTCGAACCGACAGTATGAATGGCTACCACTTCATGAAGTTTCTTTCAAAATCATAGATTTATTTCAGCGCTGCTTTTCCAGTATTCTACATTTACTTGAATGCTCCACGACTGGTTGGTGAATAACTTACATAGATAGAATCAAATTAAGTCATATCAACTTCGTGTAATTTCGTAATATAATAAATAATTGGGGTATATGTGAAGATTATCACATCGATAAAGGTCGAAAGAAAAGAACATGAGAAAAGTAAAAAAATAGGAGAACCCTGCTAAAAAAAAAATCGTAAACATAAAAAATAGATGAAAAGTAAGTTGAAGGTGACACAGTTGAAACCAAGAATATCCAAGTATACTTGTGTTACCTTCTCTTTTTTTAGTAAAAAATCATTTCTCAAGCAGAAACAACGTACAATCCAACACCAGTACCACCAGTACAAGTGGAGTTAAAGGTCAAGGACCATTTATTTTCACCCGAAGGACAAGCAGAAAATGCTTCGGCATCATTGTAAGACAAGGAGTTTTCTTCGATCTTGAACCCAGTAGATGGTGTTTGTCCTTCACCAACGAGTCCGACTTCGCCGGTACTTGGGTCAACGTACACCCCTCTACCATTAGCATTGGTCAATGAACTATCGGCTTTCATTGTCAAGTTGACATACTCCCCTTCGGAGCCAGCAACCGAGAAAACGTGTGGATGGGATTCGACCTCATAAACACCGGCGTATTGGAAAGCACTGCCAGAGTGGATGGTGACAAGACCGAAATATTTTGGTTCTTCTTCTTCACGCTTGACTGGGGCAGCGAGGCCAGTGGCCAACAAGGAGAAAAGAGTAGCGGCAGTAAGGAACTTCATGGTGATTGTTTGTATTATTAGTGTGTAGTTTTGGTTTATTTGTTGATGTGTAAAATTGAAGAGAACGAGTTGAAAATGAAACTATGACTTTCATCAATATTTATACCAGTTATTGATTGTTGAGTGCTAAAATTAGTCAAAGAAGTATGATGTAATTTTGCGGTAAATTTTTGTTATGATCGCCATCATCGTTACTACTGTTGTTGTTCTTACCATCCATAATATTGTAATGCTGTTATTTTTAGTAATTTATGGTTATGCAGGTACACCAAAATGGAAAAAGAAGAACAATAGGATATTTTTAGCAAATGACCATCATCATCCATCAACAGCAATGTTGTACAACAACAGGGTACTGGAGTTAACTCCTCATTAAAAATTGGTTATGACTAAAAACCTCTTGGCTGACGTATGTATTTATTAAACAAACAAACAAAATAAAGAACCCCAAATCACGGAGAGAAAATGGCGCAGACGTCATGTACACAGAAGGTGGCTATCCTTGAATGACCCCATAAATGGCAAAGTTTGTGATTTTTTTTGTCTGTTCAGTCGGTTACTTCATAACTTTCGGCTCGGATGCAACTGTCGCAGGCTCCACTTCCACAACTTGCCACTATCATAACTACAACACCTTTGACAGCTTGCCATGACCCGAAGTTTGCAAAGATTTGTTCCTTGTCATTTTCTCAATCGGTAGCCGATCTTTTTTTTTCTTTTCTTTTGCTACATTACAATAGTAACAGTATTTTAGGTGTCCCGTCCCCAAAATACCACCAACAACTACTTATAACCACTTTTATTCCTAATTACATGATACATTCACAAGTTACATAATCAGCCACCTACCTTTAATTGTTGATCAACTCTTTGACACTCTTTACCCCGACACAAGGTTCAAACGCCTTAGTTTTCGACACCAAGTCGTAAGACCCATTATTGTTCAACAAATTCTTCACCACCCCGAAATTGAAATTTAACTTGGCAGTATTCTTGCTCAAAATGCTGCTAGATTGGTCAATGACTTGGTAATCTCCTCTGACAATCCCTTTGAAACGAATAGACGATAATGCTTCGGAATCTTTTGGAATCCCACCCATGGCATAATTCAACACACGTAAGTCCTTGGTCAGTGGCATCACAGATGAATAACGTAATAGACTCTGTGGGGTCAAGGTTTCTGGAGTATACTGGGTTGGTTTACTGTAGGCAACCATTTTTGGTGGTGCGGCAACACGGCGCTGGCCCTGTCTAGAATTTTTTGGCTTAGAAGCTGATTTCTTGCCACCACCGACAAACTTCCCTGGGGTGGTATGGTTGGCGTCCATCACGTCCATATTGTCTTTGGCAAACCTCGAGCTTTTGTTGTTGGATCTTGGGGCGGCAGTTCTCTTGTTTGGTTGCTGGCCATTCTTTTGACTGTTAGGTTTGTTGTTGTTAAATTTTCTGTTGTTGTTGTTAGTTCTGTTGTTGTTGTTGTTGTTAGTTCTGTTATTATTATTATTTCTATCAGCCTTGTAGGTGTTGTCTCTCTTTTTGGCTGGTCTTTTCGACGTTGGCTTTGCGGTGGTTTCTGTCACTTTGGCCAAGATCTTGTTCAAGAAGTCTTTGTCTACTTCGGCAGAGGTCTTCAACGAGGTGTGGATCCCTCTTTTCAACACAGCCAGGATCATTATAGGTATAGTTGATTGACAGATGGTGATACTGGCGATCCGTTTGGTGGTTGTTTGATTGGAGAAAAAATTTGATGTTTGTGGAAGATTGAAAATTCGATGGTACCCGGACATTCTTATTGTTGACACTGGCGGGTGGCACTCGCATATCGATCAAACAACAAAACAACCGCACGTCCGTCCGCTATCTGATGGATATATCTATTATTGTCATCTATTATCTAGTGCAATATCAATATCTACTATAATATCCCATGCTACTCCAAAACATACTATTTCTCTTTCTCAGTCTCCCGTTTTTGGCATGGTCTGCCCCAGTCGATGACCCACCAATCACCCACGAAGTTTGGTTCGACATATCCCAAGGCGAAGAATCACTCGGAAGAATCACTTTGGGGCTCTTTGGTACAGTGGTTCCTAAATCGGTCGAGAACTTCGTGGCGTTTGCCGAAGGTTGGAATGGAGTGGGCTACAAGGGCACCATATTCCACAGAATCATCAAAGGGTTCATGATCCAAGGGGGTGACTTTGAACGGGGAGATGGTACCGGGGGTTACTCAATCTTTGGCAAGAAGATGCCGGATGAGAACTTTGCTCTCGAGTTTAAGAAACCAGGATACCTTGCCTACGCCAACTCCGGCCCAGACTCCAATGGGTCGCAATTCTTCATCACCACCGCGATCACCGATTGGTTAAATGGCCACCACGTTGTGTTTGGTAAAGTCATTGATGGATTGAAGACTGTAGCCACCACTGAAAACGTCAAGACCGGGCGTAATGATAAACCAGTAGTCGACGTGGTGATTTCCGATGTGGGGGTAAAGAAGTTGGAGGTTAGTGACACCGACGAGGCCGATTGGGAACAATCAACCAAACCAGTTGAAGCCAGTCATAAAGGATGGGTATTATTTGTGTTGTTGATATTTATTGGGATCACTATTTATGGTATCCGGTTGAGAAGTTTGCAAGCCAAAGAAATCAAGGAAGAAATCGAGTTCCACAGAATTTGATCTTCTTGGTTGCAGTGCTTTATGTGTTTTATTTCAATTTGATTATATATATTATTTCATGATGTATATATTATTTCAATTCGTATTTAATGGCTACATATTGTTTGATACATTTTGGTCATTCCAGCAAAATATTTTTAAACATCAGAAACAGTGGCACCATCCACGACATTATTGTAAATATCAAATCTTCTTTGATAATTGATTGGAATGCCCTGTCTGACCTTAGTGATCAATTCGGGATCCAATTGGGCGTACACAATCTCTTCCCCTTCGCCAGCCTCGGCAATGATTTTCCCATATGGATCAACAACCAAAGAGTGGCCATATGCATGGTACCCCGAGTTCAAATCTCTTGCTGGCGAACAAACAATAGTGTAGATTTGGTTGTCGATGGCCCTGGCTCTGGCAAGTAAATGCCAGTGCAATGGCCCGGTGGTGGTGTTGAAGGCACCAGGATAGATCATGGCAAACGAGTCATTAGGAGATCTTGCAGCAATCTGGGCCAATTCAGGGAATCGGATATCGTAACAAATACCCAAACCAACTTTGCCGAACCCATCAAGGTCGTACACCGTAGCCTTGTCGCCCCCGGTCAAAGTTATCGATTCTTTAAAAGTGATCCCTCCTTTGATATCAATATCAAACAAGTGAGCTTTTCTATGTTTACCAACGATCTTACCTTGAGGATCAAAAGTCACAGAAGTGTTGTAGATTTTGTCGTTGGTCTTATCTAACTCAGGAATCGACCCCCCAACCAAGAAAATCTGGTGTTCTTTGGCAATTGCCGAGAGGAACTGGGTGGTTTCCCCATCAGGAATGGTTTCTGCGTAATTACGGAACTCACTGACTGAATAAGGAGAGTTAAAACATTCTGGCAACACCACCAAGTCCAACTTGTTTTTAGACTCCCCGATGGCCTTCAAAATATGGGTCTTGAAATGGTTCAAGTTCTTTGCCTTATCGAACCCAGCGGACAATTGGATAAGGGCAACGTTAAGAGTTTTTTTTAAGGGAGCAGCAATGGCGGACATTGTGAATGGATGATGCGATGTGATATTATTATCGATGAAGGATAAAAGAAGGAAAGAATGGTAATTTTTGACTCACCGATGATAATAATTGGGAACAAATATAGAGGGTGCAGCACCCCATTACACAGCGATCGCCATCACAAAATCTCGCCAAAAACTGCGTGAGTTGACGAAGCAGCACCTTATTATCAGTGGAGATCCGATCATCGCAAACCATGTTAAATCGCCACTTAGGTCGCCGTCTATTATCAACACGCTCCATTCCCCATAAGGTCCCGGTCCACCTCGAGTTCGACCTCCACCTTCCTGCCAACTCCTCGCCTTCGTCGCATAATGAACCATTGATTCTCCTTCATGGGCTCTTTGGATCCAAGCAAAACTACAAGACCGTGGGCAAACACCTCTCAAACAAATTAAACGCACCAATCTATGCAGTGGACCTCAGAAATCACGGAGATTCTCCGCACTCTTTGCCGTTCGACTATTCCGCAATGTCTCAGGACATAAAATTCTTTGTCGAAGAACAGGGCCTCAACGACGTCACCATCATTGGTCATTCCATGGGAGCCAAAGTGGCGATGTACCTGGCCCTCATGCTCCCCAAATACATTAAAAGACTTGTTTCTGTTGATAACTCCCCGGTATCCAAGCCTTTAGGATTGAACTTCTCTCGTGATTTGGAGGGAATGTATCATCTTGAGGTATCACAACTGGTCCTCAAAACCGATAAGAAATGGCGGGACAAAGGTTTGAAATTCTTGGAGAAATACGAACCCGATCCAAAAGTTCGACTTTTCCTCATATCTAATTATATCAACAAGGTGTCGAAGTTCAATTACCACGATGCTATTAGTGATCAATACGCCCATTTCAAGATCCCGGTGGCCCAGTTACACTTGCAAGATGGGATCCAAGCCATTGGGGATTTCCCGGAACACGAAATCTCTAAACGGAAGTTCAATGGGCCTAGTTTGTTTTTGAAAGCTCGTAATTCAGATTTCATCACCCAGGATACGGTGCCAATGATTTATCATTATTTCCCTCGGACCTCAATGAAAACTTTCCCCACCGGTCATTGGCTTATTAGTGAACAACCACAAAAGTTTATGGAAACTCTCATTAGTTTTATTAAACTGACATGATACTCCTTGATACAGCATTATAGAGCATATATTAAAATTCAAGCATTGTATATAGTTTCAATTACAATTCATTACATTAAAATGGTCAGGTTTTCCAAGTAATACACACACACTCATTTCTCCTACAAGGGTTGGGAATGTTGAGTTCATGATAAAATTTTCATTCCACTTACACTTGTATCGCTCATAAATTATGAGTCAAGTAATGACAATAGCGTCTCCTATTTAATGTTTGATGTGTAGGTATTAAAAATGCATAGGTAAATAAACGATTTAAGATATTAATATCTTATAAGTAAAATCATAAAAGGTAAAATGGTATCGTAATTAAAAAAATGAGTGTTTTTACAATAAAAATTTCTTTTTGGCCTGCTTTATTTCATGTTCCACTGATTCTATTTCAAAACTTCTTTGATCAAGTTCACCGGAAAGAGTTTGTTTCAACTTCACCAAATCTGTAGCCTTGCTAGTCGGGAAATAACTCAGCAAAAAATCTGCTTCATCACCACTTTTAAAGCTGTTTGCCAACGATATAGAAACCCATAATTTTTTCATTGCCAATTTTTCTTCTAGGCTTTTCAATTGCAATTGCTTCAACTCAATGAAATTGACCAATTGTGCGTCCTTGTATTCATTTAGACCGTTCAACATATTAAAAATCTTTAATTTATTTTCCTGTATCAGGCTCCCCAACTGTTTCAGAAGCCCTCGTAGTCGATTGTTCTCGGTTTCAATATCTTTTAAGGCGTTGAATAAGATATCTTCCACCTCTTTGTTGATTTCGAAATTTTTGATACTCGTCTCATTTATCGCCTTGATGATCTTTTGATTGTTCATGGTATACTTATGGAGTTTCTCTCCAAGTTTATTGAAGTTATTTTGCATCACAACCAATTCGATCTTGAGATTCTCCAAATTTTGTCCATCCGCTTTCGTATTACTGGTAGTTTCTTGATGACTTTGGAGTTCAAGAATCTGTTCAAGTTGCAACCGGATGATTTCGTGCTCATTCACCACAGAGGTCAATTGGGTTTGTAGCGACTCCGTATGGTTGACCTTCTGGTTACTGGTGGTCATTAACTGGATGATTCTTCTATCATTCGGGCCGATTTGTGCTTCAGATTCCTCAATTTTCCGCCGATGCTCACGTACCAGATCTTGGCCATTGGTAACTTGTCGTTGAAACTCCTGGTGGATTTCTTTCTTGAAAGTTTCAATACTCAACACCTTTTGGGTTCTGTTATAGTACTCCCTTGCCACGATGAATACCACCGATAAGATTATCAGCAGCAAATAGAACATGCTAAGAGGGGGGGAAAAAAGTATTCTTTAGAACCACAGGATAATTGATAAAGGACAATAAGTGGCCATTACCATGATAATGGAAGAGATCAGTTTGGAAAAGACAAAAAAAAAAAAAATAGGAAGGTGGGGGCAAAAATATGTCAAAATAACTGGGCTGGTTGATTGATTAGAGGAACCAAAAAAAAAAAAAAAAAAAAAAAAATTGCAGAAAAAACCTGCAGATGGCTGGACATCCAGAATAACGATATGGGTTTTGAGTAAATGAAATTGGAGTCTGACGAATTTACTGATCTACATCTGAGCCTCAGGCGGTCTATTTCATTATAATTGAAGATCCAATGATTGAATTTCCATTATTGAGTACAGGTCACTCAAAATACCTTCTCATTCCTCAAATTTAAATGTGGAAGTCGTTGTAGAATCAGTTCTCTAAAAAGTTCAAACTCAGCCTTGTCGTCCCAATAAGAAAACTATATGTAACCAAAAAGTCATGATTATTTTACTTATCAATTTGGCATCAAAGACCTATGTTTTGTTGAGTGTTTCATAGTAAAATATCCGACGATCAGTGGTATTACAACATCCAAACTACTATGTTGTAATTCAAGGTAATATTATTCGTACATGAATTCCATCCCCATCTTCGACGCGTCCGATTGATAACTTTAATACCGGTAAGGGGCTCCAAAAGCCTATCCATGATTTCAAAAATAGTCTCATTGGTGAAATCAATACCCCACGAGCTGCTGAATAATCTCTTATTATGAGGGAATCTGCTTTCCAAAACTGAGACGCGAAAGCGAAGTCATTGACATTCTAAATAGGTAAATAAGAGGCGAATGATGCAATGCTAAACTAATATTTACAATTTAATCTCTGTGGTACATTTTCTGAACTCATGGGATCTTTTGTATTTCCTGGCTGCCAACAAGTTGCAAGAGAAAAACAAAGAAGTTGATGAAAAATATTGGATCTCGGGACAGAATAAGGAATTATGTGCCATATTATTAGGCACAAGTTTATTCCAATTGGATAAAAGGCATGTAATTTTAAAATATTAGGTGGATCTATTAATACCTGAACCACTCATGGATATCAATGGCCATGATATTTAGACAATAATCCAGTCTACTTAATACCACAGTTATGCACTATACCATTATGGAGGTATTATCAGATGTTTGGGTTAATCTGCGTACACCATAGGTGCAGTATCAATAGGTGTTTGGGTTAATTTACATATACCATTTTAGCGGTGCCTATTATGTGCCCCTATTACACCATTATGGAGGTATTTATAATATTACATCCAAACACCAAACAATCCTTCGAAATGGTATATGCAGGTTAACCCAGACATCAAAGTATGCTTGTTGTTTATTACAAAGTTTGCACAAGATTCTAGGCTTCTAGGCTTTGGGCATTCAACAAAATATAGAATTACTGGGTGCTATAAAAGTGCTTCTTCTAGAATTTAAAAGGAACATTGAACATAATAGGGGAATCTTATGGTATGATTTTTTTTTGTGTGAGCAGACAGGAATGAAAAAGGTGCCATGCTTTATTATTACAACTTCTAAACTATCATCTTTTAATTAAAAGTGGAAATGGTAAGCATAGCTCGTCTCCATCTTCGAACATTCAACTGCCAACTTGCACACTGGTAAGAAACTCCCAATGTATCTTCATAATTTAAAAAATGAATTCATTGGGGAAATTAATACCCATGAATTATCAAACAATCTAAATGACGTTCTTATTTCTAAAGAATCTACCTTCTAAGGACTTAATGAGGAGTTGGATTCGGTCCCCAAAAAGGTAGTCCATAAAGCAGTTTTAGAAGCCGACTTGCAGTTCATATTCAGTATCTGTTGGTTACATCAAAAATGTACTTCACCCTCCCAGGTTTCACTTTCCGTGTTTGAAAAGTGAGAAAAAGTGCAAGGTTGCAGATACGGACATCTTTGGAAATGGTTTTAAATACCTAGCTATGGTTGTTTTTGGCAAATCAGATATCTTAGCTCAAATATATAGAAACGACATTGTTTTGGCAACAACAACAGTGAAATCCAAGCTTCCAGACATCACCAATGTTTCAGAAAATGTCAACTAATACCATAAGGCAATCCAAACAAAAAAATATGATACTCCAGACAAGGACAAAGAAAACGAAAACGATACAAAGTTTGAGGATAACACAGAATTCCAAATGGTCTGCAAAATTAAAATCTGCTCAAAGCATCACCTCTTTCCTAATCATGTTGAAAATATTTGCCTATTACAATGTTAAAACATGTATCCTCTATCTTGCAAAAAGCTCCGCACACTGTAACCGTACCTGTATTGAAATGATCAAACCAGGTAGCTGTTTGACTTCTCAACTCCATCTGCAATAAATAGCGATTTCCTATCAATAACCTAGCCATAAAATCAGACAATGGATCCCCAAAATTGACGCAATTGCTCAATGACTAATTCCATTGGACATGAAATTTCGGCACCTTTTCATCATGAAAGTGAAAATGTAATAATAATAATAATGAGTAGAGTGACTTTCAAAAAAAAAATAATAAAAGTCCTCCTCAATTGAACACCTCGTCCATTAAATTATTAACTAACCTTTCATTTTCAGTGCCCCCACTTTCCCCATTCTTTGAACTGCGAACTTTTGCTGCCGCTTCTTCTAATGCCCGGTTATCAACCAGATAGTGCAAAGCAACCAAATACCTTCCTTTGAAGTTGAACCCATTTAAATGTTCAATCGCCTGTTTTGTCTTGGCCAAGTCATCAAACACCACAAAACAATTACCTTTCAAGTGATTTTCCACTCCTTTTCTAATCTGCAATACCGTGCCAAACTTCGAACATAAAGTGAACAAATCGGTAGGAGTGGCCTCGAACGGAAGGTTCTTGAGAAGCATTATAGGAAATCCTGATTTCTGTGGCTTTGACATTGTGTGATTGTTCAACTTTATAAAAAGTGCAGGATCCTTCATTTCCCAATTTTTTTTTTTTCTTTCTTGTTTTCAATATTTTAACGGAGCGATTACATAATCTGCCTATACACATTACATAATCTTTGAGTTCCTTCAAAATAACCAAAAAATTCCCCAAAAAATTCCTTCCAGCGACCTTCTCGTTGCTCCACAATTACTCGGTGGATTTATCATGGATAGCGGTGGCAAATCCCAAGTGAACATCCCAGCAGGCTCAGAATGGCGGTTTGAAGTTGATTTTTCGCAAGAATTAACAATCAAGGTCGTGTCAGGAGTGGTGGAGATCAACGGTACCGAGCTTCCAAATAACTTTGATTTGAAATTTAAAGGAGTTAAGCTATCGATATTCTGCTACCAGGATAGTATCATTGAGTACTATGGTACTTTTTCCTCAGAGTACGTTTCTGATGAGAGCGTGGTGCCCCAGTACGTGGCGTTGCACTTTGCCTTGCAAAATTTCAGAAATAAGGCCGCCACCAACAACAACCTCAATGCTCCTAGAGTATTGGTAATTGGGGGAAAAGACTCAGGAAAAACTACGTTACTGAAAGTTCTTGTGAGTTATGCGGTGAAAATGGATAGTTTTCCTATGGTGGTCAACTTGGATCCTCAGGAAGGAGTGTACACGATGCCTGGGGCTCTCAGTGCAACGGTGGTGAACGATGTTCTTGATGTTGAACAGGGCTGGGGTCAGAGTATATTGAGTGGTGCGTCTGCTTTCCATCCAACTCAACCAGCTGTTACATACTACGGCTACGACCATATCAATAGTAACCCAAGCTATTATCGATATAATATCCAGAAATTGGCGAGCGTGGTAGATAAAAGATTGGAAAATGACGAAATGGTCCGTCAGACAGGAGTCATCATCGATACCCCAGCATTGACCAATAAGGACTCTTCGTTGATCGAAGAGATTGTCGAGGCGTTTAGTGTTAATTTGATCATTGTTTTGGGAAACGAGCGATTATTCATCGATTTGAAGAAGACCTTTTCGGAAAAGATTTATGAATCATTAGATGGGCAAAAACAATTCTTCAACGTGTTAAAGTTCTCAAAATCTGGAGGCTGTGTCGATAAAGATGATGCGTTCATCCGAGCCCGTCAGCAACTGTTGATCAAGCAATACTTTTATGGTGACAGAAAGCAGGTACTAAGTCCGTACACCATCACCTCCATCGATTATTCGCGACTATCAGTGTACCGAATTGTTGAAAGCAATAAGGTGAATACCACTTCCGCCACAGATAACTCCGAAAACTTGGACGCTTCTTCAGTGTTACCAATTGGTATGGACGCAGAGGAAAAAGCATTGCTTGAGGAACTTGAACAATCAAAGGCCGATGCCGCCGTTATGAGTGCATCTACTGTCAAGAAGGAGCAAGAAAAAGAAGAAGTGCCAATCTCAGAAGCTCCAGCAGAACCGGAGGCGATCGTTACTGATGGAGAGCTTATTGAAAAATTGGAACCCGAATCGTCATCTTTACAAAACGCCGTCATTGCGTTTGTGCATGCTGATATCGACGAGCCAATGACAAAAGTTTTGGATTCGGGTGTTTTGTGTTTTGGGTATATTAGTGATGCTAACGACCTCAAGAAAAAGTTGAGTGTGTTGTTGCCAGTTCAAGGAAACTTGCCAAACAAGACCATTGTGTTTGGAGGATTCAGATACGTTGATTAGGATACGGTTTTGTATAATATTTTTATAACTAATATACTAGAATTAATTAGATTTTTGGTTGTGTAATAAGACAATATGAATGGAACTCCCAATATATTGTAAATCTACAAATTTGTGTGGGCTTTGGCACGAAACAAAAAAGGATCAAATCTACAGGAGTATGGATTGATAGTAAGGAAAATGTGGATGACTAAAACTTTTACTTAATATTTTACATAGTCGTAAGACCTTTTATTTTAGTTGTCTAATTATCAGAAAAAACTGCATGATGGTATCTTGTGTACCAACACAAGATACGATCGACATGTAATTTGCGCGCGCGGCAAATTTATTAATCGACCACATAGGACCATTATCTAATAATACTAAAGCAGACAGGCCAGCAAGATGGCAAAAAAGTCAACAATAGACGTACGGAAGTCTTTTTGATTTGTTTTGTCCTATTGATAGCGACTGCACCTAGTTTTGGTGCCGTTGACAACTCAGCACCTTTTGAACTCCTCCAACAAATTTAAGTCTTAGAACAAATACAATAATAATTACAGGATTATACCACAACTACGCATTTCCGATAATACGTTTATATATAATAATCAACACGAATAAATAATAAGAAATGAGAGAGATATCTAAGAAAAAACCCGTTGCCAATACTGCATGGCAAGAGGCACTACATTTTTGGCAACATGCATGGAATGTTCATATGTACGGATATATCCGTAAGATTCTAAAATTAGTAAAAGATACAATGGATAAATGACAGCCACTGTATAAACTAAAACTTTCAAACATTTTTATATAAATACTGGTGTATTATGCTACTTGTATCAAATTTTTTCAATATTTCTTTTTTTATTAATCATCATTCAATTCTTTTATTTTTCTTTATTGCTTTCATTTCTCAATTATAACTATGCAATTATCCACCTCAGTTTTATTGTCGGTTGCTGCCTCTTTGGCCTCCTTTGCTTCTGCTGCTCCAGTTGAAAGAAGTACTATTGCCCCACCACAACTTAACTTCGATGTCATCAGATATGGTGCTTCCAACGAAACTCAATCACAATTTAAAGGTAGAAGAGCCATAAGAGCTGCTTCATCTGCCGGAATTAACTTGGAATTAGACAACGAATACTCTTTGTACTTGGCTGAAATCGAAATTGGTACTCCAGGCCAAAAGATCAAAGTCGATGTCGATACCGGGTCTTCCGACTTGTGGGTTCCAGGTGCCGGTACTCAATCTACTTACGGTACTTACGATAACTCCAAGTCTTCTACTTACAAAAAGGACAAATCAGGTTTCCAAATCAGCTACGGTGATGGATCCTCTGCTTCTGGTGACTGGGCCAAAGAAACTGTTACCATTGGTGATGCTAAGGTAACCGGTTTGGAATTCGGGGACGCCACCACTCAAAACGTTGGCCAATCCATCTTGGGTGTTGGTATGAAAGGTAATGAAGCTTCTGCTCAATCTTACACCGGCGCTTTCACTTACGACAACTTGCCATTGCAATTGGCTAACCAAGGTATTATCTCCAAGGCTGCTTACTCCTTATACTTGAACAACTTGGAAGCCACCTCTGGTTCTATATTGTTCGGCGCTGTTGACAAATCTAAATACTCTGGTGACTTAAAGACTTTGTCAATTGTGAACATCGATGACTCTGGTTCCTCTACTTCTGAAGCCGTTGCTTTCTTCGTCAATTTAGACAGCATCAAGGCTGGTGACAACACTTTCACTTCCACTTCCTACCCAGCCTTGTTGGACTCCGGTACCACTTTGATCTACGCTCCATCTGACATTGCTAAGTCAGTTGGTACAAAATACGGTACCTACAACTCCCAAGCTGGTGGGTACACCACCTCTTGCTCCACCAAGGGTGAAGATTTCAGCTTCACTTTCGAAGACAAGACAATCACTGTCCCATTCGATAACTTGTTGTACAATTTGAACGGTGAATCTAAGGGTACTTCTGATGAATGTTTGGTCGGTGTTTTGGACTCTGGCTCTAACTACTACATTCTCGGTGACGGTTTCTTGAGATCTGCTTACGTTGTTTACGACATCACTGATTCTCAAATCCAAATTGCCCAAGCTAACTACAACTCTGGTGCTTCTGAGATCGTTTCTTTGTAATCTGGCATATTTAATCACATTTAACTTGAGCTAGTCTCGCTATTCTGAAGCCTTGCTTCCAATTTTCAGTTCTTTTAAGCTCTTTTTTTGCTACATTTTTTCAATGGATTCTATTTCTAAAAATTTTTATAATTATTTTTGTAAATTGGCACTATGCACTATTTTTCATTATTTCCAAAAACTATTCATCACAGCTATCATCTACATGAAACACAATAATATTATCTTGCTAATAATCAGTGATGATAATCTTTTCATGTCGAAATGTCAAAATCATGTCTGGTTAGATGCGTTGCGGGGCGCCAATTTCGTGGTGATTTTCGGGGGTTTTTTCAGGTTAAACGAGAACGATATCTTGTGATACCAAGTATACCTTCACTCATTTGGAACAACAATTAAAAAAAAAAAAATGTCGTCTCCACAAATAAAGTCTGTACTTTTAGTCGGTGGGTCAGGGTTCCTTGGTCTTCACCTTGTTCAAGAATTTTACGATATCAGCCCAGTTAGACCAAAGATCCACGTCTTTGATGTTCGCCCACTTCCAGAAAAACTCGCCAGTTATTTCACATTTGACCCAAAAGAAATTGGGTTCATCAAAGGAGATATCACTTCAGAAGAGTCTGTGAAATCTGCGATTCGTGAATCTGGATGTGATGTGGTTGTGCATTCTGCCTCTCCAATCCATGGCCAAAAACAAGAGATTTACGAAAAGGTCAATGTCGAAGGTACTAAAAACTTGATCAAGTGCAGCGCCGACCTTAAAGTCAAAGCATTGGTCTACACTTCTTCTGCCGGAGTGATCTTCAATGGCCAAGATATCCACAATGCTGATGAATCGTGGCCGATCCCAGAAATCCCAATGGACGGGTATAACGAAACCAAAGCAATTGCTGAAAAAGCTGTTCTCGATGCCAATGACTTTGATTCTGATTTCCTCACTGTGGCATTACGTCCAGCAGGCATCTTCGGACCAGGGGACAGACAGCTTGTTCCAGGTTTGCGAAGTGTTGCCAAGTTGGGTCAGTCTAAATTCCAAATTGGCGACAATAACAATTTATTCGATTGGACTTATGCTGGGAACGTGGCATATGCTCATGTGTTGGCGGCCCAAAAATTGTTGGATCCAGAAACAAAGCATCAAGTAGGGGGTGAAAAGTTCTTTGTCACCAATGATGCCCCTACGTATTTCTGGACCCTTGCGCGTACCGTGTGGAAAGCCGATGGTCACATTGATAATTTCAACATTGTGCTATCCAGACCAGTGGCCATTGCCATTGGGTATGTTTCTGAATTTGTATCCAAGTTGACTGGGAAAGAACCAGGGTTGACTCCATTCAGAGTCAAGGTGGTTTGTGCCTATCGATACCATAACATCGCCAAAGCGAAATCGATTCTTGGATATAAGCCAAAGACCGGATTAGAAGAAGGGATTAAGTACACCCTTGATTGGATGAATGAAACACAATGAGTAAACTTTGTCACTATTATTACTGGCCAGACGAAAACTTTGGTAATTCCTATAAATAATTTCTGGTTCTTGTTGTTTAGTTTTATTTTTGTTTTTTGCAGCTTGATTTGATATCAATTGGCTAATATATTTAATATATTATTATTTAACATTAATGTTGAAATTACTTCGTAAAATAAGTAAATAAAGGGATTTAAATAAATAGATAAATAATGTCTTCCTGTGCGCCGTAATGTGCGTACGCTGTGACAGATGTTGACTTTTCTGCAAAAAGCTCCTTCATTTAAGGCGTTGGATGTTTGTTTTTTTACAGTTGATGGAGGATAAGAAGGGTTCTTGTAGTCAAATTCCCCCACTCATAGTGCTCCTTAATAATGTCCTCCCTTTGGAGCCTCTACAGGAACTATAGTGTTTATCAGTCCGGGTTACCACTCCAGCTGACCACCCACCCAAACCATAAAGATGTTCACATATGTCAAAAGCTCTAGAAAAGACTGGGCTATGCAATATGTTACATCTGTTTTATGATGGAAAGGGCAGTTCGGGGGTTGGAATAGTTTCGTTATTTTTTCTAAAGAATGAAACTTGGTGGGATATTTTCTTTGTATTATGTATTCTTTTTTATGAAACTCATGAAATAGTCAACGATATTAGAGGACATTATTGGCTTAGTGATGTACCATTCTTAATATCTTTTTTTTTTTTAGCTGGGGTATCAGTTATCTCAAAAAATCAGCATGTCATAAAGCTGACTCTTTATTTTCTTTCCCAATCTCTTGATTTGCAGAGAGTTGATGGAAGTGCCTTCGTAAAATGTTATCTCCATTTCTTTTTTGTTTTATATATTATATATGCTGGAAAATGTAAAAGGAACTCTGTATATAAACTATTTTTACAGTAACAAAGGGGCAAAATGATAATAACTATAGTAGCTGCAGATGTCTCATGGACACAGAATGTATAAACCAATAGGTACACGTAAAAAAAAACAACATATTATTATACAATTCGATTTGATATTATTCGTACAGTTTCTTTTTTCTCTATACGAATGTTCTTATAGTAATGTGTGACCTAGAGAAGAAGCAGCCTATTGATTGTTATATATCTCCAATTAATTATTTAGATACATTGTTTTAACTATTGTAGTCAGTGCATCGCCAAGGGGCATTAACAAAAGAAAAAAAAATCACACAAAATTTTCACCCTTTCGGACTTACACTGATTTGTATTGTCTCTCCCTTTTATCTTGTTCTATACCAACAACTAGCAGATAGATTTTTTCAAAGCTCATCTCTTTATAGATTTCAAAGTCTTCATTTGGACCAAACGGCTTCGTGGTGAAGTGCAAATGGAGATCGTACACTGCCTTCTTGAAATCAGCAACATACTGAGTGTAATTATCATCCGCCCCAAAAGTTTCCTCATAATTAATCACCCCATTATATCCTATGTAGTTTGCTTCTTCTACTTGATTTGTTGCAATTTTCCTTTTGCCAAGATTTTGAGCTCTTCTGGTTTCTTTTTCCATAGGATCAGAAATGCTGGCCTGCTGCCCTAACGTGTTGTCAATGCGTGATACTTTATTATCTTTCTTGTATTCTACTTGAAAAGTAATTCTATTGTTATATTCGTGAGCACTTTCTGAAACAATCTCATTCTCAGATTGCTCGTTGAGAATTGAATTGATTGAAAAGCCACCATTCTTGCAATTTCTGTCTGAAGCAATAGTGGGTTTTGGAAATGAGATTATAGAGGATGGATTAGTTCTTTTACAGAGAACAGAATCAACAGCTGGTCCATTATTTCCAGCCGAACTGACCATAGAACTCTTTTTGGTATAATCAAAAACAGAATAAGAACCGGGGGTTTGACAATCAAGCTCAAAATCAATTTTTATGGAAGCCTGCTGATTGGTCCTGTTCTTAATGGGGTTTTCTCGTGAAGCAATTTTCTTCTTCACTAAGCCATAAATGAAATCTTCAATTAATTGGCACTCTTTTAGAGCTTCAACATCTAAACACTCAATAAGATTGAGTTCTTTCTTTTGAACCAAAATGTCATCAAGGCAAGCAAGCATGGAGCTCCTCACAATCGAGCTGCTATTTATTCTCTCCTTAATCTCTGTGATTTGAATGGCGAGCCTTTGATGCAATTTCTTTAATACGGTACTGGAATAGAAACCCGACTGGTCAATGCTCATGACTTCGTTTTGCGAATGCTTCCTGAAGTTGGTATATTCATAAACTATATCCTCAGACACCTGGTTCCAAATATCGCTCAAAATTGTGACAGATTCATAAATAGAACATTGCAAAGAATGAAGAATTATATTGGTTAAGTTTTCACTAGAATAGTTCGAGGCTCCTAAATTCTTACCTTTTGTCACTTCATAGCTCTGCAAATACTCGAGGCACCTGATTGTATTCCATAGTTTTTGCAAAACCTTTTTTACATACATCTGCGAAATTAATACGTTTGTCGTATTTATTGGCCTTTCACAAACATTTTTCTTCACAATAATGAGCTTCATATTTCCTGGAATTGACGAATCAGGAAGGCTATGATAATGACTTTCATCGCAAATCACAAATAGTGATGTTTCACTTTTGCCTTGATACCTATCGCTCAGCTTGATATGGTTGCTGATTTCCTCCAAATATTTTTGAAAGTGTGCGCTTGATAACCAACCAGTTTTGGTATAATAGTAATTAAATTTGTCATCCAAGCTTCCAAGAAGTTTTTTAGGATTGAAAATTGGACCTAGGAATGAACTTTTGCACTTATCAGTACCATCAAGATTGGCACAATAGATCATTGTCAATAAATTGTTGGGCGGAAGGAAATCAGAATCGCTTTTGGAAAATGGTGCATCAGAATTTGCTAACAATTCTCTATCTTCACTACCAAAAAGTGATAGTGTTGAGCCGTTGAAGAGTTGATATCTTATGGCTATTTCTTTCACAAAGTAAACTTTAGACCAGTTACTTGTTGCGATGAAACTTTTCAACTGTTCGTGGTCACTGATGAACGTTTGTTTTTTCAAGCTCTTCAAAAGCTTTTGCTGGACCACGATATCAGAACTAGTTATCAATGAATGCTCATATAAGTTTTTTATTCTCTCTATTGCACCAATTTGAAATTTCAGCTCCATATCTTTTGGCATTCCAAATACTCCATAAACCTGATTAAATTTATGCTCAATAAGCTCCAAATCTACTGGAACTTCATATTCCAAAGCTGTCGCCACATATTCTATCAATATTTTATAAACCTCCCCCTCTATAAAATCTGGTCTCCTATAACTGCTCTTAATAATATCGGGAACATCAGCATTCTCAATAAGACCAGCATATTGTTCAGCCAATTTTAGAATGATGGGATTTTCCTTCCAGCGATAAATATTCCTTCTATGTCGGATATGGAAATTCAAATGAGATTCTGCCCATTGAATTATTTCAAGATCCTTCTTGCCTCTTAACTTTTCAGCTACCACTTTTGCCTTCATATCATAGTTTCCGGTGTTTGCTCTTTTCTGCCGCCGCTCATCATCGGTTTGGCTCATAACTGGGCTGTTTCCCAGACGTTTCAAATGTTACTACTATTTTGATATTTATCTCTTCTTTTGATGGAGATGGAGAGCTTTTCTAGAGAAAATATTGAAGCTGGTAGAGTCAAGAAAATATCTCTTGTTTCTCTTGTTTCTAAATCGTTGCTATTGGGTTTGTTGTGCTGTTGATGTTCTGACCATTTGTTTCCTCTGGAAGAATATATTGAGCTAAAAGAGGTAAAAAGAATTAAAGTGATTATTCAGTGATTATGTTAATCGAAAATAGGATAATATTTTCAACAAAACATAAAATACAATCAAACCCACATGAAAAAAATAAAATAAGAAACTGATAATTAAACAGGCAAGACAAACAGAATATGATGGAGAGCACTATGAAATTAGATCACGTAAGTAATAAAAATTTCAAACTTAATAAAATTATTCAAAATATTCTGGGATTTCAGCTGTTTTGGAATCGTAGGAATGAATGGATGAATGGATGACAAGGTGAATGGATGAAAGGTATAAATGTTTTGAAAGTCTGAAATTTTCGATTTTCTCCATAAAATGAAAATGAGGAATAAACTTTTTAAGCACCAATATTTAAGAACTCAATCAACCAATTTTAACAAAGCAGATAGAAAAAATTCTAAAATTAAAAGAAAAAAGAAGCTCATATAAAATTTACTACAATTACAAGAATATACCCTGTGTATAGATAGAATTCCCAGTTCTTTTGTGGTTTCATAGTTAGTCTGTTGTGTTGGGCGGACCAATCTTTTTAACTGTTCAAGAACACAAAACACATACTAGATGTTTTTCAGCTTTCATCACCAGACAATTAACTTGGTTTATTTCTTATAGTCTTATCAATTAGAGGTATTTGAGATGTGGCTATTTTCACTCCCTGGAACTGGGAGGTTTTGTTCAAGGGCCACCGGACAGATTATTTTACCGTCTTCATTGCTCTCATGGCTTTTTTTTGTCTATTTTTAATATTATATGGAAAATTTTTATCTTTTTATGAGGTAGATTCTAATTCCTTGAGTCTATTTCTGGTGTGGAACTGAAAGATAATACTACGATCTTTTGGAATAATTGGCCACCAAATCACACATAATTTTGCCCACGTTCTACTCATCTATCAAACCATAGAAGACAAACACTAAGCTTACTAATTCCTTCCAATAATTTGAGTTTAGCAAGTCTACAAGCTATTCAGAGGCAAAGAAGAAGAAAAAGACACCTCCCCGCAACAGAAAAATGATGGTATTCGCTCCTACACATATGACACACATATTACTGAAAACTGAGTACGTGTTACTTTATTTATCGTTGCTAAAAACGTTATTAAAATAATAATTGAAGCTAAAGTCTAGTTTTTTTTACAGCCCCTTAAGACAAGCTATGTCGCTGGTCTTGTTTCTCCTGCCACCCTATGGCATTACCTGTTTTATATCAAACAGCGTATGGACCAACTCCCTTAATTTTCTATGATATCCACTATGTACACAGCGGCAATAGTATCATTGATATAATCATTGATATAATCATTCAAAGTTAGGCCCAAAAAAACAGAGGATAGATGAACGATTTAGTGAAAAAAGGCTGTATGATATTGTTAAAAAAAAATAAAAAAAAAAAGAAGAACAAACATGATATTTGGAGTGTCAAGCCCATATATGCAGATTAAAAGAATTCAAAGAATACCTTCATTAATTCATTCTTCATGCACTCATTCTAACTATTATTTCGCTTTGACAAAAGTGGCCATAGGTATCTGTTTTAAAAATAATTGAAATTTGATTTCTTGCTTCATCTCTAAGATATTCTGTTCAATTCCTTTCAACTTCTTTTTTGGGTTATTTATCATTCTCACCTGCTTATAACGATCTAAGTTTATACACACTACTTTCTAGCATGGTATCCAATTTTGCTATGTCCACCTCCACCTCCCCCCTCATATCAGAACTGCTCTCCTCCGTTTGATTATTATCATTATCGTTATTCAATATCATAGAGCCACACCTAAAGTTTATCTTGTTTGGTATATTTGCCAAAAAACTGCGGTGCACTTGTAAATGATCTCATTTACTGAATTGGTAACAGCATCAATTAGAGTGATCGGGGGAGAATCCGAAATACTCAGTCAAAAGAATCGTAGTATTAGCATCTGAGGCAGACATTGTTTTTATTTTTTAGTGTTCCTCCAAAAACTTCTTTGCCAAGACTTCGTCCTATTGCATTTATCACAGCCAATTACGAGGTATGATCAAAAGTAAAATAGCTGATGGCAAGATAAAAACTACGTCACGTAAAGTTTAAAGCGACTTGTGTTTTTAGAGGTTGATTTGCTCACTGATCCTAATATAGTAATTATCTCAAATATTGATAAAAACAAATAAAAAACAGCAGCCTAACTTGAATAGCATGGCTGGAAATAACACAAAGAAATAAATAAGCAGTAGCCTCAAAGTGTTACATATACATATACATGTATATATATATAAAATAAATCGAATTCCTACAACAATTCCCTCCAAAACGTATTCTGATAATAAAAGACAGCACTAAAACTGACAATGAATTAATTCATTCATTAGATGCAATAAGATAAGATAAAATAATGAAAGAAAAAAAAATTACCAAAAATATACAATATTATAATACTATGTTTCAAAACTGAAAATCCCTTTATACATCTGGACTTGCGCTTCATCGACATCGGTCAACAAATATTGTTGCTTGATTGCCGCTGGAAAGAAAAAAAGTCTATCAAATGGCCCGGGCATCACTGGAGAAATACTTGAGGTATCTTTCTTGACAACGGCTGTTGATTCAGGAATTCCCATTTCATCATCATCGCTCACATCGATCACTTCAACATTTGATGGTTTCAAGTCACGAGTAATAGGAGTGATTGGCTTAACAATCTTAGCAGTTGGAGTTTGGATAATTGATGTTTCTTCCTTATTTATTGTACCACTGCTGAAGCCAGTAATACTATTACCAAACAATGGTTTGTTAAAGCCACCATTCAATTTCTGTTGGCCATTAGCCTGTGGAGTGGAAAATGCCAAAGCATTGTTATTTTTTTTTGTTTCCCCATTGGCTTTCAAAGGAGTGTTGACATTGGTAGATTGTGGACCAAATGATGCCAGTCCAAATGAAAACCCAGAAGTTTTTGTTTTGCCTTCAGGACTTTTCTTGAATACTTCTGAGCGTAAAGAAGATGATTTCAGAGGTTTGTATTTATTCATCGCCGTCATCGCGGTTGAGGTCTTGGCACCATTTTCTCCAGTGTTGAAAATTGATGGCTCCGCCATTTTTAAGGTAGCGTTTTCCGATTCAATGTCCAATTCTATAGGAGTAGTCGATTCAGGTTTCTTCTCTGGTGGTGGCTTAGTGAACGGAGTCGAACTTGGTGCCGAATCAAAAGATGCGGATTTATCAAAAGCAATTGTATTTTCCACAATAGTCAACAATTTATTATTGCTGGTATTGGCGGTAGTATCCTTCATCGTAGAATCATCAGGGGTTTGTAACTCCGATGAGTTCCGTGACTTTGGTTTGCGCGAACTTCTGGATAATGATGAATTAACATAGGGGTTGATATAAATCTCGTATTTTTTCTTTGATTCTTTCACTGCTGGTTTTTCAGAATCTTTAGGTTTATCGGCATCCAAAATACCGAGAAGGGCGGTGGCAGTGGAGCTAAGCTGAGTTATTGGGCCATCATTCTTGGCTGTGGTCATCGTAGAATCATCATCAGAATATTCACGAGCAGTGACAAAAGTTTTATCATTAAAAGTAGTGTTATTGGCTAAAATTGTGGAATTATTCACCTTTGCCGCTTTCAAAAAGTCTTTCCCGTGCACAGTTTTCGGACGTTTGGTAATATTCATCTTGAATGGCGATGAAGCCTCACTATGGCTAGTATTTCTTTTTAATGTCTTGTTGGCGGTCATGTATATACTGGAATCCATAAAACTGGTGGTATTGTTGGCAAACATCGAAGTCTCCACTTTTCTTTTTGGTTTAGGGGTTTGTAAATCTAATTGTTTTTTATCGTCTTCTTGCTTTTCTTTTTCTTCTTCTATATCATTTGGTTCATCACTTGGTTTCTTTAAGTACGGCTGGTATTCGTTGTTATGTACTAGATAATCAATGGACTTTGAAATATTTGGGTCGGTATTATCACTATCAATCTGCTTGGCAATTGATAAAATCCCTTCCGCCTCAAGTTCTGAGATCCCCTTTTCGTGTAGATACTTAATCAACTTATCCTTTGGAGTTGTTCCATTATTCGGTTGGTGTATTAGAGAATTGTTTGGGGTGCCAAAGGCCAGGGTTGTTGGGGTGGATACAAGTTTTCTAGAGGATATATTACTGATGAAATCAGCGTCTGGGGCAGGGTATTTGAAAGGTTGGATGGTAGTAATAGCGCTCAGGTTGGTTGATGTAGTGGTACTGTCCTCCATAGCACCATTTTCATTCTCATTGTTATTAACTGCGGGATTCCATGAACCAAAAAACCCTTTAATTCTTGAGAACAATGATTGTGATTTGCAATTGTTTTCATGACCAGGATTCCCAGCCTCTTGTTTCACCCTGTTGGTGGAATAATCGTAAGGGTTTGTGGAATTCGAGCGTCTAGTAGGATATACTACTTTCTTCACCATATTTGAGTCTGATTGTTCCAGGAAGGGAGGTCAAAAGTGCTACTAATAATAATACTGGATGTGTGATATTTTTTAATAATAAATGCGATGTTTTGATATATTTTTTTTTGGCCAAATAATTTTTTTTTCTTTTTCTTCCGGACAGAAATCACGGGAGATACAATCCTCGGAATAGCTTCCATTGCGGCTAACCGTACCGGATAATAGCGTGATATCGCACGTGAAAGTTCCAGAATCTCCTAAGAATTGGGCAGATACCTATCATTAAACTGGTGAGGCAAAAGCCAGTTCTATATTGTTATACTATAAACTTTTATTGGCGTGTAATGGCCCTGAGACTGCGGGAAAACCATCACTGGAGATTGTACTCCCTTCTCTTTAGTGACACTGGCAGAAATAACATTATAGACGACGCTTTGGTGTTAGTCGTCATAAATTAATTTCCTTATTCTCTTCAGAAAATATGAACGTAAATCGTGGTATTGTTATTTCCGGAGTCAGTATTTGGGATTAACGAAGATTCCGCGCTTAATGCTGGCTTTATCAAGCATATTTCAACGCCTTATCCTCTCACTACAAGGGTAATACCCATTACATCTCCCTCAAATGTGGTGACACTTGCACGCTGTGCAATAAAATCTGTAAGCAAACCTGGCATCATCTTTCGGGTTTATACTCGTCATAGTGGCATTATAGTTTGTAGCAAAAGTTCTGATTTACTCAGTATTGCCCTAAAAACTCTTTCACTACGTACAAGCCTTCACTTAAAGACATAAGGAATGTCTGTTTCAAAGGATTAGTACCCATATTCTCAGTATTAAATGAAGTGTTGTGGTTACTGATATTCAATAAACTTGAAACCACACCCTACTTATGGAAGGCATCTAACTTGGCATTTGGGAGGTCAGAGCGGCTTTGAAGAACCAGCCTCCGCATGCACCAAGTGAAAAATCTTTCCCAGTTGTGGGTTTAACGTAGAGTCAAAAAGTAAACTGCTCGAATGTACTATCAGTTGTTGGTAAATAATATATACCTGTAATAGCTTTACAAAGTTTGAGGTAGGTTAAGTAATGTTGGACACATGTGCATGCCAACAGACTAAATTAGGTATACAGGATTATAAGATCTAACCTCATTCCATGTGAAAGCCCCTTAATGTCCCAATAGAGGAAATATCCAGATCATGTGGCTATTTGTTTGTTGCCTTGGGCAATAGCAGACCGGTGATCATGTATGGGGCGTAAATAACTAGAACAATATATTATAACGGGGGTACTTATTGACAACACATGTCGAGGACATATTTGATTAATTAAACTTTCACTCCATTAGTAATAAAAATAATAACGAAACCCTTTTTTTTAAAAAAAAACGTGGGAAGAAGAATTAAAAAGGAATGAGGAAAAATGTATAGTGATAGTTTAGGTTATGCAGGAGAAATTTCCTCAAATTTTTTCTGGAGAAAATTTTTCAGTCGTGTAGCGAAGTCCGATGGAAAAGATTACGGACATTGATGGTTGAGATAAGAAGCTGACATCATGTGCAAAAAAAAAAAAAAAAAAAAAAAAACTATTGAGCAAAATACTAAGTTTTGGGCAAAACCTCCATAATATATGCCAAGAGGTAAAAAAAAATTTTTCTATTGTAAGCATTCTTCACTCATTTCTTGTTCTTGTTCTTCTTCATCGTTACTTATGATGGTTAAATAATCGATGAAATGCACATTTGGAGCTCTCTTTTTCTTTTTTTTTTTGTCAGAATTCCCAGTAATTAACATTTCCAACCACGTATATCATCATGGAAGCCTCCAGAAGATTGAGCTTGGAACTATCTCAGGATATTAATGATAAATTGAGAGCGAAAAAATCCGTTGACAATGATACTGAAGAGTCGTCATCCCAAGATCTCGGAGAACAAACCTCTAAGCTTGAATCTTCATTATCTTCCCGAGATGACGATGGCGAAGAAAGTGCCGATACTTACCAACAACTATGGACCAAAACAGTCTTGAACATCGCTTATGCCGTTTTGATTTTTGCTGCCTTTGTTGAATCATTTGCCGGTGACTCGACTTCTGGGTTAGCATCGTATGCGACCTCCAATTTCAACGCACATACATTAATTTCTACCGCTGCTGTCGTATACAAGATCACTGCTATTATGTCTTATCCAGTATTTGGTAAGTTGCATTATTGGCTTGGAAAAAGCTCGGGGTTTGGGCTTTCGGTGTTGATTTACACTTTGTCGTACGTGATGTACGCTGCCTGTCGCAATGCCCAAACTTATGTTTGTGCTGAAATCCTTTATGCGGTTGGGAAAATCGGATACCGTGTCTTCCAACAAGTTTTCATCGCCGATACCACTTCTTTGATCAACCGTGGGTTCTGGTCACAATTCCCTGATGCGATTGCCACGGTGCCTGCTTTATACGTCGGGTCGGTTATCCAAGACAGCATCATTGACCATTCCACTTGGAGATGGGGTTACGGGATCTGGGCCATCATCATGTTTTTCTCATGTTGTGTTTTGACTTTGGTGATGTTTTATTTGGATCATTTACACAAAGTTAAGGCTAAGCAACTCGGAACTCAAGTGAAGAAACAATCATTCACCAAAGTATTGCTCGAAGGTAGCAAAGGATCCGACAACATTTTCAAGAAGATTTATTACGTGTTATTCATCAAGCTTGATTTATTTGGCGGGCTTTTGATGCTTACCGGGATGACCTTGTTCTTCGTTCCATTGACACTTACCGGTGCTAAAAGTACTTATAAATGGCACGAACCTAAATTGATTGCCATGCTCGTGGTGGGTGGGGTTTTGTTTATTGCCTTTTTAGTGTGGAACTCCAAGGTTGCCAGATATCCATTTATCCAACACAATGCCTTTACTCATGCCCCAACAATGATTGCATGTATTATTGCGGCTTTGGACTTTTGTGAGAATTCTGCTTATTCTCAATACATGAAGACCGTATTGCAAGTTTCCAAATACGTTAGTGTCGGAGAAGCGGTGAGAATCGATGATTCCAAAAAAGCCTGTGTCCAAGTATTTGGGGTGGTTGCGGGGATTCTTATGAAATACACTAAAAGATCCAAGATTTTTGTTTTGACTTCCATCCCATTATTGTTCCTTGGGCATGCCTTATTGGTTCACTTCATCAACACCAACGATGGGGAAGCCGGAGTGGCTAACCGTGGGTACCTTTACATGGCTGAAGTATTCATTGGGGCCGGAAGAGGGATTTACCAATGTGCTTTGCAAGTTATCATTCAAGGGATGGCCGGTAAGCAAAACTTTGCGATGTCCACGGCATTCTTCTTGTTGTTCAACTCGGTTGGCTCCTTGATCGGGACTTGTATTGCCGGAGGCATTTGGAATACCGTGGTGTTGAATAAACTTGAGAAGTACTTACCTGCTGCCGAAAAATCCGCGGCTAAAAAGATTTATAAATCTCTCACTGTTGCGTTGAAGTTCAAAAAGGGGACGGTGCAAAGAATTGCCATTGCTCGTGCTTATAGAGAAACCCAGCAACTTATTGGTTGGGTCACTTTGGGGGTGATCGTTCCAATGTTGATTTTGATGTGGTTTGTTGATGACATCAAGTTGACTGATAAGCTTGATGTGTATGAAGGTGAAGAGCAAAAGGAAAAAGAAGAAAAGGAGAAAGATTTAAAGGTTGTTGGAAAGATGGAAAATAATTGATTTTTTAAGTATGCTCTGATAATTTTTTTCTGATTCATCTATTCTTTATTCGTTTATTTTACTTTTTTTTTTTCACTTTTTTCATTTGTTCCTTTTTTTGATTGTTTTATACTGTTTATTGTTACACTAGAGTTGACTTTTTTTTTATCACAGATTTTTCATTTGTAAACAATTTTCAGACTCTCTGGGATAATGGGAGGATAATGGAAGAATAATGAAGTTTGATTTCATAAACCAATCCTTCAATTTTAGTGGAGTTCGTAAAAGGTCATCATCATCCGGTAGTATGAACAGAACATGTATGGCAGATTATTTACTACGCAAAAATAGTCCATGCAGGTATAGATTGACATTACTAGCAGGGCTGTTTGAGTGGTTTAGAATACTTATCGACAGAAAGGGGTCTATCTATGTGTGAAGGATGCAGTGATAAATACCGCTGATATGGTATGTTATTTGTTACACAGTACCACCACCTGGGTATGCGCCTTCAACATTGATTAAAGTTGGTGGATGGGCAAGGCAATATATTTAGGTGACTTACTATCTTCTTCACAGTACTAATAAAAGAGAGATAGATAGATCTATGGTTAAAGCAATGAAATAAAGGTAGTCAAAATTATCCTCTCATCCCCACGTGATCAGAAATTTCCTCTATTTTTTTCTTTTCCCTCATCGATGAGAAGAATTTCCTCCTTCCACCGCCTCATTTTAGTTGATAATCTTTTACAAAAGTTTGTTTGGCAAAAAATGAGCTTGTCAGTTAGTGCAGAATTCCTAGGAGGTCTTGACCAGATCTTTGGGAAAGTTAGACAATCGACATTAACCGTGCCTGAAGGATCGACGATCAAAGACTTGCTCCAATTGATTGTCCAACAACATCTTGAGAACCCCAAGGATATTTGCATGTTTTTAGACGACGATAACGAAGGGATCAGAGCGGGTATCTTGGTATTGATCAATGATGTCGATTGGGAATTGGAAGGAGAGTTGGAGTACGAGCTTGAACATAAGGACGTTGTGACATTTACTTCTACGCTTCATGGGGGTTGATTTTTCTTTAGCACACAGAGGGACATTATACTACTATACAAGAACAAAAAAAAATACCCTGACAAGTATTATACTATAAAACAAAAGTTTGTGTGTGTGGTGATCTCACCAATTCATATTTGTACTAGTTTGCATCCTAATAAACCAAGGCCGTTCCAATTAGAATGGGGGATCAATTTCAATTCCAAAAGTTTGTAATCTTTGATTGTTGGATCGTATCGTAATACCGTAACCCCAAGTGACTGATTCTGTTTTGCTTTCACCAATCTGGCAACCTCGAAGAGTTTCGCGTTCTTTTGTCCCGTAAGATGACTGGTATTTTCATAAGTAAGCGTATCAAACTCAACAATTTTATCATCAACTTGGAAGCTCCCTTGGAATACCGGAGATTGTGGTAAGATGTCTTGTATCACCATGAAGGGCTGTAGAGTCTCTTTATTATTATTATTATCGGCGATTTTCAACCCATGAAGAGAAACACTTCCATTGGTATCATCATTATTCTGGAATTGCTGGGTCATGGTTTTATCCAATTGATCAATGATCTTATCGAAATCATTGCGCAACATTATAATACGGTTCCTTAAATGCCTAATGGCAACAATATCGATGTCTCCACGAGGATACCCATCAGCAGTGAGTATCGAAGTATCCATCGTGACATTCTGGTCTTTCAACAATGCACCAAGCCTGAAGAGCTCATTTTGCACTGCGGTTTTCAAATCCAGAAGATCTTTGAAGCTCATCGATGATAAATTGTCGATGCGATAATTTGGTGGCAACGCCGTGCCATGATCGAAAGACGGGGTGACTTGTGATTGTTTGGTCATTTGAATTGTGAGAATGGATGTGTATGATGAATAATAAATAGTAACAGATAATAATAATGATAATAATAATAATAATATTAAGAATGGTTATAATAATTATAACAGTGATGCGATAATAATAAATGATAAGATAAAGAAGACAAATTTCCGTAAAATTCAAATTACGAGCCCCGGCGCCAGGCGTCTTTTGTCGTCGTCGTCAAATTTCAACCACCGAATCATTTTTTTTTATCTCCCCACCAGCTCCTTTCTTCTGTTATCTTCACCCAATTATCGCTCCATTCCCTCAAACATGAAGTTCTCCACCATCTTTGGGTTGTTCTCTGTCGCCTCCATGGCCTTTGCTTCCGACGCTCCTGTCGAAGAAGCTCCAAAAGATGCCGCTGCCGCTGTCGATTTCTCGAACTTGGATTTCTCGATCACTTATCAATTCGACGGTCAAGATGCCAGTAGTCAAGTGTCCCGTCTTTTTAACGAAGACCAAGTGTCTGTCACTTACTCCTTTGTCAACAACAGAGACATCCCAGTCTCCATTGTTGGGGTTGGTGGGTTCTTCAAAGATGCCCAAACTTTGGAGCCAAAATTCAACTTGACTGATACTGCCGTGGGTCCAGTGGCCGTTGATGTCAATGGTGGTAAAGGTGAATTCATCCAAAAGATCAGTATTGATATGTATCCTGCTGCTTATGTGTTTGCTCCAACCATTTACATCACTTACGACAACACCATGTACGTGGTGACCCCTAACCCAAGCTTCATCACCGTCGAAGACCATCCAATCAGCGTTTTCGACCCACAATTGTTGTTCGTGTTGACTATCCTCATTGGTGTTTTTGGTACCGTTGGTTACTTTGTTGCTGTGCAATTCGCTATCCCATACGTCAACAAGAACTACCTCAAGAAGAATGCTCCAAAGCCAATTAAGCCTACCGTCTCCAAGAAGGCCACCACCAGTGCTTCTACTACCGGTGCTAAGAGTTACGATGAAAACTGGTTACCTCAAGGTCACTTGAAGAAATCTTCCAAGAAGAAATGATTTCCATAAAACTTTGGGTTTTATATAATCTTAAAAAAAAAAGGAAAAAAAAAAAAAGCCCCACAAAATGAATCTAAAAAAAAAAAACCAGCGTAATTCTAGTCATAATTATCTTCCAGTTCGCTCATATATGTTTTATTATTATTATTATTAAAATCTTTAATTTGTTGTGTTGAATATCGATTGTAGAGGCCGGTTAACCCTGAAAAAACACGATGTATTGATGGATAATTATCATCTACTAGATAAGGCCTGCAGATATATTTGCCTTCCTGTCAAAACCTTTGTTCACCAATGGAAAACATAACCAGAGACTCAGACCCTGTTGAGCTTCAACAATTCGAGGCACTCTGTCTAGCTTGTCGGATAGGAGATCTCGAAAAAGTCACCGAGCTCGTCACCAGTGGTGGCAAACTCAACCAAGTTGACGAATGGGATTATCTGCCGTTGATCCTTGCCTCGCTCTGTGGTCATCTTGAAGTAGTCACTTATCTTCTTGCCAATGGAGCCATTTGCGATCGAGAAACTTTCGAAGGCGAACGGTGTGTTTATGGGGCATTGAACGACGAGATCAGAAATGTGTTGTTGAGCTATGACATGAGTAAAGCCATGGAGGTTGCAAACCCATTTGTCTCACATTTTATGAAACTATCATCGGATATCCCAACCATTAACAATACCGCCCCCACCACCAAAGATATTGTCTTTGTGTTTAATTCCACTACGACCACGGTACGATACTTACGGGCGCACCGATTTGTATTGAGCGTACGATCCAAGTACTTCTCTCGAAAATTATTAGAGTATCAGCATCAATCGACAATTATGTTTACCGATCTTATCCCTACAAAACATCCGCTTGGATACTACAGGGAATTCACCTATGTGGTGCAATACTTATACCTCAATCTCAATAATCGGACCAACCCTAAAGATTTGAAGCAAACCCGACTTTTTGAAGTCATTGAGTTATTGGAGCTCGATCCCACGATTAAGTTGGCGATCGAGTTGGAAATTTCTGAAGAATCCAATCAATCTAAATCGAAAATCAGAAACGATCTTCGTAAAGATATTGTCGTGCATGCTCAACAGCAATTCCGTCACTGGCATAATGATCACTTGAATGGGGTGATTAAGTCGTTGGATGTTAATAATGATGGTGACGAAGATACGGGGATCGACGTTTATCGGAATATGTTAACTTCCGAAGAAAAAGCCCAGCTTTTGTCATCAACAGGGTTTTATGGGGATATGATTCTTTATTTCAAAACTTACAATGACGATGCCGATGAAGCGAAGATCCATTTCTACCCTTTCCATAAAGCGATCATCCTCCAATCAAAATATTATGAAATATTATTTGATTCAGGGTTTCAAGAAAGTAGGGACATTCTGCAAGTGGTCGATGATGTTTACAAGATTGTTGATCGTAGGAAATTATTACTGAATGATAATAATAATAATAATAATAACAACGATGATGATGATGATGATGATGATGATGCTCAACCACCAATACCATTGATCGAACTTAATACCACTCAACTTCAAGTTTTTGAATTTTTCGCAAGATACCTTTACTCTAACGACCTGATCCTCCCAATAGATATCGCATTAGACGTGTTATATCTTGGAGAATACCTCGAGCTTGCAAAACTTAAAAGTCTCTCATCGTACGTTTTATCCAATTCCTTTAACTTGGTGTCGGAAAACCCCGAGAAATACTGGTATCTTTTGGAAGTGGAATTTCTTGGAGATGTGCTTCGAGCCGCATGGGATACCAATGAGGAACGGCTTAAGCAATACGTCGCAAGAGCGTTTGCTAATGACTTGCAAAAATATGTGAATACCTCGATATTTAGTGATTTGGTAGCAGAGAGTGCAGCCTCAGTCAAAGATCGACAAGAAACCGATACCGTCGAATTAATTGATGAGGTGAGATATTATTTAGAGCGTAAGTATCATGAAAAGGACCGGGCAAATACAAATACAAATAGGGATGAGCAAATCCTCAAACAGGGAGAAGAAGAAGAAGAAGAAGAAGAAGAAGAAGAAGAGGACATCATGAATGGAGAGTTGGAGGAGCATAATCTTACAAATGGACAGCTTTTAGACAAAGACTTGGAGAGTTTGGAGTTAGTGCTTTATAAGCTAGGATTGGAAGCCTAATCATCACGAATACATTTCAATAAAACAAATGGAAAGTTTTTTTTTATTATTTATGTACAAGAGAGGCTTCTTTTTTTTTTTTTTTGATATCTCCCAAAATATAAATAAATGGGATACTTTAAATACAAATATATAGAAATAGAACCTGGCAATGGATCATCATTCATAGAGTATAAGTCGTAACAAAATTGAAATTTAACATGGTAATTAATCTAAAGAATACCAATTACTCATATTAAAAAAGAAGGCGAATTTATCATCAAATTATTATCATTTCATTTAATCAGTACCCTTGACAATACCAACCTTAGCGGCTCTCAACACTCTGTCGTTCAATGAGTACCCTGGTTGTTGGACGTGGAACACGGTACCTGGTTCCTTGTCTGGTTGAGGAACTTCAAAAGTAGCTTCGTGGACATTAGGATCGAATTTTTCTCCCAATGGATCGATCTTTTGGATCCCGTGCTTGTTCAAAGTCTTTTCGAAAACACTCTGGGTCATCTTGACCCCATCGTACAAGTTCTTGATTTCTTGGTTATTGGCCACCGCATCTTCCGACACCGCACGAAGGGCGTGGTCAAAGTTATCAATCGACTCGAGCAAATCACGGGCGAATCTTTGAAGGGCAAAGTCTCTAGACTTTTGGATTTCACGTTTAGTGGTTTCTTGCAAGTTACGGAAATCCGCCACCGAGCGCAAATAATGGTTCTTCAACTCAGCGTATTCTTTGTCCTTCTTATTAAACTTTTCTTGTAAGAGTTCGAGTTCACTTTTAGCCCCTTCTTCCCCGGACTTTTCTTCTTTTGGTTCTGTTTCTTCTTTTGGTTCTGTTTCTTCTTTTGGAGATTCTTTGGCATCGGCAGAGTAGTAGCGCAACCCGGCAACCATCTTGGTAGGTTGGCGGAGCATCAATGGTCTACTGGCCATGACTGGGTTGATTCTAATGGCTGGGGCTCTAATGGCCAATCTAGTGAGGGATCTTTGCATTGTATATAGTGGTTTGTTTAATGACGAATATTGCCGGTGATGACGGTTGGAATGAACCAAAATTTGAAAAATTCGTTGAGTGAAAAAAAAAAAAAAAAAAAAACCTAGTCAGGTGCCCTGGACAAAAAGTCATAATAGCCATAATAACGGTAATAATAATATAATAATTGTTAGATTAATAATAATGATTGCTAGATTAATAATAATAATAATAATAATAATAATGTATAGTAACTATTTATGCCATAAGTTATCAAACTCATAAAACGAACCCTGTTCTAAAGCCTAATGGTGTAATCATTGCCACTTTGGGTGATATATCTAACCCATGGATAACTTTGATATTGCATCTTTGGCTCATTGATCTTCAAATACCGCACTTGCAACCCAGAAGTAATGAAATATGGCACTTGGAACTTGACACTGATAGGTCTCTTTGATTTGAATGTCGGGTCTTCGTTGGTCACCGAAGGCAACCCCAATTCCGCAATCATCGCTGCTTCTTTACCCCCTTGGAACTGTTTTAATTTCCACACGATACAAGAGTTCTCAGGAGTGTACTTTATTGATCCGCTAGAGGTTTGGAATTTCGGAGAATCAGCGTCCTCCGGTACTGGGATCGAGATCTCGACGTCGTTGGCCGTCGATCGTTTTTTAATTTGGGCCCTTACTTTTGCCTTAATCTCGATACGCGAGTTCGAATGAAGTTTCACTCGGCAATCCACCCATATGAGCGGTTTAATCGGGGTGGATAATCGATAACTCATCAATTCAAACTCACCGTCCGGTGGAATAAAAGTAATAATCTTCTCATTTTCAAACTTCGACAACCGGACACACTGATGGAACTTCACGTCTTCCATTTCCAATCCTTTGGTGGTCCGGTCTTCACCACCGCCATTACCATTGCTTCTATCCCCGCCAAATATCCCTTTATCATTAAGCCCCAATCGTAAATCCGGCATTCCTGACAATTGCGACTTAATCTTGATTTTCCCAAGGATTTCCGATCGAAGGACTTGACCATTAGGATTCACAAGCATGTTTATGCTCTCTATCACGTCCAAAAACACCTCGTTCTTCTTGTAGAAAATCCCATCGGTTCTCCAACTCACGGCGTTGGTCACGGCGTTAGGCGGTCTTTGCTGCTGTTGGTTGAACTTTATGAGGGCATGCGATTTCTGGGTGATGTATTCTTTGAGGATCTTGGTGTCAGTGGTCTGTGGGAACCCGTAGTCCATCATCTCATCGAGCAATTCATAAATGATCACAAAGTTATCACGGATCGATTCTTCTTCAAGGTTTTTGAAGTATTGCGTGAGCACCTCGATGAGTTTATTGAGAAACAACATGATCTCAAGGGCATTGTCGTTGTTTCTGGTGAGGGCAAGGATGTAGAGATCATTGTGGACGATATAAAGGTAGTTGATGCCTTTGTAATTGAATACTGGAGGAGCAGCAGAATTCTCTTCTTCGGCTTCAAGGTGTAAGAGCGGGAATTTATCGACCGCGCTGTAAGGAATGTCGCCTTTGTAGTCTCTGGAGAGAAGGGATTTCCCTTTGGCATCTAGGAAATAGACAATAGACGCCATCTTGAAATAGGCAGAAATAGTTTATAATGGGATACCGATAAGATGACGCCCAAGCGGTGATTTCGATTTTAACACCAAAACGATTTCCAGGAAAATTCGGTGTGTGTGACGGTTACCCGGTGTTTGGTGATCCACTTATACTATTATTGCCATATTATTATTATATCTGTTGTTGTACACGAATGTGTTATCCTTTTATAAATGTCCATTAGTAATATTATAGCAGATAACATATATTAAGGAAATAAAAACAGCCATATATATCTACAATAGAAAATAGCATAAAAACATAATAATATTTGCAATGTTAAAAAACCGTCAACTTTGTAATTCATTTCTTTTTTTTTTTTTTTCATTCTTCACCATTTTTCAATCGCCATTCTCAAATTCTTCACCAATTCATCATCATGGGTCTCCCATTCCCTCACAATTTCAATATCAATTTCCCTGGTGATTTCCTTAGAATCAACAAGTTTCTGCGATCGGTAATCTTCAAATACCAAGATCGCCAAATTCTTCCACTCTGAATCATCAGTGATCGCTTGAATCTTTTTCAAAAGGATTCCATTTCCCGTTTCTGCTTGCTCAGCAGCATACCGTTTGATTTCCTTCACAGTTTTCGGATGAAGAAACGATAATACCAATTCCAATCTTTTGATCCGATCACCGGGATCGATCGAGGCAAGCGACGCTGGCAAGTTCAGTAAAATCGCATTCACTTGAGACTCATTGATTTCTTCTTCATTGACATCCTCCAGGCGTTTTGCTTTATCGAGCTTCAGATCATGTTTCGTAATGTCTCCTTGCTTTTGTTTATTTTTGCTGAAATTGCCGTGATTACTGTAATAATTTTTATTTCCTCCTCCATATAATGTGTATCCTCCATACCCGTTTCGTCCCCCCGACATTTCCGATGGGTAATTGTTGAGCCCGTTGGAGTTGTGCGTAATATTGTTATTAATATTATTATAATAGTAATTATTATTGTGGTGCCCATTGTGATTCGTATTCCCTTTCCCCGAAGATTTGGCGATTTCCGCGGCATTTATCTGATGATACATCTTACTATCCCCCACTCCTGGGGAGCTTTTCGAGCTCGATGAGTCTAATCGAGAAATATCAATATCATCATGATATTCATTATAATACCCATGATCTAACCCCACCGAGGCCCTGGTAGGTATTGTGGTGGGAGAATTTGGCGTTGTATTATCTTCGTAACCGAACCTTGATCCCGACTCATTGGAATCCGATCGATCTGAATACAATGCCTCGTTGTTGTTGAGTAATTGCCCAGGATAAGTATCAGGATCATTATACATCATTCCTCTTTCACCTCCACCTGGATACATCATGGGATGCATCATCGACATCATCATCATTGCGTTGTAATTCATCATATTATAATCCATCATTGGGAAAGGAGGTTGATGACTATGATCATTGAATTTTTCCATCTCCGGGGTCAGATCGTAATTAGAACCCACACTAGAGTTCCGATTATGATAGTTCAACTTGTAGTATCCATTGGCCAAATGTTGTTTTTGGGTTATCGGAGGGATAAATCCATTTGGAGATTGTAAGGGATCGACGACACCAGTTTGACAGTTGTTTGAGCGATTCAAATGACCATTACCAAATCCAGAATTGTTGATGAAAGGTGATGGTACCATCATCATTGGGTCTACTGGGACCATTGACGGTGGGGGAAACATATTATTTCTATTTTGATACCCAAAAAATCCATTATTATTACTGTTTTTGTTATTGTTAAGCCCCGTCTGATTGATTTTATTGTTGTTGGCGAACATGGGGTTGCCATAGTTTTGATACCCGAGATTTCTTTGGCCAGGATAATACCCACCATAATTGAAGAAATTTTGAAACCCGTATCCCGAATCCCGACGACTACCGTAGCCATTACCACTGCCACTTTTATGGTTCAGGGGTTTTTGATGATGATTATATTCATGGTGATGGTGGTGACGATGGTTGTGGTGATGGCGGTCTTGCATGTTACGTTCCTCACGACGTTGAGCTCTGGAAATTTGTAATCTATGGTTATGAAAATCAAAATCGTTGAGCTTTGATAGAGCATCGATTGCTGCTTGATGATCTGTAAACTTTATGAATCCGTATCCTCTAAGATTGTCACTGTTGGGAGTGTCAATAGGATGGGAGTCTTCCTGTTTTTTTTCTTTTCCTTCTCCTTCTCCTTCATCTTTTTTCTCTTCTTTTCTTAGTTCTGACTCTCCTTCATCATCACCAACTTTTGGTAAGAAGTATGAATCAATTTCTCCAAAAGGTCTAAATAATTCCAAGATCTGTTCTTCAGTGACGTCCAATGGTAAGTTTTTCACGTACAAATTCTTGAAATTCTCTTGTTCGAGCTTTAGTCTTGCCAATCGTTCTTTTTTGGAAATGTGTCGGTTCAAATATAATGTTTGGTTTTTCCATTCAGTTCCGTTCAATTTGGCAATTGCCAGTTTGGCTGCTGATCCGTTAGCGAAATTGACAAATCCAAACCCCTTGGACACTCCGGTGGAAGGATCGGTGACGATTTTGCAGGCGACAAGGGTGCCAAATGAGGTGAAGAGTTTGTGTAAATCGGTGGTCGACGTTGTAGGATGCAATCCTTTGACGTAGATATTTCCTGGATGGGATAAAGTATCATAAACCAACGATACTGAGGCATCAAGGTTCTCGGAAGTGATGACGGTCGATAGTTTGCAGTCGACCGATTCCGCCAATTCTTGGTTCTCGTACCGGATTGTGAAGCTGGTGGGGTCATTTTCCACCAAAGAGACCTTGTCATTCCCATCGCAGTTGACTAGCAGATGGAGTTTGTCCAACGTGGGTTTATCCTGGGCTTGGACAGTGATCAACACCGGAGACGTTTGGTTGGTGTCGGTGATAGGGTTATTGTTGGGAAAGAACGGTGATTTAGTCGACATTGTGAGGACAAATACATACAATATACATATATATTATACACATACGTATATATGTTAGCAATTGGCTATTTTCATTCGCAGTTGGGAGGTGAAGAAGTTTTATTAATCTCGTTGGTGATGGCCAAAATTCCCGAGTAATAGCAATTCCGTGGATCCCGGAAGGTCCAGAAACTCCCGTAAAAAGTTGAAATCAAATCAAATTGACTGGAGAAGAAGAAGAATATAATGAATTTCGCTCGGAAAGATTTTTGCCAGGAAGGGGAAGTAGTAGGATTGCTATCATGATGGTTATATTTCTAGTATTGCTGTCAATCGTCCTTCCAAACGTCGTGTGGGGCGGAGTCTTGTGACGGCTCTCTCCCCGGAATTAACTCCCGCAAATTGTGGCATCTTTTTGTATTTGTCGCTGATTATTGTTTTTTTATTGATGGAATAACGGTGAGTGATTGAGCCAATGGAGATAGACTAATCGACTAATATTGTCTTTTGTCTCGTCGTTTTCGTCTAACATGACACTTTCCCTTTTGGAGATTATATCTATTCTCTTTACATTTTTATTCTCTTTACATTTTTATTTTCTTTATACTTTTATTCTCTTTATTATTATTAGTCTCTTTATTCTTTTGAATTTATTTATTCTTTTGAATCTCTTTATTTTTTTGAATCTCTTTCCTCTTTTCATTAGTTCTATTATATCATTTCAACCAGTTCTATCATCTCTATCATCACAATAAAGATATAATAAACCCATTCAATCACCATCTACAAACCTTCACTTCGACAATCGACATTTTCTCTATTCCTTCCATCAAATAACAACAACTAAATAATCATAAATTGTCCAAAAAAAATAAAAAAAAAAAAAAATAAAAAAAAATTAAAAAAAATCATAGGTAAAAACATCAATATGAAAAAACCCTGTTCTTCTCAATATCTTTGATTTTTAAATCCTTAGCAAATAAATACCAACGATACTTCTAAATTATCACCAGAATAGTAAACCTCTTTCACTTCACCTCGTGAATCAACCCCGCTTGAACTTTCTGCTCTCCTGTCCAATCCAATAAACTCCCAATTAAACTCAACACCTCAAATTTCTTCAGATCTCCTCGAGGTAATGCCACAAACTTCAACACCAAATTACTGATCAACTCTTTGTCCACCATATCACTCTCTTTAGACTTTTGGATCATCGCCAACGCTTTGGTCAAATGCTCGTTCAAAATGATCGCCTCGTGCCTAAGTTTACCAATCTGTAATTGTTTTTCTTTAACTTCTTGTTCCAACTTCTTCACCAATCCTGCTTTGGCTTGCAACCCATCAATTTCTTCTTGCTGCGTCATGGCTTGCTTTTGCATATTATCGAGCAATTTGTCCTTCTCATTAATCGTCCCACTTAGTTCCTGGTTAGTTTTTTGCATGTCCCCCAATCGTTTCTGTAAATTTTGTAAATCCGTGGTCCTTGTACGTTCCAACATCCCTATCTCCCCAGTTAATCGATCGATGGTTTCCCCCTTATCATTGATCAAGTTCTTCAAATCTTGTACTTCGTTGCTCAATGCTTTCTTCACAGCATTGGCCTCGCTTAACACCATCACCACCTCATCGTATTTCTCTTGCATCAGATCCCCCAACATTTCTCGTTCTTTCAAAGATTGTTCTATTGTCACGACTTTATTCCGCCATTCCCCATCAATGGTTTCCAATTTGGTTTCCAATTCGTAGATCTGGTCATTTAATTTATCATTCATTTCTTGGCATTGCCCAAAATCCTCGGTTACTGCATTGTGGTTACGTAACAATTCTTGGTACTTCAATTCCGTCAATTTGTTGGTTTGTTCTAATTGAATACACCGGTCTTTTGAAGCGTCATGTTCCTGACTGACTTCTTCAAGTTTATCCTGGGTCACCGTCAATTGTTCTTGGGCTTCTTTCATCTTTTGAAACACGGTTTTCATCAGGGAAATCCGACTAAGTAATGCGTTGTAATTGTTTTGAGTTTTTGCCGCTTGTTCTTTGGAGCTGGTCAATTGACTTTGCGCTTGGGCAAGCTGTTGTTCAAGGGAAGCAATACGTAAGTCTTTATCATTAGGTTCTATATTATTGACTTGTTTGTTAGATTCCTCCGGCGCTTTGTTGACCTCTTCTGCCTCCGTAATATCATTTTCTTCTGTCACTTTATCATTATTTTCGCTGATTTCTTCTTCTTCTTCTTCTTCTTCCTTGTCAACTTTAACTTCGTCAGCATTCACTACTTCCTCTTCATCACGCTGCAAATTCTTGGGACTTGTCCCTGTGTTATTTTTCTTTGATCCGCTAGTGGATTTACTTCTCTTCTTGCCCATTGTGTCTTTCTATCTACTTGTGATGTTTATCAAATGTATATCCAACTTTGTAATGTAATTCCAAGAAGAAAACCTCAATTATCCCAAACCAGTGGACCCAAGTGAGTTCTCAGTATTTTTGACCTGGTGCAAAAAGATATTCCTTAACACAAAGAATCCAGAGAAAGTCTCTTAATAAGAGAATTACAAAAAGACACAATCAATGATTGTTAACAAAACGTTTCTTGTAATTTTTTTTTCCCCGTAAATTTTCTCTAACTTTTTGTTACCCTTCTTTAATAAGCCATTTTGAAAAATTTCCATCATAAGAATATGACATCCTTCAGCTATCATAAGTTGTATATAAGTGATATATATATATATATATATAAATACATATGAACATTATCGATATGGACAGCGACGACGAATTATCTTTACCAGCGGACACCCTTGCTGCTCTTGCAGAGTTCCGTCAAGAAGAATCCGCCAGACTCGAGAAGTTCCGCCAATTGGAATCATCGGCAGAAGAACAGTTCCAAGAAACCCAACAAAAGGACATTGAATTATTCAAAGAAGACTGGCAACTTTCCCAGTTCTGGTATAATCAACATACTGCAACTTTACTTGCCCAAGAACTTCTCGATGGTGCTGACCAGGACACGATGATCGCCATCATTTCTGCCCCCTCGGTGTACGCAGCGATGACCAAACTTCCATCATCAAGTTTCCATAACGGGGTGACATTAAAGGATAACGTGTGGTTATTTGAATACGACTCCCGGTTTTCGGTGCTTGCTGGGGACAAGTTTGTGCTCTATGATTTCAACCACCCGTTGAAAAACTTGCCATCAGTGCTCCTTAAGAAAACACATCGAGTATTGATTGATCCGCCATTTCTTTCGGAAGATTGTCAAACTAAGGCTGCCATCACCGTCAGAGCGTTGCTAGTCGAAGATAAATCACAAAAAACTGAGGATGGCACTTTAAGATACAGGGTGCTGAGTTGTACTGGAGAAAGGATGGCGACGTTGATTGAAAAGGTCTACCCAGGGGTAAAGATGACCACATTTTATCCAGAACATGAAAGAGGATTGAGTAATGAGTTTAGATGTTATGCTAGTTACGAAGGAAGCAGCTGGAAGTTTCAATGATGGTTGAAAAGTTTTATTTCAATGTCAGGGAAGGAGTACAACTGATTTGTGTTATGTATTGTTAGATAAACATAAAAGTGTATTATATTTAAAGAATTATCGTCTGTAGAACATGTGCGTTTATTTCTAGGTATTAATTTGGACCTCCAATTATTAAACATCTATTTCTAATTTGACATCTATTTCTAATTTAACATCCATTTCTATACTTCATAAATCATAAAACAAACTAACGATATGAATATCAGTTGCACTAACTACCCCTTTTTCAAGCACTTTCTCAACATCTTCTTTGCGCACCGTAAGAACCCCATCCGGCACCGGTTTAAATCCCAATTTCTCAACGTAATATTCAACTAAGTTATGCTCCTGGAATACCTCTGCCGATAATCGCTCTACCCTTTCATAAACTTCTTGTTCTCCCAATGGCGACTCACCACCTTGTCTAATATGTTCTGCCATCATGCAAAGATCTCGCTTAAGTAATTCCATGATCAACCCACCGGAATTGCTGAAATGCGAGGTAAACGCCGTGACTTCCACGGTTGACCCATTGATGTATTCTCCCGCTTCATCAGTGACGATTTTCTTTACAGGTTTCATCCCAATCGTAGCAAGTGTCATGGTGGTCATCACATCAGTATACTGGAAAGTCTCATCACATTCGACCGCCGGGATACTATTAATCATCAGTTGATCCCACCATTTTCCAGGAGTTTCAGGGTGTTCCAAAAACCACTCCCTGGTGCCAATAAGAAGGTACAAGTAGCATCCTGGTTTCTCGAACCCCAAATCTGAAAGCACCAGTCCTGACGACTTGATCCTTGAGGTCAACATCACTTTATACTGGAACCGTGGCTTATTGTACCCTTGGTTGATGATGTCCCGGACACTCATTTGGTTGACTCGAGAAATCTCAGAGGTACCATCGAGAAGCCGGCTTGGGATCTTGAACAATGTGAGCTGAGAAGCGCTGTTATCACTGGTCATTTTGATGAATGAAATTTCAATGGCTGGATAAAAAAAAAGGGGGAGAAGCAACAAAGAGAATAGCCCAGATAGAGAATCCAGGAGGATAGTTTCTTAGAAAGGACGTAGTCTATCAAGGCTTATCATATTAATGATAATGATACTGACGAGTATACGTGTGAGTCACCGGTATAGATTGATTACGAAACATTACCAAGTGATGCATATATGTATACCAACTCGATGGATGATTGGATTGAAAATTTTGAAAAAAGAAATTCCGATACCGGGAGTCGAACCCGGGTTTGCTCGGTGAAAGCGAACCGTGCTAGCCGTTACACTATATCGGAATTGATGTTAATGACTAGTTACAATACCATCCAGCTGTTTGTGTTTTTATTTCTCGTACAAAAATTGCTTAAAACAGACATTTATCGTTTTGTTTTTACCTAATTAGGAAAGCATGTCGGCCTTTACCGCCGTTGTGGTATACTAAATATTATAAAACTCTTAATATGAACACCATTCTAAGTGAAAAGATTGTTCTTCTCCACTTTAACAATCATTGTTCACTATCATCTCCCAAGTTTGTTTGTTTTTTTTTGCACAAAGCTTCTCAGTGGTTGAAGGAACATCTGCTTGGGTATACATATTTATCTTGGAAATCGTTTATTATATTGCCTAATATTTCTATATGTTGAGCGTATCCCATGCTAATTCAAACGATATTCAAGTTCGACAAAGCAGTCTCCACAGAAATGGTGCTGACAGCCCACACAAATTCCAAAATACCGACCATCGATGGTGCGCTGGAGTTGGCCGTTGGTAAAGCTGCAGTGATGGCATAGCCAGTGATCAGTGAGGGTGGTGGGCTTTTTTGCCATCTTGGAGGAGTAACTATAACGAAGGTGATGATACCAATGGGAGTAGATAGTAGAATGATGAGGTGATTATTAAAATAAAAGGGACAGAAGGGGAAAAAGAAAAAAGATGAGGTTATTTATAGCCAATGTGGTGGTCCCCCCCTTTTTTTTTTTCAAGACACTCACTGGGAAGAGAGATGATGATGGAATCCCTTGGTGGATGGTCGTGGTGATGATGGAGAGTGGAAAAAGAATAAGAGCAAGATCAAGAAGACAGCCTCCCAAATAATGGTTATATGGTTCAATATTCATTCAAAATATCATTGATTGATATAGTCATCCTTATTTGATCCTTTTCTTCATGCAATTTCGACACTTATGATAACATCTAGGACAATCCCACCAAAGAATCCACTGCTGGAACGCAAAAGTGTAATAGTATCCACACTGACAACACCAATTATCGTACTCAAACCGGCCATTACCAACCTTGATAACTGCCATTGGCCGTCCTGGCTCAATGATAAAATCATCAGAAACTTCAACGATGTAGTCTACTGGTGGGGGCATTGGAAACAGAATAGTGAAGGAGCACGGTATATTGAAAGCACTAGAACGAGAGAACAGAACATAAAATGAACAACAAAACAGAAAACAAAAAGCAGAATAAAATAAAAATTAACAAAAGCCACTAAAAAAAAAAAAAGAAAAAAAGGAAAATCCTTTTTTGAAGTATTCTGGGAAGAAAGAAAACAATGACTGGTCATAACATGCTAACCAATATAAATAAATACATAAAAAACCACCACGAAAATCTTGGAAACAAAAATAATCAAATAAAGGCCATTAAAAGTCATTCGGATGCAAAAAAAAAAAAAAAAAATAACGATCTCTATATTTTATAAATATTAATCCATCAAAGAACAATAACAAAAGGCAGGGTAGAACATTCACCACTGGAACGGGATAATGACGATGGCATCCGCGACAGAACAGTGCTTTCCAAATCCGTCAATACGTCTCCTTTACCGATACTCATTTGGTGATCAACAACGGTTTTTCTATCAGTACTGGTATTGCTGAACACTATTGATGAATCATCGTCTTCTTCTTCATCATCATCAACATCCAAATCACGCTCGTCTTGATTATGCAACACCACGATCGGGGTTTGGTTTTTTAAACTGATGGATTTATCAAGATTCCCAGAACTGCTGATGGTAAGATTAATCCCTAGATGGTACTTCACTTCCACTGCCCCTTGAACAAACGATGGTGGGCATCTTGGGATTGGCACGTTGTACCATTCGTGCGGCAAGGCGAATTGGTAACACTCATCATCCAAATGCGATCCGTAGGACCTTATCAGCTTAGCCGAGAGTTTCACTGTAGATGATGGAACTGGAGAAAGATCGGTTTCTGGATCACACGCTTTATGCTCCAATGTTTTATCAAGAAGAACGAGCTTGTTATTGGCAAGGGTTGTTCCCAAATGACGATACACGATGCTTTGATGAAGGGTGATCACAATTCTATTGAACACGATATTTTCTGGGCTGAGTAATGGCTGGTGTTGATGTTGATCTCTTTGGGAAAGATTCTTTTGGAGTAACGCCTTGATGCTGATAGGAGATAATGGGGAAATAAGTCGAAGGTCCAACGCTTCTGGGAGGTTGGTTCCTGCCTGTATGAACCGATTAGATTGACCCCCGGTGAAATGACGCATCATATGAGGTTTGAACTGACACAGAAGAAGGATTGGCACCGCGGTGGTCGAAGAATTCATCATTCTTTTAAGAAATTTTCTTTCCAACAGATTTTGGTTTTGGAACTTGATTTTGCTTTCGATGAACGTGGTGTTCTCCACTGGGACCCGGCTGAATTGATAACAAAGATGGTTAGAGAAATGTGATTCGGCAAGATAAGTATTTTCTGGAATGAATTTAATTTCATGTGACGCCCAAATGTTCGACTTAAACATCGAAGGTTGGACGATTTCCGCAGACACGGTGTAGTACACCCTGGCGAAATCACCCTTGCGGCTCCATTCGAAAGTTGGTGGAAGAAATTCGTTTTTGGATGCCAATGGATAAGCAATACTGAATGGATAAGTGTAGATCCCTTCAGTGAGGGTATAAAGTCTGGAAACATCGAGCTGGTCGGTTGGAAAGACTCTAACTTTGCTGTAATTGAATGAGTCTCTTCTGTTGGATTCTGAGTAATCATGTTGGGCCTCGACCACTCCATGAAGGTATACTACCACCTCAGAGAAATTGATCTTGCTAGCGACGTTGAGGGTCAAAAGACCAGTGATAAAATCGCCATTGCTGAATACTTGGTCACCGCCATTAATATCGATTGCCAAACTCAGTTTATTACCGCCAATCGCGCCCGTCCTGGAAAACAAATTAGCACCAATTATTGACAACATTTCTTCTTTTTTGATAAACAGAGGGGTATGATACAAAGACAAAAGATAGGTTCTAGTGGTAAGAGAAGTGGGACTAGCAGGGATATTTATATTATATGTCACTATCCCGCTGATTCAATTTATCGTCGAAAAGTGTACCGATCAATGCAGTAACTTACATCGAGGAACCCAAGCACCAATTCTGGGGTGCTGTGCGATCTACGAGCACTAGTTTTGACGGGATTTCGCTGTCTTTTCAAAAGAGAAACACCTCATGACCAGTGGAGTATGAGGGAAGTTCTTGGTTGGTTGGTTCTTGGTGATGGGCTAGTAACCAACTGAGAGAATTAAAACCAAGAAAGAAAGGAAAGAAGTGGGGAAAAAATGACGCTGATGATGATGATAAAGACAAAATGGCGGAGGGTGGAGACAGGGGGTCCGGTATACGCAAAGTTTGATAAGAAATCTTTCTATAACTCTTAACGGCAAAAACCGTCGAAAAAGGGGGACCCCAGACAAAGAGCTGAGTCCGCCTGCTGCGCATTTTATTCCTTCCCTGCCTGCCCTCCAAAACAATAGCAATATTCAAACAAACTATTAAATCAACAAAAATGGCAGCAAATCTGGCAGCAAATCTGGCAGTGGTGCTGACGGGGATAATTGATACAGAGAGGGGGTATGCTCGTCTTGACTATTTCATGATATAATAACACTAGTGTGGTTTGGCTTAATAGTATCCAAGACAAACAGCCTACTTGGGAAAAGCACACTTCATACCATAAATTTTAGATCATCTTATTGTGGATTTTCTTCATTTAAATCTAAATATTCTGATATTAAAAAAAAAAACAAAAAAAAACAGAAATGTCTTTCCACTCCATGCACTAAACTATTATTATTTCAACATGCCAACCTGCCTAGCTTTCCTTCCAACTTCCACGATCTCAGAATCATAATGGAGTTTTCTTTCTCCCTTCACGCTGATTACTACACTCCATCCATCACCACAATGTAGTTTGCTTGATTCTCTTATTTTTTTTTTTTTTTTTTTTGGTGACTTCATCGGAGATATGGCTTATTTCAAATTAGTTTACTTTGGCGTGCAGCTTAAGATTTGGGAATGTATTTGTCTTTGACGGTACTATTACGATAGTGTTTTTTTTTTTGTTTTTTTGTTTTTTTAGTAACGGTACCTATGTGCCAAAAACTGATAAAGTACCTATGTGCCATAAACTGATAAAACAAACACTAGGGGGACGAAAAAAAAAGATAACATCAAATTATGCCTATCCCCCGGAGAGCACATTTCTTTTTGACGCTCCACCAAATGAATATCTTGAGGAGATCGACTGATCAAAAGATACGTTTTAACCCGTGGTGGTGAACCGGGTGGAACTATTGGCGTGATTAACTAATTAATGACGGCCCGTATCCCACAACTAACTCAGTTTGACGAAGATACCGTACCACTCCTTGGTTTAGTGGGAGTATAATATTGCCTGTCCGATATCGATAAGAATAAATGCTTGAAATTGTTTCTAAATTCGTTGTTAATTTTTAGCTCGTGATCCGAGACCTACAAACCTGGGCTAGTGAAAGTAACCATGGGGGTGGTATAATTGATTATTTACCCATTTCACAGCACATTGCACTCCCTGGAAGCTACCTTGAAATACTGTATATTTATTTCCCCGTTGCTCAATTATATTAGGGGGTTATAATATAACCTTCTACTGCTCAAATATACTGGGACTAGATCATATCTCACTGGTCAAATCCCTATTGTGGACACTCCCATAATATAGCATTGTCACCACTTTTGATGTTGGATATTCCCACCTTTTTTTTCCCAGCCGCTAGCTAGCATCACCACCGGAGACATACAGACTAATTCTAGTTCTCGACCATTAGGAGAACGAATCGTCAATGCTATATAGAGCTCGTGTTTGATGCATAATCCTTTGTAACTACACAGACGATGGTGTGTGGTGATTATTCCATCGTAACATTCTGGCAATAACGTGAATGATAAGAAAGTATTTTTTTCCTCTTGGGTTGTCTCTGTGAAATATCCAGGAGGTTTATCAGCCAAGTGCTCGGGTGATTTCTCAGCCAAGTATTCAGGAGGTCTTTCTGGCCAAGAATCAAGGTTTTCCAGCAACAGAGAGTCCAAACTTTTCCCTGTCCCAAAGAACGGAATTTCAATGTTTTTCAGGGTTCCTAATAGTGGAAAATCCTCTCTGGGGATCAGTTGGAAATCCCTGCAAAGATCAAGAATTTGATTTAATCGTTTATTCACAACTTTGGTATGATACGCGATGACCCCTGTGGATTGGCCGTACCCCACGGTTTGCCGTACTTGAATATTCATCCTAGTGAGAGTGATACGGGTTGATCCTGCTTCTATCATTGATTGAAGGGCATGGTACGACATTGGAATGATGATTTTAAGATCCAAACACCGGTGAAGTCTGGCCTTCATGGGGATAAACCGATACTTTGTATGCTCTTCCACCTGAGTCAAATGAGAGTTCTCGATATACGGTTTGAACACCGCAGTGAGGGATAATGGTACCAGGGTGGCTCTTGGAGTAAGAACCCGTTTGAGAAGTCCGGCATCATTGATGGCGAGTTTAGAAGGATTACCATGGCTGATGTTTCCTATTGGGATTTTTTTCTTGGAATAAACCAATAACAATGGATCATATGATAGACTGGTATAGTGTGGTTGGAACCGGAAACTATTGTAAGTGATGAGGTTTGGCCTGTAGAACCCTGGGCGGTGCACCACTGCGACGATGGAATACCTCACCAGGGCGAAATGCGAGAGTTTCGGTGGTTTACAGTGCAATGAGGGAGGGTAGAATTCTGAAGAATCGGGTAATTGAAATGAAAATGGATAGCTGTAGTCGCCTTGTGGCAAGGTGTAATCTATGGTACTCCCGCCACCGGTGGTGTCCCTGTTGGCAGGATCCTTGAGGAAAAGGAGCTGTTTATCAGGAAACACATGCTTTTGGGATTCCAAGAAAACTGTTTTAACACGGTTTGAATCATTACCTCGCTTATAATCTATCTCAATCACTCCTTGAAGCAAAACTTCAATACTAGTAACTTGTATGTCTTCTACCACGCTCAACGTGGCAACACCAACGATGATATCATTGTTGGTGTAAGGTCCGTTGTGGTTGGCAAGAGAAATGACAACATTCAGCTTCATCTCTCTCTTTTTTTTTTTTTTTAATTATTATCTATTTTTAAAATTCAAGCTCAAATTCTTTACTTTTTTATCGTCTATTATGATATATTAAAAAGCAGACAAATTTTTTGGATTTTGGCCCGTTTATGTACACCGCTAAGATCCGTATACGCTATCAAAAACCCAGGAAAATGTCACAAGGCACCAAAAAAATTATGATGATGTAATTTAACGAATTCTTCTAGATTAGGATTTATCAATAACCAAAAATGAAGATTACAGGTATTAAGCCGTCGGGGTACAACCCAATTTTCTAGCTTTTCGTCAAAAAAAAAAAAAACATTCAAAATTTAACTGTTCCACATGTATTCGTCTATTGAATTATATTCACACATAATATATAATCTAGTGCTCTCTGAAACCCCCCACTATTAGTCATCATTATTATTATGACTAATAGCGGCATAAATACCGAAGATCACTGAGCTGAGTAATTAGGTAATTCATCTTCAGTATATTGTGGTGCCGTGTCTTGAATCGATAGCTCTCCTGGTTGGATATCCTGAGTATATTGCGGCACATCTTCAGGCACCGCATTGGTGGACTCATCTCGTAGAATTACTACTGGACAATAACACTTAGCGCTACTATTTTTTTTGCCTAAGGTGGTTGACAAATCAAGCCTCACTGATAAAGTGTAATCGTTCTGAATGTTACAACACACAAACAGCTGAGGGGTCCTGGGGATTTTCGCGTTGAACCATTCGGGAAACAACGACATGCCATAACAGTGTTCCGTAATACGGTTCCCCCACTTATCGGTGATTTTTTTTGCAATTGGAACACTGGATATTGGCATTCGATCGAAATCGGTATCCAAATTTAATGTGTGATTGAGGGTTGTATCTTGTATCGCGAATTCATTCACCGCGCCCTTTTGCACCGTCGTGGAGAAAGTTATCAATTCTTGCAAAGAGACTCGAAGACGGGTGATGACAATTTGTTCAGGAGGAGTGTTGTTGTGAGTGGTAGATCTTTTCTTTTTAGAATTGAACGCCTCATCATCATCATTATTAAGGAGTTTTCGGATTTCTTTGGGCAGAATCAATGATATAAGTTTGATATCTAAAAGATCCGGGAGAGGGGTGTCTACTGGAAGAAGACGATTGGTGGTACCTTCATTAAAAGTCCTGGAGATAAAAGGTTTAAATTGACAAACCGCGACAAATGGTAAGCTGATTGTTGATGAACTAAGAAGTCGTTTAACAAACGTGGTAGCTGGAGGTGCAGTGCTTTGGAACCCTATTTTACAGTCAACCGTTTCGGAATTTCTCATAATATGAGATCGCTTACCGTCATAAATATGACTCAAGGAGAATGACAACCAGGAATTCTTCGGTGAAAAAAACAATGGATGCGATGCTCGTAGATTGAGCTTGTAGAATGCATGCTTGTGGATAACCGCGACCAACTGGTAAGTGACCCTGGCAAAGTCTTCGAATAATCCATAGTAGAAAGTTGGAGGAATAGTTGCTGGGGCATCGATGGTGTTGTGATATATGAACCCGCACCTACCTGTGAAGCTATTGGCGATACATTCGATGGGGGTGGTAGACGATGGGAATTGAAGGGAAAATGGGTAACTGTATGTCCCATTGCCCAAGGTGTAGTGGGAAGACTTCAACTCCAGGAACTGTTCGGGGAATACTCTCACCAGACGCTTGACTAGAACATGTGAACGGTATGATTTGCCTGGGCCCTGGGAATTGCTGATTCTGGTTTCTGATATTCCTAGAAGCTCGATGGTGATTTCGTTCAAGTCGATTCTGTCGTTAACCTGGAGGGTGATGTGGCCACTGATAGTGTCTCCATTAGTGAATACTGGTTGTTGTTGGTCAACGTGTATTGTGAGATTGGGCATGCTTGGCAGATCTATGGATATATTCCAGTAGGAAGTGTTGTAAGTACAAGAGATAAACAAAAATAAAGAACAGGAAAAACCGCGACCGCCGTGACATCCCAGCCTTGTGTGCTGTCTAAAAGTAACCCGCACATACAATATTTTATAAAAGAAAAAAGAAGAAAATTTTTATTTACTTATTACATATATTAGAGAGACAGACTTACTTTTACTTATTTTATACTACTATCTTTTACTATTGAATCTATACAAAGATCTATTTGAATACAATTTACAATCAACACGTTTGTATAATTTATAAGCACTTCGCAGAGCTTACCCTACTCAAAAGATAGTTGTCCGGATTACACAGCTCACTTGGCTGTTGTCACGTGATTATCACACATTGGTACATAATCTTGCATATACATATCACGTTTCAGTAACGTTTTCGCCAAAAACAGTCAAGAACCAACGAACAATAGTGGTTATAATTACTTACCGGAGATCTTGTGACATTATATATTGTTGTTGATTACGGGTGATAACCCACGGATATGTGCTGATCTTTTTCCCAGAGCGAGAAGACGCAAACTAATCCTACATCTGTTCAGCAGGAATGTATTCCCAGCACCAAATGAATTGGGACACACGACTATACACGGATAATCATCACTGGATGATTTTAGTGCAGAGAACGTCGCCGAGCCAGTTCACACGACCCTTGCCCTGATCCTTAAGAACCCATGATTCACCGTATCCAGACATCTCTTGGGAATACTTCCCAATGGAGGATGAATATCAGGAATACTTACCACATAACCTCTTATTGCAACCTATAACACCACGTTTTGGACGGTCAACTACCGTTCATTTACAAAAACGAATCAAAAGTCGGTGACAGGCCGAGCGCCACGTGGGGGAAAGGAAGAGAGAAAGAAAAAATCTGCAATAGCCCTGCTTCCCCACGTGCAAGCGGCTTGGAAATACATGCAAAAACCCCTTGATGCATGCATAATCGCTGATTATCACCACTAGTGGTAATGTTAGGCTTGTATATAATATTGTATATATATATATCTGTGGATGGTCCTTCATTCTCTGCATTTTTGGGACAAGGATTCCTAAGACATTCAACATCCTCACACGACAATGAGCTTGCCTGAGAAAAATCAAGACTACACAAAAGAAATCGCCGACGAACACATCGAGGCCATCAATTCTGATCCTCAAGAACTCGTCTATGATCCGGAGGCCAGAAAAGATCGTTCCAAGACCAGAACTACCTCTGATATCATCACCATCGTTGCTTCTGGGTTTGCTTTGATCAGTGATGGTTACCAGAACAATGTAATGTCCATGTTGAACAAAGTCTATGCTGTCCAATACCCACATTACTACAAATCTGACGTCTCTACTAGAGTCTCCAACGCTTCGCTTGTTGGTACTATTTTGGGGCAAGTTGGTATGGGGTTCTGCTGTGATTACATGGGAAGAAAATGGGCTATTGTCACCGCTACCTTGTTGCTTGTTATTGGTACTATTCTTTGTGCTGCCTCCCATGGTGTCACTGTTGAAGGTATGTTTTGGATGTTGACAGTGTTCCGTGGTATGACTGGGTTAGGGATCGGTTCTGAATATTCTGCTTCCACCGTCAGTGCCAATGAAGCCGCCAATGAATCGGTCAAGCGTCGTGGTGGTGTGTTGGTCTTAGTGACAAACTTGCCATTGTCTCTTGGAGGTCCTTTTGCCCTTATCATCTTTTTAATTGTCTATTCTATTTGTGGTTCCCAACACTTGGATGCTTTATGGAGAACTCTTTTTGCCATTGGTGCCTTCTGGCCATTATCAGTGTTCTATTTCCGTTATAAGATGGCCACTTCTACCCTTTACAAGAAAAATGCCATCAAGAAAAGAGTCCCATACTGGTTGGTGATCAAATATTGTTGGAAACGTTTGCTCGGGGTTTGCCTTTGTTGGTTCCTTTATGATTTCGTCACTTTCCCAAATGGTATCTTCTCTGGTAGTATTATTTCCTCCGTCCTCAAAGATAGTAAAGATTTGAAGAAAATTGCGGAATGGAACCTTCTTCTTGGGATCATTGCCATTCCTGGGGTCATTGTCGGGGCTTACTTGATCGACGTTATCGGTCGTAAATACACCCTTATGCTTGGATTCATGGGATACCTTATCTTTGGTCTTATCATCGGATGTGCTTATGAAAAAATCTCCAAAATTGTGCCATTGTTCATTGTGTTTTACGGGTTGATGAACTCACTTTCCAATATGGGTCCTGGGGATAACTTGGGTGTTGTGGCATCGGAATCCTTTCCTACTGCGGTCCGTGGTACTTGTTACGGTTTTGCTGCTGCCATTGGTAAAGTTGGTGCGGTTGTTGGCACCCAAACTTTCCAGCCAATTCGTGACAAATTGGGGGCCAGATGGACTTTTATCATTGCCGCATTGTGTGGTGTCAGTGGTGTCATTGTTGCTGCTCTTTTTGTTCCACATTTGAAGGAAGATGATTTGTTGGAAAATGATATCAAGTTCAACAATTATTTGATAGAACAAGGATGGCACGGTCATTTGGGTTCTGATGAATCTGAAAGCACAGTGAATGAAGATGAATTATCAAAATGAAATTTTATTTGATATGAAAAAAAAAATGGTTTTGCTTTTTTTCCTTCAATTTAATCTTGGTTCTTTTTATTGTTTTAGATTATCAGATTTTAGTATTATCTTAGATTTGGAATGTTATTTTTTTTCTTCTGTTGTTAATTGTTTCGTTGTTACTTCACTACTTTTTCTTCTATTCTACCATAAAAACAAAAGTAACTATTGTTTTTTCTTTTATTTATTTTTTGCTGCTTTTTATGTCAATATAATGTTAATTTTGAGAAATACACATCATCTAAAATAATCATTATTGTGACCTATATTTGGATATTTAATCTTTAATAGAACACCAATCGATCACTTCCTTCTCCCCATACTTTTCTAAGATCCAATCATTACATTTCTTAAAATGATGACCTTCAAAGAACCCTCTACTGGCACTCAAGGGGCTTGGATGGACACTTGTCAACACCAAATTATTTTTTTTGTTTTTCTTATTGACACTGTCCATATTGATGGTTTTCTTCATCATATTGATGGCAAACGCTCCCCATGCCAAAACTACAATCTCTTGGTCTAACGTGTTGTTCTTATAATCGATCAAGTTTCTAATGAGGGTACTGGTAAATGTCTCCCAGCCTTTTTTATTGTGGGAATTGGCCTTGTGGGCCTCGACTGTCAAGCAAGTATTCAATAATAGCACCCCTTGCTGCGCCCATTGACTCAAGTTCCCGTTTTTTTTGGGGACCACAAACTTAGGATAATCGATCTTGATCCCTTTATAGATATTTGTCAACGATGGCGGTAATTTATTACAAAGCACCAGGAATGCTAATCCGTGGGCCTGGTTAAAATTATGATACGGATCTTGGCCCAAAATAAGCACCTTGACTTTAGCAGGATCAGGGCAGTATTTGGTGAAAGAGTAGATATTTTCCGGGGCAGGAAACACTGTTTTCTTGGCCTGCTGCTGTTGCTGGAGAAACTGTTTAAGTTGAGTGAAATACGGTTTGGTGAGCTCTTCGTAGACTAATGAAAGCCATTCAGGGCTAATATTCTGAGATTCCACCGAAAGTAGTTCTTGTGATTCACTAGGTAGGGACTCTAGCCATTGTGTGTTGTTGAAGGTTGTGTCGTTGTTAGTTGGTTGTTCTTGTTCAACTTTTTTCGATGATGGGACATTCTCTTTATTGGACTGTTGGATGGTATTGCATTCTATTTTCTTTTTGAATAGCCGGTCTATGGTTGTCTGTCTCACTTTCTTTGCAGGTTTCAATACTTTGGACATGATTAACTATCTATATTATAACTTCTACAATTGAAGAAGATACTATTGTCATCAAAAACACGACGCGTAAAAAAAAAAAAATCAAGAAGGAAAATCACGCGTCAGTCACATGGCAGGAGAATCTATTACCCTCCGCTATGTGTCCACGTGGCAATTTTCCCTCTCCGCCGACAACAACAAAGAAAAAGAAGTTTTTGGACCTCTTTATTTTATTTAGACGATGTTCTCATCATTTGTCGCTTAAACTTCCCTCAAACAATTATTCTTCTCGTTCTCCATGTCATTCTCTTTAGCCGACGTAACTGAATACTTCACTGGCACCATCGACTATAAAGGACAAGAATTGGCCACCAGCATCCTCTACAAGCTTCTCAACTTTTTTGCCCTCTCCAGCTTTCTTGTGGGGTTTGTTTATCAAGACATTGTCTATTCTGTGGCAATATTTGGAACAGGATTGGTGGTCATTGCCGTAGTTATTTCTCCGCCTTTCAAGTTTTACAACAAACACAATTTGAAGTTTTTGCCAGTTAAAAACCAGGTATTTTCTGCCGACACCATTTCTGACGTGGTCATCGAACCTATTCAACAATAAATGTCAAAGATCAGTTCCCCAGATAAAATGTTTTTGGGGCTAGATTTGTCGACCCAGCAAATCAAAATCGTCGCAGTCGATGAGCAATTGACCCCGTTATGCTGCTATGCCGTGACCTTTGATGATGATTTACCCTCTTATAACACCACCCACGGGGTTTACAAACAAGAAGCCGGGAGGATAGTTGCTCCGGTGGCAATGTGGTTGGATGCCTTAGACTTGGTGATGACTAGAATGAAAGATGATGGGTTTGATTTCTCCAAAGTGGTAGGAATGTCTGGATCTTGTCAACAACATGGGTCAGTGTACTGGGCCAATGAAGCGGTGGGATTACTACAAAGTTTGGACGGTGACACCACCTCGTTGAAAAATGGTCTCTTTCCTCAAGCGTTTACTCACACGGTTGCCCCAAATTGGCAAGATCATTCCACAGTTGAAGAGTGCAAACAGTTCACTGCCGCAGTGGGTAGTGGTCAAAAGTTGGCGGAACTTACTGGGTCTAAAGCGTATCATAGATTCACAGGTCCTCAGATCACGAAATTTATTAAAGACCATCCAGAAGCTTATGAAAATACTCACAGAATCACTTTAATCTCCAATTTCTTATCGACGGTGCTTTTGGGAAAGTTTTCAAAAATCGACCAAGCCGATGGCTGTGGTATGAATTTGTATGATATCCAAGGTAAATGCTGGAACCCTGATTTATTGGAGGCCACTGTTTTGGGGAAGAAAGAATCAATTACTAAATTAATTGCCAAGCTAGGTGGAGATGTCGAGCCCCTGGGATTCAACTCCATTGGCTTAATTTCTTCATACTTTGTCAACAAATTTGGTTTCAGCCCAAACTGTGGAATTTATCCATTCACTGGAGATAATCTTGCAACTATTCTCTCTTTGCCACTTCTCAAAAATGATTTGCTTGTTAGCTTAGGTACTTCCACCACATTGTTGTTGATTACTGATGTCTACAGAGCAAACGAGAACTACCACATCATGATTCATCCAACCAATCCAAATCTTTATATGTACATGATCTGTTACTCTAATGGAGCGCTTGTTAGAAATGATGTTAGAAACAAGGTTAATAAAAAATACTGTATTGCTGAGGATTCTTGGGATAAATTTTCGGAAATCCTTGATGGAGAAAAATTTGAGGCCAGCAAGGATGGCAATATTGGGATATACTTCCCACAAGGTGAAATCATCCCCAATGTTGACAAACCAGTGATTCTCAAATACAAATTTGACACCACCACTGGTGAGCTTATTGAAAACCTTGGTCCTGACTATAAAAATGTGGAGACTGATGTTAAAGGGATCGTTGAATCACAAGCCCTCAGTGGTCGGATTAGAGTACATGAGCTTCTTAAAAAAGATTGTAATGATAATAATGGTGATTTAAAACCTCATAAGCTTTTCTTTGTTGGTGGATCTAGCAGAAATCAATCAATAATCACCAAATTTAGTGAAATTTTGGGTAATGAATTCCAAGGAGACGGTGGTAAGGGAAACTACAAGAGCTTGGAACCGAACAGCTGTGCATTAGGAGGAGCCTACAAAGCTTGCTGGTCATATTATAGAGAACATGGTGGTAATGGTTGTTTTGAAGATTACTTGGAGAACAAGTTTGACTGGAGTAATTTGAAGGAATTTACAGTGGAATACAAATGGAATACATTCAAGATTGCGGAAGCTGCTTTAAGAAACTTGGAGCGTTTGTTATGATATCTTCCCACTCTCAAGATTCAGTCGTTCTTTCTTTTTTTTTTTCTTGGTGTCGCAGGTATTATTTTTTATGGTTTTCTTTATTTTAGAAATGCAATGCGGTTTTTTTTTTGTTTTTAATTAAAATTGTTAGTGAAGTAATTGCTCTCAAGCGGCTTTAAAGGTATATCTGAATTCGAAGTGTGTTTTTGATTCTGTAATTCTTAGTGATTGGTCTTCAATGTACGTGAAAGTCTAGTGGGCTTAATTTCTTCATTTATCGATTTCAAATTGTTGATAATTGTTCAAAGTTTACTAACTTTGCACTCAATGCACATAAAGCCTTCTACAATTTCTACTGAATCATATTTATTATAAGAATCATCATTTTGTATGGTATGGTAGCATGCACTACCAACAGCACCACTACCAGCAATTGTTTTTTTGTTTATATTAAAAGAGCAATTACCTCCTTAGGTTCAAACTCCTTCAATTAAAACAACGCTTTGTTCATTACCACCCATTACCACTGCCAAATTGTCTCATATATGCCTGCATTATCTCAGTGACATCTACTTGACTATTGCCTCCCATTGAGGGAATGCTGCCACCTCCGCCAAAAATCGCATTTATGGAATCAAGCATAGCAGGATTACCCAAATCATCTCCAAACATGTACCCATTGTCGTCTTCTTCCTCTTGATTGTCCGCGTTCATGTAAACGTCCACGTATCTTGCCAAATCCTCGTACTGTGAAGTATTGGTGAGCTTATTATAACTCAAATCAAGTTGTTTCAAGAAGAAAAATCCCTCGAGATCGGTAGCCACAGTCAATTCGTTATGGTTCAAGAATAACGTCTTCAACGTCTGTAAACGATCCAAGTGTCGGATCTCCTTGAGCTTGTTATGCGATAAATCAAGCAAATCCAACTCATGTAGCCCCCAAATATTCTCGACTTTCGAAATCTGATTTTCCGACAAAAATAACTCCAACAACCGAGAAAAATTGTTGATATTACCTTCGATCTTTTCTAACCGGTTAGCAGCGAGGTCAAGCACCTTCAAGCTTTTCAATAGCCCAATGAATTTCATATTGGTGAGCCCACAATTGGTGGCCTTTAATTTCCAAAGGCTCTTCATCCCGGAGATCTGCGCCACTTGGGACACCTTATTAAATGAAAAATCCAACAGACTCAATTTTGTGAACCTTGTGAGTTTTGGAATTTCCTTGAGCGAGTTCCTCTCAACCGATAACGTTCTAAGTGACTTCAATTCAAGCAAACCACGCATCGATGTAAGTTTGTTGTTCCCAATATCAAGGTTATGCAAGTTATTAAATCTCAGTAGCTTAATGGTGGAGATTATGTTTCCTGATAAGCACAAGAACGTCAAGTTCTCAAAGTGACCATTGATTTCAACCGATTTAATCTCATTTCTTGTTAAATCAAGGTGGGCAAGGTATTTCCAATGAGTGATCTCCGGGAACGTGCCGAGCTGATTCTCAGCAAGGATTAACTTTCTCAAATTATTACACCTATACGCCCATCTAGTATCCATTAGCTTATTGGACCTCATCACAATTGTTTGCAAATTTTCCAATCCAATGAGCGGTTTGCAGACTGTAATAGAATTTGTGCTAAAGCTGAGCTTTGATAATTGTGGCAAGTATCCAATATTCTCAACCATCTCAATGCTGTTATTTGACAAGTTGACCTCTCGTAAGTTTCTCATATGTTCTAAGACTGGCATTGTCAGGATCTCGTTGAATGATACATCGAGAACCTCCAAATTCTGGAATCCGCTGAAGTCTTGTTCGTGGGCGTTGGTGATTGCGTTTCTCGAAAAATTCAAAATCCTGAGAGATGGCAAATTATACAAATTTTCAACGATATCCAATTTGTTTTCTGACAAATTAATTTCCTCCAATGACGGCAAGTTCCCAAGCTGCTTGATTTTCACAATTGAGTTCAGTTCCAATTTAAGCTTCTGCAAGCTTTCAAGACCATCCAAGTTTTCCACTACTGCGATTTTATTTCTTGATAACTTAAGTTGTTTCAAACATTTCAACCTTCCGAGGTTCTGGATTCTCGTGATATCACAATTCGTAACGTCTAAAGCTTTTAAATTAACCAAATGGCCCAATTTCCCTAAAACCAGGATTCTATTTGAAGAAAGATTCAATGATTCAATATTGGCAAGCCCATTGAAACCTTGAATCTTGGTTAACTTGTTCCAAGACAAATTCAATTTCTTCAAGCTCCTTCCTAAAACTTCGAGACCCTTGATAGAGTTTAATCTGTTACTATTTAAATCGAGCTCTTCTATCCCATCGAGATTATTAATATTGCCGATTGCTTCGATTTCATTATGCAGAACATCCAACTTTTTCAACTTTGGCAACCTATTTGAATTATACACAAGTACTGAGATATGACCTCTTTGGATTTCTGCCTCTTCAAGTTCCTGAAAATCTTTCAATTCCATCAAATGATGAACGTGGTTGCCATAGAACTTCAATGTCCTTACTTTTCGTAAACTACTCAATTCTTCTAGATTAATTTCCACATTGTTGCTCTTGATCTGTTTTAAGTTTCGGCAATGCCTCAATACTCCACATTCGTCTATTTTCACATCATAAACCTCAATGTCTTCCAAACTTTCAATCATAATGGTCCCTAAGACACAAATGGTTTCCCAGGCGGTGTGCAATTTCAATTTCTTCAAGCTTGGAAAGTTTTTAGAATGGAAATTTTCTAATCGGATATTGTGTCGGCATTTGATGGAAACCTCCTGCAAATTCGGTGAGGTTGACCAATCGCCACCAACCACATGATTCGTGAAACAATCCAATTCAAGGGTTTTAAGATTGGGTAAAGTCAATTTGGAAAAATCAATGGTGCCATCAGATTCAGTGTCTTTGGTTTTCAACGTGAGATGCTCGATGAATTGCGGGTTGAATCCGAACTGTGGATCAGAAGTTTCCAAAACTAATTTCTTGATCGGCGAATTCAAATGATAGCCAAAATCCACATTCAATGATTCCAATGATGGAAGAGTTTTTACAAACCTCATCACATCGTGCTCTCCGTAAAAATACCCTTCTGCCCGATCGAATCGTAGATTGAATCGTGCTTGGTATTTGAAACTCTTAATATATTTCTTGTAAGGCTTCAAATCATTGATGTCAGTATACTGCATTTCAAAAGTATCCATGACTTGGAATCCTGACAAACTGACATACACACTCCCACCTCCAGGGTTTCTAAGCATCACTTGATTTTCAGTGCTGAGCATTTCACACGGTGGTATTACCAAAACCTCGTGAAAGATAACGGTGTCAAGGCATTGTCTGACCAAAGTGTTTTCAAATACTGCTTCACGAATATTGATCAATTCATCTTTTCCCTCAATGAATCGGAAAATATGAACATAGATCTCCGCTGGAAGATCCGCTAGTTTCGACATACGGAAAAATGATGAAATAAATCTCGTAATTAAATTATCGATTCTCAAAAATAAGTAAATTATCACAATGTTTATATTTTTTTTGTGTCTGCACCACTCACTGATAATACATCGCTCATAACACAATTTGATCTCCGTTGCGGGCGTTCCTGCAGGTTTCCGAGCCGGTCAGCGCGGTTTTTTTAATTATCTATGTACCCTCTGTTCCATTTAAGGAAATTTTCTAGGAAAGTGTGTTATTGTCGACTTCGCGCGATTATGGCTTGTAGTAGGGTAAGTTCTATCCGGTCGGTGGTAGCGGCGGATTCAAGATAATTCTGGATTAATACAAACAATAACTTAATAAAGTTAACAATGTAGTAAAATATAATAATTGAATAATGTCTTATCTCTCTAAAAATAGTAGAGAGATAATAAAAGTAGAATAAGTAAAATAAATAGAAAGTACGAAAATATGGGTTAGAAGTAATGGTGTTGTGGCTATTGACACTCTAGGGTGTGGTTAGCAAAAAGTGTACAAGTACGACTAGTACACTTTTTTATACTTTTACACTATAAAAAAGTGCCTAAATGTGTATTTTTCAAAGAGTCGAATTTTTAGGGACTTTTTCCGAACCCTATTGAAGTACTTTATAGACCTGTAGAATTCTAACATTTTAGCCTTCTATATATAATTATTTAAATCTCTGAAGATCAACCTTCTCCAATATCAGGATAACTCTTATTGGCTGACTAGCCGTACTTATCAATCCTTAGACTCGGATCTTCGTGGGTAACTCCCACCCTCAGGTAGTGCAGTTAAAAGATATTTCACTAGAAAGTAAAAAAATTCTCTTGGGGGTGATTCGAACACCCGATCTGCGGATTATTGCAGGAACTTTACAGTCCGATGCCTTACCAACTTGGCCACCAAGAGGGCAGATAATTGTTGTAGTATGGTTTGAGCTATTGGTTATAGGCAACGATACACGTGCTCATAACCACAAGTTCATAACCATTAGTATATAATTATAGTCGTCGATTATGAAAAGTTTTCAATATATATGATCTCTGGTTCTTCAGAGAGTATTACTAAATCAATCCTAACCCGTGACTAACTACATCTAGTATAGTCGCATCGTAATATAACAATTGGTAGCACCACTAGGTTTTTAGTTTTACAGACTCCACTGATTATAAACTTCTGTTGTCGTTTAATAGCATAGCTTGGTTATCCTAGTGTATGACTGTATTTGGTTTAAGCCCTAGCTCAGACGAAGAAGATAATTATTCAGGCGAAGAAAACGAGATGAGTATGCCGGGTGGACCGTTGGACGATTCTAATCGTCTGTTGCTCATGGAGCTCGTTGAAATGCTTCACGGTAAAGAGAAGGCCGGTCGCGTGTTAGACCCTATGGAGGTCAAGTTTAACGGAAAGCCGTTTAGTACAGGGATGCTTGCCCGCACTCCCATGGCATTGCATGACTTCTTCCAGTATGCAGAACACCAGATGCCACTTAATTGGAATGACAAGTATAAGATGAGTTTTATCGTGAGAAACGTGGCTCAAGATACTTTTAGAAGTTTTTCTTCTTTTTCTGACTCCTTGCCGTCAGATATCTCTTATAGAGCCTTTAAGGCTCAAGTGCTTGCGCACTTTTCTAGAGTTGATATGGTTGACATTTTGGAAAGAACATTGTGGACAATTGCGCAAAAAGGAAAAGCGCTTCTGTCCCACGTTGCTGAGTTTCAAGCGAATGTTGTGTACATTCCAGATTGGTCAGAACGTTCAAAAATTAATCGTTTTATCGATTCCTTGGACCCGCGTTTGCAGAAGCACATTGCAGATGCAGGACGCATTTATGAGAAATTAGATGATGTGATTTCTCATGCACTTAGTATTAATGATCTTACTGAAAGAACCATCCATACTCTGACTATCCCTATGCCGTCTACGTTTTCGCCTATGGATAGAGGTGGTCCGATGCCAATGGAATTGGATGCTTTGCAATCAGTACCAAGTTCTCGGGGAAACTCATATCCTCGCAAGTCTAGTGGTAAGATTGCCGCCCTCTGCAAGAAATTTAATCTCACCCAGGAGGAGGTGAGGCTGTTGCTTATTCTTGGAAATTGTTTCCAGTGTAAAGGACACGGACATCAGAGCATGGACTGCCCTCGCCGTGGTGGTGGTGGGTCTGGTGCTCGTTTGGCTCACCTTATGGATTGCGTCCAAGAGGAGGACCATGCAGTTCCATATGAGGATGTTGTTGCTTTCAAGGTTCCTGTTACTATGGGACCTGCTGGGTTTGTTACCAAAGCTCTTATTGACTCTGGGGCGAGTTACAGTTTTGTGAATCCGTCGATTTTGCCTAAGCTCGGTTATGATAGTGCCGATCTTACTAGGATTAGCCCAAGAACAATCAAGACTGCAACTAATCAGTATGATGCGGTAGACAGGTATGTGATTATCCCTGTTACATTTAACCATACTGTTGTGAAGATCCGTTGTTATGTGCACCCGATTGTTTCACCTACTGTTATTGTGGGGCTTCCATTCATTAGAGAATATGCCCATCTTATTGATTTTGCTAATCTTACTGTGGGAGATGTGGGGGTGGACGATTTGGATGAGAAATCTATTGAAAGTATTAGTGCTATGGCTGCTCTTAGCCTGGATCCTGTTGAGATAGACGATCCTAGATTAGAGAAATTGTTGTTTGATTATGCGGATATTTTTGCGGAGAAGCTTGGGATTAATCAAGTTGTTGAGTCTCGGGGGGCAGATAATATCAGGCTTGAACCGATGTCGGAAGAAGTTCCAACGACCCCGTATATTCCGAAGGTTAAGATTGCTCTTTTGCATGAGGTTAGAAATCATATTAGGCGTATGGTTGATTCTAAACTTATTCAACCCTCTAACTCGCCTTATTCTTCACCTTTTCTAGTTGTCAAGAAGAAGACTGGGGAGATTCGTTTGGTTATTGATTTTCGTCAAATCAACCTTTTATTGAAAAGGTTTAATCAGAATCTTCCCAGTTACGATGAATTGATCCAGATCTTTCTGGCCAATAAGGTGTTCTCAACCGTGGATTTAACGGAAGGCTTTCATCAACTTACCCTCGATGAGAATTCTAGTAGATTCACGGCTTTTGAGTTTGAAGGGCTCAAGTACGAGTACTTGAGATTACCCTTCGGACTCACATCAGCCCCTTCACACCTACAATCATACTTAGCCAAGAAAATATCACACCTTTCAACTGCCCGTAATTATGTTGATGATGTTCTCTTGGCGTCGCCAAACAGGGAAGAGCATTTGGGTTTGCTCAAGCAGTTTTTTGATGTGTGTCGGGAGAACAAGTTGTTTTTGAAAAGGCTGAAATGCAGTTTTATGAGCTCTAAGGTTCGCTTTCTTGGTTGGGAAATTGGTCCGGATGGAGTTGAAATCCCTGATGATACTAGGGAAGTAATTCGGAAATTGAAGACCCCTGTGAATGCCAAGGAGTTGCAGAAAACTCTTGGATTCACGAATTATTTCCGTCATTTCGTTGCCAGCTATTCGGACTTAGTGGTTGAACTTTACCAATTTGTCTCCAAAAATCTCGAATGGGATATGGAGACAGTTTCCAAAAGGTTCGCTTCTTTGAAGCAAGCCTTGTTGGAAACCAAGGTACTAAGTGTTCCACTTTCGACCGATCCCGCTACTGTATTTGTAATTGAGTCTGATGCTTCAGGAATTGCAATTGGGGGGGTATTGAAACAGTTAATCCCTGGGTCCGATGAGCTGCAAATTGTTGGTTATTACCTGCGGAGCCTTTCAATCCACGAAAAGAATTATCCAATTAGAGATAAAGAACTTTTAGCCGTTGTCTACTTATTAGACAAGACGGCCCATTTGATATTTGGTCATAGAATTGTGGTAAAGACTGATCACCAATCCTTGTCTGTGTTGCTTAAAGGAAATAAGGAAGCTGAAAATGACAGGGTTAAAAGATGGATTACTAAACTCGCTGAGTTTGATATTGTGTTAGAATATGTCAAGGGTACAACAAATGAGTTAGCTGATTACCTCTCTCGTTATGTGGGGGCTTTGGAATCGGTAATCCCTGCAGTTAATTTAACTGAAGCAGAAATCAAGGCTTCGATTGAATCGGATGAGTATTTTGCGGAGATTAGTAACAGTTTAAGGTTAATTGAGGACAAGGATAATAAAGCAAGTGATAATGCCAGCGATGTCGCAGAAACGAGAATTGATGAAGAAGATGTTAATGGTGATAGACTCGATGTGAGTCAGGGTATTTTGAAGAATTTTAAATTGATTGATGGTAAATTGTTTGGACGTACCAATCAATCTCCGTGGCGCCGGGTCGTCGGGGCGCTGCGGGCCCGTAGGTTAATTGAGTATGAGCATGGCAGAATGCATGCCGGGATAACTCAATTATACCTCGGGTTGTCTTCTAAGTTTTATATGCGAAACCTTATGAAGATCGTCACTGCAGTAGTTGGTGGATGCGATACTTGTTTGAGAACAAAAATACGCCAACACCATTCCCATCCTATTATGGCTGTTGATCCTCCAGGATTCACTTTCCAAAGAATTCTGATTGATATGATTACTGGATTACCGGAATGTGGAGGATGTGATGCTATCCTTACCGTTGTTGATGATTTTTCGAAATTTTCTATTTTTATTGGATGCAACAAGCAGATTGATACAATGGGTGTTGCTAAGGTGTTGTTCCATAATGTATTTGCGTATTATGGTATTCCGTGTTTTATTCGTTCTGATCGTGATATTCGTTGGGCTAATAGCATTGCCAAGGATATTTCGAAGATTATGGGATTTAAGTATCATCTCACGGCTGCTAACAACCCTCGTGGAAATGGTGTGGCAGAAGCCGCTAACAAGAAGGTAGTACAGCTCCTTCGTACTTTTGTTTCTGAAAATAAAGGTGATTGGTTGAGTTATTTGGCTGTGGCTCAGACTGCTATCAATTCATCTATTCATTCGGCTACCGGTATTT